GACTTGTTCCCGAACTATGACTTTCACAAGATGAGTTCGTCTCTCTACAGGCAGTGTGCCACGGGAATCTATCGCACCAAGGATGGTCGATTCTTTCAACTCCATGGGAGCATGAATCCCGACCCGACATTGAACAGTATCGGTCTGCCTCTGGACAGGCCTGAGCTGAGGACTTGGGACGACGCCATGAAGCCCTTTATTGAACGACTTGCAACCATTGACTCGGAGCGGATGCAGCATCTTGCGTCAGATGTGTACAAGCAGGCTGGAGTCATTTGTGAAACAGTCGATTCCTTTAGGACCACCGAGCACGGCAGGGCAAATACAGATATTGGGCTGTTCAAGCTACGCCGAGTCACGCGTCATGAATCCCACAGACCTTGCTGGTGGCCGGCCACGGAGGAATCCTCTCCCGGTCGACCCCTCGCAGGATTAAAAGTGGTGGATCTGACTCGAGTCATCGCTGCACCGGCAGTGACGAGGGGATTGGCCGAGCTCGGTGCCAGTGTCATGCGTGTCACTTCACCTAACATTGCAGACTTCACAGTACTGGCCGTCGACATGAGTTGGGGTAAATGGCAGTGCAGCCTCGATTTGACCACCGACGAAGGAAAGGAGAGGTTGCGCGACCTCATTCGTGAAGCGGATGTGGTTGTCCAAGGGTACAGACCTGGGGTATTGGACAAGCACGGGTTCAGCCAAGATGCGATCATCGACCTGGTCAGAAACCGTGACAGAGGTATCGTCTCGGTCCGTTCGAATACCTACGGCTGGGACGGTCCGTGGAGCGGCCGATCGGGCTGGCAACAAATCAGCGATGCCTGCGTGGGTATCTCGGCGGGCTTTGGACGCGCGATGGGGTTGAAGGAGAATGAGGCCGTGACGCCTATCTTCCCCAATAGTGACTACATGGTTGGCATAGCGGGCGTCGTCGCCGTCTTATCCGCCCTGATACAGAGGGCGGAAACGGGCGGTAGCTACAACGTCGACCTGTCGTTGAACTACTACAATCAGTGGCTGGCGGATGAGGTCGGTGAATATCCCGGCAAAATTTGGGAGGACGTCTGGAATCGCAATGGAGCGAGAGTATTTCGGTATGGTCATCTCAACCCAAAGGAAATTCCGGGACTTGTGACCGAATGAGAGCTAATTGATTTCACATCGAGCAGATCGTACCACGGCATGAACTACACTTTGCGTGAGTATTTTGGCATGATTTTACAAAAGAGTGGCGGCATGCCCCTACTGGACCCGTCCTTTTTCGAAGATCGAGAGAATAAGGCCGTAGGGTCTGTCTTCAGGACAGTCAAGCCAATCATAAAGTTCGACGACGACGAAGTCGTGCTGAAGTATAACGTGGGCACGAGAGGAAATGGCAGAGACGCTCCAAAATGGCCAGAAGACTTGACGACCGAGATCGTGATTTAGCAACCGGGCGGGAAAGGAAAACATCTACGTCCGTCAGGCTTTCAGAGTTGTACTGCGACAAATACCTAGGTAGAATCTTGAGGTAGAACTAGGGTGGCTTTTGATTGAAAACCCATGTGACTCGAGAGAACCTCTCAAGAGAACCGAGTACTGTGCTAGATCTGTCATTGGAATACTCTTTCATGCAATTGACGCTCAAGGCTTTGTTGTGCAATGGCCAGGTTATTATCAGAGTCGTCAAAGCATGGGCAACTGAAGAAGCTAAGGCAGAGGATCTATCTTGGACACTATCTCTGTCTCTCCATGTAGAAACTTGTAGCTTGTTGAACCTAGCAGATCACCATCTTGCCGTTCTTTTTCTTAATGCACATCCGCGGCATTGTCTTCCTCAGAAGGATCGGATACCTGTTGAAGGCATATTACACAGAAGATAATTGTCAACATCTCTGTGGTCGCCTGGATTCCCAACAGCGCTCACCCCAAGCTTACTGTCGCTGCCTACTGGAGACCTAATCATGCATGACGTGCAACGTTGCTGTCGTCTGCCAGTTTCTCAGAGATTACTTGTTCCTTTCCATGTCCAGTCAAGTGTGGCTTGTGTACGTGCGCAACGGTTTGCCTGAAAAATTATCAGTTCTATCGTGTGACATGATACGTAAGCCACCTCTCAAGGGACATGCCTTGTCAATTTGTGGTCCACACTGGACACGAATGCCGCAGCAATACACGCGAGGACTACAAAAGTTATAAACTCAGTATCCGAACGTTCGACCGACAGGAAACACGTGGGATTCGAGGCCACTTACCTCCAAAAGCAATGCTCACGAGGAAGACGGTTCGGAACCCGTCAGCGTAAACATATCGTTGTGCGTCGACACCAGCCGCGATGATAGCTGGAGTGACCCCTTCCATTGTCCCTAAAGAGTCAATTTGACCAGTTACAAGCGCCGCTACTAAAAGTCAGGAGGATGATTCGGTGACTGGAGGAGTGGATACACCAACCGATGAATGGTTCCACCATAGCTGGAGGAAGTCCAGCTCGAATGACGGCAGAAGCAACCTTGGTGGCAAGATTTTGAGCGACCTTGGAGTGTAGAACACTGCTATAAATTGCAATAGCAATGGCACCACCCGTCGCTCGGACCGACCCTGCTAGTCTTTGAGCGAAGAATAAGACAGTCAGTGGTGTCGTCCCCGAAGAGAGTTAGGGTCTGCTTAACACACCCAGTAGCAACGCCAATCTGATGATCCTCAGCTCCAAACTGTATAATGAGCAGGCCAACCACCTGCTGTGCGCCTACAGCAAATGAAGCCACCGCCACGAATGCAACGGCTCGCGCAGGTGTGTGCTGGGTGACACTTGACATCGCACCAATGAAGATGGTTTGAATTGCAATGACCACCAGATACTGGATATTTGTCCTTTTGATCAGGGCGAAAAGGCTACCGACGATGACACCACCGACTGTGTGGTGTCGGCAGAGTCAGCAAGAACAAACAAAGTATCAAATGTCGATGTGCTTACGGAGTGCTGATGCATTGTAGGAGAGGCTGTACCAGCCGACCTGTCTTGGAACAGTTGTGAAGAGAAGCTGTACCTCTTCACAAAGGATTAGCAAGAATCCCTCTCGGGTGATCCCAGGCGTGAAAAAGCTTACCTTGAGGCCAGAGAACTTGAAGACCCATGAACTAGAGCTCCGTCAGACGGCACGAGCCAACCCCAAAGTATCGTAGGCACGCACCATCATCCCTCCTAGGAAACAGGCAGAAAGCGGAACACAGAATCCTCGCACGTTTCGGAACATTGCAGGAGGACACAGTTTGGCGATCTTTTCGGAGCTGTATATCTCCCATAGTGGAAAAAAGACCATGACAGTAAAGACTGTACATCGATTAGCGTTGGCCCGTCCAAAGGCGCTGACCAGCGATTCGTACTTCCGATGATGAGAGGCGCAAGAACTGTCCCGCTCGTCCATGAATATGGATTGTCTCCCCATGAAATGCCCAGAAGAAAGCTCGTTAGGCCACCTCCGTAAAGTAGTAGTCCAACAAAATCCAGCTCTTTGATCTGCTGTAGACGAGTTTTACCATCTCGGTGGATATCGAGGAAGGTAGGAGGCCAGTAAAAGACCGTGATCAAGGTCAGAGCAAACCCATTTGCTATGGCACCCAAGTAGAATGCCCAACGCCAGGTCAAGCTGGCCACCAGAGCATAAGCTAGAGAGCCGAATATCAGCCAAGTCCCATCATGAGGGTCAAAAGACTACCGCGTACCTATGACCGAGCCGAAAGCTGAGCCAGGGACCGCTGCCAGATTGAGGCACGCAACGACGGTACCTCGCCATTTCTTGGGAACGACTTCGTTTGAAGCTGCGAAAGCCAATTGCTGTAGTCCTGCACCAACTCCCTAGGACAACGTCAGGCTGTGAGGTATCACTTTCCTCCATGAAATGCTTACCATCAAGGTAGATCCCGCGATGACGGTACCTACCGACTTTGCGCGAGACGCGACGATGCAGCCTTGTGGCCGATCAACAAAAACCTCTGCGGAATTTGACTCAACCACTGGTGCTCACCTATAAGTCCCAAGACGTTTCCAGTAATGAAGAAATTTCGACGACCGAAAATGTCGCTACAACGTCCTGCCACGGTTGTGATGACCGCGGCGGCTAGAGACCAAGCAGTCGCCGTCCATGTGATGGCGGTCGATGGACCAACGTCGGCATTGATGGTCAACAAGATCGCGGCGGGGAGGACAAACGAGAAGAGGCATGCTTCGTAGGTAAATGCTAGAGCCTGCAACGGAGCCATATCGGTAAGCCAACGACAATCAAAAAATAGATTTATAAAGGGATCGACTCCTCAGGCAAAACATACCACGCATGCCATGACCGTCCAAAAGTCGACTGGGCGACGTTCGTAGGCATCCAGCTCATTCTCAGCTGGGTCATGGAGGGCAGCGCCGTCTACTTCAACGGTTTCCGCATGATCATTTTGGACCATGGTGTCTTCTTTCAACATCGACATGGTACTATCTTTCCGTCCGTGCAATGCTTAGAACGGTAGAGAAAATTAACTATCCCGGATCGTCTTGTGCTCTATCAAAAAGTAGCATTCGATCCCTCCTGCCTGGGACTCACTCTTTATCCATTGCCATGGTACGCCGGAATAGGCAATACAAACCCGAAACAGGCCTCGGCTTCGTACCAAGAAAACGTGGGTTCGACCCCGTGGGGAAGAAGGGGCCGAATCACCATGTTCCATAGTGGGGAACTTGATATCTTTAGGCTCGACGGGAGCCAGACTATGGGCAAACAAGGCTCAACAGCCGGCAGGTTGGAAGGTCTCGCCTTGAAGTCGCTGCTCGAGTCACAGAGCCAAACCCTCGCAGTATCTACTACCTACCCCTAGCCATCATCTAGGCTTTTGGAAAAAGTGGGAAGAATACGGACGAAACAGTGACTATGTAGGAGATCCGGGGCCAGGAAATACAGACAGAATGAACTTCAGACTATGGTGATAGATGATATGGTAGCTCTAACGGTCAATACTACTACTCAAAAAGCTACAAGCTACAATCTTGCTCCTGCAGATGTAGTGTCCTTGTACCGGTCTTTCAGTTGCCTCCTCAGAATCTTCCCACTCGGATTCTTTGGGATCTCGTTGACGAATGTAACACCACCAGTGAGATGTTTGTATCTGACCACTCTCGAAGCCACGAAGTCCTTGACTTCTTTCTCGTCCACCTTCCCTTGGCTGACCACAAATGCCCGGGGAGCCTCGTCGCCGTCAGGTGTAGACATTCCAACCACAGCCACATCAGCAATGGCAGGGTGCTCAAGTAACAGAGCCTCGAGCTCAGCAGGTGCTACCTGGTGACCTTTGACCTTGATGAGCTCCTTAATACGGTCGACAATGACAAATTGGCCTTGCTCAGAGACGTAGGCGATGTCTCCCGACTTCAACCATCCATCCGGAGTGAGAGTTTCGGCCGTGGCTTTCGGATTTCTCCAGTAGCTACAAAATGATGGAGGTTAGCACTAAGGGGTCACAGGTCATCTCGTATAAGCCTCAACACATTCAACCTTACCCTTTCATGACATTTTCGCCCCGGCACCACAGTTCTCCCTTCGCTCCGGGACCACGAGCTGTGATTTCCTCTCCGGTGATTTCGTTGACAATCATGGCTTCGCAGTTCGCATTGGGCTCTCCTACAGTATTTGTGGTAATCTCTTCATTGATATCCGGGTAAAGTAGAGAGCAGGTACATCTGGAGACTCAATCAGCCCACCTCCACAGTCATTGTAAGCAGATGTCACCCACTCAGTCATACCCCATCCCTGTCTCAGGTTCAGCCTATCTTCATCTTTACGGTTCTTGTTCAGCCTGTTCTCAACTTGCTCGGCGATCTCTCTGCTGAGGGGTGCAGCACCACATCCCAGAAAACTGACGTTGCTTAGATCGTACTTCTCAACGTCTGGATGTTTGGCCAAGGCTACAGCAATAGGAGGCACAAGGTTCATGTCTGACACTTTGAACCTTTCCGAATACTCCAGCATCTTGATGAAGTCGAATTTTGGCATTACGTATGCCGTACGCTCCTGGTGAAAATAGAGAGCGATATACACGGTTTGGCCATATGCGTGATACAGTGGGAGATATGCAAGAGATGCGGAATTGAGTCTCCTCTTTTCGTAGTCTGGATGATTTTGGACTGTTTGGCTGGTCTGTAATGTGTTGGCAATGTAGTTGAGATGAGTGACTTCTACTCCTTTAGGGAGCCCAGTAGTGCCCGATGAATAATTCAAGGCCAATGTAGTATTCCATTCTTCAGGACCGGTAAGGTCAGGCCAGGCGAACAGCTCCGCTTTCTTGAGATCGTAGGAAACCAAGCGGCTCCAGTAGCCAGCACCGTGAGACGGAGTCCCTGCGCCGTCAAGGATGGAGTCATCAAAGACAAAGACCCGTGATAGATCCAGTCCTGACATCTTTGCTGCTTGCACGCCCGTTTCAATGCTAGAGGTATGACATAGCAACAGAGCAGCCTCTGAGTTACGTAACTGATAGGCTAGCTCTTGGGCTGTATAGGATGGATTTGCTCCGGTGAAGATACCGCCAGCAAACAAAGTGCCCATGAATACAACTGGTACAAAAATGCTATTCGGGCTGAAAAGCAGAAGTCGATCCCCTGCTTCGAAAAGCCCTGATTGCTGTAGCCCCAGGGCAAAACGTTGACACCAGAGCTGGTATGTGCCCCGGGTTAGGAAATGGGTATCTGGCCGAGCTGCTTCAGCGAGGCACACTTTTTCAGGGTTCGAAGGGACATGGGGAAGGTTGGCAGAGGATCCGAAGAGAAATGTCGGCAGTGAACATCGAGGGATGTCAATCCGCCAGCGGGACTTGTAAGGCATCAGGGCTAGTTATCAACGCAGAGGCCAGCAGAAAGGAGACGATGAATCAGATATGCAGGCTAAACTAAGAGAAGATGTGAGACATTCGTTTTCATCTCCCAATGAACCGTAAGACGTAGTCCTTTACAATCATTTTATACACGGAAGGTTCGACAGCCTATACCATTGCGGTGGATCAGGGAAGTGACAACCTCTCATGCTTTTGGCTATACCGAGGTCTGTGAGCCTTCTACGCAGCATGTTGATAAAGTCTCGAGGTAACCAATATCACTATTATCTCGGGCGGCTTCTCAACCCGTATTTGGAAGATTAGTGCCGGCGGCCTCGGAAGCCGCGGACAAGGCAATATATCATACTTGTACTCCGTACATGTATATCATTAGCTACCAGGTAGGTGGTACGGAGCCATGACGCCAAGAGTGGGCCCTTTCCGAGTGGGGTTCATTCCTCCATTTCTCCAGGGACTCGCGACCCCCCGCGTTCAGCCTCTCGTCTTCTGCTTTTCTCCACCACATAGACAGACTGCTCAGCGATCCAGAAATGAAGGATCTGTTGCTTGATATCGTCAACTGACACTTGAATTATCATGCTGCAACAACTCCTCAGCAGTCCAATACCAAGTACAGGTAAGTGCATGCAGAGTAAGTCTACATATTTTGCAGTTTGCGCGGACAAGTGTCATGGGAGGCTCGAAAGCACTAAGCTCGTTTCAAACGCGGAACATTAATGAAAGACATCTTGGCCGAGACCTTTGATGCATTCTACCATGGTGTTACTGTTAGGATTCTATTGTTCAACCGATACAAGACTGTAAAACTATACGACCCCCTGGAGAACATGTTGGCCAGAGAAGGCAGAGCCTCCAAGGCCTGTCTAGCATGTCGTAGGAGGAAAGTCCGATGCAACGTGTCGAGCAGTGGTATCCCCTGTGCAAACTGCGAAGGCGCAGGACTCACTTGTGCAGTGACGGATGCAAGAAAGGCCAGATACAAAGCCTCGGCCAAGGAGTTCAGAACCATCCCCTCAGGCTTTCACGTCTTTGATGCCAGGCCCAGTTCGCCGGATAGACTGACGCCGCAGGAACCACAGGCAGTCAGCGAACCTGATGACCATGCACCACAAGATCTAGATGCAAAAATCGACAACTTCTTGGCCACAGTTCCCGAGGCATTGGATACGCAATTGACCAAGCAGTACATGGTCACTATTGGTACATGATAATATGTCAATGCCCATAGCAAGCAACTAGACTAACGCTGCCCAGGTGAAAACAACACTTTAAACAGCAGGCACTTCTTTCAAGAACATCCCATACCTGACAGAATCCATGGCTTAGGTCTGGCTCATCAGTATGGCTCTGCGCAGAGCTCGAATTCTGATCCTCGGCCATGGATGCCTCAAGCAGAAAAACGTCGAATTATGTTGCCACCCTACCTTTGTCCACTCCGAGAAGAACTCAACCAGGATGACCTCGACTTTCTCCATCACAAAGGAGCGCTCTCTGTGCCAAACAGTGCTTTACAAGGCCAACTCCTTGAGAAATATGTCTTGCATGTCCACCCGTTTCTGCCACTGCTGGATCTCGAAGATTTCTACCAAGCCATTTACGATGATGGCGAATCGTTCCAAATCCCTGTGATATTATTCCAAGCTGTCATGTTTTGCGCCGTCCCGTACGTCGACATGGAACTCCTTAGAGTGGAGGGTCTTGATGGCAGAGAGGAAGCGCGAGAGAAATACTTCGAGAAGGTCCGGGTAGGTGTACATGAAGACTTGTATCATAAATATGTAGTGCTTCGCTGACGTTGGATTGAGAAAGCTTCTGTTTGATTTCAACATTGAACTTGATCCGATGACTCTTATCCGGGCATTAGTCCTGATGACTTGTTGGTACGACAACCCAGAGGACATCAAAGGCCGATGGCACTGGATCAGGATCGCTCTGTCTTATGCCTACGAAATAGGCTTGGATCGAAGCTCAGAAGTGACGAGATCGGTTCCGAAACAACAGAAAGCCAAGAAGCGGCTTTGGTGGTGTTGTTACATGCGGGACAGAATGATATCCCTCAATGAGCGGCGGCCCACCAACATTCGCGACCACGAAGCTGACATCCCTATTCTCACCTCCGAAGACTTTGAGACGCATTATTTCTGTGGCCTACTGCAACGCTACAACACACGCTTCCCAACCGTCCAAGCCACAGTCCTCAACGAAATGTTTATTCAGCTGATTCGCCTGTGTATCACTTTCGGACGAGTCCTGGATAGGCTGTATGCCCCTCAAGGCCATCGAAGATGGGCATACGTCGAACCGAAAATCGTACTGCTGTCAAAGACGGACGCTTCGGTCGCCGGGGAGGCAATGACGCTTGATCAGGAGCTTTGTCAGTGGAACCAGCGGTGCTCCTCGAACATTCGACGACTAGTACACGACGACTCCTCGGCGCAGGACTGTGGCATCGTCACCGTGCACCGGGCTCTTTTGGACCTTCTCTACCAGTCAATGCGCAGTATGGTGCACCGACCGCTGGCCTCCCAAGTCTGTCCAAAGGGATCCGCTGCGACGGGGTTTCAGGTTTTTTCACGACAGAGGCTACGGGAAGCGGCACAGGAAAGCACAATGACGGCTGAACGACTGCACGTTCAAGGTTTGCTTGACTATCTTCCTCCAATCGGGATCACCACTTTGCTTTTTGCAGGTATGCAACATGTGAACGACATGTGTTCGCGGGATGAACATCTTCACGAGGTTGCTACACACAACTTTCGACTCATACTGACATACCTCTATCGGCTGAAAGGAGTTTACAGATCGGCACGTCATGCCATTGGGTTACTGAGGATTGTGCATCAACGAAAGACGGTGGAGCCTTTTCCAAGTGAAGAAGATGCAGCAGCGAGTGGGAATCGACAGCCGCAATCTGAATCTTCTGGAACAAACCCGCGAATCGGTATCGTTGCTGAAGAATTGGAACTCGACAAGGAGGAGGTTGGGCGTACTAATTCCGACGAAGGCCAAGTGAGCCGTCCGAGTCACATGAAAACCAACGCGTCGAAACCAGCCTTACTCGGAGGGATTGATACGCTGCCATGGGAATTTGAAGCAAACCTTGACGATCTGTGGGAGTGGTACGGGTTTCCGGAAAGTCCACCTGAAACATTCTTCGACTTTGATCAGCTCCTTGAAGGAACATCATTGTCAACTACATAGCAGGATGTCCGGCGCTATATAACATGACGTATACAGTTTTTATCCATGGTCCGTCTGACTTGCCTGGAAATGAGTATATGTGTCTCATTGACTTGTGTAGTACTTACTCGGCCCTTTCAAGCTGAAACTGACGTTGAATACACAAACCGTTGAAATTCGGCATTGAGCGTTTGTGTCGGGCCATCCCCTGGCGGGAAGATATGTGAGAGGTACATTCCACAGCATCCTGCTTCCCTGTCGATGAACTATACATGGAGTGAGCAAGGATAGGTGGCGTAGTCGAGACAAGGTAGGGAAGAGTTCAGACTCACCCAGAACGAGTTTGGCAGCCCACTCCAGAACATCATACCGCGGCCACAATGCCCCTCGATACCGTTCGTGCATAGGGCACCTCCGAGCGCATAGTTGAACTTGCAATCCTCCTTGGGCAGCCCATTGGTGGCGCCGATAGAAATCGGCCCTGTAGTCAACTCCTTCTGCAGTGACGTTGCGTCCTTGACCTGAGGCTTGAAAAACTCATTCACTGTTTCGGACTTCAACAATTTTCCGTCGTCCATGAGCAACGACATGAGAACTTTGACATAGTCAGTGGCACAGCTATAGGCACCACCGCCGCCATAATCTTCTGTGGGACGCTCTGACTCTGAAAACCAGCCGCTCCGGTCAATGGTGACTTTCCCTGTTGCGTGATCTCGCCAGGTCCGGCCGCCCATACGAGCCATGGTTACTGGATGATCCCAGGGCCGGAACGTGGTGGAAGCCATCCCGAGAACGTCAAAGATGTTCTCGCGCATGTACTCGCCGAGCTTCTTGCCGCTGACCCGTTCGACCATCTTCCCAGCCCACTCGAGTCCGATCCCGTATTCCCATTTCTCGCCCGGCTCCGCAATCAGAGGAACTGCGCAGCTATACTTGGGCGAGTCCAGCGTAAAGGCTGCGGGCTCGCTGAAGACCTCTGCTGCGAAACGTGTCAGGTCCTGATTCATGCCGATGTACCCGAATCCAGAGGTATGCGTCAAGAGATGTCGGAGGGTGATCTGCTTGCTGGAACCGACTTTTCGTAATTTAGCTTTTCCGGCATCATCAAAGCCGATCAATATGTTGGGATGCTCGAAGTCGGTCAGAATCTTGGTGATGGGTGCTTCGAGCTCCAACAGACCCTTTTCGACGCACTGCATAGCTGAGATCGAGGTGAGGAGCTGTGGTCCAGAACCAAACATTGGTCAGTAACTTCATTTCGCCGTGGCCTGGCCAAGAACGGCCGCATGAAGGCAGTCGTTATGAGCTCACCTTTGTACAACTCGCCGTCCACATGACGGTATCCAACTTCATCGGACCTGCATCCGGCTCTGCACCTACCTTACCAAAAGCCTCCTGATAGAACACAGCACCTGATGTCAACCAGTTAATTCGGCCAGGAAACGCATGCCATAGAGAATGGAAAGCGAGGACTGCAATCTTACCATCCTTTCGGCCAGCCACACATGATGCGCCAGAGACGATGCTTTCTTCAACAGCCTTGCTGATTGCTGATTCGAAACTTGAAGAACTCATGTTGGCGCCGCCTACTTGTTTCCTTCTAACACGTTCAGGACAGAAACAAAGGGCTCCAATGAAGAGGTCCGAAAACAACCGAAACTCATATAGAACAGTAACATTGTATACAAGACTCGCGTTGGTCGAAAACCATAACACAATCATCTGAGACGGGTAGTGTCCATTTGAGTATGTCTTCCCGTGCCTCGGCCTAATCCGGCCTCTCTGTGCCTAAAACAGAACGCAGGCCGTTCGCCTGGTACGTGTGAACAGTACCTTGAAATGGATGTCTCATCATGTCTACCTCGGCCAGCGAGGCCACATCGTCTGCGACATGTCGGGACACATGTCTACGCTGATACCTAATCAAGCAAAAGTCGAAGGTTCGGCTGAGATGACCGCGAACTGAACATACGCCCAAGTCGTGGGAAGAAAGTGATATGGTCAGTTTTTCAACGCATAAAATGGTCACGTGAATTGGCGTTTCTTCGTGAGATTAGGGCGGCGTCACGAATACCTTAGTCAGCCTAGTGAAAGGCGGGTCGAGGGCGCTTTGTTGTTTTGCATGGTGAAGGAGGAGATTATGTATGATGCTGGCAATATATCGCAATGCGTCCCCAGTCCATAAGTGAAATTGTCGCCACGAAGCGCATTGTCCCCGTTGGCTTCTGAATCCTCATCTGAAGTCGCCAGATTGGCATCCAACGCCCCGATCAAATGGCCCTTTCGTGGTCTTGCCAGAATGTCGGCCACCATCCTCATCTCGTCCTCGCCGCCTCACATCTTTGCCCGAAGTCCCACGCCCATTGAAGTCTCGTCTCCCATGCCCTCCCCGAGCACTTTGTTTCGAGATGGGAGCTCCAAATTGTTCAAAACAACCCAGAAACAAAGAGGCGGTGTTTCATTCGACTCCAATGCCCGGTCGCTGCTGACGACAAAAGTTGGAGCGGAAAACCTGCCCTTACGATCCTCGCCCAGGAGAGACAAGTTCAAAGTCATATCGTCTCAATCTTCGAATGTGGATGTAGTCAGCCCTCGTTTGAAGTTTCTTCAGGACATCTCCGGGTCGCAATTGGAAGAGAAGAACACTGAAACTCGAAGAATGCCACCTAGACTTCCGCACACCGTTTCTGACGAGCCCGAGAATCTGCAGGAAGATGTGTTTGATATAACAGAAGAGGATTACGATCGGCGGCGGATTGAAAGATCATTACAGAAGGATACAAACATCAACATGAGTCCACTTCATCTGAGAAAGGCAACACCACGGCGAAAGGATTGGACACCAACAAGGTCAGGGAGCCCTGGTCCTTCGATTGTGTCTCCAGAGTCTCCTCTTCACTCTGCAGTGCTATCTCCTAGTATTCAGACGTATTCTTTCGTCAATCCAGCTGGAGAAAAAAGGGCACACAGACCGTCAACACTGATAGCTACGGGTAGCAAGCCGTCAGCGAGTAGTTGTGTCGATATTGACATGCTTTGTGACACCCCGACAGGTGTTACAACCAAGACAGGCGTCCCAAAAGACTTGCCAAAACCTTCAGCAAGGAAAAGGAACAAAACTGCAGCCAAGAAACCACTTACGATCACTGCGTTGGCTACCTCAAACTACGGAGAAGAGCAACAGCGGCGAAAACTTACGCCCATGCAGGAGTATCTGAATGCGACGCAAGTGAATGCAATCGACGAACCTAACGAGGTCACTGGCCCGCCTGCGAAGGGTAAGGCAAGAGTACCTGCAAAGAGGTTACGGGCGACGAAGAAGGCGCCACCGAAAATTCCATTGCAGTCTCCTACATCGGCTCTGAAAGCTGTTGAGTCTCTGGAGGTCGTTTTTGGATCTGCTAGCCAACTTGCGCGAGACGAATCGCCGACCTTGCTACGAGAGACTTTAGAGGCTATTAGGCAGTCCGAAGCCATGCTTTCATCTGACCCATTCTCTCCACAGCGAACCCAGCCAATTTCAATAGAAGCCATCTCGCCTCAAAATCTGCCAGGGACAAGCAGGTACGTGAAGAGAAGAAATCTCTGGGGCGTCGCGGGACGTGACGAAGATAATGCGCTTCTGCAAGTGGATACGGTTGACTTGGTCGATTCTCCTGCAGTACGTGAGGCCCTTGCTGGAAAAGATGTTCTTGTACAGCCCGGCGGACCGTTTCTTTCGAACACACGCAGCCTGATGAAGGAAAGCATTCCTTTCCAGGCACAGAAGACTCCGCTCAACCATAAAGGCACTCCTTTGCTGGATATCGATGATATTGTGACGCCCAAGGTTTCCGGCTCCGGGCATTCGGTTCTCTCACCTCAAAAAAGGATGTTGCATACTTCGGCTTCGGCTCAGCAACCTCGGAAGACGACACCACCTGTTGAAGAGAACAAGGAGAAAGCAGCTGTTTTGAAAAAGCCCAGCTCTGCCAAATCAAAGCGCGTGCCCGTTAAACCTTCCTATGCAGGCTTTTCGACCGGGGATCTACAGAAACAGATATCAGCGTTCGGATTCAAGGCTGTCAAGAGCCGTGATAAAATGATTGAGCTGCTGGACAGGTGTTGGGAAGATAAACATGGCCCTGCGCCAGGTGATAATATCGACCAAGATACGTTGACCCACGGTGACTTTCTTAGTAAAGTCCACGACATCACCGCTCGGCCTGTACCCAAGGTAAAGAAACCCCGCAAGCGAAAATCAGAGGATGCAGAACCTAAGACATCTAAAGAGCCTAAGCGAAGGAAGAAGGTCGAGCCAAAACCGAAAGATGCACCAGAGAAGATCAAGAAGGCAAAGACGCCTCGAAAGGCGGCAGCGAAAAAGGCTCTTTCGGAGGAGTTTGTCATGGATGTTGACGATATTGATGATTTCAATACTGAAAAGACAGCGCCTTCTAAGACCTCGGACGCGGTCTCTGAGTCTGTTACGAAGAAAAAATCAACTCCGAGGAAGAAGACTTCGAAAGCAAAGGAAGTTGCGAAGAAACAAGAGACTACTCCTCCACCTTTAGCACTGAAAAGAAACTCCTCCCCTCCGCTACCCGAAAGTCACGCTTTGGTGCCAATCGCGGCTGCTAAGATCACCGAAACAGACCCTTCTCAACCCCTTACTCTAGATGGGTCTACACTGGACGTGGATGCAACGCTTCAACCTCAGCACCCACCGCCTTTATCCGACATCAAGGACCAAGTTTGGGCTGCGATCTCTTTTGAGAGTAAATACTATTCTTCGCTCGGCGCTGGTGCCGGTACGCGGAACCATGTGAAGAATCCGACCTGGCGGGAGAAGATCCTCATGTACGACCCCATCGTGCTTGAAGATCTGACGCGGTGGTTGAACACAGAAGGGTTCCGCTCCATTGGTGAAGATCGAGAAGTCAACCCGCTTGAAGTGCGAACGTGGTGTGAGGAGAATGGCGTTTGTTGTTTGTGGAAAGGAGGTTGGAGAGGAAGACGAAAGGGAGGTGACGATTAATGCTGTTTTTTCCGGAGTTTCCACGAAGTCAACGAATGGGCTCGAGTCAGGTCGGGTTGGGCTGGGGAGTGACTGGATGGACAAACTTTGTTCATCGGTCTTTCGAGGCGTGCTTTGGCGTTTGTTGTCTCGCATAGCCTTGTTTGTCCCTTGGGCGGCATAAAGAGCCCCCCTGTGTGTCTGTATCGTTCCTCTGGTGGACCGAGTCGTGGCGTTTAAGAGTGGCTTCGACAAGGAAGAATTTTGCATTACAATCGTAGCTTTATACAATTGTAGAGAGCATAGACCGAAGAAACGGATGGTGCAAGAAAAGAAAGTACAGTCCTGGTCTGCTATGACTACCTATGGATGGTTTTGGAGGTGCTCTACATCTTCACGCATTGAACGGATTGAAACAAAAAGAACATTGTGTAGTTGTATTGAAAGAAATGATTAATTTGGTCATTGATAGTATCATGATGGCCTTGTTACTTTTGTCGCTTTCTCTCCATCCCTCTTCTCTTCCTCTGTGCGTCCTCCTCCTGCTGCTACCACCCCCGACAAGACATTCACTCGGCCCCCCAGTACAATAGATATACATATATATATACCTATACATCACAAAACACCGAGTGGCCCAAGTTCATATCCGTAGCCAGCTTATTACATCAACCAGCTCAACTCAACTTCATCGTCATGGTCTCTTCCTCTCTCAAATCAATTATCGACGACACCCCCGCTGGACCTTTGTTGTACGAGATTACTGTGGTTCACCTCCCTCCATCTCCAACCCCCCCCCCCCCCCCAACCTGTCCTATATGCATGACATCGCGTTTCACTTCCTCTTTGCACTTTGTGTTTGTATCCACCCAAAGGCGCCCGAAGCACGAAGCACGAAGCGAAGAAGTCTGGACTTTAGAAGAATTTCCCCTTGACGGCGACGTCACTTCTCTCCACGCCGTCGGCGTCGGTGTAGACTTCTCTCTCGGTGGCGCCATCGTCGTCGCGCTCACCGGTATAGAAGCCCGCAGTGGGAGCGACGGGCTTGTCAAACGCGTCGAAACGCCTCCCGGCTCGTTTGGCCATGATCCACTGCACGCCGACCCTCAACCCGAACGCGCCGAGGGCCCAGAGGAGACCGCCGACGGGCGCGGCCAAGAAGGCCCCGAACGCGGACCAGTCGTTGCCGTACAGCCCTTGCTCCAACAGCAGCAGGTCGCCGGCCTTCTGGGCGTCGCCGTCGTAGTAGACCAGGCCGAACAGGAAGACGGTGAGCAGGCCGCCGAGGCCGCCCACGACGACCTCGAACCCGCGCCAGGCGTAGGCGCGCTCGCTCAGGCCGATGACCAGCACGGGGATGCTGCTGGCGCTGATGAGGTCGCTGATCAGGTAGATCTGCAGGACGCTGGGGCTCTTGAGGGCCACGACGACGACGGGGAAGATGAGCAGCACGACGGCGAGCCGGATGTACCAAAAGTTCAGCCGGTTGCGGAAGATGTCGTTGGAGCCCGTGCTCACCATGGCGCTCTGGAAGCTGTCAAAGGCCGCCGTGCTGAGGGCGACGGTCATGACGACCACGATCCCCACGACCCACGCGGGGAGCTGCTCGAGCAGCAAGAAGAACGCGATGCTGCTCTGCTGGGGCGGGTCGCCGAGCGCGCCGGACCAGCCCGCGAGGAGGCCGCTCACGCCCACGACGGTGAGGATGATGGCGACCGCGACCGTGGCGAGGCCGACGCCCACGTAGAGGTCCCTGTCGGTCTTGGCCGCGAACGTGCGCATCCAGAAACCCGACAGGAAGAAGTCGTTGGTCAAGATGGCCACGGGGAGGATGTAGAGGAGCTGCCACCCCAGGAGGGACGCGTCGAGGTAGTTGGACTTTTCGACCAGGTCGTGCGAGATTTTCGTCTCGACGCCGACCGTGATGATGCCGATGACGATCAAGCCCAGGACCATGGCGCCCTGGATGTTGTCCGTGATGAAACTGACCTTGAACCCGCCCAGAGAGGTGTAGATCGTCGTGACGGCGCACTCCACAATGACAGCGGGCAGGCCGTTCAGACCGGTCAGGGCATTGATGATTTGTTGAAGAGCAGAGAGCTCGGCGACCATGTAGAGGAAGAGCGTTATGAGGCTAACAGAAGCATAACATTGATCAGTATGAAATCCCACCGTTTTTGGAAAGAGGGGAAAAAAAGATGACATATATTGGACGGAACGACATACGTCAACGCAGACAGATACAAGCTCGTCACAACGCCGTAGCGCTGGCGCGTCCATTCCGTCAGGACGAACCCCTCGGGACATTTACGTCGGATGATGGGTCCCAACCACGCAAAGACCAGCAGAGGTAGGGCCGATGACAAGGCGTAGACCAGCAGACCCTGGACGCCCGCAATGGTCGCGATCTGGGGGTACGTGAAGAGAATACCTGATCCTAAAGCTGTACACACACCGCATACCCGGCGTTGTTAGTACGACCGACCTTTGTTCCTGTCAGGAAAGGGGGGAAGAAGGGGAATTGATAGAAGCGGCAGCACGTTTCCCACGCAAGCATTAACTTGATCGAGTTTTAACGGTACAATCTCAGCATTGTGCGTTTTCTCGCTTCTTCTTTTCCCCGCCGTCTCCTCATCTCTCCGCTAGCAAACACTCAAAGGTGTTGCATTCTGTGAAGGTGGATGAGAACTGGAAGGTGAAAAATCCAAAGCTGGCACAAGCGCCCGTAGTGCTGCACATCGTGCTTCCCTTCTTGCGTCTGGGCTCCGTCGTCAAAGACACCCATCTCAACGTGTCTCGGGGACATTTTGTAAAAGTTTCTCCTCCGCCCGGACCCCGACGCCAGAAGGGAACCACAATGCCTTGTTTGCAAGCTTACGAACCTCAGATATCTGGTTTCAACATTGTATCTTTTGATGGGCTCGATGGTCGGTCGACTGTTAATTGCGCTTTCGTTTCGTGTCTTGCTTCATGGCGTATGAAGCTCATGCCGCTGCCGCTTCAGGCGTATGACGCCGATCGAGCGCACTCACCCGAGGCGATGAAGTTGAGGGCTAAAGGTATGCCTAGATCCCCGTCAGTATGTCACTTCTGGTCCAAGAGCGGCCGTCGCAAGATGTCGCTTCGCTTCGAGTTCTAACCCTTCTGTGTTCGCAGAGTTGCAAGGTACTCGCCTTTCGTCTGATGGCGCAATGTCCATGCGACGAAGAGGCCGAAAACACTAGGGGTTCGGTCAGTCAATTTTCAGACGCCGAGCAGAGATATTGCACACAGGAAAGCTGCATAAGTGGTATAGATGATGGCGTTAGACGCCTGCTGAGATGGTTGGCCCATAGCTGAGGCTCCCGGAGGGTTCGAACGAGGCCAGAGTGGTGAGGATAGACAGATCGCACACAAATATGATCCCCGTCACCTGCTGAACTCAAGATGTATGGCACGAGTAAGGAGGAACAGGAAGAAGAGGTGGCAGTGGGGGTAAATAGTGATTGCAAAAAATAAATCAGGTGAGGGCGGGGTCGATGGTGCAGAAAAAAGAAAATCCCGAAGATTCAGATGGTGTCATGTTGCATTTGCCCCATCATCTCGCAGATGCGCACGTGCGTGCCTGTCCACTCCCTAGGGGATATTCATATTGTCTGAGATGAACACACTCTCTTGGAACTAGTTCTGCTGAACCTGCTGGTTCCTTTTTTGCTTTTGAGCCATACACCTCACAGCCAACGTGAAGCACAAGCTCTCATATCATTCCTCATCTCATCCCTGGCCCAATCCACAGCATCATGCGTATGGCATCGCTATTTTTGTAAACGATCCTCTTGACGTCCAGAACCGGTCGCGAACTGTCTGAAGTACGAGAAGTGTTTCTAAAGTGTAGTGGAAGTCTGTGGCGATTGAACAAGGATCCAATGCAAAAGCGACCGGACAACCTTCGAAGTCGTGGCTACGAATTAGGACACCTTTGAACTGGACTGCGTGCGTGATACTTGCAAAGCGGAAAGTAACTGTACGATTCTACTGCAGTTAGTAAGTTTGCTGGAAAAGCTCCAAGGATCTCTCTTACCTCGTTGTGGTACATATCGACAACGGCTTCCACCTGACGAACTTTCTGTTTGCCCTCGGCCAGCTTGTGCAATGCCACGATGCCCCAGTCGTCATCAACCAGAGACACCTGCAGGACACGTGTAGCACCACATTCGAGGTAACCCTGCATCATACCACTCAAGACATCGACCGTCGTCCCCTTTTCAACTGTGATAGGGCATTGCTTGCTCTGATGACGAAGGTCTATGCCATTTGGGTATTTGTCAAAGAACCTATCGCAGGCATCTGCGGAAACGAAGGTGACATGGGCAGTCAGAGTGCGGGTCTCCGGGGAGGGAGGAGATAAACCCATATGTTCGACTGCACCACCATGAATGAGGGATTGCACAACGGTGAGGTCTGTCTTGGGGGGGAGGCCAGTGAGAATGATCTTCCGAACGCGAGCACCTGCGATTATCAGTAAAGTGTCAACGATGACCTGGATACCACTCACTTGGCTGATTGCGAGCTGTTGGATTTCCCCAGGACTTGAAATGGGTTAGATTTTCTCGCTCCTGGCCACTGCTTTCATCGCTGCCCTCATATCCATTTTCATCCTCGTTGTACTGGCGACCACTTCCTTTAGTGTCAGCTTTGGCGGTGGCTATGGTCTCTGACGAGTTGGTATCTTGCAACAGGATGCTGCCTTGGGTCGGGGCGCCGAGAAGGGGCTCGTCGCTACTTTGGATCCGCTCTCTGACTGTCCTGTCCTGAACAGTGAGCATCGCCTCATCCTTGATCGTAGGATTTTGCATTCGGTGTATAGGACTGTCATCATCCGACAGATGCAGACCGGCCACCGAAACAGGTGCCTCTGGAGACTCTACCGGCTTTGGGGACGGGAAGGGGCCAGCGATTCCGGTCTCCTGGTTGCCGTCTTTACCAATTAAATACAGTCAGTAAGTCAACACAAACATCTACAGCTTGGACTAACCTGTAGCGACGTGAGGCACCTCCTGGCGGACTGGTCGTTCAACTGCCGCGAACATGGCTGCCTTGGACTGGCGAAATTTCTCCACCGTCTCGTCAATGTAGCGTGCCGCTCGATCGCGGGTGGCCTTGATGATTCGTGCCTTTTCTGCTTCAGCAATATCATTTCGTGTCTTCACCAAAAGAGCGTACTGAGTCGGGGTTAGAGCGTGAGGAACTGTATCAAGAACATTGCTGACTTGAGGTTCTTCGTTTTGAGCCGAGCTGGTTCTCTCAGTACATTCTGGATTGCCTGTCTTCGCTGGAATCTGCTTCGCTCCGTTCGACGAATCACTGTCGTCTTCAAAGATAGGCTCGAGAAGAGTGATGCTTCCGTTGGTGACAGGTTGAGTCTCCGGGGTAGGAGGCGGTGCAAGAGGCTCTCGTGCAGGGCTTGCCTCTACAGAAGTAGAAGTGCCGTCTGGTGCAGTCCAGGTCTCGGGTGGCTCGTTACCAACCCCGGATTCATGAGAGTAACCATTGAGAGGTGCAGGAGGCACAGTCTGCTCCGAGTCAGCACTGGCGTCTTTCACCGGTGCGTCAACATGTGGTTTGGGGATTGACTTACTTGGGCCATGGCTTCTGGTCGAGCATTTGGGCTTGCCGACAGGGGCGTGGCACGGATCATGCGCAGGAACGCATTGATCGTGGTTGGATCGTCGACGTGACGACTCATCTTGGTCGCACTTCCCTTGGACAATTGCAATCTGAGGAAGCGCGATAGAGACGATGTTTCTTAGTTGGTGTGGAATGAGATGGATGGGGGTTTTTGAGGGAGTTGATAAAGGACCAAGTGAGAGGAAGATGAAAGAGAAGGCGGCCAGACCACAACAAGAACGAAAAACACTAACACATCTTCTCAAAATCAAGGACCGCGATGGGTAGCGCGTTGGGTGTGCGGCGCAGAATCGCGAAGCGTGAAAATCTACGGAGAGTGAATCGGGAGGTACGTTCTGGGAAGGAGGCAGGAGGCGCAACGCACAAGACACAAGGTATAAGGGAAAAGCATGGAGTATTATCTGCATTTTTTTTGTTCATTGTCACCGTGTTATATCTGAAGGTCGACAGGCCATCAATATGGCCCTATAGCAACAAAAGCCGCGCCCTCTCATGATCAAGGCTCTATTCAGATGTTACCATTATATGTTGACCGCGAATGATGCAAGTCACCGAAACACCATCGCTATGCAAAAATCAAGATGGAATTGGGATATTTTCCCAATTGTGTTCACTCTCCACAAGATCAGCGTTTTCTTTCATTACTGCAAGACCTCGCCGGCCACAAAATCCCGCATGGTTGGCCATTCTGGGCATTTGTTGAAAAGAACCACCTTGTTCTAGACTGCTGTCGGGAAGCCAAACCATTTCTATAAATGGCTGCCATGGCTCCTCGTCTCGCCTTGGGTTATGGCGCGGTGTATTGGTGAGAAAATCCAAGAGCCAATGAATCGGAGTGTACAGTCGTTCAAATCGCCTCGTGAACCCCAACCAGGACAGTGTCTTGGTGTCGTATGCGACCCGAACAAATGGGTTCATGTAGATACCCGATTTGCCGGGCTCGGGATTTTGGATATCTGCGTGGATAAGACAACATTCCGAGGCATCCCAGAAGGTGTCCTTCTCGGCCCGAAATCGGTAGGGTGCACTTAGATTACTCGGGCTCTGGTTCCCAGCGGTGATTGTGTGCTCCGAGCCAGGTTGTTTCTGGAAGAAGGCAGCATCGAATGCTACCATACCACCCCAACAGCTCTTTACTCGCACCGCATCTGTGCCATCTAAGACATCCTGATGACTCTGCTCATCGCCGTTGGCAGAAAACCAAGGGAAGAACGGCAAACCCATGCCATACCCTTCCAGATCTCTAGTTGCATAAGTGTCGTAGAACTTGAAAGGATTGATGAAATCGACCGCACATGCTGCCCGATAATCCGTTCGACCCTCAGCAATCGTATGAGTTGAGAGGAGGAGCTGTGCAGCATCCAGTGGGCGGAAGTAGACGTCGTTCAGGTACAGAAGTTTATCGAATATGGTTGTGGACTTGTCGAGGGGGAACAATGCTCGGTTGCGGACCTCCGAGAGGTATTCGATGCGTTTCACACGCTGCGAGCCGCCTGGAAGCGTCACATGCTTCAATTGGCTCCAGTCCAGATGATCCTCGAAGACCAAGTCGTGCTCGCAAGGAACACGACGCTCAAATTCTTCCAAGGTCTGCTTCGACTCGGGCCCGGAGTCATTAACGTATATTGACAAGAACGTATTCTCTGGGCCCAGGATTCGAATCAACTCCAAGACGTTCCTGCCCCAATCGCCCGAGAACAATTTCCCTTCTTTGTCAGACAGGCTCGCCGCAATGAAAATCTTCTGTCCCTGGAGATTGGCACGTCCCGGCGCTTCAGAGGCCAGCACCTGGCGCTTCAAGACTTTGTAATGGGGTGGCAGGTGTGTGTAGCCCGGGAAGAAGACGCCTCCGACCAGCACAATGACGACAATTGTCGTGATGAAAGTGTAACAAAATAAGGCAAATCTCCGAGCAAATGATCTAGGAGAGCATGAACATCGGCGAGCAAGGCGCTTTGTGCGCGTTCGAGAGCGTCGAGAGATGTATTGCTTGCGCAGCCATGTTGGAGTTAATGAAGATAGTCGGTAGTGGTCAGGTTTGGCACTGGCCAGCAGGGCATTCCCGGTGAGTAAATGGGCTTGGAGGTCGTCAGTGGATGCGTCTTGCTCGTAGAAAGGAAGGTCGAGGTCCTGCTCGTCTGTATCGTTGGTGCTCGTCCCTGACAGCTCGTAGGAATTCTCATCGTACTGTAGGCTGCGGACACTCATGGTGTGTGGGGAGTGAGGGGAGTGAGTGGATTTGGCAGGCCTCCGAGTCTGGAGAATCTTGCCGCCATATGAGAGAATCGAAGAAGAGAGGGTTGAGGCCGTGAAGGAGTGTCGAGTCGTAGATTTCAAGGAGAGACTGGGAAATGTATTGTGGGTGAACAGACAGCCAGGTGAATTAGAAATGGGTACGGAGTAGGAAGACGCAACCTGGTGTTTGAGAAACAGGAGAATTTCTACATGCGTCTTGCAGGAATCCTTCAACTTGCGAGACAGTAAAATAGGGCTGCGGCCCCAAATATTAAGCCCAAACGATCTCAAACGAGGATGCCTGGCGAGATTGGGATGGTAGCGAATTTCACTAGCCCCAGCATGGCTACACAGCCTCCAACAGGGCGCAGGCCGGTGACGGTGACGGTGATTGCGCACATGGCCGCGAAGTCTTTACGGAAACCCGCTTTCATGAGCTTGGATTGGATTGACTCTCCACGCCTTTGACCCCGATCGTCATTTATTACGAAGGACGAGCTCGTAAAAGGTGTGCTGGTGGGAATGTTGATCACCAAAGCGCCATTCATCGAGCTCGACGGTACCCACGAGGTGGTTTTCTTAACCTCCCTAGGATGAGCCGAACAAGGCCCTAAGGTCTGGTTCCCCATGCAAGATCGGCAACCCCTGCAATTCTCACACAGGGGCGTTCTGGTCGACATCCCGGGCCTTATTACTCGCAGCATCCTACCTAAACAGGAGCAGTGGAGTGTGCTTCAAGGAGGAATACGCGGTACGGAGTACGAAATGGGTATGCAATTCGAACAACGATCAATTACGAGTACAGGATATTTTAAGGAGCTTTCAGGCCGACGAGTTTTTTTAGTATCATCACAGAAACCGCTGCGCCTGGAACACCGCGCCATGTGCTTTCCATGAGTTACCCCCCTTGCAACCCCCAAGACTTAGAGATGGTGCGCTTCTACCGCTTGTTCAAGGGATCTAGGCGTCTGGTGACGCACTGGCCCTAGTCCAAGGTTACTTTGAAGCCAGCCATGACGAAAACTCCGCGGCTTGAGCTTTGATAACCGTCGACCATGTGGCACTTTGAGCCAGGGTTATGGACGAATGATGTGACAGTCGAGTCTCTTCTCAGTCTCAACGCACGCTTTGGATCCAAGTCGGAGCAATGCCGTAGGCACCACTCCCGTTTTGGGCGACGGCTGCGGCAACGGTACCTCATACAGATGTACCGCAGGTAATTACCCAACAGAGCAACAGAGATTGACCACGTATCGTTCCGCTGGAATAGATATATATTTCATTCCAGGCCTCGTGTTTTAATTGACGCAGACTCAAACAAGATATCGACTGGACAGAGAGAGAAATAAGGAGCAATTGCGCAATACCAAGAGCACACCTCGAGAACATCCAAGGTCCTGACAAAATGAAGTCGGAATTCAGCGCAATACACACAAAGCATGCCATTCCAGACCTCACGGGGCCATTCGACATCACTTGCCCTCCTGGTACAGATCTCTGGGACAAGCCTCCGGCGACACATTCCAATAATGCCCCTATGTTATACAAGACAACGACCAAAGATACCTTCCAGTCAGCAAAGGTGACGGTGTCCGCTAGCTGGAAAGACAAATATGACCAAGGTGGTCTCTGTCTCGTCATCAGATCCGGTGACAATATACGCTGGATCAAGGCTGGTATTGAATTCGTACATGAGAAACCACATGTCAGCGCGGTGGCCAAGGATAGATGGTCCGACTGGAGTCTCCGGCCTCTCGCGTCGGCGTCAAGTTCCAACGCAACCATTGAGCTGGAAAATGCTAGTGATGGCAGTCTATGGGTATGGCTCTTGGGAGATGGGCAGAGACATCCTCTCCGAGAGGTGACATGGTGGGGAGAGATCGATGGCAAGACTGAATGCTGGGTTGGGCCATTTGCTGCCAAACCTGCCCCTCACGGTGAAAAGGACGATCTGATTGTGCACTTCGAGAATCTATCTATCAAGACTGCATGAGGCCTATACGGAGGAGACTGTGAACTATATAGATCTCGTAGTAATGATCCACAAGGCGCTTGGAATCAATTCACTGGCCTTGAACGCGTCCAGAATGAGAAAACGCGTCCTCGCTGATTTTGATATTCCCCACTAAATTTCACGCTCGTCGACTTCATTCCTCCCGCCAATACAACATCTTACCGTACGGCGCATTTTATTGCTACTTGTTATGAGACAGGGAGCAAACCGATTTTCAGCCAGAGCGCAGTCAACATACGAAGATCTCAAGACCCGTCGATCCGCACGAAGATGACTTTTGAGGTGTGACCATACCCCGAAGTATGCCTGCTCGGCCTCGCAATACCGCCGCTGCGGGCAGTACGCAGCAGGACCACCGCTATGAAATTCCCGGCCTTCACTTCGACGATACTCTGACATGGCGTGCCGGCAAACCAATCCCTGTCGCAGACTTGCTAGCACGACTACAGAAGCTGGCTGCGGAGTTGCGCAAGTATGATCTTGATCAGGTCGACTCGCGCGCTTTCACTACACTCGCCCAAGACCTCGCGAATGCCAACCTCCTCGGCCACAAGGATAAAGGCGTGAGAGCATGGACTGTTTCGTGTATCGTGGATGTCTTGAAGATCTGTGCGCCCGATGCGCCTTTCATCGAAGGCCAACTCAAGGTGAGCAGCCGACACGCTCCGTCAAGACCAGCTAACACGTTGTAGGACATATTCACAGTGGTCATCAATTCAATACTACCTGCACTTGCCGATCCAACCAATGCTTACAACGCTCAGCACGTCTATATCCTCAGTTCGCTCTCCGACTCCCAAAGTATCTTGCTCGTTACAGACATCCCTAATCATGACAACCTCATCGTCTCCCTCTTCACTACGGCATTCGATATTGTGTCAGGATCTAGCAAAGGTGTTTCGGGCGTGGAGATATCAAAGAGCGTGGAATATCACCTAAAGAATTTGCTAGTTGCAGTTGTGGACGAAGTGACACTGCCTCAGGATGTTACCGATGTCATCATCTCCCAGTTCTTGCGCGTCGACACCGGCGACAGTCAGGATGTCAGCCAGAAAGGTAAGAAGCGGGGCGCACAAGACACCAAACAGGCCACCCTGCTGGTGAAGGACTATCCTCCCGCATATAACATGGCCAAAGCACTCTGTACCAGCTGTCCTGAGAAGATGACCACTCAGATCACGCAATATTTTGGGACAGTGATTGTCGATGCTTCCACCGCCACTAACACGAATGGGTTTTCCAAGTCGAAACACCGACGATTGTCAGAGATCGACGATTCCGACGACAACAACGAAGGCTTTGGAGACTTGCGCAAAGCGCATCGCCTGTTGAGAGAATTGTGGCGAGCCTGTCCGGACGTCCTCCTGAATGTGATCCCACAGATCGAAGCAGAATTCAATTCGGACTCTCCGGCGCTCCGCGAACTGGCCACTGAAACCATTGGTGATATTACAGCCGGTATAGGAATCGCCGGTCTAGCCACGTCAGTGCCGCTCGATCCAGCCGCATTCCCTTTGCCATCGATCGAACGCCCAGACCCTGACCCTCAAGTTGCCAATCCGATCCTACTACCAGCATCACCGAAGCCCTTTGCTACCGTACATACGTCCGCGTATCAGGCCTTCTACGGACGTCGCATTGATAAGTCACCCAAAGTCCGTCAGGCATGGGCTATTGCAGCTGCTCGTATCCTTATGACCTCCGCTGGCGGGATTGGTTTGAGCGACGAAGAACTCCAGGCCTTGCTGCTCGCATTCGCCCAACTCCTACATGACCAAGAAGAACATGTTCGGCTGGCCGCAATCCGAGCAATCAGCACGTTCAATTATCATGCCCTGATCAACACTCTAGGAGCTGATGGTGGCCTTAACAAACAAGGCACCGTTTTTACCATTCTGGCCGAACGAGTGACCGACCGGAAGCACACTGTGAGAGAACAAGCCATTGAACTTCTTGCTCGAATATGGGGGGTAGCATCTCATGACATTGAGGAGGGTGTCTCGGTCGTGAAAGAAGCGGTCGGCGACATTGCAAATCGCTTATTGCGGGCATTTTATACGAACGATGCCCATGTACATACTTTCATCGACAGAGCCCTCTACGATAGCTTACTGCCGTTATCCTTCCCTCCCATCAAGGCTCATAAATCAGACGGCCAGAAGCAACGTGCCAGTCAGAAAGAGATCGTTTCGCAAGCTACGCCACCTGTCGACCCGGATGCCATCCGAGCACGTCGCATTTTGACATTGGTACATTCATTGGAACCCAAGTCGAGGGCAGTGTTCTTCAGCCTTCAAAATCGCCAGGTGCAGCTAAGTAAAGGAATGGTTGTTTTTGTCCAAGCTTGCGAAGACTATAATGGCGGAATTGTTGACGATGATGGGTTTGAAGCACAGATCAAAGATCGCCTTGGTAGGTATATTGAGGTGATCTCCAAGTCCTTCCCTGATTCTAGCGATGTTTCTGCTGGCCTGTGGAAGTTTGCAAAGCAACATGATCGTCGTGCATACCAGCTCATTCGATTCGCCGTCGGTGCCGAGAACGACTATCGTACAGTCACCAAAGCGATCAAAGAGCTCACCAAACGAATCCGAGAAGGGCCAACAAGTGCTCAATTTTTGATGGATACAATTCAGCCCATCCTCTACCGATGTGCCTTGATCACCTATAACCGCAGCCATGTCCCAACGATCATGCAAGTCTCGAGGACAGATGAAGCGGGCCTCGGAGAAGTTGCACAAGAGGTCCTGAAGGAAATTTCCGCTCGACACCCAGAAGTGCTCAAATTTCACATCCAAGCCCTTTGCAAGGAGCTCGAGGAAAGTGCTCCTACTTCCACCAAGGCTGAGGAGACGGGGGCGGCAGATACATTGAAAGCTTGTGCAGCGTTCGCTCGCAGATATCCCAGTGAAGTACCGAAAGACCGCAAATTCCTGACAGCGTTGACGCATTTTGCGCTCTTTTCGCAATCACCACGGGCAGCAAAACACGCTGTGTCTATCATTATCATGGTTGCCGATAAGAAGGAAATGTATGCCAAAGATCTCCTAGCCAAGGCTCTGAGGGATTGCACCCTAGCATCGCCTCACTTCCTAGCCCACCTGGCCACAATTTCTCAAATATCTCTTCTAGTTCCAGCCGCCTCGAATGAGCACAGACGCGCTTTGCAGCAGCTAACAGTCGGAGATATCTTACGCAAAAACCACTCACCTAGCTCCGAGGATGATCCAAATGCCTGGACCAACAGCCCTGACGACGAGACCAAAGCCAAAGAACTGGCACTTAAGATTCTTGTCAACCAATGTCGGTCGCATGAAGAGAAGTCTTCCGAACTCGAAGAGGCTGCCGAAGTAGCTATCAAGTTGCTCATGTCCATCGTCCAGAATGAAGGCGAGATCACGCCGTCTAAAGACACACCTCCTGCTCAGAAGAATTGCTTGCGACTTATCGCTGTCCATTTTATCTTGAAGCTTTGCAGTCACCAACGGAGATGCGAAGACCTCGTCAAGCCGACCATGTTCATCAATATCCTTATGATCATGATCAACCCTCCCAATCCCGTCCGAGTAGGATTTGTCACTTATCTCAAGAAGTATCTTGGTCAAAATCGGCTTGCCCACCGATGGTTCACTGCCATGTTTCTTCTGGCTTTCGAGCCCGACATTGAGCTTCGAACTTCGACAATGACCTGGATGAAAGCACGAGTCCAATATTTTGCCAAGCAGCAGGTTCAGAAATCGAGTGACAGAAAAGTACCTCAAAATGTCATGGAATCAATCTTTGCGCGCTTGCTCAGCTTACTGGCTCATCACCCTGACTATCCAACCGCGGAGAGTGTGGATTTTGACGGCGAATTACTGGATTTCTCCAAGTACATCGTGTTCTATCTCTGTACTGTTGCCACCGAGGATAATTTGTCTTTGATATTCCACATTGCTCAGCGTGTCAAAGGTGCCAAGGACGGTATAACCGGCGCGGATGCGGCGTCGGAGCGTATATATGTTCTTTCTGATCTTTCACAAGCTGTCATCCGGAACTACGCCGATCTCATGCCTGCCCACGCGAAAGGCGTGAATCTGCTCCAGACGTGGCCTGGTAATGTCACATTGCCTCGCTCACTATTCAAAGCTCTTCCAAGCCACGAAGCTGCGCAGGAGATTGCAGAGAGGAATTATCTTCCTGAGGATGTCGCTGGAGGGTTGGAGAAGCTCGTGCGATCATATATTCGTTCCTTGAAGGCCGCAGGAAAGGATGCCAAAAAGCCGGCGGTGAACAAGAAACGGAAGAGCGAAGCGCTCCGCCTTGACGTGAATGAGGATGGTGAGGAAGGTCAAATGCCTAAGAAGCCGAAGAAGTCTACGCTACCGCTCAGGAAAACACCCAAACCAAAGAAAAGGGCTAGCGAAACATCTAGTCCAGAACAACCTTCGCGCAAAAGTTCTCGACGCTCAACTGCCATTTCATATGCTGAGGCAGACAGCGATGCTGATGATGCCGAGATGGCAGAAGTAGAGGTTCTTGCGAGCAGTCCGGCGTCAAGGAGGAGGAAGAAGACTCCACGAAAAGAAGAATCAGAAAATGACGACGACGGAGAGTCCGACGATGAGAAGGAAGCGGAAGAAGATGTTTCTAATGCGGAAGAGATGCAAGCAGAAGAAACGAATTTACAGGTGCATGAGGATGAAGAATCCGACATGGCAGGAGCCAATATCGAATCTTCACCTCTATTGAAAGAAAATAACAACACTGGATCTGTGAGAAAGGGCCGGAGTGGAAAGAAGAGCATGCCTCCTTCAGCTCCGGCTGTCAAAGGAGAGAAAAATGAACAGCTGGCCCGATCGACAAGGTCGACCCGAAGCTCGAGGGGATAAAGTCTGACAAGGATGTGCTCCTGTCAAATCTGCGATGAACTCATGCCGAATGTAGCTGAAGAATTTTGTATGATCATGAAAAAGCCACAGTCTCATATAATTGAAACCTGAACTGGTTTCCGAGATCTACCTGTCTGTTATTGGATAGTAGATTCCCTGGTCTGCTCTAGAGCTTGGTTCTGTACGTAAATCTTTCTTCAGGTCAACCATGATATCAACACTCCGATGTTGAAACTGGGTGTCATTGCTCAAAGGTGTTTCCAAGGGACATTGATCCTGGCCACGATCATGCTCGCACTCCATACTCGTACTCGTATTCATGCCAAGACTTCGTTTAGATACCCCGTATTTATTTCTCTGTTCTCACCAGCTCAAACCTCAACATCATTTCCACCGTTAAGATCATTTACATCCGACATGGCGGTCACCCCGGCACGCGCTGTATCTTACTCGCTGCATCCAGAAGCTAATGACGGATAATTCCCTTGTAACCTGTTGCAATACCCAATGGGCCGTCTCCCCTTTTCATGAGAGTCTCCATTGTGCTTTTACCCTAGATTCTCACGCTCTTGTGAAGATGTACCTACACTCCTTGTGAGATGGAAGGCCCTTGAATGCCAACATACATCCCCACAGATCGTGCATTCTCTTTCTACTCAGCATACCTTGTTCGTATGCGTACTGATCAAAGATGCCATGCATTGGAGTGCAGCTTCTCCCTTCAAACAAACAATCTCAACGTCTTCGCCCTCCCTTCCGGGCCTCCCTTCTGTGCAACCAAAGGACACCCCCAAAGCTCATTGTAAGCATTTACCATTATCTTTTGGCTTGACTCTTGGCGTTTGTTGGTATGAGTTGCCATCAAACAATCATAGCAAATGCAATGCCAAGTTTGAAATGGTTTGTTGAGGTAAACGGTAAGGTATAAATCTGCCGGACTCCTGCTCATGTGTTTCGAATGCTTTCTGCAACCACTTTCCGGCCCATCTCAGCCCTTCACTCCTGCTCCCCCTCACTGTCCTGCATCACTGGAAGACAACATCACATCATCGTGTGACAGAAACAGCTGCGCATTCGAATAGGTTAGTCAAACTACATGGACTCGACGGGCTGGATTTTCCCTGCTAACTGAAACACTACAATAGTTTGAATACTCATATCGAGTCGATTCTCAGCATGGATCCCCATGGTCGCGGACGTGGCCGAGGCCGTGGCAATCGTGGCAACTATGACAACCCAAGCAATCAGGGCAACTTTGGCAACTACGGTCGTCGTGGGAGTTCTGGTTATCGGGGCAATTCCGGAGATCGATTAAGGTCTGGAAGCCGCGGTGGTCATGGCAGTCGTGGTGGCAATCGCCAATTTTCGAGGGGACCTCCATCTTCTGGTTTCGGCCAGCAGAGTTCACAAGAAGCCCTTGACCAATCCATGGGCCAACTCTCGCTCCATTCAGAAACCGAGCTGTTGGCAAATCATTTCAAAGTCTCAATTGGCAGATACACAGAATTGTACCGGTATGGCTTGACTTTCCAGAAACGACAGCAGGGCCGTGGGGATGACACCAGTGATGAGACCAAACCGAGCACTAAGCCAAGACAAACCACAAAGAACAAAGGCATTAAAAAGCATGGCGATTCCGAGAAGGTTTCGAAACCACCACCAAATCCACTTGGGAAGGATGTCGATCCCAAGACTGCAAATCTTCCGGGCGATGATGACAACGGCAACGAGCCTACTTCGTCGAGGGTGGCAATCGAAGGCCGGATCAATCGATCCAAGATCAAAAGAATCATCGCTCTTCTCATAAGCGAGCTGAAAGCAGACGCAAAACTGGCCAAGATCCCACTCGCTACGAACTACAGCACTCACATTGTCACAGCAGATCCCATTCTCGAAAATGTCTCAAAGACTTTTACTATTGAATACTACGATGAATACCGCTCGACCCCCGCTGACAACCCAGAGGTCTTTGACGTACAAGTCATATTCGAGAAATCCATTTCCTTAGGAGGCCTCTCTGGACATCTCCAGAATGGCTCGCAAACCCAAAACTTCATTGAGTTCTCCGAGAAAGAAGACGCTATCAGTGCCCTAAATATCATTTTCAGCTACCATCCATACGAGAGATGTTTTCCAACTCTCGAGCATCGAAACGACCCAAGCATTTCGGAGCGATACCTTACAACCATTGGTGGAAGAGTCTTCTATGGCGTTGCTGTGAGGGGTCGCAATGGCTCTAGTGAAACGGGACGGGTCACAGCACAAGGCCCTCTCAACAGCATTCCAGGTTTCATCAGAAGTGTTCGTACTGTATTTTCTGCGGAGGTTCCGATCAATCTTAACATCAACACCAAGACGTCGCTTTTCTATGCGAATGACAATGTTCAGATACTAATCGATGCCTGGAGGGCCAAGAATGTCGGACGTCAGTGGCAGCAACACAACTACGGCGACCTTTCAAAATTTCTCAAAGGACTCAGTGTCAGAACTCAACACCTCACCGGGCAGCAAGAGCCTGACAACTTTCTTGCAACGATCACAGGCCTTGCACCGGTCAGCCGGGAGGGTGTGGAGCCGACCGTATCAGTGGTTCATGCCAACAACCCAGATCACCAGCACATGGAGAACCTAGGACATTACTTCAACAGAGTCTATAATAAACGGTATCTTCCAAATTCCAAGGTGTTCGCCGTCGTTGTCGGTGGAGGTGCTTCTGCCAAGCTCTTCCCTGCAGACCTCCTCTATATTATCCCTGGACAAGCGATGCAGAAGACGAGAGAATTGCCGGCACACGCCATTCGACTACCTATCGACAACAAAGGGAGAATCCTCACCACTGGCCGCTCTCTCTTCTACGGGGATGGATTCACTACCACAGGGGCGAGGGAGTTTGATCTCGTCTTGGGGGATGTCATGATATCCGTTCCAGTGTTGCCCCTCGCCACGCCAACTGTGAGGTACCGAGGAGAAGTAGTACCCCAACGTCGAGGACCACCTGTCTTTCACGACATCTCGGAACAAAATGCAAAGTACGGATCTTGGAATCTCAAAGGCACATCTTTCTTCAGACCCGCTGCTCAACAATTTGTATGGACATACATTGAATTGACCCTGAATGATCATTCTTCTTGCCAGCAGGCTGATCTAGATCAATTTGGTAACAATCTCCAGTCAGCTCTGAGCCGCGCCGGAATGGTCCAAGCTCATTTCCAACGACTACCTCTCCCCAAAGCCCATCAGCGTCGGCTTCCTAATGGATCCCTACCGACACACCATCATGCGGCAGGACTAGCAGCTCAATTCAACTTCATCGATGAAGTGATCAAGACTCTCCGAGACAAGAACGCCGTCAACCTCATTGTTTTCTTACTGCCCAAGAAGGACATGGAACTGTACAGTGCGATCAAGAGGGTCGGGGATCAATGCACTGGTGTGGCTACCGTCTGTCACGTACTCAAGGAGGATCGGAAGACCAGATCTCTCGGTCCCAACGCCTCGCCTGACTTTTACGGCAACTTGAGCATGAAGATCAATCTGAAGATGAGCAACCAGTCAGTCAACCACTCGCTCGCCGTCAAGCCTGCGGTTTTGGGTGCGGGGGCCATGGTCCTCGGCATTGACGTGACACACGCAGGCGCTTTAGCCATGTCTGGGGCTCCCAGCATCGCGGCGGTGGTGGGCAGTGTCGACGCCGAATTCGCCCAGTGGCCCGCGAGCTTGAGAGAGAACCCACTGGTGCAGGACGAAGACGGGAAGAGGCAGTCGAACGAGCAAGTGATGGATCTCAAAGCCATGGTCGTGGAACGACTACGGGCGTACTGTCAAGTCAATCGAGCCCTACCTCAACGCATCCTCATCTACCGTGACGGTCTCTCCGAGGGACAGTTCCGGATGTGCGAGGAGCGAGAACTTCCACAGATCACGGCCGCCATCGAGGCGGTGTCCAAAGAGAGGGGAATACAAGGCCGATCCATCCCCATCGTCCTCATCTGTGCGGTCAAGAGACACCACACTCGGCTCTTCCCAACGAGTGACAGCCCGACAGACACCCCGAGGCTCATCGGCCTCGGAGGGAAACCCAACGGCAAGGTCTTCAACTTCAACCCCATGCCCGGAACCATGGTCACGGAGAAGATCACGTACGGCAAAGGACAAGATTTCTTCCTCGTCAGCCAAAAGGCCCAGATCGGGACGGCTCGCCCCACCCACTACGTGATCCTGAAAAACACGACGGACAACACGAGGGACCAGGTCGCCCAGGCGACCCACGACCTTTGTTACCTCTTTGGTCGGTCGACCGGTTCCGTGGGCGTTTGCCCGGCTGCGTATTACGCCGACCTCGCGGCCGACCGTGCCAGGTTCTACGTCCGGAGATTCTACCACGCCACCAGAGACGAGAGGTGGGACCCCGCCCTCCACCCGGACCATCGGTTCGACTTGACCATCCACGAGAGCATGAGGGAGAGGATGTTTTACATCTAGACGGATCGACCAAGAAAGAAGCGGGGATGGAGGCGTCAGTCGAGACCGACAGACAAGGACACGTGTATTACAATATGTTTTGTGTTTGGACGTCAACCATTCTCTCAGTGTAGAATGTGATGATTGCAAGATGAGAATGAAGGGCGTGACTCGGAGTGAGCGGGTGGACATTCAAACCGTTTTGTTTTTCCCTTTTCTTTCATCTCGTTTTCTTTTTCTCTGCCTCGGGCATCACTTCGTTGACTTGAAACACGAGACGGATTCACAAAAGGGACCATCGAAAGGTGCTGTGAATGGTACGGCTCTGGGTACGGGAATGAGTATGGGTTGGCTTGACTGGACTCGTTTTGTATTGCTTTTTTTTTCTAGACCATTAGACCGTTGGACTTTTTAGATTTCATTCAATTCATATGAACCTTTTATCTGAACCGACAGTACAGCATACTGTACCTTTTCTAATTTCTATCCATGTTTGAAAACACCATTTGTCCTGTGTACTCTGTACAGTGACGTACGTTCAAGCCACCTATTCATTAAAGTAGAGGCCTGGTGGGAGAGCCACTCGAAAGAGGATGCAATTACTCCGGAAAGCTATTTCATATCTCAAAAACATCCTCGCCCACCATCTCCCTGACCATGCGCACCCAGTTCCGCACTTCGCGCTCGACCTCCTCGTCGTCATCCTCGAGACTCTCATTGACGTAGACCATGGTCTCGCCACTGCCACCGACGCCCTCTGTGCTCGCCCCGACGACGACGTTGTTGACCCACTCCTCGCCCACGTCTTCGTCCTGCGTGAGCGCCAGGTGCGTCCTGATGGCCGCCAGTCTCACGGCGGCGCCGGGGTTGTGTCGGAGCTGGCACAGGCCGTGGTTGATGGCGTGGTGGTGCGACGGCGTGTCCATTGTCGCCGTGGCCAATTTGACCATCGCCGGGATGGCCAGCTCCCCCACGGCGGCGCGGAAGGGTTTCGGTTTCGCAGATGACAACCCGAGTTGAGACACGAGCAGTTCCGCGAGGGGTGAAAAGTGTCCGGGGGACGCGAAGAAGCCGTCGGCGTCGTGGTCCATGACTGTGGTCAAGAGGGTCAACGTCGATCTGTAGAGAGACAGGTCGTCATCGGACGGTGCGGCGCTGACGGTGGCAGAGCGCAGCACGTTATTGGCCGCCTCGAGAATGTAGCTCGCATAGCTGGTCACGATGCTCTTGAGGGTGGCGAAGAAGTGGTTGACGAAACCAAACAGACTTGTTTGTCTTGCCGTGTTCGCACCACCCTCGCCAGGCAAATCGACCGGTTTGATCGCCCAGTCGACCCAAGTCTCGAAGAGTGGGCGGAAGGCGGAGTCGTTGAGTTTGTAGATGAAGGGAATAGACAAGTCTTGTAGTCGAGACTCGATGATCTTGATGTTGTCGATGGATAAGCCAGTCTCGTTCAACGAGGAAGAAATCAGTCGTCGGAGATCCATCACTTGAAGAATGAACGTGGATATTGACTCGGCATTGCGGACCACGCTAGGCTTGGAGTTGCGATCGATGGCACGAGAAAGAAGGTCGAAATATTCAGTGACTGTTTCGAGGGTGAGGTCTGCCACGACGACATCTTTCCAGACTTGGTTGAGACTGTCCGTCACGATGTTCAGGTCGATCTTCTTGGCAAGCAAATCGAGTGTTTCTGTTCTAGACTCTTTGCAGGATGGGTCCAGATTGGAGGATGCTGATGACTTGTGGCACAGATTGAGGATCTCGACTACGTTTTCATCAGAGACCATGAACGCCACGTGTGAGATGAACGATGAGAGCAGTGTGTAGGCTGCATTGTGCAGCTCCGTATTGCCAACATCACCTGCAACACTGGACTCCAGTAGACCTAGCACTCTGGACATCGATGACGGCACAATCGGTACAGCTGCCTCCTTGAGAGCTTCCACTGCAGAGGCCAAGCAGAGAAGAGACATGACTTGGGTCCTGGAGTCTTGAGAGTTTAATCCGTACTCGCCCTGGGTTAGAACACTGGTAGCAGCGATGATGGCATCAGGGCTCTTGCGACCATAGACTTCGACGATGCGGTCCAGGAGTGTAATCGCCGCGTGTCGGAAAGTCTCATCCTTAGACGACGCAATGATCGTCTGGATAGTAGGAAGTAGTGCCATGGCCTCGGCTTGAGTATGACTGTCCTTAGGGGCATGATGCTGGAGTTGTGTGGCGAGCACACGCAACGCCAAAGGCTGTAGCTCCTTGTCGCCAATTTGTTCTATTTCACTCAAGAGCTCGGGCATGATGTGTAGCAACTCGGCCAAGGACGGTAGTTCGAGTAGTGCACTCAGGCAATTCCTCGTTGTGCTAGTCAAGCTTGGATGGTTGACTTTCTGATCTCTGAGCATGAACAAGAACTGCGTGAGAGAGCTTCTGTAGACTTTCCAGAATGATTCAGCCTCGGCCTCTCCCAACTTGTGCAAACGCTTCACGGAGAAGATGAGACCGCTGGAAGCGAGTAACTTGGAAGAAGTAGCCAGCAAAATCTTGGCAGTTTCTTCTCGCTCGTCTTTCTTGCTGGTTTTTGTAATATTCAGAAGCGGCTCTGCGTTATGCGGGTTATCCGCGAAGACATCGTTCACTAAGTCAAGAATCTTTTTCTGGGTGGAAATTTGCGTCGACGGCAACAAATCGCCTACCAAGTTGGAAAAGAATACCGACATATCCTGCTGCCGTCTAGACACAAGCAGTGCAATGAGTGCAAAGGCAAAATCTTCAGCACCCAACCTATTGAGTAGTCTCTGGTAGAAAGCATTGCGTCTGTGTTGCGGGATATGATCATATGCTGTGACGAAGCTCGAGAGAAGGCTGGACGTTGACAGAACCAAGTTGGTAGCATCCTGCTTCTTTAATGTTGCGACCAAGGGAGGAATGATCTGGTCGATGGCTTGGTTCGTTACGTAGATCGATCTTTCATCTTCCTTAGCTAGGATGCCATGGCCCATGAAGGTAAATATCGGCATGATGGTGTGTAATATGCGATCAGGGGCCAAAGAGGCCAAGGAAGCGGCAAGTAGAAGGGCAGTGCTTTGGACCTGGGGGTTCTCTGAGGAGCGAGCACAATCAATGACCAGATCGGGACGGATTTTCGACACATCTAGGTCTGGTCTTCGAGCTTCCCCTATCTTGTTGACGATAGACAAAATGCTACTCAGGCACAAAGTGGTCAGGTATGGAGATGCCGGAATACCTCTATCCTCAGTTCGTCTGAGAGAGATCAGGACTTCGAACAGGTCACCTAGCAATTGAGTATGTTTTTCTGGCTTGGAGTTTTCGACAAGTTCCAGGGCAAAGGTCAAACGCGAATCCACGACGGTAAGGGTCTGTGCCAGTTCTCGTGGGAGGCTTTCGCGACCATGACTAGTTCTCCTCTTCTTCTTGGGGGGAGCAAGTGTCTGCAGGTCCGATATGCCTGAGGTCGCAAGTTCGAAGAACGAAGCCAGGATTTCCGTTGAGAGAGTGACTGACTGGAGAACATTTTGGCTACCGCTTGCCAAAGCGTGGCTGTCGGAGAAAGACATGTCAAATAGAAGTCCAGCTGAGGAGATCTGTGACTCGCGGCGCACATCTTTCCAGATGAGGATCAGTCGGTCAAAGAAGGCTGTCACCAACGCGGGCCTCATGTGTTCACTCGCTTCGTTGAGCATCTCGAGAGCTTGTTCTACCGCTTCCTTACTGCGGCCATTGATAATCTGAACCATAACTGCATCGATATGAGCAAGAGACAGATTCTCTGCGGCGGCGATGGACTTGGCTTCGTCTTCTTTCAATGATGCCCAATTCTTGAGGACAGGTGCTAAGGCCTTGCTCGTGCTGATACTGCCGACTTTCTGAACGCCACTGAGAAGCTCGATGATACCAAGCTTGACCTTGGTCAGTGGAGTGATCGTCGCGCACAGAGTTAGCTGATCGAATAAATCATGCTTCAAGCTCTTCTTCAGTTCAACATTTGCGGTCTTGGCTCCGGAGGAGGATGATCGAGCAGGGCTATCGAAGGCAGTCTCCAGAGCCCGGCGAACATGCGATGCTTCAAGCACACATTCTTCCATGTTCGGAATGAATACTTGATCGAGTAGCTTGACTACGTGGCTCGGCAGCAGTCGTTTGATGTTTGTCATTGACAATCCATCGTAAAGTTCTGAAGTCTCTGCGGAGCTATCATCCTTAAAGTCCTCGGCCAGGCGCTTTCGAAGAGTCAACAAGCATGCTGCAGCTCCTCGTCTCACGGGCTGTACTGGATCCGCGAGGATGGTTGCCAGGTAAGGAAACAGCATTTGCGAGGGACTATGAGACGTATTTTCGAGGCCTTTTGATAGGCCCTTGAGTACCGCGACCTGCTGGGAGGTCGTCGTAGCTTTGAAGGCCACTCTCAAGAAAAAGCTCGTCTTCAAATTCGAAGGTTGGTCATCACTATTGCCCCATAGTGGCAGAGTCTCGAATCGCGCAGAGGCATCTTCGGATTTATGGCAAAGTGCAAAAGCTTGGAGAAGCTGGTCAAACAACGGAGAGGTCCTGGTAGCTAAGAATGACAGATCAACTGACTCTGCAGGCAGGTTTGCTAGCATTGATTCGAGCTTCTCGGATTCAAAGGAGTCGAGTGAAACCTCGGCAGGCTCCATTTGATTATACTCGATCATACGAACGTCGTCCATTGGTTCAATAGCGGTCTCGAGAATGGCCTCAATGTCGCTCAAAGAGTTTCCAGCTAGCTGTATGGCCTGAGGAAAGACTGACGCGAAGCTAGTGTTGTCGTTCAGTCTACGCAAAAGGCTTGTCAAGTATTCCCGGCTAGGGGTTCCGGTAGCCTCTTCAACCTTCCGGAGTACGACTGCGAGGCATTGACTGATGCTCGATGGGTCGACTAATGCGGAACCCACGTCGAACAGCCTCTCGATGAATGCAAACCGCGAGTCCAAGTTCGACGGTTTCAGACCAGTGAGCGCGGAATGGACCAGGACCTCGAGGAATGAAGTGACAGGAACCTGGTCTTTGAGTTCCAGTAGTCTTTGTTTCAATTCTCGCCGTTTGATGAGAAGTTCTAGTACTTGTTTTGGCACCTTTGGTTCATTCTTCCGAGTGGCAAGCACAACTAGACAAGCCAGCGCGGACTTGGGGTCTGAACCGTCGGTTTGGATATGTGCAGCGACTGATCTCATCAACGAATCGATGACGGCGTCTTGTAGATTGGAATTGCTTGCTAAGAGGAGCGATATGGTGAAGCAAGTGACGGTGACTTCTGGGCTGTCTCTGATCTCGAAACCTTCCTCGAGAAGCGGGACAATCTTTCTCAAGGCATCCTCTAACCTTTGCTTTTCGACTTCTTTTCGCCCACTTCGAACCTGGTTGAGTCTTCCGGTCACCGATTCCACAATCAGTGTTCCCCAAAAGCGCAGCAGTTGTGGATGTCCGGCTCCTTCTTGACACGTCCGCAGCACGTAGTTGTTAAAATATGAGAAAAATGCATCGTTATTCGTGGCACTGTAAACCAAGGCGTGGCGCGGTACATTGGCTGCGGTCTTGTGGTAAGGGCCCAAGAACTTCCACTCATTTACAATCTTGTTGGCTGGTATGATGCTCAGGAGATTTCGGAACACGGGCGTCTCGTGGTAAGGCAGAAAAGTGGCGAGCAGAACAGAGGTGTTGTAGACATGGACTCGAAATCTTCGAACAAGCCATTCCACAGCCCGTACGCCCGGTCTCAGAAGAACTTTGGACCCAAGAATGGCCAGGCATCGTTCAATAACCACACCCAGGGCTTCATTTTGTGCCTTGTTCAACTGTTCTCTGTCTTGCTCCTTGGCTTGGGGGCTGAAGAGATTTTGGTCAAACTCTCGTAGTCTCGAATCGAGTACGCACAACTCTTGATACCCCTCGACGCATATCTGATATATTGTGTCCCAATCTTGCTTTGCAGCTACCGGGCGATCGAATATGAGGGATTCGGCGTGAGCGTCTCGACGTGCGCGGAGGTCTAATTCGTTCGTGGATTTCGCGGCAATCGTGCGCAACTGCGCTGCGAATGCTGAAGTGGTGGGAGGCATGTCTGCCACACAATGTCGTTCAAGGAGACATCAGAGGCGACTGCGCAAAAAAAGAACGGCAGTCCACAAGTCTGATTTATTTGGTTGTAGCAAAGAACATGCATTCACTTCTACAATTACAACTTTTTTGTCGGAACAAAAATTTTGCGGGGTTAGTCGGATTTAAGTACGAGTCAGACTGCAACTGTATTTATGCTCCGGCGAGTCATGTCCTTGTCAGAGTCGACGACAAGTATCGAATTCGGTAAGTGTCAGTGCAATCTCGATTGAGCATATCTGGGTGACTACTGTGTATGCGCGAAAGGTGTTGAGGAAGCACACCACCAGTGAGAGTAAGTGCATAATCCAAACCTACAAGACCTTCCAAGACTTCAAAAAAAGGTCATTGTGGCTTAGACCGGCATCACTCCAGACTCCGCCACCTGTTTGTCTTCTCAATGACAAGCCATCATCCGTTGATGTCTCTGTGACCTTGGTCATCAAGTCTTATTTGAACAATCTGGGCGAGAGAAGGAAACAATCAGTATTGGTTCTCTAGGCTGAACGTCATTCTGGTCCATCTACATACACAGTCGAAGTCAGCGTCAGAGTCAGACCCTGTCTACGCCCAACTGAAGACTTCGACATCGTCAATTCCACTACCAAGCCACACTGGGCGAGATTATCATGGGCTTCTTCAAATCCCTCAAGGGTAAAGTAGACGTCGGCACGGACGATACGCCCACCGGTTCTCAATACGATGCATATTCCACGGCGGAAGAAAAGCGTCGCGTGTTCGGACGCTCTTCCTCGAACGATAATTATACAACAACAACAGACGAGCAATACGATCCGCCATCCGGCCCTCCACCTCCTCAATCCCGACAATCTGAATTCACTCCTCCTCCAGGCCCTCCCCCCAACTTTCTGAAGGGCACCACCGCACAACAACCGCGACAAGATGACGAAGAAACCTACGCTCCTCCTTCAGGGCCGCCTCCGGGAAACCCGCCACCTTACCACGACTGGACCGTGATCCCGGACACGGCACTACTCCCTCCCCCTCCTCCCTTGCCGCAGGACTACTCTCCCACCAACAACGCGAGTTACGACTCGGCCGCCCGCGCCCACGACTGGTGCGCCCGACACCCCCTCTACACCCCTTCGCCACCGTCTCGGGACATCCACGACCTCGCGGCGTCGGGCCACCTGACCCTCGAACGTCCCCCGGCGCAACTTTGCAACAAGAACTTCGTCCTCCGCCAAAAGACCCCGACGACGTGGTCCGTCCGCACGCCCTCGCAACAGCAAGACGCCGTCATCATGTCGAGTATCCCCTTGTACTTTGCCGCCATCGACAACCCCCTTGTCGCCGGTCACCCCAAGACCGTCTCCTTTGAGATCCACGTCCTCAGGATATCCAACGCAAACTCGGGAATCGCCGTCGGCTACGCGGCCAAACCGTACCCGCCGTGGCGCCTGCCGGGATGGCACCGCGCCAGCATCGGCGTGCACGGAGACGACGGACGACGTTTCGTCAACGATTCCTGGGGCGGACGCGACTTCGTCGAACCTTTTCGACCTGGAGAGACGGTCCGGGTGGGCATGAGATTCTCGGCGACACCTGCTGATGCGTCAGGGTCGTTGGGCAAAGTCAAGACGACCGCTTTTGTCGCTCGAAACGGACGCACCAACAAGGATTGGGAATGGGAAATCGACGAGGAAAGAGACGAGCGTGACGAAGGTGTCGACGGGTTGATGGGCGAAGGTGATTTGTATCCTGCCATTGGCGTGTTTGGGGCGGTTGAATTTGAAGTAAGGTTTGGGGTGAGCTGAACAATTGAATTCATGGCTCGCCTACCTCCAACCCTACGGAGTACCTCGAGGAGGTCACTCGAAGAGTGCCTGGACGTTGGTTAATTCTTACTTCTTCAAAGTATGAATGAATAACGATATCACCATGAGGCCTTGCTCCAATCTTGTACAAAGCACAAAGACTATACATTGTAGCGTATCTGAGGACCTGTTGATCGCGACCTTTGCCCACTATCTAACTGTATTCAATCATTCAAGCCGTACACCACAATCGTATCACCATCCAAAATCACAAGGGTTACTCATACGAAAATCAATTCCCTCAACAACATCACCTCTCGTGCAACACGTTGTCAACGACGGACGCCGTCTTCAATAGTTCCTCCTCACGCATGTTCCTCCCCACAATCTGTACTGCACACGGCATACCCTCTATCTCTTCTGGATTATCTAGATCGATTGTCAATACGCATTAGTATCACCACATGGATCTAATCTGATCTTCAAATCCATCTTGCAAAGGGAGAAAATAAAAAAGGGACATGAACTTACAAGGAGGTATATACTTGACTTCCCTCAGGTATTTCGCATCGTCGATTTTGTTCGCTTTTCTCCAAGGGACGATGCAAGCAGGGTACTATGACGGGGGCACATCGACAAGTTAGGATCGTTTGCTTCTCACTCACGCAAGTATACCTTGGGACACCTCAAGGTGGTAGACTCATATTTTCGGGGTTTCGTGGACAGACAAACTCACATCGAGAAGGTTATTCAACACAGTATAGGGCACCCAACTGATCAAGTCGTGTCGTGGAGCCGTACTCTGATACGCCGGCATGATGATGGCGTCGAGTCCATTCTCCACGATGAGCTTGCGGAATCCGTCCTGAAACTCGGCCCGCCGGACGTTGAGATCGTACAGGCTCTCGAGCGTGAGCGGCGCGTACTCGGCGCGCACGTGCTCGTGAGGCAAGTCGGTCGAGCTGAGCGCGGGAATGCGCGGTTCGCCGCTGGCCTTGATGTGTTCGAACGCCGTGTTGGCCGGGTCCATGGCGAACATGCGGAACGAAAGGACCATGGCGTCGTAGATGGACGGCGTGGTTAGCTTGACCACCTGATGTCCCGCGGCTTCGAGGGCGGCGGCGGCACGAGTCAACGTGTTCATGACGGGCGGGTGTATGGGGAAATGAGGGTCTTCTACGATCAAACCGAATGTGAGACGACTTTTGGTCTGCCCTCCTCCCCCGCCCAAAAACGCTTGCCTCCTCCACGGCGAGAATATAGCGCTCGCATCTAGTCTCCAAGGGTCCGAGTCGACCACGACACGCGTGAAGAGTTCCAGGTCTCGAACGGACGTGGCCAAGGGCCCGGCACAGGGTTTGATCCCCGTGAGCCCTTTACGGGCTGAGCTCGTTTGGCCGCCGTATGGAATCCGATCGGCCGAGGGGCGTAGCGAGTACGTGCCGTTGCAGAATGCAGGGATGCGCACGCTGCCCGCGATGTCGGTCCCGACGCCCAAGATGGACCCGCGCATGGCGATGAGTGCGCCTTCGCCGCCTGATGAGCCACCGGCGCTGAGATATGATCGGTGAGGGTTCAATGTTCGTCCAAAGACGTAGTTGTGAGAGTCTCCTGCCTATGAAACAGAAAACAAGAGGGGCCCTGTTAGCTGCGTTCATTCGTTCGTTCGTTCATTCGTTCATGAGACTACGACTTTGGAGATTCTACATACCATCATTGTCTGGGGGATGTTGGTCTTGACGTATAGCACAGCTCCGAGGTCTAGTAGGGTCTGGACGACGGCCGAGTTTGACTTCACCGGGCCATGTTTAATGAATGACGTGAAGCCGATAGTGCTTGGGAGGCCTTCGACATTGAAACAGTCCTTTGCAGAAGATATTAGCATTGGTCCAGCATTGGCTACAATTGTCATATCCATTCGATATCGATGCTGGTCTTCTCACCTTGAGACTGATGGGTAACCCGTGTAACGGTCCAATGACCTTACCCGTGTTCTTCAGAATAGAATCGAGTTCCCTTGCCCTTTGCAAAGCCCGGTCGAAGAACGTCTCTGTCAGACATCGACACTAAGACACATTTACTTTGTCAGTTGATCACGGCATCTTACTGGAGGGGAGACGAACCACTTGTTGTGCAATAGCTGCACGGATACAGAATGCCTCTGTGACTTCCGCCGACGTCAACTGGCCCGAGTGCAGCTTTTCCAAGAGTGCCGTTGCATCATAAGCTTCCGTGATCTCGAGTTGTTTAGCAGTGAGCAGTCCGGACTCGCGAGGGACATCCAACACGCATGTATCTCCCGTTTCGGATATGTTGGGTGTCAAAGATTCTGGTAGCAGCCATTCTTTGGGGATCTTTTCGGCAGCCTCTGCTTGTTTGGCTTGCACGAGCGTCTCCCAGGCCTGTAGGTCGGGCATAGCTCAAGTTTTCCAATTGAGATATCACTCAGACCTACTGCACCAGGTTTCAAATCAGACTCATCCTAGTTTTGAAATAATCTCGTTGGTATTGACTTTTCGATTAGCCGAAGACATCTCGGAACCCGCACCTCTTCGGCACATGAATCGAGTGCTGGGTTGGTCAGGGTCTCCCCACAAACCAAGAAGCTGGGGACAGACACGGGATATATCACCTTTGGGGATTCCAATGTGCTAGTCGAGATAGCTATCAACCCAGTTCTATCGCTAACCCATTGATACTGATGAAGTGCAGTAATTGCAACGGAGTACGGAGTATCGTTATCTTACTTCTGATTGAAATTTTATCTCCGACCCATGTACTCTCTAATTAGAGTGACCTTTTAGGTGGGACGTCAATACCATTACTACTCTGTACCCCACCACACAATTTATATTCACTATAATTTTAAGGTGCTAAATTTCCTTCAACAATCAGCACACAGATTAATTCGAAATGTGGCTCCACCGCATCAATGGTTTAATGGTCAGAATTGGTCGTTGCCAGCACCTCCTTGCTATCTCGACTAGATCCCGGTTCGATTCCGGGTTGATGCATCTTTTATTTTTCCTGTTTTTCCTTTTTTTTCAGTCCGGCTTCTTTTTTTCGGTCTCTGTTCGAAGATGGTGTAGAGCAGAATCAGTTGTCTGGCTGCAAAAACACGTGAGTGGTGGACGAGGCGCAAAGCACAATACGGAGCCAGCATATGGCATCCACCACTCGAGGAATGTAGTCTTTGTACTGAGTAGCTCGATCTGAAATATCACGCCTGAGAAAGGGAAGAGATGTTTGAGTGGTACAAATAAGTTAAGAGCAGGAATCTGCACCAGTGCGAACCACTTGTACAAAGTGTGTCTCAGGATTCAACTTGTTATTAGCGTGACTTGTCAAGCTCGAGACTGCGCTTTCCCATGGCATTCAGGGCATAGAGATAGGGGATCAAACTGGGACGTATTTTCATCCTTGGTGTGCCTTCGTCACCAAGGCCTCCCCCCCAGTCAACAATGATCTCCTTGTAATCTGGGTAAACTCCCACGTCCATATCAAAGCCGAAGCTGAATTCGTGAGAGGTGGAGGTCATCGAGTGATGAAACACAGTATGCCCATCTTTCGCTGGCTATTACTGACATAGCCCTGGCGCCTACCAACGACGTACGAAGCATGGGCTACCACGGTGGCCTGCCTGGTAATGTCCAAAATAAATGTAGGATGATATCGATAGTAGGGCAAATCTATCTAATTGCTCTCAAGTGACCCGTCGCAGGCAGGTATGGGCGGCAATTTCGGACACTCGAATCAGTGTTATGGTATCCTCAACATCCAGCTCTTGTTCAATTTTGAGATTGAGTGTCCTCGAAATTAGGACCGTCGTATTCTCCGTGCGTGAGTAGAAAGTGATGCCACACGTGAGAACACTACGTCTCCCTGGAAGGCCATCATTGTGATTGAGAGAGGAGAAAACAGGGCGGGGAAACAGGATCAGCCAGCACGCCGACTAACAAGGTAGGGTATTCGTGCTTCGAACATGATCGTCTGTTCGGTATAGCAATAGCTTGAGAATCCTACAATAGCAAGTAAGCTTTGGAGAAACAACACGAAACTCAAGGGCTTGAGATGTTGCGTTGTCGATTTACCTTGAGCTTACATCGGCCCCCTCTATTAGATAGAAGAATGTAGGTATTGCCGAACCTCAGGAAGGCGGGCACGCAAGGGTTCGAGATTGGTATTATAACTGTTTAGGTGGCATTCAGGGGGCGCTACCCTTGTAAATTCCACCCCACGCCTCGCGAGCAAGCCGCAGCTGCAGAGCAGGGTGTCGTGCCGTGTAATCCACAGAGCAGCCATAAGTTGTACAGCCTACGGGTAGGTAGCTTTTTCTGCCGTCGCCGCTGGTGGCGTGAGTTGTGGCGAGCAACTGCTGGCGCGGTGAATGCTAGCGAGCTGGGACTGCAGTAATTAGCGATGTGCAATCCTCCGGACCAGATCTGGAAACTTTGACTGGGTAAAGCGCACCCGAGGAAGTGTCGGAGAACGAATAAGAAGCGCAGTGAAAAGGGCCTGTAGAGCGGGACCTGGGATGCTTGAGCATTTCATCAGAGTCCTCACATGCGAATCGCATAAGCGCCATCCATTTCTCGTTACGAAGCAGGGTGAAGGGCTCTTGCGGCCCTGTGACTGGGACAAATCTCCATCGGTTCCTCTTAGGTCTCGTTTGAGAACCCCCGTTGTCCAATCGCTAGACACCAAAATTTTCAAAACATGCATACCAGGGAAAATCAATCCTGAAAGAGGAGGTAGGTGGTGGCGAAAGTCCAGCCGGTGCAACGGTACCGGGGAGGTGGTGGCCAAGAGAGGGTTTGTCCACTGTGGTGGTCCTTTCGAGGGTTACTATTTGTCGGCAGATCAGAAGTTCGTCGTCGAGGACCAGCCAGTCGGAAAGCCTCTGCTCAATTATCCCCCTTGAGAATCTAGCCATGCAAGCGATCGGGCCTGCAAGTACCCAAGGGGGTCAGGCAAGCACCGACAGGTCCTCGAGATGACTCGCATGACCGGCTCCAGACGACTTGGGTTGCAGATTCAGATCTGTACAACGTCACACAGCATGACGCAGGAACGAATCGAGGTTGGATTGAAGCTGGCACCAGTTTGCGTTTTCGGATATCGTGGCACATGACCATCTCGGTGGGGGGTTGGCCCTATTGTCTTGTCGTGACGAGCTCAACGACTCTGGGGCCATTTGGAGAAGATAGCGCAGTGCACCTCTCTAGACCCCTTTGTTCGTTAACGGTAGCCACGCTTAGTCACCTTCTATTGACATCTTAGAATGTTGTTGACAATGTGTAGTGGTCAGTGGACGGGAATGCGGTGAGGAGATTTAGGGTGGATGTGTAAGTGGTAGTCAGCAAAATGTCACGGTGTGGTTCGCCTTCAAATTTTTGTTGCACCTCGCGCATCGTGCTGCCGGTGAGAAGCAGTGTCAGGAACCCTTTTGCATCGAGGTCTGATCAGAGGTTTCAAGGGTTTGGCAGGAATTAGAAAGCTCTACGATACTTATATCCTGAGATCCCCAAACTTCGATCAAGTGTGGTTAAGACAAGTCGATCTCGCTTCGGGCCGCGAGGCGCGAGGCTTTGATGGGCTGGGGAAGCATCGCAGTGTCTGTAGCCTTGCATTTCCGATATTCTCGTCTTCACCGCCTGTCTTGCGTCAGAATACGAGGAACTGATGTACAGGGGCCCAACGAGCGGTGAGGCTCCGATGTTGACGTGCATAAACCTTCAGATGATGTGCATGAACACCAGATTGTCGATCATTCGCGGCGGCATATGACAAAGGTAGACAGCGATAGATAACTGAGGGTCAAGAGGTCAAGGCTAGCTTCCAAGTACCTCAGAACAGCCGGAAACTGATCGATGTTGGCGTCGTCAAAATTGACCAGAGGATTGACGTCATTGCCAAGAACGTCCAGAGGTGTGAGGCATGTTTCGAAGTGGTCGAAACGACATTCAGTCCTTTGTACGGCTGTCTCTGATGAAAAAGCCGTGATGAAGTTCACCGTCGGGCTTCGAGACGATTGTGGGCTTGCAGAAACAGCGCTGGATTTTGGGCGACGGATAGATCGTCCAGGCACCGTGGGCCACCCCCGCGCTGCGACTTGTTTAGGTTGCACGTCTGACCAGCTGTCTGCGTCCTCCATGCACATCAAAAAGAGGCGGTCTACGGGGGGAAGTGAAGCCCTGTCTTCCGGAGACCGTGACATATCTTCATCTTCATTCGTGCTATCTCAACGACATGACTCTGCTTGTAGAGTTGTGTATTGCGTTGACATGTGCTACTTCATCGATATCACAGGTGGGATGGTTGTACAATGTCAACACTCTGGTTGTAGCACTGCCGTTTTCGTAGTCACCCAAGGAGTCTTTCATTCCGTAGAGGCGCCGGAACGTGGCTCGGGGTAACTGTACCACCAGGTGCTTCGATTTATTTCACTATTATTTCTTCATGCTTTCACCAGGCCGTAGACGGCAGTCGTGGACGTATAACATCAGCCCGACATCAGCACTTCGAGTGGTCTTGATGCTATTGGTGCCGTAGCAGTAGTCTCTGAGGAAGAGAGGAGATGATCCTGTCTACAGATGGCTCGGTGATAAACCGGTTGCTCCCCGGCTCGTGGTTTTCAGCTGAGTGCTACTTGACACGTCTATCTGCGTACAGCGAGGTATTTGCGAGGGCTGTCACTTGAAGAAACACCGCAACTTGGGCAGTACCGGCGGAGATACAACCCGACCACGCATGCAGTCATTCTCCGCCGTGGCTGAAATTTGTACCTCGAGTTGCTCGTGAGAGAGGCTTATGGCGTTTCTGATGCGACGCAGATGCATGTACTGGCAGCCACGACAGCAGGATGATGACGATCGTGCTTCATGATAAGCTGATCCTGCCACGTAGTCTGTAAATGGACATTGTGCTCCGCGACTAAAGAATGGAAAATTTAACCGTCGAGGATAGCGTGCAATCGGCAGATGGTTGTCCTTCATCAGCAGACTTGGGCTTGTTTCGGCGGTGACTGCTTTTCCTGGAATCTCAGATGTACTTTTCCTCACCCACTTCTACAAGTGGTCATGCTGGACCAAAAGAATCAGGTCAGCTTCAGTTGGCTCTGTCTCGTACCGTTCAGCAAGCACCATGACCGGTGATGCGACCTGAATGCTGGTCAGCCGGATCTCGAGCGGATACGAACTGCAGAAACGCCCAGTCGAACGTGATGCACGATAAGCCGGACCTGTAGTCAGATGCACTGTTGATGCACAGGGAAAAAAAGCAAAAATGTTGGAGATGGTCGCTTACAGAAACACAACAAGTGCAGCTGTGGGGGTGGATGACGCTAGACACAGCGAGGGTTGAACGCCACCATGCATCCAAAGCATGGCCATTCCTTGTCGGCAGCACACCACCAAGGATCAACCTAGTCAGTGCTCCCCATTCGAGGTCGAGTGCTCCTAGTGTCGAGAGCATTTGAAAATCAATCAAAATACCCTGGCACTTCTGAATCAGACCAAATTTTCCAGGTCATGGAGACTGTCTCGGTGCTGCACAGGTCAGTTCATCTTCGATGCCTCAGTGGTCTGACCCTGGACGCATACTCCAGTAAGCCGCATCTTGTGCTGCAGTCTGTCAGGTTTGTCGCCCTTTGATGGTTTGGTCACGGAGGAGGTGGTGGTGGAGGCCTGGTGCGGTTAGCTCACGCCAGAATTATTGTTCGGCCTTAATCAGCGTCCCGTGTCTCGCCGCCTCGTAAAAGCTTTACGAGTGTTGAGGTTCGACACGAGAGTGGCGTTCAGATAACGGCTTCTCGGCCACTGTGCTTCATTCTACTTGGGACAGTTCAGACGGCATCATTCTTCTCCCATGGCCATGCCTGGACGGAAGGTCACCTGGCGGGGTTGGTGCTGCGCTGATCTGCCAGGACGCAGCGCTGCAGGGCCATCGGGCAGTGATCATCGAGAAACGTCAGACATCTTTTGGTTTTGATATCAAAATCCTGTTGTTGCGGACCCATCGTTTCAGAGTGATCGTGGACCGAGGAGCGGCTTGGTTGGAGGCGCAACACACGTAGCGAGCGTCGAGCACATGTCTCAAGAGGACACGAACTCGCCCGTGCTGCAATCTCCTGGCGTGGACTGAGGAAGTATTAGGCGTAATAATTGCCCTCGAATAGCTCGAGGGAGCATGTCTACAGTATGGTGCGGCTGCAGCCAGAAGCGACGACCGGACAAGGGCGGGTTGGATTTTCAAGGCATCTCTTCTGATCGGACAGGCATCGCGGGTGATTCCGTGCTGAGTCGCATCAGGCATTGCGCCATCTGGGGCTGGTGGATCGTCAAAAGCACAGACCTCGCGCCGATGCACAGCTCCATTCTGGGCTGGACCCTGCTGGACAAGGCGCAGCTGATCGCTTGGAGCAAAGGCGAGGGGCATGGGCTGGGGGCAAGGGCATGGGCAAGGGCCGCCAGGTTCAGAGGTACGGGACGACCACATACGTCTTCCTGATTGAGTTCGAGATGAAGGTTCAGTCAAAGCTCGATGACCCTTCAGCCGATCTGCCGACGCTTTGGCAATGATGTTCAAGGCCGGGTGACCTCGAATTGTTCTGGCATTATCACTCGTAATAATAATTATCTCAGTGGCAGGGTGTGCAGTCTTGTGGCCTCCAGCGATCGCCTCTTTACGAGATAGGACATGCTGCCATGCCGTAAAATTCGATCTGGGATCGAACGCAGAGCTTCCGTCTTGCAGATTGGTGGAAGTGTGAGACCGAGGGCAGAACTCTCATGTGGAGGCACGAGCACCATCGACGAGAACTGGCGAGACGTGTGGGGCGAGCGGGCGAGAAAGGTGTTGAGAAGAGGCGTGATCTCTTGATGCACTGTAGAGCACAATAGTGGATTGGAGAGGTGGTTTGCAGTTCGCCCATGGAGGATGCTCGGCGTGCAGCTTTCAACACTTCGAGGTTAGCAACCGCCGCCATGCGGCAAGTTTGATGGGTTGGATTTGCACAGAATGGTCGACGCGAAGCTAGCGGCCAATGCGGACATGATGGTGGAGAAGCTTCATTCTCGTGAACGCGTCAGGGAAACCGGGGACGACGGCGAGCGAGCAGCAGCTACTCGTGCGTGTACACGAAGTCATGTTGTTGAGAGTACTCAGGCAGGCTGCGGATTACGATCGGGAGGATGGTCGTGCTCGTACGAGTACCTCGTACTCCCTGCAGGATTCTTATGAGGCTCCAATTTACTATCCGTCATCCGGTGCGTGTCCGTCCTCCCAATAAGTGCCTAGGTCGGCATGGTGAAAAGGCCCATTCTCACATGGAGGGAACTGCTGCTCTTGCAAGCCGACAGTGAGGGTGTTGTCGTCGTGACCTCAGAGCATGGCATGTGTGCATGTGTGTATGTAGGAGTTGTGCGGCCAGGGTGAAGCGACAGGCCTGAGATGGAGTCAAAGAGGCGTTACGATGTGGTCCTGCAAGGCCTGTCAGCGGCTGCATGACCAGCCACCAGTCGCTAAAAGGACCGCCGAGCAACCCACCAGTCAGTGCCAGGCATCTCGCCCTCTTCCATCCGACCTGCTTGTGGTTGGATCTTGTGTTGGGCAAATCTTCAATCGTAGGATCGCCGCGTCCGAGGGTTGGAAGAATGGTCCGGTATCGAGGTCTGCTCAATCTCTCAGCACTCCACTCGTTGCACGAAGCAGGGCATTCGGTGCGTCAGGAGGAATACAGCCGCGCTCAACATGCTGTAATCTGCGCAGTGAGGTAGCTCGTCTATGCGTGCCTGTTGGTGCCTGGTAGCGCTGCGGTTAAATCAAGGGAGGCGATGCAGCGGCTGCAGGTATCATGACAGAGACGGACTGATGGTCTGATTGAGTTGGTTCGATGGCCACACAATCCAAGAATGGTGTGTTCTTCAGTCAACTAGAGGGCCTGACCCCGGTCATTAAGGTTAAGAATTACTTGCCCTTAGGTCACTAGGCCTGGAGCGAGGATCGTTTGGAGGAGTGGTGGTTTGTCCGTGTCTCTGAGGTACTGTAGGTATTACTCCGTCGAGGTGCTAAGCATCAGATGTTTCGGCGGAAAACGGCACACACACACGTACACACAGATCCCTCGGTAGGACCCAACCAACTGTCGTGGCCTCGTCTTGTCGTGGCATGTCAATGGAGTCAGTTCGTCTTCGACCAGATAAAAAAATTCCTCAAGAAAGGCGCATGTACCTGCCATGGTCCTGCCAAATGCCATGCAGCAACCCACCGAACACATCAAAAAGTGGGCATGATGCAGGCCACTTCCAGGCGTCAGAACTATACCCCATACAACCAAGATGCCTGGAGTGGTTCGCCCCGCCTAAGTCCTTAGGGGGCCTCTAGCGGGTGCTGCATGTCCAGGGTGCCCATGCTTGGAGCCACCGAGACCCCGGTCGGTCCTGGTCATTGCCGCCCCTCGTTCGTTCATGCATGGAGGGGTAATTGTTTGTGTCAGTGCTTTGCAGAAAGTGTGTGCCTGTGTACGTGAGAATCGTGTGAGAAAATAAACAGCCCAGTTTCAAATAGAGCTTAGATATGCGCCTCCCACTGCCTTTGGTATCATGTTGGTCTCGCACCAATCAAGCCCCCTTGTCGTGTCCGAGTACGCACAGTGCTCAGTGCGACATGCGGCTAAGAAAATCTGTTGACGCTCGCATCACAAGCTACGCTTCGTGTTCTGGGGGTGTAAAGCCGAATCAAACCTCATGCAAGCCTAAGCACCTACGGAGGAATTAACTACTCAAGCTATTGCGGCGATTGAGGCTACTGAGATTGAAACTACGAGACTACTACTGCTGCTCAGTTCACTGCACTCTTTCTTTTCTCACTCACGGGCCTCACTTCCACCTCACCTTCCCTACCTCGAGTTGGCCTCCACCTCCCCCATATTTTTCTCACTCACGCATTCAAGTACCTACTTGTATCCACGCCTCGTCGTCACTCTTTCTTCCAGTATTTCATCCTTCTCCCATTCCTCCTCAATGTCCATGTCATAATCTCCTCCCTCCTCGTCCTTGTTTGTCCTTGGTTTTCGGGTTACCTTGAGTGGTTTGCCCACTCTTACAGTCGTTATTGTCCGCACATCCACCAGAGGACCTCATTGATTGAGAGTCGCTGGTTCACCTGCTACCATGGAGCCGAGTTCATTTTTTCGTCTCTTCGTAGCCTACTTGTAAGTGAACACCTCCCCGGACCTCTGACATCCTCATGCACATACACGCACGCACGCACGCAGCCTCTCTGTTCCTCCGTTGCCGTCTTTCTTGTGGATCGAACTGACCGAGATCAGCATCTGGCGTTATCTCCGGCTCGTAGTCAATCTATGGCTATTCTGGACTTTCAAGCCGATCCCCATTCCAGACAACCCGACCCTCTCCTCCAAAGATGTCACCGTCATCTTACCTACTCTGGATGGTGAGGGAGCAGAGTTGGAGAGGACCATTGGCTCGATCTTGAGGACGGAACCGAAAGAACTCATCCTGGTGACCATTGACGAGAATCTGCACAAGGCAGAAAAGACCGTGTTCGAGATGCCGGCGAAACTTCATGGCAGGATTCGTTGTATGTCGGTGAAACAGGCAAACAAGAGACGTCAAATGGCCAGGGCGATCCCCGAAGTCACCACCGAGATCATCGTTTTTGCGGATGACGATGTCACGTGGCCTTCTCAGCTCCTCAATTGGATGTTGGCACCCTTCGAGATCAAGGACAAAAAGTACGGCGCGGTGGTCACCTGCCAACGACTGAGACGTGCTGAGAACCCGACCCTGTCAGAACGCATCTATGGCTTCTTGGGTGCCCTGTACCTGGAACGTCGGAATTTTGACTGTGCTGCCACCGTTCACGTGGATGGAGGATTGCCGTGTATTTCGGGACGTACCTGTGCTTACCGTACCGACATCCTCCAGGATAAGAACTTCACCAATGGCTTTACCAATGAAAAATGGTGGTTCGGACAATATCAGCTCAATGCCGACGACGACAATTTCCTCTCTCGTTGGATGGTCTCCCATGGGCACGGGGTTTACATGCAGTATCACCCCCAATGCGAGGTCTTGACCACTCTCGAAAACAACCCGAAATTCTTGAAACAGTGTCTGAGGTGGGCACGCAGCAACTGGCGGAGTAATCTGACCAGTATGTTTGCTGAAGGGTACATCTGGAGGTGAGTTTTGCGTCGGCGTTGAGCCGCTCCTTTATCCCTGCTTCTTGGCGCTGACAATCCCTGCCTCATTCAGCAAACAACCTTACAGCACATATGCAGTACAAATCACCACCCTGATGCCGCCTGCAATCATAGGCGATGCTCTCCTCTGGTTTTTTTTGTGGAAGGGCACCGCTGACTGGACCCGCAATCAAGCGTTGCCGGTCTACTACTTCCTGCTGGCCTGGATGGTCTTCTCCAAATTCATCAAGCTAATCACGCACTTCATCCGCTTTCCCGTCGATGTCCTCTTGTGGCCCATCTCTGTCCTGTTCGGTTGGTTCCATGGAGGGATCAAATTGTATGCGTTCATCACTCTCGGCGAGGTGAGTACCCATCGGCTGTCTACGTGTCTCTGCATAACCCTTTCTAACCCTCTTTTAGACTACATGGGGCAGTCGAGCCAATGCGGACGCCAGCGATTCCACGAGAATGATCAAGCAAAAGCGACCACGACCTGCCTCCCATTACGCCCCAGCAGAGGAGAAACTACTCGAGAAGCCGCTACTCTCTGATGACGATATGAAAGTCGATGCCGATTACGACCTGAAACATCACCAAGCACTCTCCGCTTAATTGACGTCTCTCCGCGAAACGACTCCTCCGGAGGCAAACCCAGGACGGTTTTCTTTTCTACCTTCGATGCAGTTCTTTTTCTTTTATTCAAAAAGCGATACTCTCCTTGACTACGACAAAATGGCGGCGCAAAAGCCAGAACGAAATGGGTGACAAAAGGATGGTGGGAGGTTTTCTCTTCGATCTTGCCGTAGCCTTTCGGCTCGAGCACACTCAAAAGCTCATTCGAGTTCAATTTACCACCTCGTCATCTGACTACGAAGATGACTCTTATTGCAACAGGGCCCTATCCTCGCTTTGAGGGATATGAGCAGACACCACTCCAGACACATGGGTAATATTTTCTTCAACCATGAACATGGACTCAACTTGCAAGAGTTGAGTGCCTTGTTTCTTCTCTTCTGTTACTTTACACATTTTCTCTTGCACGCATAGCAAACTGGAGCTTGGGGCTTTCTTTCAAGGGTGCTGTACATAGCGATTGGTTTCTTGCGGGCATTCGCTGTGCTTGCTCTTTTCACACTTTACGATGGACATGATTTGATGGACGGATGGCTGGAATGATGAATTCGAAACGGGACGGAAGGGACAGGACAGGACGGAACGGAACGAAAACGATCGACGACCGATCATTGATTGAAACGGGAACTTTACGACGACAACGGGAAATTGATATTGCTTGCTTTAGCCCTTTTTTTTCATTTCTTGCTTACTTGTGTCGTGCTTGCGTGAGTGTGTATACAGCTCACTTCAGCCACGTTGCACATGACAGATTGGTGAGGACATCTGCTTTGATCGTGGGGTGGGGAAAGACTCTTAAGACTGCTTCAGACTACTCGGACAGACCAAAGACAGGAACGGGCGCGGCGGTCATTGTGTGTTCTCTCTTGCAGATAAAAATTCCAAGAATGATTCAACTCTCGTTTGGTCGTGCTGTGCGAGCTGGGGAAATTCCCAATTCCTTCGCAAAGTTCCGTGCATGAACGGGTGACGTGACCAACGGGGCTCGCGCAACGTATCGGTTCAAAAGAACATCATCAGGCTGCAGGTTTTTGACAGACGTGCGGCCTAGGATCAAAGCAAAACTTGAGCACTCGCACGAGACGGCTGCATCGACAATGCAATGACCGCATTCGGACAAACGCACTCGGACAAACGCACACACTCGATGGTCGTGCCCTGGGGAGTCCTCTTTCATGGAACAAGGTTTGGCAGGAAAAACACCCACAATGACGTTTGGAAATGTAATCAAATTATTCCCCCCTTGAAGCAGGGTCAGACAGGGGTGGCCTGGTTGGAGTGGAATGTACGGAGTAGTCAGTCAGGGAAAAACGAGGCTAGAGGCCGAAAAGAGGACGGGGGGTTTTTTCTCGTAACCCTGGCAGGGGTCAGGAGGCGGCGGTGGCGGCGTGCGGCTGTTTTTTTTTTCAAGATGGACCAGTTGAAGCAACAACACATAGGCTGTAGCAGGGCCGGAGAGTGCCATTCGACGTGGGCGGTAAATACAGCCTCGTCTCAGGGCGGGTTGGTTTTGGCTATGAGACGGCCAATTCTTTGGAAACTGATATTCCATTCGTGCCGAGTTGTTGTGTGCGACGTACCTTTCGAACGCTTGGATTTGAGCCTGACGCAATTGATGTTAAACTTCAATCTCACATGCTCCCTTCGTCGTTCCTGCCATCGCCCCCCCCCCTCTTGTTTGCCAAAACCCCACGAAACACCTCGTATTCGTGTCGTTCTCCCACGTCGGTGCATTCATCCACTCGGAACCCGAGCCTCGTGTTCTGCCGGTGGTGGGTTGGTTACGCAGCGTGAGAAAATTTTTCGACAAGGGTTGGGAGGAAATGACCCTGGCTTGCTGGGCGTGGAGGGGGCTTGTGTTACACCAAAAGCAACCCCTGGCTACACCCTGCCGGGGGGGTCTGATTTAGGTTCATATCTGCAAAGCAAGCCAGCCAGGGTAGACCTGGGGCACTAGACCCGAAACTGGTCCGTCGAGGCATGTTGCAATGCACAAAGCCGTTCACGGTAGTGGGCTTGCATCCAAAGTCGTATGATCTGCCAGGATTGTTGATAGTTTGGTTACACAACATGAGCATGGTTCTGTGTCGACTCGCTTCCCATGGAACGACGAGGGAGTGGCCGGATGAAGGAGGGTTCGTCACGCAGACATCGCTGCTATCTACGACTCAATCCCTTCGGTACTGCCGGGGTTGGTTACACAGCATACGGGGGCTAAAGCCGTCGCTTGAGTCCTTCTGATGATTGGATCTCCGATGCATCGAAGGATGGTGGGTGCCAGACTGAAACGGAGTTGGTTCTGAGGCAAACTATGGCGTAGACGTTCATGCACTGCACCGCATAGCTGCCTCAGAACCGAACTCAATCAATGAGCGGTCAGTAGGAGACTGAAAGAACTGCCATATTCGGACCGAGGTATCTTTCTGGTGAACGTGTCAATGTTCGCAACTGAGGTTAGAAGATTGCCCGTGGTGCTCCCGCTCAATTTTGGGATTGCACACGTCTAACGCGCACGCAGATCAATATTCGGCATTGTATTTGTGCGCTGGTGATAGTATGAGCACAAAGGGTCTCGTCGAGCTAAACATTGTCCGATCTCGAGACTCGCAACGTGGGTGCGAAAGTGACAAGATGCTTTGAGTCCCGTGTCGCTTCCCTAGGAATACACAGGAGTTTGCAAGCCAGCAGTGACGGTGACGAACTTAGCTGCAACTTGCATTATCTTGATCAACACAGGGGTTTGCTGACCATGTCGGGGGAAAAACTCTTCCGCTCACCCATCCGCATGCCGATTCAAGAGCTAGAACGTATTCAGAGTGCCTGAAACCCCCTGATCAAAGGCCCCTGCCAAAAGCGGGCATTGATTGAACATGGTCAGAAACCTGCTCACCCTGGTTGGTTTCTCCGTCCGTAAGATAGCTTTATCTTTGAGAACTAGTTAGAACAATAGCATGCTGCGACTCGCCGGAATAGGATCTATGTACCATGATCGGCAAGGTACTCTCGCAGTCTTAATGCCCGGTTCGTTGAACGATGGATACCGCGAAGCGTGAAAAGGTGCCTCTCCAGACAGGATACGCTACACGTAGGAATTGATGGCCGTTCTCTTGTATCGGAGACGTTTGTCCCGAGAATTCATCGTCCAAAGTCCTCTTCTTGCTCTACCATGACAGACTAGCTGGAAGCACCCTGGCCTAACAAAAATTGTTATGACTCTCGGCCAACTCTGCTCATGAGCATAATATTCGCCTACTAGCCGAGTCTTCCTCAAAAGCGCCATCGGGCGGGACGGCTCGGGGCTGTTTCCTTTCTCTCGACGGGAGTTACCAGGGGTGTTACAAGGGTCACTGACAATCCCACAGGCCTCGGCAGTTGGCTTGCCAGGTCAAGGACGGCATCGAAGAAGTTCACAAGTAGTCGTAACCTAGAATGACTTTGCCGACTTTGGGAAGTTGATTCTCTCCAACACGCTAATGGAAAAACTTACTCGCAACGGGGAAGACACTCAGCATTTTGTGCCGCGTCGTCGTATCCTGATGCGACATTGATGAAAACTGCAGGGGCCCGATGATCACCTGCGAGGCGTGCCTGGATGAAAGCTGGTGGTCGTTGTGCTTCGGATCGTTGTATTCACCAAGTACTGTGACAATGAAGCTGAAGTCACCTGGATCGGTTCTGCTGCGAACGGTTTTACTAGAGGCTTCATTTTCAACGCGAAGGTGCAGGGAAAGATCCCGCCAGATTCGGTGATAGGTGCCGCCGCTTTTGGAGGAGGAGCTGCTCCGAAGCCCTCGTGAGGACCCCTTCTCCTCTGCCATCGCGCTCTGGGTATGGCTATGAGCCTTGCAGCGAAGAGAAGACACCTTAGCCAGGGCTTTTGGGAAGTTCGTGGGCGGAACGGTCACTATGAGTACAGCCAAAGAAAACCTCTCTTCTGTCTGACGACTGGCTCCCGTCACTTTCTGGAGACAATGCCTAGCCATGTCATCAAAACTCCCCTCGTCAGGCAAAAAACACCTTGATCTTTATCAACAGATAAACAACGTCCTCTCTCCTCCTGATCAACAACACCAGAAACAATGTCTTCTCTCGTAAGCGATATCTGTGGATGTCAATTTTTGAACAGGGTAACTATAGAGGATTTCCTGTTGGAATGCGAGATGGAGCACGGGGCAAGTCTGGCCCAGAATGCCACAAATACCACCGTAATGTCACACTCTCAACCGCCCTTCTTCCATGGGGATGGAATGAAAGGGAAAAAATGTTTCACACCACCCCAGCCATGTCCATCTCTAGGTATAAGTCCCAACGAGCGAGACCCCATGAACTGGCGTCGTCTTCTTTCTTTCCTCCGGCCAGTGCGTGACACATCAACATGCCATGCCATAGACTCTTCCTACTTCCCTTTTTGTCCCTTGTGATTCTCTGCACTAGTCCAGTCCTCGTGTCGGGCTCCGACTGGAACAGCATCCCAAACAGCCTCCACCATCTACTCCATACGATTGAAAACCAAGACCACGAGAAGCATTTCGCCGGACTCGAACGGAGAGACACGGCGGCCCGAGCATCATACTGGAGACCCCTGCAGCTCTCGCAGAGAGATGACCCCCCTGCGGACCTGGAGACCCAGCTCATCAACGTCGCCAGCCAGCTCACGTCCACGCTGAACGCGCTTTGGGGCATCATCCAGCATGAATACAACATCGGCCCTCCGGTCATCGCCTCGGGGTCAGCATCATATCCCGACCCCACGGTATTTCCGATAACGGTGGTGACCGACGGCCACGCTGGCAGCCATTCGACACCACCAGTAGTGCCACCTCCCGGTCCACCACCAACGTCGGCAGGGTCGTCACCTCTTCAGCAGCAAACGCCCGGCGCATACGCCTTCGACCCGCAAGCATCAAATCTCAACGTCGTGTACTACTCCCAAACCGACCTGACCGGGACCGTCACTCTGACTCAGGTCTGCTCGGATCCTTCAATCGACGCGGTCATCCTCGCCTTCATCACCGGGCTCTTCGGCCCAGGAGGCTACCCGAGCATGAACATGGCGTCCAATTGCTGGGCACCCAGCGCCGCACAACAGGATGCCGGCGCGGCGGGCTTGCTCGACTGCGTGGGTGACGGTTTCGCCGCCCAAATCTCCTCGTGCCAGTCCCTGGGCAAGAAGGTCCTGATCAGCATGGGCGGCGCATATTCCAACCTCCAAATCTCGAGCGCCGACCAAGCAACACAAGCCGCTCGCTTACTATGGAATTTGTTTCTGGGCGGCACCGATGCCACGACCGCACCACTTCGTCCCTACGGTAGCGTGATCCTCGATGGGATTGATCTAGGTATGTCGAGAAGAACAAACACAAATAACCACTCCTTTCCTGCTTCTCCCCACCTCCCCTCTCTTATCCTGCCCTCCTCTAGATCCAACATCCCACCCCCAAGTCGTCGTCGTCATTCGTAAATATTGCCGACTAACCCACCGACTCTGGCACTCGCCTGTATGCAGACAACGAAAAACCAGGCAATGCCCAATACATGCCTTCCCTCATGACGGCGCTGAGGACCCTCATGGCCACCGACTCCCGAAAGCCGTACTACCTCTCCGCGGCGCCCCAGTGTCCTCAACCGGACCAGTCCATCCTCGTCCCCGAACTTGTCACTGTAATCGACTTTTTCAACGTCCAATTCTACAACAACCCGTCGTGCCAGCTCGACGCGGGCCAGGGGTTTCTCGACTCCCTGACTTCCTGGTCAAACAGTCTCCTTCTGCCTCCAGCCACGGGCAACAACAATCCCTCGGGATCGTGGCCAAGGCCATCATCATCACCACCACCACCACCACCACCACCATCAACCCGACCCAAAAGATCATCACGCGTTCGTAGAACACAGATACCACCACCCCCCTTGGATCCAGGCGCGGGAAGTAATCCATTCGTCAACATCAACAACGGCATCACGTCTCCGAGACTCCTCGTCGGCACGCCCGCTTTCAGCGCCGCGGGGAGCGGGTACGTTACCGTCGCACAATACCAAAACATACTGGAACAGGTCAAGGCTCTCCATCTACCGAACCTGGCGGGGGCCACGTTCTGGGACGGCGCTTACGAGATCAAAAGCGGCGGCGCCGGGGCGACGAACATGACCTACGCTCAGGTTGTTCGGGAGGTGTTTGGATGACAATCTGTAGGAAATCACCCTGAAGGAGGGTGAATGTTTTGACTTAACAATTGATAAAGAGCGCGGGAAGGGAAATTAATCGTCTTCGTCCTGGCACGAATACTGCGAACGTCTAGCATGCTGGGAAGGCGACATTGTCCGAAACCCAGTTTAGAAAGTAATGTTCGAAATTTCAAGTCATGCTCGTCCAATGTCATTCCTACATTCCTATCGTTGTCCATGGGTATATAAAAGTAATTATATGAAAGTTTTGCGAAGGTTCAAGTCTGGGTATGGACATCTTTACAAGCAGACAAGGTGTGAGTGTAAATCAATTATGATGGATAAATAGGTCCTCTAGGACCTTTGTCGTCAGTCCACACAAACGAAAACTGGCCTGTGATACCCCTATGACTGCGTACCAGGCGGCATAGAAATCAACGGCCAAGTCAAAGGTCCAGGTCCATCAAAGTAATGGTTGGGCTGGAAAGACATGTACGAATCTCCATTCAACCCATTCTGGGACTGCGGAGGTGTGGGATAGCTGACATATATGTTGCTGGCATCATTGAGCAAGGATGCCAACGAGGTGGGTATCGTTTGCATCGGTGCGGTCGTCAAAGCTACACTCGGCGATTGCGAGAAGGTTGAAAATAATGGCGATGAAGCTTGGGGCTGCGTGTTCGGCTGGGGTAGGATCGAGAATGGTGATGGCCACTGTTGCGGCACTGGGGCAGGCATCTGGCTTTGTGCAAATGTCGGTGGTGGGAGACTGTTCTTTCGTAGAGCAGGAGTAACATGTGGATCGAGGTATGCAAAAAGTGGCTCAGTCTCAGGCTGCACAGGCTTGAAGTGGGAAGCATTTGAACCGTTGACGGCATTGAATGCCGGTTGCATGACCGAAGCCTTGTCGTCAATAATGAGTCGGCGGTATTGATCCTCGAGAGACTGCACTCGAGGCTGAAATTGGCGCTGAAGGTGATTTCCGGTTCCTGTTGTTATGTTAGCATCTGCAACTGTTTACTAGAGCCCGTTCATCTTACTCAAAACAAGATCAGCATAAGCCATCAGCGATATCCAGCCTTTCAGTTCATTCCGCACAGCTTCAAACTGCTCCAATGTGACGGGCAAGGTGTTTCTTCTGTAAACAAATAACGTGATTCCGAAGGCAGCTGCATAGGCAAGGGTTGAATGCCAGGTAAAGTCCACACCCTTGTACCGGCTGGAAAGCGTATGAAAAGCCTGTAGAAGACGCTTGGCAGCCTTGTGGCAAATATCTAGATGTCGTTCATGAACCTCTGGGTCATCACTTGTACAACATACAGGATGAAAGAGATTCAATTGATACTCGGCGGTCCAGGTCTCGATGAGTAGACCGGCAACATGTAGATTCACTTGCTTGGCTTCGAACTTGATCGAGTCTTCCCAGTCTTGCCGCCATGCTAGGATCTTGGTGTTGAGAGCTTCCACGGTCTGCAAGTATTCTGTGGCAGGCTTTCTTACCGACACAATGTTGTTGTGAAGCTCTGTCAGCAGCGGCAGTAATTTCGCAAGATGCAAGCATGGCCAAAAGTCGCATGAGCCTGACAGCTCAGACGCAATGCCATGTCTGGAGATCTCCGAGTCTTTGATCGCCTTCGGAAGAGGCACGTCCATGTGTTGGAATTGCCAAGGGGCAGGTAGACCAACCCTACAGCCCGTGGTCACACAGATGCCCAGAATGGCATGGAAGACTCGTATTCGAAGCTGTTTTGATAATGGATCCTTCTCCGTCTCGGGCAGCCGGATCTTGTCCGGATCTCGATGGTATTCCAACTCGATCGCGCGGACAAGGATCTTGTGGCAATAAATCCAAGATATACCAGGCTTGGGCAGAGTTCGAAGATGAATGCAGATCAATGCCATTGCTTGCATAGAAGCAAGAGATCGATCGTGGAACAATTCGCGATAATGTCCAAGGGCGACATGGAAGTACCGATGGGAGTCCTCGAACCTTCCCGCCGAGTGCAAATGATTTCGAACTGCTGTTTGGTGCATGATGATGGCAAACAACATGTACACCTGAACGCGCTCGGCCGGTGTCAAGGAATTGGGAACATCGTAGAACCTATGAACCAGGTCCACAAAGCTCGAGTGGTGGACGACGGGAACATATTGGGCCATGATAAGCAGGAAGTGGTTGGCATCTCGTAGGGCCTGTTCTTTAGGTGGCGATCTTGAATCCTCCACCCATTGATGGCCACTGACAGTGTTGATGATGGAAGTTCTCGAGAGGTTGAATCTGTTCATGGTGTCTTTGGGGTAATCGTTCATCATTTCGCATTCCCAGTCCGCAATGTCTATCTGGCCATCCATGACATCGACGACCGTCCCATGCACCGGCCCAGAGTGCATTGGTTCACAATTGGCAGGTGCAGGCCAGCCAACGTAATGCGCATCTGGCACCGAGGACGAGGAAATGCCGCGGATCTGCTCTTTCGGTGCCGGTGTCGCAAGGAATCCTCCATCGTGATCCAGCCGTCGTAAAGGTCCGTACCTTGACTGGTACGCAGCCAACTGATCCCTCAAGAAGAGCAACTCATTCTCTGCCCGATCTGTTTGACCTCTTTCTCTTGGCTGCTTCGTCACTCTATCGGTGGTGTAGCAACGCAACTGCTTTTGGCGACAGGGTCCGCAGGCGTAGGGATCGGTGTCGCATTTCATCTTGCGCTCCTTGCAGCGATCACAAGCCTGCCCGGTGCGGGAGGTGGCTGTGAGTTTCTTGCGCACTGCATCGCTGTACTGAGCAGGCTCGTCCGAGAGAAGTTTGATCTTCTTCGAAGGCAACCTGGGGCCATCAGAAAGGGAAGGGGATTTTCGCTTGAAGGGAGGTGTGTCCATGGCCGACTTTGAGGGACGCTAGGTGGTGGTGCGAGAAGAATGCAAGAAGGGCCGTTCAGCACATGGCAAATGCCGCTGTACTTTAAGGGAACTTCCCTTCTGGCCAGGATGGACCTTGCAGGAAGCAACCAAGTGTTTGAATGGGCCTGTGCCAGGTGTGAGCAAGGAAAAAATCATGGATGTGGGAGATGCGGGATCTGGGTCTGGAAGGGTCGAACAGCCACCGTGACGCAGTCGATTTGTTCCAGTCACTTGCGGCGGCTCGTACAGGCGACGTGGTTGAGCCTTGGCCCCCATTTCTTGAGGCTCGATAGGCGGGGTCTTGAATTTATGGGCCCCTAATGGATCCCTAATGGAACCACCAATGGCTCGCTAATGCTTTCAACTAGAATCGTGCTCCGGTTAAACAAACCGAACCCTATCTTGCTCTGGGAGTTTCGGGGTACCCCATAGGCCATCTCCGGGGGGTTATGGCTGTGCCTCCAGGGGCTTGTTAGGTATCTGTCTTGTCGCGGTATTGATAATGGCCGCAAGTTGCTCTATGGTGCTCTAAACACCTAGGTAAACAAACCAGCAATTAGTTGGATGAGCAAATTATCCATCTTGAAAATCTCTCACCTCCATCAGACCCAGGTTTCTATTCTCATTGATGCTACTCTCGACAACGTGGTAGGTCACGTGATTTTGGTTACAACTTGGCGTCTCACAGACTCTGCGCATTGACCTGGTCCAGATTTAGACACAATCAAAAAATCTGTCAGCCATGAACATGTCCTTTTACGTGATGGTCTCACAACGTTCTAGAACATTTGCCTCAATATGATGACAGCTGGACTCCATGCACAGCCCGACCAGAGAAGAACAGTGCTTCTGGTTGGGACGATATACGTACATCACCATGTCTTCATCCAACAGTAACATCAACCACCGTGGACATCAGCTGCTCCATCACAACTCGCAAGAAGTACGACATCGCACTTCTTCTTCCATCTCGTCCAGCGGCAAGAACGACGCGTCTTCATTGTTCATCGAAGATCGGAGAGGGGATAGACGGAACGTCGAATTCGCCGCACCAGATCGCTATGCCGTCCCACGATACTACACCGTTGGAGGCGGTGCACTAATTGGTCTCGGTCCCAATTATCGCATTATTTCCAAGTCTGATACTCGGCGTGAGGTGCAGAATATTGGACTGGATTCGGGAAGAAAGTCGCGCAAGCAATCTCTTCTCGCCGGCCTTACTGAGGACGATGACTCGCTCATCAAAGTCCACAGTAGTCCCAGTCAAGATGACGACCTTCAACGAGATTTTTTGAGGTTTTCCCATGGTCGGCCGAGGAAGCGGCGACGCTTCTCGAATGACCTGGGTGGGAGTGCTTCCTCGGCTGAGTCCGCCAGTGACTCCTCGGATGGAGAACGTAGACAGCGTGAGAAACCCGAGCAAGATACCTTTGATGCTTTCAAAAATGACCCTGTTCACCGGCGTCACATGGAACTTTCCCGGGCTACCAGTGAACGACCTCAAGATGTCAATGCGTGGCTCACCTTCATCAAATACCAAGAAATCTCCTTCAGTGCCCGCCGCGAACATCGTAGTACGCACAGTGCGGCAACATCGCGGAGTCTCGCCGATCTCAGGATTTCGTTATATGAACAAGCACTATCTCACGTCAAGGATCCTGCCGGCCGACATGCTCTGATCCTGGGTCTCATGCAAGAGGGCAGCACAATCTGGGACGTTCAGAAGCAGGCCTCCCAGTGGCAAGTTTTCCTCGACAAAGACTCGTCCTATGACTTGTGGATACTGTATTTGAATTTCATGCAGAGCAGTGCTTTGAAGTTCAACTTGGATACATGCCTGCAGGTGTACAAAAGGTGTCTGACAAAATTCTCTTCATCCGGACATGATGGTCCTTTAAGAGATTCGCAGTGTGTCTACCTCCTCCTCCGCCTGACCTTGCTTCTTTGGCAGTCTGGTTTCACCGAGCGGGCTCTTGGTGTCTGGCAGGCGATGATAGAGTTTAACCTCTTTCGACCTTCTCAACTGTCAACCGACATGGTCATGTCGGCATTTGAACAATTTTGGTCTTCCGAAGTGCCACGGGTTGGGGAGGATGGAGCTACAGGCTGGTGTTCAAACTCGAATACCGAACCGGAACCAAAAGTCGACAAACAACCTCCCGAGGTTGCCGTGCACAATCTCACGACCTGGGCAAGGGCCGAGACTGATCTTGAGAAACATGCGAGTCTGCCGGCCAGAGCCCTTGACGATGTCCCTGATGATGACCCATATCGGATCCTTTTGTTTTCTGATATTCAAGATTTCGTCTTCTCAATCGAATCGAAACAGGGACTCGAACTTCTTCGAGATGCATTCTTGTTGTTCCTTGGTCTGCCACCATGTCATCTTCTTCTCCATGAACCTCGTCAATGGAAAGAAGATCCGTTCATCTATACTCCGAGTCTTGCTGTGTCGAATCCAGACATCTCGACCAGGACACACGCCGACACTACTACTGTCGTCGCCACTTCACTCCATGATGTCTTTGGTACCGTCAAATCGTCAATGGCGTCCTCGGACTCAAACACGATGCCATCTCCTTCTTCCTCCTCCAAGCGACCGGTGCATGTCGTGTTGGATCTTGTCCGGCGAGCTGTCTCTCAGACCGCACGCGTCGCGTCGAAGAATGCTACCCCGGATGAAGATATGATGGAGTACGCCATTGCCCTCGAAGCCGGTATCGATTTCAAATCGGCCAGGAAACAGGCAAAGTCGTTCCTCAAGAAGAACCCCGACAGCCTCCGCCTGTACAACGTGTATGCCTTGGTCGAGAATGAAGCCGCCGGTAACTTTGAGGCCGCAGAAAAGGTATGGTCGACCGCCTTGTCCATGCGCCAGCCAGACCTACCTTTTGGAAACCAGCGACGGGACAGGGACACGTTGATGTTGTGGTGGGACTGGGTCTTCTCGTCCATGAAGCGAAAACGGTTCCAGCATGCTCGAACTCTACTCAGCATGATAACCGACAAGCCTTTTGATCTTGACCGGTTTCGACAAGCCGAAACCTCGGAGGATATTACGCATATGCCGTCCGCGGCCAATCAGGTCAAGACGGAACGGTACCTGCGATTGGAATTTTCGGCTTGTCGAGTATCTCGTGAAGGTCGGATGTTGTTGTCAGTTGTTGCCGACCTTTTGGCTCTACACAAATACCTCTACGGCACGTTACGCCTTGGAGACGCAATGGAAGCATACCGTGACCTTTTGCAGGAGGTCAAATTGAACGAGACGGAGGAGATGGATACCGTGTCGGAAAAAATCCACCAAGGTCGAGCACAGTTTGTCCATGCCCATTCGGCCGTCTACGCACAACCATACAGACCGAGAGAGTCATGGCAGGTCATTGCGGATTCGACGAGACTGTTTCCCAACAACCGGACGTTGCTCACTCTGCATCATTACTTTTCACAAAAGTCGGGGTTGGTAGATCGTCTTCGGCAGGTGGACATCGACGCCGACACCACTACTCCTGCCGACGGGGTTGAAGCGGTCACGGCGGAGGCCGCGACCATACCACCACGGCGGGGCGAGGAAAACAAGGTCACTTCTGTCGAGTTCAATCTCGAGGTTGAACTCAACAGGCCCTCTTACGCGGGTAGTACGGACCACAGTATCCGAGCGGCATTCAGACGAGCCACGGACCAGAACTCGCCTGGGTTTCACTGTATCGATATATGGAAATCGTATATCAAATGGGAAAGTAGTCTGAGGAGTCTTGTTGTTGGTCTCGACGTTTTGGAGGATGACGAGGAGCAACAGCAGCACAAAAAGAAGAAGCACGCCCAGCAAACGCGGCAGCACCAAAACCAGCAACAACAGAAACAACGACTCACAAACCTGACAGGCGCGTTTTATGCCGCAATCAGAGCTTGTCCTTGGTCCAAGGAGTTGTACATGGTCGCTTTTGCGGATGATTATTTGGTCGCGGCACTGGGAAACGATGATGGTCTCAAGAGGTTACATGAGAGCATGATGGACCGAGGTCTCAGATTGCGTACAAACATTTCTTGAACCTGGCATGACATGAAAAACGGTCGAGCAACATTCCAGTGCTCTCAAAACTTTTTAAATTTCTCATTCATTTATTATACCTCGCTCTTCGTATCAAGAAACGCCGTCTGAGAGAGGTAATCCCGGGGAAACTAATCGATCGGTCACCACTATAACCCGGAATCGATTTGATCAATCGGTCCGAGACTCGTATATTGACCCCAAGTCGTACACATGTCATTAAATCCGCCGGGCGTGTTTGTGGGAATGTCATTTGGTCGTTCCTAAATTTCAGAGACCAACATTAGTATTTGTTCAGTCAGACCAAACCTCCTCGGCAGGGGTTGCACAAAAACCAAAAAGAGACGAGAACAAAAACTCACCAAAATATTGATATACAACCCACCACTGACATGCCAAGCGATGTGACAATGAAAAGGCCACATTCCAGGGTTATCCGCGTCGAACTGCATCACCAAATACCCGGGGTTCCCACTCGCGTCGACCGGGCGGAGAAGTTGAGTGTCTCGTCGTGCAGGATTACTAGGATTGACCACGGTGCCGTCCCAAGTACCCGTGCCCTCGGCCAGCACGTGCATGTTGTGTCCGTGCAGGTGCATCGGGTGCGACACCGGAGTCAGATTGTTGACGATGACCCGGATACTGCTCGCCTCGCCCATGTCGTAAACGTTCCACTCGTCGGGATACTCAAACGTGCTGTTCGGCGAGGTAATGAGCTCTTGCGCCCGAAACAGGGCCGGATCGTTGTAGCACGTGCGGAAGGTGCTATTGTTCATGGTCCAGACGAGACTACCCGTCGCGTTGACGCCAAAGTTCACGTCCACCGTGACCTCCTTGGCAGGTGTGCCCGGAGGCGTGATCTGGTAGTATGGCACCGTCTTGCTGAGATCGTCATTCGCACAGGCATCGGTCGTGTCGGTCCACGCCGTGCTGTTGGGCTTAAAGTCAGTGTTGGCGTTCTGGTAATACACCATCGCATAGCCATAGGGTTGATTGGCGAGAGAACAATTGCTGATGACACTTCGCATCCAGACGGCATCATTGACGCCACCGGTCGCTTCGACGATAACGTCCGCGCGTTGGCCCACTCCCAACGTGACTATCTCGGTGGTGTATGGTTGGATGGGCACGAAGTCGTAAGCCATGACAGTAAGCTGGTGATTGTCGATGCTGAATTTCTGGAGACCTTCAGCACCGGCATTGATCAGGCGAAGTCGGTATTTCTGGCCCTTTGTGAATTGGAATTTGGCATATCCAGCATTGGGGGTGCATGTAGTGTCATTCGCCAAGAGATTACAGTCGAACGTGCCCTTTCCATTGATCAAGTTGTTGTCGGAATAGGGAGCGACTTTGCTGAGATCGGTGCCCATCACTTCCTCCACAATGTCGTAGTATTCCCTGTGATAGTAGTCGGTGAGCAGGACTGGTCCGAGATCAACGTCATAGTTGGCATTAGAAGGCCCATGGATGATGATGGCACCAAACAACCCAGCCGCATATTGTGCAGAGTAGTGGGCATGATACCACGATGTGCCGTATAGGTCAGCCAAGTACGAATAGGTAAACGTGGCTCCTGGAGCGATCGGACATTGTGTGATGCCCGGAACGCCATCCTCCCACGGAGTGCCTTGTTGCAGCAGACCATGCCAGTGCAAAGAAGTACCCTCCTTGGGTTCAGAGATCAGATTCGTCACGGTGACTTCGATAGTATCACCCCAGTTGGCCTCGATGGTGGGTCCGGGGAACTGGCCATTGATGAGGATGACATCGCGCTGAACTCCATCGGGTGCTAGAACTCCACGCTCCAGGACAAAGTTGTAGCTTCGAACAACGCCGGTCTTGGGGGGGTTGGTGTAGGGATTGGTGTTGTTTGCTGTACGTGACCCCCAAGGAAACGTCTTTGGTGGATTGCTGCCACCACCTGACGAGCCACTGCTAGACGGACCACTGCCTGATGATCCGCCAGTATAGACACCCTTTGGGCCAGGAGCCCCAACAAAGGCCGGAAATCTGGGTGCACCCCCTTGTCCACCGAGCGGGATCGTGCCTAAAAGTCCCTTGCCATTTGTCTGCGACTGGGAAAGACGCCATCTGCCACTAGGGATGTTCCATGGATGAATGGGCTTTTGAAAGGGAAAAGCTGTCGGAAAAATTATATCTGATATCGACTGTGGTAGTACAGTGGTTAGGGCTTCGGAGGTTGTCGTCGTGGTCGATGAGCTCCGGATGGAAGTTGTTGTGCCGTTGTACCACGAGGTCGTTGGGGAAGGGCGGTGCCACGATGTCGAACTGGTCGTTGGTAAAGATGACGTTGTTCCAGACGAAGCGCCGGCCGCAAAATTGGTGATCAACAAGAAAACAAACAATTCAAGCAGGGAAAACGAATGGCCCTGCATCTTGAAAATGGAAGTAACAACAGGAGAAAAGAAGAGCAAGAATAAGCCAGCACTGCCTCCCAAGCGAGTGAGAGAGGGCAGCGAGGATGATCAACAACAGTCGAGGTAATGAGAGACTCGAAATGGCAATTCACAGTGAGAGAAGGAAAAGAACAATGGAAGGCTACACGGTAAGCACAGGGTTGACATACTCAAGACCATCATGATGTGACGGTGACGGCGAGACAGCCGTGTCAGTTTGTGGAGCATGCGTTCCGCATGTGAGAGTTTGCCATCATGACGGGCTAGAGCCACAATATTGGATCCAGGTCTGGCCTTTCCTACCTTTGTTATCACAAACAATCAGGCTCCGGCAAAGTTTCAGTGAGGCTAAGCGAAAAGGTGCGATTGTGGCTATAAATCAATCTCGTCGACCTGGCCAGGGCAGCAAGGGTGGTCCGGATACTTTCGAGTCGCTTATTCTTTTATTTCGTTTTCATATCATCGAGTCCATGGCTCCGGGCTTGCTTTGCGGCTTTCAGAAGGAAGGCTGAGGCTGACACTTTTGACAACGATGTTGACGTGGGGCTGACAGTAGTATCGACAGGCGCACACCCCTTAACCGATACATGAAGAGGGTAGGGTTCGTAAATATTAGCCGCGCCATAGAGATAAACACAGAAGTGCTCGTATACGCATGGCTTTTGTTTTTCTCATCGAAGCCCCAACATTCATCCCCTGAATGGCTGCAGTATCTCGGTATCAGGGGGTAAAGAAAAAGTTTGACCAGCCCGGGATGATCTTCCAACCATTGGTCGCAGCCAAGGCCAGATCTCGCAAGAAGGGGGCAAATGCTAGATGCCAATCTGCACGAGAGAGAAAGCTTTGCCAACGCTTCAATAGGCTTAGATTGACATAAAAGCTCGACGCTTGTCTTGAAAAGTTTTGACATCGAGTCCACCAGCCTTGCTGTGTATGGACAACCACCAGCGCTCAGGGTCTGTTTTTAGGCGACGTGTAGAGAACTCTGTTCCAAAGGTTCATGCGACACGATCCATCTCTTCGGAGAGATCTCAGCAGGGACCACATAAGCGGCTCACTTTGTCTTTGTGACCAATATGATGACAGCAGATTGTAAGTCTGAGCGTCACGAGCTCGTGGCCGCCTCCAGCCAGCATTTATATGCATCCCAAACTCCGAGGATCCGAGAGACGTCGTGTGACAGGTTCTCTCTGTGGAGGCCCCAAACATGATACTTGATATAGAATTGACTTTGTGTGGACGTGAAAAACAAACACTCAAGCCTTACGCAACGTGGCCAATAACCTGGTCAGCTAATTTTGTGTCTCGTATTCAATTTGCGTTTGTAAAGTCAGGGCACGATGCGAATACGAGGATATTGATATTTGCTGGTCTTTGGAAGCGTCGAGTAACATTTCGCAGACTTATCAGGGTTTTCCCAGGAATGTCTGTGGCGGGTGATGGCCAATTGAATAAATATTATATAGAGGTCTTGTTGATTCGCAAGAGCCACGTCCTTAAGCCGCATGCACTCTATCTTCCAAAGCGTTTCCGCTCAAACCAACGTAGGGGCGGGTAGACCAATGCTGCCCAGGAAAACCCGACGTAGTTGCCCATGTCGGCGCCATGATCACCGACCAGTCTAGAAATTGGGCCAGTGTACCAGACCTGGGCCATGCAAAGAATCGCGCCTGCCCAGCCGATTAGAAATGCCACAAGTGCTGCAACCCCGACTGGAAGCTTTCCTCTGTGATTCCACACGTGCCAGTCATAATTAGATGACTTTGCTTTCCGGAAGATGAGGAACTCTTCGAGTAAAATCGCCACCCATATGGCGACCCAATACCCCATTAACGCTAGAAAATTAGTAAAGATTACGCCGAGATTGTTGCGCCCGGCCAAAGCGCAAACTGTGTAGATGACGGCACCAAGGGTGTTCCAGATGACTCTGGGGACCCTGTCAAAGTATCGATTGAGCATCTGAAAGTCGACCCCGGACGAATACGTCGGTGGAATCATGTTTGCAATGCCGCCCAATGCAGCGATGACAGCACAGAACTTGCCAAAAGTGCCCAAGGGAGAATAGGCTTCGACCAGTAAAGCTCCTGACCCCGATCCACCCTGTGAATTGGTCCAAGCATTCATGTATGCGTCTGACTTGTAAATGCCTGAAGCTACCCCTGCTCCCAGCACAAAGGCAAAGGTGAAGGAAAGTGTGAGGCCCAGTAAAGTCATAATGAAAATCAAGGGTCGTGAAGCCGTGGTCGGCCAGTAGACAAAGAAGTCCATACCGAGACCTGAGTACGTAATGGCAGCAGATACGCAAATTGAGAAGAAGGATAGCCGATTGCCGGTGACCGTACGACTGTCTCCCACACTGGGAGTTGAGGTGTCGAAGTGCTTAGCCGCCACGCCATACAAAATGGAGAAAACGATCAGCTGGGGCAGCCAGGCAAACCGCTCGTAGTAGTGGAAAACGGCAATTCCAAAAGTCGTCACCGCCCAAGTGATGACAGCCACGATCACAATACCAACAACCACGGACATGGATCCATTCGGGGAAACTGCTGAGAGCACCTGCCCAGCAATAATGGACACCAGAAGAGAGTAGCCTAGCATGACGATGATGTTCAGAATGACGATCAGCTTGCTGGGGTACCAACCCATGGCGTATCTTCCCCATACCATTGTCCGGATCCCGGAAAGTGGTCCCCATGTTGCAATCCAAGCCACAGGCAGGGAGCCCAAGAGAGCACCCAGAGCTGCGCAGAGTGACGAGTCTGTATAGGAAAGCTCGTACACAGCCGGGCCCAGCATGCCCAACGTTACGTTGTTTATGGCCAGATTTATCGACGTCCAGAGCACAAAAACTTGAAGGTAGGTAAACCACGACATATGTTGTTTTTCGTGATCCTCCACTCGTTGTATCCCACGGGTCTCGATGTTGTACTTGAGCAGAACATGCTCGAAGGATCGAAGGCGCGCGGACAACCGGGCGGACAAGGACAGATCAGCAGGTCTGTCGTGGTCGGACGCATGGTAGCCGGACACGGTGGTAGTCGGCTGAGGTAATGGTTGGATTTGCGCTTTCTCAGCGTCGAATCGATCGGCTTTAGTGGCCATCAGGGAGAGTTGGGAGGAAGGTGGTTAAACTGCGGCGGAAATCTAGGCCAGAAGTAAGCATCACTTTTGGGATGCTGCAATAAACCGAATTGTCGCCAATGCAACCACAAGGACGACGAGGGTTCATCATGCAGGTGCCCAACGGGCATGGAGTAAGGGCCACTCGACGGAACCGGACGAACAGCTGTTCATGCACAATGATTGTACTTACCAAGGTATGCTGGACTCGAATGCAGACCGGCCGTCCAGTCTCTGACAAAGGAGGATCACCCTGAAGTCACTGATGCAAGCAGAGAGGAGCCCGACACAAGACAACGGTGGCGATGAGTGGTGAAAAGAGCGGTGGAGTCGTGACTCTAGTCTCCGTCCAAACGAGGTCGTGCAACGTTGAAATCCAAGTCCCAAGTCCTCGAGGCTGTGGCTAGTGGTACAGGAAAAGAGCAGACACCAGGCAAAGATGAGAGCACAGGATACGAAAGGAGAGGAGCGAAAAATGTTTCAAGCAGTGAAATGTGTTGGGTGAGTCACCGTTCAACTTTGTAACGTTGCCATTATGTCTAGAAACCTGACTGGACCTGGCCGGCGGTCGTAGTCAGTGCGGGTGGAAGGGCGCAGGGAAAAAAATATGAGGAGCGAGAAAAAAAAGTACTCTCAGTTGCCCAATGCGGAGAAAGTAGGACCTGGTGTGAGTGTACGAATACGAGCGTACAATCCTGTGGCGATAACGATAACGATAATAGCGATAAGAGGAAGGTGAGTTCGGAAGGCGGGGAAACAATTCTCCTCCACCATGTACTCCGTACATATAGACTCGTAGAGATTAACTCTTTCATCGTATTCGTACCCCCTACTCGTACTTGGTTGTCATTCATGGCAATATCCTGGTCGCACCCCTTGTCCTTCTGCAATCCCCGGAGTCCTATCTTTTCTTTTTCTACGTCTAGCCTGATCAATGTCCCTCCGTACCTAGAATGGCAGTGGCAGACACAGACGTAGAGACGAGTGGCTCACAGTCTGTAACATTTAGCGCTCGTGCAGCCAGGTAGTTGCCGCCGCTGTCACATCCTCGAGAGTACAGATGCAGCTCAAAGCTAACACAGCTGCGGACCAGCCAACACCCACTAGTCAGTACTCCCCGGGTACTGTGGCCCAACCAATACTCGCCATACAAATCACTAAGGCGACACAGGTCGGCAAGCACCTCGTGATTGGCACACGCACCGTCGCATGGTTGACAGATTGCTGAGGTGCTTGGGTGACCCCGGCCTGACAAGCATACTCGGTCTCGATCTGTCTTGTAGTTTGGAGCACATGAAATCGTTATTCGGAAAAGGCCACATTATTCAGCCTCACCATGTCCCAGATCCAAAAGCGTTAATTACTGCGAGCAAACCCAATCCCTGACCAGGTGGTGAACATATCCAGCGCTCCTCCCATGCATTCTGGTATCCGACACACAAGACATAGTAGAGTATCTTCCAATGCGAGGGGGAAAAAACCATCAGTTCTGTAATCTGAGATAGCACAATACACTTTGGTGTCCGACCCAACGCCTTCGCTTCAGAACATGTGAGATAATCCACCGTGGTCTCATCCGTTCCTGAAATGCTCTCGCGCATACTGCTCGCACGCCTGGCAGTGTCGGTTAATAAGCAGAATCAGGCAGAATTACGTGGGGCCAGAACGTACCTTTGCTGGCTTGCCGAGCTTCTGCCCAATAGCTTTCCACTTATTCGCATCGTATTCTTTGATAGCTTCACGGAGGGCAGCGGACTGGACAGCGTCAGTTCCGGTCACATACAAGATGAGCATGAGCCTTGCCTCATCTTCTGCAAACTCTGCGTAGTGCATGTCCTCGAATCAAGTTAGCCCCCTATTTCGGATTTGAGGTCGCAGATACTTGCCTTGTACCAATGTTTCTTCACACTTCCTTCCGTCCGCGCAGGAAAGGCCTGTCAGATGTGAGCTTGGAAATCAAACAGGAATACCAACGCCTCAATACTTTGGCAATCTCACTCCAACTATGACCTGCATCTCGCATTTGCTTGAGGCGTTGTTCTTCCTGCGGTGTCCATGGAGTGTTGGTGCGACCGCGCTTTTTGCCCGACTCATCACTGAGTAAGGCATTGATGGAAACACCGGGCACGCTGGGCGTGGTCGATGGCGATTCTGGTATAAAACCTGTCGCTGGGGGCAAGGTGTTCAGCTTGGGACTCGGAGAAGCTCGACCACGCTTTCGAGGATTGCTGGGATCAGTTGCGGGCATCAAAAGAGGCTCAGAATTGGGCTTGGGCGCCAGTGGCGTCTGAGGCGCCGGCACGTCCTTGTTGGCCGTATTGGGCGACGTGGTGGCTAGTGTCTGCTTCTGCTTCTTGTGTGGTGGGGGACTCCTAGCAGGATACAATGTCAGAGCTGGGTAAAGCAGTCATTCCTCCACGGGTGGTTGAAGAGCCCGATCCAGCAGGAACAAGAGGCCCTCTCTCGGAAGGGGTTGGAATATGGAGGTACCAGGCAGGGAGGGGAGAAACTTACGACATAGTGTCCGGATTGTAGCTGGCAAGTAGAAATTGAAGTCGGCCGATTATGGCTTCGGCACAATCATCAATGTCCAGGAAGAACCCTCTTGGGCGAGACTAGCCACACGAGCACGAGTTGCCGAGGACTGGCAGGTGTGCTATCCAAGTCAAACTGTCAAGGTCGCACAGCAGCGGCAGGCTGGTAAGGTTAAACCGAGGGACAACGTTGTTTTCTGCCCTCTCTCGGCTCCGTTGGCAAGAGGAGCAAGCAAGGCCGGGGGGAGAGATGTACGTGCAGGGTGAGGTGTGACCGAAGAGGAGCGACACTACCGGCGTCAAACCAATCAAGATATAGGGCGAACTGGGAGTAGTTGCAGGTAAGATGGAGGAGATAGTGTGACTGTGAATGCGAGTCCAGTAACAACCATGCACAAGCGAATATATGTTTGTTTTCTCTGGGGTTGCGCCCGTGGGTTGAAGTCAGTGTTCCGATCATTCAGCACGTCAACACCGAACAGAGAAGGCGTGCTGATCGTCAGGGTTGGAGGACTCTCTCCCCTGTAACTGGAACGACACTGACGAAGGAGGTCGGTATTAATTCAGACAACTGGCGACAGCAAGGGTATCCGGAAGTAGCAATAGGAACAAGCTAGATCGAATGGCGGGAACAGATTGAGGTAGCAGTAGGATTGTCATCAAAGGGTACTGCAGTCAGTCCAGATAGGTGAAGCACTTGGACCAAGATGGAAAAGAGGAGTACCGCCAGGACGAGCAGGGCTTTTGGAAGGGGGATGGACGGTTCACTAGGCAGAGTAGAGAGAATGAGACTGGTCATTTCGTGTGGTGGCAGTGTAGATATTTAGGACCGAGCAGAGAAGGGTACGAGGAGGGTGTCAGGGTCCATGCTGAATGAGAAGAGGGCTTCTGCGATGTACCATTGGGAAGTAAGGTTCACTGAGGGCGTGTCCGACCTGGTATGGGCAAGAATGAAGGACATGACGCCACAAGAACTGGGATGGTAGAGGCCAGTGGGCCAGGGTTGAACAGCATGTACTGTAGCTCCAAGATGCGGCGAAGCAGAGGCGAGAGAGTGGGATTGATGGCGGAGGTGGGCACCACGTCGAGCGGGGCTCCAGTACATGCAGACACACACACTGCAGGGCTCACGGTTCGTGGTTGGTTGGGCGAGGCGAAGGCTGAAAGAAGTCTTCAGGGTCAGATGGACAAGTAGACAGACACATTTGTGACAAGATACGAGACGAGAGGTAGCAAAAGCAAAACAATCAATGGGAGGTCGAGGAGACATGCGGGGTATTGACGCCAGTAACCAAGCTAGACGTGGCTAGTACTGTACGAGTACCCAGAGTCGACACAATTGAATTTCTGAAAATGAGACAGAACGAACAAGGGAGACGAGAGGAGAGGAAAGGAATAGCAGGATTCGTAAAGGGACAAGGGAAGGGAGAGAGACCATCAGAGTGACGTCTTTTTACGAAACATCCTTACGGAGGGCTATTAATTCTATGGTCAGCTTTCTTTGGTTAGAGATTATGGTACGAATACGAGAACGAGTTACCAGCACGAATGTCACTGTTTGGCTGCAAGGTCATCACTAAATGAGCCGCTGTTGCTTCTCCTCCATCATTGTGGCTTGCTGCACATGAAGTCAAATGGTGGAATGTTGCCAGTCATGATGACACCAATGGAAAGATTGTTGTGTCTGTAGTGACAGGCAAGATATTGGCTGTGTCGACATACAACGGGCAATCCGAAATTCGTCGGTGGCGCCGATTTCAGGTGAGAACTGACGTTTCCAGGTAGATTGATTTGGGTGTGATTGATGGGACAAGCGCAATGTACCAGTACTTGGTTGGATGGTACGGAGTATCGACGAAATAGTGGTGCGATGGTTGCTGCTGATGACGATGTTGTTCGTCTTCTGAGAAGGTCTCTGTCTTCACTAGGCTCAATAGGCTTGTTAGGCTGTAGATCCAATTCACGCCCATGCCGAATGCCCCCTATCGTATGTCTCGTTAGGCGGGAGCTATTACAGCGTACTCCGTACTGTACAGGACGGAGTAGGTCTTTTTGAGCTCCGGAAAAGGAATCCTCCAGTCCTGTACGGACGAAGTGTGTGGCAGGCCATGTCCAAAGAGGCAGCTACTCTTTACCTCGAAGAAACCTGTAAATCCCATGATGATCTGTAGCTCTATCCGTTCCGTGTCCTCAGGACCTACTCCGTACTTCGTAACACATAAAGGCCTACATCCCCTCGAAGTGACGTGGAGGCGGCTCGGTAGATATGAGTAGCAAAGGCATTTGGTGATTGACCCTCCGGTTCTTTTTTTCAATGATATCGGATGTACGTAACAGACAGAGTCTAGGGCGAAGATCGACTACGAAGTTCTCTGTGGGAAAACGTGGAGGGCTCATCTGGGGATTGATTACTCCGTACATACTTACCTACTCAGTACTCCATCCTCGTACTCATACTCTCTCTCTCTGGCTGTAATTGTATCCCTTGCGTCACTGAAGAAATAAGTGTCGGTACCAACACGGATACTTCGTACTCTGTACCAGTACGACAACCTCCTCCATTCCAACCTCACTCACTTCACTTTCTATCAAAGGTGATAATTCTTAGGTACCTACTGCAAACCATATCCTTGCACTTGCATTTGACACTTGGCTTTTCCCTACAGCTGCTAGCCAACTACGGTACCCGTACTCGTACAGTACTCCGTCCTTGAAATGGCATAATCTTGTTCTTTCTTTCTTTCTCGCTCTCTTTCTTATCTTCCTCGTCCCTTTCCCAAACTTCAACCCCTGTCGATTTTCTAGTTGCTGATCCAACTGAAACTTCCTGCTTGCCACAACCGTCTGAGAACGCCCGACCGGAGTCTGATCCTTGTCTCATTCTCCTCTGCTAGCTTTAATGCCATATTTTCCAGCCCCCAACCTCTAGAGCAGTCGCCAATCATCAACAAATACGGCCTCGGCTGGTCTGGCACGAACTAAATTGCATTGTGTTGGCCAGATCAACGACCACGGCCCTCACTTCTCTACCAGACTAACACAAAATAAGCATAGTGAGCTCCTCATCGACATCAAGCGTCGCCAGGTTTCAAGTCCGCTCTCGCCTGATCTTCAAGATGATGATGCTTTTGGAGTCAGTTTCGGGGGCCGCTTTCTGTCGAGATCGGCTCCTTCCGGGGACTTCGTTCACTATCACTCGGCATTCGAAGGTAACATTCGACTTCGAGCAATTCCCTCAATTAATGCCTGTCCAGGAAATCACAGATCTCTGATTTGCACTCCATTGGACGTTGCGTTGACGCCATGCCCGGGCCTGCGACCTGTGTCTCACAGTCGAAATGTGATTTCATCAAAACGACATGGATTGTTTGTTCAACTTGGTGACGAAAGATTCAGTCCCTCCAGGTCTCCTTATCGTGTCTTCAGGTAAGCAGATGATGCAACACATCGTGCCACTTTCCTCTCGAAACCCGATACCAGCAAACCTTTGTTGGTCACCCAAGCAGAATCCCCTGGACCATGTCAACAAGGTCAATCTCGCCATTTCGACTTTGAGAGACCTACATCTTGCCCCTGGCATTTCCTGTTCCTTTTCAAACTCACGATCAATCGCCCAAGATCAAGCTGACTCCTATCTTCTACCAACTTGGCCGTTTGAGAAATGAGATGCGGACTGCTCATGACATGCTGAAACTCAGTTGCATAGGCTATCAACTGCTCTCTTCCCTTAATGAACGCTTCTCGATCACAGGACTCTCCGAGAAACGAATTTTGCCAAGTATCTGCTCGACAATGCAACTCGAGACTCTTCCATCTTCTTGCATGATCGACATCTATTTTCAAGTCCTCTGGATAAAACCGCATCATTATATCACAGTCCAGCTGCCAGATCAAGTGCCTGATATACGGCGCACAACCATGTCCATCGGTGGTTCGGGTAGGCAACCTACCAGCAAAAACATGACTGAAAATGTGAAAGGTTGTGTTGGTGTAGAGTACCTCTCGTGCCTCGACCAGGATCATCTTATTGACTCGCAACAACTGCGACGATCGGGACGTGTATGTTCGAAAGGTGCTGTTCCGAGGAATCAGGCAAGCGCTGTTCTCGCCATAAGGGACTTCAAGTAGTACCTTGCCACTGCCAAAGGTGAGGGCATACACCTGGACCCGGATCTCCAGGGGTAAGTCGAGGAAAGAAATCGTCATGGAGTGGGTGAGTCGATGAATGAGTGAGTTGTTGGGAACCCAGATGAGGGTGGGTGTAGCGCTGATAAGAAAATACAAACTTCAGCTGGCGCCACCTGCGAGTTATTTTGGCCGTTGGACTTTACGGACAGCCACCCATGCTTTCCGGATCTCGTACCAATGGCGATGGGGAGATTGATTGATTCGAGACGGTGTTATGGTTCAGTGTGTTATGGTTCAGTGAGAATGTGAAAGTATTCTCTGTTTTCCATGTGTACCCTTCGTCGGATATATACGGACTTTATTATACTCGAAATATTTTTTTTGGCGGCCTTCCGTATTGTTTGATCAAAGTTCGGAACCACTTATAATTTTCTTGTGACCTTTCAGGCGTGTCTAATGTAAGCCCGAACTTTTGCATTTTACTCCGTACTTACTAGTTAGGTATTCGTGAGTGGTATTGACGGAGAACACTCGACGACCCATTTGCCAAATTTGCATACTACAGAGGAGTAGATGTAGTATATCCGTACATGGAGAGGGGCGGCGAGTTCCACCTCAAGGGCGCGACGGGGTAATAGTGAAAAAGAGTAAGCAGTAGTTGGAAAGTGGCATTCATGGACGACCATTAGATAGGTAGATACTTTTTTTATATGGTTCAACGTTTCGGCCATGCCCGGGATCTTGACGGACCATCGTAGGTGTGATATCCAGATATGTATGTGTATCGATACAAGCCTAAACGGACACGGTAGAGAATCCCAAGTAATGTATCAGGTATTTACGTACATGACTACCTACTTAGGTACGTAGTACTCACTGTTTCGGAGTGATTTCTTTGTCTCTTTTCACTTTACAGAGGTCTAGAATTCCTGTAAACGGTGGGACTCCGTCTTTCTTGATTTCTTGTTTTCATGTCTTCTTGATAATAGTTCTCACGAAAAAGGTACAGAGTAATGACTTGAATCGTATACGAGGTAAACCTTTGGGTCGAATCTGTAGAGGTACTGTAAAAATGACCAACTTGTGGTTAGAGTTGAACAGTATCTATAGGTATGTAGAAAGACAAAACGGATACGCTGTAACGTTAATCATCTTACCTTGGGTCAGATCAAGTACTTACCGGGTGTGTTCATGTACGTCTTACCACTACTCACATACAAAGTACCCAAGGACCAGGTAATCCCTCAAGACGTAATTATCGGGGATCTCGGGGATCACGGTACTTACAATGTAAACGTTGGTAAGAAGTACCAAAGTACCTTGAAAAAAAGTAATCAATGAGTAGTAATACTACTGTACGTCAAAAATTTGGTGAAGACGCATTTTCCCGATGAAGTATATGATTTCTACGTATGGAGTGGTTCCATGAAAAAAAAAAGAGAAAAGAACAACGGGAAATCTCTACTTGAAAATTGAGTCTCTTTACGCTTCAAATACTCTTCTTTGTACGGTATCTCAAAAAGATAATCCAATCGCTACAAAAACCAAACGCTACACACAAGTCATTATGTCTCAACAGGACCTGTTTCCAGCACCGTCTCTATCTCTGTCTCTGTCTCTGTTGCAGTCGTCTCGGATTCCATCATCAAACTCGACGTCTCTGTACATGCATCTTCACCGGCATCTTCTTGCGTTGGTTCTGCGCTCGTAGTAGTCTCCACGGCCATCTCACCTGACATGCTCGTCGTCGTCGTCTCTACTACGACATTCGACAAGACCAAAGTCGATGCTGTGCTCGCAGTATCAACCATTATAGTATCCGTAGCGTGGTCGAGTGTCGTCCAAGAAGTCTCATCCAAGGTTTCCCACGAGTTACTGTCGTTGTGATTTCTCTCCATGGATATGACATTCTCCAAAGGATTAGGAATTGGGGGCGGAGGTTGAGCGAGAATAGACGTCGTCACAGTGGCGGTGGCGGTGGCCACTGCAACACTGGTCGTTGTGATGGTGGTAGTCAAGGTCTCCGCCGAATAAGCTGATGATGTTGGATTGTAAAGTCCATGATGAACTTGTTGTTGTCCTTCTGGTGAGGTCTTTGCCATCATGGCTAACAAAAGCATCAGCCCACTGAGAAGAACCACCAAAAAGTTTCGCCGCTCGTGACTGAACTTTTGTATAGCTGCCACCATCAATTTGCCTAGGTCATCATCTTGGACAGGCAGTGACTGAGGAGGAGGGATCGGAGGTGCTGGATCTGGCATGGAAGTAGGGGGGTCTTGACAAAAACCGTCAATATCGGACTGACTCCTGCTGCCCCTCCCACTTGCACCATAGACCTCTCTCTCCCGAGCGGTTGGAACTTCAGGCTGACCGGCATCATCACCTTCCGTGCTCGCGGGGATGGAGTCGAGGAGGGCGATTTTGGCCTCCAGATCTCTTCGTGTGTCCTCTGGCAACCAGACCCTCACTTCCACATCAACCTTTTCCATCTCCTGCCAGGCAGCTCCCCATGCTCCTGCCCTCAGTAGTCCGTTGGCGGCAAATACCTTGACTTCCCACTTCCTTGCAGTCTCGTCTGTCCTCAACTTCCTGCCACAGTCCGGACATTTGGTGTCATCCGGGCCATCACCGTCGTTGTCGTCGCCGGTCGTGCTGCCACTTTCAAACCCACTATCGGTCCCGTTGTTGTCAGTCGAGAAATAATGGTTGTGCCTTATCCGAGGGCGTTCAAGGTCCAAACTCTCCAGAAGACGCTCCTCGAGGAGGTCATAGTCCTCTCGTGGGTGGGCGATGAGGATTCCTCTTGTTTTGATCTCGACATCTTCCACCAATTTGTCTCTCAGGTGGTGCCATCTCTTTTGGTACGGTTCGGGCAGCAAGTCGCATATGAGGGCGTCTTCGTGCGAAGTGGCCTGCGATAGTAAAGTCGGTGGCAACATCGTGCAATGTAACAGAACAAGCGGGAACTCCTTTCGAAGATTGCTTGTGGCTTTCTGAGGCGATCCTCGATTCGAACGGCTCGACCGTTTGGTAGGAGAACTGTGCGTCGAATAGGAGCTTCTGGCGCTGTAAGAGGACATCTGAGAGCCGCTTCGCCTATGTCTTATTACACTGTGCGTGTCGCTCATTACTTCATCTCTCATTTGCAAAGCCCTGACACTGCTAGGATGTCGAAAGGGCGATTGGTATTCGGGGAACGTCTTTGGCGACCTCACTGAAAAGCCTGCTCTTTCAGAGCCGTATGACCTGTGAGAGTCCACCGAATCCCTCTTTGTAGGTGTCCTTGGACTGCCATATTGACTTGGTCTTGGAGGCACATGCTGAGACACCGATGCTGGAAACGAGGAGATTGACGAGCACCCAGATGTTCTTCGATCAATGTCTAGTAATTCCTCCTCTTCCTCATTTTCTGTTGCGGTCTGATTCTCCGACTCCGTGCCTGAAGTACTCTCATCGTACACTGCGCCCGAGAAGTTGTAGTCGTGTGGTTCCGAGACCTGATCGGGCAACGGAGCTGGCGGAGTTGGGAGTGGCTGTTGACGCAATGAAAGCGGAGAGGAGTGTTGAAATGCGAAATCTTCGATTATGGCAGATGGAGAACTCGACATCATGATCTTCACAATTACAGACCGTGCAGAATACGAAGAATGGCTCTTGCACAACAGCACGGACTGGTAGATGAAAGTGGTTGACGCATGGATGTCACCGACTGGAAATTGTTGACCTCGCTGGCTTTTTATTTGGTCGCCACAGCAACCACTTTCTTCCTCAATTTCACACACCACACACTTCAATCAACTATGCAACAGCCACGCAAGTCCTCGAGCATTGCCGATGTCATTGATCATTCACTATATGGTATGTGTGTCATCGAACACAATCTCTTCCTCATCCCAAGCCATTGATGACACTATCAATAGACGTATCTGAAGTTCGGATTCTCCCGGTCCGTCAGGTCATCAAATGCATGCACGAATCTATGATCCTTTGCCTCATAGACACCAGCAGAGGCCAACTCGTCCTTTCTGCGGTTTTGCCGGGTCAATTGGTATCGCAGGAAGACAATCACTAACACCAAGAGAGCATAACATCCCATATGTGTTGCAAAGGCGACGAAATATCGAGGTGCATCATACGACAAGAAGACCTGCGGACCTGTAAATTGAACTGTGAGCTGTGCACCAAACAGAAGGTGCTCACTTGGTATTACTTACCGATGGCGTTCCCTGTACACCATGCAACAAAATTCAACGTGACCACTACTGACTTCTTGGTCTGCCCTCCAATATTTCTCGAGAGCATACTCATACCCAGAGTTTGTGCGGCCCAGAACGAGAGCACAATATAGTAACTAATCAGAAGACCGACTTTCGTGGCGAGATCATGGTTTTTGACAGTCATCAGCACGATGGTGCCAACAATTGACCTACATCCCCAAGTCAGTGGTGTCTCCCTGCAGAATGGCTTGCCTTACGGGATGACAAAAGCTAGCATGACCAAGCAATTCTGACCAGTTTTCTGGATGAGCCAAGTGGAGCCGAGCAAGACGATGATGATATACGCGCCGAGTACCATTGCTAAAAGTTGCGTCTGGAGCACGGTGAAATTGAAGCCTGCAAAAACGTCAACATCCTGCTTGTTTGTCCCTCCTACTTGACGGACTTACCAGTGATGATGATGTTTGCGAAAGCACCCAGACCAGATGTTGGTAAGGTTGTACAGATTTGAATGAGACAATAACACCAGGTCTGAGGATCAAGGAAAGCCTCTTTGACTTGCTCGCCTCGGAACTTTTTATTCTGCAGACCAGTCTGATTACTCCTGACTCGCTGGACCATGAGTATCTTGTCCTGTTCGGAGAAGCATTTGGCCTTCATTGGGGAGTCGGGAAGCCACCATCCGACAAAGAGCCCCCAGAGGACTGAAAAGCAGCCGTACGCAATAAAGATAGCTTGCCACGACTTGAGCGGACCTGAGTGGATGAGTGAAAAACAGTATGCGAGCAACCCGCCGACAATCTGCTGTCCGCCATTCATCATATACCAGTAGGTCACCGTAGCTGCCTGCTCTTCACGTTTGTACCACATCGAGCTCATTATGAGGAAGGATGGCTGACAAACAGCTTCGAAAATACCGAGGAGGGTTCTCAACGCAACCAGCGTTGCAAAGTTCTTCGCAACGGCGTGCAATGCAAGTACTGCTCCCCACAAGCATATGTTCAGGCTGAGGTATTTTCCGATCGGCACTCTCTGGATGGTCCAGTTGGTGGGATACTCGACGACCAGGACGGCAATATAAATACAGGTCGTTAACCACGAGTACTGTCAAGGTCAGTATATGCCAGAGCGAATGCACAATCCAACTGGGCATAATTGGTTCATTGTCTCTCCCATACCTGTTGGGCATGAAGGCCAAGGTCCTCTCGGATCCCCATGATCGACGCAAAGGACATTGTTCCTTTGTCAAGTGCCTGAAGGAAGTATGTGGGGATCATGACAGCCAGGACACGCCGGTCTATCATTCTCTTGAGCCGCTTATTCTCCTCGACTGAAGTCTCGACACTTTCATTTGTGGCATACTTAGCGACTTCTCTGTCAACACGGTCAAAGTTCATAAAGTCTTTGTTGAGCTCGCTTCCACCAGACGTGACTCGCTCGATCTGGGAGATGTTATGTTTGTCCGCGACACCGTCGGGTGATGTTGGTAGTGTCGCGGGTGTACCTTGAGCACCCATATTCTCCTGGACGATATGATCAGATCCTGGCATGATGAGTACCAAAAGGGGATCGAAGTGTTACAAGGGGGCTTGAATTATACCCGAGTTGTATTCTGAGAGAGCTACAAGTTGTATACCCAAGACTTATATGGGTCGTCTTGAATATTTCTCGGTAGGACAGAGAGCGAGAGATGGTCGGCAGATGCTCAGCCGAAAGCGTTGCGCAAGAATAGCAGGGTAAATGTCCTTTTGGGGGGATGTGGATACTCTTCTTCAGGATCTTCTATAGTGGCCTCCCTCCGGAGTATACCCCAGAATGGAGAAGCGAAGCGTGTACTCGCACAGTGCTTGGTCAAGTGTGGATTTAATACTTAAGCCAAGGCACGCATTCAGGCTGTATAGGCCTGGTTGAAGTCCCCGACCACAGGTACCGTACCATTGAGGATATTCTTTCATACACAGGAGTCTCATTGTTGAGCATCTCTCACATGCCAGATTGCAGTTGTTCTTAGTAAAGTGACCCGACGTTCCACCAGCCTCTTCAGATTTGATAATGAGTGTTGACGGTATGTGAGGTATCAATATTGGAATGCTACTTTTATTCTCCAGCACCTTCAATTGGTACTGTCACTTGAGCCACTCTTTTAACCGGTGCAGTACAAAAGAGATAGCCGTACAGTGATTGTTTTGCTTGGTTCCAGGAGGCTTTACAAGATACGGACCCATTGATCGGCATTTGTGGTGGGTTGCATCTCGGTGCAATTGAGCGCGACGCAGGCAAGTCTTTTTTTTTTTAACAACCCGTACATACAGGATACGAGGCTCGCTACCTACCCATGGTGATATTGCTCCAAGACGACGTACAAGCCTACATATAAGGAGGGGCAACCATATGAGATAGCACTCTGCCTACTCCGAACACTTCGAGCTAGAAGCTAGACTGTCGACCAAAAGTGCCACCTACATAGCAAGACTTCGCAGGATAGAGAACTACCATTTTGTACATCTTACCTGGGCCTAGGCATTTGGAAGCTGGCGAAGAATTTTCTTCAGTCATGCCTTCACCATTGATCGTCGAGGGATTCAGAGCGACCGACATCCACTCCAAGGTCGAATCACTCGTGACGAACTTGGTAAACATAAAAGATGAAACGGGGCATTTCCTCCTGCCCTTACCCGACGGTCGGATCATCGACACCAAAGGTTGGAACGACTGGGAATGGACTCACGGTATAGGACTTTACGGGTTATGGCAGTACCATACACTCACATCCTCCGAGAGGGCCCTCGACATAATCGACAAATGGTTCTCGGAGCGGTTGGCAGAAGGGACCACCAAAAACATCAACACCATGGCGGCTTTTCTGACGCTCGCGTATCTGTATGAGAAGAAGAGAGACCCTTCGCAACTCGCCTGGTTGGAAGGTTGGTGTGATTGGGCCATGCGCGACCTCCCTCGGACGCCTCTGGGCGGGATGCAGCACATCACCTACGTCGACGAAAACCACAACCAACTGTGGGACGACACCTTGATGATGACGGTACTCCCACTGGCCAAGGTCGGAATGGTCCTCAGTCGTCCCGACTATATCGAGGAAGCCAAACGTCAGGTCCTCTTACACATTCAGTACCTGTTCGATCCCACCACGGGATTGTTTTTCCACGGGTGGCAGTTTGATGACGATGACGACAACGACAAGGGTGGCTTCGTCGGAGGTCACAATTTCGCCAGGGCTAGATGGGCAAGGGGAAACAGTTGGCTGACCATCGCCATCCCGGACTTTATCGAGATTTTGGACCTAACTCCTCAAGACGGCCTGAGGATGTACCTTGTCGGAGTGCTCGAGGCTCAGTGTCGAGCCTTGAGAGCACTGCAAACGCCCGACGGTATGTGGAGGACTTTGCTAGACGTTTCGGAGGAAGAAGGAAGTTATCCTGAAGCGTCCGCCACGGCCGGGTTCGCTTACGGGCTTTTGAAGGCGATCAGAAGAAGATACATCTCCAAAGAAAAATACATGGACGTTGCCGTGAGGGCGGTCAAGGCGGTCCTCCAGAGGATCAACGAAGACGGTGAACTCGTGGATGTCAGTTTTGGCACGGCCATGGGTCACAATCTAAAACATTACATCGACATAGAGAGGACGAGTATGCCGTATGGTCAGGCTATGGCGATCATGGCCTTGGTGGAGTTTTTGAGGGTGTTCATCTAACCCCCCCCCCCTATATACACTTGGTCACACATCAAGCCACATTAGAGTATCCCTGGCACATACACATTTATACATGAATACATTGTTGCCAGTGTTAATGTGTTCAGAATGTTCAGTAAAACTTACGAACTCATCTGGTGACTGCGCTTCATTGACCGGATCAAATGTAACCGTATATCAAGACAAGGCAAAAACATCAACGCACAAATTCCCTCTGATTGATAGTTTTGTAATATACCACCGCCTTTTTTTATTCATATATATGTATAGAGTATACAAGACAAGACATTTACAACCTTCCTCGAGACAATAACGATCCACCATCAGTCGTAATGACGGCACCGTTGATATGCTTCGACGCTCTGCTGGACAGGAAAACTACCAGACCGGCAATGTCTTCGGGATGTCCCAGTCTCTTGTTGGGGACCTCGGCCGCAAGAGCCGCCTGGCCACCTTGTAGTTCCATCAGGCCCGACGCCATCTTGGTCGGGTAGAAACCAGGACAGACTGCGTTGGTGATGATTCCCCTCGGACCCAACTCGACTGCAAGGTTCTTGGCGAGATGGATCGCCGCCGCCTTGCTGGAGCTGTAGGCGTATGTGGCGTTCTGGCCCAGTGTTCCCACACCCAAGCCAGCGACACTGGCCGTGATGATGATCCTGCTGGGGTTCTCTGTGGTCGCCTTCTTCTTGAGGAGGGGCTCGAACTTTTGCGCCGTGTAAAAGACGCTCTTTACGTTCAGGTCCATGACCTTGCTGAACGCGTTCTCAGGGTGTGTCTCGAAGGGAGCACCCCATGTTGCTCCGGCGTTGGCGAAGAGGATGTCGACGTGGTCGGTCGTCTTGGCCACTTCGGCGGCCAGTCGTTCAATCTCGGAGATCTTGGACGAGTCGGCTGGGACGGAGATGGCGACGGCGCCAGGACGTTTGTTGGGGAGGGCGTTGAGAGCGGCCACGGCTTCTTCGCATGCTTTGGCCTTACGAGAGGTGATGTAGACTTTGGAGCAACCTGCTTGCATGAACCTGTGGGAGATCGAGTGTCAGTGAGACCATTCTAGGATCAAGCCGACAGTGTACATCGTAGGGGCTCAATCTCACCCTGATGCAACGTTCAGGCCTAGACCTCTTGAGCCTCCAGTGACGACGGCAACTTTGCCTTCGAGACTGAAGATGCTTCCAAAGTCTTGGAGCTCGACATCGGTTTGAGCGCTACCCATTGTGAATGTGAGTCGGTGGTGGAAATGTTTGAAGTAAACTGAGCTAGTTAGGGGGGTGGGAATGTGAGTTAGGACGGTGCAGAGGCTTTTGTGTCAAGGTATATAAACAGAGAGAAAGATAATGATTATTATTCAACCAAACCTTCAATCAGTACATGGTTCCGTAACCAAGCATCCACGGTTAAACACAGAGACACACACCAGATGGAAATGTTGAAGACGCAGTTGATGACTTCGAGATACCGAGGTAGTTGCTCAAAGGGGGTTAGTGTTATTATCGGGCGGACTATATTGCCGAAATGTCCGAGATATGGCGGAAATGTCGGTTAAACAGATACAAGACGAACTACAGAGGACTGAGAGACATACACTACAGTACCCAAGTTGGGATTGCCTCTACGGTCTCGATATATACAGTCAGAGCCTACTACAAGCATTACAAGCTGACAACAAGACCCTCTCATGCACTGTCATCGAATAGTATACTCAATCAGTTGAGTACCTGATCCTCCTATAGGCTCCCCTAGTTCAGCTTATACCTCGCCAAGTGTCCAACGTCTCATCGGTGCTTACTAGAAGCATAACTCCTAGTGTTTGGGATATGATGCCTCCTTGTTCTTTGTCGTTATTCGTTCCGTTCCTCTCCAGAGAAATCTATTGGCCTTCTGCATCCAACCCCAGCCCCATCTCAAAATGGCTACATCCGACGAGATAATGTCTTTTTTGCTGTTCCCCAGCTGAGATATTGCGGTCTACACTACCACTCTTCTCAAAGAATGCCCCTGTATAAGTAGTCTTGATATTTTACTGTGAGCTTGGTCAGTGGTGGATCGCTCCTCAACATCCCCAGTCTTTCGCGATAGCAGTATTGTCAACGGTCACGAACGTTTCATTCTTTAGGATGTCTGATCACCCGAAAGAAGACTTCACTATCGACCCAGAACTTGACTCAGTATGGCATGACAAATTTTGTTGCGATGTCCTGAGCTCTTCATTGCTGATTGAGTCTCAATAGATATGGAAGAAGCATGGAAGACCCAAGTTCTTCTTCCCCAGACGAGATAATATGGCCGAGTCACGTCGGCTTCATTCGATGGGCAGCGTCCGTTTTATGAAGAGCAAGTTTGTCAAGGAGACCCTGGGCAGTGCTTCACCTCGACCATGGACGGAGGAAGACAGACAACTCCCGGTGCGAGACGGTACATCCATCACGATCCGAATATACCGACCCCGACTGCCACGCGGCCCTTCTCCGGTCATGGTCTTTTCTCATAGCGGTGGCTGGTGTATGGGGTCACTCGACACCGAAGAGTTCATTTGTCAATTACTATGCATCAGACTCAACTTGGTCATCTTCAGTGTTGGGTATCGCCTGGCTCCAGAATACCCGTATCCAACTGGATGCTATGATGTTTTTGATACGATCAAATGGGTATGTATGTGTCCTACCTAGGACCTCCAGTTTGCATCACTGTTCACACAAGTTCTAGGTCGCTACCAACGCTGCTAGTTTCGGAGGAGATTTATTTCAAGGCTTCATCACCGGCGGCGTCAGTGGTGGAGGCAATCACACGGTCGAAGCCACCATCCTAGCGAGAAATGAAGGACTCCAGCCCAAACTCACCGGTCATGTCTACATTTGCACCGGCATGCCTCATGACTACCAGGACCAACAAGGAAGAAAATGTGCCCTGTATCCGGAAAAGTTGACGTCGGGAAGCTGGGCCCGCTACAGGAATGGTCCTGTGGCGAATTACGAAATGAACATGTACTATGCAGGTTCGTCTACCTTTTCTGTTCTGCTTCTCCTCTTCTCTCCTGGCTGTGTCGATATGTGTGTGCTGACTCGACTTATCTGTGATGAACCAGATCTGGCAAATTGCAATGCTCACGATCCGTTATTCTCTCCCCTAACGCTATCGGATTTCTCGGGTCTTGGTCCAATCTATTACCAGATTGCTGGTATGGACATGTGGGCAGACAGTGCATTCTTCTACTGTGACAAAGTACAAAAGGCTGGCGGGACTGTCAAGATTGATTTCTATCCTGGCGTCTTTCATTGTTGGTATGCCTTTTACCCTGAACTGACAATGACCAAGAAATGGGCTCGAGATCTGATTAACGGTGTCGAGTGGCTTCTGAGGAAGAAGGGAGACGAGAAGGTCTTGTCACGAATATGAGGAGATTAGGATATGAGCAGATTGGTTTCTTAAAATTGGGAGTGCTGGTGCTGGTGGCGAAATATATACGGATTCAATATCTTGGTCCTCTTTGTGGCATTTCTTTCGCTGGTCCTCCGAGTCCTCGTCATGCTCTCTTTTACGTCGTGACACAGACACATGCCCAAAACTTAGGCTCTTGCGTTGATCGTCGGTCGTCACAGGCTGAACTCCAACCTATTACCTGCAAAGTCTCTCGCAAAGAATCGTTGTGGATATTCGACTCCTTTCGAACCTAGATTTGATAAAATGACAAGAATCAGCTCCCAACTTTTTCTGTCCAGCTTACCAGTCCATGCAATTATCGCCTTGTTTTACTTTGCTTTGCACTTGTTCCCTCCCCTCCACCATCGATTGTCCATAAATGATTGTCGAAGAGTAAAGCACGGCCAAACAAAAGTAAATTAGTCAAGATCAATTCAAACTCACCACTATCTTCTTCCCCCGGCTTATCCGCCGCCTTGGGAGCACCGTCGCCACCGCGCTGGAAATGTTCCCATATCTTCCTCCTCAACTCCAGGAGCGCCTCGGGACTCTGGAGTTTGAAACAAGGGTGTCTGGAACTGGTCGATTGGAAATCGGTGGGCGCCCCGATGGCGATGTGGACTTGTTGTCCCGACGTACCAATGTCGAACCACGCCAATGTGTCCTTTTGTAATTGCGGCACCGGGCGGGGTGTGAATCCCAAAGTGCCAGCGTAGAATTCTCGAGCCGCTTCAAGACCGCCGCTCGGAATGGTGAGATTGACGTGAGCGATTCCAGAGATCATGGTGCGGAAGCGTTTTTCCCCAGCGATGAGAAATGACTTTTCCACTCAAATGAACAAAGGAAAAACTTTCAGAAGAAAAATTTCGCAAAATCAAGATCAAAAAGTAAGAAGAATGCGTAACCTTCCCCGCGGGGGTCGTGTAAAGTCAGACAGGGACCAAAGGGATCCTCGGCGGCCAGGATAGCTATACCAACCTACCTTAAACTGGTACCTGGAGGCATTAATGTTCACGTGCCTTCATGTACCGTGCCTTAGCGTAGGTGCTCTAGGCTTTTCGGAGCGGAAAAATGTTACACCTTGACTGCGCCTGGCTGCCTTCTCTTCTACGTGAACAGCGCAGGCCATGTCGAGCCCATTTACGCTGTAAGGCTGACGAGGACTTCATGCACATCTGTTTGAAACTCTCGCACTATTTCATGTCATGTTCATTGCTGCAAAAACATCCCCCTTCCTAGCCAACACGGACCTATATTTTATGGGAACGACAACATGGGTGACCCACTATCCGTCGCCGCTAGCGTTGCCGGCTTGCTGTCCCTTGGCCTGAAGAGCACAGAGTCTCTCTACGACTACTACACCGCATGGCGAGATCAGCGCCAGGACCTAGCGAAAACTGCAGATCAACTCGGCGGCCTCTTCGAATCCCTTCAGATTCTAGACCAAATTGTGCACACTCGCAAGTGGCAACCCACCGAGCAATCAATTGTACGAAGTATCGAAGATTCGATCACTCGTAGCGAGGATACGATACACGTGCTACAGGCTGAGGTAGACAAATTCAAGAATGAGTCGACCGACAACTGGAAAAAGAAGGCATTAGTGGTTGGGCGAAGGGCAGCGTATCCTTTCAAACGAAGCACTTTAGAAGATCTCGGCGACGATGTCAACGATTTTCGCGACAACTTATCGATCGCGCTACAGGCGCTTGAGCTACAGGAGCATCAGAACACACAAGGCGATATTGCGAAGGTCAACACTATCGTCCAGGGTATACAGACACGAAGCGTCAGTGCTGATCTGCGACAGTGGCTGAGGCCACCTGATGCGACCGTGAACTTCAATGCCGCGGTTGCCAAACGCCACCCAAGCACTGGACTGTGGTTGATTCAAGGATCAGCTTTTACTACTTGGCTACAGCAGGATAACTCTTTTCTCTGGCTATATGGGTTCGCTGGCTGCGGCAAGTCCGTGCTGTGCTCGACAGCGATCCAGCACGCCTTTCGTCGCCGCTCGGCTGACACTGCTGTCGCCTTCTTCTTCTTCGACTTCAGAGATAAGTCAAAACAGGACGCGTCTGCATTACTGCGCGCGTTGCTTTTCCAATTCTGTGGACAGGTGCCCGCGTTGCAAGCGGACTTGACCCGACTCAAGGATTCCTACAATCAAGGCACTCCACCAGTACTGGTCTTACTGGAATATCTGCGACAGGTCGTTGTGGGGTGTCGCCACACCTACATTTTAGTCGATGCCTTGGACGAGAGCCCCATGGATCACTCCCGAACCGAAGTCCTATCGGTGATCGACACCATGCGACAATGGGAACTGCCAGGCTTACACTTGTTGGTCAGTAGTCGAGATATTTCTGACATCCGAGACCAACTACAATTTCCGACGATGAAGCAGGGTGTCGAGTATGTCCCGTTAAAAAATGACAACGTTCAGCAAGATATCGCCCGATTTGTGGCATTTCAAGTCGACCATGACAGTCAGCTTCTACGTTGGGGCGACCATCGGGAGAAGATCAAGAGCTATCTGACCCAGCATGCGGGTGGAGTGTCAGTATTTGGCAACAACGGGCACATTACTCCGAACGAAAGAAGCTAATTAATGTATAGGTTTCGTTGGGTCGAATGTCAGCTTCGGCCGCTGCGGCAATGCCCCAAAAGTGAGAAATATCTCGAAAAATGTCTCCGCAGACTGCCACAATCCCTAGACGAGACATATGAACGAATTCTGTGCAGCATTGAGTTCCAAGAGGAGGCGCGGCGGATTCTATCACTCCTATGTTATGCGTCGCGACCCTTGTGCGTCAGTGAGGTCATCGAGGCTCTTGCTGTTGACATTGACGACCTGGAGTGTTACGACCACCGGAGTAGACTCACCGGCGGCGCAGACGATGTCCTTCGGATTTGTCCTGGCCTCATTGAGATCATTCTCGGTACAGATGGTGATCAAGAAGTCCGGATTGCACATTTCTCGGTGCAGGAATACCTACTCTCTGATCGCATCCAGCACGGTTGCGCGGCCGACTTCGCTTTGTCAGGCCCACTACAGCATGGCCGTATTAGCAAGGCTTGCCTGCTATATCTCCAAAAAGATGAATTGCTGCAGCAGATTTTGGGTCCAGATTTAGTGAAACAGTATGCCTTCGCGAGATATGCTGCAGAGTATTGGGACCACCACTATCGCCAAGCTGACGACCAATCTGCGCGATATTTGTCTAACATAGTTAGCACTCTGTTGACACAACGCACTAGGAGAGAGTGTTGGATTCGGCTACACAATCCAGATCGTCCATGGGCTAATGGCATGAAATCTGATAATATCTTCGCCAAAAACACCCCTACGGCAACATATTATGCTTCTCTTCTTGGCCTGGATAAAGTATTAGCGTCTCATCTGTCTACGTCAACGGCAGATGTCAACACGCAAGGAGGCACATATGGTACTGCTTTACAGGCAGCATTAGCACATGGCTATGAGAAGATTGTGCAGATACTATTGGACAAGGATGCTAATGTTAACGTGCAAGGAGGCATGTATGGTACAGCCTTACAGGCAGCATCAGCATATGGTCACGAGAAGATTGTGCAGTTATTATTGGATAAGAATGCTGATGTTAATGCACAAGGAGGTAGATATGGTACAGCCTTAAAGGCAGCATCAGTAGGTGGCTACGAGAAGACGGTGCAGTTACTATTGAATAGGGGTGCCAATGTTAACGCACAACAAGGTGTATATGCTAATGCTTTACAGGCAGCAGTAACAGGTGATAATGAGAAGATTGTGCAGATACTGTTGAATAAGGGTGCCAATGTCAACGCACAAGGAGGGAAATATGGTAATGCCTTACAGGTGTCGTTGTATTGTGGCCATGGTGGAAAGGTGGCGCGGATACTACCGGATCATGGTGCCGATACAGAGCAACTTTTACCCTGGATAAGATTTAGGTTAAATAGCATCATCAGACAATTGGGTGGTTAGGGTAGTGTAGCTAGAGTCCACATGGGAATCGTCACACCTGAACACAGCGAAGTGTAAAGTCTATCGCGTTATATACGGCATAATCCCTTGGTGTACGAGTATGATTGACGGTGCAGTTACAGAAGTATCGTTTGGCTCGATTGAGGTTGTGGGTTAAAAGGTGTAATATGCGAACACCCTACAGTACTAAATACCTACGGATATGCCCTACGAGAACGGAGTAAAGGGGCCGTACTCCCTACAATACAGAATAATGTATCGTCACATACCGTACCGTGACACTGGAACTTTACATTATCGGATCGCATACGGTACGTACCCGGGTAAGCAAACCGAAAGGACTTTGCCTTTTTACAGTACTGATCCAAGGTACCTAACCCAGGTCTATTTTCCCTATTAGCTGGAGTCACCTAAATGCAACGGACTATGGCCGCGCCAATGTTCCCCTTCCCCGTAGCTTAAGGTACCTACTGTACCTACCTAGGTAGGTTCAGGTATGCACTGTAAGCGCTATCTAACCTTCAAGTTTTAGGTAGGTATGTTGGCTGCTTACATCTGAGTAGGGAGAAAGCTTTCCAAGGACAATCCTCAGCTCAGACTTCGCACTCCGTAACGACATACATTTTATGGAGTAGCGGGATCTTTTTGACACACACAGCAGTCATCGTGTCTGTTCTCTTGTGAGCTAGACAGAAAAGTACGGGGATGAAAAGGCCATGAAGAAAAAAATCTGTTTATTTGCTACCCCTAGAAATCCTGAAAAAAAGAAAAGGGCGTTGTCAATTATCTTGGTGAGACTACCTAGGTTACTGAAGAGATTGTTGGAAGGTCAAAGGAAAGATAAAGTCCCAAAGTAGATCACATCAAACCCGACCGACTTGATCATCATCATGGCACTCAAAGCACTCGACATCCTACTGCTTATCACAAATGTACCATCACTCCAACAGATCCTCTTTGGCGTACCACTCATTCTACTCACGACATGTCTCCTCACCTGGATCATCACGACGATCAACTTCCATCGGACCATTGGAAAATTTAGAACACGAGAACTCGACCCGTCAAACTCGTCCCAGGCAATCCCGCCCCCGGTCCTACCGTATTTCATCCCCTGGCTGGGTAGCGCGTTGACGTTCCTCAACGAAAACCCGGGGTCCTTTTGGCGGATGCTTCGATCCAGGCTGTCGGCCACGGGGACAAATGTCCAGGTCTGCACCATCCTGCTGGGCGGCAAGAGGGCACACATCGTCAACTCGGCCGCCGCCGTACAGTCCTTGTTCAGATCGAAACAAGTGAGTCGGGATCTGTTCAACTTTCAACTCGCCACGCAAGCCTTGGGCACGTCGAAGGAGGATGCAGACGCAATGTTCCCGCCGACCGGCCACGAATTTCATTCCCAGCAGCACGAAAACAAAAAGGACGGCATGGAGGCATTGAACCATGAATTCCTTCTGAGTCAAAACGCCGTCAACACACTCACCGCGAAATTCATCGAGGCATTTCAAGACTCACTCGACGGCTTGGAGTTTGAGACCGGGGAGTGGAAAACCGTGGACTTGCTTTCATGGATGAGGAGGAGCATATTCGAATCCGCGGTACGCGCTCTGTTCGGCACCAAGATACTCGAGATGAACCCGACCTTGGCCGAACAGTTTTGGGAATACGAGGCTGGCTTCCTACCTAGAATGTATGGTGTGCCGAAACTCGTCAAGCCCAAGGCATACTCTTGCATGGATGGCCTGTTAGACAAGACACAGGCTTGGATTGAATATGCCCTCGCCCAACATGGCGGCGTTGCTCCAGAGGAGCCAGACTGGGAACCTTTGATGGGATCCCAAGTGGTGAGAGCGAGACATCGTTATTACGACAAGATAGGATTGAGCAGTAGAGGCAAAGCCGCGTTTGACCTGGGATTTTTGTTCGGGTAAGCATCGTGTAGCACACCTTTCATGATCGACATAAATCTGTGACAGACACCAGAGCTGACAACCGGCCCCCAATATCTAGTCTGGCAGGAAATACTGTGCCGGCGACAAGCTGGCTGTTGGCACACCTCCTGTCGCCCGAAACGCCTGATGACGTGCTCGGTCGAGTGACGAAAGAGGTGGAAAATGCAAGGCAACCCGACAACGGGGTGAACATGGCAGTGCTGATGGCCCAGCCACTCTTGAATTCAGCCTTTACGGAGATGATGAGACATTACGTCGATTGTCTCGTCACTCGCCAGTTGAAGACGGATTTGGTGATGGATGGGTATCTGCTGCGCAAGGACGATTTGATCATGGCACCTAGTTCGTTGAGCCAGCACGACGTGTTTTGGGAACGAAACTATGAGCCTTCTGCGTATACATGGTACGCAGAACGATGCATGAGACGACACGATGATCAACGACAAATCGCCGGCGAGTCAAACTTCTTCAGCTCTTCCTGGGCCGCGGGGAAGTACTTTCCTTTTGGCGGAGGGACTCACATCTGTCCTGGCCGCGTGTTTGCCAAACAGAAGGTCCTGGGTGCCGTGACAGCCTTCTTCCTCAAGTTTGATGTGCAATTTGTGGAGTACTCGGGCAAAGATTGGATGGGAAACGTAGTGGGTTTGGGTAAAGACGCTTCCGCATTTCCCAGAGTCAAGCAGCAATATGCCGGCAATGGGACGCTGGCAATTGACGGAGACATTCGAGTGCGAATAAGAAGGAGGTGATCTTCACTTTGCTCTCACCGCCAGACCCTAAATTCTCAAGTACGGAGTAGTCGTCAACACCAAAAAACCTTTCCGCACTGTGCTGTTGGTGGTGGTGATGTTGATGTCGTTTGAGCATCCGTGAAACGTGAAAAACCGAGTCGGTCAAGGGTTAGAGGATACAATTGCCCTGAGTGACGCCTTTTCCAGGTTTCCTCTAGCCATGGAATTCTTTTTCCAGAAGGCACATCATTGTTGCAACAGCCGTGGCTGCCGCGCGGGTATATCCTCACAGTACAAGGGCGAAGATCTTGCCGGAAAATCATCTAGGACGACTTCGCGCAGGGGGGAATATGGTTTTGACAGTTGATCATCACCTGTGTGAGTGGTTGCAGCAAGGGCTGGTGAAACAGGGAGGAATTTGCTGGACGATGATCTCTCGACTGAAAGAGATGAACTCCAACAGTCCATGGCGTCATCATTCGCCCCAAAAGCGACAAGGGTTGGAAGCAGGGATTGCTAAGAAGGGGCCCAAGTAGGGTCAGAAATTGACTTCCAGGGCAGGGATTCAATCACGGTATACGGAGTACATAGGTTTTTTGATACGACATATCTCTTATGGTGGTGGTATATATAAGTCAAAATGGTTTGTTGTTTGATGGAAAGGGATATCCTGGCCATTAGTAGTACTCCGTACTTTGTACGCATAGACCCCTAAACAATTCATTCTTCCCTCACCAAGGAAAATGTGTTTGTGTACCGATTGTACGTCAAGGATCAGGTCATCGGCATCTTTCCCGGTATTGTGTTATTGGTGTGCAGGGTCTGCGCGTAGATCCGACCCAAATGTCACCGGACATGAAATGGTCCCTGCATTCCTCAACCAGTCGTATCTCGTTGTTACTGTCGGGGGCCATCTGGATAAATGCACCCTGGTCAGTATCCCGGTACGGTAGACCCTGGAAGGGGACTCGAGCAAGGGACCAAAGTGAAATCTCCGACAAATGTGTTTTGCAAAAAAGGAACCCTGAGGCTGAACTCTTTCTTATGTGCGAGGTAAAAATCCCCAGGGTCTCTCTATGTACAAGTGCGAATCGAAGCGTCATCATCCATATCGTCATAGTGGTGGCAAGGATAAGAAAAGCCTGAAACTTGGGTTGGGCAGGGGTAGGCGAGGTAGGCTAAGGCCTTGAAGGAGTAACAAAAAAAGAGCCTTTGTCACCGGGTCGAAAGCGTGTAACAAGTCATCTCGCTTTTTAAAAAGCCGGTTGAATCAGAAGAAAGCCTGCACAAGGGTTGTCATCTGATGAAGAAGAAAGAAGTTTGCTTCGTGGATGAATTGTCGCTCGTTGCCTTTGTCAGCCCTTTTGCTGTCTCGAGTTGAGTGACTGGTAGGAAAGTTCCTCCACCTGCAAGCAGCTAAAAGTGAAGATCTCTTTTTGGATTGTAACAACACATCCACTTGGTCTACTGTACGAGACGAGCACTGTACAATTGACTAGGGGGGTAACTTCTTCAGATAGAGGCAATCCACGGCGACAAGAGGGAAGAGTAGGTAGGTCTATTTTCATCGTTTCGGTGACCATAATACGGAATTTCTGCTCTACTCTCTCCCTCTCTCTCGCTCGCTCGCTCGTACTCGTAGCCGGGAAAAAGGTGTCACCTGTTTCGCTTCGGTCAGCAGGAGATAGAAAAAGAGCGGCTGGTTGGTCGAGATGGAGCTGGTCAGTGTTGATCCGGCGTCTGGTGATGGCAAGGGATGAATGTAGATCGGCTGTTTTGATTGGGATTTATGATCATCGACGTCAAGCTGCATTGTTCCCTGGTTGCCCAACCACAGCCTGCCACAGCCTGATCAAGCCAAGAAGAGACGCTTCTCCCTCGCCCTTTTCTCGCCCTTTGTATGTGTGTGCGTGCAAAAATCCACCTCGCCGTCGCTCTCTACTGGCTCTACTTGGTTGTCTACTACAGTCCATCCCACGGCCTTGTCCCGACTTTCCGTTTCGTCAATCTCTGACAAGGCCCTCGACTATCCCTTCCCTCTCCTAGCCATCATCACCGTCATCATCCATTCGCCACTCTTCCACTCGGTCTCCATCCACTACTGGTCCCGTGGCACACGCACGGCCTCGCCTCCCGTTCGTTCACACTGCGAGCAAAACCACGTTTCCCAGCACCGTCATATCCCTCCTCTAGGGCGTCCTTCTCCCCAACAGCCTTGCGCCACTTGCCACCCATCGTCATCGCTCCGGTAAGATCCAGCAAAAGAGGTTACAAGGGCGCAGGGACTTTGGACTCAAAAAAAGTAACAAGACACTTCGACAATCGTTTGGCCATTGTTTGTTCAAAGACAATCCGCAGCGTGAAACAATTGCTTCTTCCTCCGACTCCTTCTCGTGTGAAACCCACAACAGAGCGGCAACATTGTTCCATTTTGACTGCTCCTTGCCCACAAGTCAAGGCCTCCGTTGTTGCCGATCAAGCCCCCTCTCTCTGAACGACGTAACCCGCCCGTGGCACAAGCGAGGCAGAAGTCCCCACCAAAAGACCCCCCAGGACTGCGCCAACTACTGCCAACGAGGCAAGCTATGGGCCTGCTTGGTTACCTTTCCTGGGTACCGCGGCAAGCAGAACCAAAACTCGACGCCGCCAATCCTACTTGCTTGGGCTTTGATCATCACAACCCAAGGCAAAATCTAAGTTAATCATCCACTCGACTGACGCTGTTTCTCGCACACGAACCTCTCACACACCGACAGCCTCTGACCCTGTTCGCCCGGAAACCCAAAATTCCTTCCCCTACTCCATCCTCTCCCCCCGAGTACTCATACTGCTCCCGTCCCGCCAAGCAGCTACCTCGACACCCTAGGACAGTGCATTGCCGGATACTTGTTCTCACACACCTTGCCATTCCTCTTTCCTCTTCTGCAAGCCACCGCTATACCTCCAACAACCGCTTGTCTGGCCCATACCGATTCAACGGGGTCAGCCTCGTTGAATGTCTGGACAACTCCCCTCGACCGCCCTCAAGTAGTAGTCAGTGCACCCTCTGCGCGAAAGAAAAAAGGACAGGCCAATGCGTCCTTCGACACCTCCCGGAATTAGGTCGACCAGAGCTGTAATAACAAGCCGGGCGATTCCAAGATCCCGTACTGAAAGTGTCGACACCAAATGCACAGAGGTCCATCATCGCCCCAGACTACGGGTTTCTTTCCTCGACCTTTCTCTATGACTGGGTCGCATCCTACAGAAATCCCCGTCCGACCTTCGATATCACCGTCGATATCAAGCGGCTCCTCCTCTTCTTCCTCTTCCGACTCTGACTGTTCGAGTCACCACCCAACCTCTTCTCGGCCGGGGTCCAGACGTTCACGTATGGACAGACCTCGACTGGGTGACAGACAACGATCCAACACGATCATAGTACCCAAAGGGCGAGACGTGGTCCAAAAGGAAAAGCCGCAATACCCACCAGACGACGCTAGAGCCATGAGTCCGCGAAGGAACAGCGAAGACATTGAAAGACTGGAGCGAGGTGTTCGCGAGAGCCTCAAAGAGTATGTTTGGCCCCCTGGTTGCCCGTCGTTTGGTTGTAAAAAAAGACACAAAAGCACTGACATTTGTTTCTCAACAGACAAGCTCGAAGTCTTCAGTCTTCACTAGCCGCATTGGCCGAAAAAATAGACGAGGTCAAGAGTGATCACGACAAACTGGAAAACGAGAATCGCTTTCTGCAAGATTACATTGGTGGTCTCACGAGGACCATGTCGAGAGACAATCTGGGCAGAAGTGGCAGCGTGAGAAAAGGCAAACGATGAACGACTTTTACGACTCCCGCATATCCCCTCCCTTTCGTGGTCGCCGCCGACGACCATCTGTTACAGCATCGCGGTTTGGAACGCACAGTTAATATGATCCCAGATCCGCGTTACCCTCAGGAATACGTGCGAGGGCAAAAAGAATCTGGGATGGAGAGTTTTGTTTCGCCATCATTCGTTCAGAGTTACATTTTTATGATACCCACGCCTTCGACACTGGCTGCGCACAGGAAACGAGGTCACTTTATTTGGACAAAGCCTCCTGGATACTTATCGTCGTCGGCAAGTTTCATTCGACGAGACATTATCCGCGACCGTTTTGGATTTTTTCTTTCTCTTTTATACAGGTTTCCATCGTCCTTGAGACCGGTTTGTGCTCATCATGGTTGCCGGAAGGGGAGAGCCTTCGTGGTATGATCTCAAGGAGCTGCATACTTCTGTACAATATAGGGCGGGGGAGCATATCATGGCGTTTTTATGTTGCAAGGGTTCTGATGGGGGCAATGCAAGAGGTCACTCACGGTTTGCCAAATCCCTTGTTTTTGGATCCGAGTGTACATTGCTGAAAAAGACCGGGGTTTGTTTTTTACAATGGAAAGAAGGGTTAATGATGACAGTACACAGCTGGCCGGTCAGCTATGACGACCAATCATGTGGCATCTAGCTGATGCTTTTTTTATGACACAAAGCTTCGATAGCTACAAACAAAAAGACAGGAACCAGGGGAAGGAGAGAGAGGGAGAGAGAAAGGCACTGACCAAGTGTAGTGTTCTTTTGGGGTCGTCGTTGGTCTTCCCTACCTACCCTTCCTTGCGAGGGGGGTTAGTTTGGTATATGTTGCCGATGTACCTAGGTATCGAGTTCCTCTGGTCCTTTGGCTTGGTGAGGTTTTATGATGCCCAAAGCTTCACACCTTGCCTGCAATGAAAATTGCACTTATTACATTTTACATCTCACAAGTCTTTTACAAATGTGTCTTTTATTGCGGCTGTAGTTGTAGTTGTTGTTGGGCTGCGACACATCTTGGGCTTGATTTTTTGTCCCTGTATGATGAGTGTCAGTGTCCCGTAGTCCTCCGACTGGGGGTCCCCTTGTCGAGACCACGAGTATTGTTGTCATTGCATGTACGGAGTACTTTTGTTTCTTGGTTGATCCGTATGAATGATAGGTATTGCCCCCAAGGTGTGTCCCCCGACTACCTACCTCGGTATTTCAATGTGGTCCATTCCTAACTTTCATAGACCGATACTAGACAAAACCAACGCCGCAACATATACAGTGAGTGCACGGTACAAAGTACAATTACTACAATAAAAAAGCGAAGGTAGGTAGGTAGGTACCTACAAGTAGTGTGCCTAGCCAGGGATTACTTTATTTCGATCCGGGTTCTTTGTGAGAATCTACCTGACTGTACTATCAGGTAGAATGTTTGATACTGGGGTATCATCGTCCACTCTACTTCCCTACCTACTCAGCTCAAGGTAGGCGTTGCTTCAGACTCTGTACCTTTTTTTTTGTAGGGGGTTCCATTTAGATTTTGGATCCGGATTTTTCTCTTCTTCTTTTTGTTCTCATACCGGAGGCAATTGAAAGATATCCCGAGATTCACGGTGTAGAATGTACTTGGTGGGTGGGTTGGATGCTCCGGAGGTACGGTGTATTGATCAGTTACGAAAGCGGTCATTACGATACAATTACAGTACGGGTATTGTACCGTAAAGAATACAACGCCGGACTTTTACAGGATGTGGACCGAACTTTTACTACTCTCTAGCTAGGTACCTAGGCTATGGAGACCAGAGAGTGAGTGAGTTGACTTTGAAAAAAACTGGTTTGAACATTTCTTTTTTGTTCTTCATTCCACGTCTTTTACATCGATACAGTGTGTTTCCACTGTATTCTATAAAAAAAGCTTTTGGTTTGTCAAGGTAGGAATGGCCAACAGCATTCAAGGTTGAACGTCCGCAACGGCCACACCGACGGTCTGATCTGCTTGACCGTAATACAAAAACCATTTCCCCTTGAACTGGACCAAGCCCTCGGCGAAAACCACGAGGTCGACTTGACCCTCCTCCTCTTCCGGAGTGCTCGGTACGAGAAAGGGGGTCTCGAGGCGTGCGACGGGATGTTGGTAGCCTTTTTGTGTCTTTTGTGCACCTTCATCGCACAACAGACGATTTTGTGCCGCCTGGGAAATTTGTTGGGCTTTTCCCTGCGACACAATGAGGTTGTGAGAATGACCGTTCCGGTGCATTGAATCCGGTACTATAAATGACGGTGAATCGTGTTCAACTTCGCTCGCCGGATTGAGTAGCATTTGTCCAACGGAATATTGTGTTGCTCTATATCCACCTTCACCTGTAGTCATGGCGTTGTAAATCTACTCGTAAAACGATAAGCTTCAGTTTCAGAACGGATTTGATCTCAAGGTACCGGTTTCGTGTGGGATTGAATAATGGCAATGTGCAATGTTGACAACTCACCAACAACCAGCGACCATCTCTGGTTTTGACCGGTGCAGGTCCAGGCTCGATCAGTCCATTTTCCCAAGGATATACGGGCGCCGCGAACGGTACTTTGGACGTGGTCCAATTCAGGAGGTCGGTGGAGGTTGCGTGATAGAAGACACTATCGCCGAAATACATATGGTAGAATCCATCAGCCGTCGGCTCGGTGACTATCGCACCGCCTTTTTTGTTCATGTCGCAGTAAACTTTTAGCTACACCGTGTCAATACTCTAGCAGCCAAAAGACTTACTCTTCGTGTGGTCCATGCCAGCTGCTCCCCCAACGACATCATGAGATGTCATGAAGAGGGGTGGATATTTGGTCCAAGTCAACAAGTCCTCGCTGGTGGAGATGCACAGTCGGGGCGTCTGTAAATCGAACGCCGTGTAGGTCAAGTAGAACGTGCCATTGACACGGACGATCCTTGGATCTTCAGTCCCACCGCCCATTTCCCAGTCTTCTGTGGCCGAGAAGATGGGTCGATTCAGTCTTGTGAAGTTGTACCCATCACTCGCCCACGCAAGCCCGATGGCTGAAGTTTTGCTAGCGTTTTGAGCTCGGTAAAGCAAGAAGACTGTTTCATTGAGGACCATGGCGGTCGGATTGTAAACGTATGCCGACTCCCAGTCATTCTTGACGTTTGGTGTCAGTATAGGGTTTTGAGAGTATTTGTGAAAAGGGAGGATGGGAAAAATTGGGGCAATAAAGCCGGGATCTCCTTCGAGAGTATGACGATTGATCTCAAATGGGAGTTGAGCTTCTTCTGAGAGTCTATAGGCAAATGTAGATGAAATAAAAAGGACGAGCAATTGAAAAGCCCGGATCAAGTCTTTCATGTTTCTGGGCATCGCCTTTTAACACGAGCGACTGGCTGGGCAATGTTCAGACCCTCAACATGAATGAGTGTTTAAGATGATACTTAGATGTATCATTGGGAAAAGATATTGAAGTAGAAGCAGAGACCATCAAGCCTGGTGCTCTGTACCACTGCGAGGAACACTACTAGGTGGTGGTAGAAGTAGAAGTTGTAGGTTATCAAGGGGTGAAATGATCGAAAGGGCCAGGACTGTGATATGCCGCTAATCCATTTAGAGCTAGTGCACCAATGCGTCCCCAACCGGGACTAGCGTAACAACTGTCCATCTTCAACTGTGATGAGCAGCTCATCCTTGACACTTTAACGATTCAACTGTGGTAAGAGCCACACCAGTCGATGGTAACCGACATCTACGATTAGGGCAACCCAAAGAGTGCGCTGAGTGTGCTCGAGAAAATGCCTGAACTTGCCAGACATGCAGGTAGGTGCGTTCGTACATGTACTGAAATCCTGGAGGAGTACTGCGAAAGTAAGTGAGACGTAGCCAGGTGCTCTACTCGATTGTATTCACCAACAAGTTTACGATTGGCATCCCTGTGCCTTGTTGGCTCCCTACCTGTCTGATCATCGGCCCCAGCTGAGTTATGTTGCGACCTTCGTTGGGAAAAGGACAACTGAATGAACCAAGACACATTCCCAGCAACATGAATTGTGATTATCGTCTGATATACGATTGTCCTCCTACGCACATCTTGCAAAGTGAGAGAATGCGGGTGGTTTCAAACCGCCGACAAAGTAGCACAAGCTACCATTTCCACCAATGCTAATGCCTGCCAGGGTCTCGGGTAAATGTTACCACCTAAACCTCTTTGGAGTCGACATTCTTCTCATGAACTTCTGCGACATGGTCATCGCTACCATGTCCATGCTCAACGACTGAAACTCGTCGATCGAGACCAATCTCAGCATTGATCTGTCGCATACGCTCCTTATCTGCTTGAGCGACTCCGCTTGAGCCGAAGACCAAGTCCATCTCTTCCAGTGATAGTTGTTTGGTCTCAGGGACTGTTGGTTATGATTAGCATTGTGGGTCATTAGACGAAACGTTTCTGCTTACCGAAGAACCAGATGAACCCTGCACCAATGGTGATCAAAAGTCCGAAAAGGATGAAGGTGCCGTATCGAATTCCTGTGATCATGTCTGGTGTGACTTGACCGACGATGAAGTTGTTCATCCAGTTGGATGAAGCTCCAAGGGCAATACCATATGGACGCGCCGATAGAGGCCAGACTTCTGCGACCACGATCCAGGCGCTGGACATGTGTTAGTCTCTTGCCAGTCACGGAATTTGTATGCACCTACCAAGGACCCCAAGACCAACCGAAATGGATGACGAAAAGCCAGACCATGACGATGGCTGCCCAGCCTGCTGCGTGGTGGGTAGGCCACTGATGTTCGTTCTTCGCAAATATGATGGCAATGATGAAGTGGCAAAGACCCATGCCTAAAGCTCCAATGGCCAGCGCAGGCTTTCGTCCCATTCTGTCAATGTACAAGATTGCAGGAATGGTAGCAAGGAACATTGCGATACCGACGACACCAGTTGCAAGGAGCGAGGTGGTGTTGGATGAGAGTCCGAGAGAGCCAAAAATCTACAAATGTAAGCTTCAATTTGTACAAGCTTTCTTTATCGAAGAAACTTACCTGTGGGGCGTAGTATAGAACGGCGTTGATACCTGTCCACTGCTGGAAGAACATCGTAACTGTTGCCACAATTACGCGGCGGAACATGGGCATGGTCTTGAAAAGTGAGGCGATAGCTACAAACTGCAGCTTAATGGTGTTCATAGGCGTCAGCTCTTTCAGATGAGGGAAGTTGGCCTCAACGGTCCGCTTTTCAAACATAGACTGAGCCTTGATTTCGAGGTATTCGAGTTCGATAAGCTCATGGTCTGGAGGCATGGCCCGAAGAACCGACAGTGTCTTTCTTGCATCTTCCTCTCGGCCGTGATGGATGAGCCATCTGGGTGTAAATGGCATGAAGATCATTCCAACGAGCAAGACCAGAGCAGGAGCCAGCTGAAGAGCCAGTGGAACGAGCCAGGCAGCATCTGATTGCGAAGCACCGGTGCCTCCGATGTAATTGGTGCCATAGTCCTACCAAGGTCAGTACATGGGGTCTCTTGATGAAAGCTCGTGATACATACGATCCAGAAGCTGACCATGATACCAAACTCAATGGCAAATTGTTGCATACCGATGAGCAGACCTCGAAGCTCCGGCGGTGCACATTCAGCAACGTACATGGGGACGATCATCGACAGAGATCCGACACCCATACCGACCTGATCGGATTTCAGTGTCAGAGGAATCTGCAAAACAGCATCATCATGTGCTTCTACTTACAACGAAACGACCGCCCAAGATGGAAGAATGACCACCGGAGACGGCTGTGCACTGAATGATGACGCCGATAATGAAAACGACGGTATTAACAATGATTGCATATTTTCTCGAGATGATTTCAGCGAGGAAACCAGAGTATAGGGTGCCAGTCCAGGCTCCCAATTCGAGAATGGATGTCAGCCAGCCCTTTTTGGTTGTGTTCGAGACGTAGTCTCCCATGTGACTGTTAAACGAAGTCATGGTCCTGCATAGAGATCTTGTCAGCTCGATGTCTTTTGGAGAGACTGGAAGGACAAGCTTACAAGACACCACTGAAGACACCCTGATTGTAACCGTATAGAAGACCACCGATGCAAGCGAAACAGGTCAGACCAAACACCCGGATGTTTCTGATCAAAGCCTGCGGGCCGGCCTTGCCTGTCAATTCCAGGCGGTGCTGAAGAGCAGCATCGCTGAACTGCGAATTCTTGACTGGGGGCGCCATGTTTCGATACGCTACGATGGCTTTTGTGACAATGAAATAATGACTCTGAAGCAATTGAAGATTGCAACATCTCATATAAGAGCGATGGCCGCGCTATAACACCACAAAGGCCACCCCCCCTACCATGCGGTCTTCAGGCTAATTCGGAATTGCAACGGCACATGGACGAGGACAGGGATTTTCTCGATCGCACAGACACGAGGTTTAGCTCTGTCAATGGGCTTCTATTCGAAGTCTAGCAGGACGTACCCTGGCAACGTCTAGCAGGGCTGCCCACCGGCCGGCAGAAAGCACAGCGAAGCATTCTATCACACTACTTGGCTGTGTGGGTCAAAGGCTTCGCTATGAGGATCGGCACTGGATCCCTGTAGCTCCCGTGTCGAAAAGGAAGCTTGCCAACAAAGTCGACAAACCTCCGCATTGGAAAGAACGGCCGTCTGACTGGAGGTTTAGGAGTGCATCGGCCAAGGTAGGCGCATGTTGGCATGGTATATGGCGAGGGTCCAAACGTCCAATTGCCAGGTCAGACTGAATGAGAAAGTGCAGAGTAGGGTCGAGGTGTGATCGCGCCACCCGCGCCTATTGACGTACTGGCACTCGTACTCGTACACACCACGGACGGTTATGCAAGTCAATCCGAGTTGCGGGCGAAGTTTCCATGGAATCAGCAGGCCGATTGTCTTTCACACCGGCCAATCTCTCGTTTCATGATCGACGAGCATCATGAGAGGCTGATTTTTTGTTCACGGTCTCCATGCCTCCGCAGCTCATTTCGCCTCCACCTCCACATTTCCAGCTGGCTATTTAGCCTGAAATCCCTCCGGTTATCGAGCTCCTCTGGGTGTCATGTTTTTGTCTATTATCCATCCATGACTACGGAGCACAATGGGGTACATCAGGCACCTTCCTTGCATCTTCTACGTTACACTCACATCCGAAGCATTGCGAAGTGGCCTGCCGTACAGCCGTATGGCCGATCGAATGCCTAAGTCGGTGCACCCTTGCAAGGTATAGCTAAACTGGCCAGGAGTATCCCATGCAAGAGGACTGTGTACACAATTCCCGCCGCATTACATCCAATGACGACAGCATACTTGAATGAATATGTTCACAACCTTCCAAGTCCAGGTTAACGCGTGCGTTGTTTTGCAGAAGGTATCCCTGGTCAAGCTTGTTCCCCATGTACACGGTCATAGACTTTTCATCCCCGACATGCATGGTAGCTACTGGTGGACGCTTGCTCGTCGAGGCATGCCCCTCTCCAAAGAGGTGATGATCGACTTCTCTCTGCTCAGGTACAGCTGGTTTGCGGCAATCACAGTCGGAGGATCGTCGTCGCCAAACTGCCTAGCGGTATACGACGACATTTCTGTTCTCCAACTCGGCCTTGCGAAAAAAGTTCAATAGCGAAGATTGTAAAGCGGAGATCGTGCGGTTTATTCATGCAAAGAAAAGTGCGGTGATCGGTAAGTCGATTTCGTCAACAATTCCGACCGCAGGAGTCTCCGTGGATAAAAAGGACCATGGTCGCTCGCTTGGAATCGTCTTGAGTTAAGTCTGTAGGTGCTTCGAGAGAAAGAGTGACTCCTTTCATTGAATCATGGCGGCACTGATCACCAGCGTTCTGGCCTTGCTGGCTGCTCCAGCCCTGGCAGACTTGTTTCCTGACTGTGTGCATGGGCCTCTGTCCAACAACACCGTATGTGACACCAGCGCACCAGCTGTGGCACGAGCACAAGCTCTCGTCGCCGCTTTGACTATCGATGAGAAGTTCAATTTGACAGGAAACACCTCACCTGGTGTACCGCGACTAGGCCTGTACAGTTACCAGTGGTGGCGTACGTTTTCCTCCCCGTGTGAGAATCTCAAGGGGTATAAATGCAGCACTCTGACAAGACAATGCAGAGGAGGCGTTGCATGGCGTCGCCAGCTCCCCAGGAGTCAACTTTAGCAGTTCCGGAGACTATTCTCACGCGACGTCGTTCCCGCAGCCCATCACCATGGGTGCGGCTTTCGATGATGCATTGATCCACGCGGTTGCAACTGTTGTCAGTACCGAGGCGCGAGCCTTCAACAACGCGAACAGGAGCGGATTGGACTACTGGACTCCAAACATCAACCCCTATAAGTGAGTTGGGTGAATCTTTTGCAAAATCTCGCGCCCTCAAGACGACAAGGAGGGGCTTGGGCTAATCTCATACACCAACAGAGATCCTCGATGGGGAAGAGGACAAGAAACTCCAGGCGAAGATCCGTTCCACCTCAAATCGTACGTTGCTCAGCTCATCGACGGACTCCAGGGCGGCCACGACCCGCCGATCAAGAAGGTGGTGGCCACTTGCAAGCATTTCGTTGCCTACGATCTCGAAATGTGGGAGACGAACGATCGATACAACTTTGACGCCATTGTCACAACGCAAGATCTAGCAGAGTATTACATGCAGTCATTCCAGACGTGTGCTCGGGATGCTGCCGTAGGGTGAGTCGGCCCATCCTTCGTGGAGTTTGTTTTTAGCCTGAATTACCCCTTGCTCTCCCTCCCCCCTCTACGGGATCCCCGGGCGTCCCAAGGCGAAAGAAAGAATGGGGACATAGTTAGCTGACATATCAACAGGTCTATTATGTGTTCATACAATGCTTTGAACGGTGTACCCACGTGTGCCGACCCATACATCCTCCAGGACATTCTCCGAGATCACTGGAACTGGACCGGCGATGGACACTACGTGACATCGGACTGCGATGCTATCCAGAACATCTATGCTCCTCATTACTATGCCCCGACTCAGCAGCAGGCCGTGGCTGACGCTTTGATTGCGGGTGCGGACTTGAATTGTGTATGTTGTTATCCCACCGGCTACTGCGCCTTCGAGAAAGGAGAATAGTGTTGTACTAACCTCCTCAAACAGGGCACATACTACCAAACATGGCTCCCACGAGCCTACGATCAAGGTCTCTTCAACGAAACGGTCATCGACCAAGCCCTCGTCCGCCTGTACACGGCCCTCGTGAAATTGGGCTACTTTGACCCTGCGTCCGCCACTCCGTACCGCTCCCTGGGCTGGTCCGATGTATCGACGCCGGACGCTGAAGCCCTCGCCCTCAGAGCGGCCGAGGAAGGCATCGTCCTCATCAAAAACGACGGCACTCTTCCCCTACAACTCCCCACCGACCACAACACCACCATCGCGTTGCTCGGCAGCTGGGCCAACGCCACGACCATGATGCAAGGCAACTACTACGGCGTCGCACCCTACCTGCACTCGCCGCTCTACGCCGCTCAGCAACTCCCCAACGTCAACGTGGTGTATGGCGGCGGATTCGGCGTGCCCACGACGGACGGGTGGGATGAACTGCTCGGGGCCGCCGAGGAAAGCGACATCATCGTCGTCGCCGACGGCATCAGCATCGCCGACGAGTCCGAGGGGATGGACCGGTACACGATCGACTGGCCGCCCGCGTCCATCGACCTCATTTCCCAGTTCGCGAGCATGGGCAAGCCGGTGGTCGTGTTGCAGATGGGAGACCAGATCGACAACACTCCCTTGCTGACCAACCCCAACATCTCGGCCATCGTCTGGGGTGGGTACCCGGGCATGGCGGGCGGCGACGCCCTCATCAACGTCCTGACGGGGAAGTACGCCCCCGCCGGTCGCCTCCCCGTCACCCAGTACCCCACCAACTACGTCGACCAGATACCCCTGACGGATATGGCGCTGCGTCCGAACAAGACCTCGGGGTCCCCCGGCAGGACGTACATCTGGTACGAGGACTCCCCCGTCGTGCCCTTCGGGTTCGGCATGCACTACACCAATTTCAGCGTGTCGGCGGGCCAGACGAGCTCGTCGACCTACGACATCTCCCAGCTCGTGTCCGGGTGTGACGGCAGCCAGTACCCTTACAAGGACCTCTGCCCGTTCGAGACGGTCAACGTGACCGTCGCCAACACGGGCAAGGTGACGTCCGACTTCGTCGCCTTGGGCTTCATCAGTGGCCAGCACGGTCCCCAGCCGTACCCGAACAAGCAGCTCGTCGCGTACGAGAGGCTGTTCAACGTCTCCGCGGGCGCGTCGGCCGGCGCCAGTCTGAACTTGACGCTGGGGAGTCTCGGGAGACGTGACGAGGATGGCAATCTGGTCTTGTACCCCGGGGATTACGGCGTCTTGATCGACGTGCCCACCCAGGCAATGGTCAATTTCACCTTGACCGGGTCTCAGGCCACGTTGGACCAGTGGCCTCAGAGACCGAGTCAGGGATAAACTCGTCAACCGACTCGATGTGGTTTGAGCTATATCGCATGGGTCTCGATCTCGAGGTTACAGGGAAACCTTTCGTACGTGTCGAAAGGGTATGAGAGCGGGAGGAAAAGAACGGTCGTCGTAGATACGAGTAATGTGGTAGTCAAGTTGCATCCGAAAGAGCCCAAGTCTTGTACATACCTTACAAGGGTACATAATGTAATGAAAGAGAGACACTTTTGATCAAACATCTCCTTCCCCGGGTCACCATCAGTGGTAGGCAAACGTCCAGAAGGGGAACAGAACGAAAAGTCCACGGTATACGAAAGTAGTTGAGCAACACCACGAACAAATGTGAGAGAGTGAAATCAAGATCACTTTTGGATTCAATCATTTTCTATCGACGACGACGCTGATTAAAGAATTGAAGAGTCTCATGCTCCTCCAATCTAGTTCTCCTGAAACGAAATCATTCTTGTTCCTTTGTCTTTGAACAATTCACTAATGATCACGTCGTCGTCGCTCGTGTGATGAACAAGTTTGGGAAAAGCCATTCAATGCACTTGCATCTTCATACGCAGAACCGCTGACCAACTTCTGCTGCAACACCCCTTTTGTGCCAGTTGAAAATCCAACCGTTACGCGCAACAACATCACCCCTCTGCCATTTTCAACGGCCCATGAAGTTGTGTTTGTCGCTCCTTTTGCCAGCTTCAACGCTCCGTGGTGGTTTTGTTGCTCAATCAGCAGGAAGCGGTGGTCAGTAGCGTTGCACGACTAGGTCGTGAAAAGGTGACTTTCGGTGACTGCGGAGTTGTTGTCGAATCGGTGGCACTGACGGCGAGATTCCATTGTCGCATGTTCGTGCCATCTGCAGTCCACGCGCTTGGTCGGGTCCATCAGCCTGCCTCTGACCTCTTCCTCCCTCAGCCTGTCGACTCTTTGCACAAGTCTCAAGAAGGAGGTGGAGCGGTCAGGGACATGGTCATTCTCGGTGCTTTCGTCGGCGACGACATAGTCCCAGTCTTCCTCCGATCCGTCCTTCGTCCAGCCCTGCTTCAAGATCTTGTAGGCGACGCACTCAAGCACGTAGTCGTCGAGCAAGTCCGTGGCCGGGTCATCGCACGTGGCAACGAAGAGGTCAGGTGGTGCCCAGTCGTCAAGGGCCCATTCGCTCTGCACGGCATCGACGATGAGATTTTTGAAAGTTGAAGATCCCAGGAAATTCGCAAAGGCATAGGTACCTCTGAGTTCTGGGAGTCCTCCGCCGGCAGTATCTTCAGACAAGTCGACCTTGCCTTGATACAGCGCGTCCAGCCAGCACCCAAACATCTCCGCGTCGCACCCTTTTGGTGGTTGCAGACGGACGACGTCGCGAGGTGGTGCCGTGTCCAGAAGGATCTTGAAGTATCGCGAGTGATGCACGAGAAACGACTTGTTGACGTAAAAGACGTTGGACTGGATGAGATCGGTAGGTGTTTTGACGAAGTCTCCCTCGTCGCCAACAATCACCTTGATGGCCGGTGACTGAGCGTGCCTACAACAACAACAATGTCAGCTGGTGAGGTTTCTGAGAAGAGTTGAACAACGTACACTGCGCTCATCTTTGATTGATCGATCTTGGTCTGATCACTGAGAGTAGCCATGTTGTTGTCGTCGACTAGCATGGGGGAGAACTGAGAGGGAGGATGCGGACGAAAGTGGGAGGAAACAAAACGATACGACCGAAACATGGCTGGAAAGACGCGCGTATATACCATGCGTGAATCAACATCAAGTATTGGTGAATCGTGCCGTGACGTCGTTGTCACGCGTCTCATGAAGACAGATGAGTGACAAGTGAATCGTTGTGTAGGCAGTGGTGGTGAAAGTCACGGCTTGTTCTTTCTTCACTCCAGCTTTGTATTGACGGCGAAGTGATGCCAGCTGTCCTCAGCCTCAATGTTTGATTCTTTCAACTTCTGGCTTTGAAAAACCACTGCCTTGTTTGGTCATATGATGCTGAACGTTAATGTCGAGGGCAAGAGAGGATGATGGCATCAGAGGCATCTCGGAAATTGTGGCCCATACGCGACGCAATCGCTGTCCATGTCCAACGGTGTATTGCAATCTTGTACACATCTGAGCAATGTCCTGGTGAGACTGCCATGACTTCACCATAACTCAGCCCCTTGACATATGAAATGCTGAACAGACGTATGTTGTCATATATTTATATGTCCTCATTCCAAGATCTCGACTGATCTTGCGATTTCCGAGGGAATATTACTCAACCCATGACAATGTCACATCTTCCATCATATCAGTAAAACCAGTATACTGTCCAAACACAGAGTCCCAACGAGCCCAGTCAAACCCGAAGTCTTCTGCCGCAGAAGGCGCCGATGTAGTATTCTGAGTCTCCTTATATGTACCGAAAGTTTGCTCGTTTGCTTGAATGCCATGACCAGTTTGCATTCCAGAAGAATCCAATCCATTTCCATTTGGTCCTCCAAAGCTCTGTTGTAGTGTATTAATTTCCACAGACGGCAGATCACCGTCGGTTTGACTGCCGATATATCCATCCTGCTGAAACAACGGGTCTGCTCCATCGTTTTCCTTCTTGTCGGTGGTATTGTCTGACGTCCCAACCTGACCAGTGCACGGGTGGTAGCCGACTGCGGTGGGTCTGAGGACTGCTTTCCCACTTCCTAAGCACGAGCTAGGGACATCACCACCGACGGCTTGTTGGGAGCATCTCTCCATACAGCCACTCAATGGGAAAGGCATTTTCTGCTGTCCTTCTAATTGCGCTAGCTTGAGACCATGACCTCGACGGTCTCCATTTTCGATATCACGGAGAAATCTGTTCCTGACTGCTCGAGAACAATTGTACTCGTCGACTTCCTTGTCACCATTCAATTCGCTGGACGCCAGGCTTACCATGTATCGAATTCCCTGTTCTGTTGATTGATTTCTAAGGTCGGTTTTGGTAGCAAGATTAAGGTTTGCTTGCCCGTCCCCAGTCTCATAGATGCTGTCCTCCCTCAAACTCTGGGCTATCTTCTGGGCATCTGTGAGGGGAGTCGCAAGACCTAGCTTGAGTTGATCCTCCTGGGTCCAAAGCACGTTGGGGTCAAGTCCTGCCATCTGCCAGGCAGCGGAGCGAAGGCCTCGCAACATATCCCACGGTTCCACGCCACCTTCGCGGAGAGGCCTTTGAATGGTGACCCCATTGGGACCCCCAACAATTCCAGCCCGCGGATCGGAAAGTGAGAAGACCTTGTCAATGAGTTCCCTGGACCGCGGTGCTTCCACACTGTCAGGCTGTGCGTAGAGATCGACGAGCATGATCAGTCCGGCATGTAAGGGGCCGTACATTGCGGGCCAAGTCCATCGGAAGGTTTCAAGGTCAGGATCTTCCACCAAGGAGATGAACTTTCTCATAAAACTGTGGCAGTTATGCAAAGCGCACTGCCTCCCAACCGTCCACAGTTTGCTCTTGGCATTTTTCAGAAAGGGAGCATATGCCACACAATGTAGTTTATCTTTCAACATCGAAAGGGTGATACGAGCCCACTTGTTGAAGACCGCCAGTCTCTGTCGATGATAACGTGCAAGGGGCGTTGCTAGATTATCATCGCTCACATAATTCTGGTAGAATGCGAGATCCTTCTCAGTGACGGTACTGCTCATAGACGAGTCGCAGTCGAGACTGTAGGCTTGTCTCGATTTCCCATTGGGTCCTTCAGGAACGAAGCCCATCTCAGGTAAGCCCTTGGCCGGGATCTGAGCGATGATGTCGTTGATCTGCTCCTCAGCTTCAGCCATGACTCTCTTCAATTCTTGCATATCGGTGCTGGTGATCGTTTTAGTTCCTAGGTGGGTATCGACGATAGCACGCAAGGCACATGCCTGAACCGATCTCGCCCTTGCTACGAGGCTCATGGTGCGGTGAAGTGTCAAATTGCCGTTTTCGTCGGTAGAGTGAGTTTCACCCCACGAGAACGGCTTTGGCTTCTTCCCACCCTCAAGGCTTATCGCCTCGTCGTCATCAGAAATGAACGCATCCTTGTCTTCACAATTGATTCTCGTATCAGAGACATTTTCTGAAATTAATGTCGGGTATCCAGTAGAGATGACAAGAGAGGTGTCCAATTGCACCAGTTGCCACCATATTCGGCGACGCATGCCTTCCTCAGCGACGGGTAGGTCAAATAGAGTTGGTTCTCGGTGTAGACCCATCGCCAGACCCAGCCTGACGTTGAGCTGAGTATAAAGGCTGGCTTGGATAGGGTCTTCTTCAGCAATGGGCAAAGACTGCACCATAACCAAGGCAGCGAGCTTCTGGAGGCTAACATCCCGCGTGAAGTGTCCCAGGTGCAGTGTATAGACTACGCTGCCGTGAAATTTGGTAGCCAAGTCGGCACGTGTTGAATCTGGAAACCAACGTTGCAGACCTTTTCTGGATAGGCCGAGTACTCCAGCATACCAGATCACATACATTATGGAGTATATTTCAAGATCCGGATAGTGTAATTGCATTTGTGCCAATCCCACTGTTTCGATTCGATTCCAAAGCATCTCGTGTTTCTCCAAAATTTCACCTGGAATATGAAGAGGTAGAATCGGATAGACGGTTGACAGCCAACATCGGAGAAGGACATTGCTCTGAGCCCTGGTCGGAAAAGCTTTAAAGAGATGGTGGTAGGCAGTTGCGTGTGAGCAATTTATCGGTAATGCTTGTAACAAAGTTGCCTTGGAAAATGGTACTTTTTGACACATGGTACAATCACTGTCGGGATCGTAGGAGTTGGTACCATTAGCCGCAGAGGCCGTCTCAAAACTCATCGGCTCCCAGAAATCGTCCTTGACAGGTTCAACATGTGGTCCATTAGCTGAAGGCCTTGCTTCATCGCAATTTTTGTTCTGCACACTTGTTGTACTACCAGAGACGTTATTGTGACGTCTCATCATGTGGTTAAGCTGATCCAACTCGTCAGAGATATGTATCCAAAATGGATCTTCAACAGTCCGTTTGCTGTTGCCGTTGGTCAATTTGAGACTAGACAAAGGCCGATTCAATTCATTCACGTCTTTTGGTGATCCTGAGTTTCTGGAGCGAAACATCCCGAGACTGAGGTCCGGCCGAGACGCTGTTTCATCCGAATCATGTTCCGACTGGGAAGGCACTGGGGTGAGCAAATCGCGGAGTTGCGACTCGTTGCCTCCAGATTTTCGGAGTGCATCGACCATTGAAGTCAAGCGATGCAACTGCTCCTCGATTGCTTTTAACTGAGGAGGAGGCGGTATCGCCTTGTCCTGAGATGGGCTGGACGACGAGACCGAAGTCGATTCTTGCCTTTCATATGTCGTCCTCCGCTTCTTCGACCCGTCTGATATCTCGGTGGTGGCGATAATGGTTGGTTTGGTTTCATCGTTGTATACACAATCTTCGTTTGCTTTTTTGCATCCCCCACAGACTGGATGTACCTTATCGCATTTTACTTTTCGTTTCCGGCATGTCTGACAGGAGTAACTAATACGATTCCTGGTGATCTGACGTTTCTCACCACCGGAGACTTGGTTACGCGAGGCTGGCATCGTATTATCGACGCTAGCCTCGTGCGAAATATTTCCGGCGCTGAATTGGAACATTGCCTTGAGGATCACGCAGTTTTCTCTGTATCTGAAAATGTTCTCTGTACGCAAGGCAGTTGCAACTGGAGCCTGAGATAACTCGCCAGGTGTGCTGACAAATGCCAACCAGGCGATTTCACGGTGTTGATATTTGATATGATACAAGCACTTGATCGCACCAACAGGGGCATCAACTAGAGCGTCATATAACAAGGACTGATCAGCCAATACTGATGGTTTCTAGCTGCTGAGACGAAGCGTTGTCACCAGTGACTTTTGTTGGAATATCGCCAGGACATTTCCTCGTATCTATGCTACTCCGTAGTCGAGAAAGGGTTGACTAAGCACAGGCGTCATTCATTGGTCAATGCCGAATGAGGCTGCACGAGGCTGCACGGGACGTCATTGGACCGAGTGCGCATGTTGGCAAGCTGGCTTGATTGAGTCGAGTACAGATTACATCCTATATTTCAGCGTGCATCGTTCGTGATTTATTTGGCAATAAGACCTCCTGCACATCAGAGACGAAGTCTTCGTGCACCGCTTCAAAATGCTATCCCGGTGATAGGACGACTGAAACATCAGCAGTATGAGGCGGTTCTTTGCTGAAGTGCTTCTAGGTATGTTCACGCGAGCGCCACAATGCTCTGGATTTAACAGACCGTATAGCACTTTTCTGCGCTCTTGCCATAATTTCCTCACATACGAAAGCCACTGTGCAAGCTAAAGAGACAGTCCGGCAGCTTGTGGACGCTCCGAGCGATCTCATTCCTGACGAAGAGCAGAAACAGAACTACTGGGCAAATGGCGGTAATAATGTGGTTCACGATGTCTGGTCTATCCTACGGGACTTCGAGCCGACCTGGAAAGATAGTGTCACCCCTGCTCAGCCAACTTCTTTACTCGAGAACATCTGGTACTATCTCCGCTTAATCTTCCGCACCCTCTTCATGAACGCACCAGCCCGACACGACGATGAGACACCGCAAGTGAAAGGCGACCTGCGCAAGGCTGTTGAAACACTCAAGACTGCTGCCCTCTTTGAAGACCCAGATGCGATGTTCATACTTGCCGAAATGAATTTCTATGGCAACTTCTCCTATCCACGAAACACCCCCGAATCCCTGGCATGGTACAATAAACTCGCTTCTCTCAATGGCAATAGCACGGCGCAATACATGTCAGGCTTGATATATGGTACTGGGTTAGGTGGTGCCCCCCGTGATCAAGCCAAAGCTCTACTCTACCACACCTTTGCCGCGGGACAAGACAACATCAACTCAGAAATGACCCTCGCATACCGTTATCACGCAGGCGTTGGATGCCCGCGGGACTGCAACAAAGCAGTATCATTTTATAAGCGTGTGGCAGACAAGGCAATGGACTTCTGGGCGGCGGGCCCACCGGGAGGACTTAGCTTCACGCGAAATGCATATCGTTGGGTTGAAGTGGATGGTGGGATCTATGGCGAAGGCGCAAGCGTGAGTTCTTCGGGGCCCAACGCACCAAGAGATGGTGTGATAACTACACACATTGATGACGTGCTGGATTACCTTGACACGAAAGAACGACAGGGGGATTTCACGGCCATGCTTGGAATTGGGAAGCACTATTACGAAGCGCCGCGTGGATACAAGAAAAATTTCCGCAAAGCACACCGTCAGTTTATGAAGGTTGCACGTGCATACTGGGGCAAGGACGGCAAGGTCAGTCCCAAGGCACCCAAGGGCATCGACCGTGTGGCAGCCAAGGCCGCAGCATACCTCGGGCGCATGTTTCTACGAGGTGAGGGTGTCGATCAGAACTTTGAGAAAGCTGCAATGTGGTTCAAACGAGCAATTGCGAATGGCGATAGTTTCGCTCAGTATCATATCGGTCTGATGTACAGGGACGGGCTGGGTGTGCCAAAAGATGGCCTCCGGGCAGGGACATACCTCAAGGCTGCAGCGGAACAGAGTCTACCCATTGCGCAGTCGGCGTTGGGCGTTCTGTTCCTCGATCAGGGTGATATCGAGACGGCGTCGCGTTATTTCGAACTCGCCGCTGGCGCTGGAGTCATGGAAGCATTCTATTATCTAGCCGAACTTACCAATCAAGGTGTCGGACGGGAAAGAAACTGCGGCCTGGCGAGCGTCTATTATAAGCTCGTCGCTGAGCGAGCAGAGGGCTTGCATTCGAGTTTCTCCGAGGCCAACTCTGCTTACGAACGGGGCGATTGGGAGAGAGCACTAGTCGCGAGCATCAAGGCTGCTGAGGCCGGGTACGAGAATGCCCAGGCCAACGTGGCTTACCTACTGGACCGCAAGACCAGTGTCCTTGATGTTCCAGGTCTCTCGATGCTTTTTTCGAGCAAACCCGAAGTCGGGGCTGGGCGAAGTAGATTGCTGGACGACGAGTACCTCGCGCTGGCGTACTTTACGAGGAGTGCGAAGCAGTCAAATGTGGATTCACTGATCAAGATGGGGGATTACTATCTTAGCCTCAGATCATCACCGCATGTGCTGCGTGGGTTGTTGCCCAACGACACCAAAGAAGACGAGGTGAAGAGCAACCTCGAAAGAGCGACGACATGTTACACGACAGCGGCAGAAAGCCACCACAGCGCCCAGGCGCTCTGGAATCTGGGATGGATGCACGAGAACGGCATCGGTTCCGTGACGCAGGATTTCCACATGGCGAAACGATACTACGATCTCGCGCTGGAGATGAACAAGGAGGCGTACCTGCCCGTTACGCTCGCGCTGGCCAAGTTAAGGCTGCGGAGCTGGTGGAACGGCGTGAGCGGTGGCAAGGTCAACTCGATCCGCGAGGACGAGGACGAGGATAAGAAACGGCCCAAGTCGTGGGGCGAGTGGGTCAACCGGTTCCTCGACGCGGCGGAAGAGATGGACGCCCAAGAAGCTGCGGCGATGATGCGGGAACGCGACGGGGACGAGGAGATGCTGGGGTACGCGGAGCCCGGGATGCCCGGTGGCGATTCCGACTATGCGGGCAGAGAGGGGCAGAGGCACGGCGAGGACGTGTACGGCGCCGATGAGTGGGAGGACATCGACGACGGCTTGGTCGAGAGTCTGATCATTATCGCGCTCGCCGGAGCTCTGGCTCTGCTCGTGTATGCGAGACAGGCTCGCCAGAGGGGCTTGGAGCAGGAGAGACGCGAAGCTCAAGAGCGTGCGAGAGCTCAGGCTCAGGCTCAGGCTCAGCCTCGTGTGCCAACGCAACCACAGGCGCAGGCGCAGCAGGGCAACGGCTTCTTCCCTGGACCTGGCGATCCCGAATTCAATAATTGGGTCGCTGGTGGGGTCGGTCATTAAGAAGGAAGAGGACGATGATGATTGGAAAAGTAGAATCTTATGTCTAGATGACTTTTTCTCTGTATATCTTCTCTGTATAATACAAGGTGGACTACATTTTAAGTATTCAACAAAAGGTTCGCTGGCAGGTTGCGATCTGAAGTAGCCGCAACGGAGTGCCATGGACAGTAAATGACGAGATATGAACATATCAGTTCGGATCTTCAACGACCATGGTTTTTGACGCTGTCGACATCTTGAGCTCGTCTGTCAATTGCGACGAGATACGTTTCAGCTTTTCCACTTGTACATCAACGAGCTTCCAAGCTCACGTAAGGATGTCTCCGGCTATAGTAGTACAGTCGTTCGTTGCCTACCATCCTTCGCTATGGAAGACAGGCATTCTATGTTGGAGCGACCTCGTTGATTACACAAGTAGCCTCTGAGCTTAGTGGATTTCCTCGGTGGCGATCTACTCTGCAGTTTTGCGAAGCTGGTAGACAGCAAAGTCCGCACCTCGGCGGTGCGGCCGGGTTGCGTTCTCGACGATTTGCGATTGAGGTCGGACAGAATCGTCCATGGTGCGTTCCTTCATTGCCCTCGTCAACCTTTTCCAGAGTGGAGAGAATTTGTAGATGGCGCCTAAGATGGTGTCGCTGGACCGTTGTTGGTCGGAGACCTTCGTGTCTGTGATGGTCTTATACTGGACACCCATTGCAGGCTGCGTACAGTGCCGTAACACTTGACCATTGTGCCGCGCCAGAGTTCGCAGGGAACATTCTGACAAAATTAAAGCCTGAGGCCCCTTTGTACCTCTTCGCAGCAGCGCAGACAAACAGTTGTTGCGAGTACCTCGTATCAAGCTCCCGTTGTACTGTCGTGCACATTTTGCGTCTTTTTGTATTCTTCTTCCAGTTGTTTTTGTAAGTCGAAATCTGCTTGCCGTTCCCGTTTAACTCGTTGCTGCTCCATATCTCGAACGACGCCGGCATGCATGGCCTGTGTAACCGTGATTAGAATTGTCAGAGAAAAGACAGCATCCGAGACGTTAGATCAAGTGACATACAGCTTGTTCGGCGGTTTGCGCCCAATGCACAAAAGCTACAATTCCGGCTGTACCTAGAATTGTACTCAACAGAGTGACCTTGGAAGCCGTGGACATGTTTGAGCAGACAGGAATTTTGTTCTCCCTTGTTCTCCCTGCGAAACTTGAAGCTGGGAAGGGATATTCGAAGATTGTACGGAGTAGGAGTAGTAGTTGCGTGACAAAAAAGTACTCAGTACGGATACGGAGTGCTGTAATGTCTATTGTCTGGCTTCTCCAAAAGCTAAACCCTTTCCAGCTGCGCAGCTTCAACCTCAGCGGGCAGGCGCATGCATTCTTAGCATTAGCGAGTCCGCATTCTTTTTCCATTTCCACGCCTGCTTCTTTGGCTAAGCCGTCCTTCTCTTCGACCTGTTGTTTTTGAGTGTCCGATTCTCAAACCTCTTCCTTTCAAAATGGTATGACGCAGTCTGAACCTCTACGGAATTCAATCGCTGATAAGAAGCACACAGTCTGCCCAAAACTCCGCAGGCATTCAGACACTGCTTGATGTGAGCAAAGTAGTCTTGAGCCCTTGATTATCATATGTTAAAACATTTACAGGCAGAAAAAGAAGCACAGAAGATTGTGCAGAAAGGTAAGTCCAGGTCCTTGGATGTCTCAAACCGAATGCTAACATTGATGCAGCCAGAGAATGTACGATCAATAAATGCCTCTGTATAGCGCCAATCTAATCTGGGACAGATCGAACAAAGAGAGTAAAAGACGCCAAGTCGGAAGCACAGAAAGAGATTGAAGAATATCGAAAAAAGAAGGAAGAAGAGTTTAAGAAGTTCGAATCAGAGGTTGGTCGAGTTATGGTATGGCGCCGAAAGCACACACTCACGATGTTTGCAGCAATCAAGCGGAAACAAGAAGGCCGAAGACGATGCCAACAAGGATGCGGAAGCCAAAGTCAAGGACATTGAGCAGGCCGGCAAGAAATCGGGAAACAAGGTGGTGGAAGACTTGATCAAAGCTGTCACAAATCCTCAACCAGAAGTACCGGAAAAGATCTCGAGGGAGGATTGAGACCAACTATACGGTGCGATGGTAATAGATTGAGTGTTTGCTGCTGCTCGTACGTCTACAGTACAGGACGTCGACTGGTGTTTGCATCTTTATGGGTGGTTTAAAGGGATGGCAACGTGGCGCAAATGTTGTGTGTTCAACAAGTCATTAAAACAAAGAATAGAAAAAGTAGGAAGCTAGGTCATGATATGAAGAACCTATTTCTATTCCAGAATCAGCTTCATGTGTAGAGTAACATTGTGAGCGTTTCTATTTCTCCGGTGTGATCGTGTTCCCCAGCCTTGTACTCGCATAGACGGGATAAGGCTGAACGAATGCGATATGACGCAAATGACTAAATTAATTCATACGATCACAACAACCACAAGCATCGTCAACATTTCTCAATAATTTCCCCTTGGTCATATCGCCATGAAGCAATAACACCTAAAGGCCTGAATTATCGCACTCGACACGTAGCATGCCATGGAGATTACAGAATCTCCAGACTGCCCCAAGGCTCGTCAAGCCATCGCCGTGCCACTACGGAAATCGACAACACCTGCCTGGCTGTCGAGCACTTGTCCAAATTCGCCATGAATCCAGCACGTCCAAAACATCCGGAAGTATCCCGGGGTCACCCTCGTCGTCCCGCCGTCACCCCGAGGGTTCTCGCGCCACAGAAGACAACCCTTCGCCGTCGAGCCACGAAGAAAAAGCCATCGACCCCCGGCTTCCCGACCTCGGCCGCCTGATCCAAGGCGACTATGCGGCGTTCAAAACTCACTACTCGACACCGAGATACCCCATCGTCCTGGCACACGGCCTTTTGGGTTTCGACGAGTGGCGACTCGCCGGGCCTTACCTCCCCAGCATCCAATACTGGCGGGGGATCAAGGAGGCTTTCGCGCGCAACGGGATCGAATGTATCACGACGACGGTGCCACGGACGGGGTCGATCGAGACCCGCGCGGCGGCCCTGTCCGAACAAATCGCCCGGCACGCCGCAGGACGGTCCGTCAACATCGTCGCGCACAGCATGGGCGGGCTGGACGCTCGATACCTCATCTCGCGAGTCCGCCCTACGTCGTTCCAGGTGCGAAGCTTGACCACCGTCGCCACCCCGCACCGCGGGTCGAGCGCCGCCGACATGCTCTTCCGGGACATCGGCCCGGACCTCCTCCCGCGCCTGTACGCCATCCTGGAGAAGATGCGAGTCGACTCGGGGGCGTTTGCTCAACTCACCACCACCTACGTCAACGGCCACTTCAACCCGGTCGTCCCCAACGACCCGGACGTGAGGTACTTCAGTTTCGGGGCCACGGCCTCCCCCCACCTGCTGTCCGTCTTTCGACTCTCGCACGACCTGATGGAGGTCATCGAGGGGCCCAACGACGGCCTGGTCAGCGTCCGGAGCAGCCGATGGGGCGAGTACAAGGGTACCCTGGACGGCGTGACCCATCTCGACCTGATCAATTGGACGAACCGTATCAAGAGGGTCGCCTCGCGCTTGGGTATCGTGACGGAACGATTCAACGCCGTGGCTTTCTACCTCGGTGTCGCCGACATGTTGGCCAAGGAGGGATTATAATCGAGTCTTTCTTAAAACCAATTCTTTACGGAGCATAATTTCTTGTCAAAATATGATCTCTTGTTCTAAATGTATTGTTCTTTTTGGGTACACAAGTCCGTATGTAAAGTCGATATACAGGACCATGTATATATGTTCAGAAATCATATCATGTGCAACGTTACCTAACCATCGATATAAAGGTATATACAAATTCTAGATCGTGTTCCCCAGTACTCTTGGCCCCCCTTCGTCGTATTAGCGTATGGTATCACCATGTCTTTCTATTCCTCGTCCCTCATAGACACGCACATGTACACAATGACTTCAAATTCAATCCTTTTGCCTGTTTGTTACCCCCATCTTGGTCTTACTTGAGGTTGATGGGACTCGCTTCGTGTCCATCGAGGCCGTTCATTGCCGGAATCTTGGGCGACGGCGTCTCACATCGACAGTTGTTTGTCCTTTTGGCGACAAACGCATTGTTGACGGCGGTGGTTCCGGTTCCGGTTCTTTTGCTCTCGGCGTGGTTGTGTGCATGCCGCCTCATGATCCTTCCGGCAGCATAGGCGCACCCGCCGTACGCGAACCGGATCAACGAGTCCCCCGTCAGACTGCCCGTCACGAAGACGTGCGGGGCGACCTCCAGATCTTCGTTGGCCTGTTGGCGCAGTGTCTGTCCCGAGATCATGTGGCAGTTGGCGTCGGCGGATAGAAATTCTGCGCGCAGCTCTTCAGACAAATAACACAAGGACCCCCGTCTTCCAACTACGTAAGCGAGACTGCCGACCCTGCGTTGAAAAGGCGGATCGTTCACTCCTTCTCTCTGGAACGTCACCATCCCAGAACCGTCCGGGGTCAGTTGAACCCGCACGATTTCGGTATTGGAGAGTCCTTCGTAAGTCAAATCCCAGTCTCGACTCGCTTCAAAAGCCGACTGCGAGCGAAGCGTCCTCGGGCGGCGATCTTTGTTGGAATGTGATGATGACGATGACGACGACGACGAGAGCGCGGCGACTTTCATCCTCCGATACACACCCGCGTACTCGGGGTACGCCTGTCGATGACAACCCCGCAAGGGTGAAGGCGACGTAGAGGGGTCCCACTTGAAGACATGAATGATCTTTTGGGTTGGCGGTGTCGATATGATCACATCCGCCGCACTGAATCCCGACCCTATGACGAGGATAGGATCGTGAGCGTCGGACGAGGGCGAGGGCCGCAGCGGGCGATCAATCTCCTCCCCCTCGAGGCTCAGGAGCGGTTCCAGCATCGCTGGGGGTGGGATGACTGTGTCGAAGATGCCCGACGCGAGGACGAGGTTCCGGCACACCATTCCATGAGACGCGATGTAGAACCCGGCGTAGTCCCGTCTTCGCGACACTCGAGCGATCCTCTGCCCGTTGTGGATGTACTTCGCGATGCCAACCTGGTCCGGGTACGCAGCGAGGTAGTCCGCCACTTCTCGCCTCGAAGGCCTCAGGTAGACCGGCATGGTCTGGCCGTGCCGTCGCTTGTAATGTTCGTCGAAGCCGTATCCGGGTAGCGACAACATCCCCGCGTAACTCAATGTTCCGATGTCCCAGCTGGCGTGGACCGGGTTGTCCACCCACTGGCCCCCGGCGTCTTTGGTGTTGCCAATCACCACATGAGGAACCGCCCTCGACCGGTCATACCTCCATGTGACGCACGTCTTTTTCTGCGCGTCGTCGGTCTCGCCCAGCGGCCTGACTAGAGTGTCGAGCAGGACATTGATCGGGAGGGCCTGGGTCGAGTATGAGAACCTCGACGCGCTAAAGTGGGTGGTGAGGGCATCAATATCGACGTCGAGCAGGTCATTTTGTTGATTGTGCTGAAGGTGAAGGAGTAGTTTCTCGTGTAGGATTCGATCAGGATGAGGACTCGAACTGTCGTAGCAAGGAATGTTGCCGTGAAGAATGTACGACAGTATCAGGGCCGAGGGGCCGTTGCCTTTAGGTAAACATGCATCCAAATCAGCCCCTCCATCACTTTTTTTCCGAAATGCAACACACAGAAAAAATCCTTTAGGGACTTACCAACAATAACCGTGTCGGTTTCACGAGGCAAGCCATGAGCCATTGGACACTCCCCCCTCTAGATGACTCCGACATAATCTTTAAAAGGGAAAAAGAAGAATCAAAAGAATCAAAACCCAAATTATTAATTATTCAGAGGCTAGAAATGCGCTTCCCGAGGGCGTATTCCGATCCGCAGAAAAACGCACGAGCAACAATCCGGACGGGGGACGTGGAGAGTCCTGTTGAACCGCAAAAAAGAGGCCACCCCACCACCACCACCGCCATCACCCGGGCTCTGATTGAGGTTCGAGCCTACTGTAAAGCCCATAGCCCGGTGCCGAGAACGGGGTCAATCTATTGGGTGCTGCTATTGACGCCCGTGGGGACGAGTATTTACCACCTACAGTGTCCAAGACACTGGTGTGGCTAGACGTCAAGTGAAGCCCGTACACTTCCACAGTCATGACACTACCATCATCTAGGTACGCACTATGGGCAGTCGATTATTAAACATTTGCGCGGCATTCTTACCCTGTTACTTGTTCCACACGAGCATAATACTGTCATGAGCTTCTCGGTCCATCTCTCCGGTCGATGTTATTTCCACTGAATTAAAACAGAAGGCTCAGGTGATTGGAAGGAGATGCTTACGACCTAGGCAAAGACCTTTGGTAGGTGTATTTGTGCTATACTACTCAAGGTGTTTTATAACTTCCATTTGGGTTCTCGCTTCTCAAAGAAAGCGTGCATACCCTCCTTCGCATCGTCAGCTCTGGCATGCAGGGCCATTACCCTTCCAGCCCACTGCACAGCATCCTCATAACCATCACCGCCCGATTGTTGTCCCGTCAAGGATAATTGCGTCCAATATGCCCACTTGCCTAGGGCTTGTGGTTGAGCTGCAGTCTTTTCTGCCAATTGCTTGATGATCTGTTCAACCCGTTTTTCAAGCGCTGCTTCATCTGCCACAACATCGACAGGTCCCCCAGGTAATTGATCCGCACGGACTGGTTCTGCCAGCGCGAGCATCTTGTAAGTGAACGCTGGGCCAAGTCGGCGGGATGCAGCTGTCGACGGCGACGTGCAAGGTAATCCTATACTGGCCCCTGGTAAGCGAAATTGTGTGCTAGCAGAAGCAACAGGCAGATCGGTGGTAAGAGCCAGCTGGGCACCGGCGGCCGTGGCGAGTCCTTGAATAACCCCAACCACTGGCGCTGGCGAACGTCGGATTAAAGACATGATCTCGCCACAAAGTCGAAACGTTTCCTTGACTCCATCGTGACTCAGAGAGCTCAGCTCGCCCAAATCATGCCCTGAGCAGAACACATGTCCTTCGCTGCGAAGGACGACAACATTAGGCAGACCTCGACGATGTTTCTGCCATTCGGCGGAATCAAGTAGCCAGCCATACTTTTCCATTGCCTGTGGATCATGATGTTTGGCAGCACTTTCAAGCTCATCCAGTATCTCCGGTCTGAAGGGTGGAAGTATCCGAAGCTTGCCATCCACTGGCGATGTATTATATCTAATGAGTTGATCGCGTAAATCTCTCAGAACTGCTAGAGACAATGCATTTCGTCGCTTCGGATTTCTAAGCGCGAGATAACTAGCTCGGGCTGGTAATGCTGGCCACTTCATGGCTAGGACCTTCTCGGGAAACGATAAAACTGCAATACAGTAGTCGATGAAGATGGGAAGGAATACTTTTCGGTGTCTTCAATCAGACCACAACGGACGGCGTATGGTGGGGGTGTCACTAGCCCTTGAAGGCGGACACGCGGAGGTCCCGAGGCTCATCAGGCTGAAGCCTCGTCAAGCCCACCAGCCTCGTCATGCCTCGACAGTGTCGTCATGGTAAATAGTCACTTATCGACAAATCCAGTCGACCAATATCACTTTCTTTGTAGAGTATTTTCGATGCTGAAGAGACCTATCAGACTGAAATTGTGTATTCAAGTCACAAAGACTTCGCAAATTCGCTCTGTCTGCAATATTCCGCCCAGTATGAGTTGGATGGATTCATGGTCTAGACCGGGCAAAAGATCCGCTGTCCCTCCACCGTTCTACTTGACCCAAGAAAATGCTGCATACTGTCAGACTTGTGGGAGAGCCATGAGTATGTTTATTCTTCAGCATCTAAAATTAATGTGACTGACCCCGTTGTAGGCTCCCGCAAGATCCGACAGGCTCAAACCAAAATCATCAAGTATTGTTCAGATGGATGTCGTCACCACAAGCCAGGACCATTGGATCGTAAAATAGAAAAGGTTATAGTCGCGTTGCTGAATGCAGAACCGGGATCAGGGATTGAAGCGACGGCTGCTAAGTCGAAGTTTGTAAAGGGGGACCGACGGAACATCATCGCTATGCAGGAAGTGGAGGATCTCATGTTCCACCCAAAACCTCAACCTGTGATTGATGTTTCGGCTTCGCAATCGACAGCAGAGGCATTGCATGACAGTGATGTTGATGCTCAGATCCATCTTCAAGCACCGCCCTCCGAGGGCAGTGTAGGTGGGCTAGCGAGCCGAGATGGGTCCCAGGAACCTGCAACATCTGACAGCACTGAAAGCTACGACGAGAGGAGTCTTCCAGGCGCATCTCATTCCACAGCGGAGGATGATTTGAAAAAGAAACAAGAGGGTCATCGTCGTGCAGAGCAAAGAGAGATGGTCAGGAGAGCGGCCCGGAGACTGATAGCCTTTGGCTGTGATCAAAAGCGCCATGATAGGCATAGTTCCCACCCCAAAAAGCCCAACAAGCGTACCACAAAGGCCTCTATTGCAGCGGACGAAGCGGCAGAGGAGGACATGGTGCGCCGTAAATGCGAAGCATTGATGAATGGAGCAGTGGTCGAACCAAGCTTCGCCAAAGGCAATTGGGCCATCCGATGGAGGGAGGAAACATGACCCGAATCGATCTCAACCCATCACAAGACTTCCATTGCGACGATCCATCAGATCGGTCCCCCTTCTGCGAAGTAAGCCGTTCTCGACGGGCTTGTTCTTGTCGTTGATAAAAGGTTTCCGTGGCCAACTTCTAGCGATGTCTATACTCGCCCGAGGTGCCCATATTTCCAGAAAGAAATATATCAGGTAATCGATGATAACACAAAGGCAGAATAATTTACCAGCCCAGATCCCACAACCGTAGTACCGTTTTAGTCGGTCAATCAAAGCATACGATCGACCTCGAGTTGCACTCCAATTTGCGCTTGCCTGTTGACCATAGAATTCCTGTTCGCTGATGGCGCCCGTGATGCCATCATACACTCTTTCCGTTCTCAGTGCGACGTCCGTCCACGAGTACATCATCTTAACTTGATCATGAAATCGTTCCGTTTTAACCTTGCCCGAGCGAAGTGCTGCGATGGCCTTGCCGGTGGCCATGACCAAATCGTCTTCTTCCGGCTTTGCAAAAGTCGTCATATGGGCTGGCAGGACCTCGGGGATGCCACCCACCCGGGTGCACACCACATATAGCCCACAGCTGGCTGCCTCGACAATAACGGTGCCAAATGCCTCCGTCAGACTCGGGTGGAGATAGATGTGGCCTCTGACCATGACATCACGCACTTCCTCGTGACGAACAGGGCCGAGGAGTTCAACCTTGTCTTGAAGCATCTGTCGCTCAAGCATTTGTTCTAAATCGATGGCTTTGGGACCGGACCCGGCGATGATGAAGCGGACATTCGGGTGGACTGCAAGAATCCTCGGTATAGCCGCGATCAGAAGGTCAGTACCCTTGTTGTAAAAGAGTCTAGAGATGACGACAATCACAATCGTATCACCGGGCCCAAGCCGTTGTGGAAGGGGCCTGGGCCGCATATAACTAACTTCGTCCGACTTGGGGACGTAATTTCGAGGTTGAAAGTTCTCGGCCACCACCGCATTGGGTATCACGGAAACCATCAAGGGATCGAGAGAAGCGCGGAGTACGGTGTTCTCTTTGCAGGTATGGGAGACGCATATGACATGGTCGACATCGCTCAGGGCAAATTTGAGTAGTTTATTGGTCAGAATTGATGCAGCATCTGCGAAGCCAAATAATGAGTGATCAGTAAAGACTGTTCGTAAGCCCATGGTTCGCGCATGCAGAATGGCTTCATGACAGAGACTACTCAAGCTGCCATGGCCATGGACAATCTCGATTTGTTCCCTGATGACAATATCGCGAAATATGGGGAAGAATGAGAACACGGTGGGCATCGTCGTCTCTCGGTAGATGATAAAGAAGGGGACATGATAGACCTTCAGGCCATTGGTGAGGTAGTGAATTCCAGTACGACCCTTGTAGGCATGCGTAATGATCACGACTTTGTGACCTCGATCGATTAGCTTGGTTGATAGTTGATATATGTGACTTTCCACTCCCCCTGGTTGAGGGAAGAAGAAGTCGCTGACCATGGCAATATTGTAAGGCATTTCGACGGAAGGGTGAGGTTATTGTTGAGTAAACCCAAGTGACTCATGTTGCTTGTATTACTGTTCTAGATTCCTTGATGATATAATGCTGCGTAGTACATGCCTAGTAGGTGATAGTAATTCGACACATGTCTTGATGTTCCGCGTTAAAAGGAGCGACGAGCATTGGCGGTGTAGTTTCCAGGTTCAGCGGGCGGTGAATAATTTTGCCGGTTCTATTCCCGGCTCTGGGAAACTTTTTTGGTGACTTCAAGACCAACACCAGCGGTACTGAAGACAGATACTGGTACGGGCCGCGGGACTCATTCAGACTTCTCCCTATCTTATAAGTGAGAAGTGTTCCGCATGACGCCAGATGTCTAATTTCTATGCCCGATATGTGCCGCCAGCGAAAAGCGGCCATGTCTCCAATCCTCCCCCAGTACTCGAGAAGCGCAAGCGAGATCCCGAGGCGCTATCGGGCAACAAGAAAAGCAAGAAGATAAAGACTGCCACGAAATCCGAACCTCTAGAAACTTCTCACCCAACAGATCCCGAGACTGAGAATGTAATTGCTACGAATGGAAGTCCGGAATCAGACTCGAAGAATGTGATTGACAAGCATCGGGTTACCAAACATGTCTCGGACGAAATTGCTGTCAAGACAAAGAAGGCAAAGTCAAAAACAAAAGAAGCCATAAGTCGCGATGACTCTGTAACGGAATCGGCGAAGCGCAAAGACAAGAGAAGAGAAAAGTCGAAAACTGCACAAATTGAAGGAGGAAACGGCGATTCTGAGGAAGAGCTAGACCGGCGGCGCTCCTCTGTTCTTTCGAAGTTTGCAAAAGCTAAACAGCTGGAGAACAAGGATTTCAAACAAGATGATCTAATCTCCAGAGAACCGACGACTGAGCTGCACGGCCTGGAGCCGATACCTCAACCCGAACAGGTTGACACGGTTCCTGAGAAACCAACATATTCTACACTTCCTGCCTGGCAACAATCCCCTACAACTGTTCCGCTCGTCTCCACTGCCACTTTCGAGTCACTCGGAGTGTCCAGTGACCTACTTGAAAACCTGAAAAAGGTCAACATCGAAGAGGCCTTCCCTGTACAAGCAAGTGTGGTGCCTTTGTTACTGGAAGGCCCAAGTCAGTACCCTGGCGATGTCTGTGTATCAGCCGCCACTGGCTCTGGGAAGACATTGGCATACGTGCTGCCAATTATCTCTAGTCTGAGAAGTGTGGTCGGCACAAAGCTGAGGGCAGTGATTGTGGTTCCCACAAGAGAACTCGTGAAACAAGTACGCGAGCTGTGCGAAATTTGTGCCGCTGGAAGTTCTCTCACTATAGCCACTGCTGTAGGCAGCAAGACTCTCCGGGAGGAGCAGCAACTTCTTGTGGAGGAACAAATGGTCTACGATATGGAAGCATTCCAGAGGGGGCTGCAAGCCAAGGTTGACTGGTCTACAACTTCATTCGAAAGCCTGTTACGAAAGGTGCAGACAGAAGAGTCTCTTTACTCACTTGGCTATGTCACTCGCTACAAGTCCAAAGCGGATGTACTAATAACTACTCCTGGTCGTCTTGTCGAACACCTCAAAAATACTCCTGGCTTTAATCTCGATTATGTGAAGTGGTTAGTAGTGGATGAAGCTGATCGACTATTGAACGAAAGCTATCAGGAGTGGATTGACGCAGTATCTCCTGCTCTGGAATCACGAGCAGCCACACGAGAGAGGGATGTGCTTCTCGAGTCTATGCGAATGGACCCTCCACAACGAAGGGTCACGAAAGTACTGCTTTCTGCAACGATGACGCGCGACGTCTCCAAGCTCAATGCTTTAGGTTTGCGTAATCCAAAGTTGATAGTCCTAAGAGGTTCTTCCCAACTGGAGGGTCCGCAATCGACTGCTGGCGAAACGTCTCCCAACGACGCTGGTCTTGTTACAGAAATCGGCGAAGATGCTTTCCACTTGCCGCCGTCTCTGATTGAGACAGCAGTCCCCGTGCCTGACGGCTCTGAGAAGCCTTTATACCTGCTTACGTTACTCAAGGATGAAATTGGGATTCTACCAGCCCAAAAAAATCAACACACTAAAGGTGGCTCTTCTAAAGATGATTCAACTTCAGAGTCAGACTCCAGCTCAGATTCGGATTCGGATACAACCTCAGATTCGGAGTCATCATCTGCTACTAGCTCATCTGAGTCTTCAGTGACTGATAGTACGAGCAGTGATGAGTCTGACGGGCCTGACCAAGGTAGCCACAAGCCTCCAAAACAGCGAAAGAACCAGAATGAGCTTACGATCAGCGACAAGACACCTCGTGCACTTGTCTTCACAAGATCGACAGCTTCAGCAAATAGGCTGTCTAGACTGCTGTCACTCCTGTGGCCAGATCTCGCCTCTCGTATATCCACGTTGACAAGGAGTACAGCTTCATCAGCTTCATCACGCCGTGCGCTATCTTTGTTTAGAAGATCCAAAGTCCTCGTCCTGGTCTGCACCGACCGAGCTTCACGTGGTTTAGACGTACCAGGTCTTGAGCATGTTATTTCCTACGATGTGCCGACCAGTCCGTCGACTTATGTTCACCGTGTCGGGCGGACAGCTCGGGCAGGGAAACAAGGCCAAGCATGGACCATTGTTGAGCATCGAGAAGGCGCCTGGTTCTGGCGTGAAATAGGGGGAAAGGGCCTGAAATCCAGTACCACTGGCGATGATCATCAACTACAGAGAAGCAGCAAAATCAGGCGCTTAATCATTCAGGTGGCCACTGATACAATGAAGCAGGAGTACGATGTAGCTCTGACGAAATTGGGCACGGAAGCACGGGGATCTTAGCACTCCGGCCCAGCAATTGACAGCAAAAGGCCGTTTCGAAATGCTGATCCAACGGCTGGCTTTGGCATTTGAGGTTAACTGGTGCACCGAGTTCAACAAGTCAATCCCTCGGTCTACAAGCCCCTGTTTCCGAGCAACTTCCAGATACAAACTACATTGATTACATGAGGTCGCTTCGAACCACTAGGCAAGCCTGGGGTACTTAGTCGTTCGGCTATGCACCACCGTCAGGTGGCGACAGCTCATCTAGCTCATGTTGGACATCTTATAGCTGCAAGTGGTTCTCTTGGTGGATATTCTACCTCGGAAGAAAGACTACTACACGGCCAAACTCCGATGTTCGACTCTGAATAACGAGTAAGAAGGATTCTTCCATGAAGCACAATTTGATTCGGCCTCGGTCGGTGCTGAGCGAGCACCTGGTAGGGACCCGTATTGATTAATCTTAACAATTACTCGAAGTCCAAGCTCCTGGTCCAGCCTCTTTGACAAGTGATCTTGGTATTTATTATTTATGAATCATGATTATCAACATCGGTTTCATTACCATTGGTGCTCCTGTTGATTTTTTCGGCCGAACATGTCTGGCGGGACAATCTCAAGGTATGTCACGAGGGGAATCAGCTGCTCATGGCTGCGAATATTGCCTTTGCGAAACCTCTCAAGGTCAAGAACTAGGGATTGTAATACTAGGGTTCTTCATGCAAACAGTCACACGATAGTGACCTAAAAAGACACAGTGTCGTGTCTGGATATGGTCGATTGTGGATCTATTGATCCGAAGTCCGACGAGCACTGTACAGCTAGGTCAGGCTCTGGTATAACCACCTCTTTTAACCTCGTCTTCGGGACCCCGCGGAGGAGTTCAGTCAGGGCATGGGTTTTACCATCACGAGTACGAACGCGGAGTACAGATACCGCGCTTACGATATGAAAGGTCCCCAACAAAAAAACAGGATTCTGATCCCTGCACACCACGGTCTCGGCCGTAGCCTGTTGGTCTTTTCTAGGCCGAATGCGGAATCCTATAGACGATTAAGTAGCTACTTGCTGAAGAAGAAGACATGCATACAGGTCGAAATGATAAAGGGAACGAGCATTGGATCCACCTTCGCATCATATGCAGCCTCGTCAGTCGTCCACGAGCGAAGCGATTCTTTGACCTTGGACATGAACAGTTAAAGCAGTTGAAACACCATAGGTCCGTCATCCAGTCCCCTGAGAAGGACTCAATACGAGTCCTTTTTTCCGGTAATTCTTGGATTGTTATGATTATATCATCCACACACACCTCTCACCTTGGGACTCGTCTTTTTTCTTTGGTGCACATGGTTCCGGTAGGTTTTGTATTGTGTTCACTGTCACAGTGCCACCCCTCGCCGGTATCTACAGTATCACCGATGAGTGTTACTGTACATTCCTTTACCGGTCTTGTCTTGCCTCGCCTCCGGCCTTTTCGTTTGTCTCTTTTTCGGGATTGTTGGGCTTCAATGTCTTGTACGCGCCCTCTGCCCCTTTGCTACCACTCTTTCCTAGCAAGGTGCCTATTTCAGTCGATTTACTTTTGAAGAGGCCGCTCAAGCCGGCATCAGGTATTGTACTTTTCTCGTTCGCGCTCTGTGAAAGGTATATTTGCGCCATTACTTCCTGTGAGGATGAGGATGAGGTGGAGGTGGTATTGTGGCAAGCCAGCCAAGCCGTTCGTATACCACCGACGTCGTTGCCACTCACTTCCTTTGGAGTCTCGACTGCTACCGAGATAGGAACATGGAGACAACCCCGAAGCAGGTAACGACGCATGGGCATGTCAAGTTTCTAGATTACTCTGCTTATTTTGAAAAAAGTCTTGGTAAATGGTTCCCAAGAAATCAAGATTTCAACCCTGGAGTCGACATGTCAACAACGTCATTGCCTCACACAGAGACAGACTATACGAGGGTGGTGGGACAGAGGGACGAGTCGTCGAGGAGGTGCGAGCTCTCTGATGATGATTTGGGACTACCTTGACCAACATACGAGACTACCTGTATTGACGTCCCATGCAAGAGGTCTTTTCCGGTAGTAGCGTACTCTTTCCGCATATCTTCAGATAGACTGGCCCTACAGTTGGTAAATTTGTAGGACTCCGTCAACAGACAAAGGTGAACAGCTCGGTCAGATAAGTAGGCTGACTGTATCGACCACTTTGCAACAATAATCCCTTCTGCAGCTGACCAATCGAGCGACGAACCAAATACCTTTCTTTTCATTTCTTTTTACGTTATTTACTTTTTGCCCCTCGTAGGAGGGGTGGTCACGAGAAGACGACTGTACCGGCGAGTACGAGTGTATCAACCACCTGACAAGGGGGATTTCTTCGTCTGTCAAACACACAATCCGCGGAGATATATAGTAGATCATGATGGAGCCTGCTTAATCATGACCCTGAATGCAAGGGTGTCGGTCACTGACCAAACAGACCAAGGACAACTTGGATCACCATTTGAGTCTTTTTTTTTTTACTTCTGGAGTCAAAAACCCAATTCTTGTACTATCCAAAGGCGGCATGGTTTTTGACGTGCACATATATTGACATTGACGGCCGACGAATACAGCATGTTGGACAACCTCAGCATCGGGTTTCACTGTTCCCATTTGAACAAACTGGCAGCCAAACCACCTGACATGCCCATTCGTTTTCAGTAGCGCCGTGTCCCCCAAAAGAACAAGGTCGGAAGAAAAACAAATCGCTGAACCGTGAAGCACAAAGCTTGCATGCAACATTTCGAAAATTCGCCATGCAATTTTCTAGACGAGTCAAGGCCGTTTCGTCGTTAACTTTGGACCATCAATCCATCCAATATTCTCAATGTGATTGTGAGGATGACATGCGATGCTTGAATGGACCGGAGGGGAATTAGTTCTTCTCTGCGTAGTCGACACGTTCCAATTTTCAATGTTGGGATACTCTTTGCAAGGTATTGGTGGCGAGGGCAGGACTGTAAAGTTGCGTGGTGCGAGTCTCTCAAGTACTACTCCGGCTGTTCAATTCAAAAAAGCACGTCTGGCGTTACGTGCCCTTTCGGTCGAGTAGGCATCAATCTTTACGCCGACAAAAACCATCTCGTATCCTCCCCTTATAGTGTCATGCTGACTAGGTTGGACTCGCAAGCGCCACTGACCCGTCCTGATCGTCCATTCTCCAAGATCGCCTTGGCTGCTTTGTCTTTTTCTCTTCTTGGTCGAAGGTTCGGCCAATCGACCTGTCTGAATGGGTGGCACCGGTAGGGATCTGGTGCCACCAGCCCCTTGAACTGTCGGACCAGGTTGAGTTTGTCGGGTCTGGGGACGTCGCTGCTGTGTGGCGGCGGCTGCTTTGTTCGATGGCGCTCCTTCGCTCATGATGTCTGATTCGGACTCGGACTCGGTAGGCGCAACGGACGGACCATGCTGCATGATCTGTCCGGCTACGCTGTCCCAGTCGATCGTGTACGGCTCTCCATCCAAAGTGATGTCCGTTGCAGGTTCGAAGCGGACCTTGACCCGGTCTTCACTGAGTGGCGTGTGCCCCGGGCTGGCCGACTGTGACGAACGGCCCCCGGACAGCATCATCAACCCCAACGGCGCATTCGTAGGTAGATTCATCTTGTTGGCCACGACCTGGAACAAGGAAGATACTCTGGCTTTGGCGAGGCCGTGAAAGTCGGCCCTCATGTCGGTCAAATCGAGAACAGTGCTCTCACTGCCCACCTCGACGACCATCTCGTAAGAAGTGTCGTCTACAAATGGTCTGGCGTAGTAGACCCATCCTTCCCCAACAGTTTTCTCTCCGGATGAATCGTCGCTGGTGTATGATACCCCGGATGGTTTCACATCCTCCAATCTCAAACATATCTCCTGCTTTTGTCTCTCCGAGTTGTAACTGATCTCGTGGGCGATGATTTTCTGTTCGAGGCCGCGTAGGTGGAAGTATCGACAGTCACGCAGTAATTCGGCTCGGTGGACTTCGTTTCTGATGTGGAGTGGATAGCCACGTAGAAGATGCAGAAGTTCCGCGAAGATATCGGCAGACCGACCTGGGACATACGGGGGTGTGATGGATGGTGGTCGAAGTAGGCCACGCCTATCGAGCCCAGGGAAGACTTCTCCGGGAGTTGAAAAGAAAACCGCAAACCCCAGTGAGAAGAAGTTGGGTGAGTTTCCTGGTTCGGAGAAAATGTCTTTAGGTATTTGAAAATGTCGCTCTCCTATCTGAATGTAGATCTCGGATTCGAATAATTGATCGATTAGACGTGGCACTGAGATAGGGTTAGTTGACACAGTTGGTGTCTCCGAACGACTTACAGCTGTAGAACTGCGCGTCTGCAAACAATTTTACAAAATGAGTGCCGTCCACGGGTTTGACATGGTAACCTGTTAATCAGTCAATACTGTGCAGTGACCTTGAAATTTGTCCGACCTTGTAAATGACGCGCGACATCTCGAAAGGTAGCAGGATCTCGATCGATGTAGAGTGTTCTAACACCTCCAGACTCCTCATTCTGCCTGATCTGTTCCTCGAAGAACTGTGTGAAGTAGGACGGTGCTACACCAGGGAGTTAGCGGGTTCCAATATCATGGTCAGAAGCAGTGACGGACGCACCATCCGATGAAATAGATGCTCCAGATAGCCTGAATAGCTCTGATCCTATTTGGATAGGAAAGACTTTCTCCGGCGGTAGGATCGAAGGTGGATGAGCTGCGGGTGGTCGGTTGCTACTCTGCCTTTGTCTAGTTGACGTCTGGGATGGGTTCAATGGATTCAAAGATGGTCGCGCAGTCGACTCTGATGACTGCCGTGCTCTCCGTTGGCCGGAAGAAGTACCTGTCGTCAGGATCTGCCGGGAACCAGTCGGAAGATCTGAGGAGGTAGATCCTTCATCAGGTGATGTTAGGCCGACGCCTGACATTCGCTCAAAATTGATAGAATGAGGGTTTGTGACAGCAGAGTCAACACCCAACGCAGCTATCGGCTCAGACGAAACCCGGACCTTCTTATCGGCGACCGGAGTTGTCGTGTTCGAGCTTGATTTTCGCTTCAGAGCTGATCGAGGAAGCGATGGCTGAATAAAAGTTGCTACCACGCCAGTAGCATTGGGAGCCCTACTTGTTCCAACCGCTGTCGTGATCGGCTGTGACGGATAAACCGGCGATGTGGAGAGTGCAGTTGTAAATTCTGAAAGGGAGGGTGTATCAAATTCATCAAATGTATGAGTATGTTCGTGCAGTAACTCCCCTGTCGGTTCATATATTGGTTGAGGTGCAAAGTCAAGGGTACGCCGAGAAGGGGCGGTCCAGAGCTGAGATCCAAGGCCTGAGAAGCCTAGGGTATCGCTAGTTGCAGCAGATGCATCGATATCAGAAGGAGCAAGGGGTCGGAAGTCAGGATCATGTACAGTGATGGTCGGGTAGTCTTGATCCTGGTCGTGAAGGAAGACAGGTCGTGTGTCTGGGGAAGAATTAGCGGTGTCAGCAGGCTCGGCGCTCCGGTCAGTGATGGTTGACGACACTTCTGGACGGGCTGCTGTACTGTAATGATTAGTAGCTTTAAAACTTGCTCCAGGCGGGAGTGCAGGGCTACTGGCGGTGGCACTGGCGCCCGTGCGACGCCTATCTGGCGCTGAAGAAATGGAGATGGCTGGGGAAATCAAGTTGGTATTAGTCGTATCCGAAACAGTGATACTGCCATCAGATGTAAACCTCGAGTGTGGGTCCGTCATCACTCAGATTGAGGTAGTGGACTCTGGAAGCCCGGAGCTCATCAATCAGCCCAAGGCCCGAAAACACCCCTACCACAGGCCCCATTCAGCGGACGCGGTCACAAAGGCTGGCCGCGGCCAGCAGGCGCAGAGCCTGCGCAAAGGCTTCCACGGACCCTTCGGGCACGACAGGCTGGATCGATCTGTCACCCACAAGGGGACCATTGGCCAGGTGTGCCTTCGTGGGAATGACAGTGGTGGGTCGGCGGGAAGGCTGCTTGCTTTCCGTGATGGTGAATCTGGCTATCTCCGCGATACGAAAATGAATGACTTGTTGGTGTGGACGGGTCTCGAGTAGGCTTGCTAGCAGCTAAAGACGGCCTGGTCACTTGAGCAGGAGTGCCTGGCGGGCTCTTTGCGAGCGTCACAGCCTGATGGAAATCGAAGAAAATGCTCAGGGCCTTCACCTTGTGCGATGAGTAAGGCCTGAGTCATGCAATTAGCTGGAAGTCCATTGGTTTCGGTGGTCTGACAAGTGTGATGAGAGGAGGCTTATGATGCACGTCGATTACCAACAACCGGCGCCATCGAAGTCAATAACGTCGCAGAATGGGGGTGGAAACAAAAAAGAAGAGGTTACAAAGGTTTCACTTACTAGATGATATCGTAAACAACGCTGGCTCAACCCCCCAGTGGGGACTTCGATTTCGAGCAAGATTTAGGCGGCCTTCCTTCACGAGATGAACTGTGCGTATTGGCAGCTATGGAGGATTTCGAACGACCGAAGTGAGGAAGCGCATACGAATCGTTTCCAAACCTCCGTCCTCAAGTGAAGATACTCCAAGGATGCGAGAATAGCTGTCGAATATCATTACACGCTGTGTGCAGTCTTCAGGAAGAGAGCAGGGGGTATCGGAGCCTTGAGAAGCCGGTATTGTCCAAGGTCGGGGCTAAAAGAGCGGGGGGTACTTTATAGTAGCTCAAGATCGTCCTGGTTCGGGGGGTGGTCACTGGTAATGCTAGATGACGTGCCTCGGCCAGTCCTGGAAGTATCTCAAGACTCGTGTTGATAGAAACAGCAAACTCAGAGATATTGACCATGGCTATCGTTGAGCTGTTTTCGAGCCACTCTACTAAAGCCCATCGGTCGCTTCCATACACGAATCGGTTGAGGCCGATGATATGCCTTGGTTAGAGCCTCTGTCTGGATCTGGACGCCGACTTGGTGAGGTCCCACTGGCCTGATATTTCTCTGGGTCGGCGGAGCAATATCTTAAGTGCATGTGCATTGATGTCAGATCATCCTCGTGCTGCTCAAGATATGCATTGTAGCAGTGGGTGAGTCGGTGACAATGGCATCGAGCTCTTCATGTACATGCAAAACCATTCGGTCGCGCGCAATTGCTTCTTATATCTGCTGCATCCCCAGATACTAAACCCGTGCTGGCCTGCAGCGATTGTCAGCACATGGTCAACGGCCTCAGCAGGTGGTTTTGTTGCAAAGAAACCTGAACCAATCTTTCGAGGTAGCTTGGGTCCGCCCCCAAACATGTGTGAGCCAGTCTTGCCCCAATCGCGGTTGATGTTCATGTTACATATAATATTGCGCTGGCAGAGACCTCGATCTGGCCCCAATTGCACCAAAAGCACAGTCAGATTATTCACGATAGATACAAGCGATATGACCGTGAAGGGTTTATAGGTATATACACATGTGTTCTGCCGCGGTTGACATCATCTGATTCGAGACTCAGCTCGAATCCATCAACGACCTAACAAGAATGTCTTTATGCTTCAAGTTTGGGTCATTTTCGGGTCGCATCGACACGGCGGTTCTTCTCTGGAGCAAAAAGCAATGTCCGAGTCCTTTTCAATTTCTCTAGAGGTGGCTGAAGATAGAGCGAACCAGCATTAATCTTGCCATGAACAACCTCGACCCAAGGTTATCGATCGATAGGCGCCCTGCATTCCAAAATAGACATAATCAAGCCAGAACAATAACATTAGGTTGTGTGGATCTTTTGGGCATCAGAGAGTTGTTTTGAATTCTCCTTCACGCTCAACAATGCTTGCCACCGCACGCTTGTAGGCCTCTCTTTCATGGAGCCTAGCCACGTATGCCCAGACCCTTGGGTACTGCTCTTTGGTCAGTCCGGAACGGCTCTCACCAGCCTCCAAAGGGAAGGACATCATTATGTCCGCGGCAGTCAAATCTTTTCCACAAAGAAAATTTCCGCCATCTGGGGCAGTGGCTAATTGCTGTTCAAGAAAATCATAATGAGTCTTGAAATTGCGTTGTAAGAAGGAGGATTCAATCTTGTTTGCAACACCCGCGATAATGGGCTTGATGAAGAATGGAGCGGGGGAATTTCGAATCCCTGAAAGACCCTTTAGTACAACCGGCCACCTGCATCGAGAGATAACGTACTATTGACGATCACACCCAATAACATCAGCGGCATGATACTACCCTCAGCATAATGCATGAACCTTCTGTGCCGTAGCCAGGCTTCAGTCTCACCGCCGATTTGGCCATCTTTACCTTCAGGATATCGTCGAGGGACCAGCCAGCTTCCGTAATAGTCGCAAAAGTACTCGACTATTGCTGCGGACTCTGCAAGAACAATTGGTTTGGTTGCACCATGCGGAAAGATCTCGACGACCGGAGATTTGCCCAGAGGATCAACATCTTTCAACTCTGGGGGTGCAAGGGCCTCCGCGGTCCGCTTGTATGTTTTGAGCTCATATGTGAGTCCGATCTCTTCGAAAAACCAAAGAATGCGATGTGAACGAGACACTTCGAGCCTGACTTGTGTCAGGCGCGTACATCTCAATTGATCCGCGTAGTGGAAAGCTTCCACTCACCAATGAAGGACTATCTTCGGCTTCTCGCCCGCGGCTGGGTTGACTGAGGCCATGTTCAGCACGACCGAAACTTGACTTGTTTCTCGGCTCCGGCAATAAATGCACAAATCACACGGATAGAGATGCGATGAAGATCATGTGTCTCCTTGAATTGGAGCAGGGTTGGTCAGGGAAGAAGAGCCAAGGTGGAAGGTTACCTAGGTAGGTTCTTTGAAGAGGGCAGGCCATAGTGTCATGTTTCTTGCAAAATACAACACAAGATCAATTAGGCTTTTCATTGCTCGACGTCTATGGTCTGTGATATCATGTTATGGATACTTGGACTCCTTGTAATCTGTGCTTGCAGAGAGATTGCCGAGGTGATGCATACTCGTACTCGTATTCGCATCCGTATCAACTGTGGCGCTCTTCTCGAAGCACCGCCACGCCAAGCAAACACCAGCCTCATGCTCCTCCGAACTCAACTTCCAGTGACATTTGGACATCGCAGTTGTCTCGAACGGAGCTACTCAGACCACGACAACAGACTTAGAGCTTCTCAATCATGGCTGGACCTACGCGTATGTCTACCAAGCATCACATCACTCTTTTAGGAAAGCCTGAACTGACTATTGTATAGCTCTCCGTCTCGATCCCGCCTACGAGAAATATAACCGTACGTTTACCCTCTATCCTCCGACTTGGATCAATGCCCACGACGTACTTTCTTAGCCGAGAGATACGTGGATCGAAGGAAAGAGAAAATGCGCTGACTGGGTAATCACAGAATTAAACAAGGAGCGATGGAGATACTTCCGATGGACCCCCCGGACAGCGTTTATTTCCTTTATGTATGCGGTTTTTGTGCCAACGGTTGTCGGATATGCCTTCGCAAAGACTGATGTGAGTAAAATCCTACGACTCCTTGCGAGAAATTCTCTGCCATCAATCTTGTTCGCTGGCTGATACACTACCACTCCCCAGGGCAAATGGGACATGCGAGCGAAGCTGAAGGGCGATACGATCAGCGAGTTTTAGGCGACGAAACAAAAAGGGCTGCAATACTTTCGACGACAAGGGACGATATCCTACCATTGTACATACAAAGGAATTGGCGCCTCATACAACTTGTCCTATCATCATCACTGATATCTTCTGCTCCGGGGTTCTCGAGTCCGCGTCGTACGCTTGTTTCTTGAAGTTCTATTGGAATCATGGGAGATAAAATGATCACAAAGCTATCATGATGGTCCATACGTCTAGGTCTACCGCAGAATCCATTTATGTCTCAGATAGCATAGTCTCCCGGGTCGTCAATGCATGCCAACAAAGCGCCAAATGAGCTGTATGACTCCAATTCGATTCACAAATGCGCATCCTTTGCGATGGCCTGCCTTTTCCCATGCCATTGGAAGCTGACTTGAGTTCCCGCGCGATTCAATCGACACTTGAGCCCTTTCATTCATTACACGCTGTACAAATGTTTGCCACCGTTACACCGACACAAAAGTGCAGAAATAACTGGCTTCATCCAACCACTAACGAAGACCTTGTCTTTCATCGATTACCGGTGAGGTCAGTCCCCAGTTACGATCTCCTATTTGATTTATGGATTCACTAGCCCAGGACACCCACGTAGGCATCGTTTTCTAAACTCCCAGTCACGAGACCCAGATGAATGTGGACTCGGGAAAACACCCTAGTGACACAGAGTATAGCGCGCTCCAACGATCCATGCAAGACGATTCTGGCCGCTTTGGAATGCCTGAGAAGAACAGTCTCGATTTCGAACGCTACTACAGTCACTAAATGCTTTGTCAACAGGCGCCATGCGATCGGGAGGTTCTGACAATATTCTATTGTCCTTGTCTGCTATATGCGTTTGGGCATCACAGACACACCCCATGTCGATTGCATGACCCACGTTCACCGACTTGCATGTATCCCTGAGGTCAAGCCGACTTGGTTCGGACTCTTCTTCCGCTCTGCTGACAGGGTAACTCAGCGTGGAAGAAGTTGATGCTGTAATAATGAGAACCAGACTCATACACGCTTCCACATGCCCAAATGTTCAATGCCTTCCTCGTCCCAGCGACCAAGCTTGTCATCCGTCACAAAGCCCAATTTTGCGTACATTCTCTCAACGTTGACTTGGGCATGGGCCAGTACCAGGCCGTTCCAGCCATGCCCGATTTCGCTCTTGTGATCATCGAGCCATTGAAAGGCTGCCTCTGATAATAAACGACTGATACCCTTGCCTCTGGCCTGGGCCAGAGTGGCGACTCGTCCTAGCTTGACATATGGCTCTTCTTCGGGGTCATGAAAGCCATTGGGGTGTGGGCCATGCGGTGGAGGCACAATACGGATCACAGAAACAGGCTGGTCCGGCGCTGATCCTCCAGTATAGTATGCAACCCAATGCCACGATCGGGGGTCGTCTTCGTCCAGCTCAGGCTCAAGAGCACAATTTTGTTCGTCGCAGAAGACCTTTATCCGTACATCCATAGCATCCAGAAATATCTTTGGGGCGTCCTTGGGTCGAGGGTCTGCTGGGAAGCCATGAGGAGCGACCACACTTCCTGGTGGAGGAAGCATGGCCACCCTGTAGTCGGATAAAGCCATTGTGAGGCCACAGACTCTAGATTGATGATGTTTACAAACCCACGGGGGATCTCCTAAAACATGTTGCTCGGAGGCTGTAATTTGGTGCACCAAGTTGCTGTGATAAGCAGCTTTTTGACGCACGCCCTTCAGAGAACCACCACAGCCTTGCACAAAATCCGCTGCATGTCGGGAGTTCTCGCGAGGCTGCGCCAGCCTCGGCCGAAATCAACTTATTTTCTTTTCGATATTCAGAAGACTCACGTCCTCTCGATGCCCACCACGATTAGGATGTCCCTGTACTACGATGCCGCCACGGTCCTCACGAACGGCTCGCAAGATGGCTCCTTCAAGTCAAGAATTTACGGCAATAAGCTGAACCTCAAGTCGAAGCCAGCCCACATATACGCTCTAATATCCGAAACCGCAAAGTTCAATCACTTCGTCAAAGAGGTCATTGACCATGCAGACCTCTTATCCGCAGAGCCCAAGGTACGAATACACTCAGGGGAACACCTCTGTGTCACTACTGACTGACGCAGCCGTGCTGGCACGGGTGAATAGTTGAACCCGATACTGTCTCTTCTTCTTGTCCACGACCACTTTTTCTCAAAGGGCGGCATCGCGGCCCCGGCGAATCACCCTTTGCGACAATCGATAGATAGGCACAAAGCGAGACTACAGGCGGAATTCACTAAGGCGAGGCTAAGAAGAAAATGCGCAACGACAGATGCGCTGAAAGAACTTATACTACTAGAAAATCCTCGCACGACCCGATCGCAGCCACGATGGATCAGAGTAAACACTCTGAAGTCAACCCTCGCCGAGCAACTGACTACGACGTTTAGAGGGTACCGAACTGATGCACCCATCCATGAGATTTCGCAGTCGCCAGCCATGGCGAAAGTGCTGGCCATTGATCAGAACATTCCAGATGTGCTTGCCCTCCCACCAGAATCCGACTTCACCAAAACACAAGCGTACAAGGACGGGAAAATCATACTACAGGACAAAGCGTCATGTTTTCCTGCATACCTACTCGCAGGATCCCAGTCAGACCGAGCGACGATAGGTGACTGCATAGACGGATGTGCCGCACCAGGAAACAAAACCTCTCACCTTGCAGCTCTTCTCACCGGGAACAACAACACCGGCACCGGCATAGTGTATGCCTGTGAACGCGATCGCCACAGATCTCAGATTCTAACCACGATGATGATCAAGAGCGGGGCAACCAGCAGCAGCACCGTGACTGTTCTCGCTGGACAGGATTTTCTGAAACTAGATCCTCAAGACCGTCGATTTCAAAATGTCACACATGTCCTCCTCGACCCATCCTGTTCTGGCAGTGGGATCATCGGACGGGAGGACACCCCGACCCTGGTACTTCCCGAGGACCCTCGAGCCTCCAAACGGAACACTGCGAGCACTTCCACGACGGGCAAAAACTCGAAGAAGCGGAAACGACAAAATGCCGAACGGGAAGCTGACAAGAACTCCTCAACAGTATTTCCAACTGAAACAACCCCAGGCGACGCCGAAGAGACTAATGACGGCTCTGTCGACCAGTCGCGCCTTCAAAAGTTATCTGCTCTACAGACGCGCATCGTCCAACACGCCCTGTCCTTCCCCGCCGCAGTACGGGTGACGTATTCCACGTGTTCTGTGCATGTCGAGGAGAACGAAGCCGTCGTCTCCAGGATATTGGACTCCGACGTGGCCAGAACCCGGGGCTGGGATGTCCTCAAAAGACATGACCAAGTCTCTGGTCTTCGTTCCTGGAAACACCGAGGTCGACCAGACGTGAAGACGAGATCTGACGTGGAGGAGAAGAGTGACGACGACGATTCGCCGCCACAGCCGCCGGCTCCCTTGACGCCGGGCCAACTCGAAGCGTGTATTCGATGCCATCCGGATGATGAGGAGGGTACCATGGGGTTCTTTGTGTGTGGTTTCGTTCGTGACCCGAATGGGGGTTCCAAGGAGGAGCAAGACCAATCCAAAGATAGCTCGTGGGTTACTAGAGAGACTTCAACAGAAGTAGGAGAACCATGGGAAGGCTTTGGTGATTGAATCCACCACCCACCCACCCACACACACACACACAAACACGACTCGTTCTTGGCCCCGGGGTATGAGTATAAATAACATGCTCTATCTTACAAGCTCTCCTAGGACTTCGATGCACGCGCTCTTACCCCAAAGGTGGAGAATAGTAATATTATCATGTACCCTTGAGGCACGTACAGAGTATGTATATTAGGTACCCTTCTTCCAGTACTTGGGTACTCAAGTATATGTCGCCGAGTGACCGACCACATACAATTTCCGTAGCAATACAAGAAGATATGAGAAGAGGTTTTGCAAACTCCCGAAAATCCGTACCCGAGGCCTGTCTCCCATGGGCACAGGACGAGGCCACCGTTCTCAAGCCCATGTGAGCCTACTTACTGTGTGAGTTCTCAAAAGTAATTCCTCTTCTTGGTCGTTAGAAACCTCCTATTTCCCACGCCACTCGAACTGGATTTTCTGCCCGCCGTCTTGTTCGTCGCCCCCGGCGAGTGCCGCCCGTGTCCGTTGATTGTTGGAAACTCTTTCCTCTTGACCCTACTACTCTCGTTCTCATGCAATTCACCACCGTCGTCATAGTCGCCTCCTTGGCGATGTGACTTTTGCGGAGGACCCGACACTTCACTCTCGACAGTAAGATCGACGATCGGTGTTGCCGTGGGGGGAATCTGCGACATTCTCGGTTCCCGACTTTGGGAGAGTTTTAATTCGTCCTCGCTTGGTGAGGGGGACGCTGCCGGTTGTTCAGGTGCCGCCGGGCTACTACTACCGCCCTGCGGCGGCGGCGTCGGCTTGCTCTTCTGATATGATCTTCCATTCACCACCGCGGCGGCGGTACGAAGAGATTTCCTCGTCTGCACGGGTGATGATGTCCTCAAGCTCGAACGGGTGGTTTTTTTGATGGCAGGAGGGGGACCACGGCGAGAAATTTGACTCGAAGTGATTTCACTCAAGGATGGAAGGTCGTCACTGCTGTAAGCATCGTCGCTGCCGTCATGGTACGATGAATCGTGTCCATCGTGACCAGTTCCGCCTAAAAAAGATTGCTGCTGTGGTTGTGATTGAGACTGAGATTGGGGCACTTCCGAGCCCAGAGATTCAGAAGTCGAAGCCCTTTGGGATGGGCCAGACCTTCCACCACTATTATCGGACTCTCCCTCGTCTTGGCTGTTGGGTGCGACGGACTCCTGTACACCGACTGACGACTCGTATTTGTCGTTGAAACCACCCTCCTCACTGGCATTGACTGCATTGTCCACAGCATTTTCAACTTTGCTTTGTTCGAAGCTAGAAAAAGATTCTAGGGCCGGAGCGGGAGAAAGCTTCTGGGCGTCCTGGTGTGAGCTGCTGTTGTTGTTCTTTGGTGCTCCTCCAGAAGAGCCAATGTCCATCTGTGATATATGTGGGTACTCCACAGTTTCTTGTGTATGGATGAATGGTGACGAAGATGCGGGCGCCATATCCGGCTCCGAACTAGGGTTAGCATTGTCTGCAAGAGCAACAGAGGGTTCGCCCCCGAGTTCGGAAGATCGACGGTTACCGGATGAGACAAAGTCCAAGCCTGGAGATCGTTTGCGATGGCCGTGAGAATTTTCATCCGGGGCCGCACTCGATTCGCCAACAGGACTTTGAGACGCCCGAAGTTGCTGATCAAGCGTCCTCATCGGGGCTAGTATCTGGTCGTCTAATGCAGAATCAAAACCTGCATCTCTGATCATCGCAGTGATTTCTTGTCGACGAGGAGTGTCGATTTCGACAGTGATCTGATGACCTTCGCTTTCTTGCGTATCGACGCCTCGCTCGGCTGATTCTGGCACCACTGCAAAAGGCTCATCATTTGATGAAAGGGAACAGTCACCACCATGTAGCCCAACTTTATTCATAAGACTACTCTCAGGGACTTCTACCGCGGAAGCCTTGACGAGCTTGGCAGATATCAAATCTGAGAATTGGACTTCACGGCTGCCATCATCTGCCTCCTCGGCCTCGTTATCCGTGATCTCGAATCCATGTTTCTTTTGCCCTTCAACATCATCGATTGCGGTCCTCGAGCCCGTCTCCCGAGAGCTCGGGTCTAGCTTGAGTTGAATAGTTCCATAAGGATCAGCTTGAGTAATCTCGCCAACACGATATGAGGAAATCTCAGGTTGCCAATTTGTTGACGCATCCACGTGCAATTCTTTGTAGGCAATGATTGCACCAGGGACGGCATCGTCTTTCTGCAGAGCTGGGAGATTCTCAAAATTATCGCACATCTTTGCTGAAATCTGTTGTATCGTTTTTAATTCGCTAGAAGCTTCAGTCGGTACCTGTTTTGGTTCGTCATCGTAGTTCAGCGTAGTAACGACAGGATTATCTGCCATCTCGTTGTTATCTTGCGATTGGTCGTTCCTGTCGTGATAATAATGATCCTGGTCGCGTAATTTGCGCTTTCTGTTGTTGTTGTTGTTGTTGCCATTGCGTCTCATCCAGCCTTGCTGAAAGGGAAATGGTGGAGGTTCCAGTAATCCTCCTTCGCCTTCACATTCTACGGCTGAAACTACCAGTTTGTCCCTCCAGGAATCCCAGTCTTCGGTGATTGTATGTGAACTCGGAGAGGCTTCTTTGGTAGAACCTGCAACTCGTGTGGCAGGTCTGGCGGAGTTCGAAAGCTTCTCCCTCAGTGCCTGCTCGGCCTCTTTGGTCTTCGGTGTTCTTAAGCCAAGTGAGGAAAACAGCATTCTTCGAGAGCTTGCCAAGTCTAGCCTGGCCCTTTTGGAAGTTGACTGCACGGTCGGCTCCGGCTCCGGCTCATCACGCTGGATAGGTCTAGGCGTCTCTGTGGTAGCATCGTCCCGAACCACTTCGGCTTCTGTGGTATCATGTAGCGAGACTGCGTTTACCACCGGCTCGACGGTCCCTGTAATCGCGACGACTTCGTTCACAGTCGCTATGACCGGTCCAGGGACCTCGGAAGCTGCCGCATCGGCCTGGGCTACCGTGCTGGACTTGTTTTGAGCATTTTCGTATTCGGCCAAAGCCTTGAAGTCAGCTTCGGGAGGGAGTACACCACTGGCTTTCAAGTACGCCAATTTCCTTCTCCTTTTCGCCCTCTCATTGTTCCTATGAGTTCTTGATAACCCTTGGCCAGGAGAAACTTCGGGGTGCTCTCCAGTGAGTTGTATCGACTTGAGTGTTTCAGTAGGTCGTGCTTGTTTTGCAGAGACCCGTCTTCGCTTTCTTTCATCAACTTCTTTATCGTTCTCACATTCCGAATCAGAAGTTTCAGATTCAGAGTCGCTACCGTCCTCCGAATCCGAAGTCTGCGTATCAGTGGAATCCTCCCCGGAGCTAGATGTCTCATCGTCATCGAATAGGCCTGTATCTTCGTGCTCGTTCACTTTCATCTGTGCAGAAGATTCATCCTCGCCAGCCTCACTCGGCTCTTCCTTTCCGAAACCACTCATCAAAGCCAACACTCGCTTCTTTGCTTCTTCCATGGCAATGTCTTTGCTAATGTTATCGTCATCAGCGCCCGAAGAGGAGCTTTCGGACTGGGATTCGGAGTTTGCGTCGGCTCCATTAGAGTTAGGTGCCAATGCTGGACTCGATCTAGTCTCTGTGTCGTCACTCTCGGAGTCGCTAGACGACGTGTCAGATCCAGAAGAAGATGTAACGCTATCGGTGTCGTCCTCGACCTCCAGGGCCTTCTTCTTATGGCCTTTTTGAGGCGAAGAGAAACCCTCAAACGTGTCATCGTCATATCGGTATCCATCCTCATCATCAACGTCTCTTTTTCTCTTGAGCGTTCTTTGAAGCACTTTCCGTGAAGCAAAGCCACCACCAGCGCGAGCGGCTTGTTCAGCATTCCTGAGTATAAGCTTGACTTCTTCAGATAAGTCATCGTTGTCCGTAAGAAGAGACTCATCCTGCTCTTCCACGTCCTGATCCCAACCCTGAAGTTCATCTTCTGTAGATTCGGCGTCGGCATCGGCGTCATCGAAATCCTGTCTGATGGCAATCTGCAGGTGATTCTCCTCTCCAGCCTCGTCGCTATCAGACTGTTCATTGCCTTCCATCTCGTCATCGTCACTTTCCTCGTAGTCGTAGTCGTCGTCGCCGTCGTCGTCTTCAACCTCATCGTACCCGGTGAGGCTCACAAGAGCACCGTCGTCGCGTCCGTTGCCGGCCCAATTGGGTGGCAGAATCTGTCTGAAATCTTCGTCGCTCTCCTCGTCTTCTGCTGTTATCATCCGCCGTCTCTTCCTCGGAGGGATGAGAATGCCCGGTCTCGCCGTCCCAGCTCTGAGCCACCTCCTACCAAAGCTGACTCCGTCGATCAAGTGTCTCCCATCACCAGTGATCTGATGTCTTCCGCCCAAGCGCCGAACCCTCAACTCCTCCGAACTGAGCGGGCGTATTGTAACTTCATCATCCTCTCTTAACACCGCTTCTATTGCAGCGTAGTGCAGGCATTCATAACCTCCAGCACCTCCAGGGGTCTGTCCTCGTCTTGCCCCGACTCTTCCTGTGCCACCTCCATAGCCGACCAGGGCTGTAGAGGGAGACGAAGCAGGTGCAACCTCAACGACATAATCTTCCAAACCCCACTCTCCATCGCTGGACTCCAGTGGTACAATGTGGTTCACATCAGCCAGCAGATCTGCGACGGTGCAGTCACTCTCTCTCGTATGGCTTGAAGGGCCTGTGCCCGTGGTGAAAACAATCTGGACCGGAGGAAGAGCATTTCGAAGGATGTGAAGATGCAGACGCATGGTGGAAGTCCTTTGCGCTCCAGAGCGCCGAGGACTAGAAGGATCTCCGTCACAAGGGAGGAAGAGCGAAGAGGTGCAAGAATGTAAGTGACATGCGGAGAAATATTGTGCTGTCGAGATCGTGCACAGTCGAGGCGGCACCCAAGCGCATTGTCGCAGTTCAGATTGACACGCTCAAGGGAAAATAAAATTATGGGGAAGGGAAAGATGAAGGGCCGAAAAGAAGTGTGGACACGAGCCTCAGTTGGACTTTAGGGTGATTGACTACCCATGTACGGAGTATCAAGGTACAAATTGCAACCATTTATTTAGGCACAATACACAATACCCAATACCTCGTCACTCAGGTACAGAGTAAGACAATACACTGTAGGCCCCAAGTCCCTATTGAGTGCCCTACCTGGAGAACAATAGCCGGACCCTGCTTGAATACAATTGTAATGTGCAGCCTTGTGCTTGTTAACGAGGCTGAATACTCCATATTCCTCAGATCACTATCTCATCCCAAGACCAAGGTGCCTAGCTATCGTTTGGAACCAGACAATTCCAATATTATATCTAATCGGCATTCCAGCGAAATTATAGAAATACGATCCAAGTACGGAGAGCCCGCATACATTACACACATATACAGCAAGTGGGTATCTATTCTTGTCATTCATCAAAATCTTCGTCCTCGTCACCTCCACGATTGTTTGACGCGCCTCCTGTAGCTTGAATCCGTGCCTCTTGCTTCCGATATAGGTTCGCGAGGAATTCCGATGTACTTGCTTCCTCGACGCTCTTGTCCTCCCGAAGCTTCAGAAAGCGAGGGAAGCGCATGCTTAGACCACGATCCTCGTTGACCAGTCCGATAGCAGCAGTATAGGTTGGGCTGAGAGTAATGTCTGCAAATGCCATTTCCCAGACCTCTTGAGGTTCGAACCAGACATCTGGCTCGTAGGCACTGTATTCAATGTAGCTCGGCTTCGCACCTAGTACATTGTCGCCTCCCTCAGCGTACTTTTCCTTGTTGGCCTGATAGAATTTGTCAGTAAAGCCTGAAATGCACTTTGTGACAACTTCAAGTGAGCCAGTCTGTGGATTTCGACAAGCCAGGAGTATCGGCGACCACCATTTTGCCTTTCGGCCTTGACCGTGCCAGCCTGCAACAGGGATCAAGTCGATGGTGTCTGCAGAGGTGGCGTAGTCTTTTTTAACTTTGAGCCAGGAATCGAGGCGTTTGTCGGGTTCGTAGGTCGACAGAAGGGCTTTACGGCGAGAGCCTTTCTCCTTCTCTTGTTCTTTATCCACTTGGGACTTTTTGCTTGACTTCTTGCCCTTCTTGCTCGGAGTTACTGGTGCTGGGCCGGGTGTGTCATCTTTTTCTGCTTGGTCTGGCTCTTCTCCAATGAGATCAGGATTCGGTAGGTTATCCAAGACCTTCACCATGATACCTTCGCATTTGATATCCGTTGCAGATTTGAAGAACTCAAGAACCACGTCGGAATCAGCTGATGTTGCATCAATGCTTCTCACCCAGGTGAAATGGTGTTCTTTCTCCACAAACATGCTGCGCAGTAATCCGCGACGCTCGCGAAAAGGGCGATCCAGCAACGGTTCGCCGTTCAGGAACATTAAATCGAAGGCAAACAAGCAGACATCAATCTGGATAGACGACAAGTCGACGTCCTTCTTGGCACGGTTCGTGAGAGTTTGGAAAGTCTTGAGCTCTCCAGTGTTGCGGTCAACAGCAACAACTTCGCCTTCCAAGATGAAACTTGATACTCCATCACCTCGTATCTCGGGCACAAGGGCTACCAGATCCGGGTACTTGTCTGTCATGACTTCCAGGTGACGAGAAAAAATTGAAACCTTTCCTGCTTCGTCACAATGTACTTGAGCTCTTTGGCCATCGTACTTGTACTCACAACTGAAGTCTCGACCCTGCAATTTGGTGAGCATCTCGCTGAGATCTCGAGTAATGCTGCCCAACATCGGTCGAAGAGGGATATGTAGAGCTAAGCCGCAGCGTAATAGCAACTCATCTGACACGCCGACTTCCAGGAGTCCAGGGACGAGGTCGTTATAGTTCGGGCGCCGCGCAAAGCAAGTCTTAACAACTTCTTCCGCTTTGGACCATACAACGGCCAAGTCTTCCTTCTTCAGTTTCGCCAGTTCGGAAGCATCCATGATCGTAAAATCCGCTCCCTCTGGTCGTGAAAGTCGGAATGCCCGGGCAAGTGCGATCAGCATCGTTGTTTTTACAGCTCCTATTCTGAGATGTTGTACCAAAGTCCTCACTATGTATCTGCTTTCCTCTGGGCCGCGGGCATCTTGTAGTAAGCGTTCCACCAGCCGTTGCTTCTGCTCGACACTGCCATGACCTTTGCTGTTCGCTATTTTGACCAGTGTCTGATATGCGCCATTGATAGTGAGCGGCTTCGGCTTCCTCAAAGTAAAGCTCTGTTTCTTCTTGGCCTCGAAGGCGACATCCCCAGCGTCTCCATGCTTATCGTAGAGGGTTTTCAGCCCTGCACTATCAAGACCACATACTTTCTTTAAGGCTTTCGAGATGGCTGAGCCGCCGAGGCCCAACTCGAGAGAGATATATGGCGGTGCGATCGAGTTCGTGGCCAGCCACACCGCAGGAAGTAAACTTTTGGGGTCTGCTTCTATGATGAGCCGCAAACAATTGACAAGAGTGTCAACGATCTTGATCCGGCTTTGAGTGGAGTTGACAAGATAAAAGCACCGAGTAAGCAAAGCATACGATGCGTCGCCACCATCGGCAGCCCAATGGCTTTTCAGCTCGGATACATACTGTGAAGGGTCGAACGTCAAGGGACTTTGATCAAAGGGCACCGTTAACGTAATTTTGTCTTCGTCTGAAGCCGTCGACTGTAGTCCTAGCACACTCTTTTTATTCTCAATCGGGATGGCTTGAGAAATTGGATCAGACCTGTCGAGTGCAGCTGTGACAAAGTCTTTTTTGTTTTCCTCCATGTTGTGTTCTATCTCTTGAGCATGGGTCGGGTCTGGCCGTTCTTCGCTGTTGGTAATCTCGTCATTGCCTTGTCCATCTTCTCTTGCCCATTCTTCCTGCAGCTTTCTTGCCAGTTCCTCGTCTGTCAGCGTTTGTTCCGATGGAGATTGATCATCGTCAATATTGTCTGACTTTTCCAGGGCTCCAGTCCCCTTGAAAGTGCCATTGACTTCGTTCGAAGGGCCTTGTTTACGGAAGAAGAAATCGAGACTGCGATGTGTGATTGGTGTGGGTTTGGTATCATTTTTCTTTCTTCTCTTGGATGGACTCTCCATATTCGACACCAGCGATATCGCCGGTGCGATATCTTGGAGTTTTATTTGTACACGTCAACCATTTTGTCTTGATGGCTCCGGGAGGCAGACAGTATATTATTTATTGACACTCGTAGATTCTGTAGTTTAAGCGTCATCGGTTCGCGTCCGAGTGTCTGTGTCTCCAACTGCGATGACGCGTGTTGAGAAAAGATGCGGAGGACAGATTCACGTGAAGGTGGTGAATTTCCCTGCACTTTTACGATCTGAACCTTCCCATTTTACAACCAAGAGCCGGTTTCCAGGCGTATGTTCCCGTATGGCAGAACTCCAATTGTCTAGAACTTCCGACATTCGTACCCGAGTCGAAGATTATCTCAATGACAAGGTACAAACTGCGGCCGATCTTGACCAGCTGGACAGTCTCCTACAACAAATTCAAGGCCAGCAGAACTTGTTGAAACAGCAGGTAAGAAGCAACGCTCCTTGTCTCCGTCACTTCTCTGACGTGCTCTATAGCTAGAAGATGCGAAAAGAAGCCACCACGACGCTCAGACTCTTGTCGAAAAGAAAACCCAGGCCCTGAAACACAAAGCTGAAGACTTCCAAGTTCGAAAGGCTGATGTTGACCGACGATTACGGTCATTGGCACAAACAGATGTTAGCGATGATGCAGCCAGGAGCATTGAAGCACGAATAGGCAAGGTCCACAACTTGGAGATCTCTCGAGGATATCTTGATCTCATCCACAGAGTTAACACATTGAGTGCCCAAGTTACAGACAAACTCTTCTCGCAGCCAGACATCTCGCTACAAGCGTATCTCGACTTGAGGGCCCTAGTGGCGAAAGTCCAAGAGGCCCAGTCAGCCGCGGAGGGCGCCGCACCCCAGTTGGTGTATGAGCTGGAGAACCAAAACAGAATACTTTATGAGAAGCTGAAGCAGAAGTTGGAAGATGACCTTCGCAAAACACTGGAACAGATGAAATGGCCTAGTAAAGAATTGAATCTGTTAGGCAATGTCCGAGATCAGTGGAACCAACAAGTACGACTCCTTCTGGCGTTACAAGAACCCGACTTAGTATCAGTGTTTGTCCGAGCAGATGGAAGGGACTCTCCTGTTCCTGCGGAGCCTGTTATCTTACTCCCTCTTGAGGTGATGGTGCAACCACTTGCAGCAAGGTTTCATTATCACTTTTACGGAGAGAGGCCAACCAACCGACTGGACAAACCTGAATACTTCCTCAATCACATATTGGATCTTCTCGACAGCCACAGTGGCTTCATGTCAGATATGCTTGGCCCCATATTGGATCAGCGAGCTGCAAATTCTGAAGCCTTGGAGACCATCTACACAGATGCCATCTCGACCTTTATAACAGCATTGTTACCTCTTGTTCTTGCTAAATGTCTCTCATTCCTCCCGCAAATCTCTCAACAACCGCAACTACTATCCCATTTTATGCATGAGCTGATGGGGTTTGATGCTTCAATTCGCGACACCTGGGGCTATGTACCCATTCCAAGGATGTTGACTGATTGGAAGGGGATAACCTGGAATGTTTTGAACACTCATGGGTACTTTGGTGCATGGCTCGCGGTGGAAAGGGATTTCGCACTTACACGATACAAAGAGATCCGAGACGCTCCCGATAGCGGTGACATTGATCTTGACGCTGATTCTGCCCAGACCAAACCTACTAAGGGGGCCATCAGAGTCAATGACTTGCTCGAAACCATCACAGATCGGTACCGTGGTCTTGCATCTTTCAGCCAGAGAATGAAGTTTCTGCTAGAAATTCAGTTGTCAATCTTTGACGATTACCATAATCATCTCCACGGTGCACTGCAGGCATACCTCGTGTCCTCGCACACGGCAGGACGACTTCTGCAGGGTCAAACGGAATCACATGCCTTTGGTCTCAAAGGACTCGAGTCTTTGGCCAAGATCTATGGAAGCGCGGAGTTTCTCCAGCGCAAAATGTCTGACTGGAGCGACGACGTCTTTTTCTTGGAGTTATGGGATGAGCTGCAATACCGCGCGAAAGCGAATAGCAATGGCGATGCGTCGGTCGGTTCTGGTCTGAATGTGGATGAAGTCGCCGCTAGAACTTCTGATAGCATCAAGTCCACCGGTCTGGACGGCGATGCCGATACTGATGGAAGCGGACTTTTTGACCAGACCGCTCTGGCATATCGACGACTGCGGGAACGTAGCGAAGAGGAGATCCTCCGCGTATTCGACGTCAACTTGAAAGGGGCCATTGATGCCTATGCAAAATATATGCAATTCTCCTCCCTCGCCGCCACACCTTCAGATGTTGCCTCGTTAAGCCCATCTGCCAGTCTGGACGGCTTCTTCCAAACCACGTCATTACTGCTGGGCTATCTCGGCAAAGTTCTTGCACCTGGCTCAATGCGACGGATCACAAAGCATTACTGTACTTCGACACAGCGAAGAATCTACGACGGTGTTATAATGTCTCACACCTTTGCCGCTGCTGGTGCAACTCAGTTGAAGCGAGACATGGCGGCCATCGCAGAAAGTATAGATACGAGCACGAAGCTACGGGGAGTCGCTGGAGGAAGCATGAAACGGCTAGAAGAAGCAGTCTTTCTTCTTACCCTCGATGCTAATAAGAGGGCAACCGTCAGCACTGAAAATGGCGATGACGATGATGGCTGGGGCTTCGATGAAGATGAGAATGGCAATTCAGCCATTCCTGCCGCTGACGTCGATGACAAGGATTGGGGTTTGTGGGATGCTGAGAAACTCATCTTTCAGAGCAATGAAGCAGCACGAAAAGCACTGGCAGATATGGCTCTGTACCACTTGAGTGAAGCTGATGCCAGGAATGTGTTGAAGAGAAGAGTCGAGCTGAACAATTAGACACGAAGACTTGAGGAGGACATGTCAGCACCTTGTAGTTTGCCAATCTATACACCATGTAGGATGTTACTCCTTCTTTCCATAATGTCCGCCGTCATTGACAATAGATGGTGCTATTGTATAGGTCAGAGGCCCCTTTTTGGTTAGGAGCATTGTTGATAACTAGCCGATGCGCTCGATTATTCTTGCGCCTTGATGAGATATTGCGAGTTGTAGCGAAATGGTACTGAATGCGAGTGAGGACTTTGGACGTGGCCGGGTACAGCTTCGGCCCTGGTTGGTGCGCTATACAGCCTACCTGGTGCATCATATACAGCCGACTCGGGGCATCGTATACAGCCAACGGCACGGACTGGAATCCCTGCTGGATCTCCTGTATCTCTCCAATGACAGACAGTTCAGCACCCTTGTCGGTTCACGTCGGGTATTTTTTTTACAGTCTGCCATCATTGTCATCGGCTGTGAGGAAGTACAATATCACTCCATGCCTCCAACATCGATCCCCGCTTTCTTTTGACGGGGTCTCCAACGTCGATGGAGGTGGGGTTTCGCTATATGTCAAATGGCTTGCATCATGGTATATATAAGTGTTGAGGCGAGGGTTTAATCCGAATCGCATTCACATCCGTGATCCGTTTTCTTCGACCATCAGATAGATGTCACACAAACACATCATGGCGCCGAAAACCTTGAATGACTTGAAACGGAAGGACCTTTTCCAGACCAAAGGTTATATAGACGGGGAATGGGTGGACGCGGTGTCGGGAAAGACGTTCGACGTCCATGATCCTGCCACCCTCGACAAAATCGCCACACTCCCTGAAATGGGAGCGGCGGACACGGACAAAGCAGTCGATGCCGCGCAGGCCGCGTTCAAGACCTTCAAGAAAACGACCGCCCGCCAACGAGCTCGGTGGTTGCGCAAATGGAGCGACCTGATGCTGGAGAACCAGGCCGACCTGGCCTTGATCTTGTGTCTAGAGAACGGCAAGACTCTTGTCGAAGCCAATGGCGAAGTGGCCTACGCTGCCTCTTTCCTAGAATGGTTCGCCGGGGAAGCCGAGAGAACACATGGCGAGGTCGTCCCACCAGCGAATCTGAATCAACGCATCTTGACCTTCAAGCAACCTATCGGCGTGGCAGCATGTTTGGCCCCATGGAACTTTCCGGCCGCGATGATCACGCGCAAGGTAGGAGCAGCCCTTGCGGCGGGATGTACCACCGTCTGGAAACCGGCAGGAGAGACGCCGTTGAGTTGTTTGGCGCTGGCAGTCCTCGGACGGGAAGCCGGCTTACCGAAAGGCTCGTTCAACGTGATTACTACACTCAACCTGGTCAGCGAAGTCGGCGAGGCGCTGTGCAAGAACAAGCTCGTCCGCAAGTTGAGTTTTACAGGCAGCACCCGCGTTGGCAAGATTCTGGCGAAACAATGCAGCGACAGCCTCAAGAAGCTGTCCCTTGAGCTAGGCGGCAACAGTCCTTTCATAGTGTTCGATGACGCCAAAATCGACACCGCCGTTGAAGCCTGCATCTTGGCCAAGTTCCGAAACTCGGGCCAAACTTGCGTGACTGCAAACCGAATTTTTGTGCAAAAAGGGATCTATGATAAGTTTGCAGAGGCGTTGACAGCAAAAATCAAGACACTGAAGGTTGGGCCCGGCACTGAGGAAGGCGTCTTTGTTGGGCCGCTGACACACGAACGTGCGGTCGAGAAGGCAATGAATCATATAAACGGTGAGCGATGATTGCATGGATTTGTCTTCATGCGTACTAACAACTCGAAGATGCCAAGAAACACGGTGGCCAAGTGGTGCTCGGAGGAGCGCCAATGGACGGACTGAAGGGTTACTTCCTCCAGCCGACTGTCATCAAACATATGAATCGAGAAATGATAACGACCAGGGAAGAGACCTTTGCCCCTGTGGTTGGTCTATATGAGTTCGGTAGTGAAGAGGAAGTCCTTGATATGGCCAATGACTGTGATGTCGGCTTGGGAAGCTTCATCATCACCGAAAACATGGCCAGGGCTTTCAGGGTCACCGAAGCCTTGGAGGTTGGTATGGTTGGTGTCAATCTAGGAATGTTGAGTGCGTGTGAGAGCCCCTTCGGCGGTGTAAAGGAAAGCGGATATGGCAGAGAAGGTGGGCGGCAAGGCATCGAGGAGTATCTGAGTGTGAAGTCGATGTTGATCAACGTGGCGAATTAGCAGGCGTCCAGTGATACTTGTGGTCCGTGGATTTCGTGTATAACACAGATAGCTGGATATTATTCTTTCTTTCCCACCTTGTTCGATTTCTGCTGACTTCCGCCTTTGAGTTCTTCGTGAAACAGCATCGCGTATCTGGTGAGTAACAAGACGGCGATGGCCCTGTTTGCTGACTCTGGTGCCTTCTGGCTATTCAGTATCAGGTAACGAACATCGAGGGCGATCCCGCCTGCGAGTTGTAACCATCCAGTGATCGGCAACACAGGTCTAAACGCAGACATTCCGCCGAAATACGCGTACATCCAGAAATGGTGGAAGCAATTCAAGAAAGCAAACAATTGCCACTCGGAGGCATTGAGGACACGAAAATAGGTCAAGAAAGGGGTGGTAATGTGGTGAAATGCCATGTGAGGTCCGATGGACTGTCCATTGGCGACGAGATTGAAGACGTCAATGTATTCGTAGAATTTCGATAGATGATAAACGTATGCGAGATCTGAGCTTTTGATGCCGCTTATCTCTTGGAAATGGAAGGCGTCGTTGAGTATGAGGTACGCCAGTACCAGAGAAAACAATGAATACGCCTGGCTGTTCAGATGTATGACCGTTCGTGTCCAGGGAAATGCGCCATTCCGCTCAACATAGGCCCTTAATGTACTCCAGAAGAAGATAAAAGGGCCGCTGGTGAGAATGACACTCTGTAGTGAGGTCAGTGGTCTGTCTCCCTTGTCCATCACGATGTAGACGAAGCGGGGCGGATTCGCGAGAGAGGGAGTGAGTGCTGACAAATGACAGCGTTATCAGGACGACAAGAATTCAGATGTAGATTGACGATCTAAGATGTTCTTGAGGGTGATCAATCAGGATGTCGAAGAAGAGAAGAAGTCAAGGGGTTGAGGCGAGATGAGTCAGGCGACGATATTGTTCATGAAGCCTACCCAATTTAGGATAAAACCACCATTCCATGTCGGAAACCTCACTGAATCTCTACCTGGTTCAAAGTTCTCATCTGTACAAAAGTCAGTTTCACTGAGCAGAAGAGACGTAAGTTGTACAGACTCGAATAGCTCAATATGAGGCAAATGTGAATTGCGCAGTATCTCTGCTATAGGGACTGACTATGAGTCAGTCGGTCAGTAGCAGCTGGACGTAGTTCTGTTTAGCATATACATAGATATAGATCTACGGAGCATACTCTGGGCTCTTGTCTACCATCAATAGTACCTAGGGATAGTTCTGTTACAATGGACATTGAGTACCTGACAGCCACCGGATACAAAATAGGCCTCTCCTTTAACCTTCATCATATCGAGGCAACAAACAGTATCGGGATAAATTGAAATCACACCTCGTATTTGCTGGTAGCACGAATCAATAACTTGGAAAATTGCGTGTTACGTTGCGAGAGTCTGGGCCGGAACGTGGCCGACCTCCAAACCGAGCCACGCACACCAGCTTGCAAGAATGCAATTTCGGTTAATGGAGGTGCTGGACCGATAAGAAATGTCGCCTAAAAAACCATGAAGCGCTGAAAACATGTTCAACTAGAGGAGCTCCTGCGGCTGTTGTTTGTTGGTCCCTGCTGGAATTCATCCAAGGTGTCAAAATCTGAAGAGCCATTCCATGAGACTTCCAATTGCTTCCAGACGACTTTTTGTGACAATAATGCTGAAGGCTCGCCAGCCCGACCAACGTGTGCCTGAGAATGCAGAGTGGAATCCCTGGGGTTGATTGACCCCTGTACACATGGGTCCTCCGCCCCGTAAAGGAAGCCCCCCTGCTATAGCCAAGTGGCGCCGGGTCGTGGCATTTCGCAAGCCTATTGATGGACATTATTGACCTCCAATGGCAATAATGTTTGCTCGATTCAGCTCGGACTCCTTGGTTGAATCTGTCTCGAGCAACGACCCACGTGGAGATTGTCCCTCCGGACGCCAGTTAAACAATGGCACTCGATTTCGGATCTCCAAAGAACAGTCCTCTAGCCAGAATCCAGAAGAGACGACAATCTTACTACCGTCAAACACAGGCTGATTGTTGTGTAACTGCGATGGTCTATCAGATGCCCGATCATGCATCGTCAGCATCAATGTTTGACATCAAATGGCATTGCTCGGCGTCCCATACAGTAAGTTGCGAAAAGGGCCAGCTAAAATTATCTGTTCCGAAAAGTGAGATCCAAGCACTGTCCATCTCGCGACAATATTGGGACCAGTCCGCACCTTTCTGGGCTTGAGCGCCACCGGACATGGCGCCTAGATTTCAGCATGCCGCAAGCCACGAGTACAACATGTTTTCAACCCTTGACTGTTCCCAATGCTCTGGATAGCCTAATTTTATCTACAGCGCCCAGCTGTCAGCTGAAAAGAAAATCCCCGGTACGTTAGCTCCCGGACTCCTAGGTTCGCCTAGACCTGATAGCCTGTTCTGTGGCTTTTCCAACATGTGGACGATAAGGCTTTGCACGCCCCTTGGGCCAATTGCATGGTCTAGACGACGCCTCAACCAGAGACATGTCGACCTTGGCTACCAAGGAGGGTGCATGGCAATAGGGTAAATGTCACTTTATATGATCTTGGGTCCGTCCTTCTGGTCTGGGCATCTCAGTGAAACCTGTCTCTTTCCATCTGACATCGTGTGGCTATACCTAACAGCCCATTCACCATTTTCACTAAACACTACTCGATTGTTCTCAGGCAGCCACTTCCTCATTGACCTTTTTCAACATCAGAAAGCCCATACTCTGCGATGGACGCCACTACATCTGTCTCCGGGAAAGGACTTCAGGTTGGAGTTGTTGGTGCCGGAGTTGCGGGCTTGAGCGCGGCAATTGCCTTAAGAAGAATAGGCCATAGTGTTGAGGTGGGCATTTTCTCCGTGGACAATACAGGCCGAAAAAAGCCATTTACGCCTCCACAGAGTATAGTTGTGCTGACTTTGACTCTGTACAGGTATTTGAACGGTCTGAGTTCAAGAACGAGAACGGTGCTGCCGTGAGTATTACTCCCAACGGGGGCCGGATTCTTGAACGATGGGGGTTCGACTCCATCAAAGCAGGAGGTATTGAGAACATTCAAGTGAGCCATCCGACCATATTCCTCGGCTGCTTGCACGGTGCGCCTTTCAAAAGCAGTCATGTCTGGGGCACTCTGGATAGTGGACTAAAACCTCAGCAGGTTCGAAGACCAAAGGGTGATACCCTGGAGCCCATGGCGCCCACTCTGTCTTTTGCCAATGTTGAACAACAATACGGCAACAAGTGGTATTTCTATCACAGAGTTGATATGCACCGACAACTCAGAGAAATGGCTGAGGCATTTGGCTCTACCATCAGACTCGGCGCCCAAGTCATGGATGTCGACCCCGAAACAGGCATGATTCATCTCAAAGACGGCTCGCAGATTCAGAAAGACCTCGTTATCATCGCTGATGGACAACATGTTCGTGTTATTATGGCCCTTGTTCTCGCAAAGCCAGAGCTAATTCTCAAATAGGACCGTCTCAATGCCAAAATCACAGGCCAAGAAGTTCCCATGAAACGTAGTGGTCAAACAGCCTACCGGTGCCTAATACCCTTGAAAGACATCTTGGAAGATGAGGAAACTAGACCATTCTTCGAAGGCCAAGCGCCAGGCTTTTGGGCTCCTGCTCTTCCCGCCAAGGGTGTCATGGCCGTGACCTATCCTTGCCGCAACAACGAAATCCTCAACGTTCTCGCCGTACACCGCAAACTCGGCCAGCACGCCACCAGCGAAGACGACGTTGTTATTGACGACTGGAACTTCCCCGCCACCCATGAAGATCTAGAACACGTTCTGGACGGCTTCCACCCGAGTGTCAAGAAGATGTTCCTCAAATCTCCAGAAGTCAAAGTCTACACGCAGATGAAGCGTGACCCACTGTCCAAAATGACAAAGGGCAAGGCTCTCCTGATTGGTGACGCTTGCCATCCTATGCTTCTGACCCACGCACAGGGTGTCAGCAGCTCAATCGAAGATGCCGCCACCCTCGAAGTTTTCCTGGCTGACGTGCCGGCCTCGGGTGATGTTAGCGCCACACCATCTGAGAAACTCCTCCAGCGTCTGGAACAGTATGAAAAGTTCAGATTACCCAGAGTTTCAGCCACGCAGATTCTGACCAACCCAATCGTCCCTGGACCCCAGGCGGCGGCGAAGCATGCGGAACAGGAGGCCGAGATCAGGAAGTACTACTCCGGACCACTGCCAGCGACGGGTGCGATGCCTCACAGTCCCCCTATCTGCCAGTTCTTCTTCGGCTATGATGTGGAAAAGGAAGGGAAAGCATTCATTGAATCTCTCGAGCATCAGGAGACTACCGGCCCAGAGGTTGCGGGTGAAGAAGAAGTCGTTGAGCCGACGCCGCAACCAGAAGAGGCCATCGTCAAGGTTGAGAGTGTTGCTCCGATTATCAATGGCGTCCAGAAGACCCAAGTGGTTGAGAAGCCCGCACCTGTCCAAGAGGCATCGGTCACCACCATGGAACAGCGAGTGCTTGACCTCGAGCGTAAACTTGCCGACATGGAGAAGAAGTTGTCCGCCATGGCTATCCATGTGTCGACCATGGAAGTTCAGCTGACACCGCCTCAATCACCACCTGCTCAAGTTGAGACGCAACCTCTTATCTTTTCTTCATGAACAATCGACTGTTTTAAGCATCGATGGTGATGATTTGACATTTACATGTGGGCGAGAGTGGAAGAAGAATGATATTTAGCGTGTACGAACAGCAGCCAATATTTGTCCTTTCTGACGGCAGATTATGTCCTTCAGTTGTATTCGGGAGGCGTTTATGGTCAATGGCAGGGTTTTTTACACATTGCCTGGCTATAGTAATGAAGGATTAGGTCCTTTTAAGAGCAATTAGGGGGTTCTTCAATCCCCGGGCTCATTTATTTAGCGAGAAAGATTGATATAATTCTCTGAAAATGATTAGAAGATGCCAACAAACCTCAATTTTTCGTATTCACCAATTACTACCTTGCGTTTTGTGGTTCGACAATAGATGGATGTTGAAAAACATGAAATATATCCATTGCCATGTGGTAATAGGCCGGGTTGTTTTAGCATGGAATATCGAAGTCAAGTAGTTGCCACAAAAACAATCTTCTTATGATATGTTATTGTAACCAGAGTTATATATAGCGCGTGTCTAAACAATAGGAATAGAAATAGAAGATATATGAACGATAGTAGTTTACTCCATCTGATGTCGCTATGGTGTGTCTGGGGTAAAAGTGCTCCGTACCCTAGTCCGAAAATGCATATGCACTTGGAAAAAAAGAACGCGATACCCAGAAATTCCTAGAAAAGGCTTTCTCACGACGATCCCAGTTACCTCTGCCTAAAGCCATCGACTCTTGATCGTATCCTATGGAGAAGGAAATAATGCTGGGTGTCTGAATGGAAGCGAGGTGTGGTATTCTACTCTTGTCGAGGTCGTTGAGATGCCTCGGTTTCGTATCTCGTGTTCGTATACGGAGCACATTTTGGGGTGAACTTGTCGTAAACTTGAACCAATCAACAATCTTTCATCTCATCTCGTCTGGCTTACCTAGGTACCGAACAATCAACATGTGCGAGGGCTGACTTTCGACCATCTCCTTGATCGTTATATTTAGTTCTCAGTTGAGCAAGACACAATCTGAGGTCCTTTCGCCATGTATTCCTTAGAAACTCCCTGCTGAACCACATACATTTGCCATTAGCCATATTCCTCTTGATCAACACAGCTCCCAGTTCTACGTCAGGATGCCTAATCAGGCAGTTTTCGCGAATGCTTACAACCGTCCTCAATCTCGAGAATCACCACGAGTTCCATACAAAAACGACGCCGGGAGTAATCCTATACTCAGAGGTTTACCTCTGGCCATCATCTCGTCTATGTATGATTCTTCATCTGCCATATTACACAGCTGGGTGACTGACATTTCCAAAGTATCGCGTCGTCGTCCTACATTCAGAATATCTTTTGGAAATTGAACCGTTTCGACACGCTCAAAGACATCCAATATCTCCACGACTACGAACCTCGACATGATCCCACCGTCGTGCCTTTGTCATCCACTTCTGAAGAGCAAGAGCCGTCCTCCCTGACGAGTCTGCCTTCACCGACCCCTCGAACCTCGGTCAACAATTACTACACTTGCGCCGATTACCATAAACTGTACACTTCTGGCGAGCTCACGCCGTCTGCCGTGGTGGAAGCTCTCCTGCCTCTGATCCGTCGAGATGTCAGCCCCGCCGGACAGTACTCTGTCGGATTCATCGACACCAAGGTCGAACTCGTCCGAACTGCGGCGAAAGCCTCCACTGAAAGATACCGGCTCGGGAAACCGTTGAGTGTGTTGGATGGCGTGCCGGTCGCGGTGAAAGACGAGGTTGATCTGACGGGTTACAAGAAGACACTGGGCAGTAAGCTGGATTTTACGGACCCCAAAGACCGCACGGCCTGGTGTATAGAGAAATGGCAGGAAGCCGGTGCCGTCTTGATAGGTAAAACCACCATGCACGAAGTAGGCCTCGACACCACGGGAAACAACCAGACATGGGGGACTCCCCTGAACCCTCACAACAACGGATACTACACTGGCGGTAGCTCCAGCGGTTCTGCCTTTGTAGTCGCCTCTGGCGTAGCGCCCATCACGCTGGGTGTGGATGGCGGTGGTTCGATCCGACTGCCCTCTGCCTTTTGTGGCATATACGGCCTGAAACCCTCTCACGGCCGCGTGTCTTCCCGTATCGATCATGAATTCAACGACACCGTAGTAGTGAATGGACCCATGGCCAGCAGTATTGACGACCTCGCTTTGGCTTACCGGATAATGGCCCAGCCAGACCCCGTTTCCAACCGGAGTTCTAGGTTCCCCAACCCTCTTTTGCCGTCCTCGCAAGCTGCTCGTTTGAGCCCCGGTGACCAAAAGAAGTATCTAGGCATCGACCGAGATTGGGTGAATCGATCAGACCCAGTCGTGCTCGACATGTTCAACGCCGCCATTGACCACTACGTCAAAACCCAGGGTTACACGGTCGTCGACATCAACATCCCTTTACTCCCAGAAGGTCAAAAGGCTCACGCCTTGACCATCCTCTCGGAAGCTCGCAGCCATTTCTCGCCGCAACAGATCAAAAAACTCTCGTGGCACAATCAGTTGCTCCTCAACGTCGCGGGCAGCCACGCCACAGCCCAGGATTTTCTGTTCTCGCAGCGTCTGCGCAACCTCCAAATGTGCCACCTCGCCTGGCTGTGGGAGGAGTATCCGGGCATGCTGGTGCTGACACCCACAACACCCTGCGCGGGATGGAAAATCGGCAAGCCGAGCGATCTCACAAACGGGTATGGTGTGAGTGACGGCGACATGAGCTTAAGGAGCATGGAATATGTTTATTTGGCCAATTTCCTCGGGTGCCCTGCTATTTCGTGTCCCATGGGTTACACTGATGATAATGTCCCGGTTGGTCTAATGGTAGGTTGCCTCTCTTGCTCATCTATCTCTCCCGGCCTCAAAACCTCTCTCTTTCTCGTCCCGACGGCTAATTTTTGTTCCTATAGGCAATGGGAGAATGGGGGAGTGAGGAACAACTGATCTCTTTCGGTAAAGAGGGTCGAGGTCTGCTCGAAGGTGGTGACATTCGGCGACCTCGTGGTGATAATCTGTGGGTTGATGTTTTGGCTGCAAGCAAGACGGACTAAATATAATTCCCCAACCCTCCAAGTCCCCCATGAGTCCCTGTTTAACCCAGGTAGCTAGGGCCCTGTTTACCTGGCTTAAGTACTCGCCTTTGGCACCTAATGGAGGTACATGGATGTACAAACAAGTTGCAACCAATGCCCGTTGCTTCTCCATCTATGTTTCTTTGAGAACCCGACTATTTCGGGCTGATTTGTTTGTTCGTGGTCATCAGACCAGACGCAATATAACTAGCAATGTTCTTACCCTTGCCAAGTTCCAATCACCCGTTAAATGACCCGTTCGAATGTAGTAGCCATTGCAGTGCTCGTTACCGTCACACAATCTGCTCTATTGGGCATCTACCTCTTCCGGCGCCATCACCATCGTGGCATCACCCTGGCTCTCAGCCATGGGCATCTCTCCTTCTTGCTCTCCCATCTACCTTGCGGGATCACCATCACCCTCAAATGCACCTCCACTGTAAGGCACTTTTCTTCTCGCCATCTCGGAACCAGTGGGGGACCTTTTTGAGATGTTTTCGCTCCGATCATATAACCTTGTAGCCTTGTCGATCAAGGTAGTGGGCACCTTCACAGTGAGATCTTCTCAATCTTCTCACACCGAAGACAACCCGGTGGTGGGTCCCCTTTCACAATAAGATCTTCTCGTTCCGATCAAACCACCTTGTAGCCTTGTCAGCCTGGTGGTGGATCTCTTGAATCTGTTCAAACCAGAGACAGTTGGTGTGGATCTCTGATTCCTGGGTCCTATCATCGTCATCATCATCATCCCGATCAAATCATACCATGATACCATTGTTGATTGGCTCATGTGCTATTTCAGATCATACAAGATCGTACAGATCGTACAAGGATACTGCATTGTGACAAGTGGTGAAACCGCGTTTAGGCAATCGTCGGGAGATCCTGGGTCGTTCTTCTTCATAAACGGATCCGCGTCGCGTCTTATTGTGTGGAACCGACCGATCGCGTTTTGATTTTCGCCCCCGTCGCGCCAATCGCGATAAGTCGTTCGAGTCGACGAGGCTGTGTGTGATATAGGGGTGATCTTCTTGCACAATTGACTTTTGAAAAGAGTCACGTCAGTCAAACTTGTTTATGTTCGCCTTGATGGAGATTTCTTTCAACAAGGCAACCCTCGCTCTGTTTCCGTGTTCAAAAAAAATTTACAATCCTGATCCTCTGCACTCGAACCTTCAAATCCTGCCAACCCACCTGGTATTCTAAAACTTTTGTACTCTTGTTTCGCTCGTGACTTTCAATGATACCCCAACTGAGGCTTTTTCTCTCTTCCATTCCTCGTTTCTCTCTGATCTTGACCCATTGAGGCTTTTCTCGTTTGTTTATCATTTCCGGACCCATCGAGGCACATTCTCCATCTCTCGTTGCCCGGATCCTGTCACTGACCCCATCGAGGCACATTCTCCATTACTCGTTGCCCTGACCCATTGAGGCATTTTGTTGTCGTTTCCCACTCCTCTGATCTTGGTCCACTCGGCCTCGATCATTCCATGATAGTCCCTCATCGTTCCCACACTTTGCCCGAAGGTAGTTTGATCTGAATTCTTACAAAAGGGTGGCCTGCCCCCGTCGATTTCAAGAATCCCTCTTCTTCATTCTTTCTCATCACTCATTCCCATACACTTTTGCTTTCTTCTTCACACCGTTGCCCTCTCTTGTCTCTTCTTTTCTTTTTCCACTGTACCATCTCTCCTTTCCTTCTGCCCTTCCTTCCTACCTTCTCGCCTTTACTGTATACATCACATCTTCATTAGGTACGTTAACCCTCACTCCCTTTACTTGTTGTCTTTCCTTCTTACTCTAGTTGTTGCTTGCTGTCTTGCTGTGCTGTTGGCTTTCTGTCTTGGGGTTCTGGAGTTTGGCGTTTGGCGTTTGACGTATTTCTGTCTTTTTGTGTTTTAGGGTTCTGGCGTTTTTCGTTCTGGCGTTCTGTTCTCCGCTGTTCTTTTTCTGCGTCTATATTCATTTGAATATAGCTATTCGTCTTTTGCTTGGCCCTATTACTTTACTATATTCCAATGAATATAGTAAAGCTTGTTTTTTCTTTTCTGTTTGCTTTGCTATATTCATTTTGAATATAGCTGTTCTGCTCTTTTTCTCTTTTCTATTTTGTCTTTTCTCTTTTTACTGTACTATATTCATTTGAATATAGTAAAGTCTGTTTTCTGTTTTCTGTTTGCTTTACCATATTCATTTGAATATAGTAAAGTAACCTATTTACTCTCTCCTCTCTTTCACTTTAGTATATTCATTCGAATATAGTAAAGTCTTGTTTTCTCTTTTTTATTTGTCTTCCCATATTCTCTTTTTCTCTCTTCTTGCTTTACAATATTCATTTGAATATAGCTGTTTTCTTCTTTTCTCTTTTCTACTTGCTTGACCATATTCATTTGAATATCGTAAAGCAAACTCTTTTTCTCTCTTCTTTTTTACTTTACCATATTCATATGAATATAGTAAAGTCTTGTTTTCTCGTTTTTACTCGCTTTCCCGTATTCTCCTTTTCCCTCTTCTCTTTTTGCTCTACTATAATCATTCTGAATATAGTAAAGCTAAAGCAAACTCTTTTCTCTCTTCTTCCTTGCGTTGCTATATTCATTCGAACATAGCAAAGCAAACTCTTTTTCTCTCTTCTTTTTGCGTTCCTGTATTCACTTGAATATAGCTCTTTCTGCTTTTCTCTTCTTTGTGCAAAAATATGGCTCTTCATATCTTTTGCTTCTTTCTCTTTGTTTTGATTGAAGTGGTTTCATTGCGGGAATGTATGGCTCTCCATACTTCCTGCTTCTTCACCGTTTTTGCCTCTGTTAATCTTGTAGTTGCCCTGACCGTAGTTGTCCCTTGTTCCATTTGTTCCTGTTCCATTGTGTCTTTTTGTACTGTTTGCATTTCCTTCCATCAGTTCATTTGCCTTGTGCAAAGCTCTGGAGGAGGGAAACCAGCTATCCACTGTTTCCCATTGGAGCCCTTTGCGAAGTTCCCCTTGCAATTCTTCCTGTGTGTGATCCAATTCTTACCTTCGAGTCTTGGTTCCTGAGAATTTTCAAAGGAGTGATCTATCCCACCTTTTCGACACTCATGCTCATTCTACCATCCTTCTTCAATTCCCATCGGCATCCTGAGTCGCATGGTCGCCGTCCTCGCCATGGCCACCGCCGTCGTCGTCGATATTATCATTGGACTAAAGATCTCACTCGTATAGTCTCTCAGAACCTGCATCATCAATTACTCACCGACTTCCGCGAACGGCATTGCGTTGACTGAGAAATGGTTGTTATGAGGCGAAGTCAGGTAGACGTGTCTGTTGAGGTTCCCAATCTGGCCAAGTGTTGCGCACGGATCATGTTATCACCGGGCCCGAAAGGCACAAAAATTCCCACCAACCACACCTCAATGGTCCTCCTGGACTGATCATACACTACGACCTCGATATCTCTTCCATCTTGATTTCTCTACAACAGGGAAAATCTTTATTGGTCATAATAGCGTCCAGATCTACTGTCACTGATTGGCCGCAACTTCGCTTCCGCCTAGCCTGTTCCTCACGGTCTTGACGCAAACCTCACTGAGCTTCTGCGGTCCAAAATACGACTCTTCATTGACCGATTTCAGGCCACCCCGGTGTCATGAATTAGTACTGATCATTCCTCTCTTCGCCAATATTCGTCATCGTCATAATGGAGTTGGTGAGCCCTACGACAGTCGATACCAGACCTCGACTTGGCCATGCTTGCACCCGCTGCTCCGAGCGCAAAGTCAAATGCGACAGGCGACAACCATGTGAGTCCTGCATGAGACATAGTGCGGATTGTATTTTCAGACCATTGCCTCCGCGTAAACGGAGGAAGAAGCGCACGACCGAAGAAGCTTTGGTACAGCGCCTTCACATGTACGAGGCGCTACTTGAAAAGAACGGTGTCGACCCCAACACCCTGGCAATGTCATCTGCAGTCGTGACTTCATCCCAGACAAGTCATCAAAGTCCAAAGGGCAATACCCCGACAGACTTCATATCACCGGACGCGAGGCCTCTCAGTCCAGAAGGGGCAATCTCAAAGCCTCGTTTGTTGCATGAACAGGGCCGCTCCAAGTATCTCAACAATGGCCTCTGGACCCGAGTGATAGAAGAGTTCCGTGAAATAGGCGATGCGCTGGGCAACTCATCCGACGAAGATAACGGCCCCGACGAACTAGCCGAAGAAGCAGCGGACGTTGTTCTCGGATCCCTTGAAACGCCAGCCAGCATTGACGAACTACACCCATCCACTGAGCAAACCATGGAGCTATGGCGAATTTACTTGAGAAACGTTAGTCCTGTCTTGAAGCTTCTTCACGCGCCCACGACTGAACAAACCATTCAAACCGTCATGGTAAGGCCCGAGAAAATGTCAAGAAGTTTCGAAGCACTCCTCTTTGCCATCTATAGTGCTGCGGTAATGTCAATGCGCGATGAAGACTGCGAACAACGATTCGGTCAAACCCGCAAGCACCTGCTCTCGCGATATATACGTGCTACGAAACTTGCCCTGACACGCGCGAAGCTGATGGGGACCTCGAATTTGACAGTTTTGCAGGCTTATCTGCTACACCTCGTAGCTGTCCGAGAGTTTTATGACAGCCGAACTCTGTGGAATATGCTGGGTGTTGCCGTCCGCATTGGCGAGGGCATGGGGCTTCACCGTGATGGAAGTACTTTGGGTCTACCGCCTTTCGATGTCGAAATCCGACGTCGCATATGGTGGGAGATGAGCCTACTCGATCAACGATCTGGGGATCTGAGTGGTTATGGCAGGATTGGCACTTTCGACGGAAGCACCAACATACCCAATTGTCCTGCCAATGTCGACGATGACGACCTCTTCCCCGCAATGACTTCAATCCCAGAGGAGTCCACCAAAGTCACGGAGTCTCTGTACTGTGCCTTGCGAGCTGAAATGTTTTCGTATTGGTCGAGCTATGCAGGCCGAAAGAAGAAAGAAAGAATGTCTGGAGACCTCCAGGGAAGGATTAAAAGCCAGGATGAATTGAAAGACAGAGACAAGGCAATCGAAGAATTCGAGCAGATGATTGAGTCAAAATATGTTCGATACCTCGATCCTTCGCAGCCGCTACAGCTCCTGAGTATGCTTTTGGCCCGGTCAGTTGTGAGCAAAGCCCAGTTCATGGTTCATCACCCGAGGAGATGGAATGGCTCGCAAAGCATTCCAGATTCGGAACGGCAGTTGGTGTGGCAAGTGTCTGTCGGACTCTTACAACAATACAACATGATGCGTTCGAATCCTTCCCTGAAACGTTTCTCCTGGTACACGGCCTACTACTTTCCATGGCAGACATTTATCCATGTATTGGACACGGTGAGGGTCACTCCGCTCATGGCGGGTGCTTCGGACATATGGCAGATCATTGAGGAGACGATTGAGAACTTTCCAAATTTGATCATGAAGACCAAGGAGCCGCCTTGTGTGGCAGTGAGTAAGTTGTGCTTGACGGCGTATGAGGCATATGTCGAAAGCTTGAAGAAGGAGGGCAGGTTTGTCCCAAGAACTCCAGCATTTGTAAACGACCTTAGGCAGCAGCAAGACAACCTTCGACAGCTTCATGCTCAGCGGAAACGATCAGGAATCCGCCACACCGCAGGTACTGCTTCTCCTCCTCCGGCCGAGCGCGGTACGCAAAAGTCAATGCAGAAGGACGCGGCTTCTTCGTCGATTCAGAGTGGTATGCAAACAACAGCCGAGGCTCCAAATGCTTGGTCCGCTGGCGGTGTTGAGTCTGGGTATGCAACAATGTCAACAGACATGGAGGGAGCGGACGAACCGTTTCGCCTTAATCCGGGAAATGAGATCGATATTTTTGCGGACCAAGCGATCGACTGGTCACAATGGGATACAATTCTTGGTGATCCGTCTCTAATGCCAATGCCGATCATGACGGACTCCCAGGAACGAGACTGGTCCCTTGCACGATATTTCGCAGATTGATCTCATATTATTATTCGTCTCGTGCGACAATAACGTACTGTGACACTCGACAACCTTTGAACTCTCAACGAGTTAGGCGCGGCCTTCTGGTGCTGGTGTGAAAGTGCAGGATAAGCTTGTTCTGATTGGATTAGGCTCATCCAGTGTCGAAAGTCTGCATGATTGGTAGACTCCAGAGGCCAGCCAAGTGGCCTAGTAGCGCAGGTGGATCTTGGCTGAGGATGTTTGTACCATAATCCTGTTCATGGCACCATGCGTCAAAGGCTTCTAGAATCGGACGGGCAACTTGTTCAAGCGACCTGACACTGGTTCCTGCCTCGGACCAGCGCCCAACTACCTTCCACAGAATGTATATGACAGTATTCACGGTATTGGGCAAGATTTCCGACTCTATCTCTTCGATTTGGCGAAAGTCCGAGAGAGAATAGGCACGAATTGCTCCAAGCATGAATTGCAGAAGGAAGGCCCCAAGCTCGCAAAGGTGGTACGCTGCGTGCCAATGGTACAGCAGCATTCCGTTCCTGTCATTGATAGCATAGATGTCTACTACCTTGAGAGCGGCTCTGATACTTTGCCGCCGCATGTCCAGCGTTGGCACTGGGTATCCCGGGGATGGTCTGTTGAGACGAAAGATCAGAAAATGGTAAATGATGTCGTGGAATTGTATGGTCGTCGCCAACACGTCGTCCACGCTACTGTGTGTGGCGTTGTGCCATTCTTGTAAGCGGTGTGTCAGCCCATTTTGCCAGTCTTGAAAGTCATCGGCAGTCATGGCGGTCGAAGAAGGGGAGTAGATCATGGTCAAGGTCTCCAATTCGAGCATTCGGGCAGACCAAACATGTGGCGCCACGTATGATGAGCGACTCAGGAAAGAGTTTAGCATGCCGTTCGCTGAGACATATGGAAGCTGGTTGGCTTCATCAGCGCTAGTGGCTCAACAGGGAAACCGATCTTTTGGAGAACAAACCTGAGTAGACACTTCCGTCACAGGCAAATTGAATGGTCTGGAGGGGATGTAATGCACATTACTTTACTCCGTAGTAGGCTGTCAGTCTCAAGGGGTTGTTGCCCAAGGAATCGTGGGTTTGCTCGTTCAGGCTCACTAACCAGTTCATGATATATGTAGACCAGAACAATATTCGCCGCTCATCCCTTTCCTTTTGGCTCAGTAACTTGCCTCGGTCAGCGACCGCTTCGTGTTGTAAACCCATCTGCAACGCGAGGCTCATGGCCTCACCTGCACAGATGAACGGATCGCATGCCTGTGGGTAGAGGAAGCCGTAGCGGGCGAGTAAAAGCATTGCACGGAGCACGTCGTGCCCAGCCCCTTCAAAGACGAATGGCAAGTGCAACTTGGCTCCGTTCCAGAACTCACGACCGAGGGTAGTGGCGCGCTGTCTGTCGAGCCGAGTGAGTGTCGTAGCCTGGTAATTTTTGCGGGAAAACATGTCAGTCAGTATGTACAAGTATGTGTGGGAACGTCCATGAAATGCAAAGAAGCAATGAAAGAAAACTCATCATACACTAATCGCCAGGGCCATTCCTAGACTGAAATGATCAAAATGTGATGCCTGGGCAATATCTGGGCCTGTGATCCGCGCAAAAGATCGATCGAGCTCGTCTTCGTCCAGAAAGAGTACTGTGCCAAATAGGTGTCTTTGTAGTTTTTGAGAAGAATGCCGACGACGTCCTCGGGAACAGACTTTAGTGGTCTACCTCTTTTCTCTGCCGCCAAGTCTACGGCAGCAGCAGTGATATTAGTAGCATCAGATCGGGATTTGGTGATGACGGGTGTTGTGTTGATGATGGCTAGGAATGGGGCCGGCGATAGTAACAATCTCTCAAAGAAGGCGAAGTCGTGACTGCTGGGGGCTGGTCCACTGGCGCCGGTGCGAGAACGATGATGAACATGCTCGGACCACTTGACGCCCGCGTGGGATTCGTGGTCCACGTCGGCAAGGCTACACTGTAAGTCGTCGAGAGCATCTTGGATGCCGAAAGGGTCGTCGGGGAGAGCACCATTGGTAGATTTGACGGCCTCGAGCCGTGATTCGAGTTGTTGAATGCGGCTCTCCAGGTCGGCCACCTCGCTGCGTGGTTTCAACGTGCCTGCCAGGCTGTCGTAACCTGTGCATTCGACCGACGCCGAGGCACATGCACCACACTTGGGGTATTTTCCGTCACACTGGGTGCCGCTTTGGGTCAATATCATGGCTCACCCGTTGCAGGTAGGCTTTTGGGACAAGGGGGGAAAGGTGAAGGTGGTTCGTACCTTGGCCTTCCGACGACGACATCTCGCACATGCCTTGACAACACGGCGTGTGGGAGGCATTGTCCAGTGATATAGCTCTGCTCGAACTCACATAGCATTGTTTTTCATTCGCAGGCTGAGTGTGAGTGTTATTCGGTCATGCAGGAAGCATGTTACGATAGGATCGTAGGGAGAGGAATCTTCTTGGGCGGGGAGAGGTACAGAAGAATAACTTAGATGCACTGGACCACTTCAACGGTCTTCACGCGTTGATACAGAAGTGGCCGCTGTGATGTGGCTTGAAGTTCGACGCTCGTGCTAAAAGTTCACAGATAGTGGTGCTCAATCGGTCACTCTCATAGACATACTTCAAGAACGCCTTGAAGACACAAAAGCAGAGTTTACATCAATAAAGCAACGATTGGGACTTGATGGAGAGATATATTGGTATACATTTCCACCTATCAATGCCTGAAGACGGTCTCTCTAACTCTTTGACCTGTAGCATACGGGGCGACGTCAGTAACAAGTCTGGCATTGATGAGATTGTCACTAAAGTTCGTGCTCTTGGAAAAGGAGTTGACACTCTTGTTGCGGCAGCAGGGATTAGGAGATTTAACAAGAAGTCTTTTACTCCTGGACAAGGCCTGGCGGCTTTGGTTGAGAGTACCAGATCACTTGACTGGGCAGATCTTGATGATTCTTTCCACATCAATGTATTCTCACAATACTACCTAACGGCAGGCCTCCTGGATTTGCTGGGAGCAAGTGCAGCACGTCAACTTGGACGAGGCTCCGTGATTTGTTTCTCCAGTGTAGCAAGCAAACACACCGCTCAGTTTCTGCCTGCGTATCAAGCTTCGAAGGCCGCTGTGGACCATTTGGTCAAGATCATGGCTGCCGAATTTGCCGATCTCTACAGTAAGTGTGGTTGATTGTTTTTTGTGCGTATTCGATAATTAATAGCAGCTGACACCGACGACCGTTGCTCCAACAGTACGAGTGAATGCAATTTCTCCTGGTTTATTTGCAAGTAACATGAATCCCCTGGATCCTAATCATCCGGACTCAAACATGAGATTCGCAAAGGAGATGCCGGCGCGGCGTCCAGGCACGGAACAGGAGCTTGCTTCTACGGCGTTGTTCCTCGCGAGCCCAGCTGGCTTTAATGTTACTGGGCAAAACATCAGAGTGGATGGAGGTAGATTGTTAGTAGCTGCTGGGAAGATACAGATCCGGGACGACTGAAGAGGATTTTGCCTACGCATGGTGTACTTGAGTGTCAAGAGCGACAGCTTTTTTTCAATTACTTTCCAGTTGCTCTAGACCATACGGCCTGTTGGAGCAACTCCTTGTAAAGACTCATTCGTCTAGCATTACCATTTTCCCGTCTTTCTTGTAAATAGCAGCGTCTTTCATCACAAAGTTGACCTTCCGGAAAGCCTGTCTATCGTCCCTTGGGTCTGTGTCAAGAGCAACAATATCTGCTCTAGTACCAGCATCGAACCATCCGAATCTCAACCCGCATAGGTCACCTCCACACGCGTCCCAACCTCCCACCGTGGCGGCCTCGATGACATCCTCGACCGGCACACCGGCTTCCATCATCAGTTCTAGTTCCCTTGCATTACTCCCATGGGGAACCGGGCCGGTGTCACCACCGCAAGCTAAACGTACACCCTTTTTATGGGCACAGGCGACTTGAGCCTTGATCTCTTCCAAGCGTTTTGGATGTAATTCCTCACAAACCGACAAAGTTGGCACAAACACCACGTTGTTCTTGATCATCTGGTCGAACACCTCTTCGTTTGCAAAATAGGCATGTTCGACGGTGTGAACGCCTGCCTTGATGGCACACAAGGTGCCGTTGATCGTACCACAGTGGGCAGCGACAGGGCATTCAGCCAACCTGGCCTCTTGCACAATTGTGTCCATTTCCTCTTGATTGAATAAAAGAACATCAGGGTTTGGGTTCGCCGGCGGGAACTTTACGCTGTGGATATATGGATGTTGCTGAGCGGGAGGATATCTCATAATTCGTCGACGATAGTCAGCGAAGAACTTGATCACATCGGCGCCGGCTGCGATCCTACGACGGACCGCACGTCGAATCTCTTCAACACCGTCCACTGCATCAGCTCCGGCGGGGAGACACACATGGCCGTCTCCACCATTCTCGGTGCGCGGTTCATACGATCCAGTGCTTGCGATCACTTTGGTCGCGACAAATAGTCTCGGACCAGGCATCAGGCCTCTAGCTATGGCGTCTCGGACGTTGGCATCCGAATCACCCATTGACTCTGAGCCCAAGTCACTGTCCAGCAAGTCAGTGGTCGAAGCAAGTTGACGGGAGGACGATATGATTCTTGACTGACCGATAAGTGGTGAAGCCGGCGAGAAGAGCTTTTCGGCAATGATTCACAGACCTGATGATTCTCTCGGCAGCACTCTCATCACGCTTCTGATTAAGACTGGGGTGTTCCCTGTGAGACAGACATCAGTGATTGCCCGTGAGGACTAGAACCATCATAATACTTACTGGTATGCATGGAGGAAGATGTGTGTATGAGCGTCGACCATTCCAGGAATAACAGTCTTGCCACGCAGGTCGATATCATTCTCTTTGATCTCACGCTCGGCTTTTCTTGTCCAGACTTTGACGATGTTGCCACTTGTCTGGTCGACGGAGATTGAAACATCTGGCAAGAATTTCTTCTGCTTGGGATCAAACAAACTCGATGTGTGTAATGTGAGTTCAGACATTGTTGCTGGGTGGCCGCAAAACCGGCTCTTCCAAAGTAGATGTCTATGTCGACGAAAAAGGTTTCCACTATCAATGAAAGACAGGTATCTACAGGCTAGCAATTGGACGGCAACACGGAGTTGGAGTCTGCCGTCAAGAAAGGACTTTGGCGCACATTCGCAAAGACTAACATCGGGTGGAACATCCTACAACAATGGATTGGAAATCTCCTAAGAAACGCGGTCCACGGCATTTTCTCCGGGACGGTTATGGATCTGGTTGACCACAGTCAGAGCCTATCTTCATCATATCATAAACTAACTCCGCATTTCATGGCAGTCGTCGGACACATACCGAAATCATAGCATGAATGTCACGGTGTAATCCGAAATGTGGGACCCACTTGGGACGAAGACCCAGGAATTGGCAGCGTCTTCCTGCCCTTCTCCAGATTCTTGAGGCTTCGGATCTTGAGTCGCTGTTGGAAGCCATGATCTATTCGCCATGCGATATGCATGTTGAGCAGACTGCTAGCCCCGTGGTCTGTCATGTATATAATGTACGTTATGATCAACGGCCTCCCTCTCCGCAAAGACTTCAGGCGCCTCATTGGTATAGAAGTGAGCCATCTGGATCGACTATAACAACTACGATCATTGAGAGGTAACAGTACGCTATCACAACCACTTTTAACCTTCCTGTCTATCTGCAACTCTTTTTTCCAACATGACAAATGAGAAGTTGCATGGGGAAACCAGTATGGTTGTCAAGCCTGAGGATGAAGTGCCGACTCACATCCCCATAAACAGAGAGGACAGCATCGGAGATGGGATGTTGAAGTCCATCGGAAAGGATGCGGATGTTGCTCTACATTTTACTAGCGGCGGGGCCATCTTTATCGATGAAACTACTGACAAACGCATTCGAAGCACTATCGACTGGCATATCATGCCCTGGATGTTTGCTCTCTATACCTTGCAATATATCGATAAGGTCAGTTTGAGCTTCGCAGTAGTAATGGGAGCTAGATCGGATCTGGGCATCAATGCTGTCCAGTATCCTTGGTAAGTGTTTCAGCGTCCTAATCCTCTCACAGCTTCGGTTGACAAATACTTGTTGCAGGACCGGGAGCATCTTCTACTTTGGCTACCTCGCATTTGAATACCCCCACAATCGATTGATGCAAAGACTGCCACTGATGAAATATGTCTCCTGCACGGTGATCATATGGGGAATAGTTCTCTGTTGCCATGCTGGAACAACAAGTTTTGCTACACTCATGGTTGCTCGATTTTTCTTGGGAGCATTCGAAGGATCTGTGACAGCAGGCTTTGTCTTGTACACAGCACGGATCTATCGCTCTGATGAACAAATTACACGGACATCTTTTTGGTTCTGCGGCAATGGGTTTGCGTCTATTGTGGGAGGAGCAATTGCCTATGGTATCGCCAGAGGCTTTGATGACAACCCGTCCGTGACATTCGCACCCTGGAAAGTGGTGTTCATCCTCTTTGGCATATTAACGGCATTGTTCGGCATCGGCATGCTCTTTTTCTTGCCCGATTCACCAACCAATGCCAAGTGGCTCAGTGATGAAGATCGTCATTTCGCTGTTGAACGCCTTCGTGACAATCAGCAAGGCATTGGTACGAAGACTTTCAAATGGTATCAGTTTCGTGAAGCCCTTTTGGATGCTCGAGTAAGATACCATCATTTTTGTGGCTGTTGAAGCGATCATTGACTCATCCTTCCAGGCTTGGCTGTATGCCCTCGTTGCATGTACAACGATGCTGCCGGCGGGAGGGTTTACGGTGTTTTTCACTCTACTGATCCAGGGTTACGGGTTCGACACACGAACTACACTCCTCTTATCAATGCCGGCAGGATTTTTCCAGATCCTATCAAACGTCGGGCTTCCGTATGTCGGGTATAAGACTAAGAACAGAACGCTCGCTGCCTGTTGTGGTATGCTTGGTTGTCTTTTCGCCATTTCACTCATGGCTGGTCTTGCCACGGGTGGACCGACAAACCACCGCATTGGCCAGCTTATGGGATACTATATGTGGTTGGGGAATTCGGCGACTGCCCTCATAATTATCCTGAGTTGCATCTCAACCAACGTTGCTGGCTACACGAAGAAGACCACTGTCAATGCCATGGTATTGATTGCGTATTGTGTCGGATTCTTGATGTGAGTTTTCCCTAATGCCCCAGACACAGAGTATGAATGCTTGAGCATTGCTTGAGCATTGCTTGAGCATCCGGAGTGGGTTCAGTTAGGTGAGATCGGTACACATTGCTAACCTGTTTATAGAGGACCACAAACGTTTCGAAACGCGCCGTACTATTCGGACGGAAAATACACCACTATTGCGATGAACATTTTCGCCTTGGGATGTTTGGTCGTTCTTTATTTTTTGAACAAAAGAGAGAATGCTAAGCGGGATGCACTAGATCTTCCACCACAGCCAGAGGAGCAGGCTTTCATGGATCTGACGGACCAGGAAAACAAGTACTTCCGTTATGCCTTGTAAAGTGCGTTTGAGTCAGCATATGAACAGAAGATAGTATGGATGGAGAAGATTCTAGAGTGAAAGACACTCTATAATATTGGAGGCATTTCGGGAAGTCGGCGCTTGTAGAAGACAGTAAAGAAGAAATCTTCATCTGAATTAATTCAGGATGCATGGCGTTGTTATATGTGGACGAGCGTCGGCCCCTTTTTCTCGACGAGGCTGAGGTAAGCCAAGGCTGGCGAGGCTTAGGCTAGCCTTGTGGCCACATCGCCTGTGCTGACCCGTCACTTTTTTGATCTGCCCGCGATACTCTGTTACGACTGATGAGAACTTTCACTGCACCCGTTTGGCTTTTGTCCATTCAGGTTTCTCCATTTCTTTGACGCGCAATTTTCACTCCTTCGGCTTTCTTTCAACAATCCAAGGTGCTCTTAACGGACAGTAAAGTAATTTTCTTACGAGTATCGCGCGACGCAGCCCCGGCGGCTTGCAATTCACCATGGCCTCCTCCGACTACAACTACGATGACCAGGGCCAGTTCTTTCCCTTCTTCATGCTGACAATGGCCGGCATTGTCACTCTCCCTCTCACATACAACGTCTTCAAAGCCTCTACAGATCTCGAGCAAACCGCTTCGCATGTAAAATCAGACTTCAAGCCGAAACATGGGGACTTAATAGACGAACAAAGAAAAAAGCGGAAAAGAAGGGATCGGAAGACGAAGCGCATCATTGCGATGGTGGTAGGGTACGCATTCATGGCGTACATGATCTATCTCATTGCGGTCACCCAGAGAACAGTGCCACAAATCTGGGATCCGTATGACATTCTCGGAGTCAAGAGAAGTGCCTCGGAGAAGGAGATTGACAAATTCTACAAACGATTGGCCATCAAACATCACCCGGACAAGGCGAAGCCGGACCCTGCGAAGAATGAAACCCTGGAGACCATCAATGACCGATGGGTGGAAATGACAAAGGCATACAAGGCTTTGACTGATGAAGAGATAAGGAACAATTATCTACAGTATGGCAACCCGGACGGCCGACAGTCTACAAGCATAGGCATTGCCTTGCCAAAATGGATGGTCGAGGAGGAAAACCGATACTTTGTGGTCGCATTTTACGGCATCCTTTTGGGTATCATTCTCCCTTATACCCTGGCGAAATGGTGGTACGGCACTCAAGCTCTCACCAAGGATAAGGTCCTGCATGCCAGTGCTGGCAACCTGTTCCGGGAATGGAAAGAAGATATCTCAGAAGGCGGTGTCGTGGCAGCAACAAGTGCGGGTGAAGAATTCAAAGAGGCGCTGAAGGGGACACGAAGTGACGCTGGAGCGGCGAAAGCTGAGAGCAAGGTTTTGAAGAGCTCGGTGCTCAGCGATGCAGACAAGGCTCGACTGAAGTCCATCGAAGACCCTGTGCGACGAAAGACGTTGGCTTTGCTCTGGGCCTATCTCGCTCGCATCGACCTCGAAGATACGGAGCTGGAACGGGAGAAATACGCGGTTGCGCCGACTGCGTTCCTCCTGAACAACTCTTTCGCTTCAGTCACTTTACCATTCCAGGTTGTCAAGCCTCTACTGTCTGCATACCATACCTCACAAAGCATCATCCAAGCAGTGCCTCCAAACGCTTCACCGCTACTACAACTTCCCAACTTCACGTCCGAACTGGCGAGCAAAATTACCGGCACCGCAAAGGAACCAGTCACCCTACAGCAGTTCATGTCTCTTCCGGCAGCCGTCCGGAGGAACCTGTGCTCCGGCCTCTCCGAAACACAATACAATCAAGCCATGCAAGTTGCGTCTCAAATCCCCCATCTTCAAATCGCAAAGGCATTTTTCAAGGTCGTCGGCGAACGAGTCGTCACGCCGGGATCTCTCGTCCAGCTGGTCGTGAAGGCGCGTGTCATACCTCCAGGAACGAAAAACGTGCCACCCATTGATCCTCTCGACCTAGAGGATATCGACCCTGAAGAAGGAGATTTGGATGCACTACACGGTCGCAAATCGGCAAAGTCCAAGCGCCGCAAGACGATAGACGGGAAGGTGGTTGAGGACGAGTCCAACCCTGGTTCCGTACAGCCTCCACTCGCCCACGCCCCGTACTTTGCGGCGGATCACGCACCGAGATGGCACATCTTCCTGGCCGAGGCAAGGAGTGGACGCATCTCGGTGCCACCGTTTACGTTCACCGCATTCGACAAGCCGATCTTCAACCCCGACGGCACACCCACGTTCAACATGTTGACGTTGAAATGTCCTTTCCAAGCACCTCCTCAAATTCATGCGTTCCCTTTCGTCCTACACCTCGTGTGTGACAGTTATATCGGACTTGACGCAAAGGTGGACGTCGTTCTTGATGTCCGGAATCCGAGCGAGGCGAACCAGGTGGAGAGTGACGATGAGATTAGTGAGCCTGATGAAGGTATGTGTTTTTTTTTGTTCTGTTTTGGTTTTTTGGGGCTCCGTGTTTCAAGGATTCTGACTAACTTGGGTCGCAACACAGATACGATAGCAGGACAACTTCAAGCCATGAAGTCAGGAGGTTTGTCTGGCGCGACGACCGGGTCCAACCCGACGACGAGAAGAAAAAAGAAGAGGACGGCGAGTCAAGTTGACGTACCTGTCGTACAGTCCGGCAACGCTGCGGCCGATAGCGACGAGGACGACGAGAGTGACACCGAGGGGGATGAGAGTGAAGATGATACTTCCGAGACGGACACCGAGACTGAAGATGAGGATTCTTAGGTAGCCATCACGACTAGCTGGTCCTTGCGCAAGTGGATCGAGCGAGTTGAGCGAGTGTTTCGATCAACCCGGAAAGTATTCTGTCTCTACATGGTCTTGGTAGGTTGTACGGGATCAAGAGATCAAGACGATTTGTCTTGACAGGCCAAGGAGGTGACAAAAAGCCCAAACCCTTTCTTCAAAGGAGGTTGTACGATACGTCCAGAGTGTTGATTTTTTTCCCCTTGAGACCAACGCGCACGTCGAATGCGTCACATTTTGCCTTTGAATCCATGGCATTTGCATTTCAACGGTGTTTTTTTTGTTGTCTAGGTATGCGGTATGGAGAGGGACGTGTTTATACCTCGTCCGTCAAAAGACACATTGAAACACGGTACTACCTAGTTGTTGTAGAACATCAGAATTCGAAACCTTTCTACAGAGGGCATTGTCAACCCTTTGGTGCCGAGATGTACCGTATGCGTAGAGTGATTTTATACTCTGTGCTCCGCATTTGGTACTCGTATATACATATATTGCACCCGTACAATGTGATCTGGTCTGTGGTTGCAACATTTGAGGTATGATATCAATTGCTGACTTTGTCCCGGGGCGCCCTACAAAGTTGTATCTATCTTCAACTCGATATCCATACAACAGGAAACAAATGCGTAAGGGTTTGCCTTCCTCAATCACACCAACTCACTCACTCAGGTACTTGATTTTACTTATTCGACGCTTCCATAATCATACTCGTACAGAACACTTGGATGTACACTTATCACGTAGTACCTCACCACTCCCTTGGTTCGCAACGCACCGTCAACATCACGTCTCTCTTACCTTGTTCGTTTTTCATTTCTTGCGAGATAAAGAAGAAGAAAATCACTCGAGTCTGTTTTTGTAATTTTGTCTTTTGTTTTTGATTTTCTGTTTTTGATTTTGATTCTCCAGTATGTTGTTTATGGAGTCTCAGTACTTCGATGATGATTGTAGGATCCCCTTCTGTACTACCAGTACATTGCAATACCTTGAAAAAAGCCCAACAATGTTTTCTCTCTGGGAGGTCTTTTGGGTTGCTCTTGAACAATGTAACCATTATTTGTGTACTCTGCACGTTTGTAACACTCTTCTTCACTTCTTCTCATTTGTTGCACCACCACTCATCTGGTTCATCTTTTCTTGGATCCTTTCCCTTCCGTCGTGCATGTACTGCAAAGTCTTTTTGTACTGACGGTCCTGTGACTGTAGGGACAATTGGGTCATGCCGACCGCGGCCAAGGCTCCGAGACCGCCTAGGGCCATAATTGTTCGAGTTTGCATTTTTTTTTTCGTTTTCTTGGTTCTTTTGTGAAGCGTGGTTGTGTTGTCGTGGTGGGAATGTATCGAGAAATTACTTTGGCGTTTCGAGAGAACCTTTCAAAAGTAGGATGTGATCGGTACTGTACTCCGTCACACGAGAATTGAATTTCTTGGGGGGGAGGGTTTTGCGAACGGGTGGTGTCGGTGTGCGAGTGCGATTGTTCTTCAGAGGGTCGTCTGAGCCTGCGGAAGTTGACTTTGATTCTTTTAAAAAGTGGTGGGATGAGTGGAGATTGGTGATGTTGTGAACAGCGGTGTGTTGTGGTAATTTCAAGACGAGTCTCTGTGTTTGGATTCCCTCTTGTCAAGAAATCGGGGGCGTCGTGAAGAAGTGTGGGATTGGAAACTACAAGGTAGTGGTGGTGGGAAGAAGAGGGAAAAGAGGAAGAGGGAAGAAAAAGAAGGGGGACTAAAGAATGATTAAATACCTTTGACAGTAAACATCTTTCACCCCCTTCCCCGTCGGCAGAAGGGTAAGAGGGAGATTCGTAACCAACCTATAGTTAGAGGTACCTAGACTCACCACAGAAGGTGGGAGGCAGGGAAAGGTACGGAGTACCACGTATGAAACGTCAAATAATCAACAAAGGGTCACAAGGGAAAGGGAACCCCGGGACTCCAACTTCCCTCCCCCGCACTTAATCATACTGTATACAAATGTAAACGTCTCAGGCTAGTATCAAACGGAGAATACGGAGTAGCTCATACCCTTCGCGTCACGTGTGAATCATCCTCGGTGTAATTCGTCGGAAACAGTGACCTAATGTATAATTATACTCCTGTACAGAGTACATAAAAATACACGAAAAGTATACCTATGTAGGTACTCCGTACCCCAGGTACGGATATGTTACTTCCATACTTTTTGACCAAACGGCTCAAACTATAACTATCCTTCCGTATCTCACGGTATAGTTGCCGAGTCCTGTTTCCAACTCAAAAAGTCATCACGGCATAGAGTGATAAAGGAGTACGCTGCAAAGATATATTATTTTCCCTTCTGCTTCTCTTGCTGGGTTTACCCTGTAAAACCAACAGAGAAATATTGCAGCTTCTATTCTGAAATAAGGACTCCATTCGGTGGCACAGGAAGGCCATCACGTCCATCGTCAACTACAACCAAAAGAAATCTTCCTCCACCTGGGGTATTCCATGCCTCGTTTCCCTCGGTATAACTTAGGTAAGGTAGGTATCGTAAAAGCTGGCAGGAAAATTGAACCCTCCAAACCCTTTTCATCAACGAGTCAAGTACCTAGGTAACTTCAACCTTCGGCATCGACAAAGACATCCACCTCGCTGGTGTCCGTGTCAGCTCTCTTCAGCGGCTTCGAACCCCCCTGAGGTACCATGGCTTCTTGCATCTTCATTCCCGACATTTTCTCATTCAATCCACCATCGTCGTCCATGAGATTGGCACTCTTGGGGGGGTTTCCGATCGGTGCGTTAGTACTCGTACTCTGATGTATAGGAGTCTGCTGCGGATCCGACGTTGGGTGCATTGGGTTGTGAGCTACCGAATCCTTTTGCACTGGCGGAGCATTACTGGATGGTCGAGAGTCAAAGTCAATGAGATTTTCATGGGCATTAGCTTGACTGGGAACATCTTTATGGCTTGGGCCACCACTGCTGGTGGGCCGATGGAACTCGGTAGATCGAGAAGTCTTGACCGATTCTCGTTGTTCGAATGATCCTTGTCCTGGTAAAATGGGAGCTATCGACATAATTTTCTCCTCGAGCTCCTTGGGGTCATGCGTATCTCTGTAGAGAAGATATTAGCTTGATCACATTCCACGGGCTGTAGAAACATACAGATGAGCGTTGATGACCCATTCAAGATCCTCTTCACCTTCCTCCGGGCCTCCCGGACCGGCATGAACCCGTCGGAAAAGCTTGGGATGCCAATCGACGCCCATTTCCTCTCTTCGTTTCGCTTCTTCTCTCTGTCGGTCTTCAATCTTGGCTTTCTCCGTCGTGGCGGTTTCATGATCCACGGCATGGACAGCTTTGACCGTGCTTTGCCATAATCGTTGCGATTCACGCTCACCTTGTTCTTCGATTGGCCGCGTCTGGGGAGGAGCATGTTTGGCGTGTGTGGCATCGAAAAGCAATTTCTTCTGACCAGACTTGACGTCTTTGATGTACATTTCTCCAGACCACAATCCAGATAGCTCGAAAAGGACTTCGCCTGTTTTGTCGTGCTTGATAACACCTCCAATGGCATTATACGTGCCACCAACCCATCCTTTGGTTTTGAACTCGAGGTCTGCCATTAGGTTGTTCTCGGGACAGCGAACATAGGAATGGTCACCTAACTCGTACTTCATCTTGCCAAACAGAATCCCCCGGGCGTACATATTGGGTTGAGTGAGGATACTATTGTCCGTTAGCGTCGAAGTCAACCACGGCATCACTCTTCCTTACTACTTCTCTCCTCCTTTGGACTTTCCTCTGTTTGTGAATCTGAGATAAGATATGCCCTCCATCATACTTGCTGCCGAGTTCCCCAGAAATTTGCTTCGAGGTTTCAGCGTGCCGTCCACCCGAATATGATGTTCTGGGGCCATGAAGAAGTAGGACGATTTGGGCGGATGGTGTGAAGTCTGCTCCGATATGTAGTAACCCCGCGTATTGTCGGGATAATCCCAGTAACAAGTAAAGACTTCTCCCAAGATTGGGTTAAGAGGTTTCTTGACTCCCCTGGTCCCTTGTCAGTTCGTGCTCATATTGGTATTAACTCGGAACGTACGGTGGCCGTATGTGCCAACCACTCAGGTAAAACTTGACCACCGCAACAAATCGTTGGATCGGGTCATCTATCGTCGGCATGGGTAGAAGGGTATCTGGGTGAGCCATGAAACTAGGACATCCGTCAGCCATTGCTGTATGATTCCTCCTTCGGAAGCCTCACTTTGTGATTCTTTCAAGCATAGATCTTTCTTCGAGGATAAACGTCGGCAGGGTGACTCGAGACAAATCGGCCCCAGGCCGCAGTTGGGAGATGATGTGTGATAGCACTGCTTCTGGTCAGGCTGCATTCTGCGGTAACAACTCTTGACGGCACATACCATTTCCCTGCTCGGCCTCGACTACTGTGGTATCCTCGTTCTCCGAGTCACGAACATCTTCGGAGGATGATCGATTGCCTGCGGTGCCTGTGTAAGCAATATTTTCCAGCTTGCCCGGCCGAAGCCTGGGATGCACCTACGACCATGGCCACGCAAGGCCCCTCCTATTGAATGCTTCATCCTGTCTATTGGGCTGCTTCGGACTCTCAATGTTGTCCTCAGCACCAACGTTGATCTGGGTGGAGGGTTAGGAGTGGGATATAATATGACGTCGTGCGGGATTGGAGCAAGCGAAACTCGTAAGGCTTGGTCGGTCGGGGAGCGAGGGGTCGAGGTGGCGGATGCAAAGAGTCCAGATTCGAAAGCGACAACCTCGATCAAAAGAATGCAAGAGTAGTTGTAGCGGGTGCAGAGATTGCAAGTTTATGCGTACAGCTAGAGAAGAGGGTAGTGGAGGAAAAAGATCATGCCGCTTGTCTGCGAGGACGAGAATAAGGCCCGAGTCATTCAATGGTCATTTGGGAATGAAGCAGGTCATGCTGGCGTTGTAGGTGAGCTGTCGGATCTGAGGGCAGTGGCCAGCACCTGTAGGCGGCTGCCTAACGCCTAGACAGCCCTGGATTTGTAGGCACGAGCCCCAAGCACAAGCCCAAGACCGCTGAGTCCGAGCCAGTCAAGACCACCAGGCCACTACCCTATCTGGTGTCTCTCCCTGCGCTTTAACTGCGTCATGACGAGCATAAAAATTTTCTGCCTTGTGGCCTTTTTTTTATGCCGAGTGACCGCCTTATCCCACCACCTCAACTGTTGTTCGATGGGCACGGCTTCTCGTCTCATTTCTATCTCCGATTCATCCCTCTATTAATGACCAGGTATTCGGATGTCGGTATTCCAAACTCCCATTTCCTCCCACGCACGCGGCCTCTATCATGTACGATTATGGGTTGGGTAATCCCACTCTTCATGCAGCTTTCGGGAGTCTGGCTTTCCTTATGTTCAGCATCGACGATCACATGCTCAGACCACAGAGTAGGAGTATTCTGTCCCAGAAGTCCAACTTTCCGAAGTCGGTCGATCTCCCCTGGTAACCTCATCCAACAAATCTCGTGGTGCTTTGTAAAGCATGACATGAAAATGCTCTAGATTGTCCAAAACCATCAGTCCAAGCTCAGCCTCGCCAATATCACCTAGTTTTCAGACGGAGTCAACTTACCTAAAGCGTGTACACTCTTCAAGCTCTTCCAGTTCTTGAACCAAATGATCTGGTCTCTCGTTATACCTTGGCGTAAGAAGGTCTTCTTGATAAAGTCCTCAGTCTGTCTCTTTCCTTCTGGTGTGACCTCCCCGGTCTGCTCTTCCTCATCGATAGTGAACTTTGTCCATACCACAAGGTGGGTGATATCCTCATCGACATGGTAGGGCCAGTCATTGTACAGGATCTTGAAATCACTGGCATCTTCAAATGGTGGCTTGTCGGAAGACGTAATATCTGCCCACTTAAGTCTGAACTGCTTCACATACTCCAGCACGCTGCCATGCTTCTTCTTCAAATGGTGAATATACTCGAGGTAGCCTCGAAGCTGACTCGCATTGCGCTGGAATTGATAGATTGTATTTTCACCTGGATCAATCATCGGGTCAGCCGCTGGCCGCAGTGCATTCTCCTGCTGTACGCGTCTAGCCTCCAACGTTTCGCCCGCCTCGAGACCAAACATCAAGGAGGTGTAGGTTATACATACTAACCAACTCCTTGCACTTGTCCCAAGTAATTCTGTCAAATTCCTCGTCCCGCTTCGACAGTATCACTTTGTTCTTCTCACTGATACCCTCTAGAAACTCGGGACACTCCTCGCTCCACGCGGCCCGAGGCTGATTCGCATTCCAATATCGTAAGGACAAGTCTACCGCATCCCCGCCTCCTTCGATGGGTGTTTCCATCCCACCCAGTGAGTGAACGGAATGCGGCATTCTTGGCCTCTCGATTGAAGAATCTCAGGACAACATATGCCTTAGATCACAAATACATGTTGTGGACTCATACGAGTACATCAGGAATGTCATGCGGATGCTACGGTAGGTATATTGCCAAGCCTTGCTATGGCCCTGCTGCCTGTCACAGACGAACGGTGACATCCTCGGATTGTAACGATGTTTGGGTGAATCACAACGTCGTCGAAGTACCAGTTTCCTTTAAACCTATGGAATATAAGGGGAGCCAATTAGTAACATCACGTCAAATCTAATCTCATTGTTCTCAAGATCCGAAACAGTAGGTGTTTGATGTCAGATAGATCTGTAGATAGTCACCACACAGGTGGCCGAACGGTCCACTGCATTAGTAGCATCGTTCCTATGAAGGCTATATCATGCTTTTATTGCTGGTGTTGCTCCCTCATTTGCCGTATGGCCTCACTTCCAGTAAGAGAGGAGGAATTCGGGTGGAGACGCCTGTCTGTGAAATGTCCCGGGAACTCTTTTATGCATGGAGAGTAAGTTCAGGCAAAGATGGCGAGTCTAGTGCCTAAAAGCGAGTTATCAATACAGCACTTCATCTCAGCTTCCTTCACGATATCCTTTTAGTAAAGGCTGGTCCTGAAATTTGCTGGGTCATTGGTATGGATCGACAGGCCGCGAAGGACGCAACGCTTGTGGTGCTCTCTGCGAAGAAAATCACAGCTCCCTTGCAGCATTTCGGCGTCCAACACACCGCAGGAGGAAAAGAAATTCATGTTTCAAGGACTCGGCGTGACTCGTCGCTATCGATACTGATCAGAGAAACAGAGCCTCGCGCTAGCTCTGCCTTGATATCAGACCAGGAAGAAGGGTCAACACATCTCTGGGCCTCCTCGATAAGATAAGTGGTGAAGCCAGCTTTGGCAGCACCTAGCGCAGTATCTTTGACACAGTAGTCTCCAGCTAGGCCGGCGACGTAGACGTGGGTGACTTGTCGTTCCGTTAAGAGGGCGGCGAGGTCAATATCCACCCCTCCAGCACCGGCGGTCATGTTCCCAAAGGAGTCAGAAAACGCAGAGTACATTTCAACCCTCGAGTCCATCCCTTTGTGAACAGTGGCGTTTACCTTGGAAAGATCGATTTCCTTAAGGATCTCTGCGCCTTTCGTTTGTTGGACACAATGAACGGGCCACAGTCGTTGCTTCATGGTTTGCTCTGGCTTGTTGGCGACAAGATTTTGCATGTCGACGAAAGATTCAAAGGGTTTATTGTTTGGGGGAGGGTGGTTAGTTGCAAACGAAATGTGATCACGAGGGTGCCAATCTTGAGTTGCAACCTTGACCACGAATCTCGGGGAGCCGAGCAGGCGGTTGACCAATGGAACGATGTCTCGACCTCCAGTCACAGCCAGTGAGCCATCCTGAAGATAGTCAGGATTACCACTACATGAAAAACCTAGAAGATCATACAGGCGGACAGAAGTCATTCTGCATATCAACAACAATCAATGCTGGCCTGAACGACATCTTTGCTGTCTAAAGGTGATGGGATCGGTTGAGAGCTGAGAGTCAATTGGGATTCATGAGAGAGAGCCCAGGGACAACAAAAAATGCTGATTTTCGATATTGTATGAGAAGTTCTCAAGTCTGGTCGATGGTTACCCGACTGAGGGAAGAGGAATGCTCTCGTTTGACACATTACGTGGAGTTGGCGTGACCAAGTACGAGGTTCGGCTCAGCTGCCCGTTTGAGACCTGACGGTTTGAGGGAGTCTTTTGTATTTCGCTCTCCCCAGACTTCCCTTCCACCACCATCCAACTAGGTCAACGGATTGGGCTTCATAACATTTCTGCTGGCTCGTGGTCGCTTCTCATTGAGATCTACGTCGCTCACCTTCAGTTAAGCCCACGTCTGCGGCATTCACAATTATATCTATCGTGTCTTAACTCTACCTCACCTGACTTGTTGCCTGCCCTCGGCTGTTCTCTCCCCACGCCAGCACCTTCACGATCAACATCTTGCTTTCACAACGACGCATCCCATACTTGACACTGTTGACGGGAAGTAACGAATCATTCCAGAAAACATTGCAAAGGGAGATTTCAAGAGCGACAGTGATAGGCGCGCATCATGTCGAAAGCCTCGGTGGTACGCAGTCCCCGCCGGCATCAACCCAACTTCCTCTACAAATGATCGCGGTCACCGCGCATTTGAAAAGGGAAGATTGCACACCTATAACGACTGAGCTGACATGCTTCTAAACAGGGCGACGTCTATGCCAAAGTCATCAGCGATGTGTGCGATCAGTCACGACAGGATTTTGAAGAAGGTGGTGTTGAGTTGGCCACGTTGGAGTTGTTGAAAGCGGTAGGTCATACTCTCCTCATCAGCCAAACCATGATCTGGGGGGTATGCATCACAAGAACCATCTCTTCATCAGATCAGAGCACAGTTTCCACTGCCAGATCTCAATGGATGAGAAAAACATTCGTCAAAAAGCAAACATCGACGGTGGCAGGCAGGCAGTGATCGTGGATTGCGTGTGAGGGCGAGGGCGGCGAGACGAGCGAGAGAATGCGCGGCAGGGGAAGCGGGGGAAGCGAGTGTCTTTGAAGGCCGCAGCCCTTTGACTCATGCTCTTAAATACGCCACGACGCCTGCCCAGCCTCATCCTACCCACTCAGCTAACCTGTTTGGGAAGCCCCCCTCAAATACACTGCCTCCTCGTTGCAATTGTAGTGAGACTTTGGGAACTTCTACTGACACTACCCGACATACAGGAATGGCAAAAGAAACTATCAGGCCTTAAGGTCGCTCAACTACCTTGGGACCCCCCTCCAGCACCTCCAAAAGAGCAAACTCTGCCCAGCAATGCCAAACCAATCCCTGCAACCCTACCGAGCAATGGCAACCTGACCAGCACCCCTCCAGCCCAATCCTCTATTCCGCCACAGCCAGTCATCAAAACTGAGAGCAATGGAGCCTCTCAATCATATTCTCCGCAGCCTCCACACCTTCCTCCCCTGCAGCAGTATCAAGCCCCATCGTTCCAGCAAGGTCAACCCATGACAGCACGCGATCGAGCAGCGATGAATCTACACCAGACATATGGTCCCCGAGCCGGTCCCCAGATTGCACAACTCCAGTCCAACCAGTCCCGTGTACCTGGGCAGCCTCAAGCAACTTCGCCAACCAACTATATCAAGCAGGAAGATACCCAATCATTCCCAGGTGTTCAAGACTACTCTCAAATTAATCAACCCCTAAGATCAAGTCAAAACGATGGCGCGTCTGACGCTCGAGATGAATGGGACGCAGAGTATCTCTCACGCAAAAACCTCTATGCCACACATGGTGCCGAAGCAGATCGACTGATGCGCGACCAGTTCATTATGTCTCAACAGTCGCTTGAAGCTGGTGGCCTTCTTACCCCACTGGAAGCCCGACCTGCTCCAAGAAGTAATGCCATACGTCAAGTCAATGCGTCAGCGTCAGGACCATCAAGCATCACCCGTGCCCAGGGTGACGCTGCAGGTGACGAAGACGATGATATCGATGACGAGGATGCTATCAATTCCGATCTTGATGATCCAGATGATCTCGCCGCCGCTGACGAGAACGGCGAGGAGACTGATCAAGTCATGCTATGTACATATGACAAGGTCCAGCGCGTGAAGAACAAGTGGAAGACAACTCTGAAGGACGGAATCTTACGGGTTGAAGGTAACGAGTAAGTACCAGCTTCCCGGCCTCCCAACACTGGAGAGATGGCCCGCTAACATGATGTATAGATATGTTTTTCACAAAGGCCAAGGAGAGTTTGAATGGTAGGCGGTTGATATTGGGTACCGAGTCGCGATTGTCACTCTCGAGACTCGATACAATTTCAGAAGCTACCGAACAACCTGCGAAACGAGACATGAACATGTACACATGTCTCAACTGGGCAATCCCTGGACAAGCTGTGAGCACCACATGGCATAGCGAGGTAGTATCAACCTATCTCTAGCCCACCAGGATAGCTCTGAGTATGCACTCCTCCAATCGTCCGGGGACTGGACTGTACTATGAGAGAATTGATTTGGTGAATATCTAAACAGACAATAAAGGCGCACAAGTCGCTGACGGTTGCGGGGGCGGCAGAAAAGCTCATTATTGACGTTAGTAATGGTGGTATGAGACTGATATCCTTGATCTTCTGCTTTATGCACTTATGGTTCAAGTCAAGTCGAAGCGAGTCGGGCTTTGGCCAATATTGACAGATATGCTTCCGCAATACCAGATTTTATGATTCAGTTCTGGAAATCTAATGCAGCTTGATGTTGTATACCCACACTCATACTAGAATATGCATGTATAAGATTGTTGCAATCGTATTGTCTAGGACCTTTTTAATTAAGGTCAATGGCCTCGTGGTAGTTTGCGAAGCGTTGCCTGAGAGATGACGTAATGTGCGGTGTGTGTGTACAGAGTATGTCGTAACACCACAAAAAGAGGGTGAAGTGGTTTGTTTCCACTGTCTGCCTTCGCACGCTTAAATTCGGTTCACTCACAGTCCTCTTCTTCGTTTTGATCTACCACTTATAATCTTCAATAACTGCCGACGTGCTCTGGCTACAGCCTCACATCTCGTCTGCAACACCTGATCCTTTCTCTAGACCTGGACAGGCTCTTTAGGAGCTCAATTCTCAATCATGACGCTCTACTACAGCCTGGTCAGTAATACTACAATGGAGCTCTTTATGGATGCTAACGGTACCTACAGGTTTTCGCCATCTTGGTGTCAGAGATGGTACTCTTTATTTCCCTGGTCGTCCCAATGCCTTTTACGGTCAAGCGCAAGATGTTCAATTTCATCTCAGAGAGTCCCTTGGTAGCAAAATTACAGTACGGGATGAAGGTTGGAGAGACTGTGATTTTCCCAGGCAGCAAGAGACTGACACGTTCTAGATCACGTTTATCTTCATCCTCATTCTTTTCCTCGACAGCGTCAACCGCGTTTACCGAGTCCAAGTTGAAATGGCGGCCTTGATGAATGACACCACCGGTGCAGGGTGAGAAGGAAACATCAATTGGGTGTTTTGAGGAAATTCACTGACACTCAGCAGACGAGCAGCAGCAATTGGCACTGACCGTATGGAGGTTCAAGCTCGCAAGTTCTACTCGCAACGCAACATGTACTTGACCGGCTTCACGCTTTTCCTCTCTCTCATCCTCAACCGCACATACGGTATGATCCTCGATGTCCTCCGTCTCGAAGAAAAGGTCAAGATGTACGAGGGCGATTCACAGGCTGGCGGCAAAGAGGGAGAGAAGCTAGGCAAGCACTACCGTGCGGACCAGATTGGAGAGCTCAAGAAGCAGTTGGAAAAGAAAGACAAGGAACTGCAGGCAATGAAGAGCCAGGCCGAAGGTCTGCAGAAATCGTATGACGAGTTGAGCGTCAAATACAACCAGACCAACCCGAGCGAAGGTGACAAGAAGAGCAACTGATGGTCGGAGTTGAGTGCGACTTCACGAATTTGTGGGTGTGATGCGTGCTGGTGTGCGATCGTGGACTGGGGTTGCTGGCGGACGGGAAGGTAGAAGTTGTTGAAAACGAAGCGTGATGGGATAGGAGGGCAGTAGTCAGAACAAAGGAGCAAATGTGACTACCTCGATGCTCGATAGGTGAGGTGTGTTTAGTCTGTATTGTATATGCTAAAGAAGAGCAATAGATTTTTGTATTTTCAGAGTTGATGAGCATGGAACATGGATGTAGCATCATCGGTCGACCCTGAATATCCTTGTTCCCAATTTCTCTTCGCCCTGAACATCCGGCATTCTTTAAATCTCGTATCCGCTCAGTGGCCGATGCGTCACTTTGGATGGCTTCTCATCCCGCAGTTCCCATGGCCATTCGAAGCGGTGAAACAATGAGGAGAACGAGGTCGCAAATCGCCCGCATTCTGTGTGGAGAGCCAATGACGCTTCCATTTTCATCCTCGTCTACCTACGACTTCTTCTTTTCGATCTCTCGACGGCTAATATCAAGCGATGGCAACTACTGAAGAATTGGCAAGGGTTCAATTGAATTCTCCAACTATGTCGGTGCTTGTGCCGAAGCTCACGAGGTGAACGGATAAACAGGCTCAAGATGCCGACAGTTCGTTTTCCTTTATAAAGGTGGGTTGTTTTCGTTTGCATCCAGAGAGAACCACGTCTTGCAAGACTTGATCGCGTGATTTCTGGCCATGATGGGTGCCCTCTTTTTCGTGGTGGCTCTTTTGCTCACAACTCGCAATGGTCATCGACAACCATTTGCTCAAGCTTTGCACGCTTCCACCGCAGACAACAACTCTCCCTTGCAAATTGACCTAGGCTATGAGATCTACCAGGGCTACAGTAATGCGTCTACCGGATTGAACGTGTGGAAAGGGTACGTTTTCGAAGGTGAGGCCCGGTCGTTTGTAGGAATCGAGCTGAACTTTTGTCCTTTTTAGCATCCGTTTCGCAGCTCCACCGACAGGTTCCAACAGATGGCAAGCTCCCCAGGTGCCCGAGAACAATCGATCGTCTATCCGTCAAGCCGATCAATTTGGATCGATCTGCCCTCAGGGCCAGGACACCACCAACACACTCGTCCCGTACAATGGCACTGGAGCGAGCGAGGATTGTCTTTTTTTGAACGTCTACGCTCCCAACAACAACGCCTCAGGATCACTACTACCGGTGCTGTTCTACATTCACGGTGGAGGCTACGGCAGAGGCAATGGAAGACAGGATCTGTCTGCGATCATCAATGGCAACAACGACTCCTTTATCGGCATTACCATCCAGTACAGAGTATGTGTGAACCCCCTGAAACAGACAGTCGCTGTTCCGGACTAAAAAATTGATGACGTGTAACTGACATTGGTCTCTAGTTGGGTGCGTTTGGCTTTTTGGCCGGAGACGAGGTTTATCGAAACGGTGTTGTGAACGCAGGACTTCTCGATCAACATTTCGCTCTACAGTGGGTTCAGAAGTACATTCACCTGTTCGGGGGTGACCCAACGAGAGTGACCATAGCCGGACAATCCGCCGGTGCCGGGTCGGTGATGCTTCATGGAATGGCCTACGGAGGATCTTTGGGTCAATCACTATTCCGAAATGTGAGTGTGTGTGATCAAACCAAATCGAAAGGGTGTGGATGAAGAAGAAGAAGAGGAAGAGGAAGAAAGGAGCTTTCTCAGCTGATCCTCCTCTCTGTCTCTAGATCATTGCCCCTTCTCCCTATCTCCCGATGCAGTATGGATACAAGGACTGGCAACCCTCCCAGGCGTATTACGCCTTTGCGACCATGGTAGGTTGCGCACCGACCCTGCCGTACGGAGCACATCCAGACACGATTTTCCAATGTCTGGTCGGTAAAGACACTGCGACACTCCAAAACGCCAGTGCCAGATTGTCGGAGAGTGGCAAGTATGGGACTTGGTCATTTCTACCGGTGACGGACGGCACGTTTGTCCAAGATCTACCTAGTCGACAACTCTCACAGAAAAAAGTCAATGGTCTCAACCTTGTGGTCAGCAATAACGCGCTCGAAGGACCGGCTTACACCCAACCCAACATCACGACCCAATCCGACTTTGTTGATTGGTTACGTCTCACTTTTCCCTTGTTCAGTAACGATGACATCGCCAAAGTTGTGTTGTACTACCCAAGTTCGAGTGAACCCACAAACCACAATGCAGCCTTGTACGCGACGACGGGGACGAGTGATCCGACCTTTGTCAATCAAAGTAGTGTTGCCACGGGTCAACAACAACGAGCATTTGTAAGTGGATGCCCAGGCAGACTCGGGACTTGTTGGCGAGTTATCTTGACAAGCGTCACAAACGGCTGACTTTTGATTCCACACACCGGAAAAAAAACCCCACAGGCAGTATACTCGGAAACCACATTTGTATGTCCGTCGTATTGGATGGCGGAGGCGTACAGTAGTGGTAGTGGCGATGATACCCGAGAAGGTCGAAAAACATCATACAAGTATCAATATTCTGTACCCATAGCGGTCCATGGGTCAGACTTGACCGCTTACTTCGGTCCACCTACCCCCAACCAAAGTCCTGAATTCGTCAAAGCCGCAATGCAAATCTGGGGTAATTTTATCACCACAGACAATCCTTCTATACCTAGTGATGTGGCCAGTGGTGGTGGTGGTGGTGGTGGTGGATCGACCGACGACGACGACAACAACACGAGCACGAGTAACCCAGCGTCGAATTGGCCTCCTTTCACCATCAACTCTCCATATCAGATCGACCTGAACGTCACCGGCGGTACACCTTTTGCATTTAACCTGTCTTATATCGACGCCAATCTGACCGAACCTGGAGAGCCCGGGTTGTCGAACAGTATCACCCTGGTCAATGCCTATACCTGGGAAGGTGGCAGGGGGTACAGGTGTGACATGTGGCGTGGTCTAGGTAGCATAGTCCCGGAGTAAGTCTTACGGACTTTCAGAGGGTACCCCGAACGCATAGTATCTCATCACCATTCAATAACCTATCTCGATTCAGGGTCGTCAAACTGCGACCACTGGTCTCGCTTTATTACCATTATTACAAAGTAGAAAACTATCTCCCAGACACCCTTCTCTTCCTCATCCTCGTTTCCTCCTTTCTGACAATGTCCGACCCCTGATATCTGAAGAATTCCAGCAAATCAACACACTTTTCTTTCGCGCCGAGGGAAAAATTGGCCCGTCTCCAATGCCTCAAAGGGGTTTCCGTTCAAGGCCCAATGTCTACCGTGTGTCTGGACCCGTGTCGAGGTCGCCCCATTTCCCCGAGTGTCCATGTTCAAGTACAGATCGTTCGTTGAGATAAAGATAACCACCTAAACAACGCCATCATTCTGTCCAATCGTGTTAGTGTCCATGTTCACGTTCGTTTGCGTCTGACTATTCGTCCCCGCATGCGTCGTCTCTGTCTGAGTATTCCTTCGTCGTTGATTTCGACTTCGACTTCGCTTTCGCTGTTTGTCCAGATACCAATTCTTGACGGGTTTGGAGAAGTTCCTCCTGCTCCATCCGACCACGTTGACTTCGAACATGAACAGCACCAAACCTGCAAACGTGATTGGGGCGGTAAAGGCGAAAAACATCCAGAAATTGGGCAACCATTTCCAGCCATTCCCATCGACAGAGAAGAAATTCATACCAAAGAAACCCTGTGAGACCACAAAATCTGTGTCAGTGTCGTCTCGACGAGAATATACAAAAAGTAGAGGGTGGGGGGATCCCGGACGGGAGAGAGGACAACTGGCCATTTATGCTATGCTGTGATTCGGCTCTTGGTTTGTTCACGCTTTGCATTGCCATGTTTCTCTCTCTCTCTCTCAAAGAATAGGAAAACACTCACAGAAACAAAAGTTCCAGGTAGAAACAACAACGTCAATACTGACACAGTCTCCGAAAGGACTCTTCCATCATTACGAGTCTCGGCCAAGATACCCTTTGACACATCATTGTCTTCGATGGCGACACGGTTTGATATCTGTGATATTCCCACAAAGATCGTAATTCTCGGGTTAGCCTGCACAACACCTTCTCACTTTTTGACACATACGAAATCTGTAACTCTGTATAGACCAGGGGGGAAATGGTTACTTACGAATCGAGTTTCATTCTTCATCCTGTCAACGAAAGCGTCAGCCCGACATCGGAGATTGTCAGTGTAGACGGTTTGGAACCTCAAATTGTTGGATATATTGTCTGATGTGTGCTGAGCTGGGGATGTGGCGGAACAAAGCGAATCATGGGCCTCGGTGATGTTCTTGAGTGTGTTCGAAGCCACTTGCATTGCCTCTGCAATGTGGTGGACGTGACGATTGAGCTCGTGCATTGCCGCATATTTCGCCACCAGAGCCGTGACTTCCCTTGCCCTCGCTGTATCGCCTCCATCATTTTGCAGAGTCTTGACCCAACCCTCCAGACGAGTCTTGACAGCCGCAGGGGAAAAAAAGGCTTGTCAGCCCAGCGTTCCTTTTAAACAAAAAAACATACTGAAACGACATTCTGGTCGGTAGCATTTCGTACCTTTTCAACATTTCTAATGGGCGGTTGGAAGGACCACAAGCTCCGGTGGAAATGCTCAATCATAACGTTGTTGGCCACGTTCAGAAGACAGAAAGGATCGTGTAGTCCCTGGGCAATGTCGAACCGCGCGTTGCTGATTGCCGCCATGATCTTCTTCTTGATTTCTTTACTCAGGTCGAAGCAGACGATAATGTTGAGAAAGGCATATTGTCCCCCACCGCCTCTTATAGCTGTCCGCCGCCAATAGGTGCAAAACCCCATAAAGTCCCATGTGTACTTATATGAAGGTGACTTTGGATTTGGATTGCGTGTCAAGCTTCTGTATGATGGTGGATTGGAGCTTGGAGTTGATGCCTGGGGTGGACCAGTGTCTGCTGATGTCCACGTCCATTTTTCGTCCTCGGCGTCGCTGAATTCGCTGAAATGTCGTCTTGCTGCTGCATCACTCGTGTGGCCCGGGACTGTATTTTGATCCCCTACGCTTACCTTGTCCATGACATTTTTGGTGAGAAAGCGTGATGACGTGCCTGCCATCATTGAGTATGAACGGCGCACCCTGTTGAGTAACTTACAGTAAGAGTATGGCGCACTCGTGCTGGGATCTCGGTTTCCAAGCTCTGAGGACCTGAAGAACCCGTTCGCGTTCCATCCCGCAACGTCGAAAAAGAACTCCGGAATGTTGAACCTGCTTGATAGGTCATCGATGAGCTGGTCGGGTGCAAATCCCCTCTCCAAGCGTTTTTCGATTGACGGCATGAAGCTTTGAAAATATCAGTCTTGCGCACGAAGCCATTGTGGCATATCTTACATCACATGTGCGGTGCCAGTGGTATACTGAACGAGGTTGGTCAGAACGCGGTACGAGGTACCAGAGGCGAGCAGTGTTACATACCGATTCTATAGGTCGAGCCACCAAAGTCTGAACATCCCTCAAATCCGTGTTATCATAGCTGACTGGGGCACTGCCTGGTTCAAGATTAACCTCATAGGATTTGCCTTTGAGTTGGCGGAGAAGATTTGCGGGAGGCATAGGTCAAGTCTAAGGTGCTGCGATCAAGAACTGAGTAGAAGTGCGGCTGAAAAACTGGAACAAAACGACGAGGACAGGGAACCCACGGAGACAAGAAGACATATAGTACAAAAGAGGATGAGAGGGCATTCTTATGTATGGTAAGACTGAAGATTCGCAGCCCACTGAAAGCCTGATATGCGGACGTACCATTAGTCTTTCTTGTTTGCTTTACGGAAAATCTGTAGCGAGGCGCTGAATATGAGTCCTGTGTCCCCGTGTCGTTGAATATATGTCGTTAGTACGGAGATTAGGTACGGATAGAGCAGGGATAGAGTGATCAACTGGGTGGCTTGGTGCTCTTTCGAATTGTATAGGTCATCTAACAAGGGGTGAAGGCGATAAGTAAAAATGTTTCCAATCATTTGTCTCATTTTGGTGCTGACCGTGGATCGTCGACTTCATGATATGCTCTTCCATTCAGATCCTGACTGGAGCTAGTTTGCTGGCGGGAGTAATAGCATCTTTCAATTCCAGGAAAGGCCAAGGTCCACAACTGTACGCTGTAGTTTGTCGTCGAATGCGGGCTTGTAGAGCTCTAACTCTACTACCGAGGCGACTGAAAGAAGGAGAGTTCCGTATTGGTGTTCGTATTCAATTGCATGCCACTTGCGAGTAGGTCGAAAGCAGATTATACAAGGGACCAGGATGTCGCCATCCGTGATGTTGGTGCCGGTGAAAGCGCCATGGTGTATTACAATCGAGTCGCAACACTGCCTGGTCTGACTCATCACCCTGCAACTTAACGGTTTGTGTGTAACTTAGGACGCGTGAATTTCGTATCGTGCTGAAACATGATTTCCGTCCACAAGTCTCCAGCTCCTGATCGTGGACAACTTTGTAGGCCTATCTGTTAGAATTCGGCGATTTATGCAAAAATGTCTCGGTGATGCTCAGAAAGCTGTGAAGTGCTTTCAGACGCAGATTTCGTTCACTGTCAATCACATTCCTTCACCTCCGCGTCTCCCCAAACTTCGTTGTCGTACGCAAGGCCCATCGTCATGGCAGCCAGCAGTGACGATGAGGCATTGGCAATCACCATCTCGGTGGAAGAAATAGACGCCATGATACACAGTCATACAATGCGGCATTCACTGAAAAAATATATTGGCGACAAGATTCATCAGGATGTTCGAGATCGGCGTTGGAGAAGAATAATTGTTCGTGGTCACTATCGGCGAGATGGCTTGTCGACATTCGAAAAAGAAGGCAGACGTTTCAATTGGCACCGTCCCACAAGCCGAATCATTGATGACGACGTGTTGGAAATCAACTGCTTCCCAGGTCAAGACTATGTTAAACACAACGCATACCTAATTGCGATGTATCTCCGGCTGAAAGAACTGCAGTCGCCCTCTTTTGGTTGCCCTTCTCGCTCGACCATCGTTGAGTACAAGTTGCCTTGTGCGGAAGACTGCACTGCGATATTTGCTGGATCCAATCTGTCGCTCATGGGTCAAGCTGATATAGTGATTCTGGGCCACGTCGAGGCTGTTTTGCCCATGACTGCGTACATGTGGGAAAGAGGTACTTGGGTACGGGACCAGCAACTTTTTGAGTGGCGGAAAATCATCTTGCCACATGGTAAAGTTGTCTCGTATCTGGGGTGCATGATCAGTCTGTGGGGAGATCTTGTCGGTTCTTTAATCAGAGTGCTGAAAAAGTTGAACAATGTCAGCTGTGTCGTTCATCTTGGGAAGGCAGGCTCTCTGCGGTCTCGCACAAAAGCCAACGGCTCCGTCATTCAACCCAATCAGATCGTTGTGACGGGCTCATCTAGTTGCGTGGGGAAAGAATCTGTTCAGTGGTCCAACCCCTTTGAGTATGATATTACCCGACAGGACCAGAGCTCAACCAAACTCGTGGCTGGACAGAACGTGAGTGTCTTCTCACCCCTTGTGGAGACTGGAGTCTGGTTTGAGCAGTGGCGCAAAAAGGCGGATTGGGTCGACTGCGAGGTTTTCGACGCCGTGAGAGCTTGTCGAGAGGTAGATGTCCATTTCGGCTATCTTCATATCATATCCGATGTCTTGGCTCAATATTACCCGGAGAATCTGTCGAATGAGAGAGATACTCTAGCGCGATCTCACAGACGACTAGCATTTGACAAGATGAAGAAAATCCTAGGTGGCTTCCTTGCCAGCTCTCATTCAGGAAAGCTGCTGTTATCACCACCTCAGATCCGAAACAATGTACAGCACATGGAGCCTAAAAAGTCAGAGGTTCTTCTCGCCTCCGAAGTCCCTCGCGTCGGCGTCGGCGTCTTCGTTATCCACCCCGCCAATTCCACTCCTGAACAACAATCTTCCGTGTCTCTAGACGAGACAAACGCATGGAAGTTCATAATGGGGAAACGGCTAGGCTCTCACGGCAGTGGCACTTACGCCCTACCTGGTGGCCACTTGGAATCCGGCGAGACACTGGAGGAGTGCGCGGCGCGTGAGGTCCTCGAAGAAACAGGTCTTATGGTTCACGACGTGACTTTCCTGACGATCACGAACAGCATACTGGATGCGGCCGAAGGTGGAAAACATTACCTCACGGTCTTTATGACAGCGAGGGTAATGATGGATGATGATACTGGCGTCAATGTTCGAGCTGAGGAGGGCTTGCCGATCGCACAGCTCATGGAGCCTAACAAATGCGCAGGCTGGGAGTGGGTGAGTTGGAGACAATATGAGATGTGGGCGAAGGCGCAAATCCGACGGAGGGAATTGCTTCAGGCTGATGTTGATGATCGTGGCGGCGATGATGGTCGACTGTTGTTTTCGCCGATGGTGGACTTACTCGTGCAAAGACCGGGCGTCGTTCCCACGCTGAAATGATACCCTAATGGCGCATTCCATAAAAGCGACTACGTCATCGACATTATCCAGATTATAATGGTCGTCAGTAGGAGAAGGCGCATGCAATGACACAACGATAAATCATGAAGACTCTGGGCAACTCATACAAGCCATTTCAGGCCTGGACACAATTCTTTTAGAAACGAATGTAAATTTTACTGTCATCGCTAATTCCCAGGAAATGGCTTGGATAAAGAAAAGGGAAAAAAGGCACAACCCAGGTCATCGATGTTTCCTCCTCCAGGACGATGACCGACAATTAACGCTCACCATGAAACAAATGAAGTTCGACAGTCTCTGTCGAAATGTATTAGTCCTGCTATGCCGATGCTCCCATGTTTCTCGACTCCCTGCATCACATGTTGCTTGTACATTAAATCATTCGCCATTTGGCCCTTGTACGCCAGCTCTTGTTTGAGTTTCCTAGAGTCTTTGGAATCATGCCAACGACACTGTTGTCCCACGCATGGTTTGCTGCACGACGCGGAACGTCGATAGATACACCGCGTTATCCTCGCATATGTGCGGTCTCGCCCGAGGAAAGAATCGTGCTAGTGAGCCCATACTAGAACTCATGCCACTGCTCGTACCGATACTTGTGTTTCGTCAACGAAATACCTTGTCAGGGCCGGAAGGACCAGAGTTGAATTTCGGTTCCATGATGTTTGGCAAGTCTTTGGCCACGGGCCCAACTTGAGTCTGTGGCTGAGAGCGGGTTTGATCGATTCGCATCCTCAGTGGTTGTGGAGAGGCCGGCCGGCCTCTGTTCGCATTTGGAGTGCTCGATCCGGAGTCACCGGTCCTGGCCTTGTCTCCGCTCAATGAACGGTATGCCTGTGGAGGATCCTCGCTGTATCCTGGGGAGGGCAGGTTTTCGGGTATATTGGTGGGAGCATGAAATACTGGAGTTGGCCGTTGGGTGGAGTTTCTGTCACCTGAGGGCTTGGGTGAGAAGAGAACTTGGTCCTTCCATTTCACGAACTGCGACGCCGTCGGGGAGTTTGGAAAAAATGAAGGATTAGGGACCCGTCCTGGTGTTGTTGCAGAGATTCTGGTAAAGGCTCGATGGTAGGCGATCTCACCCAGAGGATCTTCGTTGGGGGATTGAGGTGAATTTGCTAGATCAGGACGATAACCTCGTAAAGCCCACTCATGCTCGTCATGTGTTGATAAACGTTTTGGAATTCGATCGGTGGAACGCTCTGATCTCCTCTTCATCGTTGATCCTTTGTTTGGGGCCGGGGGCTGGGATGACGACGAAATCGAGGACAGTGGCGATCCCCCCAAGACAGCACTGAGGTTGAAAAACCACCCTTGATGAAAGAATGAGCGATGATTCTGATTCCGATGATGATGATATCGAGAACAATTCAAAGAATGTCCAGCCCCCAGGGCAAGGGGATGTCGGACAATTCACAAGCCCAGCATTTAATGATGAAGAGGTTGGTAGATGATGGAGAGGAAACAACGCAAGTGCATGAAGCAACAAAAATCCGGCTTCGCTAAAGGTTTCGAGAGTCCTTCGATCCGGATTTCAGGTCTGAGCGGCTGCAGCCGTACGACAAGTGGAGAGATGAAAATCAGAGGGACATGCAGCTTGTCTAGGGATGTAGGTACCTATTTGGTGAATACGAGCGAGCCCGTGACAATGGGTATTGGTGGCCTCCTTCTTTCCAGGGCTTCATTACATACCTGGGTCCCTAGCTAGGTGTGCAAACACTCGTCCCTAGACTCTCTGGCTGCAGGCTTCGGGCATACCCCTAGGTAGCTACGAGTAGAACGAATGTATCACTAGGCGCTGTATGTCCAGCTTTAGGGGCCTCTCAGACTCATTAGGCACTCCTACTTTTAGTTTAGGCGGTAGTATACAAGCCACTCGGCACCCGGCACGGATTATTAGGGTTACACTAGGCCCGTCACTCCGTCTGGGCCTCTTTTTTTGCCTCGTCTGGGCGATTTCTCGGGCCCATCTGCACCATGCACATCATAGATGGAGCAATGTCACTTCTCATTACGTTTCGACGGAGTATTTTATTGTTTTCTGTGTTTTGGTGAGTACCCAGTTGCAACCACCGAGGAGCAAGCCGAAGACAATATAAACGTCTAGTGGATCCACTCGACTCTGGTGCATACAGTACAACGCCATCTCCTCGACTTCGATGGGATGTTGAGGGAATGTCAAGGTAGACGCCTCTTACTTCGGGTAGGACTGTAGTCAGGACACTTGCATCGAACTACGCTGTTCGGGACAAGTCAGTGCTTATCCGACCAGTCAGTATTGCAGAGGAGGGCTGCAAGTGTCAAACGGACGTCCCGACCAGGCGGTACCAAATAACAGGAGCAGTTGTGGCTGGTCAGAAGCGTCCATCGACAGTGGAATCACTGGGATGATGGCGTTGAAACAACATGGTGGGGGTTTTGGCACATTATTATTATTAGGTACGAGGGCGAAGAGATGTACGGACGGTGCTCAGGGCCACTGAATAACCCCCAAAGGCTGGTTGAGGCTATCGAGTAATGAAAACGATGATACGGAGTAACGTGATGAACTGTTGGGGTTCGCCAGGCTAGCACTAAGTATTCTCAAGAGCCTCGTGTCAGTGTGGGTAATGAGCACGAGGGCGTCTACGAGAACAACTTGTGGCCTGTAGACCTTCAATACCTCTAACACGAGTACTTGGCTCCGTTCTGTATTCGTAGCGCTCTCAACGGTGCTTGTGCTTTGTTCCACTCCCAGAGACCCTTATTACTATTACAACAGATTCTTCAAGTGCTCGTACGGATCTTCCGCTCCTAGCCAAGGCTTTGGACTCGGACTAACCGCCTAAAGTTGGTGCTAGTCCTTCATCCACAGTCAATCCCTGTCCTGCTTTGGGTCATTGGTGGCGACGAGGGAAAGTCAATCGGCGCCAGGCCCGAAAGAGAAAATATCTTTTGTTTATTGAGACCCTCTCATTGGCTGCAAGATTCTCTTATCAGTAACTCCCGTAATTCCTAGGGATTCAGGGTTCCTCTAGAGCCCTTTGGCACATGTCCGCTTGCCCATTTCCCTCAACTCGTACCATTTTCCCTTGGCCGCGCCCTCTACTGTACATGTTTGCTCTACTGTCTTTGTATTCTTCATTGTTCACTGGGCAATATCTCATACTCAAGACCCTGTAACATGATGCCTTGAGTACATCAGAACTTGGAAGATATCATTCAAGTGCTTGTCATCCTTACCGACTACCCGTATTTCAGCGAGACAAAGACAAGGCATCCCGGTCCTCAATCTCCTGCACCTTTGATCCGCTTCCTCTTTTTCCCATAACACCACATCCCACCAGCACGCACTCCCCACGTCCCACGCAAACACTGGCTTCCCAATCCTGCAGAGGTTTGCGACACGAGACAAACAACCGCCTCCTTCCGTACCTCACTCCCAGCTCATCATGACCGCCAACTACTCAACCCAGACCTATACTATCCCCGAGAACAACCACTTCATTGTCAGTCGCCAACACTCTCCTGCCAGCTCCATCTCTCCTCAGTCGCCTCGAATGCAGGACTACCTTCAACAACATGCCCCGAATCCATACAAGCAGCTACGGCCGCTCAAGTCGCCTCTTTACGTTCCCGCTGCCCTCCGTCCAACCGAGCACTTCTACACCCCTTCTCCTATGACACCGCCAAAAAGCTTGCACGGTTCTTTGGATAATCTAGAGAATGCCGAGCCTCAAGTTGCCAGCCCTGAGCACCAGTATCCTTTGGACCTGGAATCCTATGATCCGGATTGGGTGCAGGAGGAAGAGCTCGGTGAAGTGACCGGTCCTCCGACCAAGGAACATTGGAAGGTATGTCACATACACAATTACATTTCGACGTATGGTCTTGACTGTAGGCCGTACAATGATCGAGGGGACATTTGTGAGACTAGATTCCTGGCTAACACATCTCTATCTAGCCCGACGAAGCTTCTCCGACCTGCGACTCGCCAGAATGCAGGTCGACATTCAACCTATTCGTTCGCAAACACCACTGCCGGCACTGTGGCCACATCTTTTGCTCCTCACATACGCCTTTCACGATCCCTCTCGACCAATATGCCAAGTTTCACCCAGACGGCGTCGCTTCGCGAGCATGCGAAACCTGTCATCGCCAGTTTCAGCGCTGGGACACTGCGCGCTCCATCCGCCGCAAGAACAGCCAGAACAGCAAGGATGAGGACTTCAACAACGAGAGCGTGCCGTCTACGCCACTAGCAGGACCAGCAGGGCATCGTCGCATTCAGTCGGCCGGGCTGCGGGGAGCCAAACCTGTCACCGAGGTCGCGAACAGCGTTCCCAAAGACTGGCACTGGTCGACCTTCTGAGGTACCCGAACATGGTCACGTGACCACACGCCAACATCTGGACCAGAGGGTAATTACGGAGTAATCCACCATTTCAGCTTGTCACTTGTGGCCACCGGTCTTTGCCGACATAATCTGCGGGCCCTTTCCCCAGATGGGAAACACAGCCACCGGTCTCGACATCACAGTCAAACGAACGTTTAAAGGAGCCTGGTTCCTTGGAAGGGAAATTGGCCCCTCCATCGGAAAATGACGCATACTGCTTCCAATTGCCGTGTATGATCCGGAAATACTTCTACCTAAATTGAAGCCTCTTCCCTGAATGGTCAACGGTTATATGCGGGTGTAACTCGCCTGGCTCACTAAGAATGGCCTGATCTCACTGGTACATCCGATTGCCAAGCAAGAGATGTCTGTCATCGATAAGACGAACTTGAATGAAAGATGAGAACGAATGAATAGTGATGAGACCATGTTCAATTCTAGGACTCGGATGAGTCGGGATAAAGAGGTCATCATATGATCCAGTCCGAACCTGGAACTGGCCCAGACTCACTTCTATGTTTGGAATGTTCTCTGAGGCCTCCTAGTATGCTTTACGCTTGCAGAGCTACTGGACACTACCAGGTAGACGTTGGCGCTCAGTACAACCAATCACTCGAATGGTCCGTACCGCGAACAGCATCCGTATGGGTTACACGACAGTGGTCCTAAAGGTCGGTTGGGTGTGACGAACCATCACCAGTCGCCTCAATGCGACAATTCCAAAGGACCTTCGGTTTCTGTACGAGGACGATGACAAGCATCATAGTCAGCGAGAAAATATTCCGGGTGATGAGTCTGGTTACTTGTGATGAGACGGATGATCCGACGAGTTCAAATGTCACCTTTGAGCCTCCCCCGACCTTGCACCCCAGGGAATGCAATGCACCTACGTGCTTCCCCGCTTGTATCCTCACTACGACGCTGGTCTCGGGATGATCTGGATGCACATGTGCTACACATTGCTATTGTGACATGCGTTTACTTGCCATGTTGCACATACTAGGGTGAAAGGTGAGACGAGCATGTGAAAGGTACGGAGATTTTCTTGTCAATGAGACTTGATTATATTGTGATACTCTTCGATTGGGCGGACATGTTCTTTCGTTTAGACATGCTTTTTGATGTGATTGTCATTGTGACATTGTATGTGTTTTTATTGCATGGCGTTGGAGGCTGTTTATCGTTCAACGGGCTTTATTGGGTCGGAAACCTTGTGTATCAAGCCAAGGATCGAAGATTTGTTTTTGGTCTGCTGAAATACTACCATGGCTCTGTTTTCCTCGTACTGGAGACGGCGATGGATAGACTAGAACTAGATTAGATGGTGTCATGTACTATTGCGGTCGGCTGGGACATCAGATAGATCTGGGAGGGAGTATCTGATAGCGCTTTTTTTGGATCTTGTTTGCTTTTGCTTCTTTGAGCGAGTAGATCAATGAATTCGTTTTTCATTCTCAATCTGCACTATCATTGCGATGCTTCCCTTGAATCTCTGTTTGCTCTCTTTACGATTCAAGCCAGCCAATTACTTGACTCGTGCTCCGGGTACGAGTGAAACCGGAGCATGGAGGGGATTAATCTGGTGCCTGCCGCACCAAAATCGTAGCCAAGGTACGGGATAATCTAGATCACCATACAAAAGATATGGTCGCTCTCAATGTAACTGTAACCGTAGCCGTGACCGTGACTGTGACCAAATTCCTCTTGTACCCTGTCATGGGGGTCCGCATGTCTTGGGGGAAGGGGGGGGGAGCGGGAGGTTTCCTCGGGGTTGTCAACCCATCAACTGACCCAGGTCCTCGGGCGGCCACCTCGTCTGGGCAAAGGTCAGGCAGCGCTTGATGCTCTGGAGGAACTTCCGGGTGGCCTCGTCGGCCATGATGTGGGCCTGTTTCCCGTCGCTGGCCTCGTGGAGTTTCTCCCGGGCCGAGCGCTCGTGGATGCCGACCATGGTGACGCCGATGGGCCAGGCGGCCTTCCCGATGGACAGGGTGAGGTACCGGTCGTTGGCCTCGACGTACCGCCGGGCCTGGGCCGACCGGACGATCTGGCAGATGGGGTCGAGCAAGGCGTGGTCGAGGTCGGCCCTCTCGAACCGGCGGAACAGGGGGGTGAGGTCTTTGAGGACTTGAAGGTAAGAGGCGTGGGCGGCTTTTCCCGAGGAAGAGGCCTTGACGGACGGGTCCCGCGACGACAGCGCCGAGGACCACTCGGCCAACAACAGCGTGAAGTACGACGCGAGTTGGCGGTAGAGGTAGGCGTGTGCTGCGGTGTCACTGGCTGGTGGAAGCGCAGACGGGATCAACATGTCCCTTTCGGGTACGAGTTCGAGGGTCGTCGGGATGGGTCCATTGCTCAGTTTGGGTTTGTTGCTGCTCGTCAAAGACTTGGAGGGAGTTGTGAGTCCGTAGTATCGCCTCAGGCGCGAAGGATGAGTTTCGTCGTACATGGCCACGGGTTCGTTGAGGGATCGCAGTTTGGACCGTAATTCATCATCGGGGATGTCTTGTTCGGGAGTCGGCGTCGTGGGTGTGGACGATGTTGCTGTCTTGCCATCCTCACCACCAAGAGGTGGATCTTCTGGGAGACCGAGTCTTTTTCTTCTCTTGCGTTCCTCTTCCCGCTCCTCCTCTTCTCGACGGCGCCGTGATTCTTCGGCCAGTCGACGTTTCTTCTCTTCGCGGGCTGCTGCCCGTTCGGCCTCCTCTTCTTCGAGTTTGCGCTTCTTGGACGCCCGTTCTTCTCTCTCCGCCTCGATCCGTGCTTGTTCGGCGGCGTAGGCTGCTTCTCGGGCCGCTTCGAGCTCGGCGCGGCGGAGGTACTTTTGAGCGGGTGATTGTGAGGACGTCGACGGTGCTTGTTGTTCTGGAGATTTGGACGGGGTTGGTTTCGGTTTGGATTTGGCGATTTGCGCCGACATTAACGATTTAAAGTCCATGTTTGTGTGTGTTGAGAAGTCTGAAGCTGGGCGAAAGGATGAGAAGCGCTGCGTAGTTGTACTTAATTCTGCAGAACAAAAAGACTTGGGGGAAGATTTTCTACGAGGCTGCAATGTAAAAAAGTCCACAGGCCCCGATGGACACTTATCGCTACGTTTTGCGGGGGCACCAAGGCTGGGCCCGCCGCTGCTTTTGACGTCCATAAGAACCCACGTCCTCTCCGTCTCCTTCGTATTGCGGCTCGCATGCTCGTATTATTGGGGTCTCACTGTCGCTATAACTCTTGCTCTTGATGTTCCAGTTGTGCCATTGAACATTTCCACTAGTATTCCAACTACGTCGCAGATGTCGAAGCATAACCCGCAGTACTACCTACATATCGCCCCTTGGCTTTACGGGGCTAAGCTAGACTCGGAGGCATCGCACAGTTCACGTCTCGGCAAGGCCCAAACTGTAGAGTACGCACCGTACCCAAGTCAAGCTCGTCCTTCATTGCGACGGGTTGGATGTATCCCTTTCTGGTTCTGAAGGTTGATTGTCCATGGCCCCTGCCTAAGCCCTCCAAAAGCGGCGGTACTTCATTGATCTGTTCAGCCCGAGAAGCCCGAGGTCCCGCTCGTACCGTAGTTCCCGCACTACGCGTGGCTGAATTTATTGAGTCATGCTAATGAGTTTTGGTACCTAAAAAGTCCCCACTGAAGCACCGCTGCAACGAAATAAATCTCCTGATCTCCTCCTCGTCTGTACATATTGAACCAGAGGTGAATGCGCTTTATTAATGCCGTTGCCTCCGCCTGCCAACGTCCCCTATCGACTCCTACAGATTTTTTGAGTTTAGGCCGCCCGGTTCCAAGTGTTACGAAAGTCACCCGGGCACTCAATCATAGGCTGAATGTTAGCTTGAGGGGAATTGAGGACACCTATAAAGGAGCCTTCGATGCCCAATTGAAGGGAAAGAGGATAATCTGATTACCGCCAAACCTCAATCGCTCATCTCTGCTCAAGATAAACGGAGTGTCCGTACAATGAAGGCAACGCACGAATACTCGGCAGCTCAATATGTTCGCGACACTGGTTGTCCTCTCACTTGGATGTGTCGGTGCTGCTGTACCAGTAACGCAAATGCCGCGATGAAGGAAGAATTCCAGGAGTACGAGCTACGCACCAAGACTCGGCCAGGCACAATCGTCGGTCGTCCTGCCGGTCGCGAAGCGTATGTCGGAAAGTCGGGGATGAAGTATGAGCAACAATCACAATCACCGAATCAGACGGCGCAGAATGTGTGATGGCGCCATATCGAATTACCAAAAGGGAATTTTGAGGATAGGAATTCCAATGAACAAGTTTTGATGAGAGCGAGGCCGGGATGGTAGAATGCCTGTGGGATCGACACAACCAAGATACCCGAAGTACCGACACTGCAATGAATGCAGCAAAGCAAGGCCTTCGCAAAGAAATGTTGTCACTCCTCGTTTTTTACTTGCATGGGCACTGTAACTCAGCGGTGTGATTGACCAGCAAAGAGATAGCCATTAGAATTGTCTTCAATGGGTTAGGATTCTTTGATTGGTATGATCATCCGAAAAACTATGACCGAGGAGGTCTCAAGACACGATTGTTTCGCTTTTGAGGATGTAGACAACCAACGGAAGATAAACGGCCTCCCCGAGTGGCGACAGAAGATATTCCTCTATGTAGTAACGACAAAGTCGTGGAACAACGTAGGTGATATGGGATGGAATTGGTCATAAACCCTTAGGTACCTACCGGTGTTTCTTTAGTAGAGGATTTGCAGTGTTTAGGTAAGTAAATGGTTGCCGGGAAGCCTAATTTGACGGCCATTTTGGGGTAGCGACTATGACAGAAAAACTCGGCAACAGCCTTCATTCATTGACCGTAGACAATATTATTCGTAGCAATCTATCTTGCATCAATCCGACACAATTTATCACCGTCGTTGGTCAAACACGACATGAAGATACCATTGTCAACATGGTGTACCTTGACGAACCCTCTCGAGTACCAGTAGGTACCTTTGCCCCTCTTCCTTCTCCAGTCTCAATCGACCCCAGTTGCCAGTATGTCCACCATAAAGAGTTTGTTTCCGCTTTACATTTGAAAACTTCAAATCATCAACCTCAACTGCAGTTCAAGCCCCGAGTATCCCATGACGGCGATTTAGTATGTCGGATTCGTTCGACCGCGCTCTGCCAGCGTACGGAGCGGCTTCCGTTCTGGAGGCGATGAGTAACTTCGTGCTGGCATCGCCAATGGTGGATCATGCAACGCCAGATGCATAGGCTCGTTTGTATTCCTTGCTTCGAACAATGTTTAGTCGATGTTACCATCAAGCCCGATATGGAACATACGATCAACAAAAGTTGGTGTCCGGGGCCAATGACTCTCATATCGAGGCAGAACCGTAGCTTTTCGCCGATGCAGTGTGAGCTTGTAAAGTCCAAAGATTAACGGTGGCAGCGCAAGGAACAGAGAGATGATTCCAGTGATTGCCTCGACCGACAACGCCATTGCTTCCGAGGTAGGACAGTGCTGCTGTTCAAGGTGGATTGTGCCAGATGCGACGATATGAAGACATCATTGTGAGACTTTATCTTCTTCCGCTTTGGCTCCATCTGCACCAGTTTGAACCGGTGCTCTTCCCTCATCTTGACTTCGAAAAACCATGGTATTGGAAGTTTACGAAAGTGCGACGAGTGCTGCGGCTGTGGTAGAAGCTGGTCGCTTGTCGTCGTCGCCAGCTATTGGCTGATGCCCAAAGTGCGCATCCACATCCCATTGGACTGCCACGCGCAGATGACGCCTCTGTTTATGGCGTCCAGGATTTGCTCAACCCCTGTCCGAACTTTCGGTGGCTGCCAATGAAATGAAAACAGTTCATCCTTGCCGAACTGATGAGTGTCCTTTCGCGCCTGATTTTAGGTCGTTGCCGTGACATGATGAGTTAGTCCGCGCGCTAACATGAATTGTCACTTGCTGGGGTCAGGGCCAGTGGGCGCAGCAGGACAACCTCGCACTTTCGGTATTGACCAATGAGGCATCTCGCGAAATCCAAGGCAGGATTCAGCCTGACCGCAACGAGCTCATCTTTTCTGGAGTGCAGATTTTTCAATGTGAAGGACCTGAGCGGAAAGGTAGGCATATATGGTGCGACCTTGTCTCTGCTGAATTCGCTTCCACATTCATACCTCTGTTTGCATGCAACACCAAAGGCTGTTTGCTTCTATTCACTGAAGAAACGAGGTTGCAATTGAGTGTGAATCAACCCGTGACCATCCGCCTGGACGCTATCATGACGTCTCTGGTTCACAAGCATGACGATGAGGAGTGGTTGTCACATAAGCCCTTTATCGAGGAACACTACATGGGGAAAAACCGCACACTGGACTGGGTAAGAGAGGAGCTTATGAAATGTCGCTCATTCAATGCTAGGTAAGGAATCCACGAGAACTGTACGATCTTCATCTAAATATGAAATGTAGCATCCATCAGTACAAGAGAAAGCTAAGGTCATGGCGCTTCGCCAAAAATTACAAGGCCAGGTATTGGCAGGGAGTGAGAAAAGCCATAGGCCGCCGTGGCTTAAATCAAGACGACGTCCAGATAAAGATTCATTCTAGACCCTTGAACAAAACCCAGACGCAAATTGCACGAGCTTGCAGGCGCCATGACTTACCATCGATGAAACGCAAATGGCGTGCAGGGAAGGCCACCAGAATCGCTCTGCCTTAAATACGAGCTGATAGTATCCAGGTTCAAGTCCGCTTACGCCTGAACATGTTGAGATTGTGAACCATGCGCCGCATAACATGATGCAAATCCAGCTTGACCTGCCAGGTCTAAATCTCATCAAGAGCATGCTGCAATTGTCCAATTCTTCCACAATACCCGATTCGCAGACAGCTTCGCAGCAAACCAGACACCAAACATTCTCAATCGGGTCAGAATATGCCCTTCAGACGACGAACACTTCAGTATACACCAGTCGAGCTGCTGATCTCATGATGGCAGGTTCCGGGCCTCTCGAACCTACCAGCCAGGAACATGCTCAAAATCTGTCAAGCCTTGTCTCTCATGGTGTAGAGGACTCTTCGTGGAGTTGTTCTACTGAGCACTTGTGGTCAAAATCAGTGGCTGGGTCACTTTCTTCACAGGCTCTTTTTCCACAAGGGCCCAACCACCTTCTGGAGGAACTCAATTCTCAATTATGCTCGCCAGAATTGGTTTGCGACCTTGTGCGAATCGGGTGTGCTATGTTTTTGCTTTCCAATAATAATTTGCCTGGGCTTCAATTCGAAGGCTTCGTGCGCTTCATGGTCAGCCAACCTCTTCAACAACTTCGCAGATGTCTGTACTCGATTTCGTCTGAGTGTTTGCAGCGCTTCCTAGACGGTGTCCTAATTACGCCGCAAATAACGGTCGGATCGACTTGTTGGCTCTCCTTTGGGATTACGGGTATGACCTAGGAAGGCATGTTCGCGATATGGACGGTTGGGAAACCACCACGGCGATGCACCAAGGTATTCTCAGAAACGAACTTTCTTTTTGCAAGAAACTCATTGAACTGGGAGTTAATCCTACGGCTACTCCAAGAACTCCAGACAGCCATCCGGGTGTCATGGAAGATGAGTATTCTGTTGAAACCTCGGTCTTAGAGGACGGGAAGATGCCCTACGAGACTAGTTCGATTTTCTTGGCCGCAAAGTATCTCCCGGATCTCATAATATCGGAACTATCAAATCTTGCACCTTCTCTTGCCCAAAGCCTTCTGCCAGTGGCGGTGCAAGCTGGAATGGATATTCCCGAGATCTCTGAACTTCTATCCAGAGGCGCCGATATCAATGGAATCGACGGTAGACTTTGGACGGCTCTGCATTACGCTATATCTCGAGAAGATGTATCGTTGACACATTATCTTCTAGACAATGGCGCATCTCCTGATGGGCGGAGCAGTGAAAGTGCCGTGCCCTTGCACACAGCCTTGGACCCTGCCCAGGCCTGGCCACTATCCTTTCTCTTGACCCCATTGGTTTTAGCAGTTAAGCTCAACAACTCGGTACTTTGCGAGATCCTCATCGAAGCCCAAGCAAATGTAAATCTTTCAATGAAAGACAAGCTCCCCGGGTTCTTCGAAAGTGACATGGCGGATCTTTGTGAAAGCTACTTTTCGGCCCCCCAATTCGATTTTACGTGGTACATTAAAGATAGAGAAGCCGATAACGCGCATAACAGGTTCCATTACCCTCGCAAGAGTAAAAGCGCTCGGTGGTGCAATCTCTGGACGGCTATTGAGGTTGCCGCGGCTGATGGATTTGCGGAGATTGCTGAATTGCTGTTGTGGAACGGAGCAGACTTACAGATGGAATGCACATCTTCCCCCTTAGCCTTCGCCGCTGCATTTGGCCACGTCGAAGATGTCGAACTATTGCTGGACTACGGAGCACATCCACAGTATATCACAAATGATGGTTGCGAACTTTCCGCCTTGCAGGTTGCTTGCCTTCGTGGCGACGCTGAAATTGTGTCAATACTTATCGAAGCAGACGCCATCATTGATGATCCTGATATGGCAGGGCCAACTCCACTGCAGTGTGCGGCAATGAGAGGCAATGTGGACATCGTAAGGGATCTACTGAGACGAGGCGCAGGTCCTGATGCTGTGCCTGATACATATCACGGGCTTATGGCCCTCCAAGGTGCAATATCCTACGACCGCAAAGAAGTTTTCGAGTGTCTTTTAGAGTATTGGGACGATACAAATGCGCTCCCTGGAAAATGGGATGATATCGATGACAATGGAACTCTGCTCTCAGTAGCTGTATCGGCCGATTGCTCTGATTACTTGTTGCGCCTTCTGGAACTCAAGTTGGATCTTGATCACAGATTACGGTGTGGTTACACACGTGTGGAGGTTGCGCTTCTTAAGGCTGCTCGACGGGGCAGGTGTCAAAATATGCGTATTCTTCTCAGAGAAGCGACCTTTCTTTCGCCGGACGTTCTCACCAAAGCTCTCAATATGGTGAGTCCAGATGATTCTGGCGCTCCGGACATTATGAGGACACTACTGGATCGGGGCGGGATACTTCGTCAAACTAAGCCATCGGTCCTATGCACAGAGAGTCTGGAGGAAATGAAAACATTGTTGGCAAGAGGGGCAGATGTCAATGAGCCTGCACAGGAAAAATACCGGTTTCACCGGACAGCGTTGCAGAATGCAATCTCCCGACGAGACCTCCCCATGACCAAGTTCTTACTTGAAATGGGGGCAAATATCAATGCACCACCGTCGAGCATGAGTGGACAGACAGCGTTTCAGGAGGCAGTCTTCCAACGAGACCTCGCCATGACCAAGTTCTTACTTGAAAAGGGGGCAGATATCAATGCACCACCAGTGGCGGACGGCGGACGAACGGCTCTTCAGATTGCTAGCGAAAATGGAGACATCGCCATTTTCAAGCTTCTACTCGAGCACGGAGCAGATGTGAACGCTCCTCCTGCTGAAACAGGTGGGGTGACTGCGCTTCAAGCGGCTTCTATCGGTGGCTATCTGGGGATTGCCGAGATCCTCATTCAAGCGGGTGCCGACATAGGCGCACCTGCATCTTCGGAGGAGGGCAGAACAGCGCTCAATGGTGCAGCAGAACACGGTCGCTTGGACATGGTCAAGCTTTTGCTCGACAACTACCGACTCAAAGATGGCGAATCGTTATCGCAACTGTGCGATGAGGCCGTCGGGTACGCAAAGAGAGAACTTCACTGGGGATCCGTGGAGCTTCTCGAGAAGTACCAGCGACCACCAAACCTCAGCCCGTGAATGTCGCCAAGGCGGAATAAAGAGACGAGATTTTGTCAAGTTGGTCATGACAGGTACAGACACGCCGAGCAAGGCGTAGAGAAATTGATCAACGGTAGGAAATAGGGCGAAGGATGGCGACGACAATTGGAAGGATATGGATGACATGACCTGCTCCCCCGAGACTGGGGTTTTACGACGTTCACGACTAACGAATTTTTCATACGATGGATTGACTTTACAATTTGTGTCAACCACCATTGACATTGATTTTCCACAGGGACTATACGACAATTGGCAATGGCATACGGAACTGGGATTATAATTTGGATCTGGAGATTTGCCCCCGCCCCCGTCAAGGGCAGGTGAATCAGGTCAGCTCGACCCTTTTGCAATGAAAACGCGACAACAAGGCAAGAAGTCGGTTTGTAGAATGAGACAAGACTCTGGGAGAGGACCATGACGCAACGTGATGTGAGATGGGATAATGAGATATATGAGTGAGAATGATGGAATTTGAGTATGATCCTTTTCGTTTTGGACTTTGTGGTTGATCTTTTCTGTTACCCCTTTTTGGGGGGTTAAAAAAAGAAAAGAAAAGAAAAAAAGAATCAACAACCTTGCTTTGGTATATCAGGCAGATACAGTAGTGATCAAATTTGTAGCGAATGGTAAATTCTGACATTGCTGATTACTTGACCAAATCTTCATGTCTCTCCTTTACCTTGCTGGTCCCTTGCAGAAATGAGGAGAAATGGCAAAGTACAGAGACAACTCAACTTACTGTTGAACGTACTTGTCTCCGATGCCTCGTTGCACCGCCGGTCTCGCCGCGATGCGGTCGATCCACTTCAGCAGGTGAGGAAAAGGTTTCATCTCTTCGCCACTGAAACCGCTCCTTTCCCATCCCTTGACCCAAGGCCAAGTCTTGATGTCCGCCACGCTGTATTTTCCTTTGCCCTTTCCGGCCAGGTAATCACGAGGTTGACCTCCTGTGTAGATTCCCGAAAGACGGATTTCCAAAACCCCGTAAACCCGAAGGGTTTCATTCTTGTACCTGTTGATTGCGTCTGTTGAGGAGATGACTTGTTAGTATGAAATGTAGTCAATAGAATCGGACGTATACAATCGGGTCTCTGGTTGATATGATGGTAGGTTTCAGGGCAAGGATTTCAAAAGTCACACAAAGAAGAAGACAAAAACTCACATGGGATCTTTTCAGGGGCGGCACGCGTGAAATGGTTGACCTGGCCTTGGTAGGGGGCGCCTCCACCGTGCCAGAAGAACATCCACTGGAGGGCCTCGTTGCGTTCGAGGTCGTCGGTGAACCCGAAGACGTCGTCCTTGTCGAAGAACTTTTCCAGGTACAACATTTGCGCCGACGTCTCGATGACGGGGAACGGGGGGGACTTGGAGTTGTCCACCAGGGTCGGGATGCGACCGTTGGGGTTGAGCCGGAGGAACCACTCCTTTTTCTGTTCGTTGGTCATGATGTTGATCAGGGTCGTGCCCCATTCGGTGCCGTAGACGTCGTGGAGCTCCTCCAGCATGATCTGCGTCGCCTGCCCGTTGGGGGTGTTTTGGGTGATGAGGTGCAGACCTTTGGCCGAAGACACCTCCTTGGGCGTGTCGGGGATGTAGAGGTTCGACGACGAAGACATTTTGTACGACGGTTGGTGGTGGTGACGTCCAAAAAGAAAAAAAAGATCTGGTTCGATACGATGTGTACTACCTAACCCCGTAAGTACCTCCTACTAGGGTGGTCTTTCTGTGAGTGAGAGAAAGTGAAGAGGTGAAGAAGCTGAGCACGGAATGTAGAGTAGAAGGATCTTTCTAGTCTTCAAGTTTCGACAGACAAACAAGACCGACACATATAGATAGACAAGGTCACCAGAAGAAAACTCGTAAAAGAGTACTATGTAAGCTCAATATTGCGCAATCTGTGAATCTGCGGACCTTTTGAAGACCTCATGGAAATGCATCCGATGCCCATGATGTATTTGTAAGGTGAGGGGTAAAGCAGCCCCGTATCTCTCCAAATCGGAGGTGATAGATAATCCGTAAATCAATGTCGTCATCTGCTTGTTCTTCTGCGGCCTAATAAGATGTTCCGTATTCATTGTACATACTGTACCTGCCCGGTGGATATATTTTCCCTTTCCGAATTCCATGGATCCCTCATATCCCAGGTATCAATTCCCATTTCCATGTCCGATATCTTGTTATCAATCAGATACCCTTGTCTTCTCGACCATTCGAAATAAAACAAGCCAGCCATCCAATCCATATACTCCCAGTCGGTTATGTTCCAAATCGAAATCGTGTGCTATTCGTATACGATACCAAAAGAGGAGTTCCTCAGATTGATGACCACCTGTAGTATCAACCAAAAAAAAAGAGCAATCAGGCCGTGACGTTAATTTCATTCTTCTTTGGGCAGCCATCCCCATTCCTTCTTCAGTTCAAACACCGTCTTTGCTATCGGCCAGCCATGATCCTGGTTCAATCTGTCTATGACTTTAAGCAAAGCCTTTTGTTCCACAGGGTCGGTAACGTGGCCTCCACAAACCGCAACTGCCATGTACGCCTGTACCAGTGCGGGCTTCGACAGAGGATTTGACATTGCCATACCGCAGATTCGAATCAGGGATTCCCGCGAGTCTGACACGAAACGCTTTTCCGCCGTCGAGGATCCGTGGCCAAGCCGTGGTCTGTTGGGATTGAACGCCGTCAACAGTATCTTTGCGAGTTCAAGGTACAACAGACCTGTCACATGTATCTCGGCCATATGCCATATGTGAGGAAAACATTCACCCTTGCTCCGGTCGGGTTCCTGATAATGGATTGGTGCAAAGGAGAGGGGCTTGACCTGTTCCCACTGCGTTTCAAAGTGCTTGAGTGTGTTCCATCGCTCGACTTGCGCCATGTGTGGCAAAGTCACGCTATCTTCGAAGCAATACTGCATTACCTTCGCACAGTGGAAGAGATGCCGATCAGCCCAAACAAAATCCTCAACCTCGTCGAACCCTTGGAGAATGGTCCAATGTTCCAGGGGCAGACGAATGGGTCGCTGCCTGAGAAACGACGTAGTGATTTCCTGTCGAAGGGCATTCCGGAATACGGCGTGCTGGAAACTCCTTAGATATGACATCATGTTCTCGTATATTCCTGCTGCCATCCCAGGCCGAAGGTACTCGGGGTTCTGACCAGTGCCCAAGATATGTGAGTATGGAGAAGACTGTGCATTGACAAAGACTTGGAATGGGCGGAGGAATGTCTCGCTGTCCGAACTCATGAACGTCGTGTCGATTTCCTCATAATATCGAAGGATGACTGTGGCGGCGAGCAGGTTTTCATCGCGGACGTATTCCGGGTCATTCGACAGTTTGATGAGATAGGCAATACAAGCATTGTGGTATTTCACGGCCGTTTCCGGGGTCAATTTCGGCAAGGGAACGTTGTTGTATTTGACGAGTCCATCCGCCGATTTATAGTCTGCATTGTTGACCAGATGTCGTGATGCAGCAGTGAAGATTGCGTTCAATAGTGGAGGACACCTCCTCGCACGTTGCGGCACTGTGAGGGCAAAGTGTTGACCTGGATCTCCAACATCAAACTTATCACCGTCAGCTTACACGTAGAACGCGAAGGGAAAACTCCATCTTACCCAACCTGCGAGCTGATCAATGTAATATCGCATCAGGCAAGCACATTGTGTCGTGGTGTATATGTTTGGCCAGTAAAAGTCTTCTTTCCAGACCGCAGGCGAGAGTAACGAATCATCGGGAATGATGGCAGCAGCAGAATCTGCCAGACGACGGTATTCGGCTTCCACCACCTTCGGAACATGACGTCCTTCGTCCATCGAGTTGATCCCGTTGATGGCGACCGGACTGTAGGTTTTAGGCGTTGTGGTATAGATTCGGTAGGTATGTGTGCTGTTGGATCCACGAACTGGGTCGTAGACTCCTTGCTGCCATTGCTCGGCCCCGGAACTCTGTCGCGTTAGAGTTGAGTCAGTGGTCCGTCGTCTCTTGCTGTCTCTATCGGCGGAACGTACCAGGACCGTCTCAATATTTGAAGTCGCCGGGGACAAGAATGGCGGCACGTCAGAAGATTGTCCACTATGCACTGTGGGCGATAAGCCGGCATCGACAGAACTGTCAAGGCTTGTGTATGGCTCAAAGCTCGCAGTACCAGGCCTTTGCTCCTCCTCGACCGGTCTGGCACAGTTGACTGCAAAGTCATCTTGAGAATAGTAATTTTCTAGTTCCGGGCCTTGATCGACGAATTGAAATTTTGCTGGAGAAGAAATGATGGTCAGCAATGGCACTCATAGGCTTGGACGGTTGGTGGCTTGAAGACCCAAGGAACACAGCATAAAAGGCAATCAATGCCAGTGTGTCCCTCTGGTGTGACAAGGTAGGGAGTGGAAATGAATGGTGTGATGGGACATTATGACCGTGCAGGAGGTATAAGAGACGGGTCTAGGCATGGCTGAGAAGTCTCGATCCCTTCCTCGCCCACTTGACGGACCTTTGTTCTGATTGCTTCCAGGTTGCACAAACTTACCATTCTTGGTTTGCGCCAGCCATGTCTGGGTCCCTGGGAAGTTTTCATCATAACGAGCGCTGGACCCATGCCGGAACTTGAGCTTCCCCCTTCCCCTCCGGCACCTGCCACCCAGGCGTTCACATTGTTTGCACCTGGGGTTGTCGTCACCTACAATGGTCAGCCTGGTCGAGTCGGTGGTGTACGAAGGCCGCCTGCTGTCATTGTACCCCGTACGCCCTTCCGCCTCTTGCCTTTGCAGGCGGCCGAGGACACGCATCAAGCAAGCAACGGATTCGAGCAGCGTGTTGCGTGGGGGATTGAGCTCGACTTACACTTCAAGTGGCGCTCTTGTCGAGTGGCGTGTCAGTCCGGAAAGTATCGCTGGCAGAAGGGACTCGAGACGTACCTCTGCATTCCTGGCATGGGTCTTCTATTTTCGTTCCCGAATTTGGCATAGAGGCTCAGTCATGCAAACGTGCGTAGGACGGACGACAAAGTTAGGGAATCGAGAAAGCCATGTCAAAGTAAGGAAGAAGTTGCCATTAACGAGCATTAAAGGCAAGTTGGGACACCTGGGGGAGAAGGAGTCGCGACGGCCACAACGTAGCAAACTTGCGGTTCCAATCGGATGAAGCGAAAGAGGCCAGAATCTCGCAAACCCCGCGATTGTTGTGCGTTTCGTCTGGATGCTGTCGAGGAAGGATTTGTCCAATGCCTGAATCGACCAGGGTTGTTGATGATTTTTCTGGCTCGAGCATGTGGTTGTGTGAAGAATTTGGTCGGGGCTCTGGGCCTGGGAGAACTACCCTACGGTGCGGTGTCTGGACCCCTGCAGCGACTCACCCAGCCCGCTGCTGATCACGATCCCTGCTCTGAGGTAGCCTAAGCAAGCCCTAGAAAAACATGCCTGCCGCAGTCTACCAATGCCTATCAATGCCCACCAATACTCACCGACGCCTCCCTTACTCACCTTGGGCATCAAGCCCAGGCGGCCTCTTCCCGCACCACCCAGCGGCGCGCCTTAATTCTAATCCTTACCGCAGCCTTGTCGCTTTTGAATCATCCACGCCCGCCACGTCGCTGCCCAAGTGTGTCTGCCTACGCCTCTTGTGTGACCATATCTCGGTTATACCAGTCTCATGGGGTGACACGTCGAAATATGCCGACTACTCGGAAATAGCATGGGATCCTCTTTACGGTGTATCAACGGATATATTCCAACATTGCGAAAGAAAAAGGTCGCCAGATCTTCTATCCATCCAAAATCATCATTATCAGTCAGCAACAGGTATTATCCAGCCCATTCACGGTGTGACCTTTCGCTCCAACGGTTCCGCCAACTTCAAAATGCTCAACATGCTCAAAACGCTGAATTGCTGACTGACCGGGTGACAGGGGCCAGCGACACTGCATTAGCATCCCGGGCCCTGGTTTCTTCAATACTCATAGACAGGGGCCTTGAACAAGACATTCACAGCTGACTCCCTAACGCCACCGCCTGCAGCAGACCCGGGCTCTTTGCCGGAATTACCTCCCGAAGCAGAAGTAGTGGAATTCGGGCCTTTGCCTCTAACCTCCACGGCAAGGAACGCTGCGAACCGAATACGTCCTTCATTTGCACCTGGTATAGGGGCTAGTTGGGACGGATCAACAGCCATACTATCTCTAGCATTGCCACGCTGATCCTCACCGCCGTTGTTAGACATGGATTCTGTGGCTCTGCTGTCTGCCCGAGATATTGGGCCTTTTTTGCCGACGATACCCCCAAGAAAGCTCGATTTCTTAGATTGCTTGTCCGGGTTCTTCGCCGTTGTCTGGCCACCTTGGGTAGCAATGCTTTCAGAGCGACCTTGAGATTGTTGTGAGGCTGCTTTTCCTGCTGCCTCACGAATCTCGGCTTCGACATCACGTTCTCGACTTGTTTCATCTGCACTCGCTGTGCTCATACCATCACCATCATGGCCCTCATGTAGCCCCTGCTGCTGCGCCTGAGCTGCTTGCATTGCCAGAATGCGCTCGTCCTGACCGGGATTGGTCAATGGTGTCATTTGAGGTTCAACCTTCATGTACATTTCATTCACGGGCGTGCCGGGCATGAAATACTCAATGCAGATGTCCCGAGATTCGAGAGGGATGTTGGCCGCAATACCAACTGCTTGGCTAACAATCATGCCCACGCCTTCACTCAGGCCCACAGGAGGAGGATCTGTGAGATTGGCCTTTAATGAGTCAGTAAGCTGGTGAGTAAATCTCTTGTTGAGGTTTTCAATGTATTGCTCGGATTGTGGCGAGGCAAGAATTCCTTGAAGACCTTCAATCGTTGTCAGTCTCCAAGTAGTGAGCTTGGTAATAAGGTCATCTCGCTGCTCGTCAGTGAAAAGCATCCCGCCTTGGCCAGAACGACGAAGCGCGCGTTCAATACTCTTCAGATGAGCTGAAAGCGTTGGATCAATCCCAGGATGGAATGTATGTTCAAATATGCTTTCGTATAACCACCGAGTGATGCAAGCCCGTCCGACAGCTGTCATCTCCTTTGTACCAATTGAATGCGCGTCTTGGTTGCAAACATGTCGAAGCCATGGCGGGACCGCACGCCAGTTTTTACGGATATTGAACGCCAAATTGTTGATGGCCTGACTTAAACGTTCGAACCTGGCTGTATACTGAGCATCATCCAGTGAGGTTCTTGTCATGGACATGCGCTGATTTGCAACTGTGTTTTGTAGTTGAGTTACTTGAGCTTCGCGCTCAAAATAGTAGCGTTTGACTTTGGAATATTTGGCTTGCAACTCTTCATGGCGTTGAAGAAGCTGATGGTAGTCCAGTTGACTGATGTCTTCTCTGCTTCTGGGGGGAGGGGTGCTTCTGCCTTGTTCAGAGCCTTGTTGTGACATTCTGACTCTTGGATCCTGGGAGCTCTGGTACTGCCCCTGACTATGATCTTCAGTGCGAGCGTCACGTTGCGCAAGTTGCTGGCGAAGGCTTCCGTTTCGTGCCTCACCCCCTGCCATTACCTGCTGTTGCTGCTGCGGACCTTGTGGCCCGAGTCGCACAGAATATCTGCTAGTAGCAGATGTTGAGGGCCGGGAGTCTTGAAATCCTTGAGGGTGTGGGGGATTGGCAGTGGGTGATGGCGGGCCTAGGGATGCTTGCGACGGCGGTCGCAGGTGTCTGTATTGATCGGCCTCGATGTTAGTCACTCGCGGGCGCTGGACCTGGCTTTGGTAAGGAAGATACTGTTCAGAATTGCTCGCTGACTCGGATTGATGATATGCCTGGTACTGCTGTTGTTGCTCACGGTCCGGGGTAAAATGAGGAGCGTCTTCTTCGTAATCAATCGAGTAATGGGTCGTATGGCTCTGAGGGGAGTCAAAATTTCGTATATACTGAGGCTGCTCAGAAGAAGATCCCGGGGTGGTATCAACGTGAGGGTAATATACCGAATGCCTGCTCTGGTCGATGGGCGAGGTCTGCTGTGAATAAGACTCTCGTGTGCTCTGGTCAACTGGCTGTGATTTCCTCAGTAGGTGCACAGAGCTTGAGCGACCGATGCCTTTGCGCTCGGGAGCAGTGCCTTTCTCCCTGTCGCGGTCCTTGTCTTCGTCCTTGGACTTATCCTTAATAAGTCCAGATATGAAACTCCTCTTACTCTTCTTTTGCTTTTCGTCACGTTCAATGCGAGCAGACTTTGATTGACCGAAAAATGTTTGGCCTGGGACCGGTGGTGGTCCTTCAGGGATGCCCGACTGTTGCGGTGGTGGGGGTACAAGGGTCACACTTGGTCGCTGAGCGCCATACACCTCGCCGGCCGAGACTGACTGACTGCGAGACAAGTGGCTATGAGGTTGAGGCTGGGCCTGAGCCTGAGACTGAGGGTGCTGGAATTGATAGTCGTCGTCGAGCTGGGGCTGTTGGTTGTAGCGGTCAGGGTTGGGATCGAAATCGTAAGATGCGCTAGGGTGAGGCTGGTGATGGGGATGTTGATGTGGATGCTCGGTGCGGATATCTTCAATCGAGCTGTGAGACTTGTTCGAGGACTTGAAGAAAGGCATGGATACGTAGTTCTCTGGCTTGACGTGAAAGAGTCGAGAAGTCCTACGTCTGCCGTCTTGGACAGGGAAGACGGTTCAGAGGGGATCTGGCCTGAACAAGGCGGGCAAGAGAAGAATGGGAGCAAGCCATGTCAGCTCGACGAACGGGGCTGAAGCAGGTTGTGGTTGCTACTACTCATGGCTAGGCGAGGAGGATGGCGATTTCTCCAATTAAGACTCAACCAACGTATCTACGAGTACGGATCACACTGATTCATGTCCACAGACGAGCCATGGATCGACTTAGAAGCATTACTGCTTATTCGTTGCCATCAACCAGAGTGTTTATGATTGCTGTTGGCCTGATCGCCTGTTCAAGAATGCCTCAAATCAAGTGTCAAACCACTCAGCCTGCTTGTGAGCCCACCTGAAACGTGGGGATCGCCCGTTCGATATATTTAGCACAACATACAGGCCTGGTTTACTCCGTATCAATTGAGGGCTTTCTTGGTGTCCCTGATCAGGCTGACTAGCCTGACTTCAAATATCGGCATGCCTTAGTCCACCGCGGAGTCCGTGCTAATTTCTACAGCTTTCGATCTGGTCTCGGAGCCTTGGAACATGTCTTCAATGAGCCTCAGCACACACCATAATCCGTGTCTAGCAACAGATACCTGATGATCGCTCGACGAAATTGAGATTGGTACTCAGACGGGCCGAGTAGGATTCAAGGTAACCCATGAATACCACAAAAGCTGCATTCAGATCAATTCCTCCTCATGGGGCATTTTGGTTGTGCCAACAGTATGAGTCTCGAAGAATGCGTGGTTGCTGCAACCATGTTGGAATCTGCTCGTGAAAACTGCAAAGCCACTGTGTATGCTGGGCTTGAGTCACTCTTACCGGTTGGCATTCATTCGACCACCTCGTCGTCGTTGTCGTCCTCGTCATCGAAGCTTGGAATGATCACATCCCAGTCAGGATCTTCAGCGAAATCCATGTCTGAGTTGCCATCTGCTTCGACCATATCCACATCTTCTGACATTTTCTGCTTTGCATTGAAACGGTATGCAATCCATGTGCCATCATTCAGACCTGCGCCCGAAGGACTCTCATTTAATACACTTGCCTCGCCTCCAATTTTCTTCTTCGAACCCTTCGCACCCTTAAACTCTTGTTCCTTGATCATCAAGGGTACCCAGCCTTTGCTTGCATCTTTCTTGTCTGCAAGAACCCCAAGCTCGAGCTGCTCAGGATCTTGAGGAAGAGGAGTGTCTGTGTTCGGGAGGGTTGTTACATTCCGTGATCGAAGTGCCGAGAGCAAGAGAGTCTTTATTTCACTGAATGGCGTGTCTGGTAGGATCGATAGGACTGTGGTAGATTTGTGACATTTGAAGAGTAAAGTGATCATCTCTGGCGTAGGCAATTCTGCAAGAGGATCACCAGCAGTTGAAGACATTCTTGATACTTGCTTTGCCGTCTGATTGCCCGAGGAAGATTACCATACAAGGTGCGAGGTCAGATGTAATGCTATTCTCATCACTGTAGAGAACACTGAAGGAGAGGCTTGGTGTAGAGGATTGGTTGAGAAGAAACGCGTTCGCAAAAGAATTAATTCGCGAAACGTAGCAGTCATTAGTTGCATGCAGATCATAGGCAGCGGCTCTTCCCCGCAAAGTCGAAAAGCATTAAAAGCAGGCCGCTAAAGCCACCAGCTCGTAAGCTCCAAATTCTACGATCTACTCAGTACCTGATCTTCCATTGGAATGCTCGACATATATTCAGTCTATTGCCAAGGTATTCCTATAAGTGATGTCACAGTACTCTCTTCCTATGTCCATTCAGATGTGAGGTGCGGCCTCGATCACATATAATCCGGGCGTGTTGGGGTCGAAGGATTGGCAATCTTCCAGGTGCAGTTTATCCTCAACATGTGGCCCTTTACATCCACCAAAGCTGAGCCAAATGGGCCAGCATTGGAACCGGTAGCTTCTTCTCCAGCCGTCGGAAACCCTTCTGATGACTCGTCATCGCCGTCAACGCCATCGTCTGGAGGCTTGAGACGAGCCAGTGTGCCAGAGGGTGCGATCGGATGGCCAAATGAACGACTCGGAATTCCTCTACTCTTTCGAGCTCCGACAGTGGTTCTGACTTCTTTCGGCTTTGGTTTTATCTTGGGGTCGACTCATGGCGCAAACAAGGGTGCCTATCGTTACCGTGCCGAAAATGCTCATCGCCTGCCGACTACTCAAACCGGTTGGTTCCTATATCAGAAATCGAAAAATTACCATGCTATTGTTGGAGGAGTAAAAGAAGGAGCCAAATTAGGATTTGTCTGCATGGGTTGGGCAACACTGTTTATGGCAACGGAAGAGATGGTTGATTTGTCTCGTACGCGCTTTCTGTCTCGAGGCGGCGAGGATAAGAAGACAGGCCAGCGGGATGCAGGCAGCACCGTCGTTGCTGGTATGACTGTGGCAGGAATCTACAGCTGGAAAAGAGGACTCGACCACTTTGCTACTGTGCATACTGCCAAAACAGCAATGAAATTCTCCCTCTTGTATGGCTTGGCTCAAGACGTGGCTTCGACAATAAGAGGCAATCCTCCGACCTACGTCGCATGGATAAAGAAGCAAATATTTGGCACACGCGAGCGCGCTGAAATCGGCTGATCAAATATGTCGAGTCCCACCAAACTCTCATCAAACATCTAAAGCAAACGGGCCAGAGAAGACAATCTTTTCGCCGGTTAGAGTGAAGGCCGCAAAGTTTCAGACCAAAGTTTCGTTCCTCTACGTCCTCTGTTGACATTATCGGAAGATGTTGCTCGGAGAGAGAGCCGATTCATGACTAGAATCTCTGTTGACCTACGACTGGGCTCGAGAGATGACTTCCGTTCATCCCAACCTAGTATTCCACGACTATGGGGATAGCCATCGCAGGCACTTTGAACGACAACTTGCTAGGTGGATACTTGGTGGCTAAGCAGCCCACCATGGTCACTTCTTATCATGCAGCACCCGAGGCTCTGGACTATTCATTGAGAAAGACCTGCAAGGGGTTTTGGGTATAGCAGTTTTCGATTGATTTAAATGCCGAATCCTGAGATCTATCGCTCCGACCGAACAAATAACCACCCTCCGATAGGTCGAGTGGTTTTGATTCAAGTGGTTTCAGGCTTTCTGTTTCCTCCAAAAGGGATGCTTCTTGTGTCATTATCATAAAATGAATCACTCTGTATCTGGGCTACTCACGGTCATGGACTAGGTCTACGACCTACTCACCACTGCTGCCTTTTGGCTGCATGGGATCCTGTTCAAGCCTTGCAAGCCTCTATGGACTCTGTCGGGATAATCTTTTTGTATCTCGAATAACGTTACCAGCATACTCAATCATAGGCCATGTAGTGTTGGTTGCTGATAGTTCTCTATGATCTATACGCGCCCTCAATTGGTTCAAGATATTGGCCCCGCGGATAGGCGAGTAAATAAAATAGCAGTATGGAGGTACTCGCAGATAATACGGGCTGGTCCCTGAGGCATGATTTGTTGGCGTTCCCGTTGCCTCTGGGGCTTCCCGGCTTCCAGAAGCTCGTCTGTCAAGCAGCAGCTCCACCGTCGTCACCAAAGGGTCTTTTAGTTGGAAATCTAGTAGTTTCACTGGCTTCCCATTGCTCCTTCTCCGGCTTGTTACTGCTCGCTAGCGACAGAACAAGTAGTACGTCGTACACGGCTATCGCGCAATGCACTTCTTCCCAGACTGTTGTTTCTAGTCCAGACTTCACCGTCGATACCGTTCATATACCAATCTTTCTTTGATCGTTTAGTCCCTTCGTTGACATCAAGAGTCCGATATTTGCTGAATCTGCCTTGATACCGCACATCGACAATCTCCCCACGTAATTGCACCTCCCCATCCTCCCGCCCTCCACAGTATCTACGCCATCGGCCCTGAAACCCGCGGCTCCTTCGACGTACATTGCTTAGTCTTGAATGCCAAAAGAAGGGACAACTATACTCGCTACGAGAGAGGAGGAGCTACTTTGTTCGCGTGTGGTATCTGTCTTTTTGACCGGAGCGGCCCAGATAACCTATGCAACCTGCGCCATGGTACCGGGTATAGGATGAGAAGGACTTCATCACGAGCCAGAGGTGTTCTGTCCTGAACACGCGCTCAGCCACTCAAATATATTTTACACGCAAGAATGCGACGGCGGACACTGTCTCCCTATCATGGGAGGACAGCTACCCCTCCTTCGGCCGAGGTGTCGTTAATTCGCAGCTTTGACTCCCAGGTCAATCCGTCGCGTCCTGTCAGGCAATCTCCTTTGGCAACCTCTCAAATCCAAGGAATGCCCTTGGATCTGATCGAACGTCTACGAACATTTCCTCTGTTCCAAGCTGCCTCCGACACCTTCCTCGCCGACATTGGCCTCCTCCTCAAGCCTCAACTATACAGTGCCAATGACTATATTATCACAGAGGGTGAAGACGCGAAGGCAATGTACTGGCTCGTTAGAGGTGCGGTAGCTGTTACATCACGGGACGGCGAGAGCACATATGCTGAGCTGAAGCCTGGCGCGTTCTTCGGAGAGATCGGTATCTTCATGGAGCGACCCCGTACCGCCACCGTCGTAGCTCGGTCAAGATGTCTGGTCCTCATCTTAAAAAAGGAAGATCTGAAGACCATACTGCCCAAGTATCCGGACGTTGAGCGCGCGATCCGAGAAGAAGCCTTGGAAAGATTAACACAATTGGAAAAGAAGAAGGCACAGGTGGTTTTGGGCAGTGATGATGTTCCCTCGGACGAAAGAAGGGGGTCCAAACGCAGGGCTGCATTCCCTGAAGATGTATCGATGAATGACGGTGATGCGAACAAAAGAAGAAAATCTCCAAGCCCGGGTACCAATGAAGTCTCGACGGCGAGCGCTTTGGGCCACGGTCTTGTCAACATCCGAGCTACGTTAAAGGAGCTGCCGTTATTTGCATCTCTGCCGGCTGATATACTCCATTTCCTGGGACTCAGCGCGTCGCCGAGGAGTTTTGCACCCTTCACAGATATCGTCAAACAAGACACTAGGGGGCGAGAGGTTTACTTCATTGTCCGTGGAGAGGTGGAGGTGTTGGACGAGAAGAACCCGTCAAGCCCTAGGATGAACAAATCCAAAATCCCCAATGGCATACCTCCGACGCCTCGTGTAGTTGCACGTCTACGGCCCGGGCAATACTTTGGAGAAGTGGTCAGTCTATCTCTGGCAGATCGTCGGACAGCAACCGTTCGCTCGGTGACACAGGTCGAATGTTTAATGATCTCTGAAAACGTCTTGGCCGACTTTTGGGATCGATGCCCCCCCGAGATTGTTCGACAGATCGAGGAGACGGCAAAAGAGAGATTAAAGATCGCTTCCGACAATGATGTAGTCATGAACGAGGCAGATGCTGAGCCTAAGATACACCAGTTAGTCATTGGGGAAGATAAGGAGAGGATCATGAGAAAGGCGGCGCAGGCACCTCGAGTCACCTTCACAGATGCCGAAATATCCAGTCCGACAGACGAACCGGGGATCGTTGAACCTTCAGATCCAGATCCTTTCCTGAGCGAAGGTCTTGAAAAAGTCAAATCAAGATCGAGAAGGGGATCACTTGCTCCACCATCACCGGACGAATCGTCAAAAGAACAGAGACGCAGGTCGCCTAGAATCTCTCCAGTCACAACCACGACATCAAGTCCGTCTCCTCGAAGTTCCGTGTCTGGGACACCGTCTCCAACTTCTGAACAAAAGGTTTCAGCGTTCTCATTTTCTGAGGCTCCATCTCCCGGCAGCCGAGCGAAACCACGATCTGAGGTCCGTCCTGGTCTCAATTACGGCAAAATTCCTGACAAGTTATTACAGCAGATTTTCGGGTATCTCGAACTTCATGACCTGATGCGTCTTCGAACAGTGTGCCTCCACTGGCAGCATCTGCTACACACTTCAGAGAATTTATTGGCGTACCTGGACCTTGCGCGGTACAATCGGAGTATCACTAATGATGTTTTGATCACTCGGATTTGTCCCTTTGTGGGTCAGAGGCCACGTTTCATCGATCTCAGTAATTGCTTTCATGTCACGGACGAAGGATTCACCGCGCTGGTTAATGCGTGTGGCGCCAACGTACGCAGTTGGCGGATGAAAAGCGTCTGGGATGTCACTGCTCCAGCAATATTGGAGATGGCCAACAGAGCCCGCGGACTGAAAGAGGTGGACTTTAGTAATTGTCGCAAGGTCAGCGACACATTGCTGGCGAGGATTGTAGGCTGGGTGGTACCAAATCAGCCACATCTGTCCAACCATCGCAGTAAATTGAATTCTCAACGTGCCGTGCTTGATACGAAGATGAACACTGCTATTCAACAACCGGCTCCAGGTACGATCATTGGTTGCCCGGAACTATCCTCGATTACTCTGAGCTATTGCAAGCATATAACCGACCGGACAATGGCACATATTGCGACGCATGCAAGTCAGCGAATAGAGTCAATGGACTTGACACGATGTACAACGATTACCGATGCAGGATTCCAATTCTGGGGCAACGTCAAATTCGAACGATTGAAGAGGCTTTGTTTGGCGGACTGTACATATCTGGGTGATCAGAGTATTGTATGGTTGGTCAACGGGGCCGGCAGCAGGTTGGAACAGCTTGACCTGGTAAGTTTGCATATCCTGGACGGGATCTGGGACCTTTCCACTGATCAATTTTCTCTAGTCTTTCTGTTGCGCCTTGTCCGACACGGCCACAGAAGTCCTGGCTCTAGGTTGTCCAAACCTAACCCATCTCAATCTCTCATTTTGTGGAAGTGCCGTCTCGGATCCAAGTTTGAGGTCTATTGGCTTGCATTTGACATCTTTGCAGGAGCTCGCCGTCCGTGGATGCGTCCGTGTCACTGGCCTCGGGGTACAAAGTATAGTGGAAGGGTGTCAAAAATTGAAATTGCTTGATGTCAGTCAATGCAAGAATCTTCAACCCTGGCTCGTATCCGGCGGCGTTGAGCGTTGGCGAGCTGCAGGCAGAGATGTCCAATTTGTCGTTGTCAGTTCCGGAACGAAGTTGGTTCGGTGATGACTATCGCGAGGCGGCAGCGGGGACTGTTTCCTACGACTCTGTCATCATGAGTCCAGGCCAGACGAACGATTTCATGAATTCATGTACTACGTCCTCGTGTTGCATACCGGGGCGAAAGATGTTTGAGTACGAAGAGAAGGAGAAGCAAAACAGAGACAGTATAGAAGCCCAGGACGAAAGCATCAAGACGGTTCAAGTGTACCTTTTGTTTGGGATTGGGATTTGGACAGCATTTTTTCTTTTTTGATATATATGAGATCTGTTAACGATCAAGAGTGATACCCCCTCGATATTGAGTGAAATGAAGATTTTGAATGAGGTTGATAATGTTTTTTCCCCTGTTCACGAAAAATGTGTTTGTTATGGTGCCACGGAATATTTACTCTGCTGTATGGAGTATGTATGTATTTTTATGTTGAAGCCCTACGGAGTACAGAATATCAATACAGTGAAGTGAATATCGGTTGCAGTTATGCGAGATCTCATATGACGTCATTTTGATGAGAATTGATCTTTATTTTTTTTCTTCTTCTTTGCCATCGACTCAGTAGTTGCTATTACGAGCATCGAGCCGGGTAATCCGTTCTTATTCGTATCCTGGCCAGGTCTGTTGTTACGATAGGTTTGGATTACGATGGAGTCTTTGGGTTTTTTTTTTCATTTTTCGGCAGCCTCCGACAATTGGATTACAGTAAGCTTCTTTTTTTAGGAGAGCAGAAGCTTTTTCGAACCACTTTCTTATCATCGACTGCTAAAAAAGTCCAAGAAATGCATAATATACTCGATACGTGCTCTTCATCCTCTGCGAATCCCTTTTTTTCTCTTGATTGATATAGTTCCCCTTTTACTACCTCGAGATCTCTTGGAAAATAAGCAATTACTTCTCAGTGTCTACCGATATTTTGTCGCAAGTTATACCTTTGTTACAGTAAAGCAAAAACGGTACCCAAGGAGAGAGAACCCAGTAACAAAAAGTCGACTTATTATCATTGACAGTCCAAAAGAAAAATCAACGAGGAAGCAAATATTGATTTTGTCGACCTCACTTAATTCGAATCGAAAACTTCAAAATCCGACTCTTTTTGTTGTGTTGAAACGAAGGATATTTCGTTCCGATAGCCCAGCATGTGTAAAGGACCGATGCACGATTTCCTCAAGGCTCTGCCCAAGTGTGAGCATCATATGCATATCGAAGGTACGTCTCTTTTTTTTGAATCAATTCAGAGAGAGAACTTTGTCCTAGCAAAAAGGCATGCAACGGATTGGGTGCCTGTACTTATAAGAATCAACTCCCCCCTTCCCTCCCTTTTCCCTTCCCTACACACACACACACACACACCTTACATGGTGATTTGGACGTGTTTCTTTCACCCTCGCCCTACAAGAACACGCACCTCTCTGGTCATCCTGCACACACAAGACACAAAAAAACGTGGTTTCTTCGACTCGAACATTCTCACGGGAAACAAACCCCAGTGACAAAAACACATCATCATTGTCGACTGACTCGTTTTTTGGGGGGTGTTTTCCAAAACAGGCTCCTTGGAACCGGATCTACTCTTCACCTTGGCCAAACGTAACAACATCAAACTTCCGTCTGCGTCTGTGGACCCGTCTTTCGAGTCCGTCGAAACTCTTCTCTCCCGGTATCGACGATTCACGTCCCTCGACGATTTCCTGCACTATTATTTCATCGGCATGTCGGTCCTGGTGACCTCGTCCGACTTTGAGTCCCTCGCGTACGCCTACTTCTCGAGGGCCGCCGCGTCCGACGGCGTGGCGCACGCCGAGATCTTTTTCGACCCTCAGGCCCACACCTCGAGGGGGGTCGAGTACTCGACCGTCGTGCGTGGACTCGAGGCGGCGCGCGCGCGGGCCCTGGCCGACTTCGGCCTGACCTCGGAGCTCATCGTGTGCATCTTGAGGCACCTCCCCGCCGGGGACGGACGGGCGATGTACGAGACCTCGGCCCTCCCGGACCTCGAATCCGGAGTCGTCAGGGGTCTCGGGTTGAGCAGCACCGAACTGGGGAACCCCCCGGCCCTGTTCCGGGAGCCGTTCCTGGACGCCGAGCGGCGCGGGTTCCGCCGCACGGCCCACGCGGGGGAGGAGGCCGGCGTGTCCTACATGGCCGAGGCCCTGCGGGAGCTGCACGTCGAGAGGGTCGACCACGGCATCAAGCTGCTCGAGTCCCGCGACGACGTCATGGCCGAGTTTGTCCGCCGTCGGATCCTCGTCACCCTGTGCCCGCTCAGCAACGTCGAGTTGAGGTGCGTCGAGAGGGTCTCCGACCTGCCCGTCCGGGAGTACCTCGAGGCCGGTGTCAGGTTCAGCATCAACAGCGACGACCCGGCGTACTTTGGAGGGTACGTCCTGGACAATTACTGCGCCGTCCAGGACTCCTTCGACCTGACCAAGTCGGAATGGGAGACCATCGTCCGCAACGGCATCTCGGGGAGTTGGTGCGGTGAAGATCGAAAACAACAAATGATCGAGACCCTGGAAGAGGTCATGGTCAAGTTCGAGGATTGAGATCGAGAAGCAACACCCTATAACCATGAACACGACGAGAATCCACACCACCCTCCAGTCAACTTCGACTTCTTCAGACGTGGAAAACGACGACGACGCCAACCTCACTCACCTCACTCAACGTACTTGTACTTTTGGTCGGAATAGGTTACCCTTCTATGCTGCTAGCTGGTGTTTCTCTCGAAGTATGGCAATGTGTATACTTGTAAACATGACATGTACAAATAAATGATGATCACATACCGAATCATTACAGGACCCAAACGGTATCTACAATTCGCCCTACACTTGACACAGTGCAGGTCGCTTGCACTCTTTCTGTACATTGTGGCCATGAATTTAACAATAGTAATAATGATTTTCAAGGTCATCCATGGTGACGCTCATTCAACGATCAATGAATGCCATACTTATACACAACATTAACTCGTCGAGGAAGAAGAGGAAGAAGACTCGCTTACGTTCTTCTTGGTCTTTAAGTACTTTTCACCTAATCCCACACCCTTTGCTCGAGCATTCACAACAGCCTCAATGCATCGTCCAACCCCTTCCAAATCACCCATCAGACCGACATGTCCTCGATCACTCTCCACACGTCCTCCTTTGACACATCGATAACCTTCGGGTAATTGGGCAGCACTGGCGAGCACAACACCATCGCCCGCTGCAAAAGCTAGGTCGTCAAAAGCCTCGGTATACTTGATCGCCTCCTCATCCGGTACTCTGGCGCCATACACAGTTGGCACCGTCTTACCAAAAATGTAAGCATGTGGAGGGTATCGATTGCTTTCTTGATGAGTTGGATTAAATGCCAACGCTTTCTTGAAATCCAAAATCTCGGCAAGTGTACGGCTTAGGTACTCTTTTGCCTGGTCTTTAGGGATCGTACATGCTGTCGCCACACTAGGTCGATGCTGTGCTTGCTTCATTGTCGGACCGACAACCTCTTCTGGCCCTTCACCATCCGCCACATTGCCGACCTCTGCGGCTTTATCAGCTACTGCTGGACCGACCCCTTCCGCTTTTTGCACAGGTTCTGTGGTTTGAATACTTTGGCCTCCGAACCACGAAGATCGTTTGTTAGACGAGATACTACCGGAAATGGCACCAATAATGCTCTTTCTTCCATCCCCATTATTGTTAGTCCGATGTAAAGGTGGATTGATGCATGGGCTAAGGCGATACTCATCCCAAACTTCTGGATCAAAAAAGTTCAAATCATATCTCTTATTGGTGTGCTTTTGAATGAAACAACGTCCACTTTCAGGCAGAAGCGCAAAACTGGTTCTGAGGGTGAAATTGACTTGGGCAGTAAGCACTCTGGAACTGAGAAGCACATCATCGCCATTTCGAAGTGGGCCAAGGATGTTGACGCAGTGCTGAGGAACTCCAGCATAGACAACTCCAGCGAACAAATCCGGTCTTTGGTTAACGGCGTATCGAGTGATCAAACCTCCCAGACTGTGAGCGATGACTGTAGCTCCTCTCTTTTCCGGTGGAGTCTCTGGGTGGTTGCATTCTAAAGACTCGAGAAACTTGATCAGCCTCGCGGCCAGGAGATGAGGGCTCAGTCTCCAGTCATAGCCCCAATCATGTACTCTCAACTTGTTCTGACGAGTATTAGGACACTTGTGCAAATGTTTGAGTAGTCTTCGACAGATGTCGATGGGTCCAATATGTGAGAGAACGCCTGATGGTATGATAGTCTCTTCCATTCGTTCCTCGTCTTCTCTAGTCAAACCGACCTCCAAATCAACTCGACGAAGGTTTAATCCGACTTTGACTGGGACCCAAACCTGACGATGAGGTGGCTGAGCCGATCTTAGAATCGAGCCACGATAGCCTCCAAGTAGGACTACATCTCCTGTCGTCTTGGACAGAGCATGGGATAAGATTGGATGTGCTCGCTGTTGCGGAGTCCCGAGCTCTAAGCCTTTCTTGACATTTCGAATGCCTTTAATCGATGTGTATTGATGATTAGGGCCTCTGCTAGAGTCGCTCACATCATTCGTCCGGATATTCATCGAGCTATTCGCAGGAGAAATGCGACGCTTCGGCGATGGCCTAATCACTGGAAGCTTTGGGAGTCGCAAAGTGGAGTTTTGGAAGCTGTCTGTGATGGCTTTAAAACGAGAGTTGGCCATGTCAGTGACATTAGCAAAGGCACTTGTATCGTCGTAGGCAGAGACTCCTGAAACCCTCCTTCTTATGTACAGGGAGCCTTCGGAATTAGAACGAGCTCGACTCTTGGTTGACGCCGGACTGACAGGCGATAACAATGACTCGATATTGCCATCAAGGCCGATGTAAGGCCTGGTGATGATAGGATGGCTTTGAGAAGGCATGACCTGAATATCAGGGTTTGACATTTTGCGAGGTCTAGGACCGTCATTCAAGACAAACTTCGCTGCCGTCGATGTCTGTGGTGGAGTTCTTCGGTCGGGATTTGGGGTCGACGCTCCAGAGTGACCTGTGCTTCTGAAGCTGGCCGGGAAAAGAGACATAGAGCTAAAATTGAACGTTGGTGAAGGAAGATCAGGCATCAATTTCTTCAAACTAGACATAATTGCTGTTGGGCCGCTTGACGCCCGCCGTCTGCCTTCCTGACCCACGGCTTGGAGTAAGTTTCGTGTATATGATAGCCTGTTTGATTGTGGTATATGGACTTCGCGCCTCTCGACCGGTTGTGGAGCTGTCTTATGATGAGGTTGGTCAACCTTGGGAAGATCTATCTCTTGTTCTCGAGCCTGTGATAGTCCCGCCTGAGCAGTCCGTATGGAGGACTGCCCCGATTCGATGATCTCAGAAGGACCTTGGGTCATCGTGGATTGCCTCGTCCGCGACGGCTCCTCAACTCTCTCGTTTGACGATATGGTTTCGAAGTCCTGCTCAGGAGTGTCGTCTTGTGATTGCTCAAGTTCATCATTTTCGTTTGGCTCTTCTTTCAAGCTAACTATATTTTGGAAGTAGTCGAGAGAGAGGTTCATAGCTCGTGCCTTCTCGAATGCTGGCGTTTCGGGAGCTCTCATATGAGTCTGGACCCGACTTATGCTGACACCAATCATATCATCGTCGTACAGACCTTCGGTTTCTAACTTGGGCAAAACAGGCTGTTTGCCTGGCACAGAATCCTTATCGGGAGTCATGTCGAGTTCATCTGGCGTCGTTACCCAATCTTGACTCTGATCTTGAGCGAAAGGATGGTCTGCCATCCCAGGGGCACCGGCTGAATCCATCGTGAACTTCTGTGATCATGTAAATGGTAGTCCAGAGCGAGAACCGCTTTTAGCTCATGATTAGGAATCCGGGCGATTTGGTTGAAAATGATGCCTGATCAAGTCACCAAGCCAAGTCCGAAGCTGAGAACTGATGCTTATGGTTTTCGATCGATAGGATGCAGCTCGAGGGCGGATGGATGATTAAGGTGATAGGCCGGTGCTGACAGTGTCACACTGGCCCCGGTCAAGAAGGTTGTCGTATTGAAAAGAGTGTAGAGGTCAGGGTTCCAAGGAGAAATGTGATATCGGTCGCTCCCGTTTGTTTTGAGGCCACCATAACTGAGATACGGAGTATTGATGTTGGGATAAGCATACGAATAGGATAGGCGAGATGTTGACATGGGTCAGAGAGGGAAAAATACTGTACAGGAGATGATCTTGACTCCGGCATTGGCGGATGTCGCGACTAGTTGATAGGAAGGAAGCACAGCCCCAATCTGCCCGAGTAAGTTCCGCCGACGGAAGACGGCAGCTGCTACCCGTTTGTTAGTATTGTGGATTTTGCATCATTATTGTCGTCATGTGGAACACTGTACGAGTCTGATTGATCTGGGTATCCTTTGCAACCTGGGGGAATCCGGGGAAGCACAAGGAGTTGTTTTTAAGTAAGTCAACCATGAATTTGTGTCCCTTGTGTCTGGGACGCCTAAAACAGGGTCGAGGAAGCCAAGCTTTAATTATACCGTCATAAGTGGTTAGGCTTGTCGCTAATCTTGAAGCCAAGACAATAGCCTAAATCGGGACCTCATTGATTACAATTCTTCAACTTCAACATCTACCTGAGGTAACCATACATTTCTCTTCGCAAATTCAACCCTCGAACTCCTTACTAGGTAGGTATACATAGTATAGCTCGCTACAAGTCATGAAGCTAGTCAGTGGTTTTGAGTCGGTTTGTTCGAATGTGACCGACTTCAGGGTGACCAAACCGCCAATGATAATAGCTTCTCAAGGACCCAATCCAACCGGACTCGTTCGCATCGAGTCACTCTGCACTGACAAAACAGCCTTCCAAACGATTCATTACAAGCGCATGTGTTTCCTGAGGGTCTCTAGACATACATACATTACCCCCTGTCTCAGCTCGAAGCACAAATTCTTGAAACCCCCCAGGCCTAAATACAATGACCACTCAACCTCCTCGAGCAAGTATATGGCTCGGTCTAGCCCAGCTCATTCTACCCAGAGAGTACAATCGCATCGAAGAAATTCGTGCACTCAGGCAAGAACGCAAGAAGAAACAGAAAACCGAAGCGGAGACGAAAGCTGCCGCCGTCGACAACGAAACTTCAGGAGAGGAGGACGTCGCAGTGACTCCGGCTCAGGAATGATCCCGAGGAAAAAAGGCCGCCGACGCTTCCAATGCAGAGGCACAGTCAGAGACTACTGATTGGACAATATCTCAAGTCGACTTGGGGCAAGCTTGTACGGTACTACCGCAGCGATAAGGGGCCGGGCTATGAGGAGGACGACGAGCCAAAAAAAAAGGACAAAAAATTGTGCCGAAAAACAAAAAGTTAAGAGGTTCGAAACCCAGACTTGAGCTTCTCTTTTACTTATCCCGACTATGATCACACTGTCATCCCCTCGTACCTTGGTCAAGGGATGCCCCAGTCACATCATGGAAACCTGCCGACTCCCAGTTTTAATCCCACTAAAGCTGGTTTCCAAGGATAAGCCCAACCTCCGAACCATTGGTAACAAGGTCGCAGTTCGACGCGGTGAGTCTTTACTAGTTGGGCCATCAAGGCGATCAATGTTGAAGGAAAGTTCACTGGATTAAATATATATAGGGTACAATTACCGAGATATCCACTTGAGTGAATTCATGTCTAGTAGGTGCAAGTTGGGCAAAGTATCTCCCGTCACAAGGTCATATTAACCCATCACTACATTCCAACCCAGAAAAGAGAAAGGTTGAATTCAATATTCATATTGTGTCTTAGCGACTAATGGTTCCCCCTTAAGCATACACTTCTCTTGTAGTGTGGAATATGTCATGACGTCGAGTCACCCACAGCTAGGAGGACTGTGAGTTCCTCGTGTCAGCACCCTGGAGCTCAAAGGATTCGACTTGATTTGTACATGAATCCGGAGCACTTCATCCCGTCATAGGTGCTGGACAGGAAAAATGTGAGGTCTAATCAATATATTGACCATCAGACGCCTTTGGAAATCTCTGTTCATCTGGCACATGTAGTGACAGGTTTAAAGAGGCGTTTTCATTACAGTCGTGGAGTCTCACGTTGCCGTGATTTCGTCGCAATGCAATTACCCATCCGAAGGACATCAAATGGATGTCCTGCAGCTCATCTAAACGCGCGGTCGTTTTGCCTCAGGGCCTAAAGCCGCACGTTCCTCCCGTATTCGGATGGCCTCTGTCCCATCGTCGATCAGTGTCTCCTTGAACCAAGGATGCTTGAGAGCCTCCTTTGCAGTAATTCTTTGCTTGGGATCGTAGACGAAGATCTTCCTGAGTAAGTCGAGTAATTTCTTGTTGAAGGCAGTGTTTCCCGGGATAAACTCCTGCGAAAAGATCAGTATTGGTGAGTCAAATCATGGCATGGGAAGCTCACATGTAAGTGTTTCATGGCTTTCACATATTTCCGTGAAGCCCTTGATGTCTCTTGGTTGGGATATTCTAACTTTCCTCGGGTAAAAAACTTGGATGCAGAATTGGCATTGGCACCACGGCCTCCGGAGCAAACTTGCTTTACGATTTTAGGGTCGATCTTCCCGTTACAGACCACTTCCATCATGGCCAGATGCTCGAGATTATCGTGCGTCTGGAACAAGGCGTCTCCAGTAAAGAACTCGACAATGATGCACCCAATGCTCCAAATATCACAAGGAAAGCTCCACCCAAGCTGGAGGATGATTTCTGGCGCTCGGTAATGCCGCGTTGACACCACCGACGAATGGTATTCGTCATCAAAAGTGGCCGAGCCGAAATCTATTAGTCGAATCTCGCTGTCAAGGAGGACCCTCCGCTGTCTGGCTGTCCTAGAGATTGTGTGCGATGACGATGGAATCGTCCGGTTGTAGGTAAAGGTCTGGTACGCATTGTGGACGAGGAGGATGTTTTCTGGTTTCAGATCGGTGTGGATCAGATTCAAATCATGCAAGACTGCTGATGTTAGCATCGCCTCAATATACCAACATGATATCACTCACACGCCACGCTTGTAAAGAGTTGACGAGCAAAGCTTTGTATTTGAGAGCTGGGAAAGGGAACAAAGCCGTTCCCCTTCAAAAAGTCGAAGACGCTCTGTCCCAATAAATCGGTGACGATACAGATGTGATTCCGAAAGTCAAAGGAGTCTCGCAGATGTATGCATTTGTTCCTATTGGGTCTGTCGTTTAGAGCCAGTGTCGAGAGAACTCGCAGCTCAATTCGAGAAGCATCACGATACTTCTGGACAGATCTGATAATCTTGACAGCACACTTTGTCTTTTTCTTCTTGTCGAATGCTTCGACGACCTTTCCAAAGGTGCCTTGACCCAGAAGCTTGATGATATCATCTAGAAACACGTCAATATAGAGATCAAAGTCTTGATGAAAAGGCCTTACATCGATCAGTCAACGGCGTGTTAGAGGTAACGATATAGTGTCCATCGTCATCATCCACCTTTTGGTGTTTGTGCACAGTCTGCGAGCTTGTCAGCGAAATATTCAAAATTGAACAAGAAGAACGGAGACATACATCACGAATGACGGGAACATGGACGTCCGGAGCCTTTTTGGCGGGCTTGGGAGGGGGTATGTAGTCTGCGAATGCGTCTGTCGTCTCTTGCTGTCGTCTTTTGGCTTGGGCTCTCGTTTCTTTCTGTGGTTGTGCTCGTTTCCTTTTTTGCCCTGTCCTTACATCCTCGTAACTTGTGCTAGCAGGGTTGCTCCCGTACGACTCAAGTGAAGTAGGTGCTGTGATCGTTTGAAGGGATGTGGTTCGATCACCAGAATGGTAAGATGCTGCCGAAGACGTTGAGCCGCCAAATTTCGCTGGATGTGTTGAATATGTCGGGCTATCTGTGTATTCGATCTCATATCCCTGGTCGACCTTTCGTTTCCGAGTATTGGAGCCGTAAGCATCGGCCTGCTGCTGTTGGCCGGAGGCGTTGCCCGTGTGGTCAGGTTCTGGGCTGTCATCATCAATAACTATGATTTCTTTCGGAACACCGTTCTTGTAAAACTCATTCCAGTCAGGTTGTTTTCGGGGCTGGTTGTCTGGTAAAATCGAGGCAGCCTGGGAAGGTGCCATGGACGACACGTTCGAAGGTGGCCTGTACGAGGCGGGAGATGGTTGTGGTCGTGGATATTGTGCAGCTGCTGGATATGAGTGATACGAAGTCGTCAGCCGCTGCGGTGCTGGCAGTGTATTTGTTGCGGGGTATGGTAGCGCCGAGGGAGAATAAGGATTCTGATGAGAATAACCATAGTGAGCAGGGACGATAGTGGTTGCTATCGTAGAAGGAGTCGACATGGTTTTAGGGTCTTTCAGGTCTTGATGGTGGTGGAGACTGTCCGACAACGCAGGTGTTGTGGATTCGCGCCACAAAGCGCAGTTTGCAACATGCGAGTGCACACAAGAACAGTTTTCGCAAAAGTCGGCAAAGCTGGGATAGGAATATCGGATCTGGCAAGGCTGAAGGCGGCAGGGTTATCGATATAGGAGGAAAATCTCTGCCAGGAGCTGTGATCGGACAATAGTCGTTGAAGCGGCAGAGAGGTGAGGCAGTAAAATATGAATGAGGACCCGACAAGGAGGACGTGCCTCTTATTGGGTCAGGCACACGCTCATAATTTTGTAGGAGCGACAACTACAGAGACTGGGAAAGAACAAAGTCGACAGTGAAGTGGTGAGAAGAATCAAGCCGTGTCGTGGGCAAGATAGAGGAAGAGTTCAGATCGGTTGACGTCGAAGGGTGCGAAGTCTTGACGACGACGGAGGACGTGGTAACGAGTTAGCGAGTAGCGAGCACTGGGGCCGTGTGAGAGTTGACCAGCCTTGGGCGTAGGAGAAACCACTGCAGCCAAAGAAGGCCAAGGGAACCACAAGAGGCCCCAGAAGGCCGACCAAGCACCTAACTTAGCCGGAGCACTACTTATTGGGGCGCGAATCCAAGGCACGCCCAGGCGCTCCAGGCTCGCTGGGCATTTGTTTCTGCACCGCGACAGTCCTTGTGTCACCCGCGCGGATGTCTGTTTCTTCACCTTACGCACCCTTTTCTCCCCAGACCTTTTCTTAGACACGGAGATTTCTGTCAACTCCCTAAATCAGTATTCGTCTATCCTTGTTCCTACTTGATTGCAACCTCGACCACTTCAGGCCTCCTGAAGGAAGCAGTATCACGTCCACTTATTATTGCCGCAGTTGAAGGAACGGCATGCCACACCCACTTGGCCTGTTCAGAGACAGGGTCCGCTGCTTGCTCGAATCGCTGACGTGCTTCTCCGCGACAATTTCTGCGTCTCCATGCTACCAACTCATTGGTCTACGGAGTATGTGGTGGTGTTATGACGCCAGTGGCCAGTCAAACCACGGACTGAAGCCACCATTCAGGGATTCAGTTACAGATGTTGATGGACAAAGGCTTGAATTGAAAATCGCGATTCCCTGTATATAATTCCGGCATGCCTCATACCTACTCCCTACCTGAATCTACTGTAGAGGTACGGACTTTGCCAGAACAGCTCCCTCTCCTTACCAAGACTGTCCATTTGCATGCTCGGCAATTTGAGAGGAAAAATCGGAATGATGTGCTTCCGCCACTGTTGCAAGCCTCACCATTCGTCTTTCTCCCCAACTACGCAATCACGCCTTGAGCATGGAGATAAAAAGACCCCGGTTACCCGAATCGCGCGAAATCACCGACGCCAGGTCCGCTTTTCACTGATAAAAACAGGGATAGCCATGGGAAATACGGAGTAGGCTCTGGCTATCTCACGTTGTCAAGTCTACTCAGCCTGACGTGTATCAAAAAGGACTCGTCAAGATATCCATAACATGCGATGCCCTCCAGCCGTATTCAGAATGCCTCCCATGCAATGTCGCTAGCCCTAATTCCGTGCAAGACTTGCATATTTTTGCTGATTTGTTATCTTACAATAGGCCTGTCTTGCCACCCGACCATGATATATCACTAGCATCATGGTTAAAAATCTAGAAATGCATGTCAAGAATTATTTCTCTGGCAGGTTCAGACCTCGTAGATAAGATCTCGAATTCCGCCCATCCCCTTCCAGAACAAGAAACACGTCGCGAGCTTGTATCTTGGGATCCTTTTCCTCGTCCCATTGCCCAAGGTGTTTGTCTTTTGAAACCGCGCGAGCTCGATCAGGACCCGGAGTACCAGCAGTAGACGCAGTGGTGGAAAGCGCAGGTCTCCCAGGAGTCATCGCAGGGCTTGCCCCGCTGCCCTTCATCCAGTCGTAAGTTCTCTGCTTCTTGCTGCCGAAGCCCTTACCCAGGAGACCTGAGAAGGCCATCCGTGCTGCCTCGTTTGCAGACTTGTGCTGCTGTTGTTCGGAGAATTTGGACTCCGCCAACTTTCTCTCTTTCTTGGTCGTCTTCTTGTCTGACTCCAATGCTGCAACCGCCGCGGCCTCTGCTGCGGCATCCGCTGAAGGCGTTCCGACTGTTCCATCAGCGTTTGTGGCTGTTTTCCGCTTTAATCGTTTTGCCTTCCGAGCTTCTTCGATAGCTCGTTCAGCCTGCGAGCTCTTGTCGAAAACATCGACCAACCGGACAGGAACTGGTACTTGATCTGCTGAGAATGACGGCTCACTGTTGGCCTGTGAATGAGTGCCTAGAGATTGGTTAGCGATTGACAAGGGATAACGATATACAGTACTCACGCTTCAGGCTGGTGCTGCCCGCTGGACTTGACGCACCATCAAGGGCCTCATTCAGCGGTTTCGCCACAGTTGCTAGATCTTGCCATTCATCCGGAACCTTTCCCTTCGAATGTTGTTGTCTTTCTTGAGATATCCTTGCCGAGGCACTCACGACACCAGTCAACCGTGCTTTTGTCGCCAGACTAATGACCTTCATGATATCAGACAGTCGCTCTCCCTTCGCTCCTGTGTCAAGAATAGCTTGTCCCTTGTCAATAACACGAGACGAGCCCTCAAGACCATTCACCCGCACGGTTGGAGGCGGGGCATGCTTTTGGGTGTTAACCAAAACGCCCGATTGCGGATCGACCAGGTGTTCGGTGATGCTGATAGTGCGAATCTTGTCGTTCAAAGCACCACCGAGCAGGAACATGTCCCAGAGCGGATGTTGACTATGACGAGAAGCCTCCCAATCTGCCCGCTCTTCATCTCTTCGCTTCAACTCCTCCGGAGAAGGCTGATATGTTTGAGCTTGGTTCTCCGTCCCGGATTGTCCCTGTGCAGTGGCATTTCCCGAGCCCCCAGTTTCTCCTGCGTTTAATGAGTTTACATGATAATGGAATCCTGCCGCTTGCGGTTGGGATGCTGGGCGTGGCGTTGACGATCCATAATAGTCAGGCCTCACAAGCATTCTCGCCTCTTCTTCGATATTGATCCCCGTACCAGACAAAATGTCTTCGTAGTTTCGATCTTCCGCTTTGTCACTGGGCCTCTGCGGGGGTGGCATCAGCCCTTGTCTTTGATTCGGGGGTGCGGTTCCGTTCATCTGTACATTTCCACCAGGAGTCGTAGGTTGGCCGGATGGTGTTGGAGGATAACTTTGAGGAGAGAAGGGAGATTGGGTATCGGGCGAAAGACGAGGACGCTTCGCCGCTGGAGGTTGATTGTACGCTTGAGGTGAGAATTGTTGAGGCGACGGTGAAGAGTAATTCATGGCTAGTTGCGGAGACTGAGGACCGAGAGGACTGGGTCTGCCGTTGGTGCCCGCGTAATCGCGCTGGAAGGGACTCTGTGTCTGAGGTAAAGGAGGCCGCGCAGGTGGCGGTTGCGATTGAGCCATGATGTTCGAGATGGAATCGTGTTAGTCGACGCGCAAAGATGAATTCCACCAAGCCGTTTGTCTTGCTCTCTGCTTTCCGAGTGAGCGCAATTCCACGCTCAACCTCCGCCTTGAGCCTAGCATGCCTGTGTGGATAATGTCGACATCCGGGAGAAATGACCAAGGGACTCGATGTCGTATGCGCTGGTAAGATGGTAGACGGCTGTGATGTTGGGTGATGATGGGATGGATTTGCTACGATGCCCGCGCAGGCGACTACTCTTTGTTCAAGATGTGGCACGTGATCCGCCATGACACGCTAGTCAAAATTCCAGTCATTTGAATGTTGAACAATAGGCGCAGGTTGCACTGCACGACTTCCCACTTTCCTCACGTTCGCTTTCGCGTTCCTTCCCATCTAACAACAACGTCTATTGCGTTTCATGATTGCCAATATCAACATGACTGCATGCTCTGGATTCGTTCGCCATTACAAGAATTGAGATACTATCATCCGAACCTCGTCTCGTGTGCTTGCGAATCCGCCCATCTATCGTCTATCACTGAGAACAGCAGTGAAGCTGGTAGAATGGCGACCAAAAGAAAAGCCGCCGCAATGGCCTCTGCTGAAGACGATGAGCCGGTCGATCCCTCAGATGAACTCGTCTTTATTGGCCTGGGTGGGTGTCAAGAGGTTGGCCGATCATGTCATATTCTGCAGTACAAGGGAAAAACAGTCATGGTGAGATTCGATACAGCTCTACCTTAAATTCGTGCTGACAAGACTGTAGCTCGATGCTGGCATGCACACTGGCCGCGAGGGAATGTCCGCCATGCCTTATTTTGACGATTTTGATCTCAGCACTGTGGATATTCTGTTGATCAGCCAGTAGGTGACCATTTCCTTGCTTGTCATGGCGTTCGCTTCTTCTGGATGCAAAGGTATCTTGTGTTTTATGAGCATGGCCATTTGCCCTCAGTGATTGAATACACGGATTCGTGGCGATGGGATTCTGGGATGGACTCTCCCTTGGCCTGTATCTTTAGGCAGTTATCAATACAATATTGTTCAGCCACGATCCCTCTATCTTCCCGTTGATCTCTGTTTGCGCAATCCCTCGACATGCTACATGATCCTCCTGATAGATTTGCCACATTTTCTGCGATCCTTTGCTAACCGCCTGTGTTGTACAGTTTCCATCTCGACCATGCAGCTGCTCTTCCTTATGTGCTCGCAAAGACTGATTTTAAAGGCAGAGTCTTCATGACACATCCTACAAAAGCCATCTATAAGTGGCTCATTCAAGATTCAGTGCGAGTGAGCAATACTTCTTCAACATCGGATCAGAGAACTTCATTATATACCGAGGCCGATCATATATCAACACTTCCTCAGATTGAAACAATTGACTTTTACACCACACATACGGTATCTGGGGTCAGGATCACACCATATCCTGCTGGCCATGTCCTCGGAGCCGCAATGTTCTTGATTAATATTGCTGGACTCAATGTTTTCTTCACTGCCGATTATTCCAGGGAACAAGATCGCCATCTTGTTGCAGCTGAAGTGCCAAATACAGCCACCGTGGGCAAGATTGATGTCCTCATTACCGAATCCACCTTCGGTATATCAAGTGCTCCACCTCGTGCAGAAAGGGAGGCCGCCTTACTCAAGGCTATCTCCAACGTTCTCAACCGCGGGGGCAAGGTCTTAATGCCTGTATTCGCTCTCGGTCGGGCGCAAGAACTTTTGCTTATCTTAGAGGACTACTGGCAACGACATCCAGAGTTGCAAAAAATCCCAATTTATTACACGGGAAACACTGCACGAAAATGCATGGTTGTGTATCAAACATACATCAATGCGATGAATGATAATATCAAAAGGATATTCCGAGAACGTATGGCAGAAGCAGAAGCAGCCGGCAATGCCAAAGGAGTCAGCGCTGGTCCATGGGATTTCCGGTTTGTTCGAAGTCTGCGGAACCTGGATAGATTTGATGATGTGGGCGGATGCGTTATGCTAGCCTCACCAGGTATGCTCCAGTCAGGAATGTCTCGAATATTGCTAGAGCGGTGGGCTCCTGATCCAAGAAACGGGGTGGTCATGACTGGTTATAACGTCGAGGGCACCATGGCCAAGACAATCCTAGCGGAACCAGAAATGATCCCGGCCATCATGAGTGGTGGTCATACCGGTGTTGGACAGACGATGGGTCGAAAAACCAGAGACGAAGACGCAGCAGTGATGATCCCGCGGCGGTGTACAGTGGAGGAGTTCCAGTTCGCAGCACATGTTACTGGTGTGGAAAATGTTGAGTTCATTGAGCAAGTGGCTTCCCCTCATGTTATTTTGGTCCACGGCGAACGATATCAAGCAGCCAGGTTGAGATCAAGATTACTAGACCTCAATTCTCGAAGGCTGGCGAGCAACCCGAACGCTCAACCGACCAAGGTCTACAGCCCGGAGAATGGAGCCGAGATCAAGATACCGTTTCGAAAGGATAAAATGGCGAAGGTGGTCGGCAAACTTGCACAGATTCCACCTCCGAGTTCGACCACAGACGATTCTAGGGTCGTTAGTGGTGTCCTGGTCCAGAACGGCTTCAAACTGAGTCTGATGGCACCTGAAGATCTCCGAGAGTATGCTGGCCTTACAACTACGACCATATTGTGCCGACAACATATCACTCTTGCAGCAGCGGGTATTGAACTTATTCGATGGGCACTCGAGGGTACATTCGGTAGTATTGAGGAAGTAGGCGAAGTCAAGCCTGAAGTCAATGGTCACACGGACTCGCTCAGCAAGCAGAACGGTGTCAAGGACGAAGAAGAAGCCGACGAAGAGATCGTGACGGAGCCACAACGAACCTTCCTCATCATGGGTTGCGTAACCCTCAAATGGTCAGGGCGACAAAAAGAAATCGAGTTGGAGTGGGAAGGTAACACAATGAACGACGGGATCGCAGACGCCGTCATGGCTGTATTGATGACCGTGGAAAGCAGTCCCGCAGCGGTCAAGTACTCATCATCAAAAAGTGGACACAGCCACGTGCATGAGCACAATAGCTTCCCTCGTAACGAGCACAAGAGTATCAGCACAGAGGACAGATTCTCCCGACTCTGTATGTTTCTTGAAGAGCAATTCGGAGACAATGTCACACCAATCGAGAAACCCAAAGTCTCGTTTCAGCCGGACAGCAAACCAAACGATGCCCAGGCTGAGGATGAAACATCAGATGAAGACCTTGAAAGTGCTGAGATGGCAGACCGAGCAAGGCTTGCTGCTATGGGGATACCAGTTCCAGGGCTGGAAATTCGTGTCGACAAGAACGTGGCAAAGCTCTGGTTGGAAAACTTGGACGTTGAATGCGGCAATGCCGTGCTACGAGATCGGGTCAAGGCCGTCGTCGAAAGAGCCGTCGAGACTATTGCTCCATTGTGGGCGAACCAGACACAACATGCAAAGGCACAAACTGCTTGAAAGAAAGCCATCAGCATTAGACGATCGATTGTTTCCCAATCAACGCTGACCCACCGTGGACAATGATCCGTCATCGATTTGCCGAGCCCACAGGTACCAAAGTTGTTCCTTTGTGCTGTACGAGTACTCCGCAACTGTGCTCAACTCACTTCAACGGCAATATGAGTTACTCGTACTCCGTACCTCGTACTGAAGCGAATGACTCTCCACTCCACAGCTTAGACGTCTTTTTTTGCGGGGGAAAGCATGTCCACTAATAAGCTTACAATTGCCGGTTCGCCCAGACCTTGTCACTTCGGTCGTGCATGACAAGGAACTCGACGAGTCAGACCACAATCACACCTCGGTAGGGAGCACAAGAAGCGTAGTATACGAGATCTTAACAGAAGATCTTTACCCGAGAGGGGGCTTTTGTAGAACTACTACTACATATATATGTATGATGATATTATTCCTACCCTGATGCGTGTTAATAGTTGACCTATGTTATAACAATATCAGTACCTCATCTCTTTGCACATTATATTTCACATCTTGATTGTTTGGTGTGTGTGTGTGTGTGTTATTTTTTGTTTTTGTTCTGGCTGCTTGACAAGATTGTCTTCTATCTCTATCTTGGACCCTGCGAATCATACTATTCATCCACCAGGCTTGCAGGCAGAGGGCGCGTCCCCAGCCAAAGTAAGGAAAAACATGAAGACTGCCATTGTCACAGGTATGAACGAAACCGAATTCCCTCTGCACCATTGGTAGACTTGTAAAATTGACGTCTTGTCTGTTATCCCCAAAAAAGGTGGTTGTTCGGGAATCGGTTTGGGTCTAGTGAAACATTTACTGTCCAAACAACCCGACAAGGATGATGGTGATGATGATGATGAATGGCGAGTCGTCATCGCCGACCTACGACCGGAAGCGTACGAAAAGGTTTCTTCCGGACTGGATCCGGCGAGACACAAATTCATCGAGACCGACGTCGCGTCCTGGGACTCTCAACTGGCCATGGTCAAGGAAGCATTTTCTTGGTCAGGCGGCAAGATCGACTTCTTCGCCGCCAATGCAGGGACGGCAGAAGGGGAACACCTCCTGGACCCGACCAAGGACGACTTGGATTCCGACCCTACGATCCCGAGCATGAAATGCACACAGGTCAATCAAGTGGCGGTATTCTATGGGTTGAAAATGTTTGTGCATTACGCCAGGGTCACCAATCGAGCACTGAAGAAAGAAGCCGAGGCACGACAGAAGAATGGCGGTGGTGGTGGTGACGGTGGCGGTGGTGAGCAACAACGTCGACAAGCGGGAAAAGGGCAGTACAATCCAAAATTCGTCATCACCTCTTCATGTTCGGCACTCTACCCTTTTCCGATAGTGGTACAGTACGCCGCGACAAAGGCTTCGTTGGTTTCCCTGGTCCGGAGCGTGGGGAGGAACCTTTTGGCAAGTGACAACGTCGCCGTCAATTGTATCATGCCTGCTTACGTCGACACGGGTTTGACTCCGAACGAGGTCACGGAGTTGTGGCCCAGGGAATGGGTGACACCTTTGGGTACCATGAACAGGGCCTACGACGAATTGATCAGTGAGGATGGTACTGTCCAACAGGATGGTAAAAGTGACGGGAGAAACAACAAGATCAAGGCGGGTAAATGTGTCGAGTGCGTGGTCGATCGATTGTATTACCGAAGGGGAGTCGAGTTTGCAGACAAATCCCAGAAGTTCTTGATCGAAGAAAGTTTTCACCCTGACGGGGTCTGGATGAGAGGGATGATGGAGAGGGAGAGAAAGGGAGGTTATGCTGGATAGAAATGAAAAATGCAAAGACATTACATCCATTGATATCGTAGTCATTGTCTGCCTGTGTTATTACTCTGTAAATATTTCGTAGACTAGTATAAGCGGCCAACATCGACTCGGTCTCTATCGAAAGGCCGCTCTCACTGATATGATGATACACATCTCTTGTGTATGATCGGGCTTTTGTTGACTTGGCGAATTTATTCATGAAGGCCCATAGGCCGTATATGTAAATATATGTATGTATTATATCAGTTTGGGAGATGTTGGTAAGATTAACAGGGGATTGAGCCGAAGGCCTGAGTGCTCGGGCGAGTTCGGGAGAGATCACAAAAGGTGTTTTGGTGTGTGCTATATCAGAGATGACTACTCTGTGGTGGTGAGACCATTTTATTTCGTATCGTCTCGCATCCTGTCGGCTCGAACAGAAAAGTCCTTATCCATCAGCGTCTGGTCTATTCATCCATTCATTCTTATCCGCGGCGATTGATCTGATAGCAGTGCTTTTCGGACTTCGCCGTGAGTTATCCTTTTCAACAGATATACGGAGTACAGAAGACTAAGAATCGTTGGTTTTTCACCTGATAGTGAAAATTTCCAGGGCGTCCTCGGAGTTGTTGCAGTATTCTTTGTCTTTGTCTATTACATTCGAAAAGGTGACATGCCGAGAGCGCGTGCTTTTCACGGGACAATCGTCCACTGTCCAACGATCGGCGACACCAAGATCCTGGAAAACAGTCTGTTGGTAGTTTCGACCGATGGCCGAATCAGTCACCTCGAACATGACATTCCACGAAGCGACGTCGAGGAGACTCTCTCGCGACTGCAACTTCCAGGACAAGAACAACCGCGGATGGTCAAATACCTCGACCGCGCCGACTTCTTGATCCCCGGTTTCGTCGACACGCACAACCACGCACCCCAATGGGGTCAACGCGGGCTGGGTGGTGGCCTGCACATCCTCAACTGGTTGGACGAGATCACTTTTCCGAACGAGGCGAAATTCCGGGACGCCGAACACGCGCGCAAAATCTACTCGTCTTGTGTCGACGGGTTCATCAGGCAAGGGGTCACGACGTGTTCGTACTACGCCTCTCTGCATGGAGAAGCCACCACGATCCTGGCGGACGTGTGTCATGCCAAAGGCCAACGGGCCCTGATCGGGAAGTGTAACATGGACCGGAACGCGCCCGACTACTACAGGGACAAAGACGCTACGGAGTCTCTGCAGGTCACGAGGCAAGTCATCGACCACGTCCGCGCGCTCGACCCGTCGAGTGATGCTCTGATAAAACCTATACTCACGCCGCGGTTCGCGATATCGTGCGACGACGAGCTACTCGCGGGTCTCGGGTCTCTGGCCAAAGAGCACCCCGATCTACCCATCCAGACGCACTTCAACGAGGCCCAGCAGGAGATCGACGCGACGCTGGGGCTGTTTCCAGACTTCAAAAACGAGGCCGACCTCTACGACCATTTCGGGTTGCTGACGGACCGCAGCATCCTGGCGCACTGCACCATCATGACGGACTATGAAATGGACAAGTTGCAGCAAAAGCACAGCGGGGTGGCTCATTGTCCCATCGCCAACACCACGGTGGGAGGCGGGTTCATGGCCGCGCCCATCGGGAGATTCCTCGAGAAGGGCATCAAGGTCGGCCTGGGCACTGATAGCGGTGGAGGGTTCTCGTCGAGCATCCTTGACGCCATGCGACAGGCCGTCATCGTTTCGAACGCCCGGCAAGCCATAAACGGGGAGCCGGCACTGTCGATCTGGCAGTGTTTCTCCCTGGCCACGCTGGGCGGGGCAAGAGTGTGTAGCCTGGACGACAAGATTGGGAATCTCCAGGTCGGCAAAGACTTTGACGCCCTTGTGATTCGAAGTGACGTCGACGGGGTCATGACCATGGTTCAGGAAGATGATACTCTGGCGATGGTGTTTGAAAAGTTCTTGATATCCGGAGATGACCGCAACATTGATGAGGTTTACGTCAAGGGACGGCAGCTGAAAGGTATGAATAGTTAGCTGGGTGACTATGTGAAGTGGTATGAGACTATGGTACGAGTTACTTGTATGATGGGATAAGAGTACTACTATAAGAGGACTCAGTACCATTAAAGAAAGAAAAGAATTGATGACTCAGGGCTCAGCTAAGGACTTTAGTCATAGTCAGCGTCTTCTTCGCTGTCTCCGTTAAAGAATGATGGGGATTTTAGTCAAATCCTGCAGATGGATACGGGGTAATCGACTGGCAGATGCGCCTATTACTGGATCTGGAACTGGGGATCTGTAATCGACAGTACGTGATACTTTTTTCCCTATCACTTGGTTTTTATTATATTGCATACTTGAGGGACTTGTAAAGAGTATTTGTACCTTGTAGAGATGTCTGCCATGAAAGGGGATTTACGTAAATACTTTTACTCTAGAAACATTCGCAGTCCCTTTTACTCTGTGCCCCGTACAGTATTCGGACTCCCGTGTTATCACGAATAAACCTCGGCTTCTTCTTTCCACTGACTCGTCAATCTCGTTTCGCCCTGTTGCCCACAGTTGTTTCTTTTTGCTCACTACTGTACTACTACCTAGGTATTCTCCTTCGTATACCGTATCTCGTATAGTCATGGTCAAGGTTGAAATCGTGTCAGCAACAATAATACGAGGAATATATAACGAGAAGTACTCCGTACATACAGACAGAACATGTGGTAAGATCCACCTGGGGTCCGGCATAATTTACATACAATAGTTCGATTAGGCGCCGTTGATCTACAGCTTTGTCTTACGTACAGCTCAGAGGATCTAACCGCGCTTCCCTCGTATCTAGCTAGACTTACTTGGTGTGGTCTCAGTTGCGAACAACTCGTTTCTACCCGTCAAATAATGTGTGACGACGATGATTTTTGTTGTTGTTATTGATACGAATAAGTAGTCCGTCCATCCTTTTCCACATCTCTATTCACCACAGAAACCCGTACCACTGTAAATTGAACAAACCATGGTTTCTCCTTGCACTGCTGTGTCGGGAACTACCTAGAGAGTCCCTTGGTGTAGAAGGTAGCCAGAAATATTCAATCTACAGTAACACCAAAGTCTTGGTGACTCCTCTTTCTCACTCCTTACGAACTCCTCGACTTCCTCCTCCCACGATTCACACCACAAAAGTCCCGACACGCGCCCAACATGTCGCAAATGATCAACTCCTCGAGCCTGGCCTCTCTCCCTTCTCCTCTCTTCCAAGCACCCGCAACAGAAGTCTTTACAGAGACCCAATTGGAGACACTGTTTTCCATCTTGGAGGTCACAGTGCCTTCGATAGTAGCTGGATCCAACGTATCGAAGGAGCAGCTAGAAAGCGCCGTCTCTCGAATCAAGCCGTACCTCCCCGAGGGCGCCTCCGACAAGCTTGCTCGAGCGTACCTGTCCGAGGATATCGTCGCTTCCCCGGCTTTTCGAGAGACAGTGATCCGCAAGTTCAAGTTGTACATCCCGCCGACCGACGCCCAAGGCCTGGCCTTCATCTTCTCAGCTCTCAACACCACCATCGGCTCATACCTCCTCACGGGATACTCATCCCCCATTCAGACACAAGATCTGGCCACTCGAACACGCATCGTCAATGGCTGGTCCACCGCTCGACTGCCCTTGCTCCGTGCCATCTACCGCTCCATGGATGGCCTCGCGAGAATGGCCTGGTCTACCACGTCACCCACTCTCCCGCAGGTAATCGACTTTCCCTCCGTCCCCAGACACATTGAACGCAACGACAGTTATGATTTCAAATTCCACGACTTCACATCCCCGGCCACGCCGACTCACCTCTCGACAGATGTCGTCATCGTCGGCTCCGGCTGCGGCGCAGGCGTAGTTGCCTCGCACCTTTCTCGGGCAGGCTTGAAATGTCTCATTCTCGAAAAGGGTTACCATTTCCCCTCGTCTCACTTCCCCATGAGCGCCCCCGAAGCAGGAGAACATTTGATGGAAAATGGTGGCATGATAGCAGCCGACGACAATAACATCGTGGTTCTCGCCGGCAGCACTCTCGGAGGAGGTGGCACGGTAAACTGGTCCGCGAGCCTGCAACCCCAGTACGCCGTGCGCAAAGAATGGTCCGACGGTGGCCTCCCGCACTTCCTCTCGTCCGAATTCCAAGACTGTCTCGATACCGTGTGTGGTCGCATGGGCGTGTCGAGCACGACTGACCCCGCTACCCTCGCCAACATAGAGCACAACGTCGCAAACAAGACCCTTCTCGAAGGCGCCCGCCGTCTCGGCATGGCCGTCGAGATTGTCCCGCAAAACACTGCCGCCAAAAAGCACAATTGCGGATACTGCTCGTACGGGTGCCCCAGTACGACCAAGCAAGGCCCCGCGAACTGCTGGCTTCCTGACGCGGGCGTGCACGGAGCCGAGTTCATCGAAGGTGCCTTTGCCGAAGAGATCATATTCTCACAGAAAGGCAATAGAAAGGTGGCGACGGGCGTCAAGGTGCTCTGGACGTCCCGCGACCGTCAGACGAAGCGGACCCTGCACGTCTCCGCGGAGCGTGTCGTTCTCGCCGCGGGGACTCTGAACTCCCCCCTCGTCCTCCTGAGGTCTGGACTCAAGAATCCAAACATCGGCGCGAACCTCCACCTGCACCCGACAGGCCAAGTGTGGTCGGTGTGGCCGGAAAGGACGAACCCTTGGGAGGGCAGCATCCTCACGGTCGCCGTCACGGAGCACCAGAACCAGGACGGTGCGAACCACGGGCCCAAGCTCGAAACCATCTTCAGCACCCCGGCGTTTGGACTCTTGGTTCTCCCGTCCCGCGTCCCGGCCGGTGGGGCCTCCGACGACGTTTTCGACCCGGCACTCGAGTTCAGGGTCAACGCGGCCAAGTACGGCTTCTCCACGGGCTTCATCTCCATCACGAGGGACGCGGACCCGGGGCGCGTGTACATCGACCCCAAGGACCCGGAGCGGAAGAGGGCCAGGATCACGTACGTGCCCAGCGCGCGGGACAGGGGCCATGTCCTCGAGGGTCAGATCGCCGCCGCGAGGGTGTGTTTCGTCATGGGCGCGGTGGAGATCGACACGGGGCACGCCCGGGTGCCGAGATGGGTGAGGCCGTCGTCGTCGTCACGGCCAGGGAAGAAAGAGGACGAGGACGAGAGGTCGTTTACGGAGTGGCTCGGCGTCGTCCGCACGACCGGCCTCACCGTGCCGGACCCGTACATGCTCGGGTCCGCCCACCAGATGGGCACGTGCCGCATGAGTCCGTCGCCCCAGACCGGCGTGGTGGACGCGCACGGCAAGGTCTGGGGCGTGGACGGTGGCTTGTACGTCGCCGACGCCAGCGTGTTCCCCTCGGCGAGCGGCGTGAACCCCATGATCACCAACATGGGCATCGCGGAGTACATCTCGAGGGGGATCGTGAGGGAAACGGGCAAGACGACGGCGACGACGACCGGACGGGGGTCGAAATTGTGAGATCACTAATCCGATGTGGCACGAACCGACAACGGAGAATTTTTGGGAAATGTCGTCGAGTGTTTGTCGGTGAGTACTCTGCAATAATACACACAAAGTACGAATTCAATGATACAAAAACCCAATTGTCACCGGCCAAACAAGTCCTAAAAGTTATCAAGATACAAAAAATGGGACGTGGCTTGGACAACCACTATACCATCCATCAGACTCTTTTTTTATCCAAATGTCAATCATCATGGTCATTTTGTTCATTTCGTAAAAAGGTATCTTGGGTAAAGGTAGCCCCCTGTCCGAGGTACCCAAGTGGTCTCTGTAGGTACCTTTGGAGGGCAAGGAGGTTGTAACACGGACATACCCAAAACCAGAAAAAAAAACACCAAGAACACCCCCCAAGAGAAAAAGTAAAAGTAGAGCCCATCCAAGATAAGGTAGCACCTCCCAGGTCCCGATGAGCGTCGACGTGACCGCGCGCGCCCGCCCCTTGGAGCCCGCCCTTTGGAAAAGAGCAGTCCCGCTGTCACACCTGCGACGGACCCCTTCATCGAGACATGTGGTCACGGTCTCTCATCTCAAAAACCACCCCCTCCCCCCCTCAACCCACATCACCTCCCGCCGGTCTTCCTCGCCACACCGATCCTCGTCCGACTCACCTTGTCGGCGAACTTGAGGCTGGTGATGGTCTCCGAGAGGCACTTCTTCTCCGGCGCCACCATGACAAACATCAACGTCTTGCTGTTGCCTCCCAGGCTGAATTGTAAGAGGTAGGTCAGTTTGCTGTTCCGGTAAGGGATGTGTCCGCCGCCGGACCCGGTCTGTTGCTCTCGCTGTTGTTGACTCTGCTGTTGCTGGCCCAAGGCACCAATGACGTCCCCCAGGCAAGACAACGACTTGTTGATGTTTTGGGTCTCCTTGAGTCTGGCCCCTTCGACCTGTGAGTGGGTGAGTCGTTCCGAACCCGCCAGGTCCACCAGGTTGAGCGTCCCCTTGCACCGTTTACCGGTGATGGAATTGTGGCCGGTCAACTTGAGGATGAAAACCGAGTGACTTCGGCTGCTCCGTTCGTTGGCCTTTGTCGCCGCCACGGATCTTCGAGACATTGCTTGCGCCAGGATACCCTCGACCTGTTCTTGACTGTCGAGGGCGAGCGTCGTCACGTCGGTGATGGTCGTTTCACACGTTGCCATGTCGTGGCGGATCTCGTGTCTTTTGGTGTTGTGCTCACCGTCCTTGCCCAAAAGATCTCGCAACTCCTCGTTGTATACTTCGACAAAGCTGCCTTCCATCGTGTAGCTCCATCCCCTGCCCTCTAGCTCTTTGCTCGTGCTATAAATCTGCCGCAGAGCCTGTGGGATCATACCGTCTTCGGACGACATTGTAAAAGTCTTGCCGGATCCAGTCTGTCCGTACGCGAAAATACAGACATTATAACCATCAAGAGCCGATTGGATGAGTTGGCTGATCTCTTCAAAGATCTCGGCATTGTTGCTCGACGGCGCAAAGACTCGGTCGAAAGAGAATTGATGTGTTTTCGTCGTGACCTTGCCCAAGCTGTTGGTTTCTTCTGGTCCCTTGACCTCGATATCTTTCGGGTCATCGTCCGACTCGGGAAAGTTGAACTTGGCCGTCCCTTCAGCTTCGTCTCCATTGGATGGTCGTACACGACAAAACACTCGAATATTGCCTTTGAGTTCCTGAACTTGGTTGTGTAGCTTCCGTCGAAGCATTTCCTCCTTTCGCAACTTTTCTTCGCATTCGGTCGCTTTTTCTAGAGCCGCATTCATTCTCTTCTCCATCATGGCGTATGCTTCCGACTGAGATTTGCTATCCGATTCAAGGTAATCGATCTTGGCTTGTAGTGCTTGTCGAGCATTCTCCATGGTCGTCGCGTTGGCTCCGGCAGAGCTCAAATTCTGCCGTAGGTCGTCATTGAGTGTCTTCTCTCGAGCAAGATCGGCCTTCAACCTCTCAATTTCAGATCCGATATTTCTGATCTCTTGCTCTTTGGCCTCAAGGTCCATTTGATGTCTCTGCTTTTCCAACGCCCCTTGAGTGGAGACTTGGCTTATTGCTTGGAGTCGTTGTGTCCGTTCATCTTCAAGCTCATCTTCCAGTCTCTTTTTCAACTCTCGCAACTCATCCCGATGATCCGATTTTAGTCGCTCCATGTCTTGACGATGTGCTTGACGGATATTTTCGCACTCGATTCGATGCTCACGCTTGACGTCCTCGATTTCTTCCTCGTTGTCGCGCTGGGCCTCGGTCTTCGCTCGTTCGGCGGTCTCGAGTCGGAATTTCGTCGTTTCCAACTCGCACCTAAGCGATATCACGTTTTCTGTGAGTTCTTTTCGCTCCTGTTCTAGGCCGGCAAGGGTGGACTTGTAAGCATGGTTGGCCTCCTTAGCCTCCACGTTGTCTTCCATCGCTTGCTTGTAGTGCTTGCACACGTCTTCGTACATTCTTTCCATATTGCTGTATTGTTCTTCGGGATCCCAGGCTTCTAGATCAGAATACTTGGTCAGCTTTTGTCCTGTTTTGTTTTTACGAGGAGACGGCGTGCTCTTGGGAAACGGCGGAGGACTGAACACTGATTTCCCCAGAGCCTTGGGCACTCTCGGGGATGGCCTAGGGACTTTGGAAGGGCTTCCCGAACGCGCCTTCGACTTGGGAGTCTCGGGAAACAAAGACAATTCCGCCATCTGAGCGGTGAGTGAAAAGGCTCTCGAGTTCTCTCGTCGAAGTACCTGGGGATGGTTCGATGATCCTGTGCATCTCATGGGGGAGATGTTCCGTGCGTCTCTCTTGGGCATATACACGGCAGTCCTCGAGGGGTTCATGGGGGCACGGGGAGTGAAGTTTAATTGGGGATCGGAAAAATCAATCATACGTTTATTGTTATTGGGTCCTTCTTGGTTTTCAGCTCGGGTATCCATCGACGTCGTTGGCCTTGGGTTGGCCATTCTCGTCCCTCGCTCTTTCGCCAGTGATGATTTGGGTCGGGCGAGACTCGATACCGGTCGTAGACCCGATGGTCGGATGCCGCTGCCTACACTCATCGAGAATGATGAAGACGTTGTAGAGTTGGATGTGTTTCTCGATTGATTCGAATTGCTCCGGTAAGATTGGGAAAAAGAAGACGGATTGCTGCGGCCATGAACTGTAGACATGACTGCAGAGCTCAGAGCCGCATTCGATCGAGGTGCAGCCGGTGGTATTCTCGGAGGCTCGCCCGCGCGTTCAACAAGAGTCTTGCGTTTCGCGGCCGGTTCGGGCACTGTGGATGTTTATCAGCATCTATCTCCCCGTCTCTTTCTCTTCTGGTCTAGGACAAACAGTTGGATCCCTGGCGCTTGTGGCTAGCGAAGCCAGGAGGAGGCATGGCACTTCGAGAGTTGCTTGCCGATGAGCTCAGCTCTGATAAGTGCTTCTGAGGTGATGGGAGCCCATGGCGAGCAGGCTGTGGGAGTTGAGAAACAAACTGCGATTCCATTATTGTCAACAAATGCAAGTTTTGACCCTGGGGTTGCGCTCATACGTTCTCGGTGTCAGCCATTATGATACCTGTAATCCAGTGCTTCAATCAACAAAGTCACCAAAATAACATCAAACAGCCATCGCTTTTTCACTGTATCATTTAGATATGGGTGAATATGTTGCCGCCATGGAGTTGATTGTCCCCGGGATTCGTTGATATGGAACTAGTACCGAAGGGGTTAGAAGTAAACATCGCCTCCTACCCAATCACGGTCCAACGCGGGCTCGAGAAGCGAGAACAGCCACCACGACAGATAATTGTCACGATACAAATCAATCTTGAACCATGATTGCTATTTATTGGAACGCTTGCAGTCGGTTAAAATGTTGACGTTCGCACCTCATCCTCCGTTTATAGCACTCTACTCTCTTCCACACCTTTCAAAATTACAAAGTGACCGGTGACATCTTCCACTTGTAACGCTTCGTCTTTTTTCATCTTGACTCGTCGTGTGAGACACACTTGTTGAATTGGGATCATCTTGAGACTCTGGCTTCTGATTGTGTGTCATTCACTATCTAGATCAACAGATATCGTCATGCTTGTGTGAAAAGTCGCAATCGTTTACCAATCTGCAATGTTTTTCCTTTGTGGATCCTGGACGCTTTTCCCGGCACCTTCAGTGATTACTTCGTCCAACACCTTGACCAACCCCTTCACCTCCTCGGCTGTGTTGTAATGGAGCAGAGAACACCTAATCACTCCATCGTCCGCATCTGGTATGCCCAATACCTTCTCACACAACCTCTTGCTGTAGAAGTGGCCATTTCGACACCCAAAGTCCGACCGCGCCTCTATCGCATCAATGATGCCGATCGAACTTTGGCCCTTGACTCTGAAACTGATCACCGGGACTCGAAGTTTCCTGTCCGACGAAGGTTCTCCGTATATTTTGATCGTATCCGGCTTGGACCTCAGATATGACAACAGTATTTCTTGGATTTCCTGCTCCTGCCGGGAAACTGCGTCCCAGCCGACTTTGTCGATATACTCGGCGACCTGTGGTATGGCCTGTGTGCACTCATAACTTCCGGCCGCGAGACCGAGCATTTCTTCCAGCGTGTCCCTCGATTTGAAATAGTGTCCCAGGCTCTGCAATTCGTTCTTGGCCTTGTCGCTAACGTACAACATCGAGACGTGCGGCCCATACACCTTGTACCATGAGAATGAGTAGAAATCAACACCGAAGGCCTTAACATCGACCGGCGCATGTGGAGCATAGGCCACCGCGTCGACGCAAAACAACGTGTTTGGGTTGGTCTCCCGGATGACCCTGGAGAGACTCGCAACGTCTGTAACCGTGCCCAAGATGTTCGAGGTGTGCGTGCAGCAGACCAAGCGTGTCTTGGGAGTCAGAAGCGCCTTGAGATCATCCGGCTCCAACCTCGGGTTTGAATTGGTGTTTTTGGTTGGGATCCACCACTTGACCGTCAGTCCCTTCCATTCCGCCAGTTGGACCCAGGGTGCCAGGTTTGCCTCGTGGTCGAGATTCGACAGGACGATCTCCGAGCCAGGCTCGATCTTGAGAGCTATGGACAGGTTTCGAAACAACTGTGTCGTTGACGGGCCAAAGACGACCTCGTTGGGAGACGCGTTGATATACTTTGCACCTGCCAGGTAACCTTGGTTGAATTTGCTTGTCGAGGTTTGAGATACAGGATAAGATGCTCCCAGCTGGACATTGGTCGAAGAAAGGTATGTCGAGATGGAATCTATGACCGTCTTGAGGACCTGTGACCCTCCGGCATTGTCCATAAAGACCTGCTTTTGAGCCAAGGCAGGGAATTGTGCCCTGGTGGCCTGTAAATCGAGTGTTGAAGGCATGATATTGTCAGTGATGCTCAACTGGTCTTTCGTATAACTGTTCAATACTTCGAAGATTTTCCTGTCTTTAGAGTACAAGTTCTGAGTCTTGCCAGAACAATTCTGGAAGAATTGAAGTAGTCCAGAAATAACTCACAAGCTGAATGAGGAAGGTGGACAATCCCGCCCTTTGGCTACATACAATGCAATGATGAGGAGAAGATGTTGGGCATCGTCGGCGAAGGCCGCAAACAGCCCCATGAAATCATCTTCTTCTCCAGTCGTTTGGACCTCCCAGAAACGTCGGCAAACCTCATCGGGCAACTTCGTCGGGCAACCTCATCGTCGCCCCTAGAGGCTGGGAAAGATGGAAATAAATAGAAAGGCCACTCAAACATTTATCCCCACTAGAGCATACCGACCTAAGGTATCAACTGACATCTGCCGACAACCACCTCTGGCTGATGCTTCTCCTGATTCTCGCTCGCTTGGAACCGCGGGTCTCCTCGTCCCAGCCCGATGGTTCTCGGACCGCGGAACATTCATGTTCGATAGCTACGCAAGGGCACTGTAGAGGTTCTGTCTCATCGGCAACGGGATAGTAGGTCTGGATGACATGTATTTCCCTTTCATGGAGCATTGCGACTACTATTGATACTTCCTTGCGATCAACGTAGGCCCTCCATCAAATAGTCTACTAACGTCTAGCATGCAGGGATCGATCACCTGCTAGCATCCACATCTATGGTCTGCGCCAACATACAAATCTTCATCTCTCCATTGCAATTGCTAAGGCTGGAGGACCAGTCACACGGATCAAATGATGTACCTGAAGGTTCTAGATCCCTCAATGAGGAGCTTGCCCTGATCGGCCTTGCGATTCATCCACCGCATCCAGATGATGGTCAGGGCAACCAGGATAAGCGTGAAAAGAACCATGGCACCCACGGCAACCACACCAGGGACGTATCTTGGAGAATCCTGAAAACGGCATCTGGTATCAGTCCAAAGATTCAGTTGGAGGGTGAAGAAAAAAAGTGTTTCGGCGGCGGTGCCGCACGGTCTTACCTGTTGCCGGAACACCAAGGCAGAATAGATGCCACCGATGGCAGAAATACCAGTCACCCATGCAGAATAAACATTCCTTTCTGCATCTGTCCTGATGTTGTTCATTCCCCAGGCGTTTGCAGAGATCAGCATCGCACTGCATCCAGCCTGACCCAGAAAGGAACCAGCAAAACGAGTTGGGCCCGATGACGGGAATGCTATCATGCAAAGACCGACGATGGTGATGGTGCAATGCCCAAGAACGAAGTATCCTCGCAAACGAATCTTGTCTGAAGCCCAGGACAAGCCAAAGGCGTACATCGTGGCGAAGGCCGCCGGAGGTGCCGTGAGAATCAGGGACAGCTGCATCGAGTATCCAAGAGATTTTCGGAAGATGATGGGCAGGAATAGGAGGAAGCTGTACGACCCAGCTGCGCCAGCTAGGGCAAGGATTGCACTGAGACTCAATTAGCTTTCTTCTTATTCTGTGCCCAGCACGAGTCGGATGTAACCCACAATGCCCACATGTGTGGCCTTTTCAGAATCGACTTGATAACCTTCCAGGTGACCTTACTTTCTTCAAAGTCTCCACGGTCCTTTAGCAGGCTCTGCTTGACTACATCCTTCTCTTCGGTGCTCAACCATTTGTTCTTTTCGACATTGTAGGGCATATCTGGTATGACAAACCATGCAAGGACTCCAAATCCGATGGTAAGTGCCCCTTCTACGATGAAAATCCACTTCCATCCATCGCGCTCGGGATTGTGGGCAATTTGAGTCAAGCCGTACGCGAGGATGTTACCGAAGGATGAGATCATTTGCCCAATCAAGTAGTAACCGGCCGCTCTGCGTAAGTCGCCAGAGTTAGCCCATGGGATCACGGTGCCGTCTGATCTGGCATATTGTCGACATACCTCTTCTGATAGTCGTACTTTCGATACCAAGAAGACAGCAAGTATATTGCACCAGGAAAGAGGCCCTAGCAATGTCAGCACTGCCTGGAGTATCAATTCAACCGGCTCTTTGCCGGCCATGTTCATTGACTGCACGAACCGCTTCCACACAACCCAACACGACTCTCAACACTGAGAGAACTCTCCAATCTCTGACGAAGCCTACACATAACGTGACGATTCCCCAAGTAACGCACAGGGCAGACAGCCAGTTGGCAGGGCCAACTCTCTGCAGAGCGAGGTTTGACGGGAGCATCCAGATGACATAGCCGACGTAGAAAACCAAGACTGGAAAAGGGAAGTCAGTAGCTTTTCTATACATCCTCTGCGACTTTGACGCTAGATCCAATTTACTCACTGGCAATGGAAGACCTGTTGGACACTTCCAGATCCGTCGCCTCGTCCAGCCCAGCAACACGTGCACCTCCAAAGTTGTTTCGGTCGACCAGAGAGAAGACATACAGGCCGCCCAGGATGGGCACCAAGCGCAGGTCGACCTTTCGCCTGTTCAGACATCAGGTTAGTGTTCAAACCAACCCTGCAGAAGTGGAAGCTCGGCCACACACATTGCTCGCCCTAGGAGGGCCTCCTGCTCCGGCGTCAAATATTCCAGAGCGTCATTGGTCTGCTTATCTGTCTCGATATAGACACCAGTGCCTTTGTCAAGGTCAGCCTCTAGTTGGCTTCGTCGAAGCATGTTGGAATCCATGTCCGTCGTGGATTTGTGTGGAGAGTTGGTCATGTTTTCCAAGGTGGAAGGAAAGCCTTGCACAGTACTTCTTCTCGAGGGTCATCAATGCTCTTATACAGATCGCACGGCCATTACTCGTTCCATGGATCTGAGATGTGGCGTCCCTCGCTTCCCCGGAACTTGCTCAAGGCTCCAGTTTCGATCCGCGGGCCGAATGAGTGGTCATACACCCAATCCCGGGGCAAAAGTGTGGGGAGTGGAGGAATCGAGAACGCTGTTTGTGTAGGTAGTTGATGCATCGACCTATCATTTTATGTGGTGATGATGAATTCCTCTCGCCACGTTGGTTTGTGGGTTTGTTTCTGGATGACCCTGCACAGTAGGGTTAAAGGGTGTAAAGTCTCGGACCTGGCAAAGTCCCGCGGCCCATCACCAGTGCAACCGCTTCCGGCAGACAGAAGCATGTCGGAAGATTGGGTAGGAAAACGTACTACGCCCAGAACGCCTAATGTTTGGACGGCAAGTTGAGCTTTGGTCAAAAGACGCTCGTATGGTGCACGCCGAGATTTTCGCAGATAGATGTTGAAGTTCTTTGAAAGCGCGGGCGGATGGAGCAGTTGAGACGATAAATGCCTTGTCAGTAGAAATAAGTCATGAGGGCGAAAATAGTGGTGGAGTGCCTTGTACAAATATCGCTTTGCTTGTGCGATGGTCGGAAGGCTGCAGTATTTCCCATTACCAGTCTCTTCCAAGAGGCTTCAACAATTTGCCTGGTTGGGGCTCTTTGCGATAGAACTTTTCCTTCAGCTTCGAAATGCATCGGTGCCGCAAATGATCATTTCTTCTTTAGAGCAGAATCATTTTCCACCATCCTCTTCTTCCAACTGATAAAGGCTTCGTCCTTCTCCTCGCCCATATATTCTGCCCACGCCGCAAACTCCTTGCTCGTTTTCGGCTTCAACACGTTCGATGTCTCCGTTGCCGGGATTTTGTTTTGTATCAATTTGGATCGGCATGATTTAGAGTCATCGCCTTCTGGGTTAGACTCCTAGGTAACGTGTGAATCGGTAGAAGAGCTTACCCATCCTTGCAAGTGGTCGATGTGTGGTATTGACAGGGGATTCAATGACGTTCAAAATGGGGTGGGGAATTGCAATCCTGAAGTCGCGGAATTAGGCCCTTGTTAATTACACTTGAGAGGACTGCAACGTCGCCCTTTACGATAAGTCTCTGTCGATGCTTGTATCTGTCTCGGGTCCATGTGTATGGAAGAGGGGCATCAAGACCAGGAATAAGCCGAGTTTCCTCCAAAGCACTCATCCTTCCCAGTGAATGGAGGGATACAACATTGCTCCCTCATTCACCTCCTTGTTCCAGTCGGTTTGGAACTCCAGCGCAAGCCCATCATCCACGCATGGTACAAGGACTTCGAGATAGGCATTCAATCATTGATGTGGAGCACACGCCATTGAATGAGCAACAGGGGTTGCTGAGAGGTATCCCTAGTAAGTGAAGACAGGATTGTGATCGAACACATGTGAAGCATCAACGTTGAGGTATTTATCACATGCCAAACCAGCAGGCTGGAAAGTGTTCCATGCACGCCTTGCATGATGTGAGCCAACAGGGACATGACCATGCGGCATGGTGACCCGAGAAATCCGAAGATTGTTGCATGGTACAAGAAGGGGAGACAAGGGCTCTCAACGGGCCACAGACCCCTGCACAATGCCACACAAGCACTTTCTCTGTGCCCACCGAGCGTCCCTTACATACGGTTCCGCGGGTTGACCCACCAGGACACTAGACCAGGGAGAAGAGGACACTACATACTCGAATGAGTACGGTAGCGAGAGATGCGACGAGTAGATTCTGTACCAGTATACAGCATGAAGCCGAGAAATATAGTTGCCAGGTTCGTGGAAATGGTAGTGTGAAGAGTGTCAAGGTCATTAATTGACTGCCAAGACTCGCCCAAAAGCTGAAGCATCGACCCAAATCCGGCGATTATCTACGACTGCAATGGAAACTGGATGATGCGGTCATGAGCATGTGAAAATCCTTCGTCTTGCTCTTTCTCTTCATCTTCATATCAACCCAACTCAGTATCATCAAAACCAACGAACCAGTGTCCTGCATCGAGTCTACTCTCCCACCATGCCCAATGAATCTTAGATCCGCCACAGTATTACACGCGATTCTTCTCCAACTCTGGCCATATCATCCAACTGCGCCTTCTATTGTCATGTACCGGTAGTTCGCCTGCGCTGATTTCTTTGTCCACTCGGATCAATCCAGCACTTGGGTTTGTTATCTCATGGAAAGATCGTTTTGACGGTCATGCTCCGATACTTTTCTCATATATTCCGACTCCTCCGTTGAATCTCTAGCCTCGCCATTTTTTTCAAGGTACACTCCCAAGCCCGCCATGGAGAAGTTCTCGCAATTCCGCGACAAAGGTATGTCTAGGATATGCCCACAGGAGCAATCACTTGTGTTGCCTGTTGCTGACCCGTATGCTTAGGCTCTGGCATTGCACCATTTCTTCCAATTCCTCACGAACCCGCCGGCATTGCCCTACCTTTCCATGCCTTTCTCTTTGTCTTCCGAGTCCCATTACTTCTGATGTTTGCAATATCATATTTTTTGGTTCTACAATGGATGCCTATAGGCGTATTGGGGAGGAAGGCGTCGTTATGGTGTATACTAGGAATCCCTGGGATATGGTGGATTGACTTGCAAATTGATGGAGTGAAGAAAGGGTATGAGTTTGCGCACCCATCTTACATGGCGTGTGTGTGCTAAATTCCACAGGTCACTGGCGAAGAACAGCACTCGGATACCTCAGGCTGGGTCAGTAATAGCATCTTCGCATGCTTCGCCCATCGATGCTTTATATCTGGCTGCTATCTTCGACCCAATTTATGCAGCGACATATCCGAATACCAGACTCGTCGAACCGATCTCCCTTTTCACCGCTATATGTCGGTCATTTACACATCCGAAATCGAATCCTCCTGATGGTGCCAAATTGGTTGATATAGGGGCCCTAGTCGCACGAAACCCCGATCGCATACTAGTGGTGTTCCCCGAGTGTACCACTTCCAATGGGAGAGGCATCCTACCTATGAGCCCCAGTCTCTTGAACACACCACCAAGAACCAAAGTCTTTCCTGTCAGTCTGAGATTTACACCTGCAGATGTCACAACACCAATTCCACATGCCTACCTCACCTTTATGTGGAATTTGTGCAGTAGACCGAGCCATTGCATAAGGATTCGTATAGCCGAGTCCGTGTATAACACGTCAAAGCGAAGTCCGGAACCAGCGGTCGCCAAAGTATCGTCGTACACAACAAATTATCTCGACACGTTGGCATCTGACGGTACAGGAAGTGACGCGGACACGCTTGTGGGTGGTGAAGATTCCGAAGGTCCCACGACCAAAGAAGAACGAGCATTTCTAGACAAGATTGCCGAGGCGTTGGCTAGACTGGGCCGAGTCAAAAGAGTCGGATTAGGGGTTAAGGACAAGACGGAGTTTGTGGCCATGTGGACGAAATCTCGGAGACGATGATGTTATACGAAGCAAGGGGGGGAACGAACAGCAACAATCTATGTATTAGCGGCATTATCTGCAAGGCTAGGAATGAAAAAGGGTCCCGAAGTCGAAAAGCACAATGAATTGATGAATGAGATTGACATTCCAGAAGCCTTGTGAGATTGCTGATCAATCTCAGGCCGTTGGAAATGGGGTCAGTTGACTGGTGTCAACACTCATGTGGCAGTTATACCCAATTTTACAAACATTCGGTCTGTGCGGTCCACGATACCCATGACCAACTATCCTACCACCCTCGTGCATACTCGCTCTCTTTACGCGAGATGTCCAAATCTCTTTATCGAACGCGACCACGCGAGAAATAAAGATCCCTGCATGACGCAGGTTTTTCGGTGTCGTCGTCGACCTACCATGTCTCGAAGCGTGGTATAGATACTGGAAGCTCTACAAAACTTTCATCCTGCAACCAAACACCTCACCTCAGTTTCAGCATATACCTGGAAATACCTCCCTATCTGAATGCCTTACTGATCATCAGTATCGGTCGCGAATCTTGCACCTGCCACGAGCACTTAATCACATTCCCTTTTTACAATGTCACCCTCTGACTTTTTTCGAGTCCGGTCTCGATCCATGAATGCAATCAAGGTCGCAACTCTACTCACGGCGTTCCTTGCGCCACACGTCGCTCGTGCCACCACCGCGCTTACATTCTTCGAACACTCTTCATGCAACGCCGGCACGTCTTTTCAGTCTTACAATGATCCGAATGCTCTTCAGGCAGATACGTCATGCCACCAACTTCCCAACGGCACGGTGGCGGTGTATGTGAATCAAATTGATGATGGGTGTACATGTAAGTTTTGTTCGGTTTTGTTTCGTCCACAATCATCGTCATGCTTGTATATTTTTGCTGTTTTCTGTTGCGCTCGGCAATACGTTTCAGCATCGCTCCCTCGTCCGGGTACCTTTTATTCTTTTTGTTGTGGTGTTTGGTGTATCATTTTTGGATCGGTACGGACTTTTTAGGTGTACGTCCTGATAAACACGTTGACATGTTGTTGTGTAACAGTGCGGATCTACACATCATCGGACTGCTCCCCTCTCGCTTCGTCCCCGGCCGGCCTCCTCGTCCCCGGAGGCAACTGTTTCTTTGTCGACGAAGGCGTCGACCTGGGATCGTGGCGACCCGACTGCGCCGGAGTCGACTACTCTTCATCCAACGGTCTCGACAGGGGCAACTCGTACTCGAACAATGCGAATGACGGCAGCGACGAAATCTATTCGGCACTCGTCACGGCGAACGGCGGGGTCGTAACGTTGACGGCGACGGCGGCCGCCTCGACTTCGACTTCTTCTTCGACTTCTCAAGAGACCGCAGCAGCGACGACGTCTGCCAGCGGCGGGAACAGTACGTCCAGCGCGGCAGGAAAGGGGGGTGCAAGCCAGACGACGTCAGCAGGCGCCGGTGCCAGTCAGACGTCACACAGTGGCTCCTCACCCGGCACGAGACTCGTAAACCGTGTCTCGACAATCGGAGTGGGCGTGGGGATGTTTGCGTTGGTTGCTGTTTTGTCTTGAAACCTCGAACGCTTGTTGAGCGTCCACACATACTTGACCACATGAATCGTCTTTCCCCAGACGAGATACCAACTCTTCATTTGGTCCGGCGTTTACGCGATACCGGATATGTAGGTAGCCTGTGTCACCTCGTACCCCAGAGTGTATATATGTTTGTGCAACAAACGAGTGATCAAGAGTGCACATTGGCGCAGAAAGGAGACGAGGGGCATCCGTAGAAAGTCTCAAGGGATTTATGATGTGTTACCTTCCAGGTCCTGATCTCAGATAGATAGGTTAAGTACCTGTACGATTGGAGAGTTTCAATTACTGAGGTACCTCTTGCTCCTTCGTATTCTTACATGCATGCATGCTCTCACACAACTACAAAGACCATGGCCACCCCCGGTTTTTCTCTTTTTGGCAGCAAAAAAGAAAACAAAGAAAAAGTACCAGGTACAGTAATGTTGCCAGGACTCAACCGTCCGAGATACCACTGAGTGATTTTTGGCTCCTCCCATCCAATTTGCATCCCTTCCCTTGCCCTTCCTGCCATGCCATGGTTTGTTGTTACCCCTCTATCAAAAAGGAATTCTTGTGTGTTTTGGGGTGTATATCGAATACTGAAAACAACCAACCAACTCAATGAAGCAAGAAAAGTTGGTTGTGATTTGCTCCGACAGAGGTGAGAGGAGGTAAGAGCTTGTAAGGATGGCTCTTTTCGCGAGCTTGTACGTAGCACCGGACACCGAACATGATGGCTTGGGCCGTGTATTGCGACTGTCGTCGGCAGGATTCTGTCTTCTCTTTTTGTTTATTTTCCTTTTTGCTGTTCTTCTTCTGATTCCTCCGGTGCGTCTTTGGCCATCCCCCTTTACGGGTCTTCTATGTTGGGACCTCTCCACCCGCCCGCCGATCGTACAGTGTTGTTGAACCGTGTGACTCGAGATGACTGTCTGTCGGTGGATGACTTCTGCAGCTCCTGGTCATCTTCCTATTCCCGGTATGGATTGTGAAAAGGTTGGGCTGATGTGATGATCAAATTGTCCACCTCAATACCAGATTGTCTTTTTCTGCCCCGGCTGGGTATGGGCTTAATGAGAGATATGAATGGAGAAATCACTTTCTCTAGCTTTGGCCATGATTTGATTTTGAACTCGATGGCTACAGCGTCTGGTGTTGTTAAGCGCGCTCCACCATCCGATGTTCGTTCATCTCCATCGTGAAGTCGCTCTCTCACCATCCATCAACCCTCTCTCAAGCTCATCTTCATATTTGTACGTGACTCTTCGCCCTCCGCCACCGCCACCACCACCACCACCACCTGCTTTTGCTGCCTTCTCACGCCGCTGTTGCTCTTTCAACATTCGCTCACGGTTTCTAGCCTCACGCTCCAGAGTATGTGGATCCTTCTCTGGCTCCGTATTGATATGTTGTTGTACTGAAGGTGTCGACCGATGTGATGAGCGCTCGTTCGTACTCGTAGCCGTGACACGGTCATTCCCATCGTCCATCTCACGATGATGATCCTTTTTGTGCCGCCGTGAACGGTGCCGTGATTCTTGATCTTGTGTATCGTGTTCGTAGTCATAATCGTTGTTGTAATTCTTCTCATCTTCACGATGTCGATCATGTCGGGATCGTTTGCGGTCTCGGTCACGTTCGCGTGGCTTGTCATCTCTCTCCCGATGACTATCTCGATCCCTATCCCGATCTCGCTCGCGACCTTTCTCGCGTCGGTATTCATCTCGGTCACGCTCCCGCTCGTCGTACTTTGAAGACTTGCTGCTCCGGTGTTTACTCCTGCTTTCGGCGTAGTGATCCTCGCGATCTTCCATTTCGTAGTCGCCGCTACTATCGACTTCATCAAATCGTCTGGATCTTGATGATCGATACTTTGATGACCTGTCCTTTTCATCACGACTTCGTCTTGATAATCTGTGGTCAATAGACTCTGGTCGAGATAGATCTTGGTGGTCTCGGTCATAGTCATCATAGTCAGCTCGATTCGACTTTCTAGATCGCTTGTCCTTATCGCGATCGTCATGGTAGTCTTGCTCGTCGACGTCTTGCCTCGAGTTGGCGTAGCTGTCTTGTCTTGAGGGTCTCCTGGATCGATCTTCAATAGCATCTTCCTCAATGTCTCGATTTGAGATCCTTTCGCTCTCACGGGACCGTGATCGTGGTGCTTGTGTCTTGGACGCTCTGCCCATGATCTGAAAACCTGATCCTGACGTACGTGAATCTGGCCTTGAAGGGGCTGGAGGAGCTGCAGGAGGGTCACGCATCGCTCTAGGACCTGTTGGCGCACCTACAATACCAACCCCTTTTGCCTCGGCAGGGGGGGTGAACGGCTTTACTGATGAGGCGAAATGTCCATTCGGCATGGACATCGATCCACGACCACGAGATGAAAATCTACCATGACCTCGAACTCCATATTGGGCTGATGGGCCTAGAGGCGCGGTCGGAGGCGGCATGGGTCCTTTAAGATCTTCACTGTAAGCTTCCGGGACCATTTTCGCGTCAACACCCCCATTAGTGTCTCTGCGGTCCACTGTTCTCGACTCAAATGTCTCAATAGGTGCATATTCTTCGCTTCTTGCTTGATCTTCAGTCCCATTCTTCTGTTCATTGTCAACAAGCTCTGGGGCAGTGTCATCAGCAGCCGTAGCCGTATCATCCGTCTGCTTCTCCTCGACCGTTTGCTTCTGATAATCTTCTCCAAGAGCTTCTTGGACCTCGTCTTGACCACCCGGGGCAAATTCAGCATCTTCGTGTGTCGTATCATCGAGCTTGTTGGAATTTCTCTGATCGTTTGGAGTGTCATTGGGACGATCCTCGGTTGTCACGGGCCTTATATTGTGTTGATCGGGGCCGTTAAAATATCCCTGTTGCTGCTGGAATTGAGAAAACTGATAGAAGTTACCACGACCTCTACCGTAACCTCCACGACCCCGACCACGACCACGACCGTAGCCACGATAATAACCAGTTTGGAAATCACCATTGGAGTAAGATTGTTGGAAGTCGCCATTGAAACCATAGTTTGGGCCAAAGTCACCGCCCATGGCATTCGGAAATGCATTTGCATTATTATTCTGCCACATACTGTTGTTTTGATTATTCCAGAACATGCCTTGATTTGGATTGAAGTTCATTCCCATGTTCATAGCATTCATTCCATTCATGCCCTTCGAACCCCCGAAACCGCCAAACATACCGGACGACATTGGATTCATCCCAATAGGCATTCCTGCGTATTATCAGCACATGTCGAAGAAATTCTTCGAAGAAAACTTACCCATCATTGGATTGAAACCGCCCATTCCATTAGCCGCCATCATCTGCATCATCTGATTCATGTCCATGTTGTTCATGCCATTCATCATGTTCTGAAAATCCATTCCACCCATGTTATCAGAGTCCGAGTTGAACTGCTCGCGTGCCTGCGCCCTTGGACCAGTCGGAGGCGCAATTTGGTCAACGGTAGAAGATTCGATGCTTTTGACAGGCTGCAAAGGTATTTCACGATGGTCATCATCCAGGTCTACTTGAATATCGATGTCATCGTCTAGGTGTTCAGCATCTTCGAGGTCATGATCCTGGCAGCGGTTAGAGATTGAATAAATCAAAGAAGTGAATGAATGTACCTCTATCGATGGCAGGATATCAGCAGGAGCAGCCGCGTCTTCACTGTCGCCTTCTTTAACTGGCGGTTCTATGGTTGGCTCAACCACAGGCGTCTCCTCCTGAATGTTCTCTTCGAGGCTTTCTTGTTTCGTGTTGGACTGTGGAGTCTCATCGGTAGCAGTGGTTTTGACCAGTTCCTCTGCCTTTTCTTTCTGTTGCAACTTCAACCAAGCCTTGACTGTATTTCGCATTGAACGGTGTTGTTTGCATGTGTCGGCCGTGAATGGCTTGTGGTCGCATTTGGGGCAACTGGTATCGCAAGACTGAGTAAAACCTGTTGTTCAATTAGACATGAATTTTTCAACCCACATGCGACCTGACTAACAAGACTCGCATATTGACTCGTCACAACATGATGTTTTGTAGGCGTCGAGATTGATTTTCTGGCATGTGGCACAATGAAGTTTGTCTGGCACTTTTTCCATCGGCAAAAAACTGCAATAGTTAGATGATATTGCCAACACAGCCTTCGGCGCACGGAACATACTGGGCAAGTTCCACCAGAGAGGCGTCCAACGTCACCGAAGCCATGACGAAGATCGATAGAATTGTGAGGGTGTGTTGGGTGAAGAAGACTCGAAGTCGAGTGCTCTGGTCAAAACAGCGGCTGCGCGCTTGTGATCAAACGCCATTGACTGACATGTAGAACAACAATCAACTGCTCATGAGAAGACCGCGAAAATCTCGCTATTCTACAAGAAAATTACAGTGACATGGTGATAATGCCATTGACACAGTTCTTTTCGCGTACGGGAAGGGCAATTCACAGAACGGTCACTATTCTTTCGCAGCCCGCGAGGCTAAAGGCCCAGCCTTGTTGGTCCGTTCTTTCTCCAAAAATCTCAAAATGTCGGGTTATGAGCTAGTCTAAATAAGGATTGAGGGTTTTACCCGATGGTCAAAGGAAAATCGAGTCCAAAAAATGATGATGAGATCACCACCATCAGCTATTGGTGCTCCGTACTACTCGTATTCGTTCTCGAACTCTGTATGGAGATCTACAGACCGTATTATACCTTTCCCATGTCCCTATATGATACTAGACTTCTCCTCCTGACCAACTGTCACTCCTCTACTCATCCATTTCAGTCATTCTAAGAGGTAGGAGGACCATAAATATTAATTACTGTCTGTCTTTACGGAGTACCAACGAGTCTCACTGTCGCTGCCTCGATCGGTTCTTTCATGGTTCCGTTTCTGCTGACTGGCAGTCACTTCGACTTGAAACCATGATCCTCGGGCCTGTGAACGGACTAGACTGCCTGGCCTTTGTCGTCTTTCTAATTCCTCAGCTGCTGTTCCAGGTGGCTTTCACTGAACTTCTTATCGTGATAGTAAAAGTCATCCCTTTCTTAGGTATGTCGACAAATCGCCTGTAGTAGCTGCTCCATACTTATCTGCATCTAGTCCTGCAATTACCATACCAATTAATTTGGGAAAGATATCTCATCAAACAGCGTGAGCAGCCTCCTTTTACGCAGCATGCCAGCCTTTTCCAGGATGTAGTCATTCGCTGCGTACGATATGCCTTCGCCCGTATTCCTGCCAGTGTCGGTAGAGTCTTTTTCTCCAAGTGGGTGGCCTATCCGTTCTTCCGCTTTCGTCTATTACGACATGGCTATCTTCATTGTCCAATGTTCTATCGAGAGGTCGTTAGATACGGAGCTCGAGGCCTTTGGATTGTCGAAAACCCAGACATTGAGCCGGACATCATCGTTTATTATGTTCATGGTAAGTACAACGAGGACGACAGTACAAGGCGATGACTTGTTGACTTTTGTAGGTGGCGGATTCAGCATGGGGTCGGCCTACTTTTACATGGAGTTCTTGATGGCCTGGACAACTCGATTGAGAGAGAGTGGGTTCAAAAACCCTGGTGTATTTGCACTCGAATACACCCTCGTGCCAGATGCTCAATGGCCAACTCAGTTCAACGAAACCCGCGCTGGGTATAAATTCCTACGAGAGACATTCGGGAACGGCTCTGCTGCGAAGATCTGCGTGAGTGGTGACTCCGCGGGAGCCACACTGGTCTTGAGCATGTTGTTGCAGCCCGGACATCTGGAACAGGACCCTCAATTCCTGTCCCTACACCGACCAGGGATAGCCATTTTGCTTTCGCCTTGGACACACTTGATTTCCGACTTGAACCAGAACACCAAGAGTGATTATTTAGACAGGAACAGTCTGCACCTTTACGCCAAACAGTATGCTGGGCAAGCGGCGAAGTCGGACAGCGTAATCGCTCCAGGCTTGAATACCGGCCGATGGAGACAAGCATCGCCACTCAATGGGTATCGCATCGTATACGGTGCAGAAGAAGTCTTTGGACCGGGAATTCAGGACATGGTTCACCACATGAAAAACAATGGAGCCGTTGTAAAAGCTTCGGAGCTTGAGGCGGGAATTCATGCATGGCCAGTTGTGAATCTGTTTCTTGGTGAGAGTCGGGAGGAACGGCTGCAAGGCTTGGATATCATGACTGAGTTCATCATGTCATCGAGTTTAGCATCGAGTTCAGAAAGATTGAAGAGTTAGGGGATTACAGCCATCAGATTAGATCAAGTTTTTCAAATTGCTTTCATCGACGATCATTCCGGGTGCTCACTGACGACCACAGTGATTGTAGTACTGAGTTGTCATGTTTGCAATAATGTTCTGGAATGATAATCTCCAACTTGCTCTATCATCATTTGGGCTGTGTTGAATTATTGTGAGGGGATTACCAGCAATGCGAATGCACTGCGCAGTCATAATTGAATACGATGGTGTGCTACCGTCAGGCTTCACGCACTGCAATGCACCTGTGATGGTATGGCCACATGGAGCTCTAATCAACATTAAGAAAAGTACAGTTGCAGGAACTGTCATGATGCATCAACAGAGTGATGAAGATTTGAGAGGCGAAACATTAAATGATGGTTTGAGTCAGAGAAGCGGCGAGGCTGATGGAGATAATGATGATGCAAAATATCGATAATGTGTGACGCCTTGGCCCCAATGAGCCTGCAAAGATGTGTGAACAATGAATGGTGGAGATTATTATTAGTTGACGACGCGTTTCGCAAGGGATGTCTATTCGAGCTCTGACTGGCCCAATCGCCAATCGGGGGTGGCTTGTTTTTAGGGCGGATGATCCAGCGACCTGATGCCCGGCTCGATGGTTATTAAAGGCACCATGTGCCCGCCGCGGCTCGTTGTTGCTGTTCACAACCCCTCATCTCATCCCGTCCAGCATCACACACCAGCCTCGTCAGCCTTGTGCTCAGTCACGTGACCACACCGTGACTGCACCGAACTGCCCTTTGCACTGATTGTACTTCACCTTGTATCGTTGGAATCATGAAAGGCCATTCGTGTGCAAACAAACACATCTCACGCCCATAAAGACCCCTTATCCAAACCATGTCTTGCCCAACCCAAAATCCCACCAGCCAGCACAATAATCATCACCAGCAGAGAGCGTGCGGATACTTAAGCAATGAGTAACGCAAACAACACTAACTACCGGCCTAAATCCCCCAACTTATCAGGCGTCAACCCACCAGCGCCGCCGCCAAAACTCGCTCGCATCCCCTCGTACCATCCAGAGCCGACGGTGCCTCCAGGCTTCCCGGTCTCAGCTCGTGGTTCCTACGACGCCTCGCCTTTCTTCTCGCCACAAAACACCACGCCGTCAACATCCTATTTCGCGTCACGACCGTCACCGTCCTTTCCACAGGCTTATTCACCACAGACATTCCGAACTCCGAGCATACCCACCCAAGCTCTTTCGTCAAACCACTCAGCATCCTTGCCACTTTCTTACAACCAGTTTAATTCTTCATATTATCCCCCACCACAAACTCACCAGCCTTTTGACCAAAATTATCCCCTTCAACAACAGCCTGTCCAGTCATTTCCTTCCTATCCAGAAACATTTGGTCAACAGTACAACGACATGCCTCGAACTCGACGGGCTGCGGCCGAGGAGTTAAATCCGACTTATGACCCCAGTGGCCCTGGAAGTGGCATGCCCTTCAAGACTGAGCAGCCCTCTGCCGCCCTACCGGTCATGCCCATGGCCACAGCAGATCCCTCTCATGGAATTGATGTGAGAACTAAATTCCCCGTGGCACGCATAAAACGTATTATGCAAGCAGACGAAGATGTAGGGAAAGTTGCTCAAGCAACTCCCACTGCTGTTTGTAAGTATTAACCTTTGTGTGATGCAATGAGTATGATGCTAACTTCCAGCAGCCAAGGCTCTTGAATTGTTCATGATCACGTTAGTGATGAAGGGAGCAGCAGAAGCCAAGGACCAACACTCCAAACGTGTCACGGCACAACATCTCAAGGCCGCCTTGATGAAAGATGGCCAGTTTGATTTCTTGACCGACATCTGTGAAAGTGTGCCTGATGAAGGATCCAAGAAGGGTAGAGCCAAGTCAGAGGCAAAGAGTGAAGAGAGTGACGATGAGGTTGTTCCCAAGAAAAAGGGAAAAGGTGGCAAGAAGAGGAAGGCCGATAGCGATGATAGCTCTGATTGATTTCGCCCTCGCGCAAGGCAACACGACGCCCAAGTTTAGCACGACATTTCTACGACCACTCCATGCAAGGCTCTAATTTTGTTGAATGCTATCGGGAATGAGCATATGCTGAATCTCACCTCAGAGCATCACGACATGTCCAGACGGGATCTGTGGGATTTGAATTTCTCAGAAACTCTCATCATCAATCTGTTCCATAGGCGACGATCGGGAACGATGCAAGAGCAAAGATAATATCGTCAGCTCCACAAACTCAATCTGCGACCAGAGGAAATTTGCACCGTCAGTGAAACACTTCCACCATGATGGTCAGGCTCGTAACAAGAGCATTTCCTTGGTCCATGGTGACAACTGCGAGCTTTGCCCTCGAAGGGTTTTTGTCCAGGCCCTTCAAAATGGGAGTCCAACAAACAAGCACTTCCAAAGACGCGTTGTTCAACTGGGCCCATGCATACGCATACAATCGACTCGACTTATTCTTTCAGTCATAGCAAACAATTCAGAATTGGCTCCTGCTCCTCCTGTGCTCAAGCACACAGTCATGCGCACCACATAGATCCTTCGAATACGAGGTCACATCGACTACTGAAATTATTACAATCAAGCACCAAAGCATTTGGGGTTTCTCACTTTCTCGAGGATCCTCCTATCACTGTCGGAACAAGGGTTAGTACCCGTCCCATACATAGTGTAGATCGACCTGACTCCTCCGTACTATATTCGCCCCTGTCTTACTGATTTCATTTTCCAATACTGCGAATTCCTCTCGAATCGAGGCTCGGCTGGCCCTAGGTGTGGCAACCTGCGATGGCTTTGGACAGGTAATGGTTGTCAGCCAGTTTCGTCAGGCAGAGCAGAGCCGTCGGGGCGAAGCCGTCTTGCTTCACCAAGCAGCTGGTCTCATGCAGAACGATGTCTTGTTGGCAAGGATGGTGTGTTGATCCTCCATGACCAAGGCACCTGATGCATAACAGCGAAGAAGATGACCAGGCCAAAGAACGTAGTGAATGCCAGGGCGACCCATCCTACTCCGGCAGAGTAGGGGATCACAACCAGGCACAAGAGCGCAAAGGCACCTATGATTAAGCCACCAAGAAGGCCACTGGCGATGACCCCATACATCTGAACAGTCATTTGGGCCGTTTCTCCATTCGCCCCATCCCAGTCGGCAATCCAGTGGTTTTTGAAGAACGTCAAAAGGGTAGATCCCAATGATGCAAAGGCCAGGGCCAGCAGAAACAACAGCCAACTTATGGCGAGGAACTGTTGGACCTGATATTGCGAGAATGCTGGGTGTTTCGACGTCGGTGCCGCAGTGTCATTTGACAAGACGTAGGAGAAGGTGATACTGGCACCCAAGGTTGTGATAGCGATGGCAGTGCTGAATAAGCCGTTGAAGAACGTCGATACTGACGAACCATGGTGTTGTGTGATGGGACGTATCTGGGCAAGAGAATGGCCATGCTCGGAATCTTGTCCTGTAGGTGTCGTCGTCGACAACTTGTCCTCGGGGGTTGGCTGACCAGAGTCTTGTTCGTTGTTGCAATTGCAGTGCACGTTGCCCAGACAGTTTTCGAGAGTCGGAAGAGCATGAGTGTCATCAGATATGGACATTGAGGCTTCTCTAGCCATCATGACTGTGCTAGACGTCTGAATAGTCGTGGACGTAGAACTCGAAACAAGACTGAAGATTCGACGACGGCGAGATCAGAGGAACTACCAGGTATTCCACAAGCCCAACAGTGCGAGGCATGTTAATCAAGATCTGGAGGCTCAAATCGTCTCATCGAGAAAGTACATATACTTATTGATCGTTATGTATTTGTAGGCACCCTCAAGTCATTCGGCTTGGGTGACTCCAACATGATGGAAGCTGCGACGTCCAAGTGACCCAAGTCCCCTTAGATTTACCTGTTTTCATCGTCTGTCATTAGGCCTGTGTCGACAGCGCCCTTCAGGCATCCTCTCAGAGGCGCAGAATCAATAATCTTTGCAGCGGTTTTGGCCTGCAATATGAGTCACAAGACATGGATATTGTGAGTGCTTCTCTCTCAGCAGATTCGAAGTTGTACGAGGATGATCGAGTCTAACGGCGCGCGACCTGCAGCTCACGCGCCTGATCGCAGGCTCCGGCACGTCACCGACCAAACAAAGAACCAACACACCTGCTGAGCGTCTTGCTACATGCAAAAGCATCTGCAATGCACTTACTGTAGGCCTGCGGAAGATCTATCCATGTTCCAGCTGACCGTCCTAGCAAACCTGGCGAGGTGGTGCCGTTGAGCGCGAGGAGGATGCGGCATTGACCAACACTACGAAACTTCTTCAACGTCTCGAAAACATCCTCCACGATGAATCCCGACGAGCTGCTCCGCATTCCTGTCTGCGTTATGTCGCATCGAGCCAAAGCTACATCATCATCACGAAACTGGCCGTGTCCTCTCGAAACACCGATATCATCAAAGTTTCCGCCCAGCTGTTCCACATCCTAATCAACGGTGAGGCCGAGGGTTTACTGGATAGCAAATTGTTCACTCGGTCTCTACTGGACCTCGTTTGCTATGCTACAATAGGAGGGCAAGTCATTGTCGAAGAGCGTCTGGAAACAGACTTGGTTGAACTACTTTTCGAGATTGCCACAAAGATCAGGTTGGAACCAGACATCCTTCCAGCTTGGTTCTATCCGGATCGAGAGAATACACGTGGCCGAAATGGCATTGACGAAACTAGGAGAAGTCAATTCCCGTTGTTTTTTGTGCTGGTGCAGTACGTTCACCACGACGGCCCAGTGGGCGACTTCGCAAGGACGGCACTGCTCTACCTGACCGAAACTGCCTCTAGATTCAAACCCCTGGAGACATGGATGATCGAAAGCGATCTGGCACCACAAATGGCTAGTGGTCTCGGTGCTCTGTATAGCAGGTTGAGCAGACAGTCAACATCATTAGCTGGTCGGTCTTCGAAGCTCGCCATCGTCACTTTGTCCGACTATCCAGAGACAGTGGATTCGTTGGCGGAATTGCCACGGGATTCTCAGCAAGCCATCAAAGCCTTTTTCTCATATCTGGCATTCTGGCAAGACACACTGAATCACTGCAAATCACTCGAGGTCAGCGATACCTTGTTAGATCACTTCCAAGTGCTTTTCGTGCAACAGCTCCTCTATCCCTCGCTGTTAGAGTCATCCGATGTTGAAGGCGGCTCAACAGCTGCAGTCATTGCCCATTTATCTCGCATGCTTCTGGCAGTAGATCACTACCAGCTCATTGATCGAATGTTGGGCTACCTCCTCGCATCCCCAAATACCCCGAGAGTTTCCAGGGACAAATCTCATCGACGACAACGGATGTCTGTCAGTCGCAGTAAATCCATCGAACAGTTGAAGGCACTTTCTGAAATCGCCGATAGCCCTTCTCCGAATCTATTCAACCTGCTGGATCTGCTGGTGATGAGCCTGAAGTCTAGTCACTCGGAAACAGTCAACGCTTGTCTGAAGTTATTGTCAGTTATTATTGGCAAACATCACTGCCACGTACCAAGAATTCTCTTTAGAACTGAGGCCGCCTCTACTCAACCAACACGAAGAAGTGTAGACGCACTGAACAACTACCTACAAAAATTGTTTGATTATTCTGGGGCGATCGCGAAAGATGAGTTAGACAAGGAACTAGACCAATCCTACCAGAACGCCTTGCTGGATGGCCAGGTTCTGCTCGAGCAGCATAGTTGCTTCGTCACACCCCCAGCAGACGCTGACTTGGTCAACGGGCACAGTATGACTATTGCACCCGAATGCAAACTATTCGAGGCTCTCACACAGCTCTTGCGCAACTTCTTTGCAAATGATTCTGTCACGAACTTATACCTCACTGAAGCCTTGGTGGCCCTGACTGCTTGCGAATATATGGACCTCAACAACTGGTTATTACCCGGAAAGCAGGGTCGGCTAGAGGAAAATTCTGAGTACAATATCACGTTCATCCTGAGCGAGCTTGCGGACCAAGTCAGGCAGTGGAAATCGCAGTTCCCTCAATGGGACGAGCTGATATCTATTCGACGACACGAATTATCAGAAGACACACCAGATCGACCACCAAATCCAAGAACCTTCTCAGGCCCGTCCGCTGAATCCGTGAGCAGACCAAGAAGCATCTCGCCGTCCAAACCTATATCCAAGCCGCCGTCGAGGCCGACTACTCCTAGAGGCAGACAAATCCCGACCACTGAGTTTGGCTCCATAGACAGTAAGATTTCAAGGTCTGACAGCCATCGAACAATTCTCACCGAACGTGCTTTGGGCCGGTCACCTCTTCGCCAAGCACTGCGAACGGATGAAACAGATGGCGTAACGGCAGCCCCTGAAGCGGGCCGGTCCATAACGCCCTCCACTACATCGCTGCTGAGAACTCAAATCGACATCTACAACACGAAGACCCCTACTGAAGCCACAGCATCTCTACCGGTTCATGCAGGCAAGAAGCAGGATCCTGAGACTGAAGCCCTGTCATTGCGCCCACACCTAGCTCGAGGTCAAGATTCGGGCACCGCCACCCCAATCAGTCGAGATGGCACGGAACCTCGGAACCAAGCCAGCCTGAACCATATATTGACGAATGCTGTAATTCTACAGGAATTCATCCTTGAGATCGCCGCGATAGTACAATTGCGCGCGACGTTCTTTGACGAAGTTTCCTTCGTAGGCAAAAGGGGTTGAATACTGCCGATGGCCGTACATATGAACGATGAGAATTACATTCCCATCGTATGCTCAAATCTCAAGCACCGTTGACCATGGCTTGGCTCTGTATCATCTTAGCTTCGTAGTCGTCCAAAAGCGCGAGGAAATGGTTCCTTCGCCAGGACGAAATCCATGAAATGCCAAATGCATTCCGTTGCAGCTGAATAAGTTCTTTACGTGTCACATCCGATTCCCGTGCCAATTTCTCGACGTTTTCATTGACATAAGCGCGGAAGTAGGCCGGATCGTCAGAATTGATCGTGACCTTGACACCGCGGCGGAGAAGAGTGAGGATTTCGCGGCCCTTGAAATCCGAAGTCACAACGGAATTGGACACTGGACAGCAAGTCAATCCGATGTTCTTGGATATGATGGTTTCGATCAGCGACTCATCCTCGACAATGTTGGTCCCATGATCGATACGGTCAACTTGAATTTCGTTGATACATTGACGGATGTGAGTAATGGAATTTGCTTGGTCAATGTCACACTATTATTTGTATGTCCAGATTGTCAGTAACTTGACGGGCACGAGGCAGTCGCTGGAGGGCCAGGGGCAGCAGCAATGATCTAGGTAAAAGAGCAGCAAAACACTCACATGAGCAGTCAGGAGGAAGCCTTCTTTACTGGCTCTTTGAAAAACGGCGGCAAACTTGGACGGTGGATTATCCCGCTCGTCCGAGTCGAGGCCCACGCCGATGAGTGCATCTTTGTAGGGCAAGGCTTCCATCAGAGTCGCCATGGCGTATTCGGCGGACTGGTCGCGGAGGAAGCAAAGGATCAGGCTAGCCGATATCCCCAGTGTACGCTGCGCCATCAACAAGCCCAAACGGTAGCCCCGGATGACGGTCGGGAACGGCACACCTCGGGACGTGTGCGCCTGGGGGTCGAAGAAGAGTTCGACGTGCTTGACGTTTTGCGCGTGGGCACGCGTCAGGTAGTCCACGGCCAGGTCGCGGAAATCATGCTCGGTCTGGAGGACGCTGAGGTTCGGGTAGTAGACGGCCAAGAACGACGTCAAGTCGTGAAAGGTGTATCCCGTCTGAGATGGGTCGAGGGACGACAGGGATGGTGGGAGGGGGAGGTTGTTCCGCTCGGCGAGTTGGCGGGCCAGGCCTGGTGTGAGGCAGCCTTCCAGGTGGACGTGGAGCTCGCACTTGGGCATTCCGTGGATGAATGTTTTGATGTCGATGTCACTGTCGCCATCTTGTATCTGCGGGGCAGCAGAGTCCGACGACATATTGTCGATTGCGGTATTTTGTCTCATTCTTCTCGGATCTTGAGCCCGCAATTGCCCCAATATTTGATGGTCACAAAGGGTTTAAAATGGACCAATGCTGCCTGAGGCGTGACTCGACGAGCTGAAATGAGGGCCCAGTTCGCGTATTCAGATGCTTCACCTACTGCCTTCGCACACAATGTGTCCGGCCTTGATGCTGATGACCTCTCTTCCGCCGGATAGCTGAGAATGCGGTTTCAGGATTTCTAATAATATGCTACACAACCTAAACACATTGACGGCTGCTGAGGTACCTAGAGATGCTGACAAGATGAGGCAAAAAGTACGTGATAAGATGTTTTAGAGCACGGGAAGGGTGTGTACGAAAGACCCAATGATGCTGTGATAACGGCTTCTTAGATGATAAGCGGAGGATCACGTGGGTAAGTTGACAGCGAGGCTATGGAGGAGAAATAAACAAATCAGCGACCAGATGTCCCGTGTGTGTCTGTATGTGCCAAAAACAGCCGTGATTATCGGATTGCCCAGGTAGGGAAATGGATGACTTGGATGGGTTCACGACGTGTCGGATCTCGGCTGCTTGATGGACTCTTACAGCTCACGTTGTGCATCAATGGCGGGAGATGATGTGATGTGGCAGAATGTTGACAGCAGGCAAACCGGGATCTGTTTCTCGAGGGTGCGAGTACGACTACTTGTTATGTACCTAGAGGTAGGGATGGATGTACGGGGAAGTGCTCCGTATGGCAAGATACGGTATAATTCAGGGGAAGGACAAGCCACTGCAGAACCAGGGGAGTCGTCGTTGTAGTCGTACTGATATACGGAGTATGGAGTACCCTAGCCCTGTAGGTGCAGGGGGAGGCAGGTCAGGTACTCCGTACTCCGTAACAACTTTACAAGTGTCCAAGTAATTTAGGGACAGCCTGATCAGCACCGTTCGCGGGTTTATAGGCTGCCCGGGAGGCGGATGCTCAGGCCTAGAGGGGCACGAGAGGCGCCTCTGACTTGCTCGTGCCCGGCGATTCAAATAAGCGTGACCGGCTAGGCCAGAAAGGAGACGCTGAAACAGACCAAGATCCTCTCCATCCTTCGCCATCCCAATCACCCACTGCAAGCCATTCCCGACCCTGCGAACCTGTTCCTCACCACCCAAAAGCCACTCGCGCGCAAGGAGGAACTGCACCCCGTATCCCAGTTGAATATTCTTCCTGCAGACGGTTGTAGGATTTCTTTTTCCAATCTTCGTGCCAATTCACTGGCAAAAGTCATCGAATCATTGTTGTCGACTTGGCCGTGAGTCGTTTCTTCCCCCCCGTCCGTGGCACCAGCCTCTCTCTCTCTTCCAAGCGTCATCTACGCACAGACACCCTCCTTCCTCTCCAACAGTCGGACGGCCAGGCATCGCGCTTCAGCTCGTCGCGTCGGGCACTTTGACACAGCGTGCGCATCGGCCATCTTCTACAACCTCCCGAATTTTCTTTACCAGGGCCCATTGGCATTCGCACACACACCGTGCTCTCTCTCTCTCTCTTCATTTTCTCACCACCGAGCCTGTCACGACGATACCATGAAATGTGCTTGATGCGGGCTCACCGTTAGCCTGAAACGAGCCCTGCGACTCCCCGATAGTCTTACTCGAAGAGCAGCAACTCGACATTGCCGCATGAAAGAGTCGCCCTGCGCGCCGCGGACACACAGCTTACTTCTCGCCGTCGAGACACGAGGAAGTTATCGACCATGGCGTTTCTGTTCAAATCGAAAAAGAGTGCGCCGCCTTCGGGTCTTCCTCCCGCAAGTCGCAAGATCCATACCTCCGATGGAACTTCTGCTTCGACGGTAGAGAATGGTGGACTCGAAAGAGCTGGAGAACGACAAACACAATCACCAACCCCGGCAAGTGCTGGTCCTAATGGCTCGATGAATTCGATGAACGCGAGTCTAGCAGGCGGACCATCATATCCACGGCGAGAGAGATCGGAATCAGAGTCCGGAGTATGGTTTACCCTTCTACATTCGACTGAAGCATCGCTAACCGTAATACGCAGACGCGCCCATCCACCGCTGCTGGTGGTCAGATCACCCAAGTCCCAAATGCTGCTCTATATCCCTGGTCGCAGCGACGACTGAACTTCACCACCCCACAATCGAATCCTTTTCCTCGCTATGGTGCCGCCGTCAATGCGGTCGCTTCCAAGGATGGCGATATATACATCATGGGCGGCTTGATCAACGGCTCAATGGTCAGAGGTGATCTTTGGATGCTCGAATCTGGAGGTGGAAATCTCGCCTGCTACCCCATCGCAACAGTCTCCGAAGGCCCCGGCCCCCGTGTAGGACATGCTGCTCTTCTTGTTGGCAATGCTTTTATTGTATTTGGTGGTGACACCAAAATGGACGACTCTGATGTGCTTGATGATACCTTATATTTGCTTAATACCTGTAAGTCGCCAGTCGTTCCCAGAGGAGTGTCCATTTTTTCTAATCTTTGGAAGCCTCCCGACAATGGTCCCGCGCATCACCACCTGGACCCCGACCATCAGGACGATATGGCCATACGCTCAATATCCTGGGTTCTAAAATCTACATCTTCGGAGGCCAAGTCGAAGGATACTTTTTCAATGACCTGATAGCTTTCGATCTGAATGCCTTGCAGAACCCGTCTAATCAGTGGGAGTTCTTGATTCAAAATTCGGGCGACTCGCCTCCCGCTAACGGCAAGGTGCCGCCTCCGAGGACGAATCATACTGTTGTGAGCTACAACGACCAGCTATACCTGTAAGTTTGTGGATATTGAAGTTGATAGCCATACTAATCCACCTTAGTTTCGGCGGAACCAATGGAACGCAGTGGTTTAACGATGTTTGGACCTATAGTCCTACCACGAATTCCTGGAAACAAGAAGATTGCATAGGCTATATTCCAGCACCTCGAGAAGGTCATTCTGCAGCACTCGTTGGCGACGTCATGTATATTTTCGGCGGCCGAACCGAGGAAGGCACCGATCTGGGTGATCTCGCAGCATTCCGCATCAGCTCGAAGAGATGGTATACTTTCCAGAACATGGGTCCTTCACCTTCGCCAAGGTCTGGCCACAGCATGACCGCGTACCGGGACAAGATAATTGTGCTGGCCGGCGAGCCCAGTTCTGCACCGCGGAACGCCGAAGAGTTAAGCATGGTCTACATTCTGGACACGGCTAAAATCAGGTACCCTAATGATGCACCTGCTGATATGAAAGGCCCAGTGAGTCCGACTCGACGCCCGAGCACGAGTACGGAGGTTAGAAGCACCGCACCACCAATTCGATCGACATCGCGTGAAGGTCAGAGAGCTCCGAGCGCTGCTCGGGAGCAGTTCACAGGCGGGCCTGTTCAAAGGCCTGATCCTCAACAGCAAGCCTCGAGACTTCCGCGGGCTTCCATAGCTCAAGGCTCTGCTGGTCCTCCGCCTCAAGGGCAGGCTCCGGGACCTCGCCTTAATGGGACTCAGTCGCCTGCCAGTGCACCAAAGAGCAGATACAATGGTCCACCGGTCGAGACAAGAGGTCCTTCCGCAGGGCCAGATTCTGTTCGCAACATTCCTACCGAGACCATGGCACAGGCTCCAGCTATCAGAGAAGTACAAAAGGAGAACATCAGACCGAGCCGAGAGAACAGTCCGAGCACTCACGGTCGGAGGACCCCGATCCAGAGAACTGAGAGCAAAGCCAAGGCCATGGAAGCTGGTGAGGCTGCACCCTTGGTCAGCAACGGCGTCGCAAGGCAACGATCATTGCGCTCACAGCGAGCTCAAAGCTCGATCGACAGTACTGAAGACGGTCTCCTTGGCCGTTCATCTTCTGGCCGCCATCACGGCGAAGGTGACGCTCGAAGTCTGCGAAGTATAGTCGACGAACCAAAGTCACCCAAGTTGAATCCTCATCAAGAAGCTTTGTTGAAAGAATTGGAATCTGTCAAGAAGACCAATGCTTGGTATGCCTCAGAATTGGCATTGGCACGGAAGCAAGGTTTCAACGCAACAATGACCTCGAGTCCAACATTTGATGATCGTGCGGTCAGCCAAGTTGCGGATGATGATCGACCACTCATGGAAGCGTTTGTGAACATGCGAACAGAAATGATCAAGATGCAGGAAGCTATGGAGGCACAAGCCTCCTCAATGGCCAAACGTGTCGCTGAGGTGGAGCATCAACGCGATGCTGCCGTGACCGAAGCCGCATATGCTCGTGCCAAACTTGCTGCTCACGGTGGAAGCCAGCGAAGTACGCCTCAACCGGACGCGTCGCATGAGCCAGACGACCAGGAGCGCTTCACAGACTTGAGCAGACGACTTGCTCTGGCTCTGGCCGCACAGTCCGAGCACAAAATCAAACTCGATTCCCTTTCCAACGATCTTACGTCCGAAAGGCGGGCTCGAGAGCTTGCAGAGGAATCCATGGATGCCTTGCAAGCTCGATATGAAGAGCTTAGCAAGAGTCGAAATCCTGCCGAACTCGAAGGCCTCCGAGCAGAACTACACGAAACACAGAGTCTTGCACGTGCTGAATCTGGACGGCGAGCTGAACTCGAAGATGAACTGCGTAATATCAAAGTCGAGCACGAAACTCTGACCAAATCACATGAGGACACTTCGTCACGGCTTTCGAGTCACCTCGCCTCAATGGCCGCCTTGGAAGCAGCTGTGGCAGCTTCTACAGGCAAAGCAAATTTGTATGAACGCCAGATTGAGGAAGAACGTCAGCACCGAGAACTTTCCGAGCGTAAATTGTCTCAACTCAAAGCCGAGCATGAGGAGAGAGTTACCGAGCTCGAGAATACATCCAAGCGCTTGCGAGACGCTGAGGAACTCGCCGAAACTCACGCTAAAGAGGCTTCAACGCATCGAGAAGCTCTACTCGCTGGTCTAGCCAGGCTTTCCTCGACTGATGCTTCGTCAAAGCATGACGCAGTGTCGGAACAAAAGTTGGCAGCATTGAGAGCCAGTGCAGAGCAAGCATCGACATTGGCTAAACGTAACCAGGAAGCGGCTGACAAGGCTGCACAAAAGCTGCGTAACGCAGAAGAAAGGATTGCAGGGCTGGAAGCATATCAAGAACAGTCCAACCGCGAAGCTCTCCAGATCCGTCGACAACTACAAGCTGCGCTCCGCGATGCACAGAACCATCAGTCCGAACTCCGTGAGTTGCGATCGAATTTGGAAATCAGCCAAAGGGATGCCAGCGCCTTGGCTGTTCAGCATAGCGCACTTAAGGATCTCCTGGGCGAACGGGGCATGAATGGATCCACAATGAGAGGATCGCCGATCTTTGACCATTCTCCAAGCTCTCGATTCGGTACTCCAGAGCAGAATCGTCTCAGAGAGCTAGATCAACAGCTACAGGCAAGCATCAAGGCGCACGAGGATACCAAACATCAATTCGAAACTCGAATGCAAGAAGCCGATAGTACCTACAAGGAGAAACTCGAGCAACTCGAGAACGACTATCAATCCGCAGTTCACTATGTTAAAGGCACAGAAAAGATGTTGAAGAAGATGAAGGAGGAGCTCACCAAGTACAAGTCCCAAAATTCGCAGCTGACCACAGAGTTGGAGAGCGCTAGAAGCGCCAGTGCCATGTCTAATACGAACGTGGACACCTCATCTTGGGATAGTGAGCGACAACAGTTGCAATCTGCGATTGATCAGATGAAGACGCAGACCGGGCAACAAATCAGCCTATTAGAAGGTAACATCGAGACTCTTCGATCCGAACTCGCATCTGTCCAGGCCGATCGGGACAAGCAGAAGAGAAGCTACGAGGAATTGTCACAATCTTCGCAGCGATTCGGCAAAGAACTTGAACAGCTGAAGACAGAGAACTCGATGCTCGAGAAGAGAGCAGAAGAGGCCGAGGACAGAGTTACTATGCTCCTCGATCAGGTCGGCCAATCTGTGGGCAACTACAGACGGCAGTCGCAACTGCAGCCACTTCCCAATGGGATCATTGGTCATAGCCGTGACGAGAGCCATTCAACCTTGACGGATGTGTCCGTCAACGAAGACCTTGGAAGGGATGAACGAGGTTCAGTTGCTTTGGACAATCTGGCTTCGGAACTAGAAACCCTGCGAACTCAGTGGGAAAGCACGAGTCGAAACAACTATCGAATCAGCACACAGTTTGATTCGGAGCGAACACCCACGGGCCAAGGCATCGAGCTCAGCGATAATCTGGCCAACTGGAGGAGGCGACTGGAGGAGGAAGAGAAAGGAGCCAGTCAAACCACGGTGGCTTGAGGAATTCCATCATTGAGACCCACGACACACTATGCTTCTGTTCAAATACACTCAAGTTCTTTTAGTTTAGCATTGATTGGAGTTGTTGAAATCATACCGTGCAGGATGACATTGATGAAATGGTTGAAGAGCTGCTCCACGGCTTTCTGTGGCTCCATGTACGTTATTTATTTTTAATGGAGGATCGTATCTTTTACGGTGGTACGGATATGGAGGCCGGGGATGGTTGCAAAATGTAATATCAATACCATGGACAAAACACCATTATCCGTACGGAGTAAAGAATGCGTGCGTTGAACATATTGTGACAATTGATAGACCGAAGAGGCTGGCGACGAGGCTGGCTGTCCATAATTGTTAGCAAGCGTCTAAGGTTATTATACAGAGTACGGAGTATTAGGCTTCAAATTAGGTGGCCCTAGAAGCCACTAAAGTTGACTTAGACTAGCAGCCTCGTGATTCCCCGCATCCACCAAAAATTAAGGCTGATGAAGCAGCTTGGGGGTTTTGGAATCCGCCTCAGAAGAACCAAAACGACACTCTCAGGATCTATTTCATGGTCACAACGAGCTTATCCTGTCACCGATAGTGACGAGACTCTTACAAAATCGTCAATTTACCTCTGTAGCAGCAACGAAACATCATCATCATTCCTCTTTCTCTTTCAGGCAATGTGCGCGGATGATGTCGACGAGACAGCCTTCCTGCGCCCTTTCTCAGAACTGATGTCTTGTAGGCGTACGAAATCCTGACGAGACATTCATCTGAGGAGCCCACCATGGCTTCACAGCCTAGTCAAGCACATGTCGGCGTCGGCCTGGGCTTCGACGTGCCCTACCGCACAAGGCCTGCGACGCAGGAATACAATCACCATACATCACGAGCCCTAGGCGGTGATGTCGCTCGATACTCGACAGCCTCTGCTTATCAGATCCATAGCCAGATCCACGGCAGCACCTCTCACCAGACCAATGGCGCCTCTCCCAGAATCATACCAGAAGCCGAAGATTACCTGTCCGCACGACCCGCGCCTCTACACCGGACGAAGAGCGATCTTGGTCCACGAGCAAAAGGAGGAATCGCTAGTCCACCCTCGGAGGATAAGCTGGCGCACATTCGACATGGTTGGGATGACGAATACACGTCAAATGAGTACCTGTCGCTGTTGCACTCGACCTTCTACATGTATTACACGGAGAAGAGGCACGAAAGCAATGGCTCGCAGTCGCAAGAGTCCAAGCAGTACCCGAGCGTCGATTGGCGGATGAAAGATAGGATGAAGACCGTCTCTGCGGCGCTGGCCATATGCTTGAACATCGGCGTGGACCCGCCAGATGTGATCAAGACCAACCCTACTGCCAAACTAGAAGCATGGGTCGACCCGACTGGGAGCAGTAGTGGCTCGACAAAGACCATGGAACAAATCGGGAAGAGATTACAAGAACAGTACGAATCGCTAAGCTTGAGGACCAGATACAAGCAGTACCTGGATCCTTCCATCGATGAGACCAAAAGGTTCTGCATATCGTTGCGACGTAATGCGAAGGACGAGCGAGTCTTGTTCCACTACAACGGCCATGGTGTGCCTCTTCCCACGGCATCCGGCGAGATCTGGGTGTTCAATAAGAACTACACGCAGTACATCCCAGTCGGGATCTATGATCTGCAGTCGTGGCTCGGTGGGCCAAGCCTGTTCGTCTACGACGTCTCTCACGCCGGCAACATCGTGGCCAACTTCGACACCTTCCTGGTCAAGCACGAGAAAGAGAACGAGGAGGCGAGGAAGAAAGATCCCAATGCTGCTCTACAAAACTACGGCGACTGCATCCAGCTTGCAGCTTGTGGGAAAGCCGAGATGCTCCCGACGAATCCAGACCTCCCAGCTGATTTATTCACCTGTTGTTTGACCACTCCCATTGACATCGCGTTAAGATGGTTCGTCATGCAAAACCCTCTTCCCAATGGCCATTCTCTCGAGGATGGTAAAATCCCAGTACCGGGTCGTCTTCAGGATAGGCGAAGTCCGTTGGGAGAGCTTAATTGGATCTTTACAGCCATCACCGATACCATTGCGTGGAATATCCTGCCTCGACCGTTGTTTAAGAAACTCTTTCGACAGGATCTCATGGTCGCCGCGCTCTTCCGCAATTTCTTGCTCAGCGAGCGATTAATGAGGGCAAACCATTGCCACCCAATATCATCGCCACCTCTTCCAGAGACACATCACCACCCGCTGTGGCAGAGCTGGGACTTGGCCATGGAAATGGTGCTTTCACAGCTACCTATGCTTCGTGAAGCCGAGGAAGGGAAACGTGTGTACGAGTATCAGCACTCGACCTTCTTCTCCGAACAACTCACAGCCTTCGAGGTCTATCTCAGCTCCGGACCGACGAAAGACCATGCGCCAGATCAGTTGCCAATAGTGCTCCAAGTGCTCCTGAGTCAGGTCCATCGGCTCCGAGCTCTGATCCTCCTGAGCAAATTTCTTGACCTTGGGCCATGGGCTGTGCACCTCGCTTTAAGTATTGGTATCTTTCCTTATGTGGTGAAGCTGCTCCAGGCTGCATCACTCGAGCTGAAGCCCGTCATGGTCTTCATCTGGGCGCGAATCATGGCCGTCGATTATACCGTGCAGAGTGATTTGTTGAAGGATAACGGCATCCATTATTTCATCTCAATCATGAACCCACGCTCCGACATACCAGTTGGGAATGCCAGCGAGCATCGAGCTATGTGCGCGTTCATTGTGGCCACTTTCTGCAAAAAGTACCCGCCTGGGCAGACAGTCTGCCTCCTTCCCGAGCTTTTCAATGCTTGCCTGCTCAACATGTTAGAGCCAGAAAATCCCTTGTTGCGACAATGGTCTTGCTTGTGCCTAAGCATGTTGTGGTGTGACTATGCTGATGCTAAATGGATGGGCATTCGGAGTATGGCACATGCAAGACTTTGTGAGCTATCTCTTGATCCTGTCCCAGAAGTCCGAGCATCGATGCTTCATGCTCTGACAAACTTCATCGGCATTCCCGACTTGACAGACCAAGTCTCCCAGATTGAGGAAGGGGTGGCGTCCTCGGTGCTGTTCATGACCTCAGACGGCAGCACGCTTGTGCGCAAAGAATTGGTGGTCTTCCTTTCCGCCTTTGTCAAACGCTATGAGAATAAGTTCCTTGTTGTCGCTTACGAATCTTTGGTGGATGAAAGAGATCGTCATCCATACAAGGACAATGGTGCTACTGCGTTCGAATCAAATGCTAACTCGCAGGCCATATCGGAAAATACCATCTATGGTTGCATTTGGCTACAAGTTCTGATACTGTCTGTCGACCCGCATCCGGAGATTGCAAGGAATGCTGCCATGGTGGTGGACTATATCCACGACACTTTGATCAATCAATCACCTCTAGCTCAGTTGGCTTTGAGAGTGATCGATGATCTACTTCGTGCTAGCAAACGAGAGGAGACTCAATTGAAGAAAGTGCCATCGATGGCCTCAATGCGACAGGTAGAGAATCGCCCAGGAACACCGCCGCCGCAGATGCAGAAACAGGCGAGCTATCTTTCTCTAAGCTTGAAGCGCGCGGGCACATCACTGCGCAACTTGGCATTCGGAGCTTCAGAGACACCCAGTGGTTCCAAAGACAACAGTCCTCAGAGGTCACCCAGTAAGACAAGGGAGTCTGTGCATCCGATACACACTCCACGCGGCCGCCTACCACCTGAATGGAGTCGAGCACCTGAGACCGCCGATGCTCATGGTGCCGTTGGACCTTACCAGTCTGCAGTCCTGCCAACCTCCGCCGGCTTTGTTGCTCTAGATCCAAAGAAGAAAGGTCACTTGCCTTTGACGAGTACCCTCTTGGAATGGTCAACCGAGTACTTCCGCGAACCGCAAATGCGACCCAACGACCCAGATGAACCAGGTTCAGCCGACTACAACTCCCGTCTTTGGCGACGTAATCGCAATGAGAAGATCATTGCGGACAACCAACCTCTCAAGGGTATAGCAGGAAGCACGAAGTGGACGCGCCTAGAAGGATTCCTCAACAACCACAACCAGCCCATGCGCCTTGCCTTCCATCAATTCGACGATCATCTCGCTGTGACCGACGACAAAGACACAGTCACAATCTGGGATTTCCAGCGTAATGAACAACTCAGTCGCTTCAGTAATGGTAACCCAACTGGTAGCAGGATCAATGACGCCAAGTTCCTCAACGAAGACGACCAACCACTTCTGATGGTTGGAAGCAGTGACGGCATGCTCAAAGTCTACCGCAATTATCAATCTTCCTCGGAGGTCAAAGTGATTACCGCTTTCCGCGCCCTGACAGAGCTGATACCAAGCAACAAGAACGCGGGACTTGTGTTTGACTGGCAGCAGGGTCAGGGTAAAGCACTGGTTGCAGGCGACGTCAAAGTGATCAAGGTCTGGAACGCCGCGACGGAATTATGCGTCGGTGACATTCCCGCCCGCAGCTCCAGCTGCGTGACCAGTTTGACGAGCGATCAAGTCGCCGGGCAGATTTTCATCGCCGGTTTCGGGGACGGGGTGGTGCGGGTGTTTGACCAACGTTTGAATCCACGCACGGCAATGGTCAAGATCTGGCGGGAACATCGTCAGTGGATCACCAACATCCACATGCAGCGAGGTGGTGTGCGAGAGTTGATCTCTGGCAGCCGCAACGGGGAGGTCAAGTTGTGGGACCTGCGCAGTGACAAGGCCGTCCTCACCCTCGCCGCCACCAGCAACAACAACAACAAGCGTTCGGACGGGCATGACGGACACGCCGTCGCCGCGGGCGGACCGTCCGGCCACGGCCCGTTGCTGAGAAGTCTCTCGGTGCACGAACACGCCCCCGTCTTTGCCGTCGGCACCGACAGGCACGAGGTCCGCACGTACAACACCAACGGCGACGCCCTGGGCGTCTTTGAGCCCCTCCCCAGCAGGTTGGAGCGCGTCGTCGGCGGCAGTCTCGCCGGACGCGGCTCCCAGAGTCCCATCGTCGCGACCGCCTACCACCCGCACCGGATGTTGCTCGCCTGTGCCGCCCTGGGGGATGGTCATGTTAGTCTCATGAGCTATTGATCCCCCCCCTCGAGTGGCACTTTGACGTTGTTGAAGACCGCCGATGGAAACATTCCCCACCTAGGATGGAGATGAAAGACTTTACAAGAGGGCGAAAAAATAAAGGTCGGAGAAGAACCGAGTGAGGAACGCGGCATCCTTGACCCCTTTGTTTTGCTTCGCCCATGGGAAAAACAAGCCCCCCCCCCACGGGATACAACGATTGAGAATGATTGGGGAATTCAGGGATCAGGGAGTAGGGATTCAGGGTGGGAGTTGTGATTCTTTTTTGGGTCTTGCTTTTGCTTCGTAGAGCCGGCCGCCCACACTCACCGGCCAAGGGTTTCGCGAACCACGGGGTAAATGGGTTTGGCGATGTTGTCCTTCATTGGCATTGTCCATCATTGTATGTCATAGTCATTCGATTCGGAGCGGCGACGTCCTCGCTCCACAGGTAGATGTCGAGGATCATGGTGGTCGTGGGTGCTCGCACGAGTGCCGTGCCAAACGTACCTCGGACGATACGGATCCTCCAGATTGCTTCCTCGCGATAGCTAGGTGGGCTCTTTCTACTCGGTAATACGTTTAATCACAGTAATCATAACATCGAAGCGTGGCAAAGGTAGTCTTGGTCAATTGCATCAAGTAGTAGAAGTAGACCTCTTTTGAGGCAGATGATATTCGTACTACGCGAACTCGAAAATCATACAGAGTATTATACTCGTTCGCCAAGGCTATAATTACAAAAAACGAAAGTAAATGCGTTTTGTTCCATCTCCTGTCGCCTTTTCAGCGCATCCTGGTGGCTGCCAGTTCGGGACCGAAACGAGAGGGGAGCGGTGGGATCCTGTGCAGTTTATCCGCCCAACACCATGTCATACCCCAAGATACAACATTCATATCGACACATGGCATCCGACTTTCAAGGGGTCAGCAATACACGACTGTCCTGACTGGTGTTTCAAGCTGTACGATTGGGATGTTGTACAGATAAAAGTCGAGATTTGCCGCCGTCGGAAGCCCTTCGTTTGATTGTTGCTCAAAAAGCACTTCTCGTTGCATTTTGCCGACCAGAGCATCCGTAATGCTACATTGCAAAAACCCAAGGCTCTCCGTTCTGTAGTAAACAATCATCAACGACGTCGACGTCTCTTTTTGAGATCTTGCCACTCTTCATCGTCATCTTCGTCGTCCTCATACTCATTATTTTCGGATTGGGTCTGTCCATCTTTGGGTGCGGGAGCCTCAATCTCCACCCCCCAGACTGTTTCAGGATCAACACTTTCAATACCGTGATTACCTAACAACCATCGCCCAAGGGCCATGACAGCTTCATATGCTTCTTCTCCAGTAGGCACAATTTGAGACTTTGGCAACAAGAAGCCATAAGTACCTGTGTCCCGAAGTTTGATTTGAAACGCTAGCTTGACATTGAGGTCATGATAGAAGAAGTCCAGCGCAGATCCTCCCTGTGGATCAACCTGGACACGGGTCTTTTTGACTTTGTCACGATAAGTGGTGCTTCCTGAACAGGCACTCTCAACATCGTAGTGGTGACCATTCGTCAATCGGAACGACTTGGCTAGGCCAAATGCCACTTCCTCGAGATCCTCGAGGTTTGGTGGATCAATGTCGCAGGTATAGCTGTAAGGATAAAGAATCTCTTGTGAGTACGAATGGAAATCCAGATACGACACGAATGTGACGTTGTTTTCATGCGTCTGACCTCTCGCCCACTCCGACAGAAGCTGGGCTTCCTGGGCTGCAAAAGGTGTTGGTCCGGGGTAATCGTCACTGCACGCATTATCCGCATCATGGCCATCCCATTCGAACCGGAATGAGCGGTCGAGGTCGATGCCGGGGCAGAATGGCAAATGGGTCGCCTGTCTGTTCTTGCGCCAGAACCTGTCGGTGGTCCATGTGTATTCGTAGCCGTCTGGGTTGAGTACGGGGACAAAAACTATGTCGAAATGATCTAGCATTTTTGTCACTGCAGGGAAATGAGGATGGCCATAGCGAGTAACTAGGTTGTACGCCACGTATGCAGAAGTTGACACCCCAATCCATTCTCTTGCATGGGTGCCACCCACAATCAGGACAGTATGCCGAACCTCATGATCATCGCCGGGCTGTGTTTTGGCACCTATTCGCAATGCAGGTATGTCTCGTCCCTCTGGTGACTGACCAATGCTAATCAACTCCGCATGCGTAGGAAACATAGAGGCTATCAGGCGTAGCCATGGATAAAGGACTGAAAGTGGCTGGTAATCTTGGAAAAAGAGGTCTTGGGGCGCACCAACATGTGGTCGACCGCGATGGAGAGTTGTGAGACTTGAGAGGAGAGGAGTTTCCAGTGAGTAAGGAGAGCTCGGATAAGTGTCGTAGACCGCCCGGGGCAGATCGTGAATGAGAGGTTTGTATGCGTGGTGTAGAGACGATGGGAGTAGTCCGATGAAGGAGGGTAAGACGTCCTTTTGTATCCTGATGTCGACCCAGTGGTCTGTGGCATCCCAGATATCGATGTATAACATCCTTATGACTTTAGACAGAGCTTTTGCTTCATCTTCTGTGCGGATCTGGAAGCGTAGGACTACGTCGTCACCATAACGTATATGGAACCGTGCAGGTAGCCGCGGAGCCACTTCCGGGCTGGAACACTCTTCCTCTCCATTCTTGCCAGGTATGGTCCAAATCTTCTCGATAAGAGAATCTCTAAATCTCTTGAAAGGTCCGCCAGACCTTACTTTCGCGGGGTACGATATCTTCGGCCGCAGCGAGGAATGGCACTGCGCAGGCGGCAGGCAATTGGCGAAGGCAATGAAGATAGCAACTAAAAGGATAAGTCGCAGGCGTGCCATGACGGCAAAATAATGTTATACCAACATTCAATAAGAAGTGATTTGTTCTGAAAAGATCATGCAGAAGAATAGAGGAGATTCTGGGAATCAGACACACGAGTAAAATGGTTGGGAGTTGGTAGTGTAGCAGAGGGGAAAGACGAGACACGAGATGGTACTGAGGTCTCCGTATTCGGAATTGTCTGACGGTGCTTCTTTCCCGAGGGATGTCGTAGCTTCCCGCGAGAAAATCGGAAACAACCACCGTCAGACATTCAACTTCGGCCTGCGACTGCAGAAGAAAACCAATCTCGTATTGAGGATCGACAAGTCCGTTGCGGAGAATCGAATTGACTTATTGATTTACATGCAGCGATGGCCTAGGCGTCTTTCGATTGATGGTCACCAATAACATCAAAATCCACCACGTTATCAAGCTCCAGTATGATAAATGAGCATAGCCTCCAGAATGACTGGCCAACAAGAATTCGCACCTCATGTCGATATACGGTTCATCACGACTAATATGAAGATTTCTTTGCACTCTTTGGTGGGGTGACATTGGCGAGTTCACACAAGGGAGTCAAATCAACGACCTACAGCAAGTCATAATGACCACGACACCATTCAATTTCCTGGCATATTCTATTTCTCGATATGCTTGCTCCGTGAAATGCTATCGTTTCGCATTCGCCATTTTCATCAGATCGTCTCACTAGCGCTCCAAGGACGTCACCACCAAGTTGAGTTCCAAGATCACATTTACACCTTGTATTCCTCAAGACCCCACTTCCAGACGGTGATGTAGGGAGTCATACCGTCCTCACGGAAGTCGACGAGAACATACATGCCGTTCTCAGCCATGGATTCACCCTGGTAGATGTCGTAGTTGTCCCAGTTGCCAAGGATCTTCTTGGCCGCAGCAGGTGCCTCGGATTGGAATTTCTTGATATCTTCCTCGGATTTACCAAGCTCCTTCAGCTTCTCAGTAAGGGCCTTCATGTATTCTAAGGGAAAGTTAATGACCAAGATCCCGAGGTATATGACTCTGACCTACTCTTGAGTTCACTCTGATATGACTTCTTGGTCATACCACCCTCCAACTTCTGGAGTCTGAATTGGTCGGCAAGATCGAGGACTGGTTGGTTGTCGCCAGAGTCATCACCACCGTCTTCGCCATCTTCACCTTCGGCAGATGGGTTGGCACCCTCGAGAACTAGTTGCCTGTCAGATCAAACCCTAGAACGCGCATTGCTTGAAAACAGACCAAAGTTCTCGGCACCCTTCTTGATCATCTTGCCATCAATCTCCCACAAGCCATTGCCGGCGTCGATGATCTTGGAGGTATCTGAGCAGATCTCATCTCCGCTAATGAGGTCCTGTGGAGGAGCGAGTCAGTGAGGAATTCTTTTCAAAGCGGGGCAGAGTTGCGACTGTGGTCTTTTTTGCCAGAATCAGGTAGACGCACCCTGTAGATGATCATTTTGAATGGCTGCTAGAAAAAGGACAGCAGAGAACAGAACAGAACAGTATTGGAGGTCGAGTGTCGAAAGATGGGAAAGAAAAACGCAGGCTTTTTGTTGTTTTCTGTACGAGTAGAGGGGTCCTCACCTCAACCCACACGAAATTCTGGCTCTAGCCCATGCCTGTGGATTCAGCCGTGCATTGTTTTGGGCATCTTAGCCGAGTGCTTGGCAGCGCCCAAACACGTGATGGGGTGATGAGGCACTTTCGGAGACGGAGAAGAGTAGATCCGGCTGATTGATTGTCATCGCAATCTGCGGACAACGCGGGAGGCGAATATTGTATTTTCCTAGTCATCATCAGTTTAAATGACTATGCTCGATCTCGTCCTCCCCTTGAACCTCACTCCACCTCTTCTTGCGCTCATTTCTTCACGTTCAATTCACGTCAATCACGCATGCTCCTCTTCTTTTCTTCTTCTGTCACGCTACTTTAACTCTGCTAAACGATTTACTCACGGCCCTCAGCCCTGTCGCTCCTTACGCTCCTTGTTGCCTCGATATCCGAGTCCTCCGAGTCACCCGTCTTAATATACTTCGGAGCGCCCCTTCGACAACGAGGACTCTTCTTTTGTACTTTTCCACCCTCCTCGTGTATGGTTGACACCATGGCGAACTCTACCCTGCAGGATCTCCCTCCGCTCCCGTCTTACACCCTCGCCTCTCGTCCCTCTATGATTCCTGGCGTGCCGGATATCGTATGTCAGTTGTTGGCTCCTGTGATTGCCTATTGGGTGGTTTCTGGTTTCTTTCACATCCTCGACGTCTTTGATGTTTGCGCAAAGTACCGTCTACATACTCCAGCAGAGGTGTTGAAGCGGAACCATGTCACGAGGTGGGAGGTGTTTCGAGATGTTGTTCTGCAACAAATAATCCAGACTGTCTTTGGACTGGCCGTTGCGTACTTCGATCCGGAGGAGACTGTGGGAAGAGAGGAATTCGATGTCACTCTTTGGGCATATCGTCTTCGTCACGTCCAGCAATACGTCCCAAGTCTGCTTGCGATCATCGGCTTGGACGCCCAGGCCATGGGTGGAAAGCTGCAGAACTACCCTCAACTTGCTGCGGCTCTGTGTGGCGGTACTTATGGGCCTCAGGCTTTCGCTCCTTGGGAAATGTCTACTGCCAAGTTCATCTATTGGATAGGCATTCCTGGCGTTCAGTTCACGGTCGCCATCTTGATCGTCGATACATGGCAATACTTTTTGCATCGGGCCATGCACATGAACAAGTTTCTATATACGACCCTTCATTCTCGTCACCACCGACTTTATGTGCCATATGCCTACGGTGCTCTATACAATCACCCGATTGAGGGATTCATGCTGGATACGTTGGGTACTGGAATTGCCTACCTCGTGACGGGCATGACTATTCGACAAGGAATGTGGTTCTTCACCTGCTCTACCATCAAGACTGTGGATGATCACTGCGGTTATGCATTCCCATGGGACCCTCTCCAACACATCACTTCGAACAACGCCGCTTATCACGATGTCCATCATCAAAGCTGGGGCATCAAGACCAACTTTTCCCAACCCTTCTTTACGTTTTGGGACCGTATCTTGAATACCGCTTGGACTGGTGGCGACGTATCGGCTCGATACCAACGTGACAGGATCGCTGCTCAGAGAAAGGTCGACGCTGATCTTGCCTCCTCTCAAGCATCCGTCGTCAACTCCCCGGAAATCGATATGGAGAATGCTCAGCAGCAAACCCGCAGCAGTCAGAAGCAAGTGCTCGAAAACCAGGACGGTGCAAGAGTTATTGCCGAAGAAGCGCGGGAAGAGCAGGAGGTTAAACAGTCTCTCAGACGGAGCACTAGACGAAAGAGTGGTTTTGATGCCAAAGCCTTTTCAGACCGGATGGCTGGTACTTTACATGGGAGGAGTCCGGCCATCCTCCACGCAGACTGAACCTTTGTGTCCTTTTTCAAAACTCAATCTTGTCCTTTTGCTCCCGACAGAGACAAAGAAAAAAACACAACAACATAGCTGGCGGGTCCAAATTGTCCTTGTTTTGGTTTTTGGGTGACGGGATTGTTTGGGGACTGTTGCGGAAGGATATATGTCTGGGAGGAGTTGAGATGCGTACGAATTATATACAAACGTTTTAAAATATGGGAGGGTCTTATTAGACCAATACCGGTAATATGTACCAACACAGAAAAGGAAGAATGAAGGAGTTCGCAACCCTTTGTTTTCACCACTCCTTTGGTTGCCAAACTCGTAATTTCCCAAGGTTAAATTCTTCACAGCATGTTCGCATGTTGTACTCTATACTCACTGGGTTTTCATCTCTTTATTCCCCATGACTGGCCCAAACTGTCTTACTGTTTTGGTGTTGTGTGGGCTGTGAATGTTTTATGTGTCTTGTCGGAAGGAATCCGAACAAAAGACATTGGAAGAGAGAAGATACTTGGGTACCTACCTAGGAATAGGGGATTTTATTAACGTAGTATCTTGAATATAGGGGTATTATACTCCGTACCAAGTAGTGGAATTTCTGGGTGGGATATCAGAGTACAGTTGACGATATAGAATATACAATTTTGATTTGGCATTGTACTAGACTGTATTAGTATAACGAGCGCCGAAATAACCTCGAAAAGAAAAGAAAAAAAACTCCCCTCCCAGTGATTATGCGACAAATGATGATTGAACGAGAACAGTACTTCGAACGACGTCGGCTGTTCTTTTTTCTTGTTCTTTTTTTCTCGTGTGGAAAGCTACGAGTTTTTCCGGTGATAAAACCAATTCAAATCATCACGCAGTCGGGCTTGACTTTCGTAGAAATCTTCCCACCTCGAGGAACATGTGTCATCAGATGGTTGAGATGGCTGTCGTGATGGTGCGGAGGAAGAAGAAGAAGAAACCGCACGAGGCTTGCTACCGTCATCCAAAATAAAGATGGCCGTCGTAGCCGCACTACCTTGCCCCAAGTTCTTGAACGTGGTGTCGCTGACCATGGTGTGTGTATAGATGGCTGTCGATGATGCTCGAGTGTTCGAGTGTGAGTGAGGATCATAAGTGGTTCGTGGTAATGTTTCGACAGTCGGCTTTGGCCCACACTCACTCGATCTCTCTCCTCTGTTTGGCTCAATATCCTCAATGACAGAATCGGTCGGGAAAGATCCTATCAAATTCTCATACGTCTCTGCCGGACCTCCTGCATCCTGGATTGGGTGTGACTGTGCTGCTGGTGTTGCTGCTGCTTGTGCTTGCTGGGGACGCAGATACAAGGTCGTCGAAGGTGCCCGTGAGACTTGACTGCTCGTCAATGGTTCGGTGTACCAGCTGTCGTTGCAGACGGGAGCTGCTGGTGGGTTTGATTGTGCTGTCAAAGACGGCTTGGCCGTAGGCACGGCTTCTCTTTTCCAGTTCTGTCTGGGTGGAATGTATGGCCCTTGTACCTCCTCCAGCTCTTGCTCCTGCCCTCGTCCCCTCTCCGTCTCGGATTGCCGGGACTTTGATACTGATGGACCGCCCTCAAGATTCTCAATGTCGACACTGTACACCGTTTCCGCTTTGGCTCGCTTCAGAGACATTCGACCTCCGTATGGACTGTGGCCTTTGGAGCTGGGATCAGCGCTGACGTCGGAATCGCTATCTCCATCGATATCGCCGTCAACATTGCCATTGGCGTTGGCGGGTGGAGGTTGTGGTGGTGCCGTCGAATGTCCAATTTGGCCGCCGTGTTCACCGTGCCTCAAGGAATTCACGTGAACGATGCCATTCTGTTTCACCCGAAACTCATGAATCTTGCTTCGTGCCACTTTTAGAGCGACAGCGGCCTTTTCGTTCTCCTCGATAATGTCCTGTTCCAGGTCCACAACCTGCCCGGTCTTTGCTGCAAGGTATTGGTGCAATTGCTGGATCCAACTCTCGATCCAGACTTGCAGACGTGGAAGCCCATGCTTCGCAACGTGCTTGCTCGTCGCGCGCGATCTCACCATACATCTCAGATTGAGCATGGTTTGCAAATCGCCGGCGATCCGACTCACGATGCATGCCTCGCACTGCGACGCCTCGTACTTCCACTTGATATCGTCGGCGCAGCAAATGAATGTCATTTCGAATTCTCGTCGCGGCGTCCAAAGAGCGTGCAGTCGCTGAAGTTCCGTGACGCACTTTCGTTGCCCGGGAGTGAGGAGCTGGCATTGACTGACGAGGCTGTTCAAGCGAGGACCGATTTCGACCTTGATCTTGCTCAGGACGGTCTCCACTGTCTCATGGTCCAAAAAATTGTGAAGGCCGCAGAGGTTTCCCTGCTGTCGAAGGATCACTCTCTCAACCCGGCTGGTGCGTAGGGTGTACGGTAGGGGCTTGATGAGACCTGCCAACGACTTGACGTGCTCGCGGACGTCGACGTCGGGAGGGAACTGGAGGATTTTGGTTAGTGTCGGGACGTGTTCTCGTGGGATATTCTGGATATGCATCTTCGTCGGTTTGTTCCCTTGCTGGGCAAGACCTCTAAGATGAGGGCAGAAAATGGGAAAGAAAATGCTTACCGTGTAAGTGTGTTGTAATCTCAACTGTAGATAGAGCTGAGTTGAGGCGTAGGTGGTCCTACTAAATCTTCATTTTCTCACCTTGCTTTTCTGGTTGTCAACCTTGCAATCCTGTCGTAGACAGAGCTCGGGATGAAAATCAGAAGTCGCAGATACTTTGGAAAAACCAGCATGTCCATGGCGCGAGTCTGAAGATATCCTTCTCCGAGATATCATCCTCACAATGACGGTCACGAGGCTGAAAGGAACAAGGATTAACGAGGAAAGAGACATTGTAATTGTACTTTGTGCGACGGAGAACAAAGACCAACACTAAGACAATTTTGAACGGAATGCAACAAAGAGAATATGATGTTGGATGAGTGAACCAAAGAAGTAACAAGAGAACAAAGACACTGTGGGTGATTTCACGGGCACCAACCTTGATTTCTTGAAATGTTCTGACTCAAGTTGCACCTGTTCTGTTTGGACCAGGAAATTTCCATAGGCGAGATCATATCATAGAGAGACGACTCTTTTTCCATGACACAACAATGATGAGGCTTCAGCGGTTGGTGTTGAGGCAGAGAGTGAAAGATCATTGATAATTCATTCACTAAGTCCATCTTGTATGTCAGCGGGTGTTACGAGAAAGGTCGGCAAAATGCCCAGAGTGCCCATCTGCTGTTGGCTCGCGTTGACCCCGAAGATGTCTCTGCAGGACTGTTTCCATTGTCTTGCTGTCTCGTAGCCTCAATTCGACACTGGATTGATGACGCGTTGCCTGAATTATGGACTTCTCTGGCCTTGTTCAGTGCCGCACAAAAGAGGATTCGAACACCCATGGGAACTCTTGTATCTTCGGCAAGCCACTCGGCAATCCGTAAAGCATCATTGAAGCCTCCCAGTTGATAGTGTAGCGAGCAGATCTCGTCTTGTACCCAGGCCCACTCTCCAGCTTCCAATCGACTTGAGGGTCCGATAAGGTCAGAGGTGAGTCGGAGAAGGGCAGTCAATCTGTCTTTGTAGGGCTCCATGCCAGCTTCGGACCATACGTCGAGCAGGGTGTTCAAGGAATGGCCCGTGGGCAAAGTGCGGGAAGCCAACAGTCGCAAATACCTTACCATGTGGCTTCGAACTTCCCCAAACCGTGCCCAAAGAGGGTACGCATAGAGTCGTAGCAAACGCAAAAATACCCAATAGGGATAATCCTGGAGGCATTGCGACGCCAGAGTGCAGGCGAGGTTGATTTTTTCAAATGCTTCTGATGTACGTTTTGTCAATAGCAGGGGAATGGCGTCGTAGAAGCATTTGTTGAACGCAGCAGGCAAGCCGTCTGGTGGGCTACAATGGGGTCCCTTCTTGTGGCAATCGTAGCCAAGAGGTTTCCATCTCGAGACATTCCAGGCTAGATATGACTGAGTCAGAAGAATTCGCTCGTCCCCTTTGACGGGAGGTGAAAAGACATCGGGTCTCAGTTGCAGGTCAATTTTCGCCTCGAAAGGCAGCGCTGATCGACGTCTTCTGCTTGGACCTGGGATCTTGTTGAACCGCTTGATTCTATCTCATTTGACAGGCTTGCCATATAGTCGAAGGGACGAATTGCCGCTTCCTTGGGTTTCTTTGACAGTGTCACGCACTCGACGTCGTTACCCAATCAGGCTTAGCGCCAAGATAGGGCACTGCCCGCGCTCGCACATTTACTCGCGCAGCCCTCACCATAGCCTAGTTCTAGTTCCTCGTGTTAGTTATTTCCGTCAATGAGACTCCTATTGTTGTGAGATCCTGATAGACAGTATCAGAGATTGCCTTCTTATCGGTGGCTTTGTCGTTTTTGAATGCCTGCCAGTGCGCAATCCGTCTCTTGTATGCCTTCTCCCTGGACCTCGCGTGTCAGCTAGCCATGCCCCCAAGCGAGGTACTAATAAGAACGACTTGCGTTGCATGAAACCCACACTGCTCGGCCAATAGCCTTTGCCCCTCGGATAGCTTCCTCCCCTGATGGACGTACAACTCGATGAACATGCCCTTGATCAAGGCCCATTCTTCGGAAGAAGGCCCCTCGAGCACCATCAACCCGGACGCGTCGCTCGGGGGTAATCTCCCAGTCACAGCGGCAAACATGTGCACTGAGTGAGGTTTGTCACATCATTGTCGCTCTTCTTCGGCTGTGATGATCTGGTGTTCCCTCCAGCATCGAAAGAAGTTACGACACTCGCTTGTTGCAATCAATCTCGATCTTGGTTCAATGGCCTGATACCTAAGAGGGTCGTTGGTGGCCAGAAAGACGTGGCAAACCGGGCGTCAGTGGTGCCGAGGCATTCCCGATTTCCAACACGAAGAGGCTACTAGACCAAGGCGGCAAAACAAAAGTCTCGTGCAGCTGCAAATGTAGGGCTGAATTGTAGCGTGTCAGGCAGGACGATATAATTCGGTTCTGGTGACGCAAGGCTGATTTGATAAGGGTGATGGAATTGGAGCTCCATTCTTTCGCCTGGAGACCTGTGTATTCAGAGACAATGTTGCCCGGTTTGCATGACTTATCAGAATACTCCGTATCCAGCTCCGCTACTCCGTAGCCCCAGCGTGAAACCCGGGTTCGTCTTGGGAGCACTAACTTAGGTATCGACCAATCGCCTCAATCTAAACCGTTTCCCAATTTGATCGGCTCTGCTCCGGACGTTCAAATCCAGCGAGAAAGCCTTCTATCATTCCGGAACCGCCCAGTCCCATCTTCTTACTGTGGTTGTTGAACTCCTGGTCGAACCAATCGTCTTCCGCCAAGGTGCCAACGTACAACGCCCATAGTCGCAGGGCTGGAGGGTCTCCAAAAGTGGCCACTAGCAACTCACGTAACCTTGGGATAATGACTCTCCCGGAGTCGAACATTGTCTTTTCACAAATAGTCACTCGTTCCATATCTGCCGCCCGCCGAATTCGATACACCGCCGCCAGGGCCGTGTATTTCTCCACTTGGTCTGTGATATCGTGATAATGGTCGAGCAGAGTTGCCAGGGCGTGGAGGCACTTGACTGCTGCGGCATCTCGACTGCTCTGTGGAGTCTCGTCTCTCTGAAGTGCGTCCAAAGCAGTAAGCGCTCCGCGCATCTCTGTCGTGATCCATTCGAGGGGCGATTCTTGGCCACCGTGTAGGCTCTTTGTCGGAGCTCGAGAGTGAAAGAATTCGCCCTCAAGACTGGCCCAGGAATTGTCGTGCATCAGGAAGCGCGTTCTCGTCAGAGTCATTGCTGCACGTTGGACATCCTGGTATAGCACACTGATGAGATCATTGAGATCCAGGCCGTAGTGTTCGTTGATGGCTGACAGCAATTGGACGTGAACATCGGCCGCCTCATAATTGCGGCACCATGATTCCGCAAACATCAGAGATAGAACTGCTCGAGGAAGTCTGTTCGACTCTTGCAATTGTGGCAGGCTCTCTCGAAGTCGCCGCATGGCTTCAGCCTTCAAGCTGAGCGCTTGATTGTAACCCCTAGGATCTGAACAGCGTGCTTTGATGGCTGCAGTCCTCGCTAAATACCCAAACGCCGCCACATCGTCTTGTAGATATGCGGTAGGAGAGACCCTGCGGATTGGGCAGCGGGACAGAGCAGGAACGATAGATTCTAGGTCGAACTGGAGTAGGCCCCGAATTTCCTCGGTGGCAGGTAGTGGCAGGGTGTCCAATGGACCGAGCTCGGCGGTGGCATGCTTCTCGACTGCTTGTGCATGGCGTTCTTGAGGCGTTTGAAGTGTCTGATACAAGTCGAGAGCGGAAGCTCTTAGCTTCCACGTCCGTTGCAGTCGTTCCAGTTTTCGATGTGCTGCAACATGACGGAATACTTGGCTCTTGCGTGAAGAACGACTCTTGATATCTGCTTGGTTGTCGTGATGTATCCAAGAATGTAGCTGCGTTGGTGGGATCATTTTGTCGTTGGCGTTGAAGTTGACAGTCGACGGGATGCCCTCTGGCGTTCTTATATGCCCTTCAGGTTCCCTGCTATAGTGTACCCGCCTGGATAAGATGTTGCTACCCGTTGTATTCCAAGTAGCGTTAGTAAGGATGCATTAGTCATTCTTGTCCTTATGGCGAGGCTGAGGGGCTGACCGGGGGGCTATCTGATAAAGGCATGGAGAGCCGCATCCTAAGTCCGGCAAATCCAAGGGTTAGACCCGACCGGTGGAAGTCTGGCCAGTTCGCTTAGCGAGCCATTGCACCAATCTGTCTTGCAGCTGAACCAAGCCTCTGACGATGAATATAAGCGACCCTGTTAAGATCACATCTGGGAGAGCTTACGGTGAGATGTCAGGAGCAGTTCAGAGCGTGGGGTTGAATATCAGAGCTGCCAAGTCACATTTTGAGCATAGTACAGGCAAATGGCCCCAGACAACTTCCGTCAGGTATCGCCCTTTCATTTCGCGATTCGAAGCAATTACCCGAAGTGGCCTGTTCCTACGGCCAATTCTGACGAGTAGCAGGCACTCAAAGCGATCTCGGCGACAATCAACGGGTGTCGCCAGGAGAATACCTGCCGAGGTTTGCACGAATAGACGAACGTCGTCTTCAAGTTTGGTGTCTCTGTATATCCTAACGTCGGGGAGAGCTACAAGGCTACAGCTCAACAAGAAGTGAGTATAATATACTGCTTCGAGGGCAAGACAAACTTGTCATGTCATAGATCCATGGATACTCCGTAATTTGGCCAGAATGAACTCCCCGCCACGTGACTGACTAGACCCAAAGGGGATCACAAACACGGATATAATCCGTTCCTTATGTAGGGCCAAGGGGTATATAGGACGAAGTATCCGTATTGCTCAGCGAGATCTAACAATAGAGATCGAAAGTGATCATGTTCAGGATGGTGATTGACTGGTCATCGTTTGTCAATTGGACCAGGGTTAGATTGGGCAATTGCTTATCAAAATAGCACAACGGTAGAGTTCCACAGCCCCCAGGTAGATTGAAGCCTCGTCGATCAACTGCGACTTCTCCATCATCCAAACCCGTTCCCACCGTTGTTCAGGTGTGCCTTTATCAGCTTCCAGCAAGCCACTGACATCTGCGTCCCACTCCCTCAGAATGTCTGACGATGCTTTTGGAAAGGATGTTGATCACGCCGGTGGTCAGAGAGCCGTCGTGAACGCAGCACGATGCACCTGTCGATATGAAGCTTTTGCCCACTCTCCCCTTTGAGATACCCGCATTAGCTGGGGATCTGAAACTGATGAACGCTATGAAAATGACGTCTGGATTCGGAAACATCTGACCAAATTGCTATTACACTAACTTGATTGCAGCTCTACATGTCGACTCGGTTACGTCTTTGTTCTTTGGTCAGAAGCGATATCAGACTACTGTATGTACCCTTTAGCGCGCGCTGCCCGCTGGCGCTATGATTTTATCTTGTCATCCTTCCGCTTCCATCTCGTACGCGTTAGACTTGTGCTTGGGTACGAACTGGAAATCTTTGTGGGCAGGACCTAGAAACATCTCACTACATCTCACGTCAGTTGAGGTGCCCAAAAGAGAGAACAAAAGGCGGGTCAGACGATGCTTACCTGAGTTTGATCCAGTCCAAGTAGTTGTCGCTAGCCATGAGCGTCTCCAGCTCGTCTCTGCCCTTGTATCGAGGAGGTCGATCTTGAATGTTCGGAGGCAGATATTCAAGCAAACCGACGGGGACGTAGCGGCAAGCGAAACTGAGCCACTCGAGCAGAAACCTCCGAGTCTGTCCTACCCCCATCTCGTCACTTCCCCATGCCTCCAGACCGTAACGACAGAACTTCTCGATGATTGAAAGTCGTTCCGACGAAGACTTGTCAATGTACTGTCCTGAGGCGATCTCTTCGAACAGCCACGGCTTGATGAGAGCTCCTCTGGCGGCCATCACACCATCGACTTTCGCGTGTTCAATGTGGTCGTAATAATGTTCATGAGAGTAAACGTCTCCATTTCCGATGAAGAACACCTTGCCGTGTCTTGAACCTTTGTGGCCGTTGGGCATGTCTCGTTCGTCCGGTTCGTGAATGGTGTCCGCCACGCCGTCTGCTTTCTCGTTGAGATTCTTGATCAGCGCTGCAGTCTCTGAGATGTAGTCCCAATCTGCCGAGCGGGTGTATCTTTGCTGTCTCGTCCTACCGTGGAGGGTGATGGCCGCTACTCCGCAAGGGTCGCCCGCAGTCTGGCCGGCACCCAGGACAAGTCTCTCCACCAGTTTCTGCGCCGTGGGATGCTTGTCCTTTGTGCCCGTGCGAATCTTGACCGTGACGGGAGTCTCGCCGGACACGAGATTCATTCCTCGGAGCATTTTTTCTAGTTTTGGTGGACTGTCCATGAGTGCCGAACCAGCGCCATCTCGGAAGACCAAGTCGATAGGGCAACCCACGTTGAGATCGACCACGCGGAGGCCCTTGGGGAGGAGAGTCGTCAGTATTTCGGTGGCTTTGATCGCAAGCCATGGCTTGTTTGCCGCGATCTGGGCACCGAAGCAGAGATCTTTGCTCTGATCATAGTCGTAGACAATATTCTTTCCACCCTTGAGGGAGAATGTCGGTGGCTGCACTTCCGATTCGTGGGCTTTGATCAGGGCCCACTCGGACTTTTGACCTTGCATCAAGGGCAACGACATTGCCATCTCCGAATACGTGAACGTGGCCCCGAGCGAAGTACACAACCGCCGGAAGGGGAGGTTTCCCTGCGTTGTCAGAGGCGCAAGGACAGGTGTCTCGGCTCCAAAGTACAATCTGCGCTTCTCAGAAGGTCGCAAGGGAGGATCGACGAATGTGGCACGTGAATCGAGTTTGTGGTCACCGTTCACGGCGCCTTGTTCGGGATCAGGTTCAGGAGAAGAAGAATTGCGATGGGATCGATCCGGTCGACCAGCTTCTAACCGCTGTCTCTGCCCTTGAACTTGAGTGTCAAGCCACTTCAAGAACTGATCTGACTTTGGTGTCCCAACCTTTCGCCTGGTAAGATCGAATCGTTGCTGTGGGGTGATGGCATTGGCAACTCCCGGTCCTTCTTCCTCTACTGATGTTGCTGCGTACTCGGCCATTCGTGTCTCATCCTGGACCAGGATCAGTTCTCGCCGTCCGTCATCACGTTCAACCTCTTTCGAATGAGATCCAACGAAACGGCATTTCCAACCGACAGGACACCTTCCCTTTGTCTGCCATACTGGACACACACCGTCGAAAGTAGTCAGATCCTTCCGCTTGTGTTCCTGCAAGTACCTCCGCAGGTCATGTTCGAACTTGCACTTGTCCCCAAATTTACACTCGTCCGGGGAGAATTCGGGGTGATGTGCGCGAGAAGTGCACAGGCCCACCTGGTCTCTTGAGCTGCCGAAGTCTCGAGCCTTATTTTGACCAGTCTTCTTCTCACGACGTTTGGATTTACCATTGTGACCGAGAGCTTGTCTGTCCTTATGGTGGAAAGCCTCTGCAGCATCATCATCGACCTCGTCTTGTGGAGGCCTGGGTTCGACAATATCGTCTGACTTGACGAGATATTCTTCCTTGATTGGTGCTGTCCCTTTGCGACGCTTGTCATCCCTGGCATCCAGCTTTGAGTCCATCGGGCCTAGATCGTCAACTTTGCGCTTAACTGAAGTTGAAGAGGCTTCGGCCGCGAAAGCCGAGTCAGAGTTTGATGTACCGGGAGGGTGAGAAATGTTATCGGCAGATGCCTGCGTTTGGGCTGAAGAGGCGTCGGTCATTATGCATTAGAATTCTGGGAAATCATTGACGATGACATGAAATTTACCGGCGAGTGATAGCTACTCGCACAACTAGTTCATCGACGTGAAGTTGAAGTTTCCAGTGTGGGAATGGTGGCGCCAAGACTTGTATCTTGTAGAGTAGCCGAAGTATTGCCGACTTCATTGCGGCTCTCCCAGGGCACTCATTGTATGATGTAGTACTCATATGTGTGTATGGGCTAATGAGACGTCGATGACATTCATATCTCCTTTGAAAGTGGTCAAGATATCCAGTTTCAGTCATGGCTGGTTCAGGTGAGCGGCCATTGCAGTCTTCACAAGAGAGACGTGTCGCCGTAGTGACTTGTGGAGAGCGGCCTCGAGTTGTGAGGATCTCTCATCGATCAGAACCAATGGCATCACAGAGACCGAATGCCTCAGGGTTTTGAAGGAATGAATTTAGCAACATCCGCGTATTCGTGTTCAGCTCCAGTTTTCTGGTCGCCTGGTTAGGAACATCACGCCTTGAGGTTTGTATGCTGGCCCGGCATTTTGGCCAACAGCATCACTAAAGGAGGGGACCACTCTACATCTTTCCCCCTTGATCGCGCTTCTTACGGCTCGGGCGAAGTAAGAAAGAGAGACCTTGCCGTCACTCGTTATGGCATCTGTCTGAACGTGGCTATGCATCTTCTGAAACACGGTGTTGGAGCATTGGGGCCAACTCCAAAAGGGGGAAGGCTAGTTCATTTCATCCTCCAGGCAACACTATTTCGCTATAAGAGGACCGACCACACACGGCTCGACCTATAATAACAATCAACGTTCGCTTCGAATCTTTCGACGAGTTCTTTGTTCAGGCATCTTGACCTTCGTGTACTTTCTTTTACTCACATCCACCGCAACTCGTTGATTTTTTTGCGGCAATGGCAGCGGCAGCTCACCACGAATACTCTCCCCGCCCCCCGATGGCGTCCAGAATCCGAGAGAATCTCAATGTCAACGTCCAAAGCACCTACAGCAGGCTGAATCTTGACGACCGTATCCGTTGTGTGCTCATCTACAACGATGCGGTGGCCTTGAGCCTTGGGTTTGCTTCTGGGGCGTCGACCGGAAAAGCCGTCTTCCACGTCCTCGGCGCGTTCCTTTCTTTCTCATTCTTGATGAACATCCCTATCGTCTTGGTAGCCACTAGAGCAAGACGCACTCAAGGAGCACTGATGCTCCGGGACGGCAATCGCGCGCCCTCCCTTTCGATCCTCGCTCTCGATGTCTCCATCGTTGTTGCCTTGTTGATCCTGTACATCATTACCACTGTCGAGGCGACCTCTTCATACTCATGGGAGCCGGTCGTCATGATGGTATACGTTTCCATCGGAGCGCTTGTGGCGATGTGAGTCCTCCCGTCACGAGAGAGATGTCCTTCTGGATAGCTGCAACGCTCAAGACACGTTGGGTACTGGGTGATGCTGATAGTCCCGTCTAGGATAATTCACGGATGGCTAGCTGCCTCGGCCCTTGTTCGATACGTCCGCTATCGACGCTCCCTGGACAAGGAGAGATGTCCTCACTGCCATACACCATTCACGTTCCGCGTGGAAGACCCGAGGAGTGCGTTTCCACAAGTCGATTCACCATCATCTGGTGAGTAATAGTCCGCTGCCACAAGAAATCATGCTGAGAATATACTTCAGCTGAAGACGAAGGTGACACTCTGCTTGCAAAGGACCAAAAGTAGGCAATTGGGCATGCTTGACAAACTCGGTTGCATAAGCAGAAACATGCCAGAAAATCAGAACATGGGATAGAACCTGGATGTCCAGGGCTTCACATGTTGACAGAGGAAAAGTCCTGCAGTGACAGTACAGGAATGGCCATACGGAGAAAGTATGATGCTGACGTTGGTCTCGCTTAGCATGAAGGGCGTCAGCCGGGTATGTGGCGTTCGGCATGTGCGTTGATTCCATTGACATGTAAGGTGATATAGTCCTCACACTCGTTTAGCTAGTCTATGTCTTTTTAGTGAAATCCCTTTGACTTGTTCCGTTAGTGATCCGACATCGTCAGTCCCAGTTGGGTTTGCCATGCGGCCTTGCGAGCCGTTACCAGCCGAGCTTCATGTGGCTCGGTGTGAGGACCCCGTGGAGCTGAAGGCAAGTTCGGCATCTACGTGTCGTACTTTTGCCTGTCATTGGAATCTGCACAAACGGAGGAATGGTGAAAATGCCAGTCTACGTGTATGTTGCCGCCGCCAAGACCTTTTAACTTGTTCTGCCGTTGCATGTACAATATACACCCATGTCACATCGGTCACGGTTCAATGGGTTCTGGTTCAGCTGAGCCAATATTCTAGAAGCTAAGCACGGAACGTCCGTCGAGTGGCGCAGGTGGCGCTGAGGCAATCCGTCATTTTCTCTGGCGGGTTACTCGCGAGCATGGCTCTCCGGGGGTCAAATCAAGCTTCTGCGAGTTCACAAGGCCTGCATTGTATCTCGGTCATATGGACACTTAAGTAAGAAGATAGCACAATTGGTGAATCGTTGATCGAAAGGCACTAGGTTTTATTAAATTGGAAAATAAAGCCGGCCAAGCGTCGGATCGGCCATCACGCACATGAACTTTGTTCGTAGATCAACATGCTGCGAGTCAGATAGGAGTGGTTGCGATGAAGGCCGCTCTTTTGAGGTTGAGTGCGAGTACTCGTATTACCAGAAGAATAAAGAAACGATGAACAGGAGACTCAATTGCCGCTACGCACGGCAATTGCTTGTCGTTGTCGTCAAGCTCGTCATGATCGGCACTGGTTGAAGCTGGATCGACGAGGAATCTCCGATGATTATTGATGCCCAAGTGCCCCTGTTGGGTGGTTGGCATCCCCCTTGTAGGCCGCCTGAATCAATCAGTGGAATTTGTGGCGAAAGGCTGTGTTTTCGACCGGCAGAGTGCTACACTGTCTACTCAGGTCAGCTGTGGCTGACAAGGCTATCGAAGAAATGCCGCCATGCATGAGACATGGTGGGCAAGCATGTACAGCGAGTAATGGTGCAAGCCTCGGCATCTGACGAAGCCTCGGGCAGTATGCTTCCTTGCCTGAATATTCGTGCATCGGGGTCTCCACCGCCTATTGAGCCTGAGGGCAATGAAGCGGACACCAAATTTTCTCCCGGAGCGCACCGCATGCGGCAACCAAATCGCCTCCCATCTCCAAATAGGGATCGAGACGAAACGTAATGATGCTTGAGTCTTGGGCTTTTCCAGTGGCACGACTGAAAGCAGGAGTGGCCGCCGTCGTCCCAAGCTCCCGGTACCACTGCGGCGAGGGCTTGCGTCAAATTTCTCACTGCCCATTCCCGAAGCAGCGCCCGGTACTCGTACCTGCATCGGGTGGGAAACTATTAGTCAACGTATCCAGAATAAAAGGCCAGCCTTGTTTGGTGGTGTTGGGGGGTCGTTCGAGCCTCGTTGAAAATGGGCTGAGGCATAAGCTAGCCCTGCTGTTCCTTTACTCGTACAAATCGGTCTCCCTACTGCGTGCACGGCTAATAAACGCTGGCCGGTGTACGTACAGTAGTGTCGGCCATCTGGTTGGTTTCAGGTCCTTAGGTTGAGCCACCGGCGTACAGTAGATTGATCGCATCATGCGTCGATCTAGATTGGTGACCAGTATGGCACGGTGAAGCAATAGATGATTCTTTGTGACAATGGCGGATGTTACAACGGCCCTGGTATCCTGAATTGGGATGCATGAGAACGATCCAGTAGACATTGGCATCTGCTCGGATCATCAGCCCGCGTGAGATCCATTAATGCAGATTGACAGCTTGTGTGCTCCGTTAACGATATTCGCATCAATTAATTGCTGCGAGGGGTCCTGCTCTCAGACAGGCCCAACCAGAGAACCATGTCTGACCAGACAAGGCTCCTTAGGCCAAGCCTATTCCCTAGCTGCGTGATGATCAGCAAGCCGTGCTCCTCGCCTAGTACTCGTACTTGTACAGCGACCACCTGCCCAGTGCAGTCCGGCCTGCTCGTCCGCTCTTTGCATCACTATGATTACATGGTGACCACACCCTCCTGCACGAACACGCATCAAGACGTCGGAGTAATGGATGCCATCTGCTCGTGTTGCACAGAACGAAGAGCGTATTTGCCAGGACATCCCTGCCCATCATTGCGAGATTACGCTCAGCAGCGGTGGTTTAATGGAGGACAAACCCCACCATACATCCGATAGCCCGAGAAACAGGTATCCACGTACGCTTCTCGAAGCCAAAGGGATCCAGCTTGCCACGTGACGCCACAGGGGAATTCGAGACTTGTATAGTGGGTAGATGTTTGTGTAACATTCTGCCATCTCTTCAGCCTGGGGACTGAGGCTGTGAAGTGTCTCAAGGAGAGCTTAACAAGCTCCGACTGTGATCAGTTGAAGAATACCTTTCAGCAGGCGCGAGACAGACTTCGGGTCAAGTCTGGGACAGACCCCGATTATTACCGGAAACTGCAATGTGTCGGGTCATCTATGATCCTTAAGACGCGCATCGCAGGCAGACAGAGCGTTCATTAGATTTGGTTGTTTTGAGGAAGAGAGTGGGCGGAACCGAGACTGAAGAGTCAGCCCCTAACGACAATTGGTGGCCGTTGGCTCCATACAGCGTGGTCGAGCAGGCTGCTTAGCTTGCCGAATGTCCCACCACAAGGCCCTGGTTAGTTCCAGGGTCCTGCAATGGTCAATCCTATCAAGGCTAGGTTAAATCTCGTAGTTTTCGTGATGAACAGCGGATGGCTTTTCCCGCCTTATTTGTTACTCGTGCTCTTCCTCGTAGAGCCCGAGGAAATATAAACATCTTTTCGTCATAAAGGTTAGTTTGAAATCACGATTGTTACCTGTCAAAAGGGTTGTTGGCTACGGATTGTTGCCGGGAGCTGTCACCACAACAATTGATGAAAGAATCGACGAGCAAAGGAGTGGTACAAGCATTAATCGACAGCCACTCTGCAGAATAAGGGTCTTATACGGTGCCCTTCGACTGGAAACTCCCTGGCTTAGGGTAACAAGTCTCCATTTATAATATTATTCCGGTAAGAAGCCGGCTTTCGCAGTCCACCGCGCTCCATACGAAGTTTCGGTGTTTGTTGAGAAGGCTACCAGGCTACCAGGCTACCACGGCTACCAGGCAGTAATAACAACCACGACGGGCTGATTATTATTCTGACCAGTGCTGGCCACTTCTCGGATCGATCTCTGGCTCACCTATTGTAGAGATGTGGTGCGTGGCCAATACGTGTCAGGATCTTGCGTCAATGCTCGCAACTAGTGGACTTGTAGTCGATACCAAAGCGAGGATCTCAAACGAGTTTCTGGAGCGTTGAGCCGGCCGTGCTGCGGATATATTGATTGCTGTCAAGTCCTCGATGCGGGAAAAGATGGGATGGCCAGGAGCAGCAGCCTTCTCTCCAAGGGCGCCCATGTCCATGTCCTGGATCGAGTCAGCCGTGCCTATTCCTTGTAAACGCACGGAATAGTAAACCCTAAGAAAACACAACTGAACTGTAAGCGTGCCTGGCATGTCGCAAATGGGGCCTCGGGAGAAAATGATGGGTCGGAAAGGACGGTGGGTGCGTTCGAGTCGAATGGTAATGGGCTGAGTGCGGAAATGATGGAAGAGGTGAGGCCCCACAGCGCGCAGACACCCCCCCGGCACAAATGCAACTCTGGTTCTAGGTGGTCTAGCGGGCGCTGTGGGCAATCAAGGGCGTCAGTCGGTGCTTGGAGTGTGAGCCCACCAGCCCGCGCTAAAGGTGTCTACGGAGGATCTAATGGGCTATTGTATGGGCGAACCCTGGCTCACTGGCTCGCCTGCTAAACTCTCAGGTGCCCGGCTCCTCATCCACTCGATTCGAGTCGACCTACCATCGACAATACTTTTGTGCTCGTACCCTCCATCTTCTCCCTCATCGATACTTATCCTGCCTCGTGCTTGCTCACCGACTCGATAGATTGTATCTTCAACGAGGGCGATTTACTCACACCAGTAGACGACAAGACATCGCCTTGTCCTTGTATCCCGCCGGCCTCTCCTTGTCGCTCATTACAACTCAACGGATTCGCCGCGCCCCTCGACATTTCAGGTATCGCTCCGAGTCCGCCTCATCACGTCACCGCCCGATATCAGCAACATTATCGCAAGCATTCTTCCACTCTCCTCGATTCCATTTCAACGAAACTCTGCCATATAAGTCTATGTTTGATTACGAAGAGAGTCCTCCGCCACTACATCACTCGCCGTCTCCGAGTGATCGGTCGCAATTCACGTCTAGAGATACCACTCCCGTTACACCGGTTGACAGCGGTCCCTCTTTTGGGCGAGCATTCGGCAAGAAGCCAGAGAAAACCGTTCTTCCCTGGTTCAAGAAGCCGATTGACGTTGGACGTACTACTACGAGACTCTGCCTCGACAACTCCTTACTCGAGCCCGACTTCGACGATAATACCTTCCCGACCTTCGGCGCATCGCCACCTATCCGGGGCATGGCGAGCGTAGCCAACCCTCTCGACGTCTCGACACGACAAACATCGACCTCGCCACGTGGTAATCAGCCGTCGAACCTGACTTCGGCCTTGCAGAGAAGCGACAGTGAAGAAAAGAGAAGGATGGCGAACGCTCCGGCAGAGACCGCCTTCAACCGACCGATGCCCCAGATGCCCTCTAACGCTTCCGATGACTTTGCAAAGTTCGAACGTGGGGCACGGCCGATTGCGATGAAGGGTGCTCATAATGACAGACAGGCCCGACGAGAGAGTATTGCCCAAAGCATTAATGCAGGCATGAGTTGGGGAGGGATTTCAGTCGGAAGCTGGATTAGAGATGAGTCCGTCACAATGCCTCTCCCGCGGTCAAGGTATTTTGCTCACATTTCACAGTATGATGATGTCTGGAACATCCCCCTTTGCCTTCAATTCCCCCTCTTTCCAATCCGCGTCCTACCTTCCTAAGCTGGAGGCCAATTTCATGAAGGATTTCTCATGTTGTGGCCTTACACTACCTACTCTGCATGATCTGCTCCAACACTATGAAGAAGCCCATGCGCAGAAAGACCCTTCCGGAAATGAGCATCAGCACCCTGTTCCCGACAGCCGGGCGGCCCTCGCTGCCACGACTGCGGCCCAAGTTCAACAAGAAGCTCAACAGCGAAGCCAACAGCAGCATCCTCAAAATACCCCTGGCCGGCCATTTGGATCGCAACCATCTGCATCGCAGAACCCTTCACGACAGACGGGCTTTGCAAGCACACTGCAGACGATTCCTGACATGGATACGGTTGAAGATATGGAGATGGACGACATTGACGGCACCGACGAGACAACTCCGCCGCCCAACATGTATACGTCCAACCAGTCGCAAGCCTCCCCACAAACCTCTTTCAATGCTACGGCACAGCCGCAAATTCCTCAATTGAACACATCAATGATGCAAGGACATCAAGCATTCCGTCAATCCACGCCTAGCACGCCTGTGGCTTCGGGTCGGCCAAATGCCGCATTTCAGGGCAACAATGTCTCGTCCACCCTCATGGCCAACCCAATGCAGCAGTTCCAAGACTTGCAGAATCCTTATCGCGGGACCCCGGACTCTTCGGCGCCTGGTACGCCCGGAGAATTGGACGATGGTCTCATGAACGGTATGGACGACATGTCCATGTCGAATAACCTGTACAGCAATATGCCCAATGGATTTGGTGGTTTTGGGTTCGGCATGAACAGTGACATGATTGATCTTTGCATTGACGAGCCTGCCAAACGGCTATTCTCTCACGGGACTCAGGGCATGCAGTCGCAAAACGTGATTCACAACCGACTGGGCTCTGGCCAATACGGCGCAGATAGTGAAATTGCCCGAACGATCCGTGAGCGGCAAGCCGCGGCTGGCCTGCCAGACACCACAACTAATATTCTTCCCCATGAAGAACCGAAGCCTTTCCGGTGCCCTGTGATTGGTTGTGAGAAGGCTTACAAGAATCAAAATGGTCTTAAGTATCACAAAACAGTAAGTCATGAGCATTCCATGTTTCTCCTCTCGAGCATTTGACTGACTTGTTCGCAGCATGGTCATAACAATCAGCGACTGCATGAGAACGGCGATGGCACTTTCTCGATCGTCGACCCCGATACACAAGCACCCTACCCTGGCACTATGGGCATGGAGAAAGAGAAGCCATACAAGTGTGAGGTTTGCCAAAAGCGATACAAGAACTTGAACGGGCTCAAATACCACAAGCAACACTCTCCTCCATGCAATCCGGAAATGCAGTTGAATGCGAACAAGAGCCCGACCATGGCCATGCCCAACATGATGGGCAACGCTGGGAATATGGGAGCTGGTCTCTCCGCTGGTGGAGATATCAACATGATGTGACACAAGACATGATACCCCAGACGACTCCAGTCATGAACATATTCTGCTTCACTTCCTCCAAGCAGCACGACTTCGGTGGTGAGAAATGCTCTGGATTACTACTCTGATTATTACCTTTAATGATGCACCACGGCAACCCTTCGGATTTACAGCATCCGAAAGCACCACGAAGATGGTCTGACGGGTGCTCTCAGTCGAAGCGGTCAACGCTACGAATGTTCCATGTTTTGTTTACGGCCACACGGAAAGAAGATAGAAGAGCAGTCTGCGTTTTGCGAAAAGTCGATTTTTACGGGACGGGGAATGGTTTGGGTTTTTACAAAAGGACTTCAAGAGCTTCTGATAAAGGTGGGCCACTGTTTGAGCCCGAGGCGTTCAGGACCAGCTGTAGCAATTTTTCTCATGGGTGGATTTGTGAAGAACGGACAAAGCGTCTATTATCTGAGGTTTCAAGGAATGAACGAACGGCTAGAAAGGTCCCTTGTGAAATGGTATGTACAGGAACTTTTGGATGCGACTGGAGCCATAACCCAGGGCTGGAAAATGTTGTTGTTACTGCTATTATCGCCTAGATGTCCACTCTTGCGCGTATTTACTGCACATATTCAATGAATTGGTTGTGGTCGAACTGTGCCGACTCTCGTAGACGTGGCTGTCATAGTAAAGACACTGGAAATGGAGTAAAGCAACAGCGGAGGATGCTTTTCGTTGCCCAGCAAGTTGTGCATACAATAAAGAGACAGGCTGTTCAAAATGCCTGTCGAGTGTGTCTCAGGTGTCACTATTGTCATTTTTGCCTGTTGGGGCTGTGAGATGTGGACATTTTGCCTTTTTCATCACAGGTTGACGCGTCGTGGGGTGGATGTGTGTGCGTGTGTGGGTGGGAAGGGGTTTTTTTGCAAGGGAAGAAGAAAATAGACCACCAGATACCGAAGGGAGGTAGTCGTAGAGAGAAACCTGAGACCTGGGACTTTCGGCCATCTGCGACAAGAACGATCTCTATTAGGTATTCGGTACCAGTAGCGACAACTGAGTCGTACCTAAATCACCACACACCAAACAGGGCGCATTTTTCTCCGCTGCGGGCTGCACTGTCTTGCCCCCTGGTCGAAAGTCATCCTGTCCGTGTGGCTCACAACACCTCTCACGAACGCTGAGAATTGTCTCCTCCTTTGCAAACCCCTCTCAAATTGTGTCTGCTTGCTGCGCATTATCACACAACCTTCCTTTGGAAAACTGTCACTCGTTCGTCTGCACGCGCAGGCCTCGATCGCAAGTCGCTCAATATAGAGCGCCCCCACACACTGAATAAGCCCACGGAGTTCGGCCACCTGTTTCAGACACCAACCTGAAGAAACAAGCTACTTACCTCGAGTATCCAGCGAGCCCTAGAGCGCATCTCGGCGCATCAGTACAGTCACTCGACCACCTCACCTTTCAAATCGATCGCACGTTTGCCCTAGCCCGAGTCGAGAATCGCGACGGGTCCTCCTGCGACCCCTCTACACGCACGCGCCCATGTTTAACATGCTGGAAGACAAATACATTGGCCTGGCCCTTGCTATAACATCGACGCTGGCCATCGGCACCAGTTTTGTCATCACGAAGAAGGGTCTCAACGATGCTGCAGACAAGCATGGATTTGAAGGAGAGGGATACGCCTACCTCAAAACTCCGCTCTGGTGGGCTGGAATAGCTTCACTCGTGGTTGGCGAAGTGGCCAACTTTGCAGCTTATGCTTTTGCGCCTGCGATTCTGGTAACGCCTTTGGGCGCTCTCAGCGTGCTTATTGGAGCCGTGCTTGGGGCATATTTTTTGCATGAAGAGCTCGGCGTTTTGGGCAAACTGGGCTGCGCTATATGTCTGCTGGGGTCGGTTATCATCGTCCTACACGCTCCTCCGGATAAAGAAATTGAGACGGTGGACCAGATTCTGGATTTCGCTATTAAGCCTGGTAGGTCGAGACGCTATATAGATGATCGCACCGCCAAAGAAACTAACCATGGGTGTCACAGGTTTCATTCTCTATTGTCTTGCTGCCATCGTTTTCTCGACGGTCATGATATACAAGGTCGCGCCTGTGTACGGAAAGAAGAATCCCTTGATCTATATCTCCATCTGCTCGACAGTCGGGTCGATTTCGGTCATGTCAGTCAAGGCATTTGGCATTGCCCTGAAGCTGACTTTTGCGGGCAATAACCAATTTTCCCACCCATCGACTTACGTCTTCATGATTGTGACGATAGTGTGCATTCTGACCCAGATGAACTACTTTAACAAGGCCCTCAGTCAATTCTCGACTTCGATCGTCAACCCTCTGTATTACGTTACCTTTACGACAGCGACGTTATGTGCGTCTTTCATCCTATTCCGGGGTTTCAACACCACAGACGCTGTGAACACCATCTCCCTCCTCTGTGGCTTTCTGGTCATCTTCTCCGGCGTATATCTTCTCAACCTGTCTCGAGGCGACCCTGATGGAAATCGTATGTTGAACGGTAAGATTCCCGACGAGGATGGAATCCCCACCGATGGTCTTGCTGGTCTTCATACGAGGAGGAGCATGCAAGCGCGACGAAGTTTCGATCCCCATAGGCGGAGTAGCAGCCTCACCTTTAGCCCTGGAGGCCTACGGAATGTCGGCGCAGAAAGTGCTGGATTGATGCACAGCTATGATGTTGAGCATAATGCCTTTGGGCTGTCGGATCTTGTGGAGGATCCCGAAGAGATGGGAGGAGGTAGTGGCAGTCGGAGTCCACAGCCCAATGGTGACAGCGTGACCAAGGTTTATCACAAGCCACACCAAAAGACTTTGAGTCAATGACACAAACTGGCTGCCAATGGGCTCTTATAAAAAGGCTGTATTTGTAACGATATCCATGCATTAGGGACGGTTTGAGCGATGAACTACGGCATTTTCACGGACGGAATTGGGACCCAGCCAACAATGAGATTGCGCTGGCGTTTTCGAGACAACAGGAGCAATGTGGGCTTTGACTGATTATTGAGGCCAAGGAAACCTCATTTGATCGAGTAGACATCATTACGTAGGGTCGGGTTTTGTATATATGGCAATTGAAAACGATGTGGTGAAACTTCGTCTGACGAGGCTGGCAAGGACGAGGTTGCAGAGGCAAGGCTGAGATGCCGAGGGCACGTGTTCAATTCGATCGCTGTTGTCCAAATCCAGTTCCAAATTCCAACGCACAAACAGCCAACTTCCCTCCCGCTTTCTGTTTTCTTGTTTTTGTCAAGCCAACTAACTAATTGTGTTCTGCCTTTACTCTATCCCTGGAACGCCAGCGCTACATGAGACCTTCGCTGTTCTGATATCCTTTAAAATTATTTCAGCAACTGCATTCCCCCCTCCAGTGGCTAGGATAGGCAAGTAGCGATGGCATCATCGCCTGGATTGTCTCCAACAACCACACGTGCTGCACCGTCTCCTGGGCCTGCACTTCAAAAAGGTACGTACTCGAAATCTTGCATGTGTCTGGGGGTTCTGGACCAGGCAAAATGTGGCCTGCCTTTTGGTCACAATGCTATCTGTTTGGCTTTTGTTGTCGCACCAGCACAAAGAGCAGAGCCACGTGCCTATGCTGTCCTTTGAGACGACTGCAGTACTCCATCATCACGCGACACGCACATTGCAACAGGATGGCAGGGCATTGACCACAATGCTCATCTTCCCTTCGACCTCTTATGCGTGTTTGCATGAGAAAGTGCACAACGCTAATTTGATGGCTGTCGTGAGATAGGTGTAACCATAGTAGAGGAACCTGAGCATATTGAACCTGAAGAATACGATGGAGGTGTCTCCCCCACGCTTGTTCCTTCTCACAGTCCCAAACTTCATCGGGCTAGTATATCAGGCAAGAAGATGACTGGAAGACCTTCTCTCAATCCTGCTGGATCCTCTGCTTCCACTTTGTCACATCGCATGTCTTATCTGAGTCTCGACAAAGCAGAAGGCGAACAAGCTGGGACTCCAAATGAAAACAAAGCTCCAGATCTACGTGCAATGCTCAACCAGGTGGTCGACTGGCTGCAGGACGAAAAATCGAAAAGACAGAAGCGGAAGCATCATCGACATCATCTAATTCTTCATCATAGCCACCATGCGCCAAGTATGCCTGGAGACCCCCAGTCAGACGACTCCACCCAGGACGCTGAAGGTAGTCAATCTCTAGCGAAGCTTGAGAACATCCTCTCGGGATTCACGTCCTGGTCAGCATCCATGCCAAAGTTGTCATCCAGGGCCTCTGGCACTTTATCCCGCAAGGGGTCTATAGCAAGAAAGTTCAAGCGAGCCTCAATTGTACCCCAATCTTCAGACACGGAATTTTTTGGTGACGATATACTTGTTCCGAATGTGGAAGCATATCTAGACAACTCAAAAACGCTGGCTTTTACTGGAGGTGGCGCTGATGTCGACACAAGCGATGCGGCAAAAAAGCGAGACTATGAGCATTGGGTTACCTTTAAGGAGGACATTCTTCGCCTGACGCATACCCTCAAGATCAAGGGCTGGCGCCGTATTCCGATGGAAAGGGCAAAAGACATTGACGTTGTGCGATTAAGCGGAGCTCTAACCAACGCCGTCTATGTTGTCCGACCGCCTAAGAATATGTCGGAGCATGGCCACTCGTCAAATAGTCTGAACACTCTATCGGAGACGGCTTCTGCATCGACTACAACCCGTCCTCGACAAGCATTACAGCTCCTTTTGAGAATATACGGTCCTCAAGTCGAGCATCTGATCGACCGAGATGCAGAATTATCCATTCTACGCCGCCTCTCTCGAAAGCGCATTGGACCCCGTCTGCTCGGCTATTTCGACAACGGTCGCTTTGAGGAGTTTTTACATGCAAGGACTTTGACAGCAGAAGATCTTCGGATCCCAGAAACATCAAAGCAGATTGCGAAGCGAATGCGTGAGTTGCATGAAGGCATCGAATTGCTTGAATCAGAGCTTGAGGCTGGGCCTGCAGTCTTCCTCAACTGGGACAAATGGGTCGATCGGTGTGAAAAGATCATTACCTGGCTTGACAGTCAAATCCATCAGGCTGAAAGCGAAAGACAAGCAGGGATTTCCAAACAAAACTCTACGGTCAATCTGAGATACGTTCGAAATGGTCTGATTTGTGGGGTTGAATGGCCTCTCTTCCGCAAGACATATGACGCGTACCGAAAACGATTGATCGAGGACAGCGGGGGCTTGAAGAAGATTCGTGACCATCTAGTTTTTGCTCACAACGATACACAATACGGCAATCTAATGCGACTGCAACCTTCGGGTACGTCACCATTGCTTCAGCCCTCGAACCAGCATAAGCAACTTGTGGTGATTGATTTTGAATATGCCTCGCAAAACATGCCTGGGCAGGAGTTTGCGAATCATTTTACGGAATGGTGCTACAACTACCATCACCCGGAGCACAGCTGGATGTGTGATACTAGGAGATATCCGAACGAGAGCGAACAATATCGTTTTGTCAGGAGCTATACTATGCACCGACCACAGTTCTGCCCAGCGGCGAGTTCGACCCCGAAACTAGAAGGCCGTGATAAGACGAACATCAGCGAATTCATGCTCGATGCGAGGGCGCCCCCAGGAGGGAGTGTTTCGGGGCAAACTCTCGAACCGGATTACGATCGGGAAGAGAAGGAACGGGAGAAGGCACAGGAAGAAGAAATCCAGAGGTATCTGGGAGAGACAAGGATTTGGAGGGCGGCGAACTCGGCGCAATGGGTTGCTTGGGGCATCGTGCAGGCCAAGGTGCCTGAACTGGAGGCTTTGGAGGAGAGAAAGGGGAGTCAAGGACAGGGCGACGTTGTGCCCATGTCCGACCCCTTGAACGAAGAGGAGAAGAAGCTGAAAGAGGCGAGTGAAGCGGATAGACCTGAAGGTAGGGCGCAAGAAGAGAGTCATCATGAAGGTGATCAGAGTGAAGGTGAAGGTGGTGGAGAGGAACATGAGGAGTTTGATTACCTTGCTTATGCACAAGATCGAGCCATGTTTTTCTGGGGCGATTGTGTGCAAATGGGATTGGTCAAGCTTGAAGACTTGCCAGAAGACATGAGGCAAAGGGTCAAGATTGTGCCATGCTGAATGAGGGATTAGGGTCAGGAACAAGAACAAGAAACGCTTGATATGGACGTTTTTGTGTTTTTGTTGACGAACGGCGGACTTTGCGACAGTCGAAGTTGGAACCAGTGATTTGACCATGATGATTATGATGACGATGGAAATAAACGGGGGTGAATCACTTGTAATCCTAGTAGTATTCAAGTATAGGTGTTTATGTATGTATTGTAGGCATTTATGTGGTAGTACTGGTAGACGGCTGACGGCATTCTGAAGATTGAAACACCACATGAGATGAGCCATTAAAGAAGAGACTTGTTTGGTGTTTCCTTCAATGATTCTCAATCGGCTTGTTTCTTCTCACGCGGTGTGTGTGGTGGTGAGTTGTGACATTATTTTGATTACTATAGCTTGATTTTGATACCCGAGCGATCCAGGCCCAAAGCGACCGCGGTCACGACGGCGGCGTACGAGACCAAAATGGCCATGGCGGACAAGGGGGCCATGTCTAGGGTGTTGAGGGTGAGGTTGACCAGACCGGTCAATAGGTTGGCGATCAAGAAAATCGCCAGACCGTTGTTGTTGAACGCGCCGAGGATTCGTGAGGTGCTGCCGGTCGTCGCGATGACCTTTTGTTTCGAGTCGCCGTCCGAGTTGTTGTTGTCGTTGTTGTTGGTGGTGTTGGTGTCGACGTTGGTAGAATAAGAAAAGTCGGGCCCCAAATGTTCGACGACCCCGAACAAGAAGAGTTGGGCGTTGTTGAAAGCGGCCACCCAAAGGACATAGGGTAGGTTTGCCAGACGTCGAGAAACGGTCAGGTTACCACCGTACCAGTGATGGTCGGTGGTGAAGATGAACAACGAAGAATAAATCATGGTTCGGATGAAAAGGGTCCGAAGAAGCAAAAGTCTTTCTCGACGCGTTTCGATGGGAGGAGGTATCGGTCGAGACTTGGTCTTGGTACTGGCTGTCGATGATGATGATGATGATGATGATGATGATGATGGCAAGTTGAACGTGACGACTTGTCCACCAGTACCTCTACCGGCCAAAAAAATCGCAAGGTAACCGACAAAGGAAAAAACCCCCTCGCGGTTTTTGGACAACCAACCAGGACCACGTTCAGAAATCAAGATGTACCTCAACAAGGTAGGGTGACTGTTGAGGATGATCTCGTAGGTAAAGCTGATGGCGACGGCCAAGACGTCGTACCCGTAGAGGGGTACCACCACGGCGTGGTGACGACCCATGAATAGAGTGTCGGATATTTCGACAAACGGTGGTAACAGACACAGGGTGAAGAAGAAATTCCAGTGTACACCGTACTCGGTGACGTGTTCGGCGTAATCGAGATTCTTCACCGACAAGAGTCGGACCACCCCCAGAACGAAAAGGGGAAAGGCGTGACGAAGCGACACGAGAAACCGAGACGTGAATGATGATGATGATGTCGTCGTCAGAGTGCCGGACTTTCTCTTGACGACCGATCTGGCCGACACGACACCGGCCGAAAAGACAAACAACCCGACACCCAGGTCCATCAGGGACGTCCCCCAAGTTTCGACCTTTGCGAATCGACGTGGGAAGATTGGAAAGTCGACGGCCAAGATGGACAGGCATGTGACGACCAGCATGCTACCTCGGTAGTGGGTGAGAAAAGGTCTGACCGGGAGGGAATTGTTGACGTTGTCAGGGGATGATTGAACTTGATCATTTTTGTTGTTGTTGTTGTTGTTGGTGGTGGTGGTGGTGACCTTTTTATTTTTCGACAATGACGATTTGGTTGTCGACGGTGTATTCGATGGTGAGCTCGTCAAACACAAGACGAGTAATGCCGGCGTGACCAAGAAAATACTCAAAACTATCGGTGTGGAACTGTACAAGGTGATTGCGAATAAAAGGGCGCAGACGTTGAGTAAAAAATCCGCCACCAAAGATATGGGAGTGTAAGGTGTGAAGAAACCCTGACGTTTTTGTAGAGCGGTCCAGAGTAAAACGGCGGACTAGAGTATGAAAAAGAGACAAAAAGTTAGGATTGATTACAAAGGTAAAAAAAAGTCGAGAAGAGCGGTAGACCAAGAGAGAGCATGAGAGTGAGAGAGTGCTGTGTGTGTTGAAAGATACATACACTTGAAACCAATGAGACCAAGTTGATGTCAGTCAAGGAACTTCCAGAGAGATTGGAAACAAATGCCTCCTTTCGAGCTTTGTAGGTTATCGATCCTGATGGATTCATGGTCGGTAGATGGATGATCAATCAATCAATAGCTAAATCAACAAAACAAAAAAAGGAATCATAGTAGTAGGGACTTTGTTTGTGCGGTGAACCACAACAGAGATATAAAAAAAAGGTGATGAGGAATGAGTGTGTTGACTTGATAATTCGAACCGAGTGTGTATGAAGTTGAGATATGTACGTTGTTACTGTTATGAAGGGGCTTTCAATTCAATCATTACAGAAGACGTGGCAGCATTGAAACATTACAAGTACGGAGTACGGAGTATGTGGATGGGTTTTTAATGTCAGGAACATTTGATTTCCTATTGGTTCGTTTACAACAACATTTCAAGTAAGTACTTGTAGTCCAGGTGCATGAGGTACCTGAATACCATCCACATACAATGTACTTTTAAACATGTACAGATGTTGAATCTACTATTCTGTAAGGACAAGATCCAACTTAGAATATGGAGCACAAATTCCTCTTTGTAGGTTTCCTACGTCCATGTCCGTTATTCGCATTCGCATTTCGTATTTCGCAAAAGGGTACATTTCATTCACTCGTCATTTCGAACCAAACTCCTCCTCATTCGACATTAGCCATAGGCGCATGTCATTGCCATAACCGTCACACCCACAAATCCCAATCAATTGCGCCAGACTATGGTGATTGCAAAAGTGGCGTCTCCGGGTATAACGTCTCTCTGGCTTTTTCCAAAATCGCCAAATACTGCCCTCCCACCGCCCATCGAGTACCCATAATCTCCAATACTTTTCTGAGTTGACGGTAAGCCTCCGCCGTTTCTCTCGTGCCGGTCTCATAGACAAGCCAAGCGTACGTGGCGGCGGCGATATACAGACAATCGCCGATGAGTGGACTGATGGAGGCCGGATTTTCCTTCATCGACGTCTGTAGCAGATGACTAAACTGTAAAATGTCTGCGGCAACCGATCGCAATCCACCGATGGCCACGGTCTGCATCTCCGTCTCCTCCACCGTGCCCGTGCCGTGGTTGGTCTCGGTACAGGCAAAAGGGTCGTAGAGGTGAAGGAGACCTCCGAAGCAGAGGGCCAACGACGTCCCATACTGCCACGGTTGTCGTCCGGTGTCTTCGGTCAGCAGGTTCGCCAGAGCTTGAAACGTACGGTGCAGTTGAATGGCTTCGGTGAATCGCATGGGCCCTTCGAGCATTTTATCGTTGAGAAGACGTATCAACCGTCCCACGAGGTGACAAGCCTGGCACGTACGAGCAAACGCTCCGGCCTTGATGTTGGTCGGGGACGAGACGTACAACGGTTCGCTACCGGTGATTTCACCGTAATTCCACAGGGCATCATCCGCTGGCAAGGTGTCACTTCGGCCTGGGTCGTCGGTGGCCAGAGGACGACCATAAGTGCCTAGGTTGACATATCTAAAATTTATAGCTGATCAGGATTTTGCCGGTCGTGAACAGTCTGGGACAAACTCACCGATCGAGAAGCATGGTGGCCCACCACGTCCGCTTCATCTCTTCGACTTCTGCCCACGCGCCAGCCTTTTTCTTGAGGAATTGAGGGGCGTGCCGCCGATCGTTGAGTCCCAAAGCGTGGCCAAGCCTGGCACAGTGACCCGTCGTCAAATATGCCGCGGGATAGATCGCATGACCAATCTCATACGCCGCCACCAATATATTCGCCTGCAGCGTCCTGATACATATGAGCCCTTGGGATTCACCTAGGTACAAGGTCCGTTTCGCCAGTGTGTACAGTGAGTTCCGGGCGCGCTGCTGTTGTTGTTGCTGCTGCTGCTGCTGCTGAGGATCGCCGCCGCCACTCATGGACGGTGGTGATGGGGATGGTGATGGCACCACCTGCTGGGTGATCAACTTCATGCACAGTAACAACAGAGCTAGGTCAAAGGTCATTTCCAGTCCCGGATTCGTCAAGGTCAACTCCATTCGTTTTCTAGACACAAACGGTAACCAGGTGTGGATGTTTTCAAAGTACCGTCCCACGATGTCTTGAATGTCGAGGATGGAACTTCCCAGCATGGACAGAACTTCTGGTGGGATGGGTACGGTCGGTTTTTGAATAGTTGTTTGACTGGATTCGAACAATTCGGCGTCGAGAAAAAACATGGTGGTGGGGAAAGTGGTCGATGATTTATTGTCTGCTGCAGTGGTTGCAGAGGCAGCGGCGGCGGCGGCGGCAGTACTAGCCGCCCCGGATTCGAGACCAGAAGAGGGACTTCTGCTGTTGACCGAGACCGACTTGAACGGTTCGTGCCATCCTACATCGGACCTCCGTCGACCTTCCAGTCTAGCCTCGAGATCCGCCATTCTCTGTTTCATCAGGGCAAACTCTTCGGCGTTGGGATAAGGTGCGATTTCGGAATAGTCGCACGTCCGGGACATGCGGGCGCACAGTGAACATGTCGGAAGGACCTTGTCGCATTTTCGTTTCTGTAGCACAGAGTCAGAATGGGGTTAGGATCTTGGTCGTCAACAGTGGATGGAGCGTGAAACCGAATCACTCACGACCTTCTACGGCCGATAGAGCAAACCGCATAGACTCGACCAGTGATAGTAACCCATCCCTCTTGTCTTCCCAAAGAAAGACCAAAAAAAATCCACTTACTTGTTTCCGACATGCGACACAGGCTTGAGGCGCCTTGTTGTCAGGAAAGTCGTAATATCCGTCCATCGACATGTCGGGCAGCCGGCCGGTATGCCACAAAAGGCTCGAATTGTTCGGGGTATAGAGAGCCAAGAGAAGAGAGGAGAGGTCCCTGCAGGGTACTCGTAAATGGATCGGATTGTACTCCCTATACACAATACGGTATACGCCTGTCTAAACCAACAGAGATGTGTGGAATAGAGTCATTTTGTTGATGGTTACTTCGTTACTCCCGTACAATCCGTGGTTTATTGCGGCGTGAGCCTTGGCCCCATTGTATAGATAAGTACTAGTCCCGGATATAACAAACACCAGATTCGGTTGGTGTATCAATGTACATGCAAACAGCTACTGTCGACGCAGGTTATGAAATAAAATGTTGTATCCAAATAGCCAAACGGTACCTTGGGTAGCTGATTTTCAATTTATGATATCCTCTATTCATTCCACGACTATATCATTCCATGTCGCCATGCTAATCAAACAAAAGTTTTCCGACATGCCCGTACACTCGGTAGGTACCTGGTAGTTACTCCATGGACACCATGCCTCGACTCCTTCCCGGGTTTTTACTGAGAGTACTTCTTTTGCAACGCCTTGGCTATCGTCGTGAGTTGAATGTTGCTCGTTCCCTCGTAGATGGCACCGATCTTGCTGTCACGGAACATCTTCTCGGCGATTCCCTCTCGGACGAAACCCATACCACCCATCCATTCGACAGCGAGACCACTAACTTTGCCTGCCACTTGACTGGCGTACAACTTCGCCATGGCCGCGTCCGTCACAAAGTCCTCTCCGGCTTCCTTCTTTCGGGCGGCATTGTAGACCAAAGCACGAGCCGCGCAGATCTCGGTGTACGCCTGTGCGAGTTGGTGCTGCATGCCTTGGAATTCACCGACCAACTGGCCGAACTGCCTGCGGTCGTTCCACACGTACTTGGCCGCGTTCTCCCACGCGCCCAGCGCCAGGCCGGTCATTTGGGCTCCAATACCAATGCGACCCTCGTTCAAGAGTCCAATGGCATACTTGTAACCCTGACCCTCTTTGCCGAGGAGGTTCTCCTTGGGCACCTCGACGTCGTCAAAGTTGATGACGCAGGTGCTCGAGGCTCGAATGCCAAGCTTCTTTTCCTTCTTCGCAATACTGAATCCCTTCATGTCCTTGGTAACGACAAAAGCCGTAATGCCCTTGTACCCGGCTTCCGGGTTGAGGTTGGCAAACACGAGGAAAAAGTCGGCTTCCATGGAGTTGGTGATCCACATCTTTGAGCCGTTGATCTGCCCAAGGCCAGTCAGCATGTAATGTCATCGCAGATTATTTTATCATTTGGAAACTCACCTTGTAGCCATTTTCCGTCTTTTCGGCCTTGGTCTTGAGCGCGAAAGCGTCAGACCCTGAAGCTGGCTCGGACAAACAGAATGATCCGACCGTGTTCGTGGCGAGTTTCGGGAGCCACTCCCTCTTGAAGTTCTCGCTGCCGTATTTGAGAATCGCCGTCACGACCAGGGTGTTGTGGACGTCACACATGACCGACACTGAAGGGTCTACCCGTGCGAGCTCTTCTATACCCACAATCGCGGAGGTGAAGTTCATCCCGGCACCTCCGTACTCCTCCGGGATCTCAAAGGCCATGAGTCCCTGCTCGAACATCTGCTCGACGACTTCGGGGTCCATCTTCTCCGCCTCGTCCATGTCCCGCACCTTGGGCGCCACCGTTTCGTTGGCCCATTTCGATACCGAGTCCGCGAGCATTCTTTCGGTCTCCGAGAAGTGAGTGATGGGAGTGGGATGTAGGGAGTCGGTGTCGACATCATCAGGCATATATGGCTCAGGATGGCGCTGTCTCGCCGTGGCGACGAAGGTTCTTTGTCTGGGTTTCCAAGTAAGCTTCAGAATGGTCCGGGGATGTATGCGTTCTCACGGCACAAAATTCCTTCGAGACAGGGTCCTCGCTGTTGAAGTCCGCAGAGGGAGGGAGGTTGACGCCTTGGCCAGTGGCCGCAGTGACCGGCATATTGACGCCATGTTGTTTTGTGTAGTAGGCACGGTCTAACGGTGTGGCAGGATAGAAAGACGGTCAGAACCCCTGTCCGTCCGAGACAGAGACACCAAAGATCGAATTGTGGAATTGAAGAGGACGACAGAGTAGCTGTAGGAAAAGTGGCATGTCAACAGGACCACAGGAATAACCACGAGCTTTTGAAGTGTTTGGGCCTCGGTTAAGAACGGATCTTGTGCTTGGGACTTAGCGAGGGGGCGTCGGGGGGGCTTATTGGCGCCTATGGGGGACTTTATTCGTGACTCGCTGGGGCCAGAGTTGGTCCCTACAAGTCCCTAACCTTAACACTCTCCTCCGTAAGAGTTCTCCGTCTCCATCTCTTACGATTGTCATGCAGACCTCAAGCCCGCGGCCAGAGCTCGGATTGTCCCCAGATCTGGCATTGTCCAACCACAACGTTCTCCCATCTTTATTCCGTATAATGACAGGGATCCATCACCAGAAATGTCGGATCCGATGTTTTTTTTTCTTATCCTTTCGTCCCTTTCATGACCCTTTCATCGTCCGAGAACAATTGTCGCCTACATATGATGCTGTCATTATGGAATTGTTCACATACGAGTACGGCCGGTGTCGCCAAGTCTACCTATGATACTCCGTACCGAGGTATGATCTACAACATTGCTACGCTTGGTTCTCGGTCATGATGATGCCCCGTGGCAAAGGTTTGATGAACTTCATTTTGCTTCGGCCGCCGTCGCTCTGACATTGTTCGTTTCTTCAATCACCACTATGAAAACCAAAATTGAACCTGCAATCAAAGGACTCATGTATGCTTAGTCATCGAATCCCTCCCTCATTAGTTGTCTGTCTGCCCTCGTTATCACATAATTTCTTGTGCTAAATAGTTCTTCGTATCAATATTGTTTTAAGGGCTGAGGCCCTGATATCATCTCTGACGAAGGTCAAACCTCTGACCTCCCGCTACACTCAGCCCATGCTTCTCCATCTTTCCTGTCGCCGTCCTCCTGATCTCCTGTGTGATTTCCACCACATTGGGCACTTGAAAACGAGCCATATGCTTGACCGACCACTCCCAGAGGACTCTTTCTGAGACCGAGCTTCCCTCACGCACCTTGACCACGACCTTGACATCTTCTTCGGTGCCTGAACCAAGTTCTGACGGGATGCCGTATGCAGCCGCCAGCACCACATCTGGGTGTCGCAAAAACTCCTCCTCCAGTTCGGAGGCATTGATGTTCTCCCCCCTCCGGCGAATGACATCCTTGACCCGACCAACAAAGTATACGTTGCCCTGTTCGTCCACCTTGCCTTTGTCGCCTGTATGGAGCCACAGGTTCGAAGATGCGGCTAGCGTACTGCAAGCATCATTGTAATAGCCCTGGAAGAAGGCAGTTGGCACGTCACTTCGGAGCAAAATGTGTCCCACGGTGTTTGGCGGGAGCTCCTCGTCCATCTCGTCGGCAATGCGCAGCTGGTAACCCTTGCGCAGTCTCCCACAGGAACCGGGAGCTAGAGCGCCGTCCTGGAACACCGGCAAACTAGCCTCGACGCTTCCGTACAACGTTACGAGGCGGTGTCCGAAGCGCTGTTCGTAATCGCTTGCAAAGCTCGGCATCGGTACACCCCAAGCCAACCTGACCCTATGATCTCTGTCTTTTGCCGAAGGAGGTTGTTTGTATGTCAGAGCCAACGTTGCGCCCATGAAATCGTACACTGTTGCGTTGTTCGCTCGAATCTCGTCCCAGAATCTACTGGCGCTGTAGCGGGCAGACAATGCCGCGACTGCGCCCAAAAGAAGTGCAGGGATCGTGGTGAGCGCCGTGGCATCTGCATGGAACAACGGGAACGGGCAGTAGAGAACATCGTCCCCGTTAAGTCCACAGCCTTCAATCAGCGTCTTGGCTTGGATTATGAAGTACTCATGGGATAAGATGCACGGTTTGGATCTGCCTGTGGTGCCACTCGTGAACAAGAATGCTGAAGGAGTACCGGGGAGAACATCGGCGGCACTCTCTATGGTCAAGCCTCGCTCGTAAAGTGAAGCCATGCTGTTAGAACGGGCGTCTTCACCATTGACCCATAACATCTCGGGGTTGAGAAATCCAAGAACCTCAATCTCAGAGCGTAAATCCGCGTCAACGATGATCAATTTTGGATCGGCTGACTCAATGACGTGCTTGAGGGTTACCGATCTCAGTTGGACGTTGATGGGAACCCAAGTCGCTCCCAAGCGGTTCGTTGCCAGCCAGCTGGTCACCATTTCAAGGCTGTTTCTCATCATCACCAGCACTCTATCTCCACGACCAATGCCGAGGATGCTGAGTCCTCCAGCGAGCTTTCCCACCAAGTCGTCAAAGTACTGGAAGCTTGTGTCTTTGCCCGAGAATCGTATAAAAGGGCGATCAGAGAAACAGGATACAGCGTGTTTCAACGCGGTGTTGATGTCCCTGACACTCGATGGTATTTGAACGCCGACGAAACCATTTGTATTGATAATCCCGGTTGCTTCTTCGTGCTTGCGGACTCCGTTTGATGTAGCCACAAGACTTTCGTGCTTCACACCTTTCCTTGCTGCAAAGTCTGTAAACGCCTTGGCCGCGTCGCTCTGTGCAAAACAGTAGCTCGCAACGTTCACCTCGTCCTGGAGAGAGCCTTCCATGTGCGGAAACACGGAACGTTCCAAGGACGTCTTGGAAGCGGCCAAAGATACAGTAGGCATCTTGGCTAACTCACGGGCAAGCTCGAGCGCCCTCACCCTGGGGTCGTCGTCCACGAGTTCAGTGAGCAGCCCCAGTCGTGCAGCCTCGTCCGCTTTGACGAATTGGCCCCTGAGGAGCAACCTCTTCGCCTGCAGAAGGCCTACCAGTTGCGTCAGTCGGAAAGTGATCCCGCCCGTGGCGGCATGTCCGATGGGCACTTCGGGGAACCTGAATTGTGCTCCAGGTCCACCGATGACAAAGTCCGCGGCCAAGGCGATCTCTGCACCACCGCCTATGGCGAATCCCTGGACGGCCGAAATGACCACCGACTGTGAGCAACTTGTGAGTCGGGTGATGTCTTGGAGTAGGTCAAACGCGACTCGCAGTTCTTGGGGCGAGCCCGTCTTTGGTGCCAGGGTCTGCTTGAGGTCCTCTCCGGCGCAGAATGATCGGTCTCCCGCGGATTCGAGAATGATGACTTTTGACCCGGCCACGTCTCGAAGTGCCTTGACCAGACTTTGGAGAAGGTCGGAGTTTATGGCGTTCAATGCCTTGGGCCGATTCAAAACAACCTTGACAATATCTGCGTCGACGTGCTGTACCAGGACAGTCTCTTCCTTTGGTGACATTGACATTGACAAAGCCATAGTGCAAAAATATGTCAACGGAGGCTGACCTAGAACAGGTTGAATGTAGCCTGGCTAGGTAGAGAAAGAGACAAGACAGCTGTACTTTGGAATCAACGTTCGGTAAAAGGGTCAGGTTCATATACGTTTAATGACACAGTGACATTTTTGGGTCTGCGATTTTTCCGGAGATGCGAAGCCGTCCGGTACGTATGTTGCTCAATAGGGTAGATAAATGGGTAACCAATAGCGAAGACACATTGACGAGGTTTGATCCCTTGCGGGGCGGTGACTCTTGAGACCCCCATGCATGCATTCTCATTTCTGTCACGCTCGGCTTCTAGACTTGTTAAGGCGACCAGGCCTCAACCTCACCTATTGGAGGGAGAAGGGCGATGATAGGAACCATGCATGGTGTTGTGGCACATGGAGAATGGAGTAAGACATCGTAAACCACAGTCCTGAACTAAGCCTAATTTGGAAGACTTTGCATGTTATGGCGAACATCCTGGCCACAACATCGACTCTAGACCTTGGGCTATCAACTATTTTACGAGCTGTGAGTTATACTCTTATCCCATTCTGTAAGGTATCCATCTTCGCTATGAAGTACCTTGTGAGCAGAGTATAGAATCTCCATGACCCTTTCTCCGCCGCCAATGGGACTAAATCGACCCTCGCCTCGAGAATCACCGACCGAGTTATCATTAACTGTGTGTCAGGCAGTACGGGCCTTCAAGATGATGACTCAAAAGAAACATTTCTTGCTTTGGCTGGGTTGTCGTCTCTTCGAACCATAAGACACCATCTGCTCAAGCATATATTATATACTCTTCCGAAGTACAACAGCAACACCTTGAAACAAGCAAGCTGCTCTTGTAGCAATAGCATACGGCCACACCATAGTGAAAGAGACTCTCAGACATGGAGAGTACGGATAATAGTATAGTTGAATTCTCATCAGCCGAGGGTGAGGGCGAGGAACCACAGACGGCCGATCTCGATCTCGATCTCGATATTGTTTTGTCCAAAGTCGCCAACGACCACCCTGTCACTCGAGAACTGCTACTGCTGCCATCAAGTACGAAGTTTTCACGCAAAATATTCGACGTTGCGCCAGAGCATGTCCCCGACCACCTCACGGTAACGACTCTTGCAGGCCCAAACCTGATTTCCCCGCCCTGCGGCCCATATGTCATCACCAACGACGAGGTCGGGAAAGTTTTGACCTTCTATCACCTCGGTCGTCGATTGTCGGGTCACAACGGTATCGTCCACGGTGGACTGGTTGGTGTTTTGCTGGACGAGTGTATGGGACGTGCCTGCTTCCCTCTGTTCCAAGCAAAGATAGGAGTTACCGTCAAGTTGGAAATTTGTTATCAAGCACCGATACCCATCGACAGCATGGTTTTGGTGAATGCGGAAACCACAGGCGTTCAGGGCCGAAAAGCTTGGGTCAAGGCGACGGTCGAGGATGTGACTCCGGGTAGACCATCCAAAATACTTTCGCGAGCTACGGCCATGTTTGTCGAACCGAGATGGGCAAGTGAAATGTCCCAAGTGATTCGATAATACATGTATGTACTTGGACCAAATCAAGAATTCAACACTTCTCATCACGAACCTGTGGCTGAAGAAGTGGAACGCTGGATCAGTATCGATATCAATATCATCATCATACTATCAAAACATCATAATTCATGTCCTTCATGACTTTTCTCCAATCCACCGCAATCACACCTCGTTCAACGCCAACCAGGTCAGCCATACCAGCCCGTCTCCTCCAAACCTCTTCCACTACTGCGCGTAGGGCCTGTCTATTGCCCATACCGTAGCACGTAGACCGGTGTAGCCACCTTTGCGCTGCCTCCAAATCCTCAGGGGTGTATGCTTCCACAGCGGCAATGAATGCTGGCCAGATGGAAAAGTTGCCATTGCTCTTCGAATAGAATGCGTCCACGTGATGAAGGGTTTCCGAAACATATCGTCTCACATTCGCAGGAGGCGAGTCAAAGATGGTACGATAAAGATAAACGTAGGTGGCGAAGAGGAAAGCTTTGGACTGATGCGAGACTTCCGAACTCTCTTCCGCCTGCGACGAGTGTAGAGTTTTGCGTCGACAAGAATTCAACTGCGTGAGGACATCCTCCAGGACGTCATCTCTTTGGGAAAAGCTTGTCTCATTGCTCCCCCGGCTTGCGTTCCGCTGCTGGAGTTTGTTGATCTTGGATATGCAGTCTAGTATGGGCTTACCGGCACCCAGTGTAAATCCAAATGCCGGTGTAGCCGATATCAAGGATGACAGGCTGGTATCGGAGTCTTGAGAGGGATCGTCGGCCGATCCTTCACTGTCGACGTCGTTGAAAATTCCCGTCGCCGTTTCTCCGATGATCTTGATGATGTTGAGGCATTGTAGGGAAACGGTCGCAAGCTCGGTTGTGTTCCATGGGATTTTATCACGATACTGCCGAACCAAGGTCCACGCTCCTTTGTGATGGTACCGCCATTTGGAAGACTGACCCGAGTAGACCTGCTTCGTTGTTAGCTGTCATCACAGGTCACGAGGAGCCACGAGCGATGATGGAATCTCACCTCTGCAAACATCAATGAAAAGATTGAACCTATGATGGTGGCGAACTCGCCAGGTTCAATTTCGAGAATCGGACGGAGCTCGCTGATTGCGGTGGTGTAACGTCTTGAACCGATTGCTGAATACGCTTCGTGCTGGTTCACCCCGAGTTGAGCCAGGTGAAATGCGGCGTGTGAGATCATACCGTGGTACAATGATCTCTGGTCACCGCATGAGCTGCTCAGCGCTATCGCAGGGTAGTATGACTTCCATGGATTCCGAGAATGTTCAAAGGGCAACATATTGCTGGCCACTTGTTGGACATAGTGATGGAAGAGCATTTTTTCCTGCCAAGGGAGGTCCGGGTGTTCCATCATGGACTGGCTCAGCCCGAGGTGTATGATGACATGTCGAGAATCGTCGACCGGAACGATTTCAACCGTGGTCGAAGTTTCTCCTGAGATGTGAGATGATCCAGTCGATTGGACTCTGAACGCCGAAAAGGGATTATGGGATGTTGTCAGCCATTCTGGAGATGGGAAAGTCGAAGGACCATCTTGAGATTCTGACTCGTCGCATCTAACAATCAGATAGTCTACCACATCCGATGGCAGCGTTGAGTACCCTCTCCATGTCAGGTCTGTAAAGGAGAAAGACAATTTAGTTGGAGGCTGCTTCGAATCACGCAGGCTCCGCACATACCACACCGCCGTACACGTCGACCATCAGACTTGTAACCAAGCTTGTTGTCCTCAACCCAGACCAGTTTGACACCGTAGTTGCAAGCGAGACCACGGTTCCTACATGCAGAACATTCGGGCTTGGCCTCATCACACTGTCAAGCGTCAGAAATGACACGCGAGCATGTGCTAGACTTACCTTGACTTTGCGAGAGCGGCATTTCCAGCAGCCCTATCGATCGGTTAGCCACGGTTCCAGTGAATCTTCTTCAGCATCTGATATCTCTGCGTTTCAGCCAGATACTGCTTTGGATGTGAAAGGCAATTCAGAGCGACCCACGGTAAAGGTTCTGTCTCGCTTACGAGCCATCCGACAGTCGGTCACCTGTGCCGCATGATCAATGCTTCGTCAATGGCCCTGTGAGGAGTCAACAGTCGTGTGGAGTAGCCTATCCACGTTGACAAAATGTGACCTTGACTGATTATGGTTGGAAAGGTAGTCTTTTGCGAAGCACCAGGAGCATGGTCGGAGAAATGGGCAGATGAGAGGGTCTTTAATGAAAGATCTTTATGGAGGTTCCCGCCAAGGGAGCCCAACATCGTGGTTCTCGGGTCGTTCGCTATGAATATCCTTGAACGCTTAAAGTGGTTAGACAGTATACAACCATTTGGAGAGTGCGGATCAAAGTGAACAACTGCTCTGGTTGACACGGAAACTCTCTGGCCATTCTAGACCGTGAAGTCGAAAACTACATGTCATGTTATGGTCAAAAAGCATCTTCTTGCTATATTGTTCTCCCAATGCCGTTATCAGAGGACCTCAACCCGGAAACCAGAAGTCAAGTTCACCACCCGCCACACACGGAAGCATCTTCACTCCCCATGCTCGTCGGTATAAACTTCTTGGATTCTGGTACCATGCATTGAAACTGGATGCATCTAAAGTCTCCATTTCCGCCTCCGGCCCAGATCACAAGAAATGGAAGGAGTCTCAATCTCTTCGGTATGAGATCCCTAATCTCTATTGATTAGCTTCACAGGACGGCTCTTCCCAACTTATAGCGCCAGATGTGGACCGACCATCTCCAGGTTTCAGAAGAGATCCTGTGGGCAATCATCACTTGCCTCGTTATCTTCGAAGTAATGTCAGGGAGTGGCATAAATACAACTTGTCACCCTTGATCTGAAGAGTAGGCTTGCAAGACAACCTTCGAAATCTACCTCGCTGGCTGTTAGACCTCAGGAAGACATCAGAGATAAACATGGTTGAGAAAAAGGTTGACGGCAACGACGCTGCCGTGGAAGAAATGGTCCGGGAGGAGAGTGTTAGAGATGCATCCGTCCATACATCCGAACTTGATAGACGATATGGCCATGTCAATCGAAGGTCAGTTGAGATTATGTCGTCCCTTTTGTTTAGCATCTCTTGCCTCCGTGGCCCCTTGTTCAGCAACTTCGCGTACCATTTTTAGGTACATTGGCAGAAACTTCACAAGACAGAGAATTCCAAGATACCATGACTGCTCTTGAGTTCATCGACACAACAATACAATATTGGCTGACCACCCATTACCCAGACTTCGGGCAAGGCACATACAATTCCTAGCGTTGGGTGGCGCCATAGGAACTAGTCTTTTCCTCGGGATCGGTTCGTCTCTGGCGAAAGCTGGCCCTTTGAGTCTTACCTTGGGGTTTGCGATATCTGGTCTGGCGGTATACGGCATGGCAAGTCAAATTTCAAGGCACTATACCCGCCTGGGGTAATAACGTATTCAAGATGGTTTCCCTGGGAGAAATGTGTACTTGGCTCCCTGTCCCGGGCGCAATTCCTCAATTTTGCGGAAGGTTTGTCGACGACAGTTTGGGCTTTGCTGTGGGTTGGAATGTAAGCATCATCCCTCCGAGTCTCATTTGGCAATAACACTGACATTCACGCAGAACTGGTACTTTTGCGCAATTGTCCTCTGTCTCGACATCAGCGCTGCCACACTCGTCATTGACTATTGGCCTGGAGCAAGAGATGTATCGGTACGTTCTCATTTTTCGAAATGAATGCTGCTTCTGCCTTTGAGTCCACTTTGCTGTACTGATCCTTGCCTAGCCTGCTGTGTGGATAACCTTGTGTTTAATCGTGATCCTTTTTCTCAACATCTTTGCCGTCTCTATCTTTGGGGAAGCAGAGTTCTGTTTTGCATCAATCAAGCTCATTCTCATCGTTGGGCTGCTCATTCTCTCCGTCGTGTTGATCCTTGGTGGTGGTCCAAACCATGACAGGCTTGGCTTTCGTTATTGGAAAGATCCAGGGGGTAAGTTCGTCCAGGGAGGCCTTTAGAAGGTCCTCGACTAACTTCCTCTCTCAAGTGATGAATGAGGTTGCACCAGCGACTGGGGCAACAGGGCGATTTTTGGGCTTTTTCTCCGTTCTCATCTATGCCGCCTTTACATACGCAGGCATCGAAATGGTTGCAGCTGCAGCCGGCGAAGCTGAAAACCCGCGACGTAACGTCCCGAAAGCTGTTCGTCGCAGTATATGGCGCATTCTGGCCTTCTATGTCTTGGGCAGCTTCTGCATAGGCTGCATTGTGGCCTCCAATGACCCACACTTGCTCCGCGCTCAGGCTGAAGGAGCGCCGGGAGCTGCCCGTTCGCCATGGGTTATTGGAATCACCAATTCAGGCATCAAGACTCTTCCTTCGATCATCAACGCGTGCATTTTGACGTCAGCAGTCTCTTCTGCAAACGCATTTTTGTATACTGGCAGTCGCTACATGTATGCGTTGGCACAGAACAGACAGGCACCTCGGGTGCTGTTGACTTGCACCAAGAAGTACGAAGAACTCCCTTACCAAGCTCCATATGACAGAGCCATATTGACGATCGGCCACAGGGGTGTTCCAATTTATTGCGTGCTCATTACTGCACTGATCGGGACATTGACCTATATGACTGTTTCCGTGGCTGGAAACACAGTCTTCCTCTGGGTACGTTGCATCACCTTTCGTGAACGACTTACCGTCCTCGCCTCTCGCTGGTCAGCTAACTGCTTGGACTTCAGTTCGCCAACCTTACCACGGTAGCTGCGATGCTTACATGGGTTTCTTTGTGCTACGCTTTCATTCGTTTCCGCAAGGCTCAAGCAGTCCAAGGAGTATCACTCGATGACCCAGCATGTAGAGCGTATCGGCCACGATTTCAGCCTTACATCGCCTGGACCACGCTAACATATTTTGCCGTTCTCGTGGTCTTCAATGGCTTTGAAACTTTCATGAAAGGAAATTGGAATGTCAATGACTTCCTGGTGCATTATATTGGCATACCGTAAGCAAGATTGCTCGTTTTCTTCACTTCTGCGCATCGCTGACTTGCTGCAAGAATTTTCGCTTTCTTTATCCTGTTCTGGAAATTTGTCAAGAAGACCAAGATCCATAAGCTGGAAGAGGTAGACCTGTGGAGTGGGAAGGCTGAGGTCGACGCGATGGAGGGGACGTGGGAAGAGCCAGTTGCCAAAAACTGGTTGCAAAAGGTACGTTCCATAAGACCCGCCGACTGCACTCCCTTGTTCAAAGAAAATCTCGATTCCCTGGCATGGTATGAGACAGCTGACCATGTGATTTATAGATGTGGTTCTTCATTGTCTGAGAGTCGAAGCACACGCGGAAAGTTGGTGTTTAAGAAAGTGTGAAGACATAATCAGGGTGTGTATTAGGAGTCGAACTCGGCTTGTTGCGAACTCAATAGGAAGCAGCAATGTCAACCAGGTTTTAAAGCACTGGAAGGGAATTCTGTAGGCCGGTTGACCTCAGCTTAGAACATAGCTCACAGCCAGAAATGTGGCGTAACTTGATCAAACCAGGAGGCCTGAATTGATAGCTTTGACCGTGATAGCAGCATAAAAGTGTTTCTGTAAGGCGATGGTTTGTGCACGGCTCGATAAGAGAACCGCAACGAACCGCCGTTCTCTGATAATCTTAGTTGACCGAGAAAAAGGTGTAGATGAGACTCTATGGAACCGATGAAGACTTGACAGACACTCGCTCTTCACGTGTAAAAAGGTCTCTTGTGGCTGCCTTAGAGCAGCGTGCCAACAGTATTTAAAGTGGCAAGAAAGTACGCCAAGTCGAGATCTGGACACTCTCAACTCCAACATGTCGCGGCCGGAGCAGTTTAGGAGAATCACATACATACAAATCAACAATTGTCCTGCCCTCACCTATACTTCACTCACGCAAGTTGTTCCTCGATTCTCTCCTCCTCGTTCCTCCTCGAATAGTATCTCCATCATGGTCGTGCTCGCAGCGTCCATCTGCACGCGAGGCGGCAAACCCCTCCTGTCTCGCCAATTCAGAGAAATCCAAAAGTCCAGAGTCGAAGCCCTTCTGGCCTCATTTCCCAAACTCGCAGACAGTTCCACCCAGCATACCACGGTCGAGCAGGAGAACGTTCGATTTGTCTACCAACCTCTAGACGAGCTCTACCTCGTCCTCATCACCAATAAACAGTCCAACATTCTACAAGACATTGACAGCCTGCACCTCTTCGGACAGGTGGTCACTTCGATATGCAAGAAACCCGACGAACGCGAGATCCTCCGCAATGCCTTCGAGTTGCTCAGCGCCTTCGACGAACTCGTCACCATGGGATACCGGGAGAACTTGTCCCTGAACCAAATCAAGACCTTCCTCGAAATGGAGTCGCATGAAGAGCGCATCCAAGAGATCATTGCAAGGAATAAAGAGCTAGAGGCCTCCGAAGAGCGTAAACGAAAAGCCAAACAACTCGAGCTCCAGCGGAAAGAAGCAGCCCGCTCTGCTGCGTACGGACGCGGTATTCCTCCCAAGATGCCTCAACAACCCACCTACACGCCCCCCACCCAGCCCAACACGTACGACACCTACGAAGCCGAGAAGAACAAGGTCTCGTCCAAATTCACCGCCTCTCGCGCGACCAAGGGCATGCAACTGGGCAAGAAGTCCAAGACCTCCAACGCCTTTGCCAAAGTCCAAGAGGAACTCGGCCCTGAGCCCGAGACCTCGTTGGTCGAAGACCTCCCAGACCGCACCCGCCCCTCCACCTCGACCACGACCCATGACCACACAACGACCTCCACGCACGCCAACCCCGTCGTCATCTCCATATCCGAGACACTCTCCGCCAAACTCTCCCGCGAAGGCGCCCTGCGGTCGTTCGAGGTGAAGGGCGACCTGCAACTCAAGATTGCCGACCCGGCGCTGACCAAACTCGCCCTGCGGGTTTCGGCGGACGAGGGGCCGCTGAGGGCCCAATTCCGCACGCACCCCAACGTGGACAAGAACCTCTTCAACACCTCGCGGACGATCCAACTCAAAGACACGACCAAGCGATTCCCGTCGAACAACAGCATCGGCGTACTGCGCTGGCGCGCGACCGCTCCCGCGGACACGCCGGACATCCTCCCTCTGACGTTCACCGCGTGGGTCAACAAGTCGGACGACACCTACACCATCACGGTCGAGTACGAGCTGACCAACACGGACATGACCCTGCGTGATGTCAGCGTCACGATCCCTTACTCCTCGTCCGAACCCGCCGTGAGCAGTTTCGACGCCATGTACCAGGTCACGGGCGACAGCCTGGAGTGGACCATCGGCACCATCGACGCGGACAATGCGAGCGGAAGCTTCGAGTTCGAGGCCCAGGCCGACGACGACGGCGACTTCTTCCCGATGACGGTGTCGTTTGAGATGACGAAACCCTTTGTGGAGGTTGATGTCCTGGCCGCGAGACTGCTCGAGATGGACGAGGACGTCGACTTTGAAAAGATCGTCAAGGCCAATGCCGATGGGTTCATGATTGAATAAAAACACTGCTCAAGGTAGAGAAAAGGGGGGGGGGATTTCCTCCAAAAGGGGCGAGGAAATGCCGCCATGTGGCTGATAACTGAGGCAAATGCGCATGATTGTGAGACTTTTTTGGATTTTTTGAAGTCCCGAGTACTTTTAGAGATTCAAGAATAAGAAAAAAGGTCACTCGGGATACATACACTCTTACGGTCTATCGTACGATTCCGACGAGAGTACTCACTTGTGCGAGTAGGGGCATCATGATCTCGTCACTGCGCTTTCTCCCTTCTCTCTGCTTTACATTGCTTTGCTTCGCCTTGTGTATCTGGCTGTACCTACATACCCCGTAGGAAATACGAAGCTCGGTTCACTCAGGATTGTACACGTAAGCCACCACCGACGCACAGAGTCACTCGCGACCAAAGATCGCAATTCCATCAGGTTCCTATTGTAGGTAAAGATGTTTATTTTTTCCCCAAATGACAGGCTTCGAATTTTAAGAATGCAATAATGTGTTTTTGGATGTTCAAACTACCTGAGGTATATACGGAGTGTGTTGTGTACTCGTCATCTTATTTATTCTTGTTGTCATAAACTTCATTAATCTTTCTTTGGGGGGCGATCCCTCAAAATAGCCTTTGAAAGGCTTCAATCAATAATGTTGATCCCCCCCGCGTATGCATATATGCGACTGATCGTCAAGGATCATCCTTGAGCAAGCAAATCTGATCTCGGGGCAATGTGTCCTCGTGCTCAGATGCGTACCTAGTTCGAACAGCCATGCGCGCAACCACACGTCAACAGCATTGTCGGTCTTTCTACTGTCCACAGAAAAATTCGTGATCAGGAAAGGATGTCATTCCCCCCCTGTATCCAAATGCCCGGAAGCGGAGGGTGTCGAATTGAATTGATGCTGAATGAGCCTTGTAATACTTTCGTAAGTGTATTAGATGCAACGAATGTCCCTTTTAATGCATGCCCTTAAAATGGTATCTTCCTCAATCGCAGAGGGAAGCTCCAAACAAAGAAACGGAAATGATGTTTTGCTTCATGCTCGCTCTTCTTACGAGCCCTGAGGCCATACACCAGCATCAATTAGCTTAAACAGATCCCACTCTGCGGCGCCCTCGGTCTTGAAGTTCCAGAAAATCCAGCCTTGAACCATGGATTCGAAGGCGCTCATTTGTGCGTTGATATAATTGGTCGTGGCCTGCTTGTAGTCGTCGCTCCATTGATCGATGGAGTTCTTGTCCGCGCACGATCCGACATAGGAACTGCCGTCGCCGTTGCCCTTGTTGTAGGAACCATCGTATCTGGCACCGACTCCATAGCCGTTGACGTATTGCGCGCAATCGGTCATGGCCGCCGTCCATTCACCCACGATGACGAACTTGTCTTGCCCGGTTCCCCAAGTATTTGCTGAATTCCATACTTCGCTGACGTGGTCTTCGGGCGAAAGTGCCACTCCCTCATTGGTGAAGCACTGGTACTCGTGGTGGTCAATCATGGCGCCAGACGTGCCTTTACCAGTCAAAAAGCCATTCCAGTCCGAGGGGTTATCAAAGCCATCATGGATCACGACTGGTGCCTGTCCATTCTGCCTGACGGTGCCGAATCCGGCTTGATAATATCCTTGAGTGGCCGACTTTCCGCCGGACAAGCCAGCCATGTACGGCTCGTTCAGAAGTTCAATACCAACCACCACATCGGAGTAGTCTGATGTAGCGTACTTCTCCGATATCTGTCCAATGACATTGAGGGTGGCCTGCACACTATCGCCTTGCGTCCAACCCGGTGTCGAGGTAAGCTGGCCAGAGTTGTCGTAACCATTCTGCGAGCGTGGTGCACCTGGATTCAGTCATCAGCGCTGCCCCTTCCATAAAGATACTGATGGAACCTACCGTGCAAGTCGATCCATACCTTCAAGCCTGTTTGGCGGGCCCAACCAATGGCCGCCTCGAGGTAGTCTGCGGCACCTTGTATATATGGATCCTGCTCGTATTTCTGGAATGCCCAGTACCCAATCGGTATCCGTACCATATTGAAGCCATTGTCCGCAATCTTCTGAAAATCACCCAAGGAGACCCAGCTGTCCCAGTGGCTGCGAAGAATCGATTCGGCATCGCCTGAATTTTGGCAGAGTGTATACTCGTCCACCACGCTTCCGCCGAAAGGTTGGAACATAGACGGAGTAATCCACGGTTCAAGGACCAGCCATCCTCCTATATTGACACCACGTACTGGGTTCGAGCCATATGCGAACTGGCGTTTGTCTATGGGAGATCTGAAATTGTATCAGCCAGATCCATGGATAGACAGTGCTTGAAGGAAGATGTCACTTACGCTACTACACCAACAACTGCCAGCGCACCAAAGAAGATGTTTTGTGCCCACATGGTGCTGATAGTTGGTAGTAAGGAATGGTGGAAGGCAACACGCACAACAGGAAGACCTTGAGGCCTTCACTTGTAGGAGCAAACGGCCGAGGTAGTGTTTGTCCCCAGTGATCCTTCCCGACAATACTCGTATACCGCCTGACGCTGTGTAAGGTAATGACGATGGTGAATGTACGAGTGATTGGCTTGGACACTGCCGACTTGACCAGAAAAGAAGGTCCGCTCCGAACAGTAGTCACCTGGTATAGAAGAAAACTCGAGAGACGTGAGGAGTAGGACAGCTTCGATCAAGAGGCTCCAATCAAACGGTGTAGATCCTTTTGAGTAGCATACGAACAGAACAATTTGGGGGTGTATATACTTGAGATCAGCAGAGGAAGAGTGACGGCGTAAACTAGACAGGGCATGGATGCACATTTCTTTCACGTAACCAGCATGCACTCACCTCAAGGTACTCAAAACCTGGCGAGCTAGATGTTTGTGGATACCCGACCTTCCTGGTGCTCATGTTACGAGTCCGAGATCTGAGTGGTTATCGTGGTTGGCACAATACAAAAGTGCTCTCTAGCAAGCGGGTGGCGGAGAGAAGCGGGTCCGGGGCTGTAAACAAGCACTATTGGAAGCTCAATTGACATTTGAGCATGCTAAAAGGACCGAGCGGTTGCTCAAGGGCCATGAAGTGAAGTGGGTGACGAAAAGAAGGGCAAGTTATGAGAGGCAGGTAGCGAGGTATCGGCGCTGCCAACTAGACCCTCTTTGTGTTTCTCTCCGCGAGATGCATGCAGCACAGTTGGTGAGACAGAGAGTCCTGAGAGGATCCCCACGTCGATCAAGAAATTGCAAGAGAACCGTGCCGAGGTTTGAAGGGTCAGTTGACAGCGCCAGCCTGCGCACGAACAGCTATTACAAGTACCGATGAAACGGTGAAGAGGAGAAAGCAAGACAGCGCATGGAGGATGGCGAGGTAAGAGAGAGAGAGAGAGAGATTGGACGGAGGATGATCCGCAAAGAACGTCGAAGTTGAAGAAGCATTCACCAGGATTGGCACTGTCTGTTGATGCAGATCCAGGGGCCCAATCGACCATGATTCGCCATGATCCACGTCGGCTGACCAGGGACGCATGAATGTAATTCTCCAACGTCACAGTACAGGGAGACATCAGTCACACGGTCGATTTGGCGATGAATGTTTGATAGAAGGTGCGTCCGGAGTACGGAGTAGTATAGGAAACGTTTATTAGACATGCAACGCCCGGATCATTGTTCGCTGGGAAATGAGAGACGTATTGAATGGTCGACGAGAGAACGACAACCAGGAAACAGGGCAGCAGTACCCAGTAATCGAGAGCGGTCCCTTGCTGGCAACCCTCTTGGGCCATTCCACCGATGGTCCCTTGCAGGCTGGGAACAAGATGGGGTGGTAACGCCTATCGCTGTCCACTTTCGTTCCTTTCTAAGCTCTTCTAGGCAACGGTGAAGGTTCTCCACAGAATCCATACCGGTTCCATCCATCTTCTCCCAACCTCTTCCGCGGGTGGCTGACTTTCAATCGAACAATGGACCGAGGACCGAGATTCCTCGAATTGCACATGCTCTTTTGATTTTTCCCGTCTCGAAAGATCATATGAAGATTGTGGACTGCACTCGCAAGATTATGGATCAAGCTCAGGTGTTTTGGAGGCGTTGAGCTTTGATCCGTGGATGACTCAGAATACAAGCACAGCCGCGTCAACCATGTCGCCTTTGTTTCAGGCAAAATACATAAAGAGAATAAATAGTTCCGTCGTAAGCTTGCGGGCTCCCTTGGCCAGCGGTTCCCTGGCAGGGACCATGACAGCGCCCACGAATCATATCTTAGCACGTGTGCAGCTACAAAACCTCTGTGATCAATTGTCTCTCAATAATGGAGTTCTCGGCCTGGTCTCTAGAGACTCGGTAATAGTAATTGGCAAAGTCGGCGCAATCCATCTTGCGGAGAAAGTCTTCGTCATGGGTAATCACGATGAGCTGGAAGTTGGATTGTTGCTGTCGTTCCCTGATTATGTCACGAAGCGACTCTGCCAGGCTTTCGATGTTCTCGCGGTCGAGATTGGTCGTTGGTTCATCCAGAGCGATGAGTCCGCAATTCGCACTGAAGCATTCTGCGAGGGCCAGTCGGATGATGATGCTGGCGAGAACCTTTTGTCCAGCACTGCATCGGCCTCGCATGTCCATTTCAACATCGCGCTTGACCATGACAACACGATAATTGTATGACCGATTGGCACGTCCAGATTCGTTGTCGGCACGGATCAAAAGCGTATCGACGTCGCTTCCTTTGTATGTCTTGCGCCACAGCTCGTCGATGATGGCGTTGATTTGCTCCATCTTGAGGCTATGATACTTCATGATTGCTTTGTCCAACGCGCCACCATAACGACCTAGATCTTCCACCGCAGCTTTGGTCGCCTCGACTTTAATATGAGCTTCCTTGTAGCGATTAGCCGCATCTACAAGATTGAGATTATAGTCATCCATGAGTTCGCTGAGCTGGGCATCTTTTGAAGTCATCTCTCCGTACTTGCGCGCTTGTTCTGCACTAAGTTTGTTGTACTCGTTTTGGTACTTTTTAGCTTCTTGCTGGAAATTGTCGCGATCCTCTTCGCTGTTCTGGCTGGCAAGCTCTTCAATCTCCTCTTCCAACTGGCTCAACATTTTGGTCTCTTGACGATATCGCAAAGTATCCGAATATCGTCTTCTGGTCGCTTCGCTGTCTCGGATTTGGTCATTGATCTTGTTGATTTCCCGCGTCAGCTTTCCTTGTTCAGTCTGAGCGTTGTCTAGCTCTCTTTCCAGATGACTTAGCTCTCTGTTGACATGGGCAACTTGGTTCGGTCCGTTGCGATCTATGTAGGCCTGAACTTGGTCGTTCAATAGGTCTAACCCGTTGACGCTCTCACTAAGCTTAGATTGTTCGTTGGCCATTTCACGTTCTTTGGTGGCCGTTCTCTGTTCGATATCTTCAGACTTGGCTTTTGCTGTTGCAATGTCAGGATCAAGTGCTTCAATGTCTCGATCAAGCTTATTGAGATCATCGCGTAATTTCCGATTCTGCTCGCGGAATTCTTCGACACGGGCAGCGAGCGATGCTTTCTTGTCGAGTTGATGACCGATTGTGTTCAACTCTCCTTTCAGATCTCTGAGTTCAAGCTCCTGGGATGATAGTGCTGCTCGAGACTGTTCTTGATCTGTTCTGAGGCGTTCCATCACATTCTGTATACTACGAATCTTCTCGGTCGTAGAGTTTAGTTCCTCTCGGATGTCCTCCAACGTTCGACCAGTCGTCTGTTGGGATTGTTTGGTCGAAAGCTCCTCGACTTGAGCACCAAGAGTTCCAATTTCGCCATGGTATTTCGAAATTGATGCGACGGTCCGACCAATAGATTCAACATCTTGTTTTACTTGCAGGGCCTGCTCTGCGATCTTGTCGTGTTCTTCGAGCTCGGACTCAATTCTCTCACGCTGCTCCTTCAAATCTGATAAGTCTTGTTCAGCGGCTGGGATATCGGCGTTTGCAAGTTTCTTCCAGGTTTCAACAGCCAGCCCGAGATCGAGGAGGCGCTTGTACTCGGCCTCGGCCTCTTTAGGGTTGGTGCGCTCAAAGTCTTCAAGTGTTTTGGCAACTAGTTCCTGCATCCGCTTCTTCGTTCTTACCAACGCTGGATCATCAGGGCTCTTGAAACCTCGTGAACAAGTTCGACACGCAGGCTTCGGTGCTTCGAGAGATTGTAGCACCTTTTTGTAATAGTCATGGAGACCGGCAAAGCCGCCACTTTCGTCGCGAGCAAAGTCCGCGTCGGCCTCTGCCTGTTGCAATGCTTCGTCATACGCCTCTGGTCCGGCTGCCACCACCGCACGAATTTGCTTGTCACAGTCTTTTGCCTCCGACCTCTTTCTGTTGAGCTCGTCACGCAATGTCTTCTGTCGGAACGATGCCTGCTCCAGACGCCTTCCAACAGAGTCTCGCTCCCGTTCAGCCGAGGAAAGCTTTGCGCTGACCGTGCCCAACGCCTCTTGGTAAACTGCCTCAACAGTAGCAGGTGTCCATTCTTGGTCCGCCATGACCTTGTTGATGCGGTCGCTATGCGCACTCAAAAGTGTCTCTAGGCTCCGCTGTCGATCCTTCAGTTCTTGTTTCAAGTGCGACAACCGAGCAAGTTCTCCTGCCCTCTGGGTGGTTTGGACAATCTCGTCACCAAGTTTAGAGTTTGATCTTTCCAGGGACTGAAGCTGGCTGTTGGCATCTTGCAGTTTGTTGTCCCAGTCGGCAGTCTCAGCGGCTTCTCTCGCATGTATCAGCTTGTTCTTGAGATCTTCGATACGCGATTCCACAACTGCTCTACTGCCTTCATCAACATTGATCTGATTGACTTTGCGTTGGAATTCCCCAGCATCTCGATCATTTGAGTCTATCTGTTTGCGAATGCCGACTTTGTTGTCCTGAAGTGCGGCTTTGCGCTCTGTCAGCTTGTTGACTAGGGTTTGTGCTTCTCGTCGCTCTGAAGCATGCTCAAGCTTGGCACGGTCGAGAGCAACTTTCTGATCCTGTAGGATCTTCTTCACCTTGAGCAAAAATTCTTCAACACGGGAGTCATCAGTCAGATCATCATAACGACGAATCTGGTGCTTGGTAGCGACAGCCTGCACCATCTCTCTTCGTCGAACAAGGTGTCGCTCGTGTTCTTCCTTTTCTTGCTCATATTTCCCTTTGAGCTTGACCTGCTCTTCGCGTTGTTTCCCGAGACGTTTGAGTTCATCTTGCCGCTCAATGTATCGCTCCTGTTTGGTACGGATTTCATCTTTCAATTCCTGTTGTTTGTCTTCAAATTGCTCAAGCGTCTTTTGTAGCCAATCGTCCGACTCGTCGATCTCCTCGAGGTGTTCCTTGAGTCCATCGATAGTGCTTTTCCTCCCTCGCGCCTCTATACGCTTCCCTTCTAACAGACCCAGCACCTTTGCGTAGTCCTCGCCTTTCCTCCAAGCCTCATCTGCCATAGCCCTGGCTTGTGCACTCCGTTTTTGCAGATCCTGGATTTCGACCCTTAGATCCTCGACTATCGCAGCAATTTTGTGCCCGTTAGCAGACACTTTTCTCGCACGATCTTTGTCCAGTTTAGCATGATCTTCGAGGATTTTGTATTTGCCTAATTCTTCATGCTGCTTTTTACGAATCTGCTTGATATTGTCAATGGCTTTGGTATATTTTTGAGCCTCAAATATCTCGTCGAATTTCTTCTTCAGGGTCGAAGGGTCGCTGAGAGGCCACAAGCTTTCGTCCTGATGGCAAAAAATGACATTGTCAATGATGGCCGTGCCCACACCCAGATAGCGAGGCAGGATAGAATCCATTTCGGCAACGCGCGAGGATAGGACAGTCTTTACTCCTTTCTTGGAGATGTTGAGAGAGACTTCAAGGCTTTTCAAAGATCGAGCGGTCTTTTTTACTGACAGTTCCAGACGGCGAGAGATGACGTACGAGGTGCCCTTAGCATCTTTGAAAGCCACTCTCACCATCGCTTTGACATTTTTCTCGTTGCCCAATTTGGGATCATTGATAAAAGCACCACCAATTTTTGTATTTGGAGGCTGCATACCGGTGAAGGCAAATTTGAGGGCCTCGATTATGGTAGTCTTGCCAGAGCCATTTTGGCCAACAATGAGGGTTAATGGTGTTTCAAATTTGACTGTCTCCGGATCCGATGGGCCGAATGAGCGTATGCCCGATAGCTGCATAGACTGAAGACGAGACATATTGGCAACGGCGTTGAGAAGTCAGAGGGCTGAAAGCAGTCCAGAGTTCTGAGCCTGTCGAAGTGAACGGCTGGCATACAACTCTGAGGTACAGTTTAAGGAGCCTTGAGCGAGAAGGTCCTGCCCTTTTCACGCCCAGAATCACACCGTACCGATCAGTGAGAATGATCCGTCACATAAAGAACGAACTCGGGGAATGGAAGAGACGTGTCGTCATAGTGTCTTCAGTGAAGCAAGGTAGTCGTGGTGTTTGTCGATATTTCATTTGGCTTCATCAATGGAACTAACCTCGAGGCGCGACTCACGCGCCACCTGCCTTATCGAGATTGATGCCTAGGTCCCCGTGATGCGGTATCACGTGGTATGGGAAATCCCATTAGTGCCTTGGCAAAGCGAGTGTCGAAGGTTTGAGGTGAATCTCGATTCTCGATCGCATCGCCACGACTTGGGTCAGACCACATCCCCTCCCCTCGCCCATTTCTCGCTGTCTGCTCGTATCCAGAGTCTCCCTGGGGCCATCTCGCTTACTTTCTCCGGTACAGGCTGAGATTGTCCAACACACGCAACGCCATAGATCTCGATTCAAGCATAGCGCACCACTAAGTTGCATCCTGACCAGGCTTGAGTGGAAGAAGAATCCTCTCTCCGACTGGGTCCCAACGTCGCTTGACCTATCCTGAATTCTCTACACCGATATCAACGTCCACTGCAGACCCACCAAATACACGCACGCAATATGGCGTTCCAGACTAACGTGGACTCGTTCAATCTCCAGGCCGATATGTCAGATCCCTCCCTGCTCGCCCACACAGATATGAGTGTATATCCCGATGCTCTGTCTCTAGACCTGACTCCCATGCCATCCACCCCTTTCGATATGATGGGATCCCTACCGCCGGCATTGCTGAAGGAGAACTCCAATCAGACCGATTCTCCCAGTACGGTCGCGACCAACGGCGTAGGGGCTGGACCTCTACCCCCGGATTTCGGTCGGCTGGCCCAAGGCTCTAGCAGCAATTTGACCGAGTTCACGAAGCGACGCAATTGGTCTCAACGGGTCCTCGAGGAGCTTAAGGATCTGCTGTACATCCTTACCCCTGACGGTCGGATGCTTTATGTATCCCCCTCGGCGAAAGCTCTCACGGGATACGACCCCGAAGATCTCTTGGGTAAGTCGATGCCTGAGTTCGTCCATCCCGACGACCAGGGACTGTTTATTCGCGAGTTCAACGAAAGCATCGCGACTGGGAACGCGTTGCGGTTCTACCACCGCTTTCGTACGGCAGAGGACAAGTACAAGATTTTCGAGTGTCACGGCCATCCGCACCTGACCCAGGACACGTCGGGACTCGAGTTGTCCGGCACACCTGTTGGGTCGGCCGGGATCTGTAGAGGGTTCTTCATGATGGCACGGCCTTATCCCAGTAGAAACTCGGAACTTCTCGATTCTTTTCTGGAGCACAAAATCGAAAACATCCGGCTACAGGCGCGGATAGCTGCCCTCAGAAAGGAAGAGGCAGAAGAGACCGATGGCCAAGGCGAGCAGTATCACAAGCCAGCCGGAGCTTCAAGCTCCAACAGGACGCGCTCCAACTCGGCAGAGATAAGCCCGGCGTCGCCATCGGTACATTCAAACACCGATTATTCTGGCATGCCACCGCCCGCAAAGCCTACTGTGTCCAACATTGCTCTCACGCGGGAAGCCTTGGACGAGGCCAACGCGTTTGCGAGACCGGACAGTATAAGAGACAAGATGGCACGTTACGAAGGTTCTTCGCACGTCGACTCGATCGAGATGTTCACCGGTCTGCGGTACCGCGAGGGCGAGCGGTCACATGGTATATCAACCGGCGGCACATCTCCGGCCTTGATTCGCGGCGATGCCGGTATCCACATCCCCGTCGACAAAGCCGAGTCGCGGTACTCGTACTCGGACAAGAAGCACAAGAAAGTCAAAAGCGCGGATGAATACGTCTGCACGGACTGCGGCACGCTCGACAGTCCGGAATGGAGAAAGGGACCCAACGGGCCCAAGACGCTGTGCAATGCTTGCGGGCTGCGGTGGGCGAAGAAGGAAAAGAAAAAGTCTGGTCCCATTGGTCCTGATGGTGCGAATTCCGAATCAAACACGGGTCCTCTGAATGGTGTCGACATTAAAGATTCACAATCAAATGACTAGAGACTTTCTTTGATCGGGTCACTTTTGAAAGTGTGCCGTTGGACAACACCGAGTCAGTCTCGGACGACGACACTTGAAGAACATGAAGATGATCACGATCATGGATATGATGATGTCAAAAGTGCGTGTGCCATACACCCCGTTGTCCCGCGCCCTCGCTCTCTCCAGCTCTCTCCAACAGTCGTCACGGACTGAACTCTCGCGGGCTCGCCATCCGAAGCTCGGCGGTATTGTTGAGACCTGTGTCTACCTATATATCATTCCCCTTCATGAAGAAGAACAAGAACCACCACAGGCGCCTAGGCGACAGTTTCTGCCCTGCCTTTTCTGATGGTCTGCATATTCTCCATCGGTATCGACTCGCCACATCGACATTGTTATCATGACCTCTCTTACATCGAGGCGTCTATATCATCCATGGGATTATTTTTTTTATCTTTCTTTTCATGGCTTTTGCATGGACGATGTTCCGACATCCACGGCGTCATTTGCTACACGGCATCATTGCATATTTCGGGCTTTCAACAGGGAGTACACCGGCCGTGCTCTCCGTCACATATGGACATGAACGTGACCGCTTGAGAGATACTAGGAAGGAGGATAAGGGACGGCGCAGCATGATATTGTCACGAACCAGAGAGGGTCATGTCTGGGGAAGAAATGGAAATGACCATGCAATTGTTTCTGATGACGCTAGAGTGAGTCCTACTAGAGATCGACGCATACGAAACATGATTATAGGTATGAATAGAGATTGGCACTTCGAAGCATAGCTCCTTGCCTATTCAAGGTAGTAGTAGTAATACATGTCTACGGAGAATCTCGCTGTGTTCATGAATAGTACAATGGTATCCGTATAGTATACAAGTTTCTTGCAGAAGGAGTATTGGGATGTGTACCCAACGGTGGTGTTCGTAAGGCTGACTCTTCGTTTTCTTTCTTTTCCTCTCTCGCACTGGCTGAAAGTTTCATCTCGCTCAAACAAAAAATTCCTGGCAGCACCCCTCGGATGGGATGGATTAATTTTTCAAGTCACAGTCGAACTGTCTGCCGCATCAGGTCCGACATTTTCGCCAGAGACATCAGCTTTGGATGCGTCGTCCTCTGTCTTCCCGTCGGCGTCCACGAGCACGATGTCTTCATCCCGCTCCTCGGTCGGTTTCTGTCCATCTCCTCTGGCGGCGCCTTCGGCATCGACCTGCATTGCGTCCATATCTTGTTCTGTACCTCCTTCGCGGCCACCGGCGGCTTCCGTCTCCTTGAGTACGATCTCAAAGTCGTCGGCTTCACCGCCAGTCTTGTGATGTGACTGTGCAAGGTTGTCTTGCCCTGGCAGCACCGTCTGCGCATCGTTCGGATCCGCCGGGCCTCCCTCTTCTTGCGGAGGACTTCCAATTCTGATTTCGACGTCGTGCCCATCGATGCGGCCCATGTCTACCGATCCGACGACATCTGGACCACGCGCATGAGGCACCAAATCACCCTCTTCGTCCATGTACAACCCTTCCTCGGCGCCGGCCATTGTTCTACTGCCCGGGCCGTTGTTGTTCGAGTTTGGATTCACGGGGACGACCCCCGCCTCTTGCTCCATGCGCATCAATTCGCCTTGCGTGACCGCCCCGTCTGGTCTTCCAGGCACCAAGGGATCTCCTCCGTGCACATGGCTGTCAGTCACTGATAATGGATCGTCTAGACTATCTGCCCCGGCACTCTGATCCGAGTCTAGATGCCCTGATTCTTCACTCGAACCCTCTCGACCTCCTAGACCATTTCTCAGCCACGGTATGGGGGTGAGCAAGGCACCGCCCAGACTCTCGTCGCTACCCAGTGAATTGCTGTCGTAACCATTGCGATTGTCGTTATTTGTCCATAGAATCCCTCCACCGCCGTCTCCGTTCACTCCATTGATGATGGGCGGTGTGTCCGAGAGTGGGAAAATATCTGCAGAGCTGCTGACGCTCACTATTCGATCGACCGCGCGTAGCCATGCTGGCAGCGTCCGGTAGTGTCCGGTAGGACGGAGTACCAGCTCCGCCAACCGCTGAATAGTATGTGGTGGTTTTTCTGCAAACGCTGTGCGGAGGGTATGTTGGACGCTATTCAAGATCTGGAGAAGAAGGGAGGGAAGTTCATGTATCGTATCGACGGAGGGTTCTTGCGACGGAGGTAGGGAATCTGGGACGTGGCTCGTGGATGTGGCCGAGGAATTAGGGAAGGGAGGTACAGGAGGCAAGTTTCGCACGGGGGTCGAAGGTGTTTGCACGGCGGGGTTCGAGTCTCGAGTGGAAGTTCCGTGGATCTGAGATGGTGAGTTGGGCATAAGTTGGCGATTCATACTGGGGTAGGGTCGTGGCGTGGGAAACTCGGTATAGACAATCTGATACAGTATCAATATCTGCCAACTCTTTCTTTCTTTCTCTCTTTCATCGTACCTGATTGAGACGCTGGAGGAGTGGTTCGAGGAGGGATGGCCATTTTTCACTGGTAGGGTGTCAATCTATTGCCAACAAACGCACGACGCGACGATGCACATACTACTCCATCTCCCCATTGTTGGCAACATCTTCCAGGGTCTTTTCGTCAAGGTCTGGCATGTTGGTCAGTATCTCATCCGGCACGTGGGAAGAATTGAGGGAGACTGCGCTGTCGATCGCAGGGATTTCAATTTTTGATTTGGCGGAGCACAAGCGTCATTGCGTAACTCACCAGAAGACATATTGCACCGGCCAAAACAAGACAATGCCTAGCCTTACTCGTATCAAAGATATCAAGGCGACGGTCCAGAGTATACGGCAAGGCTTTCAATGCAAGGCACAACGAACCGGTCAATAGTGATGCGATGCGTGTGTCTTGTGCATCGGAGACAGTTGAGGCCACTAGTACTAGGCCGAAAAAAGGCGAACCATGACGGTGAATAGGCGCCGTTAAGCGTCCGCCGTGATTTGCCCCGGCGTCGGGTATTCTAGGCATATTGTGATGTTCCAGGCTTATCTAAGGCGACGAAAAAGAAAACGTCGGCCATCCAAACTAGGTCGGTCATCAGCAAAACACCTACCGTTGGTATTGTTCAATTCTCTCCAAGCTGATTGAATGCAAAGAGAAGAGGCCAGGGGAAGAAGTCGAGGATCATTTCTAGGCCGCTAACTACCTACCTACCTACAGATACTCCGTGCTCGCCGTAACCTTGTCACAAGGTACGGAATCAAAGCAACACGAAACACTTTTCCATCTTGGATCCGGTACAAGCATCCGACCCCTGTTGCATACCGTACATATTCAACAGGACGAGGGCGATGCGATGATGCATGAGCCAGCCAGGATGGCCCTTGCTTCGTCGCCTTACCAGGCTTTTTGTATCCTCTATCCTGTCAAGGCCGTCAACTCGTTCAACGAAGTGGACTAGATGCAAATCGTTGGGACAGTATCCGTATGAAGCTCACTGATCGTACGAGCAGATATCTACTCTACAATACTCCCTACTTGCTACTACTACTACTACCGTGATGAGTACGGTATTCTTCCGTTGGTAGATATTTTTGGATGACTACCACCGAGTCATTGCCCCAAAACAGCCCGTCAGCGTCAAGGTCACATTCTTGGTTACGATATGCATCATGCCAGCCGCACTGGAACCTAAGGTTGTACCCGAGTTATCGCGTCCCGAAGCCTGCAAAGTGCAAAACGGAGTCGATCTATAATATAAAATTCGGGGCCTGACACGTTGGCAGTAGGTAGTGATACACTGACAGATGATGGATCTGACATGATGATTTGAGCCTCGCCGGATTGTTCTTTTTTTGCTGAAGATCGAAGCAGTTGGCCGGAATCGATGAGTACAGGCACAATCACTGCGTATGTGGCGATGCTTCTTTGTTGACGCCCGAGCCCTTTGATTTCCCCCCTCCTCTGGCACCGGTATCCATGTTGAATTTTGCTGGTGCTTGTCTAGTTCTCGTTACAAAGCATGAATCGCGTCAGTCTCAGGTCCAGCTTCACTGCCAAAACATGTTCCGAACTTTGGCCACTAGGCTAAGCGAGACGCCTCGGGGTGTTTCGGTGCCTGCGGTCCATTTTCTTGGGGACAAGTAGAGACACACTTTGGGTGGTGCATGGTACTACTGCCTGTCTGTACTGTACACACCGCATGTAGTTGAACCTTTCTCTCTATCCTTCCGTCCACTTTTCGGCCACGAGTTCTTGGATGCCTTTTAGACCCAAAGTATGCTCCGTAGTCAACCTTCCAGGCGAATGGCTGGCCGGGGCGTCGGACGCGTTTATTGCGTTTCCTGTGCTGACAACCAGGCTATGGTGGCCAGAAGGTGACCCTAGTTCCCCCGGAAAGGCGGCAGGCTATGCCTGACAAGGCGTAGATAGCACCGTTCCCGTCCTCGACCCTGCTTTTCTTCACCACCCTGATTAGAATGCTCCTCTTTTGGCTGCCTCTTATCCCGTATTATTCAACCCAAATCGAGTCCTCCCACACCTGTCTGCCCGCTCACCAAACCACCAAGGGCCACTGAGGCGCGGCCGAGAACCACCCAGGGCCACCAGACAGCCAATACTCCTCGTCCCTTTCCCGTCCCACTCCCTCTGCTGCCAGCGTCCGACCGCGTGCTTCCAAAATGATCGCTTGGTCGTGAGGATTCCACAACGGCCGTCCTCCAATCGTCAGCCACAGACCAAGTCCCTCGCTTCTTGCATCCTCGTTCCCTCGACCTCGTCCGCTACTGCATCTCCCGTATGCATTCACTCTCACTTCTTTTCAGCTGGCTGGACAGAACATAGATATCAAGCATTGCGTCTGTGTGTGCCTGAACCGTCCAGACTTGTCATGCCGCCGTTTGTCAGCTGCTGTCACTGCTATGCAGCGAACGGACTGACAGTCCTTTGTTTCCTTTGACTTGTTATCCTCCGTCACCTCCGACGTTACGAATGACTTGACCACACCTTTGAACCACCGATCTTTCTTACGAATCATCCTGTACCGAGACTCGAAACACCATGGGGGTCTTGAACATTCCTTCCAAAGGCCTTACCCTTCGGCATGCCTCCGAGCATGACACCTCAGAGAAACGGGCCAGGGAACCGCCACAGGTGTTCCGTCTGGACCTGGTCGAAAACGTAACCAAGGAACTCGTTCGGTCCCTCAACAACAAAGAACAAGTCAAACTGAGATGTGGTAGAAGACCACTCATACAAGTTGGGAAGAAGGCAATACCTCTTGAAAGCACCCTCGACTCTTTCCCCTCTGAGGTCTTCAAAAGATCTACACATGATGCCGAGTTGTTATACTTTTCTGGGAAGTCGAGCCACAGACTGGAAGTACAGAAAGCAGAAGAAGCCACTGCCAAAAGTGACGAGGCGTTGGCTACATTGGAGAGCACCCTGAAGTCGATCCAGGAGCAAAGAGCGTCCAATGAAACGAGTATAATAGGTGGTAAACAACATGCTGGGAGAAAGGATGTCAAAAGCTCTCCGTTCTTGGGGCAAAGCTCTACGGCTCTCAGAAAAGATCTTCTGGGAGGGCTGTCATCATCGCGCCCATCCAGCCCTTTTCTCTCAGCCAGCTACTCTCCAAGATTGGGACCAACATCTATCGCTTTGTCTCCCGGTGTCTCTGCAAAAGACAGGGTCCGACTCGACGCCATTCGCATCCCACTGGTTCATCTTCTGGCTGCCCGATCCATGTCTCTCAAGGAGATGTGCAAGCAGCTACGGGCTAGCAAAGAGGACTGCGAACGACTGATAGAGAAAGTCGCTAGAGATTCCAAACAAGGTGACGGTCTGAAAGAGCTGAAGGAGAAATCCTATCGCGAGTTGGACGTTTGGAAATTCCCTTACCGGACCTCTGATGAAAGACAGGCAGCCATCGATCATGCCATCCAAGCATACGATCGTATGCGGGTAGAAAAGAAGGATACCTTGTGGCAGTTGTTGTTGCCTCAGGAGGAACGGGGCAAAGGCAAAATCCTATCAAGGCTCAATTTTGATAAGCCCGTTGCACCAAAATCGACAGGAGATGACGGCAACGAGAGCAAGAACGAGGCCTCTGACAAGGAACCTTCGAAATCAAAGACGAAGAAGGACGATACTGCGGCTACTCTAAGGAAAGCTAAAGACAAGACCCATAGCACGAAGACCGCTCTTAAGGGAGACGGTGCCGTCTCGAGTCGTGGGAAAAATACCCCCCAGCCTCCAAGCAAGGCTTCCAAACCCGAGGGCAAGTTCAAATCTTCAGAACGGATTGAGGACTCCGACGAGGACGCCGACGCATCAGAGGTCACTGCCTCCCAATCTAATAACACTAAGTCTTCAGCTGTCGGTAAAAAACCCGAGCAGGATAAGGCGAGATCACAGAAGCCGTCACAAAATGTTGCGTCACCGCGAAAAGTGATGCACAAGTCATCTACGTCCAGTTCATCATCAAGTGGGAATGAAAAGGGGCGACCAGCAGCAACGAGCACCACAAAACCCTTGAAACCTCAACCAAAGTCGGAAGGAACGACGTCCCGTATTTCGCCCAGACCTAGACACGATAGTTCACCGTCGAAACCGTCACCGCTTGGATCTTCGCCTCCTACCACCTCCACTGATGCTGACAATTCCAGCTCGAGCAAAGCTTCGAACCAGTCCTCGGCGCCATCATCCCCGCCTTCAAGCGTTGATCTACCAAAGCCAAAGCAGGGTACCAAGTACTCTCCCGTTGTTGCCGATAAAAGCCAACCTGTTTCTCGAGGGAGAAGCCCAGACAGAAGTCCTGCCAAGCGAAAAGCCTCGCCTTCGGAAGAGGAAAGACCCTCGAAACGCAAGCAGTCGGAAGCTAGTCGTTCAGCGATGCCCACAAACGGTACTGCCGAGCAACTAAAGCGACCAACCCCTGTCCGGAGAGATACTGAACGATCTTCTTCGCCGGAAAAACGTGGTCCCAACCGACAAGACATCATTGAGGATGCCAAGCGCTTTCAAAAGTACTATAAGAAGTACAAGGATCAGTACGAGCGGATAGCACAAATGGAGGAGAACGAGCGTGATGATAAAGACATGGCTGATCTGTGGAAGATGCATAAACGCCTGAAGGAGATGAAGGCCGACATCTGGAAGAACTGGGGCAAGGTTGATACGGACACAAAAGTTGATAATGTTATGAGGGAAATGGTGGCTGTTCAATGAACGGATTTGCCATTCCTCTTTCTGCATGTTTATGGAAGCAATGATGAGGTCTCAGAATTTCTGATACTCCAGTGAGTTGAATGACCCTCTTAACGAGATCATCGAGAGTTACAAAATCTAAAAAATGATTCATCAATTCTGCAGTGACTGTGCTTAGAATAACCTGACCTGTACTTTACTTTACATTGCAGTGAATGATGATTCCTTCCAGTTTACTTCACTTGTCCTCAAGTCACTCTCGACTTCGTCTACCGACCTCAACACCTTTTCAGATTTCATCTCCCCTCCATCCTTTTCACACAAACCCATATCTCTTCCTTGCAAATCTTACATCAATACGACCTTCCGATTGTCGCGTTCGCGTTCACGATGGGTAGGCCAAGATTTCGAGGTCGCAGCCAGCGCGCTGCTACTGGACCGCCGCAGGAGACTCGGTCTCCGTGGAGGCCTGTAGTTGATTTGACGGGCGATGCTTTACCTTTCAATGCTTCAGCTCCAAATCGGATGGCACTTCCGCTGGGGCCCGCGTCCGGCTACAGGACAAACAGCACAAGCATCGAGGTCCCTCTAGATCCGAAGCAGAGCCCTGCCTACCTTTTCCAACAGATGGCGCTGATCAGGAACCGTGCAAGAAACCAGCCGTCATTCTCCAGCATCGTACGACCCCGACCGGATATAGACAGCGGTACGAGTTCCGAGCTCGGTCCTGAAGACAAAGAGAACACTCCTACTCCGACGAATTCACGCCGGCCAAAGGGCAAGCCCGAGAAAAGTTCTCGAGTGGCATCGAAAGCGTCCGTCGCGCCGGATGGACATCAAGAGAAGCAGAAGACAAGCAGCTCAAAGAAAGGACATCGCGAGGCAAGCAGTGAATTCCAAGAGAGGCATACCAACAGAGGAAGGGACAAGACCGGGTCTGAAGAGGACGGTGACGGCGAGAACATCTCTGACCCGGCGGTCGGGGAGGAGTCATCCGCAAGACCGCGGAAGAGGGCGAAGTCGAAGTCGAAGCCGAAATCCAAGAAGACGAAGGACAAGGGTGACGCAGGAATTCAGCAGGGCGAAGAAGAAGGCGAGAACGGTCAGAACAACGTCGAAGCAGAGAATGCAACGTTCGGAACAAAGACCGGTATGTATGAATATATTGTCTCTTGGTCATCTCCTTTTGGGGTTGATGTGACGTGTGGCTAATATTAGCGATGGTTGTTGTTGTCATCGTCTTTCAGGAACAAAAGCGAGGAAGCGCAAAAGAGGTTATGAGTCCACCACCGAAGCACAAAATTCGAGTTCGGCAGAACCCAAGGCGCTCAAACAACTCCGCGAGATCCTTCCCAGCAAACGAGTGTCTCGTGTCGAGCATCAGCTAAGACAAGAGATGGCGGGGGGAGCTGGTCCGCCGACCGAAATGACCGTGGTCGTCACCGCCGCCCGAGACACCATCATAGACCTGGCCAGACAGCAAGTCGTCCAGACTGAGCGCTCGTACCAAGCCATCCAGGCCGAACTACTGAGGATGTTGAAAGAGCAGAACAAGAAACTTGCAAGGTGGGAACGAAGGGCAAAGACCACCATTGGATTGCTTGGGTCTTCAAATGAACCTGATTCGGATTCTGACGCTGTCTTTGTTGTTGGTTCTTCTTCTTCGTCTGATGAGAATGGTTGCGAGGCAGCTAGGGAGGAAGCCGAAGACGAAGCCGAACCAGAAGTGGAAGCAGACTCAGAAGAGGATGAAGCGCCCAAACGAAAGAAGAAGAAAAAGAACAAGAAGAAGGACGAGAAGAATGACAAGAAGCGCAAACATCGTTCAGTCAGTCCTGTCTCGATCCGTCGACGACGACGAGCTGCTACCGAGGACCCCAATCCGAGGTCGTCGTGTCAGAGCGGAGTTCAGTGAGATTGTCAACAACCAACCGTCGTCCTAAGTGATCCAGGCGTCTGGCACCCCGACAGGAATGCTGATGCGAGGCAATACGAAACAACGCAAAGCGTTTAGCAAGAACTTGCAAGCATTGAAAGTGAGGTTGTCAACCAGCTGAAATTTGGCGAGAGCAGACCGAGGCATATGTTCGGCGCAAGAGCGAGAGGGTGTGGATGTTGGAAAAGATTTGTCTTTTCAAACAATACAACCACAACCAGCAAGCATACAGGGATGAATAACCTACCTTTCGAAGAGTGATCAAATGATCAAAAGAGAGATCAAGTCGCGACATACTGTACCTAGGTAGCCAAGATCCATGAAGAGATTGAGATCAGTATGGAGGTCATAGCGTTGGCCTCACTGGGTAGATCAGTAGCTAGCAGTATGGATAGAAGAATAAAAACTAAACTGCTTGGTAATTGCTCGAACCTCGGATCTAATAAAAATGACCATGAAACAAATGCGACATCAACCCCGTCGATACAGACATGATGATACTTTCTCTCTCCATCTCTCTCGAGTCTGGTACTCCAAAAGCCGTGTCATTGGCCTTGTCGACGGCAAAATGCACGAAAAGGTATCCTCCCGGGGCGCAGTACATGTACGAGTACCTAGGCTAGTGTGTGTGTGTGTGTGTGTGTGACGGGAATACTCGGTCTGGTATTCCGTGAGTCTTGGTATGAAGGTACGTATGATGAGAAATCGTGGTTTGACACTTTCTCTGTATTGTACCTCGTCGTTAACCCTGTACTCCTTTTACTCCGACTCCTTACTCTGTACTCCGTACCGCCCAGTGTGTATCCAGCCACTGAACTATGTGTGACGTATGTGGCTTCCCCGCACACTCCAAAACATTGTCTAGGTATGTACGGAGTACGGAGTACCGGTTACAGTTAAGTACAGTATGTACTCCGTATGACCGACTCCACATTTATACCTTAATAATACTGTACGATCCCCCCAGTTCGTACTCGTAAAGAGCTCCTAAACCTATCCTTCCTAACTATACTCCCGTACTATACAGTTGCTTCTATCCTTACACAAAAGAAATATACAGTACCTCCCCCATGGTGATTGAACGACTTCTCGATCGGGTATTTTTCAAATTCGTACCTGCTAGTAGTACCAAGTAAAATACCGGGATTTACGAGTACCTACCTAGGTAGGTAGGTACCTCACTTTCCCCAAGGTATGATTTGTGGGAAAAATGATCGACGGTCTTGGTATTCCCTCCGTTCTGTGACCTTTGGTCTCGGCGGTGACCCCTACTGTACGTTCGTACTCCGCTTTTGACCAAGGCCAGATGATCTTCAGGTTCGGGCAACTCCATCGTGAGGAGGCGAGGTCATTCTTTCTTTGCGCGTGCCCTATAGCCGACAGGCGAGTGAGCGGCGAACAACCGAGCAAAACATCATGTTCGAGATCCATTAACCGCTGCGTGGACGAGGAACTCCATACGGGATACCTATTCCGTCAAACTCGTGTCCTCCTCCTTAAGATCAAGATGAGATCCCCTTCGGACTCTCCTCCTCCTCCTCCTCCTCTCACGCCTCTTGACTTGCTTTTGCTTTCGACGGTATCCATACATTAGACACTTGTTTTCGTTATTGTGCTTTTGTCGATCTGTGTCCAGACTTCGACAAACACCTACCGACAAATAAACAATAGAGTCACCTACCTCCCTGGGATCTTCGTCCTGCCCTCAACATGAAAAGTTGGTACGGACGTGGTAGGCCACTGCGTGCCGCTATCGGAGCATGCTGTCTAGCAGCATTCCTTTTCTTCGGTTTCGATCAAGGTGTCTTTTCTGGGATATTGCAGAACGAAAACTGGTTGGATTTGTTCCATCATCCGGTAACGCGCCACCCCTAGTGTCGCCCCACTTTTGTCAATGGCAAAAACTGACCACCAGCTGTGTAGGACGACACTGAAACGGGTATACTCGTCAGCTGTTACTGCCTCGGCGCCCTGGGAGGATGCGGTCTCAATTTCTTCCTCGGTGACCACCTCGGTCGACGACGCATGATGTGGCTTGCCATGGTAAGTCTCTCAAGACTCGAAACACTTTCCACCACATCTGGCCATTCTTTGACACAGGGTTCGCACAGAGTTTCGTCATCGTCGGCGCCAGCTTGCAGACGTCCGCATATACAAAAGCGCATTTGATCGTCGGGCGCGTCATCACGGGTTTCGGCACAGGCATAGATTCGTCCACCGTCCCCATGTATCAGTCCGAGCTGTGCAGGAAAGAGAAGCGGGGACGATTGGTCTCGTGGGAAGTATTGTTCATTGGCATTGGTATGTGCTCAAGCGTCCGAGCAGATGCGGGATTCAGCTGACAATTCCATCAAAAGGCATTTCTTTCGCATACTGGCTAGACTTTGGCATGTCATACGCGGGTGGCGCGATTGCATGGCGTTTACCTATCGCTGTTCAGCTCATCTTTGCTATCTGTGTCATCATCCTGCTCTTTGGTCTCCCAGAGTCACCTAGGTGAGCCTCATATCCTTTCATTGGCCCAGCAGCGTCGGTGACTGATGTGTGAAACAGATGGTTGTTCAAAAAAGGTCGTGAAGAAGAAGCCATTCAGGTTCTGTGTGCTGTTTTCGACCTTCCCGAAACAGATCCATACATCATGTCTGAAGTGGCAAACATCAAGCACGCTCTAGCCGTCGAGTCCGGTGTTCAGAGCCACCGAGCACTCTTTAGAAACGACAAACTCAAAACGAGAAGAAGAATCATTCTCGCTTACTTTTCCCTCTTTATGAACCAGATGGTACGGCGTGAAGCCCCCTCTCTTTCGAACCCATTATACATGGCCATGGCTGACGATCAGTGTTCGTTGTTAGGTGGGCATAAACTTGGTTGTTTATTACATGCCAACAGTTCTTGTTGCAACTGTCCATCTCACGCCCCGTGTTGCACAAATCATTGCTGGATTGTAAGTGTTGACCTGACCGAGATCAGTATCTTTGCTTACAATGCACAGCATTCAATTGATGTTCATCGTCGGCAACCTTGGACCTGCCCTCGCTCTTGACCGCATGGGTCGACGCAAAACTATGTTATATGGCTGTTTTGGTCTCGGCATTTGCATGATGATGGCATCGATCTTGCTTTCGTTCGGCAAGAAGAACACCTCTTCTGCCGCGGTAGCCTTTTTCTTTGTGTACATGATCATCGTAAGTCTTCAGAGCATGGTCGGCAGTTTTCTAAAGATCTCATCCCACCTTGTGGTCTTCTCCTCTTACATTATGTCCCAGCATGGGACTTGCTGACTTTGTTGCGTTGTAGTTTGGCGGCTCAATCAATGTCGTCCCTTGGGTTTACGGCCCAGAGATTCTGCCGTTGCAGGCTCGCTCAAGAGGAACTGCCATTTCGGTCGCCGCACACGTAAGTCTTTCCATCATACCCTCTTCTTTAACCAAGAGACTCCACCATGATATAAACTAGCTGTCTGACACATACGATACAGTGGACATGGAACTTCTTTGTTGTCATGATTACGCCTGTTCTCATCAATCGTCTCGGTTGGAAGACATACCTCATCTTCATGTCTTTGGCCTTCTCTTTTGTCCCAGTGATCTACTTTTTCTACCCCGAAACATCGAATATCTCGCTCGAAGACATCGATCGTATCTTCATCAAGGACGGTGAGAACTTGAGCAGTGACAACGTAAGTGAGAGGTCGAGTACTGTTGCAGAAAACGAGTCCGTCAGGCACGTCGGATATGAACAAACGGAGAAGGTGGCCGAGAAGCAAGTCGAGGATGTTTAGGAATAAAGGTCCACATAAGCTTGAGAAGAGCAGGACGAGTTGGCGTGAGTCAAAGTTGTCTCGTTAAAGCATCGTTACCACTGTTTGTCATGATTTCTATCCGACATGATGCTAGGAAGAGCGTCGATACATCAGATGAATGAAGGGCAAATTCAAGTTCACCACGTCAATAGTTTCATGGCTCGCGAGCAATGGTCGTTGATACCGTTGAGGATTCTGGTTAGATCTGGAATATATTCATTCAGAACTCGGGGGCGCCGAGGTTGGGACAGATCGTCAGTCCAATGTCCCGTATAGAAACAAGTTGCCCCTCCGGAGACTGATCTGGCCCAAGAAGTTCATTTGCACAGCCAGAAGAGGCTGGACGTCAATGCTCTTGATCGAAGACAATACGAAGTACGAGTACCGGAGTCGTTGCGTAGATGGGAAGTCAATTCTTGTCGAGCCCAAGGAACATATGCTGTGGCTGGTATTTTTAAGTGGCGGTGCATGCACAGCCACATGTGACGTAATCAGAAGTAGCCGCTCTGAATGGATGCAAGTTACAGAAGATGATGATGATTGACTGGAGACAAGACAATGCCCAGAAGTCCCCAGGTATGCATGATGGCTTTTCTTGTATATTAGACTGACAGTAGGCGCCCGCGATGTTCTTTGCTCGTTGCTCCCTCCTTCTCGTCTCTTTCTTTCACCATCCATAAGACTCGTTGATTTGAGTGGTAGACATCATTCCAAGTCCTACAGAAAACAATGTCGGCGGGGCATTCTGAGCCTCAGGTGCTCTACAGCGTCAACAACATCTCCGCCTTTGCGGTCCAAAATGGCGAAGAACATGCCATCACCACTTCTGGGCCGCAGACTTTGTCTCTCCTGATGGTGCCAACTGCGTCGCCTTTCACAGATCTGTCCACCACTGAGCCTACCAGCGCAGCCCCTGAAGAAGATTTCTACCTCCATCTTCACCTGCCTCCCGAACTCGATCTGCCTTTGCCTGCAACCACACAGATCTTCCATAAGCCACCAAGCAGCTACTTGATTCCGCGATGGGATCTAGGTCCTGAAGCTGGCGCCTTCATTCGCATACAATTCCCTTCGGTCGGCACTGGCCCTGGAAAGGTCACACAAGAGGAGGTAGACACGTTCGAAACGATTCTTGCTCAATGTACGGCGTTTCTCGAAAGAGCTCAGTCAACGCCTCCTGGTTTTGAACGTTACAACCCACAAGACTACAGGCCGGGAGAAGGATACATCACTTCTGCGGACAGAGAAAAGAATCGTCCCCCTCAGCATGGTCAGATTGTCCTCATTGACGAAGAGAATGGCAGTGTGATTGGAGAACTTGGAGACAATTATGATGTCGTCGAGGCCTCTACTGTTAGGCCTGGATCAAAACGTATGTACCCCCCTCATCTATCCGATCGGACGATATGCTGACGCACTGTTCAGGTCCTGTCCAAATTCAACTGCCTATTGAAGGGCAAGGCAATCAAATTCGAGTCGACAATGTTTCCGAGGAGTACCTTGCGATATCAAAACATCCGGCTTATGCTAAGTCGACCATTGTACAGTCCTCTGCGACCGCCTCGAGGTTCATAGTGACAAGCTCGAGCTATCTGGCCGATAAGATGTCATCAGGAGCAAATTCATTCCAGCAAAAGACACAGCCCAATCAAAAGCCCATGACATTTTCTCCAGCAACCCATGCTCGCATTCGACAGATCCACTCCTTCACCCAAGGCGCTGTCGGATTGAGTACTAAGACTGTTGGTCAGCTGGGCCGATATGCCCAGAACTTCGGCGCTAGGATGGCTGGGAAAGGCGAGAAGAACAAAAAAGATCCAAGCAAGGACTTCAAACCTGGATTCCTGAACAAATCCATGATTGCTTTCTCAACCATTGCCGATGGCATCGACCAGGCTGGACGCAACCTCCTTGCATCTGGCTCGGCGGCAGCCACCAACGTGGTGGGTCACAAATACGGCAAAGAGGCGGGGAATGTCATGCACGGCCTTGCAGGAGGTGTAAAGAACGTCGGCCTTGTCTACATTGACGCGATGGGCGTCTCAAGACGTGCCGTCATCAAGTCGGTGGCCAAAGGCATGGTGGTTGGAAAGATGCCGAATGGGCAGCAACTGGTGGTGGGAGCTGGAGATGGTGGCGTAGTCCCAGGTGAAGCACTTCCTCCTGATGCTAAGCAGCACGACCTTTACTCCCCAGATGTTTATGGCGGTGCAACACAACCTGGTGTTAGCAAACCTGGCTATGGAATCGAGAGCTACGGAAATGCCGCGAACGAACCCCCATCATATTCCTCGGGCGTAGGAGAGCCTCTAGGCTCAACGTTGCAAGGGCAAAATGTGAGGGAAAAGCGATGAGACATGATGCTGAGGGCATGAATAAATACTCTGTACGGACGAAAATGATTATTCGGCTTGATTTTTACGAGGTATAGAAGCTCGCAAACGGTGTTCCAGGACTCTGATCATTCTGAACCAATCTTGACTCGAGTTGACTTGTTAGAGCTCGACCAGGATATTGCCAGGAGCTCGAATGCGTTGTACACGACAAGTTGCAGATGCAAAAGCTACGTCGGTGTTTCACTTCCTCGATGCGGCTTGGTCTGATGAGATGGCATGCATGACATTTTGACCATCGGAAGTGGCTGAAATTGACGCCAGGGCTTCTCTCGGTTCGCGTGCAGCCGTACGGAGTAGGTTTGGTTCGCTTTATTGACTGATCTCAGGTCTGGAAGCCGACGAAAGGTTGCACAAGGTCGTACAAGCTAGTAATTGGCGACCGGGGCCGGGCTTCGTCGGCTCGTCCTGCATATATTACACTCTATTGTTGTTATTGTGTCTAGTGGTTGTGGTATACCCAGTTTGCAGGCTTGTGGATGATTAGGGAGGAACTGCACTATACGAGCCAAAGGAAAGGGCCGTGCTTTTCACATGCATCGATCGACGAGTCCAGTTCGTGGTGGCCGGCTCCATTTATTTTCCTGTGGGCGATCATGAGTTCTGGGAGTGGAGGGGCTGTGGACTGTGCGGTGGCCCATGGCGTGCTCTAGGTGCGGGTTCAGTTGGTGGTCCAGGAGCCGGAGGAGAAGTAATGTAGGAGGGGTTAGAGATGACGGTGTTGTTGAGCACAGAGTATATGTACAGTATGAGTATCAAACAATACCTACTGTAGATACATACATATCTGGTACAAAATACTTACGATGATTGTTCAGGCACAGACTATGTCTCACAACACAATCAGTCATGATGCTACTGGTACCCTTCATGCGTATCCAGCCAAGGTGATCCAACCATCAACTTGCAACTGGTAGCCGTCAGATGATTTACTCGTACGGAGCAGTAAATACAATAGCCAGGCCCTCCGTCCCTTACTACGGAATAGAACCACGACGAACTTGACTCCGTAAGCATGTCATCTCTAGATCCAACTAGACTTCCCGCGCTGCCCTGGAATTTGATTTGATATCTCGGCTGCCACTTTCGAGCCGAACGAGGCCAAGTCGCGTCTGTCGGCGTTTCAAGAAATCTATTATGAACTAACCACAAATAAATTCCGAAATTTCGCTACTGACTTGACGGAGACATGTTACTCGTACCTAAAGGAAACTAGATACAAGGTAGGATTAGGTCGACGCCGCTCGCCCATCTCTCTGCCACCTTTGACACGGCTTGATGGCTTTTCTATTGCTTTGACGGAGGACCATCGCAGCACCTGAATCTCACTATTGACTTCGACGATTGACCTGCAGCTGTACCATCGCACTGCAGTACGCACCGTGTTGTTATCACTACCGACACGTACTCGTACATGCTGTAATCGTCTAGGATGGAGCTTTCGTTTGTTGAGAGAACCGGTGGAGTCGAAAATGCCCTGGTGCCCCTATTTATCGGACGCGGCGTTGCCAATAAACTGGGGAAAAGGCGCGCGATGCTGTACAGTAGTAGCATCAGAATCCGTCCTGTTAGGTGCTCGTCGTTGGTAGTAACCACTAGGCCAGTCTTCTCGACCTTCTCACTGTACAATATGCAAAGTCATACATAGTTCTTGACAGGGGTAGGGGGGTCGGCTGTTGACCTGTTGTGCCTACCTAGGTACAGTACAGTACGGAGTAGGTAGATAGATAGATACCTGAGGGAGGTACCTGAAGGTGCTTGTGCCAGGCGACTCAGTCTAGGGACCAGAAGCGACATATCTAGGCCTAATGCCTGCTCCGTACCTAGAATAATATCCAAGGTCGTTTGAAATCATACTCCGTAAGACCTTGGGCAATAATAAAAATCCATTCAAGTGTGACAACACGACAATAGGCATTGTGGCTGATTCGAAGCAATTCCCTTTAGCGTGGGTTTTTTGTCGTTGCCTTGGTGGAGTGTGGCATCCTAGCCTAGAGCCTACCGTACAGACGCAGCCCGGGAACGCTCTGCCTCTCTCTTTACCTTGGGGGTTTGAAGGTCCGGCCGCTGCTACTCGAGCCTGCGCTTCGCTGTGCTGTTGCTGCTACTCGTACCGTGTATCTCGTTCACCGATACACACAGCAATCAAGCATACCACACCTCGTTAATCCTCTATTCTATTGCCGCACCCTATTGCACCGTTCTACTATCGACAAACTGCCATCCTCAAGTCATCTCCAGCCTTTCAGACCGCCTCTCGTTTCGTCCTAAATGCTTCAGCCGCCCTGTCAACAAACCAACTGCTCCTCCGTCTCGTCGGGAGCGCGATGACTACGATCCTCCCATCCTCTCACCATCTGATTTCGATCCGTGTTTGTTGATGATTGGCCCTGAAGTGCACACAATCACAGCCTCATCAACAAATATTCCACCCATCGGCGTCGCAGGTCGACGTCTACCCCAGACTTCGCCGTTTCGACTTGTTTGTTTCAAGCAACCGCCCACGACACAGCCTGATCTCGAGCCACACTTGGACTCTTGATATTGGACCGTACTGCGTCCCTTGTCCAAGTTCCTTCACTTCCGGTGCTTGTTGCCACGGATTTGCCGCGTCGTGGATTTCCGTCGCGCTTCCTGCAAGTGAAGAAACAGCATTGGGAATTCTGGATGAAGAGAGAAATCCCGTGAGTAGCAACGCTCCCCCTACATGTTCATTTGAAGCCATGTCCTAATACCACGTCAACCACAGTTGTTCTTGTGTCCATCCCATCGGGTCCTGTCGCTCCTAAATCCCTTTCTATCATCTAATACGCGCGGACCTCTCGACTTATCCGGAGCGAAAAGTTCAGCCCAAGGGTCTGTGGTTGAGGCCACGACTCAGGCGGAAGAAGGATGTCCATGGACACAATGCAAACCACGGGCCAATACAGAGAACATGTACCAACATCGGCAACATATTCTCCGTCCGGAAATATTCACTACGAAGAAGAAGTCGTGGATCCTGAGAGATATTATGCCAATCAATCGGTAACTGGCCATTATCCCGAAACTCGTCTCGTGATTCACACTAACCCTCTGATTACAGTACTATCCTTCGAGGCATACAGAAGATGCTCTCAGATACACTTCTCTACAGGAACAAATTCCTGTTCCTGCCTCTTATCACCCGCAAACCACGAACCTGCCTTACCACATTCGCAACCAATCTGCAGCTCCTGATCAGTACGACGGCCCACCGATACCACCACCAAGAACTTCCTCACAGCACCAGAGTTCAGGGACTCAGTCCGTCCCAGTACGACACGCAAGAAACAACAATCCTGACGTTCATTCTAGTCGGGTTCAGAATCGTGTCGGAGATTACAATGAGGAGCCTTTAGACAGACCGCGGGACGATACAGCAACTGCGGCTGCATCTGCTGCACGTAACCGAAGAAAAGGTCCTACTAGTCCCGAGGGTCCACAGCGAGCCACAAGCACAAGAGAGAGAAGTCATCACGCCGCGCCTCCGCACACTCGTTCTGAAGCCCTCATGCAATCCTCGAACCCCCAGGCACCGTTGGTGCGCGAATACAGCGAAGTGATCCACAGAGTCGTCGTCTCCGACCCCCAAGAGGACGAGGAGAGGGCCCAGGAGAGAGTTGCTGAAGCACAGCCAGTGCCCATTGGCGCTGATAATACGAACACGGCTGCGGATGGCGAAGACCTGCTACCCGCACCTGGCCCGGCTCGCCGACAAGACTATTCCAAGTCTCGTAGGAAAGAAATCCAGTTTGGTGATTACGTGCTCGGCCAGACACTGGGCGAAGGCGAGTTCGGCAAGGTCAAGTTAGGCTGGAAGAAAGACGGAAGCTCTCAGGTGGCCATCAAACTCATTAGGAGAGAGAGTGTTGCGAGCAACCCCAGTCGGCTTCCGAAAATCTACAGAGAAATCACGATTCTACGGGACCTCGCCCATCCAAACATAGTGCGGCTACACGAGATGGTGGAAACCGAACGACACATCGGCATCATACTGGAGTATGCTTCGGGCGGAGAGTTATTTGACTACATTCTGAATCATCGATATCTCAAGGACGCTGCAGCAAGGAGGTTGTTTGCCCAGCTTGTTTCTGGAGTTGGCTATCTCCACAAGAAAGGTATCGTCCATCGTGATTTGAAGCTGGAAAATCTGCTACTCGACCAAAACCGCAATATCATCATCACCGATTTTGGCTTTGCCAACACTTTCGACCCTACAGACGAGTTATCCGACGAGATCGTGTACAATCTCACTAATAAGGATTTTGTGAGAAAGTTCAAACTTGACCGCTTAGACCAACGTGGAATGCGGCGAGGAGACTTGATGCAGACCAGCTGTGGAAGCCCTTGCTACGCAGCTCCCGAGCTGGTGGTGAGCGATTCATTGTACACTGGAAAGAAGGTCGACGTATGGAGTTGTGGCGTCATCTTGGTGAGTCAATAAGACCTTTGCTTCATTGCCAAACTAATGTCATCTAGTACGCTATGTTGGCAGGATATCTTCCTTTCGACGATGATCCTTCAAACCCAGAAGGCGATAACATCAACCTTCTGTACAAGTACATTACGACGACTCCTCTGACCTTCCCCGAATATGTAACACCCCATGCGCGAGACCTGCTGCGTCGGATTTTGGTCCCCGATCCACGAAAGCGTGCCGATCTGTTCGAAGTGGCCCGTCACAGCTGGCTCAGCGAGTATCATCATGTGGTCTCTCACATCACCAGTAGTACCACCAACGTGGCGGACATTGCCCATACTACTGTGCCTTCTGGTAGGTGTTTTTGATTCACTTCACGTCTTGATAAGTACTGATGCCCTTCTAGAAGAAGAACCACCACCGATGCACCGGAGCGCTTCCGTCCGTGAAACACCTTCCAAGGCCAGCGGTACAGCTTCCGGCGCTATTGCTCGTGCCCAAGAAGGGCTTTTGCCAGAGGTCGAGGAGAGCTCTACAGGATCGCGTCGGGACAGATCTACCCGTCACACCTTGCAACCCGAGTATGTGCCGCCTCAGACACACACAGCGCGCCATCAGCCATCAGAGTCTACTTCAGCAGCAGCTTTTCGCGGTGGCGTAGACGACCCTCACCACACACCAAACGCGAGCTTGTCACAATCTTTGTCAAAACCTCTACCGCAAGAACCTGCGATGGACGTTGGGCAGAGAAAGCCCCAAAGTGCGGAAAAGATGCCTCCTCCCGTCAGGCCTGGTCGTGACATTCCGAGATCTGTGTCCGATTCTACTACAGCATTCGGCCAGTCAGCGCCAGCAAGTAGCCATCAATACGCGACTCGACCAAGCACGCAAGGCTCGATGACATCTGCTGGAGTACCTAGATCCGATGTTCGCTTGCCCTCTCGAGGATCTTATGGTCAACCGGTTGCACCAACAGTTGCAGCCACCAACGTTCAAGGTCGGGTCACTCAGCCAACCAAGCCTAGCCGAGGCTACAATATTTCAGGACCCATCCCTCAATCCACCACATATCCCTCCATCGGCCAGCCGACAACTACGCCTATGCCACCACAAGGTGTACAGCAGGTGCAGAAGAACCACCACAGACGTTCAAGTACTCTGAGTGGGCTGGGAGAGCGACTCTTTGGCCGGTCAAATTCGGTCATTAAGAAGGACGTTGATCGGCAAAAGAATGGAAGAAAGTATCCTCCGACGAGCATGAAAGAATACCCTGCCGAGACACAACCACGCATGTCCACGGACTCGAAGCGGTCATTCTCGTTTGGCCTGGGCAAGAAGCGAAGCACGGATTTAGAGAATCAGGGACAAATAGAAAAACCGGTACGGCGATTTTCACTTCTTAGTACAATGTCTTTCAAAGGTCTGATGGGTGGCTCTAAGGACGAGACCTCATCAAAGCCCGGAACTCCCCAAACGGCCCAAGGGGAACGATTTGCGACGTCGACTTCCAGCCGACCCACGACCGGTCAGCAGTATGCAAGCGGGGCTGTAGGTACCACTGATGGTCAGTATGACAGCTCGAGAGGAACGCAATACAACAACTATTCCCGACCACCTCAACAACGAGGAGCCTCGAGCCAAGCATCCACGGACGTCTATGGCGGAACTGGAGTTTACTCTCCGTATGACCAGGGACGCGTGCCTCATCAACGCCAGCAGAGTGAGCCAATGGCCCGATTGATGGCACAACAGGCTGAACCCGTCGAAAGTCGACCCTCATTGCAACAAGGACGACAACGCGGCGTTCTCGTCAAGAACAACCGCAAATTCACTGATGCATACGCACACGACCACGGACCAAATCATCACGGAGGTCGTTCGGGTGCAGTCAAGAAAGTGCAAGACTTTTTCCGTCGTCGCCGGGGCACGGAGGAATACCGATGACGAAGTAGACACTGCAGCGCAGATTGGAATTTTGGAAGCACGCAACATTTCATATCCCTGCGTGACCCAGGTTGGAGTGGTTAGTGGTTTTCTTGTAATGAATAATTGATTTGTTTAGCAGGCATTGAAGGGTTGTGCAGGGATGGGGGGTTGTTGCGTGAACAGGCACTTTTCAGCCATTTTCTCGCCGTCTGGTCTTGGTCTGAACGAGACCTGGTAGACTGCTCTTTCGGTGGGTTTGTCGGAGGAACCACCGAGTCTCGATGGCGTTGATACAACTTTTATTACTGGAGTATCGAGACTTGTTTGAGTGAGAAAGCTTTGCGAAGACAGCGTGGGATACCCCTACATAGCATCAATTGAAATGAAATAACGCTGCCCACACAAAAGGGCAATGTATGTGTTGTGAATATTGTTTGTTTTCTCTGTCTTGCTATTGGGAGGTAGTATGCATCTTCGTATCGCCGTCATGGAATCTACAGCAGGGCAACAAGTACATGGAGCATCGGTCGGATATTCGCTCGGAGTCAAGCCGGAGCATTAATGACTGGGATTGTAGAAATTACCACCCAACTAATGCGAGTGTATAGTGGACTCTGCTTGCTTGCTATGCCCTATGTAGGCAGTGATTCACTCATGATGATGATGTGCCTCACGATAGATATGTATCGGTGTACTGTGTCTCGTCGCAGTTCATGGACACTCGATCAGGCCTGAATCAACCCCGCGAAAGCCTCTGGCGTCATACAGATGTTTATTGTTTCTGGAGCTTTGCCGGGGGGGGGCAATTTCTTTGTCGTTACTCTGTACACTCCATATGCATTGACTGGCTCAATTTTTCGTTGTTGAATGGACTCTGTGTGTTCTGTTGAACCAACTACAATGCCTCCCTCGAAACTATGAAGAGTGTCACTATACATATCGAAGCTGTCATCCGTCTTCATGCGATTCACTGCCACTTTTTTTTTTGAATCTTTCCCCGCAAAGTGGCGCATCCGTCACCACTAGTTGATCCGCCAGATCTTGAGCACAGCCCAACAATGTGAATGACCATAGTCCACTTGACAGGGGTCTCGGGATAGGAATCTGGATAGTCAACCGTCACCCACCATGCTCAGTTAAGCTTCGGCCTGTGAGGATGATTCCCTAAACATCCTACTGGCCCTCCTCCTCCTCTTCCTCCCCCAAGGTTACATGGGATACGGTACCTGAGGGGCCAAACACCAGTGATGAAGCTTGCCGGCGGTGCTAGCAGTCGCCTCGCACGAGTCCTCTTCTATCTCGTGTTCATCCTGGTAGGCGGTTGCATTCTCCACACGAGCTTGTTCATTTCATCATGGTACGTCGCCGCCCACGCTCTGTTGGACCTTGTTGATCCCGCGGGGCGTTTTCCTTTTGTGACGCTGGCATACTTGAAGAGACTCTCATGGCCTTTTTTCCTTCTGAGCAAACAGTCGCGACTGTCCTTTCTCGACCTTGTTTCAATCTCTCGACTCGTCCAAGATGAATCTAGTTACTTTCTTGACGAGCTTGCTGGCTGTGCCATGTCTGGCGGTGCCTCAAACGTCGACAGCGGCATCTCGAGCTTCGACGACAACTTCGTTTGCCGCACAGTTTACTGTCCCTGCGAGCGCCGACGAGGGTGCAACTCTTCTACCCAATATCTATGACCCAACTGCCGCCGACGCACAAGCAGAGTGTCCCGGCTACAATGCCACCGGCGTCAAGACCTCTTCTACTGGCCTGACTGCCCACTTGACCTTGGCTGGGTCTGCTTGCAATGTCTACGGCACCGATATTCATGACCTAGATCTGACGGTCGAGTATCAGACCGACAAACGACTCCACGTCAACATCCGTCCTTCTCATGTCTCCTCTCAGAACCAGAGCTGGTACCTGTTGTCAACCGACTACGTTCCCGCCCCGAGTCAGGAGGACGGCAAGATGACCACCAGCGACCTCACTTTCTCCTGGGCCAACACCGCGTCGACCGGCTTTGGCTTCAACGTGACCCGAAACAGCACCGGGGACGTCTTGTTCTCCACCACAGGGACCAAATTGGTCTTTGAGAATCAATTCATCGAGCTGGTCACACACCAGGAAGAGAACTACAATCTGTACGGGCTTGGTGAAGTCATCCACGGTCTTCGGCTGGGAAACAATTTGACAAGGACCATCTACGCTGCTGACGTAGGAGATCCCATTGACATGAACATATACGGCAGTCATCCATTCTACTTGCAGACCAAGTATTTTGAGATGGGCAATGACAACCGCACGACCTTGGTCACGCAACCGGTCGACTCCAACAACGATACCGCAAACTATACGTCGTCAAACCATGGTGTCTACTTCAGGAACGCTCATGGCATGGAAGTGCTGCTCCGGTCGGACAATGTCACCTGGAGAACTCTGGGAGGAAGCATTGACTTGTACTTCTTCTCCGGACCTACCCAGCCGGATGTCACTCACCAGTATCTCGACGTCATCGGACAGCCGGTCCTGCAGAACTATTGGGGATTTGGATTCCATCAGTGCCGGTGGGGCTACGAGAATTGGACCGTCACCGAGGGCGTGGTGGACAATTACGCCAAGTTCGGTATCCCCCTCGAGACGATATGGAACGACATCGACTACATGTTCCAGTATCGAGACTTTGACAATGATCCCGTTCGGTTCAATTACACTGACGGCAAGGCTTTCCTCCAGAGGCTGCACGACAGGGGCCAACACTACGTGCCCATCATCGATAGTGCCATTTATGCGCCGAATCCCGACAATCAAAGTGACGCATATCCGACATTCAATGATGGAAACGACACAAACTCGTTCATCCTCAACCCCGATGGATCCTTGTACATCGGTTCGGTCTGGCCTGGATATACGGTAAGGCTCACGCAACTGATTTTCCTGGTCTGTTGTATGTTGTATGTTTCTCTGACATGGCCGACAGGTATTCCCGGATTGGTTGACCAGTTCCGCACAAGCGTGGTGGAAGAACCAGTTGGTGACGTGGCATCAAAAGATACCCATCGACGGTGCCTGGATCGACATGAGCGAGGTCTCGTCCTTTTGCGTCGGTAGTTGTGGAACTGGCAACCTGAGTCTCAACCCGGTCCACCCGCCGTTCAAGCTCCCGGGGGAACCGGGGAACATCATCTACGACTACCCGGAGGGGTTCAACTTGACCAACGCGACCCAAGCGGCGTCCGCCGCGTCGGCGTCACAATCACAGGCCGACGCCACCGTGACCGCGTCCAGCACCACGGTCAGTGGTTCCTCCTCCTCGACGAGTTACCTCCGCACGACGCCCACGGCGGGATCGCGCAACGTCAACCACCCCCCGTACGTGATCAACAACGTCCAGGGGGACCTCGCCGTCCACGCGGTCTCCCCCAACGCCACCCACCACAACGGCGTCGAGGAGTACGACGTCCACAACCTGTTCGGCCACCAGATCCTCCGGGCCACGTACGCCGGTCTCCTGGCCGCCCGGCCGGGCAAGCGCCCGTTCATCATCGGCCGGTCGACGTTCGCCGGGTCCGGCGCGGTGGCGGGGCACTGGGGCGGCGACAACATGTCCAAGTTCTACTACATGTACTTTTCCATCCCGCAGGCCCTGAGTTTCAGCCTGTTCGGCATCCCCATGTTCGGCGTCGACACGTGCGGCTTCAACGGCAACAGCGACGAGGAGCTGTGCAACCGGTGGATGCAGCTCAGCGCCTTCTTCCCCTTTTACCGCAACCACAACACCCTGTCGGCCAACCCGCAAGAGGCCTACGTCTGGGCCAGCGTCGCCGACGCCACCAGGGCGGCCATGGCCGTGAGGTTCCAGCTGCTGCCGTACCTGTACACCCTGTTCTACAACGCCCACGCCCGGGGCGACACGGTCATGAGGGCCATGGCCTGGGAGTTCCCCGACGACCCGTCGCTGGCCGACGCCGACCGACAGTTCTTCCTGGGCCCCTCGATCCTCGTCACCCCGGTCCTCACCCAGGGCGCCACGACCGTCGACGGGGTCTTCCCCGGGCTCGTCGAGGGCACCGACGTGTACTACGACTGGTACAACAAGACCCCGGTGTCGAAGCCGACCGCGGGCAAGAACACGACGATCGACGCCCCCCTGGGCCACATCCCGGTGTACATCCGGGGCGGGGCCGTCCTGGCCACCCAGCAGATGGCCATGACCACCCGGGACGCCCGCAACACGTCCTGGTCCATCGTCGTGGCCCCCGGGGTCGACGGCACCGCCGCGGGCCAGCTGTACCTGGACGACGGGGAGAGCCAGGACCCCAACTCCACCAAGACGGTCGACCTGACCGCGAGGATGGGGAGCCTCAACGTCACCGTCACCGGTGACTACTCGGGCCTCGATCTGCCCCTGGCCAACATCACCATCTTGGGGGTCCAGTCGGCCCCTCCCAGCAACGTGGTCAAGATCAACGGGGAGACGGTCGGAAACAGTACTTACGACTCCGACACAAAGACCTTGTTCATTGGCGGTCTGGAACGGTCGCTGGGTGGCAAGGTCTGGGCTGGGAATTGGACCTTGTCTTGAATGATAACTCGCCCCTGTTGCCAATAATGACGGCTACGGAATGAATGATACCTCGGGGAGCAAACCACATATCAACACTGTGGCCGATTTAGGTTCGTCACAGTCATGACACCTTTTTTTTCGTCTTTGTTGTGTTTCAAAAAAAGGATAAATACCATACAAGGAATACCTACTCAATACATTCCATCATTGAAGTCGTTGTGTTCCGCTACCTTGCCTAGAATATGTAATGCCTGCATGCCTGCTTCGTGTAAAAAAGAAAATAAAGAAGATAAAGAAATCACCGGCTTATTAACACCTTACCCAACTACTAATCTTTTCTGACAGTCCCATTGTTACACGTCCAACAGTACATTGGGATCGTGGCCTTTTTTTGCACCAAAATTCCACTTGCAAACCTCGTCCTCGGTGTCGAGTCAGTTGTTCGAGTTCGAAACCCCTTTTTGTTCTTCTGTTCCTCCTTCACTCGTCTTCGTCTTGGGTGTTTTTGGCGAAGATCGAAACAATTCTGCACGCAAAATACCTCTGACTTTGATATTGGCAATGTGCAACGTGGCCAACGCGTGTTGTATGCTTGGTGCTCCCTCAGGGTAGATGATGTACAAGCCCGAATCCAGGTTCGGATCGGGACGGAACTTGTTGTGATAAGCGTGCTTCCCACCTATGGGTAGGTGACGGAACGCGCGCCGATAGCATGACCTGGTAACGGCCGTCGTAGGTCTCGAGAGCGCCGTGATGGCGCCGAGTTCTGTTGCCGGCTCGAACCCAAAGCTCAGATACCCAATACCAGCTTGCCGGAGCAGTGACATGGCCGAAAAGACGAGTAGGTCGGTGATGCCCTTTGGCGCTGTCGGCGACGCACAGTACGGATCAATGTGGTAACCTTTGTTGGCCCCGATCTTCCTCAACGCCGCAAAGCCATTGCACTGTCCGTCACGGTCCGTTGTGTAGATGTAGGTCATCAAGGGTGGGATGGCAAAAGGGTCAAACACCGTCATGTACGCTTGTGGGCGGGACGATTGATTGCGAACGTCCCTCCATGAATCGTAAACATGTCGAAGGTTTTGCTCGAGTACTTCATCGCGACCTTGACTGGGAACGTAGACATGGACCGAGATCCCACCTCTTCCGGGGTCGAGAAGTTGTCTGTTCTGGGTGATCACCCTCTTGCCTTCCTTCTCTTGGAGTATAGGGTTGTCAAGTGGATTGAGGACCCTCTCAGTCCCAAAACGCATCGTCACCCATTTTTTCTGTTCTGCGTATGGTAAGAAATTGTCCGTTGTGCCGAGGAACGCGACGCCCCAACCACGGCGCTTTCGCAAACGGCGAAACTCCTGGAGGAGGTTATCATACTGGTTTGGAGAACATAGAGGATCACCGCCAATCACTGCAATGTTGTTCAAGACTTTGTAGTATAGGGCTGACTGTAGATCTTTACTCAGGAAGAAGCTGTACGATGGGTCCAGCACTCCCATATGGGAGACTCGACCAAATTTCTCTACCAGTGACCCCAGCGCCGAAATGGCTGCAAAGTCATGCAGTGTGAAGGTATTGATATCCTTTGGCCTTTTGGTGGAATTGAGAAATGTGGGGTCGACTTCGGTGGCTTTTATTGAGGCTGCGATCATTGTTTCGGGTCCGGTGTGGTCTAGGATATCGTTCGTCATTTCCTGTGTTGTTACATAGACTGGTGGTGATTGGTCCTGTGCTTGAAGATGCTTCAGTCGTTGGGCAATATCCATAGCTTCCATGTCTTTTCCACCGGAGATCAAGGACGCCGTCATTTGAGTGCCCAAATTCTCAGAGAGCAAGGTCTTCTTCACCCGAGGCGAGTGTCCCGTTGGGGGATTAGGACTAGGACGCGGATTCATTTTCCTTTGTGGCCGCTTCACTGGCGCTTCTGTAGAGGACGAACGTGGCTGGGGCTTTTCTTTCACTGGAGATATTGACACCAGAGTCGATTGGCTGTCACTGAGGGACGGTCGTTGAGAATCACTCATAGTGATCGCGGTTGAGATGTTCTGCATGATGGATTGCTATGGTCTGAGATTGAGCTTTCAGTGGTCTGGTTCCGTTTCTCCCGAGGGAAAAGAGTTCCTAGCTCGACTTGAAGATGGCAGTAGGTGAAAAACTTGTATTGAGACAACCACCCTCATGGACTGCCGACGAAGGTGTATATCTGCAAGAATGCCATAAGTAATGTTTACTCTCTCTCTGTGTAAGCTTTATCGTATTTTGAACTCGAATACGACCATAGGGGCTGTGTTGACTGTCCATCGAGGAATCTACGTTTTTGGCTTCAGCCCGGCTGGCAAGGAATTCCCAGAAGGGAATAATTCGTGCATGGACTTCTGGAGGCATATATTTCTGGAACCAAATCATAGGGCACTCGAATCCTCCTATGCCGTAAAATGGATTTGGTCCGGGCGTTGTAGCAACGAGGCCGCGTAATGTTCGGGACCTTGCCAGGGGTCCAGGTTGCGTAAGCGGGAGAGTCTGAGCCAGGCAGAACCATTTCCGGCCACCTCGAAATTTCCCAGGGACGAGAATAGAGCCGTATGTACGGAGTACAACGTCGCGCGACCTATCATTTGCCGAGCTCGTATATTTTGAACAGCCCACGAAGTCTCAAATGCGCATGGGACCTCGTATTCGGTAATCCCAGAATACGCCCAAGAGAATATGACGTCTTGTTGAATTTCGTAGAGAACACTTGAGTCGAGGGATGTGGAGTCGCAGTCAGATCAGAGGCATCAGTTTCAACCCCGAGCCTTCCCAATCAATAACCTCTGTCCAGCATGATCAGCCAGACTTCTCAAAGTTCTTCAACCTATGTTTCATTTTCAAGATGCTCTTGCTCTTCCACCTGCTCTTCATTTTCGACTTCTGGAGCCTCTCTCTCCTTTTTCACCTTCCACGTAAAATTTATATGAGAACCTTGGTCACGAAAGTCCAACTTCCATTCCAAGGTTAAATTTCTCCCCAAAATACCTGTATCACGCACATCTATACCGGGTGGAATGACCCAAGCACAGCCTACCTTGAGGACAACATTGGCGACAATGAGAAACTCACCCCACCCTAGGCGGCGAATCTCGTACGGTGGGGACCGCAAGACAATTCGTGGATTGTGAAAAGTAGGATGCTGGAAGGGTAGATTGTCAAATCCCCTGCGAAAGAAGAGCATGCCGAACTTACCAGCATTACCTGCACTTCTTGGATCATGTCTGTGCTTGAAAGTCTTAGGAAGAATTTCCAATCATGGGTGTTCTTCGATTCAGCGTAAGCACGAACTAGTCTATGCTCGTTACCGATACATATGGTGAGAGTTTCAACTTTTGAAGCAATTCGCATTCTTTCTGCTGACCTTGTTTCAACCTCACGCGCTACGTAGATGTTGGGGTATCGTGTTCGCAAGGTGACTTCGCGGTCAGGATCCAGAGTGGCCGTCGTCGATGTTCGACACATAGGACATTTGATCGCCTCAGACGGAAGCACGAGCGTTTGGACGTCGAAGCTGTCTCTGGTCATTTGGGAGGAGATACAAACATCGACCCAGTATGCCATACAGTGCTCGCACATTGTATGATTACAGGCCGTTCGAACTGGCCTGTAGAGTAGCTGAACGCATATCGGACACAGGTCATCATCGTCAATCACATCTGTCGCTGTGTGTCCGTTTGGAGAAGAAGTTTCTGGGTTTTGCGAGTTATTTCCTGGTTCGGTCAACTCATTCCTGCTTGATCTTCCCTTCATAATGAAGATGTCTAAGATTGTTGTAGCAAGGTAGAGGAAGAGGGGTGGGAAGTTGCCTGGCTGCATATGTCTATGAGGATTGTCGCTACCAAGCCACTTGCTTCAACGTAGATGGCCGTTTTGGAGGGTCTGATCTAATCTAATCACATCTCGTACTCTGGTCTAGATTTTTCTTCTATCGTGGGCTGACTTACTTCGCTGCGGAAGCATCGGGAAATTAGATCTTCACGGGAAGACACGCCACGGCCCCTTGCAGCCAGAACCATTCGAATTAACCGGGTGTTGCATGATATTTTTAACGGATATCACTCAGATCTTCTCCTTCTAGTGAGGCAAATGCAATAAACAGAACCTTTGTCACCTTGTGTCAGCACCTCCTCATCCTTGTTACCAACGACTCCTGGCACTCCTTCAATCCTCCTTTCGATCTTGGACACGCTCTTTTCCTCCCCTCCTCTTTAGTCTTAAACCGTATCTATCAAGGCCTTCCATGATGCCTGGCCGAACACTCCCCACGATCCCGCAGGCGGAAGTTGAGACACACAACACGAAAGACTCGTGCTGGGTTACGATTGGGGAGCGCATATTCGATGTGACCGACTTTGTTGAAGATCATCCTGGTGGCGGTGACTTGATTTTGGAATATGCCGGCAGGGATGTCAAGCAAATCATGGAGGACGAGGTCTCCCATTTCCACACCGAGACTGCGTACGAGATCCTCGAGGAGAGCCTTATTGGATTCATGCCGACCGAGCCTGTCCTGAAAGCCGCAACGGCATCTTCTCACCCCGACCAAGTCGTCCCTCTACCTGCTACCGCCAACGGAAACGCCGAGTTGAGGAAGCAGGGAGTACAAACGTCAGATCTACCTACAAGAGCAGTGTTTGAGACTACTGGTATGTCTTGTGCTGAAGACCTCTCGAAAGACACCGATTTGGATAAAGACTGGAAACAACACAAGTTCTTGGACTTGAACAGACCATTGTTCACCCAAATGCTGTTCAGCAAGTTCTCCAAGGAATTTTATTTGGAACAGATACACCGACCTCGACACTATCGTGGAGGCGACTCTGCTCCGTTGTTTGGAAACATTCTCGAGCCACTCAGCAAGACGGCGTGGTATGTTGTGCCAGCGCTCTGGCTCCCCCCGGTGTTTTACGGCTCATACCTCGGCCTCACAAATCTACCTATTCCCCAGGGCCCTGCCTACTGGGCCCTCGGTCTCTTCCTCTGGACCTTGGTCGAGTACCTCCTCCACCGCTTCCTCTTCCACGTCGACTACTACTTGCCTGATAACTCCGTCTTCCTGACGCTCCATTTCGTCCTGCATGGCATTCATCACTACCTCCCCATGGACAAATACCGACTTGTGATGCCTCCAACGCTGTTCCTCATCCTTGCGACGCCGTTTTACAAACTCGCACACACCGTCTTTTGGTATAATTGGTACGCTGCCATCACCGTCTTCTCTGGCGGCATCTTCGGATATGTCTGCTACGACTGCACGCACTACTGGCTCCATCATCATCAATTGCCGGCCTACGTGCGTGATTTGAAAAAGTACCATCTGGCTCATCATTACCAGAACTACGAACTCGGGTAAGAATACTTTGCATCTAAGACATTGCCATGGGTATCACGCTAACTGACGATTCTCAGGTTCGGCGTGACCTCCAAGTTTTGGGACTACGTCTGGGGCACTCAACTCGAATATGCCAAACCCATCAAAACAAACTAGAATGGAGCCCTCCAAGTGACGATTATAGGTGCATCCGCGTCGTCACAAAGACTGAATTGTGCTGCCTATCCTCAATTCAAGACATCACGCAGTCGAATCATTCCCTACACTTTCGATTTTTTTGTTTTGTACAATATTCCCAGCAAGTTCATTTCATCCAGATGAAGAGACCGTTTGCACGGTGGGCGTTGGCTCTGTTCTGTTTCAGGAGGAAGTTTTTCTTCCAACTCGGGGAGGGTCATCATAGACTAGTCACAAAACAAAACTCATCGACCTTGAGTAAAGTAATAATCCTAATGAATTAATGATCCACTCATATTCTATACAACGCATTACTAGCTCGATACGAAGTGTGTATACCAAGTACAAATTGTGAACATCTTTATCTCTTCCTACGACAAATTTAATGATTAAACAGACACGCAACAGATAAACAACAGGCAAGAGGTGGTCTCCTCAGTCAGTAGGTGGTAGTCCCTTTTACTGGACAATTTAACTGGACGGTTGTATGTACATACGTGCAAGCACCGAGCTAAGATAATTCAGGTCAAGGTTCCAAGGAGTGTGATGATGAAAAAAAAGGAACCCCCTTCGCTCGATGAAAAAATGCTAAACAAAAAACGTGTCAATGGAAAGTGTAAATTTGAGTGCTAGATGCAAAATGCAAGAGGCTGAAAAAAAAAGAAAAAACCATCATGTCAACTCGATTCATATTCACTCGGCAAGTTCACCCCTGTCCGGCAGGCGATCCACGGACTCACACAGACACACCCACCCATACACACACACATAGACATGTCTACCTCTTTTTTTGTTAACCAAAAAAGGAAGGCATCTCCTCATCACCCGATTTTTTTTGTATCCAAAGTCCTCGAAGCCCAAACCCCCCCAGAACACACTTTCATACACTGGGAAATATGAGAGAAAGAAAGTGTCCGATCCGAGAATTCGAGCAACAAACAAAGAGCTTGGCCCCGTCAGTCAACCTCAACCTAGGAAGAAGATGAAGTTGGAGTGGCTTCGACTTGGGTGGCTGTGGCCGGGTTGCTCCCCCAGATCCACACAAATGGGTTTCTCGCTCGGAGTTTGAATGCGGCGTGGGCGGTCGAAGCAGGTACCACGGCGGTGGTGGCGGTGGGTTCTGGGACTGGTACGACATCTGTTAGCTCGTCTGACCCGATGACGGTAGAACTCGAAGAAGAGGAAGTGAAAGTGGACGACGGTAATGTCGTGGGTGGAATTGGAATGACGGATACACCTGTCACAACATCCAGACTAGTCGTGGACGTGGACACGGATAGAGATGTCGATGTCGATGTCGATCCTGGAAGAGTGTCGGGACCATTCAGAGAAGACGAATCGATGGTATTTGGTGCAGGACTTGCAGTCACAACTTCAGTGACGGTCGTGACAACAACAACTTTCGTGGTCGTGGTCGTGGCCGGGCCGTCTGGATCCGGACTCGAGTCGGGGACTGCACTTGCAGAGAAAGTTGTGGTTGAAGAGGCAGCTGCAGTCTCAAAGACGGGCATCGTCATGATGTTCCCATCAGGCATCGTCATGATCGAACCACCTGGGGTCGGCATCGTGAGAACGACACCATTTGGTAGTGTCAAGAGTGGTCCAACCGTCGTTGGAGGCCCATCGATTGGAGCGGTCGTAGTGGCTGACAGGTTGTGGTGCGGTCGAAACGGTAACCCAGGGTGACTTCCATTGTGGTGGTTCCGGTAGCCAGAGGTGCCATTACACTTTGTTTGGTTGGAATTACCAGGGTCGACGTCGGTGGTGTGATTGAAGTTGTCGTTGCAAGGATGATCCCAGCGGAAAACCGAGTGAGATTCGCCAGGAGCGAAACTGGGTCGTTGACCACCGCCAAACCCTGGACGTCCAGTCGTCGGGATGTTGGCATTGAATGGTTGAAACGGGGTTTCTGCAGATCCAGATCCACGACCAGTGGCGTTGAAACGTTGCGGTGCGAATCGCATTTCTCCATGTCCACTTCCATGGTCCAAAGATGATGTAGGGGATGATGGTTGTGCGGTAGGGAATGCATATGACTCACCTTGATCACGCTTGGTGTATTTTGTCATGTAGACAGTCTGAAGAACCGTCTGAGTGACCGACTCCCACTCGGTCTCAGTAGCAACCTGAAATTGGCCGTTACCGTTGCCATTACCTTTGCCCCCGAACCCGTTTCCACCTCCCCCGCGACCACCACCGAAGCCCTGGCCCGAGCCGGAGTTGCCAGTTGGCACTGGTGCACCTGGGGTATCGGTTGCAGCCATTGGAACGGCACTGAAAGTCTGTGTTTCCAGTCCGGGACCAGCAGTCGAGCCGGTGTGTACGGTCAAGAAGTCGGGTATACCTGTGGTGACAGCGGTAGCCGCGGAGACACTAGCTTCGCTGGCACCTCCAGGCACAGGACCTGTTGCGGATGCACCGAACGGAATTGTAGAACCTGTGCGATTATGAGTCAGTGGCTGTCGGGCAATACTTGTGGGTACCACGGCCATTGAGGATGGAGTAGGAACATCCGTGAAGGGAAGGGTCATACCTGTGACGGCTGTTGGATTGGTGACCTCCATAAACTGAGAAGAGGCTGCAGCCATGTCATAACCTTGACCAGAGACATAGTTGGCCTGGCCTTTGGAATAAGGCTCGATGCCGACATTGTCAACAATGTCAACGTCCATGCAGGTGGTGTAGATTTCTTGTTTGCCATTAGGCAGGTTAGGATCACCTCCCGGTAGAGTTGGCCAGTCCCATACCCAGTAGAGGGTATATGGTTTGCCGGTCGGAGCGTCTGAGGGGATTTGGATATCAGTTTGACACCACAAATCTCCACCCATCAATTGGTCCGCTGTGTGAGCGTACGTGACCTGGCGTTGTTGAGAAAGGGGAGACCCGTTGATCTGGTAACACTGTCCATCATCGAAGTTCTGAGTAGCCAGGAGGACACCACGGCCATCACCGCCTTTGCCATCAGGAGTCCAGACACGATGAATAGCTAGGAAAGCATCATCAGGGCTAGGATCGGTAGTACCATAGACATAGACTGTGCCTCGATTGTTAGGTTTGCCTGGTTGGTTCTGTGGCAAGGTGACATGGCCATTTTCCTGATACCGCAAGGCGACTGCGGATCCTGGAACGGCCTGGAGTCTTGGACTGCCATCGGTTTGATTCTGAGATGTCTGGCTGGATCTGCACATCAAATCTGTCGGAAGGACTGAATTCGCACGGCCGTTGGGTGGAATGAGGTTGACCATCGCGTCGTCTGGAGACATATTCGGCTGGCGCATAACGTTCCCACGAGCGAAACCGGGTACACCTGCAAGAGTACCATTCGGCGCAATGACCAGCATCTGTTCAATCCAAGAATGCGCGGAGGCGATGGGGACTGCAGCAAGCACTCCAAGAAGGATGCTGCGCAGAGAGGGTTTTGATAGAGCCATGGTTTTCGATGATTGGAATAAGTCTGGAAAGGATAAGAATTTCGTCCAGCGAATTTATGTTTGACTCGCGCAGAATGCGAGGAAAAGTTTTGTGAGATAGTTTGGCTTTCTTCGCGCTGCGATTTGGGTTTCTGTGTGGAAGGTTGGGTATACTCTCAGAGTATGTTCGTGTGTTATCCAAAAGATGGTTTGTTCAAGCTGTCGAAGTTCGAACGGGAAGTAATGATCGTAGAGGTAGGCAAGAGACTGACAAAGAACGATCCTGTACAAACAAAAGGAGTGACGAAGTCAAAAGAGTGACAATGCAAGCATTGAGGTTGAAGAACAAAGGGTTGAAGACAATGCCTCACGAAAGCATTGTTCTGCGTTGTGTGAAGGTGAAGATACAAAGAATAGCAGGCGATAAGCGAGACGTCGGGGTCAGGCAGTATTCACAAAGACAAGAACTCTCAGCCATCAGAGTGGAGAGTGGAGCATGGTTATGGGAATTTTTCGATCGGCATCTAAGCGCAAGGAGTCGATAGAATTGTTTGAGAGCTTGCAGCATGATCCATGCTTGATAGGCCCCTTTCTATGACATAGACAGGGCATGCTGCCGTGCGAAGGTCCAAGGTGGACAAGCTTCCGGGAAAGTATGACAAGGTCCGACCAATACTTGGGCAGCAATAGGGTTATATTGCCCATGGCCTGGACCCAGAGGTGCTGGTGTTTCAAGTGCATGACGATCTCGTGGCGGACCAGGGTGGTCAACTCACTCTTCGTTGGTGCGGGACATCTGCCGGGGGAATAATATATTGATAAGATACGAGGCTGCGGAGACGAGCTTCCTATCCCGTTGATATTGTTCCGCCTGCCTAAAATAACTGTCAGTCTTGTCTTGGTGGATTGTTCTCAGCGGACAATGCAATGTTGGGGTGAGGCAAGAGCCATGTCACTGGTGACTTGAAGACTTCAGTTGCCACCTCTCTCCTGCGAGAATGGCGCAATTGACAGCTCGACAGGAAAGCACTGACGACCCTCAGCGCCCCTTTCATCTCTTCTCGAGTGTCGTGTGACGACGAACAGTGCGGATTTGATGGCAACGAAGAACAAGGAGCGAGGACAGGGGGCCAGATTTGCGGGAGGCAGAAGCGAGGACACATCGAAGTCACTTCAAACATTAGCGTGTGTTTCGTAACCGTATTAGCGCCATACTACAGCGAGTAGCGCGTCGATCATAGCCAATCACTACCTGCAAGGCTACTATGTCTGCATCCGGCCTGGAGAGTGGACAGCTCATGCGTGCCGCGTTCTTTTTGATTTCCCTACAAGTCCCTGCGCATGGAAGCACTATTTTCAAGGTTCGAAGGGAACAAGGAGCTCGCCTCGTGTAGGACGGTCGATTCTCCGTCCGGAACACACGGCTGGAGACACGGCACGGCCAGGATGTCCGCGTGCGCGCTTAATCTGACAAGTCTGGCCATTGACGTTGGTGTGACAGTCATATTACTCGCAGGATGCTTGGTTCATGGGAGTTCCCCAGGTCTCCGTCCTTGCGTGCAGGAATAGGCTAGGTTGTACGCTACTATTAGGCTCAACAGTGACGTAGATCTCGGCTGATGATGCAGCAAAGGATGCAAGATTCGAGGTATCTAGATCTGAGCAGAATATGGTGTGCTCAATATCAGGTCTGAACAACGTGCTATTCAATAGCGAATGGTGCCGTCTCACGTGTTATATATGTACAAATTGACCCTGACTGTTGCTCGAAGCCGCGAGCAAGTCGGGCAAGAAGAGGTATATCGGAGCGGAGTATTGTGTGTTCGACACAACTGTCATGCGATGATCCAGCGCATCAAACGACTCTCCACCTTACCTCTTGAATCCGCTTTCCTGGATCATCCAACTTTCGAAATTCAGCATATCCTTGTTTAGCTTGCGACACTGAACCTCGTCAGCACCGTACCCATGTTCGACGAACCAGCGGAACATTGTCCCTAACTCGGGTACCATCCACTGTAGCAAGCTGGCCATGAACCCATAGGAGACTGGCATCGGCCGTCCAAGAGCTCTCCAGAAAATCTGGTTGGCTTGCGACTGCGTGAGAGTGTCTCCTGCCAGACTGATTGCAGTATTTTTGTATTCCTCCGTGTCCGAGCCTGTAAATGCCTTTGCGGCAAACACGCCAATGTCTTTTGTGGCCACAATCTGTAAGGCCTTGTCGCCCATGTTTGCCCACATCGCCGCAAAGACTCTGCCCGGAAAGGTCGGTGTGAGGTTCTCCATGAACGCGACCGGCCGCAGAATAGTATAAGTCATGTTCTTGCCTCGGGTATTCTCAATCAAATGTTTCTCGGTCCAGTACTATCATCCATTTAGTGATACCGCCGTGCAGTGATGCGGAAAGAGAAGTTCACCTTCGTGACAAAGTGTGGGACATCCGTAGCATTAAAATCTGATTTTCCAGGTCCTCCGCGATCTACGGAAGAGAGAACAAAGTGTTTAACATCGTGCATCATGGCAGCATCGATCAGTTTCTTCCCTCGTGCCATCTCAAGCTGCTCATCCCCCTTCTTCATCGATGGGATTGTCACACAGAACACACCCCATACGGCTCCTACCCCTCCTGCCTTTTCAAAAATAGCTTGAGGATCGTGTAAATCGCCTTCGATTAATTCAATCTTGGAATTTGCAGCGAGGGCCTTTGCGGCTTTAGAGGTGCTTTTGCGCGTGACAGCGAGTATGCGGAAGTCGAAGGGCGGAGGATTATCCAGGAGAGCTTTGATGGCTGAGCCACCTTGCTTCCCTGTAGCACCTGTAATCAATATATTACGAGTCGTCATGATGAGGACAATTAGTCGTGTTAGGGAATTCTTGCAGAGATGGTTGAACAGAGAAGTCGGTGCTGTAATTCTTTGGCGCAGCGCAAGCGAGATGATTGACGTCAGTGTTGGACGCGGCAAACATTGTGCAAAGACTGGCACGTCCGTGGCGAATTTCCAACATGATGTCGATTCTGTCTGTGTTTATGCGACGCCCTTGAGGCTATATGCGATTCTGTTGGGATAGAGCAATGGGAACAACATGGAATCTAAAGTAAACCACTTCCCGCATGCGTCTGGATGGTGGACGGGTCCAAGTAGGGTGCCTGAATAGTTCGGCCGAACTAGCTTCGCTGACTCTGGGGACGCACATATGTCAAGTTCACAAGATTCACATTCCCTCCGATGCTATGAAGCAATGACAACCTTCACTGGGACTCTACCCTCGTCCTCTCCTTCTCTGCCCTGATTTGCGGCCAGCCTGAAAGCCTTTTCTCCGTCTGCTAGACTAACTCGATGAGTGACCACATCCTCTGCCACACCATCCAACTTGCCGCTCGCGAACAGAGCAATGGCAGCAGGATAGCAATTGGCGTATCTGAATACACCAATGATATCCACTTCCCTCAATGCTGCTGCTCCCAAAGGCAGTGTCTGGGTTGGGTTTCCCATGCCGACAAGAACCAGCTTTCCGCCCGCGTTGGCGGCAAATATTCCTAGCTGTACACATGACGGTACACCTGTGCACTCGAACACTCGATCGAACCCTGTATCGAGACCAGCAGACTTTGACACTTCGGCAGCGAGCTCTTGAGCGCCTGCTAGGGTTTCTTCAATAGTTGGGGCAGCTGGCTTCTTGGGTATGAGAAATGTTTTGAGGTTGAATCGACCACCTCCAAGAGCCGCTGCAATCTTCAATCTGGGAGCATCAATGTCGGCAATGACAATATCTGTAACGCCAGCAACTGCAAGAACAGCCGCAGTAAGCATCCCCACGGCACCCGCGCCGAGAACAAGAGCGCTTGAGCCGGTCAAAGCGACACCAGAGCCAGAGCCCGCCACTTGACTTCGATTGAGGGCGTGTAAGGAAACAGCCAAAGGCTCTACCAGGGCACCCTGCTCGAACGTGACGTTCTCCGGTAGCTTGTGACACATTTCAGCGGGCTGGGTTATCATGGTCTGAAGCGTCCCATCAGCGTGAGGAAATGTCTTTGCTGATGATCTGAACGATAGTTTGGGACACAAGTTGTACCGCCCTGTTGTACACAGCGAACATGAGCGGCACGGAATGCCGACCTCCATCGCTACCCTATCGCCTACTTTGAGACTGGAAGAGCTTGCCACTGCATTGGCAGACTCTGACACTGCAGTAACTACGCCTGAAGCTTCGTGACCCAGCACTAGAGGCGACTGAATGATGAAGTTGCCATTGCGGCCATGGTGATAATAATGCAGGTCTGAGCCACAAAGACCGGTGGCTTTGACAGCGATTTGAACTTCTCCCGCTCGAGGAGATGGTTGAGGTCTAGATTCCTAGACGGAGGTGAGCTTCAGGTCCGAATACAACACTTACTGTCCTTTGTCAAAGTCACGACTTGTACTCACCAATCTCAGGTCCTTTGCGCCGTGTAGAACCAAAGCCTGTATACTAGCTGCTCCTGACATCATTCCAATAATCCAATGACAAACCACAGCCAGAATGGATATTTTGCTTGTTGTTTTCAGAAGAATTGTTCTTCCTACAAAAGTTCGTCTCCAGTCAGCTTGGGCGACAGTCTACCGTCCACATGGCAGTTGGCTTATATCAAGTGTGCCTACGGAGTATTCCAGTGGATAGAACGTCAAGCCTTGAATCGTTGTCCGGGATGCTCGCCGGCACCCAAAGGAAGCTCATCGGCTATTGAAGTGCACATTTTCCTGCGTTGTTTCGGCGAGGGGTAGCCCAACGGCGCCCCAAAGGCCACAAGTTGTTGCCCGCGGGGTGAACTCAGTGCTACGATGCACTGCAGTGACAACCTTGGTGGGGGTTTTTAATGCCCACCGCCCCAAACGGTCTCGCCGTATGAGGCGGCATTAGACGGCGGTGCGGGGGACCAAACTCGGTTCAAATGCCGATGACGAGAATGACACAAAAGGTCGTGCATATCGTAGATGTTCCCGCAGTCAAATGGCATTGGAGATTCGTTTGCTGTCTATGGGCTTTTGAGGTTCGTGTAATTAACGAGACCCTACTCCCTCGTTTTCTTGTATAGTATAGACAAAAAGGTCCCTGGTTTTCTCACCACTTCCTCCCAATATGTCAAAACCTGCAGTGCTGCTGATCGGTGACCTGGCACACACGAACGCGGAGTGGAAAGCCTACGCTTCTAAATACAACTTGAAAGAGTTCCGGAAAGGAACACGAGACGAATTCCTCTTAAAATGCAAGGCTGGGGAGTATGATGATGTTGTTGCTCTGTATCGCTCAAACACGTCGACTTCAGAAACGGGCCCATTCAACGAAGAGCTGGTCTCGTGTCTACCTTCCTCCCTGAAATATATATGCCACAACGGTGCGGGTTATGATAATATTGAGGTGGATGCTTGTACAAAAAGAGGGATAAAGGTGTCTAGCACGCCGCTTGCCGTAGACAACGCGACGGCTGATGTTGGTATTTTCCTGCTCTTGGGTGCATTGAGACAGGCCTGGACACCTCTGAAGGCCATCAAGGAAGGAAAGTGGAAAGGCGACGCTCAGCTTGGTAATGATCCCAAAGGCAAGCTGTTGGGCATCCTAGGGATGGGCGGCATTGGCAGAGTAAGCGAAGCTGGTGGCCTTTGAGAGTACCAGAAGCTGACATTTTCTCAGGCAATGGCAGATCGAGCACGAGCGTTTGGCATGACGATCGCCTATCACAATAGATCGAAACTGCCCAAGGAACTCGAAGGGGATGCAACGTACCTCAGTTTTGACGAACTACTTGCCAAATCGGATGTTCTCAGTTTGAACCTGTCCCTCAATGCAAAGACACGCCACATCATATCGGCCAAAGAATTCGCAAAGATGAAGGACGGTGTTGTGATTGTGAACACTGCACGAGGAGCATTGATCAAAGAGAAGGACCTGGTGGCGGCATTGGACAGTGGGAAGGTCTCATCCGTTGGACTCGATGTATTCGAAGACGAGCCGAGGATCGAAGATGGGCTCTTGAAAAATGATCGAGCCTTCATCGTCCCTCATATTGGCACAATGACTTGGGAAACACAAAAAGAGATGGAAATGCTTGTGCTGCAGAATCTGGAGAACGCCGTGGACAAAGGGTCCTTGTTGACACCTATACCTGAACAAAAAGACCAGTTGAATGGCCATTTATGACAAGTTGGATGAGATAAGGAGTGTTTCAGCGACTCGGGTTTCTTGTAAACTCGTAGATGACTGTCGTTGGCTATTAATAAAAGAATGGAATGTTGGGTGGCATGGGATTGTCGAGAATCATACATAGCACGCATATTCGAGACGTCGCAGGCTTCAAGCCTCGGCACAACTTCACATGCCAAAGTCCCCGTTGAGGCCCGTGACTTTGTTTAACACCATCATTGCGTCAATGCTGCGTACACGAGGCAACCGTCTGATCGGTCGACTTCACTTCCTGTCAAGATTCTCCTTGCGCACGACGACCTTCCATGACCTAGGATTAGACAGCAAGACACCTGGCGTCCCTCCTGCTCATGGTCCTGTGATGACAATGTGTTCCTCGGCCAGGTGACAATAGCGCTGGCCAGATCAATCGCAATCACCTCTACAGAATGCCAGTCCACTCGAAAGAAGACCCTTTGATGGTCCTCTATAATCACTACCTCTCTCTCTTTCGAACTCAGATCAAACGGACGCCGAGATCCGCCAGGCTTGCCGCAACCGCAGCTCTCCTCATTTCTATCCTCTCAAGCAGTTATGGCGGCTATAGATGGTGGCAGGAAAGGACCAAAGAGAAGGCTCGAGGGCAAAGACTCGTCAGGAAAAACAGCGGACTGAGAGGGAAAGGCGGCGAGCGCATTATATACGTGCCCAAAGGCAATACTACCTCGAAAGTCATCATACATCCTACTCGTCCTACAACGTTCGACGCACATAGACGGTTATTCCTGACGCCTCCTCGGATCACAAGGATTGCAAGTGGTGCATCGACCCCAGCGTATGGCCATGGTCCACCCCCTCAGACAAAACCCGGCCTCAACTTGGCCTTCCTACACCAGTTTCTCAGTCTGCTAAACATTATGATACCACGATTCCGCAGTAAAGAGACAGCACTGCTGTTGAGCCACGGGGTATTTTTGATTCTGCGGACCTACTTGTCCCTAGTCGTTGCTAGACTGGACGGCGCTATTGTTCGAGACTTGGTCGCGGGCCAAGGCAAATCCTTTATGCTGGGGATTTTGCGGTGGTTGTCGGTTGGTACATTGGCCTCTTATACCAACTCCATGATCAAATTCCTGCAGTCAAAGATATCAATTGCCTTCCGAACCAGACTTACACGATACATACACGACTTATACCTGAACTCCAACCTCACATACTATAAACTCACGAACTTGGACGGCGGCGTTGGTCAAGGAGCTGATCAGTTCATAACGCAAGACTTGACCTTGTTTTGTACGTCGGCAGCATCATTATATTCGTCTTTAGGAAAACCGTTGGTTGATATCTTTGTCTTCAACTATCAACTTTACCGATCTCTAGGTCCTCTAGCGCTGACCGGACTTCTGGCCAATTATTTCGCGACCGCTACCCTACTACGCAGACTTTCGCCTCCGTTCGGGAAATTGAAAGCCGTTGAAGGGAAGAAAGAGGGCGACTTTCGTGGCCTCCATGCCCGTCTCATAGCCAATGCCGAAGAAATCGCATTCTATGGCGGCGCAGACGTGGAGAAGGTCTACCTGAATAAATCCTTCAGAGAACTGCGCAGCTGGATGGAAGGGATCTACAATGTCAAAGTCCGCTATAACATGCTCGAGGACTTTATCCTAAAGTACTCGTGGTCAGCCTTTGGATACATCATCACCTCGATCCCCGTCTACTTGCCGGCATGGGCAGGACTGACTTCTCTACTGGACACGTCCGGGTCCTCTGGCGCCGAGGTATCGGAATTTTCACGAGAGAGATCTCACATGAAGGACTTCATCACAAACAAGAGACTCATGCTTTCGCTTGCCGATGCCGGCGGAAGAATGATGTACAGCATCAAGGATCTCTCGGAGCTCGCTGGCTACACATCACGAGTATATCAACTCATCTCCACCCTTCACCGGGTACATGCGAACGCCTATGGTCAAGGTACTCGGCGTTATTCCAGTAGAGCCGAGTTGTTCTCTCTGGCTGATGTACAGGGAACGCTACATGCTGGCTTTGATGGCGTCCGTCTTGAAGATGTTCCTATTGTTGCCCCATCCCTTTATCCCTACGGAGGAGAAGAACTCATCGAGTCTCTTTCATTCGTGGTACACAGTGGCGAGCATCTTCTGATCTCTGGAAGCAACGGTGTAGGCAAGTCCGCCATCGCAAGGATCGTCGCTGGCCTCTGGCCTGTCTTCAGGGGGCTTGTCTCGCGACCACGTAACAATGGTCAAGACGGGATAATGTTCATCCCTCAGCGGCCATACCTCAGCGTGGGCACATTGCGTGATCAAGTGATTTATCCTCATACCGAGATCGATATGCGTGAGAATGAACGTCGCGACAGTGAACTAGAGAGAGTTCTCGAGGACGTCAAACTTGGCCACCTTCTCGCACGCGAAGGAGGTTGGGATACACGGAAAGAATGGAAAGACGTCCTCTCGGGTGGAGAGAAACAGCGCATGGCGTTTGCGCGGCTCCTATATCATGAACCGAGATATGCATTTCTGGATGAAGGGACAAGTGCGGTTTCCTCGGATGTCGAAGGGCTACTGTATGAGCGGTGTAAAGACCGGGGCATCACCGTGATCACACTCTCTACCCGTGCCAGCCTACGGAAATATCACACTTCCAATCTCATACTCGGCTTGGGCGACGAAGGGTATGATTGGGAACTGGTCAAGATTGGCACCGAAGCTGAAAAATTCAGCATGGATAAAGAGATCAAGGAGCTACGAGAGAAATTAGCCAAGGTCCCTGAGTGGGAGGAGCGCAAAACCGCCATCGACGAGGAACTTCATCATGTGCAAGTGGTAGATGAAGCAGGATCCATGGAGCTTGAGAAGCCTACTTATTTGGCTGGAGAGTCAGACCAAACTTGAAGAGTGATAGCTCTCAGGAAATGCTTGGAACCCGTTTGTAGACAGTGTCCAGAAAATGCTAGAACTTGAGTGGTCTCGCGATAAGGCTACACATGTGCAACAATATCCTGCGCCTGATCGGCACCCATGGATGGATATGAAGCAATACAAAAATCCTTGCTCAAAGTATAGCGACATATTGGGGGTCCACAATTTTCAACCGCAACAAGCTCAGAATTGCTCGTTGATTGGTCACTTCCTCATCAACAACAACCCCGGTATTCTACGAAGTATGCACACTCACGAATCAGTGGAAGTCGTCGCAAGAGCTAGGTCAAACCCGGTTAATGAAGACATGATCCAGGAAGATAGCGCCAGCCTGAACTGGTACTGCTCTCGAAATGGCCAGTAAGATCCCCTAGAGAGAATCAGTTTTGGAGCAAACTTAAGTCGACATCTGCATCAAGTTGCAGAAAATCAGATAACATTCTCAAGGTCCATGGAGATATTCTGTTCCAAGTGGACACACAATGAGTATATCAGGAGAACAACTTGCGGATGTCGCTGCGTCGAATTTGAGGGCTTGTAAAAGTACAAATAGCCCGCCCTCGAACAATACTTTGTCGACCGTTCCACCATCACCACCACCACACTACGAAAACACTACGAAAACACTACGAAAACACCGCAAGCAGACCACAAGATTTCAGGTCTAACATGGAGCACCAAGATATTTCTCCCGCCATTCTCTACTGGGGTACTCCGGTAGTTCTCATCTCCAGCAATAATCCAGACGGAACCACCAACATCGGTCCCATGTCCTCGGCGTTCTGGCTCGGTCATGGTGGCGTCCTCGGCCTCGACGCATCGTCCCAAACGACCCAAAACATCTTGCGCACTAAACAGTGCGTCCTGAATCTCGCCTCCGACAACATGGCCGACGCGATCAACGCGCTTGCGGGGACTACAGGCACCGACCCTGTTCCCGAGGGCAAACGACCTCGTGGATACCGCTTCGTCAAGGACAAGTTCGGCATCGCGGGCTTGACGCCGCGCCCGTCCAAGAACGTCGCGTGTCCGGGGATCAAAGAGTGTCCCGTCATCATGGAAGCCGAGCTGGTCACCTCCCACAAGATGTTCGGAGGTAGACCCGCCGAGGGTCTCATCCTCCTGGTCGAGGTCAGGATCCTCCGGGTCAGCATCCACGAGAACCTGAGGATGGAAGGTCATCGCAATCGGGTCGACGCTGACAAGTGGAAGCCCATGATCATGATGTTTTGCGACCTGTACGGCTTGAAGCAAGGAAAAATCGAGCATTCGAACCTGGCCGACATTGAAGAGGAAATGTATCGTCCTTTGTCCGACCTTTCGGGAAAAGTCAAGGACGTTCATGGCGATGACGAAGACGACGTGGTGAAGGATGACGCCGCCGAACATGTTATTGGACTGGTCGCTTCTAACAATCAGTAAAGCAGTCAGTCTCCTCACGTATATATCAGGTGAGAGTTGGACAATTCAAGAAGGGCAAGTCGGAGAAGAATGATAGGTTGAGATAAAGAGAAAGACCGATGGTGTAGAAGGTGTTTGTCATTCGTTTGATCAGCTAGTCTTGTGAGATTTGAATCACTACCATACAATTGTTTTGTCAGACTTTCAATAAACACCAGGTTTACCAGCAATGGCAATTGTGCGTTATACTTGTCAATTTCCCCGTCAAAGTGTCTTGAAGATGTTTACGGCGTCAGGTATAATCAATCTCAAGCCATTCAAAGTGGAGACCCTTGAACTGTTGGAAGCATTCGATGTTTTTCACACAAGAGCTACTTACTCTCTCCTACAGAGTACTTGCCAAAAGATTAAACAATAAATTAATCTACAGAGTCGGTAGAAATGTGATGTTTCAAGGTTGATCAAAAAATCCGGTTAACTCGGTATAACCAAAACACCTTTGTCTTCGGTACTTCGGCAATCGTTCCTTGGGGAATTCAACAGTTCACAGTCACCAGCCGAACGATACGAAGAAGTGTTTGTGTATATTTATTTGCAACGCGAGTCAAAGTGATCTCTCGTAAGTTACATTTCTTACAAGGCTACACCGACACATCATGGGTAATTATTCAGACTACCAAGGTCCCGTGGCAGAATGGGAGGACTTTATCAAATCGACAGGCGAAGTGCCGGCACCACCACTACACCTCCCTATCTTGGAGATGCGGTCACTGACCAACGCCGGTCGAACGGTGGCGGCACAAGAACAAGTCAAGGCGTTAGGTAGGTGGGATCTCTAGTTTCAGTCCAGTGTCCACTCCTTATGATTCGAGCGAGCCAAGTCATGCTGATTGATACGCTGCTCTTTAGGTCTGAAAGAAAAAGTGGCATGGCAAGACTACTCGATTCTCACCAGGGATTCTCAAAATATAACCGCCAGAGTGTATAAACCGAAAGTGCTCGCAACAAATGCCAGTTCGAGTGCAACTTCAGGTACAGGTCTACCGATATACTTGTACTTCCACGGTGGTGGACACCTCCTGGGGAATGTCGACTCGGAAGATGGTACTTGCTCACGTTTGGTGGGCGATTCTTCTTTCCCCCTGGTCGTCGTCAATGTCAACTATCGACACACTCCAGAGTTCCCCTGGCCCACTCAATTCAACGACGCGTGGGATTCTTTGGTATGGTTGTCGACTCACGCGACCGACTTCGGTGGTGACCCTTCGAAGGTGGTGGTCGGCGGTGTGTCTGCCGGTGGAGGTCTTGCGGCGTCGATTGCCGTACATCATCATCGACAACGACTCCTGCAGTCAGGCCAAGCGGCGGCACCAGCGGTGACGATCCTGGGTCAAGTACTGGCCAGTCCTTGGTTGTTGCACCCTTCAGCAAACCCTTTGGCGAGAGAGGCCCTCAGTAGTTTCAACCAAAACCAAAACGCTCCCGTGTTGCCATGGTCCATCTTGAAAGTTTTTGCCGACCTTCTCGGACCCGAAGCCGTGTCGGACCCAAGCTTCAACGTCGCATTGACCGACGACACCGTCATCCAAGGTTTACCAAAGACGAGTTGTCTTGTTGCCGGGCAGGATCTGTTGAGAGACGAGGGACTTTATTATGCAGAAAAATTAAAGAAGAACGAGTAAGTCTCGTCAAACGCCCCTCGCTTTAGTCAATGGAACGTATTGTGATGATGATGCTGATAAATCTTTGACGCACTCAGAGTACTAACAAAGACTTATGTGTTCCCCGGTTTGCCTCATGGATTCAGGAGATTTCAAAATCTATGGTCCACAAACAAATGGGACAAGGTGATTGTTGATTCGATCCAGTGGTGTCTGTCGAACGACTCCCAGTCGATCTTGGAGGTTGTGAGTAAGGAACAAACATGACTCAATCCGGCCGTTGCGGCAGGCCGATGATTTTGGAAAACCTCAGATAAATAGGAGCATATTTTTTGGACACAGGTTGTGAGTGGTTGTACATTGTATGTACAAGAGAAATATTACATTTGTACACGTCACTGCTGAAAGAGATAGCTTTTTGTCCGCAGGGAGAAAGATTGGTAGAGGTAGAGGTAGACAGCGTACTTGAATGCCACTTGCCCTAGTACCTTTCATGATTGTTCGAAGACGACATGTATCCTCTACCTCCTTTTGAGGTCGCCAACCACCCGTCCGACTCGCTGAGTTCCACGTCGTCCCTCCTTCCCGGTACTTGTGATACATTAACATCATAGGATGCAGATTTGGACATATAGATGCGATCGTTAGGGTTCGCACTGAGCGGTTGTTGCGGCTGATATTGCGGAGGTGGTGGTTGAGGAGGACCTTGCCGTGGACCGCCACCGCCGTGAGAAGTACTTGACTGACGGAGGTAAGAGCCTGCGTGGTCCTTTGTCGTGCCGAATCGCGACGGCCAGCATCTCTGGAGGAACAAACGGGCAGCGGGCATGCATGCGCAAACGATACTGATGTACAATTCGAGAGAACTCCAAATGGAGATGGAATAAAGATGGTCTAGATAGTGGAAAAGGGTTAGTTGGTGTTGATGTAATATGCCAAAGAGGAATAGGAAAAAAAGAGCTCACATGTTACGTTGGAATCTTTTGCAAATTTGATGAGTGATTGAAGTCTTATGATGCTGACGACAGTGATCCTGGAGAGTGACAGAGACACGGTATCAGTATGGAGAGGCTCTGTATAGACATGGATCTAGACATGGGACGGGAAAAAAAAGACTCACAATGATCCAACTCCAAACATGCTCAACACTTGAAGTTTTTGTTGCCGAGAGATTTGAAGTCTGAGGATGACCGGCACCGGCAGGGCGAGGATGGCCACGTCGAGAGCGATGTTGATCGCCGCAGCCGCCCAACCTCCGGCGTTGATGTTGATGCATGTTCCAGCGGAGGGGTCCCGCCACTGTTCCCAGAAGAACGACACCGGTGTGCACTCGAAGCCGAGCACAAACATGTACGAGACGAAGTAGGAGAAACATAGACCCATGACGAGGTATGCGGCCTTTTGGAAATACGGCTGCGAAAAGACCTTGAGGTAGAAGGCCAAGACGGCCAACTTGGTGACGACACTGATGAAGATGTACAAGAACTCGCCAATGAAAAAGTCCTGTCGAAAAACAAAGTCAGTCACTCAGTCACAATACTGGTCCGAATGCTATTTCCGAGTTCGAGGTACAATACCTTCAAGACAATGTCGATGTTGTCGGGTTCAACGTTCCATATGTCCTTTCCAAGACCTTTGTTCGCAGCTACACACATTACAAGTCAGAGAGCTTTTCCACTTGACTGAAGGGATAAGGGAGTGGGAAGGATATGTACCCTGCAAATTGAGCGCCGTGAATACGACAACCGTAAGCTGAAGAGATACACACGTTAGTATGATCAATAACTTCGAGGGCGGATTGGAAGCATGTGTCGTTCGACGAGTACGTACAGTCGCAACCAGCATGATGCCGTCGTCGATACGGAATCCCGGAGTCAATGGCGGCCGAACGTAGAGCCGAATCAGATAGAACAAAACTGCCAAAGCAAGGAATATCGACGTGACAATGATGTAGGTCTGTGATAGGTCGGTCGGTGTGACACCGCATGCTGTCTGGGTCGCATTAAAGGCACCTGAGAAAGCGATTTTGGTCAGAAAAAGATTCGAGGTGACCCTCCTCATTGTCCGGTCCGGTCTTGGGATTTCCAACTTACTCAGAGCCTCGATAACTGTACAGTTGGCTGTGCTGCACTGTTCAATTTGACCAAGGATAGGCGCATCGGCACAAAGACATGCGACGTCGGTCAACGAACATGTCGAGGACGGGAGTATAGACTGGGCACAGGCGGCCTGTAGATTGCTCATATCATTAGGTTGGTGAATCTCAACGTCGTTCGGGGGTTGTAGTGCGTACCGCGCATTTGGGCAGCGCAGCCAACAGTTGTTCCGTTGCTGACTGTCCGGCAGCCATGGTTGCAAAGGTTGAAAATATGGTCAGGAGAAGAAGAAGAAGAGGCGGCGGAGGCGGTGGTTTGTACAGTACAGTAGAATCGAAAAGGTAGTGTACAGTAGGTATGTGTAGGTCAAATCCACGATGGACCAACAAGTTCCTCTCCCACGTCTGTCATCTGTCAATCGTCGTGGGCGAGCAAGCATGTATGTAGTGTAGTAGTGACTACGGAGTATTCTTCAGCTGTTCCATTCGAGGCGAGAGGCGAGAGGCGATCAAGGATCAGATTCCCCCCTCCAATACCACGTCCCATCGATCCATCGTTCCTAGTTGTACCTGGTTCTGCTGTGGAGAAGTGGATATTATTTCATGACTGGGATTCCAGTTGAAGCTCATTCTGGCACCGGCTAAACCAACTCAACGGTTTATGGGGCCGCTGTGGACATAAACCTACCTGAAGCGTCGACGGGGTAGGGTTGGGCGTCATCCTTGGCCACCGTCGCTTGAATCCGGTTGTAGCTGAGAATGGAATTCCAGGACTATCACATGTAACTGTACAGACAGAGGGAAAGAATCTATCCGAGAGCCAGGTGGAAAACACGTTGCTTTGTCGTGCAAATTTCTTCAGCGGAAACCGAGGCACCTCGGGTGGATTAGGTTGGCAGAGGTAAGGCTAGCAAGCATTATTTTCAAAGCGTGTAACAGTACAGTACGTCTGCTCGCAGATGGCCTTTTGACTCTGTGGAGGAATTGTGAGTAGAAGGAGAACTGAAGGAAAAGTTCGCGGGTGGCGGGTCGGAGCTCCACCAGAGGTTGGAAGGAGGTTTGCTCTCCTGTGAGCCTTGTCGATCAAGAGTAGCGCATATGCCCCTGCATCGGACCAGAACATTTTGAGCAAATGCTCCCGTCAGTTCCTGCGTCTCGGTCACGAATCCAAGAAGCCCATCTGCCGAACCAGGGTACCGTTCTGGCCGAACCACACGCTTATCGAAACAATCTTACCTAAGGCGACCTCTTTACGAGTCTTTAGGCGGAGCAATTCAAGATAACCGGGGCAGCTTAGAAAATGGGGGTCTCAGTAAATTTATTTGTGAGAGGGTTTCAATTTCTCCTCTGACTCTACTGGTATCACTTGTTGTGTGGACAGAGACCATTAATGTGACAAAAGGCAGAAGGCAGAAAGAAGGTGGCCTGCCGGAGAGGCGAAAATGTTCGGAAGGCTCTCTTCGTGTGCTTTACATACAATCTTCTCGCAGCAGCTGATGTGTCAATGTCAGCGTACATGATGACTTGTCACGTCAGGTTGGTGTATTCGTGGGCAGAGAAAATTCTTCTGTCCTCCTATGAAACTCCTTCCATCTCCACTGACGTCTCTACCAACTCCACCTTCATTGCTACGCCGGAAACGTCAGTGAAGTTCTTCGGCATGGCTCTCTCCCTGTGAAGAAGCGTAAGAAAAAGCATAGGGTGTCTACTGCACGGAGCATACTGTAGAATGCCATCCTTGACATTTTACTCTGTAGGAACTCATCTGGTAGCGCGACAGGGTACTGCCCTCTACGACCAGAGTCCAACTATTTTCGTATCCACACTGGTACTCTAGAAAGGACGAGGTTAGAGGAAGACCCGGGAACGAAAATTAAGGCTACCCACATCTGGTCGGCGCATTTACTCGACACGGTCTTCTCTCCTGTCCCGGCAGAGTTGGGAGTTTCTACATGATGCCCCTTCTGAATTTTACTGTACAGTACTTCGACAGCGATGCCTTTCACATGTACCTGTGAAACGACTTGCTCCATGAGAGTGAGTTCCCCGCCTTGGAAATCATGGAAAGGCCCGTCCCCAAGACATCGACCAGGCTGCTACACTTTTACTCTACTTGAAGATCATCGAGACGATCGCACCGAAAACGATCAATGCAGCAATGCTGCTGGTAGTCTACCAATCTATCAAGGTCTTTCCTTGCTTCACCATCCTCACTGTCTCACTTAGGCCTTCCGAGGGGCAAGAAGGAACCAACAATTTCACTGTTCACATAATCTCCATGATGCGAGATGAAACACCAGACTGCGGGCCCGTCCACATGCGTGAAGGACGGTATTTACTCAGGTCTCTGAGTTGTCCGTAGCACGGGACAACTTCCCCTAAGCAGCTTTTACCACATTTGCGAGCACATGCTGAGATCTGCGCATTTGTGGTGCTAGTGCGAATAGCTTGGGTAAGTACCAATTCCGCTCTCTCACCCATAGGTTGCCTGGTATCTTGAGAGCATGTGCTCCTCGACGGTGAATTCCTCCCCCTTGGACCCATCCAGCGGCTTGATCACACAGTCTGGAGCGCCATCATAAAAGAACGGTACACTGTACCTATCCGTACCGCTCGTATTTATCTGGACAGCAAATCAGTGTGTGGACTTCTTCTCAGCACAAAGGAGTCAATTTCGACATCTGAATCTCCGGTAGGGTAAACCTACAACTCGGTGTATGTTAGACTTGTATTGCCCACCGGTCCAAGTCTCCAGCATGTCACCAATATTCACCACGTATGCATGTGCCTGAGGTGGCACGTCGACGAATTGATTTGTGTGGTGGTTCAATACTTGGAGACCGGAATGCCCGTCCTGAAGCAGAAGCGTGATGGCACCGAAATCTGTGTGTGCTCCAGCGCCAACTAGATTTGGATCATCCGTCTGCGGATGCGGTGGATAGTGCAACAATCTGACGTTGGCAATGGGGTCTTTGCAGTATTCCGCGAAGACCGTTGTGTCAAAACCTCTCAACCCTCTGGCCAATATGTGCATCAGCTGGACAGACAAGGTCGACAGTGCTTGCTGATATTCGAGAAGAGGCTTCTTGAACTGGGCTTCAGGGATCTGACTCGTCTCAGGCCATATATTTGCTTGCTGAAATGGTCGATATGGGGGCTTATTGTCAGGAATCTCTCGCCCTATCATGAATCCCTGACTTTCTCAGATCTACCAGATTTGATCGATGAAAATGGAAAAGCTCACCTCCTTGAGATCAGGCTTCTTACCTGGTTCGAGGATTTGAGAACCAATTATTTCGTATCCTCTCCCAGGCACGCCGGCTAATTTACGTTTGTCCTCGTCGGGCAGTGCAAAGACTGCCTTTGCAGCTGCGAAGATATCAGCCTGCAAGGAATCAGGTATGCCATGACCAGTGATTTGAAAGAAGCCACTAGTGGCACACGCAGCGCGAATTTGCTCGATCACTTGGTCTGCCTCCATGGAATGGTTATCATCCAAATAGGGGGATATGTCCACTGTAGGGATTGTGAAGTTAGCTGAAGTTGCCTCGTTAGTGATCGCCATGGTAAGAAGGCTATGGAAGAAGAAATGCAGATAGCCTGTGAGAAGATTTCATCGTCTGGATATTCGCACAGCTTTTTGAACACGTTCTGGATTTCGTGATCGGTGGTTGACTTTTGTTATCTCAACTTCAACGATTCTGCACTTCGGAGGTCTCCGAAACCCCCGTAGAAGATACGGAGAAGTAAGTCGACTTCTTGGATTATCACGTGCCGGCACAGCACAAATTACGATCGTACTTTCTCACTTTACCATCTTTGTTGATATTCCGCCTTTCGCACTAGAACATCATAAACCCCGATCCATCAACCGTTGCTGCGAAAACTCGGCCCTCTCACGAGACTTTGAATGCGACATGCCATAAGGCGGAATGCATATTGATCTGGCGGGCTGAGATGCCGGTCCAGCGACCCCGAGAAACATGTACGGAATGTTCCATGCGACGCCAGAAATGCGACCGCCAGCTTCCTTGCTCGAGGTGTATCAAAAGAGGCATCGCCGACCAGTGCACGCGTGAGTGGCCGACTCAGTACAATCCCTCCATTCATCGGGTCTACAAAAGATCGCGTCCGCTCCAGGGTGAAGGAGCAAGATCCAAGTCAGCTTCTAGTCCCACTTCCCCTCAAGCTCCCACTCCAACTGCAGGGTCGAGGCGACCACTGCAATTGAACGAATTCGCGGCCCATGATACGCGATGGGCAGATGAGCCACGCTTACAGTACTCTTTCACGCCAACTAAAGCTCTCATCTCGGAACTCCGGACGCAGGATTCGGACACCCAGCTTGACCACCCATGGATTGACTCGACAGGAACAGGCTTCAACTCTACCGAAGATGTTCACTCGGAATTCCTACAGATGTTACTACCCAAAGTTGGTCACATCTGGGATCTCGTCAACTACCATGAACTCTGCCTCTTGTGGTATCATGGCTGCTACTTTGGCCCGCTCTTCCGATGGGAATTAGAAAACGTGTTAGCTGGCCAGGATGAAAAGGAAACATTGATCGTCAACGGCCTGGATCTCCAGTGGCTTGGCCTCCTCTTTTCCATTCTTGCTGGCAGTGTAACGTGTGCTCCAGAACGTAGACTGTCTCAGTGGGGATTTCAGAAAGATGAAGGGTCGAGGTTGTCTATGCAGTGGTACAAGGCCAGTATCTCCTGCCTGAATCAGGCGAACTACACTTCCAACCACAACATATATGCGGTCCATACCATCGCTACATTGACTATGTCTGCTCATCCTCTGGGACAGTCTGCAGAGCTGTCTGTTCTCCTCGGTGGCGCTCTGAAGATTGCACAAAGCTTAGGACTCGACAAATTAGACTACGACGCATCGCTTGACGAGACCACGAATGCATCAACGGAAGAACAACGCCATAGACTGATCAAAAGGGAGATCGGCCGTAGATTATGGTCCCAGCTTTGCGTCCAGGACTGGATGTCTCTGCCATTCAACGAGAGCTATCATATCCAGCCGAGTCACTTCACGACGACCAAACCTTCCAACCGAAACCACCTGAACATGGATCCAATCCCGCCCGACTTCCCTACTTACATCAGTTACGGTAATTACTTGTTTGAAATAGCAAAGCTTATGGTTAAACATCACGAGGACATCCTTCGTGCAACGACGCAATTCACTACCTACGAGCACGTTATAGAATATGATTCAAGGATGCGAACTCTCGCCACGAAAGGAATGCCATCCTACTTTCATGTTGTGCAGCCGATTGATCCAGCGTGGCCAGAATGGATTCCAGCAGCCAGGGGAAGTCTGACCATATGCTTCGCACACAAGATAATCATGATCCACAGAGCATACATCAAGCAGAGTTTCGTCAACCCGACTTACTCCATGACACGTCTAACGTGCTTAGCTGCGGCCAAGACAATTTTGAATGAGGCAAAACAAACCAAGGATCTGGATGGACCGATCATTTGGGTGGACAAAGCTTTCTGCATCGTCGCGGCGATCATACTCTGCTTGGATCTCTTCCATCGTCCCAAGTCTGATCCGGTTTTTGACACACACAAAGAACTGGTCACAGAATGCATCGAATCCCTACGCAAGTTTGGTGACAGTGTTATTGCTATTCGCGGGGCGAGTTTGCTTGCCGCCCTACTGATGGAGAGCGACAGGGTCACATGTATCTGGACATGGCAACCACAGGCTATTAATGTAAGGGAAATTATCACCTCGGTAGGAGCAGAGATGGATGGTGCTAGTCCATTTGATGATGCTCAACCACAACAACTCCCAGAACTATTACCTCCTCAAGCTGGATTCTGCAACCGGTTCATATTTGAGGAGCTTCTGAGCACCAACATCAACGCCTATGCATGAGAGATGGCGTGCTATCTTCGAGACGAAGTGCACCGGGTACGTTCATTTGACATGGTCGGATTCCGACTCGTCATGATGCAAAGCGGGTCATGCCTGCAGGATTCAATTGTTCTAGCTACAAAAGCGACTGGCTCAGTTAATTGCCATCATGGAATGTTAGCCAAACTTTCCAAACACAGATTGTGGCCTAGCAGAGCTGTTTGACCCTTCCAATCCAACATCGTTTCGTCATATAACGAGGTCGTGACTTGGAGCTTCGTTCGCTGCTTCTCAGTCATCATTGGACAGAGCTATGGTCTTGATCGGCAAGCAACTGCCATGTCCTAACAGCCTCCAATGATGAAGATCTGGCTTCAATATTGACAATCCTCGGTCCTTGAAGCCTTGCGATGTATGCACTCCCATGCTGGCTCAGGTCATGTTTCCCTGGTTGATGGTCTCACTTGGTGTCTCTCCGACGATCTGACCGACATTTCCTTTCTCGCCAACGTTTGGTCCAGGTTGACTTGCTGTATAGGAGTCGCTTGCTACAGCTGCTTCACCAGGCACATGGCCCTCCTTATGTGCAGAGGAGTTATCTGCACCGAGACCTTTCGCTATTGTATGATCAAACATATCAGCACCGGTCCTACTTGTAGCTGCACAATGTCCGTCGAGTTCAGGAACATACCAGCAGCATCCTTCTTCATGATTTTCTTGCTTGGCCCTCAGCCGCCAGGTGGCTTTGTCGACATTTTTGAGCACTGTTCCCAGAAGTCACAAGCGAAATCGTCGAAGTCGCGGTAAAAATTACTTGAGCTTTTCCCCCAGAGAGCAATCTTTTCAATCCGATTCTTGGGGATAGGATGATACGGAAACGGTGATACTGCGATTCATCTCATTGATGTCATTGTCTCCAGAAAATGACATCTTTCCCAGGGGCGAACAGTGATCTCACGGCCCACACATATCAATTACTGTAACACTTGTCGGATGTTGTGTCCGTTGACTATCAACTCTTTGTGCACTTCAACGTTTCAATGCGTGTATATCGTGGAAAATGTTGGGCCAGAGATATGATCGACTTCGCCGACGGACAAGACAAAGACAGCCTTGCGGGCTTTGCACGAGGCTACGTGCTTCAATATTCGTGGTTGGTGCAAACGCAAACAAGCCGCATTTCTCACCACGAAATGCTTTTACTCTGAAATTAATGTGCGATCGTTAGAATGCATCATCATTTCGTGCGGCTTCTGGAAAATAACGTGTCGGATCAAGTGGCTGTCAAAGCGCAATCTACTGGCGTGTTCGAGTTGTATACACCCTTATTCAATGAACAAGCCATGGAAAATCGACGCTCAAGCACACCCAAGACTTTCGGGGCGAGATAAGCAACTACGCAAGTTTTGCTTTTGAGCATATCCAGAGATCCCTATCCTCCTAGTTTACGCCCCGAGAGACAGACAACGTTCCTATGGGCAATCCATAGCGGCCTTTGCGGTACCGAAAAGGCAACAGAGACCGCGATAAGCTTGAGCTGGTCTGATTGGCTCGTCCTCATGGGCAGCACATTGCCACTTGCTCCTTCCAACATGGGAATGGGCAATAGTACATCTACTCCAGACTCGACCGATTCACCTGAATACGTGACGGAGCATTCGCATATTTGGATTGTTTACAGCTGTAAAGATGCCTATTGCGACCCCCGCCCTGTCCACAGTTCTCGACGAAGCTGCCAAGGACTTTGTCGCGTCGAACCCGACAAGCAAAGCAACAAACGATACGGCTTCTTGTTCCTTGCCTGGAGGTCTGGATACCCAGATCGCTTGTTACTCGTACTGAGAAGATGTCACAGGCACAACCCGTAATGTGGTCCACATGAAACCTTTCCCCGTGGTCCTGGCAATGGGTGAGGGCTCCTACCTCACGGACGTCGACGGACACAAATACCTTGACCTATGCGCCGAGTACAGTGCCTGTATGTTTGGTCACTCACATCCGGTGATCAAGAGAGCCATCCACGATGCCGTCGAGCAAGGGTTTGCCCTCGGCGGTGTAAACCGGTACGAGGGTAGATTGGCCAAACTTTTCTGCGACCGTTTCAAGACCATGGACAAGGTTCGCTTTTCAAACTCGGGAACAGAGACGAACATGACCGCCCTCGCCCTCATCAAGGCATATACCGGCCGTAGCAAGATCATTGTCTTCGAGTGAGTACCTCGTCTTTGGTGTGGTTGGTTGTATACCTAGCTCGAGTCTCTTCACCTCTTTTTCTCTCATCATATATTTTGTCGAACCCATTACGTCGCTTGCTCCTCCATCCAAGAGGAGAAAAGGGCTGACCACCGACGAACAACTAGAGGCGGATACCACGGCGGCCTAGCAACATTCACATCCCAAAGTTCCATGAACATGAAGTCGAGCGGGAAAAAGACGATGAATGCGCCTCATGACTGGGTTGTGGTCCCGTACAACGACATCCCCGCCCTCGAAGCAGCCGTATCCGAGAACAAGGCCGACCTGGCGTGCATATTTCTTGAGTTGATGCAAGGATCCTCCGGCTGTACACCTGCGGACGTCGACTTTGTCGAGGCGTGCCGGTCCCTCGCCACCGGAGCCGACGCGGTTCTGTTCTTCGACGAAGTCATGACCAGCCGCATGAGCGTCCACGGCTACCAGGACATTCTCAGCGTGTACCCGGACATGACCAGTTTGGGAAAGTATTTTGCCGGAGGAGGGCAGAATTTCGGCGCGTTCGGAGGCAAGGCCGAAATCATGGACATGCTCGAACCCGGGTTTTCTGGTGGCGGTGGTGGAGTGTACCACAGCGGAACGTTCAACAACAACGTCACAACCATGGTGACCGCCACGGCCGTGCTCGAGGAAGTTTGGACAGAAGGTGAGGCGTGCGAATTGTTTGAAAAGGGAGTTTGGCTTCGTGACAAGTTGAATGATTTGGCCACGCGGCGTAAGTCGAGAATGTATGTCACTGGCACCGGGAGTCTGATGGCCGTTCATTTCAGAGAGATTGAGATTGCGATCGACGACGGGTCTAAGCTTCAGGCTCGAGCAGAAGACCTGAAGGAATTGTTCTTCTTCGACATGCTCAAAAGGGGCGTGTTCCTCGCGCGCCGGTTGATGATCAGTCTGATGATCATCACGTCCAGGGAGGAGCTACAGACGTTTTTGAATGCCGTCGACGAATTCCTGTGCGAGCGAGCCGAGTTTGTCGAACTGAAGTGATAGTGCAAGCCACAAAATGATGCGGTGTCACATACGCCTCAAGGTCGAGCGAATACTTTCACGCATCTTCACTCAATCTGGAAGTCATCTTTTGTGCGGTTTCATACACCAAAGTAATTCACGAAAAACATGAAGGCACAATAATAATATCATAATTCGTCCTAACTTGCACAGATCGCCGACGTCTACTTAGAGCTCCATGTTTCTGCAAGTATTTACTAAAGTGTTTGGTCTCACATCTTAAAAGTCAAAAACGCTGCTGCCACACCAACAACAGCAATCCAGTCTCCTTTTTCAGAAACGCACGTACGACAAGAGTCGCTTCCACATGGGTTGCGCAAAGTACCGGTCGAAAAAGGCAATGTCCTCCTCGTTCAACGGCCTCCGGCCATGTTGCAGGTCGGCTTCGGCGGGATTCACAAATTTGGTGCGAAAGACCAACTTGTACCCCAGGAAGCATGCGATCCAGAGCGGGACAGCGAGGAAGGTCTCGAAAAAGACCTCGGCGCTGGGCGGGGCGCCACCGATGGGGAACAAACTCACGTATCCCGTCGCAAAGAGGACGAACAACGAGGAGACGAAAAGGTACACGGCCGTCAGGGGGAACGCCGGCAACTTCCAGGCGTACGGCAACTTCCATGCCGGATCGTTCTGTGCCTTGATGGCCCGGTGCATCTGGATGTTGGTGACGCTGATGCTGAGCCAGGACAAGAAATAGACGGTCGATGAGACGGACGAGAACCAGGTGAAGATGACGCCACCGGTGCTGGAGCAGTTGATGTAGGTGAAAATGGTGGAGAAGATGCCCGTGACCAGGAGCGCCCAGCGAGGACGGCCGCGCTTGTCGATGCGCCCCAGGACTTTGGGGAACATGCCCATCTGAGACATGGCGACCATGGCACGCGACGAGACGTACAAGGATTCGGCGCCGATGGCCACGAGACCCAAAAGGATGACGGCGTTCATGAGGTCCGGTAGGCCCTTGACGCCGGCATTGACCATTGCAATCACAAAAGGAGAACTGGCCACGGTGCCGGTGCCTAGGAGTCGCTCCTCGTTGTACGGCACGAGGATGGTCAGGAAAACCACCGACAACTCGTAGAATGCAAAGATGCGGAAGAACAAGTTCTTGCACGCCCGGGGCATGTCATAGCGCGGTCGCTGCGCTTCTGCGGCCGACAGCGACATGATCTCTTGCCCACCTGTGGCCCAGGCGGCAAGCAGGAACGTCATAGCCACCCCTTTGAAGCCGTTGGGGAACGCAGGTGCCGTCGTGTAGTTGTAGGCGTGGGGTGTACCATCGTCCTTTCCTGCGCCGGCGATCAAGGCAATGCTGGTGATGAGGATGATGATCATGCACATGACTTTGGCAGAGGCCGTGCCAAATTCGAACTCGGCGAACCATCGATTGGGCAATGCGTGGATACCAAACACCAAGGCGAGGTAGACAGTCATTGCCGCGGCGGTGGGAATGGCTTCTGTCCAGTATCTGTGTGAAGAGAGCCGAGGTTGTCAGCGGAACGCAAGGCAAAGGCATAGGATAATTCCTCAAGGAGAAGGAACTCACGTCAAGATGACTCGGACGATTGCACCCTCGGCCGCAACGACAGTAACCCAAGCAAGCCACTCAGTAAAGCCGCAAGCAAAGCCCATGGCAGGATCGACGAATCTGTTAGCATGCTCGATGAAGCCACCAGAGGTAGGCCAGATACACGTCGCTTCGGACAGGAGATTCATCACCGCCAGCGCCATGCTGCAGATCAAGGAGTAGCCGATCAGCATGGCGGCCGCACCACCCTCGTGCAGGGCCTTGCCAGTGCTGATGAACAAGCCACTGCCGATACAGCCGCCGAGTGTGATCATTTGAATATGGCGGGCCTTGAATGTTCGGTGTAGCTCTCCACGATGAGAACTGGTCGGCTCCCCGGAGTAGTCAATGACCTGTCCCGCGGCGACGACATCATCACTCGATGTCTCCTTATCGAAGGCCGTTGACGACTTGTACATAGTCTTATCGTCCATTGCGAAGGGTTCTCAGCATCGATCTCGACCTGAAATAGAGAGGCAAAAAAAAGGCTGGAACCTTTTGCAGCAATACCGCGACCACGACCAGGAAGATAGACGCAGGATTTATATGCAGCAACTATGTCCCAAAGGCTGGCTGGGGTCAAGCACGTTTCTCGGCTCAGACGCACCTCTCTGTACCTCAAACGAATACTCGGTACTCATACATGATAGATAGATACGGGCTCGAAGATAGCTGGCGATATCACGCAACTCCGCCCCATGCTGCGTGGCGATCTCTTCTGCCATGGGACATGCGACAAGAGCAACGGCTCGACCGACGTGCCGCGATAAGGATAAAAATACGGTCGAGAACTCCACAGAAATACCGGCAGGATACAGTATATTCCAAAAGGGCATGCCTGTGACTGGTCCGCTGTGAGCTTCCTTGAGTGCAGTCCAATCAGTACGGCCCGAAAGATAACGAATGCCAGGGTGTTCAACGTACCCCACGAATGCAAGGCTGACTTCGTTAGTGTCAGTTTAGACGAAGAAGCCTAGATAAGAGCCTAGAACACGCCGCGTGGTTGCAGACATGCGTGCAATTGCATAGAGTTCTCTCGCACCTCGAGATTCTGGGAGACAGCTGCTATACCATAAAGTGTTACGCGGACGAATGAACTGGAACGTGGAAGCTGACGCCGGCTAGGTACGCCTTGTGGCTGCTCTGGTAAGGCTGTTCTCACTCAACAAGCCACTAAGAGATATCTTTGAGAAACCAGCACGTGCTGTCTAGGTCGTGCGTATTTGTACGACTGCTTGGACACTCGGCAAAGGATCTTGCTTGTCTCCCTGGCAAGTTATATTGAAAGTTAGCGTCAAAGCAATGCGGATCAACTCCTCAGGTAAGCATGAGCTCGACTTGTCTCTCCTCGGCAATCGTACGCCACTGGCTAGTGATTCGAGTCTTGGTAGGACTGTCCTTGTTCCAGACTTCGAGTGCTATGGCATTCCCGCCCCACAGAGAATGCAGTCCATACGACTTTGCTCTCTCAAACCAAGCCATGAAGCGTGCTTGTAAAGCTGGATCGAAGGCCTCGGATGCGGCGATAAAGGCTGGCCAGAACAGGGCACCCCCAAATCCAGGGGAGCCGGAGCCATTCCGGATGGTGTCGAATGCTTCCAGATGATATAAAACGCTCTCGACATAGGGTTTCAGATGGCGATGGTGCATCAGCCTAACATGCTGGGAAAAGTAAAGGACAAGTGCATCGTGGAAAGCCCGAGTTTGATGTTCCACCGTTTTCGTCGTATCATCTTCACGACTCATGATCGAACAGCGACTGAGTTCTTGTTCTGTCGGCCAATCGAGAATCTCTTCGTCAACCTCATCGCATAGCCTGGCCAAATTGGCAGAATATAGTAGTCCAGGATTCTTCCGCCGGTAATGTGAAACATGTTGAACGACTCGGACTGCTTTCCTCATCAGGACGAGGAGGCTTTGAGGCACGCCATAGACGTACTCGCAGGACGCCATGTCTTTGGGTTCACCCTCTCGCATGTCGAGCCACGAGTCATCCTCGACTTCCATCTCTCCAAGAGCTTCTTGATCACCCTCTAGGCTATCGTTGCTGTTAACTCGTTGCGAAGTTGATGTCTGAATAACGTCTTCTGTGTTAATAGTTGTGCTTGCATGAATGGTGCGGAGGTAGAAGAAGATGCGATGCAGGGCTCGAGCTTTGCCCGAATACTTCATCTTGCTCTTTCGGGCGCTGCGGATGAGTTGCTCGCAGCCTTTCAGATGAACGCCACATGTTCCTGTATCTCCTGAGGCAACCTTGAGAGCCCGTGTCAGCTCGGATACTTTTTGAGAAGTCATCAATACCACGTAATCTTACATCGATTGAAATCATAGACAGCATGGCTGCGAGAAGTTCTTTGTATTTTGGCCGCGACTTGGAATGGAGATCGCACTTTACCGAGTCCCTCAGCAGTGCGATGGCCTTGTAACGGAGCTGCATCGCCTTCCTCAGCCACTTATCAACCTCCAGGATTTGCCCTTCTAGCCTGAGATTGTTGGCGAGACTGTAGGCGCTTATCGATAGGAGGGCATGCAGTAGGCATTTTCGAGTGTTGGATGTTGCTCCCAGAGTTCCAAGCTCTCCACAGCTCTGCAAGGCCCGTGGCAGGTGCAAAGCTCTCCAGGGACTCTTGGGGTTGTCGATGACACAAAACACCCTCACCACCTTCTGCATGTAGTGTTGCATGAGGAAACAATCTTCCGTGGACAGAAAGACCGAGCGTGGTTTGGATCTCAGCAGTTCCGACGACGACAGACTCACGTCATCCTCCTCACCGAGTGTTGTTGTTTCTTTCGGCGGCGACCAATTGAAGTTTTGCTGGAACGAGGTGTTCGTCGAGTACGGGCTGCTGCTGTAGTAAGCTTGAAAACTCGACTCCAAGGTAGGGCTTTGGAAGGCTGTCCCAAAGTCACCCAGTGACCCAACTAGGCTGGGAGAGGTCTCTCGAGAGTGATGATCACGATCTAGTGACCGAGCATGAGGTAGTTGGGAGAAGTTCAGATCGGGCGGATGGTCACGGTCGAGAAGCGAGGAGGAGATAGTCTGAGGACGCTCAAGGTTCACGTCAAGATCAGTAGAGGTCGATGGCGGCTGCTTCTTTGCCAACAAACTCTGCAGCTTCCTTGTTTGCGAGCATGCCGCAAATACTGCAAAAGGGCCATGAGTAATCGTGGTTTCAGTCTCGTCTGTGAGAGGATGTTCCGTATCGATTTGACTCAAGATATCATCGATCTCGGCGGTCCCGAAGATGCATGTCGGTTGTGCTGCACACCATACATGAGTCCCTCATGGAGATTCTCAGGGAAAGATGAGTGCTCTCTTGCCTGTCAGTATTTGACGCCTTGAAGATCCCGTGGTCTTGACGAGAGCTGGGTGGACAGGATGCGAATCAGGCAAGCCCGTCTCCGGGGTCAGCCATTGTAACCTAGCACCGTAACCCTCGCACACAAGACCTTTGCTGGCACACTGTCGGCACGTCGGTCTCTCCTCGGAACACTTCAGCTTCCGCCCGCGACAGGTCCAGCAACCCGTAAACGTCTTCGTTCTCTTCCGAGGGTAATGTCCAGATGTGACCGGCGACGACGTCATAGGGTCAAGTGAGAGGGGACTTGGGTAGGATGCTAGTAGGAATGCACTGGCGATGCCTCCCTCCTGGGTGGAAAACAGCGAGGTTGAGGGTCGGATTTTCAGGAAGTTGGGGGCTCTCATTGCGAAATTGGTGGATGAACAGTGGGGACTTATCAACCACCGTCACTTGTTCAATCACTGGCCACACATTTGTAAGTCAAAGACCGTGTCTACAGCGGACTGACTACTCGCAGGCCGCACGACATACAAACTAGAAGGTGGGACAGCCCTGAAATAATTCGCGTCCAAGGTCAGAGATAACAAAGAGGTGAGTGAAGAGTGGGGCCCCTTGCCATCGTGGATGTTACCGCTGCCAACGACTACAAGTACTCCGTACAAGCACTGTATCTAATCTCTTACAGCGACGAATATACGCCTGGCTATTGGCCTCGCTGCGGCTTTCCTCCTTCGAAAACGACGCCGCTCCCAAGGCTTCCCCAGATTTACCTGCATCGTTATCAGGACTTGTCCGCAGTCCCTGCGCCCCTGAGACTGTCGTCGAAACATGTGCTATTTCCATTTCGCATTCAACTGGCTCGCGGTTAACGACAGTGTTTCCCTCTGGTTCTGATGAGCTTGACGCGTCTGTTGTGTATCGATTCTAATGATAAGCGACTCGAAATGTCAATGTCCAGCAATTACTGTGAGTTGTCAAACAGCTGTGTGCCATCAATCTCGAAGGGCGTGAAATTCATCCGGAGACTATCTGCCTATCACCAACAGCTCTGCGGACTTGTCCCTCCATGCACAGGAATTAGACGCCAGACACAATTGCTCCGAGATATCTGGGACACTAGTCAATTAACGTCGCTAAAGTCCAGACTCCAGTCCATCGGACCTGATATGGCTCCGCACTGATCGGGTAAAGGGCGTGTCGTGAGATGCTATCTTGAATCATCTCGTCTGTATATCAAATATCAAGAAGACATCAAGCAATTACAGGAACCACCTTGAACAATACAAACATTTTGGAATTTAAAAAGCGACACCAGCACCCATCTCACATCTCTCAAGTCCCGTGCAACAGAAGCCATCACAATGGCGAATAGGGGACGCACTCTAGACCCTGAGGTCTTTTGTATTAGGGACTTGAAGGAGAAGGCGTCCAAGAATTTGCCCAAGATGTACAGAGGTGTGTTTTGCTCTTGTTAAACATGGTAACAGCCGACTGAATACAATTAGAATACTTCAATGAAGGTGCCATGGACATGATAACGTAAGTCCAGTCGAAGCTGTATCATGTTTACAGACCGCTCCTGGGTCTTGTAGCATATGATGATGAAGCTGTTCTCACATACGACATGATCGATATAGTCTACGCGACAATGAGGCGGCCTTTGATCGTTATCGAATACGTCCTCGCATCTTGAAGAATGTTTCGCACATTGACACTTCCACAACCATCTGGGGAAGCAAGGTCCTGTTCCCGTTCGGCTTCTCCCCGGCTGCAATGCACAGATTGGCTCACCCTGAAGGCGAAGTGGGAACTTCCAGGGCCTGCGCGGCGTTGAACGTGGCCATGGGCCTTTCCGCATACTCAACCGACTCTCTCGAGGACGTCATCGAGCAAGGGTCAGGGAAGACGAACCCATACGCTATGCAAGTCAGTCTACTCAAAGACAAGAAACTGACTCTCCAACTTCTAAACAGAGCTGAAAGTGAGTAAAAACAACCTCCTGTGTCCGATCATCTGACTCTCTGTCCAAGTTAACGCCACACAATAGAGGCCGGCTACAAGGCCATCCTACTTACCGTCGACGCACCAATGCTTGGTCGTCGTCTCAACGAGTTTCGCAACGGTTTCGGTATGCCCAAGGATATGAGATATCCGAATATTGCTCCAGACATGGACGCTAGCAACCTCGAAGGAGGTGACAACGAACTCGCATATGGTACATTCCCCTCTCCCACTTTAAGACTCTTCCACAATTCAACATGCCCAACACTCTCGGAAAAATTCTCTAATTTCCATCATGCTTACTTCTCCCGTACTCGGAACAGAAAATGGAGTCAATTGGGACGAAGCGATTTCGTACGTCAAGGGTCACACCAATCTTCAGATTTGGGTCAAAGGACGTAAGTTTTTCATTACATTTCTTTTCTTCGTCAGGGCCCTCGGACCTCGATATCATCGATACCTGCCCCGTCCGACTGACTTGCATGTCCTCGATCGCCTACAGTGTACACGGCCGAAGATGTCGCCACGGCAATCTCGTACGGCTTGGACGGCGTGGTCATTTCCAACCACGGTGGTCGCCAACTCGACAGCGTCCCGGCCACTCTGGACGCCCTTCGCGAATGTGCGCCGGTGGCCAAGGGCAAGATCCCCATCGCCATCGACGGGGGTATCCGAAGGGGGACCGACATCTTCAAGGCGATTGCCCTAGGGGCGGATTTCTGTTTTGCTGGGAGGATACCCATTTGGGGCCTGGCTGTGAGTATATACCTAGTGCTATTTCTCAACCCTCGGATGGTCACCCACTCACTCCATTGGGATCACCCACCATGCCGATGCTAATCCTTCGCGATCAATTCAAAAACAGTACAACGGTTCAAAGGGTGTGGAACTAGCCATCAACCTCCTTTACGACGAGTTCAAATTGGCCATGGGACTTGCAGGGTAAGTCATATACAATCTAGTCAAACCTCGAAGCTGCCCGACGATCAAACTGACAAGTGACAACCTCCCCCTTTTTTCTCTGTACAGATGCAAGAGTGTATCGGAAATCAACCGTGGCCACTTGTCAATCCTAGAAACCAACGGAATCCTGTCCAAGTTATAATAGTACGACCGAGTCGACAATCGTAAACCAAGCACATGGAACCATTACGAATGAGAAATGTGGTGTTGCTGGCGAATCCACTGGAAAGAACTCTACTAAAGAAGTTGTTTGAACATGGGTCCGACATCGCGTCTTTTACTTTGGATAGAATACAACTGCCTGTCTAAATAGCCAATGTCTAGCCATAGACACTATCATCGCTCCATTTAGGCACGACCAAACCTTTGGCCTCCATCGTCTTCCATTGCAAACCTTTTAGGATACCATAGATGATCTTCAACACCGGAGTCGAGACACCAAGTTTCTCGGCCTCACGCATGGGTTCTCCAACGATGTTTTCAAACTCGATATAATTGCCCTAGAATAAAACAACCCATTAGTATTACGTCGGCAAAAGAACCTTTGACATTTGACTTGTTGGTGATTCATACCTTTTCGATATCTTGACACATGCTAGGCTTGAAATACGTCTCTTTGGGATCGACTCTGATCATGACCTCGGCAATATCGTCCGGCAACTCAATCCCAGCGGCTTTGGCAGTGCTCTTGATTTCCAGCATGGCAGGTCGGATCAGGTTGTCGATGACGTGTTCGGAAATTCTCATTCTCGTCGTGTCCATTCGCAAGATGGTCGCCACCGAGTTGAACGAGGAGTTGTAAATCAACTTCCTCCATCTCGTAAAGGGCACGTTGTCGTCGTAGATGGCCTCGACCTTGCCACAAGCATTGTAGATCTCGACAAATTTCTGGGCGGCGGCGGTCGAGTCTTGTTCGGTCACGTTGGGCGACTTGTACGGTCCGATTTTGACAATGTCCTTGTCGTCATGTCGGATCTTCCCCCATGCCGTCTCCGTCGCCCCGATCAACGACACACCCGAGAGCACGGTGTTGCCGGGATACTTGGCAATGACTGGCTTCTCGATGTTCAGGCCGTTTTGGACTAGGACGATCACGCTGTGGCCTGGGGTCACGGCGGGCTCAATCACCTCGTCGACGGTCGGGCTGACATCGGCGACGTTCTTCGTGGTGACCACGATGAAGTCGAAAGGTTTCAGTCCCTCCTCAGCCACACTTGGCACTCTGTTGACCACTGGATGCGGAAAAGAATGTCAGCATCGCGGTCGAGACTTGGTTGTGTTGAGTGCTATGCACTGCAGAAGGAACCCACACGTCGTTGGCTTCCAGCCTACGATGCCGTCACCGTGCTCAATCGAGTCGATGGAGAATCCTTGCTTGCTCACAGCCTCGTAGTTTGACCTCAGTACAGCAGTGACCTCTGCCTTGCCTCCAGTCTCCAGGGCATAGGCGCCCATGGTGCCCACGCCACCGCTGCCGACCAGCAAGACATTGGCCTTGGAGGGTTGAGAAATCATTCTGTGTGGAGTTGGACGTATTGATTCAGGTCTGTGTTCCGCAAATTTGAGGATTTTAATTTACCAACAACAAATTCGATGTTGGGTTGAAGCCTGCTCCGTACTCGCACCAATTGATACTCGTCCTGCTGACTATTCAGAGTAAAATTCCTCTGGATGGATCCCCTACAGGCCAAGACACCCCATCAGCGATAAGGCTGCTGCGTGTAAGCGACCCTGCGCCCTACGCCGAAGTATGCAGTGAAGTTAAAGGCGTGGATGTGCTCAAGATGTTTTGAACAAAGAGGTAACCCACGCCGACACTTGCCGACAATCGGAGCGCACGTTATCAGCGAGAGCGGAGAAGAGCGAAGTCGTTTTGTTGTTGACCAGCAGCCTGGGCGACACTCAGACTTGCCACGAAGCCTCGTTCCTCGTTTCTGAATCTTTTTCTCATTGGTTTTGAGAGGAAAGTAAATCGAATTGAAGAATGCTTGTCAGACCTCTTGTTCCCAAGAAGACGGTAGAAAAGTGTTCTGGCTTATGTCAGGACTGAATGAGGACCATATCTTATCGATCGGTGGTATGCCCGAACAAGCACCTTTACTGGTCGTGTCAACACCCTGATCACTATGTTCAAGATGTTTAACTCCTCGATATGGAACTGCGACCATTGACGATACCGATTGCTTCAATGTTGCGTTATCATCATCACAGCTTCGGCCGTGCTTTTCCAAGGGCCTGTAGAACAAGTCGCTTGACTTTGGCTGCTGCACCAAAGGAATACACGTAACCCGCTCCCTTGAAGCCGTAGGCATGAACTGTATCACCATCAAGCTCAACTCTGATGCCCCCTTTACGGCCAGGTCTAACACCGACAATGTCCTTGACGTCCGTATCGATATTAACGTATTCGAATGCTCCCCCAGTCATTCTGTTGACTCTCCGCAAGATGTCTTTGCGTAAATTTGTGTCAACAGTACCATCAAAGTTGTTCTCTTGACTGATGCCTCCTAGTATGACTCCTCCAGAGAACATGCGTGGAATGACATAGGTATACTCGTGGCCATTGATTAATCTGACCTCGTTATAATCGCTCTTGACAAACATCGTCTGACCCCGATATCCGACAACAGCGGAGTCTGTAGCAAGGGTTTTCGCCCCAAGTCCAGAGGCATTGACAACGATTGACGCGCCGGTCATTGCTTTGGCTTCGAGGAGTGATTTTACTTCGGATCGTATGAAGTTGACCCCTAACCCTTCCAGCGTCTTTTTGAGCCAGGGTAGGAAGACCTCCGGGTTAGCTAGGCAAGTCTCAAAAGAATATCCAACTTTGTAACCAGGTGGCAGTGAGCCCTTTGGAAGTAGCTTGTATTTCGGAACGAACTCCTTGTACCATATCGCATCGTCGGTCTCCCTGTCGGTGAAATACTCAGTGGCTTTTACAGTCTGATATGTGCCTTGGTCAGCAATACAGTAAGTGAAAGTGAGCACTGACAACTAACTCGAACACTGCTACTGGGATCTGATTTGGCGAGACTTCGATACCACCTGATAGACTCCATTGCCATTTCCTGATTGCCCATTTCTGGGGGAGGGATCAGAGTTGCACCTGCGTGGGGACTTGCCCATCCTAGACCACCATCTCCTGGAAGATCTTTGGCCACGATAGAGACATTCAGACCATCTTCAGCCAGCAGCAGAGCAGACGCAAGTCCAATGATTCCAGCTCCGACCACTACAACATTGTCATGCCTTTCTCCAGCCATCTATCACATCCGGGTATCCAGTCGAAGGGTTGCTAAAGTCTTGTCAGAGACCGGAAGAATTGGCACTCTTACACTCTATCATCAAAGGAGGAAGAACTTCCAGAAGGTCGAAACGTATGAAGGAGGGTTGTTCCGAGGGTGGGCGGATATCAACGAGTCTTATCGCTGTAGTCCAAGTTTATAACATCTAAAAATGCCCAGCGGGTCTTTTCGAATTGTCAATATAGGCGTCAACTGCCATCTAGTTAGGATGCCTAGGCAAATATACTTACTGTATTACGGTAGAGCGAGTTGAGAGACACAACTGACTTCGGTTGCCGGAAAATCAATTCTCCGTTCAAGTATTGGAAACCTTTTGGCATCGACCTCAGTTGTTAGATTCTCCCGACTTTCCACAATCTCGACAATTTGTTCCAAGGGCTATTGTCCATATTTCCATTAATCAACATGGCAACTCAACAGGAGTCCACTCATATTCTCAATATTCTGATGTCGGCCCAGAACTAAGATGTTTTCCGACGTCCGTGGAATCTTCTCTTCGATTTCGGCTGACAGCAGGATCACGACTGAAGTCTTCAATTTCTCACAATGCCTCGCCGATTTTCAACGTGACTGCCATAAATGATGCTTTGCAAAATACATTGTCGTTGAAGCCTCCTATGATGAAGCTCCCACAACAGCGCAGGTATGAAGTCAAGGTTGTACCTCACTTCGCGTTGTATCTGCACCCTCTTCCACCCACTGGAAGGAGCATATATCCTTTCTGTTGGCAATTAGAAATTGTAGGGGGACCTCTTACCTTTACTTCGCATCTGAAACGGTTCGCTGTTGCCTCCTCATTCGATATGTCTACCAAAGCCTGTGGTTTCTGTGCATCTCGTGGAAAGGACGGGCCACGAAAGACGCTTTCTGTTGCTCACCGATCATCGTTCCCTGCTTGTTCGGATCACGCAACCATATTCAGCTACCAGTTTGGCAGTTTTGGACTTCTTTGGACTTCTTTGGACTCACACATCTCTAGGCGTTTGAACCCCTCGCCTGTTTGTATCATTCCTGGATTGTCGTTGAGTCCTGATCCTTGGCTCTGCCAATGACGCATCCATCGCCCACTCCCTCAGTCCTTATCAAACCGTTCCCAAAGGACAACGTCCCGGCAGTTTACATCCGACGGAGACACTGGATATCGACATTGGCCCACCAACATGTCTTGGAAGCTTGCTGAGTTACGATGGCGTCATGATGTAGGCTTGCAAGAGTCTGCTTGGGAGTGCCACAATGAGAATCCCCAAAGCGTCAAGTCGCAGGGAGCTCAACGCACGTCGAAGAAGCCTGGACGTCAGCGTTCACACACCGCTCCATCGGATTTGGTGGACGGCGAAGGTTTTCAGAAAGCATGTGATGGACGGGTGTGGCCATCGTTGTCGCCTGAGTCACCTCTCAAGATAAAATCATATCCAGATTCAACAGCTTTCTTGCGAGATCCCACGATCACATCCACGACTCCGCTCTTGACTCCATCTCAGCGGTTTCCGTCTAGCGATCTCCCGGTAGAAAAAATGATCGACGAGAGTCATGTTCATCAGTCTGCTTCCCACCCAGATATCCCTGTCCGTTTGACTTGCCAGGCAATACTTCAAGACCACTCTCCTCCGACTGATATCGTCCGTGGTGGTACTAGCTTACCGACTAGTCCACCTGTGACAACCAAGTCGACTTCAGGCACAGGTTTGGATAGAGAAGGATCATCATCTCACACCGGTGATGTTTACCTAGAAACGCGGACAGACGACAATTCACTCAATTTGTCACACCGACGCGTTTCGGTCGCCACATCGGCCATTGTTAACAAGAAAGAAACTTCAAAGCCACAAACCAACATTCAAAGTTTGGAAGTGAGTACAGTGGCTTCCCATGTAGAACAGAGCTTACATGTTGTAGTCATACGTACCCGACAACGACTCTCTTGATCATCTCAGCATCCCTGCATCAACAAGTTTCGGTATCCACTTCGAAAGGTTTCCATCCGAAGACGAGAAAAGTCCTCTTGAGACATTAAGCATTCATTCCAGTGAATACACCTTTTTTCCTACATGCTTCCGCCGGCCCTCTATTGCGTCGAAACACCACTCTGACTCTTGCTTACTGGACAAACATAAAAGAGAAGACTCGGAAAATTCGTTGAGCTTGCATTCTCAAAATATGCGCACCTTGTATCCAGACTTACGTTCAGCACATGCTCAGATTCAAGGACACAGGGTAGTAAGCCAGCCTAGGTCGAGTGGATTCGAGCCTCGCTTCCCGTTGAGCCGATCAAGCTCCTCCTCAGAAGACGACGATTATTTCGCAAAGGTCTTGCCCATTTCTGATGCTCATATACCTCTGCGTCATCTAGCATGCCATCGCGTCCCATCTGCGTTTGGGGTTCTGCAAGTGGCTGAGCACCACCTTGAATCCAGCGCCATACTTGAAAGTGTAGAAGACAATACTGTCAGTAAGTTGCATGATCGCATCTCTTATAATGCCGATGAGATTGTCTCCCATTACGTCGAGCCATTCATTCGCCATGGCTCTAGTAAGAGCGAATTTTACCCGGCTACACCACGATTCCCTGCCTGGAATCCCAACACGAGAACAGCTCAATGCGAAAGAGGAAGCATAGGGACAGGCGCAGTTATTGGGACAAGTGCGGAGGATTTGATGCATGGCTCTATCTCTATGTCTGAGTCTCGTGATGGGCAGACGCAAGGATTTAGCGCGAGCTTAGGTCGAGGACTGGAGGCACCAGAAGTGGATGATTATGAATGGGAGGCCTTTCCTGAAAGTAGTAGGAGTGGATTTTCGAACCCTTCTGCATTACGATTCCGTTTGACAAAAAAGGAGACCGGAGATGTGAGTCGTGAAAGTGCAATCAGCAGACAGAGCCCTGCAACACCGTGGGATCCTTTACCAGCCACACATCGACGAAATGGTCATCATGGTCTCTACCGAAAAACACATTTACGTACCGACCAGCCTCATACATTTTCGAAACGGCCAGGACCTACGAGCCGGGAAACTTTTGATGATCACAATGATATGCAAAGGATTAGGAGAAGGAGCTTTCCTACGTTTGCAGGGAAAGCAATCAGGAGACACCACTCACTCAAGCTCGTGGATTTGGCGCACGATTCCAACGGATGTCTACAACATCCACAAATACCTGCGTACGCCTCAGCAGAAGATGCCAATTTTCTGCTCGCTCCGCCGAATAGTCCATCCTCACAATCGGCTCTTATGTCCTCGAATGTCATTGACAGGGCCCTTCCATCCAGCTCTTTGTTACCGAAATGCTCAAGACAGGACTCATGGCGCAGTGTGCCATTCTCTGACAGCATCAACATATCTTCTAATAGTGCACCGGTGCCATACGCACATGCAAATGTCTCAAACAAAGTGTCTGACACTGACAAGTCAAACCACAGCTCACTCAGTGGCAGTTCCTCCGGAATCATCATCTCAGAACGAGATCGACCAACAATCAGCGGACTGATCGACATGATCAAGGATGCTATGGATGCTAACGAGGGGGGAGAAGGCTTCGGCGATCGCCCATCTGGTAATGATAAGACAGAAGCGCGAGATCAGCAAGTTTATTCGGGTCCCGATTGCAATCTTCTCCTATATGGAGATCCTTCTCAAAGACTTGAGTGCAAAAACGAATTGCATGATTTCCATTTCACAGGAGACAGCCAGCAGCCTCGCCGCGGCCCCTTTCCAAAAGGCAATACCACGACTACTATTCTCAAGCGCACAGGTATCGGAAGAGCTGGCAGCAGCCTCGCGGATTGTTCATCTAGTGCTCTTCAACTCTGTAAGACCGAAGATAGCGGTCGTCATGCCTGCATTGATTCCCAAACCAATGCTGAAGTGGCGTTACTATCCAAGGGTTTGCCTGACGCTGTTAACAATATCTACGCTTCATCTGCACTTCCTGAATGTACATTTTCGTCTCGATTCAACGAAGTTACCCCTTCTAGCTCGGAGTCATCTGCCGGACTCAAGGCTCATGGCGCACTTCGAGATGTCTTGATCGATGTGGAGAATTGTCCTATCTTTCCCCTGAAGCCGGCTCAATTGTTGATTACTAGGCTGAATGGTGTCAACAGGATACCATTCGAACGAGTACAACTTTTGAAGAGTGGCGAGTGGCTCGAGAAGGCTTGGTGCTTTGTCCACAACCGGGCGGAATTTAGTCATACCATGCTTGCTAAGAAGATTACAACCGTCATGGCATCTGACGCCATTGAAACACAACTTGAGGCTGGTCGGTTTCTCTTGCTAGTTTGTGTGGCTACTTATATGATGGGTGGTTTTGTTTTGGCTCACGACATGGGTCGGGAGGGGATCCTATCTACGTCGGCCATGACTGCAATAACCAACGGCGCTGCTCCGCGTCTACACCCGAGTCACGTCCGAAAAGCCCAAGCTATCGAGAAGGGTGGTCTTCTTGTCGTTTTCTCTGTTTTGGTTGGATGTGTCGGTGTTTTGGTCTGGACACTGACATGATTGATACGGGTATCGCTACTTCAAGAGGTTGACGGTATTGGCAGACATTTGGCGTTTCTTTTTTCAAAGCATACGACAACTATTTTTTCATTGGCGCTTGCGGCGATTGTTCAATGTGTTCGAGAAGAAAGTGCTCGAGGGTCACTTTGCTCATGATGAATAGACCATAAATGACGGAATGACTAGTGTACAATATACATTCCAAAGTAGAGGTTCTTTTTCAACATCACTACTTCGCATACGTGCCACCGAAGTCGCGGAAAAGTACTGTATGAAGACCACAGGTTCTTAATCGCCATCCACGACGTAGCCCAGAGCCTGGCCGACTTTTACTTTCTGGTCTCGCTCGATGGCCCATCTGAAGCCGCCCTTGAGCTCGGCTCCCGTGGTTCCCCCTTGATCGAGGCTCGACTTGCGCTCGCGGGCGGGGGCCTCAAAGACGAGCACGATGCTGGACCCGAGCTTGAAGCCACCCATCTCCTCTCCGCGGCGCAGCGCGTGACCACCCAAGATCTTGCTCGCCCTGTCGTACGTGGCCTCGCTGAAGCCGCTGTAGGGTTCCCCTCGGGCAGCGGCGGCCGCAGCCTGCCTGTCGGCCTCGGTGTCGGTGGTGAGGCTATTGGTGCGCAGCTCCCTGTCGAAATTGACGACGATGGAGCCCACATTGGTCGCGCCCACGGGCGTGTAGCTGAAGAAGCCGTGCTTCCAGCGGCCGAGGAGGACGACGCGCTCGTTGAGCGTGAAGAGCCCGGGAAGCATGCGCTGGACATAGGGGCTGACCGAGTAGAGTTCGCCCGCGAAGTGTCGTCGGGCCGAGCAGACCCACGACACGGGGCTGTGGAAGCGGTGGTAGTCGCCGGGCGCAAGGTAGACGACAATGTAGTACAGCTTCTTGTTCGTCGAGGGGGACGAGAACGGCGACCACCACGGCGACGTCGTGGCAAGGTCGGCGGACACGGCAGCCTCGGAGGATGGGAGGGATTTTGTAGATGCATCTTGTGTATGAGGCCCATCGGGCGAGGCCTGAGCGCCGGAGAGAAGCGAGGGGAGGGTGTAGGAGATGCCATTGACGTTGGCGAATTCTTCGTCCGCGTGGATGGATTTGGCTTCAAGGGCTGGGTCGTCTTGAGAGGTCGATTGGTCCTTGGGGGTCGCAAAGATGGCCGAGGGATGCTGAGGATTGGGGGTCGTGGGTGCGATCTTGCCGAGCAGCGCATCGACACTGTACGTCATGCCTTTGACCTGTTCCACCTCGCCGTTCTCGATGGTCCCGAACTGCAGTACCTTTGCGTCCGCCGGCGAGAGGACAGCGTTGGGGTTTGGGTCCAAGGGCCGCACTCCTGGCTTGAGTTCACGGTAGAAAAAGGAGGCCAGGTTGGGGTAGACGTGCAGATCTGGCTCGGCCACCTCGTCGAAGTTGACGCCAAATATCCAGCCGTAGAGTTTGAACCCCGGCACGCGCAGGTAGTAAGGGATTGTGAGCTCGTTGAAGCGGCCCCAGACACGGGATATGGCCTTCAATGGCAGTGTGGACATGATCGAGACCTGCCAGCCACCACCGGTCGGATAGATTCTTTCTCGTTTGGGGGGACGCTTGCCATCCGTCTCGCCAGAGCCCTCGGATGCGCCGCCTTCACGATTGCGGATGCGTATGAACTGGAAAAGACCGAGGAAACCAATGCCCAGACCTATGGGAATGGGCTTCCACTCGGTCTTGGTGGAGCGCCATGCTTTGCCCAGCCGCGAGGAAAAAGACTCCTCCTTCTGGCTGTTCTGTCTGTCTTGTTTGCATCGACGGGATGTGTGGGCGAAGCTGCGCCGTTGTTGAATGCGGAATTGTAGATGACATCGTGGCGGAGGACAGGAAGGCAGAGGCTCAAAGAGGGGCCGCACGAGAGTCGAGGATATGATGGAGGAGGGTGACCGGCGGTAGAGGCATGCTCTGCCTGCATTGCTGGCGGTAGCAGTGGCCATGGTATTCAACAGGTCAGGAGGCCATTGATAGAGTAAGGGGGTCCGAATAAGAGAAAATGGTGAGGAGAATGTTGTGGTCGAAGAACTCGTTCTTTGCAGTGACGAAAGATGGTGAACTGAGCACCGGGTGTTTTTTGAAAGCTGCACAATGACGATGGTTTTGAACTTGAGGCGAGTTTTACTAGGCACTCGCTATTTGGCGGTGATTGGTGGGTTCATCCATGGCTCTAGGCACCTCTTTAGCACCATTAGCACCTTAAACGGAGCCCCCGATGCGCCCAAGGAGCCTATTACAGCAAACCTAAGGTATTGAGCGTTTGTGCGGAGAAGGCATTACCGTAGCCTCATCACATACGAAAACGAAACACGAGGCGCATCCGAACCTAGATCTAAATAATTTAACCACGCTGGCGACAACGTTGTTCAATTCTTTTCCAAGTCTAGGATGAACCTTTCCATAAGCAGGTCACATCATCCTCATCATGGATGATCCTGCTGGCGACTCTTCTCCTTCGAGCGAGCCCTCATCTCCTTCTTCATATGAGCCACCTCCTCCATCGTCGAGCCAACAACCAATTCTTCTTCCATCAACCATCCAGCCTCGCCTTCCGACCGTGGAAGAGGAAGAAGACTCTCCCGTGACCGAGCGACATCCTCCTCTGAGTGCACAGCCTCTTCCGCCCTTGAGCGAACGTTCTCCTCCTCCATCAAATGAACAACCTTCTCCTCCCACCTCGGACGAGCCCACAAATTCGCCCATGGTACCCCCAAATCATCTCAACCTCCGAGTAGTGTACTTGGTCACTGGCAATCCACGACCACCGCATAATATCGGGATCTTGCATGTGGACACGACCGTGTCGGCATTGAGGGAACGAATACAAGAATCACTCCCAGAACACCCCTCTCCGCAGCATCAACGCCTCATCTACCATGGGAGGCCGCTCCTGCGCAGCGATGCCACCTTGCGCGAGGTCTTCCGCATCCAGGTCAGTACGGTACCATCTATGAGTGCTCTCAATACTAATGGCGAATTTATAGGCTGGAAGTACTCCTGGCCCTCTCCCGTTCACGCTACATATTGTCATCCAGTCTCAGCAAGATGCGACCACCACTGCCACTGCCCCCAACGCAACCGGACCCTTGAATCAGCCTCCAGGCCCGCCAACAAATCCCTCTGTACCTGGCCTCAATCACGAGCTCCAGGCACATTTCGCTCGCGTTCAGCAGCAAGTAGAGTCCGATCTGCATACTGTACAGCACGGGCTTGCCATGCTGCGCAATAATTTTGCGACTCATGTCGATGGACCAGTCCAGGTAGTGAGACTGAATCAGGGAGGCAATCCACAAAACCAGCCAGGTCCGTTCGTCGGCCTCACTCCACAACAGGTTGCTCAATTACAACCACCTGCCTTCCGAGGACATCAAGCCGGACCCAACCCAAGGACTGTCACCACAAATACTACTACGAATATACGCGACACTGTTGAAGTTCACAGAGCCGTCCGTCCAAATCGTCACCAAACCACAGTGATGAGCCACCCAAGCAACCGCACAACAACACCATCATCTCAAGATCCACCAGCAGTACCACCGCAATCCCACACAGCACACCAACCACCGCCGCTCAATCCTACCCATGCGAACACACCGGCACTCACGGCAGGTCCATTACCCCTCCACAACCTCCATCCTCCCTATCCACCACTCTTCGATCAGCATCAGCGACTAACCTCTACAACTCGAAATTTGCCTCCCCGTGGAACTGCCTGGCTGCTGTGGACGGCCACAGGCCCTCGAGGGTTCTTGTTTTCACCTGGCTTCGGTTATTTTACTTCTATGCGGCCCGTTTCTCAAACCCCAGTCATTAATGCTCAGACAACACAGCCTGAAAGGACTGTTGAACCCGGAGTTCCTACGCAGCAACAGCCTCTTGGCCAGGCGGACGGTGCCGGTGCCAATGTTGACAGAGCTATCGTCAGACCGGGGCAGAGGCTGGCTCAACCCCAGGTAGCGCAAGGTTTACAGAATGCCGAGGATAACGACATCTTTGCATTTCTGATACAACGTGGTTGGTTATTCCTGCGACTGTATCTTTTTATGTTTGTGTTTTCCGAACCAGGAACCTGGAAAAGATGGGCCATGATCATCATTGCCGTTGTTGTCTGTCTCCAGCCCCAGAATGGGCCATTTGTTCGTGGAATGCAAGCTGCACGGCGACACCTAGATAATTTGATCGGCCCCCAGGCTCCACAGCCTCAACTTGATGGGGCAGCACAGGGCCAAGGAGCGAATGCTACGATTCAAGGTGCTCCACGACCAGCAAATATTCGTGGAGCAGTGCAGATGACACCTGAAGAAGCTGCCGCTAGACTGCTGCGTGAGAGGCGAGGGCGCAATCGTGGAATTTGGCGAGAAAGCCTTTATCGAATCGAGCAGGGTGTGGCGCTCTTCCTGGCAAGTCTGATACCTGGCGTCGGAGAGCGACATGTTATGGCGAGAGAGGAAGCGAGACGACAGGCACAGCGCGAAGAAGAGGAGCGAAGACGGGCAGAGGAAGAGGCGGCAGCAGGACGTCAGACCAGTACTGAAAATGAGCAGAGTGGTGTTGCTGTGGCGGAGACAAACCTGGGCACACATGCAGAAGTAAAAGTGGACAGGCCTGAGGAATCTAGCCCGTCAAGTTCCTCCGTTCAGATTCGTGATGCAGGGGTGGAAGACGGCCAACTCAGGAATCGGACGACTTGATCATCCTGGCAATTTTTATGGTCTTTCGACTTTTACGCTTTCGCCAACTATCTATGAGAAAGGAAATGGAGTATGGGTCCTGCGATGAATATGGCTTGCATGAGCAAGAGCTTCTCGTTTCTCAATAAGTTTCGGTCTTAGCAGTTTCAAAAAGGTGACTTGGCATGCATGAAATGACATCTTCTAGATCTATCTAAATCTGTATCCCTCGGACTCACTTGCACATACAGTGCTTATCGCGTCAGTAATGACATTCGAGTCCTCACGAGGGGCCAAGGCTGCAATCCGTCTGGGATTTGTTCTCAATGTCGGTTTGAAGTGTACTTGAAGCGTTCTTCGCTCAAGGGACATGAAACGTTCCCTCGACCTTGGCTGCTGCATACCAACCAATTTTTGTTGGAATGCGTAGGAATATATATAACGACGGTTTCGATGGGGATATAATAAATACATCATTTCCTTCGGTAGAGGGAGGTCATCACGTCGTCATCGTCGTCATCGTCGTCGTCGTCGTCGTGTACATTATGTGGGCGTAATACAGTAGAGGATGTCCAAGACGGCGTCAATCTTCCATCATCGCGAAGATGTGTGTGTACACGTATGACAACTCATGACGCGGTCTTGTGTGGACTGCGGTGTTGAGAGTGTCGGGGTAAGGTATTGGGTGGATGGCGCCCTGAGCATGGGCTTCACGACAACTGGCCCGACAACGTACTCGCACCGCCGACCCTGGTGACTCGACTCGTCAGTGGTCTCCGGGCCGAAGGTTGACTCTTCGTCTTGCCCTTGTTCGGTTGTTGTAGGGGATGATCCCGTTCCCACTCCTCGTCGGCCCGGAAGGCCTGCACCGCCGTGTCGAGATCACCCCCGGAGCCCTTGAGGTAGAGCGTGGCGACGCCGTAGTCGGCGCACTTTGTCGCCACCATCCACCTGCGGAGTCTGGTCTTGCGTCCCTCCTCTTCCGGGTCCGGCGGGGTCGAGAGCGGAGGGCCGTCGTAGTGACTCCTCGGGATCAGGACGTGTTTGCGGGCCGCCAGTAGCGAGTCGGAGAACAGATTGTTGTGTCGTCTCAGCACGGCGACAGGGACGTTGTACGCCAAAGACAGAGAAGCGAGGGTGTCATTGTCGAGATCGACGTGGTGGATCGTGTCTCTGGTGTCCGAGGGAGGAAGCGTGCTCGTGTCGGAGCCGTGAAGGTCTTCCGGTCGTCGGCTCGAAGAGTCTCGGGAGAGGATGGCTTCGTCGTAGGATGGTGGTGGCGGCGAGTCTTTCTCGACAGAGGCGGATGTTGTCGTCTTCTTCGAGTAGGACGGAGGAAGACGTAACCCTTCCTTCGGTAGGACCGAAGGACCGGAAGAGATCTGACAAAACGGACAATAGTTTTGGAACCGTGGGTTCTTGTACTGACACAGAGCGCAGATTTCACGAGAGCAACACGACAGGCGCCGGTTGTACACGATCGGTTTCTCCGAATCCGGGTCGTAGGGAACTTTGGCGTCAGCGAGGAGCGTTGCGCAGGTACAGCACGCTTCGGCGGACATTATGTCAGAACGATGACTGAGAGTGGTGTGTGTAAGTGAGGTCTAAAAAGGACAAAGGAGGCGTGAGATGCAGGTAGACACACTCTATGATGCGGACTTGTAATCTGGAGTAGACAAGGCTGAGGAAACGAGGCTGTAAGCATGTGATGATGTCATTGACAATACAAAGCACAAGCAAAGGGGGTCTCCTTTTGTACCGGCCATACCTTGTCAATAGTTTCCACATTTAAACAACGTACAAAAATCTATGGCCAAGTAACCAATGTCAGTGGTAACCATTGCACATGCTTCCGTCTGCCAATCCCGCAACTGATACGCTGTATCGAACTCTTCCACAGTCCCCCTTGCTAAGGCGTTTCGTCTCCATACCTCTGGCGGATTCCACATATCTCTGATCTCCATGAGGCAATATAACAACGACGTCCTTCCATGGCGGAACAAAGATATTGCCGGAGTGTGCGTACACATCAACAATGACCTTCTCCTCGGTCGAACTGTACGTTACCGTAAAGGCCGAGATCTCCGGGGTCAACGACAGACCATCGTCTTCATACCACGTCGTCGAGAAAGTTTTCCCATGTGAACTGCTCTTGGGCGGGAAGATCTCAACGCCTCGATAGTCGTCCTCAGGCAGTGTCTGTGACTCTAGACTCTTGTCGCCAGGCATGCGGGTCTGTATACTCTTTCCAACAGGGATCGCACCGCCAACCTTTGCAAACAGAGGTATACTCTCCCTCCATGGAGAGGGTACACTCGCCCACTGGCCCGAAGCAAGATACTCGTAAGGTGCATTCAGATTGACATAACCGTGGTCGAAACCGTCCTCGATCGTTCTACGGGGTAGGCATATTTTCACCTTGTCGACACCAGGTTCATATACACCCCCAACGAGTAAGGTGTCACCGAACCAATACTGCTCTTCGCCAGCTTTTAGCTTCTTAGTCCAGACTTCCGGATCTGCCTCGTATCCCCAGCCGATCCATCTCTGCGGAGGACTGGCACTCAAATGGCTCTCCAACCCGAGCGAGTAGATATACGGCATGATCTCGTATCTTCTCTTGATCGCCTTGCGGATCTGAGGTGTGATCTCGGGATACATCCAAGGTTCGATGACCTCACCTGCCTGATTGTCTTGGGGCGACGTTTTGAAGCAATTGATTGCAAAGCGAATCTGGTAACACCCAATCTGGACCCAGCGAAGTAGAAGCTCAGGTGAAGGTTGCGGACCTTCAAATCCACCAATGTCGTGGCCGTAGCAGTGCATAAGGCTCACCCCGGCGTTGAGAGATATTGCATTTGCGGCGCGCATGCTTTCCCAGCTTGTCATGTTGTCCCCACTCCATGAGCTTGCAGCGTACCTCAGAGTTCCTATGCTTGCACTGCGAGTTAGAACGAAAGGACGGATGGCAGGCTCGGCACGTAACAGTCCCTCGTAGGATGCTTTGGCCATGAGTTCAGTGTGCAAAGCCCGGCCGTACAGACCGACCTTGTTTTCCACCTCAGCGTTGGATGTCGGAAGGATGTTCTTCTCGAGGGCCAGTTGCCAATCATCATGGGGCAGGGTGTATTCATTGTTATCGTTCCACATGGCGTCTATGCCTTGCTCTTTCAGCTTCTGTACACCACAGACCCACCATTCGTATGCCGCTGAGGATGTAAAGTCGACATGGCTACCGAGTCCGCTTTCACCACCTCCTGCACTCCATAGACGCATTTCGGCTGTAGATCCCGTTCTGTGATCTGTGAACAGGCCTTTGCCCTCGGCCAGCAAAGGATAGTCAGGATGGCTTGTCAAGACGAACGGCTTGATGTTGGTCAATAATCGGATCCCTAGACTATGGTACTTTTTGATCCAGGCCTCCGGCTCTGGGAAACGGTGTCGATTCCACGTGAATACATTGCGCACTTTAGGTTCGTATTCAGAGATGGAGTACCCGCTGCTCATTTGATGAGCGGAACAAGGGATATCATGTTCTTCGAGTTTCTGTGCAAAGTCCAACAGTTGTTCGTGTGCCGGAGGCTCATCGCCCATGGTGTATTTGTACCCACCAGAGAGGTAGCCATACGCCCACCGTGGTGCGAGGAGCGGATACCCAATCAATTCGGCATAGGACCGCACGACGTCCTTGAGTGTCCGGCCGACCAGGATGTATTGTTCGAGACCGCCGTAGTCTTGACGATAGACCTTGAAGTGACCCCACAAACCGTCGATCTCGGAACCTACGCTCCAGGAGCCCCGCGAGTGAGATGTTGATACTAATGCGACACAGCCTTGGGGGGTTGCTTTGATGAGCAGTGGCATGTGTTTGTATAGAGGATCAGTGTGGTAGGCATCGTAGCCAAAACTGTCTGTCGCAGAGATCTGAAAATATCGAGCCGTCAGATCCATTGGGCCGGACTTTTCACCCAATCCAACATGCATAGCCGTACGGTCATGAGTAGTATAGTGGGCGATACCGGGGCCATCGAACGTATAGGAGCGAAACGCTAGATCCTCATGGAGCGGCGTTTGGGAGTCTGCCCAGCAGAGGGAGACAACAGGAGCATGTGCCCATGTCAGAGTAGCCCGAACGCTGTTGATGATGAATCCAGCCGAGTGGGTTGATTGGGTAAGGGCAGTCACTTCTGCATCGGTAAGCTTAGTGTCTGGCAGTGGAATGCTTGGGTAAGGTGGAAGGGGATGCGTCGACGACGTAAATGTGGTGCGGAAGATGTTTGGGCGGACTGCCTCGAAAGTGAAGTCTATGGGGATGCCATTGTTCTCTGACTGGAGATGAATCGATGCATGATTCTTCGCTTTGCCTGGAGCGACTTCCTGATAGGCCTTGGGTATGGTTTCAAGCTGTGGCATCGTGTCCTAGGTTGAGAAATCGAATTCTGGAAGAAGTCCAAGGAGATATACAAGCCGACGAAGGACGAGCTCTGAAGCTCGTCAAGCTGACCTGCCTACGAGCGTACAGATGCTGCAAGGAGTTCAAGCTTACAACTTCTTTCTGCAAATCCTGGATGTTGGCTATGAATACTGGTGGACTTGAGCAAGCTAACGTAAATACTGATATCTAGACGTGTCCATGTCGTGGTTCTGGAATGGGATATTTCTGCCCTGGTAGACCGGGCTTGACTCCGATTCGTATCCCAACATGACTTGCCGATACCATTTGCCCCGGTGTTTTAGACCATCGGCTTCAAAGAGCGAGCAGCAGAGGCATGTTTGAAACATGTAGTACTGACAGGGATCGGATTTCGGATACCAAGTGCGATCCTGGACGCTCAGAGCCAATGAGCAACATCAAATGCCGAGTAGCTCTCGCAGTTGTCAACCGAACGCCGATGATTGACTTGATCCCCACCATTGCATGACCCCAGAATCTCATCCCCAAGCATACCATCACCCGCAACCCTCAGGAGATCATGATGGAGGAGACGACGAGCCGATGCCATTCTCGGCCGTGGACCCGATACTGGGTAGGTCGCTTGTGACCCTACAATTTCAAGTATTTATCGTGAAGCGAATCCCACTCAATGGTGGCTGCTCATCAAAATTCCTGCTTCTTCTCCGGAACATCTGGCAGAAGAAGTGTGAGATTCGTGCAGAGATTTCATCATGGAGGGACAGGCCATCAAAGCCCCAACCGACCATGTCGAATCAAAAATTGAATCGGCAACAGTCAACGCTCGCAATGACAAAGCGAACAAGATCTTGAACGAATCAGGGCAGCGTGTAGTCCTGACGCCGGAGAACAATTCGCGAGTCCTGAGAAAGATTGATCTATTCGTCCTACCCATCGTCCTGGGAATATACTTTCTTCAAGCGCTGGACAAGGCAACTTTGGCATATGCCTCAGTTTTTGGACTCGTGGAGGATGCGAATCTCCATGGTCAGCAGTATTCGTGGTTGGGCTCGGTGGTCTACGTCGCTCAACTGGTGGCGCAGCCTCTTATAGCATATATGCTGGTCAAGTTGCCGCTGGGCAAGTTTCTCGCTGTCATCGTTTTGCTCTGGGGTATCGCACTTGCATCCATGCCTGCAGCGCACAACTTTGGAGGATTGTTGGCATGCCGCCTGTTTCTTGGACTATTCGAAGCCGGCGTGGGTAAGTGAGAGATAGCCAGGATCCCTTTGTTCCTGTACTGACATGACTGTAGCTCCTGCATTTATTGCTTTAACCCAGATGTGGTGGCGTCGACGTGAGCAACCGGTTAGATTGGGTGCATGGTACGCCATGAATGGCATCACAAACATCTTTGGTTCGCTATTGACCTATGGCATCGGCCATATCGACTCGCCTCATCTCAAGCCATATCAGGTATGAAGACACCCCCGATGTACGATAGTGCCTAACAAGTCTACAGATCATTTTCTTGTTCTTCGGACTCATCACCGTGGCATACTCCGTGCTCGTTTGGTTCTTCTTACCAGATTCGCCTGTTTCAGCACGGTTTTTGCACGGCGAGGATAGGCTGGTGGCGATTGAAAGGTAGGAGGAGAACTCAGTCAAAGGCCATGCGGCTGACATTTGTTGTAGATTGCGAGCCAACAACCAGGGTGTCGAAGGCAATGAATGGAAATGGTCGCACGTCAAAGAAGCTGCCATGGACATCAAGACCTGGCTTTGGGCTGCGATGATGTTCTCTATCTCGTAAGTGCACGAGAACTGTGGTGCTGAAATGTCTACTGATATGTCCCAGCGTTCCAAGTGGTGGTATCTCGACTTTTGGTCCGCTTATCATCAAGAACTTCGGCTTCAACAAATTCCAAACCATCCTTCTCAACATGCCATTCGGAGCAGTTCAATTGATAGCGACCATGGGTGGAGCGTGGGTGGCGACCAAGATCAAGTGGAAGTCTCCAGTCTTAGCATTCCTCAGTCTGCCGCCGATTGCTGGATGTGTGATGTTGCTTCAATTGCCGCGGAGTGCGTCGGAAAAAGGTCCACTGCTGGTAGCATACTATCTGGTGAGTTAAGCTCTTCAGGTATATGATTCGGGCTTTTGCTAATGGGAGCAGATATCCGTATATCCTGGCATTAGTAAGTACTTGAGGAGACTGCGTTAAAGGCCTCAACTAACGCAGTAAGCACCTTTGATATACTCTTGGAGCGCGGGCAATACCGCAGGGGAGACCAAGAAAAAGGTGAGTAGTCCTTCTGACCGCTGATTTTGCGGGGCTGATGTTGTTCCAGGTAACCACCGGAGTGCTCTTCGTTGCTCAATGTGCTGGCAATGTACTGGGACCCAACCTGTACACGACAGGCGAGGCACCGTTGTATCACCGCGGGTTACTGTCGAAGTGCGTGGTTTCCTTTGCTCTCTTAGCCAGGTAACGTTGGCTAACATGGTGCAGTCTCGCGCTTTTTGTTGTTTTGATCGGCCTGTATGCAGCACAGGTGTTGTTCCTCATGATGCTAAACAAGAAACATGCAAAGACACGAGAAAGCCTAGGGAAGAAAGCAAAGATAGTGGACAAGTCAATGAAGAGAATCAAGGCTAGAACTGCGGCTGCTGCGGATGATGATGCTGAGGAGGATGGATTCGGACAGCATGCGTTTGATGACAAGACTGACTGGGAAAATGAAGACTTTATCTTCGTATATTGAGCGCCATGCCTGTGTGACGAAGGCTCCCTGCTATACTTGAAGGATATCAAGAGAGATGGATGAAAAATTGACATGATTACAGACCGTGTCCGTACTGTGGTTGAATGAGGTCAATGCGGACGGACTCACCTGTGATTTGATTAGGGCCACGCGTACCCAGGGACCTAGACCCAATAGGCTAGGTGTCTACTCCGTACCTAGTACCTTAGGTACCTCAGCTTGGGGGTGCCCCTCGCCCGCCTGGGCCCATCCTTTCACTCCGTAAACCGACCTCTCGCCAACCCCCAAATGCCCCTCGGCTTCAAAAACCCGAGCATCCATCTACCCGTTATGATTTAATCCTAAGCTTTTCCATCTGTCGCGTGCTTCATCGCATCAACAATCGTCTTCACTATGAGGGCCACCAGAATCGTCTCTGATGATGGCAGATGAGACTCTGGCAAAAGATGTTGTCACAACAGGAAAGAAGAGAATCCCAGTAGGTGCACGACTTGGGAAGATGCTCCGGCGTTTCCAAGCTCGACTGACTTAGATACCTAATTGACGTCTTGCATAGAAAGCCTGTGGCTCGTGTCGTGCTTCTAAGGTGCGATGTAGTGGGCAGCATCCTTGCTCTCGGTGAGAGATTCTCGTATCGTCTCAAGTTCGTTCTGTGACTGACAATTGAGAAGCTGTCAACTACTGAAGAGGGTCTGCATCTTTGTCAAACGACCTCAAGATCCCAATGAGCTGTGAGACTGTTCCGTCGCCCGAATTATATACCATCCTGATCGAAGTGTTTGGATGGACTGACAATTGATTCAGGAAGTTCGAAAGTCTTCAGCACGAGCTTCAGCTATTGAAACAAAGGCTGGACAATCAGCAGAATGCATCGCATACACTACCAGGCAGTGATGGCTCTCCTTCGAATTCTCTCGATTTCAGAACAACGGCTTCCGGCCAAAGTCCAGCTTTACAACACAATCTACCTTCGCTATCACGCAAACGCACCCGAACTCATTTCGAGGTTGAAGACGGTTCCGTGCCGAATTTCATTGCCAAAGGGCTTGTCAGCACAGACCAAGCAGAACTCTTCTTCAAGGCCTTCTTCCAGGGCTGTGACCGTTTCGTAACCATCTTTGATCCTTTGCATGACTCCTTTCAGTCAATTGAGGCTAGAAGCTCCTTCCTACTCGACTCCATAATAACGGTCGGATCTTCCGTGATTGATGATACAAACCCTTCATTGTCTGCTATGCTGCAATTTCAGCTCAAGAAGATGGTAAATCTCGTCATTATCAACCAGGATCATGCCTGTCTGGAGACTGTTCAGGCTCTCTTGGTCATAGCCTGCTATTCCGCGGAGCGCTCGTTGATCTTGGCATTCGCCACAAGAATGGCGATCGACATTGGCCTGCCTGACGCCTACGAGGAGCTGACGAAGAGACTGGTAAATACAGACACGGCAAATATCTCGAGAGACTTGAGCTTAGACAACGCTGCACTCATGAGACGAACCAGGGCCTGGTTTCAATTGATGGTGCTGGAACAAATTCTCCGGGTAGATGCGGGCAACCTTCGGGCGTTTCAGCTTCGGGGCAAAGCAAGAAGATGTCGTGTGCTCTTGAACCAGCCTTTCTCGACAATCCTGGATCTTCGGCTCCTGTCTCAGGTGGAACTGAACGCACTTCGCGCCAAATTCCATGACTCTTTGTCGATGTGCGAGACGGGCGACACTGACGAAGTGACGTCGATAGTTCGAGACGCGCAAATAGACATCGACATCTGGCTTGACGATTGGCAGAGCATTATGAAGCGCTTAACAGTCGCTGAAACACCCGTTCTTCTCCTCAACTTGGAAGTTCAACAGTACTGGTCGAAGGTCGTGGTGCTGTGTCGAGCGATCCGCGTTCTGGGTATCGAAAACATTACTGAGATGTCTGACAGTCAAAAGCACCTCTTGTCAACAGCGAAAGTTTGCCTCAAGAAACACTTACGTGTCATCCTCGACCAGCCGCAGAATTACCTAGCTCATTTTCGCTACGCGATGGACTTCGTGTGGGCCAAGGCCGCATATTGTTTCTTGTTATTGCTCAAGCTGACGCGATTGTTACCAGAGGACGATGCTTCTTCTAACCTTCAGCTCTTGAACGATGGTTACGTTCTGCTGGATCAGCTCAACAAGGCTGGCGGTGGGTCGTCCAGCGGTGGTGGGAGAAGTCAAACCAGCAAAATGTACCTCCAGGTGCTACAGACGAGCGTCCAGAAATTTGCCCGAGCCGTCCAAGAAGATCGACTGAACGCTGAGGTACTTCCTGTCGAACAACCCTCGATGGCCGTGACTGACATCCAGTCGCCGTTTAACTTCTTCTGGAGCGGTGGCAACCAAAATTCCCAACACGAGATCGACTCCTTCGTCCCCGAACAATTTGTGTTTGAGTGGGATTTTCCTGGACTGACGCTCTTCTCCTCATCTGGAAGAGGAGACAGCTCCCTAGAGAATTTCTTCTTGGGCCCCAACTTTGAAACAGATGCTTGGTTTCTAGGCGCGCCTGGATAGCCGTCGCTCACATCTGTTCACATCATAGACCAGGTAGAGCAAATTGCCAACGAGGATGCAACTTCCGAGATATGGTTTCCAAGAGTTTGGTGGCTCGATCTTTGAAATACCACTTTGATTCGATGGGTTTCAAAAGTATCGCATAATGTGCAAGCAAAATCAATGCAGCTGGATGTGAGTCGCGAAGCAATTTGGTGAATTCCATCGACATGCGTGTGGGCCATACCCTCAGAGCATCCCATGTCGTGTAATTTTGAGGATCGGACTGTAGGCATGCGAAGGCCATTGCTAGTTCTGCTGCTGCTTCCCGGTATGCCTGACGCGCTTCGTCGGGCCAAACATGTTCACCAACAGCGGCATCCATGATTGATTGCATGTCCTCCAGATATGCAGCTTGTTCCGGGGTCCTCGTCTCGAACGGCTTCTCCCAGGCTTTGGCGAGAGCTCCACAAGGTCCACATTCTACCATCTTCCAGTGTTCACAAAGCATGATGCAGCCGTAGCGGATAAAGTACAGCCACGTCGGCACAACATCCACTTCATCATCCGAGGCTAGAAGCAACTCATCCTGTTGCTCAGAGGCAAAGCTGTAAGGGATGAGAAGACAGGAGAAGGCGAGTACTGCGTGGCAGTTGCCTTCACTGGGTTTCCCTATGGCATCTCGAAACTGCGGCATGGCTTTGCCCTGATATTCACTTGCCTTAATGAGGTACTCATTTCGTGTTTCTGGGTTGAGGTATGCCAGATGGAGGCAAGTGAATGCGAGGAGGCCATTCAAGAGGAATTCTTGTTCGTGAGCCATCTGGAAAATTACCTCCCTCCACAACTTCTCGTCAGTGGGAGTTCCGTCCGCTATCGTCTTGTAGGTGGACCTCTGGTAATGTTGGAGTAGTGCCAGTGGGTCCTGATTCGGACACTGTAATCGGCAGCTTATGGAAGTGGTTACTGGCCCGCGCAGTGTTTGAGATTGTGCTGGCCTCGGCAGGAGTTTCCCATGCGAAGTCATGGGTGTGAGCAAGGAGGGTGTACTCGGACCAGTAAAGTATGAGAGCTTGTTGCCGCGGAAGAACGTCTGTACGGGCACTCGACGAGACGCTTCTTGCTGAGTCTTATGTGTACTTGCGAGATGGTTTTTCAGACGTTTCTCGCTGGTGCAAAGGTAGTCGCAGCCCGATACGCTGCACTGTAAGCCGTCGAACAGTGGCAGGTATGGAACTGGAAATTCATCTGCGGCTGGGGGTACCACTTGGTTGGGATGGCAAATGTCGAGCTTGGCCACGAACTCCAGGTATGGTCTGCGGTCGGACGGACTCATGTAATGCATTTCCTTCAAATGCCAGGCAATTCCCGGTCGAGGGACCGCATAATGGCAAATTGTACAGATGACCACACGATACCGTCGAGAATAGTGCAACAGTTCGGCCGGTTGAGAGCCGTGGGCAGGTTGTTTGCGAGCCATTACCGTCAACGTCACTGACGGTGTCTACAGAAACTGCCATCGAAGTACCATTTGTCGAGATATGAAAAGACCAACGATCGAGTGAGGTTGGCACAGGAAAATGCGCAAATTGTCGGTGCTGTCGGCGTTACAGTAAATCCATCAATGTGATGATCCTGGCCAGGACTTCGCTTGACGAAATGCAGTTAGACCGTCAAAGTGCCGTTCCCAATCACAATTCGCGCCATGTATCGAGGCTCCACCGCCGTATGTGCTTCGTCTGCGAGGTTTGTGTCTTCCAATCTGTGTCGAAGCCTCCATCCATGGTCGAGGTGAAGTACTAAGCCCCAATATGTTTCTCATTGACACTGGAGCCACCATTCAAGAAGGCCGAGACATGGCGGGTTTAATACTTTCCCACAAAGGAGACGCTGGGTCGCCAACAGGGATATAAATTGTGCTTCTTCCCAGCCCATGGCCGAAACACCATCATCTTCCTTTTCAACTCGATCATCACCTTCCAATATGTCGACATTTTCGAAATCAGTTCTCATCACAGGTGGTACGACAGGTCTCGGGTTCCATGCAGCCACAGAGATTGCTAAGCGCTATCCGAATTATCAAGTCGTAATCGCTGCACGAAAGGACGCCAATAAAAGTGCAGATGCTATCAACTCCAAACTCGGTCAGGTCAATGTACGATTCATGCCACTTGATCTCGCGGATCTCAAGAACATTCGCGCCTTCGTCAAGACTTGGGAGGAGAAGAACTTCCCTCCTCTCGCCTACCTACTATTGAACGCAGCTCTCCAATTTCCAGACGGAGTCAAGTATACGGCGGATGGCGTCGAGGCCACCTTTGGCATCACCGTCTTGGGCCACGCATTGCTGTTCCATCTGCTACAGCATCACCTGGCAGACGACGCACGCATTGTGGTGACTGCGAGTGGCACCCACGACCCAGAACAACACAGTGGTCTTCCGGACGCGAAATATGACACTGCCGAAGAACTTGCCCATCCTACTGGTGTCTCTCTCAAGTATGAAGGTCGACAACGATATGCAACCGCTAAATTGTGCAATATCCTGTGGACATATGCCTTGCATCGACGCATACTGGCTCTCAACAAGAAGTGGACTGTCGTCGCCTTCGATCCTGGTCTCATGCCAGGTACGGGTCTGGCTAGGGAGGCAGGGCCAGTGCTTCGGTTTCTCTGGCACTACGTCCTACCAAACGCAGTTCCGCTGCTGCGACGCTTCTATCACCACAATATCCATCGACCTCAGGACTCAGGTGCCAATTTGGCATGGGTCACGACTATTGACGCAGAGACGAGTGGTGTGTACTACGAGATCAGAAAGCCCATCAAGTCCAGCGTTGATAGCTATGACGAGAAGAAGCAAGAAGATCTCTGGGACTGGATGGTAGGATTTCTGGCGGAAGGCGAAGAAGAGAAGCAGAAATTCAACGACCTTTCCGGTTAAGTTGTAGTATTGCGATCTGGCAACGCTATATCGCTATGCTGACACATTCGGAATTTGCCTGGGGAAGCAACTACAGCGCTATGATCGCTGAACGAGGAATGTTTTCCACCTGGAAATAGTGACGAATTCATTTATTTGCCTGAAAGTTGTTTCACCATATCTGCCTCGGGATCTTAGCAATTCATTACGATCGGTGCTGCGTTTACGGCCAAAGACGCTGCTTAACTGCCACATGGCCTTATTCTCGTGATGTTGTGGAAAATAATCAACCAGGTGTACAAAACTCCTCCATGCTACAGACCTTTCTAAGCCGTGGGAGATCAGCGAGGCCTAGAAGTATGGCTGCAGCCATCCGAGTGAGGCTCAAATGGATGGCGGTGGAAAATCGTCCGAGGCTGATCATGCATCCCCAGAAACTCCAATCTCGACGCTTTTTGCCACCAACTGGGCTCGAGATCGACCCATTGTGGGGGTGGAATGGGCGCCACAATGCCCAAAATGCAGCCATGGGAGTGTCTCCAGGAGAGACAGACAACTATCGTGCGACGACCATCTCGTTCAACTAATTGTCAAATCGCTGTGGGCCCCAGAATCTTTCAAATACTGAACGAGAGGTCAAGAGGCAAAGAGGGTCTCACTCAAGCACGTTCTTCGTATCCGTCATCTCTGATACGGAACGACACGGCAGGGTGTGTGAAAGCTTTGGCCTCACGGAAGTACTGTTTCCTTGCTGTTAATCTTCCAAGTCAGGAGAAATAGAGGCACGCCAGCATCGATCGAGGCATTTGTCGTCAGTCCGGTAGAAGTCGACTTGGCCTAGACTTTTCTTTGCAACTTGTCTGCCTGTATAAAAGTCGCACAATCTGTTGGCTGGTTTCAAAATTAAACTTGCCCGCACTGCTGCAGGTGTCATTCCATCATGTTCTGGTTACACTCGGACACGAAGGCCACTGATCGTCTTGGACTCGTTTGTCAGCACCACCTCAAACTTGCGCGAGCAGACTTATCGCTCTTACTGGCTTGGCCTCGGACGCCTACAGCAGACTTGCTTAACCGGAGCCAGGGTCTGTGAGAGATGGGCCAACCATGCCGCCAGGACTGCGCGTCCTAGCAAGGACAATCATGCCCCTAAGCCCTGTGCTGCCCTGGACTTTCGTTCCTCGTCGATCTCACTGGTGAGGACATGGGCTTAGTGGATCCGGCCTGCACGGTTCTCGTATGCATGAGGGTAAGCCTTACGAGGACCAAACGTGCCCGACCAGCCGCTAAGTTGTAACTTACGTCTCTAGGCTGAAATCGTCGAGACTTGTCTTTGCGATATCTGAGGCAGCATCTCCCGTCAGCACGATATTCTCTTTACTACACTCGCGCTCACGCTTCTGAAAAGGCAATTAGACGCGGGAATGCCTTTCTACCAAGTTTGAGGCATGCATATCCTTGCTGCATCGCTCCAACCCAAGACTAGAACCGCTGCAAGTACTCTAGACACCGGAGATCGAAGCGGGGTTAAAGTCTTGAGATTCCAGACCTTCCTAAGGGCGGTAGCTGGAACATTTCAGACTTGTTTGCTTCCCCTTCCTTTACACAGGGCACTACGAATACCCGTAACCAAGTGATCTAGCATTGGTCATCTTGGCTGCAAGGAGTTCCGAACCCATACTGGAAAATGATGGGAAGGAGGAAGGGCTATGGCAACCATGACATCCACCACGTTACTCTTCCTGCCTTATGACAACAAGAAGAAGCCTTTTGATAATGACAATGTTCAATCTCGCCAACAACACACCGCACTGGAATATCATAGAAAACGAAAATTGTCCAAAAGCCAATCTCGATCTTCCATGAGCCGTACGAATGAATCACCAACGCCACAGTCCTTGGGTTATTCCCCGGGAACATCGACCTCAGGAGATTCCGAGACCACTGATGCTACAGAGCTCTCACATCCTCGAGTCATCGGCAAATGGCGATTAGACCCATTCGATGCGCTTCGCGACACTCATGTGCCCGAATATGTCCAAGAAATGCTTGATCACGGTAAGCCCATTCGGAATATCTATCAAACTCATCTGTTCGACATTGCTAATTTACCTTATAGCCATAAGACATCAATGGGTGCTTTACGGTCCTTCGCGGGAGGACGTAAGACACACACAAGCTGATATCATGAGCGCTGCGATGAGAAGCCCTGTCGCGTTTTACTCCGTCGTCTTTGCCGGGGCGTGTCATCGAGCATGGCTGGCCGGTCCTCAATCGAACTCCAACAAGAAAAGCATGATGCTGCGCATGTCGTACAAAGCTGAAGCCCTTGCATGCTTGAGGAAAGAACTTGCGGCTCACCAAGGGCCAATTTCAGAGGATCTTCTGCTGTCGATCAATCTGCTCGGGGTTCATGATAGTGGCGAGGTCATTGTAGCACCACAAAAGCCAATGGAACCACCTCTTCGCCTACACCGAGACAATGAATTCTATTCCAGTATGCGATGGCAGCCCAAGCATCTGGAGATGGTGTACAAGATGGTTCAGCAACTGGGAGGTTTGAGGGCATTGAGGACCCATGGTCTGGCGGAAGCGCTTGAATCGTAAGTTCATCCTCGTGACCAGGTTACAAGAGCTAACGACCCGAAAGCACCGCCCTCAACGACGCTCTCCTGACACTGGAAACGCCTAAAGTCGACCTCCTTAATTCCACGCAATATTATATCGCACAGTGTGAAGCAAGGTGGGATAGACAAGGCCGAGAACTCTATGGAGCTATGAGCCAGAGACAGCTTGCGCTTCTTGATGGGTTGGAAGGTAGAGACGTCATGCAGGACATCCTCAACAATATGCGCAAACTTGTGGTCACCTATGAATGTTTTTGCAGAGACAACATCAATGGACCAGACTTATTGCAGATCATTGCAGCACGACGCTCTATCCAGCACAATCTGCTTTGTCCACCTATTTCGAACGACTGCCGCTACCTGGTGTGCCGCTATGCCATGCTGATATTTCTGGTTGAAACAATCTACCCCAAACCGCGCTACGTTGGTATTCATCGAAAGATGGCAGAGAAACTCATGCTTGCGCTTGACGAAAGTTCGATTCTTGGATACTGGGATCAACAACCAGCAGCTTTCACGTGGGCGAGTGTTCTGGGTGGCGCCGCAGCTTACGATACCCCCTTGTATTCTTGGTACGTGGCACAAGTGAGCAGTACAGGCTGTGGCCTTACTACAGATGACTGGACCTCCGCATACCAAAGTATGTCCTCGTTTCTGTTGCCCAGTACAGAGCACGAAAGGCGATGCTATAGCTTCTGGCATGACGCCCGCGAATTCCGTGCTATGCGAAATTCCGCATCAACTTGAAAGTTCAGAACAGAGGAGTCATGCACTGCCGCAAGACATTTTACCTAGAAATTGGCCATAAAAGAGAAACATTCCAAGAACAAAAGAGAAAAGATCGAAAGGACATTGTCAGGGGACAGTGACTTTGGCACCTAGAAACCGAAGCTATTTGACGAAGCCTTCCACGGTGCCGATCATGTCGGAGATCGGCCTTTGCTTGCTGCCCTTTTGCCCTTAGACTGTTCATGATTGTTCAAGAGTTAGAGATCAACTCAGACCACGAAAGCCAAAGAATGCGTGTGGCGTGCTATGTTTTCGTATTGCGTGTAGAGTCCGGGGTTATGATGATGATGGTAGGCTATGATAGGTGCGGATCGGACAAGGGAGGAAAGAATCGGCCCCCAAACTTGAATCACCTTCGAGTCTTTCGGGGGCTGATTTGCTCTTCCCCAAGTGGTGCGATGCCCCTTATCAGCCTTTTGAGGCCCCTCCACCTGACAAGCCGAGTATTACGAGCATAATAGGGCAATAGTGAGCGCCCAGAGCGTCTTGACCATAGAAGGCTAATCACGGAGGAAAAGGCGTCGGCTCAAGATGTCTCGAGTTCGTTACGACCCAAGAAAAGATGTCGAGTATCTCAAATTCCAGTTTCTAATCATTTTCCCTAGGCAGACATTTGCTGTTTCTTACCTAACTTGATATTTTTATTTCGAGGTCATAAAGAAAACCCAGAAAACTTGATCCCAAGACTAGACCATGCATTCGCACAAGACGACAATTCTTCTTCACACCCAACTCCGTGCAAATTGCTGATATAATCCAGTACTGTTTCTTTTAGGGAGGCGGAGAGGTGGTGAGATGGAGGTGGGTCGTCGCGTGTCTTCTGGCAAGCCCCGCCAAAAGGTGTGGAAGCCCAAGGTCAAGACTGGGTGTGTCACTTGCAGGTAAGCAAAGTCGTCGTCTATTTGGACTCTTGGAGAATCGTCGCTCACCCTGCTACATTTCCAGGGTCCGCCGGATCAAGTGTGACGAAGGAAAACCGACGTGCGCGAGATGCTCATCGTCAGGCCGAACATGTGGCGGGTATCATCAGAACAACGGCAACAAAACACAACAGCCACCAGAGCTAGGGACGTCGTGGGAGAGACACTCATGGCAACACTCCTGGACACCGTTGGCGATGCTGCTCACGAAGAATGTACGCCACTGCCCGACACCATATCCTCCACTTCTGGTCTTTGACAGCAAGGTCGAGGGACAATCGTTTGACTTTTTCCGCTCGTATTCTGTCCCGGAGCTCACGGGGCTGTTTCGGGTCGACGAGGAATTCTGGCATCTCTCTGTGCTTCAAATGTCCATGACCCAGCCCGCCGTCCGGTACGCCGTGACGGGACTCGGGGCCCTGCACCAAAAGTTCTCCAACGGCCACGACACGGCGATTCCAGACGACAGCACGGATTCTCAGATCCAGTTCGCGCTACGACAGTGCAACCGAGCCATCCACGCCCTCTCGGACACGGCTGCCTCTCGTGAACCGGTCCACGAAGTAGCCACCCTCATGACGTGCATCCTCTTCACCTGCTACGCCACACTGCAGGGCCACCAAACCCAAAGCATCATGCATTTCCGGAACGGCATGAAACTATTTCGGAATTTGGAACGTTCGAGAAGAAGAGAGCCAACAACGGTAACCGGCCCCCTCCCCTCGACGACAACAACATCGACCCAGTACGATGAGCTGTACAACGCTTTTGTCTTGGCCATGACGACCCTCGAAATCCAAGCTCGGTCCCTGATGTACGACGAGGATTTGCCCGCGTTCATCACTCAGTCACAGACACTTTGGCCCGTCTGCCGCTCAGAGAATGGCAAGTTGAGATTCAAGAGTCTGACCGACGCCCGATGCTACTTTGACTCGTTGTTGAGCGACTTGCAGTGTTTCCTCCTCGAGTGCGACAGCCGGAACGAGTGGACCCAGGTAGGCGCCCGGCCACGACAATCCACAATGGACCAATTCGACGTCCTCGTTCGAAGGCAAGACATGGGGAAAAAGGCATTTGAGGTCTTGAAGGATGAGCAGCAGACCAACTACGACGATCGAGATCGCAAAACCATACTGGTCATCAAGATGCACAATTGCGTCATGGACATGTACCTGTCGATATTTCGACTTTCATCGACCTATGGAGACCTGGTATGGGATTTCTTTGAGCGCACTTACCGGGAGGTGGTCGACCTTAGTTATGAACTATTGGACTGCGAAGACGACAAGGAAGATTTTTCTACAATGTTGCTGCCACTTGTAAAAGGCAAAAAGATCACCAACACGCTACTAAAATCCAATGGTGCAAATACAGACGGGGGAGAAGAAGTCAAAATGGAGGAGGTCGTCGTCGAAGAAGTTCCAGACGCGACGTCGATCGTCAGGGAACCCGTCAACCGACCTCGGCCGCGTCCGGTGTTTACGTTCAGCCAAGGTGTGACAGGTCCGTTATACACCGTGGCGTCCAAGTGTCGTGATCCCAAGATCCGGAGAGAAGCCATAGTTCTCCTCTTGCGGTACCCTAGACGAGAGGGCCTGTGGGACACGTTCAACGGGGGAAGGGTGAGTTGGGAGATTATGAATCTGGAGGAAGAACTGGCCAAGCAATTTCACTCCTCCTCAGAAACAACAAACTCTCAGGTTCAATTCGAGGTCAAGGTTGCAGCTGATGTTCCAGTCTCCTGCAGGGTCAGAGAGGTTGAAGTTTTGATGGTCGGTCCACGTACGGCCACGGTTAGGTTAAAGACGGTGGCGGAAAGCGATCGAGGAGAAAAAGGAAAACACATGAAGATCATGTCGTGGTGAGACGAATTTTCGAAGAAGACGACTACAGTCGTAAGAGTTGTACTTTTTCTTCCTTTCTGGACTAGATCTGTCTAAACAATCCAGAGACTAAACACCAGGAAATATTCTAGGTGTATCGAAGTTTTCGGGTTCCCAAACCCTCCCTTCCCAGGTCTCTTCATTCGGTAATTCACCTTGCTTTTGGAGTTGTTTGGCCACTTTTTCAACTTGTTCCCAAGCGCGCAACACATTGTCACCGAGCAACATCTTGACTTGGGTATCTGTGACGTTCCCACGGGCGAGAAGTCTCGCGATCAAGTTTGGCCATTGAGATGTGTCCTACCGAATTTATCGTTCGTCAATCCGATTCTGAAAAAACAAAAAACCTTTTCCCCATGTAAAGGGGTAAGGGAAAGAGTAAACCCACCTCGAGACCTTTGACGTTGAGAGGGGCACCGTCAAAGTCGGATCCCAGACCGACGTGTTCCCACCCGGCTTTGTCGGCGACCCAATGTACATGATCGATGATGTCTTCGATCGTTGCCCGTTCAGGGTGTTCCCAATTCATAAAGAAGGGGATCGCAGGGATCATCACCACCCCGCCGTTTTTTCGGACCATCCCCAGGACATCGTCGGGTACGTTCCGTAGGTGGTTGTTGACGCTGTATGCTCCGGAATGTGAAAAGATGACCGGAGCCCTTGCGACTTTCAGGGCATCCCTCATGGTCTGTGGAGAGACGTGACTCAAATCGACAAACATTCCCAGTCGATTCATTTCGAGTACCGCGTCCCTTCCGAATTTGCCGAGTCCATCATCCTTGCCGGCTTCCAAATCCACACTGACCCACGACGTACCCAAAGCGTTGTCACAGTTGTGTGTCAGGGTCATGTACCTGACGCCACTCTCGAAGAAGAGTCTCAGCGCACCCAACGAGTTGCCGGTCTGATGGCCACCTTCGACACCGATCATGCTGGCGATTCTACCGCGGTTGTGAGCCCGACGGACGCATGAAGGAGTGACACAAAGTTCAAAGAGGTCAGGATAATGATCGACCATGCGTTTCGTGATGTCAATCTGTTCGAGGGTATCTCTGACGGTCCACTAGACGGGAGAAAAAGGGGGAACGGATCAGTAGAGAAAAATGTAGCAGGTTTTCTTTTTGTGTGTGATGAGTGATATCAAAGTGACAATTCCAAAAGGAGACAAAAACGTAACGTACACTAGGTTCATTGAGATCCGGTACAGGCTTGTTCGGGTCGTGCAGGTCGACACCTGGAACGAGGTCTTCCGGACACGGCACGTAGACGGACCAGAATTGACCACCCATCATACCGTCCTTCATCTTTTGAAAATCGCTGTGACTTCCGATCCTTTCGGTGCGAAAGTCACGATCGTAGATTTTGTTGTGAAGTTGTTGTCTGAGGTTGAATGGGAAATCATTGTGGCCGTCGATCAGCGGAGTGGTTCGCAGTAGTCGTCTCGCCCTGGCCATGTAATCCGTCGGATCGATGGGGTTTATCGTGTCGACGACAGAGGTCCATGTCGGCCCTATCCAGTCCGACAGGACATTGAGGGGTTCAATTTTGGGGGGGAGTACGACAGACACAGCCAGGACTGCGACAAGTATGGCGACTCCGTACATCGACGATGGCCATGATGAACTCGTCGTTTTGGACCTCGACCTCGACTTTTCCATCTGCCTCGACATTACTGTCGTGGAGTAAAAGGTCCGAAACGCCCGCGGCAATATTCTTTCAAAATGTACAGTATGTTTTTGTTATCGCATTGAAAAGGGGGAACTTGGAATGTGTGCGTGAACAGTCCCTGACAAAGGTGATCCCGGGGCCGTGGGATGTATCGTCGTGCGCACTACTGTCAAATCTGATACGACGAAGAATTCTAGTGCCGAGACTCTCGGTAACGAAAATGCGGGATGGCACCAAACAATTCTTCAGGTAGGTAGTAAGTAGGTGTGTAAGAAGTGTAAGAAAATGCCGACTCGATTTCAGCCCGTCGTTGTACGGAGTACAACTCAGCGTGTTGTGTCGGCCGCAAAGGGCGCCTTTCTTGAGATGGCGCCGCGGAATAACTTTCGAGGTGTTAAACGAGACAACTCGATCATTCTCGGGTGGTTGAATCGTTGTACAATAGTAGTTCAATAGTTCCAAATCCGTAGTATGCCGTCGATAAGCGCTGCCATGAGCGTGAATGTCCGTTCCGTTCCCCCAGATTGCTATCTATCCAACTACCTCCTTAGGTAAGTACATTGATTTTGTTCACGATATAGGTATCCAACTAGCAACTAGGGTATGTGTCAGTCAAACGAGAACTTTTGTAATCGAGTAATAAAGTGTGGACGGACGAATTCTCGAGTGGGTCGAATTTGGACAAGTTCACGTCCTTCAGTAGGCATGTCAAATTAGGAAGGTAAATCCAAGTACAGGAGGAGTACCGAGTAGGGCCCCTGCACGGATACTCTGTAGTAGAGTGATCAGAGATAGTGGATAGTGTTCCATTTTCATGACAATCCTGCTCGTTTCGAAGACATGACACAGACGATTCTACGAATCAGATACCATAGCGAAAATTCGAGTATAGTCGACTGCTATCGACCTAGGTACTCTGTCCTCGTTGACGATCTGATTTTTCATCTGAATTCATACAGAATGGATTTGTGCACTGCTACCTCAGAACAACGATAGACCTCTTCACAGTGTATGTACCCAGTCCACTATTCCTGATCACTCGATCAACCTCGGAATCGTCTACCAACCGACCTCGTTGCTCGTGTAAAGATGGAAGGCTTCTCTTCTGATTCATCGGGCCCGGTAAGGTACGTCCTTCTCCCGTACTGCAAGTCAACTTCTGCCAGATTCACCAACTTTGTCTTGTGGTAAAATTTCCAAAAGACGAGGAGTAACACAAACAGCACGATGACAATGTAAGAGAATACAAAGTCAACCGGCTGCCACGGAGTCAACAATGTTCCATAACCCTGGATGATGAGCAGAAAGATATTGAGTACCGTGACGAAATAGGCTCCATATGGGTACAGGAACGCGCGGAATGGTAGCTCTTCCGGTGTACGGCCTTGAAGTTTCCACGCCCGACGAAATCGGATGTGTGTGACGCCGATGCAAGCCCAGGCGATAAAAGTGGCGGCACCGGACAAGTCGATTATGTAGCCAAAGACCTTTCCAGCGCCACTTGCCACGTTGAGGAGAGCCAACAGACCAAAGGCATTAGAGACGATGGCCGCGTACACGGGGACACCCCTCCAGCCTGTCTTGGCCAGAAATCGAGGTGCACGGCCCGTGTCGGCGAGGGAATACAGCGTTCTCGACGCAATGTAAATGGACGAGTTGACGGCGGAAAATGTGGCTGTGAAGATGAAGGCGTTGATCAGGTCAGGTCCGTGAGACCAACCGGCGTGCTGAAGGGCGATGCTGAATGGCGACAAACCAGTGTTGCTCGTGGCTCTCAGGATGGCCGGATCGTCAGACGCCACTGCGATGCCAGCGAAGAAGGTCATGCCCCAGTATATAAAGACCACCCTGAATATCGTGGCTTTGATGGCCTACGATTGTTTTCTCGTCAGCAATATTCTTGACTTCAACGGTGGGATGATATCATACATACCCTTGGTACATCCCTGTTTGGCCTGCGACTCTCTCCTGCCGTTATAGCCACCAGCTCCGTGCCGCAGTAATACACGGCAGCGAGAACGAACGACTTGCCGAAACCGTTGATACCATGTACAACTGGACCAGGAGTCTTCCAGTATCGGAAGCCAATGTAATCGCCACCAATGGCACCGGTGTTGCAGAGGATTGTGAGGAGAAAGGTGACCAGCACGCAGATGATCTTCCAAAGAGCCAGCCAGAATTCCATTTCACCGTATACAATAACACCGAAAAAAGAGAGACCTTGATAAAAGGCCCAAGCCATCAGAACCCAGGCGTAGCTTGGGACTTTGTCGGTCCAGTAACCCATGACGATGCTGATGAGATTGTATTCGGCTGCGATGTTGGAGGCCCACTGCGTGTCTGGTCAGCAATGATCCCATGATCCTGTATTCCATGTTCAACGCACCAAGTACCAATAGTTGTATCCAAGGCCAACAGCTACAGCAGGATCAATGAATCTTCCAGCAAGCTCGGTAAAGGCACCAGTGGTTGGGTACATTGTCGACAGCTCGCCGAGACTTTGCATGATGAAGAAGACATCGATGCCGATGATTATGAAGCAGACCAACGCGCCAATCTATAACGTGGGATGAGTATGTTGCCTCACACATCAGTTTGAGGATGGTAATGCGCACCGGACCCGAGTCAGAAATTGCATATCCAGTACCGTACCAGATACTCGCACTGGAGCACAAAAGGTGAGCTTCTGGTTTTCAACGGAAAAAGGGCCAGGTATATACGAACCCAATGACACCGCCTAGAGCAATCATCTGCATATGACGCTGCTTCAATGATCGGTGCAAGCCATGGTCAACAACTGTGCCATCCTCTGTTATCCGAATTTGTTCTTTGTCGCCGATGTCGATGGTTTCCTCATCGACGCTCGCCACACGATCAATTTCGGGATTGGGAGCCATAGTCAGACACAATCTTGTATAAACTACGGCGTCAAAAGCAAAGACACTTCCAAAGTAGTATGCTCTCTCCTACTATGCAGATGACTGTGGACCTAATAAGAGGAAAACGCATGGGAATTTCCAAGGGTTTAGTACTCCCCCAGCATTGTCCAACGCCGTCGATAAGCGGGGATATTGAGCCATTGTTCAACATTGCCAAGGCAAACGGCACATCAATCCTTACTGAAATGCTTATCATGAGGCGGAATAGCTTGTGTCGGGATAGTAGACTGTCTTTCGACGGTGTCTCCCCCAACCTTCTCACTGTGGCGGTCTGCCTCTTCATGTTCCGACGATAACCTATCTGTTGTTAGTCGAGTTAGCAAAATCATTCTCCTTTTGGACTCGGTTCATTTGTCTCCCCACAAAGTCTCGTGCTTTTGCTAGCTGACACATGGGGCCTTGAGGCGAGGATTGGATTGAGGCGTGAATACTCGATACAGAAAGTGCCATTTGTCTTGGCATCTCCGGTGAACGAGACACGGAGGAACTTCATCCCATGTACTTTGCACTTAGCATCACGCAACTAACTCAAGAACGCGTCCTAATTCCGCGATCTAGCATGAGAATCAACCTGTCTCAAAAGAGAAGCTCTTAATTGGTACGATTGGATTGTTCGCGCATCGTCTATACCACTTTAGAGGTGGCCTATGATGGAGACAAAAAAGCTTCCATGCAAGAAGCTATTCGCAAGCACAACTGGAACTATGTTCACAGTTACTTGTCTCTATATGACTTGGGGAATCAGAAGAGTGGGTTACGCCTTTAATCACTTTGACGAGGATAACCGTTGTGCAAACGACAGTAATTCACCCCGAGTGGGGGTGGCAGCCTGATATTGCTCCTCTCTTCGAATACCACCTGCCTCTTTTCGGCCTGACCAAGTCCTTGATAGGATTGGGTACTTGTTCTAGCACTACAACGGATCATATCTGTGTACCTGGTGAGAAATCTATGCGGAACGAGTTACGGATAGATTTTGATCCATCGTCGCAATGGAAATGATATAAGGGAAGATGAATCTCTCGAACTGTGCCAATTGGCCGATCGAGCTTTCCAGAGGAGCACAGAGTAAGAAGACCTCTATCGTAGCTCACAGCTGTCATTCGTTCTCAATTGCCACATCGTGGGTAGCCGAATCAAGTCTCTAGAAAAACAAAGATGGGTCAAGCCACCACCAACATTTTCCTATGGACAGGCCTTGCCGTTGGTGCGCTTGCCCAGTTCAGCCAAAAGATTGACTTGGCTGCCCTGGGACCAGTGTACCAACCGGCGGCCAATCATTCCTTCCAGGCCTTTGCTACCGCCAAACAGCAAGCTACAGACGCCATCAATCAGGTGATAGCCACGGGCAACAACACCTACGGAGTTTTGGACAACCAAGGAACATCATTTTCAGCATCCGTGTTCGATCTGACCAGTAACGAGTATCTGTTCGAGTTTCATTTTGAAGCACCGGGACTCAATGGCTCGCTTACCAAAGGGAAACTCACCGAAAACACCATCTATCGGACTGGGAGTCTGGGGAAGCTTTTGACGATTTACAATTGGCTGGTCGACATTGGCGACGAGGTCTATCTGGATCCAATCACTAAATATCTTGTAAGTACAGTCTTGTTCGTTTTGGGTGACTAGCACTGTTTTGCTGACGAGAGAAGCCTGAATTGGAGGCTGCAGTCAAGTCGTACAAGAATCCGCTCCTGTCGACCAACTGGAGTGAAGTCACCGTTGGATCGTTGGCCTCGCAAATCTCAGGCATGGGGCGTGATTGTGAGTAGCTTTGCTTGCTGTTCAAGTATGCGACTTTTGAAACACTAACAACTTTCTAGTCCACCTAGGTGACCTCGCAATTCAATCATTCCAGTCTCCCCCTGTATCTGATACGGTGGACAAGGATGGATATCCTCCACTGGGAAACGAGAGCATCATTGAGTGCAACTCTTATGGCGATTCTCTTCCATCGTGTACAAGAGCACGTGAGTAGACCACATTTGATGGAAGAGATGCCCTTGATCCTGACGATGTCAGAATTTCTTCGGGGCGTCATCGAACACCCACCCGTCTTTCCCTCGTATACGACTCCGAGCTATTCGAATCTCGCGTATGCTATTCTGGGCCTTGCTTACGAGAACATCACCGGCAAGTCCATCTCGGATGGTATGCGAGAGCTCTACAATGACAGATTGGGGATGACTTCGACGACACCAACGGCCCCTCCGAATGGTTCAGATGCCATTATCCCAAGAAATGACAGTTATGCAGTCTTTACCTACGACATAGGCATCCAACGACCGTGAGTTTCGTCTCCGTGCCTCGCCGATGAAAGTCGTTGCTAACCCATTTCTGAAGTGCTGGTGGGCAGTATATTACAACAAAAGATCTCAAGACCTGGGGTCAAGCCATTTTGAGCAACAAGCTACTACCAGGCTTTGTCACACGCAGATGGATGAAGCCGACAACGTTCACGTCACAGTGGGAGTCGGCAGTTGGTGTAAGTAAAACAACTTTCTGCCTCTGCAACTTATAAGCGACCGCACCTTGGGGGTTTCTGATGCTGACTATCATTGTTAGGCTCCGTGGGAAATCTACAGATATACGATACCCGCCGACACAATCATTAATGCTAGCCGCATTGTAGACGCATACACTAAATCCGGAGACATTGGCGTGTACTCGACAGTGTTCGGTCTTGTCCCAGACTATAATCTTGGGTTCACCGTCTTGACCGCGGGTGACAATCCCAACAGCCAGGTGCCTCCGGTTCGAGGTCCTCTCGTTGATATTTTTGTGAGTAATCTCCCGGTCCTTATTTGTAAAGGATCTTGAAGCCTGGCTAACTGTGTGACTCAGTACAAAGCCGCAGAAGCCGCGGCCAAGGAACAAGCCAAGAGAGCTTTCACCGGTACCTTCAAATCCAGCGATCGAAACTCGTCCATCACACTGGTCGTCGACGGAGGGGCAGGAGTCAAGGTCGAGCAGTGGACGAGCAACGGCACGGATTTCTTGACCCAGGAGTACCTGAAATCGTATCACGACTTCCGACTTTTCCCTACGGAACTGAGTACAGAGGCAGATGGCCTCACGTACTACAAATACCACCTCGACAGCTTTGTCAATCCAAACGGGGAACCTTTTACGGGAGACCCTTGGGCGGAGTACAATGACTATTGGATTCAGATTGACTCCAACATCTACGACAATCTTTCCACCGATGCATTCGTCATCGGCTTTGACAAGGACGGTATTGTACAGAGCGTGGCTTCTCAAGCCTTGAGGACCACAATGGTGCGGTCTTCCTAGGTGGAGGGATGTGGAGGAACATCGAAAATGGTTTCGTTCCATTCGTTCTGGTTAGAGACTGAAGTTCAGTAACTCGTATACGTAGTAATCTCAACAATCACTGGTCTGTGTATTCTTCGCTCCTCGGCTTTTGGATTGCGATGTAGAGCTTGTGAGAGTCGTATGCTTTGATTCTCGCAACTCGTGTTACTCGGCTTGGTTGATGTTTCTACGGCGAATCAATACACCTAATAAATTCATTCTTGTCAGACACCATAGGATATCTGGCAAGGCTGGTACAACATGTATAGCTTGAAGAGGGAACTCTACTCGTCATGACATCGGATTATTTTCTGATATGCTGAGCCCAAATCTGTCTCACTGCATTGTCTCATCTTCCTCATTCTCTACATCTACTTCCTTTCAATGCAAATTTTAATTCTTTGAACTCAAGTCTGTGGAGGTGACGATGATGAAACATATTGGTAAAGAATGTATATTCATGCCGACGGCTCAACTACATCAAGGACCAGGTTTGTAAGATTGTACGGATACGAAACTTCTGGATCGTCTTCTCTGCCCAGTTCCCCTTTGTTGATGCTCGCCACTTTTGGCTGTCTGAATCGTCAGAGAGCGACTTCAGAGAAACGACACCCGCCACCCAATGTCGTATGGCTTACTCTGCGTTGGTGACTCGTCGCTTGACGTACGGCAAGAACCCGGTGGTTTCTGGGAACATGTCAGCAAGATGCAGTATCATGATACCTGATCAGCAATGTCAATCCTGTACTCACCATCACCAGGAGCACGCTTTTCGAAATCAGCTACATTGACTGCGTGTCTTTTTGCAGGCTCTTCCACATTGCTGACGCGCCTCTTGACGTAGGGCAAGTTGCCAGTTGTTTCTGCAAACCTGTCAGCAAGATGCAATATCACGATACCTGATCAGCAATGTCGATTGTGTACTCACCATCACCAGGAGCACGCTTTTCAAAATCAGCTACATTGACCACGTGTCTTTTGGCGGCAGGGAGATAGTCGGTCGATTCTGAGGGGAGGTCAGCCACTGTACAGAAAAACAAATTTTGATGAAAGTGGGAAAGTTACCGTCGAGATCGCCCCTCTTCTCGAGTGCTGCAACATCGATCGGGTTGGCATTTGCGAATGCGAAAGCGGTGTTGGCAAAGGAAGCCGCCGCAGCTACGAGGATGACGGCGAATCTCATAATGGTGATGACTGGGTCAAGTTGGGGGGGCTTCTGAACAGAAAGTCTTTGGTAAGAGGGAGTGACACTGTGAGAATGATTGTGGTTCGTGATGGTCAGAAGGTATGGTTTGACCGAACTCCCTAACTCTTTCTTATATAGGTTGGGAACCCACGCTTGGCCACAACCTTCTCAACCTCATACCTCGCATTCGCGGCGAGGGGGCCGGAATCCTTGGATCGGCAAAGTACATGACTCTACGGAAGCACCAACAGAAGGATGAAACGTTGCTAAAGAGCACATACTGCAAGTTTCCGAGCTTGAGGTGGCTCTCTACACGAGAATTCTCGTTCCGTATGCCAAAGATGTTCCTTCCGAAAACATGCTCATTGCGCTGACAAGTGTATGTGAGGACGGTGAGTGGTCTGTTGGGCTTCACACTAACTATGCATTGCTCACATAGGGCAATGGAGTGCATGATCTTGGGTCTCGTGAATCCTACGGTCGTTTCTTCGCATTATCTCGTTGACAAATCATGTGAACTATAAGCTGCAGATCAATATGCTGGGCGATTCCTTCGTGATCTGGTGGGTAAGCTCAAGCAGAGTCTTTTGGCTCATGGCTCATGGACTTTGTTCTATCCTCGAAAGTATCAGATAGCCGTGTCTGTCTACCCTTTTTGTCTTTTTCAGATTTCCTTTTCTGAATCCATCTTGACCTTCATCTCGAGTTCAGGAACACGGTCTCTTGATTTTCAACCTTCCAGAGCTCCTCTACATGAAATTCCGTTCTCACTCGACCTCTCTGCCTTCATTTTTTTGGACTATACCTCGTGAAGTCCCTCACTACTCTGAGCTCATGGATCCCAAGGCAAAGCCCAACAGGAGTTTATATGCCCCCATCGACGCCAGTGATGACGACGAAAGGCTCAACGACCCCTTGATCGTCGGAGTGCCCAGAACCAAAAACAAAACCGTCAGGAGTTGGATGATTGTTGCCCTCACGGCGGCGATACTTTCGACCCTCTTCGTCACGTTGTTGGTCCTCAAACCGTCCTTGGCCACCACGGACAGCAATCAGCAATGTCCAGATCACTACGACCTCGACCAGATTTCCACCACCGACGCCGACGCGGATCATCAAAGACTTTCCCTCGGTTCTGACGACGCGTCTCCGTGCGGTCATTCACGAGCAGAGGCACTCGCGGCGGGTTGCGTCTTTGACATGCTGTCCTACGCCTGGATCCCACCGGACTGCTACGACGCCGCCCTGACGGCCGAGTTCGAAGGGCTCAGCGACTGGCGGTACTTTTCGCAAAAGGACTCGGCCAGCCCTCAGATCCCTCACGCGGTCGTGGCCCTGGGTGAGCACCACCACCTGTTCGTGACGTGGGAGTGGCACCTCCGGCACTGCACCTACATCTGGAAACGGTACATGCGGGCGACCCTGCCGGACGGACCCATGCACAGCGTCGACAACGTCACGGTCAGCGACGCTCACACCCTGCACTGTGAACGCCTCATCCTGAGAAAAGATCCCCCCGACCTCCAAAAGGTCAACACCCGAGTCAGGCTGAAGTACCTCAAGTGTACTAGATTGGGGCAGTGAATCGAGTGGCCTCCGTTCTGATGGGCCCATGGGCTTGGTCAAGTTGAAATGACACGGGGATACTTTCAACCAGGGGTTCATTGTTCTTTTCCCAGACTACCGAACGAAAGATGAAATTCAAAGACCTGTAGTTGGGAAGGCAATCAACAGTCAGTCAGTCAGTCAGTCAGCCAATCCGCGGAATCTCGGGGTCTGAAGCATATGGACATCATCCATGTACGGGCGCCGTCGCGTGAGACGCCAAGCTCTCCAGGTAGATAGATATGAATACCTACTCTATAGGGAAAAAAAGATCAATCAGAATTCTGAAATGATCTATGTGACTAGCGTGATGGGACACGTTCTGCTACGAAGATACCATTCCAAGGCCGTAGCTTTTCTTTCTCCGTTCAACAAGTTTCATGGAGACTTTGAACCCACTCATCCGACCAAATATCCGTCCAGGTCGCTCTCATGTTAGGGTCGGGTTCTAGCATTCGTCGAATGATCCACCTCGAAGGGACCGGGAGCAAAGTCACCAGACTGTCCATCGTGGCTCGATGGATTTCTGTCTCCCAATCCTCAAAGGCCAAGAATGGAAAGGTACGATGGTGACCACCAGCTGTGACATTAGGGTCATCCTCGTTCAGATCTTCGTCACGGCTGCTGACCGCTCTTTGACCGACTTCACCGTCGTTGTTATTGTTGGTGGTGGTGGTGGTGGACCTTTCTTGTTGTCGTTTCTTGTCCTTCTTCATCTTGGCATCATGTCTAAAGAGACTGAACGAGTCACGTTCCCAGTCCGGCCAGACACGCCTCTTCCAAGGCAACCGAGGCTCCGTCATCTCGCAGAATAGGATCGCTAGCGCAAAGATGTCGACGGGGACAGGGTCATAAAGAGTTTCTAGGTAAACCTCTGGCGGGGCGTATGGGATGGCACCTCGTAAACCTATCACGGGCGGAAAAAGTTAGCCCTGGGGTTGTGCTCGTTTCACATGATCCATCCAGACAAAGATATTCATGTATGCCAAGATTGTTCGTAATCCTCCATTTGACTCGTCTTTGATAAGAAGAAGTCCTCCATAGTGTGGACAGAGAAGGAGTAGTCGCATTGTTATCCTCCTAGGGAAAGTGATCGCGTGAGAGAGTGTGTGTGGTTTCAGCTCCAGTCGAAAGAAGCTTTTTGGCCCCCGATTACGAAAACACCGTGTGTCTGGCGAGACCCTCGGGAGGAGTCGAGAAAGATGCTTGTGGTGTCCGATCAATGAGCTAAAAGTGAGATTGGTCTTCCGGAAGGATCTGTTCTTTTCCCCTGTGAATACCAGGACTCTAGGAATTTCCCAATGAGTACCTCGGTTCGAAAAGCGTCGGGTATCATTGTAACGCACATATTCCGTAGGAACGGTAAGTGGTTGGTTGAAGATGGACGACGAGCCCCCTCTCTCGTGGGTCTTATGTCAGCTTCTCACAGCCGCACCATTGATCGTCGCGAGCCGATACGTTGCTAGGGTTGGCGTAAAAGGGTTCGTTCATATCAGTGGAGAAAGAAGAAACGACGCAATACTTCCTTCGTCCATACGTCTTTTTTGTTGTTCTTTTGGGTAGCATCACCATCATGATGGCCATCAATTCTGGGTTTCACGTCGTAGCCAACCAACAACACATCATTTGACCAGAGCCAACATATGTGGGTTCAGAGAATTGATATGAAAATTTTGTGGAAACTCACCCCATTGTAAACGTTTCTCTCCAGTCAACATGTCCAACGTTTGAAATGAAATTCCAAAGTCCAGAACTCGAACTTGACCCCTTTCGTCGATGCCAATGTTGTTTGGTTTGAGATCGCCGTGCGTTATGCCTCGGTCGTGCATATGGCTCAATCCTTTCAAGAGTTGACCAAATATACAAGACATTAACGAACTTTGGTCCGAGTGTGATTGGGAATCTCCAGGATAGCTGTCCACTGCTGTTTCTTGGTCTTTCGACTTCTCGGTAGAGAAAGCAGCTCGAATCCTTCCGGACAACAAGTCAGGACAATACTGCATGGGCATATACCACCTGTGTGAGGGAGGGTCGAATATGAGGTCGTAAGTCTCCACAATATTACCATGCTGCGCCAGTCGTCGGGCGATATTGAACTCTTCTCTGATGTCGCGGTCGTATTCCTCGTCGTATTCGGGGATGTGGTTTCTGACAAAAGCCTTGACCGCGTACCGTTTCATCGTTTTGTTGTGTTGGAAAAGCACGACGTCTCCCGTTGCTCCTCTGGCAATGGGTTTTTGGAATTTGCCGAACAAACCTAGGTTTGGATAGTGATCATATGGTGGTGTTGAAGATGGAGTGTCCTCGGCGTTGACCAACGCAATACATCCAAGATAAAACAGGAGCACTCGTAGTGTTACGGTCATTGTCGTCGTTGCCATTCGTGGTACTATGTTGACTGGAAAGATCGTGTCTGTGTACCTGTGCTGCTGTGCATGTGCATGTGGCTCTTTCAGGCTCTGCTTCAACTTTTTCCGAAGCTTCCATTGAAATAGTTCAGTACCAATGATGAAGCTCTCGTCGTAGGGCGCACAAGCTCTGGGTACAAGAATCCACATCTCGTTCTGTGTCAGGACATACGACTCAACTGGCGTTCACCGCAAATGGGGTCCACGTCGATCGATGAGGATCAGCTGTAAGGAATCGTTCACTGCAATGTTTTCAGCTATCTGGGCTAATTCAGCGACGACATGGCTCAATAAAGTGTCCAATCATACATTGTGGTTCATGGAGATCATGTAATCCAAGGTCACAATGGACTCATTCTCGGCTGGTTCAACAATGTAGGTAAGAATCCTTCGGGCTGGAACAATTCAACGAATCTTCGTCGTCAAGCAGATATATGTCTGTGTCCACAACGCTACGAGCCTTGGACTGAAATCATCACGCTGTCGTGCGTGTGTTTTGGGGGCCGCAAGAAACGTATCTTTGGCAGCTGAGCACCGGAACAAACAGAACTGTCCAGAAGAATAGTTATCGCTTTGGTAGGTCGGTTCCCCATTCCTTCACACCGAGTGTTTTGAATTTCTGTTCAGGAATTCTTTCATCTGTTCTTCTATCTCCTTCAACAACGCCTCCTCCCATCCTCGAGTCTTTTTGCTGAACCTGTGGTAACGATGGTGAGTACACCACAACATTCTCTGAGCATAGGTCTCTCGATAACACAGTCTACTGTTCCGTAGGGTACATTCTCCACGGCCACTGTAGCCATCGTCGCGTTGGCATTGGGGCTTTGGAATACCATCCAGAACAATGACCTGATCCGAAGGGCCAGTATCGATGCTCGAAATACTCTCAAAAGTGTTGTCGTCGGTGATCTTGACGGCAGTGGGCAACCCTCGACAACCTCAGAATATGTCTGCACCCATCAATACAGTATCGAAATGGTATCTGACGACCCATTAATGATATACATCAACGGATTCCTTTCACCATACGAGATTGATTATTTGATGGACATGGCGTGCGTACTTCGCTCCCAGTGTCCTAGTAGTGGCAGCTATGCTTACACTTTGACCGTTCTCAAGTCAAGAAAAGGTCTATTACAATCGGACGGCCTCGAGAGCTTTCGTGGTCCCTAACCCTGACCCGGTCGGACAGTGTATCACGGCACGAGCCGAGAAGATCTCCGGGTTCCTACCGTGGGCGATATTCGAAGAACTGCAGGTGGTTCGGTACACCCCCGGCGAACGCCACGACATGCACAAGGACAACATGGACAGACCATTTCCCCACGAAGGTATCGGAGACAGGTGTAACCGTCTCCTGAGCTTTTTCGTCTACATCGGAGACCAATGTGAGGGAGGAGAGACGTATTTCCCTCATCAACTGGCGGCCCCTGACGATAGTGACACCGCCAAGTTCGGCAGGACCACCAAGAATAGTTCCAGGGGGCTCGTGGTGCGTCCCGTCGCTGGCAATGGTCTATTTTGGATCAATCTGAAAAAGGACTGGACCACGGACGAAAGATTGAAGCATGCCTCGTTGCCAGTCACAAAGGGGGTCAAGTATGGGATGAATATACTCGGAGAGGGATGTTATTAGAATGTACAAATTCTGTAAAGTTGTGTATGTGTCGTAGATATGCGTCTGAACAGGGTCGAAACGAACTCATCGAGGTGCATAAATTTCTATCTCTGGTACATGTAGTAAACAGTAGTTGCCCTGAGTTCAGTAGGGAATTCCACCTCGGAATGGAATGGATCGGATCCACTCAGTGTCGACAGTAGTATTACTGTAGGGAATCTCTTCTTAATGACCGACTAAAAAGTAAGCCGTTATAAAATCAGGGCTCGGAGGATCCAGTACCCACATACGTCTCTTCTTCAGTCACTTTGAGTGTTGTCTTCCTTTTCCTTTTTTTCTCAGGACAAAACATCATCATGGCAATTTTGCCCGTGAGTCCCGGTATCAGCTCCGAGCGAAGTTCATCTTCAAGCAACGACGATGCGCTCGACGAAGAAAAAGTGCAAAAAGAAAACTTCCGCTGGCATCGGTCAGGCAGGGCTTCCAAGACTGGCGAATGGGTCACAATCTTCGTCCTGATCGTTGTTCTGATCATGTCGGCCATGGTCTTTGTCACCAGCGACTGGCTACACCGTCGAAGCATTCACGTCCCTGACAACAATAACACTCTTTGTCGGAAGAATCTGAGACGAAACTGGGTTGAATTGAGCGTGGACGAGAAACACCAGTATATCGACGCTGTCAGTTGCCTTCGTCGAAAGCCTTCGCGGTTCAATTCAACCAACATGTCTTTGTACGACGATTTCCCGCGCATCCACGCCCGAGTTGGCTCATACGCTCATCAAAGTGCCCCCTTTTTCGCGTGGCATCGATACTTGATCCATCTCTACGAGAAGACTCTCCGGGAGGAATGCGAATACGAAGGGAACCTGGTATATTGGGACTGGACGCAGGATTGGGAGAAACCGTCGGCCTCCGTAATATGGGACGGCGAGGACGGGTTCGGTCGGAGCTTTCCCCAAACACCGTCTCACGACACATTCTCAGTCGGTGGTGACCGGTGTGTAGCGAACGGTCAATTTGCAGGGCTCCAAGTACATTCCTTTGGACCTGTCGATGAGTCGCACTGCCTGTCTAGGGGCTTTTGGGATAGAGTCGATTTTGACGTCCTCGGCAAGTTCCTCGATCCGGAGAGGGTCTCGAAAATCCTAATGCTTGACGATTATGAGGCATTCCTTCTTGCTCTGGAGAGCTCTGCGCACAATGCAATCCCTCAAGGGGTTGGCGGAGATTTTGCCTTTCATGCCGCGCCCTACGGTAAGTCTCGTTGCGAATATTCATAACTCGAGTGAAAGATTAAAAATTTGAATAGATCCGGTCTTCTTTTTGCATCACACTCAGGTCGATCGGTTATGGTGGACATGGCAGCAACGCCACCCCAATAAGAAATATGAGTACAACGGCGCCAATTCGCGAGGATCCAGCATCCCAGCGACTCTTGATGATGTTCTCGTCACTGGAGGCTTCGCAGATGATGTGAAGGTTAGAGAAGTGATGAGTACCGATGGGCCGATGATGTGTTATGGGTATTGATTGTCAGGTCTTAGCTTCAATCAGGTTCGAGAAGCCAGTTCCTAACACAAACTAGGTTTCGGCCGGGGGACTATGTATGGCTCGCTGGCTAATCTCTCGATAGTTTAGTGTCTCGAACTCATACATGAGACTGAAAGCAGGATCAAAGTCCATGGTGTCTGTGAGGAAAACGTCGCTTTGAGAGTCCCGTTGTGGTTCAGGCAAATCTGACAAAGTCGAAGATTGTTGTCTTTCCTGTGAGCTAGACATGACATTATCGTGTTCTATTGTTGCAGGCATCCCTAGAAATACGGAACCGGGCGAGTCATTTTCGACTCCCGAATCGTGCGGTTCATCTAGATTGTCTGATGCAATGCTGTAGCTGTAATCTCCGTACCTGACTTCAACAGGTCCTTGCTCATTGTCGGTCTGCAGCTCAATCCCAGATCTGTTCATAACATCCAGAGCAAATGCGATCACCAAGTCAACCCCAGGGTACATGTCTTGCATCTTCTGCAGCACCTTTAGGCAATATAGGATCGACTGGAGAGCTTGTAAAACGGTACCATGATGCCGGTGCTGAAGTCTCTTGATATGAGTGATTATGACGGGTAATTCCATGGTTGCAATAGTCGGATGAAGAAATCCTGCAAAGTCGAGATTGTAAAGCTCGCGGTTCGCGGCTGCCAATTCTATGCCAGACTCTTCAATCCTCTTGGATGATATCTGCAGAAATTTGGATGGTAACTTGTCGGTTGATGTACTGCGACGGTTGATCAAGGGGCGGTATAATGCAGACATGGTCGAAAAGAAGCTAAATTGTAGAAAAGCTTGGTGGACTGTGAGGATCGGAGTCGATATGGTACAATTTTGCAACGTGGTCGGCTGAAAAATCGTTGACAAAGGTCTAGTCTTATTCCAAGTTTGAAGATCTCGGTCGAGGAGTATGACGGACTCCAGTTGATCCACTCGAACGTTTGGCAGTAATATCGTCGTTGTCCTCCCGGTATGATCTTTGATGTGCTGCGCGGATTCGGTGCTGGGTATGAGCGAGAAGTGCAAATTAATGACCTTTCCAATAAGTACACTCAAGTGAGCCATCTCGATACACATCTCAGCGAGTGCTTTTTGATGCTCTCTGGTAAAGGCAAGGTCGTAGAACTCATCCGTGACAAGATCGTCGAGATCGAAATCGTTTAAAGTCAACATCGGCGTGTTGAATTCATCGTCTTTTACCCGAAGGGGACGACACATGCCGAGAGCTATCAGGCGATCCCTTATGTAGAATGACCACCATATTCTTTTTCGAAGGTGTATGTGGCGAGCAGGGAGTGTCGAATCCGATTCTCTGTGAAGTCCGAGGGTGAGTGCTAATGTATAGCAGATTCCAGTCCAGTGCCAGCCTCCCTTATTATCACCGGGGGCTTCTGCCCAGTAACTGAGAAGTAGTGCCGCCTGAATGACTGGAATGCGGTCACATTCGGCATCAAAATCGTATAATACCTGTTTCTGAAGTTCAGCGACATCACACCAATTAATCGATCACACTTACACGGGCTCTTTCATAAAATGTCTTTCTTGCAGCTCTTCTTGAGGAGAAGCCGGCGCTGTGGATTTCAGCGAGGTCAACAAATGTTACTCCAGTAAAAAAGACTGCTTGGAGAAGCAAGAGACTCATTTTCGGTGAAAAGTGAGATTCATGTCCACTGAGGCAACAAAGAAGTGTTCGTAAGTCGAGGAGCGGCATCAGAGGGTGAAAATATCGGACGTAGCTTCGGATCAATGCTTCGACAAAGGTTGGGGACGGGAAAGAAAATACGCCTTTCCTGGTCAGATAATCAATATCGTCGGAGGTAAGGTGAGACGAAATAGGCTTCACAAAAACCGGAAGACTGTCACTGTTCGTTTGCGGTGTATTTTGTTGAGATGATATGGTTAGTGGGGAGGAATTTTGATAAAAGTCTGTAGCATGATCCTGGCCCACGAAGGACGCCCAAGTCACTTCATTGTGTAGTCGATCAAGAGTGTCCATATCAACCATCTTGAGAAGGTCATGGACTTTGCGATCTTCTGGGACTTGAATCATCAGGATAGCGTCTGGGATAGGTCCGTATTGCACTTACCTCCTCTACCGGATGGTTTCCCCTCGAATAACCCAGGAAGAACGTGTTTCTCGGGCTCGAGGAGCCATTGTGTGGTATGCATCCTACGAGAAATTGGTCTGGCGTGGCCATCACAGAATCTCTCGACCGATGTGTGGGTTGAGTGTAAAGCATCATCGACTTCCTTAGATTTGGGGGTAGAAGAGTCTTTTTTAAAAGGTTTCCTGACGCTCATAGATTAGTATTTGTAGTATGTAGTTGTGACAACTCCCTAATGTACCTGCCCCTTCTACTCTTTTGAACGCGACAGTCGCCCCCATCAAGAGCACAATTTGTACAAGGAAGACCACGATGTTCGAAGTCGCATTTCACTTTGCGTGCTCGGCAACCCAGACAGGCCTTTCCAGCTCTCTTTGCAATGGGCCATTGATAATGAACGTCGGCCATGGCTAGTTACTGGGAGAAACAAGGCGAGATGGTGTATGAAAGGGCATCAGAACGCTTGATCAGTTCCAGACTCACCCCACCGTCGGACCGACTTGGATCGGGAGGAATGGAAACCGAGGCGCTAGGTCAAAATAGTCAGGCGTTTGAAGGGCAAGGCGCGGAGTACGGAGTACGTACAACGTGTACAGTCATTGACCCCACGGAGCCTCCAGCGTGTATGCTACAGGAGGCCGGGGTCTGAAGCCAGCTAGTGGTCTCGGGGGCGACGGTATTGGCTGGCTGAACTCGGCGCCAGGGTCCGAGTACTCGAAGTCACAATCTCGTGTATTGAAAGCCGAGAGGGAACCTCGGCTGGCTATACAAAATTAATCTCAAGTATCAAGATAAAGGCTACTCCGTACAATGATCAAACTACTGTGAAGAGGACGCTCGCCCACTATCCGATTTATGAATGACTGGTCGCCTTCCTCGCCTTGAGTCAGCAGCCGTTACATGATCCCTGATCCCTGGCTTGTCATACCATCTTCAGCCGGCCAACTTCACAGCCTTGGACGACACTATAGTACCATTGTCTCAGGCGAGGTCTCGTCACATACACCCTCTTATTATTCTGTGATAACATCTCGCAACCAGAATCGTCAGTATTCTCACGTAAAGCGCCCGGGCTCCGCGCCAATCTCGACTGTGGACTGCGACAAGGGTGGCCTAACTTGCTGACACGGTTCAAGATCTCCGTCAGTTGGTTCCACGCGTACGAAGCATCCAACACCCAAAATCTTTTCTTTCCTTCTAAAAGAATCTTCTCGATATCTGCAGCATCGAGCAAATCCATCCAGTCATCGCCATCAAAATGCCGTTTCTTGCTGATGCATCTGTACCCATCTCCAATAAAGACATCCTGTCGTGGATTTTTGACGAACCACTCTTTGATCAAGACAAGCCGGTAAGTCCGTCATCACAGGAACCCGAAATCAAACGTACCAACCATTGATCCCCTCCTCAGGTCTACATTAATGCGTCGAATCCATCCGAATCCATCTCGGGCAATCAGGCCAGGAAAATCATCCGACAACTTGCTTCTGGCTTCCACGCAGCCGGTATCCGACCTGGAGATTGCGTCTGTCTCCATGGCTTCAACAGTGTAGGTGAGACCATGGCGGACCGAACCTTTTGTTGCTGACCAATTCAGATACACTACTCGATGCTCTTCTTGGGCATCGTGGCCGTTGGCGGTTGCTTCGCCGGCACCAACCCTGCCTATACCCAATTCGAGCTCACTCACCATTTCAAAACATCCCGTGCGCGATTTCTGATAGTCGAACCCGAGTTGCTGTCGAACGTCCTTCCTGCTGCGAAGGATTGCAACATCCCAAGATCGAACATCATGATGTTTGACACACAGAACGAGAACATACCAGAGGGGTTTGTATCCTGGAGAAGCCTGCTGACCCACGGCGAGAGGGACTGGGTTCGCTTCGACGACGAACAGACGTCACGAAACACGACGGCCGCAAGACTTTACAGTAGTGGCACCACCGGTCTCCCCAAAGCCGCCTCGTTATCCCACTACAACTTTGTCTCCCAGCATACGTTGGTCTACGAACACAACCCGGCTCCATACGAGGTGGGTCCAGACGTTCTTCCGATGAAAATAAAGCACAACACTGATGATATCTCACCTCGTCACAGCCCAGTCGACTCCTATACCTTCCTCTCTTCCACGCGGCAATGGTTCCCAATGCTCACGTCACCCCTTTGCGGGCGGGGCACCTCACGTACGTCCTACGCCGGTTCGAGCTACAGCCCGTCTGCGAAGCCATCTCCAAGTACAGAACCACCGAAATGGTCCTCGTACCTCCGGTCGCGATGGCGATGCTGAAATTCCCCGGCATCCGCAACTACGATATGAGCTGTATCAAGTCCATCGCTTGCGGAGCCGGCCCCCTCGACAAGGAGCATCAGAATGCTCTTCTGAACATCGTCGGACCGGAAGCCACCTTTACACAAGTCTGGGGCATGACCGAGACCAGTTGCATCGCCACCAAATTTTACTATCCTGAAAGGGACGACACGGGCAGTGTCGGTAGACCGATGCCGAACTTGGATTTGAAGTAAGAGACCTGGCATTCTCTGTACCTCTCGTTGTTTTGTAGAGCATACTGATCCCGATGTTATCAGGTTGATCGATGATGACGGCAAGGACATCACCGCCTACGACACTCCCGGTGAACTTTGCATTCGAGGTCCGACCATCATCAAGAGTTACTTTGACAACCCAAAGGCGACGACGGAATCGTTCGACGACGAAGGGTACTTCAAGACCGGCGACGTCATGTACTGCAACTCCCAAACCAAGAAATGGTACATCATCGACCGCAAGAAGGAATTGATCAAGGTGAGGGGGTTCCAGGTGGCTCCCGCCGAGATCGAGGGCGTCTTGCTCGCTCACCCTCACATCCAAGACGCGGCCGTCATTGGGGTACAGAAGAAGAACGAGCCAGAGGTCGAGATGCCTCGCGCATACGTGGCGCGCAAATCGACTCCCGAAGGCAAGAAACTGACCGAGGCCGAGGTCAAGTCGTACTGCGACGAGAGGTTGGCCAAGTACAAGGCGTTGACCGGGGGAGTGCGCTTTGTCGAGGTTGTGCCACGAAACGCCACGGGCAAAGCTCTCAAGCGGGTTCTGAGAGAAATGGTCAAGGCGGAGGAAGGCAATGAGGCCAAGTTGTGAAGACTCTAAGAATACTAGAATTGAGATCACAAGTTCGACGAGTGGCAAGGTTTGCCATCATGGGTTGTTAGATTGTAGAGAGAGAAGCAAAAAAGAGATTCGACCACGTACGGAGTAATGGGAAATGATATGGTACTCCGTAAATACTGCGGGTTTGTCCGGCAAATGGAAGACGTTTTGTATTGTCCCTTGCAAAAATCCGTAAATCGGAAAGATCTCGTAACAGCGCACATCGCTACTAAGTACGCATATTGTAACTCTCATATTGCAGCCATAATAGCGCTAAATTCTATTAACGAATATAAGTCTGTAAAATTTAAAGAATACGCGAAAAGGGAGGGCATAAATATAACTTATTCTGCTCCTTATATCTTATTTCTCGCCCACAGAGTCTCTAACTTTTTTTCCCGGGGCGCTTCTACAATACAGTATCTCGTATAGGAGTTTGTATGTTCCCGTCCCCAACGAACGCTAGTCTCGTATTGGGGCCCCTGACTCGACCACATAATGGCTCCGCAGAGGAGGCGAGGATTTTGCGCGGCAGGTGACAATCTGGAGGCGAAGAGGGCGAGGGAGGAGAAGTCTCTTGCGGAATGTGGTCGGCTGGCCCTGGACGACAGTCCCGAGGTTGCTGAGTCGACCGAAAAGCTGCGGAAGGGGCTCGTGATGGAATGGAACGAGTAGGCGTACGGCGCCAACTTAGTTGTCCGCCTTCCCCATCTCAGCCTTCACCCACCCCTCGAGTCCACCAGCAGCAATAATCTCCTGCACGTTCGCCGGCAGCTCGCCCACGCGCTCCGTCCACACCGCGCCGCCGGGCCCTTCTTGCACTTCCACGACACTGTGCCCCACGTCCCACGTCAGCGTCCAGCCGGTACGGCGCGTCAGGTGCCTCTCGTGAGGTGCCACAGGGGCCGGCGGCTTGGGGTTGAGGAACTCTTCGTTCGTGGTGGGTTCAGGGACTACGGGATTAGAGGACGAGGACGAGGACGAGGAGGAGGTGGTGGTGGTGGTGGATACGGAGGTAGAGGCAGACTCAGAGGAGAAGTGAGACCGCAAGCGTTCGACAAGGCGCGGCACTTCCAATCCTATGAGCGCGTTGTTGATGCTGTTTCGCGCGAAGATATTGCTGAAGCTGCCGGCGACGACGAGGGGGATCTGCTTTGCGAGAATCGCTGTCGCCGCTTGTTCTCTCGACGAGCCGACGCCGAAGCTCCAACCTGCCACCAAGATGTCGTTGGGTTTGGCGATGTTATTGAACTCAGGATCGTAGTTTTGCATACACGCGCGCGCCATGTCCTCCTTGGACACGTCATCCTGGTACGTGAGCGTACCGGGGTATATTCCATCAGTATTGATGTTGTCGGCGTCGCAGAAGACAATCTCGCCGCTGATCCGCTCAGGGAAGCCCGGCAGGATTTGGACGGCCGCTTCAGAAGCATCTACGGCTGTTTCCGCCCGCTCGATCACTGATTCCATCTGCTGCAATAGGTGGTCGAGCTTGTGCTCGGTCGTGGGCAGTATCCCCGTGCCGAACCCGTGCTCCACGCCAGACCAGTCTGTCGGCACCTGGTACGCGCCAGGGCCGGAGATGACGCCGCTTAGGGCGCTGGCGGCCACGACCTCGGGACTTGCAAGGTACGCCTGCGCATCCCGCGAGCCCATTCGCCCTTTGAAGTTGCGGTTGCTGGCGCTGATCCCGACTTCGCCTGGTTCTAGCAGGCCGGTTCCGAGCCCAATGCACATCGCGCATCCGGCAGGCAGCGGCTGCGCACCGGCGTCCAGCATGGCTTGCCAATCACCCGCGGCTTCAGCGACTTCCTGCTCCGGAGCGGAAGCCGCGGCAATATAGAATTGCACGCCATCGGCGATCTTTGGGATAATACCGGAGTTCGCTTTAGCGGCGTCTTTAAAGACTTTAGCAGCGGCCGCGAGATCTGACGCGCGTGAGTTGGTGCAAGAGACAAGATATGCGCGATTGATTTTGATTCTCTGTGGCGCGAGCTCATTGAGAGGCGTTACAACCTTGACGGAGTTGGGGCCGGAGACGTAAGGCGATAGTGTGGAGAGATTGAGGTAGAGCTGCTTGGCGTACACCGCGTCGCGATCAGCAGTGAGGCGGTTCGCGAGCAGCTCGTCTACCTTCTGGTGGGTGATGCGTTGTCGGGTTGTTCGAGTATCCAGCATCGCCGCCTCCGTAGCCTTATTCCGCAGCCAGCGCTCCAGCGTCTGGTCGATCGGGAACAGACCAGCGAGTGCTCCCCATTCGGTCGTCATGTTGGCGATGGTCAGCCGGCTGTCCACGAGCAAACTGGCCATGGTCTCCTCTGAACCGGTGAACTCGATGGCGTGGTTAAGCACCTCATCCTTGTCAAATAGCCCGCACAATGCGACAATTACGTCCTTGCCCGTCACGCCAACCGGCAGCGTCCCCGTAAATGTCACCCGCGCAATGGGCGGGATCTGCCACCACGTGCGACCTGTGGCAAACACACTCGCGGCATCTGAACGCACGATAGGGGTACCGAGACAGTTAACACCACCATAAGTATTTGTATGGCTATCCGATGCCACAACAAGTGTGCCCGGCCATGCATATCCTTCTTCAACCATAATTTGATGACCGATTCCCCGCCCTGCTGGATAAAAGTCAATGCCGTGCTTCTTTGCAAACTCCTCTATTTGTTGGTATTTTTTAAGATTCGACTCGTTTCTATTCTGGATATCGTGATCTAAAGTCATAACAATCTGCCTGTTATCGTGAATCTTCGATGCTCCCATGGACATGAACTTGCGGGCGACGGGCCACGAGTTATCATGTGTCATACAATAGGATGGTGCAAGGCTGACGTAGTCGCCAGCCCTAACGAGCTTTCCTTCTGGTAGGCCGACGGCATAACGTTGTACAATTTTTTCCGTCAAGGTCTGCGGAGTCTTCGGTTGTCTTTTCAAAGAGGTGAGGAAAGCCGAGTTAGAAGGATCCTCAAGCTGGGCGTGGAAGGCTTCGGCTCGATAGGGAGTTTTCGTGCTCAGATAGCGGGACCGCGAGTGCGTAGAGACATGTCGCAACTTCTGCATTCTCATGCTCTGAAGACCGCACTGGAGGCGCCCCAAAATAAGCGCGCCCATGCAGGTTTTTGGGGCACACCTAGTAGATCAAGAATAGTCAGATCTCATAGAGCAATAAGCAGAGGAAGGACAACTCACTAATCACGACCTCGTTGTGCTATGATTAAGACGACTGGTAAGTACTTGGAGACGTCGCCACTCTCCTCACGAAGGAGTGAGATCGAACAGGGTGACCTTGACAAGAGATCTGGTGCCGGGCCTCAGTTATATTATTATTCGGACCGCGGTCAAAAAGAGAAGCTGTTGGCTGGGTTCAGCAGTGTGAGTGGGAAGGATTGTTGACTGCACAACGTTTGAGGAGCCACAGACTGAATTTATCTGCTGCTTTGGGCCTTGGCGCCTCTTTCTCCACGGTCGGGGACAGGACATTGGGGAATCCTTATTCCGACAACGACTTCTCGTCGCCTACAGACTCACTTTACAATCTTTAGACTTTTAGACAGAAAGACCCAAGGCGTAAGATTCGAATTACTCTGGACGTCGTTCTTTTTACTTTGTGGGTATCAATCGGTTCCCCTTTTTTAAAACCCGGCGTATCCAAACCAAATGGCCCACACGGCGGCCATCACTGGCCCCTTTGTGCGAGTCACAAGACAAGAAGAACTCGTCAACTTTGCTCAAGTGCTGGCTGGAGCGTTTTCCAATGATAGATTGAGTCGGTATTTGTATCTCGGTCGAGAATCTAGACCCGATCATCCGAAAAATTCCCAACACGACGAGAGAGTGAGGTACTGGTTACCTGCCGTCCAGAGTCGGTTCGAAAAGGATTCTTTATTGTTGCAAAGTTTCGATTGGGCCGCAGTAGCATTGTGGTGAGAAACAAGTCCTCTCTTTGAGTCCTTGAGGCTTCAGGGCTCGGTGTATCCTCGAGTGTTAATGTCACCCTAGGATCCCACCTGGAATTGAAAAACCGAATCCATCAGCGACGGCCACAGAAGGGGCTTTTGAATACAAAACCAAAGTCGACCAATGTAAAAAGAAACACCTCGGCAATTCACTGCATTGGAATCTCAATCTCGTGGGAAGAATGCCGGATAGAACGGACAAAGGTACGTTCACCATACGTGAGCATTTCAGATTAGGGAGAAGAGTCATTTATTTTATAAATGTATTGACACATGTTATCTTCAGGAGCCATTCGAGCATTAATCAGTCCGATTTTGGAAAAAGCGCGTCAAGATGGATTACCGGCATGGCTCGAAGCCACCAACGAACACGCCAGGGCCGTATATACCCATCTCGGCTTCAAGGAAGTAGATCGGTTCAGGATAGGCGAGGGCGTGATCAATTCGGAAGGTTGGGCTCAAGAGAATGGGGAGGGTGTTTTGATATACGCCATGATTGCTGGTTTATGATGTTGAAAAGTATATACACACATACACATACACATACACACCATAAACTCGAGTTGTCTCTGATATGCTATGATTGGAAAGAAAATAGAACATAGTATCCTAGCTTTGTCACCCGTGTCCAGACCGATTTTTCCGTCCTTTTCCATCTCCCAGGAAGTACTCTTCACACTACCATCTCGGTCGCAAGGTACAATCTATAATCTTCGATAGCCGCCAGTCGATGTGGCAGAGCCGTCTCTTTGTATTCCTCACACTCGATGACTTTTCGGAACGCCGCGAAATTCGGATAATGAATGATGCCGACCATGTCAAAGGTCTCGTCACCACCGTAAGGCTTCGCAATGATGTTTGCTTGGATGTTGCCCAAGAATAACGGCTTGAACTTGTCTTCCGGGTTCGAAGCCATCGAAGTTGAGATCCGACTGAAATTGGCAATGTAGCGTGAATAGTAGGCCTCGTGACCCGGGATGGACGTGTGAGGAGATCCCTCCGGGTAAGTCGCTTGTTCCTTGAACTTGATCAGGTTCACCATGACGACGGGTTTGTCTGCAGCAATAGATTTGGCGGTCTCGGCGAGGTCGACCAGTTTGATTTCAACGAGACCCATGATTGACTTGACTTTGGTAGGAGAGTTGAATGGTGTTCTGATGTGGGAAGAACGAGGAGAATGACGGTCCTGTCTTTAGGGGCTTGTTGGACGATTTTGTATGGGAGTGTGAGACTTGATTTTTGGTAATAGTATATCATATCTCGCTCTTGATCCAGAGGGAAGAGGTGTTTTATATACACATACCTTGCACTGCATCACTGGCACGACTTACAAATAACGTCCGTATTCTTCAAAACTCTAGGTGTGGCATCTTTGTGTAATGAGTTTCTACTAGTCGTTCTTCTCATTGACTTGTTACGCATTCTCAATCGGATAGAAATAAGGTAAGCGAGGATCCCAGGCATAAGCCGTAAGCCATGCAGGGTCCATAATCCATAAATTCATAAGCCAGGCGGGTCGGCGAGGCTGATTTAAGCCTAATTAAGTCCTTTGATTCAAGCCCGCGCCCAATTGTCGTACTCTTCGCCTTCCCTCCTACACTTGAGCACATTCACACAAAGTAGAAAGTCGAGCTAGCGCACTTGCAAATATTTCATCGACGATATTGGGGATACAACTCCTTCCTGACTACTTTCTCATCATCCCACGCGATCATGGCTCCTGGCCAATGGCAAATCTTGTGCAGCGGCGACACTTCCCTGTCTACAAAAAAACTAGCCGGCCTGATGATACCTTCCGACCACGATTGATATCTCACGTGGATCATCTCCGAGCTTATGACCGTACTTTGGCTGCTTCGGTTTCGTAAGATGAAATTTCATTTGGCTGTTTGATGGAGATTAGCACGGACTCGAACTTTTTGTTGGCAGTGACATTGATATTAGACCGAGCCTTACCTGGCAACAACGCCTTGTCGACCGCTGTCTGAGTCCTTTGCCAGCATGGCAAACATTCAACCTGCTCCGTCATCCAACGTTCCAAGTTTGGGTACTGATCAAGCGGCAACCGTGTGGCTTTGTGGAGGTGCATAGGTGCAGCCACCGCAATGTCTGCGATGGTCACGTCATCGCCAGTGAGCCACTTGGTCTTTGCCAGTTGGTCGTCAAGGATCTTGGCCGACTTGTGCCAGTTGGGAGCTTCGGCATCGATGGCGGACTGGTCTGGTTCGGCACCGAGCAGTGGCTGCACGACGTACTGGACCAGATACACATAACAACTTTGGAACCAGACAGATGCTTCCCAGAGCAACCAACGATTGACGGCGCAGCGTTGCTTTGCGTCTTTGGGGTAAACAGATCCGTGGTCCTCGGCTATGTATTGCAAAATGGCATTCGACTCGGTGATTGTGAGGTCGCCATCCTTCGCGGCTGGCAGAGTCGCATGTGGGTTGATCTTCTTGTACTCTTCACTCTTCTGCTCGCCTTTGAAGTAGTCGACGTGGTTGAGATGGTACTCAGTCCCGGTCAGATCTAGGCCAGCCAGGACCTTTCTACTGTTGACCGTACACGGATCAAGATATACTTCGAGCATGTTGATGGGGTAAATGATGGTGTAGAAAGGTTTTGTTCTCACAAATTACCTGTCACAGGCTCATGGGGTGGTCGGACTAAAGATTCACACTGTGTTGAGAGCATGAGACTTGACACCTTTTCACGGGATCGAATTGTCTCGCTTCATATACCTGATTTCTATCTTGCATAACCCCGCGTTGTGGCTTGGTTTGAGATCTCGGTTCGAGGGAACCTTAATGTTGGAAACCGAGCTAGGATCTGATCGAAGACACATAAACACTGTTCCCGACCGCGGAGGTCATGCCCGGTGATTGGACGACTTTGAGAGCCATATGAATCTAGGCCGTCTGTATGTGAACAATGTGACAAGTCAAAGACCGACAAGGCGAAAGTAATGGGATCAGCTTGATGATTCCTACGAAGGTCAAGGCAAGACTCGTCGCCCAAGACGTAGTGCCGAAGAAGCCTGGCATTATGACCTGTGGAGGTCGATTCGACCAGTTGCGGGTGCCGGGGACGTTGTATCGGTCGAAGAAGCGCTTTAATATGCAGATGAGACAGCCTCTCGGCGGATCAATTTCCAGTTTTGGTGACTGGGAGTCTCTACCTGGTCGATCGCACACTTTATTTGGTGAAACAGTGGGAGGTGGACGAGTATTCGACATCAACTCGCAGTATCGAGGGGAGTCCACAAGAGTTGCCACCAGCCAGAGGTAATCGAGGAGATAGTAAGACAGAGAGGATGTATGAAGAAGTCAGGATTGACCAAAACAGTCCGATATTGCAAGAACGCTCAATCTCAATTTTTAGTTTCTTCGTCTTCCCCTCGTGTTTCAAAGCCCATACTCGTCCGCCAGGTCGACCCAAGCGTCGACGATCCTGTCCACGTCGGTTTTCTTGATGGGGATGCGATGAGGCCCGTCCCACTCGACGAGCGTCGCCGTGCCAGGCGCACAGTAATCCTCCACGAGCCGCCTGTGGAGGTGCAGGCCTTCGTCCTTCAAGCCGTGGACGTGCAGCGTGGGGACCTTGAGTTTCATGTCCGGCCGTTCGTGGATGCTGTCGAGGTCGGCCGCGTCCGCGAGTCCCCCGGCCGACTGCATCCAGGGGAACCGTTCGGCCTCGTCACTCAGGCTGACCATCGGGGCGCGACCGGCGAGGATGACGGCGAACCTCCAGGGCCCGTCCTTACCCTCGAGTTGCTGTTCGTAGAGCAAGCTCGCCGCCAGTTTCGCCCCTTGGCTGAACCCCAGGACACCCACCCACTCCCCGGTGCCTTCGTCGCTCTCCATACACCGCTCCACGGTGTACTCGAGTTCGTAGGCGCACGCGCCCGGGTCGATCTCCGGGTGAGAATCGAGCCATCGGAACCAACGTCGAAAGGGACCCCAGTCGGAATAGACGGGGTGGACGCCCACGCCCTCGTCGCAGAAAAAGGGCGCGTCGACAAACACGAACCGGAACCTGGTTTTGAGCCTGTCGTGGTTCAGAAACGCTCTGAATTGGGCCTTGAATATCGCCGCGTTCACACCTCCTCCGTGGAGACACAAGATGCGTGGGAGATTGAGTGTCGGATCTGCCATTGTTGTGTCTCAAAAACCAAAAACGAACATGGGCAAGAAAATTGCCGCGGTGATGTCTCGTTGAGTTCCTAAGCTCTTCTTCTCAACGTTGGCGCGAGTCAGTGAATCTAATTAACAATGATGCCAATCGTACCGCAATATGTACCGGCGAGAGAAGCCACCGAGAAAGATTGAGAAGCTGAATATATGTATGTACGGAGTAATGTGAGATGTTGTTGATGCTGATTCAGGCCCGCTAGACTTTATCACTCTGAACCCACCGGCTCTAAAAATAGGCGAGGCTGAAGATCCATAACGGCACGAAGGGGCACTCGCTGACCGTGACTGAAGAAGAGGCTTCATCTCATGCACCTGTGCTTGAACTCTTCGTTCGAGAGTCGCTCAGATCGCACTTTCTGTGTCTATCGAATGCTCATCGCGACTCTACGGGAAAGCTGGCTTTGCCGTCCTATGCACTTCGCAAAGGTATAACGACATTCAAATCAAGATGGAGTACCCATCTACGTTTTTGAACATGCTATTTGTTTCCTTTTCCTGTCCCATTGATGTCATCAGCCTCAGCATCCTCGAAGAGGCCTCCTGATTCTCCATGGCTGTGTGTATCTGCAGGTCAATCTCATGCCTGGCGCGCCTGCCACATGTTTCGCAAGTGCTCCCTGATGACCTTTTTCGCTTGCTATCTATTCACCTCACTCTCGGATTCAGGACAGAGGTAACCTCTGTATTGCGTCTGCGCTGTTATCGACTTCTGATAAAGCGTGATTTGAGGGTAGAGCAGGCGCCATCAAGTGAGATTTCGGCCAGCTTGTAGTAATACCCTCAACATGCGGTATCTGACACTCGCTTGTGCCCGTTGTATATTTGTGACAGGCACTCTCACAGATGGTGCGGTAAACCCATGCAGGCTTTAGCTCCTCGAAGCAGAAACCCTGCCAATGCTTCTTGTGTGACAGCATCTCGTGCTCGAAACTTTGGATATAGTCTCCCCTTTCTGAACGTATGGCGAAACTCATCCGGGCGGGAGCTGAACCATGTACTCCCTCGTAGAATGGCCAAACTTGATCACATCCTTATCCCTCAACTCCATGTACCTTCCCTCAGGCACCGGTTCTTCGTTCAGCGTGGTCCCATTGCCACTCTCAAGGTCGATAATATATGGCCTGACCTTGCCGATCTTGTCACCGAATTCATTTCTTTTCTCAATGTGTCGAAACTGGATGACAGCGTGTTGCTTCGAGCAACTCGGATGTTCCAGCGCGTAATCACACACCGAAACTTCTCTCCCAAAGAGCCAGCATGACTGCGTGTACAAATCGAGTGTGTCTAGAATCTCTTCTCCCTTGAAAACGTACAGTCTCCAACGCTGCGAGGACGGAGGCTTTCGCGCCTCGGCAGGTTCGTGGTATTTGAGGACAATATTCCCAGAGGACGTGGCGATGGTATTGGAGGCCGCAGCGAGTAGACCGGAAGGACGAAAATTGGGTTTCTGTTTCTCGGGACCGGGCGACAGCGAACCCGTGTCCCCTCCTTTGAACGCGTCGGCCTGTGATGGGAGAGGCCCTCTGCGCTGCAATGGGCCTGATGTCTCGGGGGACCGTCTGCGCGGTGAGCGGGATCGTTTCCTGTCGCGGTCCGCCCTGTGTCTGTCTTGTCGAGACCTTGGTTCCTCACGAACCCTGTGCCTGTCGTGAGGGCTCCTGGGTCTTCCTCTGTCTCGATCTCTTCGGCCTCTTCCCTCTGAACTCTCTTCTCTTTTCCGTCGGTCCCTGTCTCGGCTTCTCGACCTCCTCCGTGGTCGGTCTCTTACGTCGTCCCGACGAGAATCGTATCGTGAATCTCTCTCACGCCGTGGAGGAGACTGGGAGTCCGAGGAAGCCATTTGTGCAACTCGGTCGAGGGATTGGAGGGCGGGGAAGGAAAAGATGCTCAAACGTGCTCAAAAAATCACGAGTTGCCATCGGCGAAAAGATTCCCACCCTGAAGCCCGAAGAGAAGCCGATGAATGCATTAATGACATGCTCGATTTCGCCCTCCCCGCTGCGAGACCTTCATGCTCGTATGACCTCGTCCCCTATTCTATCTTCCCATCAACAATGCTTTTAGCACCTCGAGATGCCTTCCTCACTGCTCAAGAAGACGACTTTCCCCACTCTGTACCACTCGTTACCCTGCTGCTGCACTCGACCTTCGCCGTCGCCACGCAAACGAGTCAAATCCGACGCGGACGCGGTTCCGCGGGTCACGCAACGAAGATGCTATGCCGACGTGAAGCATGGCTATGAATTCCGCGACAACATGAATTGGCCATGTCGACACGTCAAGAGCTCACCGTCGTGGACACCCTCACCGTATGAGATCTTTGACCTGGCCAAGGACGGGATCTACACCAAGCACAAGTTCTACGAACTGGTGAAGATGTACCACCCCGACCGGCACGGTCACATGTCCTTTGAAGGAATCACGCATCATGAAAGACTGGAACGATACCGCCTCGTGGTGCAGGCTCATGAGATCCTTTCGGATCCGGACAAACGACGAGCCTATGACGCCGCGGGCGTCGGCTGGGGAAGTGGTCGCACCGCCACCAGGCATTCTCGAGGCTTTTCCAACGGCCACGGCAAGAAGTACGGCTACGGCCCCAACGACGACTCGACGATATTCCAGAACGCAACCTGGGAGGACTGGGAGAGGTGGTACCGACGGCACGACAACCCCCACAAGCAGGAATATTCCGGCAGCTTCGTCCATCCGAATGCCTTTGCGTCCTTTGTCATCCTTTTCGCCGTCATATCTGGAGTCTTTCAAGCCACTCGAGCAGGCCAGTACTCTGGACAGCTGGAGGAAAAGGTCCGAGAACAGACGGCGGAAACGAGGAACTTTTTGAACGCCAGGGAGAACCACTACCAACAACATCAACTCGGCGTCGAGGGGCGAATTAAACACTTTTTGGAAAAGAGAGATCCGTCAAAGTATGGGTTGAAAGATGAAGAAGAGGAAACATATCGGCATCACTTTTCGAATTCAGGCATCATGGAGCCGAAGCCTCGTTTAAAGAACCCAGAAGCTGGGTAAGGAGACTCTGGAGTGGTGCAGAATAGGAGCACATATTGCTATTCTTTACTGTACATATTGTTTGCTCGACTTTAGAAAAAGTCGGGCGATGCTTTTTGGTGGTTTGACGATCATTATGATGATGATGATGTTGACGACGATGATGATTTATTGTACAAGAACGCCAGCCTTTTTTTTGACACCCCATTCTTGAGCGATTGCATTTTTCTTTCTGACTGAAAACTCAACAGACACCAATGTGATCACGACATCTTTCCCTTGATTTCTTCTGCCTTGCCCTTGGCCTGTCCGGAGAGTTCGTGGGCCTTTCCTTTGGCTTCACCTGCCACTTCGGAGGCCTTGCCCTTGGCCTTGCCACTTTCGACGCCGGCGGCTGATGCTGCTTTGTCCTTGAGTTCGACTGGTTAAGAAGGGTTGGTCAGTCACAGGGTTGTCACAAGGGAGAACAGAGACAGGGAGAGGGTAGACATACTTCCTTTGTCGATGCCGGCAACAGCGGCGTCAGATACAGCTCGGTCGACCGTCTTCAGACCATCTTTGGCGGCATCGACGGGACCCTTTTGTTGGCTCAAGGTCGTGGAAAAGAGACGAGGTGACTGAGTGAGGACCGAACGTCGGACAGAGGTGCGGAGGGCGGGTGTTGCTGTGTAGAGGAAAGACATTTTGAGGTTGAGACAATTTGTTTCAGTGTGAGAGTGACTGTGTGTAGAGTGTGGTTCGAAAGTAGTGTTCTAGGTTGTCAGGATGAAGTGTTTTGAAGGTATGAGGATTTTGTATGAGGGAATAAATGGTCAATGAATGGGAAATGATTGTGAGTGACAACATTCAGGACCCTTTTTAACTGGGAGTTTCTCCTCCTTGAACTTGCTGGCCGACGTCACTATTGCAACCTGCGATCGATGCATTGTGTTTCTGTCGCTACAGCATCACAAGCAGCGACAAAACCCCACACCCAACGCCACTTACGGCCCTGATTTCCGGGGTACAACAAGTATTACAAGCCTGATGTCACTGTGCATTTTATCACTTTTACTTGGGTGCGAGTAGAAGAAGTACCCAAGGTGTACCCAAGGTGTACCCAAGGTACGAGTATACCCATGAAGACTCTGGTTATACGAGTATGAGACCACCTACGAAATTGGTCTCACATGCTGATCATCGCCAGTACACTAGATACATGTACTTTATTCTCGTCACCCATTATATCGCAAGGCAATCATCATTTTCATCATTCCACAGTGCCAATTGCTACGGAGTAAAAATATCGCTAATTTCAATCCTCAACCAAGGTACTTGAATTCTCCAGTTTCAAGTACAAGTGACAAGCACAAATAAATGTCCACAGACCCTGCAAACATATATCACTACCCAAGGTACTCCTTACCTCAGGTAGTAGACCTGTAAAAAAAACATGAAACCCCCCCAAATCTAAACCTCGTGTTCATAAGGAGTTTGTTGATGGACACACATCACCCACTTTCCCGCCTCCGGGTCCTTTTGCCACGTACTCGAGATCAACGCCCGGAATTCATCCTGCCTCTCGTCGTCGTCGTGCGTGATGTGCTGCCTCGTCGCCTTCACCCGGTACGTGATGATGGCCGCCTCGGTGCCCAACGGTCTGACTTCCACCTCGCTCAGTCGGTACCTCCTCCACGGCACGAAAGCCTCCGATTTCAACACGTCTTCCAGACTCGGCTCGCTGCTCGACGAAACCTTCAGGCCCATGGGGAACAGCATGACACAGTCGGCGCTGAGGAACGGGAGGAGATCGGCGCCCGTGTGCATCAGCGCCCGCCACGTCTTGTCTTCCAGGTCGAGAATCATCTCGGTCAACATTGACGGGTCCATTTTTCTTTTTTGGTTTGTTTGTTTTGGCTTTGCTCGTATCTTTTGAGATTGATATGCTCGAATTGATATCAGGTCGAGGAGTTTGATGTTTTGAACGATATTGAAATCTCTAAAGAGTCTTTGATTATACGTGCTGCCTGGACACTGGAAATCGAAATCTTACAACCAAAAAAACCCCATGGCCTGATCTCTGTATGACAAGCCAAGCGTCCTTTCCATGCATCCATCTCGCATATTCCCGGCAATTATCGGTCGTAATTTTACTGTAGAAAGTCACCACCATATGTACAGCATAACCTCGGTCTAACTCTTTGATTTTCTTTACAAGGTGCTACGTCGTTGTAAACATCAACTTTTGTTGTCCTTCACCGGGTGAAATCTATAGATTTTCTATACCACCAAAGGATCTTGGGACGAAGCAGGATACAGACGCGGAATTGCTCGTGGGAGGTTGGCACCAACATTTGAGTCCTGCCTATATCAATCTCTCCATACAAGATTACCTGGTCTACGTTCATTAGAAAAAAAGAAGTACGACAACATTCTACGACTGAACAATCCCTACTTGGTATTTCTTTCAGCCGACGACAAGACACCCACCCAGTCTGCCATTCATTGATTACCCAGACTCTGTGCTGTCTGGACACGTTTGATACCCAAACAACCCGGAACACCACATCAAATCACTTTCCAACCATGGTCTCGACCACGACCTTTTCACTCTCACGAATGGGAGCAAGATTCATTCTACGCCCACTTGCACCGACGTCGACATCAAAAATCAACACACCGTCCGTCCGATACTACGCGGCCTCGAGTTCAAGTACGAGTTCGAGCGGCTCGGACTCCCCCATCAAAGTCCTCACCCACCCGGCCCCTCACAACGGACACATCAAGATTCTTCTTCTCGACCGACCGGCGTCACGCAACGCCCTCTCTCGACGACTCATCACCGATCTCCGTTCCCAAATCTCCCGAATCCAATCCGAGCATGAAGCCGCCGCCTCGAGACAATCAGCCTCACGGTCCAGCACCGCCGCCGCCGACCCGACGCGAGCCCTGATCCTCGCCTCTTCCAACGACAAGGCGTTTTGCGCCGGGGCAGACCTCGTCGAGCGGAGAGGAATGACGGCCGAGGAGACGCGCACCTTTCTGTCCGACATGCGGTCGACCTTTGCGGCTCTCTCTTCTCTTCCCATCCCGACCGTCAGCGCCGTCTCCTCGGTCGCCCTCGGCGGGGGGCTCGAGATCGCCCTGTGCACCACCTTCCGGGTCTTCGCCACCACCGCCGTGGTCGGCCAGCCCGAGACGAAACTGGGCATCATCCCGGGCGCCGGAGGCACCTACCGCCTCCCCGCCCTCGTCGGGCCCAACCGGGCCCGGGACCTCATCCTGACGGGCAGAAGGGTGAGCGGGGAGGAAGCTTACTTTCTCGGTCTCTGCAATCGACTCGTCCAGGTCGAGCCCCGAGAGGACGCGACAACGAGCAGTAGCACCGCCACCACCACCACCACCCAAGAAGGAGAATCAGGTCTGGCTCGCAAAATGGTCCTCGACGCCAGTCTCGACCTGGCCCGCCAGATCTGCGAAGGTGGCCCGATCGCGGTCACCCAGGCCATGCGGGCCATCGACGGTTGGACGCGGGGGGAGGCGTCGGAAAACGAGGCCTACGAGGTCGTCCTGGCCACCGAGGATCGACTCGAGGCCCTCAAGGCCTTTGGGGAGAAGAGGAAGCCCGTCTTCAAGGGACGCTGAATGATGTCTCAGGAGGTACTATGTACCTCTGCTCCAAGAAAAAACCTTGACTTGCCCCCAAACCTGGTTGGATAAAGCAACAACACATTCCCCGGGCATCGATCTAGATGTCTATAAGTGGCCTCGTGTCTCTTGTCATGGCTATAAATAGCACCCTGACACACACACGCAAACACATGCAAAGAAAAAAGATTAAATACTCGAAATGTAAGTGTGAATGGTATACTAGAATAGATCATCTCAAGTTACCTTTCACAAACAGATCGCACCCTCTGCTCGACATGCTACTTCGTAACCCACTATTTCTATATACATCATACTTGGAACCTAGTAAGCGACTGTATCTTTTTCCCGCTTCAAAAACCCTGCACAGCGAAAATCAACCGGCCCTTGGGTTCCCGGACTGAACCCAATACAAAAACGATAGCGACGGCTAGTAATTGGTATCATAAAAGACATCAGATCAAAAATGTAGGAGAAAACGCCACAGGAATGCAAAAAAGGCGCTGCGAAATGGGGCGTGCAGTATGTACGAAATTCGGCCCGCGGCAGAATACATGGACCTGAACCCCGTATCGACACGGATCGAGACATCAGGTTCAAGTCATCACCCACTCTGTCCCTCTTTTGACAAACTTGTCAACCATCAACATTAAATCTGCCATCACAAAACGAATAACGTAGAAGGCGAAGAACTCGGCCGCGTTCTTCACTCCTAGCTCCAACCCGACTTGGGTCTTGTTGCTGCATTTCAGGCCCGGGTCTTCCACCTGTCTTGCGATCCCATCCAGAACCTGTGCTGCGTCAAAAAGACGCGCGAGACTCGACATGTACATTGCATGACTGGGCTGGATACTGGACAAGGCAGACGGGGTGGGTGGCGGCACGATCTTCCGATTGTGGTGTGAACGAGAAGAGTGAACCGAACTGGACGAAGTCATTGGCAGGGTCGCCATGGTCAAGCCTGGCGTAGATACATCTTTTGATCCATTCGACCCCATGGCCGGCGTACTTGACTTGGATCGAAGTTTCCGCCAGCTCGAGGCAAATGTCTTGGTAGCAGCATTGCCGGACTTGCCTTCCTGTTCTTCCTTTCCACCTTTGAACATGCCGGTGGATCCCCCAAATCCAACATCACTGCCAATCTTCTTCAGCAGTGTGATCCGCACTTGATCCAAGACGGTCTCGAAAGACTGCAGCTCTTCCAGCATCGCGTCCGCATCGAATGTGTCCACCTTGGTGAGTTTCAGGAGCGCCGCAGTTAATAGATCACATTGCGAGACCTTGTCCTCGATAGCTTTCAACTTGACATTTCGGACACGCCAGATATCTCGAGAAATGAACAGTTTTGTCGTCAGATATCCACCCCGAGGGTGAGCGAGAGTCTGGTACAAACATCGCATCAACCAGAATGGGCGCAGTAGTGAAGACTCGGGACAGGGCTCAAGTGACTGGGGCGGCGTCACAGACGCACTCGGAGTTCTTGAAAGTTCAGGAGAAGTGGGACCTCCGGTGTGATCGTCAAAGAGGTACATGCCCCCGGATTGGAGAAGATTAGGCCCGAATGCAGCAGTGGATGGGGTTGGCAATGCTGCGGAAGGCAGGGGCGGTGGAATTGTCCTCCCTTCACCATTGGGACCGGAACTGCCTGGAGTCACGGGAGACTCATTGTTTGTTTCAGTCGTGGCTATTGACAGATTTCTCATCCTGAGACTCGTGGATGAATGGTTTTTCTTGATTCCACCCTGCGGCGATACCATCCTCCCCAGTCTCGAAGGCGATGGGGGGATCATGGATTCCTCGAGACTCCCTTGGGAGCCACCCTGCGTCAAGGCTGGAGTCGATGGCGATTCGCTTTGGAAGGATTCCATTGACGGCATCGTTGTCATCGGTGGTGGGGGTTCTCCTCCAAGCGAGTTGGTGGCTTCTAACGGTGCGGTGTGAGGTATCTTCTGGGCCACAGACGAGGATGCTTGAACAGTTGTCGGTACATCTCCCGGCTTCGGTGGCTGAGCAGAGGAGCCGCGCCGGGCGAACGTCTCGATCTTGAGTTGTTCACCTGTTCGTCCTGAAAACCTTCGCTCGCGAATGCCAAGTCCGCCCGGTTTTTCGGCACTCAGTGGCCTGCTTGCTGGCTTAGGAGCTGGTAGAACAGGGGCGGGAGGAAGTGCTGTTCTCGGCGGCATCGTCAGCGGAGGGGTATCCTTCGCAGGAGGAGTGGGCCGAGGTGACAGCTCAGAAGCAGGTTCGTAGGCTTCCTTGAGTGTACTCAACGTTGTAGCATTGGTTGCAGTTGTTGACGGGATCGAACTGGCCCAAGTACGACCGGAAACCGTGCTCGAATCCGATTGTCGAGGCAGGGCAGATTTGGATTTGTTGTCAAACGAGAAATCGTCGAAAACATAACCTCTTGTCATCTCTTCGAGAATCCTTTCTTCCTCATCGGACGAATCCTCCTCGTCGTACTCGCTCGTTATACCCAGATTCGACGGTTGGAAGATCGACTGAAGTGGGGGCAGCGTTGTAGAGAAGGACTCCTGTGCTAGTCTATCAGGCCTGGGTGTCGTATCTTCGGGCATTTCATCATCATAGGCGGCATCAACAGCGGCACTGAGGGCGGCATCAAATTCTGCCTCGATCTCGTCAGCGAGACGCTGATGTTTGTTGAGTCCAAGATCGATAGAAGACAACCGAGAAGACCTCGATGAGGTCTCGCCGTCTTCAAAAGTGTCCAGCCAGGACGTTGACTCGGTGCTACCTTCTCGTGCGTGGAGAATATTGTTCACCACATCGTCTGTTCTCGAAGTCGCCAACGGAGTATCTGTGTCTCTATCGGAAGACACGGAAGGAGCTCTCCGGGGAGACAGCGGAGGGGGCATGTACTGTGTATCCATGGGAATGGTCAGACTGGGGATCTGGAGCCTTTTTCGAGACGATTCATTGAGAAAGGTCTCCCCTCCAAAAATCTCGGGCAATAATGACTCCCCTCGAGGAGGGATCTTGACCGATTCTAATACACCTGTTGTGTCTGGCTCGGGGCCATCACTTGCGAAGAAAGACTGGCCATTCTCGTCGAATGGGGGATCCTCTGGGAGCGCCTTCTCAATCAGCCCAGAGAAAGAGCTATCCAGATCATGCAATTCTGCTATCCGGTTCGAGTAAGTGCTCCGGATATTTGACAATTTCTTCCTGTCGTCCAAATCGGAGCTTCGGACGAGCACTTGCTGCAGGAGCTCACACGCCTCGTCATACGCTTCTATGGCACCTTCAATATTCTGGGCATTGTCCAGAAGGACTGCGGTGTTGGCTTTTGCCAGTGCCTTGGACAGCATGGTTTTCTGCGTAGGACTTCGATGGCTTCTTCCTCGCGCCGGTACGCTGTCTTGCGTTGCCTCGTTCTGATCATCTTGGACGATGGCCTCAAGCTTTCTTTCTTGCGTACCCAGTCGTGGAGGCTGCGCCATGTACTGCGAGGCAATATTCTCCGTGGGCCTATTGCCCGTGTTACCTGCCTTCATGTAATGAACGGACATTGTCACGGGATCTCCCGTTTTTGCATTTCTTTTCTGCCACGTCTCTCCGAAGTATTCACTCGAACTGGTATTGAACATGGACGTAGGTGTCAGCGGAGATGCACCCCCGGAATTCCCACCTCGCGAGCCATAACCGCGGTCCACCTGAAGGTGACCTTGGTCCTGGCTTCGGTGGGGACTTTGGCTGTAAGATCTCATCGACGGTTGTGGAGGTTCAAGCCTTCCTGCTGCCGCGATCGACGACATCAGCGACGGCTCTATGCTCCTCCGTCGTGAAGTGTTCGCCTTGACTCGAGAAGTTTCGGTGTCGAGTGCGGATACACTACTTGAGGTCGAATGTGACCAACGGTTGATATTGAGATTAGAACCAAGCGACTTCGAGTCGAGGCGATTCTCTGGTCTGCTGTCGGATCGACTTCGGTCGTAAAAGTATGTATTGGGTGATACGCGATCGGGACTGCTTGAGCCACCCTTCAATTGGGCATTCCTGCTAGGTCTGATTGAAATAGAGGCAGCCTTTTTGATCGGGTGAGAGGAGGAAGATGTTGAGTCAGAACGTGAATGTCTCCTGTAGTATGTGGCAGGAGCCGCGGTTGAGCTCATTATCTTTAGCAGCGAGTCGACTATACGACAGCAGCCTTATATGGGGATGATGATAGTCGAGCAGGCTGTAGATCAATATCAATCGTGGACTCAACAATGGCTGGCTTCGATCGGCGACGTCGAATGGGCTACACTGCAGCTGCAAACGTAATCTTCAACGGTCTGCAGCTCTGCCGTTAATCAGAATGGATGCAACTTGTACCTGCAGCACCAGGTGTCGGGGCGAATCAAAGGGTGGTGGATAAGCTGCACAGTTGGTCGAGATTGAAACCAAAGCGACCTGGGTATGGTGTTCGATCAGCACCCCGACTTGTACAGCGAAATGGTTCTTTAAACGCAGGCGTAGTTCCCTTTCAACAGATATTCCAGTATCTTATGCGAGCTCGTTTGCGCACAAGGCGATATCCTGCTTTGAAGTGCCCTGGATTCTGGGTTCCACTTCGGACCAGAACATGGCGATGATCAACCAGCCATAGCGTGTGTTGTCGTCTCTTTTATGTTTCTGCCAACTTGAATATTGCGCCTCTATGATGAAGGAAGCGCGCAGGAGGGCTCCAGATTGAATAGCTTCGCGAGAAGGGTGTAGATGCCTAGTAACACTTGAGGGGATCGCAGGGGTCGGGAGTGAAATGGGGGAGTCGTCGCGGGAGGGAGTCACTCAGGCGTACAGCGAGGGCGATGCTGTCGTCAACCACAGGCATCAACGGTGTGCCTTGTTGCGAAAGTTGACTCAAAACGAGGTTCTCGGATATGTCGACGAAGGGGCGAGTCCGCACTGCGGTCGGCAGTCTCGTGCGAGGGAGTTGACAGGTGCAGCAAGTAGCGGCTCGCCAGAGCCAATGGGTCATGCAACTTGACAGGGTTCAACCGGGCTGCAGAGGACAAAGAGTCGCTTAGGCTTTAGAAACAGGAGTGAGGATGAGACGGTCGGTTGGGTGTTTCTGATCCGCAACAGTACGAGTCTTGGGACGCAACCAATTCCTCAGACTTCTTTCTGTACAGTAACAGGACTTTTTTGAGCACTGGGACGAGACTGGCATCCCTGACTGCCGGACCTCAGTGTCGGTGGCTCGTTGGCATCCCTGGCATCCCTGGCATCCTGGTTAACCACGGGCTTGGAAGGGGAAAAGAGGAGACACACGGCTGCACATGCAGGCACGACTTTTGGGTAACACGCGCCCTAAACTCGATTCGAGGAGTCAACAAGCAGCCAACCCCCTGATTTCGATCCACCACCTCGTCCATTCGTCCATTCATCGCTGCCGTCGACGAGTCCATCAATTTTCATCTCTTTCTAGCGTCGAATCACATGGACGGGCACACGGCGTGATTGGGACACACGCAACGCATCCTGATGAATGCGCAGGACACAGTGAAAGGCCTGTTGTTACGACTGAGTGGTGAGAATCCTTTTCATCAAGCCCATCTACTGCTAACCATCCGCAGGCCAGAGACGGAGAAGTGACCTTCTCGCGGGGGAAGCTCACTAAGTTGCCTTGCCTATCCCTCCCTATCTCAGGCCAGACCAGGTCAACCCCTGCCCGGGTGCGCATGCTCCCATGTCATCCCGCAGCCACCGCTGCTCCCGCGCATTACTTAGATAATGCCTCGGATTGATCAAGTTATCTTCTCGGAAAGAAGGATAACCGTCTATCACGCATCATGGTTTCTCAGATTTCGAATCGCCAACCCCAGACCAGCAACAGTTTGAAGGCGGCTTCAAAGGGGCTTCCTCATGCAGGACCTCCGAGATGTCCACTCGACCTGCACCTGCTTATGCACTTACGCCGCAGTTGATGTCAATGGCGGCGCCTCGTCTAGTGCTAACTTTAGGTGCTCGTGGACAGTCTTGCATTACCTTGAAAGGAGCAACCAAGTCACATCAAACCAATTTTTAGAGGCTTATTCCCTCCCGTGAGACTTTTTCTCATAGAGTCCGGAGTCTGCGCTGATTACTCATTGCCCCTTGAATCGAAAGTGCCTGTGTCTTTGGTGTGAATCATGATACCGCCCGAATGGATTCCAGGGCTCTATACGGATACCTCCAATGCCCGACCTTTCCTGCAACATTCCGTGCCGCTTAACGTGTTTGATGCGGGTGTCCAAGGGCATGACAATTACTTGCATTCGAGCGAGGATCGATTTTCTGGGACTACGATGACTTGGTGCAAGGTGATGCAGAGATCTCTCTGTCCCACGAATTTCCCGCAGCCATGGTCAGCAACCAAGATTCAGCTGCGTTACTGCCTCGCCTGTGTCCTGCCGTCACCAGCCGAGGGTGTAGGTACAACGGCCATCAAGCATTACTCGAACGCACCATCATAGGGAGATGCATGCTCAAGGAGGCCCCTTGGCGCAACTGACAGCCTCACCGACACATCTTGCGCTGCCCAGTAGACCTTTTCAACTTCCACGGTGCAACAGCTGTACAGTTTCGGCCTTTTCCTTGATTGCACTTTTCAAAGTTATAGGTCATCGCTACACAGTGTAAGCAACACGCTTGCTGTGAAGGAGGTACTGGTTCAAGCCACTGCTATCATCGTGCCATGCTCAGAGCGAAACCGTCCAGAGGCCGCTTCTTCAGACCTTACTTCAGGTGGGATTTAAAATCATGCGCAGTGCCCCCAGCAATTCCAATTCTTCTTCAAATTCCCTTGATTCACCTTTTGCTCTGCGACCATCTCTGGCGCGGAGCAAGCGAGGGCTATATTGACCGGACGATCTCATTGAAATCCTCATGTTTTTACTCGGGGATCTTTTATTGAAACTACATGGCCCAAATATATGCGAAACTTGTTGACCCAAGGCCCGTGCCGCCCATTATACAAGGCTGCTACCCGAGGGTTGGAAACCGGCGTCCGTACATGTGAGGGCAGCAGAATCCGTTCATCTCCTTTCGTGTGCTGCGAGAAGGGAGGTCTTTGTCATTCATTTCCAACACCAGAACAGTCCGTCGTGGCACGAACTCATGGCAAGGTCAGATGCCCGAGAAGGTCCCGCGCAAAGCACTTCATGCTGAACTTGGTAGCAAATCAAGTCACTTGTCTCGCTGGAAAGATGGATCATATACCACCAATGGATTTTTGTGGTCCTTCACCACTACACTGCAAATCCTTCGAGAAGCCACCTCTGACTGATTCCACCTGATCTCATCCCCTCCAAGACATTCTGATCCTGGTCTCGAAGACGATGCCGACAAAGGTGAGGCTTGACAACAAAAAGTCTTTAAATTCGGTATCTTCCAACCCATGCCTGTGCTCACTTTGGATCCAACTTCCTGGTTCTGCTCCTCCACCCCAGACTGTGCACATCCAAGCTGGATTCAAGAGCTGCTCTTTCCCTTCCAAGAACCGAACAACAAGTACGATAAGATCGCGCAACCAGTGTTTCTACCCATCGCGGTCTTCACCTCCATATTGACCTTCAACGTAAGCTACCTCTATCTTCGTCGGTATCGGCCAATGATGTTCGTACCCTTGGCCATTGGGCTTACGCCTCTCCTCGGGTTGCTGGTTGGCATCATGCCCAAGGTTGTTCTGGCCGTCGACAAAACATCCGACCCTGACCTTGTAGCTAAGCTCAAATCCGCGGCCACCATGCTTGACCGGCTCAACATGCTCACTGACGAACAACTGGTGTACAATTTCACCTCTAACCCCAAGTACTCGTGGCATCCGGGGAGTGTCTGCAATGCGAACGCAGCAACATGGCCTGTTCTGAGCACGGTCGGGGTTACTGTCGCACAACTCAATCTGGGCCCTTGCGCAATGCTTGCTCCGCACTTCCATCGTGCGGACAACCTCGTTGTCGCTATAAATGGCACTACAAACACATACATGTATCAGGAGAATGGAGCAAGAATCGTCGAGCAGACTCTCACCCCAGGCATGATGACAATCTTCCCTAGAGCGAGTGTGCATACCATGTATAACACAGGTTAGTCTCTTCATCCTTAAGTCGTCCTGCGAGACTGGCAATACTGACACTGGACGTGTAGGCTGCGAGAACAACCAACTCTATTCGTTTCTCAATGATGCAGACGCATCGACAGTCAACCTCGCACAAGCTTTTTTCATGCTGCCCGATGACATAGGCTTGACAGTCATGCCTTTTATTGAGCTCTCCAACGGCAACTGGACAGCGACCGGACAGGCTATCCCGCAAGTCGGTACAGGTAGTCAGGCGGGCTTTGAAAGCTGTCTGGCGAAGTGCGGACTCAGCTCGAGCGGTTATGGCAGTACCGGCCCTGTCGTCATGGGCTGAGAAACAAGGGACAATGGGAGAGAGGCGTCCGGAGGCTATTTTTCTAACGCTGTACCATGGAGGGCTGAGAGCATCTTTTGGCTACGGCACCGCTCATAGGAACGGCGAAAGGGAACATGTACACCACTTTCGGGAGGAAGGACCTTGGTGAGTCCTTCAATTGTATCTAGTCATTCATTATCCTATCCCCATTTTAAGTCACCATCAGGCGCCGAAACATATGCGCAAAAATCTATGCCTTGCCATGCAAATCATCTCTTGGCCTGTAACTCTGGGCTCTCCCTCTATAGATGCGTCAAAACAAACCCTGTCCACCGACATCAGTGAAACCGCACATGCAAAGCAGGTGCCGAGACCAGGCGCGAGCCAGACACCTTACTGTCCAGCTCTCAAGTCCGCAATACTACTGTCGGGCGTCCTCTCCTTGGCGGGCGTGCGGAAACCGCTAGGGGTCTCAGGCCGGCTTGCACTGGACGTGTTGTGCAAACTCACATTCTCCCGGTACGCGACGTACTCGCTGTCTGCATATCCGAGAGTCCCGATGATGTCACCGCTCCTAAGGCCCTTGATCCTGGCGACCTCGCCGGCCGAGTAGTTGACGACGGCACGCCCGATTTCTTCGCCCTTCAAGACGAGGTGCATGGCCGTGGCGCTCGAGTCGCCCGTCGGTGAGAGGCGGCCAAGGGGGTGCTTGTCGACCACGACGAGCCGGACGGCCTCTTGCTGGGCAAAGTTTCCTTCGACCCCGACCACGCCGACCGGGAGGAGCCCGGCTTTGTTGACGAGGGCGTTGCTCGCGCCGCGGTCGATGTAGATGGTCCCGTGGGGTGCGAGGCCGTGCAAGATCCAGAAGGCGCGGTTCCTGATGGGACTACTGGACGGGACGAAGCGCGTGTGTAGAGGTGGAGCGGGGGATTCGGCTTCTGTCGATATGCTTTCGCCCGTCTCCGGGTCGACCGGAGGGTGGAGGTGTCGAATCACGGCGGCAATGTTGCCGGGTTTCGATGACTTGGTGATGATGGTCGACGTACCTGCCGCCGTAGCGAGTCGCGCCGCGACGATCTTGGTCGCCATTCCGCCTGTCCCCAAGGCTGAACCGGCGGACGACACGTCGACCTGGAGGGCGTCAATGTCGTCGACGACCAGGATTGGTTGGGCGTCGGGAAATTTGCGGGGATTCTTGTCATACAAGGCTTCGACGTCGGTCATGAGGAATAGGTAGTCGGCGTGGACCATGGCCGCCGTGATGGCAGAGAGGGTGTCGTTGTCGCCGAACTTGATTTCCGACACGGCGAGCGTGTCATTCTCGTTGACGATCGGGACGACGCCGAGTGAGAGCGTCTCGGCGAGCGTGTTCTGAGCGTTGAGGTATTGTATCCGATCGGCAATGTCGTTGCGTGTGAGAAGGATCTGGGCGACGGGCTGGTTCATGTGCGCGAACAAGGAGTCCCAGATGGACATCAATCTGGACTGGCCGATGGCCGCGAGGGCCTGAAGAATGGCGGTGAGTCAGAACACCAGGGCAAAGAGGAAACAGCAGCAACAGCGAAGCATGTAGACCGTGGCTTACCTGGACTTGCGCGAGGTGCTTCGGACGCTTGGGCATGTTCATTCTTTGCAGGCCGACCCCAATAGCGCCCGAAGATACGATGACCACTCTATGCCCATCGCGCCTCAGTTTGATCGCGGTCTCGACGATCAAGGACAGTATCGAGAGAATGGGCTCGTGTGTGATCTCGTCGACGATCGAGGACGTCCCTATGACAACCGTAAGTCTGGTGCTTCTTTTCATGCTGGGGAAAGGCATCGTATGCACCAATCTTGATGACAATCGTCAAATGCTTGCTCGGTTTCATTGCGAGTTTTTTGTTCTTTTATGATTCAAGAAGTTTTTTCCCGACGGCACCTGATTTCGAAACAGACGTATCATCTTGGAAAAGCACTGGATAGGGAAAAAATGCGGCCAAGTCCCAAGGCTTGTACGCCCTTTCATCAACAAACCAGGTGTCCGCGCATGTCCATTCGGATTCACTCCATAAAATTCCCCGGTAGCAGCAAAAGGGAATCGCGGGAGTCACTGATGCCAAGCAACGAAGTGGTTTGATCACGTGTTGGCTAAGGGAACAAGGCTGACCCGTAAGGCTACGAAATGTGGAAAGAGTGACCAATTAGAGTAGCTTGTTCCACCACTCTTTTTATTTCTCGTTGTACGGTACGTAGATGACTTGAGTCGTGGTTCACAGTGCCTGTCCGTTCTGTCATTCTCAAGTTGTCGTCGTCGTCGTCGTCGTCGTCGAACCTGCAAACTTCGCTCATCCTCTCTTCGTCCTCGCCGTCATGACGGCCACCGACCACCCTTCATCGTCCTCTGCGTCCCTGGCCAATGCTGCTCAACCTCCGACTTCGGTTTCGTCTTCAGGTGCTTCTCCCGGCGCAAAAGGCCACACCCTTCTCCCTTCCGACACCATCTGGAACCGATGGGTGAACTTTTACCGCATGGCCCGAAGGACCATGTCCGAGCAGGGGGCCGAAGAGTACTGGAAGGACGCGGACCAACGATACTCCAAGATAGACTGTGCCAGGTGCGACACATGGCGTAACGAATTGTTCCGCACGTCCCCGGTGATAACATATCTCAACGACAACATCCGGAAGCTGGGTGGTGACTTGGGCCCAGAGAACATCCGGTGCCGCACGTGCTCGGAGAAGATGCTGGCCGGGTTCGACCAGCAGTACGGCATCAAGATCTGCGCCAACCGCATAGAGAGCAAGTCGATGATGGAGGATGTGCTCGCCCACGAGATGGTCCACGCCTATGACCATTTGCGGTTCAAGGCCGACCAGGTCGGAAACTTGAGGCACGCGGCCTGTACGGAGGTGCGTAGACACACACACACACGCACACACACACACACACACACACACACACACACACAAAACCCACCCGCACATGCCCACAAGCCAAACCCCGTGTGCTAATGATGTTTCTTTTTCTCATCTAGATCCGAGCGAGCAACCTCAGCGGCGAATGTCGGTGGGCAAACGAGTTCTTTGGCAACAAGATCATGTCTTTTACAAATCACCAACAAGACTGCGTGCGGAGGCGAGCGATCAATTCAGTCAAGGCTCGGCCGGGTTGTAAGGACGAGGCGCACGCAGAAAAAGTTGTCAATGAGGTCTGGGATAGTTGTTTCCGTGACACGAGACCTTTTGATGAAGTATATCGATGATTGATCCCGATTCGAGAATGGTTTTATCAGTGAATTATTATTTGAGCGTGGCGTTGGCGGCCGTGTTTGCCCAGCATCGCAGGGGGCAATAATTGATACATTTGGGTATTGCCAGAACTGAACCGGCAGACATATAAACTCCATTCACCTATCCCTGTTCCTATAATCGACTCCGTGCCATGCAGTTTCGTGAGCGCCATCCGAGGACAAAAGTTGGCCTGCACTAATCCTTCCATCGGTTCAAGAACTTTTGTAACGCAGCGTCAGTGGGTTGTGCAGCTGCGGCGACCTATATATCTTGTTAGCAGAAATCTACAGAGGAAGAGAGGAGGAGAACACACCGTTGCCTCCCTACTCGAGACGCTGAACGTCAGCACCTCTGTATGCGTAGTGACAGCATTCGGGGTTCCGACGTTCGATTTGTACACCGTATACGCGCTCGTCGGCCACTGAGGTGAGGCTGCCTTTGCAGTAATCTTTGTCGGTGCCCTTGGAGGCATAGGCGCGTAGCGAATGGTCCCCGTCTGCAGAGTATATGGTACGCTATACACAGAGTTGCCGTTAGCTGGGGCGGCATCTGCTCCTCCAGCACCTGCTGCTGGATTCTGGGCCGACTGGATATTATTCTGTGTCACAGGGCCTTTTGTGCCAGTCACGGACTTGAGGCCCGTCGTCACAGCGGCTGGGAATGTTCCAGTCATGGAAGTGAGGGAGAAGCGATTCGAGAAATTGACGACGGTGCCTCCAGTTGCGGCGGAGATGAACTTGAGGAAGTACGCATTTTGCACGTTGCCTCCAACACCGGCGGTCAACGTCGCCGTGACCGAGTTGCCCTTTGCGAAATCACCGGTGGTAACGAGCGTTGCCAGTTGAATCTATAAGGACTGTCAGTCGGAGGAGGTCGGGTGGCAGACGCGGTGGTTCTTACATAGTCGTCTGCGTCATTGCCGCCTGCACAAAGAAACAATTGATATGAGGCCAGGTCTGCAAGTTTGGGGGTATCGCCCGAGTCTTTCCATTCGACTGTCAGTTCGAGACCGGACAGTGATGCCCCTGCCGCGGGCGAAGTCACCTCGACATCGGCGAGCGCGAAGGAGAGAAGGGAGGCAGCGACGAGGAGGATACTTCGTAGTATCATCGTGACGGTATCCTGGGCAATGAAACTAGTGAGAAGCAGTCAAGTTGGGATTCTGTAAGTCAAGTCAGGAAGTGTACGACGGAAGTCCATAGAGTTGATCGAAATGGGCGCAGTTTCAGACCGCGGTGAGACTTTCAGGGGACCATAAATAAAGATTGCCTTCTCCACAGCCTCAGTTGTGCACGTCAGTCACTACGGTGACTCCAAAAGCCTTGCATCCCACCTACAACGGAACCATGCCTCTGATACTTTACAACCTCAACACATCCCACCGCCGCTCACCATGGGTTGGTCTTCGCCGGACAGTTGGCCTACCAGGCTTTTCTCCGGCGATCCTCTTGCCATTCTGATCGCTGTGCTGGTGACCGTTTCCTTTCCACTGCTCCTCCATCTCTACTTTTACACCCAGACTGCTCGCGCCAAGGTCGTCCCAACATTTCTCCTTCTGGGTGCCAGTGGTGCAGGCAAAACTTCCCTTGTATCTCTCGTAGGTCCTACGCTGTCGTGATACGCGAGCAAAGACTCACGGTGGTAGCTACAAAAAAGATCTTCCGATCCAGAAGAGTCCGATCCTTCAGCCACTCGCATATCGCAAGTCTCTTCTAGCGTCAGCTTACTGCTCCCGGCCTCCGTTCCTCTGGGGTCGAACAAATATCGTTCCAATAATGATGTCTCGCTGAAGGACAAGCAAGCCACGAGATACAATATCATAGACACCCCCGGGCATGGGAAGTTGAGGAGCGAACAAGCCCTGTCGCATATCCACGAGTCTGCATTGCGCGGGGTCATCTTCGTCGTCGACAGCAGTGTTCTCGACTCGAGCGACTCGGCGGCATCGCGTGATACCGCAGTTTACTTGCACGATACGTTACTGGCTCTGCAAAGAAGAGCTACGGGCAAGGCGAAGACGAAGACGGCCATACCGGTTCTTGTGGCGGCGAACAAGCAGGATCTATTTACTGCTCTGCCAGCTGGAGCGGTCAGAGAGCGCCTACAGGCCGAGATTGAGAGGGTGAGAGTCTCAAAGAGCAAAGGCTTGACTACAGTGGGACAGGAATCAGACGCCGATGGAGAGGATGACGTTCTCGGTGGTGGCGGGGAGGATGTCTTTTCCTTTAAATTGATGGAAGACGAATACAACATCACGGTTGACGTTCTCGGTGGTGCAATCAAAGGCGAAGAAGCTGGAAAGGGTGTCAGAAGATGGGAAGAATGGATTGGAGGGTGCCTTTGATCGCTTGTTTGACCATTCCAGCCAAATCTGTTCTGTACAGTGGGAATCTCTAATGTAATGCTGTAGCCGCATGACCCTTTTCAACCTCTTGCTCAACCAAGGGCCAATCTTTTGCGGCCCCCCGGATTCAACACACCGTCAATTATTCGAAATTACTTCCAACTCGACGGCGGTGTCTCGTTTCAGACAATTCCTTGACTGAAAACATCCTGCGGGTCCCGATTCCGACTTCGGAACTCGTCTTGGATTGGACTGGGCAAGTCGTAGCCATCAGGCCCCATGTCGACTGGAATGCTCCCGACCCCCTCCTTCAAATAAAGAAGCAGTCTGTAGGCACTGTTGCCATTCAAGTAATATCGATGTAGCTTCTTGCTTCTGAGGAAGCCCAACCGTTCGTAAAGCTTCATAGCTGCAGTATTCGTCTCTTCGGTTTCCAGGGCAATCTCGTCGGCATCTTTCTCAATCATCAGATCGATGGCCCTGCTGACCAACGTCGTGGCAATACCCTGTCCGCGGAAGGTCTCCTTCGTTGCAAGCATGGCGATGTATCCTCGTAACGGCCCTCCCCGGTGTGGTTCCAGCTTGCAGATCACAACTCCGGACAGTTTGTTGTCGTCGTTCGTGTCGACGGCCATGAAACATAGTTCAGGCCATTGGTAGAGAAAGTATCTATACACATAGATACTGTAGGGTTCAGAGAGGTCTTTGGAAATAAGCTCGCGGATCTGCGGGAGGTATTCTGGCTCTTTGTCCAGCGAATACTGCACATAAGCTATGCTGGGGGGCACTGAAGCCTCCGCGGCTGCAGTTTGGGGGGCTGAAGAGACATTGCTGCTCATCGTAGTGACAGTCTTTCTACCGAAACGTCGATCGTTCCATCGTGGAAACCACACCAAAGAAGAGAGAATGAAACGGCCGAGGAAAATGAGGTCCTGTGCCTTAAAGATCGAGCGAAATGGTGAACTGCGAATTTCCCCAACGCAACGCCGCGCGCCGACTGGAAAATAATCTGGATGACGGAATTGGAGACCAGAATCCTTTATGCATTTCTCCTGCATGTGAAACTTGCATTGTGCACACTCAGCAAATCTATAAGACCCGCCGACTGGCCCGGATCTCATTGACGAATGCCTTTCTGTTCCCGTTGCGTGCTTCTCGCACTGTCCACACTATCTCTGAAGTCGTGGTGAAGGGCGATTGGCAACAATGGCTTCGACCTTGAGGCGCCGCATCGCCAACGTCCTGCAAGACACACCCTCCGAGTCTCCAAGCCGGGAAAGCACGCCAGACATAAATGAAGAGGTCAAACTTGTGGCGACCAAGAAGCTCGAGAAGCTCAAGAAACACAAAGGCAGTAGGAAGAGGTCCGGGATCATCTTCGGGCTGGGAGGTCTGCTGGGCTTGATGCTGGCCCTGCTATTCGCCCAGTCCCAAGATGTTATCAAGCTGGAAGGTTTGCTTGAGGTCAATTTGGATAGTCTGATGGACGCGATACCTGCAGGCATCGTCAAAGATGTCAAAGACCTGTCGATGGCGGAGCGCGATGTGGTCAACTATGACTCGTTCGCAGTGGGGTTGCATCTACAATCCCAGGGGATTTCAGCCCATCATCCCGTCATCATGGTTCCCGGGGTCATCTCGACAGGGCTTGAGTCGTGGAGTACAGGCGAGAAATCAAGACAATACTTTCGCAAGAGACTTTGGGGCTCGTGGTCAATGATGAGAGCACTTGTCCTGGACCAGGCGGAGTGGAAGAAACACATCATGTTGGACAAGGAGACGGGCCTTGACCCTCCGGGGATCAAGTTACGCGCCGCACAAGGATTCGATGCGACGGACTTCTTCATCACGGGATACTGGATTTGGAACAAGATTTTGGAGAATCTTGCGACCATTGGTTATGACCCGACCAACGCGTTCACTGCGGCTTACGACTGGCGGTTGTCGTATGCAAATTTGGAAATCCGCGATCAGTACTTCACCAGGCTCAAGAGCTACATCGAAGTGGCACACTCCACCACGGGGAAAAAGGTCGTTCTCGCCTCCCATTCCATGGGTAGCCAGGTCTTCCTATACTTTATGAAATGGGTCGAACATAAAGATCACGGTAAAGGAGGCCCTAATTGGGTCAACACATATATCGACTCGTGGATCAACATATCAGGCTGCATGCTAGGGACAGCCAAAGACATTCCGGCAGTCTTGTCCGGCGAGATGAAGGATACGGCACAGTTGAACGCCTTTGCCGTGTACGGACTCGAAAAATTTCTCTCCAAGGGTGACCGTGCGGAAATCTTTCGCGCCATGCCTGGAATCTCATCGATGCTTCCCAAGGGAGGAGAAGCCGTCTGGGGAAACGACACCTGGGCACCAGATGACTTGGCCTATCCTGAACAGAACAGTACGCACGGTGTCTTCCTCTCGTTCAAGCCCAAGTTCAATGCCACGGGTCCTCCCCGCAAGAACATGACAATGACCGAGTCTTTTGATTACCTGCTCGAGAGTACTGAGCCGTGGTACCGGGAGCAAGTCAAGCACGCATACTCCCACGGTGTGGCGCATACCAAGGCCGAGGTCGAACGTAACGAGAATCTCCCTCGAACATGGATGAATCCACTCGAAGCACGACTGCCTCTCGCCCCCAACTTGAAGATTTACTGCTTCTACGGCGTCGGGAAGCCGACCGAGCGGTCATATTTCTACAAGGACAATGAGAACCCTTTGCACGGGAACATCAACATCACGATCGACACGTCGGTGAGCTCATCTAATGGACGACTACAGCAACCCGGCTCAATTGATCATGGTGTCGTGTTTGGTGAGGGTGACGGGACAGTGAATCTTTTGAGCACAGGATACATGTGCGCGAAAGGCTGGAAGAAGATCAAGAGGTATAATCCCGCAGGTGTTAAGGTGACGACATACGAGATGCCCCATGAACCAGATCGGTTCAGCCCACGTGGTGGACCGAACACCGGCGATCATGTTGATATTCTCGGCCGGAGCAGCCTGAATGATCTGATCCTCCGCGTGGCCGGCGGAAAGGGACATGATATCGAAGAGAAGTATGAGAGTCGCATATGGGAGATCAGCGAGAAGGTGCAGATCTTTGACCATGAGTAGGGGAACGAGCATGTGCCTTGCATAACGTGGCGTTCTTGGTTTGAAGTGTATATGACTATGATACCCGATAGAGTTCGATATAGCGGTGGTGGAGGCGATGAGCAGGATCTCCATGGGAATACTTTGTGATATTAAGGTGGTTTGGGCGGGATTCAGAGGATCGTGTGCATATATACCTACCTAGGTAGCTTAGATGGCAACCAAACAAACGAAAGGTATGAGAAGCGTGGCGTTTACGAGGCCGACAATGATATTTCACATGGGTAGATGCGTGACGTGGCACTACAGTAGAGTTCCTGGTGGGCTATGTAGGGATCTTCGCGCAAGCCACACTCAACCACGGAGTAATTCGTGGCGCATGAACTGTTCACCTTCCTCTCCGTATTGCGTAAAGCACTGGAATTTTAACTCAAACCACTCGACTAAGGGCGAGTAGCTGATCACCATCTTCCTCTACCGTCACACAGCCAGACCTCAGGCAGAATCAGGACCGACCGACAGCCGAGAGACGGCCACGCGAGAAGCCAACAAGACATAAAGGTCACCAATCCATTTCTTGATCACAAGGCGGCGTCTCGCCCTCCCATTTATCTACCCACCTCTGGCTCCAAAACGCAGGCACAGCGCTCGAAACCCCAGACGCAATTCGCGATGGCTCAGGCCAGTCAAATAATTTCCTTCATCATTCTCCTCATCGTCGTCGCTGTGGTAGCTGTAGTAGGCTTCGTTGCATACTCAATCGCCCACGATGTCGGGCACCACACCAGAAAGAAGTTGGAAAGGAAAAACGTCAGTTTCACACGCGATGGTATGAAGGTAGGTGTCAAGGAGCGGAGCGCCGAACACGAACAAGACGTTGCACAGAGGTATCACTCTCAGAATGCCGCTACGAGTAACAAACGTTGACATTGGCACAGTATGATCACGAAGATTTGGAACAACTCGTCGTGGCCGGCGTACCAGTCGCGCTTGGGCTGGGGCCAGGGAAACAAGTCGCCGAACACGACACCAAGTGGTACGCCGAGTGTAGAAAAGAGAAACCCGTAAGTGTGGCCCATCGGTTCTATCTGTGACCCAAGGCTCATACCAGGTTTAGATATTCACGAACAAGCTCGTCAACCACCGCAGCGTCCGCGCCGGCGTTATCACGACATGGTTCGAGTCAACCCAATATGTCGCGAACCACTTCGGCGACACCAAGATAATCCGCGGCACCAGCGAGGGGATGGCAATGTTCAAGAGCGTGTCGAGGCTGCACGATCTCAGACACGAATAAGAAAATCATGTGCCCGGAGGATTACGTGGGAGAGAAAGCATGACCTGGTTGGGCAGAATTTATGGGAATAAAGCTGCTGAAGTTCATCATAATTGAGCACGCATTTGCGGCAATGCTGAAGAGCTGTGCTACGACTGATATGAAAGACGTAGAAGGCTTGTTCCAAAATCTAAGCAAAGATCGAATTGCGGTCAAAGTCTTCTACCGTACTCTACGGACTCCTCGAGAAGCTCGTGTTGATGTGTTCTACTGATGACTACGGCATTTTCGCCGATTCAGGTCATGGGCGACGAGGCGAATTCCCCATTTCCTCTGCTGGGAAGTGTTTGGAATGTACCAATTAGGGTTATAGGCGCCAGGGTCCTGATCCTCCTTCCATAGCCTCGTGAAGTCAGTGCTCTCCGATCATCCGATTACCTGAGCATATCCGTCGTACAGTAGGCACTGGTGGGGTTGATCGTCGACAGGTTGTTAGCATCAACAAACTAAGGTCAACGGACAGGCGATCCATCCAGCTCGAGACAAAGCCGCCTTTCATGCATGAAGACGGTGCCAGTAATAATGCAGTACCGGTAGTAGTTGGCTATTTTCAGCTGCGGTCAATAATGACTTGCTTCTTGGACATGCAGGTCTGGGCGGTGACTGGGCTCGGAGTCGATCTCGGCCGGAAGCAGAAACACACCGCGCTCCTTGTAACGATTTGCAAGGCTACGAGTACTCGTGCCCAGCTCGGCGTATACAATTCCATAAAAGAAACTTGACGCGCCTCACGTGCTTGACACAAACAGGAAGACACGGACATCCAACACAGGCCGAGCTGCCGACCAAATGATCCAAGTACTCGAGTGGTGGAACGGGTCAGGAACCCTCCGAGATAATGCACTGGATGGAGTACGGATAGAAATCAACCATTTCCCTCAGATGGGGAAGAATGAAATTAATTTGACCAGAGAAGGGGGGAAATTGAAGGTGAAACGAAGGATCATTGCAAGGGAGAAAGGCTTGCATCTGGACCTTGGTGCTCCAACAGAAATTTTACTGTCAGACTGGAAGACAATGGTTAAATGCTACCCGATTAATGTGATGAATGACCGTCATGCAAACCCGGAGAGGAAATTTGGTCGCAATCAGAAGTCAGCGCTCGCTAAACCAACCAACCAGTCGGCGGGACGGGGAGTTCTGTTCGCGTCAGGAAGCCAGGGGACAAGCACCAACCATGCCTCGTATTCGCAAAAATCCTCAGGCATCATCACGCCCTCCATGTGATCTATCAAGATACGAAACGAGACGAGGCTGGGGCGAGACTGCAGGTAAACCCCCGTTCACCGACAACTATCTACAGAGTACGGATACGAGTACGAACCAACTCTACCGATGTTTCTGGTTTTCTATGATGCTATTGCGGCACAGACGACAGCGGCCATTATTGCCAATGTTATTGAATTTCTGCACAGTTGCATCACTGACCACGGCTTCTTCCCAGGTGACGTCGAGATCGAAAGATCCGTCCGGTAGAAAAGAGTTTTTTTTTTCTTTGCTCGGCACGGCAGCGGATGCCAGTGCTCTATGACACTCCAGTACTGTATGGATGCTCGGTTTCCAGGGGGCCCAGCCCGTGGCAGGTGAGCCTCTTAGGGCCTCTGGGTGCCTGTGGGAGCGTGTGGAAGCCTAATCGGTGGACCATTAATAGCCCAGATTTAGTCTTCTATAGGCTAGATTCTTGAGGCCAATTCTACGGCACTGGCTTAGTGGCTGAGGCACAATGCCCGCAACGGCTCCTCTTCCTCCTCTTTTTTCTTTCTCATGCTCCCGTTCGCTGTGCACAATTTGGGCATTGCCTGGTCATCTTGCATGCATTATCCGCCGACATCCATGTCCACCATCACCGCCTTCCCTCTACTGCTCACCTAAGCCCTTCAGACCTCTCTTCGTTTTCTTTACCCTTTCGGATTGCTCGGAATCACCTCTCGACCCCAGGTTCTCTTCACCCTCTACCTCTTGCCTCTCCTTTGTCCTCTATCGCCGTCGTCCTTCCATCGTCTCTGGCCGCCAAAACAAAACCCGCCCATCCGCCACACACCGAAACGTTTTGACGACGCTCCGACCGATCCTCGCTCGTGGCCATCGCAAGCTGCGATGCAGTCCTCCCTTGCGTCCTGGAAGGACACGCCTCTCTCTAAAAAGCACATCCAGCTACCATGGCGGTCGATCCAGATCCTCGTTCCTCATAGACTGCGGCGCAAGCTGCGGTCGAAGCTACGCAACCGCCAGTCCCCGGCCTCGTCCTTTGCCAATCTCCAGACATCCTTCTCTCCTGCAGACACGTTACGAGCGCTCCAGAATCACAAATGGTCCATCTACGATGCGCAATGGTTGTTTTTGGCCTTCATCGGCATATTTTCCCTGAGTATCATTGAGTCGCCGGGCCCTCTGGTCAAGACGGCGGTCGCTACCCTCTTGCTCACTTCATTAATATTTCCCATCACGCGACAATTCTTCCGACCCTTTATGCCCATTGCGGCATATCTGATCTTCTTTTACGCCTGCAGGTGAGCTATCTCTCGCGAAATGCCGTTCCTGCTCCAGACTAACACCCCCTCCAGATTCATCCCAGCCGAATGGAGACCTCCGATCTGGGTCAAAGTCCTACCTGCGCTTGAAAACATCCTCTATGGCGCAAACCTCAGCAACATCCTGTCCGCCCATAAAAGCACAGCCCTGGATCTATTGGCGTGGTTTCCGTACGGCCTGGGACACTTTGGAGCTCCTTTTGTGTGCTCGGCCATCATGTTTGTGTATGGACCACCCACCACGGTGCCTGTTTTCGGCTTCGCGTTCGGATACATGAACCTCTTCGGGGTCATCACACAAGTACTGTTTCCCTGTTCCCCGCCGTGGTACGAGAACATGTACGGTTTGGCCCCGGCGAACTACTCCATGAAAGGCTCCCCAGCCGGTCTGGCGCGGATCGATGCGTTGCTTGGATTCGACATGTACACGTCTGGATTCACCGCTTCTCCCATGGTCTTTGGAGCGTTCCCATCTCTCCACGCGGCGACATCGACCCTGGAAGCACTCTTTATGAGTCATGTTTTCCCGCAACTCACTCCCCTGTTTGCCTTCTACGCCATGTGGCTGTGGTGGGCCACCATGTATCTGTCGCACCACTACGCGGTCGACTTGGTCGCCGGCAGCATGCTGGCCGCCGTCATCTTCTACTTCGCAAAAGCCAAGTTTTTGCCTCGCCTTCAACCCGACAAGAAATATCGTTGGGATTACGACTACGTCGAAATTGGCGAGGAACAAAGTGACTACGGCTACGGTCTCGCCGGTATCGACGGCAGTCATCCTGAAAGCGATGAGTGGACGATCGGTTCCTCATCTTCCGTCTCGTCCGGCTCACTGAGCCCGGTCGAGGAGAGCCAGAACCTCTGGACTGAGGCCTACTCCAACCATGAAAGATGAGGTTTTACCCTGTTTTTTCCTACCTTACACTCGTTCGGTTTCAGCATTATAAGCACGGCGTTCTTCCCACACGAGATTATGCTTGACGGCTGGGGACTTTGCATCTGAGCGACTTTTTTTGAAGCTTTGCCAAATAGATATGAAGTGGAGATGTAATGACCACGGAGGGATCAGCAGCGTTACTCGACATTCGCTAACCTATCGTCACGCCCTGCGGGCTCCTACACCACACGACTCAACAGAGAGTGCCAGCTGCAATCCGCGGTGCAAAGATTCACCCTTTTTTCTTCTCTGCACCAATTCTTTCACACAATTTCTTGTTGTCATTCCTGAGTTACCAATCAGCCTTGCACAGCAGCATGACCAGGTTTTGGTGTATCGTGGGCCGTTACACGGGCATTGGGTACGGACAAGATCCGTCATGCCATTCTTATCCTTGGCAGTCTTGTCGCCGGGGCGAGCGACAGGATGTGAGGCGTTTTATTCTTCTGGGCAGGAACTTTTCTTTGATTTTCGACCATTTCCAGCGGCTACTGCTTACCGTCTGGATCGGCGCACTACATTCGCTAAACTTTGTACAAAAGATATCGAGACATGGTGTTTATGACCGATATGCCATTCGCTTTGTTACCATTATTCACAAGAGGGAAAGGGACCCTGTCAGGGAGAAGATTGGGGTGTTATTGAACGCCGGTGTTTTCCAATGCGGCGATTAGAAAAAGGAAAATTGAAGCACAAACCAGCGCATTCCCAGTCACTCGGGCGGCTACGGCGGAGGCGCAGCAGGATACGTCCCCCGGCTAAGCCACAAAGCCTGATGGCAGTGGTCGTGCCTGGACGTGTTGTACCCTGAGCACAACATTTTTATGCATGTTCAACCCAGCCTGGTTTTATTGGCTGGCGATTTTCAAATCCGGGGTGTGGGCGCCTACGCAGCGTGGCTTCGTGCAGGGTTCATGGATCATTGAAGCCAGAAGAGGCAGTGTGACCTGGGTCCCTGGCCTGGTGGCCATGGAGCACAAGGCAGACTGTCAGGGGGGCTTGCCGACCAGCTTCACCCGCTTTCCGTTTGCATGCCGAGTCTGAGCGAGCTCGTTGAGAATGCTCGCTTCCTCGATGAGAAGTAATCTAATACCATAATAATTAATGACACCTGTTGAATCAGAAGATGTGTGTCTGCCTTTGCAGTTGTTTTGGGTGTGATTTTCGAAACGGTCCTCTCATATCGTGCTCTTCGAAGTAGATGGGCTTTCTTCTTATGCTATTGCCGATCAAGGGACTCGCCACGATGAGAGAGTGTGGACGTACCACCCCAGTGTCGACACAGCCGACACTTTGGCGACCGTAGGCCGAGACCGAGAAGGGGATGAGGAAGTTTCTGAGGCAGTGGGTGTTTCAGAATTTCCGTCTAGCTGGTTATCTTTTGAACCGCGGAGTGTCTACGGAGGAGTAGTAGTAGTAGTCGTAGAGGTTCGTGTGTCTTGTCTGCAAAGGATATATAGTAAGGTAAGTAAGCTAGGCCTGATTGGGTAATGGAAAGCGAACCTTGGAAGATACCTACCTACCTGATATTTATTCGACTCACTATTGTTCAAACCACGTACGAATAAAAGCAGCAGGGCCAAAAATGACATCCGCCGACAAGTTCACAATACACAAGCTAGACTCGACCGCGTCCGGAGAAGCCATAAGACCAATCCTGTCTCTGTCCAACTACATCTTCGACACTTCTTCGTCACCGCCGACTCATCACTCCTCCTTGGACGAATGGCACAGACGACTCTCCAAGCCGGACTCGATCATCTTGTACGCGACGCCGCTGCCGATGTCCGGCGATTCTTCTTCTGCCTCGAAAGATCAGACGGAGCTGGAGGAGGAAGTGCTGGGATTCATCTTCGCCCACGTAAAGGCAAATCCTCAAATCTCGACTCGGACATTGCATATCTGGCTCGCCGGAACTACCGCCACGTCTCGTGGAAGGGGTGTCTTCGCCTCTCTGGTGACCAGCCTCGAGCAACAAGCACGGAACAGAGGGGTCGACATGCTCAGTGTGTGTACATTTCCAGAGACGTTCTCCAAGATGTTTGCCATCCTGCAAAAAACGGGCTGGACAGTCCAAGCTTGGCTTGAAGATGGGAAGAAAGTTCTGATGAGCAAGCCAGTATGACGTGTTTCCAGAAAAGCGTCAACCAGCGGACTGACAGCGACGATGTTGACATCCGGATGAACACAAACGAAGATCTACACATGAACAACGATGAGCTTCCAACCCCTGGCAAAAAAGCGTCGGCAATGTCGTTTCTACGTTCTCCGATAAGTTCAACACAGCCAAAGAGCCTACTTCGACATCAGTCCTAGTCCTCGAGCTCCTCTTGTGCGCTCTCAACTTCACTTGCATATTCCTCCTCGGCCTCCCTCAAGTCCTCGATATCGCTGCTACTCGGACTCGAATCCTCGGCAACTTTTGCCCTCTGTTCTTCAAGGCTCTCGCGTGCCTCCTGCAACGACGAACGTTGACTTGACGAGAGATCTGGATTGAACTCGAGCGGAGGATCTGCTGATGCTGGTGGAACGCCCGGAGGAGCGCCGTATGCACCGGGGGCGGCACCGTACCCAGCACCAGCGGCCGAAGCACGTCCTTCTGTACGCGCCCGGTCGTTAGTATCTCCTGCTCATTACAACTTCGACTTACGACAGCACGGATAATGAAAAGAATGGTCAAATGAAAATGGAATAGAGAGGGCATGCTTGCGAAAGGCTCGCAACTCACCATTATCACTATCCGAGTCGTTCAACGCATGTCCCACGAGTGCACCCACCGCGGCACCGCCCAGACCTCCGGCGATCACACCGCCCATCCCCGAACCCTTCTTTTCAGGTTGTACAGAACCGGTGTAGTAACCTTTCGAATTCTCATTGTGTCCCGGCATGTATGGCACGGAAGGCATGGCTTGACCGTATGATTGTTGGAACCCGGGAGCAGGAGCAGGAGGCGGCACACCTGGAGCAGGGCCCGGGAATTCCCACTGTACCTGACCGGTCGGCTGATAGATGTAGTACCACCGTTGGCTATTGTGGTCGAACTGAGATATCCACCCCGGGGGCAGGGGAGGGTTCTGTGGCGGAGGATAATCTGCGTTCGGTGGCGGCGGTGAGTTGTACGAGTTCTGTCCCGGCGGACCTTGCTGGTATGGCGGATATTGACTGTACGTGTTGGGTGCTTGGTTGAGATCCCGCTGCGGCTGGTATTGATCCGACGAGCCAACTACACCACGATGGCTTGTCAGTTCTTGGACTCGAGCCTGATGTGCTGAATGGACAAGGTCAATTCTCACATCCTAACTGTCCTCCGCTCTGTTGCTTCTGCTTGTCCTTGTCATCATCGTCTTTCAGCATCTCCTTCAGTTCATCTTTGATTTTCTTAAAGAAGGACATTTTCGGCAATCACGAACTAGAAAGTTCGAACGGCGAGGATTCTTACAGTAGGTACGGAGCAGTGGGATGACTTTATGCTCGATGCCGGGGCAGGAGCAAACGACAAAAGATCCGATGCTGTGGCAGTGCTACAGTCCATCCACCGTTCATGCAAACCATGAAGCCAACGCATCAAGGTGCCGTATCTCGCCCGAACTATAGTCTGATGCTGGAGGGTCAATCGGAAGCCAGTCCTACCATGGTCCCAATACGCGTCTTGGCTGCATGGTAGTGCACCTGAGCGGAAATACCGACTCGCTACAGCAGGCCATCCCTCCTTGGCGGTGGATATGTACGCACGACACGTCAGTGGGAGACCCATCACATCATATTGAATCGTGAGACTACAGTCGCAGAGAAACAATGGCCCAACGAGCCGTCCCTTGATGGGCTGGTCCGATGGTACCTGCAGTCAGAGAACGGCAATGCAATAGACATTCGCAAAAGACCTTCAGCAGGGACCATCTCGTGCTCATTACGGGCTGCAATCCTTGACCGGCTAGCGGATGCAGTCCTGCATGACACTTTGGACTTTATATTGTTCGGCACGGCGTGATTTGAAGGCCTGTCTCGAGTTCAGAATCCCGGCAATCGGAAACACAAATTCAGTGATGGGGAATCAAAATTCAACTTGAGTTGTGACTTCCAGACAATGTACAGACGATATCATCTCCTGTGCGCCAACACCGACCACCGACCTGGGTATTAGACCATTACTTTCCACCGAACCAGCTGCTGATCCCGCTCTTTGCCTTGGCCGCCTTGTCTTCCACCGTCTTGTCAAACTTGTCGATGGCACTGTTGATCTGTGTGCCTGTCTTTTGGCTGACTTCCTTTGCTTTGGCTTCGGCTTCGGCAAGTCTAGCTTTGGCATCTGCAGACTGATGTGCGTGTTAGCGAATAACTCGACCACCGCGGAAGCACCACACTCACAGCTCTGTCGAATTCCCTGCCGGCCTGTGATGCAAAAGCTTCTCCTTTCTTCTCTGCCTCCTTTCCTTTGCCGGGGAGATCGTGCTTGATTTCGGCCGAGAGTTTATGGGCGTCGGCTGTAGAACCATCAGTGACAGGCCCCCCGGTGAATTCACAGACTCTACAGACCTTCCAAGTTCTTCTGAGCCACTTTCGGATCACCACCTGCCGAGTAGAGATAGTATCCGGCACCGCCAGCAAGAGCCAGTCCGGCAATCGTCAGTCCTCGTCTTGACATGATGGTTGATTTGGAGTTGAAGTGATTGAGAAAGGGAGGTCGTCTGGACGTGAATCGCTCAATGATTGAGGGTTAAGAGCGTCAAATGTTCAAGTTCGAAAGATTTGAGGAAAGAGAATGTACAAATCAGTTCGTGTGGCATGATGAAGTTGTAGAGCATGCATGGTGGCCGTGACATCATTGGTGCCCTCTGCTGGGAGTCGTTTGTGGCTGGTCGATGATGATGATGACGATGCGGGGGAGCTTGAGCTCGAGCCTGAGGTACGAGTACGACTACTCGTTTAGGCGCCAGATAGGCCCTCTAGTGCCTCTTTTTAAGTGCCTATTGGATTACGGTGACCCTCGCCAGCTCATGCCAAAATCTTGACTTTTGCCTGCCTGTGCCCTGCGCCTCCACGACGTCAACAACTATTTCCTGGCCAGATGGCCACGACATTTTTTTTTCAGCTTCCCACCCTCTTTGCATCGCCATTGACGGCCTTCAATATCCCCCACGTTACGGCAATCTACCTTTCTTGGTGACGAGTCCATGTTGAAAGTCTCTTGTCTGGTGTCGAGGAATGTCCAACAATGTCTCCAACTTCGCAACTCGCGTCTCAACCGCCGATGGCGCCTTTGCAGATCCTTACGATCACGAAATCTCCTTGATCGACGCCACTGAAGCGGCGGATCCTCCAGAGCAAGATGCACCTCAACCAAGTTCGGCCAGTGCACAATCCAGCAGACTGTCGAAGATTCCCACCAAAGCCTTGGTCAAAGATCAACTCGTCAAGAGAAAATATGCCAAATGGCAGGCAGACCGCGTGGCTACACATTCCAGCGTGGATGAACCGCAGCCGCAAGGATCAAGGCCGGCGTCGGAGCCGGTCGAAGAAGGCGAGCACGCTCAGCCCACACAGACCGTGGACTTTGCACACGACGGGTCGGTCAATCGAGGGCAAAAGAGCGTGGAAAAGAGGAGGCTAGAGTCGAAGCGGCTCAAGCACCAAGTTCATGAGATTGACATACTCTACGAGAACCAACGCGGTTCTTTCTTCTGTGGCATCCCTCTCTACTCCCACTCCTCACTCTTGCCCGTCGACCCAGGACCCTGGGTGAACAAAGACTTCCACGACTCGCCCGTCAACATCACGAACGCTCAGGTGCCGGATCCGAGCTGGGAATGGGCATGGAAAACTTGGTACGTGGACATGAGTTATGACGTGGACGAAGAAGGTTGGCAATACTCGTTTTCGTTTGGACAGAACTTTTCCTGGCACGGTACACATCCCTGGTTTCATTCCTTCGTCAGGCGCAGGAGGTGGCTTCGGAAGCGGGTCAAGAGGGACGACGGGAGGCTCCGCGTTCGGCCGGGGAGTGTAGGCGCTGCCCATCATCTTACCGGCGACTACTTCACGATCCATTCGAAACGTGACCGGAGCCCCGCGAGTGTCGTCGAGGGCACCGCCCAGACCGCCAGGCCGGCCAGTTTTTTGAGCTATCAGAGTACGACCGCGTCGGAGCTGCCTCCCGAGGACGTCAAGGACATCGCCAGTCTGCTCAAAGCACTCAAGCTCGCCGCGGTCGATCGGGAGAAGATTGACTTGGTCAAGCACTTCGTCAACCAAGCCGGCGACGAACTTTACTATTTGGGAGAGCACATACCCGACATCATGTCATTCCTCGTCTTCCAGAACTCGAGGACTCAGTTGCTGGCCCATCTTAAGAAGACCACCGACCACGCCCGCCGGCATCGGCAGAAGCACGAAGATGAGAAACGGCCCGAGAGCGACGAAGAGAGCCGCAGGATTGACAACTTGGTGAAGGCGGTCGACGCCGCCAACGCGCAAATAGGTGGCCTTGAATTCTGGAGCGACCGGAAGCACGTGCTCAAGATCTCCGACGACAACGCCCTGGAGACGAGGGCGATTGCGACCATTTTCGACGCCCCAGCTCCCAAGCCCAAGGTGGAAGAAGACCCGGTCAAAGAGATCAGGGGGATTCCAGCATCGGCAGACTTGAATGGACAAAGGACGGCGTCGGCCGAGGCCAAAGATGAAGATAAAGATGAGAAGGAGGAGGAGAAGAAGAAGCAGGACAAGGGCAAAGGCCGAGCGAGGGATCACGATAGCGAGGATGACCAAGTCGAAGCCGACTCGAGTTCGACTCCGACCCCTAGACTTCGGCCAGACCAAGTGCTCATTCCGGACTCAGATTAGGGATCTGCGGCATGGCGGCAGTGTATTGTACATTAGCGACGGCGTTGGCGGGCATTCTGTTTCATACAATCAATAATTGGCTATTCCCAGGGTTTAGTGGGGCTAGTGTCAGGTGACGAGGCTGGGAATTCAATTTAGCCAATCGGGAATAGCGTGCTGTGGTGCACGCGTCCGCGCCCGCGTCCAGCTCGCGTTTTAATCAGAGGCCGGGGCATTGACCAGACCAGTGCACGGCCCTCTATAGCAGTTCAAATAAAACACCGAGGTCCCTGCTGAATTCGTATTCTGGCGCAGTTTGAACTCTGAATCCTCCTCAACATCAGGTCGTGCTTCTTCACCATCGTGCCTTCTGTCAGAATTCGGAATCTCATCTCTGGGTCGCTCCTTCCGTGTCTGCATCCCGACCATGGCTCCTTCCTCCCGAAACAGTCACCGAGTCTCCAAACGACAGACACTCCAAAACTACACAAAAATCTCCAAGTCGACGAGATCAAAGACCCAACTTGAAGCGGTTGTGAAAGAGGTGTCTCTCGGCCAGGTCGTCAGTCAGAAGAAGGTGGTCAAGAGCTCGTCCAAGCGGAAGCGTGAATTTGACGAGAGCGACACCGAGGCCGACAGTCTTCCTCGCGTTGCGGCCACCACAACCAAAAAGGTACTGCCCATTGCTCAAGAAGTCTCGACGATGTTCTAATTGATTTCAGACAAAGCTCCAGCTCGCAACGCCGCCCGAGTCTGAGCGGGAAGACTCTATCGATGTCGACCCCTGCATTGACTTTTGTCAACTCTCGCTCAACCCCCGATGTGCCGCTCGACAGCATGGGAATGACGATCTTCCACCGGTCCTGCGTGACTTTGTCTCGATGCACGATGCTTTTCTCCGAGCCTTTTCATTGCATCGCGTCCACAACGGCCGATCCGCCCCGGCAGACCTCGGCAGCTTGTTGACCTCGGTCACCAGATTATGGAAGAAACGGGCGGTCACTCAAGACGACATCCAACGCATGCTCGCGATATATGAGCTCGACGCTTCCAGCGACGTCATCTCAGGGCAGCTGCTGAGACATCAAGACAGCCCATTCAGATTAAACTTGAACGGCAGCGACGTCCTTCGGTACAGCGTCGAATACGTCCAACCGAACCAAGAATACGACGAGAAGAATCTGCAACAGTCTTACGAGGTCGAGATCGAGGCCGTGGCGATTTCTCAACGCCAGAATTTGAGTGGGTTGTTGTCCAAAGACGGCCACGCCTTGCCCCGACTCGAGTTCTCCGTGGGCCTGCAGACACAGGCGCGCAAGGCGAAAGCTTCTGCGGCGCGGAGGGAAATCCTCGGGCTTTCTACACAGGCTCAAAATCGACCCGGCTCTCAATTCTCGTCGCACGCGAGCTCCTCCAGCGGTGGAAACGATCTGCAAACTCCCCAGGTCGTCAAAGATCGGACCTTGTCCTTGTTGGATCGCGTTCGAGCCAAGGCACTCGCCAATTCGTCAGCCGCTCCCCCGAGTCCCGAAGCCATTCTACGCCGTCGAGCCATTGGCAGGATCGGCGAGGTGGTCGACATTCTCCGACTGAAACAACAACAAAAGCTCGGGTCTCGTTTCGATTCTTCGGTGCATTCAAGCCCGGGCAAAGTACGTGGCAAGGTCTCTTTTAGCCTCAAGCAACTCGTCGGTGACATCAAAGGGAGCATGGCGATCCCCATGGCGGATTCGGAGGTTCGGAAATGCTTCGAAGTGCTGGCTCAAGAGTTGCCGGGTATGTGGTTGTCCATCCACACGGTGGGCATCCTCCAGAGTGTTGTTTTGAACGGACCCGGTCCCAGTGGGACCGAGGCCAAGAGGGTTTTGGAGGAGAAGGAGAAAGCAGGACGGTGAGGTTGGAAGGTTTTTCTTAGCATGGCGAAGTGATAGTGGGAGTTTCTGTGAGTCTGGCGTTTGAGATTAGATTCAAGGGACATCTACTGTACAAAAAAAGAAGCACTACACTGGTGTTTGGTTTGTTGGGTTTATACCGTCGTTTGAGTACGATCACTGTGAGGCCAGTCCAAATGTTCATCAAAAGATGTGTGAAGTAGACACAAAAACTTGAAGTCCTCAGCTTTCCACAATTAATTATTATCTGAATCATCCTGCCGCTGTACATATATGCACCAATGGGTATCTGTGAAAAGGTTGGGAAAATCACCGCGCCGCTCCCCAGCTGTCCCGACGATCAAACATGATATTTCGGTTTGGGTATCTTGGGAATTTCGTGTACCAACAGTATGTCGTATTTCGGAGTATGATCATAGGTAAATCGCAACATCCAACCGATCGGACTTCTTCGCCTACTCCGTACAATAACACGTTCGACCGACCCGACGAGTTTACACTAGGTGACACGAGCCGGACGTTCGTGCTTGGTGATAACGTACCAAGCGTCTTGGATTTGAATCGAATTGTCAACAACCTTTGCTCTACGGTAGTTGGGTGGAACGGCACTTACGAAGACAACCTGGGATCCAACCTAGGATGGTGAGGAGGATATTGATCAAGAAGTTGGAGTCGCATCCAGTCTTTAGAAAGACGGCGACGGGAGGGAGAAAGATGGCTAAAAAGTAGAGAAGGACATCGCTCTGTGTTAAGATAATTATTAGTTTGGTCGTGACTTGTGGTGGTGGTGGTGGTGGTGCCAGATAAACATACCGTTGAAGATGCTGGTCTAGACATTTTGCAAGTGCGAGATTAAGATTGTATCTGAGAGGATAGGTTCGTGTAAAGTGATTTGTCGAATTTGATCGAGTTGTTTACAGGTTGGTGGTTTGTAGTTTGTACGTGTTTGGTTTGTAAATCAAAGAATAACAAGAAGAACGTAATGTCGGAGTGGCCCCGAACAGACTACCAAACATGTTTATATAGGTCTGTAACTCAGAGTCTCGTCTTGGATAAACTACGCGCGCTCGGATACTACGGGGCGCCCCCTTCCCTCCGATGGTCCAAAACAAGAATCTTTTGGTTTTCACCTTTTCCCAACTTCTTTTGGGCTGATTGTGTGGCCACTCGGAAACAAGACTCTCCTGTTTCTCTCTGTCTCTCAGCCTCTTGATCGACTACAAGGATTTTGTCTTATGTAGATCTTCACCACTCGTTTGATCCGGATGGGAATCGGACGTCGCGGTCCTCGAGTTATATCACGGGGGTATGACGTTGCGATCGGGTTAACTAAATAACGGGACCCACGCACTTGGAGTCATAGTTTGTAGGGGAGATCCAACGTTTTAAAACCACCTGCAAGGCATAATGACCGTCTAGTTCATGCCTATAAGGCTGGGGGGGCGCGTCAACCAAGGCCCGGGGCTTGTTTTTTCCTTTTTTTTGCATCATTGCATGACGCGGCATCCTCTTAAAGATACCCAACACATACTCCCCGTACATCATTCATCTGAGCCACAATCTTGCCTTGTCCTTTTTTTTTCTTTGGTTGAGAATGAGTTTCAGCCACCGAGATCGACACCGACAAAAGTCTTCATAGCCACGGAATCTCCAAGGATTGAATCCGAATTCGGACCAAGTGGCGGAGAGTTGGTGTTTACAGTACGAATTACGGAGTACGAGTAGGAGTTTTGAGGCGAACAGTTCGAGGCAGTAGTGTATCCTCCACTATGTCCTTACAATACCTACTCGTACTCCATACAGAACATACTTGTCCTTCTCAACTGTGCTCAGGATCTAATCGTACCGTATTCGCATGCAATGAAAGTCCTGGTCAACAAGCCTGAACAGCTTACTTACCTTCCCCTTTAAGGTAATTGTCTTCTCGCAAGCATTGGCGAGCCAATGTTTTTTCACGAGAAACCAACAAAATGTCAGCGAAAGGGCGCGTATCTCCACGCTCCAAGTATATTAATCATGGCCTTATTTTTACAACGCTGATGATGACGGTGAGATGTGATATTGATGGACTTGAAGTATCCCTGTTGCTCGGAATAGGGCTTTGCTCAACTTACATTGTACTTCTTTTTCTTCAACAGCGTACGTACTAGTTGCGACCACCATGTCTGGAGGAGCGCCTATCCCTGTCGCCGTCAAGGGCCAGGAGATTCTGTGCATCGAAGATATCAAAGAACGGGCAGATGCCAATCTTCCCGAAATCGCGAGAGGTAAGTCTCGACTCACAATGGGGCTCGGTGTGAGGTCTGGCCGAGAGTACAAAGCGTTGGATCATGAGTCGACTCGATGATCTGATCTGACCTGGACATTTGTCTTCCAGAGTTCTACAACTCCGGCTCGACATACCAAACCACCATCGCCGAAAACTCGTCCTCCTTCAACAAGTACCGCCTCTTGTCGCGCGTCCTGGTCGACGTCTCCCGACTCACCACCCAGACCGAATGTCTGGGTCGGACGGTGAAATTCCCCTTGGGGGTCTCTCCGGCCGGCCTCCAGGCCATGGCTCACCCGGACGGTGAACTCGCCACGTCGCGGGCCTGTGCGAGGATGGGCGTCAACATGGCCGTATCGAGTTTCGCCAACTACACCGTCCAGCAGATCGTGTCGGCGGGACAGACACAGGCCGAGACGGACGGCGCCGGACCCGGCGGCCCGCACTACGCGATGCAGCTGTACATGATGCGCGACCGCGCCCTGCAGGAACGCATCATGGCCGCCGCCGAAGGGGCCGGGTGCAAGGCCATCTTCCTCACGGCGGACAGCCCGGTGTTGGGGGTCCGGTTCAACGAGTGGCGCAACGACTTCCGCACCCCCGACGGCCTGGGGTTCCCCGTGTTGGGCTGGACGAGCGAGATGATCCGCCGGGCCACGCACGACACCAGCTTCATGTCGTTCAACGACGACACCCACAGCTGGGCACGCGACGTCGCCTGGCTGCGGTCACAGACCAAGATGGAGATCTGGATCAAGGGCGTCCTGGCGGCCGAGGACGTCGAACTCGCGATCGAGTACGGGTGCGACGGCGTGCTGGTCAGCAACCACGGTGGACGCCAACTGGACGGCGTGCCTTCGACGCTGGACGCGCTGGTCGAGTGCGTGGACGCGGCCAAGGGGAGGATCCCCGTGCACATGGACGGCGGCGTGCGCAGGGGCAGCGACATCTTCGTGGCGCTCGCCTTGGGGGCACGGCACGTCTGGGTGGGTAGACCGGCGATCTGGGGGTTGGGGTACAAGGGGCAAGAAGGGGTCGAGAAGACGTTGGAGGTGCTCTACGAGGATTTCAGGAGGTGCATGGCGTTGTGTGGGTGTCGTACTGTGGCGGACATCAAGAGGAGTTGTTTGAGGCGCATGGGGATTGATGGGGTGTTGAGACGAGTGGAGTGAGGGCCGAAACCAAAACAGGGAGGGTGTTGATTTATGCCGCCGAGTCCCACTGATGAATGCAATACGCGTTGGTATATCGAATAGAGTCGATAGGGATATTGGGGTAGGTAGGGTCAAGATGAAGGCGTCGGTAGGCTACGAACAAATATTTCTAGAAGACTTTACGTTCTTTCACATCTACATACCTTGGACTGACTCGTCAAGTAGATTTGTCAGACTTTCTGTATGTACTTTTTGACCCAAGTTTTGTTATTGTATGCAAAGTAGTATAGCATATAAAAGGATACATTGTACATAACACCAAGGTACGGAGTACCTACTATTTCATCTCTCGTTCTGTCCAGTAGAATACTCATACATAACAGACATGAGAGTACCGAGCTAATCCTAACCTGGCTAGTCTCTCCGATTGACTGATTAAGCAATATTTGTGTTAGCGCATTGAGCACCAAGAGGCGCCAACTGATACTCAACATCCCAAATAATATCCAATTTTTATTATTCTCTCCCCCCAACCATCCAATACCTTGTTAATACTGTATGTACTTTATCAATATCCGATTAGCAGCAAGGACCCTGACATCAGGTTCCAGGCCTCCTTGTGTCGATATCGGATTTTCACACCAGTCAATTCCACCGAGCTGTGAGAACTCCATCGCATTAAACCAGAATCAGAACTCTTCCCATCCCAACAACCAAAAAACCGATCGAAAAACACCACCCCTCTCCCCCCCCTTGCCACATGCTTTTTTTCTTTCGGTCTTTTCTGCTCTACTGTACGGATACGGCCCGCCTTATCTACCTTGAACTATAGATACACGTGCCCATGGATGAATGAAATGATGATGATGATGATTTTACGTATGGATACCCTCTGGGAGTGAGTGCGTTGTTATCTGAGATCATCGCCATCTGCAAGGTCGGTCAGATAGGTCGAGAAAATTCTTGACCTCTTTTGTTTGTTTCTTCGTTCGTTTCCTTCTTCTTCTTGTTGTCCTCTTTCCTTTTTTTTCTATCTCTCATACGAGTACATCTTTTCGCCTCCCTTTACCCACCCTCCCTTGAGGGTTCACAGGGTCAAGGAATCAACCTCTAACCCCCCACCCCTAAGCCTGTGTGCGTCTTGCTTCTCGCCATCTTCGCCCCGTTGAGTATCTCTCCGCCTCGAAATGGCACTGTTCGCCTTCCTAGACACCCTCGATCGTGGTTTACCATCGGAAAGACCGCCCGGTTACCCCAAGAGACCTACCGTATCACTCCCGTCGTCCCGAAACAACAGTACGACGTCGATCAACTCGTTGAGGTCGGAACCGGGATGGACGACGACGAGTATGAACGGTGTGGATCGCGGTCGATCTCGATCTACCTCTTCCTCGACGTCATCAATTCGATCCTCCTCCAACAAGACGAAACAACCTTCCAACAGCAGCGGTGGCGGCGGCGGCGGGTTCGGACAATTTTTCAAGAGTAAAAAGGACAAGAAAGATACCGACCGGGTGGTGGTCACGTCTCAACACGCCGCCGCGGTCAGGGCGAAACTGGCCCGGGACCCAAAGTACGACAAGTACCGAAACAGAGAAAAGGACGGGAACAAGAAAGGTGCGGCGGACGTCGCCAGAATGGTGGGCACACCAAACACGCTCCACTTGAGCGCCGAACAACAAGAAATGAGGCACCCTCACTCCGGACCGCCCGCCCTGTCCCCCCCGGTCGACAAGTCGGACCTCCCCGTCCTCGACCGGGTCATCAGCGGCGACGAGGTCGACGACGTGCCGGACCAGTGGGAACGCATGCGCCACGAGTGGAAGCTGAGCAAGGTACCGGACGCGCAGATGTTGCAGGTCATCGAGGGTGAAGCTCTGGAGAGTGGCGCGTCGTCGTCCGGGACCTCGACGCCGCGGGAGGTCGAAGTGTGTCCGCCGGTCTCCACCGAGGGGGACCGTCACATCAAGTCTTGGGACGAGATGTGGTCGACCAAGGAGAGGCCGAAACCTCAGAGGCGACACACCCCCATCGGCGGCAGGTACACAAAGGACGAACGTGGGGTCTGGAAGAAGTGAGGAAAAGAAGAAAACAGAAACAGAATTACCATCAAAAAAAGGTTTCAAAGATCCAAATGTCGCGACGACTTTTGGTTTTTTGGTTGTTTTTTTTTGGCTGTCGCCGTGTCGGTTTGAACTTTGGGGGGGTTTTTGTGGAATTTCTCGACCAAAAACAAAAAAAAAGGAGACACTCATACTTGGGGTAAAAAGAAAGCATGCCTCTTTTTTTCTTACCTCCTCCCCCCCAAAAACACTACCCAACAACACACATACACGTCTGTTGCGAATGAGACAATCAATTGGGTGTTATGCGGTGTACAGGCGTCGAGAGGGTTTCTCGGGAAGGTTGGCCCCCCCCCCCGGGGGATATTTTTTTTATTAATCAATCAATGATAAAACGATGAGCGATGAATGACCTACTTTTTTTGGGGTGCGTCTTTACATATAGGGACTACGTGTCTACCTGTTGTCATCATTTGTATGCAGAGTTGGCTGGGTCGATACTCACAACACAACCGAGATCTGGTCGAGACGATGCGAATGTATATATGTTTTATAAATTTGTATCGGAATTCCCCCTTTTGATACGGGAGTAGTCAACACCAATCACCATAAAAACACGAACATCGGTACTTTGTACGGACACACTCCATATCTAAACTGAACACAGAGTCCAGATTTACAGCAAGGTAATTATATTATTTTCTGTTCTGACTCGGTCTCATACTCCTCTACAACTTTCGTCTCAAGTCCTCCACCATATATCCCAAAACCGTCGTCGTCTTGAATCGTACTTCTCACGTGCAATGTGTTCTTGCAAATCTCCCACCGAATCCATGCTCTTTATTATTGCTTTGTATTCTGATGATTTAAAAAAGGCCACATCTTTGGGTCTCCCACCTTGGAAACCTTTGCCCAAAAACGCCATGCTGACGCTCGCTAGAACCGACAAAATCAAAAGAGAGTATTCAAAAATGCGTTCGTGTTTCCATGTCGTGACTTTCGTGGTCTCCCTGTCCAGTTCCACATCATTTATCCTCCGTCCCTCGTGGTGTAACTCCAAAACTCCCCTTCTATCCGTCGTCTCAACCGTCTTGATCCGCGAACTGAATGGAAACCATCGTACACCTCACGACTTCACCCTGCCACCCTCTTCGAGTCTTTCTTCCTCTCTCATCCTTGATCTTTCTCGAGATCGTTCTCGTATGACCTGCTTCTGTTGAAACTGGTCCTCCAAGTTCTCCCGGGTGAAACCTTGAATCGTATTCAACCTCTCCAGTCCCAAACCCTCAATGTCAGCGTCCTCGTCCATGCGACTCCTGACGCGACACAGGTTGACTTGAGCGTCTTGCTTTTCTTCCTCGTCGCCGCCTTGCATGGCCAATCGTAACCTTTCTTCGGCCTTTTTCTTCTTTCGTTCTTGCCGCTCCTCGTTCTCACGCATCTCCCGGATCATGCTGGACCGTTCACGGATCTTGCCACCGTATCGGTAGAACAAGAACGGAATCGGAATGATCAAGACCTCCAACAATCCCAGCAACGTCCCAGCCCAATTCGGCCCGAGGGCGCGATACAAAGGCGGCCCGGCCAGTGGAAGGGCACCACCCATGATCGATCTCATCACGGCGTTTCCGGCCATGGCGCTCGCGGCGTAGATTCCGTAACTGTACGCCAAATAGTTTCCCGAGTAGATGAACACAGCACCGTTTCCGAACCCAAAGGGTATACCGGCGGCAATCGGCAAGGCCCAGTGGATGCTGGTCGGGTAACAGGTCCAGGCGAACCACAATTCGCCCACGGGGATGAGGATAGCCGCCACACAGACGATACTCAGCATCGCCTCGGGCGGGACATTGCCGTCCTGGTCGCGCTTGTGCGAGTTGATCATTTTCCGGATTGGCGATGCACAGCCAATGATCAACATGGTGCCGATGCCAATACCTATGAAGGAAAGTCCGCTGAAACCAACGGACCAGCCACGTTCCTCGGTGAAGACGATGGGATATGCCACGAAACAGAGATACAAGATTCCTGGTACCTCGTCGTTAGCCAGGGACAAGGAGACGAGGCAGGGGTTTGGGCAATCTTACCGTAGACAAGGGAGATGTACACGTTCCAGAAGATGCAAATGGGCTCCTTAATCGCCATGATGAAAGGTCGGCTCAGATTGATCTTCATCAACTCGACGAAGCCCACGCGTACGTCATAGCGACTCCAGTATCGGTCGTCTTCCTCTTCGCGTCGAAGTTTCTTGGCTTTGCGTTGCAAGAGCACCGGCACGTAGGTTTCTTTGAACATGGACAAAAACACAAACGCCACACCGACCCAGATCATGGCGATCCAATTCGTCCACCGCCAACCGAGCGATTGCGTGACGAACCCGCCAATCGTAGGGCCGACCACAGGGCCATTCATCGGACCGATACTCCAGATCGAAAAGGCCGTACTCCGCCACTCGTCGTTGATGAGGTCGGCGATCGAGCCGGGCGCGTTGGCGATCAACGCACTTGCGAAAATGGCGCCGAAGAACCGCGCGACGATGATGCTCGTGATATCCTGCGACAGTGCCGCCGGGATGACCAGGATCGTGAACATGGCCGTACATATGGTGTACACGGGTTTCCGGCCATAGGTCTCTGCGATGGGAGCCACGATCAAGCAACCAATGGCCAGGCCGAGGAGATATAATGTGACGCCCAGGGTCGCGACGGTTTCTGATTCGACACCAAACTCGACCATCATCTGCGGCATGCCGGACGTGTAGGACGTCGAGTACATGACTACGCCCAGCGTGCCGAACGACAAAGCAAACAGGCCCATTGACTTGTACCACAGTGGCCAGTTACGGGGATCATCCGGGTCATTGGGGGCGAAGTCGACCTCATACCGCGGGTCGGAGGTGTATGCGGTTCCACGGGTCGTTATTCTCGAGACGGTGCGGGCGAGAGACTGGGACTGCGAACGACGCGATGTCTGGGTGGCGGTCAGGGTGAGTGCTCGTTCGTCATGGTCGGAGTCGGACGACGAAGGAGATCGGTCGGCGGAGGAACCTGAGTAGAACTCCTTCTCGGAAGGTATGGAGCTGGGGGTACGCTGTGACTGAGATTGCGAGTCATGTTGAGACACGACCACAGGAGGGACAGATGGTTTGTCGGAGATAGCCATGGTGTAAGGAAAGAAAGAGTTTGGTCATGCGAGAAGAACGGGGAGAGAGGGCGAGGGAGGAGGTTGAAGGAGAGTGTGGTAGACGGTCGAGAGATTCACAGGGCGCGGTCACGTACCGTGTGCATGAGGATTTGAGGCACGTCAAGTCGAATGAAGTGTTCTGCGGAGATCCACGAACCCAACAACAAAAATGTCAGGGCGTGAGAGAAAAAAAAAGAGGGCCAGGCCCGTTGCCAGTTGCATGACAAGAGTTTTGCGGTGTATGAGACAAGTGCACTATCCGCACTCCGTCCACTCCAAGGTCGTGAATGACACCGAGTCAATCGCCTGCCTCGTCACGGTGGCTGTACGGAGGGAGTAACCCGTGGGCAAAAAAGGCCAAAACCCCCTGGAGATCAAAAGAATTTTCTTCGGAAGAGGTGCCGTGCAGACCAATAAGATAGAGGCATGACTTTGCTGGGCGCCCTTTTCAAGCATGCGGCATAACAGCCTTTTCCAAGAGTTTGTAGATGGGCGGTGGGACGACTTGGCCATTCAGCTCGAGGGCTATGATGGTCTGTATGCATCAGAGAATGATCCTGCATTCTTCAGTGCTTCCCCTGTACATTGCTGGTTGTCGAAGCATCGAGGCTGACAAACGTGAAGGTGGAGAGGGGGAATAGCCGTAGATGGACGATGCCGGCGATGGGGCCACCAGGAATGCGGAATCGGGTACGGAATAGTACGAGTGACTGGACGGTCTTGGTACGCAGGTGATAGTCGGTTCTCATCCTCAGTATCATGATCAGTTGAGCGAGTGAGTGGCATGTTCATCAGTCCAATCCAGAGATTTTGGCCCAGATCGGCGTCCCGCGCGGCAGTTGCTCCTTCTAGATCTTTGCCTCGGCATTTCTTTCCGGCGCCAGCCATCACTAACCATAATCACCTCGACTTGAATTGATTCATGTGTATTCCTTAAGAGCGGCGATAGACTTATTGGTTCAATAGTCTGTTAGTAGCTTGGTTGCAAAACTTATACGTTAAACATGTGTTGACCTAAGAACATTGGGTCATGGTGGTGTCGATAGATAACAAGTTGACAAGTTGACAAGGTGACGAGACGACCAAGCCTGGTGTGTGCGATTATTCATGTCTACCCCTTTCTCCCTCGTTATCATCATATTAGGTATTCAGTATTCTGTAGCGTGTCATGCTCAACGTTGTATACTGCGATTACTCGGTAGTGGTTACAAAAGTATGGGTTACGTCCAACGAGCTCAAGTACTAGATTGGAATCCAATATTCCTCTGAGAAGAAAAAGCACTCGTTATAGAGTCTAAGCGACAGGTCCGAGAACCTCATGTATTGTATTGCCGACAATGAATACCTAGACCTTGTACGAAATCAAGACTACTCCTAGAGGGCCTAGAGACCAGTGGAGAAACGTTGTCTCCTAAAAAAAAATTCCATCATCCAAAAAAGGATTACTTGAGAATGATTTTGTCATTTGACCGACGCAGGGATCGAACCTGCAATCTCTTGATTGCACACGTTTGTGTATCGTAGTCAAGCGCCTTGCCATTGGGCCAGTCGGCCTTGAATCCAGGGAGTTGGGTCCCAGAATTTGGAGAGAAGTTGGGGTGTCAAATATATACAACGACAGAAAACGCTACCCTGCTCTAGTGGATGTCAAGCTGACTCAATGGTCCGATTATTCTCATTTTTCGCCAAACTTATTGCTGCGTAGGTGCAGGTACCGCAAAGATACACTGACTACAAGATATCTGAAATCATGTCTTTCAGAGCCCTGCTCATGGCTCTGGGTAATTGACGTCCACCCACTTGCTTCTCATTGGGATCACGTCTTTAGCAAATCCAACGGATAGGTCGTGCATTTACCCGATCACCAGCCTCCTAACCACGACCCGTGTACAACGGGAGGCTCAAGCCGACACAACAAACTCCAACGAAAGCGTCCCTAATCAGGACAACAACAGCGAAAGAAAGCCTGGAAATGACGACGGACTGAGTGATCAGCCGGTCGCGGAAAAGCCTCGCCTCGTCGAGTTTTCTGTTTTTGGTCTTTTCTTTGATGTTAGCCCCATGGATGTCCATTTACTCAATACGTCTGTTCCCTTACGATTTTCTTTTACTGCCGACTGAGAACATGTGGGACTCCTTGATTACTCGAGTAACCAATGTAAGTATACGACAACCACGAGGCTTCTCCAATTGTGAAACGTGTTGTATATTCCAGACGAGTTCTTAGGAATGAAGCACACCCTGCTGTGTATCGCCTTAGTCAACCGTGTATTTTCCAATCCTCATTTCGAGGGGGCGATCAGGCCAAGTCATACTTTTGGTCTTTTTGGTTCTTATGATGAAAATCTTCAGAATCGTATGCTTTCTTTTCTCGATGACCGGTGAAACAGCGCTATCAATAAACGAGACTGTTATTACATGGGACCGACCCAACGAAATGCCCATCCAGGTAGCTAGGTATTGCTTTGCTTTGCTATTTCACTTTGAAGAAAGAGTATCATGTCATCCCAAACATGACCCTATCCCTGACGCGTCAAAATACCTCAAACGATGACAGAAGATGACATTCCCTTGACGCCAACTTGGACTCTTTTTGACCTTTTTTGGTGATTGATGATTTGTTTTACAAGTTACTCGCCCTTCAACAACACCTGGACCTCCGACTGGAAGTCTTGTCTCACCGGATAGGGTACCCGTTTCTGTCGAGGTCCCCCTGCCAATCCGGGTCGTAGTACTCGCTGTTCCTGTCCAGCGTGGCGACGTACCGGTTCCCCCGGACGCCGGGCTTTTTGGAATGGGTGTTTCTCAAATGACTTTTCAAGTTGTCGGTCCGCGAGAAAGGTTTGTGGCACTCGGGGACCCAACATTTGTAGATGTCGTTCTCGTGCTTCTCGTGGACGGTCTTTTCGTGCCGTTTGCGGTGTTCCTGCCGTTTGAACCTCTTTTGTCTCCCCGTGCCCTTGTCGATGCACCCCGGGTAGCTGCACGGGAAGGGGTTCCCCTCGATGACGGGGGTACAGTTGACCCCAGAGGTGGCGGTCTTGACCTTATTGCGTTTCGACGACGACGCCTGAACGCCACCGCCGTTCTTGCGCTCGTACCCTCGGCGGTGCAGCCGGTCGTGCTGGTGGTGCGACCGACTGTTACCTCCCTTGCCCGAAGTGAACCGGAACAGCTGCTCGACGTCGGCGTACGGCATGTCTTCCACGTCGTGAGATTGTGTGGGAACGATACGAGGGGACATGATCGGTAGAGGAGGGCTGCTGCTCAACATGGCTGTGGGAAAGACCTTGATCTTCATCGGGGTGGATGGCTCGACTTTGTAGCTCAGAGAGCTGGGGAGGATCCTCTGAAAGGTCACACTGGGTTCGATGGTCTCCGGAGGAGGTGGATGACCCAGGTTGGCGTGCAGCAGGTCGTGGTGGTGGTGGGGGTTCACACCGCCGTACATTGTTGCGACGGCCGCCGGGTTCAGAGGTTCGTCGAAGATGGACTTGGTCAACATCGGATTGGACACGACCTTGCTTCCGACGTGCTGTTTCGACTCGTACAGCGTGTGGTGGACCGGAGGTAGGATCATGTCCGGCATGCCGGTCGTCGTCATCATCGGCAGGCCCAGAGGGGAGCTCGCCCCGTCGAACCAGACGCAGTCGCCAGGGTATTGCCCGGCGTCCTGAAGCTGGAACATGGGATGACAGCTCTCCAAGTAGGACGACGACGCCGTCTTCATATATTTCGGGCAGGACATGTGCACCGCGGCGTCACTGGTCATGGGCGTGACGGGACTCGCGGTCCTCGCGGACGGGGTGAAGAACATGTCCGGCGAGGTCATGCTGCTGCACGATCCGAGCGAGGAGCGGCGGAGACCCTGAGGCCCCATCATGGAAGAGTCACAGAGAAAGCTGGACGACATGGACGAGCAGTCCGTCATGAAGCTCACCGGCGATTCTCTTCCGAAAGGAGTACCGTCGAGTTCGGGGAGGATGTCGAGGGGGCTCTCCTCGGTCTTGAAATGGAGATGGAGAGGGGACATTGCTGGATCTGGTCAGTCAGATGGACGAAATCGTGATGACGCAGCAACAGGGCAGGTACTGACTTTCAACAACCATCTCGCTATGTTCGTTTGCCATGTGGGATGCCTGGGACACCGGCGCTGGTCCAGTTTCGAACGGTGTTCTTTTCTCTTGTTCTGTTCAAGATCACGAGCCAAAGAAGGTCGGTCGAGCGTTCAATGAGAAACTTGAAAGGTAGGCGACTATCGACCGTCCATATCTATGAATCCGACCTGCGGCGGGCGCGTTGTCCTGGTAAATGCAAGGCGTCTGGTATGTGCCAGAGCCACTCCAGCAAGTGGTTCGTGAATACGGATTGACAGGGTTCCACTTTTACAGCGAGATGTCCAGGGATCCGGAGTTTCAAAAGCAGACCTGTCCCAAAGAGCGTCTCTGGAATCCTGAGGCGAGTGCCAGGAAAATACGAGGAATGGCTGCAAGTCTCCATCTCCACGGCAAGGGGTGCTTCGTTTTCTGGATCAACGCGCGCTGGATTTTTGCAGCACAGATCAAGTGAATGATGCACTAGAACGATCACAAGCTTGAGATCCATTAGGATGGTGGCCCTACTGCCTGTTTCTGGGTTCTCGAGACGAGCAGACACAAGACTTGATCGGTTAGGCTTGACAGCTTGTTGATGCAGGTACACGAAGGACTCGATTTGTTCGCACCTCAGGGCAACCCAGCCTGTCTTCGGGAAAGAAGCCCAGCAACTCCAGAGGCCCCATTATCCCCAGATGAGACCGGACAGCCTTGTGTCAAGATTCCACTTGGCTTGCGGTATGATTATCGATAATGCAATGCAGGCACTTTGATTATTGAACTTGTCAATAAAGTGCTTGCATGTCCGCAGCGTGACGGACGGGGAGGGGCTGTCGCTCACGGCCAAAAGCAGGGTTAGCCGGGCAAGCCCAACGTCCGAATTGGTGCCCCCTGTTCCACTGGACTGCATACTGCATACCTCCGCAAGGACAGATACGAGGTTCTCTGCGAATGGGGGATGGTGAGCTAGCGAAAGTGGCCGCATGAAGGTGGTGCTCACGGTACTCGTCACCACGGTTTGCCTCACAGGAGGCCTGACCTCTGAACCAGAGGGCTGGACACAGGACTCGTATTGTCCAACCGCCTGGCTTTTCTTTGGGCTCGACCTACGGAGTAAGGCCAGACGATTTTCTTTGGGTGGCCAACCCTGGATCGGATCTAGATTTCAGAGCTCGCTAAATCCCACCCCGGCTCGATCGCGTCTGGCATGCCACCCAGATGCAAGACGCTCGAAATGGCAAAGGCAGAGAGACAAAAGAGGTCAAGAGCGAGATCTGTGAACCAGAACGCCACCGAAAAGATGCACAGACCGGGAGAGGGGGTTTGATCCATCCTTTCGTCCTTTCGTGCCATCCCCAGGTATGTGTCACAGAAGGGCCGTCAGCTGGCAGGACCAAGATTGGGGCATACGGCCGGTGTACCAAAAGATCGCAGCCGGATGTTTGTGAAGGCTTTTCATTGCCAAGCTGAGTTGTTCTGGTTGAGTTCCGGGATGATCCCTGACACCCTGACAAGGTTGGCTCCATATAGGGAAGTCCAATTCTAGCCACCTTGTTTACTGGCGCTAGTGAGAGAGCCAAAATGTTCTAAAAGCAATCCCGGAGAATGCAGGCAATTACGGAGGACGCTGAGGGCTTTGCAGGCCACCACTGACCATTCACATGTCTCCTCGCGAACTGTGTGCGAACTGTGTGCGAACTATTCGGGCAGATCAAGCCTGGCTCTGCTGCAGCTTGACACACTACACTTGTATGGTACGAACTACTTCCTCTGCCACTCGACGTCATGACGAGATCTACCCTACATCTCCAACACAATCCGGCCAGGTATGTCACCCTTCTCCAGCATGTCATACACTTCGGGCAAATCTCTGAATGGACGCACTTGCACGCGAGGCTTGACCTTTCCAACCCGCACCAATTCAACCGCTTGAAGAGTTTCCTTTAACGAGCCCACCAAATTCCCCTGGATTCGCAAGCCCTTGATGACGATCGTGGCGATGGGTATGTCTAGATGAACGTCGCCTGGGGGAATTCCTACCATACACAGTGACCCACCTACCCTGATCATGTCGGCCAGTCGTCCAAAGGCCTGAGGGTGGCCGCTCGTCACGACCGTGGCGTGCGTCCCACCCCCCGTGATTCCCTGAACTTCGTGTGTGAGGTCCTTGCATTTGCTAAAATCGAGGAACCGAGCTCCCAGACTCTCCACAAACTGTCGCTTGTCGTCACCGGCGTCGACCCCGAGCACCTTTGCACCCAGGGAAAGACCGTACTGAACTGTTGTTTGTTCCGTCAGTAGGAAAAAAATTGTCACGACGCGTCCGCCATACCTGCGAAATGGCCTAGACCTCCGCCAGCGCCGATGACGGTCAGCCATTCGCCTTCCTTGAGGTGGGCGTTCACGACAGCCTGGGATCTTTCAGTCAGGACATGACTTGACCGGCGTAGAGAGACTTGCCTTGTAGGCGGTCACACCCGCACATAGCGTGGGCCCGATCACCCGGGGGTCGACATCTTGTGGCAACAGCGTCAAATAGTTCGTATCAAGGACGCAGTACTGCTGGAAGCTGCCGTCCTCGTGATGGAGGTGATTCGTCGCGTTTGTGCAGTGCTGCTCTCTACCTGAAGTGCAATACTCGCATTGGTGGCATACGCGGGATGCGAAGCGAATGCCCACCAGGGTCCCTACTTGCAGGTCGTCCCTCGGGGACACGTTGGGCCCGAATTCCACGACCCGTCCCACTCCTTCGTGCCCGCCAACGTGAGGGAGCTTGATGTTCGTGATGGGCTGGCCGTCGGCCCCCGTTGCGGTGCCAGCTTTCGTGTGCAGGTCTGTGGAGTCATGGGTCTAGCTCAGACTTGGGGGGCTCGACGTTGGTGCTTACCGCTCTGACAGACACCCGTGTATAGAACCTTCACCAGGATTTCGTCGATACGAGGCCTTGGGACGGGATAGTCGTCATCAAAGACGACAGGTCCACCTTGTTTCGGCACCAGCGCCGCGGTCTGCTTGGTGGGAATGTCGGCCTGAGACATGATGTCGATGACAATCTGGAGGGAGATTCCGGGCAAGGGAGAGACAATACACGATGCAATCTCCTCTGTTCAGAGGAGACAAGCTCCTAGATTTCAAGTACGGGCACAAGAGGTTTCGAGGGCCTACTCTGTGGCGACTGTCACCCACTGAGTGCGGAGAATGCGCGCAAGGGTGGACAGCAACCACAACAAATGGTGGGGCGGACTTGATGCTGTACTGGTTGAGCGGGATAATCGCTCGCTAGGTAGTGAAGGGCAGGTCTTGTCTCGAGCGAGTTGAGGCAGATAGTCTTCCCGAGCTGACATCGAGCAGGGCGCTGTATGATGCATACAAACCCCGCATGAGGCAGGGGCCGGACAGGGGTGTAGGCCATGGAGACGGCTCAAAGCGTAAAAGGCCAAAAGGGCTAAAACAATCGACTTTCTGGTTCCGCCAAACTGAGCAGTTGCTTCGGCTGTTGATGGCAATTTTCGGCGCTGGCTTCGCATGAGACAGACGCCTACCTGTCAAGTCAAGTGGCGTCCAATGTATCACACTGGCGGTTGATCCTTCCACGAAAGCAGCTGACACTTTGGAACAAACATGTGAACACGGAAGGGGGACGAGACAATGTATAAACTGGTATGCGATGGTAGATGAGGGTCTGTTGAATTGGACTTACTGGCGGAACTTTTTCCCCTCTTGTTTTTCATATCTCTCACGCCGACATATGGGCCGAGAAGATCACCTTGTCGCCCTGGATGTTGACCAGGGACCAGAACCATCGAGCCATGTCATGGCGGGCGTGGGGGTCGGTTTGAGCTCATGGAGACTTCTGTTCCAAAAGAAAAGGATGAGCATGTGCAACCATGTACTCTGTATGTAGAGTAAAAGAGAATTTGGCGGTGGCACAAAAAGTCTGTGGCGTACAATGTGGCTTGTGTGAAATCACATGATCAGCCTATGGTGAGATTTTCATCGAAGGCTGGAATCGTTTTCGTATACAAAATGACGTCGTGGTCAAAGGCGCAAGACACTAACGATTCAAAGGCCCAACCTCTTTGGTCTCGCCTGGCTTTGACCAGCCTGCGGTGTCGCATTGAACCTCACTTCCTTTTTCATCGAGCGAAGCGAGCTCGAACTCATTTCCATCTGATGCGGTGACGTCTGAATGACCGCAGTGCAACAATGTCGCCCTACCCGTACAATCCAGCCTGCTACCTCCCTCAATCATGGTCATCCCATCTCCCCACCGCGCTCGCATGCCCTCCGCCGCCGTCCTTTTTCACAAACGTCTACAACTACGCAACGTCCCCGTTCTCCGCGACCTACACCACTCTACGCACCATGATCGACGCACTCCTCGGCCTGCCGATGCTGAGCTTCCTCCTCATCCCGACATTCTCTTCGTACTCGACCTCGCTGAACCTCTTGTTCTTCTATCTGACATGGTCGACGCTCGTCCTGTCGCACCCGCCTCTGCGCGTCGAGCTTGTCGCGACCCTGGCCGTCAAGACGCTCTTCTACATCCTCCCGTCGGCCTTCTTCGTACTCTTTGACGCCTTGCTCCCTTCGGCCGCCGAGAACTTCAAGGCCCTGGGCGATACGGCCCTCCCGTTCAAGAACGCGAGCCGTCAAGGCACTATTCGAACGCTGCGCGCGTTGGGGTGGTCGCTTCTGAACACGCTCCTCGGCGTCAGCATCCAGGCTCTCGTCGAGCTCCTCTTCACGCGCGTCCTGCTGATCCGCTCGGCCTTGCGCGTGACGACGACGCTGCCTCTGCCCTTTGGCATTTTGAAAGATTTGGCCAAGGGCTACCTCCTGCGCGAGGTCTTCACGTACGTCCTGCACCGGTACGTGCTGCACGAGTCGAAGAACAGTCTCTCGCGGGCACACAATGAATGGTATCATTCGATCTCCACCCCATTTCCCTTGTCGGGGAGCTACGACCACCCACTCGCCTACCTGGTGCGGTCCTTCTTGCCGACGTACCTCCCCGCGCTGCTGTTCCGCTTCCACCTGATCACGTACGTCATCTACGTGTCGATGGTGTCTCTTGAGGAGACCTTTGCGTACAGTGGGTACAGCACCGTGCCGACCAACTTCATCCTCGGCGGCATGGCGAGGCGCACCGACACGCACCTGATGTGCGACGGCGAAGGCAACTACGGCCCGTGGGGTCTGGTCGATTGGTTCATGGGCACGGCCGTAGGGCAGGACATGCTTGACGACGTCGCCATGGAGGCCGAGAAGCATGACGTGCCGGCCCGGGTGGAGGGCGCGAAGAGAAAGGCCAGCAGAAAGGTCAGCGGGAAGATCGAGGAGGCCAAGAGTCTGGGGCCGCGGAGGAGGACCAGGAAACGGAGTAACAGTTGAGTGTCGCATGGAAGGAGGCCACAACGACTTGAACGAAATATGGAGGAGAAAGATGTTGATATATAGGATCTGATAGTTATCACGATGGATTGGCAACGCGAGTCGTGGCCGATTTCTTTTAAGAATGATCACGTATAGCGAGCACGTTTGAATGATGATACCCTCGTTGGTTTTCCTTGGTTTCACGGATGCTTGGTCACTTCGCCGTCACGACAATCTCAATAATCACGAGTCAACACTGTCACCGCAAACGCAAGACAGATTTCATGTCGCTTATCATTTTGTCTAGGCTCGAAGATTTCTGAAACTGGACCCGAAGCATCATCTTTGTGTGCAGAATCAACCCGTCAGAAACTCGGTTCTTGACCATTTACACACCCAACAGCTCAGATCGGCATGGGCCATGGAAATTCTTTCTTCATGGTCACGCATGGAGTGGCTTGTCACATGGTTTTAATTTTTCTGTTTTTTTCCCTTGAAGCAGGTGCTTGAATATCATCGTGCAAGCAGACAACAAACGCCTTTCTACCACGTCCCCCTTCCGTGACTCTCTCCAGATCAGCATCGTCTTTTTACGTCACGCCCTGGACGATTGATTGGTGTGGTTTAGAAGACCATCTCGTGGGGTCGTTGGCCGTGTCTCAGGCTGAAGCTTGATCGCAGGTAGCTGGCGAGGAATTCCTCGTTCTTGATGGCGGAGAGGAGAGGCTTGTCGATGGCCTTTTGGTCGGATGCACGCTCAGACGTAGGCTGCTTCTTCTGCACATAGGTTAGTCTCGATGTCTACAGGTCTATAAGTGACAAAAGGCCCACCTCTGGCTTCTCTCCCTGCTTCATAAAGGCATCCTCGCCCTTCTCCTTCTTGCTCTTCTTTTCCCGGGCAAAGTATTCAGGCTTGGTGACCTTTTCCAGTACCGACTTGTCGAGCTTGGAGATGTCGACGGTCGTCGAGGTTCCGATCACGTATCTGGCGTTGACTCGGCGGATAGGGACACCGTTGATCTTGAAGGGGCCGGTCACGATGACGGCATCCTTGGAGTGTCCGAGGACCACCGCTCGCTTTCCGCGAAATCTTCCAGCCAAGACGATCACGACCGCGCCAGGCTTGAGCGAAGCACGGATCTTGGTGGGATGTTGACTCTTCCTCGCCTGTGTTGGATCACCTCACGTTAGCCAACTGTCCGCACACCCGCGGGCAAAGTTATATTTTCTAGACGACCAGAAATGTCGCCGTCGCTCGGGAGAAAAACACACCTTCTTGCGCAGGGGAGTATCGTCGGCCGGATCTGTAGAGACATCAGTAAATCTCTCTCGGGGCACCAGAGCGGACCGGAAACTTACACCACCTCGCCGCTTTCTGGACAGCTGGGTTGGCCTCTGTGCTGCTCATGATGGCGATGGGCGATTTAGGCGATATTAGGGAGACAAAAAGGTGGTGGTCGCGGGAGATGTTGTTGGTCGTCGGTCCTGCGAAGTGTTCATGCGAATTGATGGTGCGCACCCAAAATGTGGACGGGCTTGGCAGGTGCGATCACCCAGCATGGGGCAGGTTTTCCGAAGATATTGTCCACGTGACCGTCACGGTGTTTGGGCCCGCTCACAGCCAGGCTTCCTGTGCAATTGCGTAGACGAGTACCTTTGTCCGACCCTACGCAATGACAATTTGACGACCTCAATTACTTCTCACAACGAACCACCCCACGACGTCCAACGACACTATCACAACCCTCCCTACCATCACCTTTTCCTTTTGGACAATCCTTGTGTCACTGCCCTCTTCTCATGTCGATACAACCCATCATCACGTTCAAGGCTGGGCTCTGTGAGCTTCAGGTGAGTTTGTTGACTTGCCGATCTGAAAGGGGCACACGTTGACTTCTGTCCAGTCTGGCACGACGCCCGCCAAGGTAAAACCTCTCCCGACACCCGGTTACCTCTATCTCTACGCCGAAGATGAGCTGCTACACTTGTGCTGGCGGCCAAGAACCGCGGCCTTGGACAACCCCGAGCTGGACCTTTTGATGCTTCCCACCGATGGCACATTCACCCCTTACCATCCCACAAGCTCAGAGAACCCGGACAACTCAAGACAAGTGACCAATGGCAGAATATACGTCCTCAAGTTCTCCTCCAGCTCGCAGAGATACCTCTTCTGGCTTCAATCACGCAGTCAACATCCTCAGGGTGATCCTGCATGGTTCAGTGCCCGGGATCTGAAATTGGGCAAGATTGTGGACAATCTTCTGCAAGGGGAAGACGTCGACGTTCAACAACAGATGGCGGAGTTACCAGGTGACCAGCATGGGCCCGGCGACGACGACGATGACGAACCAATGGAAGACGTTGAAGGTACGGATCACAGTGCCAACCGGAGGCCGTCTCAGAGCGGTCCTGGCGCGGGCCCAGATGCTACGGGTGGCGACTTTCGTGAGGAGGGCGAGGAGTCCCGGGAGGGAGGCGCGGACGGCGGAAGAGCGTAGGTAATACACACGTGCTGGTGGAGACCGTTTCCGCTCTCAATGCCAGAATGATCTGACCTTCCAGCAGGGCCGCCGAGAGGGAAATGCAGAGCATCGTTGAGCATTTTACGCGGACGTCAGGTGGCCTTGGGTCGGTAGGGAGATCCCGATATTCAGCTCCCGCCACTCAAGATCGCGTATTTACCACACTTACCGACTTGCTGACACCAACATCGACGATCCCGTGGATCGACTCCGCAGACAGCGAGACTGTTGACCGACTACTGCAGTACCTACCCCCAGCATTGGTGACGTTGGCACAGCAAGCGGACGATGAATCGGCCTTGAACACAGATCATGCGTCGGTGCAGGCTGCGGAACAGGCTCTGAGTCTAGGTCAGAAAAAGGACATTCTACGGCGAGTTTTGCGGTCACCTCAATTCTCTCAGAGCTTGGCCAGCCTCACCATTGCTTTGAGGGACGGCGGTCTGCCCAGTATCAGCGAAGCTCTGAATATCCCTATCATCCATGGTGGCTACATGAGGAGAGGCGGTGTGCCCCTGGGCGGTGCCGAAGCCGTCAAAGCTTTTGTGGAAGGCGTGAAACATTCCGTGGAGAGGCCAAACGCTGGAGACGACATGGAAATAGAATAGATGTTCAGCCACCATTGAAGTTCATAGAGAACACATCTGGTCCTGCAAGCACCATGCATTGCGAACCAAAGGTCAACCCCTGTCCGGTCCATCTCCCGCCATTAGCTAACGTTCGAGATAAACGCACCTTGTCATCTATGTAGCTACATGCGCGTGGTTGTTTTCGCTTTAACCGGCGCTGCTTCTACTGTAGTATCCCGTACCAGCCTAACCAAGATCAGCCAGGACAGATCTCGACTGCCAAGCGTATCACGTGACCAGATCAGCACGTGTCGTGTCGTTAACCGACAAATCGGTTCAGACCTCGCGTCTGACACCTTCGCCTCAACAAAGATCTCGCGCAACACGGTGCACAGTCTGCGAAGTCATCGCCTCGATGTGGAAGAGGTTACAGAGAACGCGACCTGCCCGCGGATTCTCCAGGGTCCAACGTGCAAATTCAGATTTTTACGCTTCGGCGATTCGGTTGTCAACAACTGTTTTCATTTCATGAGAGTTTTTCGTTGATTCTGATGGCATGCTTGAAGCAGCTCTACATTCATTAAATTGATGATTACTCGTTGCCCGGATCTGTGGCTTTCTGCTCGCACGATCGTCGACTGGACGCGAGTGGCTTTGTGATCCGGTATATCAACGGCATGAGAAGGTAAAAAGAATTTCCCGTGTCCAGTGCTATCATACCGATTGGGTCCAATAAATTCCATACGCCAGAGAAGCAGCCCAACTTCCCGGCATCAAGTCTAGCGATCAAAAACATGATTGGCATGAACTGCATAGCAAGCAAGCTCGGCCGACGAAAGAAGACCAAAGACCAACGCTCCTGACATTGACAAGAAGAAGATTAGATGACTGTGTGAGGAGGGTTCCACGGGCCAGTTGGGTGTGGGTGGTGGTTCCCTGGAGATGGTTGCCAGTCGCTCCAGCCTCCGTTACCATTGTTGGGAGGCGAGCCACCGTTATTAGGAGGGGAGCCACCATTGTTGTTGTCGCCTCCAGGAGGTCCCCATGGGCCAGGCCATCCGCCATGGTGGTCATTGTCACCTCCACGGGGGGGTCCCCAAGGACCAGGCCAGCCTCCATGTTCGTTGTTGTTGGGGGGAGAACCACCATTGCCGCCTTGGCTCGGGGGAGCTGGTTGCCAGTCACCCCAGGCTGGTTGAGGTTGAGAGCCGGAGCCGCCGTTGTTGGACGAGCCACCGTTGTCAGAGTTGCCTCCGCTTGGGGGTGACCACCAGCCAGGTCGTCCTCCCCATTTTCCTCCTCGCCACTTGCCGCCTCTCCAGCGGCCACCCTTCCAACGACCACCCCAGCGGCCCCAACCACCTTCCCAGTCCTTGAACTCGGGAAGACCATGGCCCTTCCAACCCTCAGGAGGACCGTGGCCCTTCCAACCTCCAGGGGGACCGTGGCCCTTGAAACCCTCGGGGGGGCCGTGTCCTCCTGGACCGCCATTCAACCATCTTTTCATCTCGACCTTGACACCGGCGCTTGAGCAGAAGCCCTCGGCGGTCTGAAGAGCTGTTGGACTGGTCAGCATCGGCGTCCTTTGTTACGACAGTGATCAACATCACTCACCTTGGGAATCTCCATTGCAATCGGACTCGGCACACTCGGCGACGGATGGCAAGAACTTGTCTGAGCCACAGATGCAGGTGGTGTCACTTGCAGAGCAGCCTGTCGCAGCGATCCCGTTGGTCATGCAGATAGCCTGAGGAGGTGGTCAGCCGTTGTACATTACACCAGGAAATGGTATACACTCACAGAGCAGAGGGGAACACGTGCAGCTTGCGAGGCCGCGGCCAACGCAAGAACGATCAAGGAAGTCCTCATTTTGGCGACGAAATTGCAACAGAAGGTCGCTTAGTTCGTGCCTTTGGAGCGAGGATGGGTTAAAAAGAATTAACGAGAGAAAAGAAATGCTAGCGAGCGACTGGAGAGGGAAAGAGAGGACAGTCCGGAGGCAGAGGCCGGACGCTGGATGATATGTAGGACCTCACCGAGCTCATTTCTCTGGTGGAACCCCCGGCTGTACACAAGCTTCTATCTCATCACAACATATTCAAATTATGGCTTACCCTATTTAGGTACCGGTCGGACACAATGATGCCTGCAAGGTGATGAGCCCACCCAGGCGGCTAAGGCACCTACGGAGAATGATAGTAAGATACGCCGAGGAATTACTGCATGAGCCTGACAGATTCCCACACGAGTTGGGGCGCGCCACATGATTGAGGACCATGGATCATCGTGATGCTGGGCCAGCAGGATGTGGTACTTGATGGTGTATGTTTACACCTGAGTTCCCTACCCTGGTACACCCGGGTATGATAAACAGGGGAAGGTAAGAATCGGCCGGTTCTGCTCCGGCGGTGCTACGGTCTCCACCATGGGATGGGTCTGCGAATTTTACTCGATACTAGCTCCATACTGTGATACATGGCCCCTCGACCGGGCGATGATGCAAGATTCCTGGAGGGCAGATTATGGCCGCCACCCAAATGCTCCTCTTCTACCGGGCGAGGACAAGGTTGTGGTGTCGGCGCCTCCTTCGGTGCTGGACTGAGACACAGTGACTAGCTCGCTGTTCTTTTGGCAGGTCTCGAAGCCAACACATGCTAGTTCCCTCTTTCTACAGGCTTTCTTCGGTCCTTCCGATCATCTACAGATTATTTTGGGTTCTAGGCCAGCACCTTTCCCATCTGGCAGGCCAGATTTGGCCAACGTGGCTGTTATATTGAAGTTTACGTGAAGCCTGGTTGAACTCTGGACGAGGAAAGAATCCTGTCAGGTTCGCCACGGCTCCATGTGGTCCTCATCACTGCTGGATCGATGTGATTTCCACGATTTCCCTCTGGAATCAGATTAATTACCACCAGCAATTTACCCGGCGCCGAGGCTGAGGGTTTGTCTAGAGGATCTGAGAGCCGCAATCGCGACAGAGAAGCGGCTCAAATGCTAGCTCCCTCAATCCGGCCTGGTCTGGATCTGTGATGCTGCGAAAGGACAGGCAAATTTGTGACATGTAGGTTGTGAGACCCAACGGCTTAATCCCGAGATATTGTAAAGAAAGAATCGAACCCCAACACGATTTAAGAATAGTACCACAAACTCCGGCATGCCCATTGTCATCACAACAACAAAAAAAATCTAGTTCTTGATCCACGAGCCTCGCTTGATACCGAGATCCAGCATCTCGTCTACACCTCGTACCCTCTTGTAGAGAAACTGCGCAATCTTCACGCTGGGCTCGTCGATCATCTTGGTGACGACCTCGGCCAGCCACAGCGTGAATGGCAGGAGGACTACGTGAGCCATGAGGAAATTGATCTCGAGTCCAAACGGACCCCAGCTCGGGAAGGGGCACAGATTGATCCACCCAGGGACCAGCTCTGAATGCTCCTCGCGGATACGTCCTGTGGCAGCGTAGACTCGGTCTCCCAGCGTCCACAGGACTGGACCGTGGACCAGGTACAGGCCGAACGAGACCCTGCCGAGATACTGGCAGAAGCTGGTCTCGAAGAGGGACTTGAGCTGGGGCACACGCGGGATGGCGGCCACGATGAAAGTGGCGGCCCAGACGCGGTAGAACCAGCGCGGGTCCCAGAACGCCTGGGGCTTCAGGAACGAGAGATAGTACCAGCCGGGAGAGTCTCGCAGGTGTTGGAGGTCCCCGGTGATGGAAGGAACGCCCCCGAGGTAGAGTGCTATGCCGAGCAACGTGTAGTAGATTGGCATCTTGAACGGCTCCAGGGTTTTGAAGAAGGAGGGCAGGTTGTCCTTGGCGGCCAGCAAGTCCAGGTCGCAGAGGAGCATGCCGATGGTGAAGAGGCCGCAGAACCAGCCGTCCACGACGTAGAGGAAGTACAGCACCAGGCCGGCTTCGCAGAGGAGTCGCCCGTTGCGGCTGGCCCGCGAGAAGGCGAGCACGAAAGTGTAGACCACGATGGAGCCCTTGAATTCGAGGGCGATGGACCACAGGTGGTCGTTGTACTTGTTGGCAGGGTCCTCGTGGAACACGAAGCTGTAGTTCTTGAAGTCGGCGTACCACCGCCACAGCTCGTCGATGTACTTCTTCTCCGGCTCCATGGCGCCGGGGGCGAGAGACCTCAGGCCGACCAGGTGCCAGGACGTCAACCAGATGAAGGTCGTGGCGATCACCGGGAGAAACAGTCTGAACCACCGTCGAAAGAGGGCGGACGAGACGTTGTCGGCCATCTGTGCCGTCTCCCCCGCTTGGATCAGGCTCAACGGCTTCGCACACAGCACGTAACCCGAGATGACGAAGAAGATGGCCACGGCCAAATGGCCGCCGGAGAACAACAGTCGAATGCCAGGCAGGCAGATGAAGTAGAACTGCTTGTCCCAGCCGTAAGCGTTTTCGAGGATGAATTCACCGCCGATCCCGGCGTGTCCCCAAACCTCGTGGTGGAGGATGTACACCAGAAGAGCCGCGAAGCCTCTGAGGCCGTCGAGATACGCGGTCTTGTGAAGAGGCTTCTTGGGCCGGTGCGAGTTGAGCCACGTCGACGGTCTGAGGAGATTTTGACATCTATCTTGAAGCCGGGAGAGCAGGGTGGTTTGTTGCTCGTGCTGCAGAGGCTCCAACAAGCCCTTTTCGAGCATGCCGTCGCCTTGAGAGTCCATCTTGATGTCGCTGAAACTCGTGGCCATAATCGAGGACGCTTGACTATGGCCTATGCCTGGTGACCTACGCTGACAGGAATATGGTGGCCTTTTTTTTCTTTTCGATCCTTTGCAACGAAAATGGCAAGTCAGTCAGCAGGATCGCGATGATCGAAGGATTTGCAAAGTGGTCATGTTTGATCGCCTGGACACCCGACAAAAGAACCAACCAGTCAGATTGCACGTCGACGTTTTTTCGACGTGTGTCTCCTTCCTGCACATGTGGCTGTTATCTTGGACCTTGTCGCTCAACAGATCCGCCGAGGCACCGGCCTGGGACTAAGGTCTCTCCAGGGGAGACCCAACCGGTCGGTTAATGCGTGGGTCAGGGGCGGGAAGGGGAACCTCATCCCTGCTAGTGCTGGTCTCTATACTAAATACCCACCTCGGACCGGAGTGGATCGGGGCTCCAGGAACAGGTTAAGATGCCAGAGTTCTGTCAACCACGCCCAGATTCATACTTCAGAACCCCTGTCAACATACATCTCACATAGTTCAGTTTATAGTTCAACTGCCGTCAAAAGGTTGTTTCATGGTGATGCGGCCCCACCGTGCTCTCATTTCCTTTACATTCACTAGCAAGGCCTCATGGACTGGCGAGATCTCCCGACGCGCGCAAATCAGTCATTCCACTTGGCAATCCACCCAATTGATCTTTCAGCAGCACGCACAGCGAAACGTGAGACACGGTTCCGTCCAATTGGAAAACCGACCTGACGCTTCCTGAACAATTTTTTTTGTCTTTGAGTCGTCTCCGGAGGGGGTCCATCCCAGTCTGGCCTGAGATTACTCTACTCTTATCGATTGTGTGTATTGTTGACTTGCCTAGGGCCGAAATTTGTAGATTGAGCGGGCGCCAGCTGAACTCGCTGAATCGGGAGATACAGTGTTCCAGCCAGACCCGGTCTCTTGAGGGGGGTGTCACAATCCATTGTACTCCATACCAGAGTCAACGAGTTACTACCTCTCAGTACTGTAATCGGTCGTTCCGTTAGTACGCAGTACAGACTAACCAGAATTTGGACTTCTACGGGTCGTGTCTTTTCTGAGCGCGACACCAGCACGCTTCGTCCATTTCGTGCATTTTTTTTATCATCACCGCTCAACAACTCTGGTTGTCAAGGACATTATTGTCGAACAGTCTTTGATGGTGAGCAACGCGTGTACGGACGCCATCGTCGACATGAAGTTCCAACCTGTGAGGCAGCCCTCTGAGGGCGTCATACGAGCACAGCTGAAGCGACTCGTCCCGTTTTGCATTGTCGGTATATTCTTCATGCTCTACCGAAATGCGATTGCGGGCGTATCTGGGTCCGACAATTCGATATCTCTCGTTGACAAGATCCCCCGAAAGATCTGGCAGTCGTGGAAACACGATCCGTTCGGAATGGAACTGAGAGACTCAGAACGAGCCAAGACCTGGACGACGAAGAACCCAAACTACCGATACGAGGTGCTCACAGACGACAATGCCATGCCATATGTGGAATATCACTATGGTCCGCATGGACTGAACCGCCCAGACATTGTGCACACCTACAGAACTCTCAGCGACAAGATCATCAAGTCTGACCTCCTACGTTACTTGATCATGTACGGTGAGTTGAAGATTTCAGAGATCCGTCTTGTGCCTAACGCGTGCTGACGATATTCATTTACAGCCGAGGGTGGTGTCTGGGCCGACATTGACGTTGAAGCCTTGAAGCCTCTGGACATGTTTATCCCGGACCGTTTTGATGAGCGGGACGTGGACATGATCGTGGGAGTGGAGACCGACATGCCCGAGTTCGCCTCGCATTCACTTTTGGGGTCCAAGTGCCAGTCTTTCGTCCAGTGGACGTTCGCCTGCAAGCCTCGCCTGCCCGCCATGATGAGGTTGATCGACGGCATTCTGGCGTGGTTGAACGACCTAGCCAAGAAGCAAGGCAAGCCCATCTCGGAACTCGAACTGGACTTTGACGAAGTCATCAGCGGCACGGGTCCCTCGGCCTTCACCAAGGCCATCCTCGCGGAGATCTCCAAAATCAGGGGACAAAAGACCACGTGGGACACGTTCCACAACACGCTCGAGGCCAAACTGGTCGGTCGGGTGCTGGTCTTGACGGTGGAAGCCTTCGCCGCTGGCACTGGACACTCTGACTCGGGCAACCACGGCGGCAAGGGCGCGCTCGTCAAGCACCACTTCCATGCCTCGTCGTGGCCCACGAGCCACCCTCGCTACAAGCATCCCGTCTACGGCGAGGTCGAAAAGTGCAACTGGAACTCCGAGTGCGTCAAGCTGTGGGACGCCAACACCAAGTTCTTCGACTCGCTCCCCGCGCAGGAACAGGTCAAGCTGATCGCGATGAAGGAGCTCGAGGACGCCAACGCCCCCAAGCCCGAAGAGGAGGCGCCCTTTGGCGCCGGCGTGAACCGGCAGCCCGACGGAGGCGTCCCCTTCCAGCAGGCCCCTTTCGGCCAGGGCAACCAGCCGCCGGACGCCGCCTGGTACCCCGAGGACCCTGAGTTCTTCGACGGTCCAGGCCCCATGCCAGACGCTCAGCCGAACGTGGTGCCAGGGGGCGGCGCTAACAAGCCCGAGGCGAAGAAGCAGCCTGCCGCCGCCGACGAGAAGAAAGCGGATGGTCCTGTTGCTCCTGCTAAACCCGAAGCGAAGGTCGAGGACAAAAAGGTCGATGCTAAGCCTGAAGCGAAACCCGAGGCCAAGCCCGAAGCGAAATCAGATCCCAACCCGGACGAAAAGAAAGGAGATGACCCTGTTGCCAAGCCAGAGGAGAAGAAGGACGAGGAGAAACAGGACAACAAGAAGCCTGCAGATAAGCCTCTAGAGTTGAGGTCGTAGTTGATCAATTTCTTGTTTCTCTCCTTTGAGGGCGCTGCATTTTCGTGGTTGGGTTTTTATGTTGGAAGGCGAGGGAAGCAATAACAAAGCACCTCCCGGGAGTTTTAGCTGCAGCAAGGAAAGGAAAAATGGTCCTGCCAGCCGCGGACGAAGTTTGATGGTTTTACGACAATCTTTGGATACCTTTGCATTGATATTCTTTTACTATTAACAGTATACTGGATGGGAAGCGAGGGTGTTGTTTGTTTTTACTTAGACGGTACTATGTGTTTGGGTGCTGGAGTTTCGGACTCTCTTGATCGTCAATCAAATATGATCATGTTCTAAGAATTCTACGGGTGTCTCGTTTTGTCCCTGAGAAAGATTTACTGTATGACCTGCAACTCGAAAACTTGTTGCTTAGGGAATATTCATTCGATTGATACTCCTTTGGACTAGATCTATGCTATTCTATGAGAAGATACTTCCAAAAAATAAAAAATTCCCAGTGTCGGGACGCTCACGTCAAAGAGAAACGAAAAACTCCCAAAACACCACAACCTCATGCTTCGTTACATTATGCAGGCTTTTTTTTCCCTTACAGCTCTGCGACCCGTTTACCTCGTAGCAGGCTTGAACCTGCATGAGTTCGCCCTCCGTTTGCTCCTATTTTCTCCCTCCTCTTCTCCCGGTCCGGTGATGTGATGATCGATGTCGTCGCAAAACTTCGTCAAAGTTCTCCTGTCCGTGCGCCGATGAGATCATCAGTCCGTGCTTTCTCATTAGATCAGTCCCGGGGGACTGGTTATCTTGGTCATTGCGCCGGGCAAGTTCAGCTGTCTGTGCACGACACGGCAGGAAGATCAAACCAAGTCCTGGTACCTAGCCGAAGGGGGAGAAGAAAAGAGGTGAAACGTCCGTCGTAGAATATTGACGTCAAGAGGCCTGCATGACACCATAACGCGTGAACAACCCACCCACACATGGGCCCCCGATGGTACCTTGCAGCTGAGCAGCGTGATAGCTCCGCCGTCGGCCCCAATTGCTTCCAGAAGGGGATAAATCGTGTGAGATGGACGTCAATCAAAAAGGAAAAGAGCCCACCCGTTGCTTAGAAAATTGTGACAACTTGGAGCCCACGGCTCAGGGTATCGTTTTGGGGGGAAAATTGCAGTGAGAAAATCCCACTTGCTGGTTGCTTTGACTCTTTCGCTTTTTCTTTTCATTTTGCGTTAGCGCATAGACCCAGGTCTTGTAGTAGATCCGAGGCCACCACGTCAATGGCCGCAGGCCTCGAGTCTTCGATGCCAAAGGTCAAGAAAAGTATGTCGTCCAAGTAGCCGTGGTACTTTTGGCCGTGCGACATCCAGCTCATTCCACGGATGTAGAACATTTCCGAGTGATTCTCCGGATAATCATCGCGATCTTCCCAGTTGACACTGCCTGTGTACTTAGAGAATTTGTTACGTCCCGCGATCCACAGAGGCTTGGTGGAGATGGCGTGCAAGCCGAACGGTGCTGTCTGCTGGAACAGCATCACGTAAGGTTCGTAGATGCTGTGGCCAGCAAAATTGGTCTTGTAATGGAAGATGTTCACGATGTACGTGTTTTGTTCGGTCTGGACGCACTTCGGATCTGTGCGTCGGCACATGGTGATGGCAAGCGTGTTGGTGGCTTGCTGCATCGAGGCCTCGTTCAGCACGGGTTTGGGCATATACCGCTTCATGCACTTCTTGTCGCTCTCTTCGATCATCGGCGCAAGATTCGGGCCTACCGAGCCGTCGGGCGACAGTTTGGCAAACACGCGCTGGGGGACGAGGTCACTGTGGGCATATGCCTCGCCTGTGTTGTCCCAGAACAGGAAAAAATTCTTCTCGAGGCCCTTGAACGGCGGCGGTTTTTGGATCTCGGTCGCCTTCGAAAAGTCCTTTGCCAGCACACTTTCGATGCGGTAGTCGTCCACCAGCACCCGTAGGTCTTCCATCCACATGCCCATGCACGTGTACGATGAATGTCCCGAGTAAAGCAGGTAAGGGGCCGTCGGTCCGTAGAACGCTCGAGCGTCGCGAGGTCCCCATTGGAAATTCAGGTAGCCAAGTTCATTTTCACAGTTGCCCTTGGTGGAAGAGACAGGTATGACGGTCGGCTCGGCGGCGCACACTAGCACGCCGTTCAGGAAGCCGGCGTTGCATATCAGCTGCTGAGAGTACTTGTCCGCGTCGCCCTTTTTGGGGATTCTCTGAGCGACCACGATCCAATTGTCGAACCGCGTAGGATGTGGGATGATGGTCGGGTTGAAGCCGCCGATACCACTCAGGTGAATGCCAAAGTAGTTCCCCGTGCTGGTTGTGTTGGAGAATATTTCGCGGTATGCAGATTTGTCCACCACCGGTTTGCCGTCGTCGTCCACGACCAGCACATGCGACGGGGGCAGGACGTCGGTGTTCGTGATCTCCTCAACCTCGACCTTTTCGGCCTTTTGGGCCACCTGGACCGACTTTGCCTTGAGCAGCGTCCCATCAGATTTCCGCGCGGGTGCCGTCCGCTCATGTTTCGTGTTGGACAGTACATGAATCAAGATCACGAGCAGCACCACGGCCAAGATTAGCCTCGTGGTGAGCCTGAATGCCATCGCCGCTGTCAGTTCTGATGTCTTGTCGTCTAAATTGTGAAGTGTAGATCACAGCAAAGACGTCGGCCGCGAAAACAGTGGACCGTGGACTGGTGGCCTTGGGATTTTTTCTTCTTCAAAAGTCGCGTTCAGGGCCCCTTCATGGGTCAAACCTCGTCTGAAGCGTTGTTGTGGATCACAATTGAGATAAGGACCCCCTCGCCAAAATCTAGGGCGAGATTGGCGAAATGACCTCGGAGAAAATCCTGCGTCCACGCCGGTCAATAATGAGCACATGCAAGAGACAAGGAGCAACGATGAAAGGACAGCGATGCTGACTTTGATGCACTAAGACAATACTATTGCTACACAAATGGATGTGTAAATTGTCACCCGCCTACGAAGCTACGAAAATGGGAGATGGAGAACTAGCGCCAGCCGTGTGCATTGGCCGTGTCGGGATTCCTGGTATACACTCCAAAAGCTAGTGACGGGGAGACTTCCTGAGGCGTGGTATTGCGATTTCAGCTGCCCAATGATTCCGGAGAAAGTAAAAATGGGTATCCGTACGAGGAGAGCATACTCCTATTCCGGGACGGCGTGGACGCTGGATTTGCATGTTGGGCGAGACGGAAATCAAACAGTGCATGAAATGCATTATCGAGGCCAATCTGGGCTCATTGAGGCTCTCAGAATCACACTTTTCAGCTGCGCCATGGGTAGGGTCACCATGGTGGCGGTCAAATTGGAAAGATGTGCCACGAGAAACGGCTCTCCTGGTGGCTGCAGATCATACCTCCGGAACCCGCTGGGATGGGCGCGTCTGAACAAGGTCTGGATGGAGTTTATTCTAACTTTTGCTAGCAGGCATGCTCGAACAGGGGTTCAGACGAGATAGGGTTGAGGCCAGTTACGCGAGGCTTGAGGTGTGTTTCTGGTCGGTCCCCACACCGGCGCTGAGTGGGGGGGCGGAGAAGACCTTTTCCGTGATCAGACCGGGATTGTTCTCTTTCCCCCCTGATTTTGCCTGAAGAAGTACAGCGTCAGTCTTCCAGTACGATACACCAGTGTATCGTCAATACAGCAGGGATGTCTGGCCTGGACAGCCAAGACAAGAGTGAAATTCCATTGCTGCGTCTGAATGGAGCCTACAAGGCCTTGATCAGCTAGCATTTTCGTTCAGTGCTCATCAGAGGCTCATCTCAAAGAGCCGCACAGATGAGAAAGCCGATCTGCCCGCTTTGGTCGCCTTGTCAGATCAAAGGCTACCGGAAAGGGAGCGAGGTGTGATTACTTTTCAAGTTTGCGGAGGTCCCGTTCCCTCCATATCATCCTCAACCGTCCGTGCTCCATATCCGTTCTGGGACGGCATCTACGGCACAGGTCTCTCTTTTTTCGAACCTTGTTATGCAGGCCTTTTCCTGCTCACGTTGCACAACAGTCTCAAAGCAGGTCGCCTCCAACTCTTGGGTTTTTGCTCTTGTTGGGTGTTGGCATCCCGCGTGCAAAGACTTGTCTCGTTTGTGCCCAAGATGACTTACGAGGACCAACGGGCTCTCAAGGAGCCTTTGATCTCAGAGAAGGAAGAGCACCTGGACAAAGATGAAGGCATCCTATCCCGCCGCTCTCTTCGAGAGGCGAACAAACAATTTGTGCTCAAGTCACTCTCATCGCTAAGACCAGCGCATCTCTACAGACTCGGCAAGAGGTTCGCCTACGCGCTGACGCCCCAGCTGGTCCGTACGTACGTCTGGGATGAAAAAGCACCAAAATCCAAGGTCTTTCCCACCAGCTACCTCAATGGATTGCGAGGAATGGCATCAGTCAAAGTCTTCACCTTCCATTACACACACTTCTACAGCGATTCCACGACCGCCGCATGGGGCGTCGACGAACACCACAAGTACTTTCTGGAGTTGCCGATAATTCGATACTTCTACGCGGGCACGACCGCCCATGTCTTCTTCGGATGCGCTGGTTATCTGACCACGCTCCGACTTGCTCAGCAAATGGACAAGCAAGATCCCGTGTCGAGGGCCAAAGTGCTCGTCAACGTTTCTGGGGCTCTCTTCCGCCGAGCCCTCAGACTGTACCTGCCAACGCTCATCATCACGTTCATCACCACCCACTTTATCTACTTTGGCCTGTACGAGCAGAACCGAGAGTACTTCGGTGACAAGAAGCTGTTCCCGGGACCATTCTATGAACCACGACCCAAACAGTACCCGACGTACTACGAGCAGCTCCACAACTGGGCTCACGAGATGATCAAACTGAGCGACATCTTCCAGTATGGCTACAGACCCGAGCACGACTGTCATCTGTGGTCTATCTTGGCCGAAATGCAAGGCTCTCTGCTAAGCTACCTGATCATGATCGCGACTGCTCAGTGCCGACACCACATCCGTCTCGCGGTCATGTGTGTCATGCTCTTCATGCTCTTTCTCTGGAATCGATGGGACATTTGCGTCTACATTCTCGGCGGAATCGTCGGGCAAGTGGACGCCATTCTGATCGAGAGGGATCAACAGAAGAAAATGACACTGAGTCCGGAAAGTCCGGTTGTATCGACTTTCGCCGAGTCGGGCAAGATGGCCACTGCCTTGTCTCGATTCCGGGCGACGCCGCATTCCGTTCTCAGCATCAGCGGCTACTTGGTATCTTTCTACCTCATGTCCTACCCTACGTGGGGCTATGGGTCAAAGGCTTTTGGATACCAAACGCTCAACAAGTTCATTCCTCCTGGTATGGCGATGCCTGAAAAGTTCTACCCGGTCATCGGCACAGGATTGCTTCTCTTCATGCTTGCTCGTTCTGATCCCAAGACGTCGGTCTGGAGGAGGCTCCTGAACACCGATCTGTTCGCCTATCTGGGCAAGGTGAGCTTCGCGCTGTACCTACTTCATGGTCCTATCCTCCACGGCATCGGCTATATGATCCCTCACTATATTTGGTGGTCGTTTGGCGTACAGGGAACCGAAGTAGGCGATATCCCGTGGACGGTGGCCATCGTCACCGGGTGGGCAATCGGTCTCGGCATGTGCCTTTGGGCCGCTGATGTGTGGTCTCGCGAGGTCGAGGGTCGGTGTACCAAGGTTGTGAAGAAGCTGGAAGACTTTTGTTTCGTCAAGGCCTAGCGCTCTGATGTCGTTCGTAAATGCTTCTCTTTTATTGTAGCTATGACGAAGATTGTATTTAGCAGGTATTAATGATTGTATTCAGTGTAATAAGATGATTTCTATGTTCCAACTGAAGCCGCTGAGAATGCAGCTTCTGCCACTCAACCGGACTGCAAACCCCCATTGGTCTCAGTTTCACCTCGTTCTTCATGTTATCCGGTTTTCTCTAACTGAGAACCAAGTCAGAAGCGCATCGGACCCGAGCATGGCGGGTATAGGTCCGGTCTTGAAGTTCAGCTGTACAGGGCGTCTGCCGTCCTCTCCAATTGGCCACCCCGGAGCTTTCGTCCCGGGTCGGCAGAAAGGATAAATCCAACGTCTCCCATGGCTGGATAGACACTGTCAGTACCTCAATAAACACAATAAAGACATCCAAAAGGTACTCGAAACGATGAAACCCAGCGTGGTGTGGTCAGGAGCTGCAGCATGGCCCGAGTTTCTGGCTCTTGCAACATTCCCCCATGGTTACACCGGCCTGACATGTGTACCCCATGCGCGTACCTGGTCTGGTCAAAATCTTGACTCATGTCTCTCATCATCAACGTCTGGGGAGACAGCAGTCATTCTCGGTGCGTTCCTTGGTGTCCACCGCATCCGAGATATCAGTGACAGGCAATGACAGTGCTTGTGGAGATGGAAGGCTTTCATCCTGTCCATGTCAACCTTGTCGATCTGAGTGCTGATCGCGGGTTCCCACACAAGGCCATTAAGGTACTCCGGATCTTTCTCGTTATTGCTGTCGACTTTCACCTACGGAGGACTCGTGCATTGATCGCAGGAATTGCACAATAATATCCCAAACACAACAGCAGCCAACGATTTCGACTTTGGTGCTCGCGTAACACCTTGGCATGCACAGTGCGCCTTAGCTTGGCCCGATTCGAAAATCAATGGTGGAGTGAAACACGCCCCTGAGGACTCTTGGACATAATCTTTGAGACGAGTCCCCTGGAACTTGACCAAACTCGTCTGGGGCCCATATCTCGGGACCCTGGTCACTGCAAGGCACCTTCGCGAATGACCAACAGGATACGAGAGTGTGGTTACGATGCAGATCACCAACTGGCGTACGGATGTCTCGTTACGATGCACGAAACACTCATCCAATCCTCGCACAAGTGTGAACTCCAAATGGAGCTGCTGTACAGCAGGTACCACCGGTATCGAGAACGATTTTTGCACTGTGTTCCAAGGCGGACGAAATGGTTGTTCTCCTACGTCCCACCAAATACTAGAAGCCTGGCGAGTCTTTCACCAGCACACCACTAACTAATCTCGCGGCGCCAACAAGTATCGATCTAGAACGAATGAGCCCTGGCTTAGGGGGCAGTCCAGAGTAGGATTCCATAGGCAAGAGATTGGCGATTGGCGACTCACATTACTGTGCATGGTGCGCCTAAGGACGATGATCCCTTTCGAGGGCCTCCCAGCCAGTCTCCACGCGAATTTGTCTCAGTCTTGGTCAAAGGGCATTGTCGGGGCCCATTTCTACGGTTAATCCCATCCCTGAAATGTGGTACTCATAGGAGCACAGGCACGGAGTACGGAGGACAATAATACTGGCCCAGCAGCCACCCTAGCTCAAGTTCCGAGTTCCTTGTCTGGGCTTTCGAGATCTTCCATAACAACTTTTGCGAGACTTTAAAGGACTCCAGCGTTTGAGCACTGCTCTTAGCCTCTCTAGCCATTTGGGCATTTTGCTCATCAGTGGAAGAAACTACTCACACCTTGGGTTATTGAGAAAGAGTCAGCCAACATGCAGATCCCCCAGTGGAGCGATCTCGCTCCCTGGACCAAAGGATCTGCCGCTCAATACGCGCCACTTGCCCATGACTCTGACACAGATGAAGTTGAGTCGGGCCTGCTGTCGACCGAGAGTGAGTTCTCCTTAGGAAACCGAGCCCTTCACGCAATGTCTGACCGCTTACAGAGAGGCTACCATCCGCCACTGCCCGTGGCCCGATCACCAACAAGATTGTTGCAACATTCCTGGCTCTTCTTCAGCAACTATGGATGGCGACGCGGCCAGTTATTCTGTCACCCCACGGAAAACGCAAGCTGCATCCAACATCATGGCTGGACGGCGTGCGAGGCCTCGCGGCATTCTTTGTCTTCTTCAGCCATGGCATTGATGTTCGGTGGTCTATGTCTAGGGGAGGATGGACGCATGGCGACTTCTTCCTACGAATGCCTATTTTCCGCATCTTCTACTCTGGCCCAGGGATGGTGTCGGTGTTCTTCATCGTCAGCGGATACGCCATCAGCTACAAGCCACTCCTTCTGGCACGGGCACGAGAACAATCCAAGGTCTTTGATTGTCTTGTGTCCTCGACGTTCCGACGTGGCATCCGACTGTATTTCCCCTGCGCCGCTTTCGTCATCATTGGGGCCTTGATCAAGTACTGTCACCTCGAGTATCGTCCCAAAAAGACGGACCCTCGAGCAGAGTCACTTCTGTCAACGATCTGGTGGATGGTTCAGGTCATCATTCCTGGCCTGAACCCCTTGACCCTCGACCGCCGCTGGATGAACAGCACGTTCAAGGACTTTGAGCCCGTCATGTGGACGATCCCGGTCGAGTTCCGTGGCTCGGTATGTGTCTTCATACTCATCTTGGTGGTGGCAAAGGCCAGCCGTGCGATGCGCCTGGGCGCACTAATTGTCAGCCTCGCGTACCTCACCTGCGTCGGTCAGTGGGACATATTCTTGTTTGTCATGGGCACTTTCGCCTGTGAGATTCACCATCGACGTCAATTACCGACACATGACGAGCACGAAACCAAAACCACCAACGTCTTTTCCCGAGTTGTGCGTTCCATCGGCCTCTTCCTCGCCCTCTTGCCAATCACTTTTCTCCTATCTCAACCAGAGACCATGTGGAAGAACGGCGACGTCTGGTTGTATGACTGGTTGGCGGCTCATACGCCTGGCGCCTGGGCCAACAACATGGAAGCCGGCAGCCTCTGGAGATGTGCGGCGGCCGTGTCACTGATCTTCCTGGTAGAATACTCTTCGACCTTGCAAAAGTTCTTCATGTCGCGACCCATCCAGTACCTAGGGGACATCTCATTTATGCTCTACTTGCTGCATCCCTGGTTGCTGTCGACGATCGGCAAGAGATTAGTACACATCATATTTCCTCTGACGGACAAGCTCGGATGGGGCATGATCTCAGAGACCATAGGTGTGGTGATATTGCTTATATGCTTCATGCCCATTTTGTTCTGGGGGTCAGAGATTGCGACCAAGTTCATCGACCGCAAGGGGGTGGATTTTGCCCGATGGGCTGAAGATCGTTTTTACGGCGTCCAGAGACCAATTGGTCCTCCCAAGGCCAGCTGACACTTTGGATTTCACTTTTTGCTTTAATTGGAATCAAACAATGAGAACGAATAAATAATATTTGCGAACTCTCGCGTCTTCAAATCCATGCGTCATGATAGACTCGTGATTGTTGGTCCGTGCATGTGTCAATTCCCAACCTCACATTTAATCAAGCTGAGACGACATTCGTCTTCAAGAATTCATTCTTGTCGACCAGCGCGCTCTACTAGCATGTCAGGATACTCTGCGGTGTAGTAAATGTCACGTCTTTGAGTGGCACGGATGGTGTGAAAGGTGATGGAATTGGTATGCGTGATGATGATCTCCTGAGGTCCACACCGATGATATATATTCTAGGGCTCAGCCAGCGCCGTTGACTCCTTTTGCAGCACATCAGTCAATCTCTCTCATTGCACGCTCTCTCATGGGGCCTCGAAGTCATTGAGACCCAGAATACTTGCGCAGTTCGAAATCATCGAGGAGTTCTTATCGTCGGCAGCTTCAACACACAAAGAGAAAAAAACATGAGGATCATCAGAGCAAGCAGCGTTCAACAATCATTGATATTAGGTAAGGCTGATATATGCAACATGACGTCGCGTGCATCAGGTCGACACGGGCGAAAGAGCTTCCGGGACACCGCGATTTTCACGATTTGAATCCACACGTTTTGGACAGCATGCTGACTGAGTTTGTCTCTGGTTGGCATGCTCCATATCAACATTGCAGAATCATTCGCGGGCGGCCAAGACGATAGTCATATGACGCGTGTTCTTACAGCCCGCGGCATCCGTTGCTTGCACACTCATGCCTCGCTGGAGATACTCCATACGCGGCAACTTGACGAACCGCGTCGGGCAGCCGGATGGGACGAAACCGTCCGCAATGATCTGGGGAAAAGAGACCCTCATCCACCAGCCCAGCGAGATCGACACCGTTAGAACCGGTCTGCCGGTAACCGTCGTTTTCTGGTACCAGTGACCGAAGGTGAGGATCCCTCTTGTCGACATTGCGAACGTATGGATTTTAGAGGTGGGACACTTCACCGGGGATATGATTGCTGCGCCATGCTTTGCCTCCGGAGGTTTTAGTTCGCTGATTCCATTACCAACGCGCACGATTTTGCGGGCCGTCGACGCTCAAGATTCTGCTCTCTCTCTGCCGACGTCGACGAGTATAGGAGAAGGCACTATATTCGAAGTCACATTGTGGGTAATCTCATTTATTGTGAACTACACAAACTTTGGGTACGTCGACCGGAGGACCGGTCGTCCTGGTTCCACAGTTTTGTTACATCGCCCCCTTTTTTTTGTTTCTATCCTCGGTACTCCGTACCTGATCTCCTGATCTAATGGGCAGCGTCATCGCCGTTAGCCTTACTCCGACGACCTCGACAGACAGATAGAAATATATAGGTCCCCGATTTGTTTCGGTGGACTCTTAAGAGGTCAATCTCGAACGACGTTGCTCTTGCTCAGAGCAGGAGCGTGCGGACCTCGGCTTCACTGCCTTGGGAATGCAGATGTCTCATGCTAGCTGCTTTCAATTGACTCCCTCAGATTCATTCATGAGGCACTTCAAGACTTTATACAACAACGATGACACCTAAGCGTTTCAAGCTATGGTCTTGTCCGCTGCCAGAGATGGTGGATGACCGACAAACAAGGACACGACCAGCATGGAAACCTACGACATGACAGCAGTTCAAAACGCACAATCAGCCAGCAGAACGTGTGACAGACAATGAATTGATCCTTGGTACGAGCACGACTACGTGGAGTGCAAGACCGACGAGGCTCCGAACGCGCGCACACACAGGTTCTCGGAACGAAATCCTCAAGAAACAAATTTTTGTTGGCTCGCGATCAAGCCACGAGAACATCCACAAGACGAAATTCTATGCACCGGAGATCCGAGACATGGATCTATCTCAATGAGTCTTCAACTGAGTCTATTCAGGGGTTTCGTGGCCGGTTGCCAAGCGTGAGGGTTTTCTCAGTCCACGATAACTATATTCCTCAGGAAATGGGTCTTCTACTCTACTGGGTATCGACAAGGTCGGAGTGTATTTGGTCCGGAATCTCCCCCGAACGGAGATTAGGAACCAAGATGGTCCAAAAGCGTTACAACACGTTACACTACTTTACGGTATGGAAAACTACGAGTACGTTACTGGCAACGGGTTTAGCGACAACGACCGGAAAGCAGCGACGACTACATCTCACGTCGGGTAAATATTACTCCTTTGGGATTCATTCATGATTATGTCCTGTCCAGCGAAGCGAAGTTGGGACGGTATCGGCAGAAAGAGACTGGATGTCAAAATGAGAAGGGCAAGGCGGGAGACGCTCACGGCCATCACAGAAGCGAGCTGAGCTTTTCTCGCCTGACAACTTTGGTCTACCGGTTCTACTGGAGCATACCACCACCATCACCACCGCCACCAAACCGTCACTCATGAGACACTGAAGCAGCCCACGGACTATTGCACTGTCGCTTGAACACGAACGCCTCCCAGTCCAGACCGCAGACCGGCCATGAAATGTCGAGGTGCCGTTTCCGCTCGCCTCGAAGCATGTCTCACCCGGACACACTCATACAAACCAGACTCGGACAGACCATCAAACCTTGTCGACGACCATCAAGCCCCGAAGAATTTCAAGGTCTCGAACACGGAGAAGCCACAATGCAAAGTCGGACCGTCACCAACCAGCACACATTATTGCTCGGAACTCCACGGCATGCAGGAACGGCGCATGTCTTTGTAAGTGTATGCACATCATATGCATGGTCGGACGAGGATCTGGGTGAAAGCCCCTCATGCTCCTCCTCCGGAAAGTCAAAAATCGGTTCGTCTTTCCTGCAGGTACAGCTTGTCGTCCGGCCCTCCCGGAAAAAAAAACGGTCCAACACACGACTCCGGTTTATCACACTTTGAGTGACAAAGAAAAAAGAACCAAAAAAACAGAAAGGGAGATAATTCCACAATCTTTTTTTTACTCCGTACAGAGAGTATGCCATTTTTGGGGTCCCGAGCCGGCTCGGAAGCTACCATGACCTGACACTTGCCCACTTTGCGCGGGTGGTTATTTCGACACGGAAGGAGAGAAGAGAAGAAGAAGAAGAAGAATTAAGTGCGTCCCAAATACATGGCACCAACTCACGCACGGAGCAACGAGAACAACACACTGGCCATGGTCAATGCCATGGAAAATCACAAAATACCACGTGGCCGATCTTCACCCTCCCAAAAAAGCAAACCCGCGACGCACCGGGCACCGGAAATCCACCCGGTCCACACCCATCGTTGGTATGGACCACACACAAACCACACTGTACGATCTCGTGGCCGCTAGCACCAACGAACACACGGACCTCCTTATCTTTTTTGGTTTCCAGCTGAGCAGATTCTCGTCCAGAGTCCGTGCATGTTTATACTTTCGTTCTGCGCCTACAGTGTACTGGCGAAAAGACCCTTTTTTTTGGTCTTCAGCAACTACGAACCAGAAGGAAATCCAGAACCTCGGGCGGCGGACCTCGGAACTCTACCCCTTCGTCGTCACTATTCTCACTCACTCTTTCTCCCCTCCACCACCTAGCTGTTCCCGCAAACTAGTACCAATCCATCGGCCGATTTTCGCGCTCGACGCGCGCGTCCCCGCCGCCGCCGCCGCCTTCTCTCTCTCCTCTCCCTCTGGTTCGACAACTGCATGACCGGCACAGTGGTTCAGGAACCACTTACCCACCTGGCCTGGATTGAAATCATGCCAAACCCAAAACGGACCATTCGCCCGGGGACGTAGTAGTACGATGCGAGGACTAGCATGACCACCCACGCTATAGTGGAACGTGCATTTCTCCCAGTACTCCAGTGTGAACTTGCCCCCTCGGCTGCTTTTGAACACGGGAAAGCTCAAGTACAGAGTTCAAATCTCCGATTTGTAACTCTCGTACGAGGAATACCGGACGACCAGAAACGAAATGAGGAGGGGAGAAATTGACGCCTCCGATGAACGCAAAATCCCCCCTCTCCTCCCAGAGAAAAGACTTTGAAAATCATTTCCACGAACGGCGCGCGCGCGGGCCACCAACACCGCAAAATGCAAACAACTTGGAGAAGGAGAAAGAAACTCCATGTCCCCCTTCAACCTTGCTGCTCAGGCCAAAGCTTGGATCCCATGGTTAAACGAGAAGAAAAAGCGCACACTCGACGAACACGCAACAAGATGATCATCGGATGGTCTTGGAGATTGTTGTTCTTCTCGTTGCATTTTTGGGGACCCCAAATCGTTCCGTTCTCCTCTGTGGGAACAGATCGCAAGACCGTGAGATCCAAAGTGACCCGTGCGATATTAAGCGAGTGATCGATCGACCCGACTAAACCCGTTTGTTTCCACCGAGTACACGACTATACGAGTATACTCTACCGAGTGGACTTGAACGCCTTACAGACTGGAAAGACAACGGAAATGTGAGAGCACTGAGATCGGGACCGCATCGACACTGACCACGCACTCCCCTCTGCTACGTCAGAATCCCCTTCTTCCTTCCCAGATCACTTTCCCCGTGGAAACCCAAGCCCTGAACAGGTCAAAGCACTGCTAAGCTTTGATTTTGTCGGTGCTTGGTGGTCACCTATGATGGTGCCTTGGAAAACATCCCTCGTAGTGTCACGTGGAGTGACATGAAATGTGCACGAGGAACAGCCCGCTGAAACTTCGTATAGCCTGCACTCATGGCCAGCAAGAGCTGAGTGGTCATGATAGTGCCCACCTGGGTGGCTATCGTGTCGCGTGTATCGGTGCCAGTCAAGTGCACCTGTCCTACCGAGGAGGTAGAAATGACGGAGGCAGTCTCGAGAGCACTCGTGAAGCCAGTCCGCCGAGTAGTTTTTGTGGCGATCCAGATCGGAGGCATCTGGGTTGGTTATCGACCCCATTGGTCCTGACACCTAGAGCCAGCGTCTCGTGAATTGGTCTTTTCGCAGTAGTCAAACAAGTGATCATATAGACCATGAAGGATCGTATTGAAAGTACTCCGTACCTGGAGCGTAGCTGGTAAACACGTCGTGGCCGTCGCCCGAGGATATAGCCAGGCCCAGGTTGGTTCCGTTTGGCTGTGGCCGCTGAATGGACGCGCTTCGGAGGGGCCAAATCCCATCCATTGCCGTGACCGACTCGATCAGAGTCCGCCCGCCAACGTTGGAATTGGGAGTAGCCCACGGCGGGTCGGGATGCGTTGTGTTCCACGGAGACGAGCGCGATTCGGGCTTCATGGCGGCATGTAATTTCGCCAGAACACTCTCGCCGACGATCCTAGCACTGTGTTTGTTGTCGACGCCTAGGTCAATCATAAGCTCCGCAACCCCGCGGACGACGTTTAGATCCTGTGGCCTGACGCACTCCATACCGGGGAAAAAGCCCTTTGCTCGAATGACCCACTCACAGGCAAAGGCTACAATAGCAAAGGTGGACTCCGGCGCGAAGCGGATAGACGATTTGACCAGGGGCGTTAGCTCCAGGAAGAGGTGACAGAGGGTTGAGGCCCTCTCTACGGACTGAGTGACAAGGCTCACGACCGACAGCGGGAGGCTCTCTGCCGTGGCCGAGGACTGAAACAGTTTGTTGGCGTGCGTGCTTATGCAGAACCGGGTGAAGCGTTGGTAGAGATCAATACAACTGCTCCGGGCTGGGTCCGACGCAAAGTCACTGCTGTGTTGGTGTTGATGGTGATGTTGATTCTGCCGGATCCATCGTCGGCGCCACTGGTTGAGGCCGTCATCCAGGCTGGTCAGTACGGCTAGTGCAGAATTTACATCTGTTTCGATGGGTATTGAGCACCACCATTCCCCCAATGACCGGTCACTGAGACCGCTTGTGTTCCAAAGTAGACCCAAACTGACATCGGCGAGGATGCGGCGCGTACATTCATCGTTCGCGTATTGTTCAAGATGTTGGTTCGCCCATCTAATAGTAGCGTCGTCACGTATTGTCGGCGGCGTCCGCAGCAGTAGCGACTGAAACTGGGCTGTGCTAAACATCCACAGCCAATAGCAGTACTTTCGAAACACGAGCAATTGAGAAATATCACTTCTTCTTTCCCGTTTGAGGAGATGTATAACCTCCTCGCCAGACCTGTGGACTGAGCACCGCGTCGCCATCATTTCGAGCGACGATCTCAAGACGTCTTGCCTGAGCTCAAGCTCCCAATCCTCGCCGCCTGTATGGACGTGAATGTTGTGCGGCGTTGCCCAGGTGCACAGAACAGCAAATGCTTGAAGCAACATCCAACACTCGGCATCATCACGGGCCGATGGGTCGAATCGAACTCTCAGCATGGATAGGAGCTCCGGGACCAGCATGGCCCGAATCGACTGACATCCAGGCACAAAGCGAGCGGCGATATAGGCCATGCTGTAGGCCAATTGCCTCTTGTTGTGCTTGATCATGTCGTCAAAATCCCCGACATCCGCCTCGGTCAAGATCGGAATGTGTACTAGCAGATTCATGACGAAACTTGGGACTGTTAGAATGGTCTTGCCTTGTTAGGACATAGACGGGGGGTCAGCTTACAATTTACAAAGATGGGACAGTTCCTCATTGCTTGGTAACTTCTGTGTGAGTGGAGAGCCCGAGACTGTACGGTTTCGTTGGAGAGGTGTTGCCGGCACGCTGACACTGGAGATGTTGACATCACTGGAAGAGAGTTGTGGTTCGACATACTGGACATTGCCCACGTCTAAAGATGCCAGCGAGCTGTAGCTGTAGCTCTGGGGCAAGGATGGCATGCCGGGACGCTGCGGGTCGACCCAATGCTGCTTGGTCTGAAGAGGCATCAAAGGCAGCTCCATGACGACGCCAGGCTGTGTTGTCGACAGGTTGGGTGCCATCATCCTGGAATAGTTGTGACCCTGGCTCCATTGCATTGCAGGGTCGGGATCATGGCGTGTATCGACAATCGGTGTGAGAGGATATGCCACCGGCCTGGGATTCTCAGCGTTCGCCAAACCAGCCATGTTGTCGGCAGAGCTGTACGATCTCATGGTTTGTGTATGGGGAATGGTTGGTGGTACAACACATTTTCGTCCAACTTTAGCACACCTGGCACAGGGGGGATTGTCGGCGCCCACGCATTTCATCTGGAGGGACATGAGAGACCGTACACGACGAGTATGAGGTGTTGCCTACCTTGAGACGTCGACATGCAACACAGGCTGTCTTTGCCAGTGTGCCGACCCGACTGTTCGTCGGCTTTGCGTTCGCTGTCATGCTGTAAAGGCATGTGAGATCGGGGAGATTGAGCGGCACAAGCTCGCGAGCTGAAGGGGAACTGGGCCTGTGTGCGTCGTAACTCTCGTCTGGGTTATCAATGTACAAGAAGGCGAGGTCTTGCGACCGGGACGCTCGTGGTCTCTTGAGGACTTTGTGACAATGGGGAAGAGCACAAACTTTGGAAAGATGGCGTCAATGTCCATGCCAGCGGCTCAGGGCACGACCAAGACGGCAGGTCAAGTATGGGTATTGTCGACGCCGTGGATCAAAGTGGCATGGCGCCAATTTTTGAGTTGGCCATGGTACCATCAGGTTGGTGGCTGCGGGCGGCTGCATGACCTGCAAGGATCGACAAATCTGTGCTGAGTCTCGACGGGGACCGTCGAGCCGCGCAGGAGTCACAGCAAAGCCAGGACCCGACATCGTCCAGATCACGTTCTTGGCTTTTGTGGCGTCGCTCAATCCCTGCGGACCAGGCCAGGCCAGGGAATTTACCTTGACCTAGGATGGAGGCGATGCGAAACGAAGGTGCAGGAGGGGCCAATGAGTGGGCGAAGATAAGGCACCTCTCCAGTATAACCCAGAGGCGTTGTTTGCTGGCCAGGATCTTGTACACCTGCGTCTCACTCATGAGACGTTGAGCAAGCTTAAAATCCCCCCCTGCGTTGCGTCTGTTCCTCGTGGGTTTCTTCCAACCCATGGGTAGCTCTCGCGTGGACGCTTCGGGAGTTCATGGACTGGCGGGGTCAGCGAGAGAAGGGAAGTTCCCACCTACATTGTCTGTGCTGTAGCAACATGGTTCCCACGTTTCAGCTGCTCTGAGAAGGTCAGGGCGTTGATGACGTCGGGAACCACCGCGAACGATCACTGCCGACGACGGGGGTCGAGCGAGAACGGGTGAGAGGATGGGTATGGATATGGACATGGGTATGAAAGTGGTAATTGTGGGAGAAGGGTACTCCGTACAGGAGATTCTGTACAGTTACTTGGCCGCCCGGCTGACCCCACCAGCCAATCAGATGGTCTCGCCAGCCCTCTCCGATCTACAAGTACCTCTACTCCGGGACCGCGCTTGAGTCTTTTGGGACGAATGGAAAATTGAAAATTCTGCGTCGGGGACACATAGGAGAAGTTCACGGCATCAGGGTCCAAAGGTCGAGAGCAATGGCGAGGCGAGGGAATTCAATGCACAGACGATGTCGACCTTTGGGGAAAGATCAGACGTGCGATGGCTAACTCAGGGAGGAAACTACTCCCTGGTGCTGAGGCATGCGAGGTAGTGTTACAACCAGCGGCTGAGCAGTTAGAAGCTGAAGTGAATACGGAGTACGGAGAGAGAGAGAGAGAGAGAGAGAGACGAGTGAGAAATGCACAGCATAATCCACACTACGCCTTCGCTCAACGAACTTGGGGCTGCACTAAAAACATAAGCTTCGGCTTATGGTTAAACTTTGACGTTCTGATTGGATCCATGATGCCAAGACGTTCCGATTGTCGGTGCCGGTGAAAATTTTCTCCCAATCCAGCTGCTCCTTCCAAATCCAGCTTGGCAAATGTCTCGAATAGGCTCCAATCATGTCCCTCCCAATCCAATATCACGGGTGATCTAAGCTGAAGTCGTGATAGTTTTTCTCACCGCATTCGACCAACGCTTCAGCAGAACTTCGGTGACACGAGAACGACGAAGTCGCCTTTTTGGCTGTGTCCAAACAGTCAACGGCGTGAACCTCGCCCAAACCTTTGGCGAGCGACCAGGTCCATCTGAAGTCTGGCCGACCACCACCAGCATATCGACACCAGCGGCGCTCGCTAATGCAGAGTCAAATGCTTCACTGCAGTGGTATCTGGTCCCGTTCGCTGCCAAACACACCACCACGGCTGCAACTTTTCAGCCAGATGGTCCCAAAAGACTCAGAAGTGAGACATCTGGCCAGGGTACTTTTCAAGAAGAGCTTTTCTCCAGATAATAGTTCATGCATGTCTGTTGAGTGTATCCTCACGACATGCAGACGAATCTTTTGCCAAGAGCAACGGTCTGAGGCAAAAAGGGTCAGCCAGATCGCATCGGATGCTTCTAGACTAACACTTGTGCTATCGGGCTATCTTCAGAGGACTGTAAACCACCCGAACAAGAAACATTTGTTCAACTTTGATCCTGACATATCACTTGTCATCAGAATGGGGGTGTGATGTATCAGATCTTTGTTTCATTGCTCGTACTCGAGTCACCATGCTCTCAGTTGGTATGAAAATTGTGCTGCTATTTCTGATGCGTGTTCAATACATGAGTGACAGTTGGCCTGGTCTAGATCGGTTGGTGTTTTCTTATGTGATACGATCTCTGACTAAGACTGTCGTCTGGACTTTGTATCGTGAATTGATTATCTCGCCTAAACAAATTCCGAAGGTGCATCACTAGCCCAAGCGCCAGACCAGGTTCAATAGGCACTGCAGGTACGAATCGACAGGGAGACCCTGGTCTAGCATGTTAGACATGCAGGCTTTCGCTCCGGGCTTGCATCTTGCCCCTGACATTAGCTGCCTCCACCCAGAACCTCGTCCAGATCCCACGTGGCTGAGCTGAAACCAGGGAACATTGATTGTACTCCTGTATCCCCGTATCAGTAGTCTCTATTGAAAGCGCGTCTAGCACCGTGTATCATCACATGCTTGCAACGACCAGAAAATGTGAAACCTGCACGACAATAGGGGCAAGAAATTAGACATGCATGCGTTGTTGCTGGATAATGCAGGGCCCCGGGGGGGATGTGCACACAATATCGATGATCTCTCGATAAGGCTTTTGTGGCCCCCTAAGCCCAAATTGGTTCTAGGTAAAGGTGAGCCCCCTGAGCCGATGTTTTAGGCATGGGTTCGGGGGGTTGCGGGTATCGATGCCTGCCTAGAAAGCTGCGGGCTCTTCATTTCGGCTAAGGAGCAACCCCCCAAACTAGCCGAGCAAGATTGGTCTCGTACTCCCGTAGATCCCTTGGTGGAAAAAAAAGTCACCACTCTCCTTATCGCGCGTTCCGGCCAAAGAAAATTCCCACTTCCCAATTCCTCCTAAGCTTACTCCGTAATCGTTTCGTACTCCAGCGAAAGAGAGAGAGAGAGAGAGAGAGAGAGTGTGTGTGTGTATGTGTCTGTGTATCTCGTCCTTTTTCATTATCTTCGTGTTTGTCTTTCGACCCGACCTTGTACGGAGTTGAGATTGATTCACACCACCGCACGACGCCGACAAGATGGCTCTCAAGCTCCCAGCAAGAATCATTTTTGCCTGTCTGGTGGTGGTGTTGGTCTGTTCGATATACATTCACTACGACTATCGGGGGATCCTGACCAACATCTCCCTTCCCTCGTTCGACCGTGGTGATGATAAAAATAATCATGATGACTCGGGTCTCTACAACTCTTCCGCCCACCGCAAGATCACCTCTCTGTCGACGCCCGACGGCAAGTGGTTCAAGATCAATTGGCTCGATGATCGAGCCTACAATCCCAACATTCTGCCCCATCCGACACAGCCAGACCATTACATCGTCGCCGCCTTACAGGTCCAGGTGTCGGATGAGGTCACCGACAGCGCCGAGCTCGTTTGCAATGCCATCTTCGTTGACGGCACGCTCACCTGCATGAGCACGCCCAAACCTCTACCCATCAAGCCGGTCAGAGGCCAATGCAAGGGCGAGCTCGCCTTTTTCAACTTTCGCAAAGGCCCACGAGATGCCCGCGTCTTCTACGGTCCGGACGGCCCTTACATCATGTACGGCTCCCTGGGCACGCGCAACTGTCTGGGATTGTACCTCCAGGACCTGCGCACTCTGCTGAACGACTTCGACGCCGAAACCAAGACCTCCGACGCCTTCGCCAACGGCACGGAGCTGGCACGGCCGCCGCCCGTCAACGACGTCCAGAAGAATTGGTTCATCTTCTGGGACGCCCAGAACCAGTTCTACGTCCACCACGACATCTTCCCCAACCGGACCTTTTCGCAACTGTCCGCCGACGGCTCCGTGGGGACAGACCTGTCCGTCCAGGCCAAGAAGAACGACGACGCCTGCATGGCTCGCTTCATGCCCATCCCGAAGACCAAGCACGAGAAGGTGCACCAAACGACAAACTCCCTGGCCATCACCCTGTGCAAGCGTTCGGACCCGAAATGCTCGCCGAGCGACGACAACACCTTCATCATGACCATCTTCCACTACCAGACCTTTTACGACTGGCACGCCCAGTACTACCCCCACGTCATGCTCTTCAGGCGCAACTCGCCGTTCGAGGTCCACGCCATTTCCCAGAAACCTCTCTGGATCTGGGGGAAACCGCTGTACACCAACGAGAGCGAGTCGGTCATCAAGGGAGACTGGGCCCCCGAGGGCCACACCGATCTCTTTTATGTGACGAGCATGAGCTGGAAGAACCCGGATCAACGGTATCAAGGCTTCATCGACGACCCTCTGTTCATCTCTTTCGGTATCGAAGACACGAGGTCCGGCGCCATCGACGTCACGGCCGGTGACATGTTGAAGGACCTGGGCTTCTGTGCCGATGTAAAGGTGTAAAAAGCTACTGATACTGGCCCCGGATCCTCAACCTGTTCCTACAAGATTCCCATCGGAAGCACGTACAAGATCAACATGGCATGATACCAGAACGCCAGAACGCCAGAATCCATCGGAGGGTGAAAATCCCTGGTGCTCAAATCCCTCATACAGAACTTGTCTCGAATGTCTGCGGTTGTCAACGTCAACGTCACCGACAGCGGCATACTTTGTGGCCAGACAAACAATCAACAGACTTGAGCAGCGTTCAGTATCTGGAAGCCTTTCAGCGACAGACTCACACGCACCACACATACTTTGATCATCCAGTGGTGTGCACAGAGCACAGAACTGTCCTGTTCAGTCTTTTTACGCTGAGATTTCAACACTTCGGTGTGTCTGCTTGTCTTGTTTTCAAAGGCAGTTGTTTGAACTCTTCATATCTGGTATTATATACCACTACAAAAAGGCATCTGTGTGCATGTCTCGACGGATGGGGATGATTTCAATTCTTGTATGAATAAATCATCACCGTCATCATCAGCTATAATGTTTTCAGCGAGGCGTTATTTCAGAGGGTGTTTTTGTTGTGCCTCGAAGGGGAGGACGGAGTAGAACGAAAATCAAATTGGTTTCCTGCATGAGGAGTTTTGGGTTTGGAATCATAACTTTGACCAAATTGTATGCAGAATCTAATGTATTTCTCAAAAACGAAACTTGACAAGATTCTCGTTGTCCCGTGCTGTGTGCTGTGAGTCTTCTGCTTCTGTATGATTCAGCTTCTACGACATCTCATCATACCTTTATGAATTGGGAATAATAAAAGTCTTATGATAGATGATAGGTGGTAAATAGTATGAGTTGAACACATTGTGGATTCCATAATTTATTCCCAGCAAAAAGAAAAAGGTCGTTCAATACTGGTGACAACAACAACAACAGTAAGAGTCTTTGATAAAATATTTCCGTACATCCATTTACTCCCAGACCGGTGCAACCAAAAAAAAACAACCCTTTCCACACGCAAGTCGGGGTGCCCCATACTTGGCCTTCAAATGATACTTTGCGAGCCTTGTTTACTCCGTAGTGCCGGAGAAAAAAGGTTGTTTATTCCTTGGTCTCCTTCTTGACCTCCTCGTCGACGTACTCCGGGTGACCTCTGGCGGCGGAGATTTGTTCCAGGGTGAGGTCGTCGCCGGCGGGGTTCTTGAAGTAACTCTTGAAGGTGGTGGCGCCGTCCAGGATGCGCCTCATGTTCTGGCGGACCGAGAACATGACGTTCTCCGACTCGGACTTTTCCTGGATCTTCTCCTCCTTGGGCTTCGTGTTGATGTCGCTGCCGAGGGCGTTGGACCCGGCGGGGGTGGACTTGCCGACGAACCGGGGGAAGGGGGCGATGCACTGGAAGTCGTGGAACTCCCGCTGGGAGCACAGGTTGCCCATGCCGCTGTCGATGGGCCAGTTGAAGGGCATCATGCTGGCGTACCAGAGGATGCGCTGGGCCGCCCGCAGCGACACGGCGTAGCCCGAGAGGCACCAGCCGAAGCCCTGCTGGTACACCACCCTCGTCTGGGGGTCGGCGTCGGGCCCCTTCTCCCACTTGTCCATCTTGGGGCCCTTGAAGTACCACCTCGAACCTTCCGGGGCGACCGTGGGGTCGTGGGGGATCACCCAACGTCGGTTGTCGCCCTTGACCGGTTCGCTGTGGCAGTGGCCGACCCAGAGCATGTCCCAGCCGTCGCCGTAAGGGGAGTGCGGGATGTGGTTGTTGCTGGTGCCCTCGGGGGCCGTCTCGAGGAGCCACCGTGACCCCCGCGCCAACTCGGCCATTTGAGCCTTGAGGCCGATGTCCCAGTCCGCGTCGTCCTCGAGAATCAGAGCGCTCTGGATGTTTTCCTCAATCATCCTGGAGCCCGGGAGGGGGAGAAATTAGCCTCGGTGACAAACAAACAGCAAAAACAAAAGTGTCTGTCTGGACTTACTTTTGCAAGACGTTGAGGTGAGCTCGCCAGCATCCAATGGTGCCGTTGTTTTGCTTAAAAGTCTGGCGAAACGAAGAAGACAGGGTCAATCAACACTGTCGCCGCCTGTAATCATTTGGACTGGTCAAAAAATGACTCACATATGGAATGGCCTTGTATGAGACCTTGGACCCAATGACTCCATCCACGATTTCGATGCTAAAGTTCGTGGCCCTGGCCTGGAGGCGCATATTGTCCTTCTTGTCCGTACGCTCAGGTAGGTTGATGGCGTATACCTTTTGAAACTATCGTTTTGGTTGATTAGTATTGTTGTCCTCGGTGATCTCGAAGGCAAACACGGGGAGAACGGGATGGCCAATGCAAGCAAGAGAAGGACCGGGGTATAATACTCACGCCCAGTGTGTCATTGTAGACATCTCCCAAGTTGTCCTTCTTGCCTCCGAGGCTGAATTTGGAAGTCGACAATCCGGACGGAGACGCCGTGCCGGACGGAGGACTCTGGTTGCGGAACGTGAAGAAGATACAAAATAGGGAGAGAAGGATGGCGGCGAGGACGATGTTCCTCTTGCCGACGGTCGTCGTCGACCATTGCGGACGACCCGCTTCAGAATACCCCATGGTGTAAGTTGAGTACAGTTTTTCGACTCGTTTTTGACGTGTGTGAGATGTGATGTTGTGGAGTGGGTGGTATAGGCACGCGAAGCCAAGTGCAACACTCTTGTCGTGGGCCAGACACCTTTTCCTTCTCAGTAAAATGTGATGAGCTGAGGCCGAGAGAGGATATGTCGTTGTAATGGTTTGGGGATTGTGAGAGGAGGGGGGTTTGACAACGAGTACGGAGGAGTATTGGAGTATTCGAATCGAAAAAGCAGATCCTTCGAAAAAGAGTCAAAGACCCAAAAGATCCAAAGGGGCAATTAAACTCTAGCACTGTACTCCCGAGGAGGATGAACTTGTGTGAGTTTGGCACCCTGCCTCCAAGTGTCGAGGTGTAGAGTGTCGTACGGGGAGTACAATACAATACAATACGAATGTGATAAAGGAATTGATCAGTGAGAGAGGGGGGGAGGATTTGGGTCTGGATCTCGGAGAATCTTTCTCAGAGGCAAGGCACTCGCGAATAGCCAAAAACACCAAAAAGCAATGGTATCCGTTAGAAGTATCCGTCTGGAAAGGCTAAGGTAGTAACCCAAGCGAATCCATGGACGCCACAAAGTAAAAGTATGTAGAACGTGAATGAGAAAAGAAAATTGCAATGTTCTAGGATCGTCCGATCCGGTCGTCTCAAAACCTTTACACGGTCGTCGATTATTGAGTCCAGAAGGCCATCCACATGCATTGTTTTGGTTCAGCTGGCGATAAGACAAGCCTTTGGATTTTGGTTAGGCGACAGAGAGAGAAGCGTACGGAGTACAATAGGCGAGCTTCACAACCCTGTAGGGATAATCCTGACGCGCACAACCGTATCCATGGATCAACCTAGAACCCGGTCGTTGGGTCCCCCCGTTTCTTACTGCGTTGGGTAATGACTTTGACGCTAAGACCAACTAGGTAAGTTGCCTGCAAGGGGGGTGTCCGGAGTTGTGGATCCGTTTACCTGGTAAAATACGGAGTCCCAGGTACTGTATTTCGGTCCGTATGTACCGGTACGGTAATTGTATTCGACACCAGTACGAACAAGGAGAGTCATAGGGAAGTATTACTGTGAGTTGAGATTTGTGTCTAGACCCCACTACTCTTTTCCATTTGCTCTGTATCAAATGCTCTACTGTAGTTGAATGGATAACCCTTGGGATACCTGGGAAATAATTCGCCCCCTTGGAAAGGTGTGTGACTCCGTGTACAACCAGGATTCATCGTTGTGTGAAGGCGTGAAACCTACCCTCGAGGTATATGGTTAACATTGTCTTGGACCAACGTTTGAACCTCAACACAACCTGCATGTCTGGAACATTTTCAGCTCTGTTCTGTACTTGCTCAGCTCAGCTCAGCCCAAGCCCAAGTAATCTCCCCCCTCCTTTTCAACGAAAATTCCCACAAGATGTACTGTAGGGGGAAAAAAAGCCTCGCCCTAACCTGGCATCTGGACTTCTTTTTCCATATACCCGTACTCTCTCTCTACGGAGCACAAATTAATTAGCGCCACAAGCCCACAATGCAGCCACTATCCTTTGGACTTTCACTCGGTTCAGAAACTAAACAAGTCGCGGACGTGACCGTGTCATACCAAGGGAACTACTTACTGGGAAAGTTCCCAGACTTCAGAACTACTCGGTACAAATTTGAAATTTGAGACAAGGATGGATATTTGATCTCGGCACATATTTCCCAACTTTTGTTTCTTTTTTCACGATCGGGGTGTTTCGTGCTGGCCTACAGTATGGAGTACGAAAAGGAGAGATAAGAGTACAAGGCAACAAAGCAACAAAGGATACGAGGTATACCTGCCTAGAAGTAAGATACCTTACAAGTTAGTTCGGTATTGATTTTTATTGTGCTACCACCATTGTGATACTACCTTGTGTATATTGTATCATTTTGCTTTGCTATGACGGCAAGATTTCACCGTGACCTACAGCATTACCTATCTGTTCTAGAGTCATAAATTGTCCCGTGTATTCGGGATGTTGAGTTTCAAATGTTTCTTCTTTCCCAATGAATCTTTCAATGTTCAACCTCGTAGAAAACATGACTCCATGAGACCTCGGTTTCTCCTTCACCACCTCCTCGATGGATGATGATGATTTCGCGGCGGCGGCGGCGGCACCAAAATCGTCAATGTCACTGCCTCGAGATTTCGGTCCTGCCGGTTTTGATACCCCGATGATCTGTGGCCAGGGGGCAAAACACCTCAGACCCAAGACTTTGTCTCTGCACATGGCACCCACTCCGTCGTCGACGGGTTTGTCGAATGGGATCATGCTCTGATAGTACAAGATCTTCTCTGCACCCGCCATGGAGATCGCCCATCCCGCCGAACACACGCCGGTGACGGGAACATAGACGATGCGTGTTTGATTGTCCGCGGGTTGCCATGGACTCATGTCGGGTTTGCCAAACATGTACAGCGACCAACGTTTGTGGGGAGGCACCACGGTCGGGTCTCGAGGAATCACCCAACGTCGATTGTCTTTTGGGTCTGGCTTCGAGCCGCAGTGTCCGAGCCAGATGACGTCCCAGCCGTCGCCGTACGGTGAGTGTGTCGGTGTGTCGTCGGTTTGGTTGAGCAACCACCGAGTACCCCGCGCCACTTGCGACATCTGAGACTTGAAGGCGACGTCCCAGTCTGCGTCGTCTTCCAGGATCAAGCTGGAGCGGATGCGTCGCCTCACCATCTCTTGCATGACGTTCAGGTGTGACCGCCAGCACCCTACCGCCCCCGGCGCGATGTGCATGGTGTGAGGCAGGGCCTTGGGGTTCATGTCGGTACCGACGACACCGTCGACGAAATCGAAAGAGATGTTGGTGAATCTTGCTTGCATGCTGACGGCATCTCTCTTGTCGCTTCGTTCCAGAAGGGAAATGACGCGGACTTGTTGGAACCCGACGGTCCCGTTGAAGACGTCGTTCAAGTCGCCGGAACTGGCCTCGTTGGCACTGCTCAAGCGCTGCAAGCTGTTGCCGAGACTAGAAGTGACGGATCTGTAAACGGTCGTACGAGGAGCCAGCAGCAAATACAAAGACAACGCGACCGTGAGCAAGGTGGCACAGATGACTCCGATCTTGTTATACTTCATCTTTGCAGCTCGGTCGATGAAGAGGTTGCCCATGATGTTGTAGATTTGTTGTTGTTGTTGTTGTTGTAAGATGCAATATAGTTGCAACCCAACCCGTTCATCCCATGAGAACAGAAACTCGAAGGACGATGCACTCACTGCAGTTTTTCCAAACTGAATTCATGTGGGTATCGGACCCACGGACCTCAACTTCTCACCACGTTTCCAAGAGATCTCGGAAGGCCGTGCACTCTTTTCCTCCTACGACATCGCCTTGTTGAATTCTCGGAGAAAGTCAAAGACTCGTACGATGCTGAAAATCCACAACGCCAGACCATATTCTGTTCGGCAGCAACTTTCTTATACTTTGTTTAGAATCAAATTGAGCCGTAAATTGTAAGCCATGGTATCTTTTCTGAGAACTCTACTGCATTTTTTGAGTATTAAAATTCTGAGACCTAATCAAACATGTAGATAAATGAGTATAGGGATTTCCAATGTAGATAAATCAAAATTATTGCTAAAGCAAACACTCATAATAGCTCTCGTGAATATGTCAGATTTAGTGGTTTACCGCCTCGAAACTTGAGCATAAGCATACGCTCCTCCCAAAGCAAAGACGACGCCCAAGATCTCCACAAAGGTCAACTGTTTCCCGGTCGACAGCCAGCTGAGGCCGATGATGAGGATGGTCTTGACCTGAGAGACGACGTTGAAGGTCAAGGGCGACGTGCGCCCGATGATAAAAAACTGGGACAGGTTGAGCAGACTCGCCACGACCCCGGACATGAAGAGCGCGTATAGGACGTTGGTCGGGATCGTGCTCAAATCGGGTACCGTGTCCACGAAGGGGGCGATGACCAACAACAGCGCGACGGACACGGGGGCCTGATTGAGCAGCAGCTGGGGCGGCGAGACCTTCAGGTCCTCGATCTTCTTGCCGATCCACACCTGATACAGGGCCGTGACGGTGAAGGCGGCCGTGGCGACGAGGGTGCCGGGGAGGTTCGTCTGGAAGCTCTTGGCCGAGACGAGACCAACTCCCGCGCACGACGCGACGACGGCCGCCAGTGCCGACGACGAAATGTACCGGCGGAACAGGACAAAGTTGAGAGCCACCACGGTCGGCGTCGTCATGATCTTGGCCAGCTGGTAAAAGTCCACGTCGTTGAGGGCCAGTGAGAGGTTCCCCAGCAGTAAGAACCCGGCGAAGAAGATGCATATCGGCAGCACCTGGCGGATTGGAAGGCGGATCGCCTCAAAGGCATGACACGGCCGGCAGGTCGAGAGGTATAGAACTATCGTCGTCGCTGCAAAGTGCCATATCGCCACGGAGATTTGGCACTGGCGAAGTTGAGGGTCGGAGAAGACACTGTAGTAGGGACACAGGATTAGCTGACGATACTTTTGAGGTGTTGACGGGCAGGGTGAAGGAAGAGTACGTACGTCTTGTTCAGAAACACTATGATGACGGTGCTAAAGACATTGAGGCCCATCCATACTAGGTCGACGAATTGCTGTGCTCCCGTCCGTTTAGGTCTTGCGGGTTCAAGATCACGACCTTGACGGGCTGACATGTCTGTCATGTCTTCCGAGTCTGAGCTCTCGCCCTTTTCTGCGTCATAATCAAGCAAACTCGAGCTGTCACTTCGTTCTTCATCACTGAGTGGTGGTGTTTTGACGTCTGGAAAAGGAATGGAAAGGTCAATACTAAATGAAGGGACATGAGAATAACAGTATTACTCACCAATCTTGGTGTATTCGGGGTAAATGTTCCTCAACTTCTCCATGGACGAGCGAGGCAGGAGGAAAGAAACCATCTTGCCAGCCTTGGTTCCCAGCGAGGACTCGTCGAGGTCGAGAGTGGCCATGCCGGGTTGCTTGAATAAAACAAAATGTGTAGTAGTTTTGAGTATGCAATGGTATGTCGAGAAAGAAGAAACAATAAAGTCTTTCAAGTGGTCCCGTTCGAAAGAGAGGGGTAGGGGGAAAAATTGGTTGTAGTTTAAAACCAGGCAGTCGGTGATAGCCTCAGCTTCTGGACTGTATGCAAAGGGTACAGGTACAGGGGTATACCGATATTGTTGTAATTCGGACAATGGGTAATAATGGCAACGTACTCCTGGTCGAGGGTGAGTTCGGAAGACAATGGTTCCCGGTTCAGCGAGCCACAGTATTGTTCAATCTGTTCGTGAGGAAGCCAGGCAGGGTCTGGCTGTTGACTTTGCCTTGTGCAGCATGACTGATCACTTATTGGGAACCTGGCTGAGGTGTGGAAATTACCATTTTGTGAGTACAGGCTGGCTCGATGTGCGCCTCCGGCCCAATGCAGCCATGCCCATACGCCGTAGAGTCTCGGTCGATGTCTCGTCTCCAGAGGCTTTTTTGCTTGGGCTCTCCGATCAACGAAAAGTGTCAGCGAAACAACGCCAATACCAGAGCGAGGAGCCCAGAATCCATACTAGCAAAGACACTTCCTTACCAGGTGTGCCGGTGGGTGGGTCCCCTTTTCTTTTTCGCGCCATCGCCGGGTGCTTCGAGACCAACGCGGGACCCTCGTCGCTCAAGTTCATCCTCTAATCTTAGTTTCTCACGCTTATCGATAGTCAATCTTCTCAAGCTTCCGGACCTGCAGATACCACACTAAACTGTATCGGGCCCCCGCGTTTTGTTTACGTCGTGACAATACAGAATTTTCGTACCGATACGAGTCGCCGCGGGTAAACTGGTTCCAGGTACTCCGTACACTGTGAGAGGAAATTGTTCGGTGGAGTGTATCGCTATATCCTCGTACACGTACTCCGTAGTATGTCACTGCTATTCATCGACAGGATCGACACCTCCAAGTATCAAGTCAAATGCTTTACTGTCGTCCACGAAAGGAAATATCAAGTCGAAGAATGCCGATCCCACACACCTAGAACGTCCTGTCGTAAAACCGCCGATGCCACCTGCCGGCGACGCCCTTCCAGAAGCTTTTCCAGGATTGTGACAGCAAAGTATGGGAAAGGATGTGGGTGGAACTCCGATATTAATATTGTGAGCAGGGGTTCATGCTCATTCGCCTTCCCGGATTTTGTACAGTAGTTCAGCTCAGCCTCGACTCAAAGGTGCCTCGCCGCAACAATGAATTTGGTACTGACGGAGTAACTTCTTCCGGTGAACTTACTGATCTCGTCCCCCCAGCAAGACCTGATATCGGATGAGCCGTGGTGCGTGGGTTCTTTTGCTCGTCGCTAACGCTTTTCCATGGTCCTGACTTAATTCCATCTGGTTAGCACGGGCTTGAAATGGCGGTGGCGTTGGCGTGCCAAATGCTTGCATCACTCTGTCTCGACCTCCTAAGAAGTGAAAGAACTTGCAACATTATGGGCAAGCTCATCAAAGGCCAGATAGACTCGGCTTGAAAGTGTTGTGAATTGTAACTGTTTCACTGTAGAAAGAACACAGATCTATACATAGTAGAATACCACCAACGCCAAACGTTGACATTTAAGCGAAAAGGCGAGCCACGCCATAGAAAGACACCAAGCAAACCCCCAAACCAATGCCTGCTCGTATAACACAAAATAAGAATCGTTAACCAGTTGTTTATTGCAAGTGTTCATCGAGAATCCAACCGGCATCTTTGGCCAACTTGGCAGTGGGCCAGACGGCTCTGGCAAAGCTACTCTGCCTCTGAAAGATGTATTTGGGGGTGAAATCGTTGTCAAAGTTCTCGACAAGCGGTCCCTCCTTGGTCGCGTGGATGGCATACGATGTCGACAGATCCAGTTGCCAGTCGGCCGCGGTCTTGCCTTGTTTCCATCGTGCGTAGGGATCCGTGACGGCCGACTCCGACATTTCAGTGTACTCCGACGTCGAGGCTTTAACGTCGAGATGCGGAGAGTACATCTCGGTCTTGTCGTTCTTGTACCAGCTCACGGGGTTGAAGGCGACGCGGTCCATGATCAAAACTTCACGGGGTGTCCCCATCAGGCGGTTGGCGATGGTGGTTAGGAGTTTACAGCTCGCGGTCGTCCAGCCGCCGTCGTAAACACGGTGGGCTTCGCGCATCCAGATGTCCAAGAGGGCGGTGCCGGGTCGGCACATGAAGACGCCGTTGTTGACCTGGTAGTGTATTTCGCGGCCGACAATGTTGGCGAAGCCAGACTCACGGAGATCCTTGAAGTCTCGCAGTGGGTGGACGTCTGTGTCCATGTAGACTCCGCCTTTTTCGTACAACTGCTCCATGCGTACAAAGTCGGACTTGTGTTCGATCCGCTTGATCTCGACGCCGCTCACTGCAGCCACCTCGGGGTATGTAACATAGTTAAACTGGAGATGGGGGATGGCGAGCACGGCTTTGGTCCACCAATCTTTCGGCTCGTTGGAGGATTGGAGACGGGCAATCGTGCTTGCGTTGGCATTGGTATGGATGTAGATCTTGTCGGGATTGAGGTGGACTGAGGCACCGTAGATGGCGAGGAATTGTTTGAAACTGAAGCTGATCTGGGGTTTGGCGTTTGGAAGAAGTTGGACATAATGAATGATGTTGGGTATGTCTTGATGGGAGCCGGTCGAGTAGGCTGCGGACTCTGGCAATTCGTCAAGGGCTCTAGCAGAACTGTTGACTGGTTCACTGTGACTGAAAGAACTGCTGAGCTTGTTGCTGACGTGCTGCCATTTTGGCGACTCTGGTATGAAGGTGGAATAGTTCACGACGAAAAGGCAGACGAGTGCAGCAAGCACGATTTTGATGCCAGTCCGCATGGTCATGCTCTGTGTGGACTGCATGCCTTTCCACTGAAACTTTTCCGGAAGCATGTCGCTGCCATCAACGTCAAAATTCTTGGAGCCCCGATGGGATGTTGACAATGAGGGCGTAACGACAATCCGGGGGGAAGGAAGAGTGCACACAAAAGGGCTTCCTTCTCACGAGTGTCAAAAGTGACAATTGATACTCACCATCCTCGCCACACTGGAAGCGAAGGTGTGCCGGAGCCTAGACTGAGAAAAGGGTTGCTGTGATTACCCTACCCCATAGCCATATGAGCATTGTGATAACCACACGTGTGTGTGTGTGGTGTCTCGGGATGATTTGTTGGGATACTCCGTACACTCCCGTGTGTCTTGATGCGATGGCTGAGGACGTAATTTGCCATTCCCAGTTTACCATTGCAATAGCGTGCCGCTGTCAGGTATTGTGGACAGCTGAAAATCCATCCCAAGTTTGTCGTCATGTATAGCCGAGAGAGGCAGCGATTATCTGGTTGGTATCAAATGCAGTACATGTGGAGGCGAACAAGGCTGACCCCTTCATAGATGGAGCGCTAGACTCAGGGATGTATGCATGACCGGGATAAATTTTTCCACTTATCTTTGCAGGGGGTTCGACGAATGGAAAGGAGCATTTTCATTCGAGATTATTGTCATGGAAGTCCGTCTGTGAACGCTGAGGGTGGTAGAGCTAGCCAAAAGCCATTACTGATAAAACATTCAGATGCGGTACGGCCGTCGTGTGGCAAAGATGGAATTGGTGTTGATCGGATGCAGCTGAACATTTCGATGCGATGATGACCCAGACCGTATTTCGTCCGTACGCGGTAAGAATAAACTCACAGTCAGTATCTTGTGCCCACGCTGCCCGCATGGACGGGGATACGGAAATATGTGTCGCCTATTTGATCCAGCTTACGCGTACTCTGTACAAGAGGAGACATATCCTTGCTTGCAGGGATGGCAAGAATGTCATTCCAACAAAATGCGCTGCGTTGTCCACGTGAAAAGAGAGCAAGGACTGCCGACGGTGTGTTTGAACGCGCTCTGTTGAGATCCATCAAATTTCGCTGTTGCCGGCTGATCAACGTTACACTTATCTGCTAAGCGTTTCAGACATGAACAGTCTTCTGTATGGATTTTTGATGCGGGTACACGCGTACATATGGATATCTTGGACGGAGTAGCAAAAGGAAAAGTACAATAAGATACCCAATGTTTTTGAGTGCTTGGTGGATTCAGGTCCGGAGAGGATCAAAGATTCTCCGACCCGCATTGCCATGTGCTGTAATATCAATACGAGTGCTCCGTACCACAGTCCGAGCATCAAGAACTCAGATCCACGTCACTGTATCAGGGTGAATACTGCTCTCGGGGACAACTCGAGTTCGACTGGTACTGTCTGTATTTGATGTTGCTGAATCGGAGAAGATCCATCACTTCCTTTGCATCCTGGTGCCTCCAGCGGTGCTACGTCCGCGCAGTACCTCTGCCCTGGCGACATGATTCCACACACCACTCTGGACTGCAGGTATTCAAATGGCTGGTTCAAAATGTATTCACCCTCATAGCCTTCTAGGCCAAGGGCCTTAAAGTCGCCTGGGTTGAAAGCACAGGGTGAGAGCTTCTCGCGTTTGCGATAATCCTCCAAGTAGAACAAGTCAAGCCGAAGGGAGAAGACTGGTTGCTTTCGAGGATGATCCTGAGGTCCAACTTCTCGAAAGGCAATGCACGGTAACCCGCTTGCGATTTCTCTATCGATTGCTGATTGCAACCCGATGATGGGCGCGACTTTGTTGATCATGATGCCACGTTCCTCTTCGACCTCGATTGAGAACTTCATGACAAAGGGCTCCCCAGTCTGCCTTTGATTGACTGAGCAATACTTCTCGGGGAATGTCGCACTGAACTTGACCTTTGACTGGCTCTTCTTGGTCAAAAACTTGTCACCATTCGGGTCGGCAGCGAGGGCATAAGCTGTATAGTCCATATTGTCAGTGTCGAGAATTTCGGCTGATGTTAGTACGCAGGACAAAAGAATCCAGGAAAGAGCAAGGAGCCATCCATATATCAGTCATTTCCTTAACATGTAGCAAACACGCTGTTTGCACCAGTAAGTCATTCCTTCAATCAAGACAGCAACACAATCAACCTGCGTGACAATGCACAACACACGAGCAATTCCGTGTGTGCACTTCAGGATCTCGCCGTATGACCAGTTGCAAAATCACCAGGCAATGCGCTCAGACACCATGATGATGGCAACTGTCCTTTCAATGATCATACGCCCAGCGACTTCTGGATCTTGCTAATGGACTGTGTAATGGTTACTCACTGCATCACCGTCGAGGAGCATCGCAAAGCCAGGGGAGTGAAGAACTGGAACATGAGCAGTCAACCGTCCTTGTTAGAGGGAGTCACAATTCCGAGGCATCGCCATCCATCAACGTGATTAATGTGGCAGATGATCTGGCACTCGTCCATCGTTCAGCAGACAGAAACACCATGCCTGTGACTTGGTCAGAAGGCGCTCAACATGAGTCTCACAGCATCGTGGAATGTTTTCCATTCCAATCTTTCGGGCCCGGAACAACATGGCCCGCGCCGGGTTTGCTGACTACAATGTCTCTTACAGTTCGGGGTCTCTAGAAATCTCCCGGGAAGTTCGAGGCCAATGAATTGGCGCCCAAAGGGGCATTTTCGCGGCGGTCAAATGATGCCGGTGGGGGATCGTACAGTAGGTAAATTTAGAGGGGAACGTGGGGGACTTCTCTGCCCAATGCAACCGCAGCAACAATGGGAACGTTGTACTGGCATCGCCAACACCCAGAGAATGGAACTTGGATGACTTTTCACAAATGATCAAAGCCTATGGATTACACTGGCCTAGGTACAACGAGGTAAGCAGTCGAGTATAAGACGCTGAGAGAAGCCACAATTCACCACGCCTGCGAGTACCATTAGAGACTGTCACCACTACGGATATCATCCTACCTCTATTCCACTTTCTCGGTCTCTGCTCGCACTCTCGCCGTTGACCACCTCATCTTCTCCGACCCAGACTCGGCCCGCTCTCCTTGTTGATCCAAAGGACCAGGGAAAAAAAGATACCTGCGCACCCCGCACCTCATCCACGGTGAAATTGTGCACTGTGCATTGTTAAATACAAATACCTTCAGGTTACCTCGCACTCGCACTTCGCATCCCAGAAGATCCCGACAACCATTTACGCTGCAGCCGTAACATCTTTTCCCTCCTTCCTCACATCCCACCAACCCAGCCTCCTCTTCGCCCCCTTGAACCGACAAGATGAGCACCACCGCCACGGAGCTGGCGCCCAGCAAGTCGAATATCGGCGTCTTCACGAACCCAGCGCACGACCTCTGGATCGCGGAAACCACGCCCAACCTGTCCGAAGTGCAAGCCGGGTCGGACCTGAAAGAAGGCGAGGTGTACATCGCGGTCAAGTCGACGGGGATATGCGGGTCGGACGTACACTTCTGGCACGCGGGCTGCATTGGGCCGATGATCGTCACGGCCGACCACGTCCTGGGCCACGAGTCCGCGGGCGTGGTCCTCTCGGTGCACCCGTCGGTGACGAGCCTCAAGCCGGGCGACCGCGTGGCCATCGAGCCCAACATCCCGTGCTTCGAGTGCGAGCCCTGCCGGACCGGGCGGTACAACGGGTGCGAGAGCGTCGAGTTCCTCAGCACGCCGCCCGTCGACGGTCTCCTGCGGAGGTACGTCAAGCACCCGGCCACGTGGTGCCACAAGATCGGGGACATGAGCTTCGAGAACGGGAGCCTGCTGGAACCTCTGTCGGTCGCGCTGGCCGGCATGGACCGCGCCGGCGTCGCGCTCGGTGACCCCGTGCTGATCTGCGGCGCGGGTCCCATCGGCCTCGTCACGCTGCTCTGTTGCGAAGCCGCGGGCGCGTGCCCCATCGTCATCACCGACATCGACGAGGGCCGCCTGAGGTTCGCAAAGAGCCTCGTCCCCCGGGCGTCGACGTTCCAGATCCCCGTGGGCAAGACGCCCGAGGAGTGCGCCGAGGGCGTCATCTCCGCCATGGGCGGCGTGCGGCCCCGGGTCGCCATGGAGTGCACGGGCGTCGAGTCCAGCGTGGCCAGCGCCATCTGGAGCGTCAAGTTCGGCGGCAAGGTCTTCATCATCGGCGTGGGCAAGAACGAGATGAAGGTGCCCTTTATGAGGTTGAGCACCATGGAGATCGACCTGCAGTACCAGTACCGGTACAGCAACACCTGGCCCAAGGCCATCAGGCTGGTGGAGAACGGGGTGATCAAGCTGGAGAAGTTGGTCACCCACCGCTTCAACATGAGCGACGCGGTGCAGGCGTTCAAGACGGCGAGCGACCCCAAGAGCGGTGCTATAAAGGTCCAGATCAAGAATGATGACAGTTTATAGTTTTTTGGGGGGCCCATCAACGAGTACCTCGTTACCACACTACAACCTGATATACAAAGCATGGGCCGAGTACAAACTTGAAGAGATACAGAGCATGAGGAGGACTCCCCGAGAAATACCACAAGACCCCGAAAGAAATGTAAATCTGTTGGTTCGTTGTTTTCCTGCTCGAAGCATTTTGCGCGGAACGAGGTAGAAACACAAAACAATATATACGGAGTATACCTAGGTAGAGCATACGGGAGGATCCCTAAATCCACATCAAATTCCCACTGCGTCTTTTTCTCTCTCATCTTTCTTCTACAAGGGGGGATAGATGTTTCCTCTCCGACATTGACGTGCCCGTCTTATCGAATGATACCCTTCATCTCACCTCCTTCCAACCACGTCCTCAACGCCTCCGTCTGCTGTTCGTACCACCCGTGCATGGTCTCCTCCTCGACGTAACCCATGTGAGGGCTGATGACCACCCTGCTCCTCCCGTTGGTCCCCCAGTGGTTGGAAGGCTTCCTCCACGGGCTGTCCTCGGGCAACGGTTCCGTGTCGAAGACGTCCAGCCCGGCGGCCCTGATGGCCCCCCTCTCCAAAGCCCCGACCAGGGCCGACTCGTCGACCAACGGTCCCCTCGACGTGTTGACCAGCACGGCGCTCTTCTTCATCGCGGCCAAGTCGTCCGCCCCCACTATGCCCCTGGACCTCTCGCTCAGGACGTAATGGACGCTCAACACGTCGGCCCGCTCAAAGAGGTCCCGTTTGGACGTGGCGACTTGGAAAGTCCCGGCCGGGAGGCCGCGGGACTTGGCGGCCTCGTCCGCCTTCTCCTGTGTGAGACTGTTGCTCCACGCGAGCACCTTCATGCCGAACCCCAACGCGCCCGTCGCGGCGGCCTGGGTTCCCAACTTGCCCAGTCCCAACAACCCGAGGGTCTTGCCGGCCAGTCCGGCGACGAGGGTGGTCTGCCAACCCGTGGGGCTCGCCTTGACGACGGTGTCCCCTCCGACCACGTCCTTTGCCGCGGCCAGAATCAAAGCCCAAGTCATCTCGTTGGTGGCGTCGTACCCCTTGACGGCGTTGGGTTTGGGACCCGTCCCGACGACGGTGACGCCCAGCTCGGCGCACGCCGCCATGTCGATGGCCGCGTTACGGTTGCCCGTCGTCAACAAGACCTTGAGGTTGGGCAGAGCCGACAAGACACTCTTGGGGAACTGCGTGCGTTCTCGCATCGACGATACGACGGTGAAGGGCCGGAGACGCTTGATGAGAGCGTCGTGCTCCGCCGGGACCCGCGCGTTGAGCGTCTCCGGGAACGATTGGATGTCGATCTTGGATGCTAGATCCTTGAAATGGTCCGGGGCGATCGAAGCGTAATCATCTAGGATGGCCACCTTGACTTTTGTCGTAGAGTTCGACGACATGGCGGATAGCGACAGAGACTTTGATCTTGGTGTTGTCGCCGTCGTCGTAGTGGCACCTGTATGGCCGAGGGTAAATGCTGTGTTTTTGAGACGTCGTGTTGCTGCTGCTGCTGTCGTGGTTTGTGTGAACTTGTGCATTCACGATCCTTTGAACAAAGGCAAGCAACCCAACAGAATTCCCAGGGATTTCAATAGTAAAATATTCTCCTTTGAATCAGAGAGATACAGTCATAAACATACGCTGCCTCAATATCATACGGAAATGCACCATTACAGGTTGTAGTCATCCTGGGTTGCTCGTACTCGGTAGCTTTGTCAAGTGTTTATCGGCCATTCTCCGCAAACGAAATGGCGTGCGATAGCCGATGCCGGAAGACACACGTTCAATCAATCGATGAGTTGCCTGATGACAAATACGACTGCACACAGGCTGGAGGAATGGAAATCGCAAGCTACAGAGGAAGTGCTACATATCCAGATGAAAGGATTGAAGGTCTTTTTTTTTAATTGAGAGGCGAAATTGGCCTAAACTTGGAACCCGCCAGGTATATTCGAGACGTTCAGTCAGGGACTTCGACAGGGACTTGTATTTTTTACCCAGATATAAACTAACCAACGCAAGAGACGACAGAGTGATGATGATAGAATGTCCATTTTGGATCTCGCAATATCGTCCGTCACTTGTATTGCTCTCCCTGGCTTGATTTGCATGGTGCCCTGTACCGTCATCCCATCGTTTCTCGTCTCTCGATTTACTACTTCCCGACGAAACTCAACGCCACGACAACCATGGCGTCCACACCCGTCCTCAATGTTGGCTGGATGACGGGCGCGAAAAAGGGACTGTGGTTCACGGGCAGCTCATGTTCTCGCCCTTGCTTGACCATGTCATCAAAATGTTTCGCATCGTGTCCTCCAAAAAACCAAAAGCAGCATGGTCGATCGACACTGCTGGCCAGGATCCCTACATCCTCGCTTCCCATGACGCTCTTCTCGTTGGGTTCGTGTCTGTCCCCAAAGTAGCCGGTCAGTGCTTCGTTCACGGTTTTCGTGACGCCTTCATCGTTGACCGTGAGCGGGAAACGACTGGTGGGTTCGACGGTCGGGGGCTTCGGACACCGTCCGGCGACGCACTCGGCCTCGACGATTCTCTTGACGCTCGCGAGGATCCGTTCTCTCCACTCGGCGGTCACGGTGCGTATGTTGATCTTGAGCACCGCCTCGTCGCTGATGACGTTCTCCGTGCTCCCGGCCTGCAGCGCACCGACGGTGACCACGGCCAGTTCGCCCGGAGGGACCTCCCGCGACACGATGGTCTGGAGCCTGACGACGACGTGACTGGCAATCACCACGGGGTCGATCGTCACGTGGGGCATACTCCCGTGCCCGCCGCTCCCAAAGATGGTGATTTTGAAACTGTCCGCCGCACTCATGACGCTGCCCACACGGGTGCCCGTCGAGCCCGCTCGCAGCGGCGCGACATGCTGACCCAGGACCAAATCCGGTATGGGGCAGGCATGTTTGGACCGGTCGTAGAGCCCGTCGTCGACCATGGCTTGTGCACCCAACCCACGCTCCTCGGCGGGTTGGAAAAGGAATACAATGGTGCCGGACCAGTGTGAACGCGAAGCGAGCAGCGTTTCGACCGCGCCGAGCATGGACGCAATCTGTCCTCGACGCAAAGGGCAAAATCAGCATCAAGGCCACAATACTCGGGCCCATCCGCGGCTCATCATCCCAGAGATGGTGTCGGTAGAGCACTTACATGGAAATCGTGCCCGCAAGCATGCATGACCGGCTTGACCAGGCCGTCGGCCGTGTCCTTCATGGTCTTTGTGCTCGCATAAGGTAGACCGGTCTTCTCTTGGACGGGGAGAGCGTCGATGTCGGCCCGCAAAAGAATCGTCTTGCCCTCACCGTTTTTAAGAATGGCAATCTGACCATGGCCTCCTATGCCCGTGCGAATGTCGAGATCACCAGCACCCGGGAGCTTCCTGAGATGCGCAGTGATTAGGGCGGCAGTCTCGCCTTCTTGCGTCGAGAATTCTCCATTGGCATGGCAGTGTCTGTATAGATCCTCGTAAGGGCCGAGGTCAGGGCGGTATTTCTCTATAACCGACGCGTAAGGTGAAGACGAAGCCACGGACCCAGCCATGGTTTGCTATGTCAATATCGACTTTTTTTTCTACCGGCACTGGATCAATTTGCACAGGGGTTCGGTAAAAGCAGAGGGGTAAGGGCCTTTTGAATCTTGCTCTCTGAGAAGAGCCGTAGAAGAACTCAGGTTGTGGACAAAGTGTGAGGTTGGTCAGTAGTTGTTCGGTACTTCAAGTCAAAGTGTCATTCAAAACGAGCATCCATAAATGCAGTTCCCCGCAGTTATAGCAACAGGAGAAGTCCGTCCGACGCAAGTGATAGGGATGAATTCAATACTTATACTCCGTATAACATTTGTAATTCCCTCACGACGGACGAATTCATGGACCACATACTGTAATACAATTCTCATTCTCCTGAAGAGCAACCATCGCTGTAGCATAACCAGAACACCCACCAACCCCCAGCACCAACGATTACGTCTCTCGTCTCTCGTGTGAGAGCCTGTGCATCATCTTACACGCTATTCGTCCGAACAAATCGCCAAAATATGAATAGTAATTGTCTTTGTGCCTCACTCACACCTCTTCGGCTTCATTGCTAATGGGTCGAATCGTCCGGGTCCTGCCACTCTCACGTCCTCGAACTGTCCTGACCACTCGACTCCTAACACTCGAGGCCTTGTCACGCAAACTGGAGGATCTACTTGGTGGCTTGGTGGCTTGGTTTGTCTTCGGTTTCAAGATCAGCGCTGTTGAAGATGACGTGGACACGATCCTTTGATCAGCCTTCTTGCCAACCGCCTTGCCCTTTGCGCTCTGAACTAGTTTGTTCAGCTTCGATGGGCGCCTTGCTAGACCGACAGCAGTCGCGCTGGTCTTTCGACTGACGGCTTTTTTCAAGAGCTTGACCTTACGAACCTTGATTGGACTGCTCTTGATAGAATTTCTGCCGGTACTCTTGTAAACTTTGGCCTTCGGCTGGCTGATCTTTGCTTTCTTCGTAACGCGGTTCGTGGTTCCTTCGATTGCCTCTGCGAGCTTTCTCTTAACTCCTGCTAGTTTGCTGGTCTTCGTCTTCTTGTTATCCTCGTCAGGAGACTTTTGTTTTCTTTCCTCTTTTGGTCGTGGGCCCAGTACACCGCGGCAGTTGTCGGCGCCACACCGACATTGTTGGACGTTTTTCTGAGAGTAGGGGTCGAAATTGTAGTCGTATGTGAGCTCTTCGCCTGTCATGATGCCTCTATCACCAGCAAATAGAGCCATTCGAGGCTTTCCATTCACTGTCCACTTCTCCATTCGACAATTTGGAGCGCAGCAATGGTTGACGAAGCGAGCAATCGAGCCTCGAGTTGCGTCGATGATCATGTTTTGATCGAAAAGCATAAGATAATAGCACTGATTCTTGTCAGTCAGGTACGCCATACAGAGACGGCAGTCCTTACCTCGTTGTTTTTATACATCGTCTTCATTCTCTTCTCACATTCCTCTTGTGTGATAATCTCGCCGGTGTACTCGACGATGATCTGATTTGGTTCGAAACTCCGATTGCTTCGTACCCCGTAACCGCGATCCTCAGTCTTGATGACTTCCACACCGATGTTGTACTTTCCGCCCTTCTTGACTCGATGACGCAATTCCTCAAAGGATCGATTGCCACATTCTTCAGGCTTGAGATTGCAATTGCGTTCGTCACATTCGTAGAACATGTAACGGTTCATGCAATTCTGATCGCAACCTGTCTCTGGGGTGCACAAGCAACTGGAGTGTTCCTCGTATTTAGATACCCTCCATGATTGAGCGGCGTCACCCACAAACACATTCTTGTTCACCTTCTTCCATTCGTCAGGCTTCGGTTGACCAGGAGGAAGAGGGGAGAAAATGTCGAATGGTAATTTGAAGTCTCGCCCTTGCTTGAGAAGGCGTTCTCCAGCATACATAGGGAGAGGGAGTACCTTGTTTCCCCTGTTTGGTGCGACAGTTTGGCCGCTCTGGCGTCTGTTCTTGCTCTCCGTGAGCCGGCCATCGAATGTTCTAGTTTGACCGGCATAAAGGGCGGATGCGAGCCATTTCTTCTCTCGTCGGCGAACCGGTACTTTCTTCTGGCTTGGCTCTTCAGACGGGGCAGAATCTCCATGGCTCACACGGCGTTTCTTGGGATCAGGTTCTCGAGCTATCTCAAGAGAGTCATTGCCCATGCTTTTCCTTGAGCCTGATGTCGACTCTGCCAATCTGTCCTTTCTCTTACCAAGCACACTGTTTGCTATGCTTGATACAAGCTCTCCGGCCTTGTCCAGGACGGGCATCCGGGAAGATCTTCTAGTGGCATGTTTCTCTGCAGTTTTACGTCTCGCTTCCCACATTTTGTTGTTTTCCTCCATCTTGGCTTTTTTGGCAGCTAATCTCTCCTTTCTTAGTTGTTCGTCTTGCTCGAATGACATTGTTGAGTCTGCATGTTTTGAGAACACCGCACTCATATTCCAAGGAAGATCCAATGCCGCGATGCCCTCTTTGACCAGGGTTGACTGGCTGGCGTTGTCAAAGTTGACCAGAGTCTCACCACTGACATTTCTACTCTTTGCATTCTCCATTTCAACGTGTTCCACCAGGCCGTCATGGCTCACACTCTTGGTCAAACGTGAACTGACGCGTCGTGCTCGACCTTTTGGTACTTGCTGCATTTTGATGAGCTGGGCGTCGAGAACAGACACGTCACACGAGCTCTCGGAAGGGGTAGGCAGTTGGATGGCTGGCCCGTTAGATACCACGATAGTATCGGGATCTGTGTCCGATGAGGCCGAGCTGAGCCTTCGGGTCATAGTAGGACGTGTCAAGGAAGATTCAATGGGTTTGGACTTGACAGTCTCGGTCCTCGACTTGTAGAAGCTCAGGAGACTCTGCCGTAGAGGCATGATGAGCGAAGGCGTGGAGGGGTATGCAGGAACAAACGCGTCGATGTATCCCGAACAAAGCGTGCAAATGCAAAAGAAATGGTATGCTCGCTTTTTGAAGACGATGAAGAACCATGAACACGCGACTTAGAATTGTGAAGGTATGGTTATTGTGGCTGGGAGAGGGGAGGGAGACAGTTGGTATTGTATGAATTGAGACGGAGTAAGGCTGGCCGACGCCAAAAATTAAGGGTGGCCACCAATCGCCGGATGGTGCTGGGAACAGACCAGGAAGCGACCCAACACAACAACATTCCCCCTTCGAAACATTTTCAAACATCTCAGCGTCTACCGACTGCCCGGGCAACTCGCGTCACACTGATGCTTTGCTGGACAGAGGGTTCAAGAGCTGACGAAAAGGTTTCACGCTGTTCAACTTCAAATACAGGACGGAGGAGCTCTGATCAATATGGTCACATCATCTTCCGCCATTGATATAATACACATCTTCTAGAATGTGGAATTATTGTACAGATTCATCTCGCTTCTTTCTTGGAGATTCTCCCAGTCGGTCCTTCAAATGCGCTTTGTGCCCCTTGCACTGGCTTCATTTCCATCCCGCCATTCTGCGGCTCGCCATCCAGCTTGGTTTGTCGCTGTCCCTTTCTGGGCCCAAAGCGCTGGTCCCCTTCTTCGTACTGCTTCTTGAAACGGAGGTAAGTTGGGGGCTTCGGTCTGGCCAGAACAGCGATCCAGTTCTTGATGAAATTTCCTTGAGTGAAAGGTCTATGTCTTTCGGCCGGGGGAAACCTTCGAGAGGCGAGATACTCTCGGGTTGTTTCGCCTTTGCCGGTAAGCAGAAGATGATACACCCACAACGAGAGTGGGTACATAAACCCGAGAAGTGAATAAATGAACACTGCGAATGGGACTCGATTCTTGTTTATTGCTTCCGCCAGTGTAATATGTCTTTGGTTGTGATAAGCAATGACTTGGCCCAACGTTGCACCAGCCAGCAAAAGGCTCGCGATGGTCGCTGTGCTGACGAAAGTGAAAAAATAACGATAGTTGCGTCTACCGACACAGTTGTTGATCCATACACAGTGATGGTCCAGAGTGTCAACACAGTTGTCGCAAACACGACAATGATAGCATCGCGGAGGTCGCCATATGTTGCAAGTTTTGCAATACTTCACGGGCACATCCATAGCTGCGGTTGTGGAAGTTGCAAGGCGAACCATGACCCAGTCATTAGTTGGCGGTCCAAGGGCCAATGGATCATCGTTCTCTCCGGGAGGGAAGGGATGAATGTTTCGTGGGAAAATCTAAAGATATTAGCAACTCTGCCTGCAACTCTCAAGCTAACGACTTACACCAGGGTCAACGAGTGACGCATGCAGAAACGAAGACAAACAAATGAAAAAGATATACGCGAATATTATAGGAATCGCCGGCGACACATGATGCCAGAGCCACGGTGCTCTAGAAGATTGTCAGTGCACTTCTCGGTAATACCTTTACGACCACTTACGAGAAGATAAAGAATAAGATCGCTGGAAGCACGACCACAATGCCAGTGAGCACGTTGATGGGTCGATCCCGGGCATTCTGGAGACGGCCACCCCACCAGAAGATGGTATTACCCTCGAAATACTCATAATTCTTGCCTAGGGCGCTCCTTCTGGCGACGTCCGCATTGGCTTCGGGAGGATATCGGGGTGAGGTTGTGGTAGAGGGAAGTTGTTGATGACCAGTTTCCAGCCGGTGTTTACTTGCGAGGCTCAATCCCGACCTAAACGAAAGCGGTGATCTTTGAGGTGGATCGCCGACTTTGTGAGTGCTCGCAATATTGAGCCGAGAGGGCCGATGTTGTTGTTTTTGCGCAGTCGGTCCGCCAACTAAGCCAAGATCGCCCTCGGTCTGCGAAACATCGTCAGGAAATGGCGCGTCACCAGTCTCAGGCACGTCTGATTGCGTGAATTCTGTGGCAATTGAAGGCGCCGGCCTGTGGCTTCTGGGCATTGCATGGAATGGCCCTTGTCTACTGGAAGCCAAACTCCGAGTATCGTCGTCGCCTTCCGCGTCAGGAATTGGTGCCTGAGGCTGGACGGTTCTGGCACCTAGAGGCCTCTTCAATCTTTGCGCCTGAAGTCTCTGAGAGCTCATGGGCTTGAAGAAGCCTTGTGCAGTCAACGACGGAACATGGGTGCGACTAGCCTGACTGACAGGACTTTGTGGTCTGCTGGAACCCGCAGTGCTCGAAGGCGCAGCAGGATTGCTTCTTGTTGATCGACTTGCGGGCTGTGTGATGCCTCTTAAATGAGCGTAACCATGTTGCGAAGAGGGAGGATTTGGCAATGAGGGTAAAGGATTGACGCCCGACTGTGGTCGCGAACCGAATCCATCTTCGGAAATAGCAGAAGAGATCTCGCTCCTCGCAGTTGAAGGTCTACCAGCCATTTGCTTGGGTTTGAGATAGAGTCAGAGAGAGACCTGGCGCGTCACCAGTGCAACGTTCAGCGCATAGCGTACCCCGTAGGACAGGGGTGACGCTGTTGAACCTGAGGAGGGTGGTGTGAGGTTCTCGCGCGCAGAGTGTCGAAGTAGAATGAATCAATTGGCTTGTCAGAAGGAGAGACTAGTAGAACAAACGTTGCGGATACTACAGCGCACAGAATCTCGCAAAAGGCATAACGAGGGGCTCGACCATGGTGGTAAAGGGTGAGGCACAAGATGTGCGGTTTAAAGTGAGGGTTTCTCAAGAAACGAAATGAGCCTCCAGAATGAGGATGAGGATCACTACCTAGACTGCGCCAACATGCTTGATCCAGCCTGGAAACACCTACGCAATTCTAAACTTTAGGGGGTCGCGGCGCTAGTCGTCAGCAACCAGTCATTTTGGCTCAAATGACTAAACAGCAGAAAATAAAGTCACGTGGTATAAATCTCCCACTAAACCGGATCGAGAGCTGCAACTGCGGTCGAACTTCGATGATCATTCACTCACACCACTTTCTGTAGAGCTTGCAACAACCTCGAAGAACCACAATAGACTCTCTTCTCTACCAAAACACTCGATATACTTGCCATGTCGTTCGTCCCGACCCTCGCCCGCCGGGCTGCTTTCGCTCCCACACTTGCCAGAAGAGCCGCAGCTGGGGAGCAACAAACATTGAGAAAAGCGTCCAAGCGAGACCCGGAGCTTTATGTACGTCGCAAGTCCCCCTTCCTTCCGGTCGAGCAAATGCTGATGAGGCTTAGATTCTGCTTGGTGTAATGTGTGGCGCTTTTGGACTGGCAGGTTTCTACTTTGGCCGCAAGCCCACCTCTGCGACCTCCGAGGCCGAAGTTTCCGTAGCGAACAGCTCCATGCCCTGGCAAGTCGAGCATGACGACCAGGACGAATCCAAGCACTTCAAATACCAATACCACCCCAAGGGCGACCGATCGCAGGCCCCCAAGAATGCTCCAAGCGCTTTGAACACAGTCATTGTTCCTAACGTGACGCTACCAAAGGTGGGATCGCTTGCTACTGTTGGTGTTGATTTATCTCTAATTGAATCTCTCAGGACGTCCACGACAAGTTCAACAAATGGGGACAGGAGAACTATTGAGCAGGAGCACGGATCTTTGAATTATCCTCGCCGTTCCGAAAAATGAGGGCGACGCAATATGTGGCTTTGAGAGCTATGCAGAATTGTACATACTTGGGGTCGAACCAATACAACTTTGTGATCAATCATATCGAGGTCTCTTGCGAAAATGCCTTCTGTGATAGAAGTACTGTGGTGCCTAATGGGGATTGCATTCTCGAGGTGCATTTGGGCAAACTCTACGTAACCTTCAAGAACAGGGGAGAGCCTCAGAGAGACCAGCACTGCAAGACAACACTGGATCATACTTCGTGAGTGGGTGCGTAACTAAATGCCTCGTATGTTTCGCCAAGCAATGGTTTCTTGTCCAGCCTTGTCCAGCCTTGCTCACTGTTGTTGCGCAGCATTATCATCGCCTCAGTGAAAACACCAGGTAGGCAAGTTCGAACAAGAAGAGAAAAAAAAGAACAAAGAGTTAGGCGGGAAGTTCTAGTGTAGCCCCCCTCGGATCATGGACATATTCCTCTTTAGGTCACTATCTCGCTATACCTAGATCCGAGTTAAGGGCCCCTTCCCACCAAACCACAAACCATGGAGAGAGGAATCCTAACCTATGCCAGCTTGCACCAACATAGATCTATAGCAAGTCTCGTGTTGTGTCAAATTGTTGAACAAAAATTGCTGAATCAAATATTTCTAGTACAGCCAGAAGGGTACGAAATAAGGGCCAATGGCACCCTCGACGGCCCTCTATGCTTCACTGGAGGTGGGTCATTGGCATTCACTGAAGGCACCCATCAGAATTCTGCACAAGAATTCTCTGAGATCAAGAGTCCCCCGTAGTTTAGCCCTCTGACACCAGTTCGATCGACAGCAGAGCTCAGTCGACGATGGGGGTCTATCTCTTCACAGGTAGATTGCTTGAAAGCAAGGTTGGGGAAGCTGATAAGATGACGATATCTCATTGATGATGAACGATTAGAGCATAACTTATTGCTCTCCACTACAGGCTCAGTGCTGCAGGCTCCTTGATCGAGATGGTAATGTCGCTTCGCCCAAGTAGCAAATATTTTATGTAATGGATGAGGTTGAAGTCGATAATGGAGCTATGGATATAGGATCTCGTATGATCTCCAAATCTTGGGTGGAGTGATAAATACGAGCAACTACTGGATATCTTTTCCATCACGTAGTGACCTCCAATTCCTAATGCCCATGCGAACCCAAGGCTGTTGTACAAGTCGAACGTTATCTTTCATTCCGATCTTCTAGAGGCTTTGAGAGCAAATATCACCCTCGAAGGCCTTGAAGGGTTTCCTACGAGAGTGGGGTCCGCGTTGGTGGCAAGCTCAAAGCCGTCTCGTCGCAACACTCCAAACGATGAAGCTCTCGCCTTCAACCAGACAGCGAGATCTCGCAATACTGTCCTCGATCCTTCGCATCTCGAATCCAGTATGCTCAAACTGTGCTGCGTCAAAAAGTCACGACCGGTCACCGCGACCGTCGTCCCATCGAGCCTTTTCAGTCCTCAATCGGCCACCTCCAAACTACCCAGGCCATGTTCCTCTGACCGGCGTCGAGCGAGTCGGGCTTGCAGTTGGCAGTGCAATCACGTCCCTTCTCAACCCATATCGGCACGACATGGTTGCCGCACTAGGTGAAGCCACGGCACAACCCTTCTTCATCTCGTGGCTACGAAAGAGAATGCTCTCCGACCCGACGGGAAGGCGAATTCTTCGAGACAGACCACGCATCACATCGAAGACTATGTCGTTGGAATTTCTCCGAAAACTGCCAGAAAACACTGTAGGGAGGACATATGCCGCATGGCTAGACCGCGAGGGCGTCACGCCTGATACAAGAGACGCAGTGCGCTACATTGATGACGAGGAGGAAGCGTATGTTATGCAACGCTACCGCGAGTGTCACGACTTCTACCACGCTGTGACAGGTTTGCCGGTCTGGGTCGAAGGGGAATTGGGATTGAAAGCGTTCGAGTTTGCCAACACTGGACTACCAATGACGGGCCTCAGCCTTGCGGCCATCATCCGACTCAAACCCTCCGAACGCCAGAGGATGCTCCAGATCTTCCTGCCTTGGGCATTTGCCAATGGCTGGCGCAGCAAGGACCTGATCAATGTGTACTGGGAAGAAGAGCTCGAAACTGATGTCGCTGAGCTGCGAAAGAGGCTGGGTATCGAGCAACCGCCGGACCTGAGGCTAATTCGGAGGAAACTGAGAGATGAGAGGCGTGCCGCGAAGGAGGCTGCAGAAGTGAAAACGGCTCCATCATAGAATATATAGTAAGACATGTACGGTATTTGGCACCGTGATTAGGGGTATCATATGCAAATTTCCCAAGCTTTTTTGTCTCGTGTCAAGATTCGTTCAATAGGTCGTCAAGATCATCATCGTCCCATCCGCCTCTTCTTACGACCTTCACACTCTCCATGGACTGGCCCGATTGTTTCTCGTGCTCTGATAGACTAGCCAGCATCTCCTTCAGTTGGTCTTCTGTGACCTTCGAGCGAAGCTGGCCTGATCGCGCCAGCATGATGAGTCTGTTCTCAACATCCGTTGCTCGTGATTCCTTGACCATGCGAATTCTACCGAGACGGTCTGCGGCCTCAGGCTCGAGGATTTGGTTGAGTATTGACGATCGTGCTTCGGATTCTTGTTTTCTGCAGGAGTCAGTGGTGGCGCATGGATACTAGCAGCCAACTCACCTCCTTTGTTCGTCGTCTTCGCCGCCGCCAGCATCGCCTGATCCACTTCTGCCCCCTTGCTGCTTGAGCTGAGCAAGTCGGGCAGCTCTAATCTGTGCTAGTGAGTCAAGGGATCAATTTCCACATGATTCTGCATCTCCCAACATACCTGAGCAAGTTCGTCGTCTGCCATGATGGTGGTCAAAGAGTGGCGCGTGTGAAGAAAGCAGGGTCACAACTTGGGTGTAGCAAAAGTGCCGCGGGGCAAAGAAATGGAGAGCGCAGTTTGCGTCCGTGAGGAGAGTGATGATGAGTGGCAGATTATGACGCCGATTGCAAGGCCCCGTGTACGAGTTGCTGAACTAGTCGTTTAACCGTTAAGCGAGAGTGCTTCCACCGTTCTCTTTCCGGAGTTACAATCGACGTTCCATTCAAGATCCTTTTACAAGCCGCCACTGTTGTCTGTGTATTACAGCACTTATGATTTGCTTTTCGACGTGATAACCGCATCCAGAAAGGCTGCCTTCGTCCTACGCAGGTCCTCTTGAGGCGGGACAGCTACGAAGCACCAGCGCTTACAAGGTACCATGCATGACATGACAGGTGCATGAGACCCGTCCTACTTTGACACCTGATCGCATTTTTTCCCTTGAGAGAGCCCTCCAGATGAATGCTTGGGTATATCATGGCAGTCTCCTAGGAGCACCCGGAGTGCCGACACACTCGCGGTCCATATCTCTTGGTCCTGCACTCAATTCTACGCCGCGCGATAAAGTCTCCAAGGCGAAGTCAACCTCGAGCCTTCGCACAATGGCTACCGTCGAACAGTCACCTCCCGAAAACCCTCATGGAACTTCTCCCGAGACCTCGTTCAGGACTCTTGCAGACCCAAGGACTGCAAGCACAACCGATCTGTCGAGATCGGACTCTGCTTCCTCCAAACATCCCGATCTCAACAGCGAAGTCGCCGCCTTGAGTGACAAGTTGATAAGTGCCATCAACCACCAAACCACTCTGGACGATACTCTAGCGCAGACAAGACAAGAACTAGAAGCGTCGAGGGAGAGAATTTCCAAACTCGAAGCAGAAGCAAGAGCATACGAAGAGAAACTTGCGCGCGGAGAATTGGTGCCGAGGGAGACAGTGGATGAGCGGAACAATAAACTTTTTGCTGAGTTGGCAGAGGAGAAGAAACAAAAAGCAATCATTCAACAGGAAAAGCGAGGGATTGAATCAGAATTGGAGACCCTGACGGCATCGCTTTTCGATGAAGCCAACAAAATGGTCGCCTCCGCGAACAGAGACAGGGAAGTCGTTGAGAAGAAGAACCAGCAACTTCGAGATCAGATCAAGGATGGGGAGGCGGTCATTGCATCCCAGACCGAGCAACTAACAGAGCTCAAAACACTGATGCAACAAATTGGGCCCAGTCCAGATTATCGAAGAGAATTAGAATCACCGAGAGTCTCGTTGGCACCTTCAAGTCCTGGAGGAGCAAAGGAAGACGGCAGTCTCGCGCGTCTGCTCGAGGCAATGAATCTCTCACCAGTCAGCGCAGAGGGAGAAGTGCTGCCCAGTCCATCAACTACGCTGACACACCTGCTCAAGCCGCTGTGTCGAACAGACATCCCGGCATACGAAGACTTCAAAAACCTCGTTCAGACGGCTCATTATCGATCTCATAATCCTTCTCATGCCCCTTCTCGGGCAGGTTCTGGCTCTTATGGCGGTCTTAATGTCATGGGTCTTGGTTCTCTAAGCAATAATTCGAACCCTAATCTCTCTCAACTTTCCCAGCCGGCAACTTCGAAACTCGCAAATTCTCCAAACATCCCTGGATCATTTAGTCCGAACCCAGAAGGGAAAGGGCCGATGGCGTTAAAGGACACGAAGTTTTACAAGCGTATATTGGTCGAGGATATAGAGCCTACTCTGCGCCTTGACCTTTCACCCACGTTATCATGGTTGAACAGACGGAGTATAATCTCAGCACTTGGCGAATCGACGTTGATCGTTGAGCCTATACCAGAGTCCTCCCTTCGGCTGTACGGGCGATACACACCGTGCGCCATATGCGGAGAGAGTCGAAAGGAAAGTCAGAACCCTCGAACCCATGCGATGCGGGTACGTGAAGGCGAGGGTGCGACGAAGTGGTCTATTTGCACGCTTTGCCTGGAAAAGGTTCGTGGCGTTGGCGACCTCGTGGCGTATCTGCGCATGGTGCGTGAAGGTGTAGTCAAAGTGGGTGATAAGAAGGACGAGGAAGATGCATGGGAAGAGCTGGTGAGAATGAGAGAGCGACTCTTCTGGGCTCGAATGGCCGGTGGTGTTGTTCCTGCATTTATACCCACGCCGAAACAGACGCCTATCGATGATGGTAAAATGTCAGAAGCCATGGGTGACAAAAGCGAGAGAATGAGTGAGGAGAGTGACAAACAAGCAAATGGTAGCACTCCACCTCAACAAACGGCCACCGATCACGAAGGCAGTCCTCAGACAACTTCCGATAAGGAGAACGCTGCCGCGACTTCAGACTCGGAATCCGATAAGGTCGCGAGACAGCTCCAAGATGGGCTGGATGGCAGTTTGACAACATTCGATAATATCAAAGATAAGAGAATAGACGTTCACCGAGAGCGCTCGAAGTCGCCCCCTTCTACCCCTTCGCCCTCCCGTGGACATCTCAAACGCGAATCCTCGAGTGGAAGTGGGATCGGCTTTCCCAGGATTAACATTCCAAAGCTGCCGCAAGGATTTTGGGAGTCACAGGTCAATACTTTGCATTAATCATGATCTCTCGGCACGCTTTCAAAAACGTCAAACGTTCGAGGGATGAAAAATTAGAATACTGCCTTGGACAGGCAGGCGGTTTGTACATTATCCACATGGGTCGTTTTCCAGAGACGGTGGCAGTCGAGACTGAGACCACCTTTATATGAACTGAGACGTTCAAGAGCTTTGTCAACCTGCTTTTTGGGGCAGGAAAAGTGCCACTGTTGGTGGCTTGTATATTATCATTGCACTGCCGTTAAAGAACCTTGAAGCATGGCCAGGAAATAACAGAAAGAGGGCTATGATTTACGAGGGGGGCTTTTCTGAGACGGCATTTCAAAGGCTTGTATAATATTGGCCATAGTTTGCATTTACGGCCATCGAAAGAAGTAATGAGGTTGAATGCGTTTATTTATGTTCCTCAGTAAATGTGGCTTGTCTTCGAGTATTGTCATGATCAGTCTACAGCGGCGAACTACAGCCAACAGATTGACTTTTTTCATTTGCTTTCTTTTGAAGACGGCACTCCTGTGTCCTACGGCTTTCGATACAACAGTTCGCCATGCGGAATCACAATCATGCAATCTTCGGTCTCTCCCCACTTCTTCCAGGCCTCGGAGAGGGACCTGATCTCGTCCTCGGTGCTGAAGCCCTCGCGCACCGCGGTGCCCATGAACCCCGGCTGCAAGATGCGGCCGTGCCACGAGAGGCTGAACTGCGTGGCCCTCTGGCCGGCGTAGCGCCACGAGTCCCAGCTCGGAGTGATCTGGTCGGGCGGCGTGAAGCCGGCCTGGCGCGCCCACACGTGCAGGTAACGTCCGGCGTCGGGCTCGCCGCCGTTTGCCCGCGCCACGAGCTGGTACAGCTCGGCCCAGCGCCTGATCTCGGGCGGGGCGGGGTAGAAGACGAAGCCGGCGTAGTCCGCCTCGCGGACGGCGACGATGCCGCCGCCGGGTTTGGCCACGCGGCGCATCTCACGCATGATGCCCACGGGGTCCTTGACGTGTTGGAGGAGTTGGTGGCAGTAGACGACGTCGAACGTGTCGTCGGGGAAGGGGAGATCGTTGCCGTCGACGGTCTGGAAGGACACGTTGTCGAGACCCCTCGAGGCGGCGTAGGAGGAGGCTTGCTCGAGGACGGACGAGACGGCGTCACCTCCTGTGACGCTCCCCTGGGGCACGAGGGCCGCGAGGTCTGCGGTGATGGTGCCCGGCCCACAGCCCAGGTCCAGGATCTTGTGGTTTGGTTTGATGTGCGGGATGAGGAACGCCGCAGAGTCATTCGCCGTGCGGCGGGCGTGATCGTTCACAACCGAGCTGTGGTGGCCATGCGTGTAGGCCGCTTGCTCTTTTTTGGATGTCATTGTGATTTGTACTGTGATGAGGTTTAGAACTCGTGTCAGAAGACGAGGATGGCGGAAAGGGTATGCCGCAAAGAGCTGCCTTGTCTAGATGGACCTAATGGTATTAACCAAGTCTGATTCGAAGAAAAGTGCCCTTTTGAAAACTGTCAGTGCTTCTGGGTGTCTGTTTATACAACTATATAAATATCAAATGATTGTATTGTCGGTTCGAGACCGATATCGGCGACTGGATTGTCACACACTGAGTCTGTAAGGCTCCCCGTATCTTAGTAAAGTGCGGGGTGGAAACATTCAACGAGTAAGAGTGTTTCTTTTACACACTCACAAAGACCTTGCTACCGTTGTACGGATTGCAAGCGACGAGGCGCTTGGAAGGTAGTAATACAAGGGCCGAATAACTTGTGAGGCTGAAGTCCACGCTGGGGAACTAGTTGCTGTGCAGACGTCACTATCGCCCTGTGACCAATGGCAGTACTCGATTTCGCAGCCTTGCGTGAACAGCCTCGGAGTGGACGATCGTCATTTTCACATGCTGTGTTTCCAACCATAAAGTACAACGTATTCTTCTCTGCGACCCTTACTCTGCAGCAATGATCATAAACCAAGAATAATGCGAGACCGCACGTTGGCTCATCATGAACGGCATACTCAGGTGCTTTGGAGAGCTCTGGACACTTCTGAGGTACTGTGTCCTGAGGCTACTGCTCGAACCTTGGATCAAGCCACGAACAACACCAGAGGCAAATACGGCAACCACGTATGATGTCTGGTACTCCTGGCAATATGCATATGATGCGGTGCACGGAGTCGACGATTGGGCCAACGTTGATCGCGATTCAAGCTATGACTGGAAAATTGTTCGGAGTCTGAGAAAGGATCTTGAAAGATGTCGACGACTCGGCGACGATCGTGGTCTCTGCAGTCAGTTGAGAACTCAGAGTTCTCGCAACATGGGTCGCATACTTTCGCCCGCTTTGTATCTCAGATCTCAGGTACAGACCAAGCGACTCATCCACGACTACATTCTGGAAGTGAGGCATTGCATTGCCCACATTGCCAACCAGACGTCAACTGGCAATGTCAGCACCCTGGTCTCGGCACAGGAGAAGCGACAAGTCCTCAGCGACATGAGGACCGCTCTTGGTCGGACGAGTCTGGTCTTGCAAGGCGGTGCGATGATCAGCATGTGCCATTTTGGCGTTGTCAGCGCCTTGTACCAGCAAAAGCTGCTTCCTCAGATCATAATCGGCACGAGCACTGGGGCCCTGGTTGCAGCTCTCATCGGTGCCACCACCAACGAAAACCTTCCTACCGTCCTCGATAGCATGCACATCAACTTGGACTCTTTTGTTCGGGCCGAATTACGTCAGTCTAATGGTCACTTCACTTCTTGGCCGGGCTCATCGTTTCTGGCAACAGCTATGAGACGTTACAGAAGATATCGCACGACAAAGCACCTGTTCGACATCAACGTTCTTAGAGACTGTGCTCGAGATAATCTCGGCGATATCACGTTCGAAGAAGCGTATGCGAAGACTGGCCGGATATTGAATATCACAATAGCCATGTCAGAAGTGGCGGGGACCCCTCAGCTCCTCAACTACATCACGGCCCCTCACGTTCTGTTGTGGTCTGCGGTTACAGCATCCATTGCGACATCGAAGGACATGTATGCTCCCGTGCACCTTCTTTGCAAGAGCGATACTGGTGCCATCAGGACGCATTTCGCCGCCGACTTCTCCGAGAGAGGATGCACCAGACAAGGAACCGCACACCCAGAAGCACCGTTGACGCGGATTGGAGAATTGTTCAATGTCAACCACTTCATCGTTTCGCAGACGAGACCCTATGTCGCTCCATTCGTTCAAATCCAAAAGTTCGCCGACCATCATCAGCCACTGGGAAAGCTGGTGCGTGTGTACATGGACGAACTTCTGCATTGTCTTGAAGTTCTAAACAGCTTCGGCCTCCTCCCGACTTGGCTACAACGGGTGTTGGTTGACGAGGTCGTGCCGAGCTTCGCGTCCTGGTCAAAGATCTCCATCACGCCGGGCCTCAAGCTGTGGGATCTCTTCAGCATATTCGATAATCCTAGTGCAGAAATGCTTCAAGCTTGGAGTGCTCGGGGCGAGAAATGCACATGGCCATATATCTGCGAGCTCAAGTGTCGCTGCGACATCGAGCTGGAGCTGGACGCGGCATACGCAAAGGTGCGCCGACGCTCGACGATACCAACGGCACCGGCGTGATGGCAACGATGATTGGCCTGGTTAGCGATGAAGCTATGGATTGGTTACGAGGACTCCGTACTCCGTACTTTGTACTGGATTTGCGCTGACGCTGCTTTCTACGCGCCGGGCATCGTCGCCTATTCTTTCGCGTATCAAGCGGTGGTGGTGACGCTGCTTGTTGCCGTGTGTGGCGTCAATTGGGGTCGTCGATCGGGGCCAACCAGATGACATCATATCCCCCCATCAACTGGGAAATGGCATGCGTCGTCGTACTGTGTCTGGGTAGATTGAAGAGAACCCTGAATTGATTCCTGTGCCGCCCTCAATTTCAATCCTTTTCAGCTGACTCTGTATTTGTCTTGTTATTCCAGTTCTCTTTTTATGTAAAGAGATGTCTCATACTGCTACCGTCATGTCAAACCCACAGCCAGAGGAGAAAAAGAAGCATCGCAGCCTCGGCCGCCTACTTGGCAAAAGAGACAAGACCCCAGAACGCCCTGACCCTCTTCCTGATTCTGCATACGGGAGCTCAGAAGCCAATAGTGCGGATGGCCCCGTGGCACGAGAAGAAACCCCCGAAGTCGTCTCCGCCGAGAAGAACAGTGAGATAGCCAACATCGATCAGGATCGAAACTTGGCTCTCAGGCCTTCCACCGGCGAGGTCTTTGATGAAGACACGGGCGAAGTGGTGACCGTGGTGACGACCACCACGACAACCACCACTACTACAACCACAAAAGGGGGAAGGAAGCAACAAGATGTACAAAAAGATGTCAAGCGAGAGGTGCAACGCAGTCCAAATCGGCCCATGCTGCAGGAAATGCCTGCGGAACCATCAGGGTTCGAGCCCGGAGCAGCACCACCTACCACGACATCTACAAGCACAGCCCAAGGGGGTCGAGCACCAGCACCAGCACCAGTATCCAATGGACGGTTGTCTGCCGATCTACCTCCCGTGCCAGTCAAAAGTGCCATGCGCAAATCTGGCGAGATGCGTCGAGGCATGCCAGGATCAATGCCTGTCGACGACACACCTGTGAGCCCTGTAGACGGTCATTTCGCAGGACACACAGGTATGACGCCTCCCGAAAGCCCATCGCGGCCCAATTTCAGCTATCCAAAGCGATCCTCTCTAAAGACAATAGACCAGCCAATGAAACATAACCAGAGTACGATCAACGATTTGAAAGCGGCCGCCAAAGGCATTCACGTAAGTCTCTAGGAGGCCCTTCGCCATGAATATTGGGGCTAGTACTGACCTGTTGCGATAGGGTGTAGGAGAAACTCTTCGCGGAACGTTCAGTTCCACTATCGACAAACGCTTCCCGTCGAAGAATGCTGAGAAGGCAGCCGTCAAGAATGCTCGGAACGATGAGATTCTGCAGAAAGGTCGAGCCGAGATGGAAGGCGTCCCAGGTGGATGGCCGGGCTACGAACACAAGCCTGTCGATGCGACCTCTTACCACGAACCCACCACTGTCCCCGTGAATGAGGCACCCAGAACCACCACGCCGCCCGGAAAGGAGTCGAAAGGTATCGGCAAACTTTTCAAGAGAAAGCCAGTGGCTGAACAAGGTATGGAAACAAGGTGAAAACTGGTCGATGTGTGTTGCCCAGCACCTCTCATATCAAAACAAGATACCCACCTCTCCGGTGCTCTATATCACTTCCATGCTGAACTTGTTCGCTGACAACGAATTGATTGACAGACGTGCCGAGTGTTGATGAACCTACTGGCAATCGATCTTCTCGTCGTTTTTATTAGCGATTTGTGTTACAAGCGACCGCAATGGCATGGTATTTTAACAACTTTGTATGACTGAAAGAATGCGGACACGGATCTGGATTCTGGAGATTTGGATGAAATGTGGTTATGAATAATACGATATATATAAAGTCTTGCCATTTGAATCTTGGGCCGAAGACGTTCTTGACTTCCTGTTTCCATCCGGATCTGATTCCTGCAATTACTTTTTCCCTTCTCAACTCATTCCATTGCTACTGCCAGTATTTGTAAGCCGACGCCAATGCTCTTATTTCGGGAACCTTTGTGTTCTTCCTGTAATGCTGCTAGGCCTCGAATAGCCGAAATCCGATGGTTGCCTTTTCGATCAGCAACCTCGGTGGTTCGCGACAACACCATGACGGGAACACCATCTTGTGTACTCGTATGTTCACCCCACGTCCGCCGAGCATCTGGCGTCAAGTTTGAAGCCAATCATACTTCTCATCAAAGAGACAGATGCGTCCGTCGCTTCATTTCTCGTGCTTCCGTTTCCCACGCGAAGCGTTCACGCTTTGTTACGGTAGGTGGAATCCGCCTGAGAATCGAAGACTCCCCCCACGCGCGAGGCTGTGCAGGATGATGGAAGGGAACACCAAAAAATCAGGGCGTTTTCTGCCTGATCAACCGACCTACCCTTTTGCATTTTTGACACTCGGTACACACGTTGCGTGCTCCTTTGTTCACCTCTGACTCGCTCTTGAGAGCTCTCTTCGTTCGGAGTCTGCCGAAATGATGCGAGACCTGATGTCCCATGTGTGTGGCCTTGATTTCGCCCTACTTTTCGACAGTGTATATATGTGTTCAATAGTCAGAGAGCCAACCTGACCCAATTCCTTTCCTATGATCGTTTTCAACCACGAGCCTTCTCCCTGACTTGACTCGACTCGACTCGACTCGCCTTGACCTCAAAGAGAGTCTTTTTAGCAACCACCAAGTGCCAACACCGTATGCCAGCCGGCAGCCTCGACAGCCTCATCGTCTCTCCCGCCGACTTCGAAACGTACAATGGCCACCGACAGGTTCATAGCTTTGAGCTCCCACGCCCATGGGACGACCCGTCCACAACCCCCGTGGACCCCAAAGCCCCGGCTCAAGACATAGTCGACTGGCTCAACCAGCCTTGTCGCCCCAGATCCGAACGTGACCGTGGTACCATGAAAATTGTCCTTTTACAGACCCGCAACCAGTCCACCTCGAAAAAGGCACCGAGTCTGTCCTCACCCCCTCCAGCGTACTTCCCGTACCCTTTGTCATCAGCACATCACAACAACGAAACCCACACTCGGCGCCAAAAGGACGTGGATTTTGTCCTAGACGTCCTCCGAGGCATGGATCTCCCTCTGGCTTCATTCGGCAGTTACCTTCGGGGACACATTACGTTCGTCTGTATTCCAGCCAGCTACACCACCGGTCCCTACGATGACGACGACGACGACGACAATGCTTCAACTGTAGCCTCGAAGTGTACGAAATATTACTGTTCCGGCACGAGCTGGGCGATAACCTGGTCCTACTGTCCTTCCCTCAAACACACGGCTGCCGTCATGTGGCACAGAGAAGGAGACGGCGACCAGAGAAAGGCCGAGGTGCTAGCGGACCTCGTCCGACTCCAATCACACCACCTCGCCCACCCGATGCTCCTGGGTTTCGTCAAGACGAAAATCTCGCTGAGCTTCACGTTCGACATGCTCGACGACATGAACCGGGAGACCCTCGAGCTCGAACAGGCCATCGGCTTCCCTACGTGGAACTGGGTGCTGGACCGCATCGAACCGGGCCGCGGCGTGGGCGACGCCCAGGACCAGGCCGTCGAAGGCTTCAACGTCCTCTCGGGGAAACTCACCAACATCCGGTTCCGGCTGAGGACGTTTCAACAACAGATCAAGTTCATTTCGAGGTGCAACGCTGGTTACCGCTTGAGTCTGGACCCCGAGTCACCCAATTTCGAGGCGCTGTTGCGAGAGTGTGACGAGTTGCAACTGTACATGGACGTCATGTGGGATTATACTTTTGTTCAGTGAGTTGGTACCTCTCTACGACCTACGTCGAATATATATCGTCAACACCAGCTTTTGAGTCTCTAACACAATTTTTGTTTTCGATAGTCTCTTTGACGCCGACTCCCTGGGTGAACGTCTCCAAAACGCCATGAACTCGGTTTTTCAACTCACGACTCAACGAGATTCCCGAGCCAGCCTGGCCATCGCCGACATCAACAACGAACTGGCCTGGCAAGGACGCAACAACAACACGGCAATGATGACCATTGCTTTTATATCATTGTTGTTTTTGCCTGGCACATTTGTCGCCTCCTTTTTTCAAACCCCCATTTTCAATTTTCCGTCATCATCGACCGAAAATGAAGGAGGAGGAGGAGGAGGAGGAGGCGTGATTGTCACCCGCCCATTTTGGATCTACTGGACCGTGAGTGGGGCCTTGACTTTGGGGTTGGGGATGGGATGGATGAAGTACCTCCGTCGTCGGCGTGAGATGGACAGGCGAGATCGTGAGTTTGAAAGGACAAGATTCCGAGAGAGGATCAGGAGACGCGGTGGTGGTGGCGGTGGTGGTCTTGCCTCCTCGTTTATCCTTGAGAGGAGTAGTAGTACGGGACGCGGTGTGAAGGTGGTAGGGATTGAGAGTGTGAACGGTGGTCCTGGTTCGAGCTTGAGGAAGCATGGACACTCGGGGATGGCAATGATGCAAGAATGTGGATTGTTTTCTTCGGTGAGGAGAAACCACCGTACTACGAGTATCGACAACAAGGTCAGACGAAAAAGAGGGACAGTAGGTGGTGGTGGTGGTATGACGATGGAGTGGAGCGGAGACGAACAAAACTCAACCATCACGAACGACCACAATGCCCGATTTCCCACGCGCACCAACACGGAACTTGGTATTGGTCTCACGGCCACGACTTGTGCGGGAGAGTATGGCCCCGACGATGGAGTCAAGATGTACGACACCACCCATTCGACAAGAACGTGGTGAGAAGTGAGGAAGAAACGGAGGTAATGCAATACAGACCGGACTACCTGACCCGAGGTACGGTGTTGCAAGTGTCGGCCAAGGTACAAGTACAATATGTGAGAAAATGTAATGATACAGCGACGTAAGAATCCTCCTGGCAACGGTCACGAATGATGAATTTGCAAGTATGGAAGCACAGTGAAGTCAGTGGCTATTGACAGCGAACTTGTTTCTACTTTATCAAGCACAAGGTACTCTTGGAGGTTACATTGTTATTGCGAGCATAGTTAACTTCTCGATCAAGTCATGATTGACTATCTGATATGTAAACTCAGAACAGGATCGTTCACAACGTTCAGGCATCATGACAGTTAATCGACAAGCTCCAAGACATCCAACATTTCTTTTCTTCCCATCTCCCTCCCTTCCACGACCCCGGTGTGTTGTGGTAGTGATTTTGTGTAGAATCATACGTAAGGAGTCTTTGAGAAACTCCCTAATTGTTCTGCTTCAGACGCTGGTCTGGCTGCCCATCCTTGCGAAGACCATCACCGCCGAGGTTGGAGGCTCCCTGGGAGTTCTCACTACCACCGGAGCTGCTGTCGGAGCTGCCAGACGATTGGCCACCCTTCTTGCCGGCCTCGTGGGGGTCAACCTTGCCGTGCGCGAAGCTGTCCTGTTGGACACGCTGGTCGGGCTGGCCGTCCTTGCGGAGACCGTCGTGTTCTAAATGTCGTAATAAAATCATTAGTAAGGTTTGTTCTCATCTCATGTATAGCCTCCAAACTTGTGGGGGGATTGAATATATGAAAGAAAACATACCAGTTGGCTTGTAGTCAGACATGTTGATTGGTTTGGAAGATCTGGAGTGATCAAACTCGGATTGATTGGTAATTGTTTTGTTGGAATGTTTGTGATTGTTGGTTGAGGGAAAAAGGATTGTCGTTGGGAGGAAGGACGAGCTGTTTATATAGACGAATCTCACCACCGACCGGTCCTCACTTTGTCACTTCCTGACGTCTTCGGTATCTCATGACCAGCTTACAAAAGCACCATATACATCATCTCGTCCTGAAAGTTGTGCTTAATGAATCATCGACATCTGCAAAGTTTCCTGACGTTCCTGACCGAATCGAGGCCAGGGAACGCAACGGGACGAGGTCCCCCGGTGAAGTTGACGTCAAAACATCAGGCAACAGCCCTTGTAAACCAGAGAGATACTGACGAAAAGACGGTGGCTGATGAAACGAGATGTGGGACATCTCGGTTAGATCTGGAAATGGATCGGTATCGGAGACAGGACTCGTGGAGATTGCCGGGGTCCAAATGCAAGCACTGTATCACCGGCGAGACAAGTGGTGAGGCTCGGGGCAAGGCCCCGTGGTGGCTTCTTCCGGGAAAACAGGTACAATGGAAAGAGATGCAACGTGGACGTCATGACGAGGAGAACGAGGAACATGTATCTTCCCCCTCCCCCCCTCCCTTGCCCGATGATCCTTGGATGGAGCATTGTTGGAGAGTCCACTCGCAGATGATGAGGTCAATAAAGCGGTATGTATGAATCGAAGTGTCAGCGACGAAGCGTAAATGCAAATCAAAGCAAAAAGCAAAACAGGCAGAAGATGTTTTGTCCGTAGAAGCTGGGAAAGAAACCGCATTGATCGAGCTTACTGTCCATCCCCCCGGGCGCAATTTGCCCGGTTTCTTTCTCGAGGAGAACCGAGGCAGGCCTACCGTTTTAACCATGGCCTTTGGGCGTCGAGGCGGATATTTGTGTCCACGTTCCTAACCGTGAAAGCTTCCCTTCCTTGCAGACGGACAAAGGTGTGAGGACAGCCGATCCGCAGATGGCCCCAGTCCTTCGCAGCTGGGCGCACTCCCGGCCGATTTGAACCTGGTCTCTTCCGCGGTACAGCTACATGCAGGCTGCGCAGTTGATGTGGTCATCAACAGGGGGAAAAGTAGTCCCTGGCCCCCTGGCCAAGGACAAAAGGTCGTGCCTGATTGGCACGGATCGGCAATGCTGTTGTCTAGTTTGTCTGGGGAAAGCCGGGAATCTCGTTGAGCCCCAATGATCGATCGAGACTTGGATCTGTCGTGTGGATAGAAATGAAGTAAAAAAAGAATGAGAGCGGAGAAAGTCATGACGAGATTGAGTGAGGCTGGAAGCAGGATCCGTGAAGAAACATAGCCTGACATGTGACCTCAGAGTCGTCCAGTGGCCAGCGTGATTTGTTTGTTTCCAGCCCGCCGTTATCGATGATACTGTAGATGATTGCATTATGGACCTCAGTGTTATATTTTAATAAGAATGGATTTTTCAGTGTATTCAATTACAGGATGCAAGACTCTAGGAGGTAACGTCGAAGGTTACCTTTTCGAACTCCCGAGGCTGTTCTCTTTCCTTCGTATACATACCCGTAGGGGCTTCTTCTTCTTAAATTACCCATATTATCCATAAAGTAAGTGTTGTAGCCATATGGCATGCAGACAACATACATCCGTCTCTAGTCCTAGTCCTCGTAAAGGTTTCGTGCCTGGCCCTCTCGTCCTCCATCCCATGAATAACGCCTGTAATGACACATACCTTCCGTTGGTATTATGAACGCTCAAAACAAATATATAAGAACAAAATCATAGGCATACACGTAGTCAGACAATGTTTCAAGCTGACTCGCTCATTCCCCTGTATAGTCTTGAGGCGCAGAATTCGCAAAGACGTAGTTCTTGGGCCTTTGCTGGGCCAGTTGTTGAGCCACGTGGGCGTGCTCCTCTTTTTGATTCGGGAATTCTTGAATATAAAACTCCGTCTTCTTGTGCTCCATCTGAGCCTCAAAATCGAGCTCCGTGGTGGTATCGGACGGCAAGACGAATTGCTGGAAAGAACCCGAAAGGGCATCTCCCTGCTGCGAATAGTTCAGAGAAGGAACATAAGTCACTGGCGGAAATGAAGCGACCTCAGGAGACGTCAACGCATCTGACCAGCTGCTGTTCGTCAATGGACCAGCCGAGTAGGGCGGAGTGTATTCCGGAAAGGACGCGTATTGTGGAGGGGCTGAAGCGGGTGGAATGAGCGACTGTTGTGAAGCACCTCGTGTCATCATGAAATCCGACGGATGCGGAGTGATCGGCGGCGATGCCGTGTGGGCAGGAAAGTTCTGTCCCTGTAAGGCATATTGACCAGACATATCAAGACTGTGACCAAAGAACGGGTTCTTCTCAGGATCTGTCATTTGTGCATTGGAAATAATGTCTGGTGATAGTGTTGGAGCAGGAAATTCGGCGAGAGTCTGCGCATTCATCGCTTGTTGTGCCATCAATTGATTGAAAGCTTGAGCCTCAGCAAAGCTCGGAGTAATGGGGGACCGTTGGGCAGAACTCGCCTTGCGAATCCCCGCATAACGAGAGTTCAATGCCTGCCCAGCAGATTTTACGTGACGAATGGAATGAGGCATCGCAGGAGCCGTAGCACCCGGTCGGAAGGTTGGTGAAACGGACGTCATGGCACCATAGGATCGGCTGCGGAGTGAGGCTGAAGTCAAGGGTGTAGGACGCGGTCGTTTCCTCCGCGCAGCGATATCAAGAGGCCCACTAGAAGGATGCTGGATAGGCTCGGAGGGCCGACGCCGAGCCATAGCGTTAGGAGAGCTACTGGCGAGGGCGAAGTTTCCGAAATTGTTGGAGAGCTCGTCTGTGATGGCGGCTGATTGACGGCGCGATCCAGGGTACGAGGGCAAGCTAAAGCCAGGCGAGGGAATGGTTTCAGCCGGGTCGTTCTGCTGGAGGGCTCCTCCTTTCGGTGTTGCCAACGATCCATGGAGGTCCTCCGGACTGACCATGTATGATTCCTGATTAATGAACGAGTCCACCAGAGCGGCATCCTGGAGACTTGTGTTTACATCAATCTTGTCATCGTCGAAGCCAAAGTCAAAGGTGTTGTCTTGTAGGGTTATTGGCGAATGCTGTGGCGCGGCGCTAGAAGGCCATGCCGCCACGTTGTTTGGCAACGACGCATTAGCCCGGTGAGGACTGACCCGCAACGGAAGCTGTATCGTTGCAGGTTGCGCAGGTTGAGGCATTTTTGGAGGGACCATGGAGGCCTTTTGCTGTGCCATTTGCTCGGCTTGGGAACCCTTTGTGTGGCCAAGAGTTCGTTGAAGGGAGGCTTGAAGGGAAGCCCAACTCGACTCTTTGGAACTGTCATGGGTCTTCGTAGGGGATGGAGTGCTGTCGCCAGCGGAAATATATGCCTTCTTGGGCGACGAAGAAACGGATCGGATAGGCGATGCCATTCGAAGCTTTGGAGTTTTGATGGTTTCGCCGGAGTTGGATTCTGGCTTTTCCGCCGCCTTCTGAGTTTCATATTCTTCCTGTCGTTTCTGCTGTTTTGCCTTGGCTCTTCTGTTTTGGAACCAATTCTATCGCTTGTCAGTGACGAGCACAGTGCGCGATGGAGGTGGATTTCACTTACCCCTACACGTTGAAATTTGAGGTTGGTCTGAATAGCCAATTGTCTCTTAACCTGGGAGTTGGGCTTATGATTGGCTTGAAATTGGGCCTCTAGAACTTCGACCTGCTCCTTAGTGAGCCTCGGACGAGTCGAGATCTCTTCCATTTCCGGACCAAAGTCATCCGGCATTATTCCAGAACCCATGTAGTCGGCATAATCATTCGCATTGTATCGCAGAGACGGGTAGAAGTCATCGAGTGGCTGTTGAGGATGGACCATATAAGAGGGCGGATATGGTATCGCCTGGTAGTACATTTGCGGCTGGTGTTGGGCCGGAAAGGCGAAGGGTTCCTGCATATAGTCCATCATGAGGAGCCAATGTTATTGTTTACTTCGTGGTCTCGGCCGTGTTCAGGTGATTGTTTGGTCGCTCAAGTGGTGAGCATCTCAGCCAACTGAATCTAACGAGCGACTGCGGTTGTGTTATTCGTGAGGTAGGAAAGAGAAATCGTGCGCCGAAGCTGACGAGACCGAACGGTCGCAGCCAGAAGAAGTTGGCGCACAGTGGCGAGTCTTCACGACCAGCGCCCTTGTGGCAAATGAGCGCTGAGGTCGACAGCTGCAACGGCTGTCCTTGAAGTGCGCTCGTGGTAGACGGGCGATAGCACTGTTGTCCGTTGAGGTAGCTGGGGATTGTGATGATGGTGAGTACCAAGAAGGACGAGTGATGAGAGAGGGCAGTATAGTCTGGCCAAGTGGACAAAAGACCGGGAATTTTTTAGATTTAGAGGCGGACTCGCGAGGGATCAGGCGAGAACTAACGAGATCAAGCGACCGGGGTCAAGGGAGGAGGATGTCTCTTGGGAGGGCGAGATGGGAAAATGAACCTGGTCAGCGAGTCTCGGATTTGTTTGAAAGAGATATCAGGCTTTTGAAAGTTGACGGTTGGTTGCGAACGGGTGATGACAGGGAAACAGCTGGAGCAACAGAGAACGCACGTCCTCCTGGACCGATGCGCATGGAGTTTTGATATCAGTGCGCGCGCATGCACTGTACGAGGACCTCGTTGGTGTGATCAGCGATACGAGCAGCAGAATAGAAAGGCAGCGAGCAAGACAAGGGCCTGTGGGGGGGGCGAGAGGATACGAGAGTGACGGGCAATTGGACCTACACCACAGTGGAACAGCCTTTTGTATGGTGGAGATAGACGACAGTAACAGGGGCATCCGCTTGTTAGCCTAACTGTGCGTCCAGGGAGCTTGGATGGCACAAACGAGCCACTCAGACGCTACGAGTGGTGGAGTCTCGCCCTCTCAGCTGTGGCAGTCTGGCTCTTCTTTCTGAACATGAGAACCCCGTGTTAGCACCAAGAGAAAGCAGGGGCGCTTGGGAGAAAGGAGAATGGGCGAGAGACCTAGAGCCGACTGAGCCGCGCAAGGGCTTTTTGGGCTCTTTGACTTCCTCGAAGCCCGCTGGGCACTCTAGGCATTATTCTAGGCACTCTAGTAGGCTTTCTCGAGAAAAGGGAATGGGGATGCGAGGCCCGCGAAATGGGTGCTGGGTAATTGAGACAGCGAGCCTAGACTCGACTCCCCAAGTCACACAATGCGCCGTCTGACGGTCAAATTATCCGGCCTAGAGGCCTCGCAAAGACATGCCCTGCACTGGACGAGTTCTCGGTCCCTGTCCATCAATCGCATTTGTTACGAGGAGGTCACTACAAAGACCAATTCGGCATTCTCCTTCCTTTTCGCATCACCTTGTACGCATTGCATGACCCCTTTCAGGCACTGGTTCGGCGCCAATGCAGGAACAGAACATCAGAAGCATGCACGACACAGCGCCAACAGTCTGAAGTGCCGGTGGGGGGAGAGTTCCAGGTGCCCACCACCAGGCTGCGGACCTGCATCTCGTTCGCTTCTCAAGCAAGCACCATCCTTGTCTTCCTCAGGCCACCTCAGCCCATCATCAACAGTTCTGGCTCATTCCGCACCCATCGGTCTCAGCCCAGATGCCTCTTGTATCACACAGTATCTCCCTCGGAACGCTACGGGGATCCATCGATGACCAAACTACAAGTAACGTGTAAAGCACCAGTACTGTACTCCGTATGTGCCATATTGTTGTGTACAGTATTTGACCAGAGAAGGATGCGCCGTGGAACACGCACTGACAGACGGGAAGATTTGTTCGTCTCTACCCACATCAACCCATCACCACCCTTCCAACTAAATCTCCGTGGCGATCTCCCCGTCAACATGAGTCTGACGCCGACATTGACTCCCGTGCTTCCCGTTGCCGTCAGTATTGAGGCGACGTGCACAGGGCAAGAGGGGAGGTCCGTCCTTCGAAGCCTCACGCCTCATGCCTTGCTACCTACCTATTGTATGTACGTACGAGTACGAAAGCCCCCCTCCCTCCACCTACCATACCTACAATACCTACGGAGTACCTGAGTGCCCTAATACTCGTATTATTGTAGACTGCTTCACCCTCACGAGAAAAAAAAATCCCCGACCAGAGCGGTATCTCCTCTCGGCCCTTTCACCCGCCTGGCGCCTCCTCGGCCAGATTGACTCCCAGGCCTTGTTATTGCGCTGGCCTCAAGCCCAATCCACCCCCCCAGTCACATCACCCGCTGCTCTGTTCGTCATTGCCCTGTTCCCCAGAGATCCTGGTTCAGGGCAGGTCGATAGTCTGTATACAGGTCCATCATACCAGGTAAAAATCTACCATTGTATGACGATCGTACAAGGGTAAGCATCGTCGTAATTGGGCCCGGTGAAATAGACTGATTTCCGATTTCATGGTTTGTATTACTCCTCCTGTACTGTACGTCCTTCGTTGCCGACCCCTGCTCCTGGTCTCTCAGCACCTTAAAGATGCACAACACAATTTGGTACCTGCATCTGTGGCTTTACAGCCTTGGATTCTGGGCAGCTGACCTTGAACCCACCCCAGCACAGACGAAGAGGCGCATCCTGGTCTCGTCATCCACTTGATGTCCACCATGCTAAAATCACCCATCCACACCCACAGCGGGCGTCAGGAACCGCCACTCATACGGCTTGGTTACACGCTGGTTCTGCTAAACCCCATACACACAGTGGAAGCAGGTGTCTGGCTATTCTCCTTCCAACACTCCCTCTCGCAATGTGTGTGTCACCAAGTCGTACAGGTCGATTCGTTCGCCTTTCTCGATGCGACACACTCTGTATGCAGGGGTAAACTGTGGCACTCACTACACGGTGGCCCAACTGGCGATATTTCCACTTCCACCAGATTCACGTAAATCTTGGTGCTGACATGCCGACGAAGACGTGGTGGGAGTACAAAATCAAAGACAGTAATCTCCCTACGCTGCCTCGGGGCATTTTCTTAGCGCATCCGAAATCGCGTCCATCTCCTGGAGATTCCCAGGTCTTGCCATCCGAAGTTGCAAACTCAAGCACTGGGGATATGGCCCTTCCATTCAGAACAACAAGGTCCATTAACGGCCGTGGATCGACTACCGCAAGCGAATTCGTCCTTCAGGCTTTGAGTTCTTCTCCCAAAAAATTAAAAAAAATTCCCGCTCTTCTTCGCTAAGCTTGCTGGCCACCCGGTGAACCCGACTGCACCCTGGACTTGCCTGGACCTTCTTAATTTTCCCTTGATTTCGGCACCCTCCAATCAGCCGTCTACGTGGCCTATTTTCCTCTTCACGAACATGACTCGTATCGAAAGAAAGTTCCGCTTGTTTTCCGTACTTTTATTACTCGTACCTTTCGCCGTTTCCAGCATGCTTGCTCATGGATGGCTACAAAGAGACGACCGCGAAGTGCTTTTACAGGACTAGACAACACAAAAATCAGGCCCAAGGGTAAGTGTACAGCGCTCGCGGTGTCTGCCATTACGGAGTACCTCTGGCTGTTTTTCATTTGCTATCAGGTACTATAGAGACGGGGTCACTTTCGTCAGTGACACACTTCTCCGTACGTGTACGAAGGAATACCTTGGAATAGAATGCGATGGTCAAGGGAGTCTGTGCTACAATACTTTCACCTGAGTCGACCATTACACTGGGGGTCCACCCAATCATTGTTCTTTTCCTCCGCATCCACTGAAGGTACGTTTACTCATTCGCCTATGGGTCACTATCGCAGTGTCGTAACCGACAGTGCTCGCTGGTGCATTGACCACGTCCAGCGCTTTGTCCAGCTTCAGAGGGTCATCACCTGTTCGACGTCGAAGTGATGGCTCGGTGACGCTGGAGGCTAGAGCGCACCAGAAGCACTTCACTCCCTTCACACAATGTGTGGCTTGCGCTGCCAGTTGGACCAGGTTCACCATGCGATTGACAAGAGCCGGTCTATTTGCCACGTTATCGAAAATTGAAAGCATAACTGTTGCGCTATGCAGAACAAGCACGGCGCATTCAGGGTCAGTATATCTCAGCATAGAAGACGGTGTCATCATATCTACTAAGCCTTCCCAATCCAGGTTGTAGCCAACTCTCACATGACTGGCAGAGCAGGATCTACCCCCAGTATTACCCAAAGCACCCACCCTGTTGTGGATTCTACATGACAACTTTGCAGTTATCAGAGCATATGTATCATTGTATCGATCTTCGCGATCGACGGGCACTCAGTCGGCTGTTGCGGACGAACATCTTTCGTCGTCAGGGCGGCTGCTTCCTCAAGGCTGCTCGAGCTCTGATCCACATATCTCTATTGTATGTAACGTTATCTATCGGATGCCATGGCCCGTCTATACAAGTCCAATACCCCCTAGCGCCATGCTTGACAATGATCAATCATTATACGAGTAAATGATCTTGACAGCTCCCTTCACATCTTACAGAGCTTGGACCAATGCATTGGTGATCTCGATCTGCACAGGTCCATCCTGCTTGAAACTCTTCAGTGTCACACTCCTCAGGTCCTCGACGATCCAGTCTGCACCAGCCTCCTGCAATTGCGAGATCTTGTGTGTCGTAGACAAACCGATGACCTTGAAGCCGGCGGCCTTGCCTGCACGGACACCAGCTGGCGCATCTTCAATAACGATCATCTGTGAGTCCTCGGAAAGCCCAAGTCGCTGGCGACCGAGCAGATAACAGGACGGGTCAGGTTTGCCGTTCTCAACGTCCTCCGCAACGACCAGACATCGCGGGTGCGCAATCTTGAGAACATCAATCCATCCATTGAGAAGAGCACCAGTCCCTGATGTGACGACCGCCCATGGCGCATTGACCGTGTTGAGACTGTCGAGTAGTTTTCGGGCGCCTGGAATCTCTACTGCGTCTTTGCCAAACAACTTTGGTATGAGGCCTTCTTGCTGATTGATGTCTGCTGCCGCGTTAATATCCACGCGCAATTTTCTGCACACTACATACATTCCCAGTTGGCTTTGGAAGGATCAAATTCCATAAAGGTATCAATACTTCTTCGTCCGTGAGAATTGGCCAGGATCACTTCAGGGTCGACCCCCATCTCTGCAGCCTCCTTATGCCAATGCTTGATCACTGCTTCTGTGCTGTCTATTATAGTTCCTGTCGTAGATGGTGAGAAAGCAATTATATACAAGGCGCTGTGACGCTCACCATCGAAATCAAACAGGAGCCCGTGAGCCGAGAGGAGTTGCGGTGGTCCAGAAAATGAATGCTCTTCGACTGAACCCATGATGCTCTACCTGTATACAAATTGGACTCAAACACAATCTGGTCTATCTTCAGACTTATGTAGAGAAAATAAAAGGATTACATGACACTCTGTGAAGTTTCGCGCCCTTCAAATGAATGAGATGTTGCGGTGTTTTTATTCTTCTGCATCGTCGGCATCGTTTCCCTGTTGAGAACATCCGCCGCGGTTTGTTTCCCTCTTGAATATATGGCCGATGTTCTGCCGGTGGAATTTTTGGACCAACATTTTGGCTGTCGGACACTCACCGCAGACAAAACCAGTCACCGGCGTTACGATCAGTCAGAGCCCTAACAATGGTCAAATCATGTAGGTAATCCATTCCGGCTTCTGTGACGTTACTGACCAGGGATCAGTCTCCAAGTCTAAGCGCACGCCGGTGCGGTTAAGACACAAAATCGAAAAGGCGAGTGCCGCTAAACAGAGGAAATCGAGAAAAGAAGCCAAAAAGGTACGACAGTCTCCAAATGCCATCGTCGGCGCAATTTCTGACAGCGCCCAGAACCCGCAATGGAAGTCAAGGCTGAAGAAGGACCCGGGTATCCCCAACCTCTTTCCTTTCAAAGAAAAACTGCTTGAAGAAATCGAAGAGAAGAAAAGACAAAAGGCGGAAAATGCACAGAGATTACGGGATGCTGCCAAAGACAAGAAGAAGAGTAAATCGCAACATGATGACATAGATGAGGACGACCTGATGGAAGAGGATGAGGACTTGCTAGACGAAGAGATGGATGAAGATGACGACGATGATGATGATGCTCAGAACTCTTCCAATCCCCTGGCTGCCCTGGTTGCATCAGCCCAAGCACGAGCGGCAGAGTACGATGGAGGGGCTCTTGCAGGCGACATTTCAGGGGACGATGATGACGATGTAGAGGCTGGCGGTGTGCAACTTTCCGAGACCATGGCCGCAGATCACAGGAACCCAGACTCATCACGGAGAGCGTTCGACAAGATTTTCAAACAAGTCCTAGATGCTGCAGATGTCGTTCTGTACGTATTGGACGCCCGAGACCCAGAGGGAACGAGGTCGCGAGAGGTCGAACGACAGATCATGTCCGCTGAAGGAGGATCGAAACGCTTGATCCTTGTGCTGAACAAGATTGACCTTGTACCTCCGCCGGTTCTAAAGGCTTGGTTGGCCCATCTACGACGGTACTTTCCCACGATACCACTCCGAGCATCGACGCCTGCTTCAAACGCACAGACCTTCGACCACAAGCAACTCACTCTCAAAGCGACGTCCGAGACCCTTCTTCGATCATTAAAGAGCTACGCGGCCTCCAAACAACTAAAGAGGTCGATTTCGGTCGGTGTCATTGGATACCCCAACGTAGGAAAGTCGTCTGTCATCAACGCCCTGACGTCGCGGTTAAACAAAGGCGCCCAGAGCTTTGCGTGCCCTGTCGGGTCAGAAGCCGGCGTGACGACCAGCCTGAGAGAGGTAAAAATCGACAGTAAGCTTAAAATCCTGGACTCCCCCGGTATAGTGTTCCCTTCGACGGTGGACGGCGAAGACAAGGAAGGCAAGCAACGACGCAAGGCGGAGCATGAAGCCAGGTTGATCCTCTTGAATGCCCTCCCACCCAGCCAGATCAGCGATCCTATCCCTGCCGTGAGTCTGCTCCTGGACAGACTGTCCGGCTCAGAGGCTCTCTTCGAGAAGTTGTTGTCACATTATGGCGTGGTCGCATTGGGTCCTTTCGGCCAAGGGGACAGGACGACAGATTTCCTGGTCCAGGTGGCCCGGAAGAGGGGCCGGCTTGGACGAGGCGGTGTTCCGAACTTGAATGCTGCCGCTATGGCGGTGATCACCGACTGGAGAGACGGTCGCATCCAAGGATGGGTTGAAGCACCGACTCTCAAGGTCGCGCAGGACATGCAGATGGTGGAAGCCGAAGAAGACAAGGCTCTCCCCACGGGTGTGGATAGAAAGGAGATTGTCAAGGAGTGGGCGGCGGAGTTCAAGATTGATGGACTCTGGGGTGATGATAAGGGCAATTCGACTGGAGACGATGCTATGCAGTTGTAGTCATGAGGGATGTTATGAAGCCAAAAGCGTCATGTGTTGAGTATCGTTGATGCGTTGCGTGAATAAAATTACTATGATGATTGACGTCCCGGTCTCTACAGAATAGTATATGCTTGAATCCTCCCATCGTGCTTGTGTAATGAGTTTTCTATTTGCATGTGGCATGTGGCATTCTGGTCAGTGCCGCCTACATAGATGTATACAGTCTATGTGATCTCAAAGTTGCATGCATGAGAGGTGTGCACGCGATCTACTCCGTACTTGGGTGTTTTTTGTACTGTAAACGCCGCCATAAATTTCCCCCGCCCACGTTGATCGCAAAAGTCGCGTCCACCCGCGTGTCAATTTGATACTCGACATGCTGTACCTCTGAACCAAACCAGGCCAAATTCCATAAACCATCCTACATCTTCTTCACAAAGAGCCACCTTGACACCCTCGCGACCGCCGTACCAATCTGCACGGAGAACACAACACTTCTCGGGGAACGCGATCTGCCCGCCACGGATGCGATCCGACATAACAACCACCCGCATGATCGACTGGGAAAAACTGCAAGTCGTCTATTGATGATCGTGTCGCCAACGTTAGTCCGTACGCAATAACGACGAAGAGACCAAATCCTACAATATCTCCCCCCGGGCTGCCCCCTTTCAGAGGCTCATCGCCTGGTGTAACGACACGAAAAACACAAAAGTCATGGCTCCGCGAAAATCTACATCCTCAACCACGGCGCCCGGCGAGGCCAACGGCGATGTCTCCATGGTATCGAACGCTTCCACGACACACGCACATCCCGCCTCCGCCGCCGCCTCACATTCCAAACCGTCACGACAGTCTGGTGGACACAAGCAGCAAGATGACGGAGTTAGCATAGACGTATGTTCCTTTTCATTGTGAACTCTCTCTGTCACCTGGCGCGTTGTGAGATTCAAACGTCACGAGCAAGAGGTCTGGCAAGACGCTAACATTCTACGATTTTTAACCACACGCAGGATCTCCTTCTGCCACGAAGTCTCGTGACACGGCTCGCCCGAGGCGTGTTGCCGGCCAACACGTCGATCCAGAAAGACGCGACGCTGGCGCTGGCCAAGTCGGCCACGGTCTTCATATCGTACCTGGCGCACCACGCGAACGAGCAGACGAACAAGAAGACGATAAGCCCCCAGGACGTGATCAAGGCTCTGGAACAGATCGAGATGGGCGGCATCATGGAGTTGGGAGCGGTCGGGCAAGACGGCAGACTGGGCGGCAGGCTGGAGAGGGAACTCGAGGCGTACGAGGAACACATCAGAGGGAAGAGGAAAGGGTACCGTGACAAAGTCAAGGCCCGGGAGAGCGCCGGGGGCGCTGCCGAAGAGGGAAATCCAGCGGCAGCCGCCCAGACTGACGACGCCGAAGTCGAAACCGCCGAGAGGGGTGAACCCAGCAACAAGAAAGCGAGACGATTGAGCGAGGACGAGAACGAAGATGACGATGAGCGTATGCTAGAGGCACAACTCAATGGCTCCAACGCCGTGGACGAGGCGAATGGGCACGGCGAAGGGCAAGAAGAGGAGGAGGAGGCCGACGAAGACGACGAGCAGGAGGAGGAGGAGGAGGATGAGGAAGAGGAAGAGGAGGAAGAAAACGACGGCGAGGAAGATCAGGATGAACAAGACGAAGAGGGCGAAACTGACGCGGACGAATCAGAGGGTAGACGAGACCGGGGAAACAATCCAGATACGAGAAGGGTAGGACTCATGCCTGACGGGAACGTGGACATGAGCGGTGAAGAGAGCGATTGAACAGAAAAGGGGAACTTTTACGAAATAAAAAATTCATCACGATGTGTATGCCGCTTGTTGTATAGACATGGATCGACATGGACGGGCGTTAGTTTTTGGGGGGAGTACAAGTGTAGTTGTGTAGTAAGTACTACCACTACTGCTCGTGTGCTGTATGATTTTGGTCGCAACTATGGACTATTCCATCTCGTACCGTCGTCCATTTGCAAACGATCCGAGATCTTCTTCCTACCTTTTTCAATGACCTTTTCAGGTGCGAGGACGCTATACTGTCGTAGATACCTCAATGGATCCTTTTCGGTTTCAACGTCGGTGCCGTGCACCTCTTTTGCTTTGCCGTCGTCGAATTCTTCTTCTTCTTCCTTTTCCAGGTCATAGTCATACAACCACTTTTCCTCACCTCTGAACCCATTTGCCATTCTCCTTTTGGGGACTTGATCGTGGATGATCCGGGCCAGGAACTCTCGAAAAGACAAGATGGCATCTTCGGCGTCAGCCCCAACCGTTGTGTGAGCGGCGGCCAGTCTAACCCTGGGGATTGATGCTCTTGCTGCTCGTGACGAAGACGACGACGACGAGCCCGTTGGGTCATAGCAGTCGACCACTACCCAGTCATCATCGACAGTCCGACTGGTCAACCCCAAGAGGAGAGGCTGTTGAGGTGGTTGAGATCTTGTGAGATTCTTCGACCAAAAAGGTACGTACGAGGACCAAGTGGGCCGATGACGACTGGTAATCTCGCAACCACCCTTCTCACATCCTCCGGAGTAACGTGGCATGTCTTCATCTTCATTAGTGGTCGTACGGTGGTTGTAGTTTCTGCAAAGGTCTTCGTTCTTGACTCGGACGAAACGCAGAAGTTTCTCGATACTGGTCCACGAATCCGCCAGGTCACCTTCAAGATCGAACATGGTGGGCATGGGAGGTTCAGGACCCCAAGGCGCCGATCTGGTCTCGGTCGATTCTTTTAGATAGAAACTGTCCCCCACGGACAAAAGAGCGAGGTCCTCGTCGTACCAAGACAACGAGTCCGGAGTGTGTCCGGGGGTCTGGATCAAGGTGATTCGGGTCCCGATGGCCATGGGGTTGGAGTCCCCGTCGGGAGTCCATCGCCACGTTGCTTCAGACATGTCTTCGGCCCAAGTGATCTTGTACTTGGGTGCTTGCATGCCGACCGACGGACTCAGACTGTGTTCCTGGAGGTTCGCGTAGGGGGTGACGAAATCTTTGTGCAGCGAAGATGTCAAGACCGTGGTCTGAAGACGATCAGACCTGTGAGGACGTTGAATCTCGTCATCGCAGCTGTTAGTGGTGGCGGCAGTGGCGGCAGTGGTAATGTCATGCCGCCCACACTGACCTTGGTGGCGGTCGTCATCCAAAGTACCCGTAGGTGGAAGTTTGGCTATACCAGAAATGTGGTCATAGTGACAATGACTGGTGATTACGACGTACGGGATACGCCCTCCCGGATTCAACGTGTACAGGAGAAACGTGTGGATGTTCCAGTGACTTGGTTCGACTTTGTTTCCAGACCCAAGGACGAGTTTGTTTCCGTTTTCGTTTTCATTTTCATTCTCGTTCGACCTTGACGAGACCCGCCGAATGAAACTTTCGTTGGTCGTATCCGTCCCACAACCAGAGTCGCTGAGAACGATGACTTTGTATGGCGGCGACTCTTGGCCGTCTGATGATGATACGGGTCTCGTTGCCTCGCAAACTTTGGCATATATGTGAGGATACTCACCGTACCGGTCGTGTTCTCGGATCAACCACGTCGCTGAAGGTCCGCCGATAGGGGTCAGGAGTCTCGAAATGGTGTAAGGGCATGAATCAGGAAGATCACTGAAGTCAAGAACCTCCTGAACCGTCGTCATCGTGAGTTCTCTGATATTTCAAAACTGTCGTCGTCTCTGATCACCATCACCAATCAACTGGGCAGACATACGTCCCTTGAGAGTTACGCTGTGTTCTCCGTCAACTACAGATAAGGTCCCCCCGGGCCAAAAACACTTACCTAGAAAGGAAGGCAATTCCCCCTTCGAGTCACGTACCATCTACCCACCCGTCTGCTTTATGACTTTGCCATGTTCAGCCTTGTGGGACGGCTTTTACTAATCTGTAACGAAAAATAGGGTAGGCACATGCATCATAGAGGGAGTATGTATATGTTCTGTACTTGTTGCGATACGAGAATGTCCAACACGCAACCAGATATGAATGGGGTATACGGAGGACGCGTGCTATATATAAAGGTATTACACAAATGAAAAATCTTCCACCAAATCTGTATTGTAGATGCGTGCGTACAGTGTTTGCTTGTTGTACAACTTATACCGCCTCAACATCAACATTCCTGAGCGGAACATAGCTTCCTCTATCCTTCTCTTCTCTTCTTCTCTTGACGATTGATCCGTCAAACATTCCGCTTACTGCATCGACAAATCTACCCACCACATTTGGTTTGGATCGCCGCCCGATAACTGGAACAATGATATTGCTCCGTTCCATCTCCAAATGCTCAATCGTCAACCACTTCGGTCGTCCAGCCCATCTGAGAGCTAGACTACTAAGGGTGACGCTGATGCTGCTAAATATCATTGCAGTAGCGCTCATCAATGGAGGCATGTGATATCCAAGAGGGAGGAAGATACCCATTGCGAACGGAAGACCAATGACGTTGTATGCGCATGCCCAGATAAGGTTCATCTTAATGCGACGGAAGATGACCCGGCAGAGGTGTAGAGCCGCGGGAACATTAAGCATATCATCTGAACGCATGACGACAACGTCGGCCGCCTCGACAGCAATATCACTGCCGGAGACAAGACCGACGCCTACATCTGCCGTGGCAAGCGCAGGGGAATCGTTGATACCATCACCGACCATGGCAACAACCTCTCCTTGAGCTTGTAGTTCAGCCACGATGGATTGCTTCTCACCGGGTGAAACAGCTGCCCGGATAGCGTCTTTAGGAATGCCCACAAGTTCCGCGATGGACAGAGCAGTGTTATAGGTGTCACCAGTCACCAGAGACGTGCTGATACCCATCTTATGCAGAGCCGCGATGGCTGCAGGCGCAGTGGGTTTTAAAGTATCCGAGAGCCCAAGTGTGCCGGCGAATTTGCCATTGATGGCCACATATGTCGTTGTGATACCAGTCTTTGACTTTGTCCGAGTTGTAGGTGACATGGCTGTATTGACGGCTTCTTCGACCTCGAACGGGATTTCGATCTTTTTGTTGTGCAGGAAAGTTGCGTTGCCCACGTAAATCTTGTACTGGCTCTGTTCACCAGGAGTCGAGACCTCGATGATTGCAGAGACACCCTGGCCAACTGTAACGCCAAAAGTGCCAACTTGTCCAGGAAACGTATCTTCTGGTCCAAGAGCGAGCTGTTCTCGTGCTTCTGCGAGGATGGATCTGGCAATCGGATGCTCAGACCCGGACTCAGCCAATCCAACCAGTGTCCACCAAAGCTTGATCCTCCACTCGTTGGACGTCCAGAGCGATTCGATGTGTCTTTCGGCCACTTTGAGCTTGCCGAAAGTCAGAGTACCGGTTTTGTCAAGAATGATATGTGTGATTCGGGTGGCAGTCTCAAGGGCGGCACCGCCCTTGACAAGAATTCCCTGTTGTGATGCTGCACCTGTTCCTACCATGACAGCTGTCGGAGTCGCAAGCCCCAAAGCACATGGGCAGGCAAAAACAATGACAGAAATGCAAAGCTTTAAGCACACCATGAATTTTCCACCGCTTTGGCTGTCGACAAAGATTTTGGGCGGGTTCGATAAGGTATGGCTAAGAACCATCCACCCAACGAAAGTGATCAACCCAAGGAGGATAATGACCGGAACGAAATAACCCGCCACAAGATCTGCCATACGTTGAATTGGAGCTCGACTTGTTTGTGCTTCTTGTACGAGATTCACAATTTGACTCAGCTGTGTGTCTTTACCGGCACGGGTGACTTTGAAGTCGATCTTGCCTGCACCATTGACAGTCCCGGCGATGAGAACGCTGTTCTTCTTTTTGAAGATGGGCATAGCCTCGCCCGTAACCATGCTTTCGTCAACGAAGCTTTCGCCACGAGTGACTGTCCCATCTGCAGGGACCTTGTCACCAGGGCGTAAGATGACGACGTCTCCGACCTCAAGCAATTCCGTCGGAATAACCTTTTCGACTGCGGCAGGGCCGGTAGCTGGAGCAGGGGTCTTGTTGAAATCATTCGTCGGAACCTTTTCTAGAACGGGTGATGAGGGAGCGGTCCAGGATCCTGCGAGCTTCTCTGCATACAACGGATCTTCATAGATTGTTGCCATACTCGGGGCAAGCGACATAAGGTTCGACAACGCTTTAGACGTCTGACCCTTTGCTCGGTTTTCTAGCCACCTGCCCAAAGTGATAAATGTGATCAGCATAGTGCTTGTGTCGAAGACCGTTCCAGGGTTATTATGAGGTGGGAACAAGATGGCAACAATGATGGCGAAACAACTGAAGAAGAATGCCGCCGATGTACCGAGGACCACCAGGACGTCCATGGTCGGGGATTTATGTTTTAAACTTTTGAATGCTGAGACGTAGAATCGCTTCCCGATGCCAAACTGGACCGGAATTGTCAATCCGCAGCAGATAATATCGCCCAAAAAGAGACCGGGTATTAGTTGGAAAGCGCCGAAATTGTAGGCTGGAAAACACATTGGCAGGATCATGCTGATGAAGAGGACCGGAATAGCAAACCCCAGAGACGTCAAGAAAGCGCGTCGCCACTCCATGATCTCTTTTGTCTTCGCGAGTGATTCGATCTGGGCATTGTTGTCCTCGGTATCAGCCACCAAGGCGTTGTAGCCAGCGGCCTCAATGATGCTCACAAGTGCCCTGAGACCGATAACTGAAGGATCATATGAAATATTAGCACGTGAAGTCGACAGGCTAATGACAGCGCTCTGGACGCCGGATTTTGATCTGATCTCGTCTTCAAGTTGAGTAGCAGCCGCGCCATCGGCCAAACCGTATATTTTAAGTTGTTGTGTGAGCGACGAACTGCCTTGAGCAGCGGCATCGGCACTTGTAGTTACAACCTTGGCGTCAAATCCTGCGTCCTCGATCATTTCGACAATCTTCTCTGCGGGCAAAATCTCCGGCTCGTGACAAATCATTGCTCGTTCTGCGAGGAGACTGATGTTAAAACGGACCAAGCCTGGCACGTCCTTGAATGCCCCCTCCACCGAGGAGGTACACGCTCCGCAGGTCATTCCTTCGATGGCAACCGTTGTAGTCCATGTAGCCGGCGATTGCTCCTTTGTGGACAGGTGGAGTATAGGTTTGGGTTCTTGTACTTTTGAATCCAATACCTTGGCGTCGAATCCGCAGTCTTCGACGATCTCAGCCAAAGCGCTGGCCTCGATGATGCTCGCATCATGTTGTACTATTGCACGCCCTGCAAGAAGTGAAATGCTCATGCTCTTGACGCCCGGGACATCCTTGAACCCGGCCTCCACCGCAGAAGTGCAAGCGCCGCATGTCATTCCCTCCACAGACAACGTGGTAGTGGTGAGACGTGTGGCATTCTCATCAACAGAAATTTTCGTCGGTTGAGGCATGTCGGTGGTGAGAACCTCGGCGTCGAAGCCACGATCTTCGATGATTTCTGCAAGCTTCTCTGCTGGGAGAATTGCAGGGTCATGGTGTATCACTGCTCTTCCCATCATGAGACTGACCGACACAGCACCGGCGCCATCGACACCCTTGAAGCCGGATTCGACTGCGGATGTACAGGCGCCACAAGTCATGCCGTCCACTTTCAATGTAGTTGTCGCATAATGCGCAGGCTTGGTGTGTGGAAGCGGCACCTGGCCACTTCCTTCGGCAACAGTCATTGCTAATGGTGATTCGTTATGTAGGGTAGCCAAAATATAGTGGGACGATCGTGAGGATTAGAAATTCATCGTTTGTACGGCCTCGTTTTGTTGCGACACAGACTGGCGGAGGAAATTCTGTGCTTCGGACACGAGAATCGGAAGGAAATGCTGAAGGTATTCAAAGAGTGTAAAAGCACGAGTCGCTAAGGGAATCGAGCTGAAACCCAGGAGGTTGCTGGAACAGTGTGATGGTGGAAGAGGGACAATTGCGAAACGAGGGTAGAACTGGTGAGACGGGGGATTGCGCAGTCGGATCCCTGGGCCTGAAGATCGATCACTATGTATAGTAGTTTTCTTGGGTGGCTCTGCTTAGAAACAAGGATGCGCGTGTTCGAACTAGTTGCAAAAACAAGGGGGGCTGTCGAGCAAAAGCCACGCCTAGAAACCCACCGAGAGCGCCGAAGGATGATTTGATTAGGTGTCTGTACCGAGTACGGAGTAATATTGAATGCACCCCCAAAGACCTCATCTGACAGCCTCGTCAATAAAGCAATCACGTGAGACAGGTCAGACCACGTCAACAATGGTCGTAAAGTATTAAGATTACTCGTGCAGTTGAAGCTGTGCTTACATGAACCATTTCAGAATGAGAGAGAGAGCAATATCTACGCATTGGATGCAATCAAACAAAGTACGCGTGCCTCATACCAGGTACAGCACTTCCAGGCACAAAACATGGCCTTTGCCGGTAACCTGCGGCCTAGTAACCGTTTGGCCGCGACCCCCCGAAACCTATCGCCTGATGTCCTCACACAGCCTTGTGCCGCACTAATGACTGATCTGCCAAGATCAATAAGGCTGCCACTGTAGTCCGTACCCCATAGACATCATCGACTTGACATCTGAGTCCACACCCACGTATTCTCCCCGCGACGAGCTCGTGAACAACCATATCGTTCATTCCCTCGTTTCGACCGTCAATATGGATCAATCTCAAACGAAGGCTCTAGCATCCCTTCAGCCCTTTGTCCATCTCGCAAACACCACAAAGAGCCCATCCTCACGCTTCGTCGCTGAATTGATCAAATCTGCCATATCCGCTCCAGGAACATACGTCTTCACCGAGCTCCTCCAGACAACAGCTTGCCAGAGTCTTCGAGGCACCGACTTGGAATCATGGCTGACCCTTCTCGAGATCTTCAGCTGGGGCACTTACGAAGAATACAAAGGTACGTACACCCTCTCATCCGACTAGACCTTAGACCTAGTCGAGCGAACCGACTGACCTGTGAACAGCGACACCAAACTTGCCATCTCTCGATGACTCTCAAATCTTCAAACTCCGTCAACTCAGCCTCCTCACGCTCTCTTCGCCTTTTGCACCAAGCAGCACGACGACGACGAACACCCTCACCTACCAATCCCTGCTCCAATCCCTCGTCCTGCCCGACACCGCCAGCCTAGAGTCGCTCGTGACGCAGTCCATCTACGCAGGCCTTCTCACGGCACGGCTCTCCCCGACGTCCAACCCACCGTCAGTCAACGTCACGTCCGTCGCGCCACTGCGAGACTTGCGGCCTCAATCCCTGCCTGCGCTCCTCCAGATCCTGCAAGTCTGGGAATCCCGCTGCACATCCATGATCGGCGAATTGGACACCCAAATCACTTCTATGCGGAACGAGGCGATCCAGCGCCACACCATCGAGCGGAGGAGACAGGCCGCCGTTGACGCCGCGGTCTTGTCTACGAAACCCGCCATTGCCAACATCAACCACGCACAGCTTCGTGCCGCAGGGCGGCTACCCAGCAAACGAGACCTCGACGCTCAGATGGAAGGAGAGGGCGACGACGTCAGCGACGACGACGGACAGATGGACCTCGACGAAGGCATTGGCGACGTTAGCAGCGGCACCAGCTCTCGGGGAGGGCACGGCGGAGGAAGCTCTAGAGGAGCAAAGAGAAATCGAGGTCGCGGTCAAAAATGGGAGACTGGATGAAAAAGAATGATGTTGACCTGCGTTGTACTCCATATGATGACCAGAGGATCATGAACACACGAGGCATGACAACAAAAACACCACCGTGCAAGATCCACCTTTGACGAACATGAATTATCTTTTTGATAAAGCATCAACCCCGCCCATAGAGACGAATTTATGACATGACGATTCTTTTATCCTCGAGGTCAGGGCGCTTTTTTCCCTCTCGTGTTCATCATGCCGACTTCCTTCCAATGGAGTGAGATAATTGCATTCACGAGACCGAGGACATCTCATCCACCACAAGCTGACAAACAAGGAGGCCAGACTCAGGGTATGGGCAACGCCTCTGGGTAGACGGTTTTTCTTTCCAAATAATAATGCCCATAGAGACAGATGTTGTTATGGCAAAAGTTCCTAGAATCTCCTGTTGTTTGGTGAATCATTGATCTGGTATGAGGTAGTTTTGAGCATCGTTCCAGCTTGCTCGTGGATCAGAAGCTAAAGAAGTATAAAAGCAGATATGTATTCAAGCTCCAATTCACCCTCATCAAACCGAAACATCCCTTTTAGTCTTGCCCACTAGGCAAGGACTTGCTAACTATCTTTCGAAAGAAAAGAAAATCTTTCCGTGCGCTGCCTGAACTGGGATTGTGTTCAACGCCGCGCTTCAAGATCAACAACGTATACCGACTGTGTACAAGATTCCTGGCCTGCTATTCCCCATTGCTCAAAGGTCCCGATATCCATAACGCCCAAAAGAGACCTTGACGTAACTCGTTGTTCGCATAACCCGGTGCATCGGCCAAGCGTGCTGCCGGCTCAGAAATTCGTCCCAGGCACGAATATGAACAGCACACTTAGTCCCACAGCTACAGCAGCGAACATAAAGAACGCCATGGTGGCTCGTGTCAAGAGGAGCCTTCTGACAAAAGGTTCCCTAACCCTTGACCAGTTCATCCACGTATATTCTGAGAAGCCCAAGTATGCTGTGATAATATCAAGTTTGTACTGATACGACACAAGGAAATAAGATCCGATGACGAATGGCAGAATAAGCTAAAAACGAATGTCAGCGGTGAGAGGCAAATGTCTGGATAGTGATTTCTTACCCAACACCTCGTACTTCGCGAGATGTTTCTGAGGATCATGTAAAAACCGCCCCAGAAGCCAGCCATTAGACTGGAGAGACCGATAATGAGTCTGATCAATACACTCAATGGCACAAGATTCCCTAGGGCCTTAGCCTGCAGGAAACCAGGGAAGGCATCTCTTTCCATGGCCTGGAAGACATAATCCTTCGCATCGTCGAATACTTCGGGATCATCACGGCCTTCTTCCTCAATAGCGCGTATGATCTTGTTCAGCATTGTATCTGGCAGGACAATCTCTCTTTCTGACCCAGGGAGTACGAATGTGTACAAGATCTTCTCCGCACTGGCTTTGATGTCGGCCCTAGCGACACTATGGCCGGGCGAATTCGAGTCTGTACGGACTTCTGGGGTCGAATAGCTAGGCTGGGGCAATTGCTCGGATGGAGATGGTCGATCTGCAGATGGCCGGCTGTAATTCCTTGAGTGTGATGAACCCATGCTATGGGCCGGCGAATGGTCATAAGAGTTTCCTCTGCCTCTGCTCGTCGGCTTGTTGCGAGTTCCATTATCTCCTCGCAAGATCGCCGACACCCTAGACTCTTGCCCGCTCTTTCTTGTATCCATGCCCTCGCCGAGATCGAAATCTCCCAGAAGGGCAGAAGACCTTTTGCTTGTGGCTTTTTCCATCTCAGGCGTGTCTACGAGCATTGACCGCCGCAACTCTCGAACGTAGTGCCTACAAAGAGACATATGTTGTGAGACATCGAGCCTGAAGTATAGTCAGTCAATCGCTCAGACTACTGGAATCGATTTTGATCATACCAAAAATCAAGGTAGTCAACTGAGCGCTGTTGGTCGCGCATGTAGATGTAGAATGAGAACAAGTCCACAGGAGCCAATGTCCTTCTCCCCAAAACCTCCATCAGAGTCGGCAGGCGGTTGCGCTGCTCAAGCTCCTGCTCAGGATTCATGTGATGATGCGCCATTGTTGCTGGTATGTGCCAGGATGCAAGTAACCACTACTGTCTTCGGGGTGGCTTCTCGGTCCGCAGTGGCTTTTGGTTGCTCTGTCAGTACTGCTGAGCGTCCAACTTGCGCTGGCTATGACTTCTATCCAATCCTCGTCGTGTTATGAGCAGAAGGTGTGAAAATTTGGCATGGACTCGGTGTCTGAACGAGCGCAGGTGTTGTCGCAAGAGCTGAGATCGGGTACGCGAAGCGGGTAAACAAGCTCGGGATGTGACTCGCACTGGAGTTATGCCTTATAGCGAACGATCATGTAAAAGCGAGTGCGTCAAGGAAGAGGAGATTGATCTTGACTGTTTCAGCAGAGGAAGATGTCGTGGTCAGTTGGAAGAAGTGATAAAGTCGTGGTGAGACTGCGATGAATCTTGGAAGTTGGTTGCGCAACGGACTTACAGGGGGGCAACGGCCACTCACAATTGGTCACACTCCGGAATTGCTGCCAGTCTGCAACCAAATCAACGACCATCAATCAAAGCAACCAGTCAAAGTAAACACTCAGTGAAATTTCATTCATGATTCATTCGTATTCTCATTGCTAGCTCATTCACGCATCTAGGGTATCAAACAAAAAGACCTAAGTCACCACATAGCAGGATAAAAGCACTTAGCCACTCAACTAATCTCCAAAGATGAGTGAAATGCAGAGCCGCCTCGGATCTCTGGTGCCCTGCTACAACGCCGAACCTAGGTTAGAAATTCACCCCAAGCAACTCTCGCTCAAACCCCATGGTAGCCAACTTAGGCTGTGATGTCTAGTCATAAATAGAGAGCAAAATCAGTAGCCTCTGACTTCTGCACCTATGTCTGCCCAGGTTAAGAGGAGTTGATCGTCAATATCCCTTCCATTCCAAACGCCCGCCTTTGCTTGGTTGATGTGAACGCTAGAACAAGAGCTGACCACAGTGTTATTGGCAGCAAACAGTGTGAATTTCGACCTCGGAATTATTCTGCAAGATGCTAAAAAGAAGTCAGCATACACACAGTGAGGAAGAAAAAGATCACAGTATTACTTACCGACCATTCGGGGATGTTCTTGATTTGCTGCCACATGAACTTTTCTAGCTTGTTTGCGCTTTTAGCGTAAGGAGTAGTCTCGTTGTTGTAGCGGCGACAATTATCGAAGATGAGCCTCGCATCTTTGATGAAATCGTCTGGTCTCGGGTACAGGTCGTTCTGTAGGCGCTCCTCCATAGTGGACAGGTCCATTGGCTCTTTGATCACTTCGTAGTAATCTGGCACTTCGTCTTTGTTCACGGGTTGAGCAAAAGGCCAAGCTGCGGTGTGGTTCTGCATGTCATTGAGGAGATGCAGGAGCTGGTTGTAATTGGGGCCATGACGGGGTTGACGTGAGAGTTCGTCCATGGAGGGAGACCAGCCTGACTCCTTGATGGCTGTTATCGACATTGGATCAATCTCGCAGACACCGTTCTTCCATGCAGCCGGCGGAGGATGGACAATATGTGACTTGCTCACCGCCCGAATCTTGGCCATAACTGCCTCCTTCTGCTTCTGCAACATGCGGGGGACCTGTAGATAGCGGATCTTGGGGAGCATGCTGCACTGCATGATAGTACCTCCTTCGTAGTCCTTGATATATCCCATCCATATGGATTTGTCCAATGTGATTTCTTTGGTAAATCCCTGCTTCTTGAAGTAGCCAATAGCGTAATTGTCGGCATAGGTGAGGAAGTACATGATTGGAGAGGTGGCCTTCACATAGTCCTTCAGGTGAGCCATGAGATGTGCCCCGTATCCTTTGACCTGCTGATCTGAAGAGATAGCGCAAAACACAATCTCGGCAAACTTTCGCGAGTTGAATGGTCGGTATGTGATTCCACCCACGACTTCGAGAGGTTGCTTTATGATTGCGATTGAAAGGTGTGTCTTGTCGTATACGAGCCGAGCAATGTAGTCCTTAGGCATCTTGGGTAGCTGCTTTTGGAAAATACATTTCAATCCAGTCAGGATGATGTTATGCTCTCTTGAGTTGTCGTTGTTAACGACTCTGAACTCAATCTGACCCTGCTTTTCCTCAATAACAGCGGGCTTTTCGGGAAAATCGACAGGAGTGGGTGTGATTAGAGGTTCGGTGTCAGACTGCAAGATCTTTCCGTTAGCTTATGATTCTTCTGAGTCAGGACCACTGTGGGAGACAGGGGCAATCATATCGCCACAACCAGAGCGTGGGTTTTTGAAACTTGGCCATGATTATTTTGGTGAGGGATTGGAAAGTAAAGTCTTACATCTTCGTGTTTTGTGACAGCACCGTCATCAAGACTGGGGGATTCTGTCCGCGCCTTCTTCGACCGAGACGACGAAGCATCTTCTGAAGCCTTTCTTTTAACAGCTGCAAGATGTCAGCAATGAGAATCAGGCTCATCTCCCGCGGTAGATCATCGCGCGACTTACTTTCGCCATTCATGAGCGCCATTGTACTAGATTTGCCCCCCCAGGAACCTGGATAAGAATGTGACAATGACAGATTCGGACGTAGAGTTCACACGTAACATTCGCGACTGTCTCTTTGACACAAATATCGAAAGAATCAATGGCGCTCATAAAGATCGTGGTCTCCGTTTTGGAGAGAACGCGGAGTGAGTAAATCATTACCACTTCCAGGCATCATTGTCGCTGTTTTAAAATATGGTGCCTGGCATATATAAGCGGCGAGAGTCGATGTCAATTTGCGACTTAGTGAATCAAAAGGACCAACAAACAGTCAGCAAACTCCATGAAGCAATTCAGGCAATGTAGGTCTATTGCTTCCCACTTCACATCTTCTAAGAATGAGCTATTTGAGCCTTTAAACTCCGTACGATGTCGAGAATCCGCAATTCCATGATGCATGCAATATCATGGACAAGCCCCACAACAGGTCACTAATCTTACACATCAAAGGCAATACCATGTCATAACCCGGAAACCCAGAAGGCTCATCGATTCAGACCAGAAACATTTCCGAAATGGGGAGGCTGCCGTACCAATCTGACTGTGCCCAGACGACCGAAAATGTTCCCAGCGGTTTCCAAACGACCGCGATGTGTCTGCTCCGTCCTTCTTGCCTTCTCCATTTGTTTGTGGTGATTTGCAAGAACTGCCCTTTGTTGTGAACTCGGTAAATGCATGAGACTTCTCCGATCTTCAGCACGAAGTTGTGCAAGCTGGCTGTTGAGGGCAAATTCTTGCTTCAGTGCTCTTGTACTCACTTCGGCATTGGAACGAGAGGTGGGCTCGGCAGCACTTGGGGTTACTTCGGCATCGGTCTGTGCATATGCGGCCGGAGTCTGCAAGGCTTGATCAGAAGGAGACGAGGTAATATTGTGGCCTGTTCCAGTGACGTCTGAAGCATTTGCTGCTCGTTGTCTCCTCGTCCTGGCCTGCGCTCGAAGTTGAGTATCGTATGGGGAATGCCTGGCATGGAGATTGTGGTACAATTCTTCTTCTGCATCTGACGTGGGGAAGTCGTAGAAGTCTCTGTACTCAGCCTCCTTGTTTGTGAGATCATATTTGCAGTGTCCCTTTGCCATCATGTGCTGCTGCACTGCTTGCCGAGTGTTTCGCTGTGTTCCACAGTAGAGACATTCGTAATATCCGGAGATGACCAGATGAAAATATCCAACGAGGGTGCTCATATCTACCAATAGATTCGTCGAATCTACAAATAGACCATGAGTTTTTGACATATGGGCCAAATTTTGGTCCAAATCTGTGCTCATCTCGTTGCAGAACAGACATTCTGCTTCATTGAAAACATATTCGGTACTGGGAGAGGGGGGAGACGATGAGTCGGCTGTTTTATCTTCATCACTGTTTGGTGTCTGTTCTCGACTTGCGAGGAGGGGATAACTTGAAAGTGATTCGCCTTTGAGGGTGGTCATGGTCGCGGTGGGAGCGGTAGTGAGAGTTTCACCGGCTAGAGGCATCAATGATAAAGATGTTCGTGAGAAAGTAAGTTCTAGGTATGGATTGGGAGGCGCAGGCGCAGTTCACAACAGGAATGTTCTTGCTAATGTCACCTGTCTTGCAGCCAATCTACCTGGTATATATGTTTTTCGGTACAATAGCAGGTGACGTAGGTGCTGCCAAACAATCTTCCGTCCGAACTGCCCAAGACCGACAAGTGAGTCACTTTGATTTTTCCAGAGGTGAAAATCAAAGGTCTAGAACGTGAAACTTCTTGCTGAGCCTCTGGCCATCTATGTTACGGAGTAAAGTTTCTCAACGACATCTTCCTTTCGATGGGCAGTACAGGGTGCGGCCAATAAGGAGACATTCTATACAATTGTAAATGGTACTTTTCATCTACATTGGAGTGACATGATATGTTGGCTTTTGGTAAATCCGTCTGGCAAGACAGTGGTCATGGCGGCTACAAACGGAGTGAAGACAGACCATTCCCATTGTGGAAAGTGGAAAACATTCTTGTTGGCCGTCGGTCGTCCGGGTTCGCCTGAACCTATAGTCCACCGTACAAAACGGTCGATCATAATACTTGATACGTAATGAGCACGGACCTCTGAATTTGGTTCAATCAAGCCGTTGAGCAGTCGTATCGCATTCGTATCAGACGACCAAACGCTGTGGTCCCCAAGCAGCGATTGTCATGTTTCCTTTCGCGCAAATTGGAGAAAGGATGCGACTTGAAATGTGAGATGACCATACAGATTGCAAGAAATGTCGCACAGATACAGCTCAGATGACACGAGGCGCCGCTGTCTCAAGGCCTGTGAGAATTGCAAAAGGCGCAAGGAACGCTGCAATGGAGTCTTGCCTTGTGGACGGTGCATCTCAAGAAGAGTCGAACAGGAATGCCGTTTCATAAATGGACCAATGTTCCAGGCGCACGAAGCCCAATCCTCGCAGTTTCAGGTCACTAAGCACGCCCCCCAGACCATTCAAGCCGAAAAGGTTGCGGACGGCGTTCTTGACCATGCCTCAGATAGAATCAGTCAGAGTATGGGAAACGACAAAGGCTCGACGGCTCCTGTGCCCCAGCTGACCCGTTTGATTCGTGATAGTAGAGGCAAGTACATGTTCATCGGCGATTCAGCAAATCTTGCCTTTTTACAAAATATTCGAAGGCTTGTGGAAGCGTCTATAGGAACCTGTGCTTTCACAGAAGATCCTTTACGGCACATGATGGTTGAGGACATACCCCAACCTCAGGGGCAGGGACATTGGCTGGACTCCCAAAGGAATGAAGCCGTCTTGAAGCCGACACTGGAAGAGGCGACTGCACTTATCAGACAGTATATGTTCACGACGAATTGTGTCCTTGATCTTTTTGACGAGTCGGATCTGCTGGCATATCTCCCCCAATGGATTGACGGCACCTCGGACCAAACCGATTCCTACGGATCCATCTACTACCTCGTCCTTGCCATAGGGGCTCAGACTTCAGCGGAGGATAAGGATGACCTCGCAGAAATGTATTTCAATCATGGACGCTATTTAACAGCCTTGCTATACATGGAAGAACCGAGTCTCCTTTCAGTGCAGTCTCATGTTCTGATTGCTATGTACATGTTAGGGGCGTCAAGGCGAAACGCTGCTTTCATGCAGCTCGGCACAGCCGCAAGAGCAGCTCATGCCTTGGGACTTCACAAAAAGGACGTCGCCGACCTGTTTGCCGAGTCGGAACGCAGAACTAGGGAAAGAACTTGGAAAGTACTTCGCGTTCTGGATAGCTTTGTAAGTCCGACTGACATCTAGTGGCTGTGGGCTTGGTGCCAGGACCTCGTTTCCTCCTTGCGAATAATTGAGAATTATCTACTGACCAATACAGATGAGTTCTTCTTTGGGAAGACCGTATTCCACCTCGGAGACCAGGGACACCACAAAAAGGGAAAATTATTCCGCAGCGGTGAATCTTTGCTCCATTTTCGAACACATCGAGACCGAAGTGTACGCTAAGAGGATGGTCAGTACGGAAGCTGTCCAAAGGATCAGCAAAGAGCATCGATACTGGACAGCGCTGTTCCAGCAAGGCCTGAAAGAAGATGGCATCAGCCCAGAAGAGAGGCTCCCTGGAGGGCTCCCGAATATTGGTCTCATTCATTTGAAAGAGGCATACTACTGGTCGATTATCCTTCTCACGAGGCCTTTCCTACTCGATTATGTTTCGGTAAGCATCGAAGAAATGAGAGACTCCAATACCAAAACAGCGACACATGCCACTCGTTCGTCGAATCAGACATTGGTTGATGCCTGCGTCGATTCTGCCGTACGATCGATTAATTTGCTAACTGTCCTCCACAACTGCAAACACGTTCCGAAACGACTCCCTTTCGTGGTTAACTCGGTTTTTGTGGCCGCTATGATCACGGGAATTGCTTTCTTCGGGAACCTTGACAGATCTTTTCCATTAAAAAAGGCACTTGAGGACGCACAAGCCGCTTTGCGACTGCTCTCGCCGCATGATACACTCGCCCAGAGACATCTTGTTATCATCGAATTCCTTCAAGCAGCATGCCATATCTACATCGAACGGAGAGATCGTCAGAAGATGGTCGGTCACAGGAGAGCAATCGGGAGCATTTTTGGTGTACTTCATGAGCAGCAGAACATATCGTTGGCTTCTAGCTCTGCTAGGCCGGTCATGGAATCTACATCTACATCGTCTGACCCTGTTGCGAGAGAAATCGACAACAGTGGCCAGAAAAGTCTGCCCGGGAATCAAACTGACTTCAAGCCATATGAGACCACTTTGCAATCCACGCAGTTTCCTGGCCAGTCACCCTGGATATCGGAGCAAAATCATGGGTTTACTCTAACTGAAGGAGCCAACGACATGCCTTTTGGAGGATTCGAAGCATTCAGCGATCAGGTCTTGGACTTCTCTCCGCGTACACTGTGGTTTGACACGTACGAGGAGAATAATCCTTTATGGCAACTCCAAGGTTTCTTAGACTCGTCCAATCCGGCAGATATGCCCTTGCCCGAACTGTAGGATTGGCAGGGTGAATGACGCAAAGGTGCTCGAGTGATGCCCTCAGCATGTAGGGAGGGTTCACAATTTTATACCCTTCGAGAGAACTTTAATCATCTTGCGCAGTTACTATGGAATGATCACAAGTACCTTGTGTAGACGAGGCTGCGCTGCTCTCAAGTGTCCAGCCTTCTTCAGCCTCGTAACTTCGGAGATTTGATAATGCTCGGAAAAGTTTCCCTGGCATGAAACTGCGTTATAACTATTGAGACCACCTTGCTCTCCATACATCAGCACCACGACAATACGTATACTAGATCAGCACGAGTCGCCATCGCCTTAGACTCATTACCACAGAACTGGCACCATACTTCGTCAATGTCGCTCCACGAAGTCTGGCAAGCAGCTGCAAGCAGCCCATTCCAGCCATCCGTTGGTAAAGACAGCCAACTCCCTTTGGGACTGCTGCTGTTGCTTATCGGTATGATGAAATGCTGCCCTCAACAATTGCACAGCTGATTTCGAACAGGTCTCATTCTCACTGGTCTTTTTGGCTTGAGTAGGTCACACTTCCCATTCCGACTTAGATTACACGGCTAACTGCTGCTCAGACCGATCTCTTCTCTCCATTCCTCTGTTCGGAATACCCGCTTCTCTCGCATTTGGGTTTGTCAACAGCGCATTCAACTATGATTCAGTGGCTGATGCCCGTACAGATTCGGCGCCGTGTATGCCATTTGTGGCTTTGGTGTATATGTCTGATATTGCCGTCCCCTGAGCTCACCTGGAGATCTACTTCCAATATCTGCACCTAGCCCAACAAATGGCTAGCCCTCCCTTGTTCACCGCGGTTTCCACCTCTGCAAGACAATTGCACCTTCTTCTCCGATGTATATCGTTCTCCCCACGAGCAGAAGTTCAGATAACGCATTCTGGTATAAGATTCTCGGTTGAAGAAGCTCGGGTAATCCAAGGCCTCACATTTCTCGACAAGGCACTATTCTCTTCGTACAATTTGAACGTGACCGATGAAGAGCACATGTTGCCACCTTTTTCTATATCCATAGTCGCCTTGCTCGAAACGCTACAGATCTTCGGTATAGCCGACACCACGTCCTCTTCTCGAAATCCATACGGTGGATTTTCCTCGTCATATGGCAATGCTTTCAACGCTCCTGCTCTAGCAGTAGGAGGAACATGCCGAATCTCCTACCAGGAAGTTGGTGCGCCGCTCACAATAACTATCCAAGAGGGTTCCGTGACGACAACATGTGAGATGAACACGTATGAAGCACAAGAGGGTTACGAGGACGATGGTGGAATCCCGCTTGATCGAGAGTCCTTGCGCTTGAGAGCCATTATGCGAAGCACTTGGTTACATGATGCCATGAACGAACTTGCAGGGACGAATCCGACCACTCTCGTCCTCAACGCGTCCACTGCTTCGGCTCCCTTCTTTGCGTTGGCTGGTGAAGGAGGCCCTTTCGGAGATAGTACTGTAGACTTCATGCCAGAGTCCAAGAACGAACCAACTCCGAGCGGTACCAGAGGGAAGAAGCAGCCTCTTGTGATGGAGACGTTTTCTGTGGGGACTCCTACCAGACCCATCAAGATAAGACAGAGATACAAATTCGACATGATCAAGAGAGCTGGCCGGGCCATGGCTCTAGCAAGTAGGGTCAGCATTCGACAGGACCGCCAAGGAGTACTCAGCCTCCAGTTCATGATTGACCTTGGCGACGGAGGGAACTCAGGCCCGCGGCGAGACGAAGGAAATGGCGGCGTAGATGTGCCGCCGTCTCCTGGAAGTGTTGCTTTCGTTGACTTCAGGTTCGTCCCATTAATTGGCGATGAGGATGATAGTTTCAGTGGAACGGAAACAGAGAGGGAGGAGGACAATCTGCCTGAGTAGTTTCTTAGCAACAAACTCATCATCCGCTGCGTATCACCTTACCTTGCCAGTTCCTGGACTTCTCATTACCCGTTCATTTTTTCCTTTATGACGAGCTATTGACCCTCGCATCATCCGGTCATCACTTTGGCCTGTCTCAGGCAACCTCATCCTTTCAAGAGATCACCTCTCAAACCTCCCTCTGACACCCCTGGAAGGCGGGCTACATAAAACAGATTGATCCTATGCAGGACCTTTGACTTCTCATATCTCTACTTGGTCTTCCATCTAATCAACCATATCGTTGGGTTTCTCTTTTACCCTCACCCGGGGCCCATCTCAAACTTGTTGTTGCCTTGATATCACAGAATCACCTCCCAGTCAGGGTGCTCCTAACAAGCTGATGTGGCGATCACTCGGGAACTTCTTCTACCATCAGTTTTGAGACTGCCTAGAACCCCAGGTAACTAGGTTCCGAATCACTACCAATCTCTGCAATAATTCCACATCCCATTTACCACCCTCTCTTTCGTGCAGTTCAGCATCCCTACGCTTCCAAACACCTATCACCAAAAGACTGTGTCGCCATGGAGGCTCCCGCAGAGGGTATGGTCAGCTACTCCGGAAACATCCCTGAGGCCTACGCCCCGTCCGAGGGTGTAGGGCTGTTCACCAAGAAGTGGTGGGCAAAGATCACTGCCGAAGACGATTTCTGGGTCGACTTGGCCTACAATGTGCCCAAGGCAGTACTGAGGAAGCGTGTCAAGCAGAGTGTCGTAATCGATCACGACGTTCGATCACGGGCTCGCAAGAAAGAAGAAGAGCGCCTTGCACGGGAAAGACGACGTACTCAAGCTTTGAAGGTTGCGAGATCGTCCAAGCAGCAGCATGAACCCACATCCAGCCACAACGACCTGCCCAGGTCCCCCGCAAACACTGTGGCTACCGGTGATATTACGTCACTTCCGTCGGTGCTGCCAGCAATCGCCGACAAGGGTGTGAAAGATGGCTCACACAATGATGTCGTGGAGAAGTTCGAATGTGCCAAGTGTGACCACTTCTGCCTCAAAGACGAGATGAGTCCCATTCCAAGCGACGGTAGCATCTGCAAGCAGTGCTTTGAGGGCAATGCCGTGAAGACAGAGGAGATGTTGCTAGTGCCAGCTGCAGAAAGCTCAAGCCGTGGCCCTACAGCGCGCCCTTCAACCCTTTGGACGGAATGGGTCATGAGACATTTGTGCCGGGTAAGCCATACACTTCAGCTCAGTGATGTCTTTCTGATGATGATATTAGGAAGACCCGGAGGTTGACATCCGACGCGCTGCAGCAAGAGCAAAAGAGGATGTTAGTGGATCCGAACGCAAGAGGATCAAGCTCGAACCAGTGGACAATGGATCGGGCAGAGCGATGGACGCGTAGGGCCTCGAGAGAGAGAGACATCTCATCGTAAGTGACAAACCCTCTACCCAATGTCTAGGCACATGCGACTAACACGATTTTCAGATACTCGTCATGAGTTGGCGGTCTGCTCGCAACCAAGCAAAAAGATAGACCAGATTTATTCATTGCAATCGATGGACATGGGCTGGGCTTTTCATGTTGCCTTGTGCACGCGTTATCTTATGAAGGGCTGAAGAGGAGATTAATGTGCTTACAGACATGGTGTAATTGGAAGGAAACCCTCCTCGGTGCTCGCGTTGATGGATCCAGATGGTTGCATTAAGATGCTGGGTGCTTGAGGGAATGTCTGCTTAGCCTCGAGGAGGAACGAGGCAATTTTGTATGTTGGGGTCCGGGAATCCTGAGCCAGCTCTTCACTTCGCTCTTCTATCTGATACAATCCATCGAACATGGAACATCAGTATCAGAATCCTAAACCGTAGGATCTTGTTGACAGACATGACAACCCAAGTAGAGAGGCCACGATCGCAGGCGTATTTTGGAACCGCTAGTCCTAATCGGGTAGTTTTGCTCGAGTGCACTCGATGCATGATTTTTTCAAGTTCAATGATAAAGGAGATTTCGAGACTTTCCTTTTCGTTGATACTCGGTGCCATATATGAGCAGAGTACAAGTACGTACTACTGTGGTCGTTGATTGTGACCCGAAATGGTGTGGGTTCGTCAGACGGCAAACATAAGAGCAAATGCTTCGCGAGCCCAGCGTCGATACTTTTTGTCATACAATATAATTCATGTTCGGGCACATCCCCGAACAGCCTCGAGCCCCGATTCTTTGCTAATTTTATTCCTCCCTCGTATCGCATGCGTCATTTTGCCAGACGTCAACAAAATCCATGAGGACAAGGTGAGTTGAACGAATCTTTTTCTTTTTCTTTTTCTTTTGCAAGTGAGTGGACTTGTCACTTGAAGGTTGGCTGTATATCATTATCATTATAAATACCGTTGACGTATTCTTTCTACGCACTCGACCGATCCAAAAGGTACACTGTGTACCGCCCAACCTGAGCCGATCCGAGAATGGATGAACCTGATTTCGACGACGACCGCGAGATGGAACGACTCGCGTCCAACAACCCGGCGATGACCGTGCCCGCCAGTCGGGTCATCTCACAACGCGAGTTCGACCGTCTCCGTTCATCACGATCTCATCCTCAACAACCGAAAATCCAAACTTCATCAGACCCGTCTGGAGGATCAGAGACCTTCGTCAAACGGCCGTCGCGGTCACCACCGACCCCGTCGTCGCCCGGGCCGACGACACCCACCACGACAAAGTACGACGTCGGATGGCGCAGGGTCGTCCGGAACTTTTCACCGTCGTGGTTCTCCGTGACCATGGGCACGGGGGTCGTTTCGCTCCTCCTCATCACCATCCCCTTCAAAGCGGACTGGCTCTACTGGCTGTCGGTGGTTTTCTTCGTCCTCAACACCGTCCTCTTCACCCTCGCCCTGCTCATCTCCATCCTGCGCTACACCCTGTACCCCGAGATCTGGGCCGTCATGATCGCAGACCCGACCAACTCCCTGTTCCTGGGCACGATGCCCATGGGATTCGCCACGTTGGTCGAGAGCTGGATCTTTCTGTGCTGCCCTCACTGGGGCTACTGGTCCGTCACGTTCGCCTGGGTGTGCTGGATGATCGACGCCGTCGTCGCGGCCGCCGTGACGGTTTCTCTGCCGTTCCTGCTCATGAGCCAGAGCCACCAGCACCAACTCGACAGGATCACGGCGGCACAGTTACTACCAATCGCCGCTACTATCGTGGCTGCCGGAGCAGGTACACAATCCCCCCCCCTTTTTCCTCGCAATCATCAATCCACTGACACGACCCTTCTCTTTCCACAGGCAGTGAAATTGCAGAACTTCTCTCCAACCCGAACCACGCCTTGGGTACACTCTTGACCTCTTACGTGATGTGGGGCATGGCCACTCCCTTTGCCATGACGATCCTGGTGATTTATTACCACCGCCTGGCTCTGTATAAACTACCACCTCGCGAGGTGGTGGTGAGTTCATTTCTTCCTCTCGGACCTCTAGGTATGTATCACCAGCGTCTTCGCCTCACACATTGTACACATTTCTTACCCACACCTGGCTCTTTGAAATGTCATTTCCACTCCCTCACTTGTCTCTCTCTCTCAAATGGACAGACAAACACATCAGAAGCTAACCTCGATCGCGGAACCCGTCGACAAACAGGCATGGGAGGTTACACCATCATGTACCTGGGTCGAGTGTCGCGCCAGGTCTTTCCGAGGGTCCACCTCTTCGCCGGGTCGCCCCCCGCCGACGCCCTCCCCCTCACCCTGGCCGGGGACGTCTTGTACGTCTTTGGCGTCTTCGTGGCTCTCGTCATGTGGGGGTTCGGCCTCGTGTGGCTCGTCTTCGCCCTGGCCACCATCTACTCGACCCGCCCTTTCCCCTTCAACATGGGCTGGTGGGGCTTCACCTTCCCCCTGGGCGTCTACGCCATCAGCACCATCACCTTCGGCGTCGAGATGCCCAGCCTCTTCTTCAAGGTCCTCGGCACCATCCTGAGCGTCGCCGTCATGGTCCTGTGGTGCGTCGTCGCCATGGGCACGGCCAAGGGGGCCTGGTCGGGTCGTCTCTTCTTCGCCCCGTGCCTGAAGAACCTCAAGAAGGAGGACCGCGTGCCTGCTGAAAGTTCGGCGCCTGAACAGGACCGAGAGAAGCTGTCGACCACGGACAGTACCTAGGTACCTAGGCAGTGTTGTGTTTATCATGTATAAATTGAAGTTTCAGGGACCTAAACCATTTGTCTACTCTGATATCGTACCGTACCTTCGTTTCAATTGCTGTCTCATTGCATTCCAAAGTTCATTGCTTTGGGCAACTACTCTAACGAACCCACACATTCAATAGTCATCCCATCATTCATACGTACAGCGTCGCCTGTCCATATTCATTTCTCCTGCGTAACGTCGGTTGAAGTCAGTCACGCTTCTGCTCATACCTCTCTGATTCTACCTATTCAAATTCATGGCCCCGTCAACAGGCCTCATCCGGTTTTCTCCATAGCCACCACAATCTACACTTGATCAACATCACAAGTACACCAAAGAGCATGGCTGATGCCGCCTTTCATACTCCGCCAGTGGGATGCGTAGGATCAATCCACTTGACACCCTCCGGATTCTCGACGGCCACTATATCCGGCAAGTTCACCGCAATGGCCTCCCCGTCGCTTCTCATCAGCACACACTCCAGCTCCTCGTCCTCTTTGGCATTGATCTCTTGGTGCGGCACGTATGGCGGAACGTAGATGAAATCCCCGGGCCCGGCTTCCGCAATGAACTCGAGGTTCTCACCCCACCGCAACCTCGCCTTGCCCTTGACAACGTAGATGACACTCTCGAGGTGACCGTGGTGGTGGGCTCCCGTTTTGGCGTTGGGGTGGATCTTGACCGTGCCGGCCCACAGATGCTGCGCGCCCACGCGGGCCATGTTGATGGCCGCAGCACGGTTCATTCCCGGTGTGCTCGCAGTGTTGGTGTCCAGGCTGTCTGCCGGAATGACGCGAACACCGGACTCGCGCCAGCCATCTGGGGGGGTGTCGTTCTCTGAGTTGGCGTGGAAAAGGTATGCTGGGCCTGTATGTGGGTGAGGATGAGAGTGGTCATGGTCATGATCATGACTGTGACCGTGAGAGTGCGAGTCGGACATGTTGGGGTCTTCGCCTTGTATCACTTGGTCGTTTTGCTCGGATGCAAGGGAAAGAAGCAATGGTCTCGTGTTGGAATTGTTGTGGATGATGTATACAAGCTTTAGACCTCCCCAAACAGTTGGCAACTTCTGAATATAAAGGGATCAAAGGTGAAATAGACGGCGATGAGGAGGGGTTTGAGGTAGGATGTGGTTGCCGAAATCCGAAATCGCACCGAGTACGAGTGCTCCATGTCGTCCTCGTGTTGCATAGTGCGGGGAAGTGAAGCGAGGCTCTCGTATCGGAAAACTGCGGCATCAAACACGACGTTGGCGTTCTCATCTTCATCTATCTTGGCCATCCTAGCTGCTACCACATTATGATCGGTTGACGACGAGTTGGGCTGGAGCCTCGAGCTCTCTCAAAGGACTGATCACTGGTTCCAGAAGGGTTTCCGTTAGTTGCCGTTCGTAGTTGGTCAAGTTCACATAGCTCGACTTGTTCCTGAGTACTGCGTACCTATGATGTTAAGGCGATATCTTACCTATTCTTACTATTCTAGTCGGTCTCGGTGGCCTGATTGTGGGAGCTTGCAGCTTCGTATCACCAGTCTTTGCAACCCGCATATACGAGCTCGGTCCCTCGGCTACGATATCGACGTCGAAGTCCAAGAAAACCGATGACCGCCCTGTGATGAGAGGTTAATGTGTCTGCATCGCATACATTCATTCCTTGGGCATTCGGAACCTTGTCATTGGTCTTGCATTATTACTCCTCACCTGGAATTGGTAATTCAACGCGTCTTCACCAGCAGCCCAGTTCACTGTGCAGAGATGTCTGGGCATTGTGGTCTTGGTAGGGGCTTTGCCGCCTATAGTTGATGCACTTGTGTCGTGGCGTTCCAGTTGTCTTGTGCGAATGGTGGGTTGTGTGAGAAAGCTGCTCTATTACATGCTGTTCGATTGGTGTTCTGGCTAGCAGGAGGCATAGGGTGCTTGCTGGGGGATGGATAGGTACGTCGACTCTTCTGCTTGGGACGTGTTAAATTTTTTTCAATCCATGAGTATTTCGCTGTCCTTTTAATTCTCTGTGTTTTTCCTCTTTCCCTCCTATCTCGATTCTGATAAAACCTTCTTGGGAAGGGTGGACAGGAATGATGGTGGTGGCAGGTTGGCCGCACTACGCGAGCGGAGAAGAATGTAGTGTGGATGGCGCGTTGTGTGGCAACGAAAGATCCTGCAGGAAAGGGAACGTACGCGGATGGCGTGGCTTGTGTTGAAGAAACAGACGAAAGGACCGCGTTGGGAAGAGGGCGTCGGTAGAAAAGGGGATCGATATAAGGTGAGGGGATGATGGACTATTGGCAGAAGAGGTGACCGATAATGATACGAGGAGAGAAGCGACGGCGACAGCGATGGCAATGAGACGGAAGCAGCATCAGAAGCCAATTCCACGATAATGAGGTTTCTACACTCGTATCACCAGCAGGTAGGCTTGGGAAGTCAGGTGCCTACGGGCTACGAGCCATGGCGGCAGTGTGACATCAATGGCACCATCATCACCAACACGGATGACGGTGGTGAGATCACACAACTAAACCACACAGACAGACAGAGCAACGACTTAGTTGAAGGAAAATTACAATTTCTCGACGACGATGACAATGACGACAATAACGATAAGGACAGCAACACAGCGACGACGATAATGATGTATGTTTACAAGGTGGCAACAACTCTTCTCCAAAGACGAGCATAAAGCTCAAAACAATGATGAAAAGAGGGAGTGAGCATGAAAGCTCAAGCAATTGGTGGTGATTGACATCTATGGCAACAATGTCAATCACAACACACACACACACACACACAGAGAGAGACCAACAACTAGAAAGAGTGTACACATCAGCAATACCACGATACAGGATATCACGACAACACACATATATATATACAAAAAACAAAGGGGGATGAGGGTGATACGTACCAATGTGAGGACCCGGATCTGGAAAAACAATACGTGACGAAGCGGTTGCACTCATCAGATCACACCGACCGACCCGCCTCCCCCAGTCTGTCCTAGACCGACTAGGTAGCAGAGCCAACTAGCAATGGAGATTTGTACTCCTAGCCTAGTCCTGGGAAGAGGCGCCTCAGTTTTGCACCCCGAAGGATGACCTACCTGCGAAACAGCTTGGTTTCCATGAAGAAAAGAAAAGAGAAAAAAAAAGAAATCCGAAAAGGTCGAGGGGAAAGCCTTCTATTTGTAGTTTTTTTCAGAACCTGCCGCCCTTGACGAACGAGGCCGCCCTTGACAAGAGGCATTTGAGAAGATATGGATGGAGTGGGTATGACAGTGTGGGCAGCGTAGGCAGACGCGCCTTGAATACACCGCGCACGACCAGTGGGTTGGTGGTGGAACGCGACAAAGGAATAGAGTCTGCGAGATAGAGCCAAAAATAAGAGAAAGTGTTAAGATATGGTTCGCCATTGGGAATTCACCATGCCCCAGACAGCGCCACAATTATACCCCATCGTGGCTTCAAGAGAGAGGATACTGAGTGAATTAAAAAAAACAAGGGGGGCAGGAATTGGGACGAGGCTGTCTGTACATATCCGAAGGACATGATCTCGATTGGACCGGCACTTCCATATACAGACACCACGATCTCGTCGTATAGGAAAGGAAATACGGCTGTCCGATGTTGCCCAGAGTGATATGGAATGAGGCCTCGAAACTTGTGAAGGAGGATCCTCCCATTATCGACCAAGGTTACGACATACAGACTTTGGACTTTGTTCTTTTCCATTGCCTACGCCCCCCCCCAAAGTATCCACAAAGTGTCTCCACCTGTATGTATGTACCATTGGATACCTACTTCCCTGAGGTACTCGTATGTTTAACCAAATTTTTTTTGGAATCGATCAACGCTCCGGATGACACTTCCGTCAAAGGCGCAATTGGATTGGAGTCATTCAACCAAAAGAGGCACGACAATCGACAGAAACCGACGGTGTTTATTACTCGGATGATGTTTTTCAAGAGGCCCAACAGGTAAACATGTGAAAAGGTGGGTAACAGCTAACTGAAAAGCATAGAAAAGGACAATCAGGTTTGGGGAAACATTGCACGGGTGACACACTCTCTACCTCTACCTAGGTATATACAACAACCTGTAGCTTGTGATTTGCACTTGACTTGTATATACGTATACAACTCCACCAACAAAACGCAAACCAACCTACCTTGAAAAGAATGATTCAAAAGGTCGAGGCAATCCAAAAAAAAAAGAAAATTCATGCACACTTCAAAGCAAAAACGATTTTCATTTGACCGTGCCTATTTCATTCTGTCCGGTAGAACCTCAAAAACCATCTCATTTCTCGAAAACATGTTTCACCATGTCAGGTCGATCTTGATGACCTTGCCTCGTCTTCTCTTTTTCTTTTTTCGTCACAATTAGACACCAGAGCGAGGGGAAACAAAACCACAATAGAAACCCAAATCAAGTCAAGATCCTAAGCATAGAATACATTTAGACGAAAGAAAAAGCAAGAAGAAAAAGATGCATTCTTACCGTCACCTTTCGTTCATGCCCAGATTCGTACATTTACACACACACACACACACACACACCAGACTTTCCAGTCCCATAAAAACCACCTTGATCACCGCCAAATTTCAAACCGTGCAATCGCTTCATACCCAGATACTATCCTCACATCGCGTGACATTAAACTCGACACCCAACTCGATCTCCTCTCCTTGAGCACGTAATTGCCCCAGAATAACATCACCGGGGCTCGGTCCATCCGTCAATGTGTCCTTGACGTGAATGATATAGACAGTGATGCCCTTGAGAGGCTCTCCGAGCTTTTCGCGAGGCTGCGTCCCCGAACTCGATTGGCCCTGTCCATATCCCTGCGAGACGGAAGGCGTGAAAACCTGGGCAGGTGACTTGGGGCTAGCCTGGGACGCGACTGGCTTCGGTCGTCCGCCGGGCGTAATGGCGCCAGAAGCCGCGCCCGAATGACTGTTGACTTCCCTCGACGTCCTTCGCCTCGGATGATGGTGACCACAAGAATGCGACGCCACTCTCTTACCAACATATCCCGGATTAGCTGAGGAAGGGTTCGTCGATGGAAAACCACTCGATGTGCCGTCAAAGTTTGTTGGCTCTTCAATTTCAAGTGTCGGCGTCAGCGTAGAGTCCCCATTCGTGGATGTTGCCGCTCGTTTTCGTTTTCTCCTCAGATCAGTTGGGGAGGGCGGCTGACGCATGGCCATACTTGGAACGACCGCGGGGACACTTTCAGTCCGCTGGTCTGTAGTCGCGCCCTGATCAGCCTGTTGCTTGCGCTTGTTGGTGACACTTTTCGCCAGAAAGCTCAACTCTGCAATGAGATGTCTCGGGCACAGATGCCCGTACAGGTCTTCGTTCCGTACGCTGTCGTCATACGAGCATTCGATGAAAATTGCCTTTAGACTGCTGTTGACAATCTTGCCTGCAGCATCCTCCCACACAATGTGATTCCTGGGCGACATCGAGACCGAGTCTGGCTCGACGTCACCGAAGATCAAGATTTCATTTCCAGTAGCATCGTTCCGAACGAAGAATGCACTGCTGCCTACCGGCTCAAACATGTAATTCGGATCGGGGGCGAGATTTGGAGGCACGCTACTTGCCCCCGGGGTCATCGGTGCAGCAGCAGACATGCTACCTATGAATGGCTGTGAAGGTTGCTGCGACTGTTGCTGCTGCTGCGCAACGGCCGCGAAATAATCATGGCTTGCGTCCGAGATGCGACTCATGCGTCGTGATGGGAATGCGTATTCGGCGCCAGTGTAGCCAAAGGAGTCGCTATGCTGGTGCCCGGATATGCTGAGTCTCCTGCGTTGGCATTTCCCGTGACTAATGCCCCAACACTTGGTAGCAAGACCATCGCACACATTGACATAGCCTCGAGATTCGCCAGATCCGAGACGAGGGTTGCCTCCTTCGATCAGCCTCCTATAAGTCACAAATCCCACTCCATTGCCTTCGTCGGACAGGTTGGGCCAAAGCCAGTCGTTGAAGATGTGATTCTTGATCGCCTCAATTGTAGAGGGCAGCGCTACAATGGCTTTGGCTTCACGGCCGTACTCAAGGGCCGGTGTGTTGATTGCCATGGCAGACAAATGGTCGAGATGAGGGTGTGTGATGAGGAAGGCATGTAAAATCTCACGGAAGATGTGCAGGCCATTGGCTTTTGCAGATATGTTCGGGAAAGGGATGCCCGCAAAGGGACCAGCTTCAAGTGTCTTCGAGTATTCCGCCGGTGGGAGGATTTCGGAGGTCAGAGGCATTTGCCGTTCGAGGATACGAATGATGTTGGCGAGGTGGGAGCCAGCGTCAACGGCAATCATTGAGCTCTTGCGCCATTCCGTCTGAGGCGCGCGGACCAGAAGACCGGTCGCATTGTCTTCTAATGGTCCGCCTGAAGAACCCTAGAGTGCCATCAGCCTCAGCATCGAAGGGGTGCAAGGGTAAGGTATATATAAAGTTTAAGGCATGTACACCGGAGGGTCGAGACTGCGACGCGTGTAACATCATAGAGGTTCTTGGTCACATACCAGTACTATAATATGAAAGGATGCTTCATTCTTTTCACCGAGCTCGCGAAGCTGGTTAGGAGCTTCGCGCCGAGCATGCTGCTCTCGCATGGATATGTTTGTTCTTCTGTGCTCTCAAGCTCTTTGTTCACCCACACTCTGTCGGGCCGTTGCACAAGGCCTTTGTCTCTAGAATATGATCCACTTTCGGCCCTCGGTCCTACAACCAATCTTTATTCGCAATGAGAATAGGTTCAAGGGGCGGTATGAGGAGCACTGGAGCTGGGCATGGGTTGCGTGCGGCGTGCAGACTGTCAAATACCCAGACAAGTGGTAACAAGTCACTCAAGAACACGCGACATGCTCGTCGTGCAAGCAGATTGCCCAGGAATGCGGAGGATCGACGTTGGACATGTGGAAGTGGGACAGAGAGGGACCGGGCTCAAGGATGGTCAGATCAGCCCAGGATTGTACTCCGTAAAGTGCTGTGGCTTTCACGAGAGGTCCAGCAGTGATAGCTACCCTAGGGATCTGTTATGTATTCCATTTCTGGTGATGGAAAAGCCAAAGGAAGGAGACGGAGAGAATAGAAGTCAGGTAGGCAAGAAGTGAGAACCTTGCACATACATATATTCATTCGTAGCTTGTCGAATGACTGGCCTGTCAGTGTTCTTTGAATACGAACAATTGGTGTTATTGGTTCTGCGCTCGGACTTCGCGAAGGCGGCCAGCACTTTGGCCCATGGACAGGAATAGTTGGCGATTGGTCAGAAGCAGGAAGGCGATTACACAGGTAAAGAGATCTTTAAGCGTGCATCCATTAATGCCAATACATCCATCAGATGCGACTATGTCAGCTACAGAAGGGATAAATTTACAAATCATAAAGTAATGTTCATTTCATGCTAGGGTATCTTTCATGATGTATGACTCGGTCCTGCCTCTTCGCTTACAGCGGCGTCATATATAGGTGGTTGATCTGCTCGATCCTGGAGCATTCCTCGTCTCTCTTCGTCATCTCCTTCGCCGCTGCTCCGACGACTTACAGGTGGACTACTGTATTCTGGCGGTGGGATAATCTGTTGGCCAGCTGGTGTGTTCTCGACTGGTTGATGCTGAACATCACCAAGATCAAGTAAGCTGTTGCCATGATGGGGGAGATCTTGCGTTGAAACATGAGCCAATTGAGCCAGTGATATGTCCGTAGGCGAGCGTATTGGCCCTGCAGGCAATCCTAGTCTGGCAAGTCCACTTCGTGTCCTCGAGTGGCCAGGCTCGTAGGCAGGCTCTCGAGTCCCTTCTCTTCCGGTCTCCAGTAGAATGCTGCCTTGCTCACTACCGTAGGGTGGCGGGGGAGCTAAACTTCCAGTCATCGGTGCCAGACCCCATTTCTTGACGTTTGCTTCTATGAATACAAAGCCCATTTGCCCAAAGTTGACGTGAACTGTACAAGGTCCATTGGCTCCCACGGTCGGGAAAAAGTTCTGGGTCTTGAGGTTATGCACGACCTCATCGAGTTTCTTGCCATTCCGTGTGAAAAAAATACTTCCAGTGCGCGGCCGGTAGCCTACACCAATGACATCTCCTTGCACGTAGACAGGGCCATAAGGCGTTGCATTGAAAGGTTGGTTATATCTTCGGTGACCAGTGGAGGTGTAGGCGACCGAGGTTTTGTGAAAACCTGCTCTATTAGTACGTAGTCAGGGAATACAGAGTGTGATAGAACATACCAGGTAATCTGAACAGTGGGTATGGCTTTGTTGTCATCCCAATGCTGATCAAACTCGTCTCAGGTTTGTCGTAGATTTTGGCCTCCCAGTAGTAAACCTCGTTCTGTTTCGGCACCGGCAGATTACTTTGGACACTGCATTCTGAATCGAAGAATTCGATTTCTGTCCTCGCCTCGACGAAACAATTCGCAATCTCTAACTCAGGTTCAAATTCCCACGCTGATACTCCCTTCTCTTGAATGGCTAGGAATTGCGACAAAGAGATATCGGTCTGTACAGACTCCGGAGGGTTGGCCTGGGTGAAAGCTATCACAACTGTTAGACTTCCGCTGTAGAAGATGACTTAAAATCAGTCCTACCTTTTGCCCTTAGATATTCCGTCCTCTGTAATTCATCCATCGTCTCCAAAGCTTCGGCCTCCTCATGCGCAAACGCCTGTTCGTCATCGTATTCACCGGGCCGGCCTATCCGGTCTAATATGATCCTTCCTCGAGATGTATACTTGAAAAAGAAGAAAATCGCCAGAACAAGAACAGCAACGCCTGCTGACCCAAACGCTGACAATATCCCAATAAGTATGCCGCGGCCTGTTGAACCGCCATCGTTGATGTTTATGACAATAGACGTTGGAGAGCCATCAGCATGTGGCCGAAAGCGACCGGGTCGCCAGGCGCTACCAGTGGCATCGGCGGATATGGAGGTGGTGGTTGGGACGGAAGATAGGGATGTAGGAGAGTAGCGTAATGAGGTATCGAATGTCATCGCCAATCGCTCATGATGGACTTGCTCAGCGCCGGGCTGCATCGCTCATGAGGCGAGAGATAGATGGAAAAGAAAGAGGAGATGAGTTGCAAGGTGACCTTATGTGGCGAAATGGGTGAGGCGGAAGAAGGGACAAATGGCTCGGGGCGGGGTCTAGGCCAAACGAGACGAGGTGACGGTAGGAACGATTCGCTGGAATCAGTGAAGTTGAGACGAGTCAATTGCAAGACCTCCGAATTGAGTAGCAGAGACAAGAGGCCACCATTGTGATGATAGCAAAGGGCAGGGAAAGGAATGGTTGATGGGATGAAGGTTCCTGCGACAGACTGTACGAATACATCAGGTAATATGGGGATGGCCAGATATGGGCCGAACAGAGAACGGAAGTGCGCAGGACCAGAGAGAGGACCGCAGGAGGTCCGCTGCCCGGTGACGATGAAACCCATGACACACGGGATTAGCGAAGCCCAGACCCTTGTTATTGAGAACCGACCACGCCTAGTGGGCTCCCTGAAAGGTGCCACCAGAGCCTATTGCATACCCAGTGGGTGTGGCCGGGGCGACCAGCAAACGCAGCCATACTATACGAGTACGGAGTACGTTCGTCTACCATTAACCGTGCCAAGGTCATGGATGCCGTCACTCTATTACTAGGGCCAAAAAAAGGCCGTTCTGGTGGCTGTTCTTTTGTATGTCCCATATTCCGTACCATAGGTAGATAGAAATCTATCAGATCTCCTCTCAAACAAGTCTGTCTTTGAGAACTATGCGACATTCATAATGTTTCGTAGAGTCTGAAATGGTACTCCATATTCTAGCCTAGAGATCGTCAGGACATCGGCCTCGCTCATGGTTGTTTCACAGTTCCCACTGCGCAAGGCTGAAATGTACCCTGGACCATTCCCGTAACACTCCTGGCTACCTAGATTTTACTCCCTCCTTTCGACTTGGCCCTCCACCCGGTAAGCGTACTGCCACCATCAAGTTCAATGACGTTGCCCGTCATATGAGCGGACCCAACACTGCTCAAGAACAAGATCACACCGGCGAAATCAGAGGGTTTGCCAACACGTCCTGTGGGTTGTCGTTCTAAAAGCGTGTCCAAGTACTTTTGGATGCCGAAGTTGGTCATCCTCGAGGGAAAGACACCACTGCCGACATTAGCACGGTCTCTTTTGTTTGCACTTTTGTAGGCAAAGGAAGACTTACGGGCATACGCAATTGACCATGACATTCAATGGCGCCAGCTTTGAAGCTTGGATCTTTGTGAGGTGAATAGCGGCCGCCTTCGAAGGGCCGTATGAGAAAGTTCCAGATCCAGGAGCAGCGAGACCGCCATCATCTCCTGCCGTAACATCAGAGGTCATGATGCCGGCCATTGAAGCAATGTTGATGACCCGGGAGGGCATGTCGGCACTGGTGCCTTTAAGTAGCAGAGGGTGCAATCCCACTGTCATGTAATAGATTGACTTGACATTCAAAGCCATGATCTTGTCCCAACCACTCTCGGGAAAGTCATCGTAAGGAGCACCCCAGGTGACACCAGTGTTGTTGACCAGTACGGTCAGTCGGTCGGTCCGCTTCTTCATTTCCTTGACGAGGCCATCACACCCGGCCTTGTCCTTCAGGTCGGCGACGATATATTCGCACGTTCCTGGGCCGAGTTTGTTGATCCGGTCCGAAGTTTTCTTCAACTCAGACTCCTTGCGGCTTGCAATGTATACCTTGGCTCCATTCTGGACAAACGCCTGTGCTGCCATTTCGCCGAGTCCAGTCGCGCCTCCAGTGACAAGCACCACATGGTTGCTGAACCCGAACAACGAGGACACACGGAGATCGGCCGTTGAAGTCATGGTGTCCCAGTATGATGATGAAATGAGATAGATATTGCCTATTTCACTTTTATTAAGTTGATGTCTTCTACAATCCTGAAAAATATAAAGGTAACCTGCTGTGACTGCCGCGGATAAAGTCCTGGCTAGGATGTCTGGGGACGCACTACTCCATACTGTCGCTCCGTGCCTAGGTAAGCACTGGGGAGATCAATTTCAGCCTCGGCTTACTGAGTGCTCGCCCCCTCCGAATGTTAGCTGGGTTGTTTTCAAGTCAAGGAAAAGATGTGTAAACCATGAAGGAATTGCCCAAGTAGCACAATTACCTAGCACTTGCATTGTACTGTTCTTTTTAGTCTCCAGGTCTTGTAGACCACAGACGATAAGATATAACCTGCAGAACCTCAGAGTCGGATTGACTATGGACCGGCACACACGGAGCTCTTGATGCGCCCTACATTGCCAAGAACTATACGGTCGACCATAAATGACTTTGCATCCAGATCCTTTCGACTCACTCAATAGAATGTGTTTATGCTCATCTCCTGGCCTGAAGATATGTTAAGAAGAGCCAAGTACAACTACTGGGTCCCTGAATCTACGGATACGGAATCATTCTCATGATACTCGTACAACGGGACGAGCGTGGAGGCCAGAATCAGGTGGTGTGGGCTGCCATGGGCGGCAAAAAAAGGTGACATGACTCATTAGACGACTTCGGCCTTCTCGTCGGCCAAGTGCACGCCACCGGCCTAGATCTCACACCACAGAGCCTTATGTTGCCTGTTGCGTGTCCGAAAACGCAGGCATACCCAACGCTCGTCACTCAACCCAATATTTAATACTCATACAGGGGCTTGTGGTCTCATGTGACTCACTGTGCCTGTCCCGTCTACTATTTCCAAGATGTACTGTATGAGTAGTAGGGCAAGTATATCTATCTATGTCTCGTGCCCCGAGATCCAACATTCCCATTCATCACCTCGTACACTCTTTTCTACCACAGCTGGCACTCACTTGACTTCGTGACAGCACATTCCTGCATCTAACACCACATATACAATGGCACACAAGCACAACCGCCGACGGATTCGCCCTCGGAATCGCAACAACATCCTACAACTGACCTGGGATATAACCGAACACACTCCTTCCTCACTGCAGGTGTCCTCCCCCTATTCCTCACCCCTTTCAAAGACTGAGCCAACACAACCTGCACTGCCTCCAACTCTACGAAACCCTAGTTCCAGCCTGACATCGAAAAATTGGTACAACCGATACGTGGCCTGGCAGAACCGCGATTTGGCCCAAAAGCGAGAAGCCATCAAGTTGGAGGCCGAACAGATCAAACTCTTTGGTGGAGAGCCCGGGGACGACGTTGGGCTTTGTTACAAGATGCTGGAAGTGTTTGCGGGAATGAATTGGATCGATACCCTGGATTAAATATATACCCCAATCTTGTTGGTCGGCGTTTGTTGGTGGCCTATTGGCGTTTGGCCGTCGGTTTCTTTCCACTCACCGGAACGGAGACAAAAGTCAAGCTCGACTTGCAGCAATGACGGCTTGCTCAATATGGGTTGGCCGGATTGGTCTCTTATGCTTGACCCGTCACTGCTGGGCAAAGATGAATCTATTAGCAAGCAGTGATTGGTGCTCGCGCAGATACCGTACGATGTATGGATCTAGCGTTGGAGCTCGTTGCTGCAAGCCAGGACATCTTGACGGAAAGAGAGATAGATTATCCTCTCAAGGAATCCTCCGTACGTGGATTTTTGTTATACCACTCCTATCACGATAGCCACGCTCGTACTCTTTCTTCATCCTGTGATGATGTGCTGCTGTGACTAGTACACAAAACTCGTATTGGTGTATGGATCTGTTCCGATGAGATGAGATGCTCATATAGCCACCTCATACTGTAGTTCTGGTCTCTCTCTTTCGTTGTACGGAGTACTGCGCATGGCCAATCTCGATCTAAACCATCGGGCAAAACATCCGTTGCGTACAATTGGGATCTTGAAGCCACAGAAATGCGTCAGCCAAGCCAGCCTTAAAATCTTAGCGCGATGCCAAGTTTCCCGCATTCGACGGAGGCGCCTCAGGCTCGTCGTCGATCTCAATACTCAACGGCGACAAACGAGGCTGTCACACAACGAAAACAGGGCACGGCTTCTCACTAACGCAGTAGCCACAGTTGATTTTGCGTCATTCTTGTTCCTCTTCATCATCCCGTGTCCTCGTTGTAACTTCACGGAGTTCGCGTTTAGTGTGTAGCGTTCAATACATATTCCTCCCCGTGTCTCCTCCGCTCCTTCATTCCCCCTTGACTTCTTGAGCCCAGGCGCAACGAACCCAGATCCCTAGAAGGAAGAACGGCTCCGTTTGCCTGAAATATTGACGTTTGCCAGTACCTTGGTCCGCTGTATCTCTTTTCGATAACATAAAATCTGCAGACATGGGCCTCTTCAGCAAGCGTAGCGACAATACAACGGCAGCCACCGCCAATGGCCATCACAAGAGACGAGATCGACGGGGTTCTGACAAGACTCGCAGAGGCCTGTTCGATATTGATTCGGGCAATTTCAATCGGAGACCAAGCTTTGGTCAATGGTAAGGAGACTCCCCCCTCTGCCACTCGGTCGAAACGAATGGCATGAAATTGACATGTTTCCAGGCTGAAATTCACATGGCTGGACCTGCTCACCATGGCGGCCATGGGTGCCATTGGTCTGGGAGTCTACGAAGCGAAGCCTGCTCCAAGCCGATCCTTCCCAGTCACATTCACTGACGGAGAGATTGTCTACCCTCAATTCGCCTACCCTCTGCGCCATGAAATCGTGCCCATCTGGCTCGCGGCCCTCCTGGCCTCTCTGATCCCGATTTTCATCATCCTCTGCATGCAGGCCCGCATTCGGTCCTTCTGGGACTGCAACAACGCCATCATCGGTCTTCTCTACTCCCTCATCGGTGCCGCAGTCTTCCAAGTCTTTGTCAAATGGCTGATTGGCGGTCTCCGACCTCACTTCCTCTCCGTCTGCGACCCGGACCCGGCCAAGATCGCCGCCCAAGGCGGTCAAGGCTTCCGGGGAATCATGTTCCAGCGCGACGTTTGCCGAGGCGACATCGACCAGATTGACGACTCGCTTGAATCCATGCCTTCTGGCCACAGCACCGCTGCGTGGGCGGGGTTCCTGTACCTCTTCTTCTACTTGAACGCGAAGATGAAGGTGTTCAGCAACCACCACCCGGCCTTTTGGAAATTGATCGCCCTCTACGCCCCTGTGCTCGGCGCGACCTTGATCACCGGTGCACTGACCATTGACGAATTCCACAACTGGTATGACTGCGTCGCCGGGGCCGTCATTGGGTCGACCTTTGCCATCTCTTCGTACCGCATGGTCTACGCCTCCGTCTGGGATTTCAGGTTCAACCATATCCCCTTGACCCGCCACACCCCCTTTACCTACGGTGCGGGAGCCGCCGGGGCCGGAGGTTTCGAATCTGCGGTCTTCACTCGGAGGGCAGGATGGGGGTACGAGGAGGCACTCGGCGGTGCTCCCTTCGACGCCGCGCACAGCCTCCGGGGAACTGCCACGGGCTTCAACGCCGGGGCTCACGGCTTGGGGCATCATCGACCTGGAGATGTCGAAAACAACGCTGGGCTGGATGACGGGTACAAAAACGGGCGAATGAACGACCTCACCAATGGCACCTCTTCCAATGGCCTGGCGAACCCTACTCCCGCGGCCGCGCCCGACGGACGTTACCACCACCATCGGAAGAGTATGGAACGTAAGGCGGTTCCCACCGCGTAAGTGTATCCTTGGTGATGCACTACTCGTCTCTCGGAATCCACCGAGTTCGATTTGATTTGATTTGTGATTGTAACATTTCAAAGCATGATGTGAATTGAATTGAGCACGGAGCGCGGAGTTTGGTTGTGCTCGACAGCGTACATTTGCACGGCGGAAATGGCACTGTAAGTATGATGTTTGATGCCATGCAACGGAGGAGTTTCGCGAGAAGCACGGGTCGCATAGCTGTGATTAAGAATCGTTGTATCAAACCAATTAATCACGACAGAAACGAGGAGTATGTCAAAAAGTAGCCTACATTGCACAACGTACGTAGCTCATAATTTCGTTCTATACTAGGTGTACGTATGAAATGTCCGTTTGATGGATAGTGATACGTTGATAGATGCTATAAGGGGGAATATATTTGGGTCTGCTGTATACCGTATATCTCCATCGCGTGTCTTTTGGTGCGGACGTTCCCTTCATTTCTCATGATCTCCGGACTCGTCGTGTCTGCATCGCACACTCTCACCGCCTCTCAACGGGGGTTGAGTGTTGTTCATTTCCAAGGAAAATTAATGTTACGTCTGTCCCCTCCCATTTGCCCAACTCTTCGGATATCGACGAGGCTGGACCTCTCCGCCGTCCCGTCATACGTCATGTGTATGTATGCATACTCGGCTCCCACTTTCTTTAGGTATCAACTCAAGCTTTGTTCGTACCGACCTTTGTCACGACTTTGTACTGCCTTGGCGTGATTATCGTCAAAGGCAATTCAACCAAGTGCCCACCGTGTCTCACAGTCGAGGTGCAATGTGATGGGAATGCGTCCTTCTCGCTCTGTTGGGTGACATGGGAGGGGGCCAGACATTCTCAGAGCCAAACACTCTATTGCGGGAATATCGCCCTTTCGTGGATAGCGGCGGGTCGAATCGATCTCGAGCTGACAACTCACCCAACAACGACGGAAGCTATCCTTCGTCCTGAGTCTTTGAGACCCTCGCAATCACGTCCTTCATCTTGGGAAGAAGCTCGGGGATGCGGAACGGTTTGCTGACGACGTCGTCGATGCCGCTCTTCAACGTCATTTCGATTTGCTCCGCCCTCGCATTGGCCGTGACAGCTATGACTGGAATATGCGCGACGAGCTCTCCCGACTCTTGCATCTCGCGGAGTCTCCTCGCACACGTCTGGCCATCCATGACGGGCATTTCCAAGTCCATCAGCACAATGTCGATGTCTATGCCGTCCTTGATGTGCCTTCGGTCGAACTTGGATTCTTGGATCTGTTCAATGGCTTCGCCGCCGTGATTTGCAACATAAACCTCGCAGCCAATCTTCCGCAACTGAGTAGCCAAGACCTTCTGGTTGATCAGGTTGTCCTCGACGACGAGCACATGGAGGGAGCTCCTGAGAACCGGGCTTCTCAGCGATGCTGGGATGACAGGATTCTGAGACGTCTGAGACGGTGGGTGAGTGTGATTGTTGAGTGTCAACATCAGCGATGACTTGGAGCCTTTTCGTAGCCAAGCTTGATCGTCTTCCGATGCACCATCGGGACGCTGACATCTGCGGGCTTTGACGTAGAAAGCAAACACACTCCCCTTCCCGGTTTCCGATGCGACGCCGATCTCACCTCCCTGGAGCTCGACAAGCTGTCTCGAAATGAATAGTCCCAATCCAGAACCACCATAGGTGACGTGCGTGCGAGGACTGGCTTGCGAGAATCGCTGAAAGAGCTGCTTTTTCTCCAGGTCATTCAGGCCCCTTCCGGTGTCTTGTACAGCAAAATGGAGATAGATAGGCTCTCCTAAACCCCATTCTGCACTTGCAGTCACATCTTTCTCTTTAGGAGTTGAAGATGGGATGTAAGTCAACCGCCACTTGTCTTCTTGTGAAGGCCGGGAATTCGACGCCGCTACGTGCATCCGAACTGTGCGGTTCTCTTGCGTTGCTGTGAACTTGATAGCGTTGGTCATTAGATTGATCAAGACTTGTGAAAGCCGATGAGGATCGAGTCGCACCCACTCCACGTGCAGGCCTGCGTAGGAGGTATCGATGTTGACGTCTAACTTGATATCATTTGTCTTTAGTTCTGCTTCGAACATTTTGAGAACTTTGTGAATCACACTCATCGGCTGTGTATCTGCAGGTGAAACAGCCATCATCGCGGAGTCAAGTTTGGAAAGAGTAAGAACATCGTCGACTATTCTCTTTTGATGCTGAGCACACAGAGTTATCGTCTGAGCTGAGTCAATCGTGAGATCGATAGTCTCTCGCTGCGCCGAAGTCCACTGGTCTGCTTCAATCATTTCGGTCAAGGAGCTGGTGATTGAGTCAGCACATTGAAGAATCGCAGATAGTGGGTTGCGCATTTCGTGTGACGTGGTATCGATATATCGCTCCTGCTGTCTTTTGAGTTCGACAGCCTCTTCCATTCTGCGAGTCTGGAGCTTCTCGGCAAACTTTTGCGCACTGATATCCGTCATCGACCCAAAGATGCGTTGAACCTGTCCGTCCTCATCTCGTTCTGGGGATGCGCTCATCAGAACCCAGGTTGAACCAGTGTTTCCAATCTTATCTCGCCATGGTCTTCGGAAACGGAACTCCATCGATATTGCGGACCTCTTATCCACCATGCTCTTCCACGCTTCACGCACCTTGACCTGATCTTCATCGACAACGTACTTGATCCACTCGGCATCCACCAAAACATCGCGTGTGTACGAGGTAATCTTGTACCATGCATCGTTGGCAAAGTTGATCTTGCCTTCAGTGTCGCCGATGAACATGCCAACCGGCGCCAACTCTGCCATTCTGGTGAACTTGTTCTCTGCTTCTACTGCTTGTTGTGTCTTTGCAACCAACTGATTATTTAACTCGATTCGGTCTTGAGCGGCTAATCGAGCCGCTTTCTCGCCCTTCCTTATTTCATCTTCAAAGAGAACTACCGACGCAATTGAGGTTGCTAATTGTCGTCCTAGAAGCTGCACAAAAAGATCATAGTCTTCATCATATGGTCTTCTCGGGTTCGTCGCCATAACAAGAAATCCCAAGGTTGACTCGCCCGTAGTAGGTCGGATTGGGGATATGACAATGATGTTGGAAGGGTCGCCAAACCCGCGCCACTCGATACCATCCAGCATCTCCGGCGCTAGGGTCCCGTCATCTACACGAAGGACAACTGGTCTGTCGGCTGTTAAGGCTTGTCGGAAGGCAGCTGCAAAGCCTGCTGTCCCGGTCTTCATGTCAACGGATTGTGGTGCGGCTTTATGTTCTGAAGGAATCCCCAGCGTGCCTTCCAAGTAACAGACCTTGTTCGACGCGCCGCCACTTGAAGCAGATGAAATCACCTCGCTATCAGAGGAATCATCCATGAGAGAGTAAACCATAACCATTGGCGCGTCATATTCATTGTATTTTAGCCCTTCCAGTAACAGGCCCCAGAACTGTGATACCTTTCTTGCCGTACCTGTACATTCACCGATCTCTCGAAGTGTGAGCATCCTTCGCTCAGCGATTTTTCGTCGAGTTTTTTCGAAAGCAGGATTGTAAAGACCGATCACACTCCCGTCACTTCCAATCAACGGTATGATTGACCAAGAAAAATAGGTCTCCTCCAGGAAACCATTGCGAGTGAGAAAGAGACAGTCGTCGTCTTTCATTGTGGCTTGAGCATCCTTGAAGGCACTCTCAAACACAGCTTCCAGTGGCTCCCAAATTTCACTCCAGGCATCTCGATAACGAGAACCCATAAGCTTAGGGTGCTTTTGACCAGCAAGCAGAATGTAAGCTTCATTGTAGATGGCAATATGATCGGTTCCCCAATACATGGCTGATGGGTGAGGACTGGCCATGATCAGATTACACATGCCTCGAAGGTCAGCAGACCAGTTCTCAATGGGCCCGAGGCTAGTCTTTGCCCAATCGACCCCGCGAGCAAATCGCACATGGGGTGGGAGTGAGGGCGACATAGGCAGACGTGTCCAGTCGAAACAGCTTTTCTCTTGCAGTGGGACTGTCATTGCAGAATCTTCGTCGGTCCGAGCAAGGGGAATAGCGCTCTGGGTCCTGCCCGGAGAAAATGGACCAGAAGGACCGTTAGTGTACTCCATTTCGCTGGGAGGAACAGAAGAATCTGAATCAGATGTGTTTGGAGATCCCCTGGACATGCTTATCGCCAAATCCTCAATCGTCCGTGGAATGTGTGTACTCGGCCTTGGAGAAATATCGAAATAGCTCGTTGATGTGAGCTCGCCTCGCGCAGTGGCAGATGATGTTGCGGAACCCAGACCTTGGAATTGTTGCATATTAATACGCGAGCTCTTCTCAGTCGTGGCAGGTGGTGAAAAGGTATGTGGATAACCATGAATCACCTTAAGCCGTCTCCGAATCAAGGAGGCCTGCCATAGAAGTCCTGCAAAGGGGAACTTTGATACGATGTCTAGCCCTGGTGCTGGGACCAAGACCCATGATTTGAAGTCGTTGAAAGATGTGCCGAGATCCAACAAAAGCGTAGAATCTTCTGAACGCCCTTGAACATGGTCGAATAATGAGCCACGAGATTTCAAGGCTGTGTTGGCGAACAAGATTCGAAGGCCATTCCTGGAATCTGATGCATCATCGATGTCCACCACAAGCGTAGGACGTTCATCCAATTGCAAGTACTCGACGAGGGCAACCGAATGTAGAAGCTGTGCGCTGCTCGATGGTTTTGTGTCTGAGGGAGCGCGATGCCTTGGCCCCGAAACTTGTTCATTCACGACAGGTGTACCATGAGACGAGGACCGAATTGGTATGGAGCTACCCACAAATCCTCGCCCGAGTACTGGCTCTCTGGTGGGTGTCATGCTCTCCCCTCGACTCAGAATAGTCGCGGTGGCCTCGAGCAGCGATACCGGCCCCCGACTGGTTGGCGACAGGTCGTGTTGGAGGGTTGTAGTGTGGGCTTCTTCCACCTCTTTCCCTTCATCATCCTGGCTTCCGAGCACTCGGTGTGTTATTTCATCTTGACTGAGAGCATGAGGCGCGGTCGCGGAGGAGTGTCTTGCTTGTTTCCGAACGGGTCTGTCAACAGAAGGAGAAGTTGTTCTGGAGTCTTGGGAAGGACGCTTGAGTGACTGAGTAGAACTATGGATAGCGGGTGGCTGCGACGAGTGAGGGAAGCGACCGGTCGGGTCTGAGGTTGTGTCCGTCGGCATATAGCTCTAGCATTCTTCACTGAACGGGTCAGTGGCAGAGAATCGAGTTTGCCACCCGGAGAAAGTGTGGGTGAGGGCGCAGAAAAGGTTGGTTGTAGTCGTCAGAACACCAGTCAAAGCACCGTAGTACAAGGTTCGATTAGCATCAATCAGTGCATCGGTGCGTATGAGAGCAGGCCAAAAAGACTTGGATCTTTGGATGTTCAAACATGTAGAACATGGAAGTCGAGGCAAGTACAAACTCCTGGAGGTGCAATCTTTGACAGGACAGCAGAATGGTCAACGAGTACTCGTCGCAGATGACGGTTGAATATGGTTTCCTGCCGCAGTTCGAGAGAAACGATTGTCCTGTTAACGAGTGGCATGGGAATCAGAGATGGCGGCCACGAGGGTGACGGTGACGGCGTCGACGGTTCAGAGGACCTCGCAAAGGCGGGCACAGATGTTTAGATTTCCCAGTGACGTGTAGTCAATGTGTGCATTGTACTGATGCAATTAGGACTATGCGGAGCAGTACACATGATAAGAATGATTGTCGAGGGCTTGATGTTTCTTGACGGACATTGAAGAATAAAAGTATGGACCACAGGGGGAGGTAGTTTTCATCCTCATCCGCCTCTCTTTGGTCGTTCCTCTGTATATTTTAGGCGGGGGATATGCATCGTTCTTTGCTCGATGCGATTGCCGTAAGGACACTAACTTAGCTGGGCTGGTTAAATTAAGTGAGCCCAGTACTCCGTGGTAGCGAGGCAGGTCGTTCGATGGGGGGATGGACCGCTAAAACAAGCATGACTCGTTAGGCTCCCCACGCTTCTCCATAGGCGCGGTCTGGAGCCTCAAAAGCCTATAGGAGGCACCCGTACGGAGTACATCATGTTTGTATTAGGGCGCAACGATGCTCGCTTGTGTCACTGCAGATCGAGCTTCAAGGCTATATGGATCAAGATCTGGTTTGATTCGAAGCCAATTTGCATTTTTGACCTCCATATGTTCGCTCAATCTATTCTAACAGAAGACTTTCTCCATTGCCCAACTCACAACACAACAGTTGTCGAGGTTCGCATGGTGACCCGTCCTTCACACGTTTTGACAGCTGAGCCGAAGCGTCCGAAATGCTGACAAGCTTTCTTTTCAACAATGGCGCAACAAACCCAGACCTTGGTTTGTCTTCGTCGTGAGTTCCGACCCAGTATTTGGCATCCAGGATTCTTTGAGCCTTTACTCCGTTGACCACGCCTAGATTGAGTTGACTGGCCCATCCGATAGAGACGTCCTGCAAGCCATGGAGCAATGCCAGAATTTCCAGGCTGGGTGTCACCTCAGTCAGAACAGATACCGTTGACACACCCACACCATGAGGCGTATAGACGATTGCTTCGCCTTTCGTTGATGAGTTCGATGATTGTATGCATATCACAAGAGCTGAATGAAACGAGAGTATGTCGAAGGTCGCCACCAATCTGCTGATACCTATCCACGCAGGCAAAGGAGATACACTGGTTGTCCTCCAGTCTGTGCTTTTGGAAAAGTTGCCTACCTCAACGACATTTTCAAAATAGCCCCATGACTGGATCAGTCGCGCGGCCCTCTTGGTTGCAAATATAGGAACTGCCGCGTCGAGCTCGAGCAAGGTGTCCCGATGACAGTGGTCGGTGAATTCATGAGAGACAGCCACAGCATCCACATGGGACCGTCCACGGACAGCCGGGGTGCTTTGGTTTGAATCATGATACTCTTCATTCCCATCTCGTTCCAAATGCTCGGCTTCACGCAGAACGTCCTCCAGTTCGGCCATGGTCTGAACGCTGCTTTCGACCGAATGCCATTGTTTCGAAAACCACCCAGCAACGTCTTGCTGGGTGCCCTGGAGCCATGGGTCTATGAGCAGATTGAATCGGACACGTCCCGGAGGCGGTGTGGCATGCTCAGGGTATGGGAAGGAGACGACCCAGGTGGTGTCGGCGTTAAGATGGGTCAAAATAGGCCTCTTCAAACGATGGGCACGCCTTAAAGCGTGCTGCAACTCGGCTTTAAGCTGACAAGCAGCTGCATCATCAACGCATGGATTCATGTGTTTTTGGAGCAGGCACACCTCGGCGGATATTCTGGCATCGCACATTACCTACCTACCTGTCCACCGTTTGGTCATAGGAGTATGAATACGATCTCAAGATGTGGTTATCTTGGAGACCGCCGAGTCATGATGCCATGATTGCACAGCCAATGTTTGTGACCAGGAAGCATACTCCATATTAACTCCACCTAGCAATTCCCTGCGCCTTTAGATAGATATTGCCCATGAAGTTGGGTAAGAAACTCCATCTCCCTACCGCGGGGGTTGAATACCTACCAGTTCATGTGCCTTGTTACACTGTCCTTCTTTATGTTCCTGCATTATGCCCATTTGCATCGTCATTCGCAAGAGAGAGGCGGGGTATATTGGCGCCAAGTTGCGATAAGCAGATAAGACCCCCAGATTAGGCATAGTAGCATGCGCAGGTTTGGAGTACTCTACGGTAGGCAACAGCACGAGTACCTACTCGCCGCCCGCAGGATGCCTGAGGCGCCTTTCACTGACTGCCCATGATCTTTAGCCAAGTCGCCTCACGATTCCTCAACAGGTCCAACAATAACAATCATCTCGGAACAATCAAACCAAGCCAGCCAAACAAGATCTCAAAGCCTTACATTACACTCTTGCAACATCAGCCAACTTCTTCCACTTGTCATTCCAGTTAATCGACGGGGTAAGTTGGTACTTCTTCTCCTCTGGGCTCCTTAGGGCGCGCGGCACACCTCATCCGCAGGCGGGAACCTGGCCTTTGACGTTCTATCCGTGCCACTAATCTGCATCTAGTCACCACACAGCCTCAATTCGCCGCACCCACTTCGTCCTTCGAGGTCGCCCAGGAGGCCACTGAAGCCAAGGCACAGTAAGCAGGAAGACCTGGGAATCTTGACTCTGGCGGTGCTCGGTCTTAACCAGCAGCCTTGAACTCTTAGGCTTATTACCACTCCTCTCCACGACCCTCTAATATCCTTCTTTTCATACTCACACCTCGCCCCCTGGCTGCGACCTGCTTTGAAAGCAAGTCTACAATACATTCTTTCCACCATTTCCCTCCACGCCTATTCATACGCCGATGGTCGACTCCGCCGACGAGCCTCCGCTGTCAAGTCGTCTACACTCATGGGCTAAGAACACGTTCCCAGCAGCGTCGTCCCTGAACCCTCTCCGATCTCGTCACGAAGACCCCGTGCGACCCTCCAACCCCAGATCCGACGATACCAGCGTTCGGTCGAATCATGCTAGCCACGAATCCTCTGCAGCCGGCCCTGCAACCTCACAATTGCACCCAGGTGCGGCGGATACAGTGCAACAAAATCCATTTGCTCTGGATAAGAAAGGAGATGGAACGCCACCTACCACCATAGAGACTACTGATACCAAGGTCGAGGCGCCCTTGGTCCAACGTTTTGTCCGAGATGTCAAGCGCATCCTCTATTCCAGCTGGATCAACTGGCTCCTGGTCTTCGTGCCTGTTGGCATCGTCTTGGGAGTCCTCGTTGACTGGGTTCACACCGACTTGGTGAGCCCAACTGCTGTATTTGCCATCAATGCCGTCGCCATCATTCCGCTGGCATCACTCCTTGCCTACGCAACAGAAAGTGTCGCTGTTAAATTAGGCGACACGGTTGGTGCTTTATTGAATGTGACCTTTGGCAATGCTGTCGAATTGATCATTTTCATCATCGCATTAGCTGCAAATGAAGTTCGCGTCGTCCAAGCTGCGGCTTTAGGTTCGATCCTGTCGAATTTGCTACTGATTCTGGGCATGTGTTTTGTCGCTGGAGGGCTCCGGTTTCGAGAACAGTTGTATAACGCTACCGTCTCTCAAATGAGCGCGTGTTTGCTCTGTTTGAGTGTCATCAGTCTTTTGTTACCAGTAAGTTGCACGCCATTGGGTGAGAGTTTTATTCTGATATGTCTCACAGACAGCATTTCATGCCTCTTTCTCAAACACCAATCGTGCCGATCATGTCGTCTTGAAAGTGTCCAGAGGTACGAGCATAGTCCTTCTACTGGTCTATCTCATGTACCTCCTCTTCCAGCTGAAGTCGCACGCCTTCATGTATCAAAGCACGCCTCAACATCTCATTGATGAGGAATCTCATCCTGGCGTTCTTGCCGATATCCTAAATTCCTCGAGCTCCAGTGAAAGCTCCAGCTCCAGCTCGAGCGACTCGGACTCTAGCTCTGGTTCCCACACAACTGCCAAGCGCTTCCGGCGTGCTCTACGTCGAAAAAGACGCAAGTCAACCTCGAGCACGAAGGACAGCATCACTGTAGCGGGACTTCGACGAAGCCCCTCTGTTCATACTGGACCGGGTGGCTCAATGAACCAAAATGCCATGACTGCACCTCATGATCTAGAGCCTGTTTTTAGTGGCGACGAGGCTGATGTTGACGGTGAGGGCAGGACTGGCAGTCAGCGTTCTCGTGTCAGAGCTGTTCACTCCCGGGATTTTGAGAGCGGAATTCAGCAGGATCAGTTGTCTGAAAAATCCAAGAAGCGTCACAAAAAGTCCAAGAAGTCAAAGCGTTCCAAGAAAGAAGAGAAGCAAAAAGAGGTTGACAAGAACGAAGGAGCAGAACTGGAAAAGGAGAACGTCATCAAGACAGAAACCACAACATCCTTCTCAACCTCGAATTCGCTGCTACCACAGGTTGGCTTTGCTTCCGAGGTTCAGGAGATTCCAGCTGACGGTGTACGGAAACCTTTCAATATTCGCAACATTGGCGACGCAGTGAAGCCGGCATTCAACTCCACAGTCTTCCCTCACCATGAGGCCCTTGGGAGATCCCTGGCAATCCCTATTCGACCTCTCTCACAGCCAAGATCTAGCTCTCGTGGGCTGCGTCGGACTTCCTCCATGCCTGACATGATACACCCCGTTGTTTCCGTGGTACCTGGCCAACCAAACCAGGACGGCATGTCTGTCCCTATCCAGCCTTTGACGTCTGAAGTCGGAACAGAAGTGCTTACTGAAGAGGTCGTGGAGACAAAAGAGCATCTCTCACGCACGTCTGCCCTCATACTTCTGCTTGTTTCAACTGGCCTTGTGGCAATCTGTGCCGAGTTCCTCGTCGGAAGTATCGACTACCTCATTGCGAACAGCGGAGTTTCTCAAGCATTCATCGGTCTCATCATCCTTCCTATCGTGGGTAATGCCGCAGAGCACGTCACTGCAGTCACAGTTGCGGCCAAAAACAAGATGGATCTTGCCATCAACATTGCACTGGGGAGTAGTATTCAGATTGCTCTGTTTGTCACTCCTCTCATGGTCATCCTTGGCTGGATCATCAAGACGGACATGAGTCTTTATTTCAGCCTTTTCGAAACCATCAGTCTGTTTGCCAGCGCCCTCATTGTCGGCTTTCTCATGATTGATGGTCGAAGCAATTATCTTGAAGGCGCGTTGTTAATTGCGGCATATGTCATTATTGCTGTCGCCGCCTTTTTTTACCCGACTTGTGACTTGAGCTCGGCCAGTGGACCGCTGGAAGGGACCGACCGAGTTTGTTAGTCTATGATCACTGCAGATGGTTGATCTGCGGACGACTATGACTGTGATATGGTTATGATTTCGAACCGACCAGGACTCCTAGAGATACTCCATCTCTGGAACACATGGTGCGTCAGGAACACGTGTGACGCGAATGCTATGCGCTTCGTATGACAAATTGCAGCGATGAAAGACACGAGATCGTGGTGAAGAATCGCGATATGAAGAAGGGCTTTTTGCAAAGTCATTCGCTAGGGATATCGGTTCAAGGGATGCTTTTGCTGCTTCATTTTTTTACATACACATTCTTTTAGTGGTTTCCGACTGCTACCCTTCTCATCAACGGCGAGAATGCATCACATGATGTATGTTGAATGATTGATAAATTGACATTTGTTATGGAGTACCAGAAATTCCTTGACTCAGACAGACTACAAAAACCTCCTTATCGCTACTTACGGGGGTATTATCTTCTTATCACTTTCTCCCTGTTACCTCGCCTTGACAGGGATGATATGTTTCGTAGCACACGGAGATGTCCATTTCAATGCGCCTGTGCATATTTTACCTGTATAAAGCAAGTCCAAGCAGAGAGGGCTAGACAGGGCACAATCGCCCAGAAATCTAGTTCAAGTAATTAGTACAGTGACTTGCTCAGGAGAGGTCGATTAGTATGTGGAACAACTTAAGCCTCGACGGGGTCGTTGCTTATCAAAGGCCAAGCCGTAGGTACGTTTCTTCGTCTTGCCGGGGGGGACGATGACCATATGAATTGTATAAACACTCGGCAAAACATGTTAAGTAGTGTAGTTCAGGTAATGATTGCTTCGTATTGTGCACAACCCTCCCATGCTCTTCTTCTTCTGCTCTTCCATTCCTTGTTTTCCCATCTCGATGGGGTTTCTCCCCCCTCCTCCCAAGGTGACGATCAGAACCGGGGTCTACCTTTTGATCCCCAGTGAATGAAAAAAGAAAGAAAGGATGAATGGTGTCAGAACCAGGCCCCCCCTCCCCTCTTCCTCGTGGTTATCTCGTCCTTATTGCGGAGCAACCAAAGGTCGCCTACTCGTAGTACTCACTGACTTGTTTGCCTATCATTTGCATGCATTCACGCCCACTGACTACTATCCTTGTCCTTTTCTTATTGTTATCTCTCGGTTCGTTTATCCCCATCCTGCGTGACGAGTTAACGCCAGTAACAACTCGGGTTCGTACTTCCCTAGTACAATCTTCTGTCCTCCTTGCCTGTGTAGTCCTGGAGGAGGAGAAAACCAAGACCCGTCCGCCCGAAGCCATTTTGGCTTTGCGAATACGAGTATCACTACAAGTTACCGAGTCGTTGACCCTGACCATCTACTTCGTGTAGAGTAGAGCTAAGACCTAGAACCAAGGGCTAGTACTTGCTTGAGAACGGGGCATTCCGCATATCCACGTTTCTTCGACTGGACTCGTAGGTTGCGATCTTTACTGTAATTGATATCCCACCACCCACCAAGACCCAATTAGCAATTGTGCCATTCACCAAGCTATGGCGACAGACCTGTGTTTTGAACAATAAAACCTTGCCCCGGATTTCCCTAAACAGTTTACAGTAAAGTTGTTCAGGCTAAGGGCCGTTACTCTCGTAGGTGACCCTTCTTCTTATCTATCCTTCTTACCTGCCTACTTTGAACAATCGTCAGTGGACGACGTTCGTATTTAAACATCTTGAGAGGGCACGCCTTTTTTTGCTTTTTGTTCTGGACTCTCTGCCCTTGCTGTCTCGCCCTCCTCCCTCTTGGTTCCCAAACCGAGGATATCCATTCCCAATCCTATCATTCCACTCCCATCATTCCACTCCCATCTCATCTCATCTTTCTATCTCCCTCTATCTCCCCTCTTACCTCGCTTTCAGCATTCTTTACACTGTACTTTGTAATCAAAGGGTTTCGAATTTACTTCTGTTACCACCCTGTCAAGATATATATGTATACGGAGTACAAGAAGACCTCAACTCAAATCAAACATCCCGTGCTCCACACCCAGAAATCCACTGATCTCCCGTACCCGTACCCCGCCCCGCACTCGCGACGACGACGACGACCTATACAAGAGGCATTGTCTACACAACGACCGTAAAGGGACCACAGCCTTATCAAGTCTATTGCCACCCAAGGAAATCGAAAATGGTCGCGACGGATTCAAAACTCCCCGAGGGTGATGATCCACGAGGAGGTCCACCATCAGAACGTCGAGGGTCTTTGATGGTCGACCCGAAACTGGCCAGCGAGGAGGATGCCGCCGTCCTGGCCAAGATGGGATACAAGCAGGAACTCCGGCGCAACTTCAGCATGATCGAAGTGTTTGGGATCGCCTTCGCCATCATGGGTCTCCTCCTTCGATCGCGAGTACCTTGTCGTTCTCCATCCCGGCGGGGCCCGTCGGGTTGGTCTGGGGGTGGTTCCTGGCTTCCATGTTCATCTTCGTCGTTGGGTTGGCCATGGCCGATTTGGGATCGAGCATGCCTACAAGTGGAGGTGAGTTACACAGTACATGTCGAAATTACTCAAACACAGGCTGACACCCTCCCCTTACTTAGGATTGTACTACTGGACTCATTACTACGCTTCACCAAATTGGAGAAACATGCTGAGCTTCTTGGTCGGATACAGCAATACTCTTGGACTCGTCGGCGGTCTCTGTTCAATTGATTGTATGTTTTCTGGCGCCCAAACCATAGCCCAAACCCAGGCATACTCTATCTATCCGGCCCCCTTGAGCGTGATAAGCAACTGATCAATTCACAGATGGTTTCGCTCTTCAGTTCTTATCAGTCATCGTCATTGCTCGTGACGGTAATTGGACCCCGACAAACGGACAAATATACGGAACGTTTTTGGCGACAGTCGCCTGCCACGGAGCAATCGCATCAACCATGGCCAGGGTGATGGGAAAGCTCCAGACAGTTTTTGTGGTGATGAACTTTGTACTCATCTTCGCCACCATCATCGCCTTGCCGATTGGAGCCAAAGACTCACGAAATAGTGCTTCGTACATCTTCACCCATGTCGAGAATCTCACGACTTGGCCATCTGGCTGGGCGTTCATGCTCTCTTGGCTCAGTCCGATCTGGACCATTGGTGGATTCGATTCAGCCGTGCATATCAGGTGAGTCCACGTCTTGCGGGAGGAAAGAGACATAAAGATTTCCAACGTCCATACAGTGAAGAGGCTGCCAACGCCGTCAAAGCCGTCCCATTTGGTATTCTGTTCTCGATCGGCTCGTGCTGGCTCTTTGGCTGGATCTGCTGCATCGTAATCGCTGCCTGCATGTCTCAGGATCTCGAACACATTCTTGGTTCGCCCTTTGGCCAGCCCATGGCACAGATATACTTTGACGCCCTCGGCAAAAACGGTGCACTGGGATTCATGTCCCTTTTGATGATTGTCCAATTCCTGGTAAGTAGAGAGCGCCAGACTTCGATCTCAAGCGTCCTGACTTTTGTACCCTACAGATGGGCATCTCGATTCTCGTTGCTGCTTCTCGTCAATCCTGGGCCTTCTCGCGAGATGGCGCCTTGCCATTTTCAAGCTTCTTCCGGCCCATATCGAAAACGTTCGGATATATCCCCGTCCGCACGACCGTCGGATGTGCCGTGTTGGCCGCCGTCCTCGGCTTGTTGTGTCTGATCGCCCCTGCAGCCGCATCGGCACTATTCTCACTTGCAGTTGCCGGGAATAACCTGGCCTGGGGTACACCCATCTTCTGCCGCGTCGTCTGGGGCCAGAAGAAGTTCAGCCCAGGGCCGATATACACGGGTAAACTATCCACGCCTATCGCCTGGCTGGCGGTCCTGTTCTTGATTTTTGGCACTTTGCTGGCCATGTTCCCCGTGGGTGGACCGAACCCGGACGCGGAGTCTATGAATTACACCTGTGTCATCAACTCGGCAGTCTGGGGCGGGGCACTGCTTTATTATGCCATTGACGCACGGAAGTGGTTCAGAGGCCCGCAGATCACCATCGACCTGGATCAACTCACAGAGGCCCAGGAGCAGGCGCTCCGAGAAGAAGGCGTCAAGATTGAGAGCGAAGGTGGCAAGGCCGTAGTGGGTGGGAGGAGGGGGAGCACAGGCAGTAGTGTTCCCATCGAATCAGATCTTCGCGGGAAGGGGGAGGAGGAAACAGATAAGTAGTCTCGGCAATGTGGCCTTGAGTACCGCAAAACCGACGGCTGTTGTGATCCCGGCTAATATTTTATCGCCATTTAATCCGTATTTATCGAGCATGTTGGAAACTGGGGCCAGAAGCTATCGTCGAAAAAGTCCATCAGGCTCGTCTCGCCAGGGAACAGGAATTCGTCGTTCGTGGTGGTAGCGGCGGTTGAAGCAATGGGGGCCTCAGCCCCGCCCGCCGACAACGCCGACATTGACTGTTGTTTTCGCTGTTGCTGCTGTCTCGTTTGGGACGCCCTGTAATTGTGTATCTCTTTCCACCGCTGCATCTTGGGATTGATGTTTTCGAAGACAGGAGGCACCGTCGAAGACGATTCGGAAGGCGCGCCAGGGTTGGGGAATAACATGGCTCGTTCTGCTGCCGCGTTGGCTTCTTTCATCTTCGCCATCATGGTGTCCATAGTGGTGCAGAAATCGATCGTGTCGCTCGCGTACGCCGCATCCCAACCTTCTCCATCGTAGAGGCATAACTTGGACAGCACGACACTCGCGTGGCCCATGAGGCTCCACGGGAAGTAGCTGCAGTCGAAATAGACGGAGATGGGGATGGAGTACCACTTCTCGAAAAACGACTTGGTCGAGCCCAGACAGGCGAAGAGCATCTTGAGTCGGGTCATGGGGAAATCCCCATAGTTGGCGCTGCTGTTGGTGTCGTGAACGGCGACCCCGTAGAGGTATATCTCCATCAAAAAGTAATGAAGCCACAGAATATCTGTTTGACATTAGTCTCATGAACACCGACTTTTCCTTTTTCTCTTGGAAGACCACTTTCTATCCGGACAAGGGCAACTGTCTCAGCGTATACCACATACCTTCTAGAATTGTACCCGAAGGTGGCAAGCTCGACTTGATGCTCCGCAGCTCTGCTTGCAGGGCCGTGACATACGCCCCTATCGGCGGCGCGGAGATGGTGGAAGAAGTGCTCCAGTCGTCCGGGGAAAGGGTACGGGTGATCCTCCCGGACATGCGAGCGATGCGGACCAGATGAACCAGGAAGACGTCGCTGGCATACTTCCTTTCTTCCTCGAGTAATTGACAGCACTCTTCGGCATAAGCTGAAAACCTTATAGGTTCGATCTCGCGTGTGGTCATGGACACTCTGTGTGTATGAAAGTGATTATTTGTCAACATGCATGCATTGCTTCTTCCGACCATCAACGGTCCCACGGGTTTGGAAGAAGGGAATGTTCCCCTCGTCAACCTCGGTCTCAACTTACAACGTAGAGATATAGAACCCTCCAAGGTACGCTCTCCTCTCGGCCAGAGTACGTTTCGGACCCGGGAATTCCGGGCGAAAGTATCCGACCGTCCCAAAAAGCCCTTTGTGATATCGTGGATCTGGGCTCCTGTTGAGACCCAAGTCGCTCAATTGCGCCATGATGAGGTGAACGAGGTTCCCGAGCTGTGAGCCCAGAGGAAAATGTATGTGATACCTAGCCGCGAGACAGTCAGTGAAACTATGTGGGTAACATTTTGCCGAGTCCGGTATAAAATCCAGATGACCCCGATTTGTGATGGTGCTTACCATGCCAGATAAACCAGCAAGCCTTGAAGTATGTCGAGGCTTTGCTCTCCTCTGAGAAGGACCTTTTCAGCAATCACTTCCCGGACTCTCTTCGCCAGCGACGTTTGACGCTCGATATGATGTCGACAACCTATTGTCATGACGGTCATGAAGAGGAAAGGCTTCGTCTTGAGCTCTTCCAGTGTCATGTCTGGCGGAATGACCACAAAGGGGAAATACTGCGCCATGTGCGTCCAGTATGCCTTGAGTATGAAAAACTCTTCGTCCTCGCTTCGCAGGACCTGCTTGACGTGGTCCAGAGGCGATGGACCGACGGACCCAAACAGGAGACCTTGACCTCGCAGTTGCGAGCCACCAACTTGACTGGAAGTGGCAAGAATGGCGGCGACTCCATCCAGCTTACGTTCGATCCTCGCTACATGGCTGCTTTCCTGTTAGCCCATCCCGGAGAGGCTTGAGAAAGGGAAAACCTTGAAAAGAAAGAGAGGGTAATAACAGGCATTCAGCCTGTACAGGACCACTCACGAGGGAGCCTTTGTTTTTCGCCGATGAGAACCGGGCTCTTGTACGGCACATGGTTTCCTGAGACGTCGACATCTGCAAAAAGACGATCAGCAATCGAATACGAATAAGACGCCCTCGAACGAACCTCGTGCAGATGATTGCTTCTGCGTCAAAGATACACTTGACCTTGGCGCGAGCGCAAGTCACACAAGCTTTTGGGCCGCGGACGCCAGGACTATCAGCCTCACTAGGAGGGGTCAAATGGGACATCTCGGGCCCATGTCATGCCCGGAGGAGCCGACACGGTAAGATCGTTGAATAAGATTATCGAGTTCGCTCGTTAGTGTCTGCTCCGTTCCCTGGTCCGGCTCAAGCGTGACAATTGATCAAAAAATGGTTGACGTGCCTGTCATGGAAATCTGAGGATTTCTGTTGTCCTTTTTCAAGGTAACAAGTCCGAGCGGAACCGAACGGAGCAAAACGAGTCCGTTCGACTCCATCCGACCCCGTTCAAGGCCTCAAGGCATCCCGATTTACGGCATAGCGTCGGCGACTTTGACCAATCACCTGGAAACACCTTGACCTCCAGTAACAATCTTGTCCGCACTCGCATACTAGACTCCTGGGATCATCCATACACGGAGCACGAACGGAATCGGTCCAGCACGATAAAAATGACATTGAACGGGCTCCGTCTATGGTTATCGCGTGACAAGTCACTTGGCATGAATGTTCACAATGGCTAAGTCTGGCCTAGATGTACAAGATTCGACGGCTACAAAGGATGAGCAGAATGCAGGATCCAACGAGCAGCACGCAGACAGGTCCGCAGACGACTCGTCTCGACGAAGTAGTCTCGACGCCCCAGCTCCTTCTTCCGAAGAGAAAGATGCCACCAAGCAATCCAAGCCGCCGATGTTGAAACTTGTTACTCTCTTTGTCTCTGTATTCTTCTCGGTGTTTCTCATGGCTCTCAATGGGTCGATACTTGCAACGGTGGGTTCCAAGGTATCGATATTTTGGCGCGTCTTGATCTGACTCTCATAACAGGCCATACCACAAATCACGACGCATTTCAAGTCACTGGAGGATATTGGCTGGTACGGAAGCACTTACTTGATCGCGACGTATGTTCCACATTCAAAGCCTGAACGTCAGTGCTAACATCCTTCAGAGCATGTATGCAGCCGCTCGTCGGCAAGATCTACACCCTGATCCCAATCAAGGTCAGTCGCACCGCGCAACACGTAGGGAACTGTACTGACAGTCATCTTCAGCAAACTTACATCACATTTATGACCACTTATACAGTAGGGTCGGCCATCTGTGGCTCCGCGACATCATCTAAGATGTTGATAGGCGGAAGAGCAGTCCAGGGCGTGGGAGGCGCGGGAATACTGAATGGGGCGTTCACAGTCATTGCATCAACCGCTCCAGAGGGCCAAAAGCCCATTTTCACCGGAATAGGCATTGCCTTGTCGACTGTTGGCCAGGTCATTGGCCCACTGATAGGAGGTGCCTTGACACAAAACATTTCATGGCGTTGGTGTAGGTCCGAAATCGTTTCCTGAAGTGACTTCGTGGCTGATTACTCGACACTAGGCTTTTACATTAGCTTGCCTCCTGCAGGTGTCGTACTCCTCGTCCTCACGACTGTCACGATACCAGAGCAAACAGAGAAGCAGCCTCTCAGATCGAACTGGAAGAAGTTGATCACAGAGTTGGATCTGATCGGATTTGCTCTCTTCGCACCCGCCTCGGTGATGTTGTTGCTGGCGGTCATCTGGGGAGGCAACAAATTCGCATGGGATTCCGCAACCGTCATCGGCCTTTTCTGTGGGTCATTCGTTACGTACCTCATCTTTGCAGCATGGCAATGGCATCGAGGCGAAAAAGCAATGATTCCCCCACATGTCATCGGGAGACGGCTGGTACTAGCTGGCTGTGCTACCAATCTCTTTCAAATGGCTTCGAACATGGTCCTTGCATATTACTTGCCTCTCTGGTTCCAGGTCGTGAAAGGAGCAACCCCGACCTTAAGTGGCGTGTATCTTTTGCCTACAGCAATATCTCAAAGTATCGGTGCAGTCGTTGCTGGAAAGATTGGTGAGCCACTTCGCCTCAAAAGATTTCGTTTCTTCTGACTCGGAAATAGTGCAAGTGTTGAGATATTGTACTCCATGGGCCATATTCGGATCCATCGTCTCGACCATCGGTTCAGGCTTGATAACAACTTTCACTCCCACAACCGGTACTGGGAACTGGATTGGGTATCAAATACTGGTGGGCACCGGCCGTGCATCAGTCTTTCAGATGGTGAGTGGCGCGACAAAGAGTATCGTGTGATTCAAACTGACGTTCTACCAGCCGATCACTGCTATCCAAGGATTTCTCCCGAAGAAGGAACAGGCCATGGCCACGTCACAGGTGTTCTTTTGTCAGTACCTTGGAGGCACGATATTCCTTGCGATTGCACAGACACTTTTCACGGGCAGCCTACGCTCAGCTTTGCACCGAGATGCCCCAGGTGTCAATGCTGAACATATCATTGAAGTCGGAGCATCTGCAGTGAGATCAGCGGTCTCACCAGCCGATCTACCTGGAGTGTTGAAGGCATACAACCATGCCATTGTTGACGATTTCGTAAGTCTCGGATTCACCTGCGACTCCATTCCATAGCTGACCTTTTGATCCAGTACCTTTCGGTCGGCGGCACATGTGCAGCATTCGTTGCCTGCTTCGGTCTAGGTTTCAAGAAATTGCCTCAGCGAGAAACAGTCGAAAAGGACACGGCGGCCGATCTCAAGAGGACGGAGAGCAATATCGCCTAGCTGATGAACATGGCGATTCGACAGATCTTTCATCAGCATATGGAGTTCAACTTGTAGTACGGGCGTTTGGATCGGCTTAGAGTCCCGGAAAAGCTGCGTGGCCTTTCATCGGTAACAGGGGTTTAACTGATGGAATCGCAACACGAGGAATTTGTCGACTGAACATGACAAGATTGCGAGTGCGCCTCACAGACTTTGTGGTGCACCGTAGATGTTTTGCCGGGTTTTAGCGAGTCATGTGGAATCCTGCTTTGTGCCCCTTCCTTGCTGATATTGTAGTCACGTCTCTTTCATTCTCACTGTATGTAAGTTACTGAGGCAATCCGGAGACAAAGCTGTTTAGAAGGACTCTGTCAAGTCTATCCGACAATGGAATTCAGGACGAGCCTTGTATTGTTTGGGCTGAGGTCTAGAATGAAAGTGCCTTCAAACGATCACACCTTCGTTTCATCCTACAAAACCAAAATCTGTCGATAAAGTCATTCTGCACCATTTATGGCTCATCCCCGCGGTCCTTTCAGGTAACTTCCACACATTTCACATATCACTGGCTCTTTTCGCAGCTATAGCACACACGACTTCTTCTGGTCTCAAGTGAAGATGACCGTCCCCGTCCCACCCGCTTCAACCTGAGAAATTGACCCATACCTTGTCGATCTTGCCGGTCTCGTTCAAGGTGATGTCGGTCCCCTTCAGCACAGGGTCGCCTCCGGTTGGTCCGAAGGTCCAGTCGATGATGACCAGACCGTGATTTTCGACCGGCTCAGAGGCGGCCTTGAATTCGAAATCGTTGCCCGCGATCAATTCCTTCATCCGCCCCTCGAGACCTTCGTAACCTTTGGTCACACGGTCGGACTCGTACAGGGTCACGTCTGGACTGAAGATCTCATGCGTAATCTTGATCCGATCCCTCTCATTGCGGTTGGAAAAGACACAAAGACACGCCTCGGCGAGGTTGATGGTTTGGTTCGTTGCCATCGTGGCTGGCCCCCGGCGTTTCCTTGTGCTGTGGCGTCAAAATTATAAAAGTGGTTCGGGTCTATTAAAACAGAGTGACAAGGACCACAAGAGCCAGCGCCGACAGATCTTTTATGTTTGCCCGATGATCCCGGAACGAGGTGCGTAAGACTCACTCGCAAGCTTAAGATGGAAGACAAGCTTGGTGCTAGGGCTGACGGGAGCAAGTTGGCGCCATCGAGTACCATTCTCCAATTCTGTACGTATGGAGGGTACTGAGTGATCGTTGAGGTTGTCGTCGTGACTAACACACACACCTCAAGGGCAATTGTCCATGCCGTGCTTATTCGTTCCCACACGAACGGAACCCCATCGACAACCGAGGATGTTTATTTATTGATTCCTGGCCTCGTCAAAAAAACAACACTCGTCGATGATTGGTTGTGTTGGTTCGTCGGATTTCAGCCGCACTTGAATGTTCACTGTCATCTGTACATCACCTCTGACTTGAATGTGCATAGTCGATTGTGGCGTTGACACAGTCACCTGAAAAGCTGGGGCTGGTCGATTCGAAGGGTGTCTGATAAGCCCGAAGCCTACTTTATCTGGATAATGTACAAACTCCTTGATGTGGAACGATGGGATGAGGCGGAATCCGCAGAGGCGAGTTTGCTACTGTAAGAAGCGCTGTGACCCAACCGTCTACTTGTCATGTTGATATCACTTGTCACTTAGTCTCGGCGCTTCAGGACAACCACGAAGGCCACTTCGCCTACACGTACATGAAGCTAGGTTTCCCCTCATCTCGAGCAACCATGGCCACGTCGAGACAGGGTAGCCGGGAGGCCACAAGGAGGTTATTTTACCCGCTTTCTTCTTCCGCACTCGACTGACCGGCAAAGGAAAACCTGCCCCTTAATGTATCAAGGAGAGACAAGAGCAGGGAGTCCTCTGCGACGGAGCACCCGGTTGGACTGCTTGATTGAGATTCATGACACTCAGAGGCAGCTGGATGGTTCTCTGAGAGTTCCCAGCGGACACAACATGGAGGTTGGAGCTGGTCGTCCGCCATCAGGGGTGGAATTGAGGCAGGACGCCAGTCCCCATGCCAGGGACTCGATCCACGGGAGCTGCCTAATCACAGAGCTGCGTGAAATCAGCGTCGCAGGGTTGTTGTAGCATCACCTATTCGATACCTTGAACGTTCGTAAACTTGTCTGGACTTGTTTCTAAAACCATCACGATGCATCTCGTCTGTCACTCTACTTCTTTATTTCGTCTTTCGATGCTCCATGACATCGCTTCCTCCGATTCTTTCAGTCTCGTTTCAGCATTTACCTGTTTACGTAGTTCTCATTACGACTCGCCGCGTGAAATTTCCTGTATTTACGCTCATCGTAGACCTCTATTTACAAAACCAGGCCGAAATCCTATTGATGAGCTCTTTAGTTCTGCTGCGAGACGTGGGTGAAATAACCAGGGGATTCCACTCTCTCAACATGACCAATCCATAATAACCTCCCACAAACTAATATAGCTTAAGGTCTCTGACCAGGGACTCTAGTATGCAAGTGCGCCAACTGATTCTTACCTATGTTCGTCCTGAGACGTCGGTTTTTATTGTGTACGTGATACACTTCTCGTCTGCCCACGAGAGAGTTTCTGGCCACTTCAATCGCTCTTCTTTTGCGGATGCACGAGATCGGCTTCATCTCTAGCCTGCTGGCTAGATCGTTTGTCCTTGCTGCAGCACCTCTACTAGACCCCGGCGATCTTTGTGGGATGGCCGGGGATAGCTTCGCCTGTTCATGGGGAAAGTAAAGCTATGCCGTCCTACTTCGTACAGTACGGAGTAGATGTCAACCTTCTAGTCATAAAACCGTGTGGGTTGACCCGTGTGGGATATGGCCCTCCCTCACTAGCCTTTCAGTCACTAACTTCTAGCCTGAGAGCTCGGTTGTCGTTAAGCTATCCTATTGAAATCCATATAATGTCTCTGCCTCTGGTAAAATCGAGCAAGATGTTGAGTCGCGGTTGCACCACATACGACCTGATAACCGCAAGACCTGTCATATCCGAACAGATCCTTTGATCTGAAAACCCTTCCTACTGACTAGGGACCCCGTGCACATCTCAAGAGAATGCCTTTTCTCGGTATCCTGGAAGATCGCAAGCTTCCACATGTTCCTGGCACCGTCTTACTAGACGACTCTGCAGCCAAGTCGAAGTCTCCTGGGGCATTGGGCCTTCTTCGTCATGGAAAAAGCAAAAATGCAAACATAGTTCTTGTACCACAACCTTCCGATGACCCGAACGATCCGTTGAACTGGAGCTACACCAAGAAACTGACCGTTTTGGGCGTCACCTTGCTGGGAACCATCTTTTACTTTGCTGTCATCACGGCAATGCTTAACCCATCCTTCCCTACGATTTCCAAAGATGTGCATGCTCCGATCGCGAAGGTTGTCTTGACCTCGGGTTATTTCACACTCACCGTTGGAATAACGGGACCCTTTTTCTGTGCTTTTGCACACAAGTATGGCAAGAGACCATGCTTCCTGTTCAGCGCCGTCATGGCTCTTGTTGGACATATAGTCGGGGCCACTGTTGGGACTCGGTCGTATGGAGCACTAGTGGCTGCTCGTGTCCTCCAGGGATTTTCCGCCTCGCCATACGAGTCGCTTATTTACGCCGTGGTCGGTGACATCTTCTTCGTCCACGAGCGAGGACTTTATCTGGCAATCACCAACTTTGTCATTGTTGCTATCACGAACCTGACCGGAGCGGTTTCGGGCCCTATTGCTGAGTCCATGGGCTGGGAGTGGCTGTAAGTAGAACCTCCTTGTCACTTGACACTTGGCTCGATTTACTGACGTCGTATCCGTGTGCAGTTGGTACTTCATGATCATCTTTGGAGGGATACACATCGTCCTCCAATTTTTCCTCGTACCTGAAACGTCATACGTTCGCGACACACGGCGAGAGATCGACCAAGGCACCCAGGACAAAATTGAAGATCTTGCTGCCGGCGTTGTCGAGCAGACAGAGGAGAAAGGTACTGCTTCTGCCGCACATATAGACCAGACGGTGTCGGAACCCGTCGAGCATGCCTCTCCAAAGAAGACTTTCTACCAGAGCCTGGCCATCTTCACGACCACTTACAGCAAGGAGAACCTGCTGCAGCTCTACTTCGCTCCCTGGGGTGTCATGGCGAATGCAGCAATTGCTCTCGTCGTCCTCGTGTACAGCCTGTCTTTGGTCATGTTCATCATAGTGGCTTTCATTATACCGCAGGCCTTTGCGAAAGCGCCCTACCACATGAATTCGGCGGCAATTGGGCGCCTCTCATTTGGCCCTTTTATTGGCGGCGCGATCGCTTCCACTCTGAACGCGCTGGTTTCCGATCGACTGATCAGATGGTGCGCGCGACGCAACCAGGGCGTCTATGAGCCGGAATACCGGTTGATCCCTGCTTTCTTGGCCTTCTTCACCGGCGCGTCTCTGATGGGCTGGGGCGTCGCCGTGGCCGACGGACTGAGCCCTTACGCATGTGCGACGGTGCACGGTCTCATCCTTTTTGGGATCGTCTTTGCGGTCAGTGGCGTCTCCAGCTACGCAGTCGACTCGTACCGCTCCATGACAGCCGAGATCTTCATCTGCTGCCAGACTTTGAAGAACTTCTTCGCCTTTGGATTCAGCTACTTTGTCAACGACTGGACGGTTAAGGTCGGTCTGAAACATTCATTCTACGCCTGGGGCTCTCTGTCGCTTGGACTGGCCGCATTATTGCCATTCCTGTTTGTCTTTGGCAAGAAGTATCGCAGTTACTGGGCCCGTCACAATCTTTTGGAAAAGTGGCACATCCTGACACATCGGGAGTGACGGGCGGGTTGCTCGGACAAGGGTGGCCGACGTGGATGGGTGGGATTCGACACTTGGAGGTACACGTGAGGCATTGTATGTAGCACGAGCCAGACGCACATGTCATGAGCCAGGCAAAGTGCCCCTAACTTGAACTGAGGTTTTCCAGTTTGTAGATATGCAGGCCGCGCGGTAGTGGTACCAATACTGTTAAGGAGGCGATTGTATATGACCAGAACTTCTGTGCTAAAACTCGAAGCACCAGTCTTTGTTTTCTTCTCACAGCGGCAAAACCATTTCATCTCCATCTCTCAAACCATGAGCTTCCAACGCCTCCAGGCCTGTGTGTACTCCTTTGTTCCCAATGCCGTTACAGCTCTAGACATCCACCAGGTTGCATTCCAAGCGGTCTTCCCTCTAACCTCCTCAGCGTTTCAGACATCTCGCGAGCACCCGGAGATTTCGTTTTGGAGATTTCAGCCTCGAAAAGGTTCAAAATTTTGAGGGTAGCTTGAGCGCTGCCATCCTTCTGTACTGAAATACTGCCCCATATGACCAGGCCTGCACAAAACAACGCCAGGGGCTTCCAGATCACGGTGGCCAGAGTATCACTGCAGTCGGAACTCAGGGCAAGTATTTTCCAAGCATGCTCCGATGCTTCCTGCCCTCTTTTGAGGTCATAGGTCACGAGCTCGAGCTTTGCCGACGCGTCATACGAGGTGTTGCCGATACCAGACGCGTCAGTGGGACAACGCGGAGGATAGCCAGACAGCTCGATCAGCAGTTGCAGGCCGGGCAGACTCAGGTAGAGCTGGCAAAAGTGCCACAGAAGAATGACTTCAGGCTTCGCCGTCGCCGAATAAGCGCGCCGCCACGTGTCGAGATTGTTGAAAAGTCTGCTGGTCATCTCCGCCAGTTCCATGGCACCTGAGAAGGGAATGTAGTCGCAGGGCTTCCATCTGGCTGTGCTCATCACACGATCAGCCGGTATTCGCAGCAGAGGATTGAAAACCAGGGCAAGAGTGTGAACGCGGCCCATTATGCCAACGAGGCTGGTGAGCGCTGATTTCGAGTTATTTGGGAAACCTTGCGGATCGTTGCCCAAGGCCGTCTTTGGCCGTTGAGGGTTGACGATGCATAAGACCTCTGGAGCTGATAAATTCGAAGCTTGACTGAAATGGTACGATCGCAGTAGATCAACGACGGCAAAGTATGATACGATCGGCCTAGTCTTCGGTGTCAGCTCAAGAACACCGACCGGGAAGAAACGAATGGCCAACTTCAAGTAATTCTCTGCACTGAGGAAGTTGGGATGGTTTCTTGCGTCGTCTTCTGAGTCTCTGAGTTGATCTAGAAGCCTCCACACAGCCTATCCCGATGAGACGGTGAGTATAGTTGGACGACGGGGGGAGACTGGATCTTACCGTTTCCACGTAGCCGTGAGCCATGCTGGTTCGGTTCCACGTCAAGCGGTCGGAACTCAACAGACCGTAGGACTCGAGCAAGACCCACTGTCTGATTTCAGCAGACCTCCTATGGGCAGAACACGCCAACCCACTGCCTTGATCAATTCCATCTTGCGAGCCTCGCGGTTATCCACCTCCAACTGACCCATCAGAAGTCTCAAGGATGACCACCACAACTTGGAGCTTCTCTCGATAGAGCATTCACCCAACATGGCTCCTATGCACGCCATCGCCAGGGTGAAGTACAGCGGCGCTGGCAGTTGGTAGAACAATGACGCAGGCACATCTCGAAGGAAGGGTGCCTTGGAAATGAAATCCCGAGTACAAAGCTCAACGTACTCTTTGATTTCGGTCGCCGAGAAGCCATGGTCTTCCGATACGTTCGCCGAGAGAGCGCTGGCAGGCCAATGCAACTGCAGCAATATGTATCAGTACAGGCGAGCTGGCTCGGGGGGACAAGACGAACCGGCTCAGCTGACGTCTCCGCCACCAGAAGTGGATTCAATTCATCCTTCTGTAGATATTCAACCCCCGTTTCCAGCCTTGTTCTCGCGAACATGGCGTTCTTGAAGGTCGCCGTCAAGGAAGCGTCTATAGGCCTGTAGGCCGACTCCGCATCAGAGCCGTCAGGCTCTCTTTCCCCTGGCCATCTTGCTCTGGCGCCATGTTGTGGTATCTGGTTGTTCATCGTCACACTGGGCGCGTTGTAGGCAGAATTCTTTCCGCTCCAGTGGCTAGATGTCTACGAAGTGACACAGTAATAGGCTGGGCCAAGAGTTCGAATCGGCGTTTCTGGTGGGAAGTCATGTAGTTGGCTAGGTGGCCGTGGACTTCTCTTATCAGAGATCCTTTCCTGAACCCTTGCCGAGTCTTACTAGAATGGACCTAGTTGAGGTGATGTCGAGGTGTCGACGTTGTTCCAGGGTCCAGCCAAGGCGCCCGGCCTTGAGTGGGTCCCGCTGGTCTCGCTTATTAGTAGTACGAACTCATGCCCCGAGATTCATAAGCGCGAAGACCCCGGAGGAGTATGTACGGAGTATCAGCTCGTACAACTTCTTTTCCCCAGAAATCCCCACGAGCTCCTCGTCGGTTGCAGCTCCAAGTCTGCGTTGAAAGCAATCGAATGTCTGCAACATCTTTGGCTTCGGCTGAGGTCCAGTCACGCAGTATGATCCGACACCAAGTGAGTGACTCTTTAACAGGCCACGTCTAAAGCTTTACCACGTATCGAAACTCCAAATGGACTGACCTCTTCGAGTCATAGTGCCATCGCTGCAGCCGCGATTTCGCCCGAAAAGAACATCTCTTACGACATCAACGAACACGTAAGCTCCTGGGTGTTTCGTCTCGCTGGCGGCTGAAACGCTCAACGAAGTCACAGACACGCAAGAGTCGCCATATGTATGTTCATTTTGTCGGCAAGGATTCAAACGCCAGGATGTCTACCGTCGGCATGTGAATCATTTCTGTCGAGGACAAGACAATGCATCATCGAAAACTGCTCCTGATGGCGAGAAGGTGAGAACGACCGAGGCCTGTGAGCGATGTCGCCTGCACAAGGTGAAATGTAATGGTTTGGTGCCATGTCAAAGGTGTAGCGCGAGGAGCGAAGCATGCCTCTACACAAGAAAAGACACGGCTGAGGATCTCAACCCGACAATCACCTCTCTGCAAATGGCAGCTGTTCCTCCAACTAGAGACTCCACGAACCCTAGCACATTGAACCGTTCTGGGTATAAAGTTTCCATCACATTGCCTGCGAGTGCTGAACACATGGAAAGCAGTCATACAGTTGACGAGGTACAAACATCGACAAGTCAATCTTTGCAGACACAGCAGCCGCCCTCTACGTCCTTTGCCCCGCAGCATCTGTTTCCATCGATGGCTTGCTCGCCAGGAATACTCACCTACGCTCCTGCACCAGGTGATGTTGATTTTAGCATAGAAGAATCAAGTTGGAGAAATTTCGACCATCTCGATGAAATGAACACAGCTGACATGGACCTTATGAGTCCGCCCTTGATTAACCAGAGGCAGGATGTCATTTCTGAGCCTTTCATGAGCCTCGACTCACGGTTCAATTCCTTCGAGGTCAGGTTTTTTTTTGAGAGGAAAGCCTTTCTACCGTGCTAATATGTTCAGTATTTCGACCCCTTCTTTCTACCACTGCATACAACATTTGAACTTGACGGCCGGCTTGATGATTTGTCAAATCAAGGGAGCGCTGTCTACATTGCAGATGGTGACACAAGCATTGGAGAACAAATGTACGCGGCCAGGGATCCTGGAACCAGACGTTCCAAAACAATCCAGCTCTCCCAGAGTGGCAAACAAGGACCTCCCAGCTGGTTACAAAACCTCAATCCAAACATACAGCATCACGACATTGACATAGTCAACTATTTCCTGAACCTATTTATGGCTGGGATGGCGCCTGCTTTTCCAACCTTTGAACGTTTTCGAGTTACATCAAGCACACTTCCTGATCTCATCTTGGCAATGGCTGCAGTCGGTGGTCTTCTCTCTACTATCGAAGGAAGCTTCACGATTGCCAGAAGCATGTACACCGACGCAAGGAGGCTTTTGTTCAGTAGGGTAAGCCCAACCTGAAATCCAGCGTCTTATTATACCGCTGAGCCAGCTACAGGCCTACTTCCAAGATGCGCAAAATCCATCCCAGGCCATTAGTGTGGTGCAAACAGTAAGTCTTGCACATCTCGTCTCTGTCATTTTAGGCTCCCTAGCTGAACCTGAGACATATAGTATATTGCATTGGAGATATTCGGCTTGTGTAGTGGCGATGCACGTTGTTTTGAGTGTGCAGAAGTTTTTCACATGCAAATGTTGCAAGTATGGTAACTTGCTCAATTCAATCAGGCGCATCTGCTCACCCAAACCAGGTTGCAAGGCAACATGGCTTGCTCAACCTCAGCTGTTCGACTTGCAAAAGTGAAGAAAGCAATGAGTGGTGGTCAGCTGCTCGTATTCCTTGAATCTTCAAGATTGCTGACGTCTTCCAGGCTGGTCAACAGCCTTTACATGCTCGAAAGCTATCGAGTCATGTTATTGCAACGACCACCAAATTTGTATCCAACATTTGCGACTCTTGAACATGCAATCACCCCAGAAGGCGCCTCCGCTCAGAGTTCGACCTGTTCATCTGTCACCGATGCTACTATCTTGCTACGAACCTTGCTGACTCCACATATGGATTGCGACGAGAGCTTGAAACCACTTGACTCCATGTTCAGCCTCACGTATCTGACGGTTCTCTCCTGGCATACGCGTGGACAGAGTACCAGCGATCCGGCATCGGATTCGCTTTGGAAGCGGTCCCTTGTTGAACTGGCTCTTCATAGATGGCAAATCAAGACTGGTTCTACCACTGTTGAACTTGCTCCCTGGAAGCAATTGCTATTTCACTTGGCCTTTGTGAATATGCATGTCGACTTTACCCTTATACACAGTCTGGTACGGGCGTACGCTCACAGTTTCAAGCATTCAGGAAGTGCACATACTGCACTTAGATCTTGGAGGCAGAGCAGCAGTTGTGAGGTGGCTTTATGGCACGCCGCAGAGCTTGTCGCTCTGGCAAAGGACCAAACCATCTTTACTCGGCAGTCCATGACCGACGGTGCTGCTCTTCATCCCGTCAACACCAGACTCACGGAAAGCCCTCACGTTTGTGTAGGTATCTACATGGCAACAGTGGTACTCTGGGCTGGAGAAGTAATTCAGAACACGCCAAACCGGGGTTACGCCCGCTCGACTTTGGAAACCGGCATTCACATTCTCTCATGCTTGAACGTTAGGATGTCGTTGGTACTCCGGAATGTCCTTCGGCACCTCGCAGTGGTCAATATGATCGATCACGAGAGCAACGGGTGACTTACCACGCGTCTTTTCGGTCGAGGATTACGGGGGACTTGAAGACCATCCAGCTCGAATGTCTCCAGATAGTTCTAGGCAAGTTTTTGCATCATAGCTGTGTTGATATCTCAAACCTGCCTACCCGTAAGGCTGAATCATGCGGCCATATTGCTGTAACGGCAAATGTTGCGCCTGAATACTTCACAAGTAAGTGGCGAACTGGGCCGTATCTCGTCCTGTAGGTGGGGAATTGGGCTGGCCAATGTGATCCGAGAGGCGAGATATGCACCCCAGAGGCATTGTACCGTGCAGGGGTGAAATCTGGGGCTGCTAGCTTCCCACTCGGCAAGCTCTCAGGATCTTGCGATCACTAGCTCATCTCGGCAGCCCACAAGCCCACACGCTTGGATTACCCGGACAGCATCGGGATATCTTGTACGATCTCGCGTTAACCGAAGATGCGAGTCCGCGGATTCTTGGAACTGATTGCGGGCGTGCAAGAGTACCTTCACGCGCGTTTTGTCTTCGGTTCCCTTATGCAGCCTGCTCGGAGATCACCATCTCTACTCTAGAAAGCTTTGTCCCTTGACCCTGACAGATTGATTCGAACTTCGGCCTCATTGCAAAAACACACACCACAAGCAGCACCAGAGCCCTACCCTAGGCTTGATACATTATCGAGCCTACACGCCATGTTTTTGGCCGGCACACAGTCATTTCAAAGTCTTCTGCTAGAGGTTTCTGGAGAACAAGGCATCAAACAACCATTGCTCGCATTGCCGTCCAACAATCCATCATGATTTCCCAGTCTGAACACCGTCTTTCCGTCGCCATAGTCGGCGGGGGTATTAGTGGTATACTTACGGCAATCGGGCTGATGAGGTATCCTCATGTCCAGGCTAATGTCTACGAAGCAGCAGAAGAATTTGCTGAAGTCGGCGCTGGTCTCCTGCTCGGTCCCAACGCCGTGAGGGCGCTCAGATGTATCTCGCCGACAGTATACGAGGCGTATTTGAAGTTACAAACCGGCAACCTGGATCGCAAACACAAAAACACGTGGTACGACTTCGTCTATGCAACTGGAACTCACGCGGGGGAGAAAATCTGCTCTGTCAAAAGCGAGACTGGGCAAAGCAGCATCCATCGAGGGAAGTTCCTCGACGCACTGGTCAGTGTTCTCCCCAAGGAGAATGCCCATCTCGGAAAGCGTCTGAAGTCTATCGAAGAGTCCGAACACGTCGTCACGCTACACTTTCACGACGGAACAACTGCGCAAGCAGATTGCGTGGTCGGGGCAGATGGCGTTCACTCGGCCACGCGCAAGTTCGTATTTCCTGAGAATTGGCAAGAGTACGAGCCGGTTTTCACCGGTGTAGTCGGTTACAGAGGGCTGCTACCCATGGAAGAGGCCCGCAAAGCAATGGGAGACGAGCTGGCCATGAACTCGTTCACGTTTTGCGGTAACAACTGCGTCACGGCCTCATTTCCCATAGACTTTGGTGCTACATTCAATCTCATCGCGACAAAGTCTGGGTCAAAGACTTGGGAAGGCCCATGGGTACAATCGACGGATTTCGAGGAAATCGAACGAGTTTTCAGTGACTGGCCCCCCGAGACTTTCAAGCTACTAAAGGTATCCAGGACTTGATCTTGTTACAGAAGACCTTTGCTGACTATTGCCACAGGCTCTCGATCGCCCAAACATCATGAAGTGGTCGATCTGGAAAATACCTGATATTCCGCAGTCGCACAGGGGAAAAGTATGTATCATTGGGGACGCAGCTCACGCGGCACTACCAACTCATGCAGCAGGCGCCGGTCAAGCCATTGAGGATGCTTGGGTCATGTCAGCCGTATTGGGAAACATCAAAGAAGTAAGACACATCTCGGCCGCTTTCCGTGGATACGACAAGATTCGACTTCCACGTGCCCAGCTCAACGCAAAACTGAGCGATGAAGCACTCGAGATCTTCAACTTACGACGCATCGGGGTGCTCGACGATCCAACGGCGCTTAGGAAAGCCATTCAGTACAGGATGGACTGGCTTTGGAACAGAGATATTGCTCTCGAGGCAGAACAAGCCTGCTTAGTTGCGGCCAATATCGTGGCGGATGAGCTTGATCAACAGATTTGATACGATAGCAGTGACTCAAGCATTGATTCCAAGCTGCAGTGTAAACTACGTAACTCGACGCCTGGCGTGATGCTAAGTGACTGTGACTTTGGCATCTCGCATGTTTACCTTACTGTTCGATAAACTTCAATAAACTCGACCCAAAGCCATGTACAAAAGGATAGGGAATCTTTCACTAGCTTGTATGGAACGTTGTACGGAGTAGAAACTCCGAATCGGTTGTGCGTAAGCATCCTAGAAGGGAGCTAGCACCTGGGCGTGAACTTGGGAGTCCAGGAGACTTTGCACTGGTGGGTATGCCTTTACCGATACGCTCCCACACACGACCGCTCGTTCAGCCGAGCCGTGTGGGATAGTCCAAGGGCTGCACCCATCGATCTTGAGATCAGCGTCTGCAAGAATCAACTTCAAAAATCCCCACGTAGCAAGTCGACTTTTATTGTCGACAGTAGCTGGACAACGGTGGCCTGGGCAAGAACCCACCATGCGCATGACGAACCAAGCTTAGCAGTCCTCAGCAACAGGAATAAAAGCCCTCACTGTCAACCTTTTCGGCTTCTGAGAACTACAGACTCTTCGAGAAAGCTAAGTTGGCGTTACCAATCATGGGAGACGTATCCGAAAGTATACCAAATGGTACCGATGGCGACCACACACCCAGTCTGCGGGTTTTGATTGTCGGTGGCGGCATCGGCGGTCTCTCTACCGCAATAGCACTGCGGCACCAGGGCCACGAAGTGCACGTTTTTGAGCAAGCAAGCAGCATTCGAGGCACCGGGTATGGCATACACCTGGCACCAAACGGAGTCGGTCTCCTTCGCCTCCTGGGCTACAACCCAGAGACAGGGGACGCAGTGCCGATGAACAACATCAGATTCTTCAAACACACTGGGGATCAGTTTGGGCACGAAGACCGGAAGTTGACGGCGGGCAGGTGGCAGAATGAGTGGCTTCTTGCTTCTCGCGTTGAACTCCTTGGAGGCTTGCTCCAACTAGCGACAACGGTTGAGGGCAAAGGAGACCCTGCCATTATACACCTCTCGAGCAAGATTCGAGCGGTCGACCCAGAAGAAGCGACCATAGAGCTAGAGGACGGATCCAGCTTCCACGGAGACGTGGTGATTGGAGCAGATGGCGTCTATTCGAGAGCGCGAGATGCAATTACCAAAACCTCGCCGTATCCGAGTAGCCACAACTGCTTTCGGATGATGTTCTCCAGGAAAGATCTCGAGCCAGACCCGTCGATACATATTCCTACCGACGAAACCATGGACATGATCTACAGTCCTCACACCAAGACCATAATCTACACTACACTGGGCAACACCAAATACAATTGTGTGGTAACACACAAGTCCGAGTTGACGGAGGGCTACATCGGTGATCCGAAGGAGAAACTCTTGGAGCTCTGCGAAGGTCATGATGCGAAGTTTGTCAACCTCTTCAGAAAGGCTGATCCGGCAACGTTAAAAGTTTGGCCTCTCTACGACATGGACATGCTGTCAACGTTTGCCAAGAGTCGGCTGGCTCTCATAGGGGACGCTGCACATCCATTCACGCCTCATCTCGCCCAAGGCGCCGTCATGGCCATGGAGGATGCTGTATCGCTAGGCGTGATGCTGTCTGGGGACACTAAATCGAGTGAGGTTCCAGAAAGGCTGCAGCTGTTCAACAAGGCACGCCACGAGCGTGGTACGTTCATTCAGAAACTATCCCTCGTTGTCGGCGGGGATCGAGTTCAAGAGGGGAAAGAGAACAATGAACTGAGCGTACGGAAACACCTCGATATGGCGCTTAGTCACGATGAACATCACGCCTCCTCTCAGATCTTGAGAGAATGGCAATGGAAGCGTGCGAAGAATCCCTCGTGGCTGCAACCGACGGTCTTTGGGCCGTTTCCAACTCAATCCGATTCTTCTCGACGGTCATTGACCCGAAAGACCGGTCCGTCGACAGTGATAGCGAGCATCGTATTCAAGACCAGTGCCACATTACTACGGAATCTGTTTCCCAGCGAGAAATATTCCTTTGAGAAGTCAGACACTGTCGCGGTTGCGACGCTCTCCATCCGCAATCACCGGAATGTAGACTGGCTGGCTGGTGGGACGCACGACTCACTGGTCTTTTCGATCCATGGCGTCCAGTACAATGCTTCCGAAGCAGGAGAACCTCCGGTGCGCGGAAGTTACTGTCCGATCATGTTTGACAATCTCTCCGAGGCAGTTGTGGCTGAGCGGGAAAGATACGGTCTGCCGGCCGTACACACAGACATAGTTTGCACATATGATACAGGGCATTACCAGGCACGGCTGAGTTGGAGGGGTACGGAGTGGGCAGCTTTGAACCTCCATGGGTTAGTCTCGGATCCGGTCAATATTGAAAACGATGAGAATGTGCTGCCGCCACCTTCCGGGACGTTTGTGCATAGGTACATGCCGGCAGTTGGTGAAGCAGTTAATGGTGCAAGGGGTAAACAGCACCTAGATGCCGAGTACGACGTGTACTACCCAGAGTCAGACAAACAGATGGTTGAGTCCTCTACGAGTAGGCGCGCTACAACAGCCACGATCGAGATCAAACAGCTTGACCTCGACACTCTGCCAACCTTGCATCACATTGTTGCTCGCCTAGCAGAGTTGCCAATCTTTGAAATTGTCGAAGCTAGAGTCTCAACGAGTGACAGGGCTGCGGATTGGTCTACTGGATCTAGGCTTGGTTGAGTAGCAGCAATGCATTCTTTCTAGCGCTCTCGTTGTCAGAGTTTTGCTCCAAACTCGACTTTAGATCGTGCCAAATCCTCTGCGCTTCTCCCGATAACCATGCTCCGACCTGTATCTGCAGTGATAACATACATGACCTCGCGCGATACTCAAGATTATCCACGTCAGATCATAGGAATCGGGTCTCCAACCATACAACCGGTATCTCGGTAGAGCCTGCAAGCAGCCCACAATCCGGAGAGGCGGATTCGATCTTCGGAATTGGAATTGGTGCGTGTGGATGGTAGTGGGGTATATATGACAGGGCATTTTTCCGTGCTCCAGGTAGCGAAACCTGTCCCACGAGATCCTAGATCGTTCAGCGAGACCAGAATAATCCAAAAAGAGCTGAATTCCAATTTCCAAGGCTCCTCGACTTCTTGCCCAACATCAAGATTCACCATGGTCAGCCTCAAACGGGTAAGCTGACTGTTGAAAATGCGTGGACGCGCCCTAATGCGACGCACAGATCCAGCGAGACCTGGTCACGGCCAACCACATTCTGCATTTTCACTCGGTGCTGGATGCCTACGGACACATCTCAGTCCGCCATCCTGAGAATGCGGCGGTATATTTGATGTCTGGAGACATGGCGCCTGCGACCGTCAGCACAGCGGACCAGCTGATCCAGTATCGCGTCAATGATAGTGTTGCCATCACACCGGACGCTCCCCGTGGCTACATCGAACGGTACATCCACGGCGAGGTGTACAAGCGCTTCCCCGACGTGCACAGCGTCATTCATTCCCACAGCGAGGATGTGCTGCCGTACGCGATTGCAGGCGTGCCACTCCGCGCGGTCTATCACACCGCCGGCTTCGTCGGCTACGACCCTGTACCGGTGTATGACATCGAAAACTCCTACAACGACACGCAACCTCACGACATGCTCATAAGCACTCTGGCTCTGGGTGCCGACCTGGCACAGACATTTGTTTCCCCTGAAAATGCGCACGCGACGCCACAGACGGTGTCTCCCGACACCCACCTCGTCCTGATGAGAAAGCACGGGTTTGTCACGTTCGGCACCGACATCAGGGAAGCCGTGTACAAGGCCGTCTTCGCCCAGTCCAACGCCAAGGTGCAGACAATGGCGGTGCTCTTGAAGAATGCATACTCTGGCCTACAGGACGACAATCCAAGGACCTGGGCCAACGGATCGGACGAATCAAGTTTCGAACCTCTCACTCGCAGGCAGGCCAAGGACACCACCGCCGGTATGCATGCTGCTGGGGACCGTGCATGGCTACTATGGACCGCTGAAGTTGAGAGTCAGCCGCTTTACGTAAACAACGTGACGGTAGATACCGTCGAGGAGGCAAGTTGATGGTCGATGTTAAGAGATAGAGACTGGTCAGCGATTTCGAGCCGTAGATCGGCCCCTGAGTCGTTGCAGAGGATAATGTGTTCTACGCTGTTGTAAGCCTATAGCCAGGCATTTACTCAGACAAAAAACCCCCCAACGTAAGAATATCACTGAACAGATACATAATGAGTTGCAGTACAGAGCTGGGCTAGACATTTGTGTGAGCTGAGTAGTCAAACGTGATCATTGCTGATCTAGCCGTCAGACTCAACCCAGCTACCCCAGACATATTGGCTGTTACACATGTTTTGCAGCTCCCAGGTCTGTGCCATGAGCTTGCCGTGGCCTGCGGCTGTAGAAGCGGCGCCCCCAGCCACAAGCAGAGGAAAGTAGTGGTCGTCGGTTGGATGAGCGTCCTTGTACTTGGGATGCTGTGTCAATCGGATCAAGCCACCTGAGAGCGAAGGACCCTGTTGCACAGTATCAGTGAAACCTATACTCGGCAAGCCATGAGCGGCGGACGAGCTCACCTCGTTGTTCTTGATCACCTCCATGACGGCGCTGCCAAAGTCAAGAGCCCACTGGGCAGGTTTCTTGTTTTGTTGGAAGTTGTCGCCTGACCTCAGCATGGGCAACCAGTTGTTGCGGTAGAGATTGTGGACGGCACCGCCGCTCCCGACGATCAGAATACCCTCGCCTCGAAGTTTGCCCAGGGCCATCCCTATCTTCACGTGGAAGGAAGGTTTGAACCTCGCATTCAGGCTCACAACTGTGGCCGGCGGCGTTCCAGAGGGGAACATCCATTTCGCCGGCGTGATGGTGTCGTCGTGCCAGTCGAAAGTTGGATCGGCTTCGACGTCATGAAACTGGTGTTCCCGAAGCAAGGAAATCACACGGTATGCAAGTTTCTCCGATACGTTGATCGGATAGTTTTCCCAGTGTGACCTGGGGACCATGTCCATTTGCGCCCGCCCAGGGTCAAATTTGGTCGCAACGCGGATCTTGTCGTTCAATTCTTCCCAATGAGCGCCAATAAAGACGACTCCCTTGACACCATTGTCGAGGGCTTGTTGTCCAAACTGTAAGCGTTGTGAGTATATTTCTCAGCCACTTTATGAAGAAACTGACTTTGGCCCACCATTCGGACGATTTCGACTCCTTGCAGCACATCCAAGGTGAGCCATGAGAGGCGAACGTGACTGGTGTCAGGCGTGCGGACATTGCCAGCTCTTCAGGATTGTGATGGTCTATCGGTGATTCCTCGAGCTCTGCGCGGTCAATTATGGATTCAGACCCAGAGGGTTTTCAGAGGCAATTGGGAACAAGGTGCCAGATCCTCATCAAGAAGACAAAAGTATCCATTTAGCGTTGTCATGGTCACACAATTCGTCCCTGGAATGGTTCGCACTTGACAATCCAACCCTTCCAACGCCGCATACACATGGGGAACCCGTGTGGGTTGGATGTTACAACAAGGCGGGCATGGGGTCTGGCAGCCCACTGCCGCCTATCAACAACGGGTACATGTGGGTGAAAACCTCCAGATCAGAATCGCACTACGCGTTAGCACTGCCTGGAGACCCATGCAGGGGTTAACTGGGGTGGAAATTGAGTCGCCGATTCGTCCTAGAAGGACATCCTGTCCAGTCTTCAGCCCTACTAGATGCTGCCTCTTCAGAGTCATTCTGAATGCCAAAAGCATCTTGGAACATTCTCTTATGGTCCTATTTCCTTGGAAACAACAATGGGAGTAACGTTGCGAGCTGCTGTCGAAGCTGGTCGTGCCGCTTGGCTAGCAAACTTGACCATAGCCGAGAAAGCGTGGCCGGTACGACAGTTGTATACACTCTATCGCATGCTACTCGAGAACCGAGAAGATCTGCTGGAGGTGTGTAACCGTGGTAAGCAACATCACTTCCGCGCGTTAAAATGGTGCAGCTAACGAGCATATTTGAACGCAGACTTCTCGCACGAGCCGATTTTCTGGGAAAGGGAGTTTGCATCACTCGTGGAGGACATCGGTGCTTTGATACTCTCTCTCGAGGCTCCGACAACTCCTGCGATAGGAAAATCTCACTTTGGGACGTTTACAACGTCTCTACGCCCGCGAGGTGTCTCGCTCATCCTTTCGACTTCGAAGAACCCTCTACGTTTTGTGCTTGCGCCACTGGCAGCATCGATCGCGGCACGCAATGTTGTCATACTGGGAACTACACGCCTAGACAAATTTTGGAGTCTAATTGAGCAGAAGGTCTTGACTCACCTGGACACATTTGCGATTCAAGTTGTCGTTGCTACCTTGTCCGACATAAGTCCAGAGCACTTTGACCAGATCTATATAATTGGTAAGGCATCAACACTTCTCAAGCTTTGTGCAGGCACTAAGGCATCCACTCTTCAGCAGAGGACGAGGACCGAGAGAAATACTCTGAGCTCATCAAATTGCCGCACGTGAGCTGGCACCAGGCGTCTGGGGCGTTCAAAGTTGCTGTAGTCGACGGCGGGCCACTCAATGTTTCGAGTTGTGCCTCGGAAATTTCAACAAAGCACGACCAATTGACATCGGTCATAGTTCAGGACGAGCATTTCAACTCTCTCTGCGACGCCATCTGCAAGTGTATGGTTAATGCTGGCTCGAACACGAAGACCTTGAGCTTGGATCTGCCCAAGTGTCGTCGACTGACATCGATTTTCTACACTATGGACTGGATGGGCTTAGCCACTCAGAGTTCGACGCCTGATCTTCATTTCCTTTTACAAACTGCTCAAAGAGCTGGTGCTGTCCTGCTCCTAAAGTCCAGCTCGTTGGAGCAATGCCTCGACTCTCTTTGCCAAATCAGCAACATCGCACAAGCCACTCTTCTCAATCCGAGATCAAAGGAACACGAGAGGTATTTCCAGGATTGGGCGCGGTCAACCGTTGTTGCTTTTAGATCTATACCCTCCTCAGTTCCCGAAGGTGAGGATGACATATTGAATCTTCCCCTGTCCACGTACATCTGCGAAGGTATACTGATGAGGCGCCAGTGATTACCTACTACTCCGGAGCCACGACTGACCATCCAATCACCACCTTCCCTCCTGCTCTGTTCGCAATAACCCATGTCGAAGTTGTTGAGTGTGTCTCTACCACAGCAGACACTCCGCGAGCTATTCGACAATCCTACGAAAGCCGCTTTCCTGTGCCGAAACAAGAAGCCCCAGGTGGTCGGATCGATTTTTTCGTCCAGGTCGACTGTGCTTTGAAAGCAGTAGGATCGGTGTTAGGCTTGTGTGTTCTGGTCGGTGCCTGGTATACTCACAAAGCAGTCCGCACCAGCTATTTTTCTGCGTAGACGTCTATATTTGCCCGAGGTCATAGAATATAGGACCAGTTAGTCAAATACTTTTAGAATTGTCAATGTTTTGTCACATCAAGATGGTAGAGCTCTAATCTTATCTCCTAAATTCAAGGGCCAGGTACTCAAAACCTCCGTACCAGCTTCGTACCAGCTCAAAAATATCAATTGACACGTTCCAGTGCTCTACAGGACAGTCATTGGGCCTGGAAGAGCTTTTCTCGGATGAGTGTGGGATTTCCAGGTCACGCAGACAGCCCACAACGAGGTGGATCAACCATGCAAACTTGTTGAACCCACACATTGCAAAATCACGAGCCTATTTCTGACCCATGGCATGATTCAGCTCGGTGGCAATTTGTTGTGCGTTTGAATTTCGAATGGTATTTGAGCTTCCTGACCCGGCGCTCACACCACAGCCAGACAAAGTTTCGGTCCATTGAGCTCCTCCTCGTCGAGAACGAACGACAGAGAGTTCAAGGATGGGCAACCAGATCCGAAACCTGTACAAGGTTGATTACACTTCGTTTGATTACATATACGAAGAAAATGTAGACATTCCACTTAGGCTCGGCGAAGGCCTTGTGAGATGCAACGTCTATCGCCCAAAGAGCGAGAGTGCCAGGTATCCAGTGCTGGTCACCTATGGCCCATACGGCAAAGACATACACTACAGCAAGTACGTTTATCTGAAGCAATCTGATGGCAGATCTGACCCCGTTTTAGCTTTCACGCAGATTCTTACAGTGAGGTGCCGCAAGAGCATCGTTCAGCACATTCGGCCTGGGAGACGCCCGACCCGGGGTTTTGGACAAAATGCGAGTATGCAGTCGTCCGGGCAGATGAGAGGGGTTGCGGCCAATCCCCCGGGCTGCTTGACACCATGTCATCAGGAACGTCCGAAGCGTTCTTCGATGTCGTCGAATGGGCCGCGCGCCAGCCTTGGTCCACGGGAAAGGTCGGGCTGCTGGGCATCAGCTACTACGCCGGCAGTCAGTGGCGAGTGGCAGCGCGACGGCCCAAAGGCTTGGCCTGTATCGTCCCTTGGGAGGGTATGTCGGATTACTACCGAGATCGATGTCGACACGGAGGTATCCTGTCGAACGCGTTTATCGGCTTCTGGTGGAATCGTCAGGTTAGGTCGAGTCCTCTCCATTTATCTTTGTCCACAACGTTACTAAACGGAGACCGAATAGGTGATCACAAATCAGTATGGCCTCCCTGGCCGAGCCGCACAAAGGTGGGGTCCCGACACGATCGAGGGAGACTTACCGGAAGAAGAGTTGGTAGCCAATCGCCGGGACCAAACGGTCGACAACACACTGTTTCGTTTCCGCAACGACGAATATTATTCCTCGAGGGAATACAGTCTGGGCGATATCCAGGTCCCCCTCCTGTCCGTTGCGAACTGGGGAGGGATATCGCTGCACCTCCGAGGGAACGTCGAGGGCTACACGCACGCAGGAACGAACCTGAAATACCTGAGATTCATCACCGGCCGACACGACCTTCCCTTCTACCAGAAGGAGAACGTCGAGATGCAAAAGTCGTTCCTGGACGCCTTCTTGAAGGGCCACGACACGCAGGGCTGGACGACGGGCGAGGCGCCACGGGTAGGCTTGACGTTGCGCAAAGGCAACGTGGGCTACAACGACACCCTGGCCGAGAGGGCGTATGAGACACGGTACGAAAATGAGTGGCCAATCGCGCGCACGCGGTACACCAAGTTCCACCTGACCAGCTCCAACGTCCTGACCGCGGAAGGCACCGTCGAGGAAAGGTCCGACTCCACCGTCACGTACGAGGCGCCCGGGAGTCTGGCCGAGGCCAAATCCGTCCACTTCACGACGGGACCTTTTGCGCAGGAGACCGAAATCACCGGGCACGTGGTGGTGCGCCTGAACGTTTCGGCGTCTCCACCTTCGACGGTGGACACCACCGCCGTTCCCTCGGAAATCGACGTCTTCGTCACACTTCGCCACTTGGATGGCGAGGGCAAGGAAATATTCTACACGGGCACGGTAGGGGACCCGGTGCCGGTGGCCAAGGGCTGGCTCCGCGTCAGCCTAAGGCGGACGGCGGTCAGCGACCCGCGTCACCGGCCGTGGCACCCCCACAGAGAGTACCTCTCCACGGACGTGCAGCCTGTGGTGCCGGGTACCGTGTACGGCGTGGACGTCGAGGTCTGGCCCACGAATGTCGTGGTGTCCAAAGGTCACCGCCTGGTGCTGGAGATCTCGTCCGGCGACACGCAGGGAGCCGGCCTCTTTGAACACTCTTCAGAGGTCGACCGTCCCCGGGATCGACTGCTAGGCCACAACCACATCCATTTTGGGCCCGGCCTGGAGAACTATGTGCTTTTGCCGGTGATTCCTCCGCGCGCGGGAGCAGGGACCAAGAGGACAACTTGAACTATGGTCTTTTGACGATTGCGCCAAGTTACACAGTAGCCATGTACATAAGCAATCTTACAAGACAATCAGCTTTGAGCAGCAGTTCTTTACTCCTCCCTGGCCGCCGTGGTCACGAGTTCGTGTGCATATGTACATGCATGCATGAAAGCATGTGTTTGTGTCTGCAAATATCGAAAAGCGAGGGCAAGGTTAAGCAGATCAGCCTCAACCATGGTTTTTGGATCCTTCAAATACACTATCATTATCATCTGGATCCACGGTGGGAGCCATTCTCCGTCTTTTTTTTTAATTGAAAAAAAAGAAAACCTGAATTCAAGCCCCCAGAGCAAGTCCTGCGGTTACTTCCTGAGCAAAGCCGAGGCAGCGTGCCATCCAACCCTGAGCACAATGACTCCATTCTATAGCATGGGGCGCGCCTTTGACCACGGCTCCGTCAAAACGGGGGCACTTGGGAAACCTGGAACCAAACTGTATGAGGTGAACTGTCGAGCCTTCCCAGAAAAGGTCGTGTTCCCCCAGGCTGAACATGATTGGCGCCGTAATGTCATCCGCGAATCGATACCAATAACTGTTCCAATCTCCGTTGATGACTTCTTCCAGTTCCTGACTCTCCATGTTGTGATCTTGAATCCCTATGGCCTCCAGAGCTTGAACAGGGGCACAGTGGTCTTCCGACGGGCCGCACATGACGACGCGCTTCCAATCTAGTTTCTGTGATCGATCCCGTGGTGACGGGGGCATCCGAGGCGATGGGAGCTCGCCCCAGCCTGACATGATGATTCCCGCCAACGGATACGATGGCGATTGTTCTCGGGCGTGCAATCCAGCAGCGATTATCATGGCAGGGGAGCCTAGGCTGTGCGCCAGTGGGACCACCGCTTTACACCCATGAGCGATGCCGAAATCCGCCCAGAGCTTGGGAAAGAGATGGCTATGGTAGAAGCTACCAAGATCTTTGTGGAATCTACTTCCCTGCGTGGCTGGGAGCCGGTCACTGCCAAGGTAGCCCGGGCGATTGATCGAAATGACAGGGACGGAGAGGGCCTCGGCGATGGTGGAAATCGTCATGGAAGGGGAGAGATCAAAGTGGTGGGCGGTACAGCCACCTCCGTGTAACAGTATGATGAGAGGGCGGTAGTCAGAGGTACTACCAGACTCGCTCCTAGTCGCTGGTAGATATTTTATGCCCGTAATGACGACCGTGTTTGCGACAAGGACTTCGAACGGCGCAAAGCGAGACTCGGTGTTTGACGCCATGTAATCGTCGATAGGGTGGGATCTGTACAGCTTTCTTTTTTGACCAGAGAATTACTCTGCTGGCAATAAATACATATACAGACTCGCGCGATTTCCAGACCATTCTGCCCGTTCGGGAAGGGAGACAATCCCACGAGACTGATGTAGCAAGGGCTCAGATTCTCCCACTGCGCTTCCCAGAGGGCTCGTACATCGGCTTTTCGCTCTCTCGGAGTGATGGCTGTTGACGTACCTCGCCATAGTCTACATCGGCACGTCCCTACTCTGGTGTCGGTACGAGCACTCGCTCTCTTCGATCTCTTGCACCATTCGATTTCACCAATGCCATTCTAGGGCCTGCAATCTTGTACGCCGAGGGTGCGTGGGTCAGGCCGCCACTTCTGATGGCCCTTGCGGGAGTCAAGGAGAGCGCGTGCGTCGCAAAAATGATCGTCGGGCGGGTTTGAATCTGCGACTGCAAATGGAGCTCGGGGAGACATTACGCCAACCCACACCTCCAGAGTGCCTGGAGACCGCAATCGAGCCAAAGAGCGCCCTTATCTTAAAAAGGAGGATCGTGCTACGAAAAAACAGCAAGAGATCCGTAGACTGCTCGTGGAAAGGTCATTTCGATAGTATCTTTTAATCCTCTAGATGCCTATATGTCAATGCTTGTGACCCTTTTCATTATCTCACTATCTACCCTTCAGATGTTCTTCAAACCATTGCAATGCCAGGAAGAAAGCGCTCTCCTTGGCGTATTGAATTTCGCGTTTCCTGGGATCTCCCCGAATAGCGAAGCTGGAGTTGCTGTCAACGAAGTCCACATTGACAATGAACAGGCACTTACCCATGCTCGACACCATAGTACAGATTGACCTGAGTCGGGTGTCCGAGCTTCCCAAGAATATATTCCGTCTGCTGTCGCTTCTCCTTGCTGAAAATCGTGTCCTTCTCTGCTGCCGCGATTGCCAAAGGTCCCTTGATCGCTTCCAATTCGTTCTGGTCCACGAAGGCCGGGTGTGCGGTGTATCCAGCATCCAGCTTGCCTTGCTCCGGATTGAGGTGGCGGACGACGTATTTGGCACCAAAGCAGTAGCCAACGCCGCCTATCTTCTGTTCGTTTTTGACCTTGAAGTTAGCACTCGCTTTTGTCGTTGTCTTGCTTGTATCAGCCGCTTCCGGCAAGACATGAACAACGCACCTCAATGCCGTATCTGGTCCTCATCTCGTTCAGACACAGATCAATGATGGGGTCGATTATGGAAGGCAGGTGAGCGGTGTGTGCGGAATTGTAGTCTCCCTTGAGCCATTTCTGCATGTCAAACTTGTCAGGTTTATTGAGTGGGATCGGATCACCGTAGAAAAGGTCGGGCATGAACGTCAGGTAGCCATTGGAGGCAAAATCGTCGGCAATTAATTGTGCATTATTGAACTTGTGACCAAGGATGTCGGTGACACTATTCGTACTGGTCAGTCAAAAAATTTGAGAGGAGCTAGAGAGTTGTGGCAATGGGAATGATGAGATTTGTCCAATGGTATCGCCCAGAGATTCCAGCAGGATCATTCATTACAGGTAACAGTGCCACAATGAACGGGAAATACTGTACAGCAAGACGCCATATTTCGCCTCCTTTTTCGGACGAGTAATGTAAACTTCAAAATCCCCAACCTTCTCAATTGTGCCAGTCGGTACCCCTTCATGCTGAATGCCCTGGTAGCAGCAAGTTCCTGGAAGGTGGGAAGCCATGTTCAGTGAGATACTCCGAAGCCACACCTGTTGGTTTAGATTGATGGGCGAGCAATAGCTATTGATTCTGGTCTTCGGAGTAGAGACCGATCTCATAGACAGGAGAAGGGATGAAGGACCTATATGGACGCAACGTCGGCCTATAGTTTGAATTGCAGACATCGAAGAGCTGTTTGCTCGAAAGCGAGCAAACACGTTGTCTGAACTATCAGGGTCCCCCCAGTGGAGTGCCGGCACCGGCAGAAGCTATCTCAAAGCAAAGTCATGAGTTGAAAAGCCACGGATTTCCATCTTCAGCTCGCTGTCAAACTCGGTGTCGTACAAATCATCGTCTTCCGAGAGATAGGGAGCCTTTAAAGTACGAATACAAAACATGTACGACATTTCGGCCATGTTTCATCCGGTGGACAGTGAGAGGGTTTAGTGCAGTTTAGATGAAAGGACTATAGACGAGTATTGAATTCAGCAATTCTGACCCAGACGAAGCAAATGACCGTTGAACCACTCACCGGGTCTCAAAATCCCAAATAGGACTAGCATACAGCGCCCGTATGAGCGACAGCCTCGCTCTTTCGAATACAATTCGTGCCGAGCATCGTACAAGGCTTCCCAGACTCCAGCGTCTGATTAATGATGGAGATCAATCGGTAACCCACTGAATGTAGTACAAGGCCCGGAGATGAAGTTCTCTACTCATGAGGGTAGGGATTATATTTACAAAGCCAGTCATACCGAAGGCACTCTGATCTATTGTCAATGTTGCTGAATATTACCTTACTAAGCATTCGATTCATTTGACTTACCTAAGGTGGTCTTCGACTTGCAGTCATAAAGCTTTCCTCCAAAGGAGCTTTTATCTATCTCCTCACGCTGCCAATTTCATCATGGCCATCGATCTAATCGCCCTGGAAGAGCACTTCACCGGCCAAGCAGTGGCCAAGCGACCCTCCGCTGCAGACCATCCCCAATACATGCTTCCCCAGGCCATAAGAGAGAAGCTAGAGGACCTTGGAGAAGGGCGGTTCAGAGAGATGGAGCTGGGTAACGTGAGTGTCCAAGTGGTGTCCCATATCCCAGTCGTGGAGCCGCCTGAGATCTGCGCTGCCGTCAACGACCAGTTGTTCAAGGCTGTCAAAGCCAGCAAGGGACGCCTTCGAGCCTTCGGATTGTTGCCAATGGCACACCCTGAGGCCATAACAGCCGAGCTTGAGCGGTGTGTCAAGTCGCTCGGCTTCTTGGGCGCGGTGATCATCAACCACGCCAACGGAAGATACTATGACGACCCCGCATACTGGCCCATGTGGGAAAAAGCTCAAGAGCTGGACGTACCTATCACACTCCATCCGACAACAGCTGCTGATATGGTGGCTCACAAAGGCAATTATGACCACCAGGTGCAGACACTGCTCGCTGGCCCGGCTCTACGCTGGCATGTCGATACCGCTGCACACGTACTCCGTCTGTACGGAAGCGGTCTATTCGACGCTTTCCCGCGCCTCAAGCTCATCCTTGGCCACGATGGTGAGACTTTGCCATTCAGCATGGATCGAATTGCTAGCGTTTTCGCACACCGATGGGGAGGAAATAAGCGTGATTTTCGAACAGTGTGGAACGAAAACTGCTGGATCACGAACAGTGGTATGTTTGAGATGGCGCCATTCGAGTGTTGTCTCAAGGTGTGCAAGCCTGACCGGATCATGTACAGTAAGTGGACCGTTGACTCCTTTTTGGTCCTCTTTCCCCCTGCTTGTAGACTCTTCATCGGGGTCTGTCTGTCAAATGCTGAACTAACTATGACTTTGTGGTGACTTGCAGGCGTTGACTACCCCTTTGAAAGTACCAAGAGTGGTCTTGAGTTCATAGAGAAGCTTGAACTCAGCGGACTGGTAACAAAAGAGCAATTTGAGATGATTTGCTCTGGGAACGCCAAAAAGCTACTGCGTCTTTGAAGTTCTAGCTTACTCCTTTATCGATGAGTGGTTAGTCTGATCTCGACAACGAGGAGATCAAGTTTTCCCCATTCATATAGTCAAAACGAGTAAAAAATCTTCTCCCGGTCAAGACATTCTTGATTGCTTAAAGTCGTTTACATGCTTGGCTGCATTGTTCGATAGGACCTTGGGGAAGTGTATTTATGACTGGTGCCAATGAGTCCAGACTAGTGTAACAACCCCCAAGCTTACCTTAAAGTCTTCGCATTGTTTGGTGCGGTCTCCGAAGTGTCTGATCGTTTCGTAAAGTGACTGTGTTGACTGCACAGCAGCTGTGAGTATAGCTAGCAACGATGCCGTAGCATCGGATGTCATCGGCCGCTCTGGGTTCGTGATAGAGTTGCAGGTTTAATCTTCCTCACCTCCTCAACACGAGAAGATGAGCGTCAACGTCAGCCCGCGGTCGAAAGTATCATGCGCTGAGGTAGACACTTCCACAACTAATTTCGATGGCCATCTTACACCGTGACAGGAGGCCGCCGCCGCTAAATCTGATGTTCCTCATCCCAGCCCGGATTCTTCGGCTCATCTGATGATTGTGAGAACTATTTCCTGGAAAAAAGGCAACAAATGAATAAACTGTAAGGCTACCTGCTCTCTTACAAAGCGACTCAAAGTACTGATTTTCTTGTTTGGAAACTCGTGGCTTATTGAGTGCTGATTTGCCAATATTCCACACTGCGCGTTTTTCATCGCTTCGGGAAAATTAGAAAAAGAGGCCTGGGTGTTCCACTTGGCGCCAATCACCGAGTCCGTCCTCGATGTTACCTCGGAACAGTCAGACGGGGCGTTTCTGAAACTGGAGGCAGATTTCCCGGCAACGACTTTGCAGTACAAACACAGGTTGCCGGTAAAAGGCCCGATGAAGTTGAGGGTTAGTGCCTCTTCCTTTGCATCGTCTCCATCCTTGATATAAGATTGGCCCTCTTGCTTTCAACTTCTTCACTGTAGTTAACCAGCTTCGTCAATTGATGTTGCCGGTTCTTCGCCTTGCAAGGCTGACCGCCTGCGCCGCACGCGGTTACTGCTATCCTGAAGAATAGCTCTCCTCCCGCTACTGGTATCCCAAACTACCCTCGCTGTCAGAACCTCTCAATGCTGTTCCACTTCATTGATGGCGGGGGTCAAACCGGCCTACGCAGCCCAGGAGCTCGTGAGCGGAGGATAATCCGAAGCCACGTCATGATAGGCAAAAACCGCAATAAGACGCATCGTCGTCGTCGTCATCATCATGAGGATGCTGTGTCCTGGGAAAAGGGTCGACAGGATCACAGCGCTCCGACGATCGACGAATCGAGCTCCCGTGGCCGACAGGTAACGTGCCAAGCAGGTCTACAGCCTTCTCGAACCCTTGGGAATCCACTGCAGCATTTTCAACTCGCTTTTGCTCTGAATCCATACATGCAGCGGGCAATCCATTCATGTGAGTGGTGTATATCTATACTATCAAGGCAGAATATACGAAATTAATGATAACCCAGACTTCACCGGTATACTGGAAGCCTTATATCCGTTCCAGATCTGTCTCCGGCAGAGCCCACTGCATGATATATGGCTGAATTACATGTGTATTGAGCCTGCCTGTACGACTGGGGGTGACTTGTGACTAGATGGTTGCTAATGGTCGCCAGTCCTTCACTGCGTTCTTGCCTTATCAGTCGGCCATATGGCCTTTGCTTCACATGGACAGGGTACGCAAAGTAACCCTGAAGCTCTTTTCCATTCCGGCCGAGCTTTAAAACTTCTGAACCAAAAACTTCAAAATCCGAGCGATGGAATATCGGTGCCCATATTTGCTGTGGTTATCGCTTTCGCTATATCCGAGGTTTCGACAGGAAATCTTGAACAAGGAAAGGCGCATCTGGACGGGTTGGAACGTATGCTAGAGATGAAAGGTGGTTTGTCGTTCTTGAACGATAACCGCGTTCTGCAGCAGAAGGTTCTGAGGCAAGTCTATCTGACCCGAAAACATCCGGTCTAGCTAACATGCATCAAGGGCCGATATTGACTACAGCCTCCGGACAGGCTTAGCCCCTCGATTCCCTTCTCACGCCCTCAACGCGTCGACCATCAAATTTTTACAGGTGGGCATAGGTGAACATCCTTCCTCCACGGAAACGACTCCGGCCTGGAACTCATGGCTCGGCAAACTAGACAGCCGCCCTCGCCGTCTTTGGACGATGGTGTACCAATTCACTTCTGGTCTAAACAACCGGTCGTCATTGACCCACAATCTACAGCCATATCTATTCCAAGATGTTCTGCTTTGGGCTGAATATCAGTTACTCACGCTCCCAGAATTTGCGTCATGTGGGGGCATGCAGAGCCTGCTGCGGGCCGGAATGTTGGCCTTTATGACAACCTGGATCAATTACAGTGGCAGGGCAAGTTATGACTTTCTTGCCAACCAACTACGCAATTTATTGCTTTCGATACCTGAACATTCTTCGGCATTGTTGCTGTGGACATTGTTCGTTGGAGCTATCTCAGTATTTACAATAGACGACAGACTTTGGCTATTGCCGAAGCTTTCGCGAACATTAAGAAAGCTTGCGTTAGAGGATTGGGACGCAGTGAGAAAACATTTGGAATCACAGCCCTGGGTGCATTTCATACATGATAAGCGGGCGCAGGAGGTCTGGGAACAGGCTCGTGCTTATCATGTTGGATCACGGTATCTTGAGCGGCAATCGTCACACCGACGCCACAGCAAGCACAGTACAGAAACTGTTGTGGTGCTCGGTGGCTCTGCCATCGGACTAGCTACCATTATTCCCGAACGGAATAGTGGCGGCGAAGCTCCTTTACGTTTCTCTTCGGGGGCAGAGCTGTTTAGATAGAACAACACATTCAAGAGCCCCTTCTTTAGCGTTCGTTTTGCTTGTTTTGTTGTTTCTCCCTCTTCCGGAGTGGCCTCTGCCATCTCCTGTTACAGAAACCCAGAATTGAGGAGGGCGAAGACCATCACCTCTTCTGCTACAGGAAGCCAGTTTCGAAGACTATTGTTCCCCGACCGTGCCTAGGGCGCTTCGATTTCGTCCCATAGATCAATTCGTACATACTGCCTGTCTGTGACTTTGAATGTGAACGTGACTGATCTAGCCTGGATCTGGCTTGAAGGCGGCGACGGCACTTGGCGTGGAACCAAGATCGCCGGGCCAATGAGAGATTGTTTGCTGAATTGGGAATTTTGTATCTTCGTATGGTATAAATAGGCGCTTGTATCTGGATATTGATCACAATACGTCCAGCAAATACAAGCCTCGATTAAAATTCAAATCACCAGCAACAATACGCCTTATGTCTAGCAAGGAAATCGTTTTGATCACCGGTACGTCACCAGATCACCTTCTCACTCATTTGATCCTCTGACAAGAGTATCTCAGGCGGGAACAGTGGCATTGGGTACGCCACCGCTTCCGTGCTTATCCTTTCCAGAAAGTACCATGTCATCATCGGATCGCGCTCTCTGGAGAAAGGAGAAGTTGCCTTATCCAAACTCTCCAACCAAGCCAAGGGCTCGATCTCTCTTCTCCAGCTGGATGTGACGGACACCGATTCGGTTGCTTCTGCCGTGGCACGGGTGGATCGTGACTACGGCCGGCTAGATGTCCTGGTCAACAACGCTGCGATCGGAGTGACGCACCCTTCTCTGACGGCGGAAACTTTGCGTCTCGTCTTTGAGACCAACGTCTTTGGTGTGGCGAGAGTGACGGACTCCTTCGTCCCTTTGCTGCGCAAGTCATCTGCTCCTCGCATTGTTCATGTGACAAGCGGACTCGGGTCATTGATGCTGAAGGCTTCGGGGACGCCTACCCCCCCGTATTATGCGTATATGGTGAGCAAGGCAGCGCTGAATATGATGGGTCTTTGCCACATGGAACAGTTTGGGGACGACATCAAGGTGGTTGTATTGAGCCCCGGTTTCGCCGAGACAAATCTAGGTGGAGATCCAGAAGCCTTCAGGAAACAAGGTGCTGAAGATCCAGTGATATCAGGGAGGTTCATTAAGACAGTGATAGAAGGGAAGAGAGAGTCAGACAGGAAGGAAATGCTGAAAGAGGAAGGGACTTTCCCCTGGTAGATTTGCCTTCCGACGCTTGTCCCTAAGGCGAACGAGATTGTAGGATGGAGTCAGAAAATCACCAAGAACCCTGTCCAGTTAGTCTTGTTGCTTAAAAGCAACCAGACCATTCATTCTCTGCGGACACGCCTCTTGACTCTCTCACTTGGGCAGTGCTTGATACAGCATTGTATATCCGTGAAGACATATGCCAGAAGGATGACGAAAATGCGAAATCCTGGTCGTCATAGTGTGTGACGTTCGACGGGTACAGCGGGGCAACGGAGGTGAGAGGAAGAAACAGGCTGGAAGGGAGGCTGGATTCGGATGGAAGAGTGTTCGTATGAACGTCAAAACCGGCGGCAGGTCGATTTCTCTTTGGACAAAAATGGCTTCTGTTTCATTCGCAATAAGACCTCGGCAAACCGCGACAATGTCGAGGTCCCCTAGTTCGTGGAAACGACGTATTTCCGCGACTATGAGCGCATAGAATATCTCGATCATCAGTTACGATGAGCTTAAACTACCTCATGTGGAGAGTCATCTGTGTTGAACACTAGTGATTGCGCGGATCAGGAAACGCAGTTCTGCATTTCCTTCTAAGGCCGGCACGCGAGTCCGCTATTCTCAGCCAGCGGCTCTGTCCCATCGTGACTTCACGACTGAAGGCGGCTTTATTGCCGTGGCGACATACTTTCCGGGACAGGAGAAATACCCCAAGGATCGAGACTCCGACCTGCAGAAGTTCGTATGGCCTTGTCGACCATGATCGAGGATGGACTTTCATCCTTGTTCTTGTCGTTCGACATTTGTCTCAAGCGCGTTAGCTGACTTCCGTGAACCACACAGCGTGTGGAAAGTCCTCCGTGGACCAAAAAACAACTGGCCTCCAGCGTTGCGCGACTACTAGACAGTAGATCTGGAGCTTGACACTCGATCAAATGACATTGTGCGCGAGGACAGAGTTGGTGAGAACTGGTTGTTGCATGGGAATCAGCAACATGCATGGTATTATATCGCCGATCAGGAAGAGGATGACTTGATCGTGTCCGAGACACGGATTCGAAAGGGCGACGTGCTAGTAAGAACCCTCCTCGTCGTGACTCCCCTTGGATACGATCTGACGTTAAGCTCGGCAGGGGCTTCCCATGCGGCTTTCGACTCAAAGCTTGGGGACATCCAGCTCCGGGAAAGCTTAGATCTTCGTATCGTCGCGTTTCGCCCGGACGTCACATCAGCATAATCGAAGGATTCGCGATGGCTAAGTCTTCTCAGAGATGATACCGTGCCTATGGTTCTGAAATCAAATGACATTGTATGGTCGTAGACCAATGTCCGCCAGGGGGATATACGTGTAGTTGTACTCGAGATACATCTTACTCAGCAGGGCCCTGATCAATGTCGCTTGATTTTCGTAAGGCCCCCCGGGTGTAGAATCAATCAGACAATCCTCCGTCTCATCGGCTTGATTTCTGGCCGGTTTCACAGCCTCGCAACTTGGCACCTCGATTCGGTTTAGCTGCCTTTCGACATGATCAAACGAGACATCAATCCGTTCTCGCTCCTGTTTCTACGAGTACTCATATCCATCGAGAGTGGGAGCCACATCCACACTCTACGGTCCTGGTGGCCAATTGTGCAATGCTCCGGGACCCGCCGTCTTTCACGGTGCGCTCAATTGCTCTCGATACTTGTCCATGAAAATTGATCTGGCCGTCTCAAGCAGAGAACGCAATACATGCTCTCATCTCGTATGTGGAACTGCCAAAACACTCTGTATCTAAGTCGACAATGCAACGATGGTAGGAATTCCAGGAAAATCAAAGGGCTGCACGACATGTAGAAGAAGAAAAGTTCGGGTAGGTTAGAAAGAGAATGTCTGGGGGAGTCGATGAATACTTATGCCATCCTTTTCTTAGTGTGACCTCGGAAAGCCTTCGTGTCAGCGATGTACGTCTTCGGGAAGATGCTGCGAGGGATACGCCAGATATTCTGTCTTTATCAACCGTGGCCCGGAAGGCTTACAGAGGCGAAAACGTCTGGAAGAGACCAGGGCCGATGGATTTGATCCTTCTTCTGTCTCGGATTCGACTTCCATTAGTCAACTCATCGTCTCGAACGGTGGTGACAGAACCCCTCCCCTGATCTTCTTGTCCTCCTCGCCTCCTCCTCCTCCTCCTCCTCCTCCTCCACTGCCCTCTTCGGAGGGTGTGCTGCGCGATGATCAGTTGATCTCCAACTTTTTCGAGAGATACGCTTCCCCCAAGTCATCACCAGATTCCAGATATTGCTGCCACCCTCTCTGGCTGTACCACACTCTGCGTATTAGTTTCCCTACCAAACTTCTTCGGCAGGCACTGTTGGCACTCGCGTATACCCGACTGGGGAGGCTCAATGATGACCACCCCACGATCACCAGAGGACAACGCCTGTACGGGCAGGCACTGCGCCTCATGCAACAGGCGGTCTACGACGCGGACATGATGCGCCACGAAGACACCCTGGCCGCGGCCAGGTGCATGCTCCTGTACGAGCACTTCGAATCCACTTCGGACAACATGACCTCGTGGTTCAATCACATCATCGGGATCTCGAGGATAGTGGAGCTCCGGGGCCCGCGCAGCCACCGCACCGCCCTGACACAGTCGCTGCTCGAGTCGATGAGGTACAGCGCCATGATCATCAGCCTGATGGAGAGGAACCGGTCCGCGTTCGGGAGACCCGCCTGGCTGACCGAACCCTGGCTCGACGGCCACAAGAGTCTCGAGCAACGCATCATCGACTACGGCTTCCACATCTCCAACCAGCTGCACCGCGGGGACCTGCTCTTGCTCCGCGACCCACCCCCCGACCCGACGGAACATCAGATGGAGGTGGGCCGGATCCTCCACGCGATCCAAGACGGACTGTCCGGCCTGGAGGCACTGCACGCCGAACTCGGCGACCTTTGTGGTCGCTTGGCTGCAGCTGCGGACCCCCACGAGCCGCTCGACACTTCGTGTTCGTCCGTGGACATTGGCGAGATTTCCGCACTGCTGGGCTCGGCCATCATCCACGGCCTGGACCTGTCGTATTCTGTCTTCGCCGCGGCGTTGCTCCCCGCCTACGAAAAATGCACCATCCCCGGCGCCGCGGCGATGAGGGCCAACCTCCTTCGGTACACCGACCAAAACCGGAGACATGCTCTCGCCCACAAAATCCTCGTCCAGTTACAGACTTGCGTCACCACCGAAGCCGACTACTCGCGCGGCAAGATCGTGTTGCCCCTGAACATCATCCGGTGGACGCTCCGTACCCAACCCGAAGACACGGCCAAGATCAACGAACTCTTTGACCATTTGACCTTGAAGGGCAGGTACCGGTTGACGAGGAGCGTTCAAAACACGGGCAAGTCCATATTACCAAAAGTTTACGTCCAAGGGATTGGGGAGGGGAGCTCAGAATCCAAGAACATGACGGTATAATCTAGTGCCCGTTCGAAACATCAAAGTGCTGGGTGGAAATGAATAACATGATCAATTTTTTCTACCTTTATGATCATCTAGATGCCCCTCGCTGTGATGAAGATGGAAACCGTCCCGACCGAAGGTTTTTGTTTACAAGTGTAATATTGATACTCCTTTAGGCTTTGTTGTATGCCAGCTGTAACACCACCTTGACCAAAAGGAAAGAAACCCAACTCTTTGTGAAATACTAACTTGTCAAAATTCTGTCCCGACCTGCTTTCCCTCGTCGGTGGTTTCGTCACCGCTTATCAAATGTCGAGTTCCGGAATAAAACACTGGTCCTGGATGTGCGACCACCAAAGCAAACGCCGCGACGACGACCATTCTAAACATCACAGACATGTAAGCTAGAATCTATAGAGATCGAAATTGAGAAAGGAGAAGAGGCACGGAAAAAGGAATTGAGAAAAGGGGCAAAGAGGCGGGAGAAGCAAAAACTCACACGGCCTCAAGGGCGATAAACAACGTCTGATCTCTCAACGCCTCACTGTCTCTGGAGTACCCTTCATTCAACTCGTAAACACGGTAACAGCACCGTATCAAGATCAAGACCGTGGCGAGGGTCAAAAAGGTCAAGAAGACCTTGAATTTGAGAGGGAGCCGAGTGCTCCTCCACACCTTTCGACTGCGGATGAAATAGTCGACGGTCAAGGCGACAAAGACGACGAGGGTGGCGACTTGGAACGACAAACCGGCGAGGGCAATGTTGACGCCGTTGTTGGACGAGCCGTTCGAGGTCGAAGACATGGCTCCCCCAATGGCTTGCAGGATCAAGCTGATGATGTCACAAGGGATGAAAATGTAATAAAACAACCTCGGGTTGAAGCGTGAATGTTTGGGCGAGATGTATGTTATACTATATATAGTACAGTAGGAGACAATAAGTGTTAGTAATGATCTTAACGAAGATGATAGATCAGATAGAGGAGACAAAGGAAAAGGGAGGGAGTGATGGAGTGTTTTGTGGTGTATACTGACATTTGGTATAATATCACATAAATGGCCGCTGAGAAAAAGACGGGTCCAATGGTGATAAGGACTGTGATTACACATTAGCAAATTAAATCGTGCGGATCGAGTTTGAGAGAAATCCCAACATACCAATCTGCATGATAAAGGCATCATGATTCCATGGGTTTTTGTACATCATGATCCTACCGACATAACCGAGAATCTCGTCGATACATCCAAGAAGCATGGCAGTCATGAATCCCCACGTCTTGTACCGCCAACCCAGGCCGATTTGAACGATACAACAGACGCCGTAGAGTGCGATGAGGGCGACACTCAAAGGTAGAGAAGCACGGTAACCATAAATGCTCAACTCGACGGGACAGACGGAGATTGTACAATTGGCGTCCGAACCACCACCGATGTAGGTTGTGCCGTTGAAGACGTATATAGGTCCGTCGGATGACATCTTTTCCTTGGAACGTTGTAATCAAGATTCAATTGTTGTATGAGCGGGAATCTGTCTGATTGATTGGTGTTGATAATTCTATCAAAGGAAACGATGTCCTGAGGAAAGTAAAATCCTTGATGTGTCTCCGGAAAAAGGGGAGTGTTTGCTACCCTTGTTATCTTCAGCCTTGAGCAGAGAGAAATAAAAAAGGATCCAAGCCCATGTGCACGAACGAGTGAGTATATATGTATCCATCCATCCCTTACCAAAAGTAGTACTCCACCTTTGGACAAAGATCAGGGTATATTCAACGGAGGATGGACTTCTCTTTGATCCCAAAGTACAGCCCCCCACCGGTGGGGTCCGATGTTCAATGTAAAAATACTCGAGAAGCTACCAAGAGATCACAGGATTGTCCATAATAGTCTCCGATCGCGACAGACAACCTCCACGCTTTTGACCCATACGGCCGTTTGACACTGGTGCCTTGCGGTGAGAGACGGGAACCAAACAGAAGACCGTGCCCGAGTTAAGCTTGGAAAAGAGCTAAAATACATCCGCATGCCCTCGGTGGACTCACCAGCAAAGTGTGAAACTGCGTACGGCACACATTGGCAGTCTACCAGGTTTGAGGTTATGACACGTAGACAAACCCTTGGAACCTTGCTTCTCCAGAGAGAATCTAAGGCGTCCTGCGAAACTCCGGGACGGCATATTCCCCTTTGGCAGAAATGCGAATACGACGGGAAGTGAGTGGACAGGTAGAGAGGATACATGGGACGAAAACAAAAGGACAACGCGCTCCGCGGATGGTCGCGATACAAACCAAACCGTAAGCAGCAAATTAAATTGTCTTGACGTCAGGGAAGAACTTTCCTCCGCACGGAGCATCGACACCAAACGTCCGAAAAAAGAAGCAAGAAGACACCGGGGTAACGTTTCTCCGTCCGTGATACGCAGTGAGGTACAATTCAATGAAATGGTCCTTTATGGATGTGGTTCCACGTATCTAACTCGTACGTATTGTTAGGAATAAAGGGGCCGAAAGACTGTCCGTCACTGGTGTAGCTTTGGGTTTTCGCAGGATGACCATTGAATCCGGTGTAGCATCACAGATACCTGAAATGTCACTGGTTTCTACAGACACGTGTGATTTTATTTACCAAGTCATATCCCATCCAGCCCAGCCCAGTTTAACCCTCATAGCTCATCATGACCACTTGATCCGGCCTTGCTACTCGGATCCCAAGGCCCTCGTTCGCCATGCAATATCTGCAGTAAGAAAGCTTCAACCTGCTCCGCCTCGAGCTCCTCCGTCTCTGGATATGGAAACACCTGGTCCTTCCATGCACTGTACACCGTGAGAGCAGGGTAACCGCTTTCATGGTCATAATCATCATCCCCCGCAGCCGCCGACAGACCCAGCCCAGGCGCCATGTGACCGTACTCGTGACTGTCAATCGTCACAAAGTTGATGTAATCCTTGTACTCTTTGGCGACGGGGTAGAGTTCTCGACGCAGAGATGAGCGATCACGGTCGTTGGACACGAAGATGTACGCGAGAAGTTTGTATCCCTATACACAAACACGAAGGGACGCCTGTCAGGACTTGGAAAATGGAGTTTCTTGGGAAAAAGACATCTCGAAACGTACGCTCAAATAAAGCCCCTCATTTCGTCTGGTCAACTCCCCTATCAATGGAGTACTGGCCTCTAGGACAAATTTCTCGATGTCGACTCGTTTGGTCGTCGCGGTATCAACCGACAAGACATCTCGATCACCGACGTCGGTCTTGTAGGCGACAATCGAAGGCGCGTCTATACCTTCTTGCTCGTCGAGTTGTTCGTCCTGCGCGATACCAAAGACGAATCGATCGTGCAACTCTCGTGCGACTTTGGTGTATCGTGCCTTGATCGTGACATCGTCATCGTCCAGGTACGCCACAAACACCACGCGGTCAATCGAGGTCAAGCCGGTGAGGTTCTCGACGGTCACGGTCGAGACAGGAGGAAGTGCCGCGCGTCTGACAAAGGGGACGATCGAAGAGGCCTTTCGAGGTCCCCTATACCGGGTGGTCGAACTCGTCTTGTTCTTGTTCGTCGTTGCGAGGCCCCGGAACAGTCGTATGGCAGGGTACGAGCGCACATCATGTTCGGCGCAGAGGTCGCGTTCGGCAGTGCAGTCAACATTGGCGAGAGGTTGTGTAAGTTGGGATTTTGCCGTCGCCCATTCCTCGGCGAGAGATGAAGACGGTGGTGTCCATGGCTGTTGTAGTTTTCAGCACGGAAATGCATACACAGATAGAGATGGATGGAGGAATGATGAGAGGGAGTCGAAACAATGTCACAAGCACAAGGAGGAAGAGCGTACCGCGACAAATGCTACGAGCGTTAACTCGTTGTTATCGAGAAGTGCCTGAAATTCCGCCTTTGATGTATGTTGCTGCCATTGCGCCGCGCTCACAACGGTGGCCAAGTTACTACAACCTAGTAAAAAGCGCAGAGAGAAGAACAACATCTCAAAGAGTGGAAGAGCATGTTCGTGAGAGATTACACATGTTCGCGGTGGGGACAAGGACAATCATTCTTGTGTTGTTTTCACATAGGGAATCAAGATCGAACCATGCTCATTTGGAATCACCCCTTCGAACCCTTGCGAAGCTACTGGCGTAGACCTACCGTGGTGAAACACCTCAGGGGTCCAGGAGTTGCTTCAAGATAGAACTGAACCCATGCCAGGTGAGATGACCAAGGGGGAGGGTAACGTGTCTGTTCAGACGGTGATGTGAACTTGTCATTCTCGTTGAATTCTCCCGAAAGAATCGTGAAAAGTTGTTGAATTTTTAAGAGCGTCGAGGATAAATTGATCGATCTGCAACAATCAAGAAAAGAATGAAGCTTCTCGGATGCATTTCGCGTATCTGCTTCAGCCTCGTCGCGGCGACAATTGCGGAACAATTCAGCCTTGTGGAGGAGGATCCAGACATCCACCAAAAGGAACAACTACAACAGCAGCATGACCTCGGATGTACTCACCCTCCATACAATATCCACTTTCTCTCTCGAGATCCCATAGTGATTTACATTGTTGATTTTTTGACTCCAGTCGAACGTCGACATCTTCTCAAGACAAGGTACGTACAAGGGTTACTTTTACAAAAAAAAACAAAACCAATACCCAATGCTATGCTTAATCTTTGGTCCCGACACAGCGCCTCATCTTTTATCAATTCTCAAACGGCCGACGAAGATGGCACCGAGACATTACGGAGTTCACGACGGTCCAAGTCTGCGACCGTCATCCGCGACGAGGTGACAAAATGCGTAGAAGAACGAGCATTGTTGTTTCAAGGGTTCGACACCGCACCGTCACACCTCGAACCTCTCCAATTGGTCCGATACCAAATCAACGAGACATACGACCTACACACGGACTGGTTCACGTCGCCGGCGCAGACCACCGTCGAAACCCACGGCGGGAACCGTCTGACCAGCTTCTTCGCCTACGTGACGGCGAGCGACGACATCACGGGAGGCGGCACGAACTTCCCGCTCCTCGATCCACCAACAGACAAACGTTGGTGTGAGTATGTCGATTGTGACGTCCCACTCGAGGACGGCGTGACTTTCTTGCCTATCCCAGGCAACGCTGTGTTCTGGGTGAACCTGGTCGGCGGAGGCGGAAAGGGGGATCCGAGAACCATTCATTCTGGAGCAGTAGTGACGTCTGGAGAAAAGGTCGGGTTGAACATATGGACCAGAGAAGGCCCGTTGAGTCACAAGTTCAGAGGTGAAGCCTCGAATGATGACCACGAAGATGACGAGTGAAATTTGGTCCAGAAGTCGGTGGTAGCTACAGCTTAGTGGGCTTGGGAACCTTTCTCCTTCCAAGAGTGCATCTCAGAGAATCTTCTTTACGTATTATCGACGAAATCGAAACATCGTCTCCCATGCAAGGCCACGGCAGTGCCTCACACCGGTAATCCACATGCTACTTGCAAGGTTCACTTCCACCACACTGTCTAGCTCCTCCCCCGTTAGATCGTTTTGTCAAATACCGCTCAAATGTTCGACTACGCACCTCCCCCCTCCCCCCTCCCCCTACACGTCATGAACTTGTTCCAACAAAGACAACCAACACTGCTGCATACGTGGCCGTGGCAACAAGGGTTTCCGAATTACTCGTCCGCATCGCGACCGACACCAACAGCGCGAACAACATCACCGCCACTGAGACCGTCACCAGGCTCTTTGTCTGATTCGATGACGGCAAACTCATGACCAGCATCGGCACGATCAACGAGGCTCCGCCCGTGAAGGCAATCAAGAACCGGGTCAATCGGTCCACGAACGGCGAAACCGTCGACGGAGGCTTCCTCGCGAGAAAATCGTCAAAATGAGACTCCATTTCCGCTTTGGTGTAGGTGAGTCGACGAGGTAGAATTTTGCACATGATTCTGCGACATGGATCTGAAGGTGCTCCTCCACGTATCGAAGAAGACAAGGTACAATATCGTGAGTTGAATGGACTGCTACCAAGCTCGGCTATTTCAGGAAACGCCTGTGCCAGATCTCGCTCTCGCTCGGATGCCTGGTGGACGGGCAGGTCTTGTAAGGAGCGCATGAATGCGTAGTCTCTGGCGGCGGTAGCTAAAGGTTTGTCAATAGCGATGCTGAGGTTGGCCCGATTGTATGGCCATTCTCCCACCAGGTACCACGCGGCCCTCAATGCGAGTCGAAAGCTTCAAATATCACATGAAACCCTCATTGGCCCATTGCCCGAATATCAATCGTACTGAAGAAGGCCGTGACATACCGTACTGGTGAAGTGTGATTCTTAGATCATCCGAGTCAGAGTCCAAAGAGACAGCCGTTTGCTTCTCCCAACATGACCCTTTCAGCCTGGCCAGCTTGTTCTGGAGATGGAATATGTTCATGCGCTCCAAAAGGCGGTATTCGAGAAAATATAGCTCATCATGACGGCTGGAATATGTGTAGTGGAAGAGGCGGTCTTCGTAAGTCATGCCCTCCTTTATAAACCCAGCCTGCTTGGTTTCGATATGTGGTTCCGACTGAAGCCAGGCGGGAAGTACAGGTGTTGAAGCCATTGTAGCCTCTGTAGTTCGTGCCGCGATTACAATTCTGCGGCTTCCCAACCCTTATTGCCATTAGAAAGTGCACGATTCGCGGAAGAATTTCAGATGCCAGCAAAACCGAACAGCAAGGCTGACAACGCACCTCGTCGGGCGCTGAGATGAATTCTCGCTAGACTGCATTTGCACCAACAGGCTGCGCCCAAAGACTCAGCCTCAATCAGTTTTCGACTTTGTATTTGGCTTGATGAGGGCCTTTGTGCAATGTGTTATTTCTGTTGAGGCACCAACGTGATGAGAGCACAACGAATCCTCAATGATTCGGCAAGGTTGCCAGAAAGTGGTCGCTTTTTTCAGGCCGACAACTCCTCGACAGGATGGGTGAATCTGCCTAATTATGAAGTCATCAAGGTCGGCGCCGAAAAGCTGAGTAGACCAAGACCACCCTTAACCTATACAAACTGCCATAGGGCTTTGAGGAATGCCATCAACAAGGCTCGACTGATCGGCTTCGAGATCGCGCGGACAAAACAGAAATTTTCCCTGTTTCGCCGCTCCAATGAAGTCGTGCTGCAAGGGGAAGCTCGCCGTCTGGACGTACATTTGTCAGATTTCGATGAACACCTCGAGCGTCGCCTGGATCTGGAAGACATCACTCAACCCCCGAACATAGGCGGCGACTTGTCTCTAGCCGTCCCATTCTCTCGCCTGCTGTCTGCTCATGATTCATTCAAGCAAGCAAATGGTAGTATGTCTGAAGTCGCTTCTGGTCCGTGACTAACACTTTTGCAAGACCAACTCAAAAGATGTGTGTTGCGTATCGAGAAGAATTTCGTCCAGAACATCGTCGAGTCGTTGAAGCAAAGCTTTATCCGAGAAGAAACACCTGCATTCCCATCGCTGTTTGGTCGAGTATACGATGCACACTCCCAATTTACACAGGCCGCCCGTGATCGAGAAGGGGAAGTCAAGCTTGCTGTAAGAGAGGTTCAAGGTAAGTTGTCCGGTGGTTACTCACTCTCACGTTGCCATGCTGAAAGACAAGATGCAGCTTCGCCACCATGGCTCGAGGTCATGGGATTTGCGACTAAGATTAATGCCCTGTGCGAGCAGGCAAGGAGCCTGGATAGAGAGCCGACGAATGACAACGAGTATCAGACAGTGAAATATCGAATGTTCGATAGGGCTGACGGACCAACTTCTGTCATCATCTGTCTCGAGAGAATAGTTCGCGATGCCATGGTCAGTCCTGTCCATCCTTTGGCCAACCCACTGAGTTCGCCGGCCCTCAGTTTCCGGGTTGATGGTACACTGCAATACGCAAGTGAAGGGACATTGGGGAGCATCCACAATTCAAGTAGGAATGTTCCACCCGGGCGCCTGAGTCCTGGAACAGACAGAGGCCCTCCTCGTGACCACCGTGAGAGACGGAGGTGGCGGTCATTGATCAAGAGCCAAGAGTCAAGAATGGGGAAGGCAAGGAGTGAGAGATATCCAGATGGAAGAAGTGAAAGATACCTAAGCGGAAGAAATGAGAGATACCCAGATGAGACAAGATATCCAGATGAGAGAAGCTATCCAGACGAGAGAAGGTATACAGACGAGAGAAGGTATACAGATGGGAGGAATGAGAGATACCGGGACGGGAATGGGCAGAATACATACAGATAGCCCCGTCGAAGAGATCGGGGAAGGATGACGGCTCCACCTCTCACACTAAAGGGGGGCACTTGGTCAATACCTTACGGAGTACCACGGACTACGAGGACTGAGAGATACATTGTAGTAGTACACCAGGCCTGATGTTCCAGGAATGAATCTCTTTTGCAGAATCAGTAGTAGTGGGAAGCAGTTTTCTTTTCTCAATTGTAGCAATAATCCCAACAACTACATGCTAGTCGAACTGGTTCTTGGCCAACCAGCGAATCTTGTGGTAAGGCAGAAAGACAGGTTTGGAGGGCACGGTCCCCAGCCAGAGTCATGCCACTGAACGATGAATGTGACAATATCATTGGGTCTCCCACATCGCTCAGCTTATAGGGGTTGATCTTCGACCGAGCGAATGGGTAGATGGCCATGTCCCGTTCCCTGAGTGAAGTGACCGAGGCAGGAAGAGTTGGAAGAGGAGTAAGGACTCTGTGCGCGCCCAGTCGAGAGTCGTACAGTCCCTGCTCTATACTCGAAGCCTGTACGGCTATTTTGAATCTTTTCCTTGCACTGGAATATGATCTGCGGTTCAAGTAGTCGCCTAATAATACGTCTTTCAACCGCTGAAAAACCGGCGGTCGGCAAAAGGACAGTCCGTCGCACCTTGCCGACAATTCAAGTGCTTGGTAGATACCCTGGAGGCGGGCCATGATCTTCCCTGGGTGCCTCTTCAACTCCCCTTCTGTTGATGTCGTTGCTTGGGTCCGTCATTCCTGATAGCTGACCAGTCATATTGGGCACGCTCTTGCTTCGACCGTGGAAAGCCATGACGATGTCATCTTTGTCCTGTTCAACATCAACCCTTCTCTGGCTCGGTCTTTGTCTCTTCTTCATCCGCACCCTCTCCCTTGCGAATCTCAGCTGGTCCAATGCAAGTTTGGCCCCACGATCATCTTCTCTACGTCCGCTACAGTCGTCTCCCTCCGTACCCACCGCGACTCTGGCCTCCGCATCAGCGATCAGGCCATCCAACTCTTTCTCTTCAGCGTTCAACTTCCTCAGCCTCTGACACTCCTCTTCCCACCAGAAAAGCATTCCTACAAGTTCTTTCTGCCTGGGTATGTTCAGCATAGCCAATTGATGCGGGAACCTCGGCCCGATCTTGTGAGTATCCACGATCCCATCGTTCCCCAGTATCGTGTATTTTTTCAACGCCTTGTATACCTTTCTACTCACACTTTCGCTATCAACCACGCCCGCAACGTAGAAGCTCCGCTCATCCAGCGCATACGGATCCGTACTCGCGATTTGGTGCATGTAGCACATGTCGCGGCGGTATGCGGTCAGATCGGCCGTCCGCACTGGCGACTCGTCTTCGAAGAAATTTGGGACCGCTGCGTGAGCGAAGCGTGTGAAGGAGAAACCCAAGGAGCCATTTCGTTTGCGGTACATTGTGAATCTGATTGTTAGTTAGGTGCTCTCATCAAGAGCGAGGGAGTGAATGGAAGAACAAGGTATGCCAGAAACACAAAGCATACGCGTAGTACTCCGTACTTGATACGATTTCTCGGCAGGGCTACGTTAGACCATCCGTAGATGCCGACGAGAAGGCCTGTGTAGTAGTACTTTCCAGCCACTACAAGAATCGAAGATCAGCGCCGTCTCGTGCCCATCGAGATCTCCCAAGAGCATGTGGCTTGTTCTGCTTGAGGATCCATGTTGCGTGTCATTAGTATCTCAGATGCGTGAGATCCGGGCAACTAGGCTGTGGCAGGGCCATCGACCACGTTGTCGTAACGAGGGGCATCATTGGTTGAGGTCTTCACGGTAGAGGACGAAGGCCGGCACCAACGCGCGTGCTGTTTCAGACAATTCCTGTACTTTGAAATCTCTCGAGCAGAAGGAAGCTGAAAGGATGGTTCAAGGGACAAGACAGGACAGCAGCCAATATGGCTGTTTGACGAGTAACTCCTACATAGACTGGAGTTGAAACATGTATGGAGATACAATACGATTATTAGTAAATCGGAAAAGACACATCGGGTTAAATCATGCCGAAACGACAGCGCACGTGATCGCCTCTCTTTCGGTCCATGCTCCCATGTGAAGTCAGCCTCTTGCATTCCCAAAAAACGGTCACTGCTTTTAGGGATCTTTGAATCAAGTCTCTCTTTCAATTGAACGCACTACTAAAATCAATGTCCCACTGATTCGATATACCCGATCCTTGGGATACCCACACACGCAGAAAAGTGATGTACGATCAGTAACGTTACAAGGCATGTCGGCCCTGGTCCAATATGTCCCACAACAACTCCTTTTTAGTAAAGAAATCCCCTACGTCGAGAGATGTCGAGGAAGACGTGGTTCGTCGTCCTGATATGGCTCACCAGCTGCTTCACGAGCTAGGTCGTTGATCCACCTCTCGTTCGGTTTCAGTGGTTGGCCACTAGACACCGACGACGCAAGATACATCCAGCTCAAGGCATTGCCGACCGTATGCACCTCATCGCTGACGTGGGTTCTGGCGTACTCGCTCATGGTGTCGTAGAGATCGCCGTCCATGACGAGATTGTAGAGGTACTTGGCAACAGCTTCGTGGTCGCCCCTTTCGACGAGGAAGCCACTCTTGCCGTGTTCCACCTGTAGAGGAATGCCCCCTGCGAGGGTTGCGATCATGGGTTTCCCCTGAGGAAAGTGTCAGCTTGCGTTTATATGTTCATCTATGCATTCAATCATATTATTCCTCACCTTATGTAGCGCTTCGGAAACCTTGACCTCGAAGCCCTCTCTTGTAGAAAGTTGCAGAGCCACCGTGCAAAGCGACATGACGGCATTCAGCATTTGGTCGCTGGGCCCGAGGCGGATGACCACAATATCATCGGCCAGGTCAGGATGATGTGTATGGATAGCGTCCATGGTCTGATCGTAAATCATGCTTCCGTCGGGATCGTCGATAGAGCCATGACCGCAGATCACCAGTTGGTGAGTATTCCTCTTTGGTTCATCGGCCATCAACTCGCGGAATCTGGCATAGCTCTCGATGACATCGGGGATGCCCTTTGACGGGTCGAATCTGGCAATTTGGGTGAAGAACCCGCGGTTCGGATATTGTAATTGGGGAAGTCCCTGGGCTTGACAAGTCTGTCGGAGGACGTGCATGTAGTATGACAGATCCCAGTTGTCCATGGATTTGTTCAAGCCATCGAGCCTAATGGAGAATAGATGAGCAGGTGTTTCCCTTTGGAGGGTCTGTTCTCTTACCAGTCTGTTGTAGCCGGGAGCCAACCCAATGTTTCCTTCCTCACATCAGGGGGCACAAATGATCGTACTGGATGACTGAGGAAGACATCGGCTTGCTTGATGCTTGACCACATGTTCTGCCAGATATGTTGGGCAGCACTACCGTCCTTTAGAACAAGATCATCCCGAACCTCGATGTGGCACCGAAAGATGATCGGGCGATCAGGAGCTTCTTTCTTGGCGATTGGAATGAGCTCTGGCATCTGGGGGTCATCGATGATAATGACATCGGCACCACCCTGGGCAGGGGCTTTCAGAGGTCCCCCCTCTTCAGAAAGCCAGAAGCGTTCGGCGTTGTCCCTGATCCATTCTTTGATCTTGCCCAATGCTTCATCAGAGGTACGGACGCTCGGGGGAACGGCGCCCTGCAGGATGTTGTGGTTGTTCTTTGTGATGCGGAAGACGTCAGGTCTCGGTTTAGGCACGAACCTGGTCCGGATTAGTATGAGGTAAACTTTGGCGCAGGCTTCAATGGAATCTGCTCACCATTCGACATTCACGCCCTGCTGAGTGAGAAACCTCAACAATGCGTGACGCATCAAGGCGACACCTCCACCTTGCGGAGTAGCACTGAAGAAGGCGACCCGGAGGTTTCGGTCTTTGACATCTTTGATGTGTTTTTGAACGGCTCTCCAGGTCGGAGGTCTGACAGACTTCTCGTAATCATCCATTGTGGCCAGCTGTATCATGCCAGCCAGATCCACTTCGACTTGGTTTTGGTAGCTGATGGATAGTCGGGGTTGTTTCGTAGGTCCAAAGTACCTATGCAAAACAGGTCAAAAGACAAAGACGCGAAGACATTGCAGCAATACCCACGCTAAGCATTTTCTCGCAAAAGAGTCGGCCAATTCGTCGACATTGATCCGTCCTTGATTGCGACCTTGTTTGTTCGGTAGGAGGGGAGTAGATTCCAATACAATGGGGACGATGTCCAGCTCTGCCCACAGCCTGGAACATAAATTGGGAGCCTTGTGATGCAGGTCAGGAGTGACGCCAGCACCGAGCAGTTTGCAGAGATGATCCTTCCTATACTTGTGTAGTTCTGCAATGATATGATCAGTTACCCAATCCGCTCCGGTCCCATTCTCCGGCTTGTCATCAAGCGATATGCGGTGGATTGCAAAGTCGACACTGTATGTACCATCATGAATGGCCATACCAACTTTGAGCGTCGTGCTGGACTCTTCTTGGATGGCAATGCCGACCCAGAATTCCTGGTCACCATAGAGATTAGTTTCAACATGCTTCACTAGACCAGGTTTTTGAGTTGGGACAGGTGCTTGGAATGTACGCTGTTTCCGCCGCAATGACGCCAATAAAGCTGCAAGGGATTGACCTACACTCAAGCTTGTCCCGATATCGAGGCCATCCGGTTTCGGTTGCGCGAAGCTGAGCGATCGTTTTCGATGATATTCAGGTACTTGGGATACGAAGTCACGTTGCACCTGAGTGCTGTGTCTCCGATGTCTCAATGGCATTGGCATTTCGCCCGAGGGGTCGCCCATTTTGTCGTCGGCAGGATACTTGTGCAGTGTTAGTTTGTGTAGGGAGTAGGTTTGTTAGTGACAAGATCGAGGGAGTGCGTTGAATTTCAAGCCACGGCGAGGTTGTTGGCGAGGGTAGAAGAAGTACCGCTCACTCAGGGTCAGACGTCAGTGTGGCAACGAGACCCTTGTTGTTGCTCTGATATTGGTCCCGTGGAGAGGCAGGAGATGTGTGAAATGACTCTACATCACCAGGCGAAGGTTCGTCTAAGAAGATACAAAAGCTGATCTCATATGGCACGGATGCAAGAATGGACACGTCTTCGGCTCGGGAACGTCTTTGCCATGACATCTGTATGGACCAACGGCGGCATCTGACGTCGACCTCACGAAGTCAATACGAGTACAATACGAGTACAAGGCGAAAAGCAGGGGCCACGATGATGAACCAGATCAGGGCGACGTCAAATTTCCCCCCCCACCATGATCCTGGCCGCTTCAGATCCGAGACTTCCATCAGTCTAAGCGCAGGCGGTGATGGCGGCCTATACAAGCGACGTCGCTCTACCAAATCATTGGGGACTTTGGGACGAGGCAGTGAGAGACAAACATCACCTGATGGTTGCTGAGATGTGCAAAGTACTTGACGAAAACGGGCAAAGTCAGGGGCATGTGAATAAGGGCGGAAAGCTTGGCCGACTCGCGCAGATAATGGACCACGGTGTTGGGTATCGATCGATCAGCTAAGCCTCGTGCGTTGTCTTAAATATCCGGTAGTAGATGTGTTCCATCGTGATTCCCAGCCCAACATTGAAGGGAGCATCGATGGCAGAGAAGGTGATACGAGCCCGTGGTGGCATGAGTCTTCAAATTGCCGCATTCATTTTGAAGCCCAACATTGACTATTCTTGACGGCTCCCTGAAGGAGGAGAACGCTCTCAGTGAATTGTATGGCAATCAGGCAAGCTGTAGACATGCCTACCTAGGTATCCATCTGACTTGAAATGCCGCCCGTAATAATGATCGACTCTTGCACTGCTTTCTAGATTCTTTCCTACCCAAATGGCGCTGAGTGTGACGCCCGCGCGGGAACGGAAAAATATCCGCCCGGCGTAGGTACAGTTGTTGTCTAGGTAGTCTTCCAGCATCTCACCACCGTTATATCACCTACAATGTGGCCAGACATTGAGCTATTTACCTACCTTGGAGGCTGTGCGCGTCGTAGAACTCGAAATGACCATTTCAAATATACACGGAGGGTGCCGTATCTCGCAATCGAAGGTATATTTGCCCCTATCTGAGCATCTTGGGCCCTGCCTCGACGGGCTGTGTCAAGTATTTCTTATAATATTATGAGTCTTTTGGGTGTCGCCTAAGCCTTGAACAACATTCTAGAACTCAGAAATAAAACTCACAACACTTGTCAAAGATCCTCGTTGACACTACTTCCTGTTGTCCTATGGCTCTTCCTAACGAGACCACGTCCATGGACAATGAGCAATTTTCACCATCATACGGTATCGATGTCCTCCTCATCTTCTTGCTGAGCTGTACGACGTTTCTCCTGTTCCTTCCTTCCCTGATCTAGAACCTTCTTGCGTTCATCCCTTAACTTTCTTTGTGACACCACAAAAGCACCAAGGGGAGTATCGGACCACTCAACGTCTTTGAGGAATCCTTCAACTTCAGTCCGATCTTTGGGCGAAAAATTGACCTTGTTTCGTCGCTCTTCAATCCACCTTGAGTTGGCTTCCGATTTTTGCACCAGAAGGAGCAGTGCCTGATTAAGCTTGCCGTTCTTGTTCCCACTTGGAGTCGAAGCTGTCTTCAACCAGCGCTTTAGCATTACGACGACGGGCAGCTGAAGTTCAGGGTAGGCAATGCTCTTCGCCCACAAGACGAAGAATTCGGAAAATAATTCTACCACTTGTTCGCCCACTCCATCTTGGTACACCTTTGTCTTCAAATAAGACGACGGTGCTCTGATGTTCGAGGCAAAGTCCAAAGGCTTGAAAGTCGCGGGTTTTGCTGGCTTCTTCATCTCAGCGGAATTCAGGACTTCCAGAAGAGCTGCCGACAAGGGAATGTAGGTTTCAGTAGCCTGCGAGATGCGGAGTAAAGAGCGCATCAGCTGAAATCGAAGTGGAAAATATGTCGAAGTCGGGATCAATCTCATTACACCAAGAGTGACCTGTACGAGAGGATAGATCAAGGGTCGTAACTGCGAGGGTTTTCCGTTTTGAGCCTCAAGCAAAGAGTTGCAGTGCGTTGACAGAACGCGAGACCAGAAGTCTAACGAGTGGACAAATTGCCAGTTGTAGATAGTCTTGTAAGAGTCCTTGGTTGGTTTGGTGATGTTCCCCCGGAGGTGAATCGCCAGCTGTCGAATGAAGGTAAAGCCAGCGGTGTAACTAACCTTTTGATCGATGCCCCATATCTCTGCAGCCGAATTTTTCATTAGGTTGATACCTGCAAGGGTATGGACTGTAGTATTTCGACTGCCTTTTACGACACCTTCGTACGTCGACTTCAAAACGGTTTCCCGAATTCCAGCATCACCGATGACCATTAGTCGACGAATGATCAAGAACGCAGTAATACGAGTGGCCTCGTCGGAAGAGTTGTCCGACCATATAGAAGCAACCGACTTTATGATCACCTTGAGGGACTTCCGTATCTGGAGCAGGTATGGTAGCATTGGCTCGAAAGATTGGAGCGTCAGTCTGAGAGTCTTGGAATCGGATAATCGTCCAAGTAGGTAGTGTAGTGATGATGCATGAGACTTGACCAGGGGCAATAGAGTCTTGAATTTAGGCGAATCAGTAGGCACGCGTACTTTGCCCCCGGAAGACTCCTTGACAGGAAGATGGTGTGAGAGTACCACTGGCACTTGTTTGAGGGCTGTCATCAATACCTCGTGATAGACTTCTGGGCTCGCGATGTTGTACTTGTAAGTTTTGTCCTCCTCATCATCTGCGTGTGCGGCAGCACGAAATGCCAGTACGACTTGCCGCAGTGCCCTGATGGAATGCTGCTCGGCGAGGGACGACTTCCATCTCTTGACCATGGCCAGGGTGACATCGTCTGGAGTAGTCTCGTCGCCACCAGCGTCAGCACCGGTTTTCTTTTGTTTTTTGGTCGGCGGCTCCTCCTCACTTAGTTCATCGACTTCGGTAAGGTCATCGTCGTTGTCATCAAAATCTAATAGTTCGGCGTCGTTCTCCTGTAGGTATCTGTAGAACTCGGGATCTTTCTCTGCTAAAGATGCGAGTTGATCTTTGTGTCCAAGCGCATCGTTATCCGAGTCTTCGTCTGCTGATGACGAGGCTTCAGCATTTCCAACCACGTCGTTTCTCTTGCGTTTGCCCTTCCCAGCTTTTGATTCAGAACTCGTCTTCTCTTCCGGAATATCCAACGTCTCTTGGAAAAATTCGTCCTCGTTCATGTCAGGCCCATCTTGGGCAGTATTTTCATCCTCGGCACTGTCTTCGTCTTCCACATTCTGTGCTCTTTGGGCTGCCCTCTGCTTCTTTTTCTCCTTCTGCTGATGTCTCTGTTTGATTTTCGCAAATTCTTTTCTCCGGTCGATGGTGCCTTTGAGGTTTCTCTTTTCGAACTTCTTTGTGGCTTTGGTCTGTTTCCCCATCTTGGGCAAGGTCGAAATGTTTTGGGGAATTGCTCTGTCCTAGATGTCTGAAGTGACTGAATCTTGCGCATGCATCGGACTCGAATTTGTTGCAGGAAAAAATACATTAGCACCGACGTTTAACCGAAACACTCCGCATGTCAATCGAAACTCCCAGGCTTCTCCTCACCTAATGAGAATGAATATACTGCGCATTCTCAAGAGTCAATCTTGTATATTTGACTCGAGTCTTTGCCCTTGTAACAAGCTGGGCTTTGGCTTTTGAGTGCAGGTGCCATGTACACTGCTCCATCGTCCCGGCCGCTGCCTTACGCGCCTACACCTTACAGCTACACGCCGACGAACACGCTATCAGCTCGTATCAACCTCGATGAAGAGGTGAAACTCGCAGATTCGGCTGCCGAGCGGGACCTGATCGATTCTCTTGCTGAGATCTATAGCATTATCCGGACGATCGATGGCCTTGAAAAAGCATACATCAAGGATGCCCTCCCCGAAAATGAATACTCAGACATGTGCTCAAAGCTCCTCAAGCAATATCGATCCATTCTGAACGACGAAAGCGTCTCCCGAGAATTCGTCGACCTCGACACCTTTACACGTAAATGGGACATCGAGTGCCCGAGAGCCAAGGAAAGACTGAGAGTAGGCCTCACCGCCGATGAAGTCTTGACGGTCCAAAAAGCCACTCCTGGCGTGGCTGCACCCACCACAACCGCCTCTGGCAGTCTCATTCTAGCGGCAACCGAGAACTTCATCACTTTCCTCGATGCGCTACGATTGAACATGGTTTCCAAAAGTGCTTTACACCCATTGCTGTCGGATGTAATCCAGTCGGTGAACAAGGTGACAGATCAAGATTTCGAGCACCGGGGAAAGATCATTCAGTGGCTCATTACACTCAATCAAATGAAGACCTCGGAAGAATTGAGCGAAGAACAAGCTCGAGATCTAGCCTTCGACATGGAGCAGGCATACAATGGATTCAAGTCAATTATCCACTAAATCTGATTGTATATGACTAGCACTGAATGACTATTCAGTGACAGTTGAGTACTTTCCGCAGATCGAGGCTTTTTCATGCAGGCTGCCACCCAGATGCCGCAGAACGACATCCGTGTTGGCCGAGCGACGGTTCTGCCTCCATCATGTCTGCAGGTTCATTCCTCCACCGGCAGACCGAGCAAGCTGTCTATATTATACACTCTGTATTGGGCACCTCCCGGTCCTCAAATGTGACCGGCGAAACGCCTACTTCGGTCTCAAATATACATGACGATGGCATGTCCCGTTTTCCAGACGAACGAAACCACCCCCAGGCTCCGACTCGACAACGGGCACCGAAGAGCATGCGATTACGGATATGCTACGGAGTATCGCTACGGAGTATCGACGACACTTAGTTGGTGTCCGCCGATCCCACAGGGCCCGCAGTTTTTCCCAGCGACGCAAAGTCCGATCTGCGTACGGAGTAGAGGCAAGGACTTCGACTTGTGGTCTAGTTGATTGGTCTGGCTCTATCACTAGCCAGCGTTGCGGAGCACTTCTCAGTCTTCTCAAGGAATGCTCTTGAAATCCCTCACTCGTCTCCGGACAGGCCTTGCTGTCCGATCAGCTTGAAGCCGGCCACTCAGTCTCCTCTCCCTGTCTATCAAACCAGACCACTCAACCCACCAGAGCTTCAACACTACTGAGGACGACGCAAGAACCGCATCAATGGAAGTTGGACTCCGAGCGAGACAAGAGCACAGTATTATATTACATTACACAACCGCATTCCTGCGTACTCGCCCAATGCAGATATGAGCCCCTTCCAAAGTCATGTCACACAACCCACCAAAAATCCAAGGTGCAAGCGAAGTGAGAATGTCACCTTCTCACAACATGACCGCTTTTACGTGCCACAGATGTGCCCGACGTCCATACTCTGTACAGACTATGTACGAGGCAGGAAAATTCCACCGAGTAATTCGAGTATAGGTAAGGTATGGAAAAGTGGGATCAGGTCATCTTTGAACAAAGGAAATAAATAAAAAGATTCGGCGAGCTGTGCTGTATAGCTCTCGAATACCGTATCGGGTGCAGATGGACAGTGACTCGAAACGGAAGGGAGCATGCCAAATATAATATCTCAGATTTGGGCACCTTTGTACTTTTGCGTAAACCTATACATATGTACATACTCGGGTTTCGTGCCTTCACTACGAGACCCTCTACCTTCTCTGGTACTCTTTGTGTGAGAGGTTTTGCAGACTCTCACTCAGGGTCACCTCGTTCCTGGCTTTCTGTACCACGCTGCGTCACACCTGAAGACAATTGCTTACTTACTAGTAGTATTCAAGGCACGTACTCCGTACGAGAACTGGGTTGGCAGGCAAACTTGAGCATACAGACTACTATTCTGGTTCAAATTATCCATACTTTGACAAACATTGTGTAGATGTCATGATTATTATCATATTCCGTATATTTGATGGGAGCACTGCTTTCAGAGTCGCCTGTAATTTCGTTTTTGCCTGATCAACCGCTTGGTGCCACCATTCGTGTTCCCGAGGCCGCGCTATCCATCCTCGTCAATGGCGAGGATGATGTCGTTCTTTTCCAACCCGTTTCAACTTGGACATTTCAAAATCATAGTTCACTGCATTGCATCAAATAACATGTCACCACATCATACGCATACCATTCCCCGACCACTTCGAGTCCATCTTTGAGCCGAACAAGAGTGAGACATTTCGACAATTTCTAAGAGACATGTTTCGTACCCCGGAACTCCATGCCATGTTGCGAACGACAGAAAGAAAACAGTAATGTGTTACAAGTGGTGCTAGCTGCCGTTGCTCGGTGCGGTACCTGAGCCTCGTACAGACACACGCCTACCAACCTGAGCCTCTCGTATACTGCCAGCGTCTGAGGCAGCTCCGTCATCTGTATTGATACTTTGGTATAACGATGAGCCACGGCTCAATGTCGGTCTCTGCTCATCTGGCGGATCATTGAACGGTGATCCTTCGATTGGGCTGACAGGGGCAGAATCCGCAAACGGATTGCCAGAAGTAGGGGACGTCGGCTGTGGCTGACCAGCTGGCACAACAGATCGGTAAGGAGGAGGTGCTGTGGCGGTGGAGGCCGCTCGGAGTATTGGGTCTGTTGCTACACCGCCAGCCGCTGATATGGGGCGGTGCTGCGAAGGGCTTCCAGGTTGTGCATGTGAAATGGCGTCCCGATAGGGCGGGGCGACTTCTTCGATGCTGTGCAAACTCGGTTCGACGCTGGCGGCACCCTGGCGAGAGCTATTGCCAGCACTTCGAACGCTGGGATCGCGACTTCGAATGCTGTTGCTGCTAGAATATCGGCCACCCATAAGCAACTCAGCATCGAACGAGAACACCCTCAGGTGCCGTGACCATTTCTTTCCCTTCTTCTTCGGCTTCTTTTCCGACTCGACCACACCTGCAGCAGCTCTCCTTCTCCTCCTCCGAGCGAAAAAGAAGAACAAAAATATTCCGGCAATCGCGGCAACGATGACCGGGACAGCAATTGCGGCTTTGAGGCCCGACGAACACGATATGCTATCGCACGACTTCTCCGACACTGTGACTACTCCAGAGGTGTTGCTCGCCGCATTCGATCCGGTGCCAGATGGATTCTCAGCGCCTGACGCGCTTGCCCCAGCGGTCCCTGTCGAAACAGATGTTAGAAGTGTAGTGGGTGCTGAGTTGCCTCCTGAGGCGGAGGCTTCTGCGCCAGTTGCACTCGCACTTCCTCCGTTGAACGGCGCTGGATTTCGACCGTCAGTTGTGGTCGCAGCGCCTGGTCCTTTTCCAAACTCTTCTCCGAGTGAAGAGGCCATACTGGCTATTGCGTCTGTCTCAGGTATGTCGGTGCCAGTCGCAGTGACACCGGTAAAGGTGCCCTGAGGCCCGGCCATGGTGGTGGGAAGAGAGAAACCCGAGGGTGGTTGATGAGGTGATGAATCAGGTGAAAACGAAGGTGTCGTGGGAGGGCCTGTACTTCTTCGGGCTATACGAGGCCTCGAGAGGAAGTGATTGAAGAGATTGTTGAGATCCAGGTTGAGTCTGACCCTGCGAGAGGGTGAGGGTCCGACATGTAAAGGAAAGGAGGATTCGGGCAAAGGGGGGGCAGGGCAGCGCCAGGGATGCGCGATCAGGCCCGAGACGAGTCGCAGGAATCGACGTAACGGTCAGGTCAGGCCAGCCAAAGTCCGTTGTTGGGCCAAAACTAAGGCAGAGATTGACAACGCCGGAGAGGGTCAAGATACGAGAAGGATGAGATGAACTGGGGCGCAGCAGCAAAATGAAACAGGCTGGCTGGGAAATGTAAAATACGAAGAGGATTGGCAAATGTCGGTTCTTTAACAAACGAAGCCTGAGGCAAGCTCTTGGAAAGGCCGCAAGCTAACGATCACCGGAATCGCTAAGACGCTGGGTAGGATGCTGGAGTCGGTGACGAGGAGGTGGGAATGTGAGGATTTGGGGGGCGCTCATCATGGCGTTTCGCTACGACCAACAAGGCACAGGATGCAGGAGGGTCTCGGCTGTCGACTGTGACTGCTTCAAGACAGAATGATACCTGTAAGGCTTGATTGGGTGCAAGACCCTAGTTGGGTATAGTGTGGACTAATTGACAGGAGACACTACAAGATATGAAATGTTCATTGGGCAGATGCCGTATCTAACCCCAGCTAGCCGCCACTTAGACGCTATTAGTGCGTTGCTATTTCCTCCCTGGAACGGTCAACTCTGTACCGCCTTGACGAACAGCTTCAACGGACGTCCGAACGCCAACGTCGACGCCCTCGGAGTCGAGCTGGCTTGCGCCGGCGACGCTGCATTGCATTGCATTGCCGCAGCACCTTCATTCGGTCCATTCCGAGAACGAGGGAATCCTCACCGGTGAGCCACGCAATCAGAGCCTTACTCGAAATTCAAGAGCCGTTGAGACAAGACTCGCAAGGTGCCGAGTTGCCGCCTTTACTCCATACCAATCTGAGTGCAATCATATGCCAGAGCCCCGAAGCAGATACAGACACACCATATACAAACAAGTATTATTGTGACGCATTGACTCCGTACGCTACGAACTCGATGGTGCTCTTTGGTATCCGTATTTGCACGGACAAAACCTGCAGAGAAATGTCTAAATATGGCGTCAATGGCAAGTCCGATAGCTCCGCCACATGCGCACGTGCTCGAATATCGATTGGCTGTTGTCCTGCATCACGGAGGCTGTAAGTCCCGACTCGCCGTGACGGTTCTTGTTCGCCTGAGACAAGTCGAACCCTGGGAGAGACGGAGAGACATCAAACCACCACTACAGGCCAACTTGAGTACGGACTCTTGCAGGGTCGAAAACACTTCATTGAAAACCGGTGCTCCTCCTCCGTATTCGTACCATTTTTTCATTCGCCCTTCCCTCTTGTCTCCATCAGCTACGGAGGAGGCGATCTGAACTCGATGATGCACGGGATGTCCCTGCTGGCCACTTTGCAACAAAACAAGTCTTCATACGGTTAATTAAACCCATGTTATCCATACTCGCACTCCGCAACCTGCAGTAGGCTGCTCTTACGAAATAAATTGTCCGATGCCCTTGTCGGTCCCTTGACCAGACAACGGTCTCCGCGATTGCTCCCATGTGGAACGTATTGGATTGCGGATGTGTTTCTCCGGAGCACAGTCAAAATCCGTCGATCCTTCGTGCGCTCGCCCAAACTCCGCATACTCACACGGCGACGTAGATGTCAGGATCATCATCATGTGGCTCTGACAGAATGAATTCCAAACGGCTGGAATCTACCAAGCTAGTTGGGCCACCTGCAGCACACCCTGCTCAACTTGCATACGCTTCTGTTATTACCCAGTCATGGAGAACATGTAATGCTGCTCAGCCTCGCCAGCTTTGAAACGGTGCATCACCTCAGCCCTTTCCTCAACCGCATCATAATTGAAGCCCGAAATCGTTCGGCTCCCATCGAGGATCCTTCGATTACAGTGTACATGCGCTGACAGATTCGAATCAAGCACCCTCAACCAGAATTGGAAGGCCAACCACAGACTATGGTTTTCTAGCATGTAGGTCAATAATGTTGTGACACACTGGAAGTGCAGATCTTTCCACTCTCCGCTTCCCACCTGAGTCTGGAAAAGACTTCAAACCTGTCTAGCATTTGTCCCCAAGTCAATTGTTTTGAGGCGCAGATCAACTTACTGACAAGGTGCAACTACCTTAACTGTTGCCCGAGCGTTCTGTCGGAGACCGCAGCTCTATTTGAATTGTTGCGGAAATCGAGTACGGGCATTTCGCCCTCCAGACCAACTTGAACATTTTCGACTTTCCCTTTATCCACCATAGACTTCGCCCAGTTTTAAGTACGCTGGCAGCACTTTCTATGTAGGAGGCAGGGTGTCTCATGGCTACTTTCCAAAGCAAAACGATGAAGATTCCCAGTTTCTACATTGACACGCATGCGAATTGGAGGGCGAAAAGAAGCAGAGGTGATGTGGTATTCAATACCTACAATGAATACCAAGATGGTTTTAGATCTTTTCACCTGTAAATCACAGTAATTGTTGCAGGCGGCTAGATTTGTTACCAGAGCCATCGCCATCAATACTCCGTAATAATGGATTGCTTTTCTCGGGGACAGCCAAAATGAGAAGATACTATCATTGAGAAGCAGAGCAGCAATGGCTATATTTCAGAACTCAGGCTACAGTTCATGCATAGTAAGCCGAAAACGATGTTAAGTTATTCTGTCAAGTATTTGTTCCTCGGATTTACGAAAGTGAACAAGGCTGCAGCCTTATCTCACCCTTGCCGCTAGATCAACTCTGGTAAGAGTAGCCATGGTTCTTGGCGTCTGGTGGGCTTGCGACGTCAGCGAGAGCGAGTGCAATCAACTGCACCTTCATGGTAACCTGGTCGCATGTGAGCCATCATCAACCTGGTACTTGTAACGCCAATGAGCTTCGCTTGCTCACGTCTCCCATCCTACCCGAGTCACCTCACTACCTAAAGCCCACCTCCGACACCATCGTTCGACGCCAGGGTAGCAGCATACTTCCACCACCCCACCTCTTGGGTCCCCGAGATGAGTTTCCGAGGTGTGATGAAGGATGGGTGGCATCCCAAAGGGAAAGACGGGGGGAAGGAGTCGTGGCGGGGTGATTTCAAGGGCATAAATCAAATGGTCAGTAAGAGCGTACAGCGTGTCGCTGCAGAATTTCCAAGTCTAAACTCGCAACAATACAGGCGGGGTGGATGGGAAAGGGTCGAGATCCCAACAAGAAAAACGAGCCGGAGCACGTATCCCGCCCCTTGACAACGCTCAAAGACCCGTCGTCTTTCGGTCCACCCCCGAAGAATGTCAACTATCACGGTGGCGCCGCTTTACCCAACGAGATAACACCTCAGCGGAGCGGCTGGGGCGCACCTCTTACCGAAGAACAGATTTCGAGCGCAAGCCGAACGGCGAATGGCCCGACCGAGGAAGAGGTTGCAGAAGAGAGACGACGAGCTGGCCCGCCGTTGCCCTACAGGGCTGATCGTACGGGCTTGAAGACCGACCATCTCCCGCCACCTCCCGTGCATCGCGAGGTAAATCGAAGTCCTGACGAAGTCGAGCCGCACCGAGCTCAACCCCCCAAGCCGGGACCTAGTCTACCACCACGTCTTCCTTCCCGACAGAACACCAGCTCGACACCGACATTGCCTGCCGTGGCCACCTCTCCGCCGCCTCAAGCGTCACCGCCTGCGTATGAAGCGGTCACCACCGGCCAGTCGGCCTCCCAACCGAGCAGCAATTACGGGATCAACCAGGCAGTGGCCAACAGGCTTGGCAACGCTGGTGTATCTGTGCCAGGCCTTGGAATCGGCTCCAATGCGTCTTCAAACCCCTGGCAGAACGAACAAAGTCAATCCGCCACCGCCAAAAGCCCGTCTCCCAAACCACCCACGCAGCCACAGTCCTCGATGAACCAACTCTCCGAACTCCAGTCGCGCTTCGCACGTATGAATAGCTCCAGTAGCACGAATGGCCCCGCCACCTCTGCGACTCCTGCGGCTTCATACACTGCACCCAGTCAGTCACCGCAATCCAGTCAGCCCGCAGGGACGACATGGGCCGAGAAGCAAGCTGCTCTCCGTACGGCACAGAACCTCCACGCTAACCCTTCGACCGTGACGGCCCAGGACGCCACCAACGCCGCCCGGACGGCCAATTCCTTCCGTGAGCGACATCAAGACACAATTTCCGCCGCAGGCGTCAAGGCCAATGAATGGAACAAGAAATACAATGTTGCAGGCCGCCTGAACTCCTTTCTCGAGAAACACAGCTCCCCCACGAGCGAGACCCCACCGCCCGTGAACGCACCGTCCCCTGCCCCTGCCCCGGCGACGAGTCCCGAGCTGGCGGCGTCGATATCAAGAAAGCCTCCCCCGCCGCCGCCGCCGAAGAAGCCCGCCAATATGCTTGGAGGTTTGAACTCGGCTGGCGGTGGCGGCGGATCCGGGGTCATGTCGTCCCCCCCGCCGCCTGTTCCCCTGGGGACCAAGCCTAGTTATTCTTAAAGGGGCTGCCCCGGTGCGCTTTCGAAGCGCAACAGGCCTCCCGTAGACCTGGACGACGACGACGCAGGGAGAGGGACAGACGATTGACGACCTTTTGGAGGCCGGGTGACGGAAAAAGAGTGGCCAATCTCCGTGTGCAATGTTTTGTCGAGGTTACCTCTCTGCCCGGTCTCATCTATACGTGTATACAGCTCAATAGCCATATGATTTGAACCATCTCCAGCCATCCAAACCTTGCAAAAGTGTACTAGCGCTTGACGAAGAAAGGCCATCGTTAATGCGCCTTTCCGCCTTGTTGTCTCGTGTATGAAATGTCTATGCTTGCCGGCGTAGCGTCACAGCCACCATCGACCGATCAATGTCGAGCAAAGTACAGCGTGAACTTGATCATCCACAACAAGAGCGGCGAGCCTAAGGAGCGAATCTCGCCGAGCACAAATACGAGATGCAAAACACACAAAAGGGTTCGAATATTCTCCAAGATCGATTAATTTCCTGAGTAGGAGAGCCTGCCTTGCTTCCTCCAGCCTGACTAAGACTCTTTCCATACTCATCATTACTCTCGAGTAAATCCAAGCGGTGGCGGTTGATCAGTCAACCTTCGGCCCGCACCAAAGAAATACCTCTACAGCCACTCGAACAACGTTGTGAGAGATGACTCACATCACCTCAGCCACGTCAATGTCTCATCCGTGATGATGCAAACTTGATGATGCAGGAGAGCCAAGTTCACGCCTCGTAAAACATAGCAAAATCAACGTCCCAATACCATGTGGTGACCCTCCGTTGGGTCTGATTGTTTTAGCGCCAGACACCTTACTTTCAACCGCGTCATGAAATGAAATGATGCAACATGGAGAGTGCTTTTTAAATGTACACAGGGACAAGCCAAGTCGATTGCCGCCCATTAGAAGTCTGCATGCCAATGTCTAACAACAAAATATGCCGTGATGTGCATGTCGTGACAATGGCCGTAGAGAATGCGAGGCCAATGACCTGCAGGGTCTCATGGCCTGTCTTGAGCAGTCCAGTGTCTGATTGTGACATTCTCTTGATATCCAAAGGTATATCCGAACCGTTAGAAAAAGTGCGTGTAGACTTTGGAGGATTCGTGGACTTCCATTTCCTGAGTTTGTTAGCATAACGGCATGTTTTAACAGGTATACGCGAATCTTACCATCTTGAAAGTGTTCAGCTCTTCCTTGATCTGTTGAGCAAGCATTGGAGTCAACCGATTGCAAGTTGCTATCTCCCCACGGCGGTCGTACTCGCCACTCGGCCAGGTATCATAGAACTGGAGGCGAGGGCTAAAGGAAATGTTTCGCATCAGACTTTGAGGAGTCATTGGGGTTTCTTTCGTGTCCGGGCTGACAAATCTAGTCATGGAGCTGAAATAGTCGTCATGGTCGTTGCTTTCGATGGTGATGGAATCAGTACGGCGATGGCCAGATCTGGGTGTTTCGTCGGCAGGAGTGCTTGGAGCACTGGATTTTGGTGAGTCGTTAACATGTGGTATCTGTGGTAGATTAAAATCAGGCACCTTGAAGTCATATGTCTTCAAGTTAGGTGATGTTTGATTTGAATCTGCGCGTTTTAGGATGCCCTTCTTCACAGCAGCAAGTACCTCTGCGCGCTCCTTTTCGCCACCGACGATACTCCGGCGGGAGCGTGTGTCACTTGAAACAGTGCCACTATCAAATGAGAGCTTAGTCTCAATCGAATTTCGTTCAAGTTTGGGGAAACCTGTACCACCGCCAGCCTGGTCGTGAGGATTGACGTTGACATTGACCTTTTCTCTTTCAGCTTCAACGGTAACCATCGATACTTGTGCCAAGCTTGCTTGGTTAACTGGTCCATCCGCTGCTGGAACACCGACAACCGATTTTGGCCGGAAGAGGCCAACAAGAGATCGCGTGCCCTTCTTGACGCCTTTGCCCATTTTACGGAGCATAACGGACGCCGAGGAGGCCGTCGATGAGATAGACAGGTTGTCAGTTGATCCCGTGAAGAAATGACCCTGTCCTGAGTAAATGCTCTCACCCAAACCAGCAGCCTCCTGCTTCTCAGCGATTCTGGCCTGCTCTGGCTCAAGCTCGTCCTCATACTTTGAGTTTCTCTTGGACGCTATCGCATTCTTGTTGGCCACACTCTTTTCATGGTTCCCTTGCGTGGTTGCCTTTCTCAACTCAGCAGCGCTTCCGAACGAGAAAGCACGTCGTAGTTTCGATTTGGATTTCGTCCCACTCTTCTGGTTCAGGGCAGCGAGCTGCTCGATGGCTGGGCTGGCAGCAAGCCGTGGCTGCTGCGGCGCCGCAGGTGACGATTGGGTCTTTGCTTCGACGTCATCACCTTGTAAATTTGCTGGTCTTGACAGTGGAGAAGGTTGTCGAATGCTAGAATCACCCGAGCGAGGAGAGCGAACACCCAGTCTTTGATCAGATTTTGGGGAAGCAGTCGGTGACGGGTTCGAGACTGGGCTATTTGTGTTGGCATAATTTGCACGAGCCTAAAAACACATTAGATTAGATCCAACAGATTCTTTAAGTGACTTACCGAACTGGGTCGGGACGAATGAGTGGACCTTGACGATGCAACACTATCAGAGCTCTGCGTATGCTTGTGTGGTGGTCGTTGGGCGGGCATTGGAGCCGGATGTGCTTGAGGTGACGGGAGGAAAACGTTTGGATGCGGCGAGGAGGCATCTTGTACATCAGACGCATGGTTAAGGCCAGCAGTTTCAATGCTCCCAAAGCTGCGTCTTCGATATCTCGCTGCAAGCTCTGTTGTCGGTGGCTTTCCCACAGCCAGATCATCAGCACTGGACTGGCCCATTGAGGCTAGGTTTCCATGTGAACCACGATAAGATTGGTGACTACGCAAGGACGGAGTGCTACTCGACTGAGCAGGGTGGTTGTAAAGAGAGCCGACTGCAGCCATCCCGGACCCGGAAGGCATTGTTAGATGGCTCTCAGGGCGATTGACTTGACTCTCTCCATCTGCCCGACGTCCATTTCTTCGATATCGATCTGGAGATGGTTTAGGAGTGGCAGACGAAACGGGGGGTGCAAGGTTGGTGGATATGCCCATCAGGGAGCCTGTCGATGGAATTGCAGGTAGACCTAAGGAGAGAGGCCGTCCACCAAAATCCATCTGTGGTAGGTTCGTTGGAGTGTCGGGTGGGGAGCTAGGAGATGACCTCGAACGTCCTTGATTGTGGGCAAATAATCGTGCATTGCTGTTGGGGGCTGCTAACTGTGGTGTCGAGGTGAAGGCGTAGGGAGCTATCGGACCACTTCCTGGCACTCCTCTGTAGCCGGTCGTTGACACATTGTTATATCGACTTGGGGCATGATTTCTCATTTGACCTTGAGAGGCGTGAGAAGGGTAACCTCCCGAGGAGGATGGACGACCGATCATAGTTACGGTCGTGGTCTGGGCTGGCAGTGTTTGAACCAACGCAGCCATGGTTTTTCTTTTTGAATGTCTCAGTCAGAGCAGTGGGGGACCAAAAGCCAGCTCTTGTCTCAATACCCTCACACCGGACAACTCGATTTTCTGCGCAGGCACGGGTACCAATTTGGAGGCGAGGCTGTTTTATTGAGATTAGATTCTTTGAAAAGATTGAAACTGGCTTTGGAAAGGCAGCATACCTTGTCTCAAAGAATGTTTAGATGAGGCGTAGACTCGGCATGAAAGCGGGTAGGGCCAAAAACAGATTAGGCCAGGGGGAAGTTGTTATGCGGATTGGAAATCCTCAAAGTTTTGACAGGAGAAACGAAGGTCGATTAAAAGATACTGTTCAATGTCGAAGGGTAGAAGCGAATGAGGAGGAAGAGACTCCGTCTTCCCAGGTTCTAAAAACCTCGAGGTGGAAGGGTGGCCATGAAACGAATGGTACAGCCGCGGAACGCGTGTGAAGAAAGGAGGCGGCTGCAAAGCGAGGAGGAAGGTCGACGAACGGATGGTGAGGTCGAACAGAAGAAGAAAACGAGAAGAAGACAATTGATGGATGGCAATTTGGGGGGGAAATAGCAAAATGCAAAGGGAGGAAAGATGGTGAGAGTGGTTGTTGGTTTTGGGATAGCAGGTGAAGGGAGGATGGGAAAACGGAAGGAAGGTTTTGCTGGTGTTGAAAGTGGTGGTGGTAATCAAAGACAGGCGCAGGCGGGAGGATCAGGAGAGACTGCAGAGAGTGGCAGCTGCATTCACGGGCATTAGTGCCGCCCTGGTTTAGCCCGAGGAATGTAGGGTACTTGGACGCGTACGGTAAGTACTCGTACGGGACTTGTACAGGTACTGGACTCCCCATTGCTCGTTGACTTAGGGGTTCATAGGCACCTTGCAGTCAGTACGGAGGTACTGGGGTGACCTGGTAAGGTTCCCCCAATACCGACCATACCTACTAGGATCCGTACCTAACCTACTCCGTCCCTAGGCACGTTGAGTACCTCCTACCCAGGCATGATGCCGCCATCCACAGATGCATAACCCATCTACAGTACAGTACCCTCCCACCCCACGAACCATTCTTCATCACCTGGTCCAATTATAAACCCCCCGCCTTCACGAATCGCTCAGTGTTGTTATTTGCTAGAAGGAGCTTGTTTCACTCGCGAGGGACGCTTGACGCTTGAAGTTCCGTGCTGACATTCACAGATCACCGGTCTGTCAAATCTACCTCCTGGTCGACTTGCTGCAACCAGGCGATGATGTATCAAGTACGTAGTAGCCTCGGGTGCAACAATGTTGCTTGCCCCGCAGAGACCAGGTTAGACTGGCAGATGTGTCACCCGTGCTCAGGTCCGAAACATGCTTCTGTCTACTCTTACGAGCTAAAGTGATGCAGATAGCAGAGCACAATCCTATAGATTTCTTTCGATCGTATCTACCGGTCTACGAATGCTTTGACGATCCGATCAAGATGGAAAGCTGTGTGCCTGTCTGAGTTGCTGTCGAAATACAAAAGCCTGCACAAGGGACCCCCGGCCGCAGGGATAAGGGGTGCATTCCTTGTCAGTAAACGAACCACCGAAACAGCAAGCTGCTGATCAGCGGGAACAGGGCCTCGTGGGTGCTACCAGGGGTCCACGACTAATCCATGTCCAGCCATGGCCTCCGTCTTCGTTGCTTCACCTGCCAGATTTAGTGCTCCTAGGCAAATTCTACTGTACGGCCGGCTCAGAGACAAACGGCAAAATTCGTTCGATGATCTGATGGTTGAAAACAATGATTCGATTCTTTGCAAGGACCCGTCAAGGTGAGTCTTATTACTGGTACGAGGTACAACGTCTGACAAACAAGCCCTGACACCGGCCCAGCACGGCCCCAAGAGATGGCACCAGCATGATCCAAGCCTCCAAAGTCCCACTGCATTGTTGCGTCACTTTAGTGAACAGTCCACCAGTCCGCCCACGACTACCCAGGCTCTAGCGGAACAAGCACAACAATGTGGCACAAGAATGAGCATACAGGACAATGTAGCATACTCGTACATTGCGAACGGATTAAAAAATAATACCGAGTACAAGAAGATACCTGATGCTCCGAGGCAATCACAGGGGCACAGAGCCTCACGATGACTGCAACTCACATCACGCCTAGATGCTCATCTTTCCTTGCCACGGCGAACTCAAAACCCGAGGGACATCCGCTACGAGCGCGATCTGACTCTCCACACCAACCACCATCAGAAAAAAAACCCGAGCCGACGACGAAAGAGAGATATTGCTTGTACTCCGTACACCTAGCCCACCGAGATCGTTCCAGTTGAGATCGAGCAGTCCCCAGAGCCACATGCTTCAGCTACGACTTGCACTCTTCTCACATGCAACGACTCGGCAACTAGAGGCAACATGCAGGCATTCCACCGAGAGCTGCAGGACCAATGTTTCAAAATCCGGAGGGATTGTCCACTCAACGCAAAGAAAAAGTCTCTACGACGCGTTGACGTCGCCTGGGTCCCCCACTTGGTTCAGAGGGTTGACCTTTGCACATTCTCCATTCTGCTCCATCCCATACTGTACTTGCAGACGCCGTGAGAGTGAGAATATCTCGCCACTTTTCTTGTCGAACTACCCTACGAGGACGAGGGTTGACAATGATTTTCATTCCTTGTGAGCTGTCATATCATCGCCTGACAGCATGCATCTGTGTCGTCCGCCAGGTGTCAGCTAGCCTATGAAGACAAACATACAAGGAATAGCACTCTCATACTGTACAAGTAGCCGGATGCGAAGACACCCACGTCCAATCTACCAGGCAAAATTTCCAAGTCTTTAGAATGACTCCCAGCGCCCGCCTTAAGAGAAAATTAGACAGATTTGCATACGCCCCAGAGATGGTCTGCTCTTGTCCGACAATGGTGCGCACCAACGGAGTGATAGTGCGGGGAGGAGAAAATTGTTGGGATACCGCTGCAAATATGCATGCAGATGTCAGAAAAGACTCCGGAGAGTCTTGGAGAATTTCGTGGTCTTGATGATTCTTTGGTTGACCAGGATTTTTATTAGTACAAAGTATTTCGTAGCTGCGGGGTATTTTATTTCTTTTCTCGCTTAGCAGTGGCTCTCTGCCTCCTTTTTGTGCACGCATAAAAGGTGTCAAGTCGCTGTACGGGATACAGGCACACGGAGTAATTGTACAAGGTATTTATTTGAGACTTCTTAGTAATATTGAGACCCCTGAGACAATGTGAGATTGTGTATACGTCATTAGCTGGGGTCCTCGTCAGGGTTTAAGATCTTTCAATCTCGCAGAGACGACAACATCAACCCCTGATCTTCCCTCCATATACGAAGCACGGGGTAATAAAGCATCCGTCAGATCTTGCTAGAATCTCACGTCAAGAAAAGTTCAACATCCATCCTCAATGTGCCGAAATGCAGATTCGTTATTTTCTCTCGAACCTTCCGATCTCTCGATAAAAAGTCTGTCCGAGGTAGAGTCACCATGAACGCTTCCACCTGTCAATTCTGCGGTGCTACACATGCCTTACATGGCGGGGGTTTATCCAATTGACCGCCACAAGTCCTTGATTTCGGTATCCAGTGAAGCGTAACAAGCAATGTCTGGTGACGATTGACGTGAATGTCCTTCCGACTCGTGAAGCCTGCAGACGGGCGAAGCGCAACATGCCCCTCGACGTTACGGGACACCTATAGGGCCAAGTGTTGCGTGACTGACCGCTTTTTCGAGTTTGGAGTGATTTGAGAGAGACAGATGTAGGACAGCATTGTTGAGAAACCGTCCAGGCGGAATCCTGCAGTGCCATGTTCGAAAGTTTCCTCGTCCAGCCGTCTCTGACTTGGGCTTGGGTATTACTGTGTGCGAGTGCTCCCGTACCACGATCCTGCTTCTTCTAAAGAAGGACCGGGTGACCCGAATTACGATCAAACGGGGGGTCGGGTGTCAATGCTGTCCAACATGATGGATTTTCGGGTTTGCCGTGGTGAGGCGGGAGAGCACCGCAGCATTGATCTGCATATACGGGACGACGGTGCGCAAAGATGAGGACCGACACCACCACGTCGGGGCCAGAATGCCGGCGGGTGGTGTGTTTCAGTGTCTGAGATATGGTAACAGGTACGGACTGTGTCGTAGTCGTAGGAATGATGATGATGTTGGTGCCACAACCAAATGTCTTTATTTTACTTACCTAAACATCTTCAGGAGGTACTTCTGTCAGTTAGTTCATGGAGATTTATTTTTCCGCCCGAGAGTTCATACTGTACTGTACATACATACAATAATAGTGGCAGGTCTTGACGCTTGTCTCCTCTAGGCTTGCGTTTTAACTAGAGTTTAGAAGCATTTAACTCGACTAAGCCACCAGATAAGCTCTCCTTCTCCATGATTAGCGTGGGTGGCCTTAGTGACCTAGCGAATCTTACCGAATCGGGAGCAGTGCGCGAAGGAATCGGGGCGGTGCCTTCACTCTTCACGCACGGCCTGCTTCGCGCGACTAGCCTTTATGGATGCCATTCCACGAAATAGTGGTCCTGGTGGTTATCGTTGATCACTGACTGATGGGAAGTTTTGCATCAGAGTCCTTTGATATATAAGGTATAAGCTATCGTCCAGGACTTTGAAGAAAAGATATTCTCAAGACATCAACTCCAATCTAATCAGCAATTTCCAACCATCTTAACCTCTCACCATCTCTTTTTTGCTCTCATCGGAACAGAACCTCACTGATAGATATATACCCCGCACTTGTGTGGAAGTTTCCATCAGCATGCCGATAATCAGCAAGCTTGTCAAGGGCGTCAGCTCAGGCATTGGGCTTGCATCAGAAGCCATTGCAGACCACAAAGAAAAGAAAGCCGCCAAACAGAGTACGGCATCATCACCATCTGATTCACAACAGCAGTCACTCGAAGTTGGCGAGAGCTCGGGAGGGACGCGCGGCGTTTCCCGACAAACCTCGTCGGATTCGAGATCGCAGGTTTTGGGAGATGACAAAAAGTCCCCTTCGACCAGGGACGACTCCGACTCCAGCAGCGAAGATGAGCTCGACACCGACCGTGCGGAATGGGCTCTGGACGACGCGGCCGCGGAACTAGAAGAGGCACCTCCTTCGTACGAGGCATCAACCGGGACGCCGTCGTCGGCCGAAGACGTTGCCAACACCTTCGCAGAAAAGCACAATCTCAACCGAGCTCCATCCAAGGGCCACCGACCGCTGCCTTGCCCCGTCATCCTCCCTCAGCGTCGACCCAAGGACAAATCCCGAGGCTTCATCCGCGCCTACGCGCCCCTGTTGGGCGAGTGCGCGGGCATCGACCAGGCCACGTTCCTCGATTTCCTCAAAGACTTTGACCGCTCGTCGCGCGCGAACCCGGCGCTCGACGTGATCAACGTGGCCGCGTTCGCCGTCGGCATGGTCCCCAACCCCATCGCCATGGGCGTCGCCATCGCCGTCCAGGTCGCCGCCGGCACCGCCAGGGAGGTCCAGACCCGCCACCGACGCAACACCTACCTCGACCAGATCAACGAGACCCTCTTCAAACCCCGCGGCCTCTACTGCATGGTCATGACGTTCAAACCCGACTCCCCCTACGACCCGGTCATGCACGTCGACCTGGATTCCTCGGACAGGGCACTCACCAAGGCCCTCTCCACGCCCGAGAGTGATATGCGCCGGAAACTGAAGAACTTGCGACTCTCGTCCGGTACGACAAGAGGCGAAATGTCCCTCCCCGAGGCCGCCCCCTTGGTCTACCCTGCCCTCGACGCCGCGGCCGCCCGAGCGGCCCAGACCGGCACTCAGCTGCCCGAACAGAAGCAAAACGCGTTGAAGTCGTCCGGCAAGTTCTTGGCCGACTACCTCGACCGACGAGCCCAGGCGACCTACGCGGCAACGAATCCCGGGACCTTGTTGGCCGAGGCGAGACCGCCTCCGCGGAAAGAATTCGCGTCGAGGTTCTCCGACCCCAACCACCCCGTCAACTCTGGATCCCTCATTTCCTTGTTGACCGGAGGCCACTTCAACCCCAAGGCCGAGAAACGGGCGAGGCGGGCGCAGCGACGTGCGTACCGGGGGGGATACGAGCTCAGCGAGACCGACATCAAGAATGCGGAAATGGGCCGCATGCCCCGCCGCAACAAGGGGTTGATCCGTCGGGTCTTGCAAAAGAATGTCCTCTACCTGACCATTGTCAATTTGCCCACCGAAGAGGAAACTGCCGAACTGATGCGAGAGTTGGACATGGCCGAGAAGAAGAACCAAAGACCCGGTCAAAAAGGGGATGATTGGCAATGATTTTTATATACTCAAGTTTGTTTTTCCTCCGAGTTGAAAGAGTGATGAAAACCGTGTACGGAGTATGTGAATCAAAATGGATACCCTATTTTAATGTTATATCACATCATATCAATCTATTTAATTTCTTTTTATCTGCCCACTGTCCAAAAATATGTAGATCAAATAAACTCCATATCAGCTAGGGTGGCATTATAACAAGTAATCCGTACAGAGCATACGATATTCCATCCTCAATATTTTAGCGTGATCTGCCGGTCCTCACCTTGGGTATCTACCAGTTCACCTAGGTATATCCGTACCCCAAGGTGTGTGGGCTTGTAAGTAACTCACGACAATGCTCACTACGCAGTGATACTTGTAGCAATTCACATGTGCGCACCGAGTACACAGTACCTTACTGTACAAACCCCAGGTGTCTGGTTACCATGTAGGTAGTCGGTAGTATGCTTTGACAAGCAAGGCTGTGTCGATTCGACGGTCACCGGCTCAAGAGTAGAACAAAAATCAAAGGAAAAACACCGCTCCTCTCAAAGGCCAAACGTAACTTTTTAAAACAAGCAGTTGAGTTTTTCGCTATCAAAACTACAAGACCGTTCCATATTACCCTGTGTCGTCGTTGCCCGAAACACAATCAACACCGGCCGTGAATAATCCGACATGATGAGTTCGTCCCTTCGCAATTGACAAACACCTGGTATATCCCATATCCGATCGTAAACATTCACCCGTTTGGTTGGTATACGAATAATAAGTCATCCCTGATTTTTCAGTCTTGCCCGGTCACAACCACGTTCCCCCCCGGAGAACCAGATGATCGAACGACTCAAATGATTTCTTTGACCAAGGTGAACCCCTGAGCCGCCTGACCGACGGCACCTTGTTGACCCGCGGCCTGCTCCGCCGCGAGGTCCACGATCCCCTGGAGGCCGAGCCCGTCCGAGGCCCTTTTCGCCAACGTCACCCACTGCCAACCGCCCTGCTTGGTCTGCAACATGCCCACGCGTTTGGTGTCGTCGCTGGGTTCGGAGTCTTGGTGCTCCTCGAAGAGGTCCTGGACGTTCTTGACGGCCTGCTCGTGCTGGGCGCAAGGCTCGAAGAAGGCGGCCGCGAGGCCGTCGACCGTCAACCGCTCCTTGATCTCTTGAGCCTGGGACGGGTGGGTCAGGAAAACGGCCAAAAAGGCCAGCCCCAAGGCGAAAGCGGCGTACACCGCCTTGAGCGCGACCAGGGTGTACAAGGGCACCCAGGGGACGCGTGTCGCGAGGTAGCTGTTGGTCCTGGTCGACTCGCGCTCGTTGAGCACGGCGACGGAAAAGCCCGAGGTCAAGGCGACGGCGGCGCGGGAAAAGTAGTTGGAGTAGACGAGGCTCAAATCCCCGGGGTCCTTTTGGTACGCCGCCAGGGCCGACGCGTCCTGGAGGGACAGGTGGGAGAGGGCCGTGTTGGTGCCGAACGGCGCGCTCAAGACGGCGCCGTAGTAGTCGGGTGCGAGCCCGTTGCCGTCGCCGTCGACTTCGACGGAAGCCACGGTCCCGTTGACCCAGTAGTACTCGGCGTCGTGGATGGAAGTCGAGCAGTCCAGGATGTACACCGTGTCGCCCGTGTCGTCCTACTGGTAGTACTTGCCCTCCCGCATGGCGGGGAACTGGTCCCCGTACGTGTTCATCGGGGGGAACCCCTTCGACCAGGTCAAAAAGTGGATCGGGTTCTGCGTGGCGAACAGATCCGTGGTGTCGTCCCCGAACCCGGCCGGCCGGTCCCACGTCGTGTCGTGGAAGAACTGGATTCCCACCATCGCCATGTCGGATGGGGACGTCACGTCCCCCGGCGCGAAACCGACGGATCCGGAGTAGGAAAACGACGGCGCGGCGTACGCGCCGCACGTGAAGCCGTGGCCGTCCAGGGTGCAGTTCGGGGTCACCATTCGACACTGAGTCGAGACCGCAAGCGCCGCCGCGCTGAAGTCGAGCTCTGCGTTGGCGCCGACATCGCCCAAGAAGTAGTAATTGGTTCCGTTGGCCGTGATGTTCATGACGGTGTTGTTGAGGGAGCGACTCATCAGGGTTTCTGCTGCTTGCTGGGCGTTGCTGACACCTTCCCGCTCTTGTCCCACAGAGGTATTCCAACTCATGATGCTGCACGGATATCGACATGCCGCCTGAGCATTGGAGGGACATTGCTTTTGTTGCCACAATTCCGAAACGCATTCAGATTGCAGACTTCTCCCGAAGGACCTTGTGACATTTCCCGAGGGAACCACAAGTGCGATATTCAGGGCGGTGGTTGTGGCTGCGAACCAGCTGTCGGTTGCACCAATCGCAAAGCTAGAGAGCATATCAGCGTCAGCAAAGAGATACCAATAGCCATATATGTTCAAGCCAACTCACGTCATCACAACAATGAATGTCAAGCTCCAAAATGCCGCGGGAACAGGCTTCACGAGGTGCTCGTCATGCTGCCACCTGTACTTGATGGTATCGACGAGGGGTTGAGTACCACCTCCGTTCAGCAGTCCGATCAAGATCGACACTTGATGCGGGCTGGGCAACTTCTCCGACTTGTTCTTGGTTGCTCGGATGAAATGCTGGCCCGCGAAGAAGGCGACCAGGGCCATCGATGCTCCGGTCACAAAGGGTATAATCTTTGCCGTCCAGGAAGCAATCATGTGCAAGACCGAAGGGTTGGTGATTTTGTTGTAGTATAGATAATAAGCCTGGTCACCGCCGGAGCTCTTGAAGTGTTGGAGACCCTTGAGGGCGTCGAGTGCTTCGTTGCTCGAGGTGGCCGGGTCAGTCGTCGACACAAAGACGAACTTGTCGTTGATCCGGTAATGGAGAATGGTGGTCAAGAGCACGCTAGTCACGATCACGATGGGGATACACGGGGCAAACGCACCCCAAAGCAACGAGGACATGGCCCCTTCCATGAAGGTCCTTTGTGCATTCGGCGGCGAGGTTGGAGTCTGTGGTGGAAGACTGTTTCCGTCATCTGGCGTCGCTGGACTTTCGGAAGTCTTTTCTTGCAGGAGAGGGATCTTTGTCGGAGATACCAGAGATGGTTCCATATTGCCTGAAGTTCAATGTTGCTAGCCACCCTTGAATGGCAGCAATACTCCTAGGAGGTTGCAGAGAAGGGTCGAGATGGGCTACCGGAGAGCATCCAGGAAGGTGGCCCTCCATTTTATTTTTTGTCTCTTTGGCAGACTCATGCTTCTTCTTCTCCCTGGCGGGACTTTTGACGGATATGCTGGAGGCGACCAAAAGCTGAAAAAGACGCGACGTTTGAGGTAAGGCGCTGCTGAACTTACTAGAACATCCATAACAAAAGGCGGGGGTCTAAAGGAGGGTGAAGCCACGATGGGATTGGCGAAACTCGTTTCTCTCTTGACTAAGGTTGTGGCGATGGTCGACGTGGACATCCAGAACGTCTTTGAGGCTGTTGTGGCTGGCGTAAAAACACTAATCAGCTTCCCAAACGGTCTCAAGCGTCTCTTCGAGCTAGAAGATTGTCGTCCTCGTATAGGCTTGGAGATGCCATCTTGAGCCTGACTTTCCCAGGGTTCAGGGCGCGCATTTGCTTGATATTTGGTAAAGCATGGGTTTCTCGTCGCACGTGCAACTCGCAAGCGAAATGGAATTGTTCTAGACCCCGTCACCCACATGCTGATTGCATCTGCGTGCATCCTATTCTGGCGGTTTTGGAGTTTGATAGGTTCTTTTGACGGTTGGGACGAGGGACGATGATAAGCGAGAGACAGCGAAGTTGGTGGGGGTTTCCGGAATACTTCGAGCTTCGAGCTGATCGGCACCGGCTGAAGGCGGGATGGGCCCTGGCCGAAGCTTAGTGAAGCTTGAGGAATGAAGACTTGAAGCTTGTAATACGAGAAAGTGGAAATGTCTTGCAACTTTTATTTCCCTAGAGTTTCTTGGTAGGGTAGTACAACTGATGAATATAATCTAGGTCGCCATCACTTCAGATATCGCTCAACTACCGCCCTCACACCGTCCTTGGTCAAACCCTCTATTCCCAAGAGTTCATTATCTAGATGATCGGAAAAGTCAAGTCCATAACCTTCCCCGAAGCCCGCGCTGAATATGAAGCCCATCATGGTCGCGAAATCCGTGTTTCCCTTGGCCAACTCTTTCATGGCCGCATCATACATGTCGTCGGTCGACTTGTGCACGAGATCCCACTCCTTGCCGTCCTTGTCCTTTGCATACTGAATCATCTCGTTCTGCGTGACGATCGCGTCCTGGATATACACGGGCCGGTTCGCCGTGTCGTCAAACTTGCGCACCACATTCACGACCGCCCGCCCGACCGAATCCAGGTTTGCGGTGGAGTATCTCACGTTGCCGCCATTGTACACCACCGCGCTGTGCTCGGGGACGTTCAGCACGGACCCGTTGAAACTCCAATCCAGAAAAGGGCCGCAGCAGATGATCGTGTAGCTAAAGTCGGGATTCGCGGCGGCGACCTTCTTGAGGTGCTCGTGCGTCTTGACCTTGCCCGCGAACACGGGCAGCGCGTTCCGTTTTGCGTTGTACACGTCGCTGCCGTATTCGGAGGGGATGAATCTCTTCACGCCGGCAGCGACGGCGGCGTCGATGAGTGGGATCTGATCGCCCACGAATGCCGTCGTGAGTGTCGATACGACCATGAAGGTGTCTTTCAGCGCCCGTGTCATGGATGGGACCGAGGTATAGTCCACCTCGACGACTTGCAGGTCGTCGTGTCGAGGAAGTCTGGAGGAATTGTTGGGCCCTTGCCGTGTCAAGGCCGTCACGGTATATCCGTTGGATAAGAAGGCTGACACGATGGTGAGGCCCACGTCGCCTGTCGCACCAGCCACTGCAATTCGTTTAGGCATTTGTTTCCTTGTCAAAGACTCAAAGAACTCGAGGAAAAGGAGCCGTCGGGAGATAAGAAGGGTATCTTACAGATTAAATCACCACCACACGAGTATGGGACAGAAGGATAGGCCTATATATGTATATGCATACACACATACAAATACACGTATGCCGGGTGTGACGACGACCAATTGAGTCGAGGCCTACCTCGTATTCCCTAGGTACTAATGGAGTACTCTTGGTGAATGGGTCAAATTCCGTCGTCCCCGGCGAGGTACACCAGAAGAACAAGGAACACTTACCTAGGTACTGGACCTGGCACGATATCTGATCACGGGTAAGCCTGACGGCTCATTCAGAGCGGGGCCGTAAAGTCGGTAAACGACAGTGTCGGTGATTCCCAATACCTTCTTCAGATTCAACGTGTGAGACGACAAAGACTGGCCGACTGAGGAATTCGATTGGGTACACACTGGGTGTAAGCTTGCATAATCTGCCCAGAGTCTCCATGTATAGAATAATCTCAATCGAGTAGCTCGGAAATTGTTTCAATGGTATTAGGAAATCATACAATATCGAGGCTTACGAATTTATTTGATCATTCGAACAGCTAAATCTGGTCGCTACGTACATTTCTGCTCCACAAAATGGTTTCCATAAACACACTTACGAGAGATTTTAGTGCCAATGTGCGTACCGTCGTATCAGATTGCTTCAACACATTCCGTTTATGTCCCTGGGAATGCTACTTGGAGTCGCGCGCGAGAGTGAAAGAAAGCGCGGGTCTGAAGATCCAATTTGGTATCCCGTACTCCGTACAACAAGAATACATTACTGACACTGAGATAACCAAAGTTCCAGGAAGAGTTTCAATTCGGAGTTTACACTCGGTCGAGAATATCATCTGAGCGAGTTTTACCGACTCCTACAAAGTCGCCCAGAGCTGCCCGTTGGTTCAATTTTGAGAACAAAGGGGAGGCGGGGGCCTCGCTGACCGAGTCTTGTGCCCGATTTCACTCTACACGGATAGCCAATCTTGCGAGGTGTTGTGCTATCCAGCGAGGTATACCGAAAAAGATGGCTCGCAGGTATGTCTTTTTGGTGTAGGTTGAAAAAAATCTATTGTTCCTCATCTGCCACCAGTAAATTCTGCCTTATATGCCTGGACACCACCCTTGGACAGCTCCCGCAGCGCAATGGTGGCATACTGACTCGAGCCAAGCTGGAACTTGAGCACCGATGCAAGCTTTGTCGGTCGACTATCACCATCGCCATTTCCAACTTCACCTTTGTCATTCTTTACGACAGCCTCGCCAGTCGCTCTGTTCTCCCCATTGGCGGCATTATTGCTTTTCAGCCGGTCCATATCCGTCTCCACGAACTGCGCATCGTCGTCGGCATACTGGTGAACCTTGACGTCAAATTCCTCTCCAATCCTAGCCATGATCTTACGATAACTGCCGCTCAGACTGAAATCTCTCTGCTTGCGACGCATGTTGTGCGGATCGAGGGCACCACCGGCCTCGCTCGCCATAAACGTCTTGTACCACTCTCCGCTCGCATTGGCAGGGTAGACCACGTCGAACCCTGGTAGTGGGAGCACGACGTCGAAGATGGTATACTTCCCACTCGCCGCCTCCTCTGCGGTGAGTGGCTTTGCGCGCTCAAACACGTCGTTCGGATCAGACGCTCTGTCTTCTCCTGACGGTTGGATGATGACTTCTCCGTCCGCGTCGACAGATTGTTCAGGCTCTGTGGGGGCCTGTTTGTCCTTGTGCTCATGGACGAGGACCAGGTCGCCTCCGACCACGTTGCCACCAAACAACTTCCACCGTTCGCCAACGGCCAAATTCCAGATCAACGACTGGTACGCGTGGACGTACATCAATCGTAAGTTCCGCTGAATCGACAGTAGAGCACCCATATAGTCCTTGGAGTTCCTGCCCAGGTGTCTGATGAGCGCAGTCTCCGCGGAGAACTTACGGGGAATGCTGTCCAGAGCGGCCCCTACCTTTCCGGTCCTCTGCCATGAGTCGATCCCCAAGGCCCGAGCGCGATCGTCTTGACCGACCAGCACTCCCGCGGGTAAGGATTCGGGGCCCTGCAAAGCCGTAGGCGAGAAGTCGAGAATGGCTTCACACGCTCCCTTGAAGTCTCCTTGCAGTATCTTGACACCAACCACGTCCGTTCTCTGAGCGAACGTACCGAACCTCTGGAGTCCATAGTAGTTGAGGAATCCCTTTTCGCGGAGCTGGCGTAGAGCGTGTGACAGTTGGACTTGTACCGCCGATGCCTTTTCATCCGCAGAACCAGCATCCGAACCGATGACGCTGCAGTCGCGCAAAGTTATTACGAATTCGTTTCCACTGAGGTCACCGAGTTCCAGACCTTCCTTCTGGTACTGGAAGTCACCCACAGCAGAGTACCGCAAAGATCTATTGAGTGAGGCTAGGCGATCCGCATCGACGCGATACGCACTGACGCGCTGTACTGTTACCGCTCGCCGATCTTTGGTCCCAGCAAATTGAAAAGTCTTATTTGTCGTCCTGAGCTGCTTGGTCATGAACGAGATGACCTCGAGCGTGTCCTTGTTCTCCTTGTAAAGCGTGAAATGAACGTATTCGCCCCCTCGATCGAGCCAACCTAGCTTCCCCGGTCGGCCGTCCTTCTTCTGGTTCGACTGTCGCCCGTCTCGCCCCCGATTGGTAGTCGCTGCGGCAGCAGTGAGGACCAAAATACCGTCCTTGTCGGTCGAGGAATCAATTTTCCTGTTGAATATGCGTCGGATGTCTTGGTGGATTTGTGACCGCACAGACCGATCTGATGTGAACTCTGTGCGCACTGTAGGATGATCTTTGGGCTTCTTATCAGGTGACTGAACGATCGATTCGTAGAGAGACATCAATTCAACAACAGCCTCGTCGTTGAAGTAGTTGACAAGCTTGGCGCGATCATCCTCAGTAACCTCTTGCTTGGTCTCCTGCACAGCATTCTTGACAACTTCGTTGCTCTGGCTATCGCGCTCGATTGGTTTCTCGCCCTGTACAGGTGCTTCATCCGTTCGGCTTTCTTGCTCAATCGGCTTCTCGTTCTGTGCCGACGCAGCGTCACTTTTGGCAGGACCTTGACTAGACTCGTCGTGCGAATTGGCCTGTACTGTAGAACTACTCTCAGTAGTAGAAGATGGAGCACCGCCACCTGACCTCGCCACCGTCGTATTCCGTAAATGCAAAACCGTTCCGTCTGGCAAGATTTCGTTGACGAGGAAGTCGGTATATCTCTTCTTCAACACGCCCCGAAACACACTTTTCGAAGGGTCGACATAGGTGGTGATACCCACCTGGAGCTCTTTGGCAATCTCGTCATCAGTCACAAAAGTATCTGCGAGTTTCGTTGCCGGAACGGAATCTTGATCGTTTTCGAGCCTCGGACGCTTCTGAGGGCGTTCGTCTGAATTTAAGTCGCTCATGGCCAAAGCAATCTTTTCCTCTGTCGGCCACAGCGCGAGTGCTAGGCGTCCTAAGCAGGGAAGATTGTATGGTAAATGCGCTCCGTACTTTGTATCGAAAAAATCAACACGTGCCAAGATTAAATAGTCTAGTCCTATTAAGGGTTAGCGTACATGCAAAGCCATCGGCACCAGCCTACAACGCTCTTGTACCTCCCTAGATAGTCTTGCTAGGCTTCTGCTTGGAATCATTACAATTCTGAAAGACAGGCTGATCTTCTTCGCAATTCGATTTTATTGTTATGTATTGCATACGAATAGTCACCGGACACACGCGACTTGTGGCCGCTACACACCGCAGACGCTGCCCAGCTCATCGACCATCTGAGACCACACTGCCAACATGATTCAATCTGCCTCACCAGTTTCGTCATCACAAGACGGTGGACTGCTCCCAAGACCCCGCTTGAATGTCATTCGGATCTTTGAACGGCCGCGTTTGAGCCTTGAGCCGAGATCATCCTCATCGAAATCTGCTTGGTCCTCCTTGTACCGAGATTTGTCCTTGCCCTCCTTTTCAACCACAATCCAAGGTCGCTCATATCCCCCGAATTCAATCTCAAGAACTCGAATTGTCTCTTCCCAATCGACCCCAAATGCTCCGCTGTTGAATTTGACACTCCAGATTTCTCCAGGCTCCGCCAAGTCGTCCTCCAATTTTGTGCTTGTTTGCTCAATAGACTCTGAAGAAACGTGTGATTCTAACTGGAATCGAAGGCCTTTCAGCGCCCAACGGGTATTCCTTATCATCTGCTCTTTTGGATCTTTTCCTGGATTGTTTGTTGTCATGGAGGGTTTGCCGTATCCGATGCTTGTGAAGAGACATGCAACCCATAAACGTTTTACTGGTCTCTCTGATACTGACTCGGTTTGGTTCTTTTTCGCCACTTTTGAATAATCTTCCTTTTGCGGTGGGATCAAGAGACAGGTTCCAAGGATATCATAGGGCCTCTGAGCTTGGGTGCAATAGGCTTGGTAAACGATATAGGCATGTGGCAACTGGACAGCGTACGTTAGAAAGTTTGCTGCTTCCACAGGTAAATACCTTACCCTTTTTTTCAAGTGAGCTGCGACTCCGTAGCCCCATACACCTTGACAATTGACCGCGTCTATAGAGGAATGTCAGCTCTTGAGTTCGCCTTTGTCGAGAGTATTGCTTGACACGTACGAACGATAACTGCTCGATCTGGTGCGTCGAAAATGTCGCCACAAATTTCGTTAATGAAGAAGCTGCTAAGATTTCTGCCATCCGATCCTTCTGTGTCTGATGGCTTCGGACGTGAAGATTGGGGCATCCAAAGGTCATCCTCGTTTGTGCTAGGAAACTGAATGCGATCTTGACCATTTATGACTTGCTTAATGGTGTAGTCTTCCGAGATAAGGCCTGGTTCATCGTCGAACTTCTCCATGAAAAGAGGAAGGAGGAGCTTGTAAGCGTCGTCAATCTTTTGTTGCTCTGGTTTTGCCATCTCTATATCAACGAGACCCAGTGAGCTCCAGTGAGAAGTCAACTCGAGGTACCGCTTGTCGAGATCTTCGAACGTGGCATCGGAAGACAATCCGAGAACCTCACGGGCTTTCGCAGCTTCAAAGTCGGCCATGTTGCCTTTCCAGGATGAGATATAACGAAATATTGAACGCGTCGAATGAGTACGAGATTAAGAGACTTCTTCTGGGGACCAGTATGTGGCAAGGTACGGATGTGATGCGTCGTCCATGTGGCAGGATGTGCCCCAGTTGAGGTAGACAGACAACTCAATGAAGGTGAATTCAACGGTAGGTGAAGTCGCGACAGACCACGGATGGCAGTAACATTCCAGAAGTGACATGCTTTCAATGTCATATATTGCAAAATTGTTGTATTGTTACGGCCCTTTCTACTGTATACCAAAAGTTTGTATCATGGATCCCTATACCAAGTTGGCCTCATTGGGCAGCGCTAAGTGTACTCCTCATAGTGCATAGATGCGCTCGAGCCATACGTGTGGCAATCACCTCTTGAAGAAAGCAAGAATACTTTGTCTCCTTTTCACACGTTTCTTTCCTAGGCCGCTTGCTTCTGTCGACTTCGACTCTCCCATTTGAATTGTACTGTATTGTTGCCGCGACGGCGTTGTAGATCTCAACGATGGAATGCCAGACCTGATTCTTTCTGTGAAAGCTGGAACACTCGACTTTTTGCTTCTTCTGCTTTGTCTACTGATCGCTCTGAACCGTCCGTCTTCCTCGATTGGCTGTCTCTCCAGCTGTTCGATCTCTTGTAGCGCAGTCATCCCGTTTGTGGCCAGATTTTCCTCCGTGACTGCCTGGAACTGCAGAACTCCTCTGTTTGGGGAAATTTGCAAGGTGTCGAGTATGAAATCCTGAAGGAGATGGGTGCATCGTTTGTTCTTGGTGGCTGCAATCTCGGAAGGAAGAGCTGTAATCATTAGATGATATGATGGTTCTGCATTTCCTCCAAGTAGCATTGCGATATCCGTGGTAATAAGAACCATGATGCAAGACTCGGGGCGTTGATAGATTTCGGAAAGCCGAAAGGAGAAGTCAATCAGGAATTTTTTCTCCGATTCCAGCTAGACATCGTTAGTGGGCTCGCATAGGCAGTCAAGGATCTCTGGAGGACTTGCACAATAGTTCAACTTGATTTCAGCTAGAATCACCGAATCCTTGACTATACGCTCTCTTGCGGTGTTGTTTGGCTCACGGTAGGCAAATGCGCCTTCGAAATACTGGCTCTTTTTCCTCGAGAGATGTGACTTTTGTCGCGAGCTTTCGAGACTTCCCACCTCCAAAAATCGACCATCTGTACTTTTCGTCAAGATCCCAAACTGATTCGAGCGAGTTATTTCTGGCGGTGTCGATTGGGCTCGTTCTCGTGGTAGCAGTCTCCTTGGTGGAGGGGAAAGCGTTCCCTTGAGTCGAAAGACGCCGTCACTCTCCGGCTGCCCTGCAGGAGGAGTTGGAAAAACATTTTCAACCGCCATTGCATTAATCTGGGTGGATGATGTTGGTGTGGATGTCATTGGGAAAGTGGCGACACACTCAGTGTCGGAAATAACAAAGGGAAGAAGAGTATCTGGAGGTCAGATTTACTTTTAAAGAAAATGCAGTGCCCCCGAGAAATCGAATGGACAGGATGTAAGATGTTGGTCGAGTAACAATGAGCTGCAGTTGCCCAAGTCGCGATCCAAAAAGAAAAGAGAAAGACGTCGAGTCTGATCCGACTTCGAGAGTGATAGTGGAAGACGATAGCGAGTAAGAAACAGCAAGCAGCGAGAGTAATCAAGTGGCAGGATTGTTGTTACTAGTAAAGTCGCAGCTGTGGTAGATGCAGCAGGTGAATATGCACGCAGCCGTGGTGCCTGCCTTGGTTCCTAGAGGCATATCAACTTCCTTATGACAGTCCAGCATGAGCAAGTGCCACGTCGAGTCAAGTAGTTGCTGATGTTCAACCGACATCTTCAACAGCGATGCCACTCCCAGATATCGGGATGGGACAATTCCCTATATCCATTTCATTCAGTGAATCAAATCAACTGAACATTTGGCGGAGATCAACCCAGAATAACTTTCTAGAAACACGTAAAAAGTGCTCTGATGAGAGCAAAGTGAAAGGGCATTGTTGTGAAATGGAACAGGTTCAACAACTTGGAATGCTTGATGCATATAAAGCACAAATTTCTCGAAATATTTATTGAGGCTCCTGAAGTGTCGATTCCTCTCACACGTGACTACAATATATGTTGCAGTCAAAGATATTTCCAGACTTCTCCTCTCATTGTCTCCCTAAATGCAAACCAGCACACGACGGTACCGTCAGATCTGCGTACGCCATTATTGCGGGATTACCATCCATTCACGAGATCTAACAAGTTGTAGTTGTTCCAAGCTCACAGCGCGAGGATATGAGAATCGATGACGTGTAGTCGTATTCCCCCAAGGTAAGCGTTGAGCATCAATAGAAGGATGCATAAACCAACCTTCCCATACAAAGTCGTCCCTACTATGGAGCAATACTCTCAGCGCGTCTTCCATTGTCATGTTATGGCTAGTGAGAATATTGCTCAAGATAGTCAGTCGGTCCTGCTCGGAACCTGAAATTCCTTCAAGCGCATTACATCAAGATAGAGTAGAGTTTGAAGCAGTCACTCATATCTGCTGACGTCAGGAGTTGACGCCAGAAATCTCATGATGTCGTAGATGCTTGTGAATGAAGTGGCAATGGGCAAGGTAGGACTATGTATTTGACCCGTTCATACTGGGGGAAGAGAGATCTCTTTCATTCTCATACGTTGCTCGGAATCATTAATTTTCGTCAATCTGAAGCCATGCTCCGAATCTCCCGGTCAATCAGGCAGACCCAAATATTGATCAAATTGCAGACCTTTAGACCCCTATCTACATCTTCAAGTGAGCGCTCGTCGCATTATTTCCCGCATCGATCAACTTACCACGCAGCAGGAATGTCTGATAAATCGTCACTCGACGCCAACAAAGGCTCCGTGGGCAAGGAGTTCACCCCGAAAGGCAAGGTTGGCGGGATAATGCAAGACAAGATAGGTAAAGAATTCCAAATGGCTTGATCTCCCCCACAGCTTCGGCACCAATTTGCGCTTGAAGACCGGCTGACATTGCTCTTTGGAGGTGGTCCATTTGACAAAGATGGAGTAGTCGGCAAGCAATTCAAGACTGACGGACCTATTGGAGGCACGGTACTTGGATTCTGATTCGCTTTATAGAGACGCTCGTCTGACGTGACGCAGGCTCAATCGGCAGCTGAGCAGATGCAGGGTGACAAGAAGCGTGAGTTGATGCACTGATGCTTTTGCGACTCCGACTGATATGAGTGCCCAGCTGTGTTTGACAAGGATGGTGCCGTCGGCAAGCAGTTCAAAGCTGACGGAGCAATCGGGAGTATAGGAGAGGTGAGATAGACAGCCTCAACTTGGCCTCCGCATGTAGAACCTTTGTTCTAACCTTTATATCGCTCAACAGAAAGTGGGAGGACCATTCGCGTCGGATGGTGCCATCGGGAAGAATTTCAATCCCGATGGCGCAGTGGGAGGTACAGTGCAAGAAAACATGGGATCAGGCAAAAAGTAGTCTTGATCACGAAAGTCCGTCGATCGTTGGAAGATAGCCACCCGCGCATGAATCGCAAGAGGTGATAGATAGCATGACTTGGTTCTGACCATGACACTCTGCAATTTATCCTCTACATTGGTTTGAAGATATCGTTCCTATTTCCTTCTGGTGATCATGGAGCTCTTAAATGTTTGGCCGTCTTAGATTCTGCAGCTTCAAGAGACAGTCATGACCTCTGCGTATCAAGAGTGGCTCTACAGAGGCGAGAAAGCCCGAGGGAGCCCTTCAAGCCTCTTATTCGGATTTCTTCGATCTTCAATAACCTAGTCAGCAACTAGAGGCGCCTAGGATCATTGTAGGGCCTCATTGGCTTTCTGGAGAACGACATCGCAACTCGAGTCTAGGTGAGACAGGGAAAATCCTTGCGTCAGGGGTTGTCTCTACAGTCTCCAGTACCTCGTCTCAAGGAGAAGAGCCTTGTCTCCAAAGGCCACTTTGAATTTTCCAATTGTGCAGAGAAGTCTCATTGGGGCCGATACTGTACGCGGAACGAAACAGGAATACTTGATTGGTTCACTGGAACCTCTTGGGAAAGGGGTTTCTCGGCTTGGGAGAGATCCTGGCTGCTCGGGCCTTGCTTTCCACGTGTATGTGATCGAGGAGCATGCCAGGTTAGGTCAATCGCCGCGAATACGAGAGACTAGCATTTTAGGGATCAGTAGAAGTGCACGAAATGAGCATTTCATACTATGTCAAAGTTCCAATGCGCTGAACTCGAGCTTTGATTTCGAGGCAGATACAACGAGGCACGAGCAATATTTCCCTCATTCGGGAACTTTCGTCTGCTGTGCTCAGGGTGGGTAGTTGTGAGACCTGTTCAGGTGTCAATCGAATAGACAAAGTCTACCATTACCACATATATGCACATCGATCCTCGAGTTCCAACGGTCTACGCATCTGGAGGGCAAGGCTGGCGGGTCCATGTTGAGACCAGGGCTGATTAGGGGTTACCTTAGTAATCGGTGGGGGTTTACGGTACTTACCTGAAGGGGGCACAGGTGCGAGTACGAACACGAATACGAATGCGAACCATCTTCATAACCGAAACATATTCACGTTGGCTTCATCGTTCACACCACCATTCTCTTCAGCTTCCAGGCCTCTATTTTGCTCAGTTCAGAGGTACAAACGACACCTCCGTGCGTGCGATCTTCAGTGATACAACACCCGCACTTCAGCACGGCGAGTGAGCCTTGCATCAGGCCCTGAGTTGTAAAGTCACAGCTGGAGGCAGCAAAAAACTGGAGACAAAATTTAGGTCACTTCCGAGTCCACGGATCCTCCGACCCTCGTACCCGATCTAACGCGACAACACAAAGTAATGAATGATGATAGATTTTTGAGGATCGACAATACCTAAAAGGTATTTAAGTATACACGTATCTGCCATTTGCGATACCTCAAGACTTGGTGCTTTCCATTTCAGACTTTTGCATTCCACACGCATCTCTTTCGCCATGGCGGAAGACTCGATTGAGAACGCCTTCCAAGCAGCTCTCGACTCGGCTAAGATCCACGGTGCCATCATATGCAGCACTGACAGTCACGGATACTTCACATACAATGAATCACTGGGTCAACGAACACTCCTCTCGGGCGAGAAAAAGCCTCAACAGCTCGACGATGTATGCTTCCTCGCATCTGCGACCAAACTCATCACCACCATCGCAGCACTCCAGTGCGTCGAGGACGGCCTTCTCACTCTCAAAGGCGACCTGTCTTCAATCGCACCCGACCTGACCTCAAAGCAAGTCATGACGGGCTTCTCCGACGACGGCGAACCTATTCTCGTTCCCCCAGACCAGCCCATCACATTGGAAATGCTCCTAACGCACTCTTCCGGGTTGACGTACCACTTCATGAACCCTCTCGTGGCACGCTGGCGCGAGAAGTTCGGCCAAACCCACGGGCCCGGCCGCCGGTACACGGTGGAAGAGCTGTACAACTACCCTCTCGCGTTCCAGCCAGGTTCAAGCTGGATGTACGGTCCCGGTCTCGACTGGGCCGGACGGATCGTGGAGCGTGTCACGTCCAAGACACTCCTCGAGCGCATGCAAGAACGCATATTCACCCCACTAGAAATCACAGATGCTCAGTTTTACCCGGTTACCCGCGACGACCTCCGCGTGCGCATGCCCGACTTGAACCCCGACGATCCAGATGGGACGGGCCTTTCGGTTGTCGGTGGCTCGACCGACGCCAACGGTCGCACCAAGGGCGACTTCGGGGGCCAGGGTCTCTTCATGACCACGCCAGATTACCTGAAGGTCATGCGCTCGGTGCTGGCCAATGACGAGAAGATCCTCAGATCAGAAACCGTCAACGACATCATGTTCCAACCTCGTCTCTCCACCGAAGCTGCCAAGGGTCTGGAGGGTGCACTGGTCAGCCCCTTGGGCGTCTTTTTCCGATGCGGTACCTCGCCAGACACCAAGGCCAGCTACGGTCTGAGCGGAGTGCTCACTCTGCAAGATGTGGAAGCGTGGTACGGTGAAGGGACACTCACTTGGGGCGGCGGACTGACGTTCACGTGGTTCATCGATCGTAAGAACGACATATGCGCGGCTGGAGCCATCAATGCTGCTCTCCCCTTCGACGGGGAGGTCGTCTCCAAACTGAAGGACACGATTCGACACGACGTCTATCGCAAGCGTGCGGAGTGGCAGAAGCAGCGAGCGGCATCATGATGATGCAGTTGTATGATGGAAGAGAGGTCGACGTGTCTTGGAAAAAACACCCCACTCAGTCATTGAAACTGGATATTCATATCTCATTAACAAGGCGTTTCAACGTCATTAGACTAGCCTTCACGAACAGTCCGTCACCACTTTGTGAAAATGTTCAAGACGATTGTTGCGAGAAAAGCCGTAAAATGTAGACCCCGATATTTTCTGAACATTCATCAAAACCATTTTATAGACCTTGGCCCCCCGTTGTTTTCTTGAAAATGTACGCGACACTTCCTCCGCCAGTCGTGTCTTGGTCCAGACGGAGAACGTGCTCTAGACAGTCATCATCAAGTATTGTCAATATGCGGTCCAACAGTTCACCATCCGCGTCTGGCCGAGAGAAGATCGAAGTATCGATGTGAGCGTACTTCAGTAACTCGTCTCGTTCAGCTTCAAGGTCAGTTTTGGATGCGATGACATGGGTTTTGGATCGACGGGACGATATATCGGGTCTCTTTAGCAACTCCGACATCTCGGGTAGCTCCTCATCAGCATCATGACCCATCTCATCATTCTTTCCAACGGCTTCGGGAGGGTCCAATATCTCTTCCGGGGGAAAAAGTCCATCCTTGAGACCTTCGCCGTTGCAATCGCACCCAATCAGGTCGTGGGTGCGGAGTCCCTTGCTCTCGTCCAAACGAAATAGATCCTTTAATTCTTCCTGGCTGAACATGGTCGTTTGACTTTTGCCCTTTTGTCTGTGTTCGAGGCCATTGGTGGATGTGGCAGAACCACCCTGCATGATGCTGTCGGCCAAAGCTTTCTTGACAACTTGTCGTTGCCAGATCTTCTCTTCCAAGCCCCCTTTGATGAGGAATCGGTAGATCATACAGGGACGCTTCTGCCCTTGTCGATGGATTCGCGCAACAGCTTGCTCATCTATGGCCGGGTTCCAGTCTACATCGAAAAGGATGAGTCTACTGGCTCCAGGTAGATTGATCCCCATGCCGCCTGCCTTGGCACTCAACAAGAATGCAAAAACCTGGGAACTTTTGGAGTTGTTGAATCGATCCACGAGACCTTGCCTTTTGGTGGCCGCCACGGAGCCGTCCAGACGGAGAAAAGGCAAGTCCGAGTTCTTAAGCAATTGCTCAATGAGGTTGAGGGTGGAGGTGTAGTTCGAAATCACAACTACCTTTTCATCAGTCGTGCGCCTTATCTGCTGCAAAAGCTGGTCAAGGAGCCGAATTTTGCAGGAGAGATGATTTTGGTACAGTTTCGAAAGAGTCCCGGGAAGCATCTCGTTCAAGGTCGTTAGCGAAGATGACGGCGTTGAATCGTCAATGCCGCACTTGGGATCCATGAGTGCCGGGCTATTGCATAGCTTTTTGAGGATCGTGATGAGCTGAAACGCGGTTTCATTGCTGCGAAGAGCAGTGTGGAACATTGGTGACTGCAGGACATGCCGGTATATTTTTGCCTGAGCCTGTGTAGGCTTGCAAAAAAGCACAAACTCGGTCTTTGGGGGCAGGTAATCGGCAAGGATGTCGGCTGTCCTGCGGAGGATGAAGGAAGAAGTAGAGCGGTTCAATTCATCGCTCGCCATCTCCCCACGCTCAATATCTTCTTCACTCGCATCAGGCTGCCTGCTTCTCATAATTGGCTTCTCAAAATCTCTGATGAAGCCTTTCTGTGAGCCCAGACAACCATCATTCACAAAATTGACCATTGCAAAGAATTCGCTCATGTCATTCTGGATCGGCGTCCCGGACAGAATTATTCTCCTCTTCGTATTCAATGACTCTATAGCCTTCGCACTCTTGTTCTTCATGGTTTTCAGTCGGTGACCTTCATCGCAGATGACGATATCAATGGGGTGGCCCTTGTTCAAGTCATCAGCCACCATACGTAACCTTTCGTACCCAATGATCATGACTTGGAAAACCCTGCCATCGAAATTACTTAGCCGTGTTTTTTGATCTTCGAACTCAAGAACGCCTAGTCTATCTGCCCCGAGCCACTTTTTGAACTCTCGTTTCCAATTACGAATGAGGGATACGGGACAGACGATCAGGGCTTTTTTCACTATAGGAGGTGCTTTGTAGATAGGGTTCTGCCGTAACAATGTCCAGAGTAAAGATATCGTCGTTAGCGTCTTGCCCAATCCCATAGCATCTGCGAGAATGCAGCCCTGGCCGTCAAAGTCTCGTAGTCCCATGACGCATTCGTAAAGAAAGGTGATAGCTGCTGGTTGATGGGGTAGTAATCTCTTGCCCAAAAGAGGATCAAGAACGATATCCACCATCTGTCTACCAGGTGGAACAGTCTTTGGTCGTTTGAAGACAATAGCGCCAGCTGCTGAAGGATCATGTCGAGGTGTGGGCGTTTCCGAAGGCCCTTGAGACATTACGGTCGTCTCTTTGAGTGGCTGCTTGAATGCTGTAGTCTGCGGTGTAGAATGCATGCTCTTCGTTGCACTGACTTCCTTCTCTTTACGTATCTGCATTTTCATCTGATCTTTCAGAGTGGGTTTTGACTGAGCAGATTGTGCAGGGGGACATTGAGACAAAGGCTTGTCCTTAGGCTTTTCAGAACTGGCTCTGGGGTCCACAATAGCAAGATAATCATGCTTGGTGATTTGAGCCTCGATCTCGACCTCTTTGCCACCAACGGAGAGGTTGAGTCCTGGTGTGACTACTGCGGATAAGGCAGTCCGGCCAATGCCTCGTCCAGTGTTGTTGAAAAGACTTCCATAGCCTTTGTTGACAGCCAGAACCCCATCATCCGTCCAGGTCTTGTTCTTTTTGTTCGTCGGAAGACGCCTAATACTCCTAGTCAGCCAGCAACCACCACAAAGGACGAACGCTTGACAGACCAAAGGACTGAGTAGTATGATACGGCATTCTCTGAATGATGCTCTGATGTAGCCGTCGGACTTGGCGGGTTCTGGATTGCCTTGAGGGCCCCTCGATCACTCCCTCGTTCTTGATCTTGTCGAACCTTTAAGGAAAACGATGCTCGGGCGCGGACGGGAGTATTCGATACAGATGAGCTCAATTTCTGACGTTTGGGAGCAGGGTCAGGAAAATCGTCTGTTCCATCATGTGTAGCAGGCTTCCGAATCGTCAAGGGCTTAAAAGGCTTCGAAAACATGGTCCAGGCTGGCAGTCAATCTGCCCTGCTTCAACAATGCGCCATCGCAGTTTGAAGAATTGGCTGCGAAAACGCGGTGCGCGAAAACATAGTAGAACGCGCTCTCACGTGTTGGGACGAATTAATTATCGGAGCGGCTCCCTACATTTATTAACTCGGCGTCTTCTCTGTCTCTCAAACAAGCAGATTGAACTTATGCCGTATTTCCATACTTTACAAAATTCATGTTCACACAACTCTACCATCATTCGCAAAAAACCGACCCCATTCTCAGGAATACTACTTCTTGTTTCGTTCTATCAAGGGTATTGGCCGGCGCTGCAAGGCTAGTCAACTTTTGCAGGATGCGACCAGGTTGTAGCCGCCTTGGTCGTGCTTTAACCGCCCTACCCTGATATCTCGTTTCACCAGGGATGTATCGCTACGGTACCAAGTACCTGGCGCCAAATGCCGTGTACTATGCTCGCTAATGCAATCAAGGTCGCAGTCGAAGTTGTGTCCAAGATTACTGCAACACAAAGTCGCTTTACGCGCCCGTCCGGACATATGGGCATTTCTCCTATTGCCTCGAGTTTCTTTACCGCCATGTGCATACTTCCCGTGTCTTCAGACTAACCCTTCAACGTGGCTCACTAGATACCTTGCATCTCCCATGTCCATGCCAGTAGCGCGGGGTTACTGGGTAGCTGCAAGAGTCAGGGTGTATCTCATGAGTCTGCTCATGCGTAGCCGCCGAGATGGCCATCAACAGCTTTTACTGTGCACTTGTGTTGTTCATATTACTTGAGCAGCCCTCCTGCAACGTACACCACTCTTTCGACTTCAGCCAGTCTGCGTTTCATGCTCCGAGTCTCATTGTTGCTCAGTGGCAGAGGAAACTCTAGATCAGGCTCGCAATTTCCAACTGACAAGTTTTGTTGACGATCCAAGCAGATCAACCCGATTGAAATATGGCCTTGACGGAGTCCTCCACTTCATCACCAGACTCTCCAGTCTCGTTTCTAAGAGCTATCGATGGCAGTTATCTAAGATGGTCAGAGTTTCGACGTGTGGTTTTAAGTTCTTTCCGGATTATCCTGAAAGCCGAAATGCCACTATCTGAATTGTCTCGTCCCTTCATTGACAGGCTCAAGCCAATACTATACGGCTTGGAAAGGTTCACGGAGCAAGAAAGAGCATGGCGCAAGCAGCTTGCGGAAGGAACTGGCTTCGGCGCAACGATGATATTCCCTCCAAATGTGTTGCCAACAGTCCATCCGACAAAAGGCTTGCAAAGGTGTCATGCTCCAAAGATGAGCCGCGAAGCGCTTCCACCACGCACTGTCAAGGCCCAAGAAAGCCTGTTTGAACTTCCAGCACCTCGACCGAGCTTGCTCACTGGCTTCACAACCTCTGCTTTCGACGAAGGTGAACTGTTGGTCCTCCCAAACTCCGCCGCATCTACTGGAACCCTTGTCGACTTCGATTCTGGTTGCGTCTCACTGGGCACTACTGTATATTGCCCCTTTTTGGTTTTTGAAAGACTGGATTCTAGCTCAGAAGATGGCTTTGAAAATGCTAGAAACCAATGTGCTATTGTTGGAGCACACTGTATACGAGCACTACAACTTCTATTCCGACGGTGCAACAGTCCTTGGGCTACTCTCGATAGACTTGTGTCTTTTTCTTGTTCGCTTGACAACGCTATTGCTATAATCAACTATCATTTTATTGATTCTGAGGGGCGATACTGCATGGCTGAGATTTCGAGGTTCAACCTCAATGAATCTGCAGGGTATTGCGAATTTCAAGCTTGGATAGAAGCAGTCGAGGATTGGGCAACTTGCTTCTTGAAACCCGTCATCAAAAATGCCCTGCGACAGCTTCTTAGAACGAACGGCACTCCGCCGGTTTCTCCAATGCCTTCTTTGACGCTCTCAATCGACACTGCTCCTGGAAGCGACGATGTTCTTCTTAAACATCTCCGTACCACCTTCAGTACGATTACATGGAAGTGTGACGAAGAGTACGAAACTCCTTTGAACAGCAGCATCGCTCATTGCGGAACTCCCTTCGGTGCACGGAAGATTCGCACCATGGCGTTGTCTCCTGCTTCTCCAGTTGAGATCTTCAGCGCTACACCAAGCTCTGCGACACCATTTTCGAGATGGCGCATGAAAGCAGACTGGAATACGAGATCGCCTTCGAGTCGGAGATTCCCTCTCTCACCACTCAAGCTCCGGCCCGAGATGCCTGACTCTCCAGTCCGTCGACCCACGCTGTCCCCTTGCACTCCTCCTCCAGACGCCCCTTTCTCAGCAAAGTCTCCGATGCTCGTCCTTCAAAAGAGGGTCGATTTGGCAATGGACGAAATACAGGAATTGAGGGCACTAGTCCAAGCTCTACAGGGTGAGCTAAAATTAAAGGACAGTCAATTCGAATCTGAGATGGAAAAGAAGCAACCAGTGTCGACGACACCGCAAGAGAATGAGTTGGAAACTCCAACATCCGCGACGAGCAAGGAATGGAGCGAGCCTACTCAATCCACAATTGTGGCCGATTGGTTTGATATTCGCATCGGACTCACGGCTTTGCCTGTACTGTACTTGGCCTTTTTTCTGCTGGGTATTGCCTTGGGCCACGACTTGCTGGAAATACTGATCTGCACCATACTATCTCGAGACAACTATAGCATAATTAGCTTGAAGTAGAGTTGCAGTACAGCAAACTCGAGTGGCAACACTATGGCTTTCAACTCATTGATAGCGAACAGGATGTACGACAGCTGTCTTCGACTGAACACTGAAGCCTCTGGAAGAATTAAGCGGCACTTCATCGGGATGAGAGTGCTTTCAGTCTTACAAACCCCATATGGCACTCACACTGCTCAAGAGAATGTCGAGGAGGTCGGAGATGGCCATTTCGGAGGACCGAGAGGTAGGATCTGGTTTTGTTGCATCGCATAATCTGAGAAAGAAGGGATGAAGCCTGTTCTTGCGGAAGAAAGACCGTCGGCTTGCCAGGTCGAGTAGATCTTCTTTGGTAGGCTGAGTGAGCTCTGCAGCAAGCTCTTCAAATTCTACACTTATGTGAGTTAATAACAAGACAAAGATCTGGGGTTTCTTCCCTTCATTTCCGTCTGGAGGGAGGAATCTAGATGAGGAGGCCAATGAAGCCCCCCCAGCCATTCAACAAGAGGGCGCATCGCAAGATGGTTTGAAGAAGAGGAACTCAAACTGCGACGAAAGGGCGGCATGTATGCGCATCGAGATACTCGAAGGTTTGTCGCCGGGTTGAACTATTTTGTTGTACATTTGCTATTATTCTTCCGATACGAATACATTGCCTCAGCTGAAGCCCACAGATTGACTGTGTCTCACAATGTATACCGTTTCGTGTTTTCGGGTACGATGTGACCACCATGTTATTTTCGTCTAGATTAAAGCCGATGGAGCCCATCTCAGGGCTCATCCAAGTCCTGACTCACAGCCACAGGCGAAATGCTCAGCTCTAGAAATGGAAACGGACTTTGGAGAGGCCAAAACTTCGGCACTGACTTCTGTGGTATTCCATTTCGACAGACGATCAACGAAACTGACTATCCTGGCGAGTCGACTCGCCTAGGTTTTGCCAGAAATTATCATATGGTCAACCCTATCACACCAGGTGGCTTCCTCTTCATGCCTGGTACTGCTTCTGTACTTATGGGCATCATCTAGACCGCCTTTCACACACATAATTGCTGTCCGAGTTACATCAGGCTGTCCAACCGCCATCAACCTTGTAAGTTGCACCCGTTACGAATGATGCTTCGTCGCTAAGAAGGAATGCGATCACATTGGCGACTTCAACGGGGTCCGCTTGCCGATCTAGCGCCTGCATACTTGTGGTAACCTTTCCATTTCGATGGCCAGTTTCCATCGCTTTCACCAGAGGAGTTGCAATCACTCCTTGAAAGATGTTAGATGACAAAAAAAGTAGGACAAGCCGCTTTTGTGAAAGGCATACCTGGAGCCACAGCATTTGAACGGATATTATAGCGTCCGTACTCGCGAGCTGCGGTCCTCGTCAAGCCAATGACTGCCCATTTGCTAGCATTGTAGCAAGTGAAATCTGCGAGACCCAGAAAACCTGCGACAGACGATACATTGACCTGAACACCATCATGATCAGCCTCGGAGCTCTCAGTATATATGACGGAGTAGAATCACTCACAATGGAGCCTCCAGCTTTCATCATGGCGCGTAGCTGGGCCCGCATGGAGTAGAACACGCCGGAACAGTTTACACCCATGACTAGTTCCCAGTCCTCGTCCCTCGCATCAGCAAAGTGGCGACCGCCTTCATGCTCAATACCGGCGACATTGGCTGCCCCATTGATGTGCCCGAAGGTCTGGACCGATTTTTCAATCCAAGCATTTACTTGTTCAGGCTTCCTGACATCGACAACTGTGGCAATGTGGCCCTCTCCGGCGAGACTTTTCAAGGCTTCGTCAAGTCTTTCCCCGTTCACATCAGCTAGCGATAACTTAGCACCGCGTTCAGCCAGTAGGCGAGCGGTGGCAAGGCCTATCCCACTTGCAGCACCAGTAATTGTGACCTGGTCGGAGAATACTTCGTTAGATAGTCAATTGGGCATAGATGTCCACAAGGGGGTCTTACGATCTTTCCCGCAAGTGATGCCATGTTTCACTATCGATTGTGTATCAACACTACTTTCGAAGGATCAGAGGAGGAGTGTCATCCAAATAGTGTACAACCTCGGGGAGATCCAGCAAGGTCGGAGATCAATATCCGTCTCGGGAATCATGTTGCGACTTATAAGGCTCAACCATGCTCAAATACTCATGAATACACCATCTAGAATTATTCATACCTCAGTATATCACTTGTAGTACGATGTCAAAGCCACTTCCTGACTTTGACTCCCTGCCAAAGGTGGAGGGTCAGCCTCAAGGTAATGCGTGGGGATATTGGGGCAAGGACGACCAACTCGGAAGTAGGTTTCGACCTCAATGGAAGATTGTTACATCTCACATTCTGCAGCGTTGAATCTTCTCACCAAGAAGGTCAAACTTGATGCTTTGAAGGAAGTCCGCCTGGGGGAGTCTTGTCAGCTAGATTTGAGGCTCGACTTTTTTGCGCATCGTGTGGCCGGACGAGAGGGCTTTAAGCAAAAGATTCTAGACTTTAAAAAAGCAAATGCTGGCGGCATGTACGAAATATATGCACACGACGACGTTGTTACGTTCAACACCCAAGGTAGCTCCCAATGGGACGGATTTCGCCACGTCGGTCTTCAGGGTCCTGGGACGTACTTCAATGGCATGAAGCACGAAGATATCAGCCAAGATGAAATTGGCCGAAATGGGATTCATAGTACGTCCGAGAATTTGACCACTCCCTCTATTGTGAACTCTCGCTCAAGCCTTGACGACTAATTTGACAATTAACATTGTACGTTTATAGAATGGGTTGAGAAGGGAGGTATCGTAGGTCGAGGAGTACTTTTGGATTATCTTCGGTGGCAACAAGAAACGGGGAAACCCGTCAAGAAGGCCGATGCTTCCACCGAGATCACAGTGGCTGAACTCGAGGCGGTGGCTCGCTACCAGGGGACCACCTTGAAGCATGGTGACATCCTCATCATCAGGATGGGATTCACTGACTGGTACAAAAAGACCTCACGTTCCGACGCCCAAGAAGCCCTCGAGGTGGGAGCATTTATTGGTCTGCAGGCATCTATGGAAATGGTGAAATGGATCTGGAACAACCACTTTGCAGCAATCGCCTGTGATTCTCTAGGTCTCGAGGTATGCCCGGCTCCATTCGGAGCCAAAGACAAAGTTTGCCTGCACGAATGGATGCTGGCTCACTGGGGATGCCCTATCGGCGAGCTGTGGAATCTCGAAGATTTATCCAAACTCTGTGCAGGAGCAGGACAGTGGTCCTTTCTTTTCACGAGTGCCCCTCTTCACGTTTTTGGAGGAGTCGGTAGTCCTGCGAATGCCATTGCCTTGCTTTAGCCGAGCCGGAGGTTATGAACAAGCATATTTAATGCTAATTAAAGTAACTTCAGACAATTTCTGTCTTTGTGTTCAGGGAACATCTGAGAATATTTTGGGATCAGTCTTCTCTTACGCAACCCGCCCCCGCAGTATTTTGGTGGAAACCAGGGTGGGTCTTTTTGGGGGGGGGCGGCCCGTTAGTGTCGGTGCTGGAGTTAAATGGCCGGGTTGCACATCTCGTTTCAATGTGCCAACGTTAGCCTGACTGTCGCGTCTAGGATGATCTAGAGGAGACTGCCTCAAGTCAGCTCTGGTTCTCATTGGGAAATGATCGTTGTGTAAGTTATGGCTCAAAGGACTACGCCATCCTCGAAGGCTCGGTGGTCGATGTCCGAGTTCTAGATCGTATAGATTGGCTATCCATGACCCCAGGCATCCCCAGGACGTAGCAGCCTTGCATCGAATCCAGCTTCTGGAACCTAACCTGGCCCATAAGGATGCCTTCCATTCGCAACCGCGCAGTCCGCATTGGAGGGTGCGAAGGTGGCATTACAGATCATCATGGTGTCCTTGCCCGCATGTCGAAGAACGAGGAGGTGGACGTCATCTTTGGTGACTGGATGAGTGAGTACAACATGACTACCCGCGGCATGGAAAAACTGCAAGATTCGAGTTCACTGGGATACGAGACTGTGTTTCTGGAGTCACTGGAACCAGCTTTGGAACACTTGGCCGCCAAAAAGATCAAGCTTGCCGCGAATGCAGGTGCCTCGGGCACCGAACTCCTGGCTGAGCATGTCGAGAAGATGATATCCCAAAAAGGCCTCAACCTCAAGGTCGCCTGGGTTTCGGGAGATGAGATCAGTGTGGAGAGAATCAAGCATCTCCAACAGAAAGGAGAACGATTTCAGAGATTGACAACCGACAAAGATCTTTCGACGTGGGAATTCGATCCTCTCTATGCCCAATGCTACCTTGGAGGCAAAGGAATTGCCAAGGCGTGGGCAGAAGGCGCAGATGTCGTCCTAACCGGCAGAGTCGCAGATCCCGCTCCTGTCATCGCCGCCGGTCTTTGGTGGCACGGGTGGACCGAGACTGATTTCGACGAGCTTGCCGGCGCTCTGGTTTGTGGCCATCTGATTGAATGTGGCGCTTATGTCTGTGGTGCCAACTGGTCAGGCTTCAAATCTTTGGGTACTGGAAAGCAGATTCTCAACTTGGGCTATCCCATTGCGGAACTTGCATACGATGGCACCTGTATCATTACCAAGGAGAAAGGGTCCAACGGGCTGGTCTCGACCGAGACATGTAAAAGCCAGGTGTTGTATGAAATACAAGGACCCTGGTATTTTAATTCTGTACGTTGGTTCTGGTGGTGTGCAGCTGATAGACGTCGCCTGAATTATAGCTAACCGCTCCATAGGACGTTGTCGCCGATCTTACCAATATCAAAATGGAGCAAGTGGGCAAAGATCGAGTCCACGTATCTGGAGCCAAAGGACTCCCTCCTCCACCAACAACCAAAGTCGGTATGACCGCCCTCGGTGGCTGGCAAGCCGAGACTCATTTCTACGTCGTCGGACTCGACGTGGAGGAGAAGACAGCCATGTTTGAAACCCAGATCCGTGACGTCCTGCCGGTCGACAAGTACCATTGCTTTAGAGTTTCGCTCAATGGAAGGCCACCTGATAACCCACAAAGTCAGGAGTCTGCGACCTGCGACGTTCGGGTCTTCGCACAGGCGAGGGATCGGAATGACTTGGAGCCATCAGTGTTCCTGCAACCAGTCGTTGACACCGTGATGCAAACCTATCCTGGGGCTCAGTTCAGCCTGGACCAGCGGCAAGGGATACCGAAGTCGTATTATGTATGATACCCCCCGACTCGCTCGAATGCTTCGCTGACCACCTTGTCTTTCAGGAGTTCTGGGTGGCACTGGTTCCCCAAGGTATTGTCCCACACAAAGTGCACTTCGCAGGCAACACCCTTGACGTCGCCCCGCCTACTAAAACCTACACCTACCCACGACATCAACCTTCCTACGATACCGAAAACCCCGCCCCGCCAGCCACCTGGGGTTCGACCACACTGGCTCCACTGGGCTATGTTGCACACGCACGCTCTGGAGACAAGTCGTCTAACGCCAACGTTAGCTTTTACGTTCGATCTGAGGATGAGTATGAGTGGTTGAGATCAACTCTGTCGATTTCAATGATCAAAGAGCTGTTGGGAATCGATTATAGGGGCGGGCTGGTGGAAAGGTTTGAGCTTCCACATCTTTGGGCAGTACATTTTCTTCTTTTCGACCACTTGGATCGAGGAGTTGCAAGCAGTAGCACCTATGACATTCTCGGAAAGAACGTGGCCGAATATCTCAGAGCCAAGTACGTTCGTATCCCCGACCTGTTCTTGCGGAGAGGCAAGATATGAAAGTCTCTATACGCAGATAGAGTACGTTTGGGATTTGCTCCACAAATCTGTAGGAAATCCGAATTTGAATAAATGCGGGGGTTTATTCCAGAAGAGCTGGCACGAGGTACAACTTTGCGAACCAGTTGGCAGGTACACGGCTTCACCGTTGGACCGCGCATAGCTGGTTGTATCCCCTCCGGAGATCAAAGACCGAGGGCGTAGGCTTAAACCCCGCCCATGCTCAGGCCCGTCTGGTCTAGGCGAAAGGCCCTGGCTTGGAGTTTTCTCCCCAGGTCTTGGTTGCGGGGTAGACTCACTGGCGAGGGGGTCTCCAGGTTGACTAATGGTTATGTTTTTCCTCCTATGCACTTCCAGTCAATCTTTTCTTACTCCTCGGTGTTCTTGCTCGAAAAGCTGAATGAACTACCTAGGAAACACCACGCCTGGTGAGTCAGAACCGGAGAACAAAGACCTTGCACGTTACAACGCAAGCCCCTGGTCAAGTCCTTATGGAATTCCCCAACAGTATGACCGCTGTAACCATAGGTTCGGATAGTCACAGCACGCCTACCTCGCCTAGTGTCGCATCGACCCCTCGCAGGGTGAAATGTCGCAGGAGTGGTTCGACTGCGGGCAACATACTTGCATGCACGTACTGCAGGCTCAAAAAGATCAAGGTACATGAACGTGATCCTAGCATCGCATTTTGTTACCCTTTCATGGCCCCTTCTTACTGATGGCCTTTTCTTTAGTGCCATTATAACCCAGATGGGTGTCAGAAATGCAAGAAGTTAGGTCTCGCTTGTGTCGTTCCGCATGAGGATCAACGTAAGAAGTGAGTCTTCTCCTGGAAAGTGGAAGTGGAACGCTGAGCTAACAGCACCAACACAGTCCGGTCTCTAAATCTCAAGTCAAGGAATTACGAGAACGAATCGCAGAACTGGAGGCAGCTCTAAAGGAAGCACGCACCAAGCAAAAGCCCCAACTCGAAACTGCCAGAGAGCCAGTCTTACCGGACGCACCAACTCGTCACAATAATTTGATCTCTCGATTGACCCAGCGGGACTGGCAATTGAACAGTAATGCTGAAGGCCAGGTCCAGTTCTTTGGACCCACTTGCAGTGTTCACTTGACCGAGAGTATATCTATATCTCTCTTGGAGGCTTGTGGGGATGCCGCCATAAATGAGGACGATTTCACCATAAATGACCTTGATTCTGAGACACAGGCCCACCTCCTGGACGTGTACTGGAATTACCAACATACCGTTCTTCAGGTTTTCCAAAAAGAAACATTTCTCAAAGGTCTGAAGCAAAGACAACCGAAATATGTCAGTAAAGCTCTCATGTACTGCGTTTTTGCCTGCGCTGCACGCATATCACCACGCGAACATCTCAAGGCGTTGGCCATTCCACGAAACGAGGATGACTTTGGCGACGAGTTGCCCTATCTCATGGCCAAAGCCTTGAAGTATACGGAAGAGGAATTGAAAAGACCTCGACTCACAACGATACAGTCTCTCCTCCTTCTATCAGTCTTGCACAGCGGTCTTGGGAAAGACACCAAAGGCTGGCTTCTGACGGGGGATGCATGCAGACTGGCCGTGGACTTGGGAATCCACAAGAACAATGGACTGAAACAATCATCATCGGGAAACATGTCTCTCGAAGACGTCCAGGCTCGACGGCTCGTTTTCTGGGCTTGTGTCATTTTTGATCGATTCTGGGGTCTCTACCTTGGTCGCCCCTGTTGCCTCAATGCCGAAGACATTCCCGCCCAGGAAGCGAGGTGGATGTCGGCGAACAGCTCCTGGGAAGCCAAAATGGCCTATGCTTGGGTGTCACTGCTGATCATTGTGGGCGATATCTGTGACGTACTCAACGCCGATGTTCGTTCATACGGAAAGCTCGACGACTTTGATCAAAAGTTACAATCATGGAGAGCGAATCTGGATCCCTCGCTACAGTATCGGAAAGACTGTCCAGCATCGGTCTCTTCTCTCAACCTGCAGTACGCGGCTGTCATGATCCTACTGCACCAGCCGACGGCGAGGTTCGGCAGCCGGCCTGAAGAGCCCTCGACTCGGACAGCCTACTCGCGACGACAGTGCATCACGTTCGCCACCTCCGTGGCTTCTTGTCTCCACGAGTTCCAGCAACAACACGGCGACGTGACTGCTCTGTCTGGCATCGCCCTTCACTCCATCTCCCTGGCCGCAACGACCCTGGTCGCAAGCATCGCGGAAAGGAAATCCGAAGACGTATCGTCCGAGATGCATGCCCTCAAGACATGTGTGCGAGCCCTCGGGGAATTGGAGACCACATACCTCGTTGCCAGGCGAGTGCGGAAGATCATTCAGTTGATCATTCGGGTCTGCCATCTTGAGAGTGACTACGTGGGAAGCCAGCAACGGCCGATGCCTGTCCCTGCCGATCCCTCAAATTCCGATGATCTCATGAACCACTCTCTGGTCAATGAGGTGGTAATGGAAGATTCTCTATCATTGGAGACGCAATTTGCAGAGGATGCGGGCCTGTCTGAATACAGCCCTTTTGCTTTTGACGGACATTTACCCACATACGCGCAGTTTGATGTTTTCTCAACTTTTGATGCCGAGGGCATCGGAGCTCCAGATGCCTTCTCACGTAACATGTAGCGATGGATTAGCATTGTCATTATAGATGATTTGGAAAGCAAGTGTATGCATATCGGTTGTAAAGCGTTTTGATTAGGGTTTGACATGTGCTCTAGTTTGTTGCTTTCTTATGTTCGTAGCGGTTGACAGTATATAGTCTATCCCGCTCAAATACATCAATGGCCAACGCGAAGAGGACCTTGCTATCATGATTGTCGAGCTCATAGCTTTGCTTTCCCATGCTCACTTATATCGATGACGATCTTACCCCATGCCGTACCTGTCCAGATTTTATACAGTCAGTATATATACATTTGCTGAGTACCACAGTTGCTCTGCATTTCATCGTGTCATGGTACATGTTTATCAACAAAATTGAGCAGAAGAGGCTAATAGAAAAGGGGGGGAAGACCACAACACACACCTCTAGACAGTAACTCCAGAGCAGCTGGGATCTCTTGCAATCCGCGAAACTCCTTTTCTGTATAATTAATTGGCGTGATCCCGCCCTCCTCGATCAGTGCCAGTAGCGTATTCCATACCTGAGCCACGCTCTCCGGTTCCATTGTCGCGTACATGCCCCAAAAGAGGCCGGACAAGGATACGTTCTTCAACAAGAGTCGATTGGTGGGGATCTTCTCAATCGTTCCGGCGGCGAAGCCGATGATGACCAAACGTCCACCCCAGCGGATGCATTTGAGACTCCTCTCGATGACACCCAGCGTGTCAAGGACGACGTCGACACCACGGCGGTCAGGTGTGTGGTTCTTGGCTTGCTCCGCCCAGTCGGATTTACTGTCCACGACGAAGTGTGCGCCGAATGATTTTGCAATCTGTCGTTTCTTCTCGGTGTCGGCGGAGGCGATAACGTACATTCCCAGAGCTCTAGCGATGGTGACAGCGGCGAGGCCGACACCCCCTCCGGCTCCGTGGACGAGGACAAAGTCACCTGCATTTGTATAATACTTTTGAGTCAGTATATTCTCGTACAAACTGGTGGAAAGAACTGATCCATGGATCAGAGATGGCTACTGTAAGTCTGACGAACCTTTTTTTGCTTGTGCTCGTAAAATGAGCGCCGCGTAGGCTGTCGGGGCAGTGTAAAACAGACTACAGGCTTCAAGATAACTCCAGTTCTTAGGCACTGGCCTCAGGTCCTCCTCGTCGGCCTGGATCAGCGTGGCAAATGCTCCCAACCCGGCTCCGAACACTCGATCTCCACGTTTGAAAATCCAGTCGCCTCCTCCGTCCTTTGGTCTCGAGGTCGGTACGGCGAGAATCTCACCTGAGAACTCGTTGCCGGCGATGAAAGGTAAAGGTGGCTTTTGTTGATGTTTGCCTTGGATTTGCAAATTGTCGAAGAAGTTGGCCGCTGCTGCGTGGATTCTAACCAGGTATTTCGTAGGATGTGGTTTGAAGTCCGGTAGAGCCACCACACGAAGCTCACCGGGTCCTTTGACCAGAGCAGGGAGCTGGATTGCTCTCATGTTATCTAATCTGTTTTGATGGCTGAAAATGCTTTAGTAAAGACAAAAACGAATATGGGACTAGGCTCTCTGTTGATATCATGTGGTGGCTAGACGGGGGAAAAAAAGTAGACACAGTCACCGGGCAAATTTTGGGTGATGCAAGACTTCATTTTCAAGCGGGGATATGTATATATATATAGAAATAACATCGGCTCCTGCATTCAAGAAGAATCTGGGATCCGAGAATCATGTCCTGAGAGGCAAAGGGGTGATCAGTCCCCTGGTAAAACCTTCCCAAGTGGTCCGGAGTAACGACCGCTTTAGTCCTCGAATATCTGAAGTAGGTCAGCTTGATGCTGCTGGCCCATAGCTCCTGGTGCCTGCCGGTCATTTCCCGGACAGCCGGTGTTGAACTAACTCTTCTCATCACTTCGAGAGCACATGGCATCTGATCGCCCACAGGCCACATCATCAGCCCTCCTTGATTCGTAGCGTGACTTCGGTGAATGATGTCCGGAGATGACCCAGATACATGGAACAGGTGAGAGCACCTAAAATCCGCCTCGGTTGTTCCTCCATAAGATTTGCCTAAGGCAGAGTTCAACGCTCGATCAGGAATCTTAGCATCAGAAGTTATTGACATCTTAGACATTTCGGATCACATTGCATCCGGACCATCAGTATGACGACTTGTAGAGCATGTAGCGAACAACATCCCGTGCAAGTGACAGAATGTTAAGTGGTACAGGCTTCCTTGAGGACTTTCTGGGGGGTTCAATTGCTCAAAATGTGTTCTTGTCTCATTACAAGTACAATTCCTGTGTTATGTTGGGACAGGAAGGGCGATTAGACTTCATTTGTGAAGATTTGAACGACCAAGTAAGTTTCTGCAGACAAGGCTGGGCTTGTTAGAGATCTTGAGTTGTGGAGACCCCACCGAGCTTGGGGGCACCACGTTTGTCTGGATCCAAAATCTATATCTCGGACTTCCAATTCCCGGATGACTACAGTCCAGGCAGTATATATGGAGATGAGCAATGCAACCTCCTGCCCTTCTGACAAGCTGATAGTTCCTGATAGGTGGTTGTTTCTTTCACAAGATCAGATCGAAAATGTCGGTCAAAGACAACGCTGATGTGAAGCCTACGACTACCAAAGACGAAGAAGTCATATCACTCAAGGAAAATGTACATTCTAAGACTGTCGAAAACGCAGAGACACCCGGTCTCAGTGATGAGGAAGAAGACCCCCACGTGAGCTTCAAGACGTGGGTTGTTGTCTGGGTGAGTAACGATCTCGACCGGTGGCAGTATTCTCGAGACCCTGTGATTTGACTAAGAGATGGCTTGCTGGCAGATCCTCTCATGCGGTTATGGTCTCTCTTTTTGGCCCATCCCGGTGATGGCAAACATTGGTGGCTTGGTTGCGGCGGAGCTTGATGCTCCAGAAAAGGCATATTGGTTCATACCAGTAAGGACTTCACCTACAATGACAGCCATGGCTCTGAGGGAAAGCTAATGCGCTCTTTTGCAAGGCCTGGACTATCTCTATCACCGTATGCTTCATGCTTTGGTAGGTTTCCAGGAGATTCGCCTAGCCTTGGAACCTGATTTGACGAAATTTACCACAGCGGCGCGAACACGGATCTTCTTGGTCGACGTTGGTTCTTGGTTCTTGGAAATCTAGTCAGTGCCACTACTACTCCTTCTCCTCCTTCTCCCCGAGTTGCGCGGTTGTATCTTCAAGCCCATACTGACCGCCTCCCACAGGTTTGTACAGTTGGACACATCGTTACTGCATCCAAAGCCAGTGCAAATGCAGTAATTGCGGGCATGGCAATCGCTGGGTTCGGAGGGGGCAACTGCCAGGCAAGTGAAGTGAAGTGACGCATATACATGCATATATATATGCGTCTTCTGTTGAGGAAGCTGACAAGACCCCACAGATGGCAGCGTTCGCCCTTTCTGAGTTGCTTCCCAACAAATGGAGGCACATTGGAGTCGTTATTGCTGATATCACGACCATCATAGCTGTCATCATTGGTCCCGTCACTGGTCGCTACGGCATTGAAAGCCACACCTGGCAATGGAACTTCTGGGCGGCTGCCATCGCCCAGTTCCTATCCTTCTTGGGTTTATACTTCCTCTACTACCCACCGGCTCATCCGTGAGTGGCAGTCCCTTTCTTCACCCATTCATTGAGGGCTAACATGATTGTAAGATATGGTATTCCGTTCAGACAGATGATCAAGGAAATCGACTATGTCGGTGAGTTTTTGCGCCTGCTTTTTGTCAAATAAACCATCTCGAATCGCTAACAGCATCATATCAGGTGGCTTCCTCTTCATTGCCGGTGCCGTTCCTGTGCTTATGGGAATCGTCTGGACCACCATCTATCCTTCCAACAGCGCCTATGTCGTTGCCCCGCTGGTCGTAGGATTCGCGTTTCTTGTCGCCTTCGCTTGCTGGGAGAGGTTCGCAAATATCAGCCATCCTCTTACACCTACCTATGTCTTCACGTCATCCTATGGACGAGACCTGACTGCGCCTTGCATTGCACTGGGCGTGGTGAACATGTTTTACTATTCGAGCAGTATCCTGTGGCCCACGATGATCAATGCACTCTACACCAATGGTGGGACCGATTGGAAGTATGGCATTGTACTTTCGCTCCCGCAAGGTCTTGCTATTTTGACTGGCGCCGGAAGCCTGTCAATGTTTGGCAGTTACATCAAACACTGGCAGTGGCAACTGACTGGCTCGGTTTTTGTCATGGTTCTATTTGGATCACTCCTTGCCCTGGTCAGCACCCACAATAAAGGATTGATGCTGGGGTTCGTTTTCCTTTCCCAAGCCGGCTACGGATGGGCCATCTATCTTGCCATCGCCGTCAGTCAGATGGGTGTAGAGCACAAAGATCTAGGGATAAGTGGTGGCATCTCCGGCGTGGCTCGTTTTGCGGCTGGCTCAAGTAGGCCTTACTCCTCCAGAAACTTGACTTGGAATTTTGCTGACAATGATTCAGTTGGTGCAGCGGTATACACGACGATCTTGACGAACACTACCAAAACTTGGATAGGAAAGCTTGTCCCTACAGCTGCGCTTGGGGCTGGTCTGCGGGATTCTCAGCTTAGCGAATTGACGCAATCAATTGGTACTCCAGCATTAGCCAAAAATTTCAGCCCCAGAGTCGTGGCCGCTGTGTCGGGAGCATTAGCTGAAGCCAATGTACACGGCATCAGGTTCGTTTCCTCTCCAGTTAGATTTCCCTTCCAGATACTGATATTAGCACGCAGAACGGTTGCCTTTGCCTCGATGGCCTTTGGCATTGTGGGACTTATTGCCTCCGCCCTGTGCAAAGATGTCGATTCCAAAATGAATAACAAGGTAAGGCATCTACCCAACACAGCAGGATGTGATTGACTTATTCATATCGTAGATTGAGGTTTATCTCGAGAATACGGACATGGCATCTCGAAATGCCCATCACTAAGCGGCCGAGCAGAGATTGTCGGATAGTCTTCTGGACCGCTCGAGATTCAACATAAAGCCGACCTTCCGAATTAGCCTACTGCGTATCCTCGTGTTTGGGGCAATGCTCGAGCTGTTTCATATTGTCAAACCTCGAGAGATGCTCTACCAAGACTAGATCGAGTAGAATAGAGAGAATTGATGTGATCGATCTTGTAATAAGTGGCATGTGGGCAATCTAGCCCCAGAGTGGTATCATGCGTTACGTCCATCATTGCTCAGCCATGCTTGTGTAGTCGACAGCTGGTGGAAACCCGGAGCAAGTGATCACTGATAGCGTCTTTCTTGACCCCAGGAAACAACAATGACCCTAAACCTGGTCGGCCCGTCCTCCATATTATTCCTGAAGGCTCTCCGTATTGGGCCCGGTGGAGGAGGAGATCGGAGCTACGCATTACGTGGATAAGCTCCCGATGGGACACCCAAGCTCTCGCCATCGCCTTGGCCATACACGTATTGGGTTACCGGAGTAGACACGCAATTGATTTGCTTTAACCTCGGTATTCATCTTCCATACCTCCCCGAATTTCCCCTCATACAAACACTGACATGTACAATTCTGACAACTTTGCTACTTGAGTGATCCCTGCCAGGGTTCGCCTGTGTGGTTTGCTGGAATTTGTTCGTCTAACAACAGCGTTAAGGCAGGCCATGTTGTTCAAGGGTGAGAATCTCGGTACTCGTGAGTGTTATTCCAAGTGTAGATTTTTGGCAATTTTTTCAAGACCTGACAATTTGATTACATAGCGGTACCCACCGACGTATCGATCTGGCAATGGCTTTTCGACAACAGCGCACCGAACTGCAAGTTCAATCGACACCAGACCGGTGGTTTTCGTGATGCGAATACAGGAGAGTTCATCTCTTTTGTCGACCTCAGGGCCCTGGCGATCACCCTGTCCACCTCGTTGGCGGCAAAGTATGGCATTCGCCCCGGTAGCCACGTCACGATTTTCTGCAGCAACAGCATCTGGTACCCCGTGTTGACGTTTGCCATTGTTCGCCTGGGCGCCATCGTCACGGGCTCGTCCCCGGAATATGGCGTTGAGGAAATGGCCTACATCCTCAAAGCCAGTGAAAGTGAAATGGTATTCGCCGACAACGGGTCGTGGGTTACTGTCTGCAAAGCTGCCCGCGAAGTCGGCCTCGGTAGCGATCGAATCATCCTGATGGGTAATCAAAGTGAAGTCCGAGGCCAGAGTGGTAAGACTTCGATCCACGACCTGATCGTAGAGGCCAAGAGGAAAGGAGAGTACGGCCAGATTGAGGCATGGGTTGTTCCGAAGGGGCGATCGAATAAAAAAGTTCCTAGCTTTTTGTCCTTCACCAGTGGGACGACCAGTGCACCCAAGGGCGTAAGTTTCTTACAAAACTCATCGCGACGCAGGGAGTGTGTGTGAGAGAGATGAGTGCTGACTAGTCGTATGATAGGTCATGATATCTCATCACAATGTCATTGCCCAGATGATGCAGATGCGAGCTGGTACGCCTGAGGACTGTCCGAAAGTCCTACTCGGTGTTCTACCACTCTATCACAGTCAGTTTCCTGTGTCCTCAAATCCGCTCACAGTAGCACTTGAGAAAAGAAAAACTAATTCTTGTGGGTGACTAGTTACCGGCATTGTTCAAATCCTTCAATTGCCATTGATCATCAACCAACAGGTCGTAATGATGCCCAAATTCAACTTGAAGGACATGATCAATGTCATATACAAGTATAAATGCGATGAATTGTGGCTGGTTCCGCGTAAGTTGCTCAGCCAAAACAAGGAAAACAAGCTGGTCCAACAGTCGTTTGCTTACACACAATTTTATATACAGCTCTATTGATCCGACTAGTGAACGACCCTGTAGCGGCCAACTACAATCTGGAACATGTACAACAGTTCAACACGGGTGCGGCACCACTTGCCAAAGAAATCATTGACAAGCTGGCCGTGCGATTTGGCCACATCCGGATTAGGCAAGCTTGGGGCATGACGGAGAGTACCTCGGCCATAACGCTGACCCCACCCGGCCAGCAGACGTACGACAATGCTCATACGGTCGGGAAAGTCGTGGCAGATACTGTGATCAAGATTATCGATCCCGAGTACGAAGGAAAAGGGGAAAAGGTATTCGGCGTCGGTCAAAGCGGCGAGGTTCTGGCGAAAGGACCTCAGATCACCATGGGTTACTATAATCGCGCCGAGGCCACCGCCGAGACGTACGACTCTGAAGGGTTTCTACACACGGGAGACATAGGGTTTGTGCGTGAAGATGGCTTCTTGACCATCCACGACCGACTCAAGGAGATGATCAAGGTGAAAGGCGTCGGGGTTGCCCCTGCTGAACTTGAAGATCTCCTCTTGGGCCATCCCTTGGTTTCTGATGTAGCCGTCATCGGCATCCCCGACGACTATGCCGGTGAGGTTCCCAAGGCATTCGTCACACTAGCAGACCCGTCCAAAGCCGGCCCGGATACGTTACGTACTCTCACCGACTTTGTGAAGCAAAAGAAGTCTCGGCCGAAATGGTTGGCAGGCGGCATCGAGTTTGTGGACTCGGTGCCGAAGAGTGCCAGTGGAAAAGTGTTGAGGCGTGTGTTGAGAGACTTGGAGAAGCAAAGGGCAGCAGCGAACAAAACAAAGGCGAAGCTATAAATAGAAAGAGTAATGAACTCGTTCGCAGGGGTGTTTTGGTACCAATGTTAGCAAACCATTAGACAAGGAAGATATACTACTGGAGAAGATTATTGGCTAGATCGAGTATTCCAGAGGAAGATATTTAGGAGAGACATTAAAGTGCAGTTCATCACGACAGTGGCACTGCTTTAGATCTTTTCCAAGGCTTGTGTCTCATTTCAAGGATTGAGAAAGCCGGATATCGTCAATGGGCATTGTGCACATCGTCGGCGTATTCGAGAAGTACAGTTCGCCCTTGGGCTATATTCAATATCCCTAGAATACGACTGCCATCCTAGATTTTGACTTGCCGCTCTGCATCATATCTATCATCTCGTGAATCTGGTCAAGCTTGTAGATGTCGACTCTGGGCTTGATGTCGTGCTTCGAAATGAACTCCAGGGCCCGTGGCATCTGTTGCGGAGGTCCTGTACTCTCACTTCTGATCTGGTAAAGCTTCTTCATGAGATCCAAGGCGGAAAACTGGAGAGGCTTCGACGGCAATCCGATCACCATCAAAATCCCACCGATGCGTAGGATCTTGGTGGCGCTGTCATAAGCGGCCTGGGCGGCACTGAAGACGACAGCCGCGTCCACACCACCACCGGTCACGTCTCTGACTTGTTTCTCAAAGTCGGGACCCTTGCTGTTGACCGCAACGTCCACACCACTCTCCTCTTTGGCAGCTTTCAACACCTCATCGTTGATATCGATCCCGATGACTTTGAGTCCCATCGCTTTGGCGAAACGGATACCCATTTGGCCCAATCCTCCACAACCTACTATGGCGATCCACTGCCCGGGCTTCAAGTGACAAGAGTCGACACCATGGAATGCTGTTTGTGCTCTTTTTTCGTTAGCTTCTGTTTTTCATACGGGGTAAATACTGGCAACCAAGAGCTAATAATGGCAGACTGACCTGTGATGCCTGCGCAGAAATATGGCGCCGAGGTTTCCATGGAGAGATCATCCGGGAGTATGATGGCGTTTCTAGAATCCACAGCCGCATATTCGGCGAAGAAGCCGTCTGTTTGAAAGCCTTGAATTTTGGCCGTTCCCAAGTGACAGTTGAGGTTATGTACTAAACATCCTTCGCATTCGACTGATTAAATGGTAGGCAGTCAGTCAGTCCAAGCTCTCGATCAGAAAATGTTCTTCTCTCTCATTTTTGAGCCGTGATGGGAGGCTCTATCACTCACAGCAAACGTCTTTGATGTAAAGAAAACCTAGTCTGTCACCCTTCTTGAAACCTTTTACGTTGGGGCCAATTTCCTCCGCGAAGCCAACTCCCTCGTGGCCCATCACCACAGGTTCGGTGGCGGGGATCGATCCTTCGAACAGCATGAGGTCCGAGTGGCAGAGACCTGCCGACGCAATCTTGACCAATATCTCATGGTCCTTGATGGTCGGCACCGGAATGTTGTCGATCGTGCAGGTGTTTGTCTCCTTTCTCACCCCATGTTAGAAGATCATCTCTGTACACCTATTGAAGAAAAGACATTCAACTGACAGGGTGATACCGAGCTGCCCTCATTGTAGAAGTTGCCATGTTGTTCCTTTCGACAATATTATAGGGTTCACTCTCTTGGGTCGAACTAATACACTGTGGTCTCTAGGCTGTGCCTGAGACGAACTCTGTTTCTGGTCGGCCTATGCTTTATAACCCGGTATTTTTCTATGATATCAATTCATTTCATGCATGAGGTCAAGTTACAGCTTCTATTAAACGATTTGTCTGGGGCTTGAGGTCGCTCTCGACCAGGATCCTAGGATTGGAGTTGATTGTCGCGGTATTCCCGAGTTGTGGAGTCTTCAACCCCGGAGATCGAGCACCGAGTTTTGCGGGGGACTGTCTGGGGCTATAACCCCCAAAGGGACCGAGGAACATCAGGAGGTTGATTGGGGACTTCAGGAGATAAACGCTTATTCACGACAGTCGCGGTTGGAGATTCAATACACATTCATTCTCTCTAGCCATATATTCATAGTGTACAATGCACTCGTTGTCTCGTTATTCTCTTTAGAAGAATGTTACGATGTTCATTGGCTCCGTCTCCCATCTCTCAACTATTCATTCTTTGACATCGCCAAATCCTTTCACGCTCTTGAACCCCCGGATATTGACGCGTTTGGCATTTCCAAAGACACGGTGTGTGTTGGGGCTGGCATCAGCCTCCCGCAACTCCGGTCCGTCGAGAGCATCAAAATGGTCCCATTCATGGACGGCCATGAATCTCGGCGCCTCTGATGATGAGTCGTCGTGGCCCTTGATCAGTTCGTACCTTTGAGATCGCCGGTACCCAGGAACTCTATTCAGCATATGCAGATGCTCCTCATGGTAAAATTTGTTGTAATCATCGGCATCAGCAGGCTCGTTTTGAACGTTCAGGATGAACGGTGGAAGCACTATATAAGTATCTGTATTCAGCTAGCCGATCGGCAGAAAGAATAGAGCGAGAGCCTCCGCCTGCAACGCATTTGCTTTAATTTTAAAAACTCACCATGACTAATTCCTTTGGGATCAAAATCTTCAATGACTTCATAAACTCTGATATCCGACACTGTGTCGTGGCTGGGATCATCCCTTGTCAGGTCACTGAGACTGAAAATCTCCTGTAGCGAGTCTATGGAGTCGAGTTGACACATTGCTAGACAGGTCTTGTCGTTAGGAGGCTCGAGATCAGAGTGTGCCAGTTCCACGCTATGCAGTTGTGTTTGATTCCCCTCCAGTGGTGTCTTGGTCTTCAGCTCGAAGTCATTATATGCATGGTAAAAGCAAGCACGGGAAGCTGGAATCTTGGTCAATAAGGAAGGTAGTCCCTCCGAGGTGTACCATTCACTCCAAGCCTCGACGTTGCCATCAACAGGCTTCGATAAGATGCGTAGCAAGAATGGTGACGACGCCATCACTTTACTGTGTCCGAGTGTTGAGTTTATTCAGTTTGTATGCCGGATATGATCTGCATAAAAGAAGTCGATGAAACACAGACCTTTTCCCAGAATAGATTACGCATAGAATGCAATCCTCCACCCTTTTATCGTTTCCATCTTCTTCGTCGTTCATGGAGCCCCGCCGAAAGAGCTCGGAGACTGATTCTCCGGAGAGCCTTCAAAGCATTCGGGGTCTTACGCTATCGCTGCTTGGGTGACATGAGTAGTTGGATCATATTGAGATGCGGCTGTGTCCTTTCGGACTCTCTATTTCCCGACCAATCTGTAGCAACTATCCTGAGCGCCAATATGTTCAGGGTTGTCAAGATGAGTATGCAACTTCTCCAAAACTTCGAGGCGTATATCATGTGGGTCGGCCGATCTGCGCATCCACTACAGAAAGCATTCATCATGAACATATTGGTTATACACACCTTGCTCATGCTTGCCATTCATTATAGGTCTACCATCGTGGTGACTTGAGGATCGCGGGGCTTCCAATGAGGAGCAGCAACGGTGCGATAGTGTGCAATTTTAAGAGCAAGCGCCACTGGACAGTGGAATTATCCTCATAATAAATCCTGAAGCCAGCCCAACCAGAAGCAGCTTTGGAAATCAAGCTAGTAATGTTTATGTTGTGAAAAAGCTCGCCGTGGCTCCGGATAGATGCTGAAGACGTGCGATCCTTCGATCCGGCCCTTCTGCGCCGGGAGTGATATCTAAAAGATTAAGCTCAGGCCGTTGAGGAACCTTTCGGCAAGGAACATAAGAACTTGGACGAAACCTGCTTAAATCGCGCTGGGGTGGATGCAGACAACACCAACACCTTGGACTACATCTTTCTACCTAGCGTATCGAGCAAGCAGAAGGCTTTCCGGCATCCGATGCAACTGCGGTTTGTGAAAACGCTGTTGCCGCGCGCCCAGAATGCTGCTGCCATAGCTGCGTCGAAGCTCGTTTAAGTTCCAGTATCTGGGGAAGATGGTATCACCACGGAGAACATATTCCGTTCTCATACCACCGCCAGGTTCTTATCGGGCATACACAGGCTGAGCACAAGCCGTGGGCTCCTGTCGGAGCTGGGCACAGGAGTTACCGGCGAGGAAAATACCGCGGCCGGAGAACAGTTTTGAAAAAGGTTTGTCAGAAAAGGTGTGTCAATATCCGAGACCCTCGGTACGGGAGTGACAGGTTGTGGGTCACCCAACTTCACCCTTCACCCATCACCCCCCCCAAAAAGTGGTAGACATCGGACTTTGTCAGCGGGTGCGAATACTACAACACTCATTTCGCGAAAAGTGTGTGGTTATAGACATACCCTCCACAGAGAATAGGGTGATATTTGTAGCGAGGTTTCTGACAACAATCATGGTGCAACTCGCTCCTAGTGGTCCTGAGTGGAAAGGACCTCTTCCCACAAATGGTCATCTCTCTGAGATCGATTCTGAGTTCGCCAAGTTCAGAGAAGAGATCGACAAGAATTTCACAGCACTATGGGACCTTCCCATGGATGAGTTCAAAGCCGCTTGGTTGAGCTCTCCGGTCCCATTACCGGACAATGCTCCCCAGCCTGGACGAGACTATGAGGTGCTCGACCAAGAAGCTCCAGTGCGAGATGGTACGAAGATCGGTATTAAGATCTACCGGCCCTTGAAGACCGAACCTGGCACGACTCTGGTCGTAAAAGCACACGGCGGAGGTCAGTTAAATGAAAAATTTCAAGTCTGAGACTTTGGCCGGAGCTGACTGTGAACCCAGGTTGGGTAGTTGGTGGTCACGAGGTGGAAGAGGTCGAAAACCGCTTCCTGGCTGCCAAAGCTGGCGCGGTCGTCGTCAGTGTTGATTATCGTATGGCTCCGGAATTCAAGTATCCTTATGCCATCAATGATTGCTTTGACGTCCTTCAATGGGTATATCAAAACACAAAGTCGACCTTTTTCAATTATGCATGATACTGAGACTGACAGTGCAAACGCAACGCAAACGAGTTAAGTATTGATCCAGAACGGATCATCGTCGCAGGAGGCAGTGCAGGTGGTAACATCGTGAGTTTATGACCGGCCCACGAGGCGTTTGCGACTTGTATCTGACGTTTCATTGTCAGGCGGCCGTTCTGGCACAGAAGACGAGAGACGAAAAAGTATCAGGAGTCGTCGGCCAGATCCTAAACATCCCTGTAACTTGCCATCCAAAGTTCTTTCCGTCCGATCGATATCCTGGAGGCAGCTACCAGCAAAACAAAGATGCCAGTATCGTCGACGCCCCGAAGATGTTTTGGTTCTGGGAACAATATATGCCTGATCCGATTCCGGAAGCCTATGCCAGTCCCTTGCTGGCAAATGATCTCAGTGGACTGCCACCAGCGTGTAAGTGGAGCACCCCTCGTAATGTCTGATGAGTTCACTTTGAGATGGGAATCAACCTGACATATTGGTTTCTCTGTGTAGTGGTACAAGTTGCCGGGCTAGATCCCCTTCGCGATGAGGGTCTGGCATATGCAGAAGCTCTGAAGGCGGCCAAAGTCCCCGTCACTCTTCGAACATATAAAGGACTACCCCATGGGTTCTATATGCTCCCTCAGCTGAAGCAGAGTTCCGAGTACTGGATGAACTCTGTTGACTTTGTACTCAGCCTGAGCAAGAAGTAAGCGAGGACAGCAGAGTGCCGATCAAACTAAGACCACTTAAATCGTAGATCAGCAAATCATCATATTTTGATCATCACTCTGAACGCAGCCCGAAGCTTCTACCCTCAAGTCTTAGCCCACTTTCCTCTTTATCAGAACAAGAGGACTATTTTCGAAGTTTCATGTCCTGCCATTCTTCGCACTTCCGGGCTCTACCTACATATACCCTGTCAGCTGTGCATTCAAATTGGGGTTGGCCTGACTGAACCCAGTCGAGCCGCACATTGAATTTCAGCATTTAATCTCGGTACTTCAAGGTGGTCCAATATTCCTCCCTTGAGGTCGGGCTCTTGACTTGTCTCGGGATTCATATGTCATTCTGAGGCTAGGACTATCAATGACTTGATGGTGATACCCAACGTGCTAGGGACACATTAATCGCGCTACAAATGCCGCATCAATTACGGCGTTTCCCCCCAAACGCCGTCACATTTCCCATGTTTCTTTCTGGCGTATGATGTGACCCAGTCATCTTCTGCTCATGACCTCGTGTGCTTCCAGAAGCCGAAGGTAGACACCTGGGAATAATGGTCAATACCAGCAACGATGAATAGATATCCGGAGAAGAGTTTACCTGCGGCGTTCCATCTGACCTCGATATTTCGGAACACCTCTTTCAAGCTGTCGACGATCTGCAAGGCGTATGCTTCTTTCTGGTCGGAACACGCATAGTACACACAGATCCGGTAGCCGAAAAATAGTCCCCACGGCGAAACGCTCTCCGGGTCACGGCCGACCAAGCATTGTTGCTCAAGTAGACTTGTTCTGATCGTGTGCGTAATGCCTTCCACGACAAATCTGGCACGCTGGGAACGTATTCCATCCTTCAGTGACAGATAAGGTTCGTGGAGGGCCACGAGGGCGCTACAATGTCTCTGCATTAGCACTGCTCTTTCCGCTGGAGCGATAAAGGGTGACTTGCTTGTAGATGAAAGTGATTTGGTCGTAGTCGGGCGAGTCGAAGTCAAGTGCAGCTGTGAGCATCGATTCCAACGTTCGGTCTAGCTGCATCCAGGTGTCATCGCCGTGATCATGTTCGGGAGTCCTGTTCGAGAGTTGGTGAAGGACCTGACCTAGTAATCGGGCGGCTTGACACAACAATGCAAATTTGCTCATATGGTTGGTCGTTGGCGATGAAATCTTGTGTGAATCAATATTCGCCACAATCTGGACACTGTGTGAGAGAAAGGGATACCGCTCAGATGATCGTCGACCTACCCCTTGGTCCCATTGTGCATCGTCTGCGGGCAAGAGGTCATCCAGCGTGGGCTCTCTAGTCGCAAGAGGTCGGCCAGGGCAGCCAATACTTACGAAACTAACAGCTTCCATCAGTATTTTGCATGGTTCGCAATCAAATCATATCTTTCTTCTCAGGAGGGAGCACCAACCGATCTAATATTACAATCGCCCACCAAACCCTCCTCCTCTCCTCGACTTCAATCAACGTAAACACACTGCTAAATCTCGTTATTCTATCGACATTGATACCCAGAGCGTGTGCATAGCGAGCACAAGCACTAATGGACAGAAATGCTATTGGGTATATACCATGCCTAATCTCATACAATGCCAAGAGCACCCCAGCCTGTAGCACAGCTATAGAAGCGACTTGGGAGCTTTCAACGTCAAGGTAGAAGTGCTTCGCAGCCCGATAAAGAGGCGTTTTGGGGTTTCTCGGATGAACTGGAGGAGGGGTTGTAATCAGTTTGAGAGACAGCAGAAGAATGGCGACCTCTGGCCGAGATCGAGTCGACGGACGCAGGTAGGTATCAAGGAAGCGTTGTCTAGAGATAAATGGCATCCAGAAATTTATATGGTCGAAGTATCGTGAAGCGGCAGAGTTAATCTCTTTAGTGTCTCCCACAAGTCGCGTGATATGGTCTGGGATAGGTATGCTGGTCGAATGGTATTGGACCTGTCCATACTGGAAGATGCTCGGATCCAAAAAGGAGATTGTTTGGAAGTCGAGTGTTTCGATATCTGCTTCATCGTCGTTGACTAAGAGAGTATAAGGCAATATCCCTGCCACATCTGCAGAGGCCAAATTGTAGTTATCGCTTGTCGTTGGGTATTTGCATGTCAGGTGTCTCCTATGTTGTCCGAAGTTAGTCCTGTCCCATCGGAGCTCGAGCCTGGAAACGGAAGAGGACTGTCTGACAATATGTCGGAGTTGGCATCTACGGATTGCAGGATTGGACAGTAATCGATCAGCAGCAGCTCACTTGGAACAAGAGTAGCACTTGGGAAGTGCTTTGTTGCATTTACGCTTCCGTTTCTGACAAGACGTGCATGCCCGCTCCGCCACGGCTGAAGTGGGCTCACTCGACGACTGCATGATGCAGAGAGTCGTTGTTGAAAATCGTGGTCTTGATGATTGGAGTACCAGTGGTTATCGAAACGGCGGGCTTTGTTTGATTAGAGGAGGACGGACGGAATGTGACAAAAAGTCTCGGAAAATGGGCGGCCGCAGTTGCGGCCGTGGACGCGCCTGACCCGCTTTTCTTGACGCATAACTTGTATCTATCTGTGCTAGATGAGGCTCCATGAGCTACAATGTCAACTCTTCGAGACTGTCACTCTAGACCTAGATTCACTCTCCAGACTCTCTAGAGGAGCGCCTCCCTTCTATGGTGAATGTGGAACATGCACCATGGACTCTGAACGGGCGTGGCCGGGGTATTCCTGTATAAATATCTGATATCTGCCCTCTGATAATTCTGCGATGCTATCAACTCATCTTCTTTCGGTCTTTCTTTGACTTAAGTATCTCTGTTGTCTTAGTCGTTCCAACATGGGTGCGTACAAGGACGCACATACAAACCCTCAGGGGCCCGGAGATGGACGTCCAACAGCCATGCAGATCATCCGTGATCAGTCTCTTGAGGGCAAACTGAAAGGCAAGGTGATTGTCATCACCGGAGCCAACTCGGGCATTGGTCTTGAAACGGCACACGCCCTATCTGCGACTGGCGCGACGTTATATCTGACCGGGCGCGACATGCAGCGCGCGGAAGCCGCTATCGGCGATATTCTAGAGCATGATCGTGTCTCACTTGTCAAAATGGACAATACCTCATCTGCTAGCATTCGAGCAGCGGCAGCGGAGATCCTTGAGAAGTGTCAAGGGAAAATCAACATTCTTATCGAAAACGCTGGGGTGATGGGGATCGAGACTCTCACCTTGACCCCGGAAGGACATGAGACGCTCTTCGCAACAAACCACCTGGGTCACTTCCTGCTCTTCCAACTTCTGAAGGATGCATTGCTGGCCAGCTCGACCCCGGCTTTCCACTCCCGAGTGGTTGTCGTCGCATCGTCGGCCCACCGGGCGGCCGGGGATCTTCACGACAGCGACAACTATAGCTTCCAAAAGGGTGGGTATAACCATGGCCTCGCATATGCCCAATCGAAACTAGCCAACGTATACATGGCCAATGAGCTCGAGCGCCGCTACGGTGGTCGAGGACTGCACGCTACAAGCCTTCACCCAGGCGCAATCGACACGAATCTGTCCAGACACCTGGACAGGGAAGTTGTGGAGCAGATCAGGAGTCTTGAGAAGGTCGCCAAAGTCATGAAGAGCCCGGAGCAAGGCGCTGCTACCACCGTTGTCGCTGCGGTGGGGAGAGAATGGGAGGATAAAGGAGGTAAGTATCTGGAAGACTGCGAAGAAGCCAAGCGCGGGGAGGATGACGGTGACGTCTTTGGGATCGGTTTCGTTCGCCAGACGTATGACCCAAATGATGAACTACGGCTGTGGAAAGATTCACTTGATATGATTGGAATGAAGGACGACGTTTGGAGGTGACAAAGGTGCCCACAGGAGAATTCAGCTGCTCAACCAGATCCGGGAGTTGGGAGATGATGAAGCGCTGTCGAGCCTCTAGCGAACTGGTCAAGCAACTCGGGCGTCAAACCCCCCGGGTTTTGCTTTATATTTGAGTGCTTAACAGCATAAGCAAAAAGGCAAGGAACACACAAAGCCTCTCAGGTTTTCTATACCAATACAAAGCCTTTGTATCCTGCATCAACCGACTCCTGACATTTTTGCTTATACAAAGGCATACCAGCCATATAATTCAAGGCCTCACGGGGTTTTCCCGGGATGTTATCTCCAAAGTACCAGCTGTGGGCTTCCTTGAAGAGGCCCTGCTCGGCCCCTTCGTTCACGTGGTCTCGCCATTCCTTCTCCGCCGCCTCCGTCACGTTGATACTCTTGTAGTTGTTCTCGGTGATGTATTTGATGCAGTTGACGATCCAAGCACCTTGGGCCTCGGCCGAGACCGGACCCGTGGCGAACGCAGTCGGGGCTTGGGGTCCGTACATGAAGAACATGTTGGGAAACCCCCTAATCGTCATTCCCAGGTTAGTGTAGACGCCGTTTGCGAATTTGTCCTTGACGGACTGATTGTTGACGCCGCGGATGTCGATCTGAGTCAGACCACCGGTGACAAAGTCGAAGCCCGTCGCCAAAACCAGAACGTCAAACTCGTGGACCTCGCCGTCTTCCGTCTTGAAACCTTCGGCGACGAACTCCTGGATGGGAGTCTCGCGGGTGTAGACGATGTCGACATTGTCTTGGTCCAAGATTTCAAAATAATTCTGCTCGAGACTGATTCTCTTTGTGCCAAAAGGGTCGAGTTGTTTCTCAGGGGCCAACTTCCTGGCCTTGTGGGGGTTCTTTATGCGTTTGAGCGTCTTTTCACGCCAAAACTGGTACGCCTCTTCGTTTGCAACCTTGTCCGCCAGGACATCGCCGTAGGTACCGAGCCAAAAGTGAAGTCCTCCGGTCGTAAATAGTTCCTCGTAGAGTTCACGGCGCTTTTCCAACGGAAGATCCATGATCTTCCCAGGCCGGAAGTCGTACGTGAAACCGGCGTACGTCGTGGTTTGTTTCTTCTTCCATTCAGGAAGGTTGTCCTTGAAATATTGATTCCTTTGTCCGTCAATGGGATCGTTTCTCATCGGCAAAGCAGTGTTGGGCGTTCTCTGGACCACGGTGAGATGCTTTGCGATTCGTCCAATTTCTTGGATCGCCTGTACTCCAGTCGCCCCAGTTCCGATGATGCAGACACGTTCACCGGCAAAGTTGACACCGCCCACAGGCCAGTGACCCGAGTGGTAGATCTTGCCTTTGAATGTATCGAAACCGGGGAATGGCGGCGTGTATGATTTGGCGGCAAACCCCGTACAAGGACAGAAGAACTTGCACTTGTACACGTCGTACTGGTCGTCATTGACCTCAATCTTCCACTGGCTTTGAGACTCGTCCCAATGTGCCGAGGTTACTCGAGTATCCCACCTGATGTCTGAACGAAGGTCCCAAACATCTACAACATGTTCGAAGTAAGTAGCGAGCTCGTCTCGATCAGGGAAGCGCTGCTTCCACTGCCACGTCGACCATGTGGCCGGGTCGGAGTAAGCGTATTGTGGAACTTCAGTATCGACGCGAGCGCCAGGGTAACGGTTCCAATTCCTATATTTGCGGGACGTTAGATTACACAACAGCAAAGGACGGACGTCGACTCTAAACCGGGGTGTAATGACATACCAAATGCCACCGGGACCATCACCGGCCTCTATTATTTTTGCAGAGAATCCTGCTTTGCGGAGTTCATGCAATAGGTAGAGACCACTGAAGCCAGCGCCAATGACAATGGCATCGTAGGTTTTCTCCTCGATGGAACCCATGATGATCAAAGAGTCGCAAATGCTCTTTGAAAAAACCACTTGCTGTTAAAGAATTGATTTAGAGAGCATTCCTGGTTGAATGAAGGTGCCAGAGAACAGGATATATCTTCTACGGTTGGAAGCTTATGCTATACTGGTTGTCACCCGCATTTCGGACCTTGAACACCGACACTTCTCTGGAGGCTCAAGGCAATAAGTGTGGAGAGGGGTTCGAAAATGATAGCCGGAGCCTCGTGACAGAGAGTGTACTTACTAGAGGTGTGGATGGTGATATAACCCCGAAAAGGCTGAGAGAGTCTAACCTCGGGTATCAGTAAGATCTGGAGCGGAGTGACCTATTCTGTCGACCGATATTAGTGTTCTCGAGTTCTTCTAGGATCGAACGTCTTTGTGTGAGATTCGGGGCCTTGTCATCGTAGCCTTTGACAACTGCGTTGAAATGAAGGGTATGAGAAGGTGAACGGGACAGGATCAGCGCCGATCCCTCGACTCAGCTCTTCTTTACTGATGATCTACACATGGTTCTATGTCACTGCTTAGATCGCGATGAAACCCTAATACAGATCTATTATCGCCGTTTAATTGACATGGATGAGTGTAAGCATGAGCGCATCATGATCACGAGACATGGTATGGAACACGGTCAGGACAAACGTCAATCTCGAGTTTTACTCTCTGATATGGTGGATCCTTCTGTTTGGATTAAACCTTTGAATGTTCCAAGTTCTGGGTGTCTCTGCACCATCGTTGTCGGAATGCATAGAAGCTTCGGACCTAGGCGTGTACTCTTGTATGTCTCCTGACTCTGCCAGCTGATAGGAGAAAGTAGGTTTACCAATGTTGGAGCTTTCGTGTTACTCAGTGCCAGGTGGAGTGTGAACGTTGAAGAACAGCAGCTCGGAATTACATGTCCGAGCATCTAGCCCAACCCCAATCAACCACTATCATCAAAATACGAGCACCTCACCTGATTCCTGATATTGTAGCCTATTTCGATTTGGAGGCCAGGCTGAACCTTGTCCAATTGCCCTACGAGATCAGATCGAGGCTTTCCAATAGGTCAGAATCTCATTATCTCACAGCTTCACCATGGCACAATCAAATCCCCCAGGCTCAATACCAGCTGTACTCGAGCGGTTCCTCGTAACTGGCAAGACTGTGGTCGTCACTGGTGGTGCACGGGGGCTAGGTTTCGCTTTTTCCAAAGGGCTCGCCCAAGCAGGAGCCAATATCGCGGTGATCGATAGGGACGAAGCTGCTCCTCCATACTTTGACCAGCTCTCCCAGGCCGGTGGTCAGCACAAGTATTACAAAGCCGATGTCACGGACTACGAAGGGCTAAAGGCCACAATTGACCGAATCAGTAAAGACTTTGGGTCCATCAACGGATGGTGAGCACGTATTATCGCATTTCTTTTTCTATTGGTATGGTTGAATAACTGAAAAGAGGACAGTATTCCAGCAGCAGGGATTATCCGTGATACACCATTCCTCCAACATTCTCCGAAAGATTTTGAGGATACGATGGCTGTAAATGTAGGAATGGCGAATGCTCTCCTCAGTTTCAGGCCAATTTCTGATTGTCCTTCTCTCTCTCTCTCTTTCCACTAACAGCCTCCTGTTCCCTCTAGGTAAATGGTGTCTTCTATACATTGCAATTATGTTGTGCCAAAATGGTCGAGCAAGGGCAGGGAGGCAGCGTCGTCTGTATCGCATCGACCGCGGGCCACAGGTCGCTGTTCCCTCAGACCATTACCGCATATACTGCTTCGAAGTACGCTGTCCGTGGCCTTGTTAAGCAAGTAGCGGCGGAGATGGCGCAACATAAGATCCGTGTTAACTCGATCAGTCCGGGGTAAGTTTGAGTCGACGAAATCAGAGCAGGCAGAAACACGATTCCTGTATGCTAATTCCAAACACAGCGTTATCCTAACGGACATGCTAGAGTCTGTTATGCAGGCAGAGCCTACCAGGAGAGCTCTCTTCGAAGGAAGCAACGTGATGGAGCGCCTGGGAAAAGCAGATGAGCTTGTCGGTATGGTCTTGTGTCTAATGAGTGATGCTAGTCCATTTACAACAGGTCAAGATTTCTTGGTCGATGGGGGACAGATCTAAAGTGGATCAATAAACTCGTCATGGATGTGATGACCTATCTTGCTCAAGAGGTATTTGTCGCTCAAAGGCAATCTGGGGTGTATTCTGATTTTTGCAGAATTGTGTGAGGTCTACAAAGTTCAATATATGTCAATATTACTCGTAGACATGGGCAAAGGCAATAGATCAGCTCCTGCGAGAATATCTAGATCAACACATGGCCTTGCCTTTCATATGACTCTGTATCTCAACCGAATGCCCCTGGAACTAGCACTACAATTTCGAGGACAATCATGTATTTCCAGTATTGGACCTTGTAATTTCAACTTTCTAGACTTTTTGGCATTCGAAAGCCCAGGCAGAGTCGTGTTGGGCCATTGGAGGTTGAAAGCCGGAAATGGACCTCCGACCTCCTTTCTCCATAAATCCAGTCTCTCGGCTGATCTCTGTTGGTGCCGAGCACAACGCCCGCAATAGCCTGCTCACCAGCGTGGAAGGGAACTGGTTGGTCTAAAAGATTGATTGTTATCAGTAGCACCCTTGCGCTCCCTCCATACTATTGACTCCGCCGCTTCGCAAAATCGGACAAATATCCAAGAGTTTCCAATGGCCACGACAAAGAGGCACGCACTGGTATTCGGGGCGTCTGGAGTGACAGGGTGGGCGGTTGTGAAGCAGTTGTTGCTTGATTATCCAGAAGCCGGGACCTGGAGTGAGGTGACTGCCTTGACCAATAGACCTTTAAGCCTGGAACTTTCACAGTGGCCCAAGGCAGGGAAGCTGAACATTGTGTCGGGTCTGAATCTGCTGGACCCATCTCAAGAGGCATTCAATGGTGCTATCAAGGAAAAGATTCCAAATATAGACACAGTCACCCACGTGTTCTACTATGGTAGGTTTGACACATTCTTGCAAGACATTCAATAGAGCAGTCAGTTCTACCACTTACTGTCCTTTAGCCTACAAAGCCAATCCAAATTTTGACCAGGAGAAAAAGGATGCAGTGGATATGCTGGTGCGAGCAGTGACTGCAGTAGACATGCTCTCCCCTGCCCTCGAATTCGTGGCTTTTCAGACGGGAGCAAAGGTTTGAAAAGTCACTTGAGTGGAGTTTTCGAGGTTCTGAACTGACATATGAATAGATGTACGGCTTTCTTCTGCAGGAAGATCACTATCACCCGGTGCCTCTTAAAGAGTCACTCCCCAGGCTCAAGCCGCCATTCAGTGATCAGCTCTTTTACCATGCCCAGCTCGATTGGCTGGGTTCATATGCCAAAGGGAAATCATGGACTTGGTGTGAGACGAGGCCAGATATTGTGGTGGGTTTCGCCCCAAATCATTCAGCTTATTCGCTTGCTGCGTCTTTGGCCATCTACTTTTCTCTCTGGAAAGTAATCAATGGTCCCGGAAGCGTGGTTCCCTTCCCTGGTACGAACAAGAGCTGGAAGGCAAAGCACAACGAAGCTGGCAGCGAGATGATTGGGAAGTCGACGATTTTCCTGGCTCTGCATCCGGAAATCAGCGGAGGCGGCGAGGCATTTAATGTAGCAACCTCGTCCAAATACTCAACTTGGGAGGAAAAATGGCCCATGTTGTGTGAGTACTTTGGTTTAAAGTCAGCACCACCGAGTGATAATTCCAGAGAGGTTCGAGCCTATATCAATGACAACATGGGACGTTGGAAGGAGCTAGAGCAGAAATATGGTCTCCGCGACGACATTGCTCAGTCGGGAATCACGATGCCCGGTTTCGAGATTCTGCACCTCATCCTGGCCGACTTTGATCGCCAGTATGATATGAGCAAAATCTATCGCGCTGGTTTCAAGGAAGATTATTCGGTCATGGATATCTGGGGCAAAACTTGGGACGAAATGAGAAAGGCCAAGATGATACCGTAAAGGGTGGGGCGTGCTGGGATAAGCAGTTAGCCAAGGCATTTGAAGAGGCCGACATGATACTTATTTGGAACTCAATGATTCTCCAGATGGTCGTTCAAAACCAAGAGATCCTCCGAGTCTGAAGAGTTGAAAAGTGAAGTATTCCCGTGGTCTGATCCTCGTGCCGCTATAATATCTGCCTAAAACAGATTTGGACTAGCCTCATTTGTTCGGCATCTCCAAGTCCGACTCCAAGTCGTGTATCTGCGCCATTCAGGCCGTGGATCAATGCGAAGCATCGACTCTGCTTGAACATCTTGACAAGCTGCCGTCACAGCAGGCTATCCCATCTACCTCGTAACATGCGACTGAATGTGAGACATGACTTCGCCGAGTCAACTGCGGATTGACGTTGGCAGCGATCCTCCAGTCCCTCAAATCGCAGCGCTCTTCCTCGTTAACTTTGACAACCGCAAAGGGTACTTTTCCGCACTCCCACTACGTCTTGCTGAGACTAACTCAGGATTCAGTTACACGCTAGGTTGGCACAAGACAATAGACAACGGTCAGACTCCCCCTTGCAATTGCCTCTTCGCAGGCTGATACCGTTTCCAGTGCAGATTGAAGGCGTCGTCGAGTTCAAGTCACTGCCCTCGGGCTTACACAATGTCGAGGAAGACTTGGTGTGAGTGTTGTGTCATAAGGATCTGAAAGAGACGCTGAAGCCGTGAAAGGTATTTCATTCACGACGATTATGCTGGCCTCAGTGCCTTTGTCAAAAAGCCAGATGAGGAGTCCGAAAGGTCGGCTCGAATGCTAGCTGTGGGTGTACTTGTCCCATTGGAACATGGTCGCATAGGGCGAATTTGGCGCCACGCCATCAGCCTACAACAGCTTGCAAGGTACGACATTAGAAAACCCTTGGCGTCGCAGACTGACCATCTGCAGAGCCCAAATCAATGATTTGAGGGATACTACCCTCCTAGAGGAGTACTGGAACAAACAGAGACTTCAACCAGACGACTCGGCCATTCAATCACCAGTTGAAGCCAACGGCAAACAGTCTAACGGCTACCGAAAAGCTAGGTCAATGAGTGCGGCGACTACATCCATGCCTACTCAACATAGACTCATGCCTCACCATCCCGCTGCTACACTACTCGATGCTCTCAGGACTTTTGGTCCGCTTATATTTCCCGTATATCGTGCTGCGCTGCTGCGAAGGCGTATATTGATAATAACAGATACCCCTGTTGAGTTCTGCTGTAATCTAGGTAAGCATGAGGCAATTGCTACCCCAACAGAAGCTCATATATCATAGTTTATATTATTTCGATCTTATCGTCGGTTTCAAAGTCGCTATTATCGCAATTGCCTTCCTCCGAAGCGCCCGAACCATGGTTGAAGCCTTTGTACACGGTTGGAGTGCTGGACATTCCGGAACTGGAAAAGACCGAGCGCTGGATCGCTTGCACTACAGACGATGTGCTGAGTACCAAGCCGCATTTGTATGATGTCTTAGTGTTCATGCCACGCTCGGGACCAGACCACGCTCCACAAAAGGCCTTTCCACGTATTGTCCGTTCGACACCACAACTAAGCAAGGGCTTTCCCACCACAAGTACCAAGGCCAGTGAGCGAGATTTCAATCGTTTCGTGCATCTTCAACAGGGGCTACATAGATATCCACGGTGCCACATCGGAATAGACGACACAGACGAGGAGCAAAACGACGACGCCGCGTCAGTTTCTTCTCATTCCTCGGCGTACTTTGACAATAAGGCTGTCATCGAACCAGCTTCGTGGTCGAAAGTTGCCTATACTTCTCTGGTGTGGTGGGCTTCTGCTGGCGATAGACGAGCTGGACTGACAGACTCGGAAGAAGGCGAGAGCGAACAAGATCTCTCCCTCCTCCAGGGTGAACACGATGATCAAACTCAGGAAGTAGCTCTTGTTGCATACTTCCATCAAATGACCGCACGTCTTTTTGACACCGTTGCCGCGGCTGTAGCAAGGGCAGATGGAGGAGAAGTCCACGAAGCATATCATGACGAGAGTGATAACGACGAAAGTCCACCTGGTGAAGTTTCCGAATATCAAATGGGCTCTGAAGATCGAGAAACAGAACATCTCCTCTCGACCAAAGACGAACAGCCCGATATTGAGATTACCCAAGAAGACATGGTGACTATGGGATTGGACAGCTGGAGCGCATCCGATAAGAAGTTCGTCGAGGAATTCATTCAGCTTTGGTGGGGAAGAAAAGCGGCCGTCCATGCGGCAGTCATTGAATGTTGTGGGTTGAGAATATTATGAGAAGATGATTCCCTTGTCTTTGGGTCTTTCTGCTATTCTCATAGAGACTGAAAGAGAACATGCTGTACAATATATCTCTTCAGCCTCTCCTCGTAGCCTTTTGCGTCTGTACTCCGTACACTGTAAATATATGAACACGGTCGGACACGCGACGGCATTTCAGGACCGGCCTCGAACCCCGGAACTAAACCGCAAGCAGTAGCTGGCTGTGTCTATGGCCAGTGACACTCAAGCTTGTTCCGCGCCCTGTCAAATTGATTGCTATCTATTGGTGACGGCACGAATGTTGTAACTCAGACATGCAGACGAAGCTAGAAACACATTACTTCATACAGCATGAAGTGGACGTGTTCCCCAGCAGCCTCGTGCCCTGCATGAAAACTATGACATTTATGGCCCCCACTGAACGGTTGTATTGTACTAATTCAGGAAATGCCGATCATGCCGATGCAGATCAAAAGCTGCTTTGTTTCTCCTGTTTCCCCTGAGTCGTGAAACCGTCGAGCAGCAAATACATCTACAAATATTATTGAGTGCCACTGCACGTCTGTCTTTTCTGGTCTGATTTTTTCTTCTCTTGATATCCTCGATCTTCACGAATCGCGTCACGTCTGACCACCATGGGTCCGGAAGACTTTACGTTTGGGTACGCCACCTCATGGACGGGCCTTGTAGGGTATCTGGTGGTTGCCAAAGTCCTTTACGACGTGGTATTGGCGATTTACCGCATCTGGTTCCACCCCTTGTCCAAGTTCCCGGGGTCAAAACTCGCCGTCGCGACCTACTGGCACGAAACCTTCTACGACGTTTTCCGGGGACATCAGTACATCTGGAAGATCAAGGAGATGCACGACCAGTATGGCCCCGTGATCCGCACGAACCCCGACGACGTGCACATCCATGACCCGGATTTCTTTGACGAGCTATACGGCCTCAAGTTGGACAAGTGGGCGTGGTGGACGCGCGGATTCGCCGTCCCGACCGCCGGGGGCATGACGGTCGAGCACGAGGTGCACCGAAAACGTCGCGGCGCCCTCAATCCGTTCTTCAGCAAGGCCAGCATTGTCTCCAACATGCCCGTCATTCAGGAGAAACTCGCCGTCATGTGTCAACGGCTGGACGACATTGTCAAAAGCGGCAATCGCCAGGTTCTCGACTTGGAGGCCATCTATCTCGCCCTCACCACCGACGTACTCACACAGTGCAGCTACGGCTGGACATACGACTACATCCACAACCCGGAGTGGGCCATGACGTGGAAACTGGTCAACACCGGCGGCCGGGCGAGCGCGGCCATTGTGCGTTCTTTCCCTCTTATCGGCGCCATCGTCCGGTCCATGCCGCTGAGCGTGGCAATCAAGCTCGTACCGCCCGTGGGGTTCATGAAGTCCTGGATGCAGCGGGTGGGTATCCAGGTCCAGAAGATCAAGTCGGACCCTGACATGATGAGGATGATCCGGACCGAGAAGAGGCGCAAGGACACCATCTTTGCCCAGATCTTGAGCAGCGATCTGCCCGAGAGTGAGTTGAGTGATCAGAGGTTGATCGATGAGGGTGTTTTGATCGCCACGGCTGGAAGCGAGACTACCGCCTGGGCTATCACCATCACCACGTACCACATAATGAAGAACCCGCAAGTACGAAAAAGGATGCGCGAAGAGTTGAGGCAGGTGGAGATCCCAAAGGGCGACACGGTGGCACCCTGGACGAGCCTCGAGCATCTGCCCTACCTCACCGCCGTGATCAAGGAAGGTGTACGCATGGCCGGCGGGATGTTGTCGAGGTTACCCCGGATCTGTGACAAGGACATCGTGTACAAGGAGTGGGTCATACCTGCCGGAACGCCGATTGCGATGACCCCCCATCTGGTGCTCATCGATGAGAAGGTGTTTCCGGAACCGAGAAAGTTCATCCCCGAACGCTGGTTGGATCAGATGGATGAGGGCAAGACCACGTCGCGGTTGGACAAGTATATCGTGGCGTTCGGAAAAGGGTCACGCAACTGCATCGGCATGCATCTGGCGTACGCGCAACTTTATATGAGTTTGGCAGCCATGGTGCAGAGATATGATTTGGAAATGTTTGAGACTGACGACAGTGATGCGACACCCACGAGGGATTTGTTCACTGCAGGGGTCAAGTTGGACAGTAAAGGGATCAGGGTTCTTGTTCATGGGTAGGACGAAAAGGCTTGATTTGAAGGGGGTTGCGGAAGATATTTAGAAGCCCTATACTCCGTGTTAGTCCACACGATCCACACCACACTATTGTGTGTAGTAGGACTCGGTAGCCAACTTAAAACGACTTGCTATTCTTACGATGCATTGATATTCACTATTATGTAACCTCTTATCCCACACACAGTAAGACCCTCTCGAACACTGGCATTTACGACGGATCCGACGTCTTGTGGGGGCGGCGCAATCCGGGCCCATTTCATAGAACTCTAACCGTTGGTGGTGATTGTGTGCGGAGAGAGGCTTCTCTGGTCGACAACGACAACGCTAATGATCGTTTCCGTCTCGATTTCTCACGGAACCTAGACCAAGTCAAGATACCTCTGGAGGAACGGATGGAGGATTTCGCGCTCACGGCCTGAATCACCAACATACTGATCCCATAATGCTACTCCGTACTCGTACCCTCCCATCCGTTCAATCCCCAGCTTTTGCGAATACCCCACGGCCACATAAGACTTGTGGAGCTCGTAAAGTCACTGGATATGGTCTCGAGATTCCGCAAGTGAAAGAGTGTTTCTGTATCGCGGATCCTCGTAATTCCTCCAGTCCAGACACCTTGCTCTCTCTCAAGGTGCAATGTCCTCTAATACTTCAACCCATCCAACGAAGGAACAAAGGGGGTCGAAGAGAGTGCGACAGGCTTGCCAGAACTGCCGGTATGTGCTGTCTCACTTTCTCGGTACCATTATGAAGGCTTGATTGCTGATTCTGCTCTCCCACAAGACGCAAGAAGTCAAAATGCGACGGGCAGAAACCTTCGTGTAATTTTTGTTCTCGGTTGAAGCAAGAATGTGTCTATGGTGATGGTCCACTCGTTTGTCACCATGCTTTGCCCAGAGCTCAGATCAGTGCCGATGTAAGTCATTTGCTATCTTTCCATAGAAGTACTGTGTGTCATTAGCTGATAAGTCCCTCAAGGAGATTGGCCTTGCGACACGGGTAGCATTATTAGAAGCAAAACTGAGTCTTATGAATAACAACGACCACCGTGCGAAGAGGAAGACATCACCAGGAGTTAGCTCTGCTGCGTCCAGCCCTGACTCGGAGTCGTCCCACAGTTTTCGGTATGCTTTCGAAGCTGCAAGACTTCATACTGAAAATCATAAGTGATTACCTGCTAATGCCTGGAGACATCATAGAAGCAAGTACTCTCAGTTGCCTCCAGAGCCAGTTCTTCGGTCACTACTCGACACCTATTTCCGCTCGTGTCAGAATCAGCCATACGTTTACTTTCGCGAGGCAACGTTCTACCGTAAGCTGGAACAAAAAGAGTATCCGGATTATCTTCTCCTGGCCATGATTGCCTTGTCTGCCCGCTTCTCCGACGAATCATTCTTTGATTCGCAACAGCTGGAGGCGGTGAATTTCTACGGCCGAAGTGCATGGAACGAGATCTTTGACAAGGCTTTTGCCGACGACAACCACCTTTTGGATATTCACATGGTGCAAGCGACGAACCTTCTGGCCGTAGTAGACTTCACAGGTATTTCTTATCTCATCCCAGATCCAAACGTTTTTCATTCGGCTTTGACCTGATTGCTTTCCAGCCGGTCGCCATCGCCTTGGTTGGGTCAAAATCGGCCTGGCCGTCAGATTTGGGCAGAGTTTGCAACTCAATGCAGAGCCGCGACCGGACTTGTCACTTGAGGAACAAGATGAGAGACGGTTGACGTTCTGGTCCGTCTATTTATTGGACCGACTCGCCTCGTGTGGTGTCTACAGGCCTTCTACGATTGCGGACAGCGATTGCTCTACACTACTGCCTTCGGACAATCCCGAAGCCAACCAGGCAATGCCGGGGTTGCGGCTCCTCGAAGAGATGCACACAATCCATGAGGCAGGCAGCATGGATCCTTTCGCGCATACAATTCTAATGGCATCTGCACTGGGGAGAGTGGAACGCCAGGCGCTCCAGCAACAAGGATCCACCGACCGTTATCCCCCTTGGGATTCTCGAAGCGACTTCGCGGCCATCTACAGCTTGCTGTTGAGCTTCGAAGGATATTCTAGGGTGACTGACGCTTCAGTGTCAGATGCAATTCATGCCCAGTACCTTGATTCGTACGGCATGATTGATCAGCAAAAAGCAGGACATTTCATCTTTGCCATGATGTTGTATCACATGAATCAGTGCATCTTACATCACCCCTACCTTTTTCGCAAGCGGCTACAATCAATTGAAGCTCCACCGCCACTGAGCTTTGTGAGCGAAATCCTACGACGCTCATTTTGGTACGCTGAACAATTAATATCGACCGTAAGATCAATTCAGGAACTTGGAATGACTATCAGCTCATTTTATGGCTATCCAATGGTTGTTGGTGGAGTGATTTGCAAGCTATTCTCCTACCACGACGATAGCACGACGAGCAACATGGCCAAACAATTATACCACCACACAACGGAATTCCTTGACTCGGGACGCAGTCTTTGGGGACATTATCCGAAAATGGTAAGAAGAAGTCCTGACCTTCTGTCTTTGCCAGTCTTCGTCTCTCTCTAATCTCTTGTTTCTGAAATGTTTGCTGATGTTATGTGGCCTGCAGTCCATTGCGCTTGACCAGTTCCATCCAGATCCTCTTGCTGCAAGAGAACTCGTCACTGCGTCTCGATCCACGGAACTCTGCAATGATCCCAGTCTCCAGCCCATAGAAAACCTTCTAGATTATGGTTGGCTCTCTGACCCTGCTAGATTCGGCTCTTTGTCTACGAACATTGCGAACCCAGGGCATCATCACGTTTGTTCTGATGCTTCTGCGTCCAGTGATGAAAGCTCGATTTTAAACGCCAAAGATATTGAAGGACCATCCCTTTCAGAAGCCCGAATCATACCAACCACTTACCAAGATCCTCTTGGCGATCGTGACTGTGATTTGCTCAAAGAGTTCAATCTCAATAACGACATACGCCGATATGAAGACCTTGATATGAATTTAGAAAACCATCTCGAACTACCACCCATACAAGATCCTTGGGACAATTTCTTTGTCGACGATAATCAAGATCCATTAGCTTATTCGATGCTCACAAGGTAGCAAAGCTAGGTGGACTGCAAATTAGCAGCGGCGATTTGGGACTATGTCGGGGCCTCCAATAAGTTCGTCACCTACCTCTATAGTTGTTATTTCCGAGCTACTTAATATCGTATTGAGGATGCGTAACTATGTCAATCAGTCACAGACCGAGCCTCTTTCGACACCTTGATTCCTTAGTGATGTTAATGGCTCAAAAAGAAGGTCATATCAAACAATATAATAAGTTTCTCTTGAAAATATAAAGTCATGTGTTGAGACTACCCGACCCGGCCCGGGTATGATAAGGGCAGAGAGTTCCATGGTTGCGAAGCGGGCTTCGTTGAATTTTCACGGTCCGACCAGAGGTTTTTTGGTTTTTCAAAAAACTGCTAGGCTTTTATGTGTGCGTAAATCAAGTCTCAGAATAATGCCAGACAGTTTAGCCACTTCAGTCACATAAGGCCGTTGAACAAAGGTATCGGGGCTGCATTTTTTAATTGTGCCAGTTTTCTATCTCATCGCCACCAATCTTCACTAGAACTCCCACGGCATGGCCCCCAGACAAGAAGACATGCCAGACGACGACGATCATCACAAAAAACCTACAGACCTCGAAAAGCACATCATGTTCTGGGATCGGGATGGAGATGGACTGATCAACGTATCCGATGTTTGGCACGGCTTTCGTGACTTGGGATTTTCCATCCCATACAGCATCATCAGCCTATTCATACCTCTTCTGTTTTCGTATGCAACTCAGCCCGGCCATGCTGGCGCCGCCGCCAAGCGCGACCCTCGGTTCCGAGTTTGTGTGTCCAACGTCCACCGGACCATCCACAGCAGTGACTCTGGGGTGTTTGACCCTCGCGGACAGTTGGACCAGGACAGGTTCGACAGCATGTTCACCAAGTTCGACACCGAGAACAAGGGTCACCTGACCACTCGCGAGTACCTACGAATGTGGAAGTCAAATTGCGACCCCTACGACTTTGGGGGCTGGCTCTACAGTTTTATGGAACTCTTGACCACTTGGTTGCTCATCCAAAAGCGTGGGCAGATAGCAAAAGCAGATCTACGGGGGGTCTATGACGGAAGCCTGTTCTACATCATCAAGGAGTCAAGGCAGCAACAGACTAAGGAAATTTAGAAGAGCTGCTGGGGAGATGCTCTCCCTCGAGTTTCAAAGTTGAAATGCACACATCCTCGCAATCTCGACAAAAGAATATCATGTGTCTCGGTATCAAATCTGGTATTACTACATACCTAGGTAGGTAGCTAAGCAGGATTCCGCTTCAAGAATAGAGTCTGCGAATTACAGAATGACTTCAACCCGCCCACACCCCATTCCACCCCGATGCCACTCTGCTTGTGTCCGCCGAACGGGAAACGAGGGTCCAGTTCGAAATGAGTGTTGACCCAAACGTTTCCCGCGTCGAGCTTGAGGGCAATTTCGTTTGCACGTCCCAGGTCGTTGCACCACACCGAAGCTCCCAGGCCCATGTGCGTGTCGTTTGCCAACTTGATGGCTTCCTTGTCGTCTTTGAAAGTGAGGAGGGGGACTATTGGACCTATATTTTCGTGTAGAGTTTCTGTCAACATTTCACTTTTCTTTCTGCGTCGGGTGATGGGGGATGACGGTTCACCACGTACCAAAAGGCTCTTCTTTTACGATTCTTGAGTCAAGTGGAGGGCGGTCGATGATGGTAGGAGTAATGAAGTATCCTTTGCCCTCTGGATTCTTGCCACCCACGGCGACTTTCCAGTCTTTGGTTTGGATGTCCTCGAACAAAGTCTTGACCTTTTCATATTGCATTTGGTTTTGAATGGGACCGAGGTATACGTCGGGTTCAGTTCCTGGGCCGACCTACACGAATACTTTTGTCAGCAAAATGATCTAAAGAATTGCCGTGTTATCCTACCTTTAGATTTTTGGTTGCCTCTACCATTGCTTGTAGGAATTCATTCGCAATCGATTCTTGAACAAATATTCGTTTCAGAGCCAGACATATCTGTATGGTTAGAGATTCAAGTGAGCCATCTGAGCACGTTGAAGTTGTACAATTGTTGGAACTTACCTGGCCCGAGTTGAGAAATGCAAGTCCTGCAATCTATTGCATGATTTTAGCCGATAAAACCCTCCAGAGTGATACCCTCTCACCTTCGGAGCTACAACAGCAATATCTACATTGTCAGTAACAATGGCTGGGTCATTGCCACCACTGGTCAATCGAACAGAGTCAGCGTTTTCTTTCTCAATAGACTCACTCCAATGCAGCAACCAAAAATACTCACAGTTCCAAAGTCACTCGTTTCAATGTCTTGCTGGCCGACTCCATGACCTTCTTCCCCGTCAAGGTTGACCCCGTGAAACTGATCTTGGCCGGGATTGGATGCTCCGTAAGAATGGGACCTAGGCTGTCGTCCCCTGACAGTGCCTGCACCACGCCGGGAGGGAAAAAGCGCTGCGCAAGTTCGACCAGTTTCAAGTCCCCAGCAGGGGTGAACGGCGAAGGCTTGATGACGATGGTGTTGCCGGTCACAACCGCTGGCGCAATTTTCCCGGTGGCGAGGAGGATCGGGTAGTTCCACGGGACAATGCCGACAGTCACACCGAGTGGAGTGTATCTGATGAGAATCTCTTTGTCGCCTTCAAAGACTCTCTCCTCCGGGAGCTCGAGTTTGGCAATGTCGCGCATCCACTGAATGGCAAGGTCAAGCTCAAATCGAGCAAACACCAACTATTAGATCAGAGGATACATCAACATCAGTGACACTCTCAATGTGAGATAAAGACGTAGTTGGATTATCTATCCCAAAACTCACCGGTTTTCCTTGCTCCTGGGTCAAGAGTTGCGAGAAATTTTCTTTCTCGATCTCTAGTGCATCTGCAAATGCCAGTACAGCGTTCTGTCGAGCCGAATACGAAACTTCAGACCACTTCTCAAATGCCTCCTTTGCGGCGTTCAATGTCCTATCGACGTCGTCCTTTGTCGCAATAGGGACTTCTGGTCCTGGCTCTCCTGTGGCTGGATTGATGCTGTGTCGTGTCTTGGATGTTGTCTCGAGATTTCCGTTGATGACATTCTTGAAATGGCTCCAATCGAGGAGACCATTTTTGCTCGAGTGGCCATCAACAACGCCATTGGTCTGGCCGTTGACGACGACAATTTGTACGGTCATGCTGACGAGACCGTTCAAAGGGAGTAGAGAGTAGTTCTGAACGTCACACAGTCAATCTTTGTAAGTATCGTGAAATTGTTTAAGTTGCTTTAAACTATAGTTGTGTTCCTGAAAGACATATAACGCAGAACGTTGAACAACGCCCCCGCCCGCTCGCCTTGCCGGACAAACGCAAGACAGCAGCATGAAGAGCACACGGGCCGGGAGCCGTAGTTGTGTGTCGTGACTGTCCTGGATAGCTCTTACCAGTCGCTAGTCTCCCCAGATTGTGGGATGATGTGGAGGTGTGGGAATGCGCGGGCCGGACAGGGGGCACGGCATCTTGGCCAGCTCCAGGAAAGTACCTGATCGGCGCCACAGCAAAAACTCAACATCTTGTAAACAGTTTGTCGGCGGCAATATCTTGAACGCGTGTGACTACTGCCGTACATGGAATAACGCTTTACATTTTCTATAACGGGGCATTTCAAACGTTGATCAACGGCCCGTCATGGCCTCGAACGAGGTTTGTGGACGACAAGTTATAACATATTACACCTCCAGCAGAGTGTGTCCATTTTGTGTTGAAAGACAGGGTTTTATGCCGTTGTATACTGTCCTCTCTATCAGGAACCGAATTGAGCCGAATATTGATCATGAATAACGGAATCGGTGATTACGATGTCGACCATGCTGAGAAGGGTCATGCTCAGCAAGAAGTCAATCACCAAAATGGTACCCATGGTTTTCCTGACCTCAAACAAGTTCATACCACCATCACGCTATCTCCAGAGCAATTCGAGAAGCTTTATCTCGCTCCAATCGGCCGTCATCAACCAACTCTAGCCAAAAAGTTTGGAAACCCAACACCACTGTGAGTTGTAGAACCTCGTCCTCCCCACTGTTGGTAGGTTCAAGGATCGCAAATTCTCTCTAACATGTATAGGGCCATTGCAAGCTTTGTTCTGACAACAACTCCCGTATCTTGTGCGTTGATGGGATGGAGAGGTGCTGGCAATAACGGAGTTGCTGTCGAGTATGCCCTCGATGCCGACACCTGACTCTCTCTCGTGTGTACTCTGACATTTGAGGGTGTAGTGGCGCAATGGTGTTCCTTGGTGGTACAATGCTAGCAGTCTCGGGCCTTTTGGAATTCGTCTTGGGCAACACATTTCCCTTTGTGGTCTTTTGCTCTTTCGGTAAGTAATGGTGGCCAGCCCAAAGAAAATTTGGAGGAAATTCCAGAATTTACTGATTCAAATCAGGTGGTTTCTGGCTTACTTTCGGGTGTACACTGCAAGCTTCGTTCGGTGCAGCTGGTAAGTCTTCCTTAGGACGGAACCCATCCTTGTTGTTCATGGAACGGCAGACGGGGAAGCATTGGGCATTCACACTTACACGCTGAACTCGTAGCTCCATACTCGACCAGTGGAACCAACACCGCCGAAGGTTTGGCGTCAGCAGGGTTCATGAGTACTTTTGGTATGTTTCAGGCCCCCTCAGCAGCACGAGTAGAGCCATCATTTATTGACAAAACCTCAAATCGAAAAGGTTTCCTCCTTCTTGCAATGGACTTGTTGGTGGTTATCTACGCCATCTGCGCCACCAGAACGAACGCCGTCTTCTTCACCGTCTTTCTCTCTTTGATAGTCGTCTTCTCCTTACTGACGGGCTCATTCTGGAGATTGGCATTGGGTGATACTGTGGTGGGTATGAGGTTGTACAAGGTCAGTCTTGTATCTACTTGCTACTTTCTCGTCGTCGGTAAACAACAAATCTGACAACCCTCATGACAGGGAGGTGGAGGAGCTCTTTTTGGGACCAGCTTATTAGGATGGTATTTACTCACAGTTCAATTGTTTGAAGCGGTCGGGATACCAGTCACTTTACCTGTGGGGGACATGAGTCGCGTGTGGATGTCGAAAAAGGAAAGGGCCTAGGAACAGTCTACGGATTGTATAATGCCACTAAAATGACGAGATGGACGAATTAGTTGGCAAAAGGAGCTCTGGCAAAATGTGTCTGGTAACTGCGGTATGAATAGCAAGAGTACCAAGAGTCAACCAAGTAATGAATGCGGGTGTCGTGGGTTACTTCCCAGTTGTGAACCATAGAGTAGAAAACAAAAAATCACGGGAATGCTATGCATGACATTCTAGACACTGAAGCCTCACTATCTGTTGTGGCAAACAATAAACATACTGTTCCTTGGTGGAAGTCGTTTGAAGCAGAGGCAGTAAGCCGATCTCCTTGAGGCTAAATTGATCATCATCAAAGACCTCAATGATATCTAGAAGTGTATGGAGACATTTCTAATCTTTACAAGTGTGCAAGTGTAGTACATAGGGAAGATTTAAAGAGTCATTATATTTCAAGTCCTATTCTTTTCCCTTGACCTCGAAGTCCTTCTCCAGTAGTCGACTCCTCAACCATAGTGACTGCATCGTTATCATGACGGACGACATGGACATCAAACCTGCGCCAAACGAGCTAGACCGTGGAATTGGGTGTGTTAGCTAGGTTGGTCTTACCAATGGACAAAAAAAACCGGCAATGGACCAAACTTACGGTTTGAGAGTATAACCTAGGGGCATCAAGATACCGGTGGCCAGACTCAGGGCAATGACATTGTAGCAAACGGCCCAAATGATATTCCACCGGATCTGTCGCATAGTTATTTTGACGATACTACCAAGTAAGGGCAAGGAGCCGAGGCCAGAATTGAGTATCATGACCGACCCTCCGACTGTTGCGGCCGAGGAATTACAGGTCATAATGGTTCCCACATCAGATGCTGCGAGACTCGGAGCGTCGTTCAGTCCGTCACCAATCTACCAGGGATGTTTGTCAGCATTTTGTCCAATCTTATGACGATTCTGTCCATGGAGGAAAGATCCAGAGGGCCGCATTACCATGGCTACCTTTGAACCAGCCTTCTGAAGCGATCGGATATGTTGGAGCTTATCTGCAGGGCTGGCTCGAGATGCGAGTATTGGTATTCCCAACAGGGATGCCACTCTGGATGCTTCAGCTTCGGCATCTCCAGTCAACTGAAGGAAAAGATCAGGGATCATTAGCGAAAGTCGGTCAGCTGGTGTTGAAGGTCAGTGACGTACCATAGAGACCCCATAACCCCTATCAACAAGTGTTCGTAGCGTCTCTCTCGCTTCGGGCTTGACCTGGTCCTATGCCTGCGTGTTAGTCTGAGATGGAACCAGATGGACATACACTCCTACCTGCAGCTGTATTGTTGCCACGAGGATCCCATCGACCCCTATGTGCACAGCAATGCCAGGGACTTGTGGTTTGACAGATTCTGTGTCTAAGCTGGAAGCAACTGAATTCTCTCGTAGGAACTCTTGATTGCCAATACAAACCCGATGCCGTGAGGATGATCCATGAGCGTTCTCAATGCCGACCTTACCCGCGACGCCACGGCCTGGAACCGAAACAGTGTCACTCAGCGACGGGCGAGCAACAGACTTTAGCCACCCTGCACTAGTCTCTTGAAGCCCCTTTTTGAACAAAGCCACTCCGATAGGATGTCCATTTGCCTCATGCTCTTCGAGTGCACACACAAGTGTCCACAACATGGCCTCCTTGCCCTTCCAAGCGGGATGCATCGTGATGCTTTCAACTTCAAAATTTCCTTCGGTCAAAGTGCCAGTCTTGTCAAAGACCATCTGGTCGACTCTTTCCAACTCCTGAAGAGTAGAAACACCTTTGGTCAAAAGAATTCCTTTGGAATGTGCGGCATCTTTTAGATGACAATAAGTAAATTTGAGCTTAAGTGTTTGAGTGTGACCAGCTGGTACAGAGGCAGAGGAACTCACCGATTGATGCGACGACGGCAGAAGGTACTGCTAGACCGAGAGCACATGGACATGCGCTAACTAGTATCGTCATTACACGCTCGACAAATCTACACATTGCCACATAGAATCCGACGGGACGTGAGAGTTTTTGTTGATAGTACAGCTCAATCGTCGGCGAAGAGAATGCCAACAACACGACCACCAGAGAGAACCAGCGAGTGACAGTGTCGATCACATCTTGACCTTTTATTTTGTTGGCACCTGCTTCGGAAACGCTTCGGACGAGCTGAGCATAGAATGATTCTTCACGTTCCCGATTAACAACACATGACAAACTTCCGTTGAGATTCTGGGTTCCTGCCAGCAGGGAGTCACCCAATGATTTTGTTATGGGCAAGGCTTCGCCTGTGATCAATGACTGATTGACAGTGGAAGTGCCTTCTACCACGTAGCAGTCGCAAGGAACCACACAGAATGGATCGAGTTTGATGGTGTCTCCCGGACGTAGAAAGGAGCTGGGAACTTTCTGCCCTCTCATGCGTCAGTAAAATCGATACTATAGATTCAAGGACTTGGGGTGGGGGATAAGCACTCGCCTTGCCACTTGGCTGCAACTGTACATAATCCTGGCCTGACAATCCTTCATAGAGTTTAACGAGATGTTTCGATGCCTGTCTTCTGGACAAGATGTCGAGATACCTCCCAGCAACCACAACCAAAGTCAATCCCGAAGTGGTCATCGCGTAGGATGTCGATTTCAGGGGACCCACAACCAGTATGTCAAGAAAGGTGAACACGAGTCCCACCAAGGTAGATAAGGAGATGAGGGAGTTCATATTCAAATGTCTCCTTCTCAGCAGCCGCCAACAGTCCGAATGTATCCAGAGTGCGTATTGATATTGGTTCATGACGGCGATGAGCGCCAATGCGAGACGGAGAATACCTGCCAAAGTCGCCGCCTTCGAGCTTTGGGATGCCCATCCGCCCACGACGTTACTGGTGTAGGCCAGGACCTGTAGAACGGCGCCGTATCGTGCCAATCCGGAGAAAGATTCCTTTAACAGCGCAATGTCCTTTTTCAACTTCAAGAGCTCCATTACCTCACTGTGCGTTCGAGGGCCCAGTCGTGCTTCATATCCTGCCTCACGGACGGCATCAACCAATCGTGCGGCATCAAGAGGCTTCTTCCCGTCGCTGATGACCACGGATTCGTTCGTCTGGAGAGACGTGCGCACTTCCTTGACCTCTTCCAAGCGCTCAAGTGCCGCGGTGACTGTTTGCACGCATGCGGAACAGGTCATTCCGTCGATGGACAGAATTGACGATGTTTGGTCGTCCGTTTTACCATGGTTGTAGGCCGCTGGCTTGTCCGTAGTATCTCGTGCACCGTCATCGTGGCCTCTCTCCAGCGTGACGGTAGGGTCAAGCTCGTCGTTATACCGAATGCCCTGATCAAGATCCAAAAATTGACACGTTTTGACCAATTGGCCTACGCAAAATGTTGCTATGTAGCAACAAGCCATCTGTGCTTCACTCACATCCCTTCCTCTAGAGATACCTCAGTCGCTTTACCAATACCTGGATATACTAACTGCGCATTCTCGGTTCCATAGCCTCTCCGCGCGCCCCAGGGCTGGCGAGGAAGCATTCTGGAACTGATGAACCTCTCAAGATGACGACGTGTGGGCACGGCTTACTTCGGGCCGAGAGCTGGAGAGGCTGGAATCCTTTTACATGTCGTCGGCACAACGGGTGTGGGATGGTTCAGACGACCCCCTCAAACTTTAATGATAACCCGGACCCGCAATTGACGGTGTCAAGTTCCCCCTCAACTATGGTGACAGTAAAAGGGCCGCGTGATCAGAGGGAGACACTGGTCGCCAAAAAGTCCGGAATTGCAATGATGACAGAGTAGGCATGTTCATCTATGGCTACTACTTTGCAGCAATACCAATGCTGCCCTCCGATTCGGGACCATTATCTCGAGTGTCCTCGTCCCCCTTGCCAGAAGTGTTTGATATGGCCTTATGCAATGTGCTTTGCCACTATCTTGGTCATGTTATAGACAGTATCACAACTGCGTTGTATACAATTCATAAGATCAAACGCGTCCTTTGAACGACTTGACATGCAGTGAAATGATGGAAAGAATGCTATATCAAACTCATGTTTAAACTAGATAAATGATGCCAAACACTGTACTGTTTGCAAGTTCAATGTGACTCGGCATCTATGAAATGTTTTTAACTTCTTCATCTGTGTATTTTTTTCGTGATTCCTTGCACAATCCGTCGTCCGATATCATCATATCTAACTAAACCTGAGGCTTGATAATGATCTGAGTTCGTCCGTTGATTGCTAGCTTGGCCGAAGCCTTGCCTTCAGCATCAGCAACCAGAGAGCCGCCTGTGCTCAAAGAATACGACATGCCCGGTGCCAGGCGCTGGAAGCCCAGTGTGAAGGTACCAGGCTCTCTGCCGTTGTAGAGGACGAGATCAAGGTCCTTGCCAGTGTGGCTGTAGGCTTTGGCCACGAGCACATCGGGGAATGGTGCGTCCTCGAGCAGAGGTCCAGCCAGGACCTTGTGTGACGGTCCGTGGAGGGTGGCGTTGGCAAGATCGCGACATTTGATGATCCGGGCCATCAGAGCAATGACCTGGGTGGTAGCAGACAGGCCCTTGTTCCTGAGAGATCCCGACTTGGTCGTCTCGACGGGGAAATACTTCGAGTCCATTTGCTCCAACGCTTCTTTGCGCACTTTCTCGTCTCCAAACTCGGCGGCAGTAGCGGCAATGAAGGCCCGCAAGGGACCCTCGCCAGCTTTGTAGTTGCCGGGGTCCATCTTGTCGGCCCCCTTGAGACCATTGACAGTCAGGTTTCCATTATGGTCGTAGGTCAGGAACTCCTTGCGAATCATCGCCCAGTTGCGGTGCGCCAGGTGTGGAAGATACGCTGTGAGCAACATGGCATTGATACAGTCGGTCAAGGTGCCGCAAAGACCTGGAAGCTATTTTGCATCAAGTATCAGACTCAGTCATAAGACCTAGGCATAGGCTGGTCAAAACATAGACTGGTCAAAACTTACCGTCAAACCTGTAAACTCGCTACGGATAGGCAAGATGCGGCCATCTGTCTCGGTGAACTCTTCCTCGAGGGACTTTTCAAACCTGTTACGCAGCTTGTCGGCTAGATGCCGTCCCAAGACTCGGTCAGAAATAACGAGTCCGGCCATACCGGTCAAGCTATACGAAGAAGAGTCAGTATCACTCACTTCGTGTGCGAAAAACATATCCTACTCACTTGCAGAGGGAGTATGTCCAATTAGGCTCGCATGGATACAGACAGTATGGGTTCTCTGTCATATTTTCGTTCAGAGCATCTGCCAGACCTTCGAAATTTGTCTTGTAATGCTTGCCATCGTCGATGACAAACTCGAGGGCGTTCTTGTCCATATATCGTCGATCTCCAGAAGCTTGCGAGTACAGGCCAATGGCGCAACTCAAATAGCCTGTAACCATCTAAGGTAATATTGAGTAAATGCACACAAGTCTTAAGGAAGGTGTAAACGTACAATGTTATCCTTCTTGATGGGGTCCCAGTCACTCAATGTAAATCTGCCAAAGATAGATTCCCATTTCCAGTACCTGGATTCCGGTTATTGATGATGTCCTCCACGGGAACCAAGCGATACTTACGACATGATCCGCTTCTGAAGGCTCTTTTCAATGCAATTTTGCGAAGCTTTGGACAAGTAGCCGTGGAAACTTGGAGCATAGTGGCATTGATACAGGCTGAGAACATCGACAACGCCGTAGAGTTGGTACCGAACAGCACCGGTCTGGAATTGATCAATGACATCGTGGAAGCTGAAGTCACTCTTTGGGCTCAATCCTCGCTCAATCATGTACTGCATGTGGCGAAGTGTTTCCAGATCAAGCTCTCGGCTTCCAGGAGCAGGGGCAGGCTCGGCATTCGCGCGTTGATGTTTGACTGCATCGACCAGATACTTGTTCCGCTCTTGAGCCAAACTGTAGCCAGCAGCATTCAATTGTCGAGCATTGTGCATTAGCCACGCGATACCACCGTAGCAAAAGACAGCCCAGATGGTTCCGGCTTTGTCAAAGAGTTTGTCCTCGGCCAGCGCACCAGCGGCTACTGCAGAGCCGATCCATAGTGCAATTGGGAAGAAGATGCCGCCCATGGCAAACCAAATAAAGATTGTGACGGGAAACAGGACCAGGGTCAACAGGAACGCCCCCAGGGCTGGGATAGTGCCAACACCGATGAAGCCTGCCCCCGGGAACAGGAGGCCCAAGGCAGCAGCTCTGTATGCTGTGGATGAGAGGTTGTTGAACGACCAGAGGCCGAACAAAGACATGGCAATGTATTGATACAGGGTCCGACGTTGGTGGTACTTCTTGATCAAGCCCTTGCCAGCATTTGGTGGAATCAAAACATCTGATCGATCACAGTCAGTCAAGTCACGCCAAAGATAGAAGCCTGATCACGTACCTTGCAACTTCCAAGGGCCCCATTCGAAATCGCCAGTGCCAGTGTATGTCGACGATTTTGGAGCCTTAAGGTCACCATTGGCCAAGGCGACTTTGTTTGAAGGATATTCATCCTCACCAACCAGCTGCATGGGCCGTGGCACTGTTTGGATTTTGGTTTCCTAGAATTGAGATGGTCAGTTAACGATGCTCAAGTCGAGTAGGAGAACGCACAGTTGTCAACATTGTGAGATACGTTCAGTCTATTCAACTCTGCAAGGAAGCAAGTTGTAGCAGTGCCTGATGGACGCATATTTCACAATACCATGAATCTGCTTGGACTATATCGTTTGTCGATATTCAGAAGAGCGGACCACGGCCCGAGTTTGAGTGAGGGGTGCAAAGGCTAGTGTGGCCGAGCGTCTATCACTGGGGTTAAGGGGCAGGCGGCCTACTAGTATCTACTAGTATCCCGGGTGCCATGACTATGACGATTGTAATCTGGGGACGGGGTCGATCGGTCCTCGAGGACGATTGTTTGGGCAAAGTGGCTTCCACGCCCTGAGTATAATCACGGCCCGGGTACTCATAGAACACACTGAAGGATCAAGAAACAGAGGGCGGCACACGGGGGAGACCAACATAGTAGAATTGCATCGTAACCAAAATGGCTTTCGATATACAGGGACATTTCGTCTCTACTTTCGATATACTAGTGTTCGTCAAAAAAATTGCAGCATTGAAATCACCATGGCACCAGATCTTGCGAGAGCAATTGTTTGTCGACCTCCACAAGATGGACGTCGGCAATGGAAGCTGGAAGATATTGAGGTCTATACTCCGGCTGAGGGCGAAGTCCTTGTGAAAATCATAGCTAGTGGTGTTTGTCACACCGACCTGGGATGTGGCTCCTTTCCAGATGGAGTTGGCTTTCCAGTCCCTCCTTATCCCCGGGTACTTGGGCACGAAGGTGGGAATGGCCTCATTTGATTGTTGAGCATATGTTGACTTTGATCTCAGGTGCAGGATATGTGACTCGGGTTGGAAGGGGTGTCACAAAGGTCAAGCCGGGTGATTCAGTCCTTCTTTCCTTTGCATATTGCGGTGAATGCCACAATTGTAGAAATGGAGCACCTGGATACTGCGCCGAGTTCACCCCGCTCAATTTCTGTGGGAATCCCAAGGCCTTTGGCGCTCCCAACTCAAAAGAAAGCCATGGGATCGGAGGCTCTTTCTTCGGCCAGTCAAGTTTCTCAAATCTGACAAGAGTTCAGGAGGCTTCGGTCGTCAGAGTGACAGATTTGGTCAAAAATGAGGACGACCTGAAACTGTTCGCGCCGTTAGGTTGTGGAATTCAAGTCAGTGAGAAGCTTTTCCGTTGAGCGCTTCAAAATTCTAAGTAGCTGACGGGTCATCTATGTTCAGACAGGAGCGGGAACAATCACAGAGCTCGGTCTGGCCAGGGCGTCGGATAAGGTAGCAATTATCGGCCTTGGTGGAGTTGGTCTCGCTGCAATAATGGCAAGTTGAGAGATTTCAGGAGACTGGTTAGTGGCTAACTTGGAGACAGGCTGCAAGACACCGAGGATGTCGCACAATCATAGGAATTGATCGTGTCGAAGCGCGACTCGATCTTGCCCGATCACTCGGTGCGACGCACACCATCAATACATCAACAGTTGGGGAGGGACTCGAAAAGGCTGTTCGCGACATCACTGATGGCAGTGGGAGCACAATCACAGTTGATGCCACAGGTGTTGTTGCGTTGATCCAACAAGGAATTGAGTTCACTGCCAATCAAGGTAAAATGATCCTTCTTGGAGTCGCTCCTATGGATGCAGCGCTTCAGGTGGCTTTGGTTTCCTTCATGGTGGTAAGCGAATCTCCGTCGTTGAGATTGAACAAATCTGACCGTAGTGTGAAGACTGGGAAACAACTTCTTGGAAGTATGGAAGGCGGAGTTCGGCCTGCGGATGTAAGTTGATCTCCGTATAGTCGATGCGGTGATTCTGACTGACATTTTCTGATACAGTATGTTCCTCGAATGATCCAATGGTATCGCCATGGCGACTTTCCAATCGATAAATTGATCAAATATTACAAGGTGAGTTCAGCATCGAAGTTCCACGAATAAATGGTGATAATTTCGTCAGGTTGAGGAGTTTGAGCAGGCAATCCATGACATGGAAGAGGGTACGACCGTGAAGCCGATATTGCTGTGGTGAGGCGTGATCCGGAGACGTTGCCCGAAAAGCCTTGTTGTGTTTAGGATTGCGGAGAAGTGGTGTGAGGTGGATGGTTGCGAAAGAACAATTCGGCTGTGGTAGCACTCGCAAGCGATAATATCGAGTCGAAGGTTCTGGGGCTTTATCTAGCTAGTATGTTTGTGAAGCCAGGCTCAAGGACGTCTTCCCAAGCACTAAAAGCGGGATCGGTAACGGCGGGATCAAAGTAGTTGAGGTCGATAGGTGCGGCAGTAGGTTCTGGCATAAAACTATCCACGACGGACATGGCTTGTTTCAATTTCCAAGAATCGACGGTGGGATCCCACTGGTCAACGTTTCCCATTTGTTGGCACGCCTCAGGTGACGATGAGGGCCTAGCAGAATCACAGAGCCATCCGTAGTCAAGCAGATCCCAGATGTTGTCCATGCTAGAATCTGCAGGACTCTCACCAGGTGTTACTGCTATGGCTGCTGTCACAAGATCTCTGGCCGACTTGGGGTCCGGATCAAGCTGCATCAACACATATGCCTGCATCCGCTTAGAAACGTCAATATTGGTCCCGAGGATTCACTTACCATACGTGAATAATGTCGCCAGACATCTTGCCCATAGAGAAGGAAATCGAGCGAGCAATCGAAGAGTGTCTTGGAATTACTCGAGACACGTTCATCTTCGTGAAAGGTGTAAAGCTTATGTATTGTCGCAGCCACAGTGCAGGCGTAGGCATAGAAGCTCGCTAGTGAGAGACCTCGCCTCTGAACAACCCGTAGAGCCGACGTGAGAAGAGTTGCATGTTCCAATCCCTGCCGGAGAGCTTGCTTGAGAAAAGTGGCTGGAACCCTGGTTTTGCAGCCTTTGACGTGATTTCGTAATAAGAAAGGATGGTGCAGCAAGCATTGATTAAGGTGATATAGGATGGCTGAAAACACAAAGTGTCCAGCTCGCCTTTGGTCAATTGCATCGCCCGTCCCGTACCAACGATCCAGGGCTTCGGCGAAGGGTACCAAGTTGGCGTCGGAATAGGTTTCAAAGTCCAACAAAAGACTATAGATCCTGCTATATTCACTGCGGTTGTGCCAGAGTTTGTACTGGCTTCCCGAAATGTGTTTCTGCAAAGAAAATCTCTCGACTTTTCCCAGTGCAGATGCCATAAGAACCGTCTGTGCAAATTGGCTTAGGCTTTGGGGAATTTCGGAGTCAGGAAGGTCTTGTAGAGCTTGAAGTGTCCTCGGATTCGAATTTGAGTCCGTGTTCATGTTGAGATTGTCGGCTGGAAGCCGGACAGAACAGTCGCTGTCAAGTATTGTCGGAGGTCTGTTTGTACCACACGAGACGAGCCTGTCAAGAAGGTACACTGACCAGAAAGTTAGAACTCTCTCTTCTTGTTCTTCGCGACTTAATGCCGGTGGCGGGTCCATTGTCAGGTGTAGACTCTGTGCAAACCGCACACTAAGGCCAATTTTGACCCATGCGAGCTTATGCTTCCCGGCTTGAGCATGTCAGCGACATCACACGTATTGGAGAGAAGCTGCCTACTGGTAAAATCAACTACAGCCAGCATGTTAGTTGCTTGAACGACTGTAATGTCCAAGGCATCGTCTTCAGAGAAAGACTTTTCGAATATCTCGTCCCATGCGGACCGCGAGTATGTGTCAATCATGTCTTGCTGTTGACCGTGAAAGAAGGGGTCTTGAGAGAAGCGTGCTGCCATGGCCAAGACGGCTTTGAGAAGATAAGGTGGTACTTGGCCGTCTTGAAGCTTTCGTCGGAAAAACTGCTCTTCGAAATAGCAATACGGCTGGCTGTCGCAATATCGAAAGTATGCATCCGTTAGTGCTAGCACAATCGAAGGAGGTGGTAGAATGTCGACATCACTGCTCCCAAAATCAGTCCTGAATCACATCAGGGGGCCACGTTCAGAGGTGAGACCAACCTCCCATATCGGTCCCGCGAGTGAATCAAGGTAGGAAAAGATGGACGCCGATCCAGATTCCGGGCACCGGCGTCTGGAGGCCCTCCATTTACGGATGTGCCGAAACTGCAACGCGTCTTGTCAGTCGGTCAGGGCAAAGTCAAAAACAATTACACCTACTCAAGGCTGGTACTGTCAAGAGCACTGAGCTTTGATTCCAGAAGGGCAACCCTCGCGGCCAAGGTCATATCCTGTACCAGTCAGGCGTGTAGCGAGCACATATGAACGAGCTGCTTACAGTGGGGTAGCTGGCTTCAGAGCCAGGTCCCGAATTGTAGCAACATTCTTGCTTCAGGCGAGCGCAGAACGCGCAGGTCGGCTTCTCTCCGGAGCAACGGGTCTTCTTGCGCCTGTGTACGTAAGCAGCTGAGGTCAGAAGTGGTATGTCCAGAGCAGGAAAATCCCGCAAGACGTACCGGCAGTTTTGGCAAGCTTGCCGCACTCGTTTGGCGTCTCGTTCCTCGGTCATGTTGTCAGGGAGCTGTAACAGGAGAGCTCAGAAGGCTCCATCGACATGTACAACGTTCTGAAAGAGACTCGACATGAAGAAAGACCAGGTTCAGACTGGTTGAGATTGACAATTTCTTGCGACAGTGCGGGGCTAGACCGAATCCCTTGGGCAATAAGTGACGGCGGCCATGAACCCCATCCCGTGATAAAAACTTGTATGTACGGGGGTTTGGACAGTATGTGAGAGGTACTAACATCCCCGCACATCTACAGGACTCTAACAAGTACCCTGCACTGAAGATTTGCGGAGTAAGGATAGGTGGCCTCATACGGAGTACCTTTAGTTACAGTTCTCCCTATTACGAGTACTCAGAGTATGTTTGAAGTTTGTGTTGGCTTTCTCGATTCACCGTGGCTCATGAACCAATAAGCGGAAGTACGTACGAAAAGTACCTTGTCAATGTTCACTCGCTCGCTTATAGCCAGGGCTCTGGTACCTGTATATCCGGCTTTCCCCACTTGACAAACTCCTTCTCCGGACTAATTTTCGATCGTATTCGTATTCGTGTCCGTATCTTCTCCTCTCGGTGGACAAAGAGTCACAGGGCATAAAAGGCCAAGAGCAAAGGGCGCACTTGTAGTGGACAAGTGAAATAGTAATCGGTTTCATATATGCGGTTAAGTTCAAGTAAAATAAATTGATTTGGTGGCCCGAGGTTCGTCAATACCGAGATGCGGAGAGATATGATTGATCAGATCATGGAAGTCGCCAGTCGACCGACTCCGTTTCTATCCATTCCTCCGTGCTATCAAGAATCTACTACGTTTTGGTGAGTTCAAATATTCCATACCTCACGGTACCGGTTGCTATGACTCATTGTGATTGCCTCGGCGTGGGTGAAATTCGGATCAAATTTCACTCGGAAAGCAACACGTGCGGTGATACACGGATACCTGTCTAAGCAACCGGAGAAAGGTATATAAGTCGCCGGCCCTATGTGCGAGTGAGTTGGACCGGTCTTCGAGGACACGGGGGGTATCCAACCTTGCTTTAAGCAGATATTGAGCTCATATACTGTTGAACAACACTCTCTTCAAGTTTCGAGTACGTCAACCATGGCCCCCGACGAGGCTGAGAGTCCCTCAGTAGTGCTGTTCGGATATGACTGTGAGTACTACTGTCCTCCCCTATGGGGGCGTCATTCCACTGATATGCTCGTTCATACATGATGACTATTAAACCCTATGGTTCTAATTTCTAACCTTTTGAACGTGGCAGCTTCTCCGTTCACGCAAAAAGCAAGATTGGCGCTCCAATTGAAGCAGATTCCATATAGTGAGTTTGAGTAAAATTCCACCGGTCGACCCTCCATGTCAACAGAGGGAAGCACCGCCAGACGCAGAAAAGAGGGGAATGATGTGATGAGATGACTGACCAAACCTCTGATGGAACCGTGTGAATAGCATTTGTCATCGTCCCGTCAATGATGCCACGACCACTTCTCAGGGAATCGTTCAATCTGACATATCGCAAGATACCTGTTCTTGTCATTGGTAGGGAGGTAAACACCACACTATCCTATTCTTACCTACAACGCACTCGCCTACCAAATTTATCCTCCCCCTAGTTATCAGCCCACTGAATGATTTTCGATAGATCTACATCGACACATCTCTCATCGTCGAGGCACTGGAGCACTATTTCCCCTCCTCGCAAGGATATGGCTCTTTATATCCCGACCCCGTCGCCATGTACCGCCCTTTGATCCGAGGTTTGGCTTCATATTGGACCGACCGACCCCTTTTCCGCGTGACGACGGGTCTCATTCCAGCGACGGTGTGGCGAACACACTTTGGTACCGATCGGTCGAATCTAATCGGCCACAAGCTCAATGCCGACAAGCTCGAGCACAAGATTCCCGAGAATCTGAGTGTGTTGGATTTACAATTGAGCCTCGCTGAGCCGTTGTTCCAGACTGAAAAGAAGAAATGGGTGTTTGAAGGCGACAAGCCCAGCGCCGCCGACGTCGCACTGTGGTATCAATTGGACTGGGGCGAGAAGATCAGTCGAGGCGAGGGGATCGAGAACTTGACGGGCGGTGGGACGAGGGACGGTGATGGAGAGGGCACGGCGATTGTGTTCAACCCCTCTAGGTATCCTGGCGTGGTGGCATGGTTCGAGAGGGTGAAGAAGTATTTTGAGGAGTTGCCATCTACGGAGACGAGGGTGGAGAGCCGCGATACAAAAGGTGTGGGTGCAGTGATCGAGGCAATTAGTAGGTCGCAAACTCTACAAGAGGTTCCCTTGCTGCCGACACCATCCGGACCACACTTTGGTCTGGACGCGAGGAACGGCCTGGTCAAGGGGGTGGAGGTGAGTGTCGCTCCAGACGACACGGGAAGGGAAAGTCCGACGGTTGGGACGTTGGCGGCTCTCACGCCAGAAGAGATTGTCATTGTCCCGCAGAGGATTGACGATGGCCCTAGAGTTGGACAGGTCAGAATCCATTTTCCACGTGTCGGGTTTGTAGTCAGGCCTGTAGGTCGAGTGAGACTGTAGACAGGAATATGGATGGGAGGTGGTGAGAGATGTAACCCGTAGACAGGATTGAAATGTATTAAAAACAACGACCGTTCCCACTCAGGGCCCTACTGCGATAAGCGAGGGAGATCCAATGCTAGAAATATAATCTGAGCTCGGCTTGAATCTTGTAATACAATAATGTCCTGTGCATCAAAACACATCTCGAAACAATTCTTCATCATACCATGCATGGCCTTGTTGAAAACATAATGTCGTCAACACATTCTCCAGGCCTCCACCTATCCTTGTCCTGAAAATGGTGCTCAAGTCAAGAAAAACGGCGTCCTCCATGTTTCGTCCCTCCACATATTCCATACCTCCAGCAGTGTAGGTCGATCCAAGTCACGCCTTTGCAGTATTCGAACCCCTTTTTCCCGACCTGATTTCCAATTTCGGTGGTTTCCTTCTCGGTTTTGATTCTTCCGCCGTGTCCATTTGTACGTTACCTGTACTGACACCGCCATTCTTCTCCTTTTTGGTGTCATTCACACCATCTTGGCTCTCGTTGCTGTCCTCTTTCTTCTTCTTCGACCTAATCTCCAATTTTGGTGGTTTCCTTCTTCCATCCGTTGTCTTTTGCTGTCCTTCCCGTCCCTGACCTTGTTGCTGCTGCTGGACCGCGACTTTTCTCTCCTCCTCAATCGCGTCAACCACCTTTTCCGGATCCGCATCCTCAAACGGTTCCTCCTTCCCACCACCCAGCTTCACCCACGGCCCATGAACGGCACCGACGCCACTTCCCACGAGCATTCCCAGACCCGTACTCGGCACGGCGAGGATGGCCCCCAATACGGTCCCTAAGCCAGTGCCCAATCCCAGACCTGACGCCGCCCCAATACCACCTCCGAACCCCAAGCCTTGCCATGTTCCCGACTGCATCCTCCGGGCCATTTTGCTGTGCCCGTTGGCCTCCATTTCCTTGTCGAACGCCTCCCTCAACATCTCCTCGCGTTTCTTGGAGTTCGTCATGGCCATCGCCTTGGACTTGATGTCGTTGGCCGCCGATTGAGCCTTTTGGGCCTTTTGGAGGGACTCGATGGTTTTGAGCATTTCTTCTCTTGATGGCATGTCGTCATCTTGACCGGCCGGTGATACCTGGACATCATTGATGCCACTACCTTCATTGTTACTGTCACCGCCGCCGCCGCCAAATGCCGATTTTAATGCCTCCATTCTTCTTTTTGCTCTGTAACACTAAGCACTCAACCGAATTTACAAAAACACAAAGTAGTACAAGTAAACGCTAATGCTGACGATAATGCTGATGCTGATGTGCAGCTTGTGTAGAAAAAGGTTCACTCGAGGAACCTCTAATGCCGCTGTGATCAACCGGTTTCCCAAAAAAAAAGACAATACAAAGTACACATGACACAATACACACTTCAAACTCCATGTCGTCGTTCAAAAAGAAATACGAGAAATCGACGTCATTGTTTGTTCTGAACCCTGTTCAACAAGCTTGCAAGTTGGCTTGTCCAATCAACGATCTGTATCTGCGGAGAAGATCAAAAGGTGGCGAGGATTTCAACGACACATCTTGTCATTGCCAACGTCGTCCCTCTTTACAATCCACCCAAAAATGGAAGAACACCACGATGTGAAGATACTATTATCATTGCTCTCTATCAATAGACTACACATTCTTGGGCCAAATGGGCATACATCTCTCCAAAACCGTGGGTCCAAAGTCGATGTACAGCCACCGATGTGAACCAAGAACGTTTCCAAATCCTCCATTCACCAAGTTAACCACACAGACATATCCCGAATCAGTTTCCCCTCTGCAGCCACAATCTCCTCATCCGGTCCATCTGCCAATTTACCATGGCATATCTGCGCAATTGCCCCTTGTCAAGCAGACTTGCTTTTGGCCTGTGATAGTAGAAATCACCTGGGATTCTATTTGGTCTTGGAGCGGCGGTAGGTTGATTAATGCCACCGACAGATTTTGGTCGAGTGTCCGGCGCATCCTGTACAGTCTCACCCTCAGAACCCCAACTCGAATCTGGGATCCAATCCTCCGTGTTTGTATCAGCGGGGGACGTTTCCGAATCCAAGTCAGAGTCCGGGTCTGAACCTGAGTCTGGGTCTGACCCAGAATATGTCTCCCACCACTCTTCCGCATAGTTTTCCTCCGACACTTCCATGTGCCGTGCCACATGGTCCAGTTCTGATTCTTGGACTCTGCCTGAGACTGGAATTCCTGGAGGCAGATTCACCGACATCCATCCAGACTCAGAATTTGCTCTCTGATCCGTCAACAATTGTGCATTTTCAGACTCGGAGTGTGCTCTCAGATTCGTCAAAAGTTGTGCAGCTTCATAGTCATGGTATGTCATCTCTTGTTGGTCCAGTTCTTCAAGGGGTTGATAGGGAGTGTCACGGTTGGATGAGTCGGTTGTTCGTTGGGGTGACTGTTGCGATACAGCTGGAGTCGTTTCTTTGTCAGGCCCAGGCTCTGTCGAGGACATGAAGCTGTCGATTGAATCTCGGAGGACAGCAGCGAGCTCTTCAAGCACATCTGCAGGAGACCTCGTGTCCCTGAACCGCATCTTCTTGAATCTTTTGCAAAGACCACGGGGAAATCTGAACTTCATGTGTGTGGATTGTTTGCAAAGCGAATGGCTGTAACGAAAGTGTGTCCGGGATCGTCAAACAAAGAGGGAAGATATACAATCAAACAGTTCTCTACAAAATGTTGTATTGATACAGTTTTTAAAACAAAGATACTGTTAGCGAATGTGATGAGATGATTGAAGTGATGCTCTGTCCTATTGTCTTGTGGTTGGGAGAGTACATGAACACAATGACAGTACCTGCCGCCTTTATTAGATGGCAACTGCCTCGCATTGGTTCTATCGGGCAGTCGTAGATTCTTGGGTCTATCACAGCACCGTGTGGAAAGGTATCCAAGGAACCTATCGATGTCTCTTCACAAAGTGTAGACAGCTGGCGCTCGTTTGACAAGGAGGGGACAAGTCTTCGGAGAGAACGAGTTCGAATGCTCCTCACCATCTCCTAATAGCTGTTGCTCAAAGATATTCATTGTTCTCTATCAATGCTTGGGTTTTAGGGTAAAGCATAGCACATGTTCACGGTTCCAGTTACCACAATATTCTCGGGATCTTTCTGGTATCGCTAGGAGGGGGTGTTACTTCGGGAGTGAAGGTACACACAACCTCAGCCACGATGGTGAGCAATAGTGCATGCCGTGTGGTTCTAGAAGCCCGTGAGAAGCACTGAGGATCCCAGGAGGACATAAATTCGGCTCTCGTGGAATTGTGGTGAATATTGTTGGGTGTCCATAGGATTCCATAGGGAGCTCTTGAGGTGTAGGATATGCTGAAGCAGCGCTGTTTGGAAGTTGATGGCCGTAGCTACAGCCCTTTAGTAGTTGCCACGATAATCATCATCGTAGCGAGATTCATCACGACCCTGGTCATAGGCGTTGTCGACATTGTCACCGAATCGCTCCGCATCACCTATTTTTCCACCAGCCCAGCCAGCCACATCTTCTGGCACGTCTTCGACATCCTGCACGCCGTTGTCCCACTTGTTCTCAATGTCTTGAGGAATGTCTTCAACGTCTTGAACCTTTCGGCCAGTCCAGCGAGCGGCGTCTTCCGGAAAGTCCTCAACATTGTCGACATCCTGGCGAACGTCATTCTCAACGCGGTACTTGTCTTCGTCCCATTTCTCCTCTGCAACCTTATTAGTGTCGTTGTCAATCGTAAAAGATGCTCCTAAAAACTCCTCACCAACTTTCTCCCCTTCATGCTCCACGAATGCACCCGCAAGAGCGCCACCTAGAACACCGAGAGCGAGGTTACGACCTGTATGTGACTCCTTCTGAGGTTGCTGCTCGTAGTAGCCACCCTCATTCTGCCCGCCATAGTTTTGTCGATAGTTGCTGGTGTAGCCTCCATCACGACTTGACTGCTGGGGATATTCGAAAGTTTGCTGGCCTGTCTGTTGGTTGATGAAGTACCATCTTCCCGCTGCACCATCCCACCTCGCAACCCATGGCTCAGGAACTTGAGGAGGCTCGTTGTAGTTTTGGGACTGGCCGTAGCCTTCGTTGTAGTATGACATATTAGGTGAGGTGAATGGAGAATGATACAGGTACTGGTAGCGTGAGTTAGGTAGAATAAGGGAAAAATGAGATCAAATATCTTTCGCTATTGGATCGATGTCCGGCAGTGCTGAGAACGCTGAGAGTCGAGAGTGAGGCTTTAACGAAAGAGGGATGCAACAGAGGTTCGAGATCAATCAAACGCAGGAGTAACGACACGTTGGCCGTTTCAAGAGCAAGCGGCAAACAAGATGCTCATTGGGGCAGGATTGGAGGGGTAATTTTGTGTTACTGCGAAGCAGCTGCGCATGAAACCAGTCCTTTCTCTGTTCTGGTCCCTTGAAATTTACCTAGCTGGAGCATCACTTTCTCAAGTCCAATTAGTATAGTTGAAGATATCTACGGTGGACATACATCAACATTCTGATTCCGAAGATTCAACAATGATGAATGAAGTCGACAGCATTCATCACTGCTTATCACATCCCCGCGGTGACCTCATCACGTACACAAACAAACCTGAACAAGCCACGCCTAGTTAAAGCTTGGCGATGCTTGGGCCTGGTGAGTCCCGGGCATCGAATTCGCAACAGGATTATTGAACTCAGCTGAGGAAGCAGAATATGCTCCAGCAAACGGCAGGAACAGTGAGTGAACGACCTATAGAAGGCACTTCCATATCTCTTGACAGACAGTCTGTCCTTGATGCCTGTAAACAAACAAGTATTGTTCTTCCAAGTTTCCGTGCTTCTGCATCGTTCCCTGCGCTATCACTATTTCTTTTCCGTGATGCAAGATTGGGATTTGTTCCAAGGCAATTCGCGCTCCTGTACCCTGGTTGTTATTCTTAATACTATTCCACGGCCAACGCAAATTTCTCCTGTCGACGTTTTGGACACCCAAAATCATTGACTCCTCTTCGTAACACTGTGCGCATTCTGATAAAAGTAGAATGAGTCTCCCTAGTGGACCCTGAAAATGCTTCCATAACCCGGCCCGAGACAGAAGGTCACAACCAGTCCCAGTTCAAACCACATTGCGACATGAGCCACCAAGATCCCTCCGAAGCCATTTCAAAGACTCTCCAGGAATTGGAACACCTTTTGTCTGAGGCTGTCAAGCTCGCTGGGTCGGCAGGTATCGTTGACGGCAACGGTCGAGAGGAGGACTGGAAGCAAGAGACCACAATGCTGACATCACCAACCTCTGGAAAGTCTTGCCAGCCGTCAGAAAAAGAGTTCAGAGGGAAGGATGGCAGTCTGGATGGGGATGGCGATGGACTACGCTCGATACTACCCGATCCAATGGTAGAACAACAACATGGCAGAACAACGGGAACGTCTCCAGCGGACCAGGTTCGACAACCAAGCAAGCTTCCCGGACCATCACGCACAAGTTTTCGGAGAAAGTCGACACAGGGTGCAGGCTCAAAACGCACATGCATACGACCCTCACCCATTATACGATTAGACGACATTGATCTGAACGATGATGGCTCAGACGAGCGGGGCAAGCTGCTTGGGGCTCACCAGAATTCGGATATGCCCCGGGCAGGGCACGAGAGGCATTTCACGAATATGTTCGGAGTACACTCGAGACAAGGAAGTCTGAACATGGCTCATCCAGACTAGGTGTCCTGTTCGAAAGTCGACCTCAACGGCGTCCGACATGTTGATCTTAATGAAAGTCCCGAAGATATCAATGTCCACGATACCTGTCAGCACGCCCCAGTGGCGAGAAATTGGCCCGACTCGCGCAAGCGTTTCGCAGCAGTAGTCGCTTGTGTGAATGCAGCATGCCTTGGACTCACTGTGGGAATATATGCCGGAGAAGTCCCCGCTATACAATATGTGATTGTGGACTTGAACCGTCGGATGATATTCGGAAACGTTCTTTTCTATTGCGGTCTTATCATTCCGACCCTGGTGTGTTGGCCTTTGCCCCTTCTTCACGGCCGTAAACCATACAACGTGGCCGCTATTATATTAGCATTATGCTTGCAAATCCCGCAAGGCGTGATGGTCATCTCATTCAGATCTCCGGACGTCGACAGATACCGGGTTGTTCTACTGTTGGCGAGGGGCATGTCTGGCTTTGCCTTTGGATTTGTCAATATCAACAATCTGGCCACCCTCCTAGATGTATTCGGAGCATCACTGCAGAGCAGCCGATCGCATGAAGAGTCGGCAGATCCCTACGATGTTCGACGGCATGGCGGTGGGATGGGTGTATGGCTTGCCATATGGACATGGTGTACAACAGGGTCCATCGCGGTTGGCTTCATGATTGGAGCATTCATTGTCAGTGGTGCTTCAGTTGATTGGGGTTTCTGGACATCATTTTTGTTGTTGATGGGGGCCCTGTTGCTGAACGTCATCGCCCCGGAGGTACGTCGATCGGCCTTTCGCCGGACATTGGCAGAAGTGATTGGAGAGGGCGGAAGCTTCAGTCGAGTCGCACGTGGAGAAGTCAAGCTGCATGTCACAGGTAATGGACCATATTGGTGGGGTGAAGAAATCAAGGCTGGACTTCACCTCAGCTGGGAGATGGTTCGGCAGCCGGGCTTTCTCATTCTGTCCATATATACGGCGTGGGCATATGCTCAATTCACCTTGATTCTAATGGTGAGCATTCCGTTGCAGTCCCGCCTCGACGAAGAACTGACTCGAGATACTCAGCTGCTGGGAGCTTTGACATCTACAATTTACCGATATCGACCAATTGACGGCCCATGACCACTTGTTCACGGAATGACTCTTTGAGGTCATCAAACCTTGCGGCATTGGGCATTTCCCCTTCAATCATGGCCAACAGGGTAGCCGGGAGCTTCTCTTTTGGTGCCGTCTCGGCAACACGTATGCGATGAGGTCCTAGAACGTGTTGACGATACGACTTCCAGGGCAGGTGACTGCCATCATAGGAGGAGGGAGGCAAGTCAACCTCCACTGCGATTTCAATGATACCGGTATCTTCTGACATGGCGCAAATGTTGGCAAAGTGTAGTATCGCGGTTGATCGAAAGCTTTGCGGAACGAGAAGAAGCGTCTCAGAGGTACTTTGATCAGATACAGGTCCCAAGTGTCAGGTGTATCAGTGGAGGTCGACCGTTAATAAAACCCTAGGGCGAGGAAGAGAGAGATGAGACAGAGGTCAATGACGACCGTACCGTCTGAGATGAAAGAAAAAGCATTGGCAAGAGGGAGATAGATAAATTTCAACTTCTTTGTGAGTCCATCACCAGAGGTCATCACGCACACATGCCTCGTAAGCGCCGTCATTGCAGATAAGTCAATTGTAGAGACGATCACGACTAACACCCCCAGTCATGGCCTGCCACACACGCACACCCGGCTCAAAAGAAAGCATGGGAGGATGTTGACCACCCGCGTCTATGCTGGGCCGGCATTGGGACGGCCTGGGGAGGGAACTGTGCAGAAAGACAGCGTCCTAGCCCAAAAACAGCCAATGCGGCGCTCCTGCTCGTCGTCCATTGGGTACTGAAGCTGTGCCGAAGACGTATCTCCCTGCAAGGATTCAAATAGATGGATTCACTATTGGGTGTGATAGACGAAGATGGGGCGAGTCGGTGAGGTGTGAAGAGACAGGCGAGAGAAGCGGAGGACCAAAAGAGGCATGGCTTGGTAACTGGGAATAGGTCACGAATGCGGTGCGACAGGGAGGTAGGGAGTAGCAAACCTCACTATTGGTAGTGATTGCAGGCGTCGAGAGGCGAGAGTAGAAAGAAGCAAGGTGCTGGCAAAAAAGACACAAGTCGAAGCTGAAACAAGGACGGCGGTTAATGGGCATCATTCACAGGGCTGGCCATGTGGTCGCAGATTTGGTTGGGCTCCTGGCGGCTAAGAATAGCCCCCCTTCGCCATCGTATTGGTTGCATACCCATCCCACCTGCAGCCTCGTTTACATGCACCTCGATCAAAAAATTGTCCATGTGGCTGGCATCCACTCGACTAGAAGTACGGAGGAGACACCTACAGCTTGGTAACTAGGGAGGTATTCGTAGATAGCCTGGGTTTATACGGAGTATCAGGAGACAGAAGAGCACGACGATTCGAAAATAGATTTCCACCACCTAACCTAACTACCCAGCGAAGCGCCTCGACAACAACCACCCCTGATCCATCAGTCCAGGGTGCAATTGGCCATACCCAGGTACATGAACAATAACCCTGTGAAGAAAGTCGGGGGGCTGGCTCAATTAAATCACATTCCTCAAACAAATCACTTTTTCCGCTCCCTCTACTCTGTACTGATACCAGCGTCCGCATATCGACTATGGGGATACCCTACCGTTTCTATCCTCGCGGACCCCATTTCTCGCTATGTGAGACAATTGTAAAACTATGTACACTCTCTGCATGGTCGGAAGGCCTCCGTCCGATGGTTGGTGAGAGACGCGCTCGTAGGTACGTACCGAATATGGCGGCACGTCATCATTCTACCCTCACGCGGAAAGTTGACTTACGGACGTGCGATCCGCCAGGTCCATGCAAGTGATGTGGTCGTCATGTACGGAGTACTTTGTAGATTGTATTATATTCGCTACCTTAACGCCAACGCCTTACTCCACAGGTCCGCCGTTCCGAGTCCAAGTGATGCATCAAGTAAAGCACAATGCACGTAGCTTAGTACGGCCGAGCCCAACGAGGTAAGCTCTCTACAAAGACTTCTTTGATGACTGTCATCCGTGATTTGGGCACGATGCCAAAAGTGGCGAGCTCCGAAGGTGTATAGCGGTCTTCGGACATGTTAGCGGCCATCTGAGCGAGCTGAACTCGCCTGTCAAAGTTTGCCAGCAAATCGTACACAGATCGTAGCCTGCAGTTTTCTGCCCAGACCAATATACTGCCGAGTCTGGCGGCTAGTGCCTCAACTTCGCTCTCATTGTCGAGCTGATATGTGCGTATTACGGCAACAGCGTGAGGCAGACATCCTTCGGAGTTGTGGGTGTTCAAGCAGGCTGTTTTGCCGTTGATGGCGAGGGAGAATGACTGTGCGGCCTTGCTCATATTCCACAAGAAGTTCATGTCAGAATATACTTTATGTGGTTCTTCTGCGGCGGCAGCGAAGATCATCAAGGCGTTATTGCATGTTGCTGCGGCTCCGGCACATGCATTGCGTGCAGCGAGCATTGAATCTTCCTGTATCTCTACCACCAAGAATGGCCAAAAGACATCTGGTAGAGGCTGAGACAGTTTGTGCAGGTCACATGGCTCGTTTTTGCTATTGACAATGATACCTTGTTGAAGTTCGAGCTCTCGAGGCGTGAAAGAGCCCTTTGAGTATCCCATTGTTATCGTGGGCCGTGGTGTAGGAAGATGCATCTTCCATCCATCTTCAACTTCGAAGTCTGGCACTTCATCGGGCACACCGTCACGATAAAATGCGGTGTCGGTCCGGCACTTCATGGCCTTGTGGTCTTTGGCTATCGATACCAGTAGTGGTAGGAGTAGCTCTTTCATGTCTTTGCCGCTGACGTCGCTTCGATTGCGGACTTGCTGAGCAAATCTGCTCGCTGCCGCGCTACGACGATAGGAAACTCCGAAGGGTATGCCCAAAGAGAAGGCAAGACGACTCCATCGTTCATCGTCCATTTGCTGGTCCTCCACGATGATGTTGTTCGGCTCGAGGGTAGTAGACCGATAATCGGATGAACCGAAGGAGGTCCTCCGTTCTAAGTCACTGCCACTATGTGTCGAGGATGAATTCTTGCGACTGTGGTTGACGACTCGTGTAGAGGTCCTTCTAGAGAGAGCCATGTTCAAGGTGGGAGCGAGGGCTAAAGTCGATGTCAACGGGAGCTTTGATAGCCAGAAGCTGAAATACAAGTTAAGCTGATATATGCAGCAGGAAACATACAGCTTCTTTGACGACCTTCAGGTGGCCATCCGCAGGGCATTTATTGTTCTTTGGTCCAGGCATAGCAAGTGTGAGGTGTTGATACATGATTGAACCATGCAGAATGCTCTATTTTTGGAAGATGCCATCCAAGAAGTACCTGGAGGTACTATTGTTGATTCTAGGCGCCGTCATTGGGAAGTTCTGCAGAGCAGTAACAGTGGATAATCTAGATCAGTAGGTCAATGAACAGGCGCGCGGCAAACGGTCACTCACACCTATTGCCAAACTTATTCATGCATCTTAAGGAGTGGTGTGGGTGGTGGACAAGTGACATGTTGTTTTCGGGCTGAGCAGAGCGAGACTTCAAGACATGGTACGGATTACACGTAAGGGAAAGTAAGGTAAAGTAAGCACAATCAGAAGTGCTGCGGCGTCTAACAATACCTCTAAGAGGGAGAATCACCCGGTGTGATGCTGGACACGTTCTGGCCTGGTCGGTCACTCAGTCCTGTTAGATAAGCCTAGAGGACCCCCGCATTCTAGACCGCTCCGCTTACAGAACACACCCTGACCTCGTCGTCGATCCGTCGTACTCGTACTCCGTACTCGCACATGACTCTGACCATGACGAAAAGCCTTTAGAAATGATCGGTGAGATCAAGGGCTACTCAAAAATTATAAAAGACTCCAGAACTCAAACCACAACGATGACATGAAGCGAGCATATGTCGTGAATAGAATCTCCCTCCAACCACGACGACTCCTCCCATACTTGTACCACTCTTCTCATTTCACTTCTCTTCAACCAATTACGAGACAACCGACACCTCCCAAACGCTCTATAAGAATTGTTGAGTTCTCAACGACACCTCGTTTGACGCCGCATAAGAAGACCACCACGGAGCGGACCAACAAGATGACCGGACCATCCATCACCGCCACCTCGTCCTCCGCCCCGGTGCCGCCACCACCACCAATCACCCACATCTTAGAAACGTGCCTGATGGTCAAAGACATCAGAATCTCTACAGATTTTTACGGGAACACGTTCAACGTCAAACCTTTCTTGGACACGGTAAGGAACGAACCTTGTACTCTTTCCATTGAATGCATCTTTACCTCATCCATCATCCTTTTTTGAACCCCGTATCAAGACAAACTTACTCAACCCCCCCCCTCCGAATAGCCACGCATGTCTGGCTTCTCGCTCGGCCAGACAACGCTTCTTCTCTTCCAACTCGGTGCCACCGCTGCAGATTCCCCTATGCCAGACGGCCGCGGCACGATACCTGGCCATGGTCCATCACAAGACATACTCGACTTGCTCGAGCAGCGACCGGCGGCCACGGCAAGCGACAAGGCCACTACCGGCCTCCACCACCACTTCTGCCTCGCTGTCAGGACACCCGAAGACGTGAGCGCATGGGAGGCTTGGCTCGAAGCGAAAAATGTCAAAATCACCGGAAAGGTCGATTGGCCCAGAGGCGGGAGGAGCGTCTACTTTGCCGACCCGGATGGAAATGTAGGCGAGGTCGGCAGCCGTGGCATTTGGGAACATTATTAGGTACTGGGGGAAAGACAAAGCATCTCATTCTGTTCTGTGATCCATCAAGTTCTTTTCTTTTGTTTTCTTCTTAACCACGCCCATTCACCCCGTCCTACCTTTCCCGGTTTCATTCCATTTTCCGTGCCGCCAGATGAAGGTAAGTCTTCAGCGAGGATCTAAAAGAAAAGTGTTCGGTCTGATCAAGAGATCAAAGTCTTCACCCACCACCGACCTCATTCATAACGCCGCCGTCCAACTTCAACACCTCACCATTGACGTAACCACACCGCGCAAGAAAGATGACCCCCATGGCCATCTCCTCATCACTCCCCGCCCGCCCGGCAGGCACTTCGTGTCCTTTGTCCTTGACCTTTTCGTCGGGCATGTGGGCCTTGTTCTTCTCGTCGCTCTCCTTCATGGTCATCTCGCTCGGGAAGTACCCGGGGGCGATACTGTTGACCCTCACGCCCGTCTTTGCGAACTCCTTGCTCATCATGCGCGAGAGATGGGCGGTGGCGGCTTTCGCGGCGTTGTAGCTAAAGTGTGATTGGGAGTGCCTCATCATGCCCGACATGCTACTGATGACGATGACGCTGCTCGTCAGGGGCTCGGGGGCGCGCTGCAGCAGCGGCAAGAAGGACACGACCGAGAAGAAGACGGCGGTGACGTTGGTGTTGTACGTGGCGTTCCAGTCGTCGACCGCCTCCTTCCACAAGTTCGTCCTCATCTGGTCCGCGTCGCTGGTGTCCGGGTACCCCTTGGGGCCCGAGACGCCGGCCGCCGCGACCACGAGCGACAGGTACTTTTCCCGAGACTCGATCTCTTTCGTCAACTTCTCGAGGTCGGACTTTGAAGTGACGTCGCACGGTCCGACGGGGATGATTTCACCGTTCAGGGACTTGTCCGAGGACTTTGGCGTGTGTGTCTTTGCCGCGTTTTCGAGGACCTCCTTGCGACGACCGGTGATGTAAACTCGTGCTCCTGCGACGAACAAAGACAACGGGATGTTCAGTGAAACAAATTCCCATTGGTCACGACAACGGCAACAGAGTCATCGTGAACCCAGAGGAACGCTCAGGGTTCGTACGTACCATTGGCCGCTAATGCCTGGGTCGCCATGAGACCGATCCCAGTCCCTGAATAAAGAAGTTTTCGCTTAGTCTCATACAATTGTTCATCGATCAGACAAACAAAAAAAGGAATCAGAAAGGCTCCGAGGGAGGGAAACGTACCACCACCGGTTACCAGGCAGACGTGGCCCTTGAGTGAGAAGAGGTTGGAAATGTGAAGTTCTTGTGTCGACGCCATGTTGGCGAACTTGGGTCTCGGTCGTTGTTTGAACCGCTGATGGTGGGTTTTCTATTCTGCGGGCTTATGAAAGCGTGATTATATCTCTACAACAGTAAAATATTCTCGACATCACAATATTAAAGAATCTTTATAGGGACGTCTACATTATGGTTTTCTTTTCAGTGACGACTTGTTACAAAGTGACGTAATGCCCTGTTTGGTACTATCGATAAAGGGTCTCGACACGGAGTTGAGCTCCGCAATACCAAGATCCCCTATTTCATCTTCAGCCTTGGATCAAAATAGCACGAGGCTGTGCCACATTGCGCTGTTCGTCTCATCACTGACACCCAACTTTTGACTGAAGCTTTCACTTTGGCTTTCCGAATGTGAAATGCCGTGGGGCTTTCTCAACGTAGCTGTAACCTGACCCAGTGCCATTCTATTCTTCGTATCTCCATACTCGATTTCTCCAGCTCAATACAGTTTGTATCGCATTGAAAACCATAGATGTCAATCTTAGCACTGGAGGGATTATCGACCGTCTTGGACAATGCAGTCATGAAGTCAGGCCGTAGAACCAGCTGCAGCTCTGTGGTTAAAGCAGGGCGCTTACTCATACCTGATTGTTGGATATGCGTAGTTTGTCGTTACCTTCATGAAATCTCATGACGCGAGTGCCAATGCTGCCATTGCCCGAACACCAGCCTCTGTTTTGTGACCACCGATGAAGCCGCTCGCGTGAACAAACACAGCGCCGTCTTCGACATCACTGCCGAGGAGAGCATCCAGCTCAGCGTCTCTCACGCCCCTCCATGGCTCTGGTAAGCTCTTTCGGTTTTCAAAGCTCGACATGTCTTTGCTGACGGCTTGAATCCTCCACTTGGAGCCCGGCTCTTCCTTTTCAGGGTAGATGACGAAGAGAATCTGCTTATCTTGAGGTAGACCTGACTCCGCCTCAATATTGTAGAGATGTTCTTTCCAGGGGATCCCTGCTCGAGGAAGTACCACTAATTGGCCCGAAGGGTGAGCACTCTGTCGCGCCTCAAATGCGTCCTTGACAATGGTTCTGGCTGGAAGCCAGGCGGTGGCGGCACCATGGAGCTTGCGCAGGAAAGCATTGCCCATCAGTGTCGAGGCTTGCGAAAATCGGTGATCCTCCTCTGCCTGTGGTTGTTCGGGGGTGTCTTTCGATGGCGCGCCCACGGCCAAGGGATCTTCGTGATTCAGGTCATTCACCAAGCTTGCAAGTGTGATACCTCCAGCTTTGAACCTCTTTTCAATTCCAGCTTGTCTCAACTTTACATCGTCATACTGCGAAACACCATTGTCATTGGCGTCCACTGCCTCAACGAAGTCGTCGTATAGTTTTTGGTAGAGAAGTTCGACGTCTGGGTGGTCGAGAGGCAATTTGGTGTATTGTGAGATGATGGCTTTGCCGAAATGCATGTAAACAAGGCCGGCTGACGACAATTTGGTTTCGTGTTCGGGGAAGAAAGTGTTGAAGGTTCTTTGGTGATGATCGTATCGGTTCTTGGAAGAATCATACTCACCACCGACATCTACCACTGTATGGCACGTATCAAGCAGGGATTGATCTCGTGTTCTGACCAAGGATGCGGAGGCATAGTCTGGAAGGAGTCGCAGCAAGTAGACAGCCAATGCCTCATCGGCATGAAAATGACCATTGTGGGTGCCAATGCGAACGGGATCGGTTTTCAGTCGCTTTGATGCAGTCTCGGTAGCCATCTTGATCAAATTTCTGAACATACACAACTAAAGAGAAGAGATAGATGGTAGGTGTGGGCAAATGGTTTGCAGTGGTCTTCCAGACAACTTGAGATGAATCGTCCTGCGACTTTTTGTAGCCAAGAAATCAAACCCGGGGCTGGAGATACGTTTATCCGAAATACCGGGAGGCATGAGATTACTACAGTAAGGCATGTCGACAGAGAATGTATGAGAACTTACTGGCAAGGGTCTCGTAAAGAGTGTTTACTTTCCAACCTACGGAGTAAATATTGCATACCAATCTGAGATACTCCATAAGGTACCAGCGATTGCCATTGAGATTTAATCTAAAACCGCTGTAGCATTCTGAAAACATTCACCCTCCATTTATCATGCTTGGTCAAACCAGTGAGATGACCGTTTGCTGTATTACGGTACCTGTATCTAGTCCATGTGTAGATTAGTTGATGCCCTCTACCGAATCAACCAGACTGTTTGAGGCATAGCAGTCTTCAAGGAAGAAGAGGGTCGTCGCTTTGGTTCCTACCTAGCCTCACCTACTCCGTATTGTGCAGTACAGTAGGTTCGGCGCCAGCTGGAAAAGCCCACAGCAATTCAAACCGTTGGTTAGTCTTTCTTGCGGTGAAGAAGGGCGCGCTCCCCTACTAAGTTTTTAATAACGATATACTCCATACAGTAGAGGAAAGAATCCGGAACAATAAATCCTGCCTTGTTCGTCTGTGCTCAACGAACGTCTGGAAATATTTGTTGGACGGAAGATGTTGTTGGTGCCTGGCTAAATAGCAGATCAAGGCAGTTCGTTATTCATCTTCCCTGTTGTGCCCAATTTTGCCCTGCATTCTGGTTAATAAAAACCCTGGGAAAAACCACCACCACTCGCCAACCGTCGTCCATCATCCTCGCACTTCCTCACCCTCTTCCCTGCTCTCACAATCTCGTGAAGTGCACGCGACATCTCCGCCTTCTGCCGCTCCTTCTGCCTGCAAAATCTGTCAACTCATCCTTATTTCTTCTATCCATTCCAGCATCCCTCTGTCCGGCCCTCAGACCAGCAAAATTCCTCGTCGAACAACCCCCGGAATGACATGTGAAAATCCGCGCCTCGACAAAACTGTGATTTCCTGGAGACCTGTCTAACAAACAAGGCTGCGTCACACCATCCGACTGTTTACGTCCTATGCGATCAACTGCATATTTCTTCCTTCTCACCATCGAGGATTTCAGCGATTCTGCGCTCCTTCACTGAACGAAGACACGAACGTTCCTTCACCGACCGAATGTTCCTCCGAGCCATCTCCTCGTTGTTCTTCCTCACGCTCATTATTTTACTGGTACCCCTCACTTTCGATATCGGCGGACGCGATGCTGGCCTCGGATTCTCTCTGTCGGTCGCGTCGTTCTACTTCTTCCTCTCGTTGTTGCGCATCTCGACTCCAGAAAGTTCTACAGTCAGGAGAACCTTGATCAATATACTGCGAAGTCTACAATGGTTGATCATACCCAGCCTGTGTATCTGGGCGCTGGGAAGATTCTCCGTCGACGCGAACAACAGTGGCCGCTGGGTGGAAAGAACCTTCAGGAACAAAAAAGGATTTCTGGACGCACACAGCAGTCTTTCTGACGCTATATTTGGCCCGGAAGGCTTGATCGAGAACGTGACGGTTGGTGGATGGGACCTGCTCTTGCGATGGTCATCTCCCTTCTTTCAGTTACTCGAGGGATTTTGCAGTCTGCTGGTCATCCAAGCCGTTGGCCAGTTCTCCAGATGGCTGGTCAACCGGAGCGAATGGAGTGATGCCTGGCTTCTGACGCTCCTGGTATCGGCCGCTGGGGTGGTCTCGAGCTCAGTCTATTTTCTATGGAGAGTCTTGCAATTTCCCGACATCTCGAACATAGATTCGACCCTCATCGGTATCGCCATCGCGTCGGCCATCTTCCTCTGCGCGTACGGCGTCGTTTCAGGTCGCGGCACTGCGATGGAGTCGTCTCTGTTGTTCGCCTACATTGTCCTCTGCATCTACCAAATCTTCACCGACTATAAGCCGAATGTCCCAGTCGATGCGGGCACCGCCTCTTCAGCTCCCGATTTCCCACCTTTCCCGCCCATCATCATGTCCTCATACACGGCCCTGATGCATGCCCTGTCGCAGCTACCAGAAGCTTTGGTGACTGCTTTGGACTTCACCGTGGCAGCATTCCGAGCCGTCACTCCTTCTGTCCTCATCTCCCTCGGATACCGCCTCTTTGTGTTCTATGCCTCGACTCGAATAATCCCAGCTGTCAATGAAAGTGGTGTCCGAGGCCTGAGCATGGAACCGAGTCTGGACGACAACGATGCCGGAAACCGCTTCCTTGCCTTCCTCTCCTGGTTCTCTCCGAGTATACTGATTGCAGTATACACTAGCCTTCTGATGCAGCATTTCGCGACCACAATTGGCGGATACTCTCCAGGCCTCACAGAGTCAATCAGTGCCTGGTGGAGCGGAAATGGCCAACCCGGGGTCAACGGCAACGCATGGAAATGGGTGAATTTGGTCATCACCATGGGCCTATATGCGGTCGAACTATGGCTGGGCAAAGAAGAGGACATTGATGGAGGGCATTGGAAGGTTGATTGAAAAAGAGGATGCCAAATTTCCGAAGATCTGGACCCAGCAAATGATCATGAATTCAAATGATCCAACACCATAAACAACGGCACAACGGCCGTTGTCGTTTGCATATTTGGAAAGCAGTCGGTGCGAACAAAACAATCCCGAATCACGACCACCCCAGGAAACAGGCTGCATTAAACAACTAGCAAGTGTGAGGACTGAGTGTGACTTCACAACACGGTAGATGATGAGGTATACGATCCCGCGCAAGCACAGTTCAAGAGTGGAAGGGTGGAAATGAGAAGAAAGCAGACTCGATCACAAATTCTCTTTGTGAGATGCACTCAAAAGCTCATGCGGAACCAAAACCATCGAAGTGGTAGGAAGGCGTGGTTGGAAGGATAGATAGATAGAGATGGGGGTTTTTCTTTTGCCCTGAGCGCATGAGCCGAAGGAGTCAGGAAGCGAAGAGCGAGCTCGGTGACGCGGACACACAATGAGAGCGGAAGATACGGGGATGATGAAGTTGACTAGGCTGAAAGCAACAACTTACACAAATGTCGGGTTGAAGAGATACTCTCTGTACAGTTCGACTTTCTTCATCAATCAAAAGAGGACTAGGACAAGCAGAACGAAAGAGAACGAACGATCGAAAAAGGCAAAACAGAGATAATGAATAATCATTTCATACTATGAGACGAACGAAGACAAACGCCCCTCGCCCCAGCTGTCATAACATAGCATATCGTAATGTGACCAGGTCCGCGTGGACTGTTTTTTTGTGTGATTTGTTTGGTTTCGATTTCGGATTTCCATATACCTCCCGCCTCCTCCCCCTCCTGGAAGGAATGAGTCTCAAATTGTGAATTGAAAGTTCCAACAGGTCGTACACTTGGTGCCGGCTTTGCTGTTGCGCAGAAACTCCATCGCTATCGATTTCGCTTTTTCCCTCTCTCCTTTCCCTTCCTTTCCCTTTCACGTAGTCAAGGGCCTCGCCTCTCAGCTCAGCTTTTTGTGGTACTACCTAGGTAAATTGGCCCCCATTGTTCAAGATTATACGAGGGACGACGCCCGAAGCATTTCACTCCGTGGATTTTGAAAGAAAGAAGAAAAGGTCGGCCAACTGGAGGGTGGACATTTTTTGTGCCACCTCCCACATCTGTACGAGAGTACAAAGACTCTGGGGATTGGCATGTCGTCCCTGCCTATCTGCGAATAGGAATGCCTTCTCTCTTGGTGGGTGGACTGACGCTTCCTTCGAGACCCGCCTTGTCAGCTCTGGCATGGCCGCCGTCCATGTTCGCCTCGTCGATGCTCGCACTCCTGGCCAGGAAGCTGCTCTCCTTGACGGGGCTGCGGCCGGTGGCTCCTGGGAGTCCACCACCCGGGATTCCGTTTATGCTGCCGCGATGCATGCCCGCGGGACCCGGGAGCATGGTTTGTCCGTCAGGGCTGGACGCCAGTGCGGCCGACCCGGCCGCGCCCGAGACCGAGTCGTTGCGAGAGAGTGTGTGCATGAGAGGGCTGGTGTGGGGGATCTCTTCGGCCTTGGGGTGTTCGGTGCCGATGGTCGTGACACCCGTATCTGAAGCTTTGCCGGCTTTCGAGAGGGCGTAGTCTCCTGAGTCGAAGTACTTGCGCTCCTGCGATCCATGTCAGGGGTCTGTCATGTTTACCGTGCGGGTTCGAAAAGAGAGGGGTTGTACCTTTAACTTGTTCTGCAACAGATCTGACTTGTTCGGAAGCTTGCCATAGAGTCTGAACAGTCTTTGCTCGTCCGGAGACAGTTTCTTGAAACGTTTCATTAGCAGACAAGCCGAGCAGTCATTTGGGAGGGTTTGTGCATACGTTGATGTCGATCTTGTTCTTCTGGTGTGGATTCATCTTGCTCTTCCCTCGTCTCTCTTTGTCACTTCAATGATTTATCCAGCGGCGTCAAGGGCAGCACCTTCGGTGATGGGTGAGAGAGCAGATCCCTCGGCCGATTGAGGCTGTGGCCTCGAGTTGATGAAGTCGATGGTAACTGAGTAGAGTCCCAGGCGTAAGGTAAATGGCCCAGAGGATCGAAGCGAACAAGGAGGTATGGATCAAAATTTACGGATCGTTCGAGTCTCGAAGGATGGAAGGAGGAAAGATGGAGGAGGGGTTTCCGTCAGTGGAATGGTCCGAGCGTTTTTTCGCTCCTCAAAGAAGTCAATGACCTCGAAAAAGAACACAAACAGTAGCTTGGGGGAGAGACTGAGAGAGATTCGGAGGGAGAATTCCGTGATGGTGTGTGCAGTGAAAAGAAGCACAAGGGGCAGAAATGTTTCCCTTCGCCAATGTCAGCAGGATGTTTTGTGTTAAGGTGGGGTCAAGATGGTTGTTCCGTGAATGTGTTAGTTAGTTGCCTTGGTGTCGTGTTCTGGGTGTCTGGGGTAGAAGATGATGGTGTTGGCTGACGGTGAAAGAAAGTCGGGCATTTTGGGCGCAGCCTCGCTAGTAACACGAAGTGACAACCTCCCCCGGCCAATCAACGCAGCCTCGCTTAATAATCCCGGTCTGCTAATTACCGTAGTGTCTTCGTCAAACTTGCCCAAAGATTTCACAAGATACTTTTTTTTCCCTGGCGACCATGGCAGGGCTTGTGATCAAGGATTGAGGGTCAGAGAAGCCGGAGAGCCTCTTGCCAGCATGACTCACTCAAAGTACGCCTTCGTGGTCGAACATCTTGACCCAGAGTTGGGCCCTTGGTCTGCTCTGGAATACAAGACCATCGCTAAGGAATCACAAGACTCTGGCTGTCATTTCATTCTGTCTTCGGTGCCTCAATCCCTGCTCAAATCTACAGACTTGAAAGAGATCCAGAGAATAGGTGGAGAGGCCAGGACAGACAGCATTGAAACTTATTATGCAAGCAAGAAGGGAAAAATCTGTCTTCTCGATCCCGGTGCGAGCGAAGAATTGAACCCTGCCGATGCCCAGGTATTCGATACGTTTCTGTTTGGGGGGATATTAGGTAGGTCCATGGAAATGAAAGATGTTTTGATATGGACGATACTGATATTGTGGAAACAGGAGACGACCCACCACGAGGTACGTTGCTACAACCCAACTTGGTGACTTCTGAGCGTTGTTGACCCGGTTGTTCAGACAGAACCAGTGAATTGCGAAAGAAAGGCTTCTCCGGCAGACGACTTGGACCGAAGCAGATGACCACCGACACAGCTGTACGAGTGACACGGACGGTGATCCTGAACCAGAGTACGCCGATACTCCTGAAAGGACATTTTCGTCGAGTTTTGCCTAACTATCTTCGCAGTGCCTCTTGACAAGATTCCATATGTAGATTACCCGGAACTCAGGCTGGACGAGCACGAGACGACAGAGATGCCGTTCAGATATGTGACGGATGCATCAGGCAAGCCGATAATGCCAGAGGTTTGTGGAGACACGTGAAGATCTCAGGGTTGGAACTAACCTTTTGTCAGGGCATGATCGATCTTATCAAAGCCGATGCTGACAAGGCTTTTGACAGTCTTGAATTTGTCGACGAGGTTGAAGGCATGGAAAACATGCAGGTCAACCAAGGTTAAAAATACTATCACGAACTTTCAGCTTCGACGTGTTCCACGCGACTGCCATCGACAACAGCGAATGAGCACATGGGAGTCTGCTTTCGGATAGAAATTCAGTTATGATGATCATCTGTTTCTGGATATGGCGAGGTTAGCATGCACGGTTCCAAAACGCGCATCATTAAAAAGGCACCCAGGAAAGCCAGCTACTCGTACTTTGCCGAGTTGAGCCGACTTATACTTGACACGCCATCAACGTTTGAACCTGGCATGGGCTGAGCTGAATAAATATGAAGCTATGCGACTTTGTCAACACAGATTCACAGCGGCCATCAAGACTACTCGGAGCCAGCACTCAGCCAACGATTCTGAATGTGCCACCAACTTAGGCGAAGATGAGAGTCTAGCGAGGGCATTATATGTAGACCTGACGATCGAGCCGCAGCACGTCTACTCAGTCAGCCTCCTCAGGCTGCCGTGCTCCCATTCTAGTTCCTGGTTTTGAATTGGGTACATCTAGAGTTGGGAAGAGAAACGAGTTACGAGCGCACGCATCGAGATTGAACTACTTGGCTTGACCGATCCCGTATTATCTACCTTTGAATAGAGTGGTTGTAGTGTACCACAATCTTGAGACCTCATGAGTGTCTCGTGTTGTATGCTGGATTCTGTATTCTGTACTCAAGTGTGTCCATCTGTGACCAACGCCAAGAAGCTCGATCTGGGACACAGTGGGCGGGCGATGAGGCGGGGCTGACCGAAGAAGCGCCTCCCGTGGAGTCACTTTGCGAACTTTTTTTTTAGTTGGTCGCAGTCACGTCGCCAGCTGCGATTTTTGGGCTCCTGTGAAGTTCGATTTTGAAGATGTGACACTTTTATAAATTCAATAGACCAGGCATAAAAATCGGCTCTTCCTTTTTGTTAAATACCTACTTAACCTCTTGATACTCCCCCTCCTTTAGACTCGAGTACATTGTACCTTTTGTCAGGATCAACACGCAAAAATGGTCGAAAAGGTCTACGTAACGTACAATGAGGTTAGTGGCACGGTGTTTGCCCATCGTCGCATGCAAAGTGTCTGCATGCCACAATGGAACAGGTAGAATTGACAAAGGCCCTTTAAAAACCAGATCCATAAACTGTGCCAGACATCGGCGCCCAAGATCCTCCAAGATTTCCAGCCGAATCTCATGATCGCAATCGGAGGTGGTGGTTATGTTCCTGCACGAATCCTACGGTACGCCTTCTTTTCGCACTCCGCAGATGCACCAGCAATGCAAATAGCATACGTGCAAAGGGGGGCAGAAGCCATAGAAGGAGCCGAAATGAAATCGAACTGACATTTGTGTCTATGTGACTGTCTAGATCATTCCTGAAGCAGCCAGGCGCTCCCAACATCCCCATCCAGGCCATCGGTCTCTCCCTCTACGAACAGCTCCCCAACGCCGGACCCGTTGAGGCTCCAGGCACAAAAGTCACTCGGACACAATGGCTCGACCTTTCGTCCCTCGAGATGTCCAACCTCATCGGCAAGAACGTCTTGATCGTCGACGAAGTGGATGACACCCGAACGACTTTGGAATACGCGGTCAAGGAACTAGAAAAGGACGTCGAACTGGCCAGGCAACAGCAAGGCAGGACCGAAAAGACAAAATTCTCCATTTTCGTGCTGCATAACAAGGACAAGGTCAAGAAGGGACAGCTCCCGGAAGACATGGTCGATGAGAACCGGTATCTCGCAGCCGTCACCGTCCCCGACGTTTGGATCTGCTATCCCTGGGAGGCGACTGACATTGACGAGCATGATCAGTTGGCTGCTCGAGGCACCAAATAGGTTTTTGGGATCGTTAGGTATCTAGTTTCGTTTTCTGGTTTTCCCTTCCTTTTTTTCTGGAGAGGCTAGGAATGGCATACAACAAAACACATGACCGAACAATGGTTTTTTTTCCCAGCCAAAGTAATGTTTCGTTGAATGCTCCGCTCTGTGCTCTGTGTCGGACAGAAATGTCGTTCATTTGTGCCTCTTTTAGTCCCAGCGCACTTTTCTCTGATCCAGGTTCTTCTTTGCCACGTCGATTTGTCCCATCAATTCCGTGTAGGCTTCCTTGGTATCGTTGAACTTCAAGACACCCAGTCCCAATCGTCCCAAGAGGTATGCGCCCAACGAGATGACAGCCCAGAAGGGCAGAACGGGAATGATCTCGACCTGGATTTTGGTTGGGAGGATGGACGGAACAGGCGAGTCTGGTGTCAACAACGGCAACGCAAGTAAAAGGTATGCCTGGTGATTGCGAGCTACGTCAGTTTTGTAATCGTTGTTATACGTGATTGAGTACGGCGTAGAAAGTTTTGGGAACGCACCGAAGAGACCAACAGAGTAAAGGAAATAGTTTGAGCTGCGCGACCCATTGTTACCGGCTGGAGGAATTTCAGGGCTTCTGCAATATTTGAATAACGTTTCGTCAGGCTTTTTGATTGAAATTCTTTGTGCTTCTGGGTACGCTTTTTTGGTCAGTGTTGGAAAACGACGCGACGCAATGGGCAGACAGGAGACGTGTCTGGATCAATATTGTATTGGTGTTTGGGAGGACATGGGATGCGAAGTGTCGATATGCTCTGCCGTAGTGTACTTGGCAGCTCCAACCATAGGACTGTTTTCAAACCACCCCTTAGCTACCTATTCACGACTCTGCTGTTTGTGCCACCACTTCATTCACACTACGGAGTATGGAGTAGTTGATCAAAGGCCCTCACTGTCCCAAAACTCCCTTGACGGCATCAGCTCCTGCCGTCGCGCCAGCTCCAAAGATAGCAGCCCCTCCGAATCGCTTTGGAATGCTTTTCAGAAATTCACCATGCTAAGTATGGTCAATCAATAGGGGAAACCTGACCAAGTGCACTGGTTCTCTCACATGTGGATGATCAGGATGGGCAGGGTGATCGGGATTCTTTGAGTTCTTATGGTGCTCCTCAAGGATCTTCTTGTCCTCTTCACTTAGTTGTTGAGTTTGCTGCTTTGAGGGACTGTATCAGTATATGATTCGCGTGGAAGGTAAGACTACTGGCGATGGAGAGGTGTCTCGAGTACGAGTAGTTATGGTGTTATACATACATCTGGCATGATGGATTGTGAGTTTGTTCAGGCTGGAAAAAAAAAGCGCTTCTTTCCAGGTGGAAGAATGATCTGTGAGAAGTAGTGATTTTCGTTTTGATAGGATCTTAGATTAAAGATCCATGCAGTTCTCACACGAAAGATATATATTATCACTCGTCTGGTTGGGAAACCCTCGAAAGTGTACGAACTACAAAGTCAGCGACCTGGAAAGTAGTCGTAATGCTACGTTGATGTCATCTACTATCGAATCCTTGTAAACGCAAAACGTCAAAGCCTTTTGGGCTGTAGAGGTTCGACGGTCTACGAACAAGATGACATCAACGTTTGTACCTACAGGATATATCAAGTTGCAGCGTATCACCAGCTTCAGCTCATGGTTGGTTTTTCGGAGATATTCTGACTTCATTCACCACGGGCCATTGAGAAACTTTGGTGTATTTTCCATCCCAGCTGAAAATCACTGGACACCACGTAATAGCCGCCGCTAGTATTCGTGTGCAGCATTTGTATGGATAGAGGTACAGTAAGGGCCTTCGGGTGAGGCCGAGGGGGGCATACATCATACAGTTGAAGTTGTGAGTACGAGTACGGAGTCACTGCAAACTACACATACAGGTCAGGGAGTATCACCGTACTACTCGGACTGCTAAGCATAACTATTTCTATACGGTCGACTATAACAACCACAAAATGTCGCCATGTATGATTGATCAGCCTCGCAATCCATGTCCATAGCATTCGGTCAAACCAAAGGATCATTTCCTAAGGAGTACAATTACAAAACACATAATCATATAAGAACCGCTTGGATAGTGTTACGAGGAGACACACACCCGACCATCCTGGCAATATGATGGCCTGATTATTCCCCCAACATCTTTGTCTGTGGATTGCTTTTCGACTGGTGAAACGATTTGCAATGATACCTTTACAACTTGATCCTATTTCGGCCATTAGGTGCTCATAGAATCCCGGGTCGACTCAATCAGATCCCGTTCGGGGTCAGTGTCTAACAATGGCCACCGACGAGTCGCAGCAAGCCTGTGACTATCTCCTCCGGGTTTTGATCGAGCAAGCTAGACAATCACCAGGCCTGTCAAATTCGCCGTATTATGTTGCCTCTTGCACGGCACTGAAGGACGTCGTCTCCTCCTCAACTCCTGACGGAGTCAGACGGTCCATCGATGTGTGCATGGACAATTTGACCAAATATTTTGACTTTGTCAGTCTTCAACAACAACGACAACTCGACGACGACGACGACCCGACATTCAGTATCTTCTTGGCCAAAGTCACTCGTGAATCTCCCTTTTGGCGACCAAGATTTGGAAAACCACCTACCAGCTCTCAGGTATCAACCGAACAACAACAAAAACAAGAAGAGCAACACACTTCAGAGTCAATACTTCCGGACTGTATCTTGGAAGTGGCAAGACGTCTCATCGCCAGAGCATCAGTGTCCTCATGGGACGAGTCGAGAAGGGAACATGTCCGATCCGCCCTCCGTTTGATTGCAAACTGTTGTGCAGACAATGACGCCAATCGAGATATTATTGTTAAGCGAAACGGTATCAGAGCCATGTTGTTGATGGCGTCCAGTAAGAAAGAATGTGGTCTTCTGATACCGACAATGTTCAACGTCTGTTACCAATACAGATCACCTGCCCTGGCTGAGGATGGTACACCATTACCCTTGTTGCATGAGACCGGAGAACACACGCACGAGCACGAGGTTGACGACGCCGGAGAACCGACAGTCAACCTTGCGGAACAAAACCTCGCCATCACTCCAATTGAATCTGTGCCGGGCCAAAAAATTAGCTCAAGCTCAATCGAAATCCTCCTCGGAATGCTCCCATCCGCCGAACGTTGCATTGGACTTTTGGCGGACCTGGTGGAAATGGCAAGCCATATGGCCCTGTACGGACTCAGTCACATCATTGCTGTTCCAAGAACCCTCGAAAATGATCCAGAAGATCAACGGTCACAACATCTCAAAGAATCGTGCTCGAGACTTTTGAAAACTCTACTCGCAAAAGGCACCAAGATCATCAAGGACGAGCAAGACACCCAACTTTCAATATGCCAAGCGGCTCTAAACGTCCTCTCACAGCCAGAAAGTCACGAAGCCATCATCTCGTTCGACGCATCATCGGCGGCACTCTGGAGTCTCATCCACCTGCCCTATATCCGCGGAGACGACGAGGATGACGACGACGACGGTCAGTCAAGCGCTGATGAACACGAAAACATTGCCTCAGAGACGCTAGCTCCATTTAGAAAGGCTTTTCTCAAACTTGTCTATCAGATCTCTTCGCTCGAACCGTACGCGGAACAATCCGATCCAGACTCTAAACTGGTGCGCGACTGTATCGAGGCTCTTGGTACACGATTTCGCTCTGACAAACCCAGCACCCGCTCTGATGGCATTGCGCGGCACTCGAGTGATGCCGGCGGCCTTTGGGCCAGCATGTGCGTCCTCGTGGCCAACAGTATCATCTCGACTGCGCGTGCCGTACGCCTGCTCGAGTCGACCGGCCTAGCGAGAGTCGTTTGCAACATCCTAAAGCAGACTTCCGATAAAGAGCTTGTCCTCCCTGCCGTCGACGTTGCCACGCGCCTGGCGCTCAGCCCGGAAGGTCAGGACGCATTGTGCGAGCGAGGGCTTTTTTCGGTTGTCCGACGACGTCTCTTGACACCGACACCGACGGGCGCAACCGACGCTCTCGGCGTCGAGATCCAGCGCCAGTCAGTCACCCTCGCTCGACTTTTGATCAAAGACCGGCTCGCGACCAACTTCTCCTCCGGCCTGGCTCCAGAACCTGGGGAAAGGAGCACAACAACGACTTTGTTGACGTTGTTCGAGGCCACCAAGGACGTGCGAACCAGGACCGAGATAGGTCGATTCTACATTGAGATTCTGCGGACAGGTTTCAAATCCAGCCAAACGTCCTTGCCCTCGTCTTCGCAGGCGTCCGAGGGCGGCGAACTGCTCCCCGGTATCATCTGTTGCCCAGACCCTAGCCTGACCGCCACGGTCGCCGATGCTATCGCTTTCATCGTCACGCAGCCACAGTCACAAGACTCCACAACACCTTCAACACCATCCAATTTGACGTTGCGGACCGAAGCGGAAGCCTGGTTCGGTCTGGGTCTCATGTCCACCATTCCCAACGCTAGATCTGAGATTATAGCTACTTTGAGCCGTAATGACCAAGAATTGCTAAAGGCCCTAGAAACAATCGTACATCGAAACAACCCAATAAGAGAAACAGGGACCGAAACGGATGACATTGTACTTCGTTCTAATTCTAACACAGCTCCAAACGACGACGATCCTCGGTATAAAAATATAAGAGTCTTGGTCGTTAATTTGCTCGGACAAAACCCCGACAGCGATAGGAAAGATGGAGGAAAAGTCGTGGAGAATAGAATCAGAAAAGCAGCAGTTATGATGGGTCTTGGAAATGTTCCGTCTTGAGATCAATCTCTTGTCAAGCCCTCAAAGAAATCATGATTGGTTTGTCCGTGGTTGTTGTGGAGGTTGAAGTGTCCGTATGATCGCTTTGACATTTTCGTTCTTAGTCTAGGACAATAGACCTTTTCATGACTATTGATGACGTCCATTACATTAGCAAGTTTCCCTCTTGAGTGACAGCTGACAAAACGAAAAATACAATAGAACCCGCAACTGCAACTTTCAACCAGGCAAGACTCCAGTAAATAGGAGGTCATCACTGTCTCCGCGACAGCCAGCCAGCCAGCCAAGGGAAGAAGAAAGAAATCACACATGTTTCAAACATAATACATACCGGTCTCGAAGATCCGACCGTCGAAATGACTTTGCACAGTGACTGCACCGATAATCCTCTCCATGCTGATGATTCTGGTTATTATGCAACGATTATAGTTAGCCCGCATATACTCTTCTCGATTAGACCTTTGCCAGTCCTGGGGTGGTTGGGAACGTACACTTTTGACGTGACGGTTCAAGCACCCTCCTCTTCTGTATTGTTTCCCACAGCCGCTGACCGGGCACGCTAACAACTTAGGATGACCGTCGTGCGTGGTCAAGTGAGACCTCAGGGACGACCTTTTTTCAAAGATCTTGTCGCATTGCGTGCAAGAGTGAGGTCCTGCGTGACTCTTTTCGTGGTTGCTGAGCTGGTATTTTTCATGGTATCTCTTGCCACAGACTGTGCATTCGTGCTGTCCGTCGTGCTCGTACATGTGTTGTCTGAGATCGCTGGGTCGATCGAACTGCGTGTTGCAAATGAAGCAAGACGCCGGGTGTCTCGGTCTAAGGCGACTTTTGTTTTCGGGTGTTTCAACCTCGACGACAATTCCAGCCTGTTGCTCACTCATTCGAGGAAAGGGGTCGGTGGTGGTGGTGGTGCTTGGTCCCGGCTCGGAGGGAAGCATCGAAGCTGTTGTTGCCGTCTCGTTGAGCACATTTTGCTCGGTACCAGCCAGTACTGCGTAGGTCAAGGTTTCAAAATTTGATGTCATGCAGCTGCCGGGTTCGGAATGGCTCGTTGGTACAACAGTATCGCAACATTCGAATTCGATTCCGTATGGTACCGAGGATGATGACATGCTGTTGTTACATGTACCATCATTCAGACTCGAAATGTCAGACGTCAGATCCGTGAAGCAGCCACTGTCCATGATTCTGTATTGAGCTGTGGTGGTGGTTCCCTGTTGTTGCATGTGCGAAATCCACAGAAGTGATTGGGAAATCGCAGGTGCGCTCTGATGAGATTGAGGACCGCCGAATCCACCCTGCTGCCACATATAGCTGTCGCCATCCATATCGGTTCCTTCGGCTGTGCCAGCGCTAGTAAAAGGAGCGAAGTTTTCAGGATTGTTCCAGGAGCAAGGTTCAGGAGGGGATGTGATCGTGGTCGTGAATGGCATGATGGCAGTGTCCAGAGTTGGAAATGGCCACGGATGGAGATGACTTTGCCATTCGTATGTATGGTCGACTCGTTGAACAGGAAGTCTATCGTCAAAACCATACGATTCGGAATATTGAGAAGGAGGCGATATGTTGCGGTCCAGAGACGAGGGATGTAGATAGTGCCTATGGCCAGATTGACAGATTGACGATTTTCGTAGATCTACAGGTTCGTCGTTATCGTTAATAAGGGACATGATAGCCGAAGGAGTTGAAGGATTCGGGATTGAAGGGGTCAGACACTCTGTCGAGATATCGGCAAGCATAAGAGTCATATTTTCAGGAGTAATTACGATATGTAAATTGCTGAATGCATCGGTAGTCGGTTGTGGTCGAGATTATCAGGAGATAAATGCAAAGAAAATGATAATGTGCTCGACCCTTGTCCTGCGCGCTCCACGATCTCATGCCATACCAGTCTGAGGAAGTAAGCAATGACCGAGAGAGAGCAGTTGTCCAGGCAGTGCTGCTTCAATGGGAGGCGGTAAACACCAAGAGATAACCTGAATGTCTCGAAGGACCTCGACCTCACAAAAGGACGCAACCTATGCGGGCCGGAACAGAAGCGCATCGAAGAGTGACAAGCTGCGGCAACAGTCATGCACCGGAAGTGCAAGAACTCCAATACCCGCATTGCAAAATTGCACGGCGAACCATACATTGGAGCATGTTCTAGGTTACACCTGGTCGAAAAAAAAGCCGCCTCAACAAATACCAGCCTCGGACGTATCGGTAACATGCTGGATTGGATGTCTGCCGGTGTTGAGGTCAGCAGAGTGGGCTTCCTGTCAGTGGGCCACACTTCAACCAAAGTTTACAGCGTCTTGACCCCGCAAATACTGGACCTTGTAGTGATACTGTGCTTCCCACTAATGTCCTAGGGGAGGTGGGAGAGCGAAGAAGCTGCAGGCGTGGTGTCTGTCCGAAAAGGGTGGCTGTCAGTCCTTCTGCTGGCCGGCCACCATGGCAGTCAAAGCATCGACCTGAGCGCTCAACTTATGAACAAGGGCCATAAGCTCAGTATTATCGGCACTGCCCGAGGCAGATTTCGTGGTGGAACCTGTCACGTCGGGATTCCTCGTTGGAGATGTATCATGAAGCGCGCGTCGACTCATTGGAGACTTGACAAAATCTTGGGCACCACCAAGACTGAACTGACCTGCACTAAGGGGTCGGCTTGTCAAGTGCGGAGCCTTACTTATGGTGGGATGAGCACGAGACACCATGCGTATTGATTTCTCGTACGTCCAAATCATGGCGAGGAAAGGGACATGGGTGGCTTTGAGCATGGCGATGCGTATCCGGCGAACGTCTTCAGAGGGGAGCACTAGCCGGAGTGGTCGCAGCAAGACCAGCGGGAAGAGGTTGAGCGGCGGCAAGAAGTAGGTCAGTCGCCGGGAAGTACTGCTTTCGAGGACATAGATGGAATATTGGAAGAGGTATTCCTCCCTAGCATGAGCCATGACCTATTGACCAATTAGACCTGGGCTGATCTGCACGGCGCTTAGACTTAGGGGGTCGCGTCTATGCAACCACCAGGGTCATACGTGTTCACGCCAGGGCAGATTTGAAGAGGATAAGGAACTTACCTCCGTCAGAGAGTTCGAGACTAATGACACGAGTGAGGTGATGAGCAAGATGTTGGTCAAGCATACAAAAATCAGCCTGTGGCATAGCCCAAAAAATTAGCAAGCGTCTCTCAACTGGGTTGGGATATAGGTCACGGCCATCCGGCCACTGCGTTGAGATATTGAGGACCAAAGGATAAGCGCCCATCTCCCTCTCAGGGCTGAGCATCCATTTCAAAAGGACTTCAGGGGAAGCGGCAATGCAAACGCACATCAATGTGTACCCGAACAATGGAGAAATCTGTGGGTAATAACATAGTGAGAACCGAGGAGTCTTGAACGCAACAAGGCACAATTGGGCAACATACCTTGACGGCCATATCGAACCCAAGATAGCTTGATCTACACGGCTCGTCAGTATGGGTGAAAATTGCATACTAAGACCTCGTACCCGAAGAAGACCTTGATCAGCATCCATGACATTTCGTTGAGCGTCATCCGGTCTCTAGCGAGCATAGTGAAGGTAGTTAAAAACCCTGGTACCAGTCGTTAATAGGTGTAAAGAATATTCTGACACCCTCCTTACCTAGGTATAGCACAATGATGACAGGCAGGAATTTGCAGAATGCTTTGGTCTAACATCTATCAGATCCTTGCCGTCCACAGTGAACCACATATACAAACCATTTCTTTCAGTACGGGGATCTTGTCGAAGCGATCAGCAAAAGGTACTGCAAGATTTCAAGTCTTTGACATACCAAGCTTCCAAAATAAGGATTCAGGCTCATAACCGAAAAGATCCTGTCATGTTCAGTCTCTAACCCTCTGCGACTGAGAAATGGACACACCTCGGCACAAGAAATAGGGCGACCATGGACAAGATATCAAACGCCACGTCAATAAGATAGTCGCTCTTTCTCACAAGGCCAATAACTCCTGCGTGTACATTAGGAAGCTGCGAAATAACCAGCCTACCAGGATAGACTCACTCATTACGACAAAAGCCGCGCTCACCCCAATTATAGCGATGTCCCACAACGACCAGAAGTCTGTCTGATAAAACATCAAACCGGCATCTTTGATTTCACCAAACTCATCGTACGCAAATGCCGCGATCCAGACATATAGGACAGCTTCGGTGACAGTGATATGTCTAGGGTTCCGTTCGACCAGAACCGCATAGTAGAGGACCAGGAAGGAGATGAAGAAGGCCACCTGGAAAGTTTTCTGGTATTTGGGAACCCGTAATCGCGTAAAAGGATCGGCGACGCGTTTGTTGTACATCCGGGGCTTTTTGACGGCATGGACAGAAAGGGACTCCCAGAATATGACTTCGCCATTCCAGATATCCTCGACAATCTTCTGGACGGGATTTTGGGACAGAAATTTCTTTGCATCTCCTATCGCAGCAATTTCCAGGGCGTTCATTCCGGCCATCGATTGATCAAGGTTGAGGCGAGGAGAGCCATCCGTGTCGCCAGGGAAGTTGACCGTCGTGCCGACCGGGTTGTCAACAGAGACCCGCTTGGGCGGCCGAAGGCCACCACCACCACCGTATTCATTCGACCGGGCACGGATCAAAGGCGACGTCTCGTCTGAGATGTTGTCGTCCCTGTGACCGCCGCCATTATTGCCTCGAGGAGGGGCGCCTTGCTCTGACGAGGAATCTTCCGAGTATTCTGGGAGTTCGTACAGGAGGTAGTCGATCAGTTCCTTCTCCGACAAGAAGGTGAGAAACTGCCAAGCGACCAGCTCACATGCCAGCCCTCTGCTTTCGTTGAGAGCGCTATCTGTGTCTCCGGAGTCATTGGTGAACAAATACCTTGCAGCCAAGAGGCCCGCCACGACTGCAGGATGATGGCAATCTTCACTGAGCTTTGAGATTAGTGGTTTCAGGGTTTGCCCGGCGACCGTCGTGCGGAGCTGCTCGTACGTGTAGGCCGCATCGACGGCCTTTGCGACATACGTAAAGACCTTGAACGTGACGTCCGAGAAGGTCTCGGTGGTGTCTATGATGGGCACATCGTCCTCCATCCACGGGAGCACTCTACTGGATCGGGGCGTTTGAGGAGGCATGGCGCTTAAGGGGTCGTTGTTGTTGGTTCCCGCGACAGAATCGACATAGGTTTTGAGATTGAAACGAAGTCCCCGGCTACGCATTGAGCCCACCTCTTTTTCGGAGGTCTACCTTATCATAAGGGAGTAGTAGTATTTTGACGCGTATGGAAGCGTGATGAGTGTGCTTAACCAATGGTCTACGTTGTCAAAGTAGTTGGACGATGATTCCCGTCTTTGAGACATGGAAGGTCTAGTTCAAGTGCCGCTTTTAAATGACAGACTCTCGCCTAGGAAGATTTTCGTCAAACACATCAGCATCATCATCAACAACCTCCTGTACTACCATATCTCTAATGACCAGATCTCTCGTACGCCCACATTATGGATCACTGTCCTCGTGGTACAATACGAATTCGGTCGAGATGGGGGCTCGGGGAAGTACGGATTTCTCTTGGACCAAGACAATGAATAATGAGATCCCCGACACTTTGGGAGCTAAGCTCCCCAAGATCTGTTGGCATCCGCAAGACATGTGGCCCATCTTCACCACAATCACCACACACGGAGATCAACGACGACGCCACGAGAGTCGAGTTTCTTTCATATGTACGGAGTACAAACGTTAAACTCGTTCCTACTAGTCAATTCAGCGGGACGAGGAGCACCACAAGCCTCTTGCTTCTGGGTATGTATATCCATTCTTGGAATTTTTCAGGTTTGATTGGGTCCATGGCCCACCCATTTTTCCCTCCCCCCTTCCTCGAGGCGGACGGAGATCAACGACACCCACTTATCTCTAGCCACATTACAGTATATAAAACAGTAAAAGCCAGCAGTGACAGAGGTAGGTGGAAGAATTGAAGAGCCAACCGAAACCTCTTCTAGTCCTCGTCTTCCTTTTCTTCTTCTTCTCAAATCACAAAACTCCCTCCTTCTCCCCCTCTCACTCCCTCTCTTCTACCTACAACTGTCAAAAGACCTCCTTTGTTGTCCATCGGTCGACAATGTCTACTCCTTACGCCTTGAACCAAAAGCACACCATCCCTGCAAGATCCGGCGCCGCCGTACCTGTACAAAAGGGTCAAACCATCACGGTCTTCAACACCCACGGCACTCAGGTGGTCGACTTTTGGGGTTTCACCGTTCCTACCCCCGGCGGCGATTCCAAAACGTTCCCGACCTGGACCAGCATGTCACACACCCGTGCCACCATCACGCGACTCACTCCGGTGGAAGGGGACACACTCATGTCGAGCACCCGCCTGCCGATGCTCAAGATGGTCAAAGATACGACGCCGGGGATCCACGACACCCTGATGGCCGCCTGTGACCGGGAGAGGTACCACCTCTTGGGGGTTCCAAGGGACCAATACCACGAGAGTTGTACGGACAACCTGCACGACGCCGTCGCCAAGGACACCCCTTCCTACAAGCTCCCCGAACACATGACGGCCCCTCAACCGTTGAACTTGTTCATGAACATCCCCGTCGTACCGCTCGACCAGTCCAAGGCCAGGGCGGAGGACAATCGGACCGCGGGTGCTGACCTACAGTTCGCCAGGCCGGTCGGCCCCAAGGGCGGGAGCGTCACCTTCGAGGCCCTCGTCGATTGTGTCTGCGTCATGAGTGCCTGTCCCCAAGACATTCTGAAGATCAACGATCAAAACCCGACCGAGGCTCATTTCATCGTCGAAGGATGATTTTCCTTCTTTTTGGTTTTTCTTGTTCTTGTCGTCCTGGGTTTTGGAATCGTCGAGGCCTGGGAAATGGTCATTTTGGATGGCGTGAATCTCATCTCATGAAGGTGACAACACTCAATGGCTCCCTCGGGGGGAAGGCCGGGGGACACAACCACCAAATCTTCATTGTAAAGTGGGACTCACCGAGGGACTCACCGAGGGACTCACCGAGGGACTCACCGAGGGACTCACCGAGGGACTCACCGAGGGACTCACCGAGGGACTCACCGAGGGACTCACTCATCACATGTTGTGTCGTCAAAGGGTCAACTCATCCGCCCCCTGACCACAAAGTGTCAGCGTGTCAACGTGCCGGCGCGATACAAGTCAGTACATAATCATGAACATCAGCCATAGTTTGTTTATCCATCATGGACATTCGTCTCAAAAAGAGTCAAAGGTCTATACGGGGGTCTCAGCAAGTGTCTTTGCTCGGCGTACTCGTACAAATCATCTTCTTGTCGCCTGCTGAAGTGAGAAAAGAAAAGTAACAAGCACTCCGTCTCAAAACCTCAGATGCGAGTACAAACAACACCTGGATGTGGAAACTCCGGATCCAAACCCCTTTATGTGTTTATGCTATCCTGTCCTAACCTATGCTATGCTACGCTGCTTTGATTTTATTTGTTTCAATCTCAATCACACCCCAAATGTGCAAATCGGATTCTTAACATCCAAAACGTTGACGTGTTCATTCCATGGCATCAAATATCGAACAAATCCCTAGCCAAAACCATACCAGCTTCGACCAAAAGATCCCTCTTGACCTTGCTGCTCGTCCCATTCGACGACGACGAGTTGGGGTCACTTAGGGTCAAATTCCCAATGTCACACCAATGGTTGACGGGCAAGCAACTCAGGTATTTGCACCACGAGCACGTGTCGTGGTACTTGTAAAAGTTGTTCAACAGCACCACGAACGCGACCAGTGCCCCTATCAGAGCACCGGCACGTAGCAACCACCACCCCCACCACAAAGGTTTGCGGCCCTTGAAGAAGCCCAACGGCTCCTTTGCGAACGCGCCGACATTCGCGGGGGCTGCAGTTGTCGCAGGAGTTTCGAGCATCGGTCGCTTGGGATTCGTAATGTCCACTTCTGATTCGACATTTCGATACGTGCCCGGCGCTTGGTCGCTTCGTTGTCGGAGGATATTGGGAGAGTGTAACAGGCACAACCCCATGGCAAGACCCATCAAAAAACCACCAATGTGCGAGAAATTGTCCAGGCCAGGCAAGAGGCCCAGTACGAAGGAAATGACAATGTCGACCAGGATCCACATTAGATCTTTGACCGGACTGCGTCGTTCGTTCCAGCCGTAGATCAGATCCAGGAGAACAAGGGCCAAAATGCCAAATAGACACCCCGAGCATCCTGTCGAAGCAATCGCCGTGGCAGCAAAATTCCCACCCAGAACGAAGCCAAAAATCCCCGAGCTAAAATAGACAATTGCAAACCGAATGCCGCCAATGGCTTTCTCCATGTCCCGGCCCATGGTAAGTTGCAAAAGGAGGTTGAAAGCAATATGGATAATTCCAGCATGTAGAAACATGGGTATGATGAAACGAAACCACTGGTTTGGATGGTCGTCGTTGAAGCTGGAGAAACCACACAAGTCGCCGAGAGTACAGTGATTGCTGTCCGCGTTCGGGTCCGAGGTGGTTGTATTCGGACAGGGCCAAATGACGGGTGGACTGGCGTCTTGAACCCCAGGAATGGCACGCATGCAAGGCACGAAACGGGCCCCCATGTTGATCTGAACGTATGTCGACGGACCGATCATAGGATTAAATTGAGGGTGTATCATGATAGGGGAGCCCGTAATTATTGCTGTGTTTCCACGTTAGCATACACGATCGAGCCTGTGCATTGCGTCTCACTCACAATTCTTGATGATTTCGACAATAAAGACTGTAATTTGAATCAAACTGAGAGTGTAAACCACCCATGGTACTTTTCCTGAAAACCATTTATTCTTTTTCTTGTCTGTTGTGGGGAGTAATTGAGGAGTCTGCGATTCGGGTGAGGGAGGATAATGAGTCGACTGGTGCCGCCAGTTGTCTAGGTTGGTATTAATGCGTGCTTGTTGTTCGAGTGGGATCGATTCGGACGAGGGCGATTGCGGAGGAGGGCGCTGAGTGTCATAGCGGTCGTAGTATGGTTTTCGATGAGGAGAGTATGTATTTGAGGGCCGTGATTGATCGAGACTGGATGTGCTGTTCGTATTATCATATGCGTACGCAGTATGGGACATTGGTCGTTTATTGTATTTGGGCGGTAGAGACTGTTGAGATTGTGCCATGAAGGACTGGCGATAGTAGTCGTTCGCAGCCATGACGCTGAAGGAAATAACAAAGACGAAGCGAGTGGAAGTTGCTCAACGGCAAGACAATCGACTGTTGCGGTGAAAAACGAGTGACTGCGACTGGAAATTACGGCATCTGTGGATGGTGAATGGAGAGAACGTGGTGTCTGTTAAAACATTCAGTTGCTCATTTCCCCCAGGTGAGTATGGGAAGCAATCTCGACTTGTGTGAGGGGAGGCTGCAGGGTAGCTGAATCTGACGAGAGGTCGGTTGGAAACTTGACGCCCCCGGTGAAATGACAGCTGCCAGGCTAAGTCAAATTGCAAAGGAGTGTTTCGATATCGCGTGTTGTTGGTCGTTGTTGTTCGCCGGTAGAAGTCAAGGTTCTGGCGGTGCAGAAGAGTGTTTTGAAGAACAGGGGGAAGAAGCCGGTTTCTTTGTTGCGTCCTCGCTAAAATGACGAAGCCACAATCGTTTAAAGGCGTGGCAAGTGTGGAAATCGAAGAGAGCGACAAGTTCGGTACGGAGTGATAGTCGTAACCTGGAGAGCGAGATCAAGGTGCCCTCTTCCTACAATAGAAACGCCTATGGAGGTGTTTGCTGGGCTTGCGTAAACTGCGCCCAGTCGACGCGAAAGTGGCTTAGTCTCAACAGGCTGAACGCATTTGGCGTGTCTCAGGATCCAGGAACAAGCAAGGCGCAAATACGGGGGAGATGAAACGGCTCTTCTGACTGGCTTGTCAGTTCGTCTCCCTGCGTCGGATCGTCCCTGATTATTGCTTTCGACGAGTCACCGGTGCCAGAAGACACTAGATCCGCGCTTTCGGGGGGTGTTGGCCACCTGGGCTGGACTAATAAAAGCACTCGTGGTCCCTTGCACTGGACTACTAAAAAACCCTGGCTTCTCTCTCAAACTGGGCATTGTTATGGCATGTCTTTTACCAGGTTTCAGATAACGACTGATTTTATCTTTCTTCCTACGAGTAGACTGACTCCACAAACAAAGCAATCGAATTGCTAATTAAATAAAGCCGTGATGGCTTCTGTTATTGCTATCGATAGAAAATCATCATTATCATGAGTACTACGGATACACCTGTATGTACAAAATAATCGCTGTCGTGAAAGTCGTAATGGCCTGCTTAGGCCGGGGGCTGGACAAACATTGCCAGCATATAATATACCCTGGGCTACTCGGACAACGAGGATGTAGGACCGAATTCGGCCACAACTGAAACATGGCTTTCTGAAAATCATACCCGTATGCCGTCCACAAATTCGTGATGGATGTAGGGCCGGTCATCAAGGTCTGTTGGCGTGCTCTGGAAGCGAGTGACGAGGCGGTGTAGCGAATGTCCAGAACTTCGCCGTGGTCGAGAGAGTCGAGACTGGCGGAGTTATTGAGTAGGGAATGATCATCATGCAGATCAGTTCGAAGATCACCTCGAAGGTCAGTCTTGCGTGTGTACTCCGTCATGTACAGTGCAATTCGTTGCTCGACTTTCCAACGTGCATTCTGAAGTACCTGTTGCAGCACGTCTAGAATTCCAGCGAATTCATCCGAGAGGCTCTGCGAAAAGGCGGAAGTACGCGCCGCGCGATGTGGAGGCTGAAAAGTACAATAGCTTCCGGCACTTCCGGGACCCCGGTCCGCATCGCAATAGTTCTCAGATCGACAATTTCTTTGTGTCGATGTCACGCGTCCAACCTAGTGGCTTTCCCTTGTTCTATGGTGACTGTGCACATAACTCCGGTGCGCTGGAATAAGATCCGGTGAGGTAGTAGATGAATCTGCAGAGCGAGTTGACAAGGAAGGGCTCGAACCCCCAAAAAAGAGCGTAGACGAGGAAAGCAAGTGCCGCCAGCACCATGGTGTTGAAGACGAGTTTCTCGGTCGGCGTCATGACATACAGTCCGAAGGTGACTTCATACTGGTAGTAGCGGAGTCGCAGATAGTTTGAGACTTTGGCCGGCACAGATGTCCGACGCTTGCCCTGGTGGAACGACGTAGAGGTAGAGAGGAGTTGGATGGCGGCCATGGCCATGGGGGAGGAGAAGTAGTTGGCAGAGTTGGGAGGAGCCGAGTCGATGAAGAGAGGGAAGGGTTCGAGGGAGGGATGGTGACTATAAATGTCGCTCGCCATATCCGTAATCGACTGAGGCAACAGTCAAGAAAGAGGAAAACGGGGTCGCTGACAACGGCGGCGGTCCTTTGGGTACTCGTACTGTATGTACTGCGTGTGTACGAGTACAACAGGTGAATCGGCCAGAACCGATAGCAGTCTTTAATTGCAGACGGAGGAGTCGCTGAGGCCAAAAGGAGGATTGAGCGTCGGATGACAAATGAGGATTCCGCTTGGGGACGGGGCTACAGATGTTCCCAAAAGAATTATTGTGCAATCTGCGAAGATATGAAGCCGGTTGTTCGAGGAGGAAAAGGGCATAAAAAATACGGAGGAGAAGTGGTGGGTGGTTGTGGTGATGATAGTGGTGGTACTCGTAGCGTGTATGCAAGAGTAGTCGGTTGATAGTGTGTAGAGACTGATGTCGGGAACAAGGCTTCAACACCACCTATCCATGACCTTTTACTCCGTAGTCACCGCATGAGATGGAGAACGCTGTCACCAACAACCTACTGTACTGTATATTAAATACCAGAAAAGATCCATTCATACATCTTCCGCGCTCATCCCTACTGGCCTCTTCATCCTTCAGGGTCGGCCGGGATCTACGGCACAACGGCGTGTAATTCTGCTGACCGGCAAACGAAGCGCTCATTTCTGCTGATTACGGACTATTATTGCAGTGACACCTCGTTAAGTTTTCCCAGCCAGGCGGGATGCCGGATACTGATCTCATGGGGTGGAGTTGATGACCTGATTGTGATGCATGCATCATGCAGCGAAAATGGGCAGATGACGGGATTATGGAAGCCAAAGAATACTCCATACGAGGAGTATCTTTTACTTCGGAATCGCCTATCTCAAGAGCCTCAAAAAAGCCGCATCCGTCACTTCCAGAAACTTTGTGCCGGATGGTTTTCTCGAATACTCCCATACTTCCTCCATTTCTTTCTCTACCGCGAAGACTTGGATTCCTTGTCCTTGAACCAATTCTACCAAGATCTTCTCTCGTTCATCATGAGAATTGTCGTCATGATTCTGGCTCTGGTTGTACTATAGTTGTCGCGATATGTGGGCTTTTTATTGGCACAATATTACGGGAACAATCGAGGCTCTGCACTCCAAAGGTTCCGCAACATCCGTCGGTTGTATCCATATCTCCATCATCGCTTGCTTGGTCCTGGTACACCGAGTCATCTCCGTCACGCTTGGAATAACGTAATCAGATCGTTGAGATTCTTTGAACCCTTCTCAACGACGGAGTACTCGTACACATGCAGTTATTACCATCTTCCAATATTCGCCTCCTTTCACGCCGGGGATTCCCAGTTGCCCTGCCGTAACCATCCACCGTTACCTTGCCAGCGGAGGCAGATTCAGATCAAAGTCTTCATTCTCACTGGCCATCCGGCCCACGATACAGTTCAGCTCATTTGCCACTATTAACCCCGGAAAACGGTGTGGTGTTCGGTGTGTTTCCAGATGCGCCATGAAGGTATCAAGGCCGCTGAATGTCGGCGTTTGCTCATCCGGATGCATATCAGGTGTCAGCCAGCCCTTCGCTATCCCTTCCGCACAGCAGAAATAACAGCCGTACGCATCGTTGCTGTTGTTCAAGTCGCTACGGCTTTCCTTGTTGAGGACGTGACTTTTGGCAAGGAATGCCCATCGGTACTGGATACCCTCGGGTGAGGTTCTAACCCTTGTGTCGAAAGTCTTTTCCCGCTTGATAGCTCCTCGACCTCCACTGGGAAGAGCCGCCGACACTGTTGCTGGCCCTGCAAAGTTGCATTTTGTGCACTGGAAGAACCACTCGTGCTCCTTTCTTGGCTTTCTATGCTCTAACTTGAAGCCCTTTTTTCGACCACTAAGTTGCTGTCGCACGGCTCCTTTGCAGAAACCCGCCAGGTTAGATTCACATGGTAGGTTTAGCTCTGATCGAGACGCTTGTAAATGAGGCGAGCCTGGTGCCCTCATCGCTGACTCCAAGGAAGCTGTGACTGGATCCATCCCCGGCCATGGCACGTTCGCCCTAGCTATGCTTGTTTGTCCCCCTAGAACGGGGCTACTGGCCAGCTCTGACGAGTGAACTGGAGGAGGCGGGGTTTGTGGCTTAACGTATCGAGGTTGATCATCGACTTGCGCTTTCGGTGCGCTAGAACTGTTCTTGTGAATGACGCCAATAATGCCAGGGGGGAGCGCCTTTTTAAGGGTGAAGCCGCTTATTCTGGAGCTCGCTGAACTGGACGATTGCATTGATAATGGCCTGGATGTTGAGGATCCTGAGAGAACCTATCTACTGTGAGCGCTCTGTATGTACCATACCTCTGGCCATCATACATACCCTCGTCGGAACAGGGTTGTTCAAAGTCAACATGTTCACTAAGCCTGCACCATTGAGTGCGGGCCGGTAAGTCCCTGTATAAATAGGATCTGGCTCCCCTTGTGCTGTCGGCCAGGTGGAGTGTGACAACAGCCAGGAAGGCTGTGTTTGTTGGTTACACCCTTGCATATAGCCTTGCGGATTGAGTGGTGGTAATGAGTGCCACTCCCCACCCGCTGACACCACACATTCCAGCGTACTGTATTCAGGGTTTAGAGGTACAGGTACAGGACCTTGTTGATTTACTTCCAGTGGTGCAATTGTTCCCGACGTAATGCCGTTGTCGGGTTTGAGCACCGACGACGCTGCTACAACAGGAACTTGGCTGGTGTTAGTCAAGGATCCAGGAATACGTGGAGATGATCGACCTGAACTCTGGATGTCATGGCCACTCGTAGTAGGAGATAGCCGCAAGTCTGCTTCTTCAGCATCATGGATGTGTTCGACGAGAGGTGTCAAGCCCAATGAGTAGAAAGGCAAGTCACGCCTTGGCACGGAATTGGTCGTCATGACAGCTCTCTCATCGCCCATGTTCATGCCCTCGTTGAGGCTCTTTCCAACTGGATCGAGACTTGGACTTTGACTCGAGTGGCGCTGTACAGGAGGCGGACGTTTAAGCATGACATCTCCCTCAGGCTCCAGGCCCTTATGTGGCTCTCGCTCGCTCGAGTAGGAGAAAGCTGAAGTCAGAGACATTCGTCGATGTGGCTGATGCCCGTTGGATGGCTTTCGATCACCTTCGACAGCGGTTCTCGTACTGTAGCTGGCGAATGAGGTGCTGGATCGGCTGTCCCAAGGTGTCCCTCCTGTTGATGAATTCGTGCTCTGGCTACTGGAATAAGCTAAAGTATTCGAGGCCGCCTGCTGCTCGGCCTCGCCACAATATGACCTGGACATTTCTTTCATCGAAGCTGCAGCAGTTGACATACGCTGATATAGCTGGCCGAGACATACTGTGGCATTGACTCGGCTGTCGTCAGAAGTCTCTTTCAGCATTCGAAGATCTAGTGATGCATCGTCCATGAACACTTCACGCAAATGCGTGATGACCTTTTGAAGAGTGATGACAACATCTCTCATCTGTTCTCGTGCGACAGCATCGCCGCGAGCGTATGTCTCGCCGAATCGGCGGAAGTCGTGGTCATATTGGCTTTGGACAGTGATCGAACCCAGCGACAGTGAGGTCTCAAAGTCCTTGATCAGATCCTCAGGAACAATGAACTCTTCTGATGTGGCAGCCTTCTGCCGTAGCCGCTGCACCAATTTCGCAGCATCGAGAAATGCTCTGACGACTGTTGAAAAGTTCCAATTAGTCAGCTATCATCAAGTACAAGTACAAGTACTAGGTAGGCATATCCGAACATGTCAGTCAGAGGGGTGTATGACGAGTGATAAAGTGCTGCAGGAAGAGCCGTGTATGGCCCTGTCGATGACAAATTGTGGCCGAGGTTGTCTTGGTGTTCATTAGTATCTCGCTCGGAGTCTGTGTGGTCGAGGCATGGCGTGGAAATCGGGGGTCGGTTGAGTCCCACCTCGATGCAGACAATATTGTATTCGAGCATGAACTGCGAAGACAAAGAGATAGGAGGATAAGAATGAGCCTACTCAACTCACCTGTCTGAACACACAACTCGATAGAAAGAACGTCCATGCTGTGGAGGTTATGGCTGGCAGAACGTCGAGTGCGCTGCCAGATTGATATTCAGGCTTGAAAGATCATATCAATTGACTAGCCGGCTAACACTTGACTCAACCGCGACTGGCCACGGAAGGGATTAAGAGGTACAATGGAAGTTTCTGCAAGCAAAGAAGGAAAAAGACGACAAGGGGCCTTGAAAGGCACGAGGGGGGATCCTTCCATTTTGAAAGCTGAGGCTGCCTGGCCGTGCTGCTAGACGGACATCCTTGCCAAAAGTCCCAACGAGCCATCGTATGGCACTTGCAGGCGATGTGTACCCCATTTGGGCTTTTCGTAGCGAATGGAGGGGTTTAGCCAGCCAGAGAGGGCTGAGTTGGGTGGTTCGACAGGTTCGACCACAGCATGGAAGCATCGTTCGTCATGTTGATACCATGTGGGAGATAAGCCAGCCCAGGAGCCGCTGAGGTGGGCTGTCTTGTGGCTTGCAAGACAACGGATAAACATGCGAGCCTCGAGGCGAGAAATATGCAAACTATCGAACTTGTGATACGCCGCGTCGACACCCATCTTCTTTAGTTCTGCCAATCGGCGGCAAGGCTGCAGGCTGATGGTGAAGAGAAACGAACGAAGACCGTGGTACAAGGCGTCGTTAGTGTGTAAACGCCCGGTCAGCGAAGGAAAATATCCATTGGACACAGGAGGCGCACTGCAGCCTTGTATCCCTTGGCCTGCAGAACTAATGCCTTGGTGTCAAGCCCAGTGTGTCTGCGTGTAGGAGGCAAGGCAGCTGAAAGTCCGTATCAAGGATGAAGAATGAATCATCAGTGTCGAGAGCATTTCGCTTGTCCAGGGGTTTATGTCAAATAGGGGCTACCATGGTTCTAGACTCTCTGCCCCAGGATAACAACAACGCCGCGTTTGGTGTTTTTCAGGAGAAGTGCCAATTCGCCAGAGGGAGCCATTGCAGCTCCGCTCGCAGAATCCAGCAATTCTGCAGCTCATTCAAGACCTTCTCGACGACCCTAGAACTCGATCTAGGGTTCTACCAAGTTATGGAGTGCTCCGTAGGTCACAGCAAATTCTCTGGAGACTGCGGTCACAAGTCCATTGATTGGCAGGTCCGATACGGTGTAGTGTCCAATCTCTCGCCAAGTGAAAATATGCACATTGTCAACAATCAATGTAGCAGCATGTGGACGGAAATGGTCACTCACCGTTTCTTTAAAGACTCGTCTTCAACGGCTTTACGATCGTCGACACCCGCTCACTACCTTTATCACCTCTTATGACACCTTGATTGAATGCGATGTTGCGGCTGTCTAGGATTTTTACGAACTGTGATACCGCATATGCAGCAAACACACTCCCTGGGCTCCGAAGTCAACGTTCCAGCTGTGATATGGTCTCAAATTCTACTCGCTTATTCTGGTTGGGACCGACATCGTGTAACATGAGAGCAGCGCCACCCAACTGCTGTCACAGCCGTATCGATTCATGGCGATCCCGTACACGTTCGCCGACCGTACCTGTGGACATCAACTGAGCCAAATGTTGTGGACTTGTTATGGCTCTTTGGTCGATCATGAAAGGGAACAAAGCCGTCCTTGTCCTACGTCGGAGTCAGCGCCCTTGTGTAACGTTGATCCAGACAAGCTGTAAGGAGTAAACTTACAGTACCATCATCGTCGCACCTCCGGTGTTCAAGAACCCGTTAGTTTTCTCAAAAACATCCCGGGACAGTCTTTTGACAGGTTACGCCCGAACCTCCACAATCGACATAGTCGTGTCGTCGCTAGCGAGCAACCTTACCGGCCAATTTTGCGAAAGCTGACCATCATTACTGTAGCGTCGCTCGCCGAATGATATTCTACGATCCAGGGAGTTAATTCTAAGCTTGTTTCATACAGAACGTCATGTGTAAGTTGCACAATTGCAGACCCAAGACCAAATCAATGTTATGGCCCTGCCTGCCTTGGTGAGCTGGAAGTCCATTGGCGGCTGAACGAACCCCACAGCATGGCACTTATGTACATATAAGATTGAGATGAAAATGTATTGCCGACTGTCGACGTCAAATGCCTTTGGGGGAAAGGGTCTTGCAAAGACCTGCACACCTGAATTGACGATCTTGATCATGTGGTGTAATCTTATCTTCCCGATACCTCATCAGACTTGATGAGGTACCTAGTATCGACTGTATGCACAAATTCACACAGCGGAACATGGAGAAGTGTGGCTCATCATCCACTGCTATGAATGCCTGGCCGCGAAGTTGTTCATTCCAAGTCAGAGCATTTGTGTGACGCGTGATACTGTTCGCTCTTACCGGACACTAATTTGGCAAGCCAAATCGCTTCGGAAGGGGGAATAAAGTACACTCATGCTGTACTTACAAATGACTTTATCGCGTCAGGGATTCGAAGATTAAACAAATGTTGTGTGATAATTGCTGAAGATTGCTATTGATGTATCTCTCAGAGGTATTGCCACTAAAGTGTTCCACCGGAGTTAAACAATACGGTCGTCTATATAGTTCATTTGACGCAATGCCTATCGAAGCTCTCCAAGTTCTCTAATCAAGAGAATCTGTCGTGTGAGCACAAAGCAGAGCACATGCGAATCGAAATGACTAGGTCTAGCCGATAATACCTGCCGCATGAGATGTACACCTGAAATTGTTGTTGGCGTTGACGATGTGACAAATGCTCGCAAAAGCTGAACAATGAAGACATACTTTTCGTCGCCCAGGGCTGCCGCAAGTGGCACGCACGGCTATCTCAAGGCACGAAGCGCACCACTCCGGTGTGCTCACTCCAGCTCAAGGCAACGTGTAACCGATTTTTGGATCCCAACAGTCAACGTCCACAAACATGAGGAAGCTCCGGACGCCACGCAGCTCCTCATCAGAGCGGGATACCTCCGACAAGCCTACGCTGGCATCTTTCAGATGCTGCCTCTCGGCCTGCGTGTGCAAGAGAAGCTAGAGCGCTTGATCGACAAGCACATGCGATCGGTCAAGGCTTCAAAAGTCTCCTTGTCATCACTGTCCTCGAAAGCATTATGGCAGAAATCCGGACGCTGGAAACCGGGCGCCGAGTTTTTCGCTTTCAAGGACCGCAAAGATTCCGAGTGGCTCTTGACTCCCACACACGAAGAAGAAATCACGACCTTAGTAGCCGGCCTGGTGCAGACCCGTCAGCAACTACCTGTACGCTTATACCAGATCGGCCGCAAATATCGGGACGAGAAACGCCCTCGAGGTGGTCTCCTCAGAGGACGAGAGTTCCTCATGAAGGACCTGTACACCTTTGATGCGACTCCGAAAGAAGCACATGCAACATACGACGATATTCGAGGCGCATATCGTAGGTTTCTCGACGAACTTACGGTTCCGTACACAGAAGCCAGAGCAGTGTCTGGAGACATGGGCGGAAATCTCAGTCATGAGTACCATTTCCCAAATACCGCGGGGGAGGACATCGTGATCACTTGTACGAATTGTGACTATGCGCGGAATGAAGAGTTCTCTCGACAACCTACCTGCTCAGCGGAAATAATCAAAGATCTCCCGACGGCGAATTCTACAAATACTCGACCGCTTCTCCAAGAAGACTACCTTAGCCCTGACGGACAAAGTCTCATACGTGCAGTAGCACCACACCCGACCACTATGTTCTCTGCCGTTGCGCAGCATGACCAGTCCTTGAACTCTTATGCTATCAAAGCCGCGTTGAACGGGATCGTCGAAATTGATTCGGGATTAGAAAGTCCCCACGCTTTATTCGAGAAGAACGTGTCCTCATTGTCGAGTTCTGGGAATGGGACTCAAAAACTATCCATATATTACCTTCTTGATACCCAGGTCGAGCCTGAATCCGCTCAGGCCTTGATAGCCTCAGACATGGATCGGTTTAGCTCTGAGGGTGTGGATTTCTACCTCGTCAAAATCCCCCCGAATTCAACACAAGGCATCAACCTGCTCAAACACCAAACAGGGGACCCGTGCCCAGACTGTGGTACAGGTACCCTCCAACTCAACAAGGCCATCGAGGTCGGCCATACCTTCCACCTCGGCACCCGCTACAGCTCGAAGCTAGGCCTGACCAGCCGACTCGACAACGCCCAGGATCCCGTCCCGGTCGAAATGGGCTGCCACGGGATCGGCGTGTCTCGGCTCATCGCGGCCGTGGCGTCTTGTCTGTCTGACGAGTCTGGGCTCAATTGGCCTCGTGTCATCGCGCCATTTGAAGCCGTGATCATCGTGCAAAAGTCTCACGGGGGCCGTGTCCAAGCGGCGGAACAGATCTACGACGAGCTCGCCATGTCGAGCTCGAGCCCCAGTCCGAGTCCAAATGCCACGGTGGCGGTGGACGTCCTTCTCGATGACCGCCAAGATCAAGGCCTGGGGTGGAAATTGAAGGATGCAGATGCCATAGGGTACCCGGTCATCATCGTGGTCGGGAGATCCTTTGACACGGGCAAAGTCGAGGTACAATGCCGGCGGTTGAAAATCAAACGAGATGTCGAAGTTGCTGCCGTAGCCGGGTTTGTGAGAGACCTCCTCCAAAAGCTGTAGAGGTTCACATTGTAATGTGTACATGTGTGTATATATAGTCAAAACAGATACCCCTCTCGTAATATTGTAGAGAAATTGGCCAAAAGGAGACTTTGACTCTGATCTGTTCCAAGAATCTCATTCTAGTCAAGACATCTTTATGGATTGGAGCGCGAACGGAATCACTGTGTTGAAATCTACTGGGCACTCCGTACTCGGTTGAAATCGCAGCCTTGTCAGCACGAGGCTGGGTCAGGTATTTTAGTTTCCCCGCAGCCTCGCCATGTCACCTCACCAAAATTTCCATTCTTGAGCAATGCAGCAAGGCCGCACGTACATCACCGGTTCATATTCTACACTCGTCATTTACACGGCCCGAGACCACCGACGACCCTTCAACGACACACGACCGTCGGGGACTGTTTCACAACTCAAAAAGACGCAACCATGTCCCAACAAGGCGGTGTCGACGTGTCGACACTCTCCGTGCAACAACTCTCGGCCCTCCAAGCAAGACTGTCTCAAGAACTCGAACATCTGAGCTCCTCGTACCAGCGCTTGCGGGCGGCCCAGTCCCGCTTCAGAGATTGTATAAGGAGTATCAAGGACGGAATCCAGGGCAAGAGTGGAGGTGTGTGTTGCTTTGATGAACTGCTTGTCGCTCCTCCATCACTCACCATCCTGGTCCAACTAACTGACTGACTAACTACTGGTCTTACAGATACACCACTCCTAATCCCATTGACGACATCTCTCTACGTCCCTGCGACGCTTGCGGGTTCTACTCCTACTCCTACTTCGACATTCCCCGACAAATCCTCAACTAAAAAGGCAAGCGTTCTAGTCGACGTGGGAACGGGGTTCTTTGTAGAGAAATCCCCAGAAGATGGCATCAGTTTCTACAAGGGAAAAGTGGACGACTTGACCAAGAATCTAGCAGAGATTGAAAAGGCCGTTGGAGGAAAAAATGAGAATCTGAGAGTAATTGAAGATGGTAAGTGCTGCCCATCCGAGTACCCAACCATACCCATGCGCGCTTATTTTGGGCACCGGAAAAACAAACACCGCCTTATCTGCAAACCCCAGTCACTGACACCTCCCTTCCCGTGCAGTGCTGAGGCAGAAAATGCTCGCCGAGCAAGCGGGCGGCTCAGGTGCAAGTCGAGCACAACAAGCACAAGCAAGTGCTGGATAAAACCGGAACCCATGACCTGTCGGGTCAATCTCCCTACGGATAGTGAACGTCTTCCATGAGTTCACAAAGACCTTTCTTTCCCGCAGCTCTGCATGTAGCATTCCTCACGGAAAATACAGCCCAGAACCAAATTCATCGCTTTTGTGTCAATTCTCAAAAATATCGTGTGCGTGCGTATGAGTGTATCAAATACCTGAAGTCACTGCGCATGTCTGTTCTTCAGGCGCCACTCATAGCTTGCTCGTCGTCGTGAGAGCCATTTGCCTTCATCTTGCCCTTGTCCACTCTATTGATGGCCTCTCCGAGAAGACCTTGGATCTCTTCCACCTCAGCCATGAACTTCTTGAAGCCTTTCGGCAGAGCACGTCCTGAGCTGTCACTCTCAGGAAAGAAGGTTGCGACCGATTTGCTCCAGCTGATGTCTTCACCTGGCTTGATGGTTGAGAAGTGTCCCATGAGGTTATCCCATTCGGGATAGTAGTACAGCGCGTGCCAACGTGATTCAACCGGCTGCGGGTGCTGATAGAGTTTGGTCTCATCATAGACGTCTTTTCGACGCAGCTCAAAGATGCCGTCGGTCTGTCGAAACCTCCATCTGAGCATGGTCAATTCATGAACTTTGCGTACTTGATTGAATGCCTGTATATAATGGACGTGTCGTTGCGTGTCAGCCTTGATGCCGTCTTTTGGCGGACTGAATGATACGTGGAGACGGAATTTCTCCATTTCCGGTCTGGATTCCGCGCCAGAGTATAACGGAAAGGCATCGAGGGTGATTTGTAGGTCAGGACGATCAAAGGACAACATGCTGATCTCCAGCATGGAGACCTTCTCACCGATTTCCAGCCACTGCTGTTCCAGGGTGTCAACTTCGCCCATTGCATTGGGTACGAATGAAGTGGCAAGTCGAAGAGTGCTAAAGCCCTTCCCAGCGAAGTCAAAGTACGCCCCGTATGTTTCTGTACGGCCAGAAAACGCATCCATCGAGTCAAGCACGTCAGGCAAGTCTAGGATTTTGCCTTGTCTGACCGGTAGATTGTTGAGGCTGAGTTTTGTTCGGCCACTGGTAACCATTTTTGAGAAATCTTCAAAGCTGTACGTCTCAGCTCCGCCTTCCGGCTTCTGGAACAGCGTAAAACCCAGTTCGCCAAACACCACTCTCATGCGCACATACTGCTGAGACATTCTCAGCCGCTTCAGTGATGTATCGAGTATATGCTTGATCTTCACCCGATTGCTGCTGAGAGACTTAAGTCGTTTGGCGCTGTACTCAGGTTCATTGGGAGCGAGATTGCCGTGCAGGGTTGGAAGATACGAATCGGACTGTGGATCTTTGTCTCGCAGGCCGACCCGATCTCTGTAAATCTCAAAGCCTGGGAGGTGCAGCATGCTCACCCTGGAAACCTGCTCACGCTTAGACACAGTCTCTTTGATCAGGTTCAGAATTCTGCTCGTGAGTTTCATCATCTCTTTTTCAAAGTATGTTTCTATGATCACGTGTTGAAGATCGGTACATTGAAAGGCAATGTGGCAGACGCATGTGCCTCTCAGCTGTTCGAGTGCATCCTCGTTAGCTTCTTGAAACTCATAAATGTCCACGTCTCTGGGCCACAGCAGCGCAGCTTGTACAGTGAAGGGTAGCTCGGCATCTCGAATATGTCTATTCAATGCCTGCTGTTTGTTTTGGCGATCCAAGCGCTGCTCGGTCCTACCGTCCATTGCGTTCAGCTTGCTCCACATTGGCCTAGTATTGGCGAACGCGCTTCGGATGCTCTGTACCCAACCTGACAATTCGGCCTTTGTACTATCAACCTGTTCAGGAGTTCCCCAGATGTAGAGACGTTCGTCATCATCTGCTGGCTCACGAATGTATGTCTCATTCTTGTTCATAATGTTCACAATGGCCTGTTGTGGGTGCGGGACCGACGTAAACCTTAACGCCATGGACCTTACCCTACTCCAGGGGTCATTCAAATTGAACTTGTCATTCGGCTCACTTCCACCTTCACATTTGAGCTGTGCGGGACTCTTGAAGGGCCGATTGGGATGCCTTCCAGCATAGCGTCCGAGAGGCCTCGTAGAGGACAGCCGATCTAGTAGTGGTTCTCGTGAAGGCCAGTTACGAGGTCTCGCTGGTGAGTAGATTGAGTTCGCGGTCGGGACAAGCGCTTGATTGTCGGCTTCCGACGCAGCATAAGAGTAGACTGAACCATAGGTGAAAGTTGTTGACTCCCATCCTACTCACGGTCAGCTCTGCGTATGCTGATATGTATCGACTGGGTCAGGCTAGCGAAGGGTGGACAGTGAACGTACGTTCAAGATCGAGGCCGTCGCCTTCATGGCTAAATATTGATATTAGCACAACCCACTTGCAAGATTGAAGACGTCGGACTCACTCGCTCATGATTGCACCTTGATGGAAGAGATGTTACAGATGGACGTCGCTTAAGGTTGAGAGAGTAATGTGATAAAGGGGTAAAGGATCAATAGATTGATGTTGAGGTTTAATGGTCTGAGAGATCGAGATAGGTGGTGGCTGAAGAGAACGACTCAGATCAGATATGGTTGAACGCGGTAACCACTTGTAATCCAATTGACATCCCTTCTCATTGTCTCGTTCGACGCACGTTATCGTAAATCTAAGTTTAAATATTTCGTGGGAGGTGAACTTCTCTATCATCAGAATGTGTTAGCGTGATGGTCACCCTATAGTCAAGTTGTGCCTGCCTCTAATCGTAACAGTCATTCAACGGAGCTTAAGATTGCGTAAGCTCGGGTTCAAAGTAGTATACTTGTGTAAGCGTAAGTAGACTACCGAGATAAAAGATTACTAGGTAGGAGGATGCTTGTTTGTCAAGCGAATGAGTAGCATTTAGGTGTTATTATGCCCTGAGGTTTGTGTATTAGGACAAGGGCGGCCTTTCCTGTCCTGTGTTTAGAAGTCGAAGAGGTCGCCGCTAGTTTCCGGAAGTGAAGATGTGGCCCAGTCCTGCCTGCTGGATTGTGGAATAGGGCAAAGACAGCGTTCTGTACAGTTGAGAATGCAGGCGTCCATAAACGGACCATTTAGATGCCAAGTAGAGGGTGCTTTATCTAAGCATGCGCTAAACCCAAACGGTTAAATTGGTTCTGCGACGCGTTGAGCCGTTTTGGCGCGTTGTGGTCGCGCTCGCTAAAACAACGTTACCTATGAACAAATTATGAAAGAAATACAATCATCAACCCTATCGAGTCACCCAAACACCACCAGACCACACAAAAATGCAAAGGCAAAAGAAATATGCCACCAAAGGTGGCCTTCACCGAGAAGATTCAGATGACGAGCTTGGATACGAGGATCACCCCTGGGATTGGGTGTACAAAGATGAAGGGGCCACCTACTTGTCCGATGAGGAGAAAACGCCCTCGAAGAAACGCAAGTTAGATGCTCTCTCTGGGCCGGCTAAGAAACGACAAATTGTTGGTGCGCAGATGGGCTCATTTTCAGTCAAAGTGGGAGATCCGATCTTGTTAAAGTCCCCCGAACAAGGCAAAGACTGGGTTGGCCTCATTTGTGCCTTCTCAGAGACCAACGAGGACGGCGAATACGAAATGTCTGTCTACATTCAATGGTTCTGTACTCCTGAAGAGCTGGCCTTCGGAAAGCGATCGAAGATCCGGCCTGATGTGCTGCCTAATGAATCCTATATCACAACCGATTTTAATATGAACCCCCTGACGGCAATCAATGGCAAAGCAACAGTTCTGTCAAAGGATGCGTTTTTTCAAAAGTACCCTGGTGGACAACCTCCGAAATCGAAATCAGCCGCCAACAAATATTCCAAAACCATCTTATGCCGAAGAGGGGTTAAACAGCGAACGCTTCAATTTACGGAAGATTTCGTCTGGGATGAGATTTATAAAAGTCCTGAAAATTTGCTCGACCTGATTGATTGGATAAAGGAACAGACAAAAGTCAACAAAAGACGGGCAGCCGCTAAACAGGAAGATCTTGAGTACAACCAGAAAGCGGAGGTCGTAGAAGACGAGCCAAAGACACCCAGCAAACGTCGGAAAACGACTTCTACAGTTGCAACTCCACGTTCTGTCAAAACGTCCAAGTACACTACGCCAACTCACAAACGAATCATGATTAAAAAGCCGATCGAGATAACGCCTCTTGGTACACGAGTCCTTTCTCCCTCGCAGTACATGGCGACCCCTTACTCACACGCACGAACTACTTTGCATGTCTCTGCTGTTCCAACGTCGCTACCATGTCGATCCAACGAGTTCAACACAGTCTACTCGCATTTGTACTCGGCGATTGTGGACGGCTCAGGCGGCTGCATCTATATCTCAGGCACACCAGGCACTGGCAAGACGGCCACCGTCAGAGATGTAGTCACTTCTCTTCACCAGGCTGTTTTGAACGACGAGCTGGATGACTTCAATTTCGTCGAGATCAATGGCATGAAAGTCACCGAACCACACCAGTCCTACTCGCTGTTATGGGAGGCTCTGAAAGGGGATCGTGTCAGTCCTAACCACGCCCTGAGCCTTTTGGAACAAGAGTTCTCCCATCCATCTCCCCGCCGCATTCCATGTGTCGTCCTCATGGACGAGCTTGACCAACTTGTGACACGGAACCAAAGTGTCATGTACAATTTCTTCAACTGGCCAGCGATGCGGCATTCAAAGCTGATTGTCCTTGCAGTAGCCAATACTATGGATTTGCCAGAACGGACACTTTCGAACAAGATCAGCTCACGGTTAGGATTGACCAGGATCACGTTTCCAGGTTACAATCACACACAGCTGATGGAAATTATCTCATCAAGATTAGAAGGCGTGCCCGGAAACATCGTGGACAAAGATGCCGTACAATTTGCCAGTCAGAAGGTGGCTGCTGTGTCTGGTGACGCACGTCGGGCACTGGATATTTGTCGACGCGCAGTTGAGATTGCAGAGAACACATATGAGAAGAACAGCAATGAAATGTCTGCAGGGACGCCCAGTCGGAAGGGTAAGAGTCAGCCGGACTCTAATGGGATTAAGCCAATGGCCCGCGTGACGATTGCCACCATCAGGCAGGCTATCAACGAAGCGACTTCGTCGCCTGTCGCCCAACATTTGCGGTCTCTCCCCCTCGCATCCAAGCTCTTCTTAGCTGCCTTGTTGGCACGATCGCGTCGTACAGGTGTGGCTGAATCAACCCTGGGTGACGTTGTCATCGAGGCCAAACGCATTGCCGATGTAGCTGAGAACAGTACCATTCATGACTTCCTTCTTGTTGATAACAAGGTCGGGAAAGCAGCCTCTTCTCCGATTCCTCGGATCATTGCGCTGGGTGCTGCTGCAATGGACTTGGTCGAAGCTGGTGTTATTGCCATGGAATCCAGAAACAAAGGTGAACGTGCGGGCAAGATCAGATTCAAGATTGGCGAAGAAGAAGTGAAAAGCGCTTTGATGGGAGATGCAGAGGCCATGGGCCTCGGATTCAACGGATGACACTTTACTGTGGAATTAGAGATACTCAGTGACCAGCAAATATTCATGGGCACAGGATCCAACCTTCCCAAGTCATAGTTCGTATTGGCTTGCTACGAGATAGTAATGTAACAATTAACGCCCTTTGGTCTGGTGTATGGTATCCATACCAGAGCAGCATCTAACGAGGTTGAGAGTAGGGCGGTCGTCGAATGGTGATGCATCGTAGGCTATCACGGTTCTTTAGGCTAGATGGATGCGCGCCACTCTCAAATAAATAAGACTTGAACACTACTATGAGACGCCATTCAATGGTGGCAGTGAGTGATCATGCTCATCCTCGTGAATAACATAACTTGGAGTGCCAGCTAGTGTTCCGCACAATGTTCGGTCATCCAGCCTTGCACAGCCCAGCCTTGCCAAGGCCGAGGGCTCCTTTTTGCTCACTCCCTCACTACCGCATCTCCTGGTTCGCTCGTCTGACAAACATTAACACAGCAATCCTTTGATGCCTTACATCGAAATCAACATCTTCAAAGCCTGGTGCTGAGCGGCCGCCTGGAACGTTGTGTATGCCTTCTCCATGTCCTTGAAGTTGAACTCGTGGGTGATAAAGTCCTTAGGATTCAAGCGTCCAGCAGCAAATAACTTCAACAACATTGGAGTTGTTGTTGTATCCACTAAACGGGTCGTGATAGACATATTGCGGTCCCAGAGCTTTTCCATCTTCAGACAGCAGCTCGTTCCATGGACCCCGACGTTTGCAATTGTCCCGCCCGGAGCGACCAGATCCTGGGCGAGTTCCAGTGTCGCGGGTACACCTACTGCCTCGATGACAGCGTCACATCCAACGTTATTCGTGATCTTCATCACCTCTTCCTCCGCTGAGACTTCAGCACTATTCACCACATACTCAGCACCAAATTTCTGGGCGACTTTGAGTCGATTCGGATCTTGATCAATCATGATGACCAAGCTTGGTGAGTACAACTTCGATGTCATCAGTGCGGCCAATCCCACAGGTCCTGCGCCTACGATCGCGACCGTCGACCCGGGCTGTACTTTGCCATTTTGAACGCCACATTCGAAGCCTGTCGCTAGGATGTCTGAGAACATGACCAGTGTCTTCTCGTCAACACCTTGAGGGACAGGATGAAGGCTGGAGTCTGCCACAGGAATCCTTACATATTCTGCTTGTGTGCCATTGATGGTATTTCCAAGGATCCATCCGCCCTTCTCGCAGTGGCTGTACATTCCACGCCGGCAGTAATCACATGTGGCGCAGCTGGAGATACAGTTGATCAGCACGTGGTCGCCTTTCTTGAAGCGTGAGACCGCGGATCCTGGCTCTTGAACTATTCCAACGCCTAGAGTCGATGGGTAAGTATTGGCTTCTAGCACAAGATTCGTGACAAGACGGAGGGTATCCTACCTTCATGACCCAAGATTCGACCGGGAGTACAAGTCGCTACATCTCCCTTGACGATATGGAGATCCGTACCACAGATTGTGGTATAGAGCACTGCGAAAGTCAATACAAGCTTCGAGGGGGATCTATCCAAGGACAATCCCTACCTTTGACAACAGCATCAGTCGGTTCCTGAATTTGTGGAACTGGCTTGTCTTCCAGGGCAAACTTGCCCTTACCGTTGTAAACGAGAGCTTTCATAGTTGAGTTACTGGTGCTGACACTGGCGTAGCTTCGTTGACTCCAGCAGTTCTTGGTGTGTATGGCCTGACTACTGTGTTGACAGGCTGCTGTATCTTTTCGTTGTCGGGTTATGGTGGACGTCTTCTGAGCACCCTTGGAGTGACTCGCACAATAGCGTCTTCCGAAGTTCGCACAGATCTGTTGTGTTGGTCGTCTGGCGTATGATGATAGTAGTAGAGCTTCAGTTGTTGAGCCAACGATGGGCGATAGACCAAGTATATGTCTCTTTGCAACTGAAGCCATGGTGCATAAAATAACAACCCGAGGATGATCTTCTTTTCTTTCCCCTCCTTTTTATACGAGAAGGATGCTGGTCGTCATTGAAACATCGCGAATCTGGTGACTGAGAGATGTTTTTGTTCCTGACGAATCTCGACGTCTCGAGCTCCTGACCCTCACACCACAAGTGGGTCCCGAAGTACCGAGCTACAGGGTCCAATATGCTGGTGGCATGACATTGATTGGTTCATCGCTGGTGCGGAGGACTCTTTAGCGAGGCCACCGTGCGGACATTGCTCGACGACCACATCGATTTCCCCTCTTTAAAGCTCCTGATCGAGCTCGACAACACGGATCCGCACCGGGTTTGTACACCTCGGATGGTCTTATTGATTACGCATGGCGAAGAGAAGCTCCAGGCGATGACGCTGAAGCAGGGTTGTGCCCTTGTGTGCCGAGCGCCCAAGAAGGAGATCAACAGCTACCCTCGCGGCGTTTCAGCGACCGACAAAGACTCCAGCGATAAGCATACAATTCCTGGGCTCATGATCGAGACTCTTGGCACTAATGATACCTTGATCGACTTCTACCAACGTAATGTACCATTTAATGTTGTCCTCCCATCAACAACCGTGTGCGCTGAAATTCGGCGCCACGTCTGCCTCTTACGCCAACCCTGGGGCATATCGTCGTTGAGAGGGGTGGATGTCATGAAGTGGTGATCTACATCCACTAAGCATCCCATTGAATGCAGACAGGCTCACCAAGTCCGTCGAGGATGGCTAACAGCTTACCAAACTTTCCCGTCTCAACATCTCGTTCATAAATCGAAACCCAACCATTTGCTTCCTGACAGATAGCGATTCGGTCTCCAGAAGGGTTCATACAGAACTGGCGCGGGATGTTTCCACCAGCATGCTGTTCATGTGCCAGGCTCAAGGCACCTGTCTCTGGATGGACCTTCAAAGTCAGAATTGAATCGGCAAGCATAGTCGAGTTCCCATCCAAAGGAGACGTGATCTCGAATGCGTCGTCTCTCCGCATTGAGCACATCACAAACCTATTATCAGGCTGATGAAAATTGAGCATGGTCCTCACCTGCTACTGAGGGATTCATGACTTACCGACAGAACCATATGAGACGCTGTAGGACGCAACGCAAGGTCCACGTTGACCACCCTCTCATTTCGCACGAAGAGGTTAATGTCCTCGCCTTCTTGGTGAAAGGACAGACCGCCTTCTGCCAGATATTCGACTCGGTATGTCGCCAAGGTGCATATATCCTGGTTCAATATATACATCAGCGTCTTACCCCCGACCACCACCATTGCAACGTGTCTTGGGAACGAAGGTCTCGGAAGATCGAGACCGCCGACTTCGGTCACCTCGTGGTCTGCGCCTATGGTGAAGACATGGATACGATCTGCGCCACAATCGACAGCAATGAGGTAACGCCCTGTCGGGTCAATGTACGTTTGATGTGGCCGAGAATGCTCTTGTGCTCTACCCGGACCAGGTCCAATTTCGGGCCACCTCAGCTCTTGGAGTTTTCTGATGTGAGAGCAATCTTCAACATTGTAAGTTGCAACAGCAGGATCATAACTACGCAAAAATGAACAGATCAGCTGGCGGTTGGCTTTACCCTGAATGATGAGGGTGACGCAGACTCACTAGTATGCAGCGGCCAGAGCTTTGCCATCATCGTACAAAGTACTAAAGGCGGCTCCAAACGGAGCTGGAACACTGCTCTTCTCCTCCAGGCTCCCGTCGGCTTGAATCAGGAAAGTCTTCAGAGTGCCCGACCATTTTTCCTTATCATTCGCCAAGCCATATAAACGTCTGCGTTTGCTGTCCAAGGTAACCCATGATGGAACCGCGCAGTCTTTTGATTCTGCAATAATCTTCAGTGCCTTCTTCGGGGACTCCCCCTCCGCATACTGAAGGGTATAGATCAAGCCGTTGTATGAAACAAGGAACAACTGCTGCATTTTGAGAAGACTATTGATAAAGGGTCTCGGTTTCGTGAGACTTTGGTCAAGGTCAGCAGGATTGTGCGAATCGCCAGCACTGTTCTGCGATGCTTTTGAATTTCTGAACTACAAGGGCGATAGGATGTGGTTTATATGAACATGTCAACACTGAATGAATGAACTAGGACTCACAGTGGCCGAGGCTCGCTAAAAAGGGATCATCCCGACGTCGGCCACTCCTTAGCGATGTCGCCATGCTCTCCACTGCTCGTTCTCTTTCATGAACCTGGAATGAGACTATTCACGGCGAAAATATATACCGATAGACTATGTACTTTTGTAACTAATTGCTGTGGTTGACTGCACTGCTACACAACAAGATCATGGTTGGAAAGGTTGGTTTCGAGCCATGATATCGAGGTCCTTTGCTATCCGCAATACCAGTGGCGGGATCCTTCGATATTGTGGTCATATGCAGAATCTGGCTCAATTACCGAGTGTAACACTCAATTTTAGCACAAGAATAAGAAGCACCTCGAGAATTGATAATGAAACCCCTCCAGGATCCTTTGGGGCCTCAGCCTCGCTGTATTGACAAGGCTACGCTAAGATAAGATAAGAGAGGCCTCATGACTCGCGCCTTTTTCTCTGCATGATTCATGCAACCCACCTACCGCTTCACACTCGCAGTCAATGAATCGCAAGATCGTACATTCTGCTCATACAACCTGATGCGCGCACGCGACACCCAACCGATTCTTCATCTACCATTCGGCCATGGCGGACGCAGACGAAGATGCCATTCCCACAACGTCCAACGCGAACCCCGACGATTTCGAAGATGAGACGCAAGATTTTCGATTCCTCTCGTCCATCACGGCCGCAAAGAGCGGGCAAACGGTAGTCCCAAAGCGAGGCGACAAAGACTTTGAGCCGAATCCCACACGCTCACAAGCCTCTGCCCTCGATGCCTCCCGCCTCGCGATGCACACTGCTCTCAGCTCGGTTAGAGTCCATGTAGGCAAACATATCGTGGGTCAATATCTACCCTGGGAACAGGACTGGAGGTGGGACGACAATGGAACAGGCACAGGCCGAAATGGACGATGCGTCGTGGTCCCGAAGTTCAAGGGTACTTACTCGAAAACGATGGGACTAGCAGACAGGCACAACTCTACGTGGTTCTTACCGGAGGAGGCACTGTTCTTGTTGGAGCGGGGGACTCTAGACATACGATGGCCGGACATCGAGGATGAGAATGAGAACGAGCACGATGACAATGAACCAGGAAACGACGTCTCAAACCAAGGTGAAGAGGTTGAAGGGAAACCTGACACCGTGGCCGTGGCGAAGGAGGGAGAGGAAGAGGAGAAGAATGGCAAAAGCGAGCCACAAACACAAGAAGAACCAGATTTGAAGATTGGTGAATTGCCAATGAGTTTACAGGGTGCCTATGCCAGCTTCATAGGCAAAGATGACCTCACGCTTGAACGATATACCGTCTACGCCGGGCTCAAACGCATAGGATACATCGTCCAAAGGGCTCCAACATGGCACGACGAAGATCCTGCCCCGGCGAATGGCCATGTACATTCACAACCTGATTGTCAAGATCCAACAGCACTCTCATCTTCACCACCATCACCACCGCCAATGGCACACAACGCGATCTCGAATGCCGTGAGCCTCATCCACAGGCTTGTCTCGTGGCTATCTCAACCAAGCCGTGACGGCGTATGTACCGCTTCAGGTCCTCTCGTCGCCCCAGGCTTGTACAGGAACTATACAGACATGTTCCGCGCGTTGTCCCTAATACCTTATCATGACCCTACTAGACCTCCTCCTCCAAGTCCTGACTCCGACTGCAACAACGACAACGACAACGACAACAACAAAGTATCTCAATCGAACCGAAGCATCACCCCTAAGGCCCCCTTCCGAATCCATTTCCACGTGTGGAAACCCAACGCTCAAAATAGTTACCGCAAAAGTGCTCCCCCTCCTCCGGACTACCGCATCGCCGTGGTCGACGCTCGAACCACGTCCATGCCCACGCTCTCAGAGATCGGTGACCTGTTGGACTCGCAACCCGATGACGCCCTGACGAAAGACAAAGCAAAGAGACTGGAGACGCGCATCCGGTACGGTCGCAAGAACGTCCTGCTGGCCGTCGTCGACATGGGCGTGGTGAGCTACCTCCGCCTCAGCGACGCCTGTTTCGGGACGGAAAAGTTGTACGAGGAAAAGGTCCGAGCTGGGTCCAAGGGGAAGAGACCGAACCATTCGGGCACACCGAGGAAGGGAACCCAGACACAAAATCAGCAGCAGCAGCAGCAGCCGCAGTCAAACCCCAAATGATACAACCAACGGACATTCCTTAATATGTGGTTCGGCGTTGAATACTCAGTCTCCTGATAAGGAAGAGTGGTCACAGCAAGACTGATCACTTGACAGGGGGAACAAGGCGACACCCGTGATGACGGACGAAGGAACAAAAAAATTATTTATAATAGACTTGATACCCTGGTAGATAGACTTTGAAAAGACTGGTCCACGAACGTGTGAGGAGTGTGCTCATACAGAAATGAAAATATATCTTAAGATGGTTGAGTTACAATCTCATTATTCTTAAAACATAATAAGTGGTGTTTGTCTCCCCTTGAGAGAACGTCCGATATCAGCATGAAAAAATTGCCAGGCGGACTGCCTGATGATCTAGGGAGTAGAAAAGTTTGATCTCCCATCTTCTATAGACGTCAACCCTTGGGAGAGAGGCAGGAGACGTATATGCTTGAGATGGGTTTGGAGGGAGAAGGGGGAGATTGTTTTGGAGAGGGAGAATTTTTTTTGGCTTTTTTGTTTTTGGCACGAGTATCAGCTTCTTCGATAGTTTTACTGTCTCATCTTCGTCCAGCCATGTCCCGACCTGACTTGTGTCACCAAGCCGAACCAGAACAAGGTTGTGTTGGGCATTCCGGCATTCAGAATGCATGGATCCCTTTTTGCTTTCATAAGAGGTGCCGAATCCAATGCCTCATTCGCCACTGAGTGTGCGCAGTCCACTGAGCCCGCATCATGGTGGGCATTTTTGATGGCGTTGACATTCTAGGCGAAGCGACTTCAAACGCACAATTCCAGTTTCATCTTGACCTTGTGCGATATCGAAGCGCGAGTCCAGAAACCATCGAGGACGGCTGGTGGTGTGTACCTAGATACGTGACCACACCGGCAGAAGGCTGACCGCAAGTTTTGTGTTGTCTCGTAGCAGAGGACACCAATCCCGTCAAACAGGTAGCAACCTGTTTAAGCTCGAGTTCCAAGGTACCAGGCTTTTGTCTTTCAGGTCAACAGAAAGTCTGCGGCCATGAGGAGCTCCAGGCACAATTCAGACGGTATGTCCATGTCAGGCACGCCTTGGCTGTTTCGATGTTTCTCATTGTAGTAAAAGTACTCGACGACCTTTTCCAAGACGATACCGCTGATGTTTTCGAGGTGACATACTCCGGTCTGAGCTTCACTGAAGTTGCCTGTAAGGTAGGTATGCATTAGTTAACCCAATTTCTGTAAACCATTGAAAAGTGGCGAGAAGAAGGTAACGTACTTTGTGTGTCCAACATACGTCGGATCGTACCAGAGACACACGCGGCGGAACGGCGAACGTGGAACTCGAAGCCGTCAGACGAAACGAGTGTGACAAAGGGAGAAGTAGGGACACCGTTGGTAGCCATCGTCTGGATGCGTGAAAAGAAAAAGTGACGGCCACGAATCTCGATGCTCTCAAGTTGAAATGAGTGGTAGCTAACCTTCGTCGTCTTCACCAGGCAGACAGTAGAGAGTTTGGAGGTGGTAACGGATATTAGAAGTCGCAGCTAAGGACATTTTTTCTTCCAGGCGGTGACGAGTGGCAGAACGCGTAACTAGCCGAATGAATAGAAACGCGTATAAAAGCAGCGCGTATTCCGTACTGTAGTCTTATACAAGCATTGAGCAGCCTCGCACCCTTAAAAACTCAATATACCTCCAGAGTACTACGTACATCATGTAGAATGCATAATATCAAATCGCGTCAACTGTCAAAACATAGACATCGTTTCCCCTGTCATTAAAGGCAAACCGCCCGCATTCGAGTAGAAATCAAATTACTATCAAGTGACCGACGATTACGAAGGAAGCAAAAACAAGCCGACCAAGAGAAAGAACAGAATCGTTTGATCGGTGCATCATGGTCATATTCTGAAAAACATACTCTGATCCGTGCCTTATAGTGTTGTACACTAATTATTTGCACCTTCCAACCAAGACAAAACACATAAAATTTTGGTCTTTCTCATCATGAGCCCGTTCGTTACCTACAGACATTGACAAACACTCAGCCTTTCAGACCCCCGTTCGAACTCGCCCAAGTCTTTATAACGCCGAGCCACGACCTGCTCCATGCAAAGCCAAGACGTGGTGCAACAACTGCTGCCTTCACAGACGCCCCAAAACTTCTTTTTCCAATCGCTTTACATAGAAACTTCAACTCTGCCTTCACCACTGCCACCCTTGGCCAAGGTTGGGAGAAGGTAAGTGATATCATCCCAAGGATGTCTGTAAAGTCCAGTTCGGAGCTACAAATTTTGTTAGTTTTGAGACCAATTAAATGGAGAGAATGGCAACATACGCGCTTTTGATCAAGGTAATGGGCAATCAAACCGATAGATCTACCCAGGACGAACAGACCGTTGAGGACGCCCATGCGCATGTAGTCCTCAGCCTCCTCAGAACTGAAGATGCCAGACGATCTCATCAGATCAACTAAATATTATCGTTAACCACGGGACCTAGTGAAGAAAGGAGAAACTCCAGAGGTATTTTGAACTTACCGAAGCATACTGCAATGCAGCCGTCGACGTTAAGGATGAGATTGTCTTTCTTGGATGTGGTGACAGTCTCGACAGCGATGGCATAGTCGAGCAACTTGTGAGAGGGGAAGTGCTTCAGGACGTACTCCTTCACGAGCTCCACACGGAGATCAGGGTTGTTTCGGGACTTGATACGATGGCCGATACCAGGGACTGCAAACATGGTTAGCATTGTTTCCAAAGGTGACGTTTGAGAGTAGACATACTAAGTTTGTTCTCCTTTCTCATGGTGTCGACGAATTCACGGGGAGACCAGCCCTTGTCAAAGGCCTTGGAGAACTCCTCGGCGGCACCATCAAGGGCACCACCAAAGCGGGAACCGATGGTGAGAAGACCGGCAACAAGCGAGGAGATCAGGTCCTTGCCAGCACGGGTTGTGATGATGGTGTTCATGGCACCAGACACGGCCGGACCATGATCGGCAGTCAACATGAGGACCATCTCCAAGAACTTGCTAGCAAAAGGAGGGAACCGGCGACGGAACCACAGGAGAGACATGACACCACCAATACCGATATCCTCCTTGAAGACATCAGAGATTGGCATACCGGCGTAGAGCAGCTCTTGGCCTCTGTCGTCAGAAATGGTGGAAATGAAAGCGGCCGGCTTTCGGATAAGGCCCAATTCCTGGGCCCAGGCGTAATCGATGGGGATCTTGGGAGGAACTGGCTCTGGCGCAGGCTTGATCGTGCCTTGCTTGACGAGCTTCTGGTAGACCTCGGCAAGGACCTGGGGCATCTCTTCGAAAGTATCGGGAACAAAGAATCCAGCTTCCTTCATCGACTGGTTCTTGACAACAGCAGTCTCGAGTTGGGAGTTGGCGGAGGCACCGGCGTGACCGAATTGAACCTCAGTCTTGAACATGCTAGCGCAGGTACCAATGGCCCAGGCCACGATGGGCTTGGTGATTTGGCCCTTCTTGACCGCCTCAATCACTCTGTACTCTTCGACACCACCGACTTCACCTAGAAGAAGCAGAATCTTGCATTCAGGCTCGTTCTGGTAGCGCATCAGATGGTCGATGAAGGTGGTTCCAGGATATCTGTCACCACCAATGGCAATACCCTCGTACACACCGTCGGTGTTTTGAGAGATGATGTTGTTGAGTTCGTTGGACATACCACCAGACTTTGAGACATAACCAACGGAACCCTTGCGGTAAAGCTTCGAGGCCACGATATTGTCCATCATACCACCAGTGTTGCCAATCTTGAACGCACCCGGCTTGATACCACCGACTGTGGCAGGTCCGATGATGGTAATTCCCTTCTCTTTTGACTTGATCATGATCTCACGGGCACGTCTCTCAGGGACACCCTCTGCGATGATGGCAATGGTGCGGACTTGGGGAATGTTCATGAGCTCCATAGTTGAGCTGTAGACTGATCGGGAAGAGGCAAAGTTCACGATCGTGTCCACGTCTGGGTGCTTCTCGAAAGCCTTGTCCACGGACTGATAGACTGGCAACAGAGTTTCGCTGGTACCCCAGTACATTTTGCTGACGAATTGGCCGCCAAATGTGTAGATGATACCTGCAACGGAAGGAGTCGTTCGCTTGCAAATGAAGTCGAAGTCGAGCATGCCCTGGACGGCCTTTGGCTGCATACCACTATTCCAATGGTCAGATCCCTTTCCCTTCGAAATTCGGAAATCACATCTGTTACTTACTAGACAAAACATCTCGTCTTGTTGTGGAAGAGGGCATGTTGGACAGGGCTCAGAACCCTCGAAGGGGGGTCAAATCGACGGATGTTGTCGTTGGCAGAGAATGGTGTCTCTGACCCAGGAGAGTTGTTGCCATCTGGGACGTTGACTTTGGGCAGCCCATTGGAGAGGGGCGCAGGCCCGCTGGCAGAAGGCATTGTAGGAGAGTCTTGAGGAGAGTCTTCACGAACTAGAAGTCCCATCGTGTCAGTTCAAGTACAGTGGAGGGCTGTGACGATATACAACGAGTGTTCCCAACGAAAGGAGTTGAATGAGGAGGGAGTAGATTGCGATGGGCCAGGAACTTCTCATAGACTTACATTCGGGCAATAGTGAGTGTTGAATGTGTGGTAGACAGGGAGGGATGGAAGAGAGACTGTCGGTTGAAATTCAGCGAAAGACACCAACACCGAGCGAGAAAAAGTTGTCGAGGTGAATCTGGCGGTGGTCTAACTTGTGGAGTGTGAAGATGATGCTGGGTGCGCCCGCGAGAAAATACACAGTAATTCGCAGCTCAGCAGTCAGCGATTTGTTGGAGAGGCCTGCTTGTTGAGCTCCGGGTGCTAAAGCCTGGTGGTCCCCCGAAAATAGCATGGCGGCCCCCAACTTGTTCATCCCTGCGTTGCGGTGAGATTTTCAGTGGACCATCACAGGGACCGCCATGCCTCTACGAGAACTCCGTACTAACTAACGAGCAGCCTCAATCGCCATCACTTCACCATTATTGACCTTTTTGCGGCCCGTCGTCGGAAAGGCTGTAGACATTTTTGGCGGGCCTGATCGCAAGAAGACCCCCCCCGGCCGCGCCCTGAGTGGACGATGCAGGAGAGGCCCTCCTCGCGTGCCTCGTTGACACTTGTCTTCGGAGTCCGGTCAACGTATCTCGTATCCCCGGGTGGCACGATTTTCTCCTCTATGCAGGACAACAAAGTACCGCGTTCGGCGAATATCCATTCTGCTCTCCAAGAGAATATTGGGACCTAGCTGGAAATTGCCAGGTTACCTTGTTCTCCCGGTGGTTTCCATCACGTACGGAGGGGATGCTCGCCACAAAGCGATCCGCGGTTTCATTGAAACTGTTGCCCTGAGTGCCAGTCTTCAACAAATCAAAGGTGTGCGCGGCGTCTATCATCAACGTCACAGGGTCAGCAACGGCTGAGGAGGCGGTGACCGATATTGTTGGTAGTCTAGTCTGGATGGTCTGCAAATGCCCCTTGCACAGTACGCTACTGGTTGGCATCGTGGGCCATCTCTAGAGAGAGGGTTCCTGGCGGTTGGCGCAATGCACATTGCATTGAGGTCGTAGCTGGACCCCCGATCCACTACGGAATACGGAGTACGGGCTAGTGAGTTGCTGGTTAAGTTTAGCAATCCCCCATAGGGCTAAAGCCTCCTGTTAGACATTCCCAACAACGTCTCCGCCAAAAAATTATTGTGCAAGCCGCTCTCCGAACGCCAGCAATTGTCCTGAGACTCACCCAATCCAGCGATAATTCTGCCCCCAAGCTGTTTGGAATTCTACCACACTCACGATCTCACACTTGAATTCTGACAGAAGAAGAGCCTGTCTATTACTGTTCACTGTCGTCGAGACTTCATCCTCTACATTTCTACTATCTTGACTTCTGTACAACCCTCTTTTGTGTCTTCAACCCTCCCAAGTTCTTCCTCTGTTTACCCCTCACCGCCGCAACAATGTCAGCAAAATCCATTCTCGAGGCTGATGGAAAGGCCATTCTGAACTACCACCTCACTCGTGCTCCAGTGGTCAAGCCGACTCCTCTGAAACCATCTGGTGTGCACAATCCTCCTGCGAAACTAGCCTCCCTCTACTTCCCCGAAGATGAATCGGTTAAGACGATTCTTGATCAAGCAGAAGCCACCTATCCATGGCTCCTCGCCCAGGGTGCCAAATTCGTCGCAAAGCCAGATCAGCTGATCAAGAGAAGAGGAAAGAGCGGCTTGTTGGCCTTGAACAAGACGTGGGCCGAGGCCAGAGCATGGATCGAAGCCAGAGCCGGCAAGGAACAGAAGGTCGAGACGGTCACTGGCGTGCTCAGGCAATTTTTGGTTGAGCCGTTTGTGCCTCACCCTCAAGATACCGAGTACTACATCAACATCAACTCTGTCAGAGATGTAAGTATCACATGCACGGCCATGCAGGCAGACGCTAATTCAGCATTAGGGCGACTGGATCCTCTTCACACACGAGGGTGGTGTCGATGTTGGTGATGTCGACGCAAAGGCGGAGAAGATCCTCATCCCAGTCGACCTGAAGAACTTCCCTTCGAATCAAGAGCTGGCTGCGGCACTCCTCAAGAAGGTCCCCAAAGGTGTCCACAACGTTCTACTCGACTTTATTGTCCGACTCTACTCCGTCTATGTGGATTGCCAGTTCACCTACCTCGAGATCAACCCCCTGGTTGTCATCCCCAACGCTGCAGGCACTTCAGCTGACGTCCACTTCCTCGATCTTGCCGCCAAACTAGACCAGACGGCAGACTTTGAGTGTGGCACAAAATGGGCCATTGCACGGAGTCCTGCTGCTCTTGGTCTCCCCGGAACCAAGACCGATGGAAAAGTCACCATCGACGTGGGCCCACCAATGGAATTCCCCGCACCTTTCGGTCGCGAGCTCAGCAAAGAAGAAAAGTACATTGCGGACATGGATGCGAAGACCGGTGCCTCACTCAAGCTTACCGTGCTGAACTCTCAAGGTCGCATCTGGACTCTTGTCGCTGGTGGTGGTGCTTCGGTCGTGTACGCCGACGCCATTGCTTCCGCTGGATTCGTCTCCGAGTTGGCCAACTACGGTGAATACTCAGGCGCCCCAAGCGAGACGCAGACGTACAACTATGCCCGCACCGTTCTTGACCTGATGCTCCGAGCGCCATTGCACCCTGATGGCAAGGTCCTGTTCATTGGTGGTGGTATCGCCAACTTTACCAACGTTGCCTCCACCTTCAAGGGTGTCATCCGCGCCCTAAGAGAGGTCGCCCCTGTTCTCAACGAGCACAAGGTCCAGATCTGGGTCCGCCGTGCGGGTCCCAACTACCAAGAAGGTCTCAAGAACATCAAGGCCGTCGGTGAAGAGCTTAAACTAAACATGCATGTGTACGGCCCTGAGATGCACGTCAGCGGTATCGTGCCTTTGGCCCTGCTCGGCAAGAAGACCACCGTGCCCGAATTCGGCGCGCAGTAGATGACTCTCTTGGGCTGTTATGTAGTTTGGTCTAAAGTATCTTCCTTGTCAAGCAGTTTTGGTAGGCTGGCATGCGCCTGGGCAATCGGAAAAGGCATTGGTGTTTCTTTGCGGAGTTTGCCTGATGATTACGAAGGAGCATTGTTGCTATGTAGTATGACGAGTGGTCATCGCCCTTGTTGGGCGGGATTGAAACTCGAGACAGATGAACGTGAATATCAGATGTTAGACCTTTCACGATAATGACAAAGTGACGCAAGCCAAATTTATTCCTTGGTCCTTGTGACGGATGCGAATAACTACTCCCTGAACATGATAGTAAACAGGCTTCGGGTTTGCTTACTTCTAGCTTGTGGTATTGCCCAGCACGTAGTAACCTATACACACCCACCAGTGGATAGTTCTTGAGAGTCAATCAATACCCTCCCTTTTTAAAAGCTCAACATTCACGCATGATGATGATTTCGCCTGAACTCCTCTTGCCATTTTTCATTCCGCTCACTCAAATGACCACCATCGTAGAACCATCCACTTCGTCATATGCAACTTGTTTGTGTGTGCGTGCTAAATTGGCGCCGCACTGAAACTGCTCTCACTCCACGAGCACCACCTTCCCACCGGCCAATTCGTCAATGTAGGCCAATTTGCCGCAACCCTGGCTCGTCTCTTTGTCGTCTTCGCGCAAGAGCACAGCCAGGACCTCGACGGGCGGTTCCAATCCCAACATGTTCGCCCTCTTCCAGCGCTGGAGTCTCTGGATACCAATGCACGGACCGAATTGGGAAGAAAGGTCAAAGTGTCGTAGGATCTTTTCGTGCAGCGAGAGGTTCTCTTGGTGGACTGTCACGAGGATTGTTAGGGTCTTGGTCTGTTCTCATACGCGGGTAAAAAACATCGGGTGATGCAGACACAACCAGTAGAGAGGGTGGTGAAGTAGGACAAGGTAATGATACATACTTCTTGGAGCAAGCCTACCATCCTCCTCGGCCTTCCAGTACTTTCGTATCTGCGCATCCGTGATCTTCTCGGCTGAAAGCTCTCTCTCGTCCTTGTCTGGAACAGGTATCTTTTTGGCCTTTGGATTTGTCGTCTTCGGCTTCAATGGCGACTCTCGTATGGCGACGTCAATCTCCTTCGACTTCGACTCAGACTCTGGCGTAGCTTGGAGTTCATCTGCTTCAGGCTCGGGCGTCTCGATCTCGTGTTCAACGGGCGCTTGGGTGACCTCCGAGAGCTTTGAGGCGGCTTTCTTCGCCGAGTCGTCTTGTCTCGTGCCTGGTTTGGTGACTCTTGCCGAGTTGTTAAAGGAAAGGCGGGATTGGGCATGGGTGGGCGTTGAACCCTTGGATCTGCGACCGCGGGGAGGCATGATTGCTTTTTCGGTGGCAGTCTTAAAGTGAAGCTGTATATGATACTCGCAGACAGTGATTCTTCTCTTGGACTTTGATGCTTGTCTTTGTCTATGAAAGTACGTACAAGATCTGTGGTAGGTAGTGTGGTGAAGTTCGGACCACCATGAAGTGGATGACGTTCTTCAATTTCCCTCTCGCTGCCTAAGCAACCACTTTAGGAGCCCAAGAGGAGGGAGGCACTAAAACGCCAAAACACGTGAAGAAGTCCCGGGTAACTTTCCATACTAGGAGCCGTAAATGGCTCTGGGATAACGGTACTCCGTACATCAATTCCTAACCCAACCCCAGAGGCAGGAATGCAAATGCAGCCACCATGGCTCGTGGCAACGTCAAGGACACAACAGCTCTCCCTTCAAGCGTTTATTTTACAGTGGTAGGTACAATTCTGGCAAGTATCAAGCTTACATCGACCTACAACCACAAATAAACGCAGGTGTTCAGGTAATTCCCGCTGAGCCTGGCGGCGAGCGACCTCATCCATGCTTTGAACATCTCCAGGCAGGATACTACTGGCCCATTTGAGACCACAGAAGTATACCACCTGTTTGTCCACCACCATCCGAACCTTGTCTCAACGTTTCCCCGGAAGAAATGTCGAAGATTGATTCAATCCAGCAGGATAGAGAGACATCTCCCGAGATACTGGCACCCGAGGATCTAGAAGGAGAGTTTCTGACCGTCGCTCTACCTCCTTCTAGTGCCGCCACACCGTATAGTGTGTTCACGCGCATGGAAAGATGGATAATTACAGTCATCATGGGCTTTGCCTTGTTCTTCTCTCCCATGACGGCAAATGTCTATTTCCCTGCCATGCGAGTTCTAGCTCAAGCCACACATGTGTCGCTCCAAGAGATCAACCTCACCATCACCGCTTACGTCGTGCTCCAGGGCGTCGCTCCTCTTTTCGTAGGCGACCTCGCCGACAAGGTTGGGCGGAGACCGGTCTACGTTTCTACGTTCATCGTCTACATTGCCGCATCGCTCGGGCTAGCGTTGAACAAATCCTCATATGCCACTCTGATAGCCCTACGAACGCTTCAAAGTGCTGGCTGTTCTGCCACCGCAGCAATCAGCTATGGTGTCCTAGCGGACGTTGCAATGCCAGCGAAGCGTGGACGCATGCTCGGCGCCGCCATGGTCGCAGCCAATACCGGCCCTACTATAGGTCCTCTGCTCGGCGGCATCATCATCGACCAATTAGGCTGGCGATGGGTGTTTTGGTTTCTAACCATTTTGGGTTCGGGGTTTCTTCTTGTCTTGTTGAGTTTGTTCCCGGAGACCTCTCGTCGACTGGTTGACAACGGCAGCTGTCCAGCGCGACGATGAATCGACCACTTGTTTCTTACCTCTGGCAATATCCTCGCAATGCCAAAAGCACCATGTCGGAACATAGTTTGACCTCTTCTGCTTTGTGAATGATGATCCCCAACCCGCTGCCGTCCTTGCGGATTGTTTTCTATCGCGATGCTGCTCTTATCTTATGGGTCAGTGCAGTCCACTACATGGCCTATTATTGCCTCCAAGCCACAATGCCGGCCCTCTTAACCAACTATTACAATCTCAGCGAACTGCAGGTTGGACTCACGTACTTGGCTATCGGCGTAGGGGTTGCGCTGGGTGGCTTCTTGAACGGCAAGTTTCTTGACATCAATTACCGACGGACAGCAGGAGAAGTAGGTTTCACAATCAACAAGATCTCAGGAGATGACATGAGAAGTTTCCCTATTGACGAAGCACGTACCAGGTTTGCGAATGTTCTCATCTTACTCGATTTCTTTATTCTAGTGAGCTACGGCTGGGCTTGCGCGAGAAAGGCACCCATTGAGGTTCTGTTGGTCCTACAATTTTTGCTTGGTTTTCTTCAAACATGCATTGTTCAAACATTCAACACCCTACTTGTCGACGTTTTCGCAGCTAACGCGAGTACCGCATCTGCTGCTGGTAACGTCACCCGATGCGCCTTATCAGCAGGAGGTGTTGCGATTGTGCAACCTCTCATTGATAGTCTGAGATATGGCTATGTCTTTACCATAATTGGTGCTATGACTGGCATATCCGGCTTAGGAGCAGCGATACTCATCAGATTGAAAGGTATGAAGTGGAGAAGGCAACGACAGATATGAAAATTCAGGTCGCATCCTGCGTTGACGAGGAGAAAACCTCGTCATGATACCAAGCGAAGTCGGTTTTCACAGTTGCCAATTCTCCCTTTTTGACAAACACAGTTTGCGCTCGCTGATTAATGTTTTTGCATGATTGCTGCTCATCGTTGACGTAGATATTCACCAAAACTGGAGTGACATTTTGCCTTTTGGCTTAGGGATACTGACCCCTTGACAAGCCACCATCCTCACAGAGCATTCCTCAGACAGTCTGCTAACAATGCACTCAGTACAGGAATTCGACTAATCTTAGACCATTCCCTTGTTTGGGGCATTCTCCCGGACCGACGGTATTTGACCCTAGCAATGGCGCCAGGTTGCCTTTGGCCATCCTATTCGTGTCGAAAATAGGAATGGGTGCGCCGTCAACCCTAGCCTCAGGCACGTATACTAGAGTCGAGACGGTTTGGTCAGGTAAATCACATGACTGACTTCCAGTGAAAGGATCACTTCGAGCAACGACATTGCAGTTGGCGACTTATCACTCCGTACACAATAGTGCACTAAATAACAGTCCAGGCCCAATCAACGTCGATGACACAATGCCTTACATCGATCCAGAATTCGATGCCCCTCAGATTCCCGACCGGGAGAGGTATGAAGGCACACAAGTCGATGACAATGTTCTCGCCGGTATGTTTTTTTCTCCTCGATCGTCGAAGAGTGAAAGCTGGAGCTAAGACTCGATACGCAGCGCTCTCGAACGGAACACGAGTGCTCTGGGCGGCTACTCACGGCGTATCCTTCTGGGCCATTACCACAAAAATCGACACCGAAAACCCGGATGGAAGGAAGCAGTCTTACTTTTTGAAGGTAGGTCCAGAACTGAGGCGCAGAAGTGGTCACAGGTACATGTGCTCATTCATTGTGTACAGGTGTACACGAGGGCAGCAGCGCAAGCCCAATCAGTTGGAGAGTATGAATCCACCAAGGCACTGCACGCCGTGATTCCGGACCACGTCCCTCGACCCGTCGCTCAAGGTGCCCTGGCGAAGAATCCAGGCCGAGCGTTTGTCATGTTCGAGTTCAAGGATATGATTGAGGAGCTACCCCCAGCCGCGGAGCTGGTAGCGGTCATTGCCAAGCTACATCGGGAATCGCATACACCGAATGGAAAGTTTGGCTTCAGCGTCCCAACTTCGCAGGCTCTTCAGCTTGAGAACACATGGTGTGACACATGGGAGGAGTTTTTTACCCGCGCGTTTCGAGGGACGGTCAAGCTCGAACAAGAGGTGCAGGGTTATAGCGAGAAGCTCCAACGGCTCGCCGATGAGATCGTCACAAAAGTCATTCCTCGACTGTTGAGACCAATGGAAATCGACGGGCGGAGGCTGAAGCCTACCCTGGTCCACGGCGATCTTTGGCATGGAAACGTTGCCATTGATGCTATGACCGAGCAAGTCATAATGTTTGACTGCGGCGCCTTGTTCGGACATCACGAGTGTAAGTGATCTTCAGGACTTTCGACATTGACTGTCACTCATTTCGGTCCTTGAATCAAATCGAATCGAATCGGATTTCCAGATGACCTTGGCATGTTCCGAGCCGCCCGGTATCGTACAAATAGGGCACACGTGCGCCTTTATCACCAGCACGCCGAGATCTCATATCCTGTCGAAGACGTCGACGACCGCAACGCTCTTTACGCTCTGAGAGTCGATCTTGAAACCTCTGTTGCCTGGCCAGCGAACAAGAGGATGAGACAGCTGGCTATGGAGGAGATGAAACGCTTGGTCGACAAATACCCGGATGGCTTCGAAGGCTGGCATTCAACCCAAGCATCATGAGTACGTAAAAGCAGAGGTCTCATCTGTGAGATGAATGGCATGTCATTAGGGGCTGTCATGGAAACTCGCAGGATCCCTAGGACAAGAGACTTGATTCAAGGGATCAAGGCAAGTTCAATTTCAGTGTTGATTTTCATTTTCATTTTCTAGTAGACGGTATGCAGTGATTGATACGCGGGATATTTACTCTTGGCTCAGGAGACTTCTTCGTTCAAGTCTACAACACCGCATGTATCTTCCTTCGCCCACCATTCCTCAATGTTCGTCATCTCTCACATCTCTTCTCCCTATTGTACATGGCAGTTTCAGGCGGGATCCAAAGTTCTGTTTCGGCTTTGCTTTCATGTCATACCGTGTCACCTCGAGGTCCTAGAGCGGTGCCTGTCACCAGTCTAGATGCATCTCAGTTTGACGACATACAAGTGTCCGTGAGTTGTTCAAATACACCCCCAGTGGATGAACCAGTCTAGGAGTGTATGCAGATCCCACCATCCCCTGCCCCCCTGCGAGTGAAAGGAGTCGGTGATCCCACCGACCACTTTCACTCGCTGGGGTTCTCCATGTCCGCATCTGAGGTCTGCGTATTGCGTCGGCGTCCCTTCAGATTTGCTCCTGCGCTGGTACCCGTTGATGGTTTTGATGCTAAGCATCTGGGGAAGTTTGAGGCCTATGTTGCTGCAAAGGCTTCGCTTATTGACCATGTTGCTTTCGTCCCGATGGACAAATAACGTGAGACCATCATGTGACTTGTTCCGTTGGCGGTGTTCGGCCTGTCAGTCTTGGAAAAGGATCGGAGGGGGATGCCCCCGAGCCGGTGTTGCGTTTGGAGTCGGCAGTCTCTACTTTACTTGTCAGTGACGACAGCAGGGGAACATCAGGGTAGAAAACTCACGGAGCATGCGGACACTCAAGGCCTGGAATGGAATAACGTGGGAGAAAGAGGCTTCTTCTCGGCATCCATCGAATGAGGAAGCGGTGAAGGGACGGATGGGGCCTTGCGGCATGTCCTTACCACTGTGATGTGACTTGTCCTGTTGCGCGTGTTGATCGAGTCATTGCTCATTTCGTCTGCCTGTGTAGCGGCATTGCTGATGTTGCGAGTTTTGCGATGGCACTCGATGTGAACTGCGAGGTATCTGAGCAGTGCTGATCTTGCTGAACTTGCCGCACATGTTCTGTCTCCGACGACGGTGCGTTATTCACTCCCTTCCTGGTATTTCTTTAGTTCCTTGTCAAAGTGATCAAAGTGAGGGATGACCGTCTTGGACTTACGGCCGAAAGGACTGGTAGGAGGCGTTGGTGAAGAACGAAGCCATAACCTTTTGGTGAGGATATGCTTTGGACCAACAGATGACCACGTCGATGGTCACTTTGACCCCATAGTCATCTTGTAAGATGACAATCCTACAAGATGGGAGGGACGGCACTTGGTCGCCGAAACTCGAGGAAAAGAAAAAGAAAGAAAGGAATTGGGAGCGTAAAGATGGGAAAATTTTATAGAAGTCCCTCCCAGGCAGTCACTTCCTTAGTCTTGGCATTCCCGCAAGGCTGGCTTGCCGCTATTGGACCGGGAACCCTTTAGGGAAGTCAGCCTCGTCACCACACCGCCTGCCGAGCCTGGCACCAAGGTAAGCAGGCCACTTCATTTCTTCAAACTTGGCGGTGAACTGAGAGAGTGAAAAGGTAACATTAAGAAGAAGAAATGAAGAGGGGAGAGACACGTCATCACAGCGAGCAGTCACGTCTTCCGAAGAGGCTATCGCGATTGAATACTGTAACTCGTCATTCGATAAAGTAAGGCTCCAAGATGAGAGCCCGGGGTATCATAACATAAAGTGCTGCTTGTACCATACCTTTGGCGGCTTCTTAAAGGACTCGATTCCTATGCGTCTAAACTCCCTGCTTTATGCCCATTCTCCGTAACCAAGAGTGTCTTCAATTCTTTCTCTTCACTTTCAGTTTTGTTTTTGGCCCGAGGAAAGCGAGCTCGTCCCACCTCCTTCTAGATCCTCGTAAGAGCCGTAGCACATTGTGTGTTTCATTTCATTCAAAAATCATAACGTCAACTTCCTTCGCAAGAGAGCTTTCCAACTGGATAAATGATCTCTAGCTCGACCAGAACCGCCAGGGTCCGCTGAACCAGGACGACTTCTTGTCCCAGTTCCAGGTACCTTGGGTGGCGGCACGCAGATCGTCGACATTTAGATAATCCACACCTTCTTGGTAAAGGACGCGCCACAAATAGTTTCTCATGCCTCTAGGCCAACTGGGTACGCCCCAGTATCTGACTTTGAGACCACGATTGTGTGCACCAGCGATCTGCTTGCGAATCTTCTCGATCTGTCTTGACGATAGTCTGCCTCGCCACGGGTAGCCGATACTGCTCTTGAAGTTGACCGAGGCATAGTACGAATTTGTAGGGGCGTAGATAGCGGCGTTTTCCGGGGCTGCACCTGAACGGCCTTGACCCTTGTTAGGAACACCGCGTTTAGTCGGAGCGTGAAGGTCTTCGGCAGTGACACGTGGGTGTTTGATCGGAGGAGTGCCGGGGTCTAGCTTTTCGAGAATGTCCAAGGGTGCGTCAAAGAACATGTCTCGATAGTGTGGGCTCGCCACTACATTCATGTACGGGGCGTTTCCGGTAACCACCACAGTTACAGGTCCCTCGACGGTCTTGGTGCCGTTGAAATGAGTGAGATAGCCCTTTTGTCGAAGAGGGGCGAGCTGTTCCGAAACGTACGGCCAGATTGCCTTTCCATCGTTCTTGAAGTCAATCAGAAGGACAAGTGTTTGTGCAGGATCGGTATCAAACACGCCACCTCGGCGAGCGTCTAGCGAAGGGTGGAATGAGGTTGTGGGATTCTGTTGGTCCAAGATCTTCACCAACGGATCAATGTAGAGGCTGCGCAGTGTTCGTTGAGGAGTGAGAGAAGCAGTGGTGTGTCCTACATATAATTCTTGGTCGTAGAGCCAGACGTCAGCCTCAACGCCGGTGCACCCGGCCCTCAGCGCAGAGAACAGAGGCTCCTTGCGCCAGTAGTCATTGTGTGAGTGACAAGCAACCGCATGCACATCTGCTGAGAAGTCGGTAGGCCATTGGCCCAGGTCAGATGGGACATCGCTGCTTGGCTTCAACTGATCATTCTCGTCAGACACATCTGAAGGAAAGAAGGAGACGAAGACGCCACAAGCTAGCGCGATGAATTCCAACAGACCACTGTGACTTGAATCAGGACGATAGTTCACGCGCAAGGACAGGGGATGGCTTACAGTAACATGAGTGAGTACGCCAACAAGCGAAAAATTCTCCTCACTGGATGTTTTGATGATGGCTTCTTCTCACTGGGACGCTCTTTGTGTCTGGCAAAATAACCCCGACCAAACCATGCACTTAACAAAGGTATTCTTTCTGTCCACCGCCATCTAGGAGGAACCGGACTGCTGATGTGGTGGTTGGCGGTGTAAGATGCAGGAAAAGAGGCGACTGTAATTATTGGAGACTTGTCGGTGTCGGATCTATCGGCAGATGGGTCTGGAGAGGCTCCATTTTCCAGGTCTGAACCAGCAATGAAGGCCTGATCCTGCGTCAAGAAGGGAACACGTTCTGCTTCGGTCGATGGCTCGTTGTGAAGAGGAATATTTTGTGTACCGTGAAAACCCCGACAGCCTGCGGGAGAAAATTGAGGCATTGTCTGGCGCGCCTCCAGGCTGAAGAGAGCGTCCAACAGGATCGGGGGAGGGGTATCTTCGATTACTTAAGGTCTAGCCAGGGGCGGGACGAGAGCGTGGGTTTGGCGGGCGTGAATGGACCGGGGGATGGTGCCACTGGCCAGATCGTGCAGCCGAGGCCTGGGATTGACAATGCGAGGGCCGATTGATCGGGCTCGCCAGGGAAGCGGTAAGACGGCACCGGCGGCAAGGTATCTTGTTGCTGTAGGCCAAGAACTGCAGTGTCGTTCGATATGTGTGCGCTTGTCCTGCTGGGTGTACTTGTATTATGCATGCGCTTGTAGAGTGGTGGTCCAGTTGAGGCAGTGCTGAGATCGAGGAGAATGGTGGTGGTATGGTAAGTGTGAATGGACAGTGAACAGGCTGTCGTATATTCTACTGTTCACCGGTACCAGATGCACTCGTTCATGATAGATACAAGGAGCAGAATATTGTATGTGTGTGCGTCTGGGGGCTTCTCGACTATTTGGGCACTATTGATGTTGTCGATGAGTGAATGCCTGGCTCAACACCTTATGTACTTCTTCGACCACAGATTCAAACTATACAATCACCCACCCACCTACCCACACGATCCTCACACTCTCCTTCACTCACTCGCTGAATCATACTGCCTAAGATAAGTGCCTACGACGGAGAAGATTTCTGCCATCATGCTCCCACATGTGTGTCACTGCCCGTCCCAATTGGGCATCATTTGCCTAAACCCCTGCTACAGTCCTCCGAATTGCGTTCTCGCTATAGCTTATACAGCAAACCCACTTCCAGCGGTACATTTCGCAGTGAGAAAAGGCTTGGTACGCTGCTAGTGAAGGGACTCATATCCAGATGGATCAATCGGGACCCTTTACGGTAGCGAAGAATCCTTCTCTCCAACGCTCTAGAACCATTAGTTCCATCCACCACCCTGAAGTCAAAGGCCGCGCACCCACAAACTTTTTCCGAGTCTATATTCGGTTTCCTGGCCACGGGACGCGCAATGCTTTCACGTTGCTAGTCAATATATGGAATTCTCTTCAGACCCTTTTTCACGTCTGCCTAGATGAAGGAGTCGACCTCGATATTTGACTGAGTCCGAGCACACGACCAACGCAACACCACCTCTCAGCCTACCTTCCGAGACTCTCGGGGCCTACTGAGCCTTGTGCATTGCCCTAAGTTTAGTGCTCAAAGTGTGGGAAAATAGTGCCAGTGGCACGGGCGATTCCGGTGCTCAGTGAGAGCTTGGGCTCTTCGCCCGTGGATGGTCCGTCTCCGGCAATTCGTCCTGGGGATTCGGAAAGACCCTTTGACCGCATGACCATGAACATTTGGGCTGGAGCTCGAGACCATTATTGATGTGGCTTTCCTCAGCAACCCCATTCTGGCGTCTGGGCAAATATCAATCATGAAGCCTCCAAGCTCTAGGGTCTGAAGAAGCTTGTTCCTGCGAATCGCCTCTACGCTTCCATACACGTGTAGTTCATTGGCTGGTCAAGAGTATTTGTTGGAGATGGTGGTCCGCTCGATGCTCTCCCGGGTCTTCTGTGTTCTTCCAAGGCTTCAGGAACGAATGGGAGCTAAGACGCAGTACCCGTGCTTACTTAAGGGCCTTGAACAGGTAAATTGTTGATATGATCTGCCACTAAGATCTTCATCAAGCATGCACGATCGAGACCCTATGACCTCAACAATATAATAAGAGACAGAAACCCTTACACCACTACGAGTGCAAGCGAGATATTGAGATAGCATGGCAGGTTGACCAAACTGCCGACGACCCGTATCTTAAATGCAGACCACTGCGGCATGTGATGATCAGCATGAAACTTGGCTCTGTTGCGACTGCGAGACTTGGGAAAGCTCAACCGGCTAGAGCATGCCAGCATGTCCACACTGAGGTCACGAAAGAGGCATGAGAAAGTCGCTCGACCCTATCCCAAGATGTTTCTGGGAAGGCTACCGCACAACACCGAAGCTGACGGCGGTGCGAAGTCAGTTTTAATTAAATGACTATACTGGCAGAGCTCACGGCTAGACATACCTGGACATGTATACAATCCTCCAAACCCCTTGCAACATTCTTGTACTACCTATTAATCTGCAAGCCAATCAACACACGTCGAAATCTCAGCCTCACCAACTCTCCTGAAGGCTTTGCTCTTCACACCGTTCTCATTGGACGGAGCTCTTTATCTATCGCTCATCTGACAATGACAATGACAATGACAATGACAATGACAATGATTGCAAAGCCTGATCCGATCATCAAAGTTTGTGCAGAAGAACATCAGATAGGTTCTCAGGATAAGCTACTGACAATAATTTGATCTACATATCAGCATTCACCAATCTGAAAGAACACGGCTGTCCTGGTCATAAACCCTTTCACAAGGGCCCATTTGGATGGATCAACACTTTGGTGTAGCCTTCAATCCTCTTATCAAACTTGTCATATGCTGTCTCAGCATCCTCGATTCCAATTTCATGACTAACCACAAATGACGGCTTCGCCTTGCCGGAGATAATGAGATCTCTCAAGTATCGATTGTATTGCTTGACATTGCACTGACCTGTGGCCAGCGAGAGACCCTGTTGTTCCTGTCAGCTTCACCCCGGGTTTCTGCTGCAGTACACCCATATCTTACCTTTTCAAACAACTTGCCGAAACTCACACTAATCATGCCCTTTCCACTTGCCTCATCTGGTGCACCAGGATCGGTAGGCACATACAGTCCTATAGCCACATTAGTTCTCTGACACGCCACCCATCTCAAATATTGGTCTCACCGGGAATACCCAATCCGCCACATGGTCTCGTGGCTTTGATCATGTTCTCCAGAATGATATTGGGCTGCTCCTTCTTCCCGCCCGTGTCGACAGCTTGATAGCCGACGGCGTCCACGGCTCGGTCGACCATGCCGCCATTCTGCTGGATGATCTGCTCCGCTGCATCGCCCTTGCTAAAGTCGACAGGGATACATCCTATCTTCTTCGCGGCTGCGAGACGCTCGGGGACCCGGTCCACGCAGTACACCTTGCTCGCTCCGCGAAGAACGGCAGAGTATGCCGCCATGAGTCCAACCGGACCGGCGCCCCAAATCGCAATGGTCTCACCTGGCTTGAACCCGCTGAGAGTGACTCCATGCCAGCCCGTCGGGAAAATGTCAGCCAAAAGGATGAAATCGCTCTCGTGCTCAGTACCCGGTGGGAGTTTCAACGCGTTGAAATCTGCGTACGGGATACGGATATATTGCGCTTGACCACCTGGCATCGTTCATATCCGATCAGCCAAAAGTCTGTTCCGATACACCAGACAGGCAGCACGTTGGAAGGTGAGATCAAGAACATACCTCGATAGGGGCCCATGGCCACGTATCCATACGCTCCGCCACTGAAGCCTGGGTTGACTCCTGTGCAAAAGGCAGTCTTTCCTTCTTCGCAATTGCGGCAGCGCCCGTCCGCAACATTGAACGGCATGACAACTCGGTCTCCCTTCTGCAGCAACGTCACACCCGCGCCCACTTCCTCAACGATACCCATGTTCTCGTGGCCTGTCACAGACGCACCAGTCTATCAGCACCGACTTGATGTTATCTTGCGGCCCACGGAACATTAACATACCGAAAGTGATGCCAGCCTGGGCACCGGTTCGCCCTTCGTACATGTGCAAGTCTGATCCGCAAATTGCCGCGGTCGTGACCTTGACAACCACATCGTCAGGATGTTCGATGGTTGGCTTCGGCACGTCCTCGACCTTGACACTGAACGCGCCCTGGTAGTTGACGGCTCTCATGGTCTGCGTGGACGACATGGTGGGAATTCCGGGACTTTTTTCTCTGTCTTTTTCACTAGACCTGTCGGTGTCGGGGGTGGTTGATGGTGCCCTGGGTTCTCAGAGGGGAAGGACGATGCAAAGTACTATTTCACTAGTAGAAAGAAGATGGGGTAGTCGAGATCCAAGTAGAACTCGAGGAGGTTCTGGACGAATACCACGGAGAAAAGGCACAGATTTGACGAACTTGGCCGGTACAAGAATTACAGGACAATGCAACCTTTTATCAAGTCAATCACAACGAGGTGGTACGGGGTAATATCTCCTGTTTTTTGAGATTCTAAAAGCATGCCCGCGAGCCTGTCATGTCCGTGAGACTCTCTCCCTCGCTCTTCGCCTCCTCTTTTTCGCTTGGGTGCGGAGACAAAACACGAAAAAGAGAGTCACTGGTCTCATCATCGTCGTCATCGTCATCCATCAACACCCCGGCAGTACTCCTGGACCTGGACATGAAATCGCAAGTCCCGAAGTTTGGACATCAGCCAACCCACCCCCTCCTTCCATAACCTATTTGCGGGGTCAGAATACGACGTAAATTCACTTGGCCGCCGCCGCCACGGCCGCGGGTATTCCTAGTCCGATCACTTTTCCCAGCAAACATGTAGGCTATCCAGCTACCTACTCTGTTACCTTGTACAAGATAAAATACTAGGTAGGGGAAGGGAGGGGGGAGGGCGTTCCCAAGTCAACGAACGCCCCCCCGGTAAAAGCAACAAGTAAGTGGGCATCCTTTCAGAAAATTACAAGAAAAACACCCCCGGTCTAATCTTGTCCTTAATCGGTCGGTTGTCATCTCTCGCAATGCTCATCGATGCAGTTTGACTCCCCCGTATTCGTAGCGGGTGAAAAAGCGAAAAGAGAAGGAAAAAAGGTCCAAGAGCGAGCAACTCACTCGTCGCAAAAACCCCCCACCGGTCAGATACCTTCCATTGCTGACCCCTCCCGAACCTGTCGGTCCACAGCTCGCATCTTGACCCTTTGTTCTTGGAGAGATAAGACGGGACGATGAACATGGCTTACCGAACTCGGGGTTAAAGGAGCGACGTGCAGCAAAAAGATCATGAGACGAAGAGGGAAAAATAGACTATCACGATTATGACAAACGAACGGTTTAACAGGAGTCCGGAGGGACTTTTATTTTTTATTTTTCAATTTGCTTGCATTGGGACTAGAAAGCAGTTCGGCGTAATTGATACGGACTACTACATCTCGTATCGTTGCCGGCAAAAGAGTCAAGCGGAAAATCTTGTCTTGGACCTAATCTGCCTGTAGATTATCCATTCTCTTCGGCTCCTCTTTCCTTTCCCTCCTTCGCCTTCATATTGACCATAAAAAGCCGGGGGAAACGTACGCCAGGGAAATGGCGCTCTATCGCATGCTGTGTCAGGGTGCTGGGTGCTAGGTCGAGTGTCTCAAGGGGTATACATGATGGTGCATCTGTGGCCGTGAATGAATTTTGCAATCATACCGAATGTCAAGAAGGGGGCGCCTGGTGTCGGTGTGTGTTGGAAAACGTCAAGCGGAGGGTCAAATTGACGTAGACTTCGTGGTCACGTTCGAGCCGGTCGTGACGCCGCTCCGGGTTAAAAGGGTTTGAAGAGCTGATTTGAAATAGTGACGGAGGTGAGAACGTCGTTGTCACAAGGGGACAAAAAGCTCGGTGTGGATAAACGGTTTTCTCGAGATTATCCTGATCATGAGAACTTCAGATGTCCAGTGCCTGGGCTCCGCTTACATGTCCATCGCTTCATTGCCATTGGCGAAATTGAACTGTCCTTGAGGCTGGTTCGAGCTGAGCGTGAAACCCGAGGCGTTGGCCTGAGGAGCCAATTCTTCAATATCAGCGCCGGCATCCTCTTCGTCTGAGAAATATCGTTCTATGATATTGTACGCCTTCATGTAGATTTCCTCGTTTGCGTTGTTCTGGCAATCGTGGATCTTCTCCATCCCGCCGGCCTCTTCGATGAATAGTGCATACCGGTTGACTTGTGCTTCGGGAGCTCTCTGGTCGGCGGATTCCATGTCCATTTCTCCAACCTTAAGGATGTTCTCCAAACCGTCCAGAGCCACCTGGATGATCTTATTATCCGGACAGGCAAGCAAGTCACAGAGAGGCTTGATGCAACCTTGCGTAACCAAGTATCTAATTTGCTCCGGCTTTTGCAGACCTCCCGAGGTGGCATTCGAGATAGCCCAGCAAGCCTCCTTTCGAGTCTTGAAGTCTCCATTAGAGAGCAGATGGATGAGAGGAGGAATGATACCGGCATCAACGACGGACTGAATCTGGGTAGAATTTCCCGCGGTAATGTTCGAGATCGTCCAGCAAGCCTCTTTACGAATGCCATCTTTTTGCGAACTCAATAGTGACAGAAGCGCAGGGAGAGCACCGCAGTTGATTATGACTTGTGTCTGTACATCGTCACCAGTGACAATGTTACCAACCGACCGAAGAGCTGGTGTTTGGACCGAGGTCGAGGCATGCATGAGGAGTTCGACGAGTCTTCGGGGTATTCCAGCTTCGATAACGGCCTGGATCTTGTCGTTGGAGCCGTCAGAAAGGTATGAGATGGCCCAGCAGGCATCAATGAGGACTTCATCGTCAAGCATGTAAACAAGCTTGGACAGCACAGGAAGGGCGGGCTGAATCTGTCACGAAGTCAGTCAAGAAGAGCATCAGAAAGAGTGTTCGAGCACATACAGTATTCCAGTCAGGTTGGGGTGTCTTGCCACGACAGAAGTTGCTCAGAGTCCAAGTGGCATTTCTGAGCATACTCAATTTGCGGCCATCGGCGATGAGGTTGAGCAAAGGCTTAAGGGCACCCTGGCTAAGAACATAGTCACGGCACGCAGGGCTGTCACCAGCGATGTTTCCTAGTGCCCAGACAGCCTGTTCGCGAACGTCTGGTTCAGGGCTGCTCAAAAGTTCAACAAAGATTGGCACAGCCCCGGCTTCTATCACGACCTGAGTCTGGGCTGCAGAGCCAGAGGCAATGTTGGTTAGGGCCCACGCGGCTTCGAATTGGACAAGGGTATGAGGAGAGCGGAGGAATTCGACAAATCGACTGACGACCCCGGTCTCAATGACCTTCTCGATGGGAGGGTTTCGTTCTTTAGACAGGAGTTTTCGAAATTTTGTAGTCGCTTGGATTTGAAGATCGATCTGATCGGAGAAGACGCCCCGTACCATCTCAGGCAATTCTGTGCTCAGCTACGAAATGAAACATTAGCGCCAATTAACGCACAAGGTTGATTGTGAATCTTACCTCGCTCTCGATGTTGCCAGCCTCATCATCACTGTCTTGATCAGCGAGCCCGCCAATGCCGATCTCTCCATTTCCTCGTTGGACGCCTCTTCGTTTGGCCAAGTTTTCCTCTCTCTTCTGACGACGAATTTCAACCTGTTGTTCCTCACGTCGTCGTCGGAGTTCGTCAGGCTTGAAACTACCTTTTGCCTTGAATTGGGTGCGGCGATGTTCTGGGATGTATCGTTCGGACATGATGAATGACGTCTCAGGGATAGGCACAAGATCAACGGGCGGTTCACAGCCGTGTTAGATATGAGTTTGCCTCGAGCGTTGAGGATGAGGGCAAACAAATAAGGATCAACAGAATTTGTTTGTATTGAGAATGACAGCGATGAGAATGCGCCCAGTGCGGGTAGTGGGCAAATTACTTGAAGATGCAAGTCTCAGTGCAAAGACGCAGTGGCTCTTTTCAGGACATGCCACTTGCTCATATTCAGATTCCGCTAGATCGGCCTTGGCAAGAACTAGTGAACACGTGACACCGCGTGCCGAGACTGTCGCGTCCTGATGAGACGACCGTATTCACGTCCATGTTTCAGACTTCGATCATGTATTGTACACCTAGACAATGTCCAGAAAGCCTGCATGAATCGCGCGTAGCCCTGACTAGGTGCGCGGACCATACAAGCCAACTGCACATGTTACAAGGACGCGACGATCTTGGGGACTTCGCCAGGGGACTGTGCTAGGCGACGACATCCGGTGACAGCGATGGAGGTAGAACCGGTGCCAATCCCCCATAACTTCATTTCCTTGACCGAAGCCTTGAACAAATTAGACACCAATCAAGCATACAATGTCATTGGCGTCTGTATCGACTTTTTTGCTCCTAAGCAAACAAGGACGGGTGACTACATGCTCACGTTCACACTACATGATCCTTGGTGGACGGACAGAAATGGCATGAAGTTCCGTTTCTTCACCAAGACTTTACCTAGACTGCCTAAGCTTCAGCATCAGGGTGATGTCGTTATACTGCGCAATATCAAGACCATCAAGAACGGCGGGGCGGTCCTTGGAGTTTCCAACCCATCCACGGTGTGGTTTGTTCTTCCTGTAATGCGTGTCCGAGAGATACTCTCCACCGAAGATGTGAAGAACAAAGCACACTGTTACACAACTGGCACCGGACCGACGTTTCCTGCAGACAATGTTCCAAGTGAGGCCGAAATCAAATATGCCAAGTACATTGCAGCAAGCGAAGATTCCATCAGCTGGGGCAATCTGCCCACAGCAACCGATATGCAGGCCCAGGTCCAGGCCCCGGCGGAGCACGACAGCGCTCAAGTATTGAATCTGCCTGGGAAGTTCCGGCTGATCAAGGATGTCTTCCCCCACAAATTTGCTGATATCCTAGGAGAAGTTCGTAAAATTCATTTCAACGAGAATTTTGAAGAAACCCACCTCCAGGTAACCGACTACTCTACGCACAAAGCTCTGTACAACAGACAGCATCGAGTCGAGACACTCGGCCTGGATGGTGATGAATATGGATACATCAATGACTCCTCGGAGAAACAGTGGCCCGGGCCTTGGGGACAGATGACGCTAGATATCATACTTTGGGCACCCCATTCGGGGGTAGCGAGAAGAGAAGTTAAGCCTGGTTCCCTGGTGTTTCTTCGCAATGTCCACATTAAAATGGACAAGAACCAAGCTAAACTCGAAGGAGTGTGTCACACCGAAAAATACAACTCTGAGCTTATCAACATAAAAGTGATACAGCCAACAAAAGAAGATGAACGTATGAAAGCACTCATTTCTCGGAAGCACCAATACGCTCAACAGGCGAAGGCTGAAGGCAAACCATTTTATTGGTCTCCGCTCGAGATCCTGAAAAAGAGAAAAGTAGAAGAACCAAAGGAGGCAGAAGGAGCACAAAAAACAAAGAAGACGAAGCATCGAAACCGGAAAAAGAACAAGACGAAAGCTGAGCCTGTCAATGGAGAGGCTCCAATAACACAGATCCAAAGTAAAGGCGATAGAATGCTGAACAGCAACGTCCGATGCAATGCATACGAAGTTCCTCGCAAATCCATTTCCGACATTCTCGATCCAGATATATTGCTTCGCAAAACTCTCCAGGGCAACTCTTATCACCTACCTTTTCAGAATTGCAAATACAAATTACATGTGCGCGTTGTGGACTTTTACCCCGACAATATTGCAGACTTTGCCGTCCCTAGAAACCCCGATTATGATCTCTTGTCGGATGAGGAAGATGAGGAGGATTTATCCAGCATGGATCTGACACAGCTGTCTGGAGACAGGCTGGCATGGGAGTGGCGCTTCGTCCTGCTAGTTGAGGATGCTAGACAACCTGCGAGTGTGAATGGACAGCCCACGCGAATGGAAGTGTTAGTTGCCGCGAGTGACGGCGAATTTCTGTTGAACATGAGTGCCTGCAATTTGCAGGATAAAGAGAACGCCCAACAGCTCGCGGCGCTTAAAGAGAAGCTCTTCCATCTATGGGGAGACCTGCAGGAGAGTAAAGAAGAAGATAGCAACGCGATGACATCGACGCTCAGGCCGAGAGCCAGACCCTTCGAATGTCTCATTAAAGAATACGGATTGCCTGTCAGAGATGTCGAGAACCCCGTGCACAACACCTCGGGATATGACAGAATGTTTCGCTTGTTTGGGACGACAATATGAGGGAATCCTGCTCTACTGAATTACCATGGACACCGACTCCGAAGCCCAACGAGCAATCAAGACATGGTTGTTCTAGCCAGATTTCAATTATCGATGTCGAACAAGGGGTGCGGCGCTCTTCATGTATGCAAGTGTGTGCGTAATGGAGTCGTGTTAAACATGGCAGAGAGCAAAGTCATCACGCCCGATATCTCGATGAACTCGACACGACTCACTGGGGAGACAGTGCGGCATGAATCTAGCCTCTCCGGTTCTGTTGGACCCTAGGTTCCGGTACTTGCGTTGGACAACGACTATATCACATCACTCTTCGGTCAGTCCAATTCAGTCATTCAGCAAGGACAATACAAGGTCCAAGCTCATCTCTCAGTCGTCTGATGTACGTAGCAGCCGATTGTCATTGAGGATGCTAGTTAGCGTTCTAATCAGTCAATGTCGTTCTCAGACCAAAGCCACAATGGGCAACCGACTCGGTGGCGAGGCTACCGCCATGTCCGACTTACCAGAAGACGGCCTCGACGCTGAGAAACACACCGCTCACAACCATGGCGATCTCTGTCCCACCCGGAGTCGTCGCAAACCCAAACACCGCTGAAGGTCCAGCAGTCATCAATGACGGCCGTCTCTTGCAAGTCCTCAGACAGGACATTGATGCAGTCCATGGCAACCAGGCCAAGAGTTGGACGTTGGTAATACTGGCGGAAACAGCTTCCAGCAGAGAGAATTCCAGCACACTGCCAAAGAGTGGTGCGAATGGACCAACCTTGACTTCGTCTACGAACCTATCGAAGCCGTATAACATCTTCATCAGCTACCTAGCGGACGACTCCTGGTCCTATGTTGGGAGGATGTGCCATGGCTTCGCCCGGGCAAACCCGCCACAACCTTTAATGAACCTACTCTATATCTTTCCCAGCAACGAGAGAAGCCATCGGGCGGCCCATTCTCCATGTTTGGTCATGCGCTCGGTCTCCACCATGGACACCAAAATCCTCTCTGAACTTTTTCTTGAGCTAGAGATGAAGTGGGATGAGGACGAAGTTTACGAGTATTACCAATGCGAATATGACCGGGACCGGGCGACAGTCGACGAGAACGTCCTCAATATCTCGCGTGGCGGAACGCTCAGGAAGAACCTTCTGGGCATTGGGCTCGATCATGCTTTACGACTTCCCCTGAAGAAGATCTTGAAACGTGGCGCCCGGAACAAGGAGAATTTCACCCTCTCTCCAGGGTAGACAAGGCAAGTATGTTACTTTGCGTACCCGGGTCGTCGGAGAGCGAGGCCTGAACAGTGTCGAATACTACTACAAGAGTTGCAAGGTGATATAGTAAGCGACCAGGGTGTGATCAGACATCTGACGTTCAAGAGAAAGCACTTTCCCAGACAGAAGAACAGTAGAATGTTGGTCATCAGATCACTTACAAAGGCCTCCTGTTTCATGGCTGCTCGATGGTCTCGAAGGCACATCGTATCACCTGGAGGATTGTTATGGTGCACCTTGGATTTGGCGAACCAAAATTCCCACCCGGATCCGGGACCGAAAGAGTACCTAAGTATTTATCGTACGGAGGATTCGTCTCGAATAGAATGACAGCGTACGGATTGTGTGGTCAGAAATCACACAAGGACACTCTACTTCCAGGGTTCATTCGGACGTCCGTCGTCTCATGCCTACTGTACAGTATTTACAGTATCAAATAGGGCACCCTAAAATAGGTGTTCATCCTCTCTCTGGCGTCACATTTACATCGACAACCTGCACTACCGCACAGTAGACAGCCAAGCAATAAAAGTCCCAGCGCCACTGTCGTATTTACTCAACGGTGATCATTCCCAACGAAACAACCACAATGGAACAGCTATCGCCAAAAAGGGCAGGCCAGGTGCAGATGGAGACTTTGGGGGGCGCATCATGAACGCCACCGCTCACCAGTTAGAGATCCATCGAGAGGAAGAAAAGGGAAATATTCCGATGGTGAGATCCGTCAAGTAGTTTTTTCTTATGTCATCCCTCAAGCATTGTTTCATAGACATGCATACGAACATCCACCTCGTAGGCAGATTGTATAATTTGCACATGCCTCAAAAACTGAGCGACAGGTGACTACAACAACCTCAACTCCCCAGGGTGATATCAGAACTCAAGTTCTATCCCTCCCTTATCCCCGCAGCTCCCTTGCAGGAGCTAAGAGGAATAGCTGAGAGGTGTTTCTGTAGGCTATGCAGACATGGCGAAACCGGGGGATGCAGAACAAGACACACTCGTCCCGGTCTAGACCTAAATCCTGTTGAAAGCCATCAGCTTTCGATTGGCCATTCGGGCGTTTTTGCAACATCGAATACGAGAAGCCTAGGACTGCGTTTTAACCCCAATGTTGCGCGGCCTCGCGACACGCCGTGCTGGATTCGTAGAACACAGTCCTGTCCGAGGCGTTGAGGATTCTCCTGCTTGCACTACTGGTGACTGGTCATTGCATCTGAGGGGTGAATGAAATGTCCGACAAAGCAACTCGTGCCGGCAATGAACCTTGTCTCGAGGAACAACGAGCGTAGCAGCACCCGTGGCGGCGAACATGGAATATGGAAAGCGCCAGTCGAGGCTGAGAGTAGGTGGCCAGGCCAGGGTACCCCAGGACAGTATTGCAGGACGGCCCAGTCTCTATCCAGGAAGCCCGCCGCTGGTATCCCGACAGGACGAGTTTATCACAAATACTTGACCTCATCAGCCAATGCGATGGGATATGGATGGCGCGTGTGCTTTGTTCTCCCCGCGAGTATCCTCGTCGCGCTGTAGACGATCCTCTGTGAACCGAACAATCATGCTAAGCTACTGCAATAAAGCGTAGACGAGAAATATTCTGCGTGGTTCTGTCTGGATCGGCAGCAGTTGGCGACAGATGATCGATGGTGGGATGCCTTCACTATTCGAGGACGCCAGTGCTCGTATCTTCCTCATCCACGTCTAGGCTCTCGATCGCCGGCTAGACACACGCGTGGGTTGCTTTTCGTGTTCTCGTCCCTTCAGCCGACGGCAGCAGAAGCCGTTTGTGCCGATCCGATGCGAAGCCAACTGATCTGTGCAGACCAGATTTTCGAGTAGCGTACTATACCACTCGGCGACTTTCCCTCATCCAACGACTTGTAGTCGCTGTATTCTGGCCTGAGGAGTGGTACACTGGCACGGTGCTTACTCGTACTCGTACATGCAAAGGCCTCACATAACACAGTCTGAGGGGTTACCAGGCGAACGCGAGGACGGCAAACATCAAAGGCACCTTACTCGTGGGGTTTTAGCTAAGTCTGGCGCGAAGCACTGCCGTGATTCCGTGCAGCGGAATTTCAGCGGGTTTTTACCGTTCTCCCAGCCTTGTATGGGGACGAGTACTGTGACAGGTGTTGGGTCAGGAGAGCCGGTGGAGAACCCGATATACAGTAAGTCCACTCACTGAACTCGTCTGGCGGCATCGCGTGCATGGCGATGGTCTCCCGATACGAATTGCGATAGTGCCCCTCTGTGGAAATCCTGGCTTTAGATAGGCATTTTAGTGAGTCCAGCCCCTCCACACCCGCCTCTAAGTCCCCTTACGAGATGAGGAGCCAAGGGGTGCCATGCATGCAAACGATACGGACGACGGACGGAGTATACCCTGCGAGGATTATACTTTGAGAGCTGGTCCCATTGAAGTTCCCCGGGCCGTCTGAAAATACTTTTGGCGCGAGGTACTTGTGCATGAACACGCGGCTGGCCTTCGCATCCAACAGACGCAGTATCATGGACGACGTGCGGGCAGATATCAAATTGTCGATAGCAAGACGACTACTGTGAGGACCATGCTTAGTTTAAACGGATACGTCTGCCGATTTGAAAACCTTGCCAACTTGATCTACGCAGACTGGCTGACGATAGCCATGATATTTCCTCTGTGGGAGGGTTGGCCATGACCGTGGGAACGTCATCATTGAAAGTATTCGTACGAGTGTCGGCCGTACCTCGTGGCAAAATGTACTCGTCTCGACACAAATTGACTGGACAATAGTAGAGTGGTTTCCGACTGAGTTTTCGTGGAGCTACCAAGTCGAGTCCGAGTAGTCGTCGTTCTTGTCAATCTCAGTGTGTACGAGTCAGGCAGGGAGCCGAGTCAGGTGCACTCGAAACGAAAGCCACATGAAGAGGGCAGACCAAATATACTGATAGGAACATTCGATCGCAGAGAAGATGGGTCTAGCACTGACGCCATCTTCGATGCGAGTCCACTCATCAACTCCAGTCAATACTTGTGCTTTGTATCGCGAAGCAACGCACCAGTGGCAGAAAAGACCGTTGGCTGGGTATATTCACAAACCGCGCGAATGTCGTCTTCGGTGCAGATGGATAGTCTCGGCGGAAGCTGGTCCCTTAGAAAGCTAATGTACTTCGCACTATGTACATGCCGAGTTTGTCACCAGCATATTGGTCCCTCGGCGATGTGTGAACTTTTCCCATCGTAGTCAGAGGATGCGCAAGCACAGGTACGTCTGGGAACTGCCAACTTGCCAGAGCACCATCAGACCGACAAGCCAGCGTTCCGGAGGTACCTTAAGATGGTGCCGTCCGATGTAACAAGCACAAAACAATTGGGACACTTCACGTAAGCTGACCCATCTCGTCTACTTCGCCTCGAAGGGTTTTTGTTGCCGTAAGCGCGGCGACATACAGAAATACTCTGGTGGTTCACTCGTGCACCGTGCGTGTCTTATGCATAGCGAGTCTTTGGTACAAGGCCAGTGCAAGATAAGCACGGGTTTTTTTTTGGAAATGTTGAAATAATAGCCAATGCTACTGCAAAAAAACATTACTCTCGGCCGATGCCAGTGCGCTCCGCTGAGTGTTGGGCTGGAGCATCGCAGAGCCAGAAGCGATGAGTACCACCCAACCCTGATCGCGTTAGAAGAGCAAGGCAAGCCCGTAGACAAGGATACGAGTGCCGGCTGTGGGGGTAGTTGATTCACCTCCCTGGAGGAGCCGTCTCATGACCTCCCCAGGTTTGCACAGAGTTTTGTGGGTTTCAGCAGGGACACTCGGGCCCTCACCGGCCTGTGCTAAGGCCATCGGTGTCTTGTGCCTATGACATGGGTGCTGTGAACATCCGTCTGAGGCATCTTTCCTGATTGTTGGGATCTGCATTCATGCACGCGGGTGGCTCGAGAGTGGCAACCACAGTCCGTTGAGCGAGACACGCACAGAGATGACTCGCAACTTCATTCTCGAGGAGACGACTGCTTGCGTCTTACCTAATTGCTATGAAAATTTGTTTATGCACACTCAGGCAAGAGGACATGAAGTAGTGGCGTGCCTGGAAACGGCTTAAAAATTCTCAAGATCGCCGCGGATTGCCTACTCGTGTAGTGATACTTCCTACTCTTTTGGTCGACTTAAATTCACTCGGAAAACTGAGAGGCCCTCAGGTTGTAGTAACACGGAATTCTCAATGGGTAATCCAGGTTGCCTGATGCCAATGTCGAGATAGCTGTGTGCGACAAACATGAGCAACCAGTGGTATCGAGATTTGGAAGACGAGCTCCCTTGCGGCCACACAAGAAGTCGAGGAGAG